TACTGAGCTGAGCGACTGCTCAGCTCACTCAGCCAGCTCAGCTCACTCAGCTCAGAAAAATTGCAACTCTGGTTTTGTTCATTTTAAAATCAGTAAAAGTAAAAACTTCCACGAAGAATTCCACGCGATTGAAAATACGCGTCCCCGGGTATTTTTGTCAATGTAAAGAAAGAAACAACAAACAGAGCTTGATACAAAATACGGAATAGCAACAAAATGTAAACGAAAAACAAAAACAGGAATCGCGCGCCGCGGCGGAAATCCGGAAAACGAACTTGGAGGAATTTCTTTCTTTGTTCTCCGCGAAGGGCGAATCAATCCCTGATTCCAGAGCCAAAATAGATAGAAACTGCGGCTGAGGAAGAGGAGGACTCAAGATGTGGATATTCTTTTTTAGGAATTATTCAAATCGTTAAGTCAAAACAAACAGTGGGAGTGTTATTTTTGTGAATTCTGTTTTGTTCAAAATCTGCGAAATTGAAATTCAAAATCTGAGTATCTCGTTAGGCACATTCGCAGGCACTCATCTGCGGATCCAATTTGGTCTTTTGGCGAAATCGAGTTTCGGCGCATTTTGCCATTTTCACAAAATATTCTAATCCCCGGCCAATCTCAGACACCCCTCGCGCAAGAGCCAATTCCAAACTAAAAAGGAGGCTTCTTTTATTTAAATATGCGGATATTCAACACACTGTATCGTGAAAATACACCTCTCGGGGGGCTTTTGAAGCTTTGAATGCTCGAACTCGTACTTTCTCGCGTCAACGGGTTAGCTAAAGCTGGACTCGGCGGCCTGTGTAAAAACCTGAGTCAGGGTCCTGAATGAACTTTGATGAAAATAAAATTCGCTACGCGACTTTTCACCAAAGCTCTTTCAGGAGTCCTGAATCAGGACCCTGACTCAGGTTTTTACACAGGCCGCCGAGTCCAGCTTTAGCTAACCCGTTGACGCGAGAAAGTACGAGTTCGAGCATTCAAAGCTTCAAAAGCCCCCCGAGAGGTGTATTTTCACGATTCAGTGTGTTGAAAATTTGTTGAAACATTTGTCGTCGTAAGGTTAAGTTGACCCGTTGACGCGAGAAAGTACACAGGTTCTTGAGCCAATAACTAAAGCATCAGGTTCGAATCGAACCGTTCGATCGTTATAAACTGCAATTGGGGGAAAAGTACGTCTTTTTTTCTGTCTTCCGCTATTTATTAAATCCATTTAGCTTCCTCCCTCTTTCTTGATTTGGGTTGCATGTCGCCTCGGTTTTTCAAATCCCTTCTGGCCTCGATAAGGTTCACATTTCCACAATTTTGAAAACCAGAGATGAAAATATTTAAATTTCCGCGCGCGACAAGGAAGTGATAAGAAATACACTCTTATCACTTACAGATTTTTTTTTTCATTTTCGGAAATTTCGGTTTTCAAAATAAAGAAAAAGACGAAAGTAGCTTCGAGGCGGAAATGTTTTGGGAATGATACAATCAACTGTAATCAGCGAATTTAACTCTAATGGATAGTTTTCCAGGGGATAGGCTCCTTATCGTGTGGAATATTTTCCATAGTTTTTTTTCAAAACAGGGGGCATCAAATTTAACCGCCGATTTATTCCTTAAGGGTGTCAACATCGATTGAGTAAGGGTTAGGGAGGTACCTTAACTAACGCAGAAAAAATGCGAAAATCGATGTTGACACCCTTAAGTATCTTGTATGTCCGCATCTTAACAGGTCTATTATTCGTCAACAGGGTTGCTATTTTAACGGATTTAGAAGCCTCAGGCGTGTTTCATCAAAAATCCGATAAAATGGCGGCCCTGTTGAAAAACAATAATCCCGTTTAGATGCGGACATCCTTAAGGAATTCGGCCGTTAAATTGGGGTGGCATGTGGAACCGACAAAAAAATATCGACAAATTATGCGTGGGCGGCTACTCGGCTGCTGATTGGCCGGTGAGCCGAATCCTGGCTTCTGATTGGTTGAAAATTTCAACGCAAAATTCGTCCAAATTTTTGTGTCGGTTCCAGACACCTCACCGTTAAATTTGGGGCCCCTCATCATATTTTGTAGCTTAATTTTGATTTTATCGAATAAGGGTGTCATCATCAATGAACTGATATGTAAGCTTGAAAATCGGGGTTTTTCGATGTCCACCTGCTCTTAATTTCCATTGAATAACTCTTGTACTTTTTCCTCTTTTTGGGATGTTTGTGCATTGTCAATTTAAAAAAGGTAAATCGGGCGCGATATATTATTTTTGAATTTTAATCTATTTTAATATACGGCAGGACACCACCCGAGTTCGGAAGGAATTATCAGATCTCGCATCGGAAACCTGAAAAACGGAAAAATAAGCAAAACGATAAATGTATGTTCCGGCTATATCCCGACTTGTATCCGCCTAACTGCAAAATTGGCAAAAAAGAGAAGTTTGAAAACTCAATGTCGAAAATTCAAAAATTCAATTTTTAAAACGAAGAATAATTTTGTAATTTTTCGGAAAATAGAAAGCGCAAGCAAGAGTGATCAGCTGGAAGCGCCGATTTGTTTAAAATTAGTTGCGAGTTGAGTTGTATATTTAGTCAGATTAATTCTGTTTTCATTTTTTCTTTTTGTTTTAGCGGCTAACAAACAGCTGAAAGAAGTGCTTCTGGCATTCGACAAGCCGGAATCAGAAGTGAAAACACCGCCACCCGCAAGACAACCGCTAATCGACCTAGCCCAAGAAAAATGCAACAAATTTTAAAACAACTATCCAACTTTGTATCCAGCGCCGGAAATCGACCGCGATCAGCGCATTTTTAGAGATTTATGCATTTTGCGCAAAGTAAATTTTACTTTTTTAGCTTTTAGGTCGGTTTTTATTTTTTAATCCAGCGCTAGAAATTGGCCGTTTTCTTAGCGAAGATGATTGATTATTGAAAGGCCACTTTTCTCGATAATTTATTTAAATTCTAGCGAAGCCGCTCCGCGGCTTCGTTTAAAAAAAAGCCGCTACGCGGCTTTTAATTATAGCTCTCTCAGATTGCTGAGTGAGTCAGCTAGTTTTGATTGAAACTTTTTAGTGCAAGAATATTTTTTGATAGGGGTGGTCTTAAAATGTAATCATTCTGTATAAAAAAATGATCGAAAAATTGCTAGAAAGGAGCTTTTGATGTGACTCTTTTGAGGATTTTTCATCAAAAAGAAGCTGTTTCTTTCGCTGCCAAACGATGTATTAAGGGAGTAGCGGCCTTAATCAGTATACTGGATTTTTTATCAAAGCGCTTTCCTGTGTCGGGTGGAGGTTTAAGCCGCGTAATCCACCTCGAAAAGGCGTCAAACTCGGTGTAAGTGGTACAACTTGGCGCGGCGAGTTGCAGGGAGTGGCGACAGACCACAACTATTCAAAATCACATTTTGCAAATTCAACTTTCATTTTCGCCACAATCATTGCTTTCGATTTATTCTCGTGAGAAAATGAAAACGAGAAACCGCGGCTGCCGAGCACCGCTTCTCAGACAAACGTAAAACCAAAATTGAAATTTCTCCGCGCTAATAAGCCACTTTATTTGTTTGCCGCACAGAAAGGACTCAACAGATAATACTAAAAGATCAAGAATAAATACTCAGTACAGATGGATATACAAAATTCTGAGACGGGAGCTTTTCCCGCCATTTTCTTTTCTTATAATCTTTTATTGCGAAATCATTTTATCAAAAAATGAAGATGTAAATGAAATTTTGCAGTCATAAAAATCGCCATACCGATACGATTAATGTCGAATACAGTACTTATATCCCATTTTAAGGACTCATTTTATAACAAAAAATCAACTTATCAATAATATCTTCATAGTCGTTATTAAAAATGAATAAATTTTGCGCTATCAGCAAGCGAGTCTGGCTTTTATTCAGATTTTCCAGTCAAAAAGGGGTGCAAAACAAATACAAAAATCCAGGTTATCAAACATGGAAAAGACAATAAATCGTAAATCGAACCATCAGAAGAAGGTTGAACTGGGCTCGGCAACCTGAGTAGAAAACCTGAGTCAGGTTCTGGAAGAGCTAAAATGAAAAGCCGCGTAGCGGCTTTTTTTAAAACGAAGCCGCGAAGCGGTTTCGCAATTAAACCATATAAATTTTCTGTTAACTCCTGGCGAAGCCGCTTTGCGGCTTCGTTTTTAAAAAAGCCGCCACGCGGCTTTGCATTTTAGCTCTTCCAGAGCCTGACTCAGGTTGCCGAGCCCAGGGGTTGAATCTCGACGTATTCTGGCATATATTATCTGCGGCGTAGATTGTTCTATGAAAAGTATTCTTAACAACGGGTGCTTTTGTATATGACCGGATCAGGAAAAAGGTTGTCAGCTAAGGAACTGGCAAATATGTTTTGGCGTGTGTGATGTAGCCGCGTTTTTCTTGCTTGGCGCGGGTTAGAAGTTGTCTGACGCGTAAACAGAAATCAAAGGACAATTAGATTTATTTTTTTCGAAAATTATTCGAAATATGAATAAGGCGGAAAGCGTGTTCGGAACCGTGTTTGACCAGAAAGTGACATAAGCAACCAAAGCTGAACCAGATGGTTAGAAAGTATCACACACTGAGGAAAAGCGACAATCCGACAAAAATAAATCTACTCATAGGCAAAAATACAGTTTTCTTTAAAACCGTTTTCTCCTATTTTGGTTCGATTAATCCTTTACGATGATATTATCGAGATTGAGATTATTTGGGTGACCTATTTTTTTTTATTTATTTTCGGCTTTTTCTGATTGAGGGTTTCGAATAAAGGCGGGTTTGAAAAGTGAGTTCCTCAGTTTTCTATGATGACTTGAAAGCAACCAAATGATATTTTTTAAAATGGTTCAACAAAACTAGGATTTTCGTAATTCGCTAAGTTTACTTTAAGTTTAAAATAATATTTTAATCTTCTGTGCTCTCTTACTTTTGTTATAAAATTGAATAAAATTTAAAAGCAAAATCAACAACTCAAGCAAAATATTGATATTTAATTCCGTATAAATTTATTGCAGCAACATGGTTGATGATGACTTAGACATCCAACAGACTAAGGGTAAATGTTTTCAGTATTGCTAAAAGTCTAACGTAAGGGTTGTCAAAATGATAATTCTAAATATGCGCTTTTGTTTGTAAACAGTACAAATCAATCTTGTTATATGGAGGTAATATGAATGATATTTCATTTCTTATGTTATATATATATTTAATATCATCCTAAGTGAGTCGTTTTGACTTAGAAAGAAGAGAGTTGAATTTCTGAAGAATTTGGTAGCTCAATTTCTTGGCTGGCGAATTTGGATTTCCTAAAATCGGACAATTACATCTCTCGATAAATATGCTTCAACAATTCAAAAGTGCATTTTTTATAAAATACTTATCTCAATGCGCGAAATAAATATTGGAGAGATTCCGCGATGCATCTTCATTCCTTTCGAGATTCCGCGCTCCCAACTAATCGAATTGCGCCTTCCAGTGTGTTTTAGCATAATTTCCGATCAAACGCAAACTTCAAAAGGAAGTTGCCTCAGCTGCCTCCCATTGTACTCCTGATTCGATATATCCAAAGAATAAACAAAACCTAGAATAACCTCATTAGCGCGCGTCCTAAGACACTTACGCTCAAAAAAAAACGCTCAACCCCTTTTTTTTCCTTTATCTTGTCTAAAAAGCAATATTTCAAAAGCATCTTTTCTTCTTTGATTTGATTAAATAAGAATGTCACTATAAAACCTTCGTTTTGCGACCAGAGTTGCAAATTTGCTGAGCTGAGTGAGCTGAGCTGGCTGAGTGAGCTGAGCAGTCGCTCAGCTCATCTCAGACAATTTTCACTCAGCTCAGTTCGGCTCAGCTGATTGATTTGAATACAATTTTACTACAAAAAAAAACAGTAAAAAACAGCTCAGCTCAGCTCCAATTAGGGTCCGCTCAGCTCAGCTCAACTACCTTGAACAAAAGGCCTGCTCAGCTCAGCTCCGCTCAATGACCTCTAAAAAAGGCCAGCTCAGCTCAGCTCAGTAACCTTCGAAATAGGCCATCTCTGCTCAGCTCAGCTCAGAGAAATTTTTACTCAGGTCAGGTCAGCTCAGCTCAGCAAAATAAATCAAAAATTGCAACTCTGTTTGCGATGTCTTTCCCCTATAAATCCCCACATGTTACAAGGTATGAAATTAAGGACGGGGCGAATTATTCGGTAAAAAGGATTCTAGCGTTTATAAAACTGGCGTCCGGATCTGGCATACGCAAATCCGACTGGCGGCGACAATTTCCGATTTGAGCAAATATACTAAACCGCTGTCAGATTTCATTTAGGTCTATTTTTTTCGGAAATTATTTTTGAAACTTCGGCAAATCCGACGAGGGAAGCGATAAGGATCAGAACTTATCTTTATTCTCATTGTAGTGAGTGTTGATTGAGGGGTGCACGTTTCGCGCTGATTATTTCGCGAAAAAATAATTTTGAAATTCGAACTCGCCGCATAAATTAATTAGCGAGATTACCTTGTTAATTAAAAAGCTACTTCTCGATGAAAGGCTCAAAGAGTGACCCTACTTGAGTCGCCATTCACTGAGCCGCATTTAGCAGGGTTAGCTATCGCAGACAACTACTGTGCCAAGTGGCTAAGCCGGATTAGACCACTGCTCCGCGAAGACTCCTCTACACCCTTAATTGAAGTTATCATTATTTCATCCCGCATTAGAATGATAAATTTTAACTTGCAAGGGCATTATTTTCCAACTATTTGTCAAATCTATTTGATAAGAATTTCAAAGTATTTTCTTTTGAAAAAGAAAACGGTCGTTGATATTTTGATGTTTCGATTTTGCAAGTTCAGGAGAGGGAAATTTTCAAGTTGATTTGTTTATAACGAAAAAAATTAAGCGAAATTCCTTATTTGGCGATTTTTGCATTTAGGGGTGTTTTTGGAGGGCAGCTGGCTGCATTTCGCGCAGCCCGGAAAATCGGACACGCTCTTCACTCTGTCGAAAACTCGAGTAAAGAGAGGTAGATTTTCCGGAAATAAGAGATGCTTTCTAGTGTTCTGTTTAGGTATCATGGAGAGACTTGCCGGTCTAATCCTGTGCCTTCCCCTTGTCGTCTACGCTTCCTCTGCTTTGGAAGGCGGAAGAGCCGCCTCGACTTGTGACTGCTCAGATCTCTCAAAGCCCGCTGAATTTCGAGTAAGTTTCTAGTAGAGAGACTTTTTCAGGATTTTCTTCCTTGATTTCAATAATTGTCGATCAGCGAAGGATTGTTTATTTACTTGTTTTCATATAGTTTGATGGCTCTGCCCCGCCAAACTTCGCCTCCGACATCAAATACGCCGACAGTTCTTGTAATGATGCACTCGTCTCCATCGCTGTTGATAATGGTGATCTCGTCGCGAGTGTCAACTTACAAGAGGGAATCAACTGCGGCGGTTATATTGAAGAAACGCTTGTGGCTGGCTCTGGAGGCTCGTTCGAGACCTTGTACGAATTCCCCCCGGTCGCCTTCGAGTACACAACCGATGCTCAAGCCACGGGCAAGGCTTACATAGAGCTAAGCTGCGTGTGTCCTGTTGAAGTCATTCCCGACTCTGTCAAGTACTGCAAAGGTTAGTACCGTGGTTTTCCATCTTAAGAGCGCCCAACTTAAGAGCGTTTTTGCCAATATTTTCCATATTTTGTCATCTGAAAAAATACCAACTTTAGAGCGTTTTTAGGAATTTTTGATTAATAATTAGAATATCAACAAGAAATTAGAATATCGTTTATTTCAACCTGAAAAATAATTGAAAAAAATTGTTTTCTACGCTTTTTTTCAGGTGAAATCATAGCCTCTGATTCAAAGATCGTAATTTTTAATCATAAATAGGTAAAAATGACCTCAGATGCATTTTTAGAGTTTTGGAAAAAATTCATTTTATGCATTTTCATTCATCATTTTTTTCCCACTGTCATCCTAGTTTGATCGTAAATTTTCCAACTTAAGAGCGCTTTGGTCTACCCTTGTCATCTGAAAAACGCTCTAAAGATGGAAAACGACGGTAAATTAACTGATTTCAATGAGTCTTATTCTTATTGTTTTCTTTCAGCCGGCGGAGTCTCCAACCCTGACGCTTCATCTTTCGACTTTGCTGCATATCCTGGCTGCTCTGATTCACCTTCCGAAATCTACATTCCATTCCTCAACAACGACGGCGCGGTCCATTGCCCCGCGATCGTGCTCGTCGACGACTTCAACAATCAGTACGTAGTCAGTTACACGGACAAAGATGGCAACTTGGTGGAGTTCAATTGCCCGCGCGTCGGCCAATGGTCGAACTGGTCGGAATGGAGCTCCTGCGTCGGCATCTGCGGCGATGGCGTGCGTCAACGATCACGAGCTTGCAACGGCGGCGATGTTGGAACTGGCGAGTGTACTCTCATCAACAACGAAGAGGCTGTTTCTGAAAAATCCACCACGATCAGTGAAGTCTGCGACACAACGATAGAATGTGGACAATGCCCAGGAAGCACCACTCATCAAGGCGACAGATGTGTTTGTGATGCTAACGGTTTCTTACCATCTGAAAAGAAATGGTTTCTCATCGACGCTGGTAAGAAAAGAAGCTTTATTTCCTTATCCTTATTTATTCTTTAGCCTACTCCGCAAGCTTTCCCGCATCAAACTATCATCTTTTCGGCACGAAGAGCAACAAAGTTCTAGTTTACCTCAAAAGTGAACTCGGCGCTGCTGCAAGCCCAAACAAGATCAACTTCGCGGTATTGTCGAAGGACCGTCAAACACCAAAAGATCTTTTCCCATCAAACATCGCCCCGAAAAAGTACTTTTGGACACCAGATGGAACGAAACTCGTTCTTGTCTTGGACGAAGGTCTAGTGATTCTTGATGCTCTCGCTTATCCTTTCAATCCAAAAGAAGGAGTTGCTGGGGAAATATCGTCGATGTCATTTGATGAAAACTTCATCAAAGTTACAGCAGTTTTTACAAATGGCGCAGAAGTAGAGTCAGAAGGTAACAGAACAAAAAAAAAATACAAAAATCTTAAATGTTTTTTTAGCTTTGGGCGAAGTGGATTGGTGCAGCGCGCCTGTCGTTACAGTAAGCGGCGCAGACAACTCCGTGGTTTCGCTAAGTTCCAACTGTGACGATCTTCTTGAGTTTTGCAAGCTTGATACTGTTTGCCCAGCTTCTGTCGACAACGAAATGTGCCTCTGCAATCACGATAAAAATCCTACTTGCAAGCTCAGCGACGATCTTTTCTATTTGACTAATGACTACGACTCTTGCAGCAGATGCACTGACACATCTTGCCAGCGAAAATTATACGGTTGTTTCGATGTCGAAGATCTTGACGTTCCTGCCATAGAGTTCACCTACGAGTCATGCAACAACGACAAACTCTACTGCCAAACCACCTGCACCGACGAACAAGTCTACACAGAATGGATCGAAGACGACAACGAAAAAGTCGAAAACTGCGAGCAAAAGTGTGGTGAGCAATATTACACTCGTCGACGATCATTGAGACCTAATGCCGAGAATCTTCAATGCAGCATTCCGTCAGAGATCAAACTTGAGGAGCGAATTCTTTGCAACACTCGCTGCTGTGGACACCACTCTGAAGTCACCTCGATCAGCGCACCTTTCAAAAGCGGTGATAAATGCTACAAGACAGAGTCCATTGTCGAGAGCTGCCCTGGGGAGTTGCCTGTGACTCGAACATCAGATATAGTTGTGCCATGCAGTGATCCTGGTCTTCAGCTTTGCAGCGAATCGCATGTCAAATCCTGCATCGACAGCAACACCCATGAGGTGAAGCACATTGACGGCTGCCAAGGAATTCTCTTCGAAAAACGACTCGAATGCGATAGCTCGTGCACTTATGGTCGCCAAACCTACTTCTACACCTGTGGCGGCGAAGAAATCGTCGGTGCTCGCTACACCACTGATGAGGTCGGTGTCTGCGATCCTGACAAGCACGGGTGCATCTTAATCGGAAATATCAGTGAAGACGACGATTCTTGTGTAGATAATGGTGTTAGGAGCTGTGTTCCTATTACGGACTCGCTTTGCACTAATGCTATATTCGATCCAGATGCTGGAAGTTTTTATGGAATCGCTGTTACAAAACACTGCGTCATCACGGTAAGATTTCACTCTTTTCTTTTTATAAAAGTAACAAAAAATTTTTTAGCTCGGAGATCATGGCATTCCCTGCGCAAGCTACGAAGAGACCGACACCTGTCTCCTTCCTAAATGCAGTAACGACAATTTCCCTTGCTGTGAAAACTCGGAATGCGCGACCGGCAACGGCTACGGATGCTTTACAGAAACTCAAAGGTGCTACGACTCGAACGGAGCTCTCTTTAATACCAAAGAAACCAACTGCTGCGAAGAAATGGACTTCTGTTCGACTGAACAGCTTCTTGACTGCCCTCCATGCGATCCGGAGTACCCAGCATGTGCGATGGCTCAATCAACGATGTGTATTCTGGCGAATCAAGACCCTTGCCAGATTCATCGCGAAACCTGCACTTGTGACAACTTCGACTGTACTCTGACGGGCTTCGACTTGGACACGATCAAGATGGAAAATCTCGAAAGAACTGGTCTCATCCTCCCACAAGAAACATACGGCGACAAGCTTGTTGTTTATGTTGGACATGAAGGCACAGCTCAAAAATGCACGAGGATATTCGACCGCGCCGCCAGTGAAGTTCAGGTAAATAAATGAAATCTTCAATTCATTCATATTTTCAATACAATTTTCAAGGTGCACTACAAGTACAACGATATGGTCGAGTCCTGCGGCGCTACTCTAATTGACAACACCTTCCGCGCAGAAATTTACATCGACTCTCAAAAAGTGCTTGGAAGCGAGTTTTTCTTCGCGAATTCACTTTGCTAGCGTCCAGTGTTCGCTTCCGCCTCCAAAAGATCTTGACGCTTCTCCGTTGTCGATGATTCCTCGATTGAACCCGATCAAGTTCACGGACGTGATTCCAGGAGCGACTGAAGTTTCATTCCAGTTGGCACGAGATCCCCTCTTCAAAAACATCATCACCGATGAAGACACGACTTCAAACATGCTCTACATCGAGGCCATGGTCTATGCACGGGTCAATTCTCCAACAGCCGTCACCATCGAGTCGTGCGAAGTGACAGATCTTCGGAAGCCAGAGCGCAAACGATACATCATCAAGAACAGATGCATTCTTCCTGACATGAAGGAAATTTTCGGCATGAAGTTCACCAAAGTTGCGTCCAACGGCAACACCGAGCTCGAGTGGAAAAACTTTTTCTTCCGAGACAATCTGGAAGATAGACAGCAGCTGCAGTACAAATGCTTTGTTACAGTAAGTACTTACCATTCAAGGACTACTCACTAGACATTTATTTGGATGAGATACTATCTAACTAAAACTTCAGCATTGCCGCGGAACTCCCTGCCAACCATCAGAAACAGATTGTGAAGCGATTCAGCGAGGAAACAATGACCGTCGACGAAGAGCCGCGCCGCTTGAGATTCCGGATGGAGTGGATCGAGACGCGTCGGCCATCGAGTTCTGGGTCGAGGCCTTCCGCTACATGGAGACCCTCAACCGCGCCAAGCTCACCATCGAAAAGACCTACCACACTGAAAAAGTGATTTTGGTGCTCGACTGGGTCAACAACATCCTCTTTACGCTCACTTTCGCTACTCTTATCGCTTTCGTCCTTCTCTTTTACAAAAGGTATTTCTTTCCGAAAAACTGTGTTTCAATTACGAATTTTCAATCAGAAACGTGGACGAAGAAACGAAGACGATCCGCATCTTCGAAAAACCTTTTACTACGGGGCGCGTCGGCGATCGCGGGACGAGAACTCGAACAGATCCTCGCAACTGCCAGTTCAAATCAAGAAAATCGACTCCGGTCTGCCGAATCCGGCATTCCGCGATTTCTAGCTCATATTCAATCAAACTGTTCACGATTGTTATGCTTCTTATTCAAATTTCACTATTTAATATAATTTCTATTATTTAAAAATCTTTCTTCTTACGACTCCATTTTTTGCAGGAAAAGCAAATTTACAAAGTAAAGGCAGTTCTAACTCAGAAAATTGTGTCTACGTCTATAAATTATAGACTTTAATTAGGTCAATTTTTGAAATAAGTGACATTATTGGAGAATAACGTAGTTATTTCAAGGTGAAGTCAGACATTTAAATGACTCGGAGATTTAAATCTCTCCGCTACTTGTTGCCGCGAGGAGAGGACATTCAGGCGGCAACTAGTGGCGAAACTAGTGGCTCAATATGCGAAAATTTTTCTTTATTCTAGCTTTTTATGGCATTCTGTAACGAGTGAATTTGGAACTCAGATATTTTACCAGACTGAAGAGACGTTCGAAAATGTCATTCACGGAACTGGCTATGTCACCATTGCTCTCTTCCTTGATGCCAGTCAGTGTGATGAGAGTTGTGACCAAGCGAGGAAAGCGTGGAAAGGAATGATGCTCAAATTTAGAGAAGACGAAGAAGTGAATATAATTTGGATAGGTATTTCTTACTCGATAAAGCTCGTACAGAAAATGACGTTTTCTTAGATTGTTCGAGCTCTAAGCTCTGCGACGATTTGGAAGAGATCAAAATCATTAGGGATCAAGATGATTTCCATTCTAAAATTGCTGCGATGTCGTTTTGGGACGGAGCTAAAAATCCAAAAGCATCTGAAAACCCGACGGTTTTTGAAGGTTCTTTCGAAAAAACAGTGATTCTAGCAGACGGCTGGATGGCAACTGCGACGACGAATCCGTCTGACGAGCCTGAAATCGTCGAGTACGGAGGAGTAATTTACGGAATCGCCAATGATGTGTTCATTTCTGGCTCTGCTCTGCGGAATGGCGCCAGTCAGTTCTTCGTCGATACAGCCGAGCAGTGCGCGGTGCTTTGCTCAGAAAGAGTGCCCGAGTGCGGCGCCTGGACACTAAAGAAGCAGCAACCTTTGGCCGGCTACTGCTACTTGAAGCAGACTCTTGATATTGGCCAGCGAGACTATGTTCGGCGGAGTAGTAACTTGTACGACTCGGGCTTTGCGACGATCGCCAACCTCACTCATTGTCGCGGAAATGACTTCAACAGAGATTCAATCTTTGACGTGGAAAAGGATCTTCAAGGCTGTTGGGAGTTGGCCGACGACTTCATCGACGATGAGTCAAAGCTTCATTACTGTCAGCCTGCCAGAGAATCTGGCTGCTACGCGCTCACTTGCACCGAGACCGAAATAGAAGGCGCCAGTAGGCAATTTCCATTTTGATTGCTCAGTAGTTCTTGATTCTAGTCGCCGTGAAAGCATTCAACGATCGTCAATTATTGGAGGAGTTTCGTGCGGGAAGAGGTCACAAGCAAAAGCCGTATTTCAACAGAAAAGCGGATTTTGAAGGGTACAGCGATTGCGTCAAGGGATTAAAGTGGGATGCCAAGACGGAAATGGTCAAATTCAAGTACCCGATTGGTACCTGTAACATGATTGCTGTTCAGGAATGGAATTGATCGGATTGATTTGCAGCTTTTAAGTTAAAGACTATTGATTCTCTTGAAAGAACATGGAAGAAGACGAGGATTTCATCGAGTTCAACCTTGTTTTCTCCTTCAATACAAAATTCGACGCAGCAGAAGGCGACAAATACTACATCCCAGAAGACAAAATAAACATCTACACCTCAGATGCATTTTCTGGCCAGGTCTCGATGAGATGCAACTACAAAATTGAGTCTGAAGGGATCAAAACAATAAGCACTAAGAATGGATTCAAGCTAACATCCAAGAATTTCGACTCTTTTCTCATCGATTCGTCAAACTGGGACAAAACTGCAAGACTGTCTTTTACTGACAGATACTTTGGCCAAGAAGTGGATCCTAAAGATTACTTTGTCGGTCAGCGGGTTTATTTCAAGGTTGACTGGATGGACTTTCACCAGGATTTTACGGTTTTATTTTATGTTGACAAGGAAGAAGCTCTAACTTATTGAGAGAAAAAGCAGTTCGATAGTCGACAGGGATTTTGCTTTAGAGCTTTCATAAGTGCACTATAAAAGATTCAAGGTCGGGCCACAGCTACCCGATCATCTCTGACGGCTGTGGCAGTATTCTGACTGAGACGCGTTTCCACAAACAACATCCAGGAGACAAGATCGTGACGCGAAAGATGGCTCGTTTTAGGTAAATTTCAGCCTGGAAGGGAAAGCGAATCACTCTTTTCGTAGCTATCGAAGCTTTTCATTCGACCAAAGTGTCGACATTTACGGGCAAACACTCGATTGCGAGCTCGCCTTTTGCCTCAAAGAAGCGTTCGAAGCTGAAGAGTGTGGCCCCAAAAATTGCCCCAAAGAAACGGAATCATTAGAGAGAGTTCTAGCATTGAAAACACAAGTATTTGAGTGATTCCGTTGATAGACTACGATCCGCTGGGCTGATTGATTGTTTGCGAAAAAATAAAATAAATCGTTGCATTGGTGTCTTCGTTCAGTTAGCCTCTTTTCTCAGCGCGACCACAAGAACTAGATTTCTCTGCAATTGCATCGTCTAAAACCGACTCAACGAAAGCATGCGCATAATTGATTATCATGATACATATGTTTCCAGCATGGCCGGCTTAAAATCATCGACATAGCATTATTATATAAGCTTTATAATATAACAAGGAAACAAACTTTTTCTCGTAAGTAAATAATTAATTGAACGAATAAATATGAAAAAATAATTTTAATAATTTTAATAAATAATTAAATAAAATTAATAATATTAAACAATATTGAATAATTTGAATAATTATTAATTTAATTAAATAAATATTAAATTAAATTATTAAGAAACAGACTTGATGGAAATTTGAAGGTGTTTATTTGCAAAGGATTCTGTAGCAACTGTTCTACCAGGGTCTGCAATCTATATCTGGCAAGATTGTTTCTTTTCGTATGTACAAGTTGTTTAGCGCGAAATTCAGTAGGAATTTTCTGTACAGTCTTCTTCTAGCTGGACGAGGCGCTCTCCCTCGCAGCAAGTCTAAGAACGGGTAAGTCCGGTTTTTGGATTATATCAGTGATAATTGCGACGTCAAATTAAAAATTCTGCTTTTGATACCTTTAGATTGGAATTGTAGGGACGATTGCCGCAGCACCTGTCAGGCGGCAACCACGTAGGATCGGGACGATTCCCATTCCACGGCGGCCGTTGCCGCAGACAGCTCAAGTCCAATGGGGCGGAACAGCAGAATCGAACTTCGTAATCTCCGCATCCGCCAGAGTTGGAATTTGCTGAACATTCGATTATCATACTTTTTTGTCGATATTCTTACCTTGGTCATAACAGACGAGTCCCATTTGCGGGTCGGTAGTGATCTTCTGGTTGTATTTAACTTCCCAGTCAAGTGTTTCGTTGACTTGGCGAAAATCAATCGAGTGAGGAACTTCGCAAACCCCTTCCGGATCCAGAGCACGATGTCGAGAGAGAAGCTCGAAGTCCCCACCATCATTCGGGTTTCTATCAGCATTTGCCCACTTTGTCCAGGTGCCTTTTTTTCTGTTTTTATATTTGCTTAGAATAAAAAAATAACAACTGTGAAGAAAAAACTCTCCTATATGATCTGGACATTCTGGAGTAGCATTCTTTTCTTCGCAGCAGAATCTGATCTCCATGTCTTCGCAGTCTTCTTTTTCAGAAATCTTTTCAGGTTTTCAAAAGTTTGGAATTAAAAATAATTTTTTTTTAATAATTTGCGTAAATTTATTAGTTGAAGCCTTTTCCTGATCTCGTTTTCTACAAACAACTTTGTCGTCGCCCACGAAAATGCGCCACCCATCTTGAAGAAGAGATTCTACAGATTTTTGATCTCTCACCCTTCTCGCCTCTTGAAATGAGATTCCAAGCATCCTCCTTATTTAAAAATTAAGCAAAGATGTCTCACTTTCCTATGGCATCCGGTTGTTTGCAGACAGCCGCTTCTGGGTGAAAGTTTCGAGCCTTTTGGGCACTCTCGCGTTCATTTCCATTCGTTGGAGTATTACTGTTTATCCAGCTACTCCAGCTTCTGGGACCGTAGCAATCGACGCGTTCCTGGCACTTGTAATTTGTACTTTCTATGTCTTTTTTTCGGATCATAAATATAATATTTACATTTTGATCAGTGTTGCAAATTTGTTGAGCTAAGTGAGCTGAGCTGGCTGAGTGAGCTGAGCAGTCTCTCAGCTCAGTGATTTTCGAACATGATCAGTTCTGCTCAGCTCAGCTCAGACAAGTATCAGTCAGCTCAGCTCAGCTCAATGATTTGAACACAATTTTACTACTAAAAATACAGTAAAAAACAGCTCAGTTCAGCTCACCCAGCTCAGCTCAGCTCTAATTAGGGTCTGCTTAGCTCAGCTCAGCTCAATGACCTCTGAAGAAGGGCAGCTCAGCTCAGCTCAGCAAAAATAAACCAATATTTGAAACCCTGATTTTGATAGAAATAAGCTTTGTTTTATTTATTCCGTTTCCTAAGATGCACTGCTCATTGTGACTCTTGCAATAGTGATGTTTGCATCTCCACAGGCCATCATCGGTGCAAGTGCATTCTTGTCTACAATTATCAGTTAAAATACTTACCCCTGCATAGTATTCCTTCTGCTCGAAAGTACACTTTGCTTTGAGACATTTTCCTAGTTCGGCATTCCACTGGCCGTTTTCGTCGCAAATTGTCGAGCTCTCGCCGCTGGGTTGAAATCCTGGATCGCAGTAGAGCAAACACTCGCTCGAAGACAAAGAGGAATCAGAGCAAATGATTTTCCCGTTTTCGGGCGTTTCTAGAGCAGGGCATCTCGCGGATGGAATAGGCACGCAACTTCCAAATTCCGCGCTCCAGCCATAATCAGTACATGTGAGCCGCGTCTCCCCCGATGGAAGAAAGCCCGAGTGACAAGCAATCTCACATGTACTGCCCGGAGCAGTGGATGTACAATTTACAAACGAAGAGTTCAAAGGCAAAGATGGAACTATACAATTAACAGGCTTCTCTGTACACTCTTCAACTTGGTAATCTTCCCCAGCGCAGCTTGAATACGCGCCTGAGTTACAGGAACGATGGCGAATCCGACTCCCGTAGTCTGAAGAAATCGAGCAAGGTCCCCATTCAGTCCATTCTCCCCAGGCTGAAATGCATTTAAAGTTTTTTTTAGGTCATTTCAGGAAAATTGATCTTTGATTACGGTCGATTATAAAATTCGCTTATAATATGAATATGAAAGTTCGTTGAGAGTGCTGGTAAGTATGACAGTCCGGAGAAATGGCGACGTTGGAAAATGGGTAAATTTGCATATTGGACTATTGAGGAGTAAGTTTGGACTGTCGGCTTGTCGTCCGTTTTGCGACAACTTCTGCCCACCAGATTTCGAGCGCTTCATTATTCAAGTGAACGTGTTATCCTCCCAATCATCATAATATTAATCACCCAGAATAATCAGCATAGAATTTCTTATTACAAAATACAAAAAAAAAACATTCGCTGAAGATATATTTGCCCAATTATTACAGGATAACCTAACACCACCTACTATTTAATTCACTATTATAATTATCTTTGTTTATTCGCAAAAATAGAAAAGTGGGATTCAAATCCCCGATTTCATACAAGCACAGATAGAATAAAAAAATCAAAAATCGAAGGCACTACGGAAGTACTACTACTCCTTTCCTGTTCCCAAAGAAAATACTACAATTGAGGTTCTTCTCTTGCATTCAATTTTGTTTATAATCAGACAGAAGTATGCAACTAGAATTAGAATTGGTACAGGACCAACTCTTATATAATTTGGCTAGAATTGGTATGATACCTCTAACCCTAAAGCCCTACCCAGGGGCTTCGCTCCCCGGGACACCACCCCCCAGTAGGTACTCCCAGCCCCCTAACCCTAATCCCTAACCGAGAAAAGGTTTGGTATCATATCAATTCTAGCTATATTATAGATGAATTGGTACTGTACCAATTCTAATTGCAACCTTTCTATCTTACTTATCTTCTAATAAAAACAATCAACATGAGTTGTCAATTCAAAAATATTGAAATTATATTATTTATATTAGAGCACTGCATTATTTCCATTTAAAAAGCGAAAGTTTGACTATACTGGTGATATAACGTAGATTATCTGGCGGGAAAAAGTGAAGATGATGACGTTTTTGTCTAACTTTGGAAGAGCTAAGTATTTTTCGCACTTGTGCTTACGTTATACTATCTGAACTAGGATGAAAGAAGCGTTGGTGCACGATTTTAAACTTTATAACTGGAAACGAGCTTAATTTTGCAGAACGCAGAGAGCATATATATCATTACTGTTCTGTTACCTGAATACTGCAATTGAGCGGTTGAAATCCCAAGTAACCCAAAAATAATCTTTTTCATTCTTTCACTTCCTCTTCTCTATTATAACTGCATTTTTCTTCTTTCTTTCTCTTCACAAAAAATGAGACTCGATTAACTTTTTGCTGTTTTCAAAATGTTAGCTCAAGTACAACTAGGTTTAAAATCAAAGAAGAATTTGACCCGATTCTGGAATATTCAACTCAAGAGCGACATCATAAAATCGCGACAACTCAGGGGCGAGCAAAATTAACTTATGTCACTTGAGGTTGACCGCATCGCCAGAAGAAATCGACATTACGCCCCTAATCGCCATCCAGTTTAGTTTGATGAGCCGTGGAGTGGAGTACACTATTTATTTCTTATAAAATTGGGTACATTGACTCGACGCCGGGGATACTAAATTTTGAATTGAAAAGGGATAGAGCGGAAAAATCCATCAAAAATGTAGGTTAGAGCGAACTCCGCCGCGCGGCTGAATTATTGATGTTAGAAAGCATCCGTCGTAATTGCCAAATTACGAAAATTCTCCTTGTGAAATATTCAAGAATTTCGCGAATAATTAGCGCCAACGTTGAATACGATATTATTTGATACTGTAAGCTACACATGGAGCATCGGTTGATAACAAGGAAGAGATTTTTTTTTTGAGAGTTTTATTTTCATAATAGAGAAGATATAAGAACATAAATTACAGTAAATTCAGTAGTCACGTGGTTAAGGATGAATACTGTGGGTTGTCTGTACAAAGTCATACCAGTTATTTATGACTCGATAAAATCGATCACGTGATAGGAAGTCCGTTCGGCTACTGTACATGTGCAAAAGGCTGAAACTCTCCCCTTGCTTATATGATTTACATGGTGACATCAGGATAAATTATTAAAACTAGGGGAGAAGAAAGAATGTGAACTAAAGTTCTGATTATTTTGATAGAAGGTTCTTTTTATAACGCGTTGCAAAAGATTGAGTATTTACAGTCGATAAAATAATAAGGGTCGAGTCTCGAGCGTGTACTTAGAGAGAGTTGATGAGATCTGACTGTATTACTTAGATGTTCTGGACGCACTCGGAAGTAGCGGAGGCGTATTCCGAGGAGCTGGACTGGTTGTGGAAGCCGGCGTCGGGACTGCCACTGGCAGCAGCGGGGTCTTCGGGGTTCATGCTGTAGGGGATGCTAGTGACCACTTTCGGGCTCGCCTGGTTGACCTGGTGACCGCTGACGTGTTCGGGACTGACGGAGCCGACGGAAGAGCCGTGTGGGACTTGTTCAGCGTACTGGTCGACGTTCTGTGGAGTTGTCTGGTGAGCGAGGTTGAGAGAGATCTCGCCCTCGGCTGAGGAAGAAACTGGCAGCGTGTCGTAGTAGAGCGGAGCGGTCTGGACCATGTAGCCTTGGTGGACGGCTTCTGGATGAGTCTGAACGTAGTGAGCCTGCACGTCGCCGTTTTCTTCCAATTCGGATTTGACAAGCGAGTGTCCGTCGTGACTTTGTACGACTGTTGGGTAGCCGTAGATGTGGTACGCGCCTTGGATCTGGTGCGCAGCGCTTTGGGACTGTCCACTAGGGGAGACGTTCTGCGGCGGGTACGCCAGCGGCGAGCCTGACGGGTCCTTCGGGAATTGAACTGGCGCGTCTTGAGGGTTGGCGCCGGGCGATCCGGGCTGTCCCCAGGATGTGTTTCCGTAAACTGGGTACGAGCCTTCAGTGTACATTGGGTATGAGCCGGGAACTTGGACGGGATATCTGAAGCAGCAAGTTAAGGCCGAAAGAAAATTAGCAAATAATAAAAATATGAAAAGAATATTTAGCCTGCGCAAAGAAAGTCACGAGCTTTACGAGCGACTTTAAATATGTTTTGAAGCGTAAGCTTCCTCCAGGACAGATCTCGATTTTAGCTAACATATGAATGTGACTTATTCACTTACCCAGGGTAGTAAGAAGAGCCCATCGAATCGGTGACTTGGTAGTTGGACATAATTCCTTGCTGATTGCGACCGGGAAGCTGACCGGGAAGATGTTGACCAGGTCGGAAATGTTCGGGCTTGCCCTGACCAGGTTTTTGGGGCTAAAAAAGAATATGAATTCTTTTGAATAATTATGCATAAGATCTCGTTTATGTTATCAAATTTAGAAATTTGTTCGAAATTGTCAAAGTTGAAACTTGTTAATTATCCTATGAAAAAACTTTCGATACTTACAGTCTTTCGTCGTGGTCGGTACTTGTAGTCAGGATGATCTTTCATGTGCTGGGCTCGGAGACGTTTGGCCTAAGTAACGATTTAGTCTTTGACAACAACAAGGACTAGTTTACCTCGTCAATGTATGGCTTCTTCTCCTGATCAGTCAAAAGCTTCCATTCGGCGCCAAGACGCTTGGAGATTTCGGAGTTGTGCATTTTTGGATTTTCTTGGGCCATTTTTCGTCGTTGACCTCTTGACCAGACCTTTAAAATTATTTTAAAATTTGAAATTTTTAAAAGTTATATTTTTGAATTTTCAAGATAAAGAAAGCTGGACTCACCATAAATGCGTTCATTGGTCGTTTGATTCGATCGGCTTTGCCGCCACCTTGTTGTCGGTTGTCTTGTCTCGGCAGGGCCTGAAAGTACGCGTTTAGTATGTATTCCCGCTGCGGTGCGAATATACTGATCCCCATGGTTACCCCGACTTATCCATCAAGATTGCGTTTATTTTCGAACTGGTAGATTCTTACCTGATTACAAGATGGGCTCATCACGTGGGCGACTGCGAGGCCGGGCTGCGAAGAGGGGATCGGGCTCGACTGGCTCATCGCCACCATCGGATTAGCCATTTGATTGATTGCGTGCGATTCCATGTGCTCGAACTGCATCGCTGATGATTCTATAGTTCTGATTGTCTTCGAAGGTCAATGGCTTCTCTGCCAGTCAAAAGTCAGCTCAAAAAGCGGATTCTATTCTTTATTGGTTTCCTTTCTTCTCTGCTCTATTAGAGCTCTTCTCGTAGGGGTGCTCTATTCAAAAGGCTGAGACTATGAATGCCCAGTAGTTTGGAGACGATGGCCCTCAATGCGCTACGACGCGGGCAATGCACCAGCGCCCCGCAGCGCCTCGCAGCGCAGCGCCATCTTCTGGTTTCTTCTCGACTCTCGCCACCCAAACCACCCCGCCACGCACCAGGCCAACTCGAACAGCCAATATCTCTCCATCCAGCAAACTTTATAGCTCCAATCTAAAATCATTACTTAGTCATTAAAACACAAGTCTCTATTTATCATTTCCTTTCAAAGAAATAAGTTTTTCTCAATGAAGAATCTTATACATTGAAAATAGCAGCGTTATAATAGTAATAATCTTACATTCTATAAATATCCTTAAGGAGGACCTCCCCCTTAAATTGACGTATAGAGTCCAAAATATTTTGTTATCGTACTTTCAAAGCTCATTTTAATCCGTCTTCTGATCTACAAATTATATTTCTTAGAATCATTAGGACTTGTGAGAGTCTTCTCATTCTTTTACTGGGAAATATTTTTCTTGATAAACTTTTTTTCTTTCTTTTTGTTTGGTTAGCTTTGAAATTACTTTATGTTCAATTACATTCTTCAATATTTATAGAAGTTTATATTTATGGAAAGTTGAATAGAGAAGTTTCTACAGGATGAAAACAGATAAAAAATGGACAAACAGCAAAAGACAAGGAAAGGTGCTGTCTAGACAGAGTTTAATTCTCGGCAAGTGAACTCTAATAATGCCCAATTTAGTGCTTTGTTGTTGGAGTTGGATTGTTAGAGATGGCAGTGGTCGGATGGCGGGTGTATCGGAGAGCACTTATAGATCTATGATGAAAAAAGCGGCATTGACAGAGAGGGGGACAATACCTTTTCATGAAAGATCTTATTGTGAACGGGCTCTGCTCTAAAAGAAGCAGAATTCATTTCGATCAGATCCAAGAAAGCCATCGCCGGAGCCAGATCATCCCGAATAGCGCGTGTTTTTTTTTCAGAGCGGGCTCAGAAGGGGGTCCACCCTTATCTTCTCTCGCGCCGCTTCCAAAATACACAGAACAGAGAAAGTCCTGCAGAAGAGCTTTGCGCACGTGCCTGAGGGCAGACTAGCTCACTTTCGGTATTAATTTATTTATGGCTTAATGTCCCAGCCGCTAAATACAAATTTCATACAGATAGAAATAATTAGAAATCACCCGGTTTAGCAGGAGAAGAGCTTATAGTAGCTTAGTCGGTGGGAGCACGCGCCGCAGGGTGAGCCTGCCCCCTGCTTAGACGATTATGTTTAATTTATATCTCCCAGCCCTAAGCTGCCCAATTTTCATGAACCCTTGGACCCTCTCCCACAGAGCCCGTAGCCCAATCTCACAGTAAGCACGAACAGTAATTACCCAGTGTGCGAATTTTTAAATAGAAAGATAGAATCATTCTGAAGTGAAATTAATTTTCGCCAGGCTCGAGAGGGTACTTTGGCGAATCGATTAAATTGGCGTTTTGGCGTTAATCTATTTAGCTAGAATTAATAATTCGCACTTGAGCTGCGGCTGCTAATTTGATATTTCTTGGAGGCTCCTTAATTCCCGAAAATGAAAAATTCATCCACTAACCAGCTCACTTTTTCTATCAATGCGGCTCTCCTTACGGCTCGAATTCGCTATCTACAGACATGGTTTATCATCAGAAACCGAGGATTAGTCGGGTGAATCTGAAAACCGATTTTTGCTCGATCATTTTTTGAAAAATTTCTTTCCGAGGTGATCTTATAATCGACCCAGTCTGTAAAGCTGGTAAATATTTTAGCTGTTTGGTAGTGCGTTATTACGCTCTAGCGAAAATCCGCGAAAATCGCCGGGCTGATGTGGCTGAGCGACTTTGAATCTGCTGTCGGCTTGCTAGAGCTGTAAAAGCGAGCTTGAGAAAAGCGCTGTTTGAGTTAATAGTTTTATATAAAAACCATTTTCGACGGATGAATCGTCTCTAACCACACACCTGACAGCCATCTACCGATCAGCCAGAACCGATTTATAACTTTTTAAGACTGGAAATATTTTTAGCCGAAGAATTAGAATAATATTTTTCAGCCTAACTTGTATCGCCTTATTCTTAAAATAGAGGCGTTTGGCAGTACTGAATCATGAGTGTAGAAAAGCTCTGAGGCTTGAAATTGTGCGTTTAGCTAATCGTTGATTTTGTGGATTGTTTGGAAAGTGTGCCAAGTGGGTAGTTGTTCGTAAAAACTTTCGATTTTGCAATTATCAGGTGCCACGTAGAAATTGGGGCGGCATTAGCCGCCGAGCTCAATTATCGCGCACAATGGGGCTCTCGCCTCAGGATAACAATGGAAGGGGCACCCCTCCGAACGTACAATGCTCCAATGTTTTACTGAGCAATTATATTCAATTGTGTGCCTGAATTTTCCGATCGCGGGACAACATTTCTTGGCACGTGGCTCAGCACCTATGAAAGCCCATTTTACGCACAATTGATGCTTGTGTATTTAGGAACCTACCCGTGAATCCACAGCTACTTTATTGTGCCAGACACGAGTTTTTTTAGGGACTAAATCAGAGGCTTCAAAAATCACTTTCGAATTTCCGTCGATTTTTTGCAGTTTTACTAACTTATTTTTTAATTTATGGAGCGATTTAAATTTTGTAAAATTTTGGGAAGTTCCTGTCTTGGATTTTTCCCTTTATGAGTGATTTTATGGCGATTGAAAGGTTCAGATTTTGGATTGTCTGTTGGTTTATTTACAGTGCACTTTCGCCGGCAGTTGATCCTCCTTGAAAGCAGCTCTGGACTAGGAGGTACCATTGTGCCCAAATCGGGTAATTCCCTCTTCCAGCGGGACTTTTGTCGCCCAAAATCCGCGCCTAGAGCTGTCTTCAATCGACGCACCCGCCTGGAGCGCATTTAGAAGTCATTGTGTCTTCCCGAGCCGAAAACAAAGGAGCTCAAGAAGCGCTGAGAATGACTTGACCTTTGAGGGAAAGTTGGAGACTGTGATCATCCCACGATTCCGCGCTCATTTGAGAAAGAGAGAGGTCAGAGACGAGCAGGATGATTTAGCGATAGGATTGTCTGGTCGACTGTCTATCAGACTGTGCCTGGTGATTCTCGTAACTTACAGATAAGGTGCCTTTCCGGTTAATTTCCGAAATCGGATGATCGGAAGTCCCCTTTTGCTCTCCGCACAATGCGCAGATTAGTATTTCCTATTCATTACGCGTACTGCCCGGGTGATAGCATCTTTCATCACGTGTAAGCCAGGAGCAGCCATGCCCAGGCCGGCTTCCCGGCACCCTCGCGATATAAGATCGCTATCGTAGCCAGTGATATTCTGAATAGCTCGGTGGGACATCGAGGCGTCACGCTGAGCAAGTGCACTTTTTTCATCACCTGCTATATAGAATCAACATTTCCAAAAACGATCGATATCATAATAATCTGATTGCCATGTTTGCTTATCATCACTTTGCTCCAGCAAGGCTATATTTTAGGACTTCGCTCCTGCTGAAAATATGATTTTGGGATATTTTAAGATCGAGTCTTTTGAAGAATAAGAATGATAATGTAAAAGAAAGTCATGTGATCCACTTTTATTTGAGTTTTTGTTTAGCTGAGCTTCTTTTGATTTCGTCCGTCTGACAAACGAGCAGGGTTGTAATCGACTACTGTAATTTGGCTGAGCAGAGGCAGGTGCTGGACTTCCTGCATTACAAGGTTGACTTTGAGCCGCCCGCACCGATCAAAGTCACTTGTCACGGTTGCACGAAAACGAGCGCTGCCAGATGCTCCTTTATGATAATCCCAATTTCCGACCAGACTCCTCTGATATCATGACATTTCTACTATCCAGCAGAAAGCGCAAAATCTGACCAATAATTCGGAGAATTGATCTTCACTAATCAACCGTCGTTCTTCTTTTTCTATTTCAGGATGTCAATCCGAACATAACGTAGATTTGGTATGCAACTGTACAGATCGTTAGAGTATCTTCTCGGGAATATTTATAGTCGGTAATTGGGCTGGTGACAAGGCAGACAAGAAGGCCCGAAACGATGCGTAATGAGCTTATGCAGACGCATTTCAGTAGTAAGGGTGTAAAGAGCTTTTGATCTCAATCGACTATCGACACTTCTGCCAATCCGCAATTTTATCGCGTAAGAGCCTTTTGCTAGAGTTCAGTGCCATTAGCACTAACAACTTTTATCGAAACTTCCGATGTCTCAGGCACAAGAGACAAAAAGGAAGAAGATTATGATTCCGTCGTTATTGATTTTTGCGATTTAATCACTTCCAAATTTTGGAATGTTTCTTCGTTGGATCTTTTTTTTACGTTTCGCTCATGTTTGCGCGGGAAGCTTGTAAAGACTCAATGCAACTCGTATAAGAGCGTGAATTTACTTAACTTGGCCGCGCAAATGGATTAAATATGGATATTGAATCAAAAACACTCGCCGCCGGCAAATGCCCTCGTCACACCCTTAAATTCACTCTGAGTATTTTTTCGTTTTCTGAATCAGGAAGATCAAAGACAGCTTTTTTCACGAGCAAATACACGCATTGCTTCGTAAACTCATTCTTAGCTAATGACGGATAACTATCCATCTTCACAGATGAGGGTAAAAAACTAAGTTCATGAAGTAATCCTTAATTTTTGTCAAATAAAAGTGTCTTCCGATTTCATCTCCTCGAGAAACAAACTAGCAAAGTGATTAACCCCCTGACGCGTTACAAGCAAAATCGAGCAGTCGAGTCAACCACTGGCTGGGCTAATATGAAGCCAGTCCACTTTATAGCCGCGTGGGAAGCTAAACTTGCTCAGCGGGGATGGCCTCGACCAGGCTAACTCATGATCTCGCGCGCGTAGAATCTCCTTGCCTTCTTAGTGAAGGATTTATTGAAGACTCGTCGTCAATTTTTACTTATACTTGCCTAGTTCAATTTAAACCAGAAGGTTTGTTTTTTCATAGAAAAATTTTTATTGAAAACTCAAAATTCAAAATCATTTGCAATTTATTCAAGGAGATCGAAAAACAAATTTTGGTTAAACTTGATTTTGTAGAGACAAACAGCTAATTGTTTATATTTTAGGTATGAAGATTAGCTCTTGAATTAAGAACGTAAAATGTTGAGTATTTACTGAATCCACAGCGCGCTCCCTAATGAGGTCACAATGCGCGACGCTGTCAAGTCAAATAGGATTAAAAATTTCCAAACCCAAAATGAAAATGAAAAAGTAATCAGCCCACGTGGCTGGAGTGTTTGCGCTTCGGCTCACGAACGGGTTAAATAATAACGATAAGGGTCTGAGAATTACACAAAAACCAATCATTTGCTGGCGGATATTTTTGACCCAGTTGAAGCAGGTTGAAATACCAATTTTATAGGCTAGCCTTATCAAACTGTAATTCTATACAATGGGTGGTTATTTTAAGACTGCCCCGAAAACAAAGATGATCGAAGGGTCTTCTTTGTTTCGGTCATCTTCAGAGTTGCAAATTTTGATTAATTTTTCTGAGCTGAGCTGAGCTGACCTGAGTAAAAATTTCTCTGAGCTGAGCTGGCCTATTTCGGAGGTGACTGAGCTGAGCTGAGCTGGCCTTTTTCAGAGGTCATTGAGCGGAGCTGAGCTGAGCAGACCTTTTGTTTAAGAGAGTTGAGCTGAGCTGAGCGGACCCTAATTAGAGCTGAGCTGAGCTGATTGAGCTGAGCTGTTTTTTTACTGTCTTTTGGTAGTAAAATTGTATTCAAGCTCTAGCAGTCGCTCAGCTCACTCAGCTCAGCAAATTTGCAACTCTGGTCATCTATGTCTCCAGGATCCTTTTTAGTACAGCCTCTGTAGAATTGTAAATGTGATTCCAATTTTGTAGGAGAGCAAAAAAAAGAAAGCGTTAATTATTTCTAATAATGCATCAAACAGCAGTTACGGCTTCAAAGAAATCATTCGAATTCAGGGAAATTGGGAATTTCGGAGTTCGTGACGGGGCGGCGCCGTTTGATGCAAAATCAGTTGGAACAGGGGTGAGACAATGCGATTAAGATGGCGTCGGTGTGATTGATTTGGACGTTGCAGCGCGTGCCCAACTTCCGCCGCATCGATTGGCAATCAGAAGTTCATTTATGGAGGCCGGTGCAAATACTATCAGAATTATCGGAAGTCGGACTGGGCCATAAGCGGCGCCGCGCTCAGCCCTTATGATCACAGATAAGCTTCATAAAAAGTCACTTTATGGGTCTGAGAAGGGGATCAGGCCCTGCAACTCGACAAATAGACAACTCGCTCCGGGGGAAGTCGAACCGGGCCCGCGGGTATCAAGCGCGCAATAGCGACCGAATTAGTGGCTCTTCCTCCTTTATGACCGGCCGCGATTGCGTTTTTTCTGTAGCAGGAGACATTTCGTGAAGAGCAGAGCATTCCAGGGAACTAGCCACCGGGCATGTCCTCGGTGCTGGGTCCACTGCCTGCCGCGCATCACACCAGGGAGTCTCAAACTCACCCCGCCAGGCAATCACTGAGAGAGTGATTGAGCTGTCTGCTCACATGCCAAATCAGTTGCCATGGCTTCCGTTAATGGCCGAGTATACGGTCACTCAGCTACGAACAACTTCATTAAGTTTTATTAAATATCTATTATTCAAACTTTATTTTTATTATTAAATTTACTAAAAAAAAGCATCAATAATCTTGCCGACTTATATTACAGTAAATTGAGTTGAATAAACTATCACTTCAGAAGGAATCATAGTTTTAGAATTGTCGTATCAGATTCCATAAAGCATAACTTAAATTTGTATAATCGCAAGGGGCATTTTTCAGATTTTCGTAATGTTTGTTACTTGAACAAAGTGGCCGCTCAAGCTTTTGTTTTGAAAACATATGTAAGCTCTCGTCCAGCAAAGTAGCGTGGCACTCGTATCTCCCCTAAAGAGCCCTTCAACGCAACGCTCCAGGCAAGTCTCACCGTGCCCTAAGGGGTGTTCGACAGAACTCAGGATGCTACAATGTAAATAATGGATTATTGATTGCTACTGTCCGCGCAACATCCTGCTAGAAGTTGAATTTTAAGGTCGAACAAAGATTTAGAAACACCTAAAATGGAAAAGGGGGTTCAAACTTTCAATTTTTCCAGAGACTAAAAAAGGCTCTCATCAGCTAGTTTTCCGAAAGTCAAAGTTTGGAAAGTGAAAGAATGCTGTAAAATTTGAGCCTCTCACGTGATGTATGCACCTGTGGTGAGTGCTGGGGGTGTTGGTGATTCAGTGTCCCTGGAGCGTGCAGTGGGCCACCATGACAACTTTTGTTCTCCGAAATGTGCTTTATTTGGCGATTTTTCTAATCCCACATCTCGAAATCTCCTTAGCTACACATGAAACGGACACTTAATCTGAGAGGGGATCAGGTGCCCCCTTTGCGCGTATTTTGGCCTTCTCGATTTTCGGGCACGCATCCTGCGGTCGGAAAAAAAAGGATCGACCCTGCTCAATCATCGGATACTGAGAGCGCCTTTGATCGAAAACCATCGAGTGCGGTGTTGCCGCCCGCAAAACGCAAAATTACCCAATTTGTAAATTGCAATTTGCGAAAATACAATTTTTCGATAAGTGCACTCCAATAATTTCCATCCCAAAACTACTCAAGAAGAGGCAGTACAGAATAAATTAACTATAAGACTATACGAAGCATATTTCCTCCGTTCATTTTTCATATTTTCAAGCGTCTTCAGCAGATGATTTCGAGGAGGCCTACCTTTGGAAGTCGATTTTCTCGAGATTTCTTTCATTTCTGGCGTCTCTCTCTTTGCGTCCAGGAAAAGAATGAAAGCTCCTTTTGAGAAAATGTGTGAATATACTTATGATTTTACCCTCATTCGTCTATTATTTTCAGATAATAAACGTCAATGGCTGAATGAGCTGCACAAAAAGGAGGATACTATAAAAAGAACCGAACAAAACCGAACGCCACGGACACGCTAAACTATTTTCTTCGCGAGTTCACATTTTCATTTTTACGTTTTCACAATACAGAGATCAATTTTCAGCATTTTTTCTTGGCTTTTTTATTTTAAAACCTTTTTCTTCATTCATTTTCTAATCAAGACTTTCACTCTAATTGAAACATAAACGCGCTTATCCGGCGTTGAATACGGTATGTACAGGAATATATCGAGAAATTAAGCCCTCATTAACATACTAAGAAATTCTGGTGTAATGAAAGTGGAGGGAAGGGAGCCAGGTGAGCTGTGGATTAATGTCCTATTGTTGTTCGCCAGGCATTTCGGTCGATCATGGGCAGTGCACGGCGGCGGTTGCTGGCATGGGAACTGATTTTCTAAAAACACCAGCGCGGCGGTTCAAACTTCAACTTCAAAACTTGACTCAGGCAAAACTCGAGTTTGTGTTTCTTCTCCTGATCCCTGGCCTTGGCTAAACTAACCTCTCGATCCCGCTCCGCGTGCCATTTAAATTTAGCCAAATTAAAATATGATATAGCGAGTCTTTTTTCTAAAAATAAAGCTCATTGGAATCATGGAGGAGGCAATTTTTCTTTTTGGTAGAACAAAAATGGCTGGTAAGTGATAGCATGTACCGCTGAACGAATGTTGACTGTAATAGGATTTGCGCAATCGGGGAAGAGCGAGTTTGCCCAGAGAGGGGCGAACAATTAATGCGGAAGCGATGGACAAGGTGACGTGATTGTTGAAGTACTCGCAGCGTGAGGCAGTGCCCCCGGGCCGGAGCGCACTTTCCGTGAAGTTCTCGCTGCTTTTGGCGTGTTTGTCGCTCTCGTGGAGACAAAGCGAGCTCGACCGGAGGCATTGAAGGGGCTCCAGGAAGCGCACAGCTTTGTCCTCCAGCCGCCCATGGAGACTTCCCCTGCTCGACTGTCTTCATACTGTCATTGCGAGCCTGTTTCACATTTCCGCAAATCGGTTTGACATTCGCCGCTGTTATGAGCTGTTTAATAAGTTTGCTTTGGGGAGAAATCTCTCTAGTAAAGCGGAAACTAAAACAACTCAACTGGAAACGTATTTATTCAATTTTTGCCTCAGCAGCTGTCTTTTGCGGTTCTTACCTGATCTTTTTTAAAATCGAAGCCCAATATCAATTAACTGTTTCTGATTAAAATTGGCATTCGACCATCGAGGATGCATGGAAATCAACAAGGAATACGAACGGAAATAAACGAAATCCCTGTCTGGTATAAAATGTATTGAGTTTTCTTTTTTGAGAAGATAAGCGGAAAAAAGACGGATGAAAATCAGACTCGTTCTTCGTCTGAGGCCACGGAAAATATAGAATACTTTCGAGGGTCAACTTTTTCCCGGAGGTTACGAGGGATGAGCTTAGTCAGAACATTCGGCAGATTAGAAGTGATTTCGCCGCCGTTGAGAAGTTCCTACGGAAACGCTTGTTTTTAAAATAGAGAGCGGATTAAGATTACCTTGGGATGAGTCGCCTCAGGAAGAACAGGATGAGTGGCATTCCAGTAAGCCTCGAGATACTCGGTCAGATGCTCGCACGCTTCTTCGAACACATTCTCGTCGAGAATTACATCGAAGACATTCTGAGTTAGATTTAGTTCTGAGTTGACTAGTAGTCAATGACTTGACTCTAGTTACTTGAATCATGGCCTTTGAATTGACTTACCGGATCGCACTGGCACAGTTTTTCCGCTGCCATCCATTGTACGCTCATATGCCGCATCTGTTGTCGCCCTCGCCATCTGATCAGCCTTTTTAGAACTTCAGGGTCGTTGATCTAAGATGAAATCACTACAAAATCCAAATAAGTGAATGTACCTTTATAAAGACATTTATAGGCATCAAGCCGGTTTTCTCCAACTGGCTCGGATTGTTTATCATGTCGCAGTCCAAAATCACCAGCTGTAGATTCTTGCCCAATTCATAAATTCGATCGTAATCCTCGCAGATCGGCCCTATTCATGAACGAGAGTCAGGGAGCTGTGTATTTTAGCGAAAATGATGGAACAATAGAACGAACTTACGGTTTTCTTCCGTGCGTGGCATGTTACGCCGGGCCTGGGAAAGATCCGACGAAATTCGAACTGCGCCGCTTTGAAAACTTATTGCGTTAAATTTTGTATTCAAATTTTTATTATGATAAAAGCGGTTCCTATGTTGCATCTTCCCTCAAATTTCTTCTTCAAATAGTCGAACAGCGCCTTCTGCATCATATCAGTAACTTCATATCCCTTCAAACTAGGGCCGACAAACACCACAGGTCGCATATTTGGCACGACAACATACGGCTGTTCTTTCTTTCCTACAAAATATTCTCGTTACGAAACTCTTCCTTCCAAACTTACCCAGTCTTTGAGACTTTTTGCCGAGATTGAGTGGACCAGTGTCTTTCGGATCCATGTCGTAATCGTAGGATTCCATTTGGGCGGGTCTAGGGAGGATTGTTACTAGGAAGATATCTACTACTTTCTTCATCCCACCTTGAATATTCTTCTTGGGCAGCGTGAGAGTTGAGATCAATATCAGAGCCGTGGTGGGAGGAGATTCCGCCACCCGAGTTCCGATGGCCTAGACGGGTTCAAAAACCATTTTCCACTTTTGAATTGAAAGTTTCAGTATCTGACTCGATATTGAACCCCGCCCCTTTTTTCCTATTTTTGAGGGTTTCTCGAAGATGGGCGATTTTGAGCGGCGATGGGATGAAGCAAAAGTCGCAGCCCTCGCGAACCACACGGCCGATCCACCAGTCGTTGTTGAACTTTTCGATGATGTGCAGGTAGTCCTTGTTCTCGAAGGTCACCAAATAGTCGCGTAAATTTCCGCAGAGGTCTTTTGTCCCAGCTGGCAAGGGAGCGTCGTTGTCTGTGTATCTTTCGCCGATAAAGCCAAGTTTTGCGCGGACAGAGAACGCGACGGGCTTCTGTTTGGCTTTCTCCAGCTGGAGAAGGGTAGTTCGTATTCTGTGTTTCTTCGTTTCTGCAGAGTCTTCTTCGAGATCGTGATCGTGGCCTTCGATACCCAGACCCATGAGGTTTCCTTCTCCAAACGAAACACGACGAGCCATGTTTGGTGGACCTCCTTCTTCCGCAAAAAAGTCCTCATCTTCAGAATACTCGTCTTCATAATCATCTAAAAATAATAAGATTTTCTTAAAGCCTAATAGAAAAAAATGAAAATTATCCTTATTGTCTAAAACTAATTTAGCTTCTTTTTATTAGAAAAACTTTATAGAAATTCAATATTCACTGTCTAAAGTTCTTCCTCCACCACCAAGATTCGACAAGTCACTGACTCCAACATCTCTACCGCCTGCTTTCATCTCTCTCTGTCAAAGTTAATAAATAAATCCCTGCGTGTTCAAAAAATCAGTATTTTCGTAGTATTTCAGGGTGAAGACAGAGTTTCCTTATCAGGGACCAACCCCAGCTGATTTACAACATGTGACTCATTTATCCCTCCCTGCGCCTTTCATTGACTTTTTTCCATGCATGAGAAAAAAAGGTTCAAACCACCAAGAAAAACCACTGCTTTGATGAATTTTTTTTCTAATAAATAAATTAAGATAAGAAAATTGTTATTCTAATGAATAAATCTAAGTTTTACGAATAAGAAAATGAGAACTTTTTAAGCGGATTTGGTGAGGATATAGCTTTGAAATTTGACGTTTACGGGGATCAGGTGAACTGTCGAAGGGTAATTGTTATTCAGTGAGGCGTTGCTTCACGAGTGCGATCGTATTTACTCGCACGCGGCATGGTCACACACTCTTTTTGACTTTCGCGCAAAACTCACTTTCCGGCTGGTCGACGAATTTCAAGCAGCACCGACAATACCGAGCCGGTGATAACTATCGAAATCCGCATATTATTGGTTTATCCAAACTCAATTACCAAACCGCGCTTTCATCTATCGGACATGGAAATTGAAATCCAGTGTAAAATGTTAAGGACCAGTGTAATATTTCCTTTTATATTTATATATTAGTCTTATAATATGATAATACTTCAAAGCGTTCTTCTTGAAATTTATATCTGTTTCTAAAATTCCAAATTTTAGCTTGAAAAATATTTAACTAAAGCATAAAAATCAAGGAAGAGAGTTCTGGAAATATTGTGAATGAATGCTCACTAAGTTTTTTTTAATCAAGACCTTCGAAATGTTATGTTTTTGATGGTTGATTATGCATAGGAAAATCCGAACTGCTGAGTAGCCTTTCAATCGCGCCTTCAGGCCGGCATAGTATGGGATGAGAACATCTGCAACTCTTGCAGAATCTAAATCTCGTAATTTTACAGAGCAAAGTCTTTCGGAGACGCCATCTTTGCCGACTCATTCTGAGAAAAGAACACATGCAGAAGTCAATAAAAGCGAGGATAAAATATATTCCTCACTCGAAAAAATGAAATTGTTATCTGGATTTTTCGCATGCACTTTCGGCCTCAAAGGAACAGTTTGATTCTTGGCTTATTTTTTAAGTTTTTAAAAATAAAATCTGTAAAGTTTACAGTGTAAACCTAATAATTTTGAATCAAAATTAAGCTTCTCAGGTCCAGATAAAGACCCTTGAGAACCAAGAGTCTTCCTATTCCTGCGTCGGTAATGACGCGGAATGCTCAAAGTTCACTGGTCAGAAAGCGAGCAACAGCACTTTCAAAGACTGTGCTTGCTACGGCGATGATAAGTTCTGCGAGGATGTGTGTGCTCGAATGTCGATTGAGGAAACTGAAACCATGAATCCTAAGATCGTCCTTAACAAAAGGCTCGGATAAAATTATAAAGCGTATAAACACTTCTTTAGTGAAATGCATGAAGAAGTTACTGATGCAGACTCGACGTCTCGACAGCTCAGAAAGGCTGCAGAGGACATAATGAACGACGTGATTGCTGATTGCTACAGATACGATTGGGACACCTTGAGATGTGCTACTGAGATGGGGGAAAAGCTCTATGCTAGGCTTGAGAGAAAATATAGTTGTGTAACATCAACTGACTACCAGAGCGTTTCTGGATGGGCACAGAATCACCACAGGGTTTAAAACATTCAGAGAACGTTGGATTTTTTGCGTACAGAATAAGAGTTTTTCTAACGAACAACACTAAGATACTTCCGTAATTCTGAACAAAATATTCTGGTCATTACCTGTACTAGATTTTTGAGTTTGATTTGTTTTAAACCTTTCTCAGTGCATATTATTCTAGTTATTACTATGCAAACTGTGGTACTGACAGTGGATACAGCGTGGACCAGTCTCGCTTTGAGGACAAGGTAAATTTAATCTTTCGGCTAGATAAATAAACGATGACGGATAGTCTCGAATAGGTTCTTTAATACAATTTTCAAAAAGTTAATATCAATTCATGAAAAAGTTTAGTGTGATTTATGCGCCAACATGTGTTATTCCGCCTATAGCAAAGTACAGTGTGTCAGAGACTGCATGAGAGAGACAAGTTTCTGCTCAAATAACAGTAAGAGTACGCTTATTGCTCGATATGCAGACGTTGGTGCAAGGACATATGGAGGTCACCTCTACGAGTCACGATATGACGGCATCATCTGCGCTGGATACTGCGCAGGCCCTAAGCCGTAGGGATTTGAATTATTTTTCAATGCGACATAATTTACATCAAAATAAATCGTTATCGTGTTAGGAGACTTATTCGTAGACAACATTTTTGAATGTTATTTATGTGATCAGAAAAATCAGGGCAAGATGTTCAATTCTTTCGCGCAGCTAGCAAATGCGTTGACAGTTTGGTCGATTTGTTCATCGCTGTGGGCGGCAGAAATTTGGACTCGAATTCGTGCTTTTCCCTAATGAGATATAAAGATATGATTTAATATAAGTCGAGATAAAGATATATAATTTGTCCGTTGTCTTTTTAACGAACCTCTGGAACAACTGGATAAGAAAAAGCAATGACGAAAATGCCGCAGTCGAGGAGCTTGTCAGCAAGTTCTGCAGCAAGCCGTGCGTCGCCGATGAAAACTGGTGAGATAGGATGTTCTTTGCCCATAATATCGAAACCAGCTGCAGTCATCTTCGATCGGAAAAGCTTTGTTTTTCGCTGAATTTCACCAATAAAAGCATCAGGCTTTCTAAAAATATATCAACTAGAGAACGTCCTTGTTCTCTAACGTTTCGAGCAAGTCAATCGCGCTAAGAGCTGCTCCAACAACAGGAGGGGCAAGAGTGTTTGAGAAAAGATATGGACGAGCTTTCTGTCGAAGAAGATCGACAATTTCTTTGGGTCCAGCAGTGTATCCTCCGGAAGCGCCTCCGAGAGCCTTTCCAAGTGTAGAGTTGATGATGTCAACTGAAAATCGGAGAATATCAACTTGAAATACAATCAACGTTTACCTTGTCCGTGGAGACCAAAAAGTTCATCAGTTCCGCGTCCTTTGTCGCCAAGGATTCCAGTGGCGTGGCACTCGTCAATCATTAGCATTGCATCGTGTTTCTCGCACAAAGCCTTGATTTCATCTAAAATTGTCATTAAAATCCTTGAACGATGAGTTGAATGTACCAAGGGGTGCGATATCACCATCCATGCTGAAAACACCGTCGGTGACAACCAGTCGTCGACGACAATTTGCAGTTTCGATCAGTTTTGCTTCGAGATCAGACATATCCATGTGCACGTAACGTTTTCGTTGCGCTTTGCACAATCGGATTCCGTCTTTTATTCAAGATCAAAAGACGATCATTAACTCAAACTGTTAAGGTAAAAGTTGACCCTAGCCTATGATGGATGCGTGATTGAGACTGTCGGAAATAACTGCATCATCTTTTCCAAGAATGACCTAAATAGAAGTTGAGGAATTAGTTCTCAATATATCTGTACCTCAAAGATGCCAGCATTGGCGTCAAAGCAAGCAGCGTAGAGAATCGCATCATCCGTCCCATGAAGCTTGGCAAGTCGCTTTTCAAGCTCGAGATGAATGTCTTGGGTTCCACAGATAAAGCGAACTGAGCTAAGTCCCGCTCCGTGTGATTCAAGAGCCGCTCGAGCACCGTCGACAACGTCTGGGTGAGCGCTAAGGCCGAGGTAATTGTTCGCGCAGAAATTCACGCAGTTGATCTCTGTCCCGCATGGCTTTCGCACTCTTATCGAGGACCCTTTAAAATTTTGAAATATAAAAAAATAACAAAAATCATCTTTACCTTGTTTGGAAATGATTTGTCTCTCACTCTTCCAAGTTCCAGCAGCTTTGATGGCTGTTCCTTCAGCAGCGAACGATTCTTTCAACGCTGGCGAGACGACAGTTCTTCGAATGATCTTTGAGAACATTTCTCTTTTGAAATTGAAAAAAGTCTACAAAAACTACTTGAGGAGGCGAAGGATCGACTGAGAAAAGAATCCGGCTTGTGATAGAAGTGCTGCGCCGGGTTATCGGCCCACGGGGCAATTTTCCCAGCGAGACACGCCCAGAATAGTCTATGAGAACAACCGAGGCGGAAATCGAACCATGCGGTATTGCTGATAGAGAATTATGCATGGCTGCTCATGCTTATGCCTGCTTGCGATAATTTTATGCTTGTTTTGCAAAAGCAAATTTTGGGAGGTAAAATATCAGCTTGAAAATTTCAAGAAACGGTTGAAAATTCGAGGCTTAGTTTGGTTTTTGGAAGCATAAATATGAAATATTTATTGGCAAAAGCGTAATAATGGAATTATACAGTTGTTGAGTTGGCCACAGTGTTGAACATATTTTGTGTTTATAGTAGAGGGTCTGACGCTGTACAGGGAGAATAGTTTACTTTATTGGCTTTTGAGATTCATGATCTGTGACTTTCTGAACTGATCGGTCGTTTCTGGCTTGGCAACACGAGCACCCACGTCTAGCTCATCGTCGTCGCTGTCGAGGTCGTCAAAGATTTCGCCATCGTTATAGTCGGCGGGGCGTCCGATTTCGGGAACCTTCAGGTCGATTTGCTAGGAATACTTCAATCAAAACTGCAATTTACGAACGCTTACCGTAAACTCGACGCCGTCTTCTTTTTCGACCTTGTACTCTTTGAGTGCTTGGTCGAGATCGCGAAGAGTTAAATTTTCCATTCTGGCTTCTCGTCCCAAAGGAATCTAATTCGAAATTTTAATGCACGTTTAATTAACAGATAGGTCACCAAAGACGACAGTACTCACCTATTATACAGTAAATATTCTCATCAGAGCCAATTTTTGGATGAAGGGAGTGAACACTCGGAATTGCCGGTAGTGACCCGCGTTTTCGAAAGGTCCGCTTTCCCATCGACTTTTGGTGGTTTCGAAACCTTTCCAAAAAGTCCACCTTTTCACCCTAGTAATAACACCAAAGCTAATCACCGATTTATACCTGTGTTACTGGAACTGGGATTGATTTTGGTCCAGAGTCGGGAACGTCTCGCAGTTTATTGGAAGAAACTTGTTCTACGTTGCGGCCGATTTCGAAGCTGTCCATCTTCATAATTTCGATATTCTTAATTAGTTGAATAAGCATTTATTCAGTATCATCTTTGAACTTAACCCTAACTTATTTCGACCTCGAACATTTTTAAACTTACGTCATTATTCTGTCCATATGCTCTAGGAATATCGTCATTTGTGCCACCAGATTCCCGGCTTTCATTTGCTCGAAGTGGATTTGCCGGTGGATTCTGCATTGTTTTGAAGTCTTCTGCGGTTTTATTTGGTAGCTCTTCGCCTGTCACCAACGAGTGGAAGGCCGCCGCCCAAAGTTTGTCTTTCTGCTCTCCTTGGCCCGGCTGGTAGGTGCTTGGCACGTTGCGAATGACAGCTTCACCCGGTCGCGGTGGAGCGGCTCGGTACTGCGGAGCGTCAGCTCGGTTTTCTTCCACTCCTGAAATTAAAAAGTAAGACACAGAATTATAAATCGAGGAAAAAAGCGAAGCCGGATTCCAGGCTGTGAAGCGGATTTACCATTCCGTGACAGCGTGGACCGGTCCCAACCTATTTGAAATACACTTTTTCAAAAATTCTGACATTCTTTTCGACTAACCATTTCCTTTTGGTGCGTCGGGCAACATTGTCCTTGCCTTCATCATGTCCTCGCGGACTGAACGGATCCTTTCTGGTGGCGGAGGTCGCGATGGCATTACGTTTGATTCCCGGCGACCGTAAGATTGACGGCCAGTTGGAACGTTGAATTCTGGAGGCTGGTGCTGTACTACGTCTGGTAAATGAGGGTCGTAGCTATCTCGTGAATCAAATGCTTGCAGTTCATAGACTAAACCGAAAGTTAGCTATGTAAGAATTTCAAATAAGGATTTTGGAATCAAGGAAGACTTTATGTACCTTTGTTAGGATCGTATCCTTTTTCTTGATCATGGAACTGCTGTCGATAGTCTCTCTGCCATGTCATTGAGTTCGGCGGCCCGCCAGTTTCTGGTGAAATCATTTGATTGAAGACATCTCCTCTACCCCATTCATTGGCTGGCAGACCTTCGGCGAGTTCGAACTCGGACTCATCTCGTCGCCGATTAGGTGGTGGAACTTGGTGGCTTTCAGAGGCATAATCTTGCTCGTTGTATCTTCCTCCACGAGATCTGCCCGACTTGCTTCGCGATATCGTCTTGTGATCATCGCGTGGATCGTCCATCGTCATTCCGGCCGGTACTTGCGAGCTCTCGTAACTCGGCGGTCTGAATTGCTCCATCTCATGATGCTGCTCGTGTGAAGCAACTCGACTCTGTTCCTGATCCTGCTGAAAGACTGGATTTTCAAAGCTCTGCGGCGGGTTCCATGGAATCTCATTTGGCGTATTTGGCTGTAGTCGTGTTCCATCATCGTTGGAAGGCCTCTTAGCTGGAATGATTGATTTTGAGGGCTTTCCGGAAAAGTTTTTCTTCCAATATTTATAGGCGAAGAAGGCTAGGCAGATTAGCAAAACGATCATGATTGGGACGAGGGCTTTTGAAGTTTTACTGCCTGGCTTAGGTTCTGGTTCAACGTCAGGCACGGGAGGATCAGGAGATTCTGTCGGTGCTGCTGCAACTGACTCTGGGAGACCATAGTTGGGGAAGGTTTCTGGCTGACTAGCTGGAGGAGGATAAGCCCCCGCTGGTGGAGGATATCCTGCACCGGAAGCAGGCGGATAAGGATTGTAAGGGGCAGCTCCCGCCGGGGGACCGTAGTTAGCAGGATACGGATTGGCAGCAGGAGGTGCGTACGGTGCTGGTGGAGCGTAGCCTCCACCGCCGAAGCCTCCGCCAGGCATCATTGGAGGTCTTCCAGGTTGAAACTCACAGATGTACGGGTTGGCAGAGGTGCAATCGGCTGCCATAACCTTCTGATCCGGGCCAGAGCCCTTCATCATCGGGCAAGACTTGGCTGTACGTTTTACTGGGCGGCCACGAACGTTCGAGTCACCAACCCAAACATCGTTGCCACTTTTTTCGCCAACCATCGTCACCAAGTAATCTAAAGCACAATCGATAGTGTTCGTCGTCATAATATTTTATCATTTACAAAACATAACGCTTTTGCGTATACCATAATTCCATGTTCGCGAACGATAAGAAATTTTAATCGGAAAAGCTAGATCAAGTTACTTTGGCGTGATTTTATTATTATGCTTCGGAACGGATGTTCCCGCCAGGTCAAACAAAAACGCAGCGGGGTTATTTAGAAATCGCTGTGTAGACATTCCACATACTTTATGTTACACAACAACAACTTACCGATATTACGATCGTTGACGCTTGCAAGCATCGCATTGTATTTCATGCAACTCGCACTTGCCGACACGTAGCTCGAGTGATCGCCAAAATAGTAGCAAACGGCTCCAAAAGGCTTTATTTAGTTCAAAGCTGGCGAAAAGTAGAGGTGACTATTGTCAATTTAGATGTTTTTGACTGGGATTTATTGAAAATTAATCGGCATTGAGGAGGTAAAAAAGACAAATCGGAGTTGATTCGGTGCTAAATCTCTTCTACTATTTGTCAAATAAACAACAGTGTCAGAATTACGTGTAATTAGATTATTTATTATTTAATAAAAGTCAATCAAAATTATCTAGCCCTCTCAATAATTGATGATTATATTACTTTTCATGCGCATTGAAGATTTTTGCTCAAGATAAATGATTTTTAAGCTAAAAGTTCTAGTAACTGGCGTGAAATCATAACTGTCGCTAATTAATGAAATCTAATTTATTCAGTGAACGTTCCTCAAATCCTTCTGGACATCCGCCGGAGCTCCCCGGCGCAGCTGGCGCCTCTTCGAAAGGGTTGAAGCTCATCTCTCTTTATATCTTTTTGTCTCTACTACGAATTGTTGCGCTCAGGTCATTGGACTCGTTGGGTTTGGTACTCTAAGCAAGGGAAAGGCATTCAGAGATGGTGCTGAGCTGGCGCAGACCAATCAATACCGTGCGAGTAGAACTTTGGTGGAGGGACTGCGCGCATCCCAGTCCCATAGTGCCGCAGGGCGCGCACGGCGCCAAATGCGTTCCACACCGTAATAACCAACTTTTTATGACCTCATACAATTACAGTCCCACAACAAAGCACTAAATGCTCATTAGATCGCTTATCTAGTCGAGTTTCTTTTTAATTTCCGGTGATAGTCACGCTCCACGGATTTTTCACACCATTTCCAGTCTACTTTTATAACGCTCTCATTCCGGTAAGCTTGATAATTATTCATCAGGAGTCGTCAATAATTTATCAGCACAAGTGCTAGAAATGTGTGGAGTTCAAAAATAGAAATGTTATTCGACATCAGTTTCGATACGATTTCATTCTTTCTCACAGCAATCTACATTTATCATTAGTTTCTTTTCCTTCAGCTCAAAAAGATAAAATCCTTGTGACGAAATCGGCGAGCTCCGCATGGTCTCTCTCTTGTCGACAATCAAAAGACTTTGAATCAAATTGAGTCCGGCCCATCCAAGCACAGGCTTAGATTAAGTTTTTTATTGAAAAATAAAAAGTCTCTCGTTGAAAATGAGCCGTGAGAAACCAGAGGATCGGATAAGAAACATGAAGTTTAAAAGAGATATTGATGACATTGAACTTGTGGAGTCAGAATTCAAGCTCAAAGGAATCGTTGATAAAAAGTTTATATGTATCATTTATAAATCAGTTTTCAACGTTCAATAGCACACAAAGGTTGGATTGAGTACTCTCAGAGATTGATCGCGGAAACTTCAAGAAAGCTGGAGAAATACAGCAAAGACGGAAATAGAAATGAAGAGCATAAAGCCTATCTGATGAAGAAGCTCGAGGAAGGGAAGAAATCTCTACAGCGGAATAAGGGTACTCATGTTTTAAAGAATCAAAGGATTGAAAATATTTATAGAGTATTATAAGAAGGAAGAGAAGCGGTTGATAAGACTCGACGTGCGTAGCTCAACGAAGACCGACAAGGTTACAAAAGGACTGAGAAAACGACGGCGGGAAGATTCCAGTGACTCGGAAGAGGTAATTTTTTTTAACATTCCTTATAATTGGAAAATTAGGATGTGAACAACAGATGGATTGAATGCAGGTCGCTCGACAGCAAATGGGCTTCATCGGACAACTTCACCAGCATTTCGCAAGTGTACAATAATGGTACAATGCCAAATCGTCGAAAGACCTACGAAGAGAGACGAAAGATTGATCGACACGAGTGGAATGACAAATCTTGGTGATCAAGTTGTTACCCTGTAAGATAGTTGTGTGAAAGAGAAAGAAATAAATGCGAAACTATATATATATTGTTCAATGCAGGGATTTATTGATAAAATGATATTGTCTTTGTTGATTTCATCTTACGTAATAACGGGCGAGTTTATTGAAAAGTGCTTGCCAAATGAGTCAGCTCAGGTGACGCAGGCTAGACGGAGAGAATGACCAGAATTGCAATTATCGGTGGAACCGGACTTGAAGATCCAGATGTCTTCCAAGGTTTTCACTAGAGACTAAATTCTTAAAGGTAAATTCTTCTCTTCAGACAAGACTGAAGTGAGCGTGGAAAACACTCCTTGGGGAGAAGCTTCGACAATCTGGAAGGGCAAGCTAAACTCGGTGGAGGTATTCGTCCTTTCGAGACACGGAAAATCACATGAGCTGTCTCCGTCTCAAGTCAACTACTGCGCCAATTTATGGGCGCTGAAGCAGCTTGGTGTCACGCATGTTATAGGTTTGCGGTTTGGTCTTTCAATTTAACTAAATGTAGCTTACACTAGCCACCACTGCCTGTGGAAGTCTCCGAGAAGAGTACGCTCCAGGTGATCTTGTTGTTGTCAGCGACTACATCGACATGACAAAGACTCGGACTTACACGCACTTCGGAACTTCCCCAACTGGGCCAAAAGGAATCGCTCATGTTCCCGCTAAGCCCGCTCTAGACGAGGGACTCCGACAAATGGTCATCAAGGTGATGAAAGACACGGACGTATCCTTCAAAGAAAATGGAACATGCGTAGTTATTGAAGGTCCGCGCTTTTCAACCCTGGCCGAGAGCAAAATGTATTCGAGTTTCTTCGGCGGCGACATTGTCAACATGACTCTCTCGCCTGAAGCAGCTATTGCTAAAGAAATGAAACTGCATTATGCTTCGATTGCGCTTGTTACTGATTACGGTAAACTTTGCTCGTTGGACAATTGATAATACTGTTTTTAGACTGCTGGAAGGAAAGTGAAGAAGTCTCAGTCGAGAAAGTCCTGAAGCAGATGAAAACGAATGCGAGAAATGCGGTCAAAGTCCTGCAAAAGCTAATTCCGCTTGGTAAGTCAATTTTTTAAAAGTGCCTAATTGATTATTGCGGTTTTAGTGGCCGAAAAAGACTGGACTGCTGAAAGAAACGAATTGACAGCAACAATTGATGGCTCGGTAATGTGAGCACCAAGAGAGATGTGGAGAATCGGATGCGTTTATTTAAATAACTGGTATAACAAAATTCTTAACCCTAATAAAGAATTTGCGCTCCATGGCAATTGAGTGTTCGTTTTTGTAATTTATTTATTTGGTTTTGGGGCAGCAAGTTTACTTATTTTTTTGCGCCAGGGAACGGGCAGTTTTAGGAAATCGGGCTAAAGGAAAGATATTTTTCAAAGACTTTTACATTCTTTTAAAGTTTTCTTTTTTAAGTTAATCTAGTTTAAAATTTCAAAAGAGACGCAAGAGTGAATGTGCCGGATCCATTTACAAGCAATTTCTTGGTTTAGTGTTCTCTCCGCAAAATACTAAAAGGTGGACCGCCAGATGGAATTGAAATTCGAAAGGGCGGGTAAGCTTTTGGGAGGGCGCGAAGTGGCTCTTCAGAGTGGGGTGTTTTGGAAAGTTAATGGTCAAGGGCAGTGAGTGGCACTGACAGTGTTTTTTTTTATATTGCACAAGATTGGGGACGCTAACTCCTCGAAGCACAGACATCGTAGTATGTCCCCCAAATGCTCAAAATGTAGCTAAGGGTCTGCTGCGTGCAGTAAGGGGGTTTAAAAATTAAATTTACCACGTGATCTATAAAAAATCACGCCATCTTTGCGGAAATTTTTGATTTTTCCTATTTTGACCCGAATTGGGGACTCTATCTACTCCTAGCGGAGACATCATAGAGGGTCGCCAAAGGGATGAAAATGTAGCTGAAGATGTGGACTGTGCAGTGAGGGGGTTCAAAATGTCATGTGATCAGCCCATTCCTTTTTTCGAAGGGGTCAAAAATCGCTTGTGCAATATAAAAAAAACACTGTCACTGAACTCACCCCCAAAGGAACCCCCTTTTTTAACGAGTGGATCCCATTTTTGAGGTAACATCGAAACGCGTGTTGTTTCGAGGCCCGAAAATCGACTTGTCATTCATAGTAGGAGCAGTAACAGTACCGACACAGTGCAATACAGTAGGACAGTACGGAGAGCAGTTAGCAGTTTCAAACATTTTTCTTCTTCAGTCGCTTGTGTTCACGCAGCGCCAGAGCCCGTAGTTGGTGCCTACATTGTTCTGCCAGAGACGAATTGTGCCATCTTCAGAGCCAGAGGCGTACAGCTCTCCGTCAGGCGAGAAACGAACGATATGAACCGGCCCGAAGTGACCTAGGAAAGATCATTGAACACAAACGCTTCGTTCTCTTCCATGATATCAATAAATACTCCGAATTAATAACGCACCCTTGTAAGAGTCCTCCACGCTGCCGGTCTTGTAATCGCACTTGTAAATTTTAAAGTCGGCGCCGCCAAAAACAAAATGCTCGGAATTGGGGTGGAGGTGCGCCGAGTTCACCTGCGTTTTCGTGGGGAATTCCTTGATCATCGTCATTTCGTGTGGATTCCAGAACGAGACCATGTTCGAGTAGCTAAGGGTGGCTACTTGACGCTTTTCGTGAATCACCAAATCCGTCGCCGACTTTTCCAACATAATAGACTGAACAGGCTCTTCCCCAGCTCTACGAAAAATATGAGGAAAGTCAGTGAGATGCAAGGATTACCTTGTGTCCCACTTTTTGAAGCTCTTGTCATCGGAGATGGTCAGAAACACGTTTTGGTCTAGCCAGAGACAGCGCTTGACCGTTCCGTTGTGGCCTTGGTATACTTTCGGTTTGCTTCCTTCGCTCTGAAGATCGAAAATCCTTACTTTCTTCTCCTGGCAGCCGGTGAGAAGCTGGTTCCCATCCAGCGAGAAATCCACAGCGCGGACGATGTGATCATGCTGGAAGCTATGGAGCACGTTTCCAGAGAGAGCGCACCAAATCTAAGCATCAGCTTAAAATTACGAAAGTCGAGGGAGATGGTACCTTAGCATTAAAGTCCGCACTGCCAGTCGCCGCCCGGGAGCAGGCTTTGTTGAGTGAGGCGGCCCACACTGCACCTTTGTGGCCGATGAAAGTCCCCACCCAATCGCCAGTCTCGCCTTGGCGGAGCATCGGATTCCCGTCTTTACAAGCTGAGATCATGAAATATCTAACAACAGTTATATCCTATTATTTCTTAAGCGTCTTACCCATCTTTTGTGTTGTCTGAAAAACTAAGATCCACAACTGGTCGCGTGTGTCCTGAGCATGTTAACGGCGTTTGCCGCGCCATCACCGATGGAGCTGAAATAAAAAAGAAATTAAACGGGAAGAAATCGAATGAGACGATCTGACTTTTAATTAAATCGATCACGCGAGCTCGATAAGACTTATCAGAAGAAACGCCTCTTTCCATGGGAACTCGAGAAACGCAAAAAGACAGAATTGAAGAATGAAGGGAATTTATTTTTGGGATTGAAGAAACGCGCAACATTAAATAGACTGAAGAAAAAGACGGGAAATAGACAGTAGCAGGGTAGTTTACAGAAAACGGTGCTTGTTGTTGAAGAATCAGAAAGGAACTATTCAAACAGAAGGAGTTTACTCGAGATAGACAGAGCAGATGTACTTGGCCAGGAGTGTTGGAGCTACTCGCGAATTTGAAGCCATCGCCTCCAAGCATCTAGAAGTAACAGTTAGAAAGGCTTCAGTTGGACGTGATTCTAGTGGCACCTGCAGAGAGCCTCGAGCTGCTCGTCTGATGGTATTCCATTTTCTGGAATGTAGGGGATGACGAGAGTAGACGGGTGCGGTGAAAGTGTCGTTGGGACAGGCACGTGAAGAGATCTGAAAAACAAAATTCATTTGGTCCTTGGCCTTGGAAAGAATGCTTACTTGAGAATGCCGCGAATCGTATTCATACGCCCTTCCCTGCTCGATTTGGAAACTTCTTCCACGCGGTGCACGAACGAAATAAACCTAAAAGAGTCGAAAAGCATTCGAAACGCCGTCTCACCTATTTTTGAGCTGAATGGCATTCACTAACTCGTCTCTTTCATTCAGCTGATCAAGAAGTAGGGCGGACATCTTAAAATTTATCGTCAGAAAATAATCCAATTCTCTAGAACTTCGGTTCTCCAAAGCTTGATTTTCGTATTCTGTCATTCATCTCCTAAGTAAGTTTGGAGAAAGGAGGGTCCGAAATCTGTCAAATATCAGGTAAATTTTGCTAACACGATCAGTTAACTTTACTCAAGTAAATTTTTAGCTCGATTCCACTAACCCTTGGCGTTGAAAATGAACTTTGCAAAAGCCCCGAAAGGGAAGGGGGAAAGTGATACGGCATGGCAAAAGCAGCCAATGGTGAATTCTGAATAAAATCAATTTCTCTATTCTTATTACTTCTTGGAAGGACCGAAATGATCCTTTTACGATCCAAAAAGGCCTTCCAAAAGTCATTTGTTTATCTCTTTCTTTGCAGGTGTTATTTTCATTAGCACTTTCTCATAGTGGTTAGAACTTTGCAGGTAAAATACTCACAGTTTCGACTTCTTTTGCGTTGACATCGATTTCTTGATCTTCTGAATTCGAAGATTCATTTTTAGATCCCTCTGTCCCATGAAGTCCTTCCGCTAAATCCATTCGCAGGTGCTCTAAACAGACATTTGCTTTAGAAAAGATATTTCTTGAAACACTGAAAGGCTTTTTGGTGACAATCGGCCAAAAATCAAAACGGAACTAGTGAGGACTAATTGGAACTTCACCCATTTTTTTTTTGTTTTGTGCAAGGCATCAGTTTGGCAATTTTAAGATAGAAGAAAGAACTTTTTAAATAGTGAACAGAAATTTAGAAGATAAAGATAAGTAAATAAGGCAATGAAGGCTTTACTGTAAATGGCAACTGATTTTGACTTTGGCAGTTTAAATTAGACATTTTTAAGTTAGAGTTGAAAGCTACTTTTGAGAGAAAAACTGTCGTTGGTTTTGGTTGTTATTGAATTGTAAAATTGTGTAAATAGTGAGCGTTGAAAGTTAGTAAAGCAGTAGTACGTTTTTGGTGATAGGAAGAAAATAATGACGTCGGTAATGAAAAGATCAGGACTTGTTCGAGTCTTGGGCGAGCATGTTCTTCGAAATCGCTCTGAAATGATCATATCAATCAATGTTTTTTGCTTGATGCTGATTTAAAGAATCTCTATTGTCCTCTTTTCGATCGAAAAATGATTTAGCGAGAGTTTAACGCTTCAGGCTCCTATATAATTATGTAATGAAGTTGAAGATGAAAGAAGAATCCCTCAAGAATGGCATCAATCTATTTGACCTTGACAACAAATTCGAAAATACTGGCGGAACCTCGATCGAGAGCTGGAATCAAAGACGACTGACAAATATTAACTGATTTTTTATAATGTAGAAGAGATGCTAGTATTTACTGTACTAAAGGTGAGAAGAAGCGATTGAAGGTCAAAGGTGAAGGGTCCGCGCGTGCGTGAACGATCAGCGGCGTCCTTTAGCGAGCGTTTGGCTCTCGTGAATGATGCCACAGATGCTCATGGTGTAATCGTTTCGGTGCAACACAACACAACAAGCGTCCAGCTCACAGCGCTACGAGCATTCATTCTGCTGATCCATTGCCGCTTGAGGGCCTAGTGGGGGCGTGGTGACCGCCTCCTCAACCTGGCACCGGAGGGAACCGACTTCCATATCACAATCTGCCCCACTGTGATTCTCCCACACTCAGAGCTTCCCCCCGCGCCGAAGAAACAAGCGTAGCTTGAACGGAGATCCCCCTTCAGACCACACGCCGTCGTTAAATACGCAACAACTACGCAATGCTCATCAACGCCAAAGAGAATACAGAAAAAGTCATCTATATTTCCCGGTAAGATATGAAGAATTTTTTCTTAGAGGAAATTTTCTTGTTGTTGAAAATATTTTCTTATGGACCAAAATTTTAGACATGGGCAGTCAGAAATGAACGTGAAAGATATCATCGGAGGGAATGGATATCTTTCTCCTAGCGGCGTCGAGTACGGGGAGAAGCTGGGCGACTTTATTGCAAATCACATTGACCAGGAGAAAACACGTTTTGTGACGAGCTCTATGAATCGAACGAGACAAACGGCAAAGCTGGCTGGGCTGGACCCGGACCAGATAAACGACCTGGACGAAATAGACGCCGGTGACTTCGACGGACTCAGCTACGGCGAGGTCAAATGTGAGTAAACGACCGTACGTAGTATTTGCCAATTTCTGGCCACTCCTACTTTTTGCGAAATAATCGAGCTGGCCCCGCACGTTAATGGCCCGCACGCAAACAAAAGACCTCGAGCTTGGCACAGGTTACTTTAGAAGATAAACACTCCTTTATGGCCACCTTCTGAGGTCTAGAATTTTTGAAAAACATGAAAATAATATTTTGAAATTCTGTTTTACGAAATTTAAATTAACGTGCTTCACCTCAAAAATTTATTAAAACCAACCATCGAAGTAAGATTCCAACCATATTGAATAATTAGAAAATTTTAACATAAACAGTGCCTAAAAAAAGCTGAAATACTGGTAAATTTAATTCATAGAAAAAACAACAGGTGGAGTTGATGTAAATTGCGCAAGACTGGGATGACCTGAATTCTAGCAGCATCTTTTTTGATGCATCATTTCGAAAGTCAAAAACACACGCTACATTTCATCATCCGGCGAGCGGGCTTTAAACCCCGAAACCAGACGGTTGCAAGCATGGCGATTACATAACATTCAGGTCGGTATCCATCGGAGTACGAGGCGCGCAAGGCTGACAAACTGAACTACCGCTACCCGAATGGCGAGAGCTACGTGGACTTGCTCAAACGCACGCGTCGTGCTATCCAAAATGTCGACTTCGAGAGCTGCGACAACTTCCTGATCATTCACCAGGCCGTGGCCCGTTGTTTGATAGGCATTCTGCTTGGCCTCAGCGACGAGAAAGTCCCACAGATGGAGGTCCCACTCCACACTGTCATCAAAATACAGGGCTCGGAGATTACCTACCACAAGCTTCTCTAATCGTTCAAATTCTGTATAACTGTAATGATGAAATTTACGGAATATACAAATCAAAACCGCTTCATCCAAACAAACATTCATTTAAAATCGTACTATCTACCCTTACTGTATACTAATCCCCTGTTATTTTTCCTAGATAACTAACATGCCGAATAAAACAGAACTTATCTTACAGATGAGGTCATAAAAATATTATTCGAGAAAAAAAAAATAAGTTAAAGTGCCTTTTAATCATTTCCAATCCGCTCTTACAAATCAACTTAAAAAAGTATGCGTTGCTTGACTGTCTGAAACCGTTCAAGATTGTGTCCACCGTCTGTTTATCCCTCCTTTTCTACATTTTTCTTGCTACTAATAAAGTTATATTCATACTTGGTCAGTGACTTCTTTAGCTGCTTGAGTTCTTGCATATTTTTCGGAATTTCTTTCGGCGTTTTAGCTGCATCAGTTTGTGGAGTTGATGAGTTATCTTTTTGACTTGTAGAAGGAGCAGGGCTTTTGGCTTCTGAAGCAGCTAAATTTTTAATCAGATTTGTTGAATTATGATGAATTAGATTACGTTTTGGTTCAGGAGTCTCGGAAGCCTTTTGAATTCGCTCGAATATATCGTCTATTTTAACGCCGCTCGGTTCCCTAGTAAAATTCATTTGATGGTTTTCCTCCTTGTTTCCACCTACTTTTGAGGCGGTGGAGCAATCACTGATGCTGGTCGTCGAACTGGAGTGTCGTCGACCTTGTCAATGATTGGCTTCGCTTCGTTTTCATCTGGCATTTCGAAGGAAGGAGATTCCCCCTCAGGAATGGAAGGAGTTTCGAAATCATCAGGAGTAATGGTCTGTTCAGGTGAGACCGCGTCTGGACGTAGTGTCTGCTCGTCACCCGAACTAGTCCCCTCGAGTTGCATTCGCGCTATTGGCAGGTCGTCTATATTTGGCGAGCTAGAAAGAGAACTGTAAATCCTGGTCCAAAGTACTGCAGCACCTTGATCGAAGAAATAACTTTGTAAATCTACCTACCGAAGTTCTGGCGCAGCAGAATCACTAGAATGGTCCCCTAGAGCCCTGTTCAGCCAGCCGTCGCAGTTGTCTATAGATTCGTGTTTTTGTAAGAGATTTGAAAAGTCTCGATCCAGAGGATTGGCTTCTTGAGCTTTTCGTGCTTTTCTAAGGGCGCGAAGTTTCTCCTTCTCAGCTTTCTAAAATGGTACGATATTGAAATAAATTACAAGATTGTTTCTAGTGGTTTGTTCTTTAACTTTGGGTTGATCCTTACGATAAAATCTGCGGTTTCAAGGAGATCTTAGACTGATAAGACTAGATATAAGGAGAAATACGAGAATGAGAATCATTATTCAAAGAAATGAATCTAAAATTACATTAGTATTCCTTACAGAATCGAAGTGTACGAAATAAAATTACCTGTTTTAATTCTTCTTGTCGTGCTTGTTCGGCGCTTTTCATTTCTGCCAGCCTGGCATCAAATTTTCTTAGAGGAGTAATAAAGTTCGCTCGCATGCGATCATAGACGGTTGCTGCCTTTTCATAGCATTCAGCCTCCATTTTGTTGTTGCTTTCGGGATTCATGCCGAGCCACTTATCGTCGTAGATTCCACAGGCGTAGCGGCCACTGTTTCTCTTTGCAGGACTCGATTTTAGGATTTGGTAAGTGCAGGCGAACACAGAGCCGGAGAAGATATCCTTGAGACATGGTTTTCCATTGCCATCCTGGAAGGGAAGACCCGTTACGACTTGACACCGCATTACGGCGTAGTAGACTGCTGCAAAGAGGTTCGCCAGCGTTATACTTCGCTCACACGCGGGCAGCTCCACCGGACAGGTTTCCTCGCCACCTCCAAAGAGCCACTTTAGCCGACGAAAGTGCTTGTCAGGCGAAGTAAAAAGATCGAGCAAGGCAAATTGTGCCACAAACGCGTCCACTTCCCACTCTTCCATGTTCGTCTGCACCCACAGATATCTCAAACATGCGATAAAAGTGATCATAAAGCACGGCATATTGCTGAAATTAGGATCGATGAACATGACGATTTCCGCATCGAAGCAGGCCAGGAATGCGCGTACTTTTTCTTCCCGGGATGATTTGTACAGGGTGGGAAGCGTGGGAACTTCATTTTTTGATAGATATCGAAAAGCCCACTCTTGCTCGATTATGATATTCCACGACTTCGTATTGGGCTTATATCTGTAGTACCGAGCTTCATCAATATCTAGAATCGCTAGCTCTCGGCGTAAGTACTTTTTCAAGAGCATTGAGATAACTGGTAATTTATTCCCTTTCAACTGATCCACTTCTAGCTCTTCATCGACGGTTTCTTCTTCAGTCGATCGTTCGTGAAGACAGTTCCAAATTTGAAATACTTGTTCCGTGAAGATTGGAACTGGCAACGCAGCGGAAAGGGCTGCATCCCTGGAGGCTTCTAAAGCACTTGCAATTGGCTCAGGAAGCGCATCGAATGCTTCTGTATTTTTCGCACCGCGAAGAAGCGGATGTTTTCCTTTTTTGGAACGGTAAAATGCAGGAACAGTATTGAATGTCTTGTCTTCTTCCCAAGGATAGGCCTTGTCCATAACCATGAATCGCCTGATACTTTTAATGAATCTATTTCGCCTCGCTCGTTCGCAATAGAACGATTTTCGCACCAAGTCGTGGTACATTTCTTCCGATTTCAAAGCAACTTCGTCGAGTTTCCGACAAATGCGCTCAATCGAGGCACAATCGCCCGCATCTCTAAAATTGTCAGACAGCCAGTCGACAATGTACGGCAGTACTTGAGGAATATTGTCGCCTTCGAAGTGTTCTGCGCCAATTAATCCGAACCAGAAGGGCATTAGATCTTCCCTCGTAAAATCGCACTCCGGATTGAAGCTCAATGCCGAAACCAGAGGAAGATGGTAGGAGTGAAGGCGCACTTGTGGAGAATTATACCATCGCTTTCGATAAATTAAGGCGTTTCCACCGCGCCAATTGAAGTCGCATTTTATCACTGGCTGCGATGGGTATTCAAAGAAAACTCCCACCAATTATAATTAACTCAAAGATAATACCCTCCCTGAACGGCGAAAAGCAGATAGTCCGAGTCGTTACTCATAATTGGACATCCCAAAGTGACCGCCAAATCCATAATCGCGTAGTCTTTGTCGCATTCTGCCTGGTAGACTTTGACTCTTGGGAACTCGGCGGCAATTTCCATGATTTGATTGACAAACCATGGTGGGGAGGCTTTCTGATCGACGTAGCTCTTGAGACCGTCGCGGCCATACTTTCCCAGACTGTGAGGGGAGCGGCCGGCGTGCACGTTTTCGAAGAGGCGCGTGAAGCCATCGTGCTCGCTGGCACGTTTCTTGACCCACTCCGGCGAACCGGCTGGGATTGAGCAGCCCATGATCATCATGATTTCATCGCAACATGTCAAGTTGTTCTCGAGGAAGAGTCGCATGTGATATTCGTAGACTGCTGGCTCGCCTCCGAAGCACCCTGGCGAGCGGGACTGGTTCATCAGCGCGTACGCAAAGTTGTTGCCATCGATGATGACGCGGATCTTGCCGTCGCGGCTCTTGACGCTGGGCAAGAAGTTCGTCAGTTTCTCCGAGCTGACATATTCCTGCGCGCGCTGCTTGACGAAGTAGTGCAGCCCGTGCACTCCCATCCCAGTCTAAACGCCGCCAAAGTCAGTATTCAATCTTTATCGGAATTTCCTTCTAATACGATTGAAAGCTTGTACATTAGTACGTCGCTTTTCGCCTGGCTGCGTAACGAACTCATCAAAGCCCTGCTCTTTATAAAACTGAAGTTCTTCCTCAGACCCAATATCGCCCATCTTTTCGGCGAGTGTCTTATCCCAAAAGTATTTTTCTTTAAGATCGTCTGTTTCGTAAATTCTAGCTTCATCCGATGCTGAAACAATTTGAGGAAACGCGGCTCGCTCTTCGGCAGTATAGTCGGAAAGCTTCTTTGTTACGGGAGGTAAATCGGCGATTTCTGAAGTGCATGATTACCCCTCATTTGTATCTATCGACAATCGCAATGGATTTTAATTGTCGGTCAAAGATGATCATAGCAATAAAAAAATTACAGCGCCTTTGATTAGTTTTACGAATGAGTAACTCGCCGATCGTAAACTTGCTCAAAAACGTACCAGCCCCGAAGAAACTATTTTTAATCGAAAATCCGAAAAAGGATATAAATCAGCCAGAGAAAATGGGCTCAATTTCCTCCAAAGCGGATACATACCAAGGTAACAATAATGACTCTCTTCTATGTCTCCCGAAAATTTGACACTTGAAAATGACCATAGAGTGTATCAATTTTTAAGCGATGGAAAACAGTGACGATCCAATTAAACAATTTTGCTTTGAAAAATGCAAAAACAAATCTGTGAACGCATACGTCGCCACTTATCCAGGCGACCATCGAATATACAACTGCCTTTGCAAGGACCTCGAAACGGAAGCACGAAAATGGGCGATTGCTTTTGGGTAAAATTGAGTTTTCAACGCCCAAAGTAAAGTTCTCTTTAGCGTGATCGGGGCGTTCTTTTTCATCGCCAAATACGTACAGTACTTCATCTGGCTGTATATTCAGCACAGAAAGAAAAAGGGAAAAGTTGAGCCAGAAGAAACTGGGGTTTTTTCAACCCTCATTGGCGGCACTGCGAAATCAGATTGATAATAATTGATCTTATTGTATAGGCTCTTTTACTTGTTTATTCTCGTTCTCCAATTATAATTACTTCCTTTTACCCATATTACCAAAAATAAACAAACGAAAAGGTGAAGCGTACCGTTTATATTTTGTAGAATATCTTTTGGCACTTCCCGATCAGAATAAGCAATACACCTGGCCATCGAGGCGTCCTTGTCAGAATTTCTCCCGCCAAGAAGTTTGTCGTAAATAGCTGCGCGCACAACGTAAGTTGGATCTAGCTCGTTAATTACTAAATATCGTAAAATCTATGATTACCTAATAGATGTGCTTCTTCGGCAGTGATCCAAAAGTTTCGTCTGAGACGAGCCTCTCGTTCCGTTCGCTCGTGCGTGTTCTTGTAGTACGATTTTAAGCGTTTCATGGACCAGTCCAATTTTTGGTGATAAGTGTGCTCTTCCCACTGATTTCCTTCGAGAGCGATCTTGCGCGTATTGTAGAGAACCACGTGGTCGCCGATGTCGCGTTTTGGCGTGAAGATTACTTTGTTGCGGCCTTGGAGCGCGTCCGCAGCGATTCGCGAGACTTCATCTAGTAAAAACTAGCATGCGAAATAAATGATTGAAAGAGAGTACCTAAGCATTGACGATCACAGTTAATCAACACCCAATTTTTCGTGTGTAATCCCCAGTGAGCTGCTGCCCGACTCAATGCCATTCTGGGGAGTAAGAAATAGCCAGGATTTTTTAAGAAAGTTCGTGTGTGTAATGTTTGGCTCATTTTCTTACAGCCACGAGGAATAAAAGTAGTAAAACATGTGAATTGATATTGCAGCTGGATATTTGTTTGAATGATTGAACTAAAATAGGAGTAGAACGGTAATTGAAGTCGGAAGTCGGTAGAAATCGAGGGAAAGATTTACAAAGAAGAAGACACTCTCGGCCAGTTAAGCTTTTCTATTCTCGAGTACAGTATTTATTCATCTTATGTCACGTACAGAAGCCAGCAGGGGATAATGAGCAGTGCTTATTCGAGCTGCGAGAGTGTTTGCAACTGGCGGATGATCTTGTTCTGCGACGTCTCTCGTATCTCCCCAGCCAGGAATGTTTCGTCCACGACCGTGTACACCTTGTAGAAGTTAAAAACAAGGTCCAACTCGCACACATTGTGGAAGTACTCGTTCAGCACCTTTTGGACTTTTGATGAGCCTTTAGAACTAACTGGAGTGCAAGTACCTCGACGAAGTTGTGAATGGCCTCAAGATACTTCAAATTGTTATCGTTAACGTCCACGCAGAGGCAAAAGAACAGTCCAGCGTACCTTCTGTAGATAATCTATGATTTGAAATAAGCAAGTTAATAGGCAACCTCTTTCGCAAAAAGACAAGACAAAAGACGAACCTTGTAATCTCTGAATTCAACAAAGTTCGTATGCTTTGCGTCTCGAATCGTCACCAGAGCGTGGACCTCCTCGATGAGCTTTTGTTTCTCGTCATCGTCGAACTGCATGTACCATTTTGCGAGCCGAGTCTTTCCAGCACGATTTTGGATAAGAATAAAGCGAATCATGCTAGAAAAAGATCTTCACTGATTTGTTTGTGTGTGGGATTTATTTTTTAAAATTGTATCTGTCTGTGGAGCAAAATTCTTTTCAGTTTTCAATAAATTCAGCAATAAAAGAGAGGCAGAAAAAAAGGATTGTTGACTAATTTGAAATTTTTAATAAAAATTTGAACTCGGTTAGCTAAATAAAAAAAAGCATTTGAAAGGAATCTGTCAGGAAGGTATGTGTCAAGCACGCATTGGCTGAGTGAGGCAGTATTTAATAACTTATAAATTATAAGACTTTTCTGTTAAAAAATGAGTGTGGTGTTCCTAAGCATAAAAAATGAAGAAAGGATGCCTGAAGCCTTGAACGGGAAAATTCGAGCAACAGACATTTTCTAATAAGGTGCAAAAAAATTCAAATATCGCGGTGGTCCAAAACCCTCCACAGTTGAGGAGCTGGGTTCAAAAAAAAAAAACAAGTTTATTTTCTCTTTCGCTTTTCTTTCTTCGCGTCAGGGTCCTTCTCTTTTCGTCGAAGTGGTGGCTTCCACGGTTGACCAGACTTCTCGGCCTTCTTCTGGAAGTGCTGGACGAATGCAGCGTGCTCTCCCATCGTCAAATGCACGTGGGACACTTTAGAGAGGAGGGGGTGCCCGCCGTATTCAACGTACTTGCGGTCCATCACATGCTTATTCTTGAGCTCTAAAATTAAGTGAATATAGGGCCGTCAAAATCCTTAAATATCATTAAAAATCTTACCTGCGAAGTGCTCCTTGCTTCGCTTGATGTATTGCTCGGCGAAGGCAAACAACTCATCATCAGGTTCGTATTTCTTCAGCATCCCGTTTCCATCGTGTTCGAACGCGAACTTGCACTCTTTCTCCTGGAGCCGTCGGTAGTTTGGCACCAACGCAGTCAGGTTCCAATCTTTATCAGTCTGAATATACCTGTCAATTTCTACCAAAAAGAAGGGGACTTACGAAAAGCGTGACCGAGCCATCTTTGACGAGAAAGCTCAGGTAGAAGATATTCTCGATAGTCTCGGCAAAGTCCGGGGCCATGACGAACTCCCAGTAGAGAAGTGGCTCTGCATCTTCCTGATCCTTGAATTGATTGGCTTTCCACTGGAAGTCGGCCAGCACAGTCTTCAGAATTCGTTTCTGTTCATACTCGTCGTTCGTGGACTCTGTGTCTCCCTGTGCTACTCGCTGCTCTTCTCTGAATTTTCAAAATGAGACAAAAGTAATAACAAGGAAGAATATTACCCAGCATCGTCGTCGCCGTGTCGTCGTCGCTTGACCTTCTCAATGCCTCCTTTTTCGATGACATCAGCGCAAATCGCCTGAAAGAATAAAATATTGAGTGAAAGCGGATAATTGTGACGGCTCAAACCTCGAATGTGACGCTCTTCTTTCGCCTGACTGTAATGACTCTTCGAAGAGAGACATTCTTGAAAGTCTCTTGGTAATTCAAGACGTGCTCGTTGATGATCGCGCGTCCACGAAATTTCTTAAATAGAAATAATTTAATTTATTGTAAAAAATCCGAACTAACCGTCCACTTTGGAACCCACTCGTCCCGGAGAGATCGGATGTTCTGAACCTGGTCCATGTTGTCCCAAAACTCGCGGGATCGAACGCTCTCTCCGTTGTTAGCCACAATCTGATCGAAGTAATCATCTAAATTCGAAAGTCAAGATCTGATGCCTGATTTATGAATTCTTTCCGATTTTGAAGTCAAACTCGCTCGCGTCTTTGCCAAAAAGATCGATGCACTTGATAAGAAAAGCGCTATCGTCCACAAACAAGTCAGCAGTCGGATCATCCTCGTGCACTGCTCGCAAGTCATCATAATCCGTGATTCCATCGGTCAACCTGAGCAAAAACTACTAAAATTTCAAATGAAAAAATCATACTTGTTCATATCATCCTCTCCCTCAAGCTCGCGCTTCTTGCTTAGTTTATCAAGATCATCTTTTTTCTTTTGAATGTCGCGAATTGTCTCATTCGCCTTTGATAAGAAGCTCTGAGTATCGTACTGGCTATTAGTTCGTCGCTGAGAACGACGACGATTCTGGCTTTGAGATTGGCGACGCCTATCCGGCGTGTTTTCCTTATCGTCCTCCATTCTGAAACCAGGACATGATATCATCTGCAAAGAAAAAAAAAAACACACACACACACACCTAGGTCTAGGATTAGGGGTGACCGTTGGTGATCCAAAATAATTTGCTCAGGACGGATCACCAAAAAATGGTGATCGGGTTCTCCGATCACCAGAGGTTGGTGATCGAGGCCAGATGTGAAAATCAGTGCCTGTTATTTCTTCGATCAGCTTAATTGATAGGCTTATTTTGCCCAATATATAATAATATGACCTTTTGCGTTAAAACTAGCAAATCTGCAAAAATTTTCTGCTAACAATCACCAGCGGATCACCAGGATCGAGTCTCGATCACCAAGCTCTGGTGATCCGAGAAACCCGATCACCACCTTTTGGTGATTCATCCCGAGCAACTTTTTTTGGACCACCATCGGTCACCCCCAATCCTAGACCTAGACACACACACAAAATAATTATTTTTCTATTTATTGCTTATCAGGAGTAGCCTTCTCCCAGTAGGGCTGACTGTGGTCACTGATTGATTTTTTTTGTCCAATACATGTAACAGCAAAGATGTAAACGCAGTGAAAGGTGTTTTTCACAGATGAGAAAATAGGAATGGTGAGTTTTTGTTTATAAATATTTAACTTCTTTGGAAAAGTCTCGGATCAGGCTTCTGCAGGACGTAATCGTGGGGAGATCATCTTTGAAGGGAAAGTCGGGATGATTGGACGTCTCGGGCCAAATTAAATGTCGCCAGCCGACATTGAGCTCTTCGAATACGCTCATCTCATCCTTATTTGAGCTTTAAAACAGTACAGAAATGATGAATGCATTCAATACAAAACTCATGCTTCTAAAGCCCCTTTCCTGAGTTAGTTCGAAATCCCACACTTTGTAGTTTGCTTCAATTCTTCCAGGATTAGTTGACTTTGCAACAAGAGTTCCTCCGATTTGTAGATGCCATCGCATGACAACACTAAAAGCAAAGTAATGCTAATCTATCGATAATAAGTTTTACTTGGCAGTGGATTTTCCATATTTCTGAGCGATTTTCAAAATGTCAGGGTGCTCGAGAATTTCGTGACCAGTTTTTGGAGCGCCAGAAGTGATGCTCCCGAAGTTTCGCCAAGGTCGATTAGCACTTCCTAAGGCGGAGTACGCTTGAAAGGCGATCCTGTTGATGCGGCAAAAGTTGCGCAGGTCGAGCTCGTGGAGATAAGGATGGCTCTCGTTTTGGAGGACACAGGGGAAGTGTTTTTTCGTGACGCTGAGGATCTCTTCCACCTGAGAATAGGATGAAAAACAAATGAAAGAGAGTCTTTCTTGACCTGGCGACGGTTAAAGTTAGAAAGGCCGATCGATCTAGTCAATCCTTCGTCGACGAGAGTTTCCATCACCGCCCATGTGTCCACGTAGTGCGACTCTTTATCAGTACACCAGTAGCCATCATCGTCGACAGGGAACATTGTCTTTTTCGATTCGTGAGCCAAAGAACAGCCATCTTTAAATAGTTTTTATTTCTATTTGAAACAGTTTTCTGTTACCAGATCGTTTGGCGCAGTATTTTCCATTGCTAGGGACCGCTTGAGGCCAGTGGATCACGAACGAGTCGACGTAGTCAAGCTTGAGGTCGTGAAGAGTGTCAAGAAGATCTTGCTTGACGTGTTCAGGTCGATGGTTGGTGTTCCAGAGCTTGCACTGGATGAAGAGTTCTTCGCGCTTGACGACGCCCTCGGAAAACAGCTCTTCGAGTGCTTCCCCAATCACATGCTCGTTTGAATAATCATTCGCAGTGTCCAACAACCTAGGCAGAAGCATTAACAACCATCGATCAAGTATGCATGATTACCTGTAGCCAGATTTTACCGCGCATTTTATCGCCGCCTTGGTAAGATCTGGAGGCGCTTGCCAGGTACCAAGGCCGACTCGGGGCATTTTGGCTCCATTTCTCAATTCAATGTATTCCTCGACCATTTTGATATCTTGCGAAAAGAAGCTGACCGCTGCGTAAGTTCAATATAAAGACCGATCTGTGCATAAAAATATTTGGTTACGCCCCAAGGTTATGTGCAGACGCTCCCGCCCTCTGGTCAAGTTGAAAATAATTGTTTGCTTTATTTAGATGCAGAATCTAGCAGCGGATTCTCCGATCGTATGCATGCAAATCTCCTGAATGAGTTCTGATAATTTCGCAATAAGCTCTTATCATTTAAAAAAGAGCTGATTAGCAAGAACGACGATTTCGATTGAATATTATCAATATATTGAGTTTCAGTGGGTGAGTTTTTTTCATTCGAAGAGGAGGCGAAGATTTGAAGATATTCACTGTTAGTTAGAAGCAGTTGCGGATAGAAATGTGACAAATTTCAAGAAAAGGATAGATACGCAAAGAGGAAGATTACTTTGTATTGTTATTTCAACAGATTCACAAGTTCGTGGCTGTATCGGGTCAAACGAGTTCCGTCTGAATGGAGTGAGCTTTGTATTTAAGGGATCACCCCCCGATTTTTCAAAACTTTGGCATCGGTCATTATTGCCTATGATTAGATTCCTCGTGTTCTGAGGATCATTTTGATATATGATAGTACCCCTTTACATAAATGCATCCCCGAAATTTTGGCTCCCAAAGTTCGGGAAAATGCATGTAAATTGTACTTAGCGTGAAAATCGCAATTTTTTTCGATTTTTCATTGTCATCGAAATAACACAAACAAGGGCTCTTTCGAAAGCTTAGAATGTGAAGATTACGAATATAATAGCCGCACTAGAATTTTCGGCCAATTGTTAGCGCTAGAGAGCATTCTAACACCCAAATAAGGCCAAAAATGGTTTCAAAAAGTTTTACAACTAGAATTTTTTTATTAACTTACCCGATCATGCTGATTCTACCAAAAAATAAAGATTAGCGTCTATACTTTTAGATAAACGAAAAAGATTTTGAATCCCAAAGCCCAAAAAAAAGTAGATACGATTTGAAAATGACCTAAAATGGCCATTTTTCAAAATGTTAATCACTTTGACGGCCTGTGATGCATAAGCGAATGTTTTGCTGGCAAGCTGATTCTACCAGAATTTGCTCCTTTCGAAGCGGGCTTTCTAATGCGCCCAAAACCAGCTTCCTACGTAAGCTCAAAAAAAAGTAGATAGAGGTCAAAGTTGGCGAGATCGGGGGATCCCTTAACACTTATTGCTGGCGTACCTTTTGTCTGATTACTCAGAATCGCGGACACTTCGGATTTTACTGAGCTTAGCTTTTCGGAGAACTTGAATTTGGTCTTGAGCGGGAGATAGCATGGCTCAGCTTCAAGAAGCCGCTGTCCGAAGTCGCACAAGCGCTGTCCGTAACTCAGCACTACCGACTTCTTGTCCTTGTTGATTGAACTTGACAGACTCTCTACAAGGCGCGTCTGAATAGAAGGAACTTTATGTCGTCATCTTCCAGGCTTATAGAGCTTACTTGAAGACAGAGCAAAGTTTGAACGTCCTTTGCGAAGTCTTGCTCGGCTGTTCGAGCGTCGGACTGGCCTGGTTGCCCATGAAGCGCGCCTAAGTCGCTTATTCGCTCATGAGAGTGTATTTTTTCTTGAGGAGGAACTGAAAGCTTGAGAAATACGGTGAGTCTTTGAAAACTCACCAGGTGGTTTTTTGAGAGGTCTTTTTTGATATTGAACGTGGCCTCCGCTTGAATGGAGCGATGAAAAGTCACTCTGCGAGGAGTTTTCGCAGATATTTTCTGAATTCGCTGCTTGAAAATGATATTTATATGCGCATTTTGCTACCTTGGGAGTTTGTTGGAGTTAGCTCAACAACTTGAGGAGAACCCAACTCTGATAAGTTGAAATTTCGAGTGTCGTAAAAGAGTGAGGAATGAGCTTGCGGAAGAGGTAAAGCTAGAGGAGGTTGGGAGGAAGGTGAACTGCAGGAGCCGGAACCGGACTTTGAGCTGAACGGGTTATTGTTTAATGCTATTTAGCGGTTTTCAACTGACCGAGAGCGACTGCGACGAGGTGGTTTGAGGGGAACGGGCTTCGCCAATTCCCTACTGTGATTTGGTGGCTGCTTGCCCGACAACCAAAAGTCAGGAATTGGCTCTTCATGCTGGGATAAGTGCGAAGCGTGATGATGATGAAGATTATGAGTAGCGACCTGGGAAGAGAATTTCGGAACTGCGTTCATACTGCTTGGCTGGTGGAGATGGACTGGCTGCTGGTAGCTCATAGGGTGGTGCAGCACGTCGGGGCCAGCTTGATTCGGATTTCGCAGGGCTTGGCTTTGAGGGGGACGCGTTTTCTTGCTCTTCCCTTTTCCAAAAGACTGTTTCAGCCGAGAAAGAAGTCCAGCTGATTTTCTTTTGGGCTCGTTTCGCTATTTTGAAATTAAAAATAATGTCCAGTAGTGAATGGTAATACTTACAATAAATGGCTGCTCATGAGAGGTACCCATCGCTGTGTGAGGTCTTTCTCGAATATGAGATGCTGAATTGTGGGATGTCATCAAAGGTCTGGTGGATGTAGGTCGAGTTGGTTGAGCTCTCTTCATATTCGGCGAAAAGTGACCGGGAGCTTCCCTGACTGATGGGTGATTTCTGTAGTCTGGAAGAGCAGGAGCTCCATTTGTTGAACGCTTTTCTCGATCGATCAGCTGAAGCAGACGCTCGTAGAGGCTGGAGAACGAAGGACGATGGTCAGGTTCCCAGAGCCAACACTTCTTCATGAGATCATAAGAGTCCCTTGGACAGTTGTCAGGCTGGTCCAATCTCTTTCCGTTTTCAAGCATACTGAAGACGTTCGCTATGTCGATGCCTGGATAAGGTTGTAGCCCGTACGAGCTGACTTCCCAAAAGAGAACGCCAAAAGACCAGACATCAGATTTGACAGAAAAGCGCTTGTGCGAGATGCCTTCAGGTGCTGTCCACTTGATCGGGAATTTCTTGCCCTGCGAAGCAGTGTAGATTTCGTCTGGGTCGACTAAACGAGAGAGGCCGAAATCAGCAACTTTCACTAACGGCTGGTCGCTACAATCGTCGGCTTTAACAAGACAGTTGCGCGCCGCCAGGTCTCGGTGAATGAAGTTTTCGCGTTCAAGATATTTCATTGCGTCGCAAATCTAATTCATTGAAATTAATTTTTTTATCTAGTTTTGGAGTTTGCTCTACCTGGAGAACAATTCTAAGTTGCACGGAGTGATTGATTGTAATCGGATTCGCGTTTTTAATGAAGTCAAGTAAGCTGCCTTGATTCATGAATTCGGTGATGAGCAAATACGGTTTGTCCCTCGATACGACGCCGATTAGCGGGAGTAGATTTCGATGACGCAGCTTTTTCATGACTGCCATTTCCTTGAGAAAATCGTCGGAAACTTGATTCTCGTCGCGAAGAGTTTTCATGGCGACGGCAATCGACGGCGTCCCATCCCTAGGGAGTAGGTTCCGCGATAGACGTCGCCGTATTGACCAGATCCAAGCCTGCTTTCTATGGAGACAAGTTGCCGGTCGATTTCCCATTCATCCAGTGGATCATTGTGGGCATTAAAACTGCGCCTAATGACGGGACAGCGAAGTGTTGTTATTAAGCCGTCAGGATTCTGCCGATGATGCTCTACTAGATCGGACAAGAACTTGAATCGATGGCTAGGAGTGATGTGGTACAGCCCGTCCACGTACTGAATCCTGTAGTGATAGATCGTGTCTTTCGATGCTCCTTCTCGCTCTTCATGTGCTCGTAGCGAGATTGAAAAGTGGCCAGCTTGGGTCTCAGAGTTTCTGATGAGAAAAGAACCGTCGACTCCACTGTCGAGCAGGATCTTTGCCTCTTCGCGATTGATGCCAGCGTGGAACCAGGGATAGCGAGCTAGATCTTCTTGTTGCCTCGATGGTTGCATGATATCGACGGAATTTATTGGAACAAGAAAGTTTCCCCGCTGACAACCATCATTCGAAGATGAACTTATGATCGTCACTGAATGCGACTTATAAAAAGGATTGATCAAACACAAGAACAAAATTACTTTCGTTATCATCAGCTCAGTAAAGCCTTTACTTACCGTCATAAGATCCACTTTGCTGCCCATTGACGAGAACTTTCGCTCCGGCGCTGATAACCTTCTGAAAATATCTGTATTTAAAAATGGACAAGGAAAATAAACACTCACATTTCCAGGGACAGGCACAGGCTTATTAATGATCCCATTGGCGGTCGCATGCAGCCGGGGAGCATGTTGATGGTAGCCCTTCCCTTGGGATTCAGGTTTCGCCGGCCGACCCTGAAATATCACTATAAAAACGCCACATGGACATCGACTTTTTCTCTAATTACAGTGAATGCCTAATGAGCGTGAATCTCTAGCGAACGAACCTGATTTGCACCCATTTAAGAAATCTTCATGTTCGATTGTGCGGATCAATCCTCATTGATGGCTCAAGTCGAGTCGATGGCTGAAATCAAAAAATAACAGCATCATTTTTATTGGGGCAGCGGAATCGATATTAACACAAAAGTTTTACAGTTAACTTATTCATATCCGTCGTTCAAGGCTGTAAAAAGAGGTAAGGAATAAAAACAGATCTGATTCGAAATTTCAATAGAGCGAGGTCAGTAAAAAGTGTCACAAGTCATCGAAGATGTAATTCACTAAAGGAAGATTAAATAAGAATGAATAGAATGAAAATTGCTGGCTTCAAAAATTTGCAGAAAATGAAAAAAAGTTCCAATGAGTTTTGAGAATTTACAGAAATGGCTTATTTACAACTGTAGATAGTAATAGGCGAATGATACAGAGAAAGAGAAACTATAGAAGAGCGTAAATTTAAAAATATTCTAGTGAGCGGTGCCAAAAGGATCATGAGCAGAGCCTCGATGATAATTATTTCGTCCAGAGCGAGAGTGTCCGGCTAAACGAGACGAACTCGTCTTTTTCGGTTTCGTATGGCGGTAGCTCATCCGCAGATTCTCACGAGAAGGATCGTTTTTGTCGGCCACGTCCCAGAGGCAACAGCGAATAATGAGGATTTCGACGAAGCAGTAGGCGAGGAATATTGATGAGGTTATGATTGCGGCGAGGAACGCTTTCCACATGAGAGGGTAGCAATAATTCTCTGGATATGCGTGGTTTTTGTCGAGTTCCGAAGTACGCTCGCCCTCAGCCGAGGCCAGAACGTAAATACCGAAAATTAACGGGGCTATGTTCAAGCAAAGAGCAGGAATGTTGAATTTGAACTGCCAATGAGACTTGTTACTGCTGTTATTCTTGCGCATTTGGATGCACCGCCCTGAAGAGTTTCGATTAAATCAAGCTAGTAAACGACTAGTCATACCGATGCAGAAAGCAGCAAGCGTGAAGAGTCCAGCGGCGATTGTTGCGTAGAAGTAGTAGTGCATCTTTTTGTCTTTGATGTAGGGACACTCTGTTGAAGTTTTCTCTGAAATGAAATGTCAACTCTGGTTCTCCTCGTTGATTTCAAGTTCCATTTTTATCTACTCCAGGTCTCGAAAAAACGAAGCCTGTCTCTATACAGGTTGCTGAGCCCAGATGTACTCTCACTTACTAATTACGAAGAGGGTCAAAGCGAAGAGGGAGAAAGCCGAAACGATAATGATTGCCCATCTGTTGATTCTTAAAATTGCAGGACATGCGTTTGAGCACCCCATTTTCGTCTCCACCGAAAAGAATTAGCACTCAATCTTAAAATAAGAGTGAAAAAGAATCTCCCTGTTTCTCACAACACAAGTTGTTTCAAGAAGGAAATAAATCTCTAACAGTTACTGACAAGCACACTGCGAGCATTTGGATAGCATCTCGGCTGAGTTGTTGAGGCGACGCTTCAACTCGGGGAACCGAGCTGCACCGGTCATTTCAAAGACAAGCGATCGACTGGTGCGAATCGACTTTTGTAACCAAGAGAGTATCAAAGGTAGTATCTGACTCTGGTTTCTCAGTAGTCGACAGCACTTTTGCTAGAATGTCTTTGAAATTATACAGAACGGCAGTGATTGGTCTGAGGACATCAGTGTGCACAGTAGGAGTGGTAAATGGGGAGTGAGTGAGAGAGAAATTGACCTAAATGAAATTAATGAACTTGACTTCCAAAAGAAAGGAAGCTTAGTTCTTCGCAAAGGAGAGCTTGATGGGACGATCTGGAGTGACTTTGAATCCTTGGAGAGCATCTTTGGCGCTAGTTGCAGCGCCGGGGTCCGCAAACTCGACAAAAGCTGAAATATTTTTCAATTGATGGCTGTCGTTAGTAACGACTCGTTACCTTTTCCTCCTGCAGGGATAGGTCGGCTCTTCTTGAAGCCAGGAAATTGGGAGAAAAGGAGATTGAGCATACTCTCGTTGGCCTCGTCGGGGAGATTTTCGACATAGATCGTCGCCGCTGGTTCCTCCTCTTCTCCACCCGTTTTCTTTTTGGCGGCAACTTTTGCGTTTGTCTCTGAAAATATCAGTTAAAAAAAGAAGTGAAAATGAGTATCAACCTTTGGCGAGAGTGCGCTCGTCCTTTGGAGGAACGTATTTCTTCGCTTGCGTGATCACGTGCGATTCTCTTTTAGCATACGAAACCATCATCGGCTTTTCGTAGAATGGAAAACCCTTCAAATATAAAGTCAAAAGACGTTCTCAATAAATCGAGCATTTACCTGCATTCTCTTCATCGCGTTCGCCGCATCTGAGATATCCTTGAAAGTGACAAAAGCTTGTCCCCTCAATTTCGGAGCCCTCGAAACCATGATGTCTAGTACCTAAAAAAAAACTAGTTATTGAGTAAGATAAAGTTGTTTTTACCATGCCATATGAAGAGAAAATTGAATACAGCTGTCTTGTAAGTTCGATTTTCTTGATTTTGTCATTGAGGTTTTTGATGTAAAGCGTATGGCATGGTGTTCCATCAAACATTCTAAAAAAAGAACGATTACTATTTGTCATTCTAGCTAAATAGAGTTTCAGCACAATTTGAAGCCCTTTTTCAGAGGAACGTGGGTGATGAGCGCCTTCTTCCAATCACTTGTCTCGTTGTATAAAGAGAGAATATCAAACACCTTCAACAAATCGGTGAGAAAGTCGCGACGGGCTATAAATCTGTAGCGCGGTTATTATTATTGCGATTAGTGCGCTCAACTCGCCAACGATATTTCTCGCCGTTCCTGATTCGGAGATAGGATGGTATTTTTCGCTCTTTGCCTATTCTTAGCATGTGAGTCCGCTCTTTCCAAGTGTTCCTCGATCGGAAGTCGCTTACAAACAAGTTGGTGGGACAGAGCGTCGTTCAGCGAGCGCTTATTGCTGTATGATTCATCCAGATCGCCTAATAATGGTTTAAAAATGCCCTTCTCCTGTGAACGTACCTCCTATGACATAGACTTTTCCCAACTCTACACTTTCCAACGGCTCATCCGCATCTGGGGACAAAACAACAAGTTCTTCCTTCGAAAAACAAGCTTGATGCCTCTCAGATTCAATTTCAAAGCCGAAATTGCTAAATCCCTCGTGTTGTCGCTCACATTCTTTGTACAGCAAATCATCTGAAGAGAAGGAAGTAAGAAAGATTTTCGCCGGCTTGGAGCTCTTCCGGTTGGAGCCATGTATCCTCGCAAGCTGGCCGGCCATTTTCTTCGTTTCCTTCATCTTCATTGATTTCGAGTACGACAGATCGATTGCAATTGTTAGGCTCAACTCTCGAGAAGCTGCGTTGAGTCTGTTTTTCTCTTCCTGAATTCGCTCTTTTTTCGAGACTCGTTCCTCGTCCTTTTCTTTCTCGCCTTCCTCCTTTTTTCGTTCCCTTCGTTCTTGTCTCTTTCGTTTCTTTTGCTCCTTCCGTTTCGCTTCTTGCTCTAGATGCCGCTTTTCGTTTCTGACCCGGCGTTCATCTGCCGTAAGCGTCGCTTGAGCCCTTTCTTTGCGGATGAAAGGTCCACACTCTGTAGGAAACTCCTTTCCCGCCCTAGCATTCCACTCTTTGAATTGTTCCAACGAGGAGCAAGCTTCCAAATCGAATGTTAGCTGCGGATTCTCTCGAAGCACCGATTTCCAAACTCGAAATAAAAATGTCTTCAAGCTGGACAAAGACGCTCCCCCGCAGTTTTCTTCAAACAAGGCGATGAACTCGTCGACAATCTGATCAATCTTTGCTAAAGAGTCAAGTAACATCTCTCATTGAGATATAATTTGTGAAACTCACCGACTGTTGGCAGAAAGATACCGGGATTTGAGAGGAGGCCCTCGGCAGACATAACTCCGTCGACTCCAGTTTCTCTAAAAGCTTCTTCGACATCTGAGAAGTATCGAATATTTCCATTCAAGACGACGGGGATGGTGAGCTTGTTCTTCACAGCTAAAATGTCATCAAGAGGCGCAAGAGATACAAGCCGATTTTTAACATTGTTCATTTGAACAGTACCCTTGATATGTTCCCAACTCGCTAATCCTGTCAATTCTTTCTTCTGTTCGATAGTTCTCCCATGTACAGTCAAGATGCTAAAACTAAATTTAGAACGACTCAAACTGAAAAAAAACAAACCTTGCGCCAGCGGCTTCGATCATCTTTTAAATGATTGCAAAAGGAAAATGGGAAAAAGAAAGGAAAATTATTAATTCGTTAGGAATTTTTGGTCTATAAATTCTTGTGGTAATTCATCACTGGTAATTACCAATGACTCAACAATGAAAAAATAAATTGGTTTCACATTCACACTCTTCCCTTAGCATAAGAAACCGTCTTCTCGATCTCCTCAAAGACGCGGATTTTCACTGTTATTGGATGAATTCGACTTCCTGCCTCTATCAAGCGGGCAATGAGATCCCACGACCCTAGCATCATGAACGCGCCGTAGCCACCGCGTCGTGCAATATGCTGCGGACAGCCGAGATTCAAATCTACGGCATCGCAACAGTCCTTTACAATCCTTATCGCTTCGACAAATAAATCCACGTCATTAGCGGCCATTTGAACGAAAACTGGTCTCTCTCAAGATCACCAACAATAATGTCTCAGGATCTCGCACCTGCAGTGACAAACCACTCTCCTGGGACTATCTCTTAGATCTGCTAGAACATTTTTCCGATACTTAGAATCGTTTACTATCAAATGAGCGTTGTGCATTGGCGTCCAACTAACATTAACGCCCTTGGAGTGAACGAGACGACTATGATCGCGGTGAGAATCAAGTTCGAAAAACTTCAATTGAAAAATTATTTTTTTCCGACCGTTTCCGAAAAGGGAGCCAGCTCAAATCGACCATCGGCGCACATGCTCTTATCCGCTCCCCTTCTGCGATACCCAACCAGCTCATAATAAAGAACACAACAGAATAACTTAAAATGTTTATATTTATTTGCTTCCGGGTTTAACGGAGGATGATTATAGAAGTCAGCTTGTTTTTAACAAACAGTAACGAAAGAAGTTGATCGGTAAACTTGGCACAGAGGAACTTGATTTTTTTAATATTCTAAGATTATAGTGGAACTGCGAATAGAATATCAGTACTTAGATAAAACGGGCTTGATCACACTGACAGGTAAATTCTAAGGCTACGATTGATTATAAATGACAACAAAAACGGAAGTAGTGAGCGAAATGCTTTGTCGAAACGATTTGACACAGACACACACAGTACAGTAACAGTAAACATTGTTTATTCTTCGTTAACGGTTTGAGCGAATAAATAAGGTTCAATCTTTGATTGCACAGAAAGATCAAGTGTCGGAAAACAAGTGTGAGTCGATGTACTAGTAACTGGTCGTTGTCAGGTTAATTTCCATGGGCAGGGTGGTTCTCAAGAGCCTTGAGGAAGTCGGCGACGGGTGCGCCTTCGTAGCAGCACTTGAACACAGAAGTGAACAATGGAAATCGCTCGGGCGAGATCTTCTTGTTCGTAAGCACTCCCTGAAGTTCTCGAGCTGTTTCGGGTCCCTTTTCAACGCGTTTTGAAAACGTTATCAACTATTGAAAATAGGCATGAAATAAACATTACTCGATACTTGAGCTAATGTTTTTAAAACACATCCCTGGAGTTTCTGACCGTTGAGCATTTCTTTCTCAAGTTCATCAAGGGACTTGCCGGTTTTGGCAAAGGCCTCGGAAACTTTTCGATTTCGGCCACCGTAGCAAGTGGTGATGAGATCGGCGACGCCGCAGGACTCCATGAATGTTTGGTTCTTTACTTCTCCTTCGGACAAGAAGACCTTGCAGAAGTCCATCATCTCCATCAAACCGAGACTAGAACGCGAGAGAATAAGGGGCTACTTCAAACTGTCTCCCTACCGGATGATAGCAGCTTTGGTGTTGTCGCCAAGACCGAGGCCATCACAGAAGCCAGCTCCACAGGCAACAATGTTCTTCAGAGCACCGCAAAGCTCAACAGTCTTGGGATCCTCGGAAATGGAGACTCGGAAGGTTGGTCGCTGGAAAAGAGCCTTGAAGGTCTAGAATGGCGTTAGAACTGGAAGTGATTGATTTTATAAGAACCTTGGCGTTTTCACCGAATCCTCCGACAGTCGACTCGCAGAACTGATCTCTGGCTACTTCGTTGGCGATGTTGGCGCCCATAAGAACAGAGACATCGATTCCCAACGCTTCTCGAATCTCGTCAGAGATGAGGCCAAGTCCGCTGTCGGTAATGTTGATACCCTTGATGAGAGAAATGGCGGCGGCCCCTTCTTTCACGTGACCCTTCATGGTTGCAACGGTTCGGGCGATGAACTAGAATTGCAAGTTTGTATTTGAAAGCGGCTCGGACGCGTACCTGATGGGGGATAACAAAGATAAAGAGGTCGGCATCTTTTGCAGCGTCGACGAGCTCTGGGACGGCGATGACATTTTCTGGAAGCTTGACACCGGGCAAGTACTTGACGTTCTCGTGATCTTGGTTGATAATTTCAGTGAGCTTTCGGCCTTCGACCATCTCTTCGTAGACCCACATGTTAACACTTAAGCAAAATATTAAAAAAGGAGATTAAAGCCAGCGACTTACTTTTTCTCGAAAAGAGGATTTGTAGCAGCGTTCAAACCGGCAAGTTTCGCAATGGCAGAGCCCCAGTTGCCAGAGCCAACAATGCAGACGCGCTTACCCATCGCAGTTCTGAAATAACGGAGGCTAGTGAGGGCGAGCATCTTTGTTGTATCGTTGTTGTGGATGTTACTTGTTCAAAAAGAGAATAATAAATAGTTAATGCAGTGAACTTAATCGTTGTGCCAAAGGGACATGTCATCGAAGTCTTGTCGTCGCGGCCTTTCGAGAGGTCGGGTGACGTATCGCCACCTAAAAAGTGTTAAGCGACTGTTGTTTCTCTAGAATCTCTACCAGAATGGTGGTGGCCCATCAACCTCTTTGGCGGCGGGGAAGTCGTCACTCAAGCGGCCTCCGGCAGCAATAGTGGCAGCATCGGCCTCCTAAAACAAATTGTAAGGAGGTAGTACTCAAATTTTGATAAAAGTTTACGACCGATTGACGAGCGAATGTAATTCGTTGCGCAAGCCTCACGAATAAATCGGCCCACTGCGTCTTACCTCGAGAGTTCGCATTTCTTCTTCCCAGGTGTCGTTTCGGAGCGCTTTCCATTTTTTGTAGTTGTCATAAATATCTGGATATCTAAAAGACAATAATCAAATGCTGAAGAATTGAAGGACCGAAAGGTACCTAGCCCAATCGTCAGCTCCCCAATCGTTGAGGACATTGTTTTCCTGCATCATATGAGCCCATCGCTGGAAAGACATGCCATCGGGCGAATCTGGGAGCTTTCCGTGCTCATCTGGAGCGTAGTGTTGATTCAGCCAGAACTCTTCTTCTCCATCTAATAAATCGTGTTCGATGAAACTCTCTTTGGAGCATTCTACTACCTTTAAGCAATTCAGTAGCCTTCGCCAGCGAGGTGACATGTTTGTTTTCATCAAATCGGGCACGTAGAACGGCGTGTTCAAAACACATAATGTGAGTAGATAAATACGGACGCATGACATAGGCGTCGACGTTGTGAGCAGAAATCGAACGCCATGCTTTTTTGTATAACTTGAGGACTCGGTGACGGTGGGGCAGGAATCGTGCCACTTGGTAGGCGGGCACGAACTGGTGACCGATGATTTGGCCACCTGCCTTCAAAGCAGCGTTCGACGACATATCGAATGTCTGAATTGAACGGTGATTTAACAATTACTGTAGCTCAAAAGGTCACATTATATTTGAAGCATTACGGGGTAAGTTGATTGAAATCTGAATTGAAGGGGAAAGAATTGTGTTTTTCTGGTGAACTTTATTGAAAAAAGAAGAGACATTGAATGTTAATTAGGCAGTCGGGCGGCGGAACTTAGTTGTACAGAATATCGTAGTGGCCTGGACGAAAGAGAAGAGAAATGCTTGCGTTTTCATTGAAGAAGTCGATAATCTTAAAATGGGTTACAACAGCACTCGTCAGAAATGGGTTGAACCTGTGGCTTTCCTTCGCGCTGCTCAAGACAGGCGACCCGGACGGGCACGCTTAGACCGGTGGATAAGGCAGTGATGACGACGTGGTCGATGTCGATTCCAAGAGGTTCCACATCCTTGCTCATTTATAATTTGATGATTTGAATAGATTTTTTACCTTTCTGCAGAAGTCTTGAACGGAAGAAACATCGGGCAAGAAGTTAATGTAAAAGTCAGGTTGCTGCTGCAGCTCTGCAGATGCGACTAGTCGTAAGAAACAAACGATGTAATTGGCAAAACCTTCATCGCTAGAATCCTTGTTAAAATGATCAAATAAAGCCATTTAAATACCTCATTGCGACGCGCAACTCCTCGCTCGTTTTATAATCACTGATTCCGTCGATGAAGTCGACGTTCTGCTCGTAAAAATCGTCAACAGTGACGCTCGGGTAGTTTTGCTTTTCTATCAAGAAATCGCGTGTCTTTTTGAATTGTGCTTTGAGCTCTTCTCGGCCGGATGCATTTCCCACAAGCGTCTCGAACAGGGCGAAAGAGAAGGCACGGTAGAAACAGTTTCCATCCGGGCGTATTTTGATGACGCTTCTATAACTCTCTAGCAGCATCTTTAAATTAATGGCTGGTGATAACGATTGAAAGAGAAAGAGAAACCTTGACTTGTTGCTGGAACATTTCGCTGTCGGAAAAGTCTTGAATAAGGGACTCAAGAGGGATTTTCTCGCCGATTAGTGGAATTGTTTCCGCAATTTGACGGTTGATGCTTTCACGTGCATTTATCGTTGCCTGATAGGCGCTTTTTCAAACTGATCAACATTATCTCGCATTTTAGACTTGAATTCGAACATGACAATTTCAAGCACTTTCCTGGTCTAACTGCTGGTCATCCATTCCGTCAATTAATGAGCCCGACATCCTTAAAAAATCCACTCGTTAGCTCAACTGTTGAGTATCTAACGTATCTGTGTCATTTTATTTAACTACAGTGAAAACTGTAACATGTAAAAGCTGTAGTGAGGGAAAGAAAATATGACAGAAGCTGAAGATAATAAGATCGGAAAAAACATGTTTCAAGTGGATGAATGGTATAGTAATTATCTGTTTCATTCGTTTTTTAAACGGGCTTGTAGTCCAACTTCGATTCCAGACGCTTCGACTCGGCGACTTTTCGTACAGCCTTGAAGTAAAAAGAGATTGTTGGTAAAGAAGAATAGTAATGGACTTACTTTCATCATATCTTCTTGGTTAATAAAGTCTCGCTCGGATCGAATTGCAAAAAGACCTGCTTCTGTACAAACGTTTCGCAAATCAGCTCCATTAAATGTATCTGAGAGCTTGACAACCGCCTAGAAAAAAATTGAAGAGAGAAAAACGCGTGAGCAAGATTACCTCGAAGTCAATTTCTCCGTGAGTAGCGAGTGGACGCGAGTGAATCTTCAAAATGTCAAGTCGTGCTTGCTCATTTGGCAGTGCTAGAATTGAGTTTAGATCAAGGATTGTCTAAGTGGGATTCATACGGATTTCAATCTTTCTGTCCAATCGACCAGGTCGCAAAAGCGCAGGATCGAGCGTGTCAGGTCTGTTCGTCGCCATGATCATTTTCACCTGTCCGAGCGCGTCGAAGCCGTCCATTTGATTCAGCAATTCCATGAGAGTACTGCGAGCGACATTTAGCTTTAGAAAAACAAAGTACAACTACCGTTGGATTTCACGATCAGCAGAGGTTCCTTCTGAAAAACGTCTGCCACCGATAGCGTCGATTTCGTCCATAAAGATAATGCAGGGTTGATGGTCGCGAGCGTAGTTGAACATTTCGCGGATGAGACGAGCAGATTCACCGATGTACTTGTCCACGATGGCAGATGATACTACCTAGGAAAAAGATTCTCTACAGTGAGTTTCTCATAAGATAAACTACCTTTAAGAAATTAGCGTCGAGTTGACTAGCCACAGCACGAGCAAGAAGAGTTTTTCCAGTTCCAGGAGGACCGTACAATAAGCAACCTGGTTTGAACAGATCAATGAAAGAAGTTGATTGTTTTGATTTACCTTTCGGAGGAGAAATTCCGACCCGCTGGAAGAGTTCTGGATTGTTGAGGGGAAGTTCGATGACTTCTCGAAGCTCGCGGACCTGTTCACCGAGACCACCGATTTCGGAATAAGAAATGTTGCCTGGGTCCTCGTGGGACATGTTGTAGACAAGCGGGTCGACTTCGCGGGGCAAGTAACGCATAATCGTCAATGTAGTCATGTCGAGGGCGACTCTGGTGCCAGCCTTGAGCTCGTTCTTGTCGACTTGTCGGCGGCAACCGACGACGTAGCGTGGCCCATTCGTCGCTTTGACGATAAACTTCTCGTCCGTCAGTTGTTTGAGCACTTCGCCGACAATCTGGCCGACCGATTGGAGCGCCTTGAGATCATTTTCCGACTTTTCGTACTCCTTTTGGAGATCCTTCTCTTTCTGGCGCGTATTCTTCAATTTCGACTCCAACAGCCGCGTTTCTTGCAACTTTCGCCGATAATTCTGCAGCGCGCGTTCTCTTTCATCCGCCATTTATCTTTTTGTTTCTGAAAAAAAAACGGTTCTTTTGATTTTTGGAATCAGGAAAAAAGAGGTTGAGCAGGGCTATTCAACAATTTTTGTTATTCACAGAATGATGATGCACGCACTTTTCGAATTTCTAGCGCAACGGATCATTTCTTGGCCAAAATTTATTTCTACCAATCTTCTGAATGGAGAAAATTTTTACGAGAATTACCATTTTTATTAATTAGAAAATTTTTTTAATTACAAATTCTAAAAAATCGCGATGAAATCAAATCTTCTTTAATTCCTTCGTCTATTCTCTTCTCTATGCTCAAAGACATTCTCGGAGGCATTCTAGAACTGCTTGAGTTCCCTGGCTAACGCAAAAAAAATAACAGCATTTTTAGAGTTTTCCCCTTGGCGCTCATTGGCCAGGCGCGCACTGGCCTTCGCCGCAAGATTGCGCTTCTAAAAAGGCTGATTTACCGACTTTTCGTCTTTCAGCTGGAATTTATACGAACATCATTCTATGTCTCTAAGATTTTATTCTTTTTTACGAAATTTAAATAAAGGATTAACTTATTATTTGTATATAATATATATTTAATAATATTGTCAATATTATATTGATTAGATTATATTTCTTTTTTTTAAAGATTATTTATCTAAATTAGAAAGCTCTTTTCAAATTGGAAGCTCATGTAAATTACATTTTGTTCCCTCGGAGAGCCGCTGATGATCGACAGCTTCCTAGAGAACGTTGTACTAAAAAGTAAGATGCAAAAATTTCGAAGTCAAATGTTCATTCTATCGGTATATAATTTGATTTTTCATCCCCGTGGTCGGAAGCTACCTGGTGGTGTGGGTAGCGGGTTAGTAGGCGAAGAAAGTCAAGTGTGTTCGAATCCCGTAGAGTTTAATCGCTCTTACTTCGTGAGGATTCCCGTTAGAAATATGTGCCAAACCAGGGAGCATGATGAAGAAATATTGTCTGCCCGGACATATTTCAAAGAATCATCGGAGAGAGCGTCTCTGACCGTCTGACGGGAGGAGACGCTGCTGACAAAGAAGTTGGTACGGAGGTTGCGTCTCCGTCTTCCCTGTTAGGGCGGCGGTCTGATTCTAGCGCCAGGCACCAGCAAAGCGGATCTCCATCTTGGGCAAATGGAGCTGAAGTTTATAAGGCTCTGGTCACATTGAACAGTTTCAGAGTCCCCTTGACTGCCAGTGTAGCTTGACGCTCAGGATACCTGGCACTAAAAAAAACTGTAAATCGATGATGAAGGATTCACCACCTTCGAAGGTTCTATCAGGTCCAAACTCCTTAGAATACTACCGTGGGATTACATTGTGGACACCCTCTGACATACATGTATCGTCTATGATGGAAACTACCGGTAGTATAGACATGGCAAACTGGTCCCTCCCATGTCCGATAGGAGGCGCCGCTTGATAGTTTTTTGCAAAAATTTAATAATTAATTAAACCAAATTTATGAAATAAATGATGACAACTAACTCTTGTGCACGGCGGGCTGTGACTGAATTCTGAAAAGACAGACAAAAGTTGGGTTTGCCATTTCAAAGAAATTTGAATGTCATCACAATTTGGGCCTCCATGGCAACCAAGTAGTTGTTGCAAAAAAGACTCGAAATGATCAAAAGTGTTTTCACTTCTGCCCCTGAAGATGTACACCACCAGTCATCAGAGAGAGTTCCAAGCTATTCAAGGTAGATCTGTGCTCATCTGGATAGAGACGAAATTTAATTCTAGCGCGCAAAAGCGCTCCACTCAGGCCGGCCACCACTGAATTCGCAGCTCAGCGCCCTTATAAAGGAATTTTACGAAAAAAATGATAAAAATTGGCTAGAACGCTGCTTTATTCATTATTTTCTAAAAGTAAAAAGTCGATGATGCGCTCCCGACAACGACAAATGGCGAATATCACAACCAAAAAGAATACGTAGCTCATGAACCAATTCGCTCTGGGACAGCATCTGGGCAGCGGAACAACAGACCTCATCCTGAGTAAGCAATCATTTTTCGTGTTCCGTAATTAAAGAAATCAGCCAAATGTTCATGGACCACCACCAACGGCCGATCGAAGACGGTCTCGGAGACGGAGACTCAGAGGCTTTCAGAGCAGCCATGAAGGCTCAATTAAAGAAAAGATTGAAGCTCGTGGAATCATAATTTGATTGATATTTTCATTTTTTCTAATCTTCAGAAGTCTACTTACCAAAAAAGCTTTCTCGGCATGACACCTGGAGAAGATCCGACAAAGAACCTCGTTCACATCTCTGGAAGCGGCGGAGCTCCGAGGACGATTAATACAGAATCCAGGTAAAGTCAAGCGGATTCGATGAAGACATAGAAGAATCTGCTCTATCTGAAAGTTTTCAGAGAAAACTACACGCAACTAACACTTGATGGGCGCATCAAAGAGAGCCACACAAGATACGGTTGCAACAAGAAGAAACACATTCCTGCACGAGGAGCTGTTCCTGGTCGTGTCCCAGCTCAACCTCTTGTTCACGCTACACAGGTGAAAGGCGATTCGAAATTCTAAGACAAGTTCTATTCAGCCAACAATCGAACCTACTCCAATGTATCAGACGCAGTTTTGCGGCGTTGGCGAGTCCAAGACTTTATCAAAAATTTACTGATTCTCAATTCATTCGCGAAAATAAAGATCGAAAGCAATCTGGACACTTTTTCATTGCAAAGACTCTTCCTTGATTTCAACTTGATTTTCTACCTAAGAAGAATAAATCTAACAATTTTAACAAATAAATTTCGATTTGATTTTTTTATTCAACAATCGAAAAAAAACACGAAACGATAAAGGATGAAACAGGTAGTGCATAAAATTTACTTCTTCTGTCGCTTGAAGGGATTGGTAAGTCGAAACTTGGCCTTTTCCTCTAGGGATTCTTCCCAGGCGACAATGTCGTAGTCGTCCAAACAGTCGAGTTCCTTAGCAGATCGGATTCGAGAAGAGACTTTTGTGTTCAGGGACGAGCTGTTTGGAGGTACCATGATTTCGTTGATCTCTGTCTTGGAGAGCTTGTTGCGCATCGATTCTCTCAGCTTCCTGATCCGGAGCTTCTTGCAGATCTTCTTCTTTAGCCCCTTGGCAGACGATCGCAGAACACTCTTCGATGAAGTTGTCGATTTCTGCGAAAGCGAAAGGATGGACCAGTCCGAGCCATTTTCGGAAAAAGCGGTGAAGGAGAATCGTTTCTCGTTTTCGATCTCGGAGATGATGCTTTCGTTGAAGTGGAGTGGGTAGGCATAGACGGATGGCGTAGAAGTTCGCTTCATTGCTGCTTTTGAGTTTTAGTAGTGAATTGAGGAGTAAATGTATATTTTGATGGATGACTGGATCCGGCTTGCGGTTAAATATTCAACACGCTCCTTGGCGACATCGGATTGTTACGCAGAAGATTGATGACTTTACTGAGATCCAACGTATGCTGATTTCACGATGAAGAAGCAGACGCTAGACAGCTGCTTCCGAAAAGGGGAGCGCGGCGACTTCCCTGATATCTACACCAGCCGCTTGTCAGATCTTCTTGCAATTGAGACTCAGCTGCAGATGCTTTCCAATTGCTTCGCAGAAGAAACGAAAAACATGTAAAGTTTAAACATGTTAAAACATTGTAAACTGTGTGTTTTTGACAAATTGTCATTATGTTATTTTGGATGCTATTCCAAAGCAATAAAAGAAAAGAAAGCTTGAAGCAGAAAATCACATTCATATAGGAAGTCAGCATTATGCAAATCAGATTCTAGTCGATTAAGAGTTCTTTGCATAACTGGGGCATTGTCAAAATATATTGCCAATGCAATCTGCTTTTTACATGCATAAACAAAAAAAAAAACATATAATGTAAAGTAAGTCTTTAGATTTCTCTCGTTGGATATTAAGATTTTTTCAATTACGAATTCTAAAGCCCCTCTGGAATTTTGATCAGCCTGCTGTTTCAAAACATTTTTTGACGTTTAGTTTATCAAAAATGATTCTGCTTCCGCCATTTTATGGTTTAGCTTTCTATAGTAGAGGGACTGTAGGGCCCTGCATTTGCGAATGAAAACTACAATCTTTGTAGTACAAAGTGATAAGCAGTTTTTGGCTCTCGTGTTTTTAATGAAAATAAAGTGAACTTTGCGACATAATAGATGAAGTGATCATGGATAGTATAATTCTAGGGTCTTTCAAACTGCCTTTATAGAGTTCCTTCTCTGTCAAGTGTTAGCTCTAACTCTATTTAGCAGTTAGTGTTCAATTACTAGATGGAACTCTTTCCTTGACAGGCGGAGTTGTCTTCAGTTTAAACAGAAGCGACTTCATTCTATCCTTGTTCGTCTCTTTTGCCTGTCGACTGGCATTGAAGTCAATGAAGTCACCGATCTGCTGCCATGCCTAAAAAGTTATTTGTGATTACTTAACCTTTTAATGCATTACCTTTTTTGGGTCGTCGAGGGAAGGTGGCTGGGAGGCAGTAGAAGTTCTATTTTGGTTCTTGCGCTTTTGATTTTCAGCTTCGTAAGTTCTGAATATTTAGATTTTAGCCAGTGCTTGCTACTACTTAATCAACTTGTAAAACTCGTCGATCTGTGACTTGGCAGTGGACTTCCATTCTTCAAGGTCACTGCTTTCTTTGGCGTCAGTTTGCGCGATTCGTTGTTCATTCTCTTGTCGCCATTTTCGGACGCTCTCGGACTCGCTGTTTAGTTGTGAAATGCGCTCATCCGCCAGGTTCATTGAATTGACGATTTGCGAGGGGTCTGTTCGAGTTTCTGGCAATTCAGATGGCGCCGAACTCAGCATGCCTCGAAGAGCATCTACAAGAGTTTCCAAAATTAATCCGCGGAAAATTAAAAAAGATCGGACAAACCTTCTTCCATGATTTCAACCGGTTCTTCAGTTGCAGCTGCGGGAAATTCACCGGCCAAATCAACAGGGCTTTCGCTATCTTTTGAGGGTCGAAAAATTAATTACTTATTATTGAATTCTAACTAATGCTACTGTATGAACTCGTACCACATTCCTACGGTCAATTCTTCGGGTGCTTCATTGATATCTGCAACCGCTGCTACTTCACCTCCAAGAAAATCAGCAGCTGGGTCAGAAGCAACCGCAGCTGGCTCTGAAGCAGGGGCAGAATTCTCTGGCGCTGGGTTGAAAAAGTCGTCCATTTGAAGAATTTCTCTTTTTTTTAGAATTCGCGGTGCTTGTTCGTGTTGGCGGTTTCCTTCAAATCGCACTTTTGTCACAAAAGAAAACAAAAAAATGCTCTCGCTCGAAGGGTAAATACGCGACAGAATCAGCTTCTACAATCGAACTTGACTCATGATTCGTTAATGCGCGTAATTCATTTTTACGTTGTAGATTTTCTACATTTTGGTTTATCCAATTTCTAAGGTTCTTTTACACTAGTTTATAAAAAATGATCCACAATAATTTTTGAGCAACCGAAAAAATTGTGTGTTAGAAATAATTCTCTTCCTTGATTCCCAAAAAAATGGCAAAAAGGTTTCGGCGCTCATCTGAATGCCCCGGTCGAGTTGTTGTGCCAATGTGTCCAAACTTCTGAAATAGGCTTCTCTCGCTTTCAGGTAACACCAGTCTAGCCTGTTCCTGAGAAGTTCAAGCGTCTCGGCGTCAGTGGCCGGAATCCGGCGGCAGTGGACAAACGGGTGAGACAAACCGAAACCCTGAAAATCTTGCGAAAGTCGCTCCCTTATAAAGCGATTTTCGAGTTTTCGCAAGGGCTCCTCCCTTCAGATCACTGATTTTAGAGATATCTATAATCTTCGATCAGAAGGAAGAGGCGCCCGTGGTAAAAAAAACCCAAAAATCGCTTTATAAGGGTGCGAGTTGCGGGAATTTTCAGGGTTTCGGTTTGTCTCACCCGCTTGTCCACCGCCGCAGATTTCCGGCCCTTGACGCCGAGACGCTTGAACTTCTCAGGAACAGGCTAGACTGGTGTTACCTGAAAGCGAGAGAAGCCTATTTCAGAGGTTTGAACACATTGGCACAACAACTCGACCGGGGCATTCAGATGGGCGCCGAAACCTTTTTGTTCCTTTTTTATCAAAATTAATCTTTGTTTAAATGAATGTACAGGGCAAATACAGGGTGAGGTCAGTGACGTTTTATCTCAAATAAAGTCGGACAAAAGATGAGCGTTGTTATTCAAAGGAGTGTCATAATCTGACACTCAAAAAATTTATTCCATTTATCGGAATAAATCAAATTCAAATTGTTTTTACCTTCGTCAACGATGGCGAAGCGACAGCCAGAGAAGGACCAGATTAGGAACAGGTGTGAACAAGTGTCTCAAGATGAAATTTAAAAGGTTTAGAAAAGGTTTTCATCTGCGAGTAGAATCGACGAAGTCCAACTAGAGCTGGGCGAAGTCAAGAGCGACGAACATGGAGAAGTTCACTTTATCAGGCAAGACGCCTGCGATATTGCCTGGTCTAACTTGGTCGTCAAGGGGAAGGGATTCTCCAAAGAAATAATCAAGAACATAAATGGTTATGTTCCAAGAGGGTCTTTGATGGCGATTATGGGCAGCAGTGGTGCTGGCAAATCAACCCTGATGAATGTTTTGGCCGGTCGTAATTTAGGAAACCTAACTGTCGAAGGCCAAGTCTCTGTCAATGGCCATCTAGTCGAAGATAACATGCCAGGAATGGTGCTCAATTTAACCTCTATCGCAGTTCTATCCCCTTAGATCTTTAATAGCTAACTATAAAATTCTCACCTCTTTGCAGAAATATCTGCGTACGTTCAACAAGATGATATATTTATTGGCTCAATGACTGTGCGAGAACAATTGGTTTTTCATGCCGCTCTCAGGATGTCACATAAAACAAAGTCCGAGCAAATTGAACGAGTTGAACACGTGATTGAGCAAATGGGCCTGACCAAGTGCAAAGATACCGGTAATCACCACTTCTTTCCCTCTCTTTAACTTACAGTCACTCTAATCTACTCAACACTCAACCAACTTAACCACCTCAAGAAAAACAAGACGACAACATATGCTGCTTTGATTTTTTTTCTTCATCGAAGCAGCATATTTATGCAGCATATTTATGCGAAATTGATTTTATTCAGGATTTGCAGATTGCAGGTGTGGTGCGTTCTGCACTTTTTGTAATTGAAGTAGTAGGTTTTCTACTTTTCGGAAGAGTCGACAGAATTTTCTTCTAAATTAAAGATCTTACTTTATTATAATAGATTATTATATTATTATTAATAATCAAAAAATCGTTTAATTACCTGATAAACGCTCTCTTTCGGACGATCAAGCTCCAACATTGAGTTGAAGACAAATGAGAAAAAATAGAAAACAAGCATATCTTATCTCGCGTTCTAGAGACCACTCGACTTTTTCGCGAAGTTTTTGTTTAGTGATTGGGATTCCTGGAATGTCGAAAACAATTTCTGGTGGTGAAATGAAACGTCTCTCATTTGCGACGGAGATTCTTACCGACCCGCCGATAATTTTCTGTGACGAGCCGACTTCTGGTTTGGACTCTTACTTGGCAGAAACTGTCATTAGAACTCTAAAAACACTCTCGCAGAGTGGCACGACGATCTTATGCACAATCCACCAGCCAAGTAGTCAGGTCTTTGACTTGTTCAGTCACTTGCTGCTGCTTGCGCAGGGCAAAGTCGCCTTCCTAGGCCCGACCGCCAAGACTCCAAAGTTTTTCGAAAAAATGGGCTTTCCCATTCCGATGAATTTCAATCCCTGCGACCACTACATCAACCACATCGCACTCATCCCGGGCAGAGAAGAAGAGAGTTACAAGAAGATGGACGCAATTTGCCAGCGATATTCAATCACTAAAACGGCGAAAAAGAACTTGAAAATGGTCGATGCCCTTAGCGGCCGTTTCGCGTCTTCAGAAAACATTCCTACAGATACGAAACGAGCATCGTTGTTTGTTCAAATGCGCTGGCTTCTGTGGCGAGCGATGATATCACATGTAAGCTTCTTTCGCTTTTGAAATTTGCACTGAGCTGTCTTTCTTTAGTACAGAGATACTACATTTGCAGCGATGAAAGTCTTTCAAAATCTCGGAACAGCGATTTTCATCGGTCTCTTATTTCTGCGCATTCCATGGGATTCTTCTTACGACAGGAACAGCGCACAAACCGTCACCTCCGCCTTATTTGTCATGGTTACTTCCTACTCGATGTGTTATCTGTTTCTTGTTTTAATGGCTTTCCCTCTTCAAGTGCCAGTAATAAGAAGGGAACATTACGGCGGGCACTATACTATTTTTGCCGCGTTTTTCGCAGAAGTGCTCGCAGGAAAAGGGTTAAAATAACTTTATTAAAAAATGAATCATGGAAGCTCGTTTCAACCCAGAATCCCAAGGACTTCCGTTTTTCATCGTAATGCCTCTCTTGTATACAATTATAATTTATTTCATGTGTGGATTCGCGGCCGATGTCAATACTTTCTTTTGGTGCTATCTGATCAACGTATTCGTCGCGACTGCTTGCACTGGGTACGGCTATTTTATATCTGCTCTCGCTAGAAACGTAAAAGAAGCAAACACTATAGGTAGGTTTTTTTTTCTCCGTTGCCATTAACTTTTGAACTTTCAAGCTCCGTCCTTGTTGATTCCATTATTTTTGTTGTCTGGTTTCTTTATTCCGGCGAAACAAGTTCCCATTTATTTTATTCCTTTTCAGGTAAAATTGGTTGATTCAAAATTTCTAAAATTAAAAATGCCTCAAAAGTACATATCGTGGTTTTACTACGGCGTAGAGAACATGGTTACGAACCAGTGGGTCGATTCTAGCATTTGCATGAGTCTCAATATTTCCCAACTGGATATTCCCATTCCCGAAGGTAATTTTCAACTGCCAAGTCTTTGATTTATTAGATTTACTAAGACTGCTTCGACTTTTCGGGAAGTTTGGATGGCGTCACATTTCCAACCGTTCCGCCAGAGTATGTCACGGGCATCCCCATTCCAGGGGACTTTCCCTTCCCCACTGGCGTTCCGGAAATTCCATCGCCCGAAGATCTTTACGACCAGTTCGTCGAAGGACTCATCAACTCGAACTCGACATGCATCAACAGAGGAGAGCGCTGTCCCGACAGCCGACCAGTCGAGTTCGATGGGAATCTGGTGATAGAAGCGCTCAACTATGAGCCCGAAAATTTCTCGAGAAATAATTGGCTCCTGGTCTTACTTTCCGTTGTTTTCAGAGTTTTAGGTATGTTGTATTTTGGGTTAAACCAATTATGGAAGGGAATTTTAGGATTACCAATAAGATTGCTGTATTTGGCCAACAGGCCAATCAAAACCCTGATCGCCCTGATTTTATGGATCAGGGTTTTGATTGGCCGGTAGGCCAAATACAGCAATCTTATCGGTGATCCAAAAATGCACTTCCATAAATTGGTTTAGTCCATATTTTTTAACTAATAGTCCTCAAACTCAAGTTTTAGCGTACGGAGTTCTGGCCTATCGATTCCGCAAGACTAACCGATGAAACGTGTCATAGTTCTTAACTTATTCAAAATTTCATGAAAATAAATCCTTCAAAAATCAGAACATCAGTTCGCTTCCGACAACGAGCGCAGCAGGGAATTACTTTCAAAAAGGCTTTCATTGTTCTCGCTCGAGAATACTGAAGGTAGAAACAATTGTCTTTCAAAAATCTTGACTGTTTTGGCGTCCTCTTCTTTTTTCAAGCGTTGTTTTTATTTGTGTAAAAATTGGGCACATCTGCTCGCAGTGGCGCTAATCCAGCGTCACAGGACGCTTCTCTCGATATTCTTCAGGGGCTCTTGATTTTCCAACGTCATGATTCATGGTCGTCGACAAGAGAAATGCCGCGTACTTTTGTGCCTTGCAGATATTTGGTTTCATTATTTACGGCGGAGTCTTGCGACAGAAAAAATTTCTCTTCGATGACAGGTACCAATTTTCAAATGAGAGCGCAGTGGACATAACTCTTAATTTTTTCTCAGGCGAGCTATTGAAGAAAATCTAGCTCTTCGAGCTGATTTAAACCCTCTTTATCATCTGGCGCTCTACGATTTTTGGGGAGCTCCGATACGCTCTGAAACAAGTACTCATAGTTGGAGGCCGTTAGTCTCGCTCTCTTTCCGATTGCAGAAGTCGAATCTTTTTTGGATGCATTTCTTCAACATATTTCTTCATGCAACAAATGCATTTTTATTCGAACGACTTTCCCAAAAGTGCCTCGACACGGACTTTGTTCCCCACATTGGTGGATTTTTATTCCTTTCGTATCCAGTCATGTCGGAAGCTGTCTACACTCTTGTTGGCCGCGCTGACATGCTCGTTGCCACCATTCTGCTGGTGTTGCTCGGCCAAATCGCGAATGAACCGCAGAATGAGTGGCTCATGCTGGCCGCCGCGGTCGCGACGATTCCAATAAAAGAAACTGGCTTGATCCTGTTTCCTCTTTTTCTTGCGAGCCAATTCTTGCTCCATCGACAATCGGCAAAATCGGTCCAAGTGCCACTAGCACCTCTGGCAGTCTTCGTCGTTCTCGCAAGTTGTCGCATTATGCTCACACGCGTAAATGTGGCGAAATTCAGCCAGCTGGATAACGATTTACCTTCCCGCGTTCATGCACTTGGATTGATCTTCGAAAACGTAAGACAGATGGTTTGCCCGATCTCGCTTTGCCACGACTGGTCAAAAGGAACATATTCTTTCTCGGAATGGAACTGCCTTGGTTCCTGTCTGATAGCGATTCTCGTCGGAAAATTACTTTTGCATGGCGATAAATGGACGAAGACGAGTATTCTACTGAGCGCATTTCTGTACCTTCCCTCTTCCAATCTCATATCATTCGTTGGATTTATACGAGCAGAGAGATGTCTCTATCCGGTTTCGATTGGTTTCCTTCTCTTTGTTCTAAGAATAACGAATGAAGCAATGAAAAAGGCAAATCTTTCAAAGTAATAGTTTTGAATTTTAAAATTTTCTTAAAAATGATTTTCAAGGTTTTCGAAGAAACTTCTGCATCTAAGCTGGATAGTAATATTCTCAGCGAAGGCACATATTCGCGGACGCGCTTGGTTGGAAAACGAGCTGATCCTTTCCGAAACAGCTGCCGCGCTTGGCTCGGTGAAGTCAACGGTCAACTTGGCGTTGGCTTACGCAGATCTGGGCCAGTTGGAGAAATCGGAAATTTTGATGAGAAGCGCGCTAAGCCGGCATCAGTCGGCGGACATGTTCTACAACTTCGGAAGCATCCTTTTCGAGAAGAACGAAAGTGCTCGCGCAGAGAGCAGCTTCCAAAGCTGTCTCCGACGTAAAAGGAGCCATCCTCTTTGTCTCCTCAATCTCGGTGTTCTCAACGAACGAAGTGGCGAGAAAGATAAAGCTCTGGGATTTTACGAGAAATGCTTCACGAATTCTCGCAGATGCCGGTTCAACCTTGGAAGAATACGATTTCAAGAAGGAAACTACAATCGCTCGCTAGAAGTGCTCGAATATCAATCTGACGCCCGGGCACTGGTGGTCGATTACAATAACCACGAGCGTGCTTCTTACTTCAGTCTCTTGGCAATAAACTATTTGAAACTGAATCAAAACGATAAAGCCAAATGGTGGTTGGAACGCGCTCTCGCCGAAGACCCACTGCATAAAACCTCACTGCGATTAAAAAACTATTTATGATCAAAAATTATTTTTGTACAGTATTTAATTTTCAAATAAAAAGTTTGCTGATAAAATGTCGCGAATTTTATCAAGAGTGCCCCTGGACTAATAAGAAGCAGGAACAGTCTCTAGAATCTTGAGACAAAAGATGCGATCTTGCCAGGACTCGAACCTGGAATCTTCTGCTCCGTAGGCAGACGCGTTATCCATTGCGCCACAAGACCGGCTGTTCGAGCACCTTTCATGTGAACTCTTATCATCATGTGAAGACGGCGAAATTCGAACCTTTCAATCTGAAAAAATCGAGAAGCCGCTTTCAGTCACGTGTCGAGAGTTAAATTAAGCCGCGCTGTTAACTCTTTTTTTTAGTTCGAACTTAGCCGCAAGCGGCTTCTCGATTTTCAGAAAAATGAAGTTGTTTTCGCCCTCCTTTCTTTTATTTTCGGCTAAAATGTAGAGTCTTCTGAAAAAAAGGGCGCGAAAAATAATTGATTGATTGGTTTTCAACTGTTATAAAGAGCCACCTTTTTTATCTTTCTAAATAGTGCAGGGCAGAAAGAAAAAATGACAGATGGTCCCTGCCGAGTGGCAAATTTATCACTGTCCGAAAGGGCGCTCTTCTGATTTTGGAGAATAGAGGTCAGGGTCAGGGTTTGAAATTTGAAAAGTGAGCACGAGCTCGCGTGAGCACGTGGGTCCTCCAAATTCAGTGAGCATGAGCACTGCTCATGAGCAGCTCGTGCTCACGTGCTCATGGGCAGCTCATGCTTACGTGCTCATGAGCTGGTAGTGAACCTAGAGTGAGAGGGAAAACAATATCAAATCAATAAATAATATAATTCATCAAAATAAAAACTGATCCACTCATACTGTTCCGCATATTCAAGACATCAGAGTTGCAAATCTGCTGAGCTGAGTGAGCTGAGCTGGCTGAATGCGCGGTCGCTCAGCTCAGCTCAGTGCTTTTCCAAAATGATTTAATCTGCTAAGCTCAGCTCAGCTCAAACAATTTTCGCTCAGCTCAGCTAAATGATTTTCGAACATGATCTGTTCTGCTCAGCTCAGCTCAGCTCATACAATTCTCACTAAGCTCAGCTCAGCTAAGCTCAATGAATTTTACGCTATTTTAATAATAAAAATACAGTAAAAACAGCTCAGCTCAGCTCTAAATATGGTCTGCTCAGCTCAGCTCAGCAGAGTACTTCCTAATTAAATTTCTCCTGATTGATGAAAAAGGGGGAGGAGCGAGTCTATTGGTCCAGTAAGAGAAAACGTGCATTCATGCTAATTTCTGTCGAGTTGCACTCTGCATATTCCAGCTCATTAAAGCTCCCCGCACGCGAGATATAAAATAAAAGGCAGTGGCCCTTTTAGATTCGCATTCAAGATATGCGTAGAACTAAAGAAGCTGCCCGAGTTTAAATTTTAGAAGCGCTGATATCATTCAAATGCAGGAGCAGCCCATTCCAGCATGCGCCCTTTTCCGGCCCAAGTTCTTTCGTGCACCTTTTGACGTAACCGAACAGACCAAACTACGATTAATTTTCGCCATTTATCATTGTACTAAGTATATTGATAAGCTCAGCTCACTCAGCTCAGCTCTTATTAGGTTCTGCTTAGCTCAGCTCAGCTCAACTACCTAAGAAAAGGTCAGCTCAGCTCAGCTCAATGACCTCTGAAAAGGGGCAGCTCAGCTCAACTCAGCTCAGCTCAGTGAGCTCCGAAATAGACCAGCTCAGCTCAGAGAATTTCTCACTCAGCTCAGCTCAGCGAAAATAAAGCCACATTTGCAACTCTTATTGATTTGGAAATATTGTTCTTGCATTTTAACGGATTAAATATACATACAGACGGTATTCACTATATAGACGAAAATAAATATGAAGGGTGAAACGGAAAAATGAAGAATTATAACTTGAAAATTTCTAAAATTCTTGGATCAACAAGAAAAGTTCAAAGATAAGAGGCGCCTGTCTGCGGTACTCTTTTTCGCGCCGAGCTACAACATTGTAACTTTTGATAAGCGCCGTAAGCTAAGTAAGAATCCCGGCGACGATATAATCTGCAGCGGTGATATATTCTATATCATCATGCTACACAGCTTATCTCTTTTTATTTTTCACGACAAGAGAGTCGCCAAAATAAATTTCAAATTTTCAAGATCGTCTAATTCAATTTATGGCGGTTCATTACGTTGAAAATCGAGGGGAAAAATTATAGATTTTATTAAATAAAAATTCGTAATTTTAAGTTTTTCTATTATTTAATTTTCGCTATTAAAATTTACCAAAATGGAAAATTTACAATATAAATTCTTCTCAAAAGAGTCTTCAAAATAAATCACCGAATACGGAAGTCAGCTGGATTCATTTACATCTAAAATTGAAGGTGTCCCTTTCCCACCCATCCCGCACACATTCGTTCAGCAGCACTGGCCAGAGTCGAGATAGGTATATAAACTTCCGTGTTTCAGCGCGAAGAATATTCACCACGAAAAAAGTGAACAGATGAAGTTTCTTTCTGTTTTTGGACTTGCTCTTTATGGCGCCGTTTGCTGCAGCAACATCGCTAGAAATGCTCATGAAATCGGTCTTACGCCAGAGGTAAACGATTTGAGAAAGAATAAAAGCTACATTTTGAAAAACTAATACAATTAGGAACAACGATTCTTCGACCTGCTGAACGACCAGCTTCAACATCTCAGGAGCGGTAAGTTTCAAAAACTAGTGTTTCTGTTCACCTGGGTTCGTCAACCTGTGTTGAAATCCTGAGTCAGGGTCTTGAAAGATCTTTGATGAAATAAATTGGTAATTTCAAATAACTTATTTGGAAAAGCCGCTTCGCGGCTACCCTGAAGAAAAGCCGCTAATTTCCATTTGAGATCTTTCAGGACCCTTACTCAGGATTTCTACACAGGTTTCTGAGCCTAGAGTTTTATCAAAGTAAAATGATAATTTCAGTTCGAGCGGAAATGCCCTATCGACGGTATCCAATCTCTCCACTTTTCTGAACCCTACTGTATGTCAAAAAAACTTTTTCGGGAATAAACCTTCAATTCGAGCAACAGCGCGATTTTCGTCTGCAAAATTTAGCACCGCGCGGTACAGGCGGCGCCGGAGAGTCCCAGCGCTCGTCCCGGTCACCCGCTTCTCCGTTTCATTAAACCCAATTTTGATAAGTAGCGATATTAAGCTTGGGACTGATTTTAATTTGTACAGAGAAAAGAAAACATTTGTAAAGAAAATGATGAAGCAGTTGGTCTTGCTGTTCGTTTTAACAGCGAAATCCAGGATAGAGGCGACTTCGGTTCTGGGCTGCAATTCTAGCGGAAGAGGTGGCGATAATGCTTTCTTTGGAGAGACGAAGGTAAAGAATATATATTATTACTAACTTAATGATTTATCTGATTATTTTATTATTTTAATTATATTTATTTGTTTTATTCTATATAATTATATTTTTATTATTATTTTTGATATTATCAAATTTATTTTTATTATTAATAATATATTATTATTTTATTTATTTATTTTTTTTGCGTAAAAAAAATAAGTTTAATTCAATTTTTCATCGTTTTATTTTTAACTTATATTAAAATATAAAAATTGTAAATGATGGAGGCTATTTTGCTTTTGCCTTTTTTGCTTGAGTTGTGAAAAATGAACGTAAAAGGGAGAAAAGACCAAAAAAAAAGCTCCAGGAAAATAGAAGGAAAGCAACTTTCTAAGAGCAATTTTGCGAGGGAACTTGTTCGAAGCGGTAGTTATCAAATCGAGTCCCGTCTGGATTTCCTTCACTCGAGATTAGCTAATCCAGCCTCCTAAAGAGAGATCTGCCCACTTCCAGTATTTTGCTAGGAATTTAATACGTCTAGATTTAGCGCGAGCCCGGCAATTTTGACGAGTTGACAGTTTTTCTTCCCTAATTTAATCGACAAGGAATTGATGAATTTACTAAAACAGGTTAATTTTAAACGAGTCATTTTAACCTTCTCAGAATATTTTCCCAAAAAGTTGGTGTTTTTGTTTCGTTCGACAGTCGAACTTCGACTATTAATTGGATGCGTTATGTAAACTGCGTCTAAACAAGTAAAAAGAGAGTTTTGAAGAGGCTGCTGGTAAAGTATAGAATACGCGGCGCATCGAGTGGATCAGTCCTGCCGAGAACTGATAAGGCTCGCTGCAAACGTAAGACGAAAAAAATTGTGCCACTCAGATTAGACCACCGCTTTTTATCCCAAATCCACTCCAACCCAGCTTTGTTCACGCGAATTACCGATTTTCCTCGACTAAAAACGTGAGTCGGAATTCCAAGCTAGAAATTGAAAGCTTGTAAAAATCGACGTTGACACCCTTAAGGTCTATAAGACCTCTTATCAAAAGCTGCTTAAAAATTACTCTCCAATATATTTTATTTCTGGCCATTTCGTATAAGCCGCATTTTCATTAAAGATCTTTCGAGCCCTGACTCAGGTTTTCTACACAGGTTTCTGAGGCTGTATCTGTAAAAAAACTATCAGAAATTATTATTGCTGACTCATTTCACAATGCAAAATTCTAAATTCAAACCTATTTTAGTTATTTTACGCAAAATATGCTAAGTATATTGTGCTCGAGATTTCGCCTGTCTGAACGACTAAAGACTTCTAAGCAGTTTAATACGTGCTCAGTTTTTGAAAATGCAGATTTAAAGCGAGCCCCGGAGTTTGCCACTCACAATCGCACTCGTTAAGAACCGGATTATGGATGACGAGAGAGTTTATTTTTTTTAACTTTTTGCAACTCATTGTCTTTTTATGCGAAAAAATTGAACGAAGTTCAAAATTACAATCTCAATAATAAAAATAGAATAGTTATAAGTTATAACTTATAACTAGGGATTTTCACGGGAGCGCGATGACCTCTCTCTCGCGATTCCAACTTCTCTTATCTGACATAAAATTTAAAATTTCTTTTTATGAATATGGGTAATTGAACTTGCTGATTCCGAATATTGATTCATTTCTAAAGAAATTATTCAAGAAATAATGTAAAATGCGAAATTTATATTTCAAAGCAAAAATTCTCATTGTTCTAGATTTCACTAGAAATTTTTCTTCGAATATGATCTTTATCAGACACTTTTCTTAAATCTCTGAAAAAATCTTTTTACGGGTGCTTACGGGTCGCCTCCTATTACCAGATAACTAACCATGAGGCGAACGCCGCGTAGCCCGCGGAGTGCGGCAGGATCGCCCGCAGGGAGGTCCGAACCTTCTGGCGGAAGGTGACAAAATATGGTGGTTCGATGTCTGACCCCAAGTAACCCCCTTATAACTTATAAGGAAATTCAGGCATAGCCTCTTCGCGGCTTCGTCTTAAAAAAAAGCCGCTGTGCGGCTTTCTACGAAAGCACTTTCAGCAACCTGTCTGGAAAACCTGAGTCAGGGTCTGAATAAAAAGCCGCGCATCGGCTTTTCAAAAAATGAACCTGCGGAGCGGCTTCTCAAAATTACCTTTCCAATATATTTTTAAATTTTCGCAAAGCCGCTACGCGACTTTTAATTAGAGATCTTTCAGCGGATTTCTACTTTAGAAGACGACTGTACATCTTGAATCATATATTTTAAACAGTAGTTTCAGTGCAAGCTTATTTTGAAATGTTCCTAAACAGTTTGACAGAAGTTATGTTTTTGATAGTAAAAACTACTCTTTGAAGAATGGAATACAATATCGTCGAAAAATAAGTGAAAGATAAATTAGATCGTTTTTGGATGAGGTGGCGGAAAATGTCCGTCCTCCTTGAGTAGTCGGTACTCCAGCAGCGTTCATTACGCAAAACGCAGCCGAAAATGTCAAACGTTTCCACCAAAGTCAAGTGGATCTCTAATCCTCTCCTCTCAACCCTCACTTCTTCTCTTTCGCTGAGGATAATTGTCTTCCCGCCTGTTTAAAAACAAATTTAATGGGATAATATTAACAGAAAAAATGACGTCTATTTTGATTTACCACATTTTTGACGATCAACTAAATTTGATGATATTGATAATGATATCATACTGTTGGGAGACAGGTGACATTTATTTCATAAATAAATGAATAGTTGGCCTTGTTGTTGGAGCTTTGCTAGAATCCTGAGTCAGGTTCTGAAAAGCAGGCGTAGCGGCTTTTTAAAAGACGAAGCCACCAAGCGGCTTCGCAAATAGAAAAAGTTAAATTGAAATGATTATGTTCCGAAGCCGCTTTGCGGCTTCGTCTTTAAAAGCCGCTACGCGGCTTTTCATTTTGGTTTTTCAGAATCTGACTCAGGTTTTCTACACAGGTTGCCGAGCCCAGGCTTCCCAATACTTACATAAGCGGCTTTGTTCATAATTTATGAATCATAAAAAAGCCACCGCGCGTCTTTTCTTTAAAGCTCTTCCAAAATCCTGACTCAGGTTTTTACACAGGTTGCCGAGCCCAGCCCTAACCTCAATTATTCGATCTTCTTGGCCACTCCCATTTCATTCAAAACCAAAAGTTCTTCACCTTCCAACCTTTCTTTTCAGTACGTTGGAACTCCTGGCTTCCCGGGCGACTAGAAGGTCCATTCAATTGCATCTGGGAAATCGGCGTCGACGAATGGAGCGTGGACAAAGCTCCCATTTTGAAGGTCCACGTGCGCTCCCTAGAAATCAACTGCTCCCAGCTACTTGGCTTATAAATTATAAATCATAAATTCTAAATTTAAACTTTGTAATTTTTCTTCCCTTTTTCAAAGTGAAAAAATGTAAGTCCCTAAAGCTGCGGCGTAAACAAACGCGGCTTACGGATGGAGCGCGAGACCAACCGCAGCCAGCTATCCGAATAATCAAAACTAGAAACTTTCGACTTTTCTTTAGACAAAGTTTTTTTCCAAAAAGTTTTTTTGGATCAACTGATTTGATTTCTTGACAATTTAAAAAGCCGATCGAAAGCGCAACCAGGTTTGGGTCATGGTGAATGGGAGAAAGAACTTTATCAACTGTGACACGAAACAGCTGTTTTTCGCCGGCGGAGAAGGTTCAAAAGCTGAAATAGGACTCGATGTTCAAGCAGGCTCGGCGATTTTGATCTCCTACAGTGCTGTGAAAACTGTGGCTGATGGTAAGTCCTTTCTATCCAGTTTTCTTGCAGGCATAAAATAACTGACTTGGTGAAAATAAGCCTCCCATTTGCGCAAATACCGGTAGTTTGGGTTAAATGCATAATTGAATTTACAAGAGATTACAGGTGATAAATAAACGTAATGGCGGGGTAATGTGTGATGCCGGGGAACGTAAGCCTTATCTCCTGCTTGGTGAGTAGTAATCGTTTTATAGCCATGAAAGCTGCTCCAGTAATCCGAGCTCCGCACATGCGATCGCATCATCAGCAGAACAACTTCGCCAACCAGAATGATCCAAGTCAACGGTTCTTTAATTCTCTCTTAGCTTTATTTTCCGCTCGAGAATTTGAAAGAACCGAAATCAGAAATAACCCTGTCTACGTTCAGCACATACCTAATCCAATGGTCTACCGACCTCTTCCTCCCCAGGTGAGCCTTCAAACTCAATAATCAGCAACATCATCTTTCATCCAAGGATAATGTGATGATTGACCAAGGCGCTCCAGTTCAGCGACCAACGATGATGAACTCTTTGAGGCCGCGCGTGAACCTCAAATCCATCCTTGCAACTCTTCCTCCTTCCACGCCTCGTTTGTTGAACCAACCAAGCACTCCTGCTCCCGACGTCGAGACAAAAGCCACCACGCTTTCCTAGTATATACTCTAGAACCGATCATAAACCTGATCATAATTCTTTCCAGCACAGACGCCCCTCTAACTGCAAATTTTTTCAGTCGCGAAAAAGAAGCACTCGAAGAAGAAAAACTCAAAAAGGCAGCAAAGTTTTTCTACGTCCTCGGCGGCGGCTTCGTCCTTGTCATCATCTTCTTTTGTATAAAAGCCGCGTTTGTCGGCTCCACCAAGCCCGTGGCGAGTACGTATTGAATAGCAATAGTGATGAAAGTAATCAAATACTGTAAATAAAACAACGACCCTTTATTTGTTTGATGAGCAGAAAGAGAAACAGTTTTTTATCTTTGGACCTGATAGATTTGAATTTTAAAATAAGAAAAAATGTTTAATTTAGTTCAAATTTTTTTAAACAGGGTAGGAACTGTTTTATTTGCGAGGCGATAACTTTTCGAAAGACGGTTTGAGCTTGACGATTTTCCGGCGAAGGGTTCGCGTGAGACTTTTAGACTTGGACGTTGCTGGAACCAGGTACTCGAGCGAGTTCTGAGCAAAACTCAGAGAATGTGAGCTGCCTGGAGCGAGCATCTTGCGGAGCTACGAATTAACAATGAATTAGGCTTGTTAAAATGCTGGCCTTACAGTCCGTGGCGGTTTTGGCGGCGGCGTGGTTGAGTTCAACTCGCTTTCGGAATCGAAGGGGGTCGACGACTGTAGCGGAAGGGACTTCATGCTCACGCAAAAGTCGCTTTTGCGAGCAATTTTCTCGGATAGAGTCAGCTCTGGAAGAGCTTTCAGAAGCTAGAAAACGTTTTCTTGTCTGTTTTTCTTTCCAAATTTTTTACCTGCTCCATCTTTTCCTTCTCGCTCATCGTCTCCAGATCGAGGCAGTTCTGCTTGAAATACTGGCGGAGAATGAACTCCGATTCTTTTGATAAAATACTCGCTAGGGAGTTTTCGCGAACTTGAAATTTTAATTATGGAAGCAAGGAAGCAACTTGACTTACCAATGAGGAATTTTGATCTTTTCATCGCCTCGTCGAGGATGGCTGCGATGTCATCTAGTGTTCTGTTGACATCGTAGCCGGGATAGTTGGAGTAAACGATTGACTCGTTGATTTTGTTCAGAGCGCTTTCCAACTTCTGGATCACCTTGACAAAGGCTTCGTCGCTCTGAAAATCAGATTTTGGGCCTTTTATGGCTTTATACGTTCCAATAAAAGAAGATTTCTATCGTTATTTAGAGGGGTAGTTTCAGGCATCCTAGATTTTTGTTGGATAAGGCCTCATAAAAATGAGTATATAATTCGTGCCTCAGTTTTGTCGGAAACAAAAAATAAAATGAATTAACAAGATGGATTCAAAGTTGTCCTTGACTCTACAGCCCATATCGCATAGCGCTACCTAGTTGACATATATTATTATTTACTAAAAAGATTCTGTGCAACAATTTATGAGAGACGAATATGAGAGACGAATATGAGAGCTTTTGAGCTCTTCAAAGTTTGAAGTTCAAACCAATAAAATGAATTATCATCAATTCTACATTAGGGTCCGCAACGCCGTCTTAGACTGGTCAACCTCCTATTACTGATACTATTTTATATACTTTTACAACAATAAATTTACCTTGGCCATGACTCCTTCTTTCGCAAATTTGAGCTGTTGACTGGCGTCTGTTAGCTCTAACTCCAGTTTCTCGCAGCGTTCTTAAATAAAAATGAAAAAATGGTTTTGAATAAAAAGTAGTCAAAATAATCAGAGATTGTCTGACTAGTAGTTGCTACTCACTGATGGCGAGGTTGAGCTCGTTTGATAGACGCTGGACGTCTACTTCAAGTTCTACGTTTCGACGGTTCGCGTCACTTGTTTCGATAACCTTCGCATCCAGCTCATCCTTTAATTCGGTGAAAACATACAAGCACAAGATCGACGAGGATGCAACGTTCATTTCACCATTCCTGAAGCTGGGAGTTTTCAAACAACTTTTCGTTCTTTTCTCGCTCCTAAAATTGTTTATTTCAATTTTGGCCCTTACGGCTGGACTCGCCAATATGTGTAGAAAACCTGAGTCAGGATTTAAAAGACCTATAATAAAAAGCCGCGAAGCGGCTTCGCCAAAATGACTCTATTTTATAAAAACTTATGCGGCTTTTAATTAAAACTCTTTTAAATCCTGACTCAGGTTTTCTACTCAGACTGCCGAGTCCAGCCTTAGATCGTCCGAATTTCGAACATCTCGTTCTTCAGAAATCAAAGAAATCAGATTTTGTCACGTCGAATTAGTCACGTGAGAGTGTTGAAACAGTAGACAAGATCAGTAATTCCGTGGGAAAGCAAAAAACGCCGGTGATGAGGTCTATTTTGAAAAAGAGCCAACGTTGATAGGGCCTTTTACCTGCTCCAGGTTTTGCTCAAGAAGCTGGATTTTCTTCTCAGAGATCTTTCGCCGGAACGTCTTGTCGATCAAGATTTTGCTGTCCGAAGCCATCCTCTTCATTCGCTTCATGCTGAAGGTAGATCGCGTCCCAAGCCCGCTGTCCGCGATCGAAGCTAGAACGAGTTTTAGAAAAAATGTACTGCAAACAAACCACGTACAAATGGAAGTGGACTTCGTGACGAAACCATCAAGACTGTGCCTGGAAGCAACTGAAGCCTGGCTGTTGAGTTCTTCGCCACTTTCGATGGTGAAATTCAATCCAGAATCGATATTTTCTTCAGTGTCATTTTCCGACAATTTTGTCTCCGCATTTTTTATCGGATCGTCTTTTTATCAAGCTTCATTAAAAATAAATTCCTAAATCAAGATTCCCGTCAAAACTAAAAAGCGCATTCAATGACAATTTTTGTGTCATCAAAAAGCCCTGCCCTAGTTTCGGATAAGCCGGAGGAGCTATGGATTCTTCAGCAACTTCCATTCGATTTCTTCTGCCCGCGGAATTGATCTCTGTGGATTCAGCCGCAGTCTCAGTTCTTTTATCGGAACGGATTCGACTCAAGCGCGCCTCAATTCAATCCTTATCATCGTCACTGACTTCTCACACTGATCATGAATCCCTGTCTAGCTGGACAATTCTGCCTACAACTATTTGATACTCGACTCCATCGCTTAGAAAAACCATCTCACAAAGAAGCTAAAACTCACAACAGAACAACCGCAGCTTACAATAAAACAACAAACAGAGGGAGGGAAAATTGATTTTATTCAGGATCTTTCACTACGACGTCGCTCGCTTTCCAAGCTTCATTACCGGATGACTTGAAGTCGTTGGCCAGCTTGAGATGATTTTTCTCAAGCTTTTCAACAATTTTCAAGACGAATTCCGTCTTCGAGGCTTGCGTATCCATGCTTGCAGCCTTGCAGTGCCGAATGGCCTCGTAGCTTCGCTCTTCATTGGCACAAGCTTGTGCCAAGATCTGAAAAAAGTTTTGAAATTTTCCTTTTTCACCCACCAAAATAAAAAAATTGCAAAAATCTCTTCAAAAAGCAATTTACCTCTGTTTTTGCCGCTTCGGACTGGTAAGGACCCGGTTAGATTGGGAACTGACAAAAATTCGATTTTAGCCCTGACAACAACTTCGGCTCTAGAGACTTTTTCGGCGAAATCTCAAAAACAACTCGCCGAGAAAGGGGTCGAAAATATTCACGTTTCTGTTGATTCTGAGAGTTCTGACGGTTGAAAATCTTTGATTTTTGGACAACTTGTGGAGAAGACAACAAGGATTTCGAATATCTAATCGAATAAAAAAATTATCGGTGAATTTTTGAATGAGAGCCAAATTAAGGTTTAAAATCGCCCTCTTTCAAAATTTCACCGATGAATTTTAAAACAAATTATATTTTTGAATTCCTCATCAAATTCTGCATAAGTCTGCCAAAAATCAAAAAATTCATCCGCTAGAATTCGCAGAATTTTAAAAAATAGTCAAAATTTGGATTTTTTCAAGATAACTTGTTTTTGAGTTTTCGTCCAACAAAGTCTCTAGAACAGACGTTGATTTCAGATCTCAAGTTGAATATTAATCAGTTCCCGATTTTACAGGGTCTTGAACAGTCCGAAAACGCCGATAAATCAGGTAACTTTTTTAAGTTGATTTTAGTTGTAAGTAAAATGTTAAGCTGAAACTTCTGTAGACTAATTATAACAGTAATGACCTAATACTTGTTCTAGTGCTCGCTTTTATCAAAAAGCATTTATCAACAAGACGATAAAAATCGTTAAAAACGCCTACGGAAGAACTACGATTAGGGAAGTCACTAATAATTTGAGCTTTTTTCTAGCTTAGTAGGGTGGGCATATAATACAGTTTTAGAATCCTCAGAAGCTAAGGATCATTTTCACTATTGATAGTGAGGGTCATCTCGTACCCTGAGGGCATTATGGTACCTCAAAGGCCTAAAATTCTGGCCAATTTCGGAAATTCGAATTGTTCACCCCTAACCCCGGCTTTTTCGTGCGCCGCTAAGATATGTTGTAGCCAAGGCTCTGACGGCCATTTCTAGGGGTGGGAAAGTACTGATTACCCCCATTCCAGAGGCGCTAGAGACCTCTGAAGTTGGAGAAGTCGACCAAAAATAGGTACTTTTTGGGAAAAGTGCATATTTTTCAACATCAATGCTTTCAAAACACTTGTGATCACTTTTGCTTTACTTTTAGGTTTGAGATATAGTTTGGTGTCATTTGAGGTCATTCGGGGTCAGTTATCATAATTTCAAGAATTTTTAATAATTTTCACCTCGGATGACCTCAAATGACACCAAACTATGTCTCAAACCTAAAAAGTAAATAAAAAGTGATCACAAGTGTTTTGGAAGCATTACTGATGAAAAATATGCATTTTTCCCAAAAAGTACCTATTTTTGGTCGACTTCTCCAACTTCAGAGGTCTCTAGCGCCTCTGGAATGGGGGTAATCAGTACTTTCCGACCCCAAGAAATGACCGTCAGAGCCTGGGCTACAAAATATCTTAGCCGCGCGCGAAAAAGCCGGGGTTAGGGGGTCAAAAATTCGGATTTCCGAAATTGGCCAGAATTTTAGGCCTTTGAGGTACCATAATGCCCTCAGGGTACGAGATGACCCTCACTATCAATAGTGAAAATGATCCTCAGCTTCTGAGGATTCTAAAACTGTATTATATGCCCACCCTACTAAGCTAAAAGTTCAATTATTAGTGACTTCCCTAACTACGATGAAAATCGTGATCTCAAGAAGATCTGCCAGCAAATAATTAAGAAGCTCAATGTGGACTTTAATACACCTGAATAAAATCAGTTTCCCCTCATTATCATCTCACTGTCTTTCTTTCATTTGCGGTTGTTGTGTAGTTACAGTTAATAAGTTCTTTTACGGAGTGTGAAGGCTTAAAGATCTCAGGTTGCGCCTGGGCTCGGCAACCTGAGACTCAGGTCCTGAGTAGAAAACCTGAGTCAGGCTCTGGAAGAGCTAAAATGAAAAACCGCGTAGCGGCTTTTAAAAACGAAGCAGCGAAGCGGCTTCGCAAATAATCCATATAAATTTTCTTTAAACTCCTGGCGAAGCCGCTTCGCGGCTTCGTTTTTAAAAGCCGCTACGCGGCTTTTCATTTTGCTCTTCCAGAGCCTGACTCAGGTTTTCTACTCAGGTGCCGAGCCCAGGGTTGCGCCTTGTTTCCAAGTTCTCAGACTATGACTTGATCGCGGCCTAGAAAAAGAGCTACGTCGAGAGCTGGGAACCGATTCGAAATGAGGACGAGGTGCATCATCTATTTTGATTCCTTGAATAACTCTGACATAAGTGATCATCCCAGACACGCCTTGGGAGCGTCGCTTCCCGGCGCTCCGACTTTGTGAACCGAAGAAAGAGAAACTGGCTGTTTAAAACTGCAAAACGCTAGTAGGTATTCTATTGAGTGTGTATGGCACAGGTTGGAAGAGTGTTGTTGTAGGCTTGACTGAATAAAATAAGCGAAATTGAAGAATCGAGAAGTGGCTAAAGCGTCACGCAGCATTTGCTGTTTTCTGGGTCTGTCATTGTCTCCGCTTCCTCGATCGAGTTAGGTAAAGGCTTGTTGAGCGAAGCAGGCAGCGTCCAAATCATCTGAGAAACCAGCATCGATATGATTGATATGCTGATCACGTGGGTCTCGCCAAACTTGTCTAGCAGAAACGGCACCAGAAAGCCACCGAAGCCAGCAATAGTACTAAACAACAAACATCGAGATACGGCGTTTTTAACATTTCAAACCTTGTCAGTCCGAAAACACTGTCTCGAATCACTGTAGGCGTAATCTCGGAATTGTAAGTTTCGATAAAGGGCCAGTAAAATGTGGACAAACATTTGGCGATTAGTCTGAAATCGTATGTTTCCAAGAGTCAAGAGTTGAAGTGTCCTTACCCGGTGCTGAGAACCACGATCGCGAGAGTATCTTGATCAAAGTTGAGCTCATCAGATTTCATTTTCACCATTTGGCTAAAAAATCAAAAAGGTTCCTAGAGTTTGTCACGTTCAAATGCACCTGATAAACATGAAAAAAGCAGCGCCACCGATGCCAGCAGCGATTCCTTTTCTTCGCGCGTATTTGAGAACGATGCCCTGGGTACAAAGCCTAAGGGGTAGGGTAAATCACTAATAATTCGCCTTTTTCTGGGCTTAGTAAGGGGGACATATAATACATTTATAGAAAGCGCAGGACCTGGGGATCATTTTGACTATTGATACCAGGGGTGATCTCGTACCCTGAGGGCATAAAGGTACCTCCGAAGTCAGAAAATCTGGCCACTTTCGGAAATTCGAATTTTCGGCCGCCCGAAAGTGGCCAGATTTTCTGACTTCGGAGGTACCTTTATGCCCTCAGGGTACGAGATCACCCCTGGTATCAATAGTCAAAATGATCCCCAGGTCTTGGGCTTTCTAAAATGTATTATATGTCCCCCTTACTAAGCCCAGAAAATGGCGAATTATTTGTGATTTACCCTACTAAGGGGTCCTTCAATGATGCCGAAGATGAAATAGGTTGTGAAGACACAGGTGCCGATGCTGGCAACGCTGAGGATGATTGTGTACCAGAGCGTCGTGCCGACCAAGTGGATAAAAGAGACCATCGCAAAGCGCTGCAAAATAATCGTCGAATCAAACATTTTCATGAAATTGAAGCGAGTTTGCTTCTTCTTCTCGTACTCGCCTTCCAAGTTCTCCAAAGTGTCAATTTCTACGTCTATGTTGTGTCCATTCACTGACGCCATATCTTTCAGAACTAAAAAATTACTTCTAAGCGAATAATTTTCGGCGAAAAATGAGTACCAATGATTGCGTCATCTCTTCTTCCTTTTTGTACAAGCCATCTTGGCGATTCCGGCAGCCACCAAACGTAAAATATCACAACACCAAGAGGCAAAATCTTAAAATTGATTGACTTTTTCTCTTATTCGATGAGATGGTCTTAATAATATCATAATAAATTTCTTAACCTGGATGACCATGGCATATCTCCAGTCTTTATTTGCCCAGACTGAGAAGAGATGCCAGAAAGTGCCCAGTCCCCAGCCTGTTCCCATAAACAATCCGACGATCCAGCGTTTCTCAGAAGAGACCAGTTCCAGCGGAAGAGTATACGAGCCCATTCCATTTGCCGCAACGCCGAATAAGGCGCGGAGAATAATGAAAGTCACGTGATCTTTGACGAAGACGATCGACAGGGCGAAAGCGAAGGTAAGAAAACCAGTGACAATGTAGGTCTTTCTTCTGCCAAATGCGTCCTGGCAGAGGCCCCAGAGCATATGCCCAGCCATGCCGCCTAGATTCGCGGCTGATTGAAGCCAAGGTCCTATGTCCGCTTTGTCGCAATAGAGCTCGAACTCGGTGAGATAGGTGTTCTCCATTGCGCAGTCAGTATCATTCAGAGGAAGCATCACGGGTTTCCCGTCGACACACTCGTGAGGCTGCCGTGCACCGAAAAACACGGGTAGCTGCCAGAGACCAGTGAGACTGATAAGCGGAATCATAAGCAGCAATAGTGTCCGGTACCAAACTACCCGTTCAAAAAGGTGTAAAACTGATTTATCTATCATTTTGGTCATTTTTTACCAACAATTTTGTTTACGATATTATTATTAAGAAACTTTGATAATTATCGGAAATCACGTAAAAGAATCTAAACTTCACACAGTGCGCAAAAAATTGACGCGGCAAGGAAAACAACAAGGACTTCTCGCGATTTTGGCGTCATCATTTGTTTGCCATTTGATGGCCACTCATTAGAGCAATTTTGCGCAAGCTGTGTGATTCAAGCCTTAAATTTTAAAGAGTGTCTTATTTGACAGCGCGGAGATAAGGACGTTAGGTGTGGTTTAAGGCTCTTTTGAACGTTTTCCTGATGGAAGCCGACGCCCCCGGTGGCGGCGATGATCGTCTCCAGCACGAGCGAGTCCTTCTTCGGCATGTACCCTGAAATCGACCTCATCGCGGTTCTCTACGATTCTGGCGGCGAAATCGATTCTGCTTTTTCGGAAAAATGGAATTCACCTCTCTCGGAAGTGGTCAACATTGGGCAAAAGAAGAAAACGCGGGGCACCGTAAGCTCCATAAATCGCCTTTTATAAGGTCTCCGCGAATTCTTTGTTTGAGCAAAATTTTTCTTATTGGAAAATGAGATGGAAGTATAAATAATTAGCGCTAATTAATCACTTTTAATGACACCGTCTTCGATTGGTCTTGGCGCTATAAGAATTCAAATTCTTGAAGAGTTTCTTCTAAATTCTACTTCTTTTTCAAGTTAGGGTTAGCGTCGGCTTAGGGTTAGGGTAAGGGTAAGCAAAACTATCATAAATTAAATTCTGTTCTTTAAAAAACGCTTGGTGATTTCATCATCCAGAAAAATGGGTCAGTATGCACAAGCGATTAAAACTCGATAAGCATATTTTTAGCTTGGGAAGTGGCTCTGCACGGATCTGACGGGTAAGTCAACAAAGAAGCTTCCACTAGTCCTGAGTCAGGAAATTCATGAACGAATAGCTAGAAGCGCTGAGCCAGCGAAAAAATCTATAAAGATACTTTTCCTTCTCTTTCACTTGAATGAAAAAGACGCCTTGGAACATGCTGCTTTCCACTCAAAAGCGCAACGCACACTTCAAGATCGACATCTTTTACAATCTGCTCAAGAAACTACAGTTTATTTTCGCCCAGTAAATAACTCCAGCTTTTTTCTACTTTTCAAAATCTTATTTAAATCAAGCTTTTTTTGAAGCTATCTTTTTGGAAGAAAAAATCAGAACTCATAATCGCCAGAATCGCAAAAGCAAATTTGTTTATGTTAGTTAGTACTACTTACACATGGTTGCGGCTTTTGAGATAAGAAGAGAGTCTTCCTTGATTTCTTGGTTTTCTTCTTCTTGCGTTTTGGGTTTTCACTTGTCTGGCAACATCTGCTGGATTATCTCTCGTAAAGACTAACTGCGCCGCCAAATGCTCAGATTTGCCACCATAACTCCCTTTTAACTCAGTTTATTTAGCGTCGGCCCATTTCATGTCTCTGCAAACTTCAATTTGTCAGGGACGGCCCTTCGAGATCGTCACCATAAACCAAGTTTTACACAAATCCAAGTACAAGAAAACATTCTCTATTTCTAGTTCTTCTTATCTACCCTTTCTTCTCAATACTAGTTCAAAAACGTAATCATTTTTCCCGCAAACAGAGGAAGTTGCTCTCAAATTAGGGTCCTTTGAGAATTCGAGGCTGCTAAAGAGGCAAACTTATAGTTTCAATAAAAATATTTTTTTGCAGATTTTTTTGAGTAAATTATTGAGTAGCAAAAGAGGCTGCTAGTAAGTGACTTTTTATTGAATCTCGATAATTGACCTTGAAAATTGAAATTGGCAAAGTTGATTAAAAAGGACTTACCTTTTTATCTCTTGCAGAATATCGCCTGGCGCCGGGTGAGTACTGTACTAGACATAGTTGTGCTTTTATAAATCCGAAGCAAACTAATTTAGGATCTTGAATTTTGCTGTTCGAGTGTTCCGAAATAACTCTCATTCGGGCTCAGCAGAAAAAGAAAATGACTAGAGTAACCTAACAGGCAAATTGCCATAAAACCTTTCCTCGGCAAAAAGAAAAAACAGAAATATAGCACGATCACATGAAAAGGAATCTAAATACATTTGCAAATGCCCTCCCAGGACCTATTTTCTGGAAGAAATTCTATACTGAAAGCGACGTAGAGCATTCCAATTTAGCTTTCAGCTAGTTTTAGTCACACTAGTGAAAGGTTACATAAGCACGTGTTTGCGGCCGAACTCGCCTCGGGCAAAAAAATTTGACGTCAGAATTATTACCATTTTAGATGCGAGCTCCAAACCGTAAAATTTCGATTTGGAAAGCAAAAGGCATGCAAAAATAAGTGCTTGAACTCGTCATTATTCGCAGAAAAAAAAACTCGAAAAGAAAAGTTGAAATCATAGAAGAGAAGGTGCAATTTCAAAGTCGGAAATCCGTAGAAATATAAAATTTATTCAAGTAAAAAAGGCTTGGAATTGCAAAAATAAAAGTTCAAGGAGAGTCATAATCTGTGCAAAAAGGATAGATATGTACATTTTCTTCTCTTTGATAAAATTGTCATTTCTTCTTGTTGAGTTCGTGATTTCGCGAAGTCTTTCGTTCCGAAGGGTCGAGTTCTAAAGCATCGTCAAGAAAGGGTTTTTCAAAGGTCTTTGTTACTGAATTTGTATTTGACTTCTAGGATGTTCGATTCGCGTGCTTCTTTGACGCTCTTCGACTCTGGAAGATTTTCGAAATCTTCGTCCGCCGAAAAAACTCGTCCGTCCTCGGCGATGAGAGCTTCCACTGAAAAATTGCATCAAGCTCAGATCAAAGCGTAAATCTTCATTGAGAGAAACTTTACCTGGATAATTAGTTTTCAAGAGCTGCGTCGCAGAGTTCATGAGTTCCAACATATTCCTTCCCTGAAGAATAACAGTCGCGCTATTCGAGGACTTCTTGTCTAGCGTAACTGCCACCCTCTTCCAACTACTGCCTTGCGAATAGAGGTCGGAGGTTTCGGTGATTTTCAAGAACTCGGTCGTGTTTTCAGTCGTTGACGTCTTTGAAAATGGCGCGCCTGCACTCAGCCACACTTCTACGAGCTCACATTTTTCAGCTGCTCGTTTTATCTAGATTTTATAAAGAATAATATGGCTAGATGAGGAACAATTACTTGAGCCCAGTCGAAAATGCATTTTCCGTTTGAAAAGTACATTCTTTTGACAATGAACGAAAAGTGTCTTTCTCCAAGAAGCCGAACAGCATCGAGTGAGCGCGCAACTACAGTCAGGTTGCTTTCAGAAGTGTGGTTCCGGTACAATTTCAGCTTAATATTGCCGGTATCTGTGCTGACTTGATCTTCGGCTTGTTTGAGGAGATCGGAGACTTCTTGCAGCGCCTTTAGCGCATTTTCTCCGTCCAAACGAGGTCTGTTGATGTAGCGAAAAGGCGAAATCCTCAGCGAATGCTGGTTCAGTTCAGCCTCGCCCATCGAACACAAGAAAGCGCGGTTCACTTTCATTCGCTGCGAAGAAGGAACTCCTGGAACGAGCGGAGCGCAAATTTGGCAGAAATGCATTCCGTCTAAATTTGTTTAACATTTTTTATGCAATGAAAGGTTTACCTTCTAAATATCCAAACTGCTGGAGCTCCTCATTTGCACAAATGCAATACGTACAAATTCCAGTATTAACCGCCGCGGTGAGGTCGAGCTCTTTGCTGTCTCCAACTGCTACTCGGATCCCTCCGTTCTTGTCGAATTCGAATTTCTGGTGGATCGAGCCAAAATCGTTTTTCGCCTTCTTATCTAGAACCAGTCGGTTGTTCACAGCGGTCAAGACGAGATCAGGATTGACGACATTGCGAATAGCAGCGCCGTGACGTTCCCAAATCTGCCCCGCTTCGTCCGACGATTTTGCCTGCATAATGACCTGCAAGCCTCGTTCTACTTTTCTGCCCTTTTCTGTCGCCAGCACGAGCTTCCTGTTTTGCTTGGCAACAATGTGGCCGCTTCTTTCCATCAAAAACTGTTGATTGCTGATTTCTGGCTCTTCTTCGACCGTTTCTACTTCACCATCATTCCAGCGCGCGGCATTCTTCCTCTCTTTTTCCTCAAATGAAAGACGCTCATGAAACTGGCGATTCTTTGGCTTCAGGACAACTGCACTTCCATTTTTAACCCGGTCCGCCGTGACGAACATCTCCTTTCCAAGAATATCCCGAGTCTCGATGAACTTTTTGATCAGATTCTTGTCGTACCGCAGACTTTAATCAGAATGATAAGACTTTGATACATTTTGGTTGCGGTTTACCTGCTAAGATTAGCTTCAAGCGCTTCTGCACTCATCTTCTTGGGAATATTCCTTGTGCACAAGACGAGAGTACTTCGCGATTCAACTTGATCGTATTTACTGACAAGATCGCTTTGAGTGCCATCCAGAGGCCATATTCTTCGAACAGGTCTTTTTAGTTCCATTTCGGCAGTAAAGAAGCTGTGGAGATTCGTATCAGGTCTGATAGTGAGCCATTTGGACTCGTTGTGGTTTTCGTTCAAAATCACACGAATGCGCTTTTCTTCTGCGTCCGAGTAGTTTTCGCTCTCTTCCTTGATTTTCTTGTAGTGTACGTTTGTAAATAATTCCCCAACAACTGGCCAGCGGTACTGACACATCTGTTCGTGAGAGGAGATGGGCCAGCAGAGCGCTTTTCGTCGATAGAATGCGTTGCCTGTTTTGTCCCACTGAGTTGAGGAGCCTTGAGGTTCTTGGATTGCCCAAGTCTGGTAGCTCTTCGACACTTCCCCAGGCTCAAGCATCATTAACGCGCCGGAGTCGGTTTTAGATAGACACTAAATATTTTTTTGAAATAATTGTTTTGATTTAATTTTGCTCGAAGTTATTCTTTATGTATATAACTGAATAAGTTACCTTGTCACCAGTGAATAGATTCTTGATGCGCCCCGTCGACGTGAAAATCCAGGTCTAATATTTGCTCAGCTATGAAAAAACGCCTGAAACTAACAGTAATGAGCACCTTCCTGACAAGGATCATCGTCTTCTTCGCTGATGTATTTCAAGGTCACTGAGTGATCTCCGTTGATCGTCAAGGCGAGTTTAGGTGAGTTGAACGCGAGAATGACGAAAACGTTCCCGCGGAAGGTGCCGTTTATTGGCGTGCTTGGTCGCACTCGCCAGAGGTTAGCTTTTTGAGGCCAAATGGGCACACTTTCTCGGACAGTCACGTGACAGCTCAATAAAGCGTTTTCGTGACGCAAGAATGTATTTTCGGCATTCACAGCTTCTTCCTAATAGGAGATGATCTTAATAAACTAAATAATGATTTGAATCAAGCTTTTATTATTTAAGTTTTTTACTCTAAAAAAATGTCTCCTCTCCTGTTGCTGAATCTTATGTCTGATATCAGGTGCCACATCAGCCTTGCTTTCCAGATCTTCGAAGTCATAAAAGTCGACACCTTTGACTGGTGTCCAGTTCTTGATCGAGGCGTTCGGAAGCTCCTCCTTTGGATCTTGAATTCTGCCTTCTTCCAGCAAATAAAGCTCGCCATCTTCGTCAAGTGCTCGAACTTGCTGAACATCAAGCACGATCTTTTCAGTTTCGGCGGTGATGAAAGGCTCTCCATCTGAGATCCAGATTTCCATGTCTTTTTCGATCTCTTCCAGTTCTGTCAGTCGAATTCCTTGGGAATTGAAAAGCTTCTTTATTTTGTATCGCTTCTGTTTTGATTCGTAGAGTTTATCCGAAATATTTTGCATCAGAAGCTGCAAGCCATCATTTTCAGGGCATCTGGTTCCTTCTTTGTGCAACTGGTCAAAATTGACAACAACAACGAGGAGAATGTCTTCTGCGCCGTTTTCATAGATTCGCAGCTTGAAGGAACTTGAAGAGCTAACTAGACGATGATCTTTATGTACAACTTTATCGAGGGTCAAGACAACTTAATTTTCAAGCAGACTACTGTCAATAACAATCTATGGAAAATCATTTTATCTTGAACCCTTTCCTGGAATATTCTTGAGACGATGATCGGCACCTCGTTCCTCTTCTTCATTACTCCTTGTTTCAAGCTTTTTAATTCTGTCAATAAGTGCTCTTCTTTTCTTTTTTAGGAGCTGGTCTTCTTCGTCCTTTTCTTTTATTTCGTTATCGACTTTCTTGAGACAGCATCTGTACCACTGCAAGGGGCCGATAGACAGAAAAGCATCAGCCCCAGTTGTTGCCCAAAGAGGCTCCTGGCTTTCCAGCACTTCATGCGGTGATTTAATCCTCTTTCCGTTCCACTTGTAGAGCGCTTTTACTTTCACCGGCAGGTTCAGGCTAGATTGGACGTCGACAAAAAGCTTTTCGAGGGCGTCGGGAGCCATACTTTCCGGCTGGAACTGAGATTTGCTGACAAGGACATAAGTGACACGTCCCGAGCCGTTGGCGCACACTCGAACTTTCGTTTTGCTGTTATAGCCCGATAAGCGTTTTGTTGCCTCGACTTGGTTTTTGGCAATGCGTGCTGCTTTCTTTGGATTCGCAGATTTTGCCGAGCTCGTCACAAAGACCGGCTCGTCACGGGGAATCTCCAGCACCGATTTGACCTCGCTACCGTCGCCGAGGAAGGCGTGCCGAGCAGGAAGCGTCATCTTCAGCTTCTGGGTGGCTTCATCAAGCAACTGCAGCATGCTAGACACGCAAAGTGTGGCGAAGCGGGAGCGATCGTCACTCTTGACGACAGTGCATCGAATGCCAGTAGCGGTTGATCGCATGTACAGAGGGGTTTTCCTTCCACCTGCCGAGTACGGTCGTCTCCCGGAAGTCGGCCGCGAGATTCGAGATCGGTTCTAATTTGAGATGACGGTTATTATCAGAATGCTCAATTTCGATGTATTTATAGTAAAATTGTGAAATTCAAACATTTTTTAAAGGAAAAAGCTATATTGTCGGCTAAACAACATTTTCATTCTCTTTCCTGGGCAGAATACGGGCGCAAACGATCTATTGTACTTGAAGAGGAAATGATCGAGTCCGGCAACAGCGTGGTGTCTATTCAAAAATTGTAGTTAGTTTACACAAGTTAAGAAAGGCGCTATCTTTGGGTCCTATCAATCGAATCATCCGTTGCTCCTCTCTCCTGTCTCTAATTTAAATTCTAACCTGACAAAATGGTCGAGTTGAGTGATTTAGAGGAGGCAACCGAAGCGGCGCGGGAGGACCTCCTCGACGAGTTCCTGGAACTCGTTTTCGAGATTTTCGAGCAGTTGGACGACCTGGACGACATTGAACTTTGCTCAAAAGCTTTGTTTAAGTACGGCGATTCTAGCCGCTCAAGATCAATAGATGACGTCGGTGTTGCTTGACTTCCATACAGATCAACTGAACAAATGTCTTAAGCCATCTTCACAGTGCGAATTATACTCGGGATCAAAGAATTAATCAGAGCCATTAGTTTATAAGCAAGATAATTGATCTTTTATATTTCTTAATTGAAGTATTTTCTCTAGGAAAAAATCCAATGTCTTAAAAAGTTTAGTTTCTTACTTCTCTCGATTCTCTAAAGTGCAATAATTGTCAACTGAGCGACAAGTGGTCAAGCAATTCCTACTCGCATCATATTTACAGTGCGATAAAGTGAGAATGTTACCTAAGAAGCGCTCCAGTGCCCCGCCGAGTTCTCTGTGCTTCCTGGGCTTGGTCGGGAATGGCATCGCTTTGGTTGGATCGAGCGCGCCGAGCTCTTCTTTGTTCCCGCTTTGTTTTTGGCCAGTTCTAGTCGCCACTGCAATAATATAATTCCACTTGCCGACGGGTGTGTGCCTAAATCGCTCGAAATTTAAAAAGTAGCACGTTGCTAGGGGATACGCGCGAGTGCAAATGTTACTCAGATCAGAGCGCGCCCTTTTAATTCACTGAGCTAGAGTCAATTTTAGAAACCAAACTACAAACAAAACAAACTCAGCACCAACTACAGACACGATCTCACTACCAAGCGTAGGATTTAAAAGCATCGACGAACTCTGCTCTCAAACGAAAAGCTTCATTGTTTGAGAAACATACCTTTCCAATTCCGCCGCTTTTTTCCTTTTTCTGTCTTTTGAAAATTTCAATGTAAAATCTTCTTGGAAGTTGAAAGTTACATCTCTAAAAAAATATTGCGAATTTCGTTGAACGGCAATTTGAAACAGCCCCTGTGGAAAAAATAGCCTCGCTCTAGCAGTCATCTCATGAATATTGGAAGGAATAACAAAAGATCGCACGCTCCGCTCGCAACCAACATTTTCAACCTGAGAAAACTCCACCTTTTCGGATCAAATTAAGCCAGTAACGAAGACTGGAAAAAATCACGCTGATATCAAAATCACGTCTATATGGAAAGTTATCACCGGCACTGAAAATGTCACGAATGTCACGAAAATGACCACTTTTTTCGTGACATCGTCAGTAAGAGGGTCCGAAAAATTTGAGTTTTGCGTGCAGTAAGAGTTGGGCTCCGCCAAAACAATGAGTTATCTACCAGAAAATGCACAAAGAAGGACCGTTAGAGTGCTTAATTCGAAAAATTATGGAAGTCAATTTTTCGAATATCGTGACATTTTCAGCCAACTCGTGACATTCGTGACATTTTCAGTACCTGCCGTTATCGACTTATTATCTCAATATGCACTGATCCTTTGGAAGAAAACTCAAACTGACTTTTGAGAAAAAAGTCAAAAATTTGACTATTTTTTTTTCAATTTTGGAAGATCTAACCGATGAAATTCCTTGATTTTTGGCAGACTTATGTAGAATTTAATAAGGAATTCAAAAATCTAGTTTGTTTTATAATTCATCGGTGAAATTTTGAAGGAGAGCGATTTTAAACTTTAATTTGGCTCTCATTCAAAAATTCACCGATAATTTTTTTAATTAATTAGATATTCGAAATTCTTATTGTCTTCTCCACAAGTTGTCCAAAAATCAAAGATTTTCAACCGTCAGAACTCTCAGAATCAACAGAAACGTGAATATTTTCGACCCCTTTGTTGGCGAGTTGTTTTGGAGATTTCAACGAAAAAGTCTCTAGAGCCGAAGTTGTTGTTAGGGCTAAAATCGAATTTCTGTCAGTTCCCAATCTTACCGGGTACTACCCGGTCCGAAGCGGCAAAAACAGAGGTAAATTGCTTTTTTGAAGAGATTTTTTTTAAATTATTTTATAAATTTTATTGTTATAACTTATAAGCATCAAGGGCTTCTCTTTTCAGAGAAAATTTGAGGCGAGTCTCGACTTAATTTTATTTTTAGAATTGCGAGTTAAAGCACCACGAAGCGCAGGACTCCTGAAAATGGAGTCGCTATTCAAGCAATCGAGCTTGCGTGCTACGAAGCGAAGACGTGAAAGTCTTCGCAAGACTCTCCCAAAGGCATTCGCCTTGGAAAGCGAGCGACATCGAAAGCAAAAAGCTTGCAATCGCACATGTTCACCTGAATAAAATCAATTTCCTCTTTCTATCTTTTGTTGTCTTTTTATTATTGTAGCTGCGGTTGTTGTGTAGTGAGTTTTAGCTTTTACGGTTTTTGTAAGAGATGAAGTGGAATACAGTAGTATCAGATTCTTGTCTGAATTCTTCTGAATCGAGTTGAGTTTCAGACTTTTTTCAAGTACAGAATTGTGCGCACTTAGCGAGGAGGAGGATGGAACGCTGTTCGCCCGGCGGCGCGGTCAGCCGGGCAGAGCGCAAGAAACTTTGATCCGGAAAGGTGGAGAGATGACCTTGTAGAAGGCGGTAGAGACGGGGATGTCGGAGAAATTTCAGCTAGATTTTGTGATTCTGTGCGTGATCTTTCTGACTTGCGTGGCGTGGTTCTCCACCGAGCATCTGCTTCACCGAGCGGCTCCGGAGGAATGGCAGTTGCTTCAGATAATCCCGGACGAGCAGAAGAAAATTATCTACGAACAGAGATTGCAGAACATCAAGGACAGATGTGCGAAAATCAAGGGCAAGAGGCCGTCTCTTGAGCAAATTTGGAAGTCGGGGCAAGAAATAGGAACGGCTAAAATACTCACAACTCAGTTTTTTTAAATAAAAATGAAAGCGAGGAATTTCCGAATTAGCCTCCACAAAAAGAGTTCCCGATGATAGTCGACGAAGGCAACAAACTCATGTACTGCGAATTGCCAAAAGTAGGAAGCAGTAACTGGAAACGAGTATTAATCAAGCTCACCGATCCGCGATTCCAAGACATCAGAAATGTTCTCGCGATCCGAAAGCCCAGAAAACTAGAACACTACAATCTAACAGTACTGACAGCCCTCTTAGCGTTGGTATTTGAGATATTTATTCAGTACTTGACGGATTATCCTGTAGAAGAGAGACTGCAAATGCTGAAGAGCTACTACACTTTTACAGTTGTTCGCGATCCAATAGAAAGAGTCCTTTCTGCCTACAGAGACAAAGCTTTTGACGAGTTTCGCGGTGGAATAGGAACGGGTTTTCATCCCAGCCAAATGTTTTGAAAAAATAAGCTCGATAAAAAATCCGAACAGGCAGACGAACGTATTCCTTTCTTCAAAAGCGCAATGAAATCGACAAATTCATTGACTACGACGTCGAGTCCTTCCACCGCTTCGTCGCTTATTTGAGGTAGATTTTTGTCGAAGGAGTCTTTTGCAACCTTTCAGTGCTCGAGGACCAGAAGTAGGAGCCAAGGGTGACTTTGGAATCCGAGTTCGTCATTGGACCCGCTTTTTCGACATTTGCCGCGTTTGCGATGTCGACTGGAACTTTATCGGAAAAGTCGAGTCCATCGTTGAGGACGCTGCTTTCATGCTGGCTGATGTTAATCTCTCTTCTGTTGTGGAGTATCCTTACTACAGAAAGGCAACAGACACAGATCAGATTAAAAAGTACTTCACTGGATTAACAAAAGAAGGACTGGAACGGCTCTACTACACGTACCAGCTCGATTTCGAGCTCTTTCAGTATTCGATACCTCAGTACGTTTGGGATGTTGTCTAGCTCAAGTTACCCTGCCATACCAATATCTGTAAATATCAATAAATATTCAAGTTGACACAGTGTTGTACATTTTTATCTTAGTATTTATTACTGAAAGAAACTTCGAAGCGTCTCCTCATCGACAAGTCGGCTTTGGTAGATGTCTGGGCAAATTGGTAAAGGCCGTTTCCGGGCTGCGAACTGCGCGATATCGAAACACTCGTTTTGATGGAATTCTTGACAATCATGGGCTCCACGGCGTTTCCACCCTGAAAAGCAGTAAAATTCTGAAAGCACTATTTGTCTACTTTTATTTCCCAATCTTCCTGGGCTTTGACGAATTCATACATCGCTGCGTCTTGACTGAACCCGTCTAACAGACGCAGGAGACTGTCCATTCCCTTAAAATAACATTCGTTAATATTTGCACGGCTATCATCTTTTAAGTACGTCTGTGTAGATGCCAAGAACTTACTTGTACAGTGATATCGCCAGATAAGACATGTGACTCAGCTGAAGTCATTAGCTCGACTGATTTTTCCGGATTTCCGAAAATCTGCTCCAAATGCGTCAAACCACAAATACCCTTGGACAGAAGAAGGCCTTTCACGTCTTAAAATTCACATCAAGGATCCAAATATTGCAGAGCCTCTTACTTGGGACGATTTTCTCGAAATCAAGGAGGAGATTTCGTCGAGGACAGAAGCTTCCGAAGCTGATAGGGCAGGTTTTTGAAACAGACCAGGCTTCTCTGTGGATTTGTGAGTCCGAACCGCTGCTCATGTTTTGCTAAAATAGTATTAAAATGAGTTTTAACATAAATAATAAGCTACTTTGACATTTTCCAGCTCATTCTCTGCATCGCGAGCTTGAATTTGAATCAGAATTCTAGTCAACATTATTCCCACCAACAAGTTCTCCCGGTCCGGCTCCTAGAAGAAGAGTTACATCTTGATTATTATTTTGTAATCTTCACTTACAGTAATGAAGATCATGTATTTGTACAAAAAGCATTCTAATGCCCTGTTGTTGATCGTGTAAATTTGCCAGTCTAGGTTCAAATCTTCCTTTGCCAAAAACGTCAGGAGCTCGGAAGAGAGTGGAAACAGCCGTCGAGGGAGGGAACTAAAGAAATTCCTGTGACTTTGTCGTCAAAGTCTTGTACCTGAAAGCAATGTTGTGTTTGACTGTTCGTTTGTTGTTCGGCTTCTCAACGTTGTCGAAGATTGTTTCGATCGACGATGCTGGCGAAATCGTCGGCGAGTATTTTGGCTGCGGGCTCGTTGGAAGCTCTGGTGCGCGCTTAAATTAATTTTTTAGATATATTCTTCCATGATTTCCTCGCCATTGTGATAGGAGCAATAGGCACAATAGGAATAAGCTCCTTCTTCTTCTTCTGTTCAAATTTGGGCGTGGACGCAGAAGCTGTCGCTACTGTAAAGCTAGCTGCTACTGGAGGTGTCACCGCGTTGTTGATTGTTACAGTTTGTGAGCCCGTAGAACGCGTGCTTCTTTTTGAAGTGGTAGAATTATTTGACTGCATTTCCGTAGCTTCGCCGGCCTTTTTTGATCCGCCCAGGAATCGCTCGTTTTCTTCTTCAAACTCTGAAACATTTTTTTCATCGAGAAAAAATGGTCGTCAAATACCATCTCCAGTGTCTTCTGGCAGTTGGAATATCGGATCAACTTTCAACCCAGTCGAGTAAACGTCCGTTACGATTTCATCTTTGACGATAGTGGTATTGCCCGACTTGTTTCTTCTGCTGCTCGAGCTAGAATTGCCGGTTGCCTTTTTCTTGCAGCAGCAGTGCGAGCAACACAATCCGACCAAGGTAAAAATGACGCCACCAGTCACAGCTGAACAATTGTTGAGCTTTTTGTGGTTTAATTATTTTGATTACCTGCTATAAGGATTGAATACTCGTATTCTTCGAAAATTTTGACGTAACTTCTGACAGGGCCGTACCAAGGATCAGAGTCTGTGATAAAAGTGTCGTTCATAGTTGCGATATCTGGTTCTTATCCAGGGGATTCAAGTTTAAACATTCTCGCTGTCTATCTGCCATCATCAACGAAAATCTCTTACAAGTTAATTCTCAATAACGCACTCTTTCCTTCCACAAAAACGTCCGCTTCAATAAAGCCTTCGAAAGGATAAGATTCGTGAAACAAAGAAAAAATAAGTGAAACGAAGTTGTAAAAATAGTAATCACACGGTGAGATAGGAACCCCGCAGGATAATAAATTATTGCTAGCTATCGCAAATCGGGTAATTGATCAGCCGATCAGACTTGAAGAAATTCTCAGGAAGAAATCTTCTTGAGAAATAAACAATGAAAAAATCGTGCGCAAACTTTCAATTTTAGGAACGATGAAACGTCACTTTGGGATCTTCATTTCGAAATTACTCCAAAGAAGTTCGACAAACTAAGGTCTTTCAAAACAAGCATCCAGTAAGGAAGCGTTTGTCTTTTACTTCTTTGGTTTGAATGATGAATTTAGTTTCGAAATGCAATTCAAAGATGACGGTGCGTTTTTTTGTCGATAAGTGCAAACAAGGAAGAAAACTCTGAAATCATCTCCCTTTCCTACGATCGTCGAGTTCTCCATCTCTTCTGTTTAGGTTCTCTACGACTGCTAGTGGCCCCCGGTAACTTCCGAAAGTGAGAGGCAGATCTCTGCCTTTAAAATTTCCATTTTGCTTTCTCTCTGTCAATATTAGCTGCAGAGCAAATAGCAAGCGCAAATCACAATTGGCGGATTCGACTTCTCAGAGCGCTAGAATGCCCAAAAACCCACAAGATTTATCAACATCCAACGATAGCCATCTGAGTAGGACTTAACGCTCGTCAAGTGTGAGCTATTTAGATCAGTTGCGCTAGAAACAGTAAAAGAAGCCACTCACAAGAATACCGCTCGTTTTACGGCGCGCAACATTTGCTTTTCGTTATTCTTCTGAACTTTACCATCACTTTGGAAGCTCTCCCCTCTCCCCCGTTTTCTATAAACTATTAAATTTTCAAAGGATCTAAATACTATAAATATGAATATGCACTATTATATAAGGAGGATAACAAGGTTTGTTTTCAGAAGAGTGTTTTTTATTCGTTCTCAAAATCAGAGACGTAGGGAATTGTTGCAAAGGTTAAAAACAGAAAATATGGAAACATAAAAGAAAATTCTGATAAATCAAGAGTCTGAGGAAAAGCATGAGGAAGAGATGAGAAAGTGATCAAGAAATATTCTTCAGTTTTCTCACTCTGCCGATTTCAGCATTCTGCATAATTTCAACGAACAGGTCGTATTTGTGCCTTGCAAACTCTTCCAGACGATCCATTATCCGATAACAACAAGGATCCGATTCTTGAATTCGAGTTCGGGCCTCATCATCCACCTTGATTGCGATTTCATCCTCAATATGCTTGCGAAAGTGAAAACTCTGATGATAGTTTTTCATACTAGAAAATATTATAAAAATTTATCGAATAAAGAATCATACTTTGTCCAACAGTAATTTGTTAGTGTCAGGGTGGCCGCAGGAGGAATTCTTCTTTCTTTTGGCATCATCGTATTGTCATTGTACGGGGTGCCGTCAAGTCGTGCAATAACATCGCAAGAGGTAACTTTCGAACAGCATGAACATCGTCGCTTGAGAATTTGTTATTGCTTTTTTCAATAGCTTTTTTCTAAATTCAATTTTACCTTGTATTTTTTGTTGAAAGATGTTATCGGTTCTCCTAAATTCGGGTAATCGCGAACCCAGAGTTCGAAATTTTTGCGGCTCCCGGGCAAGGGGGCGGCGGGCGGGCGGGCACGGGCAGAATATTGAAGATTCCCGGGGGCAAAAACGGTCACGGGCACAAAAACGAATTTTCCCGCGAGCCAAGCGGGCACGGGCACTATAACAAATTTTCCCGCGGGCAGATACGGGCACGGGCATGAATGAGAAGATTCCCGCGGGCATAAACGGGCACGGGCGGTTTGCCCGCGTTCCCGCACGAAATATTCCCGAGGGCAGCCCGGGGGAACATTTTTTTCAATTTTTTCTACTGCTAAATCTCAAGCCTATTTTTCAAAATTAGAATACAAAATAAAAACGACCTTGAATCAGTTCGGATTTTTAAATCGCAAGTTTTAGGAGCTAGTTAGAAACTACGACCGAGTGGTCTCCGTTTCCCCAAGTTGGGCAAACGGCGACTTGGGCAAACGGCGATGTGAATTAATTAAGTTGATTGATCATATTATATGATTCATATAACTTTGTTGTATTGGCTTCTCCACAGTCAATTGACGTTGAAAAAGCCTAGATTGAAATTGACGAAGCCGGGATTCGCGTTGGAGAACTCGGGACTGACATTAGAGAAGCCATGATTGAAGTCAGTGAAGCTAGGATTGACGATGTAGACCCAGAATCGACGTTGGAAAAACCATAATTGATATAATATTAATGATAGTGGAGAAGACATGATTGAAGTTGGTGAAGCCAGGATTGGCGTTGAAGAAGTCAGGATTAACGTTTGAGAAGCCAAGTTTGTTTCCCCAAGTTTGGCAAACGGCGACTTGGGCAAACGGAGACCACTCCAACTTATCATTTAAGAGAATAATCAATCCCGATCGCTGTCAAGCCAACCGGTTAAAACTGAAAAAAAATGATCAATTTATGCCTTTTTTTCATAATTTTACCGGTCGCTTCGGCCTTGTTTGGAACTCTCTCTTCTGATATACTGATGACTCAAAATCTTCCAAGTCAAAAAAAGGTCACACTTTACCAATGCACAATGTGCATTGCACATCGTCCATGAGTTTATTTTTGCATATAGACGTGCTTTTTTAAGGTCAACGAAGTTTTCCAGCCCACTTCCGCCTTATAGACCCCCGAACACCATACTTTTTTAGAATCAGCAGAAAATTTTAAAAACTTTGACGGTTTAAAATTCTAGAGAACTCCACTTCTGGTCGATTCTAGAGCCGGAAGTTGACGAAACTTAGTTAAAATGGTAGAGTGTGACCTATCAAATTTATGCTCAGAAGATTTTGGGTGATCCTAAAATCAATATTTCAGAAGAAACAGTCCCAAACCTGGTCAAACCGACCGTTAAAATTATGTAAAAAATGGCATAAAGTGATGAATTTTTTTTCATTTTTTCCGGTTTATTTTACCGCGGTTGGTCTTGATTCTTGGTCTAAAATGATAGGAAATCGTCTGACCATCAATTTGATAGGTCACACTTCACCATAACACCTAAATTACGTCAACTTCGGGCTCTAGAACCGACCGGAAGTGGAGTTTTCTAGAATTTTGAACCGTTAAAGTTATTAAAATTTTCTGTTGATATGTAAAGGTATAACGTTCGGGGGTCTATAAGGCGGAAATGGGCTGGAAAACTTCGTTAGCCTTAAAAAAACATGACATAACAGTTCTGATTAGTTCAGATTAGTTTTCAATATACTCCCTCAAGTATTTGGTGTCTATTTCCACGCTATTTAAATAGTTTAAACACTTTTTCATGAGGTGCATTGAATCTGCCCGTGCCCATTTAAGCTCGCGGGAATCTTGCCCGTGCCCGAATTTGCCCGCGGGAATATTTTTTCTTGTGCCCGTGCCCGCTTGGCCCGCGGGAAAATTCGTTTTTTTGCCCGTGACCGCTTTTGCCCTCGGGAATCTTCACTTTCTTGCCCGTGCCCGTATCTTCCCCCGGGCAAACGCGGGATTTCGAACTCTGCGCGAACCGTTGTTTTAAAGTTTTTGTTCCAGGCTTGTGTGGAAAAGGCTGAGCAGGCATCGGAGATATGACTTGTCAGATTTTTGTGGGCAGAAGCAAGATTGTCGTATTCTCCATCCGCCATTAGCCATCGAAAAAAGTCTTCGCTAAAAAACTGTTGATGTAAAAAACTATCAACTTTGGAACGGTTTGTGGGGCTAACCGGACGATAGATTAGTCGTAGCACAATCCAGTGCAACGCTTTGACGAACTCTTCAAATTTCAAGTCGGGTTCCACATAGGCAGTTTGCTTTCGTATCAGTGAGTTTTTACGTCGTAGCGGTCTCTTTTTACGATTTCCGATTGGACTTTTCTTCGGCGGTTTGCTCGAGACTACTCGAGACGTCGTATATTTCTGTTTCTTGAAAACTATTCTGTAGCGAATAATTTCTCCGTCTACATTATGCGTAAAAATCATCCTTGAAATTATTTTTTTTCAAGTTTTGAGTGTTCAATTTCGAGTTTTCGAAAGTGAACGAAAATGACGAACCCCTTTTATAGCTCGAGAAGTATTGCTTGAGCAACAAACAAAAACTTGCAACAAAACAGGTAAATAAATGTTTATTCCGTCGGTCTTTGAAAACCAAAGCGTTGACTTTTGAAACAACTTCCACACAATGAATCTCATTTATTCTTTTTGAAGAACAAATGGCTTTCAGAATTCGTCTTTGATAACAATAGTTTTTTTATCGATTATTCGAAATAAATATTGTTGTAAAATAACTTCAATCTCCTTTCGGACATGTTGCCTGTTACTTCAAATATTTGCTTTTCCCTCCCATTTTTCCGAGCTACGAAATTAATCAACAACATTTTTTTCCTTCAAAATGTCATTGAAATTACCGAAAAAGCTTCTTTTTGGAAAGAGATTCCCACTTTTTGCAACCGGATTAGTTCCAAAAAGCGACCTAAAGTTAAGCCTGAATTACTTTGATACAGTCAACTCCTGTTTCGCCTATGAAACTACAGTTAAAACGGATCAATTTGGGAGAGTCCATTTGAGCGAAATGATGGTGGCGGATATGATTTCCTTGGCGCAAACAGAGAAAAGTTACGATCCATTTATTCTGGAAGAATTTGAAACGGCCAAGCTCAAAATCAAACTAGGAACATTAGAAGAAACCATCACAGGAGCTTCCGGAGTCGGGGATGATATCGTGAAAGAAGAAATCCGCGAAAATGGCCTGGTAGCGAATCTTTTTTACCCAGAAAATTGCAAAACAGCTCCAGGAGTGCTGCATATCAACGGATCATTAAATCATATTCAAGATGCACGAGCAATAAGACTGGCAAGAGAAGGTTTTGTTGTGATGGAAGTCGGTTACAATGGTAAGTGTGTTCTTATCTTAAAGTTAGAGCTAGTCTTCAATTAATTGATCACCAATCAGATAAATATGTTTCATCAGTTCAGAAATACGGGAATGAAAACTTCATGAAGAAGAACCTCCTTTCATTGGAGTACTTCGAAAGCGCCGCAAAAACTCTTCTCGCGCATGAAAAATGCTACGGGGATCGTCTAGCTGTTGTTGGCCAATGCAAAGGAGCTGACATCGCACTTGGCTTTGCATCAATCTGCCCGGAACTTGTCGAGCTCACTGTCACTCAAGCGGGCTCAATTCCAGCCCCAATCGCGTGTGACTTATCCTATGGAAATAACATCTTCAAAAAGATGGAGTTGGCGGCGTCGGCCGATAGTTTGCCGCTTGTTACGCATCTTTTTACATTCACAGATGATGGATTCATTAGCCCGACTTGGGGAACATTCGGAGTTCTTCATGGACCCGACGATTTTCTTTTCAAAATGGATGATGAAGAAAAATGGCAAATAAATTACGATGAGGCGGCGAAAATCAAACAGACAGGATTTCCGCTCAAGAATATTCCGAAGATCTTCCACTTTCAGGTATTTCTTACGATCCCTATCTTTTTTGAAACTATTCTAGCCACTTGATGATCCTCATCTTGCCCCGTCTCAAGCTCATTCAATGGAAATCTCTGAGCTCTTTTTAGAAGGTCTACCGAATGTTCAAAAACTTGACTTTCTTCATTCCGGACACATGGCTGTTTTACCGGAAGTTCCTGTTGTTACGCAATCTGTGATGGCATACGGACCCTTGAAATTACTCGTCAAATGGAGCAGGAACGAAACAAAGGTACATTTCGCGCGTTTTCATTTGAAAATTAGCGATTTAGGAGCAAAAACTCAAGGAAGCTCAAGAACACAGAAGACTGTTTGATAATATAGTTTCGATCCTAAAAGAAAACATGTAGTTTTGGTCATCAATCGAATAAAAAAACTTTTCCAAAGAAAATTGTTTGTTTTTTTTGATGTTGCATGGATTGTTAAAACGCGATTCTTTGAAGTTTCACAGTTTTTTGCAAAAAGGAAATTGCCAGATCCAAACAAGCGCAAACAACGATTTAGTTGCGCTCAGGAAAAAGCGTTGCGTAAAGCGACAAGGAATCTTTGGTGAGTTCTCTCTTCCAGCTATCCACTTCGCCTTTTCGCTAAAAATTCACAGTTAGAATCCTTTAAGCTGTTTAGCTTTCAACCTTGATGAGTGTTTCGCTGCTCGAAGCTGTGTCCGTGATTTTTGCGTCTTTGTGGAAGTTGGCGTCGTGGCTCTTGAACTGACTGCCGTCCACTACTTTTGGAATATCGACGTTTTCCAGGCCGAGGAATTTGACGATTTCTTCGACGTTTCGTTGTAAGTTGACCTTCAAGTCTTCAAATGTAACTGTATGAATCCGTTCAGGCTCTTTTGCTGCTGCTTCTCTCCACAACTTGTCGTATCGGTCCATGTTCCTAGAGATTCAAATTCACGTTGAAGCAAAGAACTGAACTTACCCATAAGAAGATTTTCCTTGAAAGACAATATTGGCGTAGTCGTCGGCGCTTTTGATGTTGTAGTGTTCAAACATGACCTTGTACTTTTCCATTGAGCCGAAGAAATGATAGCCAGAGACGGCGACAGCGCGGATGTCCCTCGAAATGTACAAAACTTTCGCATTTTTGGGCAAATGAGATGGATAAGCGTGAGAGTGATTGAAGACAAAGTTGGTAGAAGGGTCAGCTTTGACGGCATTAATCATCGTTTCTAGAGCCGGGAACTCTTGGAACTCGAGTGGAAGCGATGTGCACTTTGCATCCCTAAATAGTTTATTTACCATTGTCTTATTCGTGCGATGGTCAAATACCCTTCGCCAATGTCGTAGAGCCGCTGGAACTTCAACTGGCCAAGAATTTGAAGAAGGAAATGGCTGCCAGTCTTTGGATATCCAGCGACAATTACAGTGTTGGACGGAAGGCTCATCGATTGAAGTTCGCGGATTACTTTTTCCTCCACGCTAGCGCGAACTAGAAATTGCGAATAAAAACCTTGAAGCGAGAAATACGCTGTTTATGACTACCTGGAAAACCATCGAGCATTTTCATAAAACCAAGTTTTATGAGCCCTTCCAAGTTCTTTTCTTCTTCAGCCGCGTTCATTCTCAATTATCTTCTTTGTAAAAAAGCTTGATACAACTCGTCCGGTGTTTATTCAAAGCACTGCGAAGAAATAATAAAAAATATGACACATATTTGAACTGTTCTCAAATATTTGTGCGGCCCCCGGGAAAAAATGATAATTGCAGCTTCTTAATTTCGTAAAGCCAAGCAATGCAAGCTCATTTCTTTTCCAAAAACCGATGATTTAATTCGAAAATTGAATTTTTACGATACCAACTTAGGCGATCTGAGATTGGATTATTTATCACCCGCAATATTAATATTTTGGGCGAGCTAGGCCAAGTGGAGACTAAACGTTTTTTTCGAATAAAGGTCTCGTGCATTATAAAATTAAAAGTTCCGCTGAAAATGTGTAATCTTCCAGGACCTTGCCAAACATGCGATATATACAATTGCGACCGCAGCGAGGCATAATATTTGCCGCTGATCTTCTTAAATCACCACCACAGCTTCGTTCAAGTCATTTTCAAACCAGCACCAAGGCTGGGACCAGGCCCGTGATGGAAATTCTCCCCACATATGTTTCCCTTAAGAATAACCATTTAGAACCGTGATGACGGGTGACGAGATATTTTGAGTTGAAAGTTTCCGTCTATTTTTGCCAGATAAAAGACCCTTTTCCATCACAACAGAAGACTAGAATTATCACGTGTCGATAAGAGGCGGATATAAGCTTTATTCACTCAATATGAAGCTACAGTATATCATCTTTTACCTCACGTCCAATGTTCTGTCGCAAAGGAGAGAGAGAAAACGAGCCAAAGGAAGGAACTTCTCCCAAGACAGCCTCATCGATGTCGACTACAGCGCAATGTTCGCCGCTCCAAGTGGATCCATGCTTGAGCAAATGATAGCAATGTCCATGGGCAATAATAACGCAAGACCTCCGAGAAAAATCGAGAGAAAAAGAAAAAGAAGAGCCCGGTTGCTGCTGAAAGCGCAATATCCCCCGGAAAATGCTCGAAATTCAAGTAAGATCAGAGATATTTTCTAGCGTGTTTTATTTAATGAAAAGATATAGCTGCCATCAATACGCCGAATGTCAAAATGTCGACGATGGATACATTTGCACATGCCGAGAAGGCTTTGAGGGCGATGGTAAGAACAGTTGTGTGGATAAGAACGAGTGCAGTGCGAACAAAAACCCTTGTGGAAATAAGGTCTGTGTGAATACTGTTGGCTCCTACGAGTGTACCTGCGAGTCTGGCTTTGAAATCTTGAGAAATAAATGTAGAGATATCAATGAGGTAAGAACTGGTATCGTTGACAAAGCTTGAGGCCAAATTCTAGTGCACAAATGGAAGTCACGCATGCGTAGCGAACGCTTATTGCAATAACCTTTACGGTCACTACGAGTGCATTTGCCCGAACGGCTTCGAAGGAAACGGACTTAATCCGCAGCTCAACTCGAAATATACTGGCTGTACTTCCATCACGACCACAAAAGCATCTACAACGACGACGACTACGACGACTACGACGACAACAACAACAAAACAGGCCAACCAGAAATTCGAAATATTTGAGCAATTCTCAGAGCAAGATCTTGTTTCTTACGAATATGGCGAAGGATTTGGTTTTGTCGATGGCGGAGAAGGACTATTCAGTCCTGTTTCTTCTTCAATTTCTGACATGCTCTACTCGCTCTACGAAGAAGATTTTTCAGATTACCTAGAATCCAACGACATCGACGTAGAAGAGGTCCCTGACAAAGAATTCGAACCCTTTAATTTCGATCTCTACCAAGAAGACTACTTTTCTCAGCTGACAGGTTCGGACTTTTTCTCCTTGGGAGAATCATCTAGCAAGACTGATTCTATTGAACTTACAACACCTGTTGCATCTACTACTCCGATCCTTACGACGACGACGATTACCTCTTCAACAACTTCTACAACAACTAGTACAACGACTACTACGACAACTACTTCGACGACTACTACTACAACTACTACTAGCACGACAACAACTAGTACGACAACAACTTCAACAACAACGTCAACAACAACTACGACTACATCTACAACTACAATTACGAGTACGTCGACACTTATGGAAACTACTGTTCCAGAAACAACCACAACAGAAATCCCAACAACAACTTCAACCACCACAACAACCACGACAACAACAACAACAACTACTACTACTACTACTACTACTACTACTACTACTACAACGAGTACAACGACTACCACAACTTCAACGACGACAACGACAACAACAACGAAAAGAACCACAAGAAAACCTAGAGTTACGCGCAAAACAACAACAGAAGCCCCAACAACACAAGAGCCAACAACAACAGTAGAGACGACCGCATCGACAATGGAATATTTTGCTGCTTTATCCGCTCAAATGCTCGACTCTTTCGACGTTGAGCACGATGCAGATCGTGCAGAGAGCTGGGGGAGCGATTACGATTACATGCCGTCTCTCCAATCATTCGCTGAACTTCTTTACTCGAATGACAAAATGCTCTATGCTCGATCTGGAGACCACTCGGACAAGCTCAACCAGTATTGGGAAACAATGAATCGCCAGTGGGGCCAAGTTCAACAAGCACAAACCGACAGTTCAGGAAAAGTAAACAGCAATCTTTCGCCAACTGACGGGGAAGGCGGAAAAATCGGACTAAGCAAAGGATCCACGTGGTCATCAGCATGGAAAGACTCACCCTGGAATGTTGATGCTGGTCAAAGCGTTGTCGCGGACTCGTGGGGAGTTGATCACGGGACTAGCTTCTCAGCTGCTGGCAACTCGTGGGTAGGAAGCAACTTTGATTCATCATGGGAACTTGGAGGCGGAACTGGCCAGTTTGCAAGTATCGCAGACGCAACAGCAACAAACTTCGACACAAATTTTGATGAAGCAGGAACCGGAACAGGCACCATTCCAGGCACCGCAGACGCTAACTACTACTCAAGCTACAGATGGCACGAAGGCATCGACAGCAGCAAGAACAACGCCACATCCGAGATTCACGATCCGGCAAAGCTCAAATGTCACGTTTGTGATGTTCAACGCGAAATGGTCTGGGACAAAGACAGCGGAACATTCAAACTTGTCGATCCCTCTGATCCGACCAAAGCTGACAAAACTGGCGAAAACCTTTACGCCACCTGCAGCAACAGTCTCAATCAGAAATCATGCGAATATTCTTCTGGCACTTGCTTTATCGAAGAAAGACGCACTTGGGGCTACGTGACGCAAGTGCGAGCTGGATGCAAACAAGCTCAGGTAAATAAATCTATCTCAAAAGGTCTCTAACCTCATTCAGGCTTGCTACATGCAAAAGTACCAGAATTTCCTCGTTAAAGCTGGACGACAATGCTGGCCAGGAGATAACACTGCTATGATCGACAAAGTTGGTCGACGACCATACGATGTTGCGCTCTACGAATGGCCTAGCACCAATCTCGGCTGGATCACTAACATCATCTATGGAGGCGCCTCTGCCACTGGAACTGGAACCAGTTTCACCTCGACCAATGCTCAAACTGGACTCTTCGTCGACGCCGACTATTCCGACTTCCTCGGCATCCGAACCCCCGTCGACTTCAAAAACGGCTTGAAAGAGACAAGTTTATGCACTCAGTGCTGCAACACTGAGCACAACTGCAACTACGACTGGCAGCCACGAACTGAAGGTAAGTCTCATTCCATTCTTTCACAAATAATTATCATTTCATAGCCGACTGGGAGTACTCTTTTGCCTGGAACTACGACACCACATCAATGACAGGAAACGCCTTTGGAACAGGCGTTGAACGACACCCAAGCGAAGTCGACCCAGTTGTAACTTAAGAAATTCCACTGGGTCTGTAATAACCACTGTACATTCAAAATTCCTACCTCATTGTTACATTACTGCTCACTGTTAGACCGAAGAGGTCAATAAAACATGTTGAATTTGGAAACATCGTTTCTTTGCAAAATGGTCAAGCAGGCAGGAGAAGATCAGGAAGTATTTGCGAAAGGAATCATAGGAGTCCTGACACACTGGAGAATTTTTAATTTGCGCTCAAACAAGCCCCTCGCGACCTAGTGGAAATGCAATAAACTGAGAATATAAAAACGAGCGATGAAAACCACAAAGTCACTAGAAATAAAACTACAAGAAAGAGGAAAAGGATCTTCCTTTAAAAAAGATGAATTCCGTTTTTGAAAATGTCTTTCCCGGCTACTTGAAGAGCGAAAGCACCAACGAATGCTCAATTCTCGTTTCTGAGAGTTGCTACGACTGGCTGATTTTACCAGTGATGGGGATCGTTTTCCTTCTTTGCTGTTTGGCCGTTTACTTGGCATGCGAATTCTGCCGTAAAAGAAAACCCCAATCGGAGGACAAAAAGAAACTCGTCTGGGAAGAAGACCTCGAGTACGGAAGCTGCGAGTGCGAAAGTGAAACTGACGATGACTGCTTTGAAAGTGCAAACTAAACCTACTGCTTAAAAAAATGACTTGCAATGAGCCATTTCATTGTGAATTCCTCTTACTGTAAATAAACAAACCACTTACTGCTACAGTTTTAATTTACACATGTTATCATCATTGAGTGCTTACAGTAAGCAGTAACTGAGACGACTTGATTTAATGATTTCAAGAAAATTGGCATTTAGGTCTTATGAATTCCCTTGATCATAAAAGCCATGGACGGGTTTATGAGAGATCTGCGTATTCTGTAAATCTAATTGATCAAATATTTAATTACTAAGTGCATTACAAGCGTAGCTTCTCATTTTTTTTGCATCGAAAAAATTATATCGAGAGAAGCATGGCCGATTTGCAGGTATTAAAATGCTTTTATGAAGCGGGAGCAGCGTATTTTTAGACGGGGAATTACGATTTGAATCATGAGCTGCAAGATCACGACGAGATCCAAGCCAAAATTGACGAGGTTGTTGAAGCTGGCGAGCAATACACAGATGAAGACTTTGACATTGCTGACGAAGATAACGCAGGGGATAACCACGCTCGCATAGCTGAGCAGACAGATGATTTCTCTTTCATCGGAGACGGACATCAAGCTTGCGATATCGCTCAAGGAGGCCTTGGCGATTGCTGGTTTCTTTCTGCTCTCTCCAGTCTGGCACAAGAGCTTCCCGAGGAGGCTTCCCTAAAAGTCAAAGAAAACGCAGTAAAGCGAGTTCTTCAGCCAGAATTCAACAACTCTGATGAAGCAAGACAGACTGGAATCTACAAGTTCAAATTCTTCCGCCTCGGAGAGTGGATCGACGTCGTCATTGACGATGATCTTCCAACTCGAAAACGAGCTCGTTCTTCTGACACAGGAGAATGGTGGGTTCCACTGGTGGAAAAAGCGTACGCCAAATTTTCAGGCTCTTATGAAAAGATTCAAGGTGGAAACACTTGCTGGGCGTTGCAAGAACTCTCTGGAGGAATTACTGTAGAAATGAAGAACTTGACAAAGGGCAATGCAGAGCAAGCAGCTGAAAACGCTGCGAAAAGGGGAATCTCATTGTTCAAAGTTTTCTATCATATTCAAAATCGGGCACTTGTTTGCACTTCGAATCTGGGAGACGGAGGCAACGACGTTATTACCAAGGGACTGGTTCATGGACATGCTTACAGGTTCGAAAAACCACTGAATTTAAAAATAATATTTTGATAGTTTGCTCCGAATCGACGAAGTTGCGAAAACGGACGGCGAATTCGTGAAGCTTGTGAAAATCCGAAATCCTTGGGCACAAACCGAATGGGAAGGAGAATGGTCCGATCACTGCCCAAACTGGGATGACGTCAGTGACGAAGAAAAAGAACGCATCGGCTTTGAAGCGAGCGATGATGGAGGATTCTACATGAGCTTTGAAGACTGGATTAACGAGTTTGAAATGTTCACCATTTGTGAGTCTTATTTTGTTGAGAAAAATCGTCATTTAAATTAAGGCATGCTCCCACGATTTGACCCAGATGACGAAGACGTCGTCTCAGAAGATGAAGCCAAAGCACGTGATCGACGTGTAATTGGAACATTTGTCCCTGGCGAAAGCTGCCCAGTTGATGTCAACGAGCTACAGTCGTCATTCAACGATCCAGCGATGCATGCTCAAGCTCAACTCAAGGTCGATCCGCTATTTGGGAAACCAACGCGCTTTGTCTGGATTCAATTCCTCCTTGATTGCAAGCTCAAGGAGAGCAGGTTGATTATCAGTACAAGACACAGTGTTTTGACTGTTTAGATACGTGATGTTCAACGTTTATGAAGCAGATGAAGATACTCCAGAAGACGAGAAACTCTCCAGACGCGATATAAGAGCATTGAAAAAGGTTGAGAATTTTTGAAAAATAGAAAGATTGAATTGAATAAGATCGATCCGGTTCTTCCGAAACAAGAAGGATACGTAATCGACTACTACCGCCACAATGGTTATCTGTTCTCGTTCGAAGCTTCCAAGCGCTACATCATCATTGGCACGACCGCAACTCCAGAAGCTAGCGAAGAGCCCTGCAAATTCATGATTCGTACTGTCGGACCAGAGATGGAGCTTACCCATCTTGAGTGAAAAAATAAATACACTATCCTTCGAAATTCAGAGAGATGTACTGCATGTGATCAGCAAGGAAAATAGCCAAATAATGAGTCGCAATTTGTCACTTTATTACAAAAGACATTAATGCCAGGCTCATAATTAGGCCAAATCCACTCTGGGAAGATAGCTTCCTAAGTTCCAAAATGGCTCTAGAACCCAACTGTTTATTTTCGAAAATAGCCCCCTGCAAACTGAACCATTCTCCTTAGAGGAGTCCTAAACTACACAAACGACTACTTTTTCGACCAAAATAGCATGCAAAAGAACAAGACAGATAAGAGGTGCAAAAGAAAGTATTTACTTTTGCACCGACAGTTTTTGAGCACAAGAAATTGATTATTCAGGTGTTAATTGTTGTTTACAGTCTCCTTTTCAGGAAAATTGATTTTATTCAGGCTTCTTTCGGAAGCCTAAATACAGAAAATCACCTTTTTAGGAGAGGAAGAACATATTCTTGAACAACTGCCTCGGCAGTTGTAGATTTTGAATCCTTTTGAAGGACATGGTTCCACTCTCCAGTATCTAAAAATTCATTCTTAGAATCGAATTCTAATATACGTTAAATTTACCTGAAAAGTGCGGCGATCCGGACTCTGAGAATTCCCAGAGTGGAATGAGCAAAAAACCAAAAACGCGCATCCGTCGAGAGATCCTCAACAACATTCTAGAGATTCTGGAGAGAACCTCACATGACCCAAACTCAACAACAACATCTTGCCACAACTTTCATCGCTTTCTTTTGCTGGAAAACTGTATTAGGGTGGATACCAGAGTTGGTAAAAAAGTATACTTCACTCGCCCTTCAGAATGAAGTATACTTCATGAAGTATACTTCAGGGCGTTGCAGGGCGTTGAAGGGCGTGAAGTGTACTTCCGCCCTTCCCTCTACTTCAACCGCCCTTCCGCCCTTCACTCTGCTTCAACTTGGTTCTGTCGGCCATCAGAATCCATCCGCCAGAATTTTTTCAAATTTTGCGCTTATTGGCTCTCAGGCGCCATGATTTAAATCACGCTGATTGTGGCAGATGAACCGATAGCTGAAGTATACTTCAGGGCTTTGAAGGGCGCGTGAAGTACACTTCACCGCCCTTCAAGAATGAAGGGCGCCCTGCAGATTTTTGAAGGGCGAGGGGAAGTATACTTTTTTACCAACTCTGGTGGATACAATGTTCCTACATCGTCAATTTATTTAACCAAAGAGATCAATGAACGATATTGAATTTGGAAATAGCATTTCTCTGGAAACTGAAGGCAGGAAAAGATTAAGGAACGTCGATGCTAGGAGACCTTTGCGATAGGATTCATAGGACTGACACAGCGGAGAATTTTTAATTTGCGCTCAAACAAATGAGTGACTTTACTCTCGCTTGTTGTCGCCGCGGCCCCGCGCGACCTAGTGGAAAAGCTATAAACTGACAATATATAAAAGGAAGATGAAAATCGACAAAATCACTAGAAGAAATTCTAAAACAAGAGATCGAAAAACTTTCTTTTTCACAAAAAGATGGAGTCGGTTTTTGAAAGCGTCGTTCCCGGCTACTTGAAGAGCGAAAGCACCAACGAATGCTCAATCCTGATTTCTGAGAGTTGCTACGACTGGATGATTTTACCAGTGATGGGAGTCGTTTTCCTCCTTTGCTGCTTGACACTGTATTGGGTCTGCGAATTCTGCCGTAAACGAAAGCCCCAGTCGGAGGACAAAAAGAAACTCGTTTGGGAAGAAGACCTCGAGTACGGAAGCTGCGAGTGCGAAAGTGAAACTGACGATGACTGCTTTGGAAGTGCAGACTTTGAATCTGCTGCCTGAGAAATGACTTGAAATGAGCCTATTTCCAGATTGTAAATTGCAAACACTTGCTGTAAATAAAAACGCTATCAAAAATTGTGTTTTGAATTGGTTATTTTAAATTTTTTATTGTGATAAGTGAGGAATGGTGAGAGTAAGGCAGTGAACTTAAAAATCGTGAAAATACAAAATGCATTTGTTGGGGAGAATCTCCAATCGCTTTGCCTTTCAAAAAGATTGGGTCTCGTTCGAGCCCCGTCGAAGTAGGGGCTCGTCGTTGTCGAATCCGTCGCTTATGTTGGAAAGGGAGCTAGAAAGATGAGTTCTTTTACGATGAAAAAGTGGCTTTTACCTTTCTGGACGGTTTTGGAGAGGGAAAAGCGGGTGCGTTCCAGGCGCTGGACAGTCTGCTCGTTTGAACTTCATTCTAGAGTAGAGCTCTTCACGAATCATTTCGATTACATTCGCGTCGCTTTCTTTGGCGCTCCACTCATTCCAGACGCGCTCTATGTGGCCAAAGTCCGCGTTGCAGAAACGATCCCTGAAAAGCCCCGTTTTGAGTTAGAAAATAAACTGGTCAAACCTAAATGGCTTCAGCAGAAAGTGGGAGTCCTTCAAAAAATCCATAAAGGCGACATCGAAGGTATGTCTCAAGTTCTTCTGGGTCACCCGGCTGAGGAAATCAAAGTGTCCCTGGATCGTGGCCATCTCAGATTTACTGAAACCTCTCTCGCCTCCCAATGTTTTGAAGACAAAGACAACGATCTCTGCCAAAGTAAAGAAGTCGCCGTTTTCCTTCTCCTTGACTAGCTTGTGGCGGATTAGGGATTCGACAAATTGCCGAATCGCGAAGAGATGTGCTCGCACGAGGTCTTTGTTCTCAGTGAGGATGTTGCGCATTTGCTCCTCGATCGCCCAGCCTGGCTTGATGACGTCCAATGTTTCTCGCAAGGCGTTTGTGATGCTCATCATGTCGCCTATGAAAATCGCCTGCAGTTTCTTCTCGTTCCCGTAACGGTGCTTTTCAGAAACTAAAAATGGCTTTCATAAAGAGTTCTATCAGTTTAAGTGCACCTAGGATATCATGATATTCAGAAAAGTCGACTTGCTTGGAGATGAACTTGTTCTCCGCCCGTCCTTTCGCTAGATTCAGCTGAAATCGCAGCCTCGCCAGATACTCAAATTGGCCAGCAGCTGCTTCTTCGTACACGCTCGAAAGTTTTTCCGAAGATCTAATCTCAGAGAAGAACTTTTCCATAAAGTCGCTTATTTGATCGAAGGTCTCGGCGGCTTCTTTATGCCCGAAGGTGCTCTTGTACTCGGACATCGCTCGAATGTATTGGATCACGTGCGTGAGAGTGAGAACTTCCTCTTGCTCATTCTCTGTTGCGAAACGAACGCCTCTGCGTTCCGGCTCTTTCGGTTCTTTCTGCTTGTGGAACCATAGATTGATTTCGCACCAGACATCTGCCAGCCTGTTCCACTTCACAAACGCCTGAACGATCACGGATGGGTTAACAATTCCTCTTTTGATCGCTCCTCGCAGCGGCACCGATATTGTCTCAATGTCGTCATGTTTCCAGACTCCGGCGAGGAAAACAATAGCAAGTTTCATCTCCCTCGAGTCGTGATTCAAACTGAACGATTTCTCCGTAATTCCCTTCCAAAGGATGTCAACTTCTTCAACCAACTTCATGTTCTCCTCAGCTTCTTTCGGTATCTCTTCGCCTCCTTCTTTTTTCTTCATATATTCGTAATACGTTTTTTGAACTGTCGCCATGTAGTGAGAGCGGAAGATCGCCGCGCCAATCATCAAACTAGCTGGCAGTACTCCCATCGACGCATTAGATCCATCTGCATTTCCTTCGTCTTCTAGCTTCTTTCGTTCACCGATCTCGTGTTTCACCAAGTGCGCCAACTTGCGCAGAATCGTTAGCAACAACTTCACAGTGAAGCCCATTGCTTCCCAGCCATCAAGCACCTCTGGAAGAAGCACCATGCATAATTCACTCGACTCCTCGTGCAACTTCGTCAACGTCTTGATCGTCTCAATTACGCCCGCTTTGTCACTCGCGTCCTTGGCTTTAAAAAATATGTGCCTGGCCAGCATGGCGATTTCGACCTTTACTTGCGAATCGTTTTCCTCTAGTAGTCTTCTATAAAGCCGCGTCGGCTGACAAATGTGGTTCCATTTCACAAACAGCGTTTTGTTGCAGGTTCTCAAAAGCCGGACAAACGCAAGTCGGACTTTGACGTTTTTTGCGGTGATGACCCGGCTCACATTAATCGCATTTTCTGTCCGCTTTTTGAAGCTTTCGTCACCGGCGAAAATGTCGTAGATCAGCGAGTGCGCGCTTTGATTTTCCTTGATGATGTCAGTGAGCGTATTTATGGCCGCCTCGGCCGTCTTCGCGCAGCTCTCGAAGTGCAGCATGATCTTCGCGAGCGTTTGAAAGCCCTCAACGACGTTTTCCAACTGATACTCGACCAGCGAGTCCCAATAGCTGCTCGTCCAGACTTTAAACTTTTCGATCGCCGCAATGCGCATTTCGAAGTCAGCGACGACCATCGAGTTCAGCATCAATCGGAACTGGCCAAAGAATTCAGCATCGAAGTTTTCCCGCTCCAGTCCAGATGGAAGATTAGGTGTCAGAAGGAGCATGATCGTTTCCGCCTGGTGGGACATTATTTTGTTCGCTACGGAAGCGCCATTGTTTCGCATGAAGTAGTAGACGTTGTAAAGCGATGTTTGGAGTTCCTTGTCGCCGTGGGCGCTCTTTCCAATCTTTTTGATCATCGGAAGGATGTTTTTCAGAAACCACGGTCTCGGCGTCTTCAGAACTTCTTTCAACAACGCCTGAACATGTCGCTCCATCTTTCTTGCTTTTTCTTCGCCCGCAATCTCACCCTGCATCAGTGCCAGTTTCAGCGCTCGAATAAAAGATGCTGCCATTGCGTCTGGATTGATCTCGTCTGTTTCGTAAAAATGAGCCAGCATTTCCACAAGAGCTTTTTGGTACGACTCGGCCGGGATGGACAGCAAAAGGCCGAACAGGCTTGCTTGGTTTCGGGGACTGTGGGAAGAGTCAATCAAGCTGAGGAACTGGCCCAGCGGCTTTTGCAACCAATCTTCGGTGGTTTCGATCTTGTAAGAATACGCCCAAATCACCATGTTTTCGTAATGACTCTGAATTGCAAAATATGAGTTTTTCGGGAAGACTGCTGCGGAAATATGACTGTAACGCGTCTACTGTAAGTCCGAACCGAAAATAAGACTTACGAGTTGTTTTCTAACGGCAGTTCCATGCTTCGAATTCGTCGCATGCGCAGAGATCAAAATTGTCGTCGTGAAAAGAAAATCGACTTCATCAGCGAACATCGCGGACAACTGTGGCACTTCGGTTTTCTCGATGATTTGGAGCTCCTTGAAGATCTTCGCCAAAAGCTCGCAGATTTTTGTCCGAAGCATCATCGTGCCTTTGTTTTGAAGTCGAACATCCCTGCCTCGAGCAGCCATTTCGGCGTTGTTGACGGATTCAAATCTGAAGAAGAATAAGTAAAGTTTGAAAAAATTTTCTTTTTCAAGCCTAAATTCTTCGTTTTGACTTTACCTTTCGAGAAGGGGAGCAAGTTCATTCTTGATCTTCTTCATTCTATTGGCGAAATCGGGGTTAGAAAGAGTAGTTGGATTCTCCGCACTTTGAAAATGTCGCTTTAGTGAACCAACTGAGCCGTTTTCGTCGATCAACTCTTCCAATTCATTCTTGATCGAGGCAAATGCTTCAACTGCGATTGAGAAGGGATCGGTTGGATCTCCTACTGGCGGGATCTTTTTCAAGGTCAAGCTGGGTTCTTTCTTTTATAAAAATTGAGTGAAGAAAGACCTTTTCCTGAGAATCGTGACTCTGAATTGAAGATTGTTCATGAGGAGCTTCGACCTCCATTGGACAACTTCTGAAATAAATAAATAAATACAGATGGACAATTATCTCTTGAATAAAGTAAAATTCAAACAGGGCGAAACAAAACTTCTCTAAAATCCAGAAAGTCTTTTTAAATTCACTTTGCGTGGGCGCGCTCAGAGCATTTTTTGATTCAATGAGTCAAAAATGGAAAATAATTTCCAAGGGGATATTTTTCAGAACTTTACTCATGCTATATTTATTTTAAGAAAATGTTTAAATTTAACTCTGAAGCGCACAGCGACTAGTTTTTTCAACCCCTAGAATTTGAATGATTCATTCGATTCTAGAGATTGGAAATTTGAGAATTTTAATTATGAAAAATTAACATATCTTTTAATTCTTTCGTTAATTGAAGCCTTTTCTCTGAAACCGCAATGGAAAGTGGTCAAAAACGGAGATTCGTCACTGGTGGTTGGTCTCCACCAGAGCGCCAAGGGCCATTTCTGCTCGGCCAGTTCCAAAAAAAAAAGAAAATATTGAAAACTGAAAAAAGGATGACAAAAAGACCGAAATGCCGTTCGAGAGCAATCTGAGCTTTTTCATCAACCCAGCGTTTTTCATTATTCTCGGAGTTTTCGTGCACACGGTTTACGTAGAGAACTTGGAGCCGAGAGTTCTGTCGCCGCCAGGAAAACTCAGATTTGAAATCAAAGAAGCTCTGGAGAAGACGTTCAAACTCACCAGCAAAAATGGAGTCACTTCGGAAATAAGCCAGGCGGAGAAATGCCATTTAGAGAAGCCGGAGAGAAGGAAGCTCTCGCTCGGAAAGTTTCCCAAGTTGGAGCAGAAGATGGAAGCAAGAAGGGGACATCTGCTGCTTTCTTGCGATAAACAGGGTTAGTTACACATTTTTATGGCTTAGTGATCGCTATCGCAGATCCGTCGATTTTAAAACTCCCGCTGAGTTTCTCGGCTAGAAATGTTGCGCCCTCTTTCGGCGAGATTTCAAGATAAATGTCGTTGGTTTTCCACATTTTTCATACAACTGTATTATGTTATGAAGTTTTAAAATGAAACTTTATCCTTTCCCTTTTTTTGGTGTTACACTTCATTAGGCTCCCTTTAATTCTTGTATCAAAATTTTTATCACTGTGTTATCACATGAATAACTTTTTTTGATGAATTGTTAATAATAAATCTTTTTACAATTGATAATGGCTTCATTTTTGTGGTAATTTTTTGATTGGATTCATAAATAGATCAATTCAGGGGACCAACAATTCCGCTCTGTCGGCGACTGTACTAAATTCAACTACTGGCCGACGAACCAAATCTCCCACGTGATGGCTGATCCTTCACGCAAACTGCTCGGCTGCTTGGTCGAGAAGTCGGGCTCGAGCTCATGGCACAAGGTCTTTTGGGAATTGCGCGAGCCGGATAATGCGTTTGTTCCTTCTGAAGCGTACGCCAAGAACTTCAAATTCGCAGCGACCATCGCCGACAAGGTCTGGAGTGAAGCGATGAACGATCCTAGCTGGATTCGCTTTGTTACTGTTAGGCATCCTTTGGCGCGGCTTTACTCGGGCTGGAACAGGTTTGTGCAAGGACTTTTTCCTTCATCCTTTTTTCTATACGATCTTCGTTAGGCACAAATAATTATATCTAAACGAAGATGTGTCGTTTTAGACTCTTATGAAAGATTTTATAAGCACCACGTGCTGAGTAGCTGCTCTTATGCTAATGAATTAAGCCGCTTAATTTCAGCTAATTTCTTAATGAGAAATTCTCTGTCTAATTTTCATATTCAGAAATTTACGGAAGGGTGGCCCGATGGCGATGACGGTCTTCTCCTCCATGAAGCTGAAGTACTTCGCCAAAGATGGAGCAGACTCCAGCCATGTGATCTCCTGGCCTGACTTTCTCAAATTCATGGGCACTGCTACCAAGTGAGTTTTGAATTAGCAATGAAAGGGTTGTGTTGATTATTTATATTTTCCGATGATACCACTTCGTTCGCGTGCCACCCCGGCGTCTAAGATACTGTTTTGTCTTCTGAATTCATTGGAATCACACTCAATTTAGGCGGTACCCAAAACTGATCAACACTCATTTCGTCCCAATCTACTCCAAGTGCGGATTGTGCTTGCGTCAGTACGACTACATCATCAAAGCTGAAACTAGTGAAGAAGACTCGCAAGGAATTCTTAGTCTGATTGGGAAAGAAGACGACTCGCTAGGTTTGAAAGAAAAGGGATAAAATGAGCTAACGGATTGTAGAACATCGAAACGAAGCTGATGGATCATTTGCAAGCAATCCTGCTGCTGTAGGCGCTTTCTACAAGGATGCAGATGAAAATGTGCTAAACAACATCCTGGAGTATTACCGAAAAGACATGGACTATCTCGGATATGGATTAGATCGCGTCAACTGGCTGCTTACATTTTAGGCTAAATTCTCAACACTCTTCATTGTATAATAAACTCATCAATAATCAGGAGAATCAAAGATATTTTGTATTTATTCGAGAAACTCTATATTCCACCTCATAAAACCAACGATACTCGCAATAGGAGCTTCAACAACTTCTTCTTCTCCATGTATATTTTTTATGGTTCCACTTTCAATGTTCTCGACTTTTGTAATTGCTTTTCCAGTTTTTATCCTTATGTTTTCAGCTGTCGCCCGATATTTAATTTTTCTTCCTATGTTATTTTAAAAAATTCCAAGTTATAACATGTAAGATAAAACCTGGATTTGAAATAGCAAGTTTCCATGGGCGGGAGAAATCGTGCTTATCTCCAATTTTTTCGAATGCTGGACTTCTAATTGTCCAATTTTTATATGTAAAGTTTACGGAAAACTCGTAATAAAACTAAAATGAATATAACTAAAGAGTTCGATGTATAGTTATACTTTTAGATTAATTTTTCGGAGACCAGTTTCAAGAGCATCAATGACAAAGGTAGCGTGATATGCCGCGTTCAAGTTTATTGGACTACGAATACTTTCGCCATCGTCACCAAAATAAAAACCTATCATAATATTAAAATGACTAATAATATAATTATTACCAAGTCCTTTTCGCTGGCCAGCTACAGTAAATATACTAGCATTTTTCAGATCGTCAATTTGAGAATTCAATTCAGCGATTTCAGATTTTGATGCTTTCAGAGCTTTGGTTTTTTCTTGATTCGCTCTTTTAGAATTAGAAAGTGCCTGTGTTTTGACATTTAAATTCTTGGTAATAGTCTTATTCTTGATTTCTTCCTCAGATAACTTCTTCTTCAGTTGTTCTTTCTCCGCTTCCAATTTTAGGATAAACTGATCCTTATTTTTAATAGCGTCATTTGAAGACATCTGGAGGTCCTTAAGATCCTCTATAAGTTTGGAGTTCACACTTTGAACAATAGACGTAAGGCCTTCGGAGAAAGAAAATTCAGATGGAGGAATGCCAAAGTCGTATTGGTAAATAAGGCTCTCAATATTTTGATTTTTCGCTAGAATGCAGGCGTTTCCAACTCTCTTCTCAACCTCTTTTTGAAGACAAAGTTTAATAAGAGCGTCACATTTAGAAAACGATCGCGGATGAGGAAGGATTTTTACTTATAATTAACTTATTGTTAGGAATAATAAAAAAAGATACGGCACCTTCGCAAATATTCATTAGAGTCCGCATTCTATTATTTTCGACGAATGGATGTGTAAAGTACGATATCATGAATATTACAATTCCACATGCCCAGACATCCCGAGCAAAAGTCAATTGTTCTGTTTCAAAATCTTCCAATGCTTCTGGAGGCAAATAATGATCAGTTCCAATAATACGAGTCATCCTTGTTGTCTCCAAAGAGTCTTTAGTGGATGAATTACATTTTGGCAATATTTCTAATTATCCTTCCATTTCCTGAAATTCCAAAATCTCCGATGGCGAGACGATTATTGTCACAAAGAAAAATATTAGAGGGCTTGAGATCCCGGTGGATAATTTGATGTTGATGTAAGTAACTAAGTCCAGAAATAAGTTGTGTTATCAATCGAAGAGCATCAGTTTCATCCCAATAGTCTGCGTTTCTTTCCTTTTCTTCAGCCAAAAATGATTCAAGGTCTCCTTTGAGCAAATATTCCATCACAATTCCGGAATATTTGCATCCGTTGAAGTCAAAGAATACTTCATCAAATACCTTCACAATATTTTTATGGTCCAATTTTTTCATTATTTCATATTCTTCCTTCGAGGTTTGTTGATTAACAGAGCTCTTTAGTACAAACTGCTTATTTCGATCTCGAGAAAGGTTATTTCCGATCATTATGAATAAAATTACCACTCGGCTTATGGACAACCCAAAGCATTTTCTCGACATTTTTACTGTTGTCTCGTAGTTTTCTGGAGAGACGGTACTCTCCAGCAAAAGTCGTCATTTTATTCAATTTCGAGATAAAAACAGATTCGAGATGCAGTTTGAAACCGTCAAAATCAAATATTTGCAGATGAGTTGCCTTCTGCATTCAGTTCACGGGAATGAAAAAGTTTACGATTTTAATAAAACAGCAATCAAACATGAAAATAGAAAAGCTGACGGATAAACGTGTTCGTCGCTTACATCCTGTCTATAGATTCTAATAGAAATAGGACCGGTCTGATCTCTATCGCAGCGCACGTCGAGTACTCTTAAGGGTTTACCCGTCCTTAGAGTACACGTACCCATTATCTAGTATTAATGCATGTGCAAATAAGCTTTATCCGGTTTGTAAGGTATTTAAGAGCTCGTCAACGGCAAGATTCTCATTCCAACACGTCAAAAATCGAAAACACAAAATACCAAAACCGAAATATTTTTTCGAGAAAAAATGATGTGGACTCAGATTCTCCTTGTTTGCTCATTAACCATCGCACAAGGAAGCGGTTTTCAGAGACGACTGTTTATGGGAAACCCAGAGATTGAGAGCGTCTTTCGACAAGGTCAGTCAGTTTTTCTTTGTTACGATGAAAAATGTACAAATAGCTAGCTTTTTTCTAAAAAAAGTCCTTGTTGATTTCATAAACTCCGCCAAACATCATTGAACCCTAGCAAACGCGAATAAACCGAAACTGCTACGAAACGCAAATGTGAAACTCTTCGACAACCACGGACTGAAAGCTTCTCTCGCCGAAGAACTCGCTGATTTTCTGACGGAGTACACACAAGACTCCTATTCTGGCTGACTTTCTGTTCTATGGATATATCTCTTTTCTATGTTTATTATCTTATTCGAAAAATAGAGCATACAACCCTTTCAATAAAAACAGACTGTACGTTTCAAAATCGGCAATTTATTAACTACACGGGGCATTCTATGAGGATCAGTCAAAGAGAGGCAATACTAAATTGAGGCAGCTTTCAAGAATAGTTCTTGAATCGTTGCATGAGCAATTGCTGAAGAAGTCGTCTTTCCCATTCTCCTTCAGAAACGCCTGTTATTCGCGACCGTCTGTGCTTGAAGACTGAGTTTCCCAGTCGGTTGTAACCTATCAAATCCGCCAGAGCAAAAGAAATGAGCAAGAGAATGAAGAAAAAATTCATTTGTGATTCTTAGATGTCCTGCTATTCCAAAGTAGACTCGTTTTATAGGGCTTAGATTACCAGTTGTTGAATAAGGAGTTCACCACGCGCTTTGAAATTAGCATAATTACATGAGACATATTCAGTGTAACATATTTTTCTGTTAAAGCGGCACTATTGAACCTTCCAGAAACAGTTATGCCAAAAACTCTTAATCGACTAGAATCTGATTTGCAAATGCAATTGCTGACTTCTCATATGAATCTGATTTTCTGCTTCAAGCTTTCTTTTCGTTTTATTGCTTTGGAATTGCATCCAAAATAACATTTTCAAAACATAGTTTGTATGTTTTTCGTTTGTTCTGCGAAGCAATTCGAAAGCATCTGCAGCTAAGTCTCAATTGCAAGAAGATCTGACAAGCGGCTGGTGTAGATATCAGGAAGTCGCCGCGCTCCTCTTTTCGGAAGCAGCTGTCTAGCGTCTGCTTCTTCATCGTGAAATCGGCATACGTCCGATCTCAACCAAGTCATCAATCTTCTGCGTAACAATCCGATGTCGCCAAGGAGCGTGTTGAATATTTAACCGCAAGCCGGATCCAGTCATCCATCAAAATATACATTTACTCCTCAATTCACTACTAAAACTCAAAAAAGAAAAAAGCAACAATGAAACGAACTTCTACTCCATCCGTCTATGCCTACCCACTCCACTTCAACGAAAGCATCATCTCCGAGATCGAAAACGAAAAACGATTCTCCTTCACCGCCTTTTCCGAAAACGGCTCCGACTGGTCCATCCTCTCGCTTTCGCAGAAATCAACAACGTCATCGAAGAGTGTTCTGCGATCGTCTGCAAAGGGGCTCAAGAAGAAGATCTACAAGAAGCTCCGGATCAAGAAGCTGAGAGAATCGATGCGCAACAAGCTCTCCAAGACACAGATCAACGAAATCATGGTACCTCCAAACAGCTCGTCCCTGAACACGAAAGTCTCTTCTCGAATTCGATCCGCCAAGGAACTCGACTGTTTGGACGACTACGACATTGTCGCCTGGGAAGAATCTCTCGAAGAAAAGGCGAAGTTCCGACTTACCAATCCCTTCAAGCGACAGAAGAAGTAAATTTCATGCACTACCTTTTTCCCTTGATCGTTTCGTGTTTTTTTCGATTGTTGAATGAAAGAATCAAATCAAAATCTATTTGTTGAAATTGTTAGATTTATTCTTCTTAGGTAGAAAATCATGTTGAAATCAAGGAAGAGTCTTTGCAATGAAAAAGTGTCCAGACCCACACCACCAGGTAGCTTCCGACAACCGGGATGAAAAATCAAATTATACGCCGATAAAATGGATATTTGACTTCGATTTTTGCATCTTTCTTTTAAGTACGACGTTCTCTAGGAAGCTGTCGATCATCAGCGGCACTCCGAGAGAACAAAATGTAATTTACATGAGCTTCCAAATCGAAAAGAGCTTTTTTATTTAGATTAATGATGAGAAACACAATCTAATAATTATATTATACTAAACGTCAAAAAATGTTTTAAAACAGCAGGCTGATCGAATTTTAGAAAAACTTTACAATTCGTAATTGAGAAAATTTGGCTAAATGTTCAACGAGAGAAATCTAGAGATTCACTCTCCTAAGCGGAGAGAGACTTTCGAGATTTGAGTTTCGCTTCTCCTTTTTTGAAAGTTTCGAAATGAGCATGGAAGAAACTTTCCAGAAACTGTTTCGAGCCGAGGGGGGTATAAAACCGGCGTGCATCGTCGCCGCTGCTCACTTTCAAGAGCAGCAAAAAGCGACTCAGAGACTATTAATTCTCCCTGATTTTTGAGATGTACCTCTTCGACGTCTACACTAACTTGAAGAAAGGCGATCTCGCCTTCATCATCTTCGCTGGAACCCACGACGGAGCTAACTTCTCCAAAAAAGCAACACGAGCAAGACTTGAAAAAGGTAATGTTTTTGCCTCTTCGAGCTGTGGAAATATTATTAAGTCTCAATCGACGAAGTCGTCGAAGAAATGAGAGCCAACTCAACCACCAGTAGCATCCGGCAGAGCGGAACACTGCTCAAGGGACTCTCCCAAGTCCTCAACAAAAAGGTAATATTTTACATTTTCTGGGACTTCTCTGATAGTCAATTTAGGCTGCCTATCTCGAAAAGGACTGCGCTGCTTTTCTCGCTAGTATTAGCAACACAGGGGTCTGGATTCGCTTTGCGAATTCGCTCATGAGCGAAGCGAAGCAGAGCGAAGCGAAGTCGCTTCGCTTCGCTTTCGCTTTTTGTAATTTCAATTCGCTTCGCTTCGCTTTCGCTTTTTACCAAATATTTTCGCAAAATTTCGCTCTTAAGAAATCGTTCTAAGAATTGAATATTTTGTTATTTTCATCTGCTTTAGCGAAAGCATAACTGAGAATTTTGCTTATTGAACTTAATTTGCACTATTCAGAGTTTTGCTGAGATCATTTGAATGTTTTCAAAGTAGCCAATATTGACAATAATATATTGTGAGCTACGCTGAGCTGATGAGTGGTCACCGTTTTCCGGGATAACTTTTCCCAAGTCGCCAGAGATATCCGATTGCCGAACTTGGGGAAACGGCGACATTGGCAAACGGCGACGTGAATTTTTTTAAATTGATTGATCATATAATATGATTCATATAACTTTAACTATTGCCAATAACTTATTGGTTACTCCACAGTCAATCCCGGCTTCACCAAGATCAATCCCGGACTCAACAACTTCGATCCTGGCTTTTCAGACGTCATTTCTGGCCTCTCATACCGTCAGTCTCGGGATGAACGTCCAATAACCCGGGATCGGCATTGTATCGGCATTTATTCACATTGCCGTTTGCCCAAGATTTAGGTTCCCCCAAGTTGGATAAACGGTGATTTGGGGAAACGGCATTTGGGCAAATGGAGATCACTCGAGCCACACATCCTCTTCAGCTGAGTTAGATCAGAAAATCCACGATTTCGCTCTTTCCGGAGAGGGAGTCCGAATGCCCGAAAAGAAATAAAATTGAAAGCGAACCTAAAATGGACACTTTTTCGAAGGTCAAATATTATCGGAAAATTTTCGCTTTTTTCGCTTTTTAGAAAAATTTTTCGCTTCGCTTCGCTTTCGCTTTCGATAATTTGATTCGCTTCGCTTTCGCTTTAAATTTTTGAAAAATTTTCGCTTTCGCTTCGCTTTCGCTTTTCATTTTTGGCCAAAATCCAGACCCCTGAGCAACACCCATAAATGGGAGAAGCCGGTCCCCAAGACCAAGAAAGCCGACAAGACTCTTTTCGACTTCTCAATCAACGACATCAACGATGAAGATATGGGTGAAATTGAGTTTCCCGATGAAGATCGAAACAGGTTCGAACTCATGTTTTTTCTCGTCCTAATTTGCATTTTCAGAGCGCGATGGGAGCAGATTACGATGCGCGACGAATCCGAATTCTTGAATCTGGACGATGATGCACCAGTTGAACTGCCATACGATCACGACGAGATGGTGGCGCTCTTCGGGGAAAATATTGTGGGTGTCACTGACGAGGAACTCAACAGTAACTTTCCATCCTCGACCCAGTCTCAGCCCCAGCGCGCAGACTCCGAGCAGCCATCTTCTGGACCGTCCATTCCAGCACCTGGACCAGAGTTCGAATACACCGCGGTCCAGCCTCCAAATGACGCTCCCCAGCAGGAACCGCCTGCACCAGAAGAGAAGAACCCGTTCGATTTGAGCGCAATCGCCGGACATGGACCAGAGACGACTGCAATCAACGAGAGTGCCACCGAACCGGCGATTTCACTTTCTCTTCCACAGGAGAACATTGCCACTGCTTCGGAAACTCCTTCGCCCGACGATGAAAACAACAATGAAACTGTGACCAACGTAAGTACTTAGAAATCATATCAGACCAAGTGGTTATTAAACTCTAGGAAAAGCGCGGAAAGAAGAAGAGGGCCTTGATTATCGACGAGGTGATCTCGCTCAGAGATCCGAGCAAAGAAGGCTACGAAGCGCTCGGTTTCGGCGATGTCAGCGAACTCATCAACGACCCTTTTGAGTTCTTTGGCACAATCGAGCTCAAGGTCGGCTCCAAAGACAGAGGAGTTCTGAAGGCTTTGAACGACAACCGAAGGGAGATCTTCTTGAACCCCTGCACTGCGGACAAACTGCACGAAGAGGTCTGCGAGGCGTTCCGCCGTGATGCCAAGACTGCAGGACGACGTGCAAGAGGTAATGAAAGCATCGTCTTGTTGAAGAAAATGACGAATCTTTTCTAGGAAACCAAAACGCTACGAACGACGCTCGAAGCATCTCAAGTAGCATGGAAAACCGAAGCACGGGAGAAGGTAATTGAAAACCATCATTGTCGGAAAAAATATCTTCTTAGGACGGCGAAATGTGACGGCTGAAAACCGAAGCACGGCGAGCTCCTCTAGCAAGAGCAACACGTTCGTGAACAGGCCCACGAGTGGAAATGACATCTCCCTCCCGAACGATGTCTCTGGTCCAAAAATGGCGAGTACGCCATTTACCAGCATTCCGTCAGTTCAACTCCCCGCTCCTCAACCGCCACAAGTTGAGGTCCCCCAGGTTGAAGTCCCTCAGGTTCAGCCTCCGCAGATGCAAGTTCCTGAGTTCAACCCGCAGCCTCGCTCTTCTTCGCAAGGCAGCCAACAAGATTTCAAAGAAGCCGTAAGTACTTTATTCTTTGTTCATGTTCTCAATTCCTAACTCGTTGCTTAGTTGCTCAACTGGCTCCCTGAAGTCGGCGTTTACGCAAACTTCAACGATTTCTGCCGCGGAATGAAAAGAACGCAGGCGGCGAAAGCGTTCTCCGCCCTCATGGCACTCGGGGCTGAAGGCCTCATCGACATGAAGGAGCAGGAAATGCCCAACGCCCCCATCTACTTCTGTCGACTGTAAATAACAATTTCTCCCCTCTTCAGACTCAAACTCGTTTTTTCCCTCCCCCTCCCTATTTTATCTGCCCTTCTGACCTTTTTTTTACCAACTTACCCTATTACCGACTTATTTTTGCTGTTCAAAAAGTTCCAATAAAGATCAACTTTGATCTAACTTTACATTATTCTTTTTTTGTTTATGCATGTAAAATATAAGCAGATTGTATTGGCATTATATTTTGATAAGACCCCTTAATAAGGGGACATAATATGTCGATTTGAGAAATACGGGATTTTCTCAGCCCTTCAGATTTTCTAACCCTTCAGTAGCCTTTCTAACAGTAGACATCCCTACACTCAACCGCTCAGAACAAAAGAATGACACAGGATATTTAAAATATAATTTTTGCCGTATCGCCCCATTTAGGGAAATAGTGCATTTATTTATTGGTTTTCAGTGAAGAACTGCGGTGATAGACTCTATCATTAGCATTTTTGCTTATGATAAAGATTTTATCGGTTTTTTTTGACCGAATATTGGCAATATTATATTGCTTAAGGCTTGAAGAAGGCCTTCCAGTTTACAGAAACAATAGGGAGAGCCCATGGACTTTGGAGAGCACTAAAAACAATTTTGTAAGCACTTGGAAATCTTCAAAAACGCTAGATTTACCTGAAAAGCAGTCCGTTCGGACTCTGATTACCCCAGAGCTGGTTTGGCGGTGAATGAGAAAAAGTGAAAAACATGAGCTGCTCAGCGCAAGTTCTAGAGACGGGCGCTCATTTTCGAAAACATCGGCCTGCGCATGGGCTATTCTCGTCCTTGTTTTGTTCTTTTTCGTGTTTTTTTTTCTCGAGAAAAATAACGAGAGTGAAAAACTTTAGCATTTTATTAAACAATCATACAATTTTTCCTGAAAAATGGCGACAAAGAGTGAAAAAACGATGAAAATCGAACTAATTGGCGCGTTGCTGTGCCGATAAGGGATGATTCCTTTTCGCGGCAAATCAGCCTTGATCGCGAACTGACAATCCTATGTGCAAATGTGAGTCACCGTAACTGGTCAATTCCTATTCCTTCCGATTGGCCCCCATAACGCGACCTCTGACACAATAGGTTTTTCTGCGATATAGAGAAGCAGGATTTTCTTATTTTCTCGTGAGCATGCTGTACGACTACGAAATAGGCGTTGACTCGCAGCTTGCTGCTGAAATGGACGGGCTGGAATTAGAGCTCAACTTCCAACATGCTGCAGCCAAGAGCGATCGTTTTTCCAGACTGCTCTTCCCTAGAAATTTTCCCGGTGCCAATTCTAAGGCAGGGATGGAAATAGGAGAAAATTTTCAAGCGGCACCGGCACGGCACGGCACAACCAAAATACCCGTGCCGCGGCACGGTACGGCACGGCACGGCACAAAATTCGATAATGGGGTGCCGCGGCACAACGGCACGGCACGGCACAAATTCGAATCATATAACTTATTTATATAAATGAAAAAAATTAAAGCTGCTAGTGTACTTATAGAATTTTCAAAAGTTAAAATGAAAACCATAATAAAATCAAAATCTTGGATAATTTGAATTTTTCTAACAATGGATGAGAGTGGGGTTGGGGCCGTCAAGCCCCTTAAATTAATAAATCAAGGAACGGGGCTGAAACGGCCCGAAGGGCCGTCAAGCCCCTTAAATTAACAAATCAAGGAACGGGGCTGAAACGGCCCGAAGGGCCGTCAAGCTTCTTAAATTAACAAATCAAGGAACGGGGCTGAAACGGCCCGAAGGGCCGTCAAGCCTCTTAAATTAACAAATCAAGGAACGGGGCTGAAACGGCCCGAAGGGCCGTCAAGCCCCTTAAATTAACAAATCAAGGAATGGTTAATTTTACTGTGCCGCGGTGCCGCAACCAGATTTTACTCTCCGGCACGGCACGGTACGGCACGTGCCGTGCCGTGCCATGCCGCTGTGCCGTGCCGTGCCGTGCCGCTCAGATTTCCATCCCTGTTCTAAGGAGAGACTCGCTTACCTTTACAATATTACAGAAGAGGTGCCAGGTGATTACAGACTGAAATTTACACCAAAGAGAAAACCAGCAAAAAGATGAAATTATACGTTTTCTTCTATGATTTCAAATGAAAAATTCATCCCTGTTCAATTATATCTTCTTTAGATACTAATGGAGGAGTCCGCATAACGAAAATCCCGGTAAATGAACATGAGCCTTACCAAAGACGACAACAACGGGGAATCACTGTTGGTAAGTAGAGATGCTAGTAACTGAGCACAACATCTGCTACCTTTACTTTTAGCTGACGCACTGGCTCAAGAAAAGGAGCGTGCTGAGGGGCTGATGAAAGAGTATGGCGGTGACATCAATTATTTGCCAGTTGGTAAGTAGTTTTATATGTAATTGCTTCATAAGCTCTTGTACTAGTCGGTATTCACTATGCCATGTGGCTTGGCGATGACCTTTTGGCTCCACCGATTGATTATACTTACGACCGTGGAGATGTTGAGACAGGTAGAAATACTTTTTGAGGGTCTCTGGACTGTACTCTGATTAAGGAATGATGGAGCACCTGGAGATCTGCTGTGGCGCAACTCTTCCTGGCCTAGAAGCGGCGATCGAACTCATGACTTCAGGATCGCAGCACTTCGTCATTTGCAAACCTGAGTGGGCATATGGAAAGTGGGGCATGCTTCCGCGAATTCCCGGCAACGCAACGATCGTCTTCCAAGTCAAACTGTGCTACATCACCTACGAACTTCACGAACGCTTCATCCGGATGCCGATGAAATACAGAGCAAAGATCCCACTCAAAGCCATCATGGCAACATGCAAGAGACTCAAGACAAAAGCCAAGGAACAGTTCTCAAAAGCGAGTGAGGGTGTCCGCGACGTCAACAGCAACACTGGCGAGGAGAAGATCGAACCTAGCAGGAATCAAAACGATTACTTTGGTGCCGAGCGATCCGGCGACTTACTCGCCCAAGCGATTCACTGCTTAGAGCGTGCCGTGTGCAAAAATTTGGAAGATGAATTGCAGGTTAGTTTTTGTTTTTGAATACCAATGCGGAAACGTAGAATTTAGCTAAAGAAGTATCTGATATACCTGAACTGTGACGCCTGCCTCGCTTACAGAAAAGCGAAGCCCGGTTTATACAAGAAGGCAATAGGCGTTGGAGAGCAAGTCTTGCGCATTTTCGAGGAACTGCTGGAACACTACAGGAAGGACGAAGAAAGGGCTTTGGAATTTCTTGCTCAGTTCTATCCAAAATTGAACAAGACACGATTCAACTTGATGGAGCTCTATAGCCGGGACCCATTCAACCATTCTTCGGATGTCGTTTCGTAAGTTATTTGGTTTATTTCTGAAGAAAAAAAACGTTTTTAGTCTATACGGTGCTTTTGAGGATGAAATTTGCCATCAAAACGAGGACGATTTGCCATACAAAAGTAGGTGAGCAGTTGAAATGTCCTTTACTGAATCAAATTTGAGATTATGCCAACAAGAAAGAGCGACGAATGATGAAAGAACTCATGGAGAAGATCGAAAAGACCAACGAAGCCTGGGCTAAGCGACAGAAGGAGGAAAAGGATGAGAAAGAAGAGGAGGAAGAAGAGGATGGTCCAGTCAAGGCTAAAGAAGATGATGCCAGCAAAGTCACGAGACTCAAACCGAAAGGTCTCGATTTAGAAAAGTGTATCGAAGCGTTAGTGCAAGAAGACAAGGACTCTCCAACTCGCGACATTCCCTTTGGTGGCAGCTATGTAAGTTCATTCCGCCGCTACATTCCGTAATCAGGACATTTTCAGGAATACTACAAAAATTTCGTGGATAATTTCGCCAAAGACAAAGATTGGTTCGATCATCTGTTCTCCCATCATTTCACCACTAAGTGCGCGGTCCAGTTCATCGTCGCTTACGCAAACAGCAAAGGGATTCAGGTCTACAAAGGGGTCGATCCTGTCAGCGGCACGCCGAAACTTGTTATATCCAAAGACTTCGCTAAATCCATGGCCAAAGGGGGAAGTCTCTATACTGGAGACTGAAAGTGACTCTCATCAGTTTCAGCTGTACCAAATTTGACTTCCATCCTTCGCTCTGCTATCTCACTAGTTCAAAATTGCAAAAAAATTTCTGCCGTTCCCATCAAAGGAATTACGTACTATTAGCTTCCTTGTTTGACTGCAACTACTCTGGTACGATGTTCCAGATTTTAAATAAATGATCGAAATCGAAGATATAAGCTGAGGAATTTTTCTGGCTGAGAGGCGCTTCCGGTCATTTCACAAGCTTGAAGAAGGCGCGCGCGATTCAAAAACCTAAAAGGGCGTTCATCCCTCTTTTCCACAATGGGTAATTGGGGCTGGTTGACATGACAACTGTGGCGTGTCGTTGGGAAATTTAAAAGTGGTTGCGCTTTGGCGTCTTTCAAAAATTTCGCGCTCGGCGGCGCTGATTGGTCGCTTTCGGCCGCAGCTTCCCGAGCGGAACCGAGCACGGCCGAGCGCGTGAAAGACGACGACTGTTTGGCGAGTGTGGGCGAAACGCGAAAATCAACCACCGAAAATGGAAATCACTCCCCGAGCGAGCAGATCCGACTCACCACCAAATATTAGAGAAAACAGCCTTTATAACTACCCCCAATCAGAATAATGATCATTTTTTCGTTTTTTCTAAAGAAGAAAATTCAAACTTTCAAAAAATTCGAAATCGTTTACGATTGAAAAAAATGAAAGTTTTTCCTTTTGCAGAGATTGGAAGAAGACTTTTTTGTGCTGGTGTATTTTTGACATTTCGCGAAACTGGTATTAAAAAGTGACTGTATTTAGAAAATGGCAACTCGAAAGAAGTTAGTTATCGTCGGGGACGGAACCTGTGGAAAGACCTGCCTCCTGATCGTCTTTTCCAAGGACGAGTTCCCAGAAGTCTACGTCCCAACCGTCTTCGAGAACTACGTCGCCGACATCGAAGTCGAAGGCCGCCAGGTACGCTTGTTTTACTGAATTGACTGTATTGAGAAGAGAGATAGAGAGAGTGTGAATATTTTCTGTTTGGCCAACTAACGGAGCCGCGAGTAGCTTTCTTTCATTTCATTCGCAGCACTCGTAAATTGAAAATGATCCTAGCCTACTCACGGGGACGTTTCAGATCAAAAGAATGAAATGGCAAGAAAAAAAAACGAAAGAAATTTCGGACATAAGTGCCACGCTAGTGTGTTTATCTTCGAATGTTGGCTTTGCACAACACTGAAGAGCAAACATGTGAAAAGTTTAAATACTCTTCCCGCCTTTATTGTTACTTGCGTAAGATTACCGCGTGTTTTCAGGTTGAACTGGCACTGTGGGATACCGCTGGCCAGGAAGACTACGACCGACTGCGTCCTCTCTCTTATCCCGATACAGACGTCATTCTTATGTGTTTCTCGATTGATTCGCCAGACTCGCTCCAAAACATTCCCGAAAAGTGGGTTCCCGAAGTGAAGCACTTTTGTCCCAACGTTCCTATCGTTCTCGTCGGCAACAAGAAGGACTTAAGGTTCGTCTAGTCTTTTCTTTTCTTCAGCTAATCCCTCTCCTACAGAAACAGTGGCGGCAAGTTCGTTTCAACACAAGAAGGAAATCAAATGGCGACCAGGATCGGTGCTACTTCCTACGTCGAGTGCTCCGCTTTGACTAAAGAACGCGTGCGAGACGTAAGTCGTTTTCCTTCCTTCCAGCCCTCTAACTTCCCCTGCTAGGTGTTCGAAATCGCGACCAAGGCGTCGCTGAGCAGAAAGCGCCAGAAAAGAAGAAAGCGTCGACCTGCACGACACTCTAACAGTCTGTTATTTTCCCCGGCGATCGTCGTCTCTCTCGATCGTCCTCTAAAAACACGAACTCACCTACCCACCACCACCATCGGCTCCAGCAGGAAAACACACAGCAACTGGAATATAAAAAAACTCCTTTCTCGTCTCTGCGCTACTATGTGACTGTCTTATAATTCACTCTTGGTATTTTATTACTTCTGCTCCATCCGATGCCAAAATGTAAATAATAACTTTTCACGAAAATTAATTCGACTTTCAAAAACAAACAAAATCCAACTTACTCTCTTCTTTGATTAATATTAGCCCTATCGTCGCATAAATACTATACCCAGCATAACCACAGTAAGTCATAAATGCAACCTCTTTTCACCCAAGTACAGTCATCAACAACATTAATAATCGCCTTAATCCACCAGAACCAAAGAAAAACACACACAATCCGTGCCAGTAACAGAATCAACATCATTACTTGTAAAAGGTCATTCCGGTAATGAAATTATAGAATATTGAAAACAACAAAAATATGTATCTTCAAATTATTCCATGAACAGAAATCGAAACATTTGTTATTTCTCCGTAGCTGTCCCAGAAGTCAGAAATAAAAATAAAATAAACTCTGCTAGTTTCTTCTACAGCGTTTTTTTCATGTAGCGAGATCACAGGATTCCTCATTTTCCTAGAACTTCTTTTTCCTTTTTTTTCCGAAAATCAAATTTCACTATCACCGTTATCGTTTATCCCTTTATTCGGTTCCTCTCATTCCAAAAGCAAAAACGAACGAAACCAAGATAAAAACGCACCAAAAAAATTTCTGTACCCGATGCATGTAATCGTCCAGTCGTTGACCTCGAGTTTGTTCAGATGAAAGAACTCGTCTATCATGACATTAAAGTGAGATTTCCATACGAGGTGATTCAGAGCAGCAGAGATTGAGAAATATATAATTTTTTCCTGTCTAGCCTTATCCAGCGCAAAATGATTACATGAGCAAATGCATCGAGGCCTTGAAATCGGGATGCCACGCAATCTTAGAGTCTCCTACTGGTACAGGAAAAACACTCTGTCTCCTCGCATCTGTTTTGGCTTATCGTGAGCATTTCTTCGACGAGATGAAAAGTACGTAGTGCATTTTCTTCGTTCCTAACTCTTTGAAAGGAGCCGTCCAAAGTGGAATGCCAGGCGCGCACATGGGCCACGTCCCAAAATCATCTACTCCTCTCGTACTCACTCTCAGCTAACTCAAGTGGTGTCCGAGTTAAAGAAGCTGCAGAATGTATGCGGCTATAGTATCGACATGTCGGTCATCGGAGGCCGCGCAGCCACATGTCTCAATCCAGCTGTGAAGAAGATAGCTGATGGACGACTTCAGCAAAATACTTGCAGTCAACTATGCAAGGCAAAGAAATGCCACTGGTTCAACCAGCTGGATAGGTAAGCGAAAACATCAACTAAATGCAGCTTTCAAATTAAAACTGAAGCATGGGCGAGGAGAAATTACCAGGCGGCATTCTCGATATCGAAGATTTAGTCAGTTGGTCGTCGAAAAACACAGCTTGTGCGTACTACCTCGGACGAAAACTTTCAGAAAAATCGGAGATAGTCCTACTGCCTTACAATTATCTGCTCGATTCTAGGCTCCGCACGAGGCATAAGCTTGATGTGGCTAATCGTATTTTGATCTTCGACGAGGCTCACAACGTTGAGGGTGTTTCGGAAGACGCTGCGAGCTATGAATTGACTTCAACGGATATTGCGCTGGCGATCGAAGAGGGCAAAGTGTGTCTCGAGCAGATAGAATACATCAAACAGATGGATTGTCCTGAGGAAGCGAAGGACTACTTTTTGAAGAAGGATCACAATCCGATGGATGGACCAATGAAAGGAGCAGCTAACATGGGCGAAATGGAAGAACGATCAGCTATTCTTGTCCAAGCGCTTCATCTTCTCGAGGAAAATCTTGAGCGAGTTTACGCTCAAAAAGTGCGTTCTTCAAAAGAAGGATCCATGTTCGAAGTTACGTCTATGAACAGTTTGTTGCAAGAGACTGGATTCACGAAAGAGGCCTTCTTCGAGCTGCAACACTTCGTCCCACAAGTAGCCACTTTTATCGCTGAGAAATCGCCGACTAAAGGCATGAAGCTCAACCGCGTTCTTGACTTTATCGAAATATTCTCGATGGTAGAAGAAGAAAAATCGGACAGCGAGTTTTCCAAGTACAGATTGTATATCAAAATGGAAGAGACGAAATTCAAGCGAGAAAAGGATGAACAGTTCGTTCAACAAAAGCAAGATACTATGGGCATGAAGTTTTGTCTGTGGTGTTTTGATCCGTCGAAGAGTATCACGCATTTACTCGACCAGGGTGCGAAGAACATCATCTTGACATCGGGAACTCTCTCGCCTTTGGAACAGTACATTTCTAATTTGGGCTTGGACAGACACAACAGCCGCATGCCCGTTACACTTGTCAACAAACACGTAGTAGGAAGTGACCAGGTCTTCGTGGCGACAGTGCCCAAAGGAATGGGCAAGAATCCCGCAGAAATGTTGAACGTGTATGGCAACAGGGATAATCGAAGAATGTTTGCCCAAATGGGCGAAGTAATCGCCAGCATAAAGACCTCGAGCCCGGGTGGATTGTTGGTCTTTCACCCCACGTATAAATTGATGAATATTTCCCGCGAGTTCTGGGGCGTCATGAATGGCGCAAACGCTTCAAATCCTATTGGCAATATGTTCAAACGAAAGATCTTCATTGAGCCAAACAACAAGAACGACCTCGAGCAAGTGAGCAAGGATTATGAGACGACAATCGTAGAAGATAATTTCAAAGGTAAAGAAAATGTTCCTTTCTACATGACTTAATTTGACTTTTTAGGAGCGATACTGATGGGAGTCTGTCGAGGCAAAATCTCAGAAGGTGTCGATTTCGCAGATGCCCGCGGCCGCGTGGTTGTGATAACGGGCATTCCTTATGCACCCGCCATGGATCCAAAAGTCAAATTGAAACGAGAGTATGTCGATGCTGCGTTTAGGGAGAAGAAAAGCGCCATTTCAGGGAGCGACTGGTATCAAATACAGGTAATCTTTCGGCGTTTTCCTTAATCAATTGAATTGTAGGCAGCTCGCGCAATTAACCAAGCGATTGGACGTATTATTCGACACAGAAATGATTTCGGTGCGATTATCTATTTGGACCAGCGATTCGCGCAGCCGATGATGCAGAAGTTCATGCCAGCTTGGGTAAAATGCAGCCATCAAACTGTCGACGCTGACAATATTGCCGACAAACTGCGCGTATTCTTTAACAAAATGGCTGCTTATCAAAGATCTGGCAAAATAACTCCGGAAGCCCCTATTGTACTGGTAAATAATCTGTCGTTGATTCAGACTCGCTAGTAGTATGTTTTAGATTGACGAAAAGAAGAAGAAAGAACCGATTTTATCACGCAAAGACGCAGAAAAGGCGCGAGTGAAGATTTACAAAGAACGAGTTGGAAAGAATCGCGATATGATTAAAGAGTTGCAAGAATCCATTGATGATTTTCAAGTAGAAAGAACAGAAGCGAAAAAACGCACTTTAGCAGATCTGTCCGACGAAGAAGAGAAAAGTGAGCCAGAAGAAAAGAAAAAGATGACACCGGAAGAGTTTGAAGAGCTCTGCAAGAAACCATACACTCCTGGACACAGGCCGCTCTCTTGGTACCAGAATAAAGAAAAGACCCGTACATACGAAGAGCTAAAGTGTATGCAGATGAGAGACCCGGATCATCCCATTTTGTAAGAGTCAAAAGCTATGATATAAAAAGAACTGTTTTTCAGAGAAACAAAAGAATCCCGAAGACTAGCAGCAAAGATGATTGCTGAGTACGACTACAGACGCACGGTTCTTTTTGCTGAAGAGGAAAAAAAGCTAGATGAGATGCATGCAAAGTCGAAAAATGCCATTTGCTTCGATCACAAATTGCGCCCGCCTCAACCAGAGAATTATTACAGCTTTTTTGACAAACACTGTGACATGGCTGATCCTGATTTTCACGAAGAGATGCTTGAAATCGAAAGAAAATTGAGAGATGCATTTAAAGACGATCCAAATGACCCTACGCTCCATCCAAAATCGAAGCACGTTATGATTGCGATCATCAAATTCATGAAACTTAACAACGATGTAAGTAATTGACTCGGCGCCAAAAGTGGGAATTAAATTATCCTTGGAACCAAAGCGCTTCAGCTGCTGAGCTTTATCTAACTAATCCATTGGACTCGAAGCGATAAAGAGTCTCTGACGCTATTTGATTTCAGAACGAAAATATGGTGAAAAACTTGACGCAGCGAATGCAAACATTGGCTGAAAAGGGAATCAACATAACTTCGTTGAAGCAGTTCAAAGAGCTACTAGAGAGATATGGGTTTCTACGTGGTGATAGAAAACTGATCATGTGTTCAATGTACTACGTCATGAAGAGAATTTTACCTACGAAATATAAACCGCCAAAGCCAGAGCCACCGGTTATCACAGACGAGAACGACCCGAAAAAGCCTACGCAAATGAAAAAGTCGAAGAAAAAGAGCCTCGTTACAGCTGAAGACCACATCAAGTATTATCGGGATAGCTTGTTTCACATTTTCAAAAAAGGCGATCCTCGTTTCGTTAAAACGATGGACGAAGAGTTTGGCTTGTTTTACTACGGACCGATTCTACTCGCGACGATGAAAGTTCTCGAGCACTGTTAATTGTTAGTTTTCAATTTCTTCCAAGTTCATTCAAGTTATCACTGCCATTACTTACAAACAAAGACAACACATTAATCACCCTGCAATTCATCTTTGTTCTATTTTAGATGTCAGAAGGGATCGCCTCCCCGGGCTCGGCGGATTCTGCGATTGACTCGCCAAGGGACTGCATGGACAACATGTACCGAGACGAGCTCGAGCTTGAAGTCAATCATCGTGTCACTGAAGCGCTGAAGAAAGCTTATGAACGCGATGCAGACGAGTTCCGTTCGATGATGGAGCAATTCGAGCCCAGGGAACGAAGCAGCGACAACTCAAGAGATCTCCACGCAGAGAACCGATCTCTGAGACGCGAGCTCAGCCAAGCACAGGCGTCAATTGACGTTTTGAAAGCAATGATACCCACTGCAGTAAGTTGAACTCCCACTGGACACTTCTCAATCACCTTTCTAGGGACTTATCGAGCGATACACGGACAAAATCGAGAAGTTAGTCGCCGCACACGCAGCGCTCGAAAACCGAAACCGCGAGCTCGTCCAAAACAACGAAAAAGTGGTTCAACACTATCGCGAGGTCGAAGCGCGCAACAGGAACCTCGTCGAAATCGTGAACGAAGAAGTTCGAAAGTGAGAAGCAGAAAAAAAATGACTTCGAATTAAAATATTTCAGGCGTGAATTCGCAGAGCGCCGCTCGGAAGAACTCTGCAAGCTGTTGCAACGCGCTGAGGTCGGCATCGGCATCGACCGTCGTGTCAAGAAATGAAACGTCTCTTTTCGACCATTCTTTTTCGATATTTTTGCACTACTCAACCTCTTTTTCACTCCGCTACGTTCCTTTAAACTTCTTCCTTTCTTTTCCTCTCCAAAAACCATTCACTCGTTATTTTCTACATTTTCCATTTTTACTCGTTTTTATCAAAGTAACTCCACAGAAAAATTGATGCGAAACCAATCCCCTGCTTTGTAAATAAACCTTTTATGACAAAACGCGACTTATTTTTTGACCTTTTGGGGTTCAAAAAATAAATGTATGATTTAATTGATAATTTAGTTTACTTGGACTTTGAACAGGAATAAATGGCTTATACAGAATATGAAATGTAAAAATGAAACTAGGCTTTCATCGAACTTTGAGAGAGCACTTTTAGAGGCGATAGCATTTTCAGGAACTTTGAATATAGGTTTTAATTGTAGCTAGAAGTAGGAATTGAAGCATTTACGGAGACCCCAAGCCAGTCCATCGTCGCAGGCTAAACATAAATAACTTGATGAGACTTCTTTCTGTCCGAGATTTACCTTGCAGTCGTCGCCGCTTTCGGATGACGAAAGTACGTGTACAATAGACTCGACGCTTATAAATGTGCCGACGATGCCACCAACGATGCCCATCATTATTATCCTTATTATAATTTACATAAGCTGACTAATTAGGAAGAGTCTTACATAATGTTTTTGAACAGACGGATAAGAGATGCTTTCCGGACCACCAGGCTGTCCACTAACGCTGGAAACACTAATTCATTAGTTAGTCAAGAACATTCAAAAGAAAATCTACCCAGAGCGAGCATAGAACTGGCTGAGGCCCCAATGAGCGCAATGAAATCGCCCAAGTCTGGCACGCCGATCGCCAGTGCACACGTAAGTGCGACGAGGGAAATTTGTGTAAGCTTCTTTCGGACGAGGGAGGTCGTGCCCTCTTTTGCGCGTGGGTAGAGGATGGACATTGGAACGTAGAATTGAAGAGCGTAGGTAATGAAAATGGCGAAACTGTAGATGAGCTTGACGAAAACGTAAAGACTCTCCTGGACGCAGATTTATTTGATTTAAATTAGGAGTAACGCTTGTACCTCCGGCAAGTTGAGAGTGATCGAGCCGCAGATAGTGTCCCCAAAAGCTAAATAGCCGAGAATTGCCATCGACAAGTACATGATTGTTACAATGAGCATGCCCGTATTGAGCGCTGACTTGAAGGCTTTGATGCTCTTCATCGAGTTTTGCAAAGGCAGGACGACTGCGATTCCTTCATAGGAGAACACTGCGGATCCGAACGCTGTCGGAAACTCTGCCAGTGACGCAAACTTGGGTAAATTCGATGGAGGCGTTACGTCACTGCTATTGACGCTATAGACGATGCAGAAGTAGTAAATAATGATGACGGCTAAAAATGGTCGATATTTTTTCCTGGTTATTAAAAGTACCAAACACCATGGCGAAATTGGCAAGGATAGATAGTGGTGCAAGTGAACGCAGGTTGTCAATCATACAGAGCGAAACAACAGGAACAAACAAAATTATCGTCATAATACGAACACTAAATAAAAGAAGTTAATTCTCCAAATATTTTCCATTCTTACCTGGGAATATGTGCAAATTCATAGAACTCGAGGATTTGGACCAGGTTCTCGGCCATGAAGACAAAGTAAACGCAGCAGAAGCCAAGCTGTGTGATGAAGATGAAAATATTGACCGCGTGGCGAAAGGGTTTATGAAATTTTTGAAGCCACCTCACAGCACCAAAGCGAACTGCGTACTCGACAACGCCTGCGTAGTCGAGAGGGCCCGTAGTGTTCTGTCTAGCGAGGAGCTCGCTGTTTTGCGAGAGGAGATGCATCGAATGCACCGCCAACAAGGCGACAAAGACGAGCAACAGAGGGCCACAGACGATTCCTGCGTGCTTTGTCGCCAGTGGAAGCGCAAGCAATCCTGTGCCAATATTCCCCTTCAAAATATGCATCAAACATCCCAAACTAGATAGTCCTCCTTGATCCCCGCTTTTCTTCTGTTTCTGTTTTTCGGCAGTTTCTTTTTTCGAAGGATAAGTCCGTAATTCTAGCGATGTTGAATCTGTAGCCATGTCGAATATCTCTTCTAAAAACAATGTCTGAGACTTCTGCTCTCCTTCTACTATTTGTTTACCTTCTGAAGAGCTACCGAGGAGCTGGGCATTCTCGTCCTCCCCATTGAGTACCATTGGTCCATTCTGATTCTGATAAAATGTTGATTGATGGTAAAAACAGACTATTGAATTTCGAAAACTTTTATTTGAAACTGATGGGAGGTAAATTTTTTTCAATATCACAGATGAAGATTTCCTTCTCAATATATATTCAGTCATTCAGATTATTTGATCATGAAAAAAAAATAAATTTCTTGGAACGGTGGATTCTTAGAGAGAAAGCATACGAAAACGAAACAAATTGAAGGAAATCAAAAAATGGGGAAGTATCGTAAGGGGTGGCATCTCGTGATTCGGGGGCGTTGATGTACTTTTAAAGGAATCCAGCACAGCAGATAGGATGGTAACTCTACGAATGAGAACGAGTAGAGTTGCTAGCGTAAGGGTCGCGATCCGGAATCAGGAGATGGATATGGAGCGGGAGATAGACACAACAGTTGCTATCTCTTTTCTTTGAACAGTTTATTTTAATAAAAGCTGCGCTTTGGCTCGGTGGGGCCGTTCTGACATTCGTCGAGGATCGCGCGGTAGAGTTCGTCTTGATTTCGAATTTCCCGTTCTTTCTGGAAGCGCCAGACACAGACTTCCGCGGGCGAGTGGCTGAACAGACAGGCGTTTTGGTAATGGCACTCGTTCCGTTCGCGCATATTCTGGCACATCAGAAATTTCTAAACGATGAGCTCGCATTCAAATGAATAGGCTGTTCAGACCTTCGGTAGACTCTGGTTCTTGAAGACACCAAACAGGTTGCGCACCAGGTGCTGATTCGCTTGGCCGTCTTTGATGATGAGTGTCTTCTGTTGCCCGTGGCCCTGGAGGGAAATTATCCTTACATCTATCTAGCGAAGTGCTCATACCTGGGTCGTGGTGTTGCAGATTGGAGCATCAGGGCCCATCGATTGCACACACTTATTAATAATGGAATGAATATAATTAAATGCGATAATAGTTCATATAAATGATAAAAAACCACCCAATCTTTGGAACGATGCTTTCTAAAGCATTAAAATGCCCCATTCTAGGGTCATTTCGGAACAAAGAATGTGTGGTTTCGGGACATTCATGGTTTACATTAATTAGAATACTGTGATCGCCGACCGCTAAAAATTAAATTCAAAACGGGTGTGATCTTTCGTTTAGTCTCAGTGCAAAATTTGTTAGTTTTCTTCCGGTATTTATATATGTCGATAGGGTCTGCTCACTTTGCAGCATTTGACTTGGATCTCCCGGACGAATTCGTCGATTGGAAGAGTTGATACATCATTCATTTCGTTGTTGATGTCCGGATTCTTGCGCTAGAGTCGTTTTAATTTTATAATGACGTATTTTTGATGTTCACCTTGTTGCCAAGTGTTCCGTTCTCTGAAAAAGCGACAAGTTGCTGGGCTGAGATAGAGCTTGATCGGAGAAGCATCCAAACTTCGAGCTCCAAGTCAGAATGCGCGAAGTGGCATGTGTCCTTTACTTTGCAAGAACCGGGATCGCGCTGCTCATGCCAGCAAATCTCAGTCTTGCAGTTTCGTGGATCACGAATGCGCACCTCACGCTTGTGATACAATTGTCTCTTCGGTCGATTAGGGTCGGTAGAGACATTCGAAAAACCAAAGCTACCGCCGTATCGACTAAAAACAGATTGAAGGTATTTGAGGATGAGATGATTTACCTGAGAATTCCTTTGAGATAAGGAAGAGAGTCAGCAGGTGTCCAGTTGTTGGTGACCCAAGCACGCATAAACTCGCCTCGCTTTTCGGAGTTCCAGACGTCGAGTTCGATGTCGGACTAACGCAAAGATCATATAAATGAAGTATCACCAACCAATAGGTTACCTGTGCAAATGTACAGTTGTCACCGTAGCTACAGGGTTTCGCATCCATGATTTCCTTGCACAATTGGAACTGGACATACGATGGCCCATCAATGCGTGCTGCGTGGTAAGGCATGCTTCGTACGCGGCTCCAGTTAGTTCCGGAATTGATCCGTCGGCAGAGCAGAATATCTCGGTGGCATGAATGCTCGTGCCCAGGCATCTGTTGTTGAAAGAACAGCATTTCATTTTGAGCGCTTGGGTTGCCAACAGGAACCTTTAAAAACGCTCTTTCAACTGTCTTCTAGATCTGATATTTCTCTTCATTCGAGCGGTTTCCTGACACATAACACAAACTGGGAGAAATTCCAAATACGTAGAGATCGGACACTTGGAGAGGAGGTAAAGAGATCCTGGACTGAGCCAGTAGTATTGATTTGGATCGAGTCCGAATTCCGGATTGTACATTTTGTTCGCCGCTTCTCGCTCGACAATCGCGTTCACTGGATTCGCCTTGGCGTGGTTCTGCTGTGATGCGTCGAAGGCATTGAGGGTCAGGCTGTTGAGGTACTCGCGTGCTTTTGTGCAAAGCCGCTCCATACTGTATTTTGTCGACGCTTGGATGATGTTGATTACTGTTTCTTTCTTGAACTCGATGTTTCCTTTTTTGTGGTATGAATTTCATACTATGAAATGATTCACCCACAGCTTTATCAGTCTGTATTTCTGATTTTTATACCTTCCTGTGTACATGTAGGTAACCAACGAATCCAAGACATCGTAAGAGACATCCAATTCAGCTTCCCACTCTCCGTGGTTGCCTGATTTACAGATAGACAAAAGTTGCCACATTTATAAACTTTTGGCTACACTAATATCTCCTTGTCTATCCTTTCCTTTGTTGAGCATATTGTAAATGGTGGGGTTAAGTGACAGGAGACTCCGGTGAGCTCGAATGGGCGCCAACTGCTTCGAATCATCGTTTTTGGAATAGAGATACACATCACAGGAAGAGCCATCGCGCTCTAACCGCTGCTTATTCAGAAGATCGAGCACCAGCTTCGTATGATCTACCACTTCTCCCATTTCGACCTCTAATAATATCCTTTTAGACCAGAGTTGAAATTTTGGCTATGACACGCGTTGCTTTTTGGCGAACGAAAAAATTAATGTTGAAGTATATTTTTTGTTGAATTCGCGAAGTTATTTATTCGGAATGAGTTACCGGGAAAAACAACCAAGCACAGTGTTTACAGAAATTTCTCAATATATATTCACAATCGAGGAGAAAAATTGAAATAAAGAGGTGTAAATGAAGGAACTTTCAGGTGCAATCATGATAAGAGTGGCTCTGGATAAATATTTGACGTCCTAGAATCAGTCTTCTTCATCGTTGAGTAACTGATCTGTATTTGTCTGAGTGTCTTCTTTGAGTCTTCGGTCGATTTTAAACAGAAACGGCATTCCAAAAAGGAGAATAAGTACGCATACACCGAGGATCGCCGAGATCGGTAGGTTTCCTAAATTCCTGTCTCTATCGCTTGAATCAAATAAATAGTATCACCTGAGACGGCGAATAAAACGCCAGACGAGCCCAAGGTGATAAAATTGAAAATAGCGACCGCAGAAGCGAATGTTTGGCCACGGAAAAGCAACCCTAGAAGCGTGAAGCCAGTCGTAAACATGGCTACATCTCCGAAGCCGTAAAGAAACGCTGCAATCGCAAGAGGAGGAATGCCTAAAGGTTCTCTTTGAACAAGCGGATGGGTTTAAGGAACTTACTTGGCTCAAGATAGGCGATTTGCCAGGTGTCTTTGGTAATGGCTTCGGTAGGAATATACAAGAAGGTGAGGAACATGGCGATAACATGAGCCAACATTCCACTGAACGCGTTCTTCGACGGGTCGTTAAGAAAGATAGAAGAAACGCCAGCGACTATCTTCCCGATTGAAGTGAGCAAACCCATCAGGCCAACAAGCTGATGTGGATTTCCTCCAAGACGATTCAGACTCGACACTGCTGTGGGAAACACTCCCAGATGAAGAGCTACTTCAAAGCCAAGATAAATCGTCAGTGGCATGAGCATCCAGTAGTCGACGCTCTTTACTAAAAATTTAGTTTAAAAAACGCACGCTCTCAATAAAACTGACAGATATCAACCGAGCCGAGGATCATTTCCTTCGGCTTGGCGATTTCCCCAGCGGCAGGTCTCGGGGTCGAGATAAAGGGGAAGATGATGACGCCGAGGAGGCCCAAAGCGATCATGATCAGCATGGTGACATTAACATGCTCGTCGATTGAGCCGTAGCTGACGTAGATGTATCCATTTGAAACTAGAAATGATATCTTTGTTGCGGGTTCACTAAATTTGCATATTTCAAATTTCTTTGGTGGTTAATTGTGGACCCTGCCTGGAAAATGATGAAAAAGAGCGAGTAATTTCTTGAAAGAGTCTTTTTGGTCGAATTGTGAATGACTGTGATGCCATGCGTGGTCCACAGAAGCGACCCAGCAAAGCCAAGAAAACCAGAAATGCAATATATCGCGATCGCATTCGGAAGGGCAAAGGACGCGGTGTAAAGAAGATGAATACATCCTGCAATGACGAAACTAGGCTTGGGCTTGGCCAGCGCGAGAAACGCAGGGACATAGAGACAGGCAAAAGCGCCTGAAATCGACTGGATACTCTGCGCGAGGAAAGCGGAAATGTGTATATTGTATTTCTCTTCGTAGGACTTTAGTATGGTTTCTTGAATACAGCCGGAGATCTATGAGAGTACGGTTATTTATTTGTTATTGTGTTTACAAAGTTCGTACCGGGAAGAAGATGACGAGGGTGCATGCTAGGCCCAGCTTGAAAATATGTCTGATGTGCTTCTTCGTTTTGCGCGCGTCCTCCGAAAGAAACGTGTCTGAGACCAACAGCGTCGAGATGTCGGAAATGAGGGACACTTCATCGTCGTCTCTTGCCATTTCTCTGACGTTTAGAGTTGCTCCATTCTGAAAAACAACTGGCCAGTTGGGTTTGAATCGCGCTCTTAGACGTCTCATCTCGGAGGAAAACAAAACTAAGGCAACGGAGTCATTATCTGTCTCTTGCGTTAACTGGCCTGCTATTTCTGCTCCAGCGAGCACCTTCCAGGACAGACGTCCATATCTCCACCGATATAGCGTAATAAACGAATAATATAAATTCTGTGTATGGAGTTTATCGAGTTTGAAACATCGATTTCCCAATTTGAAATTAATCCTACACCAATTTTCGTCATTTTTTGTTTTGAAGTATTGGGATCTTAGATTCGTTAGACTCCCTCGTCCCCTAAGGTCACTTGCTTATCTAGATCGAGCTTTGCTCGGTCGCCGCCGTGTATTTCTCTCCATTCGGTAATTCACGCAGTTCGTGAATTAACCTCTATTTTACTCCAGCTCGAAATACAGACGTCAAAGATACTTTACTCGTTTTCTTCACTCGTCCAGATATAGAGAGCAGGCAAACTACGCTAGAAGTGGGAGATTCAGCAGAAGCTAGGATCCCTTCAGTGGTATCAGAGTAGTCCCGTTGGAGAAAAGGTAAATTTTCCGCCATCGACAACCGAAGTTTCGCAACTTGGACGCTGATTGGCCGTCAGCGGAGTCGAGGGGAACCGAATCACCAACCGCCACCGCGCCGCCGGAGAAACTCCACTCAGAGAATTTTCCGCGCCGCACCACACCAACACCACCCCGAGCGAGCGCCACCACACGAGCGCCACCACGACCCACGCGCCGAAAGTCGCGCCCACGCAACCACGCACGCACGCCGGGGAAAACCTAAAATACTGAGAAAAACATAATTCTTTCGCCACTTTTCACCAAAAATCGAGAGAAGTTTACGAAGAATCGACCCTTGGACCAGACCTTGAAATTTCGACAATCGCTGGACAGAGAAATCGTCGGGCGTTTGCGCAAAAGGCACCTCAGCTCATCATATTGCGACTTTTAGTCGCAGTATTTTCTGAGGGCCTGAAAGGTAATCCAAGGCCCATAAACCCTTACTGCCGATATATTTCGAGCTATGGCGGCGAACAAATCACTGCTAGAAACCGTCACCGAAATAAGAAGCATAAACGATCGAGTAAACTACCTCGAAGAACAAGTGCGAAATGACGAATCACTAAAGCCAAGCCTAGAGCCCTTGATCACAGAAAGCAGAGTAAAATTAGAACAGCTCAGTACAACGCTTCTTACCTGCGAGCTCGATCAAGGAAAAGACTCTACGAATGCGACAATGAGAGAAGAAGCATGGGTGGCCACTACCTGGTCTCGTCACGTCCAAGACTTGCCGAAGCTGGACGCCGCATGCAACACATCTTTCAACACCTTCTTGGGCAGAGCCGACATTTATCACCGCGCCTACGTCCGCGACAGACCTTCACGTGAACAGCCTTTCATCGCAGCAGTGTACAGCCACTTCGACTTGAACATCGAACGCTCACTTGGAACCGAATTTCTGAATTGTCAAGACTGGAAATCGGCCAAGGCGCTGCTAGAGAAATCATTCGCCGCGAAGAGTCACTACTTACTGAAGCTAAGCGAAGTTTTCGACGTCGAATACGACCATTCGAAGCCGTTTGCACACTACACCGCCAACGTCTTGCAAAAGATGAACGAGGCGAAGCAAGCGACTTTGAACTCTTACCGACAAGAGAAGTCAGCCGACGCCGGGGTCGATGAAATATTTGACATATTCTCGACGATGATGCTGTACTTGAATCTTAGGAAAGAAGAACCAGACGTTTTCAACGCAATCCTTCCAAGCCTATCAAAAGTTTACGATATCAACGAACTCTGCCGTCTCGCCCAATCCACAAGACAGAATCGAGTTGACAGCGCGACCGTCTCCCAGCACTTCAACAGAAATAAGAACAAAAAGAAGAAGAATGCTAAGCGCGCCAGCAACGATTCTAAGGATGGGAAAGACGATAAACAACCAGAATCCAAGAAGATAAATACGACTAAGAACGTTGAAGATTTCCAACCATTCGACGTTCACTTTTACACAGTGAAGAAGAAGCGACCAGGAAAGGCTTATTTCGCTTCGGCTACCATCATTACGGGCTCTAAAAGTTTTGACGTATCGATGGAAGTCGACAGCGGAGCCGAGTCCTCCTGTCTGTCCGCTGCTTACGTTCCCGACGAATTTCTCCAGATGCTGAAGCCCTGTCCCTTCAAGGTCACCGGTTTCAGCCCAAATATTCCCGCCGAGCAGCCGATGGGTATCCTTCCCTGCCGCTTATCATTCAATGGTGGCCCTGCATTCTCCCTGAATCTCACCATTATGCCAGGCAGTAAATACCCAAGTCTACTGGGCCGCGATATACTAGAGAATGCGATGACGGACAGCTTCACAGTCGACAATAAGAATCGTACTCTCTCATTTTGCTACAACGAAGCCTTCACACAAACTGAGACTCAAGTGGTGAAGCTGGACGGAGTGAAGCGGACCAAAATCAAGAAATACTTGACGACTAGATCAGCGGTCAAAGACAGCGATCGGTCCCGCACTCAACCACCACGAGAAGTCCCAAAGCTGGACGCGCCGAACAAGAACGCAGCCAGGTGCCCCATTCAGCTAGCGAAGCAAAAACTCGGAATAACCCTACCAGCAGACGCAGACCCGGGGCAAAAGAAGATGGTCGCCGAGCTGTGTTTGGAATTCGACGACAGATTCGGCTGCGACGGTCAAAAAATGGGTGAATTCCCGTTCGAGATCGAAATCCCGACTGATGGTACGAGTCGAAACATCAGTCAACACCCGATTCCGCAAGCTTTTCATGGTCAGGTCAGCGATCACATCTCCGAACTGCTCGAAACGAAAATAATAGAAGAGATCAAAGACCAGAAAGGGTTTAACAGCCCGGTATTGCCTATTCCTAAGAAATCTGGGGAAATGCGCTTCTGCATCAACTACAAAAACAGCCTGAACAAATGCCTCTCCGACAAATCCGACCCTTACCATCTCCCAAGCATGGAGGATACGATTGCGAACATTGGACCGGGCAATAAGTTTTTCGCCACAGTTGATCTACGAAGTGGATATTGGCAGTGCCCTGTAAAGAAAAGCGACAGGTACAAGACTTCCTTCCAGTGGGGTGGGAAATCTTACGCCTTCTGCAGACTACCATTCGGTTATCGATGCTCGGGGAATATATTCTCGCGCGTCGTAAACACAATTCTCGACTCAAGCCCCACCAGGAAAAAGATGCTTTCTTATATCGATGACATAGTGTGTTTTGGGAAGACTTTCAGCTGCTATTACAACACTCTCCGAAACCTATTCATCGCGCTCCGCAAGTTTAACGCTAAACTCAAGGGCGAAAAGTGCTCTTTCCTACAATCCGAAGCTCACTTTTTGGGCCGAATCATCAACGAAGATGGAATCAAACCGGACCCTGCGCAAGTCTCCGCTCTTCGTCAGATGAAACCCCCACGCTCCCAAAAGGAGTTAGCTTCATTAATCGGGTCATTGAATTGGATCCGAGGTTTTCTAGAAACGAAAATGGGCGAAGCTATTTCATCCGGTTGCTTCTCGAGCAGAATGAAGCCCATAAACGATGTTCGAAATTCGGCGAACGAAACAAATTGTTTCAAGTGGACCAAAGAAGCGGATTTGGCGCTCAAGGAAATTCAACGACGACTCTCCGAGACTCCAGTCATAAGTTTTCCTAACTTTGACGAGTCTTTTCATCTCTACACAGACGCGAGCCTGTACGCAGCGGGTGGCGTCCTGCTACAAGAGTATGGCGGGAGAGTGCACCTAGTAAGCGCGATTTCCCACACCTTCAACAAAGCTGAAAGAAAATGGAACACTTCAGAAAAGGAAATGTTTAGCATTGTCTGGTGCTGCGAGCGACTGGAAAAGCTCCTGAAAGGTAGATTCTTTCAGATTCACACAGACCACCGATCTTTGATCTTCCTACACAAAAAGAAGTTCAAGAATTCTAAAATAAGCCGATGGCAAAGCCGATTGGAAGAATTCGATTTTCACATTGTCTACATCAAGGGATCAGAAAATCAATTCGCCGACTTTATGAGCCGCAGACCTGGCGAGGACGACAAATCACTTGGATACGACTCTGAGTTTCCCGTTGGTCGCGAGTACGAAATCGACAAGAATTCACCAGTACGTGTCTTCGTCCCTTTCTGGAACGAAAATCAGTTTCCGGAGAAAATCACTTTATCAGAGGTGAAGATACATAAGGTAAACGTCAAGGCTATCGCGGCGCCAATGGAGATTCCGTTGGTGTCAGCGAATTATAATAACATTCTGGACTATCAAAGGGAGGACTCTGCTCTGAGTGCAATCATCACTTTTCTGGAATCTGGTAAGGAGCCACTGGACATAAAATCGCTGGTGAAGGACTCCGACCACCGACAATCGTCTCTACTCAAGATGGAAAAAGCTCTGTTCCTGGATAACACTACCGGGTGCTTGATGTGTCAATTCAAATCTGGCGCGCGGGCGGTGGTACCGGAAGCGGTAAAAGTCACTTTCTCTTTCTAGCTCACGACTTGTCCGGTCATCTGGGCGAGCCGCGGACTTTAGAGCGATTAGAGGACGTTTGGTGGCCTTCATTTCAAGACGATGTTTCTAACTACGTCCACAGCTGCGTCCCTTGCCTACGCAGAAAAGGATCTGCTGGAACTCGTACCAAACCGCCACTTGGAACCCTTCGTCGTGGAAAAACAGCTGGCGAATCGATTCAGATCGATTTCGCTTGTATGCCTCCCGCTGGCGGATTCAAGTATTATTTGGTGGTGGCGGACACTTTCTCTCGCTACACTTGGTGCATTCCGACGCGGTCCGACACTGCTATCTGCGCTGCAAAAGCGCTCATCTACAAGGTCTTCCTTCCCATGGATTTCTTGCCGAAACATCTACACAGTGACAGAGGTACCCACTTCTGCGCAAGCGTGATTGACGAAATGTGTAAGCTTAACCAGATAAAACATACAATAAGTACCGCATTTCACCCTCAATCAAACGCTTTCGCAGAAAGAGCGAATCGGACTATCAAAAACAGTCTATTCTGCATGGTCAACTCATCTTCCGGTCGAAAAACTTGGGCCGACTGCGTTCCCCACGTGATGCGCGCGCTCAATAGTGTGAAAAACAAAAGCACGAAAATTTCACCGCGAGAAGTTTGGTTTGGCCGAAAAAGTACTTTCACCCACTCTACTGGCGCAGAAATGACAGCGGAAACACCTCAGGTGTTTGGTCTCAATGTGGGAGCTTTAGCGAAATCGGCGGAAGCCATTGTGAAAACTGCGATGGAAGCTGCTGACCGAGCCATGGAGCACAGGCTGAAAAACGAGCCTAAGCCGAGACCAATCCCCGCTGGCGCTGTCGTGTACATTAAGCGAGAAAACCTGACCGACGCTAAAAGCAAGAAGGAACGCTGGGTAGGTCCCCTGAAAGCCGTTTCGAGCAACGACTGGGTCGTCATGGTCGAAGATAAAAAAGGACAACGTGATTTCATCCATCGAGAACACGTGGTTCACGCCGCAGAACGAAATCACGACTTACGCTGGATTGATTACTACGAGGCCGAGTACGTATTCCCACATTTAACCGAAATCGTTAAGTCGAAAGTCCCACAAAAATCGCCTGTTCCTACTTCCAAACCGATGGAAAAGTCCGGGTCGAAGTCGCATGGGGGGAGGAAATCTTCTCAGGTCGCGTCGACTCCGATGGTTGCTATGGAAAAACCGCCAAGATCATCTCTATCACCTATTTTGGAAAGTAGACGCCGATTGGACATGGAAAATCTGGGAGATACAACCGCTACATCTATTTTGGACTCGTCGGTAGCTCCAGCCGAGCCGTCAGATCGCTGGTACTCTGGTGGTACTCTTTATGAAACTGCCGAGGACATGTCAGCTGATGCTACAGTGATTTCGGAGGTTGCTGCGCCCGACAATAGCCATATGTCAGTCGATAAACAAAATTCAACAGTAGTTGAGGGCTCAGCAACTGAAAACAGCAAGAAAAGAACCCGTCCAAAGTCTTCACCAGATCGTCAATACTCAGCCGGCGCCGATCCGAATGCGACTTTAACCGAAGTTGGAGCAGCTCATCTCCCGAAACATACAAAACGAGCACACCGTGAAACGAGGCCCGTCGAACCTCTAAACATCGGCACAAACTCGGGTCAGTCATACGACTAAGCGCAAGTACTGCCCCACTCAGGTCCCCTATTCATCGACCGGGGCCTGAAAAGGTACGGAAATTATCACAGTTTACCGTCGCCGACGTATTTTGAGTTCTTCTACATGTGCAGCTACTCCTTCATGTCATCACCGCTCGGACATCACGAAAACTTCGCATCTGATTCAAGCTTTTTCCCAAAAAAGGGTTTTTTAACGCGAATCAGACTGCCTCGACGTTTCGAACCTGCCATGTTACTCATCTTACGCTTATACTCCTGCAAAAATCACACACTTTGGCCTTAGAGGACGTTTCAGTCTCATGGGGGGTATTGGGATCTTAGATTCGTTAGACTCCCTCGTCCCCTAAGGTCACTTGCTTATCTAGATCGAGCTTTGCTCGGTCGCCGCCGTGTATTTCTCTCCATTCGGTAATTCACGCAGTTCGTGAATTAACCTCTATTTTACTCCAGCTCGAAATACAGACGTCAAAGATACTTTACTCGTTTTCTTCACTCGTCCAGATATAGAGAGCAGGCAAACTACGCTAGAAGTGGGAGATTCAGCAGAAGCTAGGATCCCTTCAGAAGAAAGTCTACTGACAAAAAGAGAGCGATGACGAAAAAGAACCGCGAGATGGGTTGCACCTCGATTTGTCCCGGTAAGTATTAACTACAGTAGGTACCGAGAGTAACAAATCGATCTAGTCTAACGCTATTCTAGTCTGAATACGTAAAGCTTATGCTCTGATGTCTATTTTTTCATTGCAAAGAAGAGGCAAACAACAGCAAGTTTTTCTTTTTTTTTGAATATTTGTTTTTGACGTTTTACAATGTTTCTACAGGAAAGACGTACAGAAGCTCTTTGTTAGCGGCCTTAAAAAGTTGAAACTGCTCAGAAAATAACATCATAGAATAGAATAGAAAATTGCTTGTGACTCTAGGTTGTGAATTTCTTGAATAATATAATTATACAGTCAGGTCTTGCAATTACGCGGTTTTTATTTTCGGGATTTTGGCTAAAAACCACGTAATTGCAAGCCCTAAAATGCACTAAATAGTGCAAATTGTGTATCGGATTTTCCCAAAAAACCGCGCAATTGCAGGTCGCGCAATTGCAAGACCTGACTGTACTTTGCAAAATAACTTGATAGCTTCATAACTTGTTTCGGTTGATTTAGGAGTTTGGAATAAGGTGCTGTCTGTGTTTGGGATGCCTATGCTGGGCTTCAAATTTCAGTATGGGATTACGAAGCTTGAAGCTCCCAAACAAAGATAAGTTTTAAAAGAGGAGATTGTATATAAGTTACAAAGCTTGTACTTGTCGTTGGGTCTAATCTCGTCGAGGTTGAACAAGAGGAATATCAGCTTGAAGACATTTGCTAATGTTTTTAAGGGAAGAAGCGATTGTGTGTAAAATGCATCCTGGAGAGTGAGAGCTGTAACGTTCCGCTAGAAAAAAAAAGGTATGAAGAGGGCTTCCAGGGCCACATTTCGCCACTGCGGGCAAAAACGGTTTTCAAATGACATTCACGAAACCGACCCGGCGACTGTGGACGTGGATTGGGGCCTCTCCTGGAGGAGCATAGAATGGAATAGTTAAGGGAGTAGTGGTAATTCTTTTTTGGGAAATTAAAAGTTGTTGAGGCGGCGATTTGTGGAAACACTCGTTTTCCGAAAAGAGAAAACGTTATGGACAGACGGCGTATTGTGATAGGCGCGAAAAAAATATATAGATAAAAAGAATGGGTCATCATTAATTCTTTGCTTTATAGGAAGATTTTCAGGCCAGAAAAGAATCTCAGAAAAGATAGAGTCAGGAGAAAGAATCTTCTCAAGGTTAATTTCGTTGCTTTTCTTGTTGATTGAACTTTTGGGAATTTACTTCCCATCGTTTGGTTTGCTTGGTTTGGTGTGAGTTTTAGCATTCGGAACTAGATTTATGCGAAATATTCGAACAGCGCGAAAAATAGAAATATTGGGAATGAAGAGGACTTTTTGGGAGTTGTCGAAAACTGAATAAATACTTTAAGTATGTTTATCTCCCTGTACGAAAGAGAACGCTAGAATTAATCTGTAAAGATTGGAAAGAAGGAGAAAAATAAAGATTGAATGAAAAGTTGTCTTTTGTTTTGCGGAAAGTAAGAACACGAAATTACTTTTTAGAAAAAGTCGAGGCTGCGGATAGAGTTGAACGATCAAATTTACAAAAAAAGTACAGAGTGGCTATTTTACTCGGACCCGACGGATAATGGCACCGAATGGTTTGAGTCCTCTTGGTACGGCAGTTGGATCGACGTTTCCAGTCCAAGCGGGCCTGTGTTGGGCGCCTGGAATCCAGATTCTGAAGAAAAAGGTCATTCTTGTTGCTCTCTAGCTGCGATCTAACCATCTGTTTGAGGGGGTTGAGGAGAGACCATGTTGTCGTCTCCAAAGGCGGATTCTGAACTCTCGCTCAGCTGCTCGCTCGGTTCGTTCTGAGCCGAAAGAACAGGGTTGACATTGTACTGCTCGATGCCCGTACTGGACGGTTGGTGTGGCGTCATCTGGTGGTACGAGCTCCCTAAAATCGAAGCGATAAAACACTGGATCAAGTCAATCTACGCTACCGCTGTTGTACGAGTTGCAGTAGTCATAGGCAGTGTAGTCGCTCCACGAGTAGCACTGATTCCAGAGACTGTTTCCAAAGTTATTTACTGGCGGCGGGTTTCCACATGGCAGTGTATGGTCGCCGAAAGAAAAGGACTGCTGCTCATTGCTGTTTTGCTCATTCGGATTGCTTGGGCTCTCTTCGAAAGGGATCCCCGACTGGCGAAAAAGGATCAAGTTAGGTTTGGCGAAACGAAATTGAAAGTTACGTTTACGCGGTGGAGAGTGCGCTGGAGATGCGCGCGAACTCGGTCGACATTGAAAGACGTGCGTCCGAACTTGTTGTAGCAGTTCTTCGGAAGACATCCGCAGGGAAAGTACTGGCGATCGACCTGAACGGAAATCATGACTACTGAAAGTAGTAAAATCCCATCGAATGATTATTCGATTCGCTTTTTTATTAAAGATAAGAGTCATCGTCTATAATTCTCTTTTTTTTTTAGTCGCGATGGAGAATATTTGCGCGATGAGTCATCACTTTGCGAACGCAAAAGAATGCTGAGTCACACCTTTTTGACTAATTTTTTTTCTGCGTCAATAGAGAATATTGTGGCTATTGAGAATCTCTTCATATTCTTTGTTTGATTATTAGTTTTGTAATATAAATCGTGTTTTTGAAGTAATTTCTGTGAGAAAGCAAGATTACCTGGCATCCAATGCCATTGATGTGGCACTCGCAGGATTCGGGATAGCAAATGTTTTGGCAGTTGCAGCCACAGTTCTCTCGCGAGCTTCTGAGATTGATTTCGGCGAATTGCTGCTCGTTCTCGAGGCGCTGCTGCTCGCTGAGCTCGGACGAGCTCGACGCGAGCAACTGCTTCCTCCGCTCGAGAGGGACAGGCATCAGACAGAATCCACTATTCGGAGCCATGCTTTCTTCATTCTCGTTTTCAGAGTCCGAATCGGAGTTGTCGTTTTCCACGTCCAACTGAAAGTCAAGATGAGTCTTCCTTGATTTCAACAATTCCTATTTCTGCAAATTACGCGAAAACTATTCTCAAGGTAAAAAACGGCAGGACGTTTATCAATTTTTAATTTCACTGATCGATTCCGCGCGAAACATTTAAATGATCTCATTAATAAGCAAAAGTCGCAGATTTAGCATCGCTGGCGAAGGAAAAGACAGGGGGCTTTACCTGGCGGTTCTGGTACCAACGTCGGTATTTTCGTCGACGCGAGCGTTCTCGCTCGATTCGGTACCGGTCCAGGCTCACTTCTCGCCCGCTCATGTGGCGTTTTTCTGAAAGAAGGGTTTACAAATTGTGCCTTTATGTTAAGGACTTACCCATTCCTAAGGAGTAGCCGCCATTAGTGGGCATAGTGACAAAGCTCTGAGCGCGTGGGAACTTGAACTCGCGCACGACGGTGAACTTGATCGAGCGTGCGGGGCGTGCTTTCTTCTTTTTCTTGGCTTCGCACGCGTTCTCCGCTCCCTTGATGGCGCTATTTTTGCTGCGCGCGCATTCGTCGTACTCGAACACTTTGAAGTCGTTGAGACTCTTGATCACAGAGTCGCTCGAGCTTTTCGTCGATTCCTAACAAAATCTGTAAATCTAAGCACTCATGTTGGCGCAATACCTCCTCGAGTTCTTCAGTGGCGTAGGCAAGGTCCACGCCGGAAGTGCTCGAGCTGGACGAGCTGCCTGAGTTGGGCGAGTCGCCTTCTTCGGACTCGCCGCCCTCGTACTTCGTCCGCTTCAGAGCCACCTCTGGCGACTCGTCCGTCGATTTCCGTTTTCTTCGGTCGCAGTTCGCCTCTAAAAACGCTCAATCAGCTGATATTCTCGCGAATCCACAAAGCCGCCACGAAAAAGGTAACATAAAAGTTTACCGCTGGCCAAATCCTTGGGCGATAGTTTCATGAATCTAACAAAAAAAATATTCAATAATTTTAGGACTAGTCAAATAAAAACGCGCGTGTGGCTGTAAACTGCCAAAACCAACAGAGTTTCCTTTCTTTTCTCCAGAAAGAAGAAACTCGACGCGTAATTGATCGATGTAAATAATCATCAGGAGATAGACGAAAAGTCCAAAATACTTTATTTTTGTGTATTACTTTCTTTATTTATTTTCGTCTTTGTCTCGTAAACAGTGTAATCGATCAGGATGGCGGTTTTTATGTCTCCTAAGGTTATACAGAACTGTCTTGCCTGTACAAAGATTTGAAGCTAGCTCTAATACTATTTATCGCGTTAAATTTTAATTGGTGGCACTTTTTCGCGATGTTATATTGCAAGGGTGTGTGAGGCGATTAGCGTCAACCTTTTGATAGGTAAAGTTCTATCAGCGGCGAGAATAAACCAGAATCGATTATTATTGATCCAAGAGCAGTATAAATAATTTACCCCGACTCTGGCGAATGCAAGCCGATCAAAGGTGATTAATTCTTTCTTAAAGCATTCCAGTGTGTTCCACTGCGACATTGTTAAAAAAAGAACATCTTTAAAAAAGGTACTTCTTTCGACATCGATAATTGCTTCTTTGTTACATATTTATTGCCGATTCTGTTAACGAGTATTAATTGCGGATTAAAAGGAGTGGGGCAGGCTTGATCTCGCAAAAAGTTGAGTACCAATAATAAAGAAAAAGTCAGCGGCCAGTGGACCGGATCCGTCGACTGGATTTTTCGCCCCGCGGCGCTTTTTCACCGATTTCAGCGCTGCTGCCCGCCCCTTTCGAAACTAGCCAGCCCGATTCTATTGTTTCCTTGAGCGGCGATTAATCCCTCTCCTGCTCTTGTCTTTCTGCCCTTGCTTACCTTGGCTGGCCGCGAAGAGCTCCTCGACCTTCTCCTCGTCGTTCTTCTCATCGCTCCTGTCGCCCAGCCTGTCGCGTAGACGTTCTTCCGCGGTTGTTTCTTTCTCGCCGATTTCCGTTGTCATTTCTGCTTCTGAACACAATTCTCTCGTTAATTAGCTCTCTTTCTTTTATCTTTCAAAAGTGTTTTTCATGAATAACTCTTCCCAGCTCGTGTCAAAATCAAAATCGTAAAAATAATTTAATTTTCTGTCTTCCGAAATTTCAAATTTGCGTTTCGCCAGTGTAATCTCTGAGTGGTATTTAATTCTATCTTTATTTTTGGTGCGATCAGGGCGCAAACTATAAGTCACTAGACTTATGGCTTGCTACCTCATCGAGTACCCCTTCAAAAAGCAGCGCCAGTCGCTACTACCCCGGGCAAGCGTCGCGCTCCCGAGCTCATCTCACTCACTCAAGCAGTGTGGTAATCTCGGCTCTCTCTCCCTCTCTCCCGAGCTGAAAAATGACTTTTGCGCGAGCGCACACTTTTTCATTCCTTTCATAACTCTGTCTAATCTTTTACAAGCACCACCACCAACAATCCGCGACTCTCGCATTTATGGTAGTCCTTGATTAATGTTCCTTGATTAATGAAGCTCCTTGCCTTTCCTAAGGAAGCTAACAAGGCCAGACTCGCTCCCTTTCATTCATTTTCAATTTTGATAAACTTGATAAAGAACTCATTGATTCGATTCTCGAATCGATGATTAGTACTACTCAATGACATCGTCATTTGCATAATTTAAAGAAGAGTAGAACTGTACGAGACAATAGCTGTCTGGCAGACTGATCACAAGCTGTACATGTGATCATCTGATCATGTTTAAGAAAAAGACAGTTTCGCGGAAAAAAGAGGAAGTGAAAAATAATTTATCCAAGACGTCTCGAAACACCATGTTTTAATGGTGCGTGCTCACAACAACGCATTTTCCCAGTTCTTCTTATCAGTTACGTTTAAATCAGTCTGGCCGACAGTAAAACAGCCGCGCATAAATGGGAATCGCGCTGTGCACTTCCGGAAAACTTCCTTATTCGCAAAATTCCTATTTTAGAAAGTCAAGAAGAATATATTTAGTCGATTATAGGAAAATTAACAGATAGAGGAAAATCGCAGAAAAGAGAGAGCGCCACGAGCTCGAGCTTGGCGAGGTTTGTATTCTCACGAGGTGTGTTACTTTTTACAGTCATGTGAAATCACGGAACGTGCGATCTGTCCAGATTCGTTATAAAAATTTTATAACCGCTTATTCAGAAGTTATAAGTTATAACTCAGAAGTGGAGGCAATAAATTGGTAAAGAATCAAAGTTATAAATCCTTCTATAAACGGACTTTTAACAATTAACTTTTCTTGTTTTGTAAAATTAAATAAAAGCGCAATTCCAAATTAAAATAATGGGTAATCGTTGTAATCAAAATCATTGTAGTAATTTTAAATTGGTAAATAAAAAAAGAGGGATGACGGAAAAAAAAGCAGGCGCGGCTGTTGAAATCAGAAAAAACTACCACACCGCGTTGTCTCTCCCTCCCTGTCCGTTGTGCGCCGACTCGCACCGTTCATCCCTTTTTTTTACAATTCTATCGCCGCAATATTCAACTGGCAAATCAAGAAGCTGCTACCAGCGCTCGACCATGGTTTATCATGAATGCGAGGTGATAAATGATGATGCTTGGCTGATGTTTTTTGATTTTGATTACGAGTAGTGACCTTGGATGACCTTTGCAAGGAATTGAACTCGCGCAAGTTCAAACCCTTCTGAAGCTCGAAAATAAGGGGACGAGAAGAGTCACGTGTAGCTAGGTGATTGGGACGAGGTCTAGAAGCTTGGATGAAAGGGGAAAGTGGCTGTTTGGTCTGTCAAAAGATGGATAAACGAGCGATTGAAGCAGGAGCCCGGGCGCAAACGTGTTTGCCCAGTCGGCCACTCGACTACACAAAAGACAATCACGAGCAACATCAAATCACTAAAATGACAATTTTAGTGTATCCTCACTACCGACTCCCACACGAGGTTAAAACAACAACTACAGGGAAGGGAATACTCTATTGCAACTGGTACCACTTACAATCATCCTAATTGACAGTTCGCTTAAGGGTGTCAACAGCGATTTTTCTCAATTTATTGTCTAAAATGATCTTCTTCTGTATCCCTTAATTTTTGGGTTAAACCAATTTATGGAAGTGATTTTCTGGATCAGGGTTTTGATTGGCCGGTAGGCCAAATACAGCAATCTTATTGGTAATCCAAAAATTCACTTCCATAAATTGGTTCAGTCCAAACTTTTCAATTGATATCGAAAAACTTAGTTTTTCCATTCGAAATCTCAAAAAGAGAGCTTCTTCCCGAAATTAAAGCTCAATTACAAATCTGAGTGAAAAAAGAAGCTGGCAGAATTAATCGTTTGAGACAGTGAGGAGAAAGTAATACGCTGCTTTAGATCAATGAAATCGCCACGTGATCAATACTATCGTTCCTGTCTATTTGTCTATTCTCTGAAAAAGTTCGAGGCGAACTTTTGCGATTCTAGTGTTCTCTCTTGATAAAAGACGGCGTGATTGTATAAATAGAAGTTGTTAGGACGCCGTTTTAGAATAATCCAAATCTCTTGTTTGATCTGCTATCGGCCCAATGATGTTGAATTTACACTTATTCCCATATTATGGCAAACACTGAATTCCAAATGTGTGATTTCCCCAACGACCGAAAAATCTACTACACCCTTAATGCTTTCCGCCGCGAGGCAACACGCGCCGCTGGCCATCACACAATTCAACATTTTAGCTAGTCATTTACAACTCAACAAAATCCGACGTAAAAATTCCCCTCCCCTAAAAATTTTCAAAAATTTTTCCAAAAATTTTCCAAAAAATTTCCAAAAAAATTTCCAAAAAATTTTCCAAAAAAATTTCCAAAAATTTTCCAAAAAATTTTGCAAAAAATTATCCGAAAATCACAATAGAAAAAGAAAAAAATTTCAACCTTTTTGAAAATTCAAGCCCGAAAGTGCGAAATCTCACGAATCTGGTCGAAACACCCACTTTCAAGCGGAAGTAATTTATTATAAATTGGCGATTTATATTCACGATCGTAAAAGCGCCGCAAAAGAGCCATCATTTGGCGACTGAAAAGTGACAATATTTTTTCCGAAAATCTTTCGATAGTAACGCTCAGTTCAAAATCGCAGCGTTCCAAAATCGCGAAAACGTCACAGGGCAAATCACATTTTTATGCTTTCCTTTGACAGCACCCAAAGCGCGTTTACTCGATCAAAAGTAAACGCTCTTTTTCAAGGCGCGATAGAAACAATCAGTTTAATTTTCCGTCGAGTTCTAGGGCGAGCGCGCTCTCTTTCCTCAAAACTCTCTGATGGAAAAGTTCGCAAAAGATGATTTTTCGTTGGGCAGAATCTTTTTTGACGATTCGAAAGTGATAAATAATCAATAGAGCTGCGCCTTTGTTCGAAAACCTAATCACTCGCGCACAGTGTTGCTCAACAATTGAAATATGATGGTAAAACCTTTTAACACTTCCCAAAACGGTTCTATGCTTAGTTTCGTTTTTTAACCCATGCGCGCGGGGTCGACCAAAAAGCGTCATTTTTTCCACTGGCGCTCTAATCTGGGCTCGGCAACCTGTGTAGAAAGCCTGAGTCAGGGTCTGAAAGAGCTGAAATTAAAAGCCGCGCAGCGGCTTTTAAAAACGAAGCCGCGAAGCGGCTTCGCCAAAATTTTTGAAAGATTGTAATGGTAGTATTAGGAAGCCGCTTCGCGGCTTCGTTTTAAAAGCCGCTGCGCGGCTTTTAATTTCAGCTTTTTCGGACCCTGACTCAGGCTTTCTACACAGGTTGCCGAGCCCAGGCTCTAATGACAAGAATACTAAATCGAAGGAAATTTAGAAAAAAAAAGTTCGAAAAAAAATAAACTTAATTTCACGCGAGTTCTCTCTTTTTAGAGGAATTTCGATAAGAAATGAAAAAAAAAGTTAAATTGCTGGAGTTCGGCGGGAAATATCTCTCTTTGGGCTGGCGGGCGCTTAATACTGGGAAGCGTTTGTGCATGGCACGAATCAGATCATAAAAGGCTTTATGACTATCGCTAGCACTCGATTTGTTCATTTCTTCGATTTCGCCCCTTTCCATTATTCATTTGCTCCTCGCCAGCACCACAAATCGAAACTTACTCTTTTTGATAAATACTCTTTTTAGTTTGCGCAAAAACAAGTTTTTTTTCAACCAAGTTAAAGTAGGTAGTTGGATATTGTGATGATCACTAACTTGGTCCTCGTCGAAACTTGGTAGTAAGGATTGGCTTAGTCTCTGATCGTAGACATGGCTTGTCTCTCTGAAATCGAATAGAGTCGAGCACGTCGTCCTGTGACTTCAGAGAGGAGCTTCGCACCTAATAACTCAGCACTGTTTAGATTTGTGTTCTAGATTTGTGGACTCGTTATCATCAACTAATCAGCAGTTGCACAAGCCCTCCCCAATCCCTCAGAAGCTTCTCACCGCGCCTCAGTGCCAACTTCCCCAACCGGTGGCACCTTCCATGCGAAAATGAAAAACCATTCCCAGCTTGAGCTTCTTGACGCAAAAGCACACTAACATCGATCTCGCATTGATTTTGTTTTGTTCTTTCGTTTTTTCTACAAGTTTAAAACCCAGCCAAATACCTCAGAAAATCAACTAAAAAACAAGAACTCTACTACAGATCAACTTCAACTTTCAAATAAAAAAGTGCTTATTTGTTTTTGAATTTATTAAAAATAAAAATTGGAGCGTATTCTTGTGCTGTAAATTTCATTATTTTTTCTTGTCGTATTTTGATTTTCAAAAGAAAGAGCTCGAAAAAGCGCTAGAAAAAAGTGTGATCCCTCTTGGTGATCATCCCCTGGGCTGAGCAAGCGGAAGGAAGTAGCTACTTACAGTTTAGTTCGTTTCCAGTTTCCTTATTTGAAATTTGAAGGTGCGGTTAGTGTAATCTGTTCAGTGTAATCTCTGTTCGTATTCTCAAAAATCACTAATTATCAAAAATAACAAATTGTGAGCCTTAGGCTGAGTACGCACATTCTACTACGAGTGGGTCCAGTAACTTGCCGCCGACGCAACGCCCGACACTGGGCGCTGATTGGTCGCTGGGGGTACTAGACCGCATCTCGGCCTCCCGCTGGCCACGCTCCAACGACTTGCCTGGGCGCCATATCAAACGGCAAAAAAAAGGGATGAGCAGCAATTCATCCACTTCTCGACCGGAATCTCAGAACGGAGCGCTCGGGAGCACACACTCTTAGCGCAAAATACAAAATAAAAAAATAAGTTTTTCTCTCTTTGAAAGACTCTAATTTCAAATAAAAGCCTCTCACCTTGCCAAAACACTCATCTTCTAAAAATACTATCTTTCTAAATACCTCTTTTAACTATATTCAAAAGTCATCCATTGATTGAAATTCTCGTAAGTGATAATAAGTTTTGACGAAGCTGCGCTCTCTCCTTTTTTAATTCAGAAAATAGTATTTAAACAAATGGAAATGTATTAAATGTCACTTTGCTTGTAAAAATTAAATTTTGGTGGTGATCAAGGGCGACAAAGATCGATGTCGAAAAAAGGATGATCAATACAGGCGAGGCGGCCATTGTTGGCCCAGTTTCAAAACTACGCACGCCAGTTTCTTTCTTTTTGCTCAGCTGCTCCAGCTTCTTCTTTTTCGGAATAGAACTAGTAAAATTACTATTTGTAAGGATTTCCTAGTAGTACCAAGACGTCGGCGGTCTTTTGTCTTTATTTGTAGTCATCAGCGTTTGATTATCATTTGAATGTCAATTGCTAGCCAAGAAAATGAGGGAAACAGATTCTGGATTCGAGAGTTGGAGCAGTAGTCGGTAGTAGAAAGAGAGTAAAAGCTCCATATTTCGAATCATAAAGCGCCGCCAGCGATTTTTCTCATTTCTTTCATTTTTGCGCTCTTTTTCTTCACCACACAGGCCAAGTCCCTGGCCACTACACCACCGGGCTCTTGGCTTGAGCTGAAGCTACGACAAAAAAAATAACGACTCAACTGGGCAATACAGAACTCATTATCTCGCTGTATAATGTGATAAGCGACAAAAATGATTTAATACAAATTGGAATTCCCAAAACGGATATTCAATTTTAACCCCGGAATTTTCTGCCATTACCGCTATTTATGCTTCCTCTAGCTCGGCAGTTATTGAGGTTAAATTTAATTCAGGCGGCTTCTGTTTCAGAATTTAGAAAAAACACTACTAGAATTTCAGTTCTCTATATTTCGAAAAGAAAGAAAGAAGCCTTCGAATGTCGAAAAGTGTCTGTTGAAATCACAGTAGCCTCTGAAATCAAGGAAGAGACCGCGCTAAATGTGAAACGATGGCTTTTGATAAATCAAAAGTGTCTTTTTCCGCCATGAAAACCGTATTTTCTGCTTTGCTGGTCTTTTGCCGGCTTCGATAAAGAGCCTACTACTTAGGAATGGTGTTGTAGAGGTGAGTAAATGGAGCTCTTACACATGTAGAGTCTAAGATCAAGGAAGAAAATACGAATAATAATATCCAGAACAATTTTATGAACTACATCGTAGTCGAAGGAGTTTCCTTATCAGCATCATTAGATGTAATTCATTGAAGAGCTTCTTCTTCGATTCTTCTGTCCTCAAAAAGAACGCCATTTTCAACTTATAAATAGAAAATTACGGCTTTGCAGAGCGTCCCCAACTGAAAAACGAATTGCTTTTTCCACGAAAAACGCTGATTCTATCAGACGATTTCTCGCAAGGGGCGCGTTTTGCAAAACACGACAAACCGAAAGTGACGAAAGCGCTTCAGTTGCGAGATATTGCATTCTGAGGTAAGCAGCTTTTTGATTTTTTTTTCTTTCGAGTTGAGTTGGGGTTGGAGTTTTAGGGCCACTCCCTATTTCTGATATGAAAACGTAGCTTGATTTGTAGAAGTTTAGCTTGTATGTAACGACTCTTATTAATAATAACTAGTATTTTTATCGAATGCAAGACTATTTAAGATTAATTTATTAAAAAATTCGGATAATATCTGTGAAATCTTTTTATGGGAGTGAGAAGTTTCCATTCTGAGAAAAATTCGTCTTTTGGCGCGAAAGCGAAAGTAGCGAGTCTGAGCGTGGGCGCGCTCGCTTCATCCAATCGGAATCGCTGCCCCGAAAAACGCATAAATTGAAAAGAACGGAACTCGCGCGCGACGCTTTTTTATATTTACTCTGAGAAAATAAGAAATTCCTTTACGAAGATAAACAGTAGCACTACAGTAGGTTTTATAATTCGATTTGGAAACTTATTTTTATAGGCGATTAAAATAGATTTTTTAAAATATTGATTTACTAACGAATTTCGGCTCAAATATGAAAATGTGATTCATTCCTACTTTCGTGACAGTAAATCCGAGAAAAATTCGTAATATTTGATTGTTTAGTGATGTCATCGAATCGCGGAGCGTTGAGCGCGCAGTCGGCGAAGAACGGGGAAGAGAAGGAGGCGCAGAAAGCGGCGAGAAGGTTAAAACTTGACCAGTTCAAAAAAGCGAAGGAGCAAAAACGCAAGGAAGACCTAGGTAAGCACTGAATGCTTCTAGAACGCGCTTTCTACAATTATTATTTCAGCTTTGCGCCCCGCTTGGAAGCCAGCTGGAAAGGCACCGGGAATTCCGACCTTTCGCGAGAAGGGGCCCGTTACTCGCAGCATGACGAAGAATGCAGTCAGCGCGCCCAATCTGATGAAAGGCCTAGAGCTGGACAGGAAGGTCGCCAAGGCGAATGGAAAGAAAGTCCAGAGCCCAGCGACTTCGCCGCGCAGCACAGAGGCGAACAAAGAAAATGCAGAGCCGAGGAAGAAGCGATCCTCCCTGCCGCAGACGGATAGCAAACGCGCTTCCCTGCCACCAGCGACTGAGAAGGCCAAGACGAGCCTGGAGCTGCCCAAGCCGCAGATAAAAAGAGCGATGAGAAAAAGAGCGATTCGGCTGTTCCTGTGCCGTCTGGGCTCACTCCGATACGCCGATCGCTAGAAAAAGTCATCATCGAGGATAATCAAAGCGATTTGGAAAAGAGTGAGTCTCAAATTTGCATTTTCCCCGAATAATAATACATTTTAGAGCTGAATCTAAAATATTGGCGCGAGTACCAATGCGACCAGAAAATGATGATAGAAACTGCACTCAATAAGCTCAAGGAAATAAACAGTTCTAACATTGCGTAAGTGGAAATGTTTTTAGCGCATGAAGTAACGAGTTTTATTCAGCCCTTTCTGGGAAGAGCAGCTTCGTGTCGTTGTCGCAGAGGGCGAGCTACTTGCTGGGCGAAAATCGCGGCTTCACAAATTCAGAATCATGATTGAGAAGCCGGAAGATGTCGAAGGTGGTTTAGGCATTGCCACGGAAGACGATCTCAAGGTAATATTTTTCTTCGCTTTCTCCTTGGATAACAACTCTTTATAGTCGTACTGGGAAGCACAGATCGGCCCAGTCGTTACCGACTGGAGCGCCAAGTCGAACTGGCTTCTCCGCGCGTCAAAGCTCAACTTCCCGGAGACAGAAAAAGACTCCATGCCCAAGCCCAACATCGGCCAGTCGCCAGCCAAGCCACGGGTCAAGCCCATCGACCATTTAGGTCGAAGAGAGTCGGAAAAGGACCCAGAAAAGGTAACACATCTTTTTTCCAACTAAACTTATGTTCTTCTAGGCCGCTCTCGCCGCGAAAAAGAAAGCAGAGCAAAAAGAAAAAGCTCTTGCAGTGAAAAAGGTAAATTTCTAAAGCACTAAAGCGTGCAAGAACTAACTTAATTTTCTAGGCTGCAGAGGAGAGACGCAGAAAGATGAAAGAAATGATGGCGGAAAAACGTCGTCAACTTTCATCGACTGCAAGCGACACGCAGTAAAAAAGCATCTCGACTCTGTAACTCACTATTTTTCTCACATGTATATATCGGTCACTTATTTCCATTCCACATCACGAACTGCCTCTTTCACTACAAACAAGAGCCATCAAAAATACGTCCCAAGTCTATATTTTATGCAGGCAGGCATTGAGTTGTTCAGTTGTGATGTTTTATTATCGAGAAAGAATTTATACTCCAGTTAGGTAGTTGAGATCGATGTAGTAGAGAAGGCCGGCCGTTCCTCCGACAAGAGCCGCATTGTAATCTAAAGTTTATCGTTGCGCATGTGAAATTTTATCGGTCTTACCCAGCGTGACTTCGCTTTGTTGATGATTTTTCCTGTCGTTTATGAAGGAGTCAAAGCGATCAGGTCCTCCAACAAGCGCCCCAAAAAGTATCCATGGATTCGGGCTCATTTTGTCGTCGGCAACATCCCAGCCGCACTCTTGCGGCGAAACAGGGCAGCTAGAAGATCTGAAAAATTGCGTTATAAATCACTCGATAAAATAATTCACCTGTGATGAGGTTTTGTCGGATAGTTCTTTCCAAAGCCGACTATGTAGCTTCTTCCGCCCTCGCCATAGATGTAGAACATTTGCTTCTTTGCGAAGTCAAGAAGATCGTCTGAATTGTCGAGGTCGAGTTTCGTTGAAACAAAGGCCAGAAAAGCATGATTTGCTGCGTGTCTAAGAGGTCCCCACTCATTGATGAAGATCAACCCTTTTGGGGTGTATTTAGCTGAAGAAATTGTCTTCCGAAGTCTACTGAGAGATTCGCGCGCAAGCTCTTCGTCCTTCGTCAGTCTGGCCAAAAGCAAACGGACACCTGGCCATTTGTTGTCCCAGTCGATTGGTTTTCTGTTCAACTGGCCTGATTTTTTGTAGAAGGCCATCGAAGCTGTTAGCATGACGTTATCGGAGGTAGCGCCGAATAGCCAGATCGCCGCCCATGCGAGCTCATCTTCATAGCCCTCCCAGCTTCTGTAGAAGTCGTAAACCTTGAAATTTATACATTTAGTTAGTAAAACAAAGCAATACCTTAGGAATGGAGTCATGATAGCTGCCCCGATATGTATCCGCAAATTCAAACAACTCCAGAGCATGTTGCAAGCACAAATCAGCGTAATCTTCTTGCTCCGCCCAACGGAAAACAAGATGCGCTGCTGCAAGTGCTGCACTTGCTTCTGCGGCTAATTCAGATCCAGGGTTTTCAGCGTCAATTATAAAAGTTGGTGTTTTTGGCGATGTTGGATCTTCTGGGCGCATCCATTTCTTATGGTCCAAATGAGGGTCACCGACGAGTCCGACAAGCTCGAATTTAGAAATATGCGCCTTGATTAGGAAATCAGTTCCCCATTTTAGCTCGCGAAGTATCTTCTCATACTCGCCAGCTGCTACAAACGCGTCCTTGAACTCGATGACGGACCAACTGAGCATCGTAATAGTGTACGCAAGAGGAAAGGTGAAGATAACGTTGTCTCCGGCATCGTACCATCCACCGACGAGATCTTTCTGAATGTCACAGCCGTGTTTTAGTCCAGCTATGCCTCTCCAAGGAACATCTCTCGAAGCAGTGGGGCCTACTCTTTGCGCTTTGTAAAAGTATCCTGACAAGCAAAGCACACGCTTTAAATCGTATTTGAATAAGTCTGGATCACTCTCAGCGCACTGAATGTTCGATTGTCTTGGTGCCATGGGAGGAAGGCCTCTTGGAATACTGCCTGTACATCTTGGTGAGTAAGGATAGCTCATAATATCGTTCTCAAGTTCTCCTTGCATTTTTCCTATGAGCTGTTTTACATCTCGATCTTTAGATAGTTGATCTCTATGATTGAAGTTTCCACCCGAGTTTTGAATTTGAAATAATTGACTCTTGTCATTTGGTCTAAGACTGCCTGTGGACCCAGATAGTCCTGCCTGGCCCATAACAGACATAGCCGCTAAGTTAGTAGCAGCGCCGTCGCAATAGACAACAATTGCGGAAATGTCCTCGTGATTCGGCGTTGGCGAGAGCGTGTTGATGTCGAAATCCATGTTACTGTTGTAGGAATATCCCGGCTTCTTTTGAATTGCCAAAGAGAAGGGTTGTCAGAAGGAATCGCCTGAAATGTCCAGACTTCTATGTTGTGCACGGGCACTGTAAACTGGACGTTTATTTCGAAATCTTGGCTTGGTGGTTGACCAACAGTGAGCTCAATTTTGGCCGATACTCCAGACATTCCAGTTTCTTCTGTGTACCAACTGTTCAATCGGATAAACTCTCCCATGATTTGGTTGGCGCAGATATCATTTCCACCTGAACTCGGAGGGCCAACAGCGATGTTTTCACTTTGATAAGAAACTGGATTATTCGTCGGAATTACAAAGAAGTCGTCTTCAACTTCTGCTTCTTGAGGCGCTTCCATCATTTTCTTGCGTTGTTGAAGAAGTTCCATCAGGCTCATTTTTTTCGTCGTTGTCGTGGGCTTAGGAGTTGTCGTTGTCGGACGTGCAGTTGTACGAGCATAACTTTCCGCAGCGAACATTTGGCTACTGGATGATACTGGCATTGCACCGTTGCAAATGTTCTCCCCATCGACGCAGGAGCTTTGAAGTTTCCTATCGTAGTAGATGACACTTCCGGACTGCGGCTTTGCCGAGTAGACAGGCAAATCAGAGATAACGAAGCCGAATTTCGGTAACGTCGGTCCCTCAGCTTTTCAAGAGTCAACTTTAAATTCAAATAAGTCAATAAGATTGACAGTTAAAACTTTTTTTAAATGAGTTGGCCCATTTTTGAATGTCTCGATTTCGACGAAAAAAGAAGAGTTTTTCCATCGTCAGAATGTTTCACAAATCGTGCATTCCAAACTTGCACATTTCCAGGGTAAATCTTTTCCGGAAAACTTACTGCTACGTTCCAATCATCGTTTATCATGGACAGATCGACGTTTACTGATGCCATAAACCCTTTTTACGCTTTAGAAAATACGAACTCTTATTCTGATAATTTTCGATAAGGGCGTACACCATTTTTCGGCTTAAATTTTTTTTTTAATTTTATCAGTCCTTAATCACTTTTTTTATCGAATTTTCTGAAAGCAATCCTGTATCCCACTTATCAACGATCGAGTAAACGCCGATTTTCGAAGGATCTCCACAAGCGAGTAGATTGACTCGCTCAACACTTTGCTGCTGCTCTTGAGCATTGTCAAAATTAGCAGTAATGGAACCACCGCCGAAAGGAATCGTCGGAATTCCAACTTTTGCCGGCGGTGGTTTGTTAATCAGCGTGTTGATCTGGTCTTGTTGAGCTTGAAGGAGCTCGATTTGACGGGCGAGAGTTGCCTTAGAAGCTTTGGTAAACCTTACTGTGCTAAGTTTACTGTCTATACCTGTAATGAAGAACCGACGTTGGCTTTATTATTCGAGTTGAATGAGACTCCATTTCTTTCAATAGTGCTAGGCTGACGAGCTTCAAAGCCACCGATATTAACATTATTAGGGCGCTTTGCAGGTTTTGGTTTTGGCGGTGATGGTGGCGTCCCTCCAGGATAAAATACTTGCCGTCCAGCCTTAGTTGTTTCCGGCTGACGAGTTGGAGCCACCATTACTCGTCCATCACGACCTAGTTGGCCGTGTCCTTCTCGAATGCACTCTGCCGGGTGCTCGTTGAACTTGCACTTGATTCCTGCTTTCAAACGAACGCATCTGCATGTGATAGTGATGTCTCGCCCAGTCTAAATTGATTTTCTCCACCAAATACTATTCAATCAGATCATACCTTTATGAAACCTGGTTCACAAGACGTCGTACACTTGTCCCCATTCTTTCTACCTCTTGGACAGACCATGCGAGTCCCTTCTGGCAACTCGGGCGGCTCGCATTTCGGAATTTGTGAGCGAACCTGCGCCAGTGTGAGGAAACACACAGGCAGCAGACGCATTATTCTCTTATGTGCACGATTTCGGAGTGAATACCATTTCCATTTTTTCTTCTGATTTATTTCGCCGTGAAAGTGCCACAGGGCATTTCAGTTAGATTATTCTAGCACTGAAATTTTGTTCATTTCAATTGGTTCTTATTTGCTTGAAATTACTTGGTATCTCGAATCGTATGTTCTTTAAAAAAACAACCGTAAAAGAACTAACCGCTCTTAACCTTGTTTTCTGGCAAAATATAAGCGATAAATTCACCGAGCTGGACTCCGGTCCAATCTTATCGTATGTTTTGGTGTCTCAATTTGTGTACATTTTGAGATAGCAGCCAGTATATAATTCAACTCAGTGCCAGACAGAGCATCAAAAAAGAGCCTCCCAGAAAATCTGAAAGTATGAAATTTTTGGCGAGTGTTATCTCCTCCGCTTTTGCTTCCCACTACCGAGCAGGTTCCTATCAGTACGCCGCTGGAACCGGTGAGATGTCCGTCACTCGAACGATGGCTTGGCGACGATCAATGGACGGCTACGGCAGCGGCTGCACTCAGAACGACGTCGACAACCAGGTAGAGAGTGCTCAAATGATCGCTGAGCAGGTTCACTCTTACCCAGACGGAACACTCTTGATCGACGCTGCTAACAACGGCACGAGCGGCACATATGTCGTTTCCGAAATTGAAACGGCAGCGTCCTTGGATGTCAACTCTCACTACTGCTTTGGATCGATTGACGAAGAGTTCTCAATAACTCAGCCGTTCACTCAGACCTCTTCCGGCTGCTGCACAATCTCCATGCAGGACGACGACGGCAACAGTTTCAACGGAAACTACATCTTCACTTCGACCGTTGCGGATGTTTCAAACAACTCACCGCGCTTCAACATACCCGCTGTATGGTACATCATGACCGGCTGCAGCGACCAGAGCCTCTATCTCTATCCAGTAGACCCCGATGGAGACAGCATCAAGTGTCGATGGGCAACGATGGCAGAAGGTGGCGCTTTGGCACGTGACAATGGCCGCTTTGACTCGTTAGTTCTTGATGCCGACCTGTGCAAAGTCACTTACGATCCCTTACAAGACACGTTTGCGTCAGGAATCAAACCCATCGCGATTCAAGTCGAAGATTTCGATGCCGACGGAAATCTAAGGAGTTCAATGCCTGCTCAATTCATGGCAACAGTGTGGACTCCTGGAATGCCGACCAGCAAGAAAGAAAAACGACTGATGGAGCAGAGCGGTTTCCAACTTTTTACTGGACTCTTTGGAGACAATGAAGAAGACCACCATGACGATTTCCATTCTCGTGGCCGTCGTCAGGTTAGCGATCCCTCCAGCGAACCAGCTCATTGTGAAGGCCTTCCTACATTCACTGGTGACAGTCCGAAGAACGGAGAAGTCTACAGCTTCTACGGTTCCTGGTCGATGAGCTGGTATTCAGAGTACAGTACTGGCTTCGGCACATTTGTTGACATGGATCGCATCATGTTCAACGGACCTGCAGGAATGACCTGCACGACTGTCGACACCTCAACTGGACAATCTGACTGTACTTGGACGCCAACTGCGGATCAATTTGGAAAGGAACACGATCTCTGTGCAATCGCATATGATCCAATTGGCCGAAACAGCGAGCGCGTCTGCATCAAACTCATTGCTCAAGCCGCCAAAGTCAATGCCAATTGGTGGCTGTCCGCTTGGGCGTCAGGATTCGCATCTTTCTTTGGTGCAGGAGGAGTGTCTGGAGACGCAGCAGCCGCCACTGCAAGTGCTCTTTGGAATTACGGCTGCACAGGACGTGGCGAGCTCGAGCCATTCCGTAAAAATGCGGGTAAGATCGTTGACGATGTTGACCTGGCAATAAATGCTTGGAAAAAGTGCGCTCGTTGCTCGGTCGACATCTTCCAACCAGGCTCACTGATCTCGTCGCTTTGGGAATATCCAGAACCAACATCGTTCGTCTGTGACGCCTCTTCTCCTTTTGAGAAGGCCATTTGCGAATGCGACAAGGCGCTCGCCAACGTTCTTGGAACCATTGGTGCTCCTGACGTTAATTTCATGGACTACGACGAGTCTCTTTGTGCCCCCACCTCTAGCTCGACAATAGGTAAGATCTTCAAAAAGCAATGAAGATAATGAAGATTTATAATTCAGATCACACGCCAATGTGCTGTCTTACAGACCTTGGCAGTTTCCAAATGTACTCTATCCCATCGGAAGTTTGCTGCGAATCGAATCAACTCAGGCCTGCAGGAACCTGCTCGATAGAAGAAGGAATCGCTTACTCTAGAACTATCCCTTTTTACTAATTCCAAACCGTTAACTGTAAAATTTACTAACTCCCATCAAGAATAAATTAAATTTGGTCCAAGGATAACGCCACGTTTCTTTCTAGTACTTGAAACTAAAATTGCCGCCGGGGCTTTTTCCGAACAATGATTTCTCTTTTTAAAAAAAAAGTTCAATAAGTTAGAGTCTAACTTAGACTTTTCTTGACTTGAGAGGCCGCAATCCCCGAAAGAGAAATCCAATATTCCCCATTGATGATTATTTAGAGCGAGGTAAGACGCGATTTTTATTTATTTTCAAATTGACCTCAGAATCTGTCACCGTCTTAAATAATCTATGAATTGAGTTGAAAGTTATGCTTCTCTTATGAGCTCAAAGTGTACCACCGAAGTTGCATTATATAATCTCCAGCGAGAGACTAATCTCTTGAATTTAAAATACATACACTTGCTCAGAGAATAGAGAGCTTTTTCGCTTCAAGCATTATTCGACGTAAAATATACCTACTTACTTGCTTAGTCCCGCTTTCAAGTAGGTTACACCAACATGTGAATCGGCAGTAGAAGGCAGTAGAAGAATATTATATACTTCAAATTTGAATTGCAGAAGACGAGAATTGTTAAAACGCGAGAGAGAAGTTCGATTATAATTGCTTCAACGGTAATCAGCTTTGATGGGGGAAATTATAATGAGAGGATTTAATTATAATTTGCTTTGCATTTAAAAGGCTGAAAAGAGGAACTTTAGCTTTACTGAAAGAAGCCGCAATTCCCCGATGGGGACACCTAAACTCCGATAAACATGAAAACGTTTTAGATCTTTTATTTGCACTGCTGGTGACGATTTTTTGGTTTTACGATTGACGCGCAGTTAGAAAATGATCGCTGTATTTTCAGTACCGGACTGAGAGACAGAGAGAGAGAAAAGAAAATAGAGAACCAGCGCAAAAACTTTCCTCGTTCATTATCAGTCCGGAGCAGTCTTATTGCTCGGGAAAGCTAGAACTCAGGAAAATGAGACGACAAATATTAAAGACATCGACAAAACGAAGCTATGCGAATGCTCTTTCTATTACTTGACGGAACAGATTTAAATATTAATGAAAAAAGCTCGTTTTAATTAAGAAAATTTGCTTGAAACTTAAGTCGAATTAGTGTCTCGGTCAATTCATAAAGTGCCTAATTCATACTTTCTTGGAGTGTTAAAATCTATTCCAAAGTTTTATGAGGAGAAAAACAAGGAAGAAGAAGCTATTATGGAAAGAGCATTGTGCGAGGAACTCTGTTTGCTGCAGCCAGATGAACCTTGCAGTATGTTACAGTATCTGCTAAAGACTGTTAATGTAATTCTAGATTGTGACTCCGGCGGCAATGGGGATGGTCCGGAGGTTCTGTTAATGGCTTTCGAATTTAATTCGAAGTTAATGTCGGATGGTTTCTATTGATTCGAACTGACATTTCGCGGGCAAAAGCGTTTTTAGATCGCACACTCATATTCTCCTCCTTTGAATTTACTTCAGTAGACTCGTAAATTTATTAAATTTGAAAGCTAAAATAAGGCTAGCAACGATTTCAAGCTAAAAAATTGGACGATCATGTTCAGGTACGCTCCTTTAAGAAATAGCTTTTCGGTTACAAAGGGAGTTTAGCTGTGCTCTAGGCATTATCTTGAACGGAATGGATACTTGATCTGACAAATCTCGCATTCTTTAAAAACATGTTAGTATCCGAAGAGAAGGAATAATCCTCATCGTCACGTTTTCAACGACGCGAAAGAACGCCGCGGACTTTCTCGTGACTCTACTGACAATCGCCGATCTTCTTTTAATCAGAGATTTTTAAAATAACTATGTTTATTAAACATTGTATAACAACTTGTTTGAGCATAGAATATAAATCTCGCTGGCAGTCGCGCATACGCTCTGCCTGTATCCACCTTGGCGTGTAATACAAGAAGAAAGCTTTTCAGATTCGAACGGCATTTTGGATAAAGCGTGGTGCAAGTTTAAAAATACGGGAAGAGAGTTCTTCCTCACTGTGTCGATACTCGTCATCACAGCTGTTGCTTTCGACCGATATCACATTCTACATCGCGTCAGCCTTGGCCAGTCCCGTCCTGCTCCCAGGATAGCCTTGCTCTCCATCATCATTCTCGCCTGGTCGCTTTTATGCTCTGCGCCTCTGATGTATTTTTCCTCACTCACGAAAGTCATCAATGCCGAAGGAAATGAAACCTATTCTTGTATAAAAGTTTGGACTGCTCACACCCTTGAAGATTGCAGCTTCTTTTCTACATTTTTAGCTGAAGATTCTAACGCCACGAAGTTGCATTTAGAATCACAGGTACATGATGAATTATGCCGTAATATGAAATAATATAATTAAGTGCAAAGAGTACTCCCCAGACATCGAGTCCAGGGTTCGGTATTTTGAATTCGTCGAAAAATTCGCCAATACACGCAGCGAATATGCTCTTTTCTTAAGAGAATGAGCGATTGTTCGCGAATCGCCTATTCGGGCGAATATTCGCTCGAAATTGAGCGTACAGCCCTGGATTGGCTGAACTCCAGGGCCGCGGGCGAGAAAAGGGTGGCGCCCGCGAGCTATAAGGTTATTTGGGCGGTGAAAATAAAATTATAGGCTGCGCAACGTCAAAGCCCGACCAATCAGAGCGCGCGGCAAAGCGAATATTTGAGAAATTCGCTGAATTTCTGAAAAATTCTCCGAGAAAATTCGTTTTCATTCGTTTTGCATATTCGCTCATTAGAGAATATTCGTAAACGAATAAATAGAAATTCAAATGAAAAACGAATAATTTTGCGAATTCAAAATACCGAACCCTGATCGAGTCGCTAAGCAAATGTCTTTTACCGACTTCCGTTGGAGAAACCACCCATTACATAGCGCGATTCATTTTTGGTTTTTGCCTACCTGCTGCGCTTACAGGTGCACAGATACCAGCAGCCTTGTGTTACTACTAGTTCAGTGTTCTTTTACTGCAAAATTGGACAAAAGATTCGACAGAGCGAAACGATGCTTTCGTCGATCGGGAATCAATCTCGGAGCAACTCAAAGACAGTTTCGAGGAATATAGCGATTTTCCTTCTTGCCACTCTTCTGGGTTCTGCCCCGTGCCTGCTCTTCTATTTCATTCGTTTAACCAAGATCGATTTCGGCGTTGATTTTTGCCACAAGCTGATTTATGTGAAAGACTGGTTCCTTATTTCCTGTCCAATGATAAATGCTATTATATATTCTTTCCTTGGGAGAAAGTTCAGAAGAGACCTAGTGGTAAGAAATCAACAAGGAGAACAGAATAATTGGATGCGTTCAGCGAGTGTTCTGCAAAAAGTACGTTCCTGCTGGGGACGCGAGCAGCTCGAAGAAATCTGCACGAACGAAAAACACTAATCTCGACAGTTGCAGAATATCAGATGCGGAGATTTCTCTTATTGCTACGAGTTTGAAACGTTAACTTTCTAGTCTTTGATTTGAGAAACGTTCTCTTTTTCAAACTGAGGGTGAAGAACAGACTTCGATCTCCACAGCGCCGACTATGCAATCTCTCAAAATTGTTAGATAAAGTTAAATAGGTTCTTATTTTTTATATCGTTTCTGATTATTAAAGTAATTAGTCAATCCATTTGCTAATTTTGCTTTCAGTGAAACAAAGTAGATCAGCAGGTTCAGACTCTCATGCATACTGAAGTCGCTTTAGCATTTTACAAGTGCAGATTTATTATCTCCGCAGTTAGTGAATAGCCTTCTTGGCCTCCTCCTTGGCTCGGAGCTTTTCCATCTTGGCGATTCGGTTGTTCGTTCGCTGAGACATGATCTGTCCGCCCCAGGTCTTTCGGATCATATCAGCTCGCTCCATGTAGTTGGTGTTGACGGACTCAACAATCTTGGCGAGAGCATTCTTGTCCTCAGCATTGACATCGGTGAGAGCGACGCAAGAAGCGGTCTTGAGGCCAACAAGTCGACCAAGTCGAGCTTTTCCCTTGAACGGAGTAAATATATGGATTTGTAAATCTAAACCACCTTGACGATACAGTACTGGACGCCCATCTTTCGGCAGAGGGTAGGGAGGAAGAGGACGATTTCGAGGGGATCGACATCGTGAGCAATAACGACGAGCGAAGCCTTCTTCTTCTCAACGGCGGTAACAACTCGGTTAACACCAACAGAGAGGACATTGGTTCGCTTGAAGGCGGGCTCGTCAGCCTTACCGGCGGCCCTAGAAACGAAATCATGATTTTGGTAACTTTGAATTCTTCGTACTTGGCCTCAGCTCGAGCCAAGAGTCGAGCTTTCTTTTCGCCCTTGCTCTCTGGTCGATACTTCTCAGCAAGCTTGAAGAAAGCAGTGGCAGTTTGGCGGTCGAGGGTCTGGCTAAACTGGTTGACCATTGGTGGGACCTTGAGTCGCTTCTGGAGGACAGCCCGCTGTCGCTGAAGTCGAACGTATTTGGGCCACTTGACGAAGCGGGTCAGATCTCGCTTGGGCTGGACAGTTCCGCCGATGCCGAAGTTCTTTGGTCGCTTCTCGGAAAGGGGGTTCTCCACCTTCTTGGTCTTCTGCTTCTTGACCAAAGAAGGGGCAGCGGCGACGCGCTTAGCTTTGGAAGCCTTCGATCCTTTCGCCTGAATTAAAAATATAGCCTTCTATCCGACCGTAACATCATACAACAACATCAGCTACGAATACAAAAAGATAACTCTGAGAATATCCCCTAGCAACTCAAATCATAACCACGAGAAAACTCACCATTGCTGCTTAGAAAATTATCGAATCCAAATTTCTAAAAAAGACTGTAACTCACTGAACTATCTAATAGAATAAATAGCACAGCAGCCATACGGCTCGTACAAGTCATATGCATTTCCCCGAGGAAACGATTGGGGATTTGCTTAAAATTACTCTTTTTTTTCTCTTTCATCCCTTGCGTGAGGGTCACCTGATGCGTGTGTGCAAATAGATCTGGAGATTTTGCCATGCAAAGTTGGAGTGATAAGACCTGGATTAGTAAGTTGCGCGCCGTTCAAAATTCTCGAAAGAATCTTTGGCATATTGATAAAAATTCTCTCTCTTGCCTAGAACATTTTAAAAATGCGAAAAGTGTTCTTGGAATATTTGCGGTTGTGAGAGCTTTATTATTACAGATTTCCTTTTGTATTAGGAGTTCGAAGTCTACGTTTGCGTTGCGAGATTTCGGTTCGCCTCCAATCGTATTCAGATGGATTCCAAGGTTTTCGGTAGATTTCGAATTGCTCTTTTCGCGCTCTTCTGGATTCCATATCGTCAAGTTTCATTAAACGTTCATTTTCCGTGAGATCCGAATCGACTAAGCTCTCGTTCTTGATTGCTTCCTAAAACGATAAAAAATGGGCGACAGGCGAATATGTTGATAGAACCTTCATTTTGGACGGCATTTCGACAAGTTTGTAACTTCTTACTTCAATTGCAACGCCAGGCGGAACTTGCGACTCAATATAATAAAGTAGAATTTCCCTTGTACTTTCTGTCAAATATTGAAGATGAACAACCTAAGAATAAATGCTGGTTAAGAGCTCTGAAAAAGTTCATCGCACCTTTTTGTAAGTACGCGATTCATACTCGATTTTGTGCTTTCCATAGATAAAAGGAGACTTGTTCACTAGCCATTTATCGCCGTGGCAAAGTGGTACCGTAAAGCCAGCGAAATCGACATCTTTCAGGGCTTGATTTTTGCTTGCAGAATTTCGAAATTCAATTAGCCACGATTCCAATTAGAATTTGTTTCATTCGATTAATACGAGCCCTTTCCTAACTCATTAGCGACCATTTTAATAAACTCGCCATAAGAATCAAGAATCCGATCCGAATGAGCGGGTAAAAACTGGGTTCGCTAATTGTTCAAATAACTGACATCAAGGAAGAGACAAATGATCAAAACTTCAAGTTGTAGTTTTGCGAAGAAAGGGAAAATGAAAGTTTTAAAACCCGAAATCGACGGGAAAATCCCTCGGGAAATCAAATATAACTCCTCGTTTTTTCAATTTTTTGCGAACCCGAATCAAGCATGATATCAACTCCGCGGTACAGCGTCTCGTCCTCCTCCGTCATTTTGATTTCGTCTTGTGAGAACGCGCTGAAAGTGATAAGGCGATTATTTACGTTTCGTTTATTTCATTATTCGTTCACTCGCATATTTCTTCCGTTGTAAATTGGCAGAGCATTTTGATTCCCACAAACTGTTGCATACAGATGCTTGATTATTGATATGCGTTAGGAAGTGCGCTGGCGTTGACCTTGAATTCTCCCCCGAGAGCTGCTGAATCGTCAAAACTCAGTAGTAGCGTGGTCAACTCTGGCTCGTAGCGCCGGGGCGCTCAGCCGGGGGCCGCGATCCATTCAAAATACTCATTCTCGCAATGAGTGGTAAAAATCAAAATAGAAGCGTAGTTGCGCATATTGCCTTTTTGCATTATCCCCACTGTATTATTGCGCCTGTATCGATCCCCGTTTTTTGGCGCGGGGAGGAGTCTGAAGCGACACCCCTTCGGGCCCGAATACCCTTTTTTACTTTTTTTAAACTGGCTAATCTAGCCCGCTTCGACCCCCTTTTTCGCTCCGGGCTTGGACTGGTCAAGTAGCGTTCTGTATCTTTCGAAAAATGCGGCCTGAAAATAGCGCATTCAACAAACGCCAATACTGGCTCTAGTAACAAGAAATAGAAGCGATGATTCATTAATTCATCATCAATTAAACAATCCAAAATTGTAAATTTAATTTTTAAATAATTGATTAGCTATTATTAATTTAAGTTAGCAAAAAAACATTCTGTAACAAAGTCCATTTTTTCTCTCGAGGTTCTCGATTCCGTTCTGACTCTCTTTCTTTCTCTCGAAGTTAACCGGTAAAAAGTTTATGCGTGGGCGGGCGAATGGACCGAGGTTGAGCTAGGGTAGAATTGTCCCGACCGAACGAAGCTGTTCCGGTCGCAGATATTTCGACCCTCACTCAACTAAACCCGGTTAAATTTCAAAATCACCATCTCAGAGCTGTATTTGTTTTCGCGTTTCTCTAGACAACAAAAAGAAAAATAGTACAACACTGGTGCAAATCAGACTTGAATTCACTCGAAAATGCGGAAATGAGATTTTTTCAAAATCTTGATTTCTTTATTTTCGAGTGCGTCTGGTGGCTGTGTGTGAGCCGATCTGCTCACCGAGTGTACTCTGAGTTTGCTAGGAAATGTGTCGCTAATATTGGCGACGGGCCTCCAAGCGGCGCGTGATTGGACGCTCCCCGAGTGGGTGGCAAGAGCGCTCCCTCGGAGAATCGAGCTCCAAATCGGCGACGCTTTTCCTACCGAGACGGGGATGACTTGGTTCGCTCCGCCCAAACAAAAATCTTTTTAATAATAAATTAACATCGCTCTTTCCCCAATAAAAATAAACTCTTTGACCAGTAGAACTTGCCTCCTCCAACACCACTGACTCATAACAGTCTTTCAGAAAATTATTTTCAATAAAAATCATTTTAAAAATTTTAAAAATTCTCTTCGATAATCAAATTAATTCATGTCAAAATTAACTCATTTTTCATTAAAAATCTAGTTATTTCCTGGAAACCAACAAGTTAGGTTTCTTCATGAAAATGAACTTATTATAGTGAATAGAATGGATACGTAAAGAAATGATAAGGCAAAAAGAATAAGCTTTGAGATCGTATTTTTGAGGAAATGAAATGGAACTTTTGAGTCTCCAAAAACTTCTTTTGAAAACATTTTTTTGCGAACTTCGAAATTGATGTTTAAAATTAAACCTTGGCTGCTTTAATTTTAACGAAAAAAGGCAATAAAAAGTTTCGTCAATTGAAATCACAATTTATCTTTTTTATGGTACGTCGATAAGAATGAAGACAGTGCATTGTAAAGTCATATTGATAAGAACTTCAAAGGTAGACTTGCGCGGGAAATGGGAATTTACCGTTACGCCGTTCTGATTTACTGGTTCGGTTGAGTGCCCTTGCTAGGATTTCTCAGCCTTTTTTCGGCGAGCGTTTCCCTAGTGCGATGAGCAGATGGTGGTTCGATCATGCTAGGATTTCGGCGCGGATTTTAGCTGCCGATTTCCTAGCTGCCGATTGAGGTCAGCGCACCCGCTGCGCCTCTTTCAACCCGATTTCAACCCCCTTGCCTATCGATGTTTTCGATCTAACAAACAAAAACAACAAATTTCATACTTCAACTTCAACCTGTTCGACCAGTTTCTCAAGTACACTCAATATTTAAATTTTAAATCTATACTTTTATTTCATAAGAACTCAAAGTCCGAAGCCCGACGTATTTCATATCAGTGGAAATTATATAACCCAGAAACAAAGACGCTGAGTTGATAAGAATATGACGGTGGTATTTTGATTTTACGTCGGCTGTTTTGACGAGTCAAAATTGTTGTTTCCCACTAGAAGGATAGACAGTCTATCTGGCAGACAAGACCCAGAAAGAAGATCCCTATTCCATTTGAACTTTGCTCAGGCCTGTGGAAATCATGGAAGAAAATATACGAGTGCATTACTGTTGCAAGGGTTTACCTCTTTCGCTGAGCAAGGGATACGAGTTGCTCTTCTCGGGAAACAGCTGGGCTACATTGAAATGTTCTTGCGCTGGCAAAGTTCTTGCTCAAACGATGTGCCTTCACTCGGGGCAAACTGCGAGTCCGAAACATTTTGTCTTAAATTTCGCTGTTTTAGAAAATTCTTTCTTTCGAACTTCGAATTACAGAAAGTCGGTTACATAAAGTGCCTTCTCAAATGGTATCCCACCAGTAAAATAATTAATGCCAGTAATCATTTCAAAGTAAGCAAGGGATGATTTATCAATCCGCGATTCAATAAACCCTGAGAAAGTTTACCACGGTGCCATAAATAAGGTCTTGTTTAGCTTTGGCACGCATCGCTGCAGAATATTGGAGAGCTACTACTTGGCGCGCCGAGCAGAACGCAATATTTCCGTTGTTTAGGAGTGCTCTGGACCTGCAGCACAAGTTGCGGCGTTTCAAAGGGAATCATTGAATCGCCCGCACCTGCTTTTTTATTCTGATATTCCTTCGCTGCGAGAAAATCAAGGAAAATAAACGTTTTTGGATTTTGCACGATCGGTTGGTTTATTGGTGAGATTGGCACGATTTGAACCCATAAAGCAGTATCCAATAATTGCGGCGAGAGCGCGAGGAAGGGTCAAGGGAGGTCTTCCGTTTGAAACTAGAAAATATAGAGGTCTGTTGATTTCCTTCAAAGGCGTCCTTGCTCCTCCCATCGCGCGCGTTTTCGATAATTACAGAGGGCAATCATCAAATATGCCGTTACCGTTTCGCTTAGTCCATATATAAATATATGATATCCTGATACAGAATTTGTGCACAATAATACAGTATAATCGAAGTAGAATTAACAAATGTGTTTTTATAAAGAAAATAAATAAGAAAAAGAAATCTGCCGAGGTAATTGTTGAATAAAGTGCAATTTACAAAGGAGTTACTTGTAGATAGTTAGAAAGAAAAAACTCTTATAAATTCCAAAAAGCGAGAGAGAGAAGGAGAGCAACGCAAAGGGTTCATTCGGGCTCGGAAATCAAGGAGGACTCGCACGGGAAGTCGGGAGAAGCTATTGAGATAGAAGATATACTATTAGATTATATTAAGAAATATACAATATTATATAATGTACATAATAGACTCCTCAAAATTACTTTGAAAGTTGGAATCTCCAAGAAGGGAGTAAAATTTCTATTTTGGCGTTTTACGAAAAGCGGGAGATAAATTGCGATTTCCCGCCGCGCAAAAACAGCGGATTTTCTGTTTTAGAAGTGAGAAGATTTCACGCTTCGCCAGTCACATGACCTAAACCGTTTGCCACATGATCTGTGAGTACTTTAGAATAAAATCGGTAATCGAGTATTTCCAATCTTTTCGAGCCAGAATGGAAACACAAAGTGTTCAAAACTTAAAGTCTTTATTAAATCAATAATGAAGCTGCGCAATAAAGGGAAATATATACTGTGAGTAAAAAAAAAGAAGAAACAAAATAGTAACATTTGTGAAATTTTTATTTCGGCGTTTATAAGAGTTCTACCTGACAAATAAAGTCGTTGTAAATAGTTAAAGTTGGTTCGATATTCCTGAATTTGAACTTAAAATGTGAAGGTTGAACTCTTTTAATTTCTGCTATACGAAAGAGCTGATTGAAACTGGTTTAAATGGTGTGTAGTTCGTTAAATGGCAGGAAGTAATAGAAAACACGAAATTCTACAGAATTCTGGACCTCACAAGGAACACAAAATCAAATCGCACTCTCTTTGGAATCGAAGAGCGTTTTTTTCATTTTGAGCATTTTTGAAATCAAGGAGGAGAAATTATTTTTACCCTCGGCGTGCCGAAATGGAAGTCATCTCGGTGGGAATGTACGCCTTATAATTTTGAAAGTTTAGAAGGAGAAAATACACTTTACTTTTTATTTAATAGCTGATAAGAACAAATAACTGGCAGTTATGGATGGTCACTTTAAGTGGTCACCAAATATAATAAGAGTGGCTATCTTTTCTTGGTCGGATTCATTCGCTTACGTTTTCGAGGTTCACCGGGAGAAAAGTGACGAACTCGCTGTTTCTTGATGTCATCAAGGATCGCTCTCATCTAAAAAATAGCGATTCAAATCAAATGGCCTTTTTAAAGATGACTGTACCGTTGTGCCTTCCGGAGTGGCCGCAACTTCGAGAGGAATAGAAGAGAGAGATTCGTCTGGAGAAGGCAAACTCATTTGAGTTACCGTCTCGTGATTAGGATGAAAGGCACGATCCGTCAGAATGCGACCGCCACGACCGAGTCGCCGGCGGCAGAAACCTAACGTCCGGTGGTGTGTTGATAAGAGTCGATAGCCTTCATGGGGTTCGCCGTCTGAAAGTATTTTCGTTCGTGCACCACGGCATTAATTCTTTACCTTTGCTTTCCAAGCTCTTACTATCCCTTTCCTCCAAATAGAAGGCGCCAGGCTTAGCATTTTCGTGTTTGAAATCGAATTTGGAGTTAAAGGCGGGGTGACGCACTTCGGAGAATTTGGACGATTCTCCACCAGGTTTCTTCTTTTTGGGCTTGTATTTTTCGGTATACTTTTCCCTGGCACCCTTGCTAGGCAGTTCAGATTTTGCGCTTGTGTGTGCAATGCCCGGCGAGGAATCGTGAGTTGAGTACGCTTCGGAGTTGTTTTTGCTACTCGACTTCACCTTGATTTATTTAAAACTATTCAAGACTAACGAGTTACCTGGAATCCGTTGACTTTCTCGGGAACAATTTCCGGCTCCTGTGATCTTATGTACTCGTTAATGGTTTCATTGTTCCAATCACAAGAAGCAATCCGCTTATTTAGAATTGCGCACTCCTTGTCAACCAGTTCCGCTTTTTTGCGTTCTCGGTCTTTCATCAGAGCACACATGTTCAGCAAAGTCATTAGGTCCCGGCGTAGCTTCACCATTCGAGTGTATGACTAAATTTGTAGTAGGCAAACAGGAATCTCTTGTCGCAACTTACAATTTGGTCTCGTTGTTTGTTCCTACGCGTTTGTATTCTGTCGAGCCTCTTCCTGAAGCACAAGTAGGACTCGTTTGAATCAGGTTCCATCACAGGCTTTTCTCTCATAAGACGTAATTGTAGAGGGCCGTCGGATCTGCTGCGTTTCTAAAAAAATTGTTGATACAAGCTCTAAGATGGGAGCTAACCTTGACCCAGAATTGATGAACTGCTTCAGCATGGTCAGAATACTCGCCAATAATCCCTCTGCCCCAACTCCACTCTTTACAAAATGGAGGCAGTGGCCCTTGATGCTGCTCGCATTCTTCCAGCTGATCAATCATGTTTTCGAGCTCCTTGGGTTCAAGCTTTGGGTTTTCGAGAGATTTACAGAAGGCCTCATCTTCTTCGTCTAAACTGTACAGCGGCGGATTTTCTTCAAATATTCTCATTTCCTAAGAGACCGTTAGAAATTGAAATTGCGATAGAGAATTCTAGCGGTAACAATTCAACGATTAAGCGTACTTGTATGACGTAGCCTTGCTTCCATTTTCTCGTCATGAATCGAACATCTGAGTAAATATCCCTGTAATACTCTACTTTCGTTGGCTCGGGAGTAGGTATAAACTTTTTGCCACCGGACAACTATTAGACTCGTTAGTGTCTGCATCTAGCGAGAGGATATGATACCGTTTCCGTTGCAATGGCGCGTTGCAAGTGATGCTCCGTCTCTTCCTCAGCTTCCATGCCTGATGCCATAGTCGGCATGGCACGGTCGCCCTGAACGACTAAAGAGACCTGTTAGAATGGAAATAGATACAAAAGACTTACAATCTGTCTTTTGGTGCAGCTCATCTCTGCCATAGACTTCTAGTGGGCGACCGGGATCGAGATTACGAGCGCGGAATGTATGTCTACTAGACACGTGGGCCATCCGCGCCCGCGGAGTCAGAGTGACCAATACCGCTTGGTCAAGGCGGTCTTTTTAGGGGAAAAATCGCGTACTTCCGATTTCGAAACTTATCTAAACGGATGTATGAGGCCATTGTCTTTTGAAGAGATGAAGTGTAGAATGTTGAAGTAATTCAGGGGCTTTCAGAAGTATTTACAGAAGGAATAAGGTCAATGTTAATAAAAATACTAGAATTAAACTAAATAAGAGAGCAGATTATACATACGAAGGTCAGTAAAACGACGAAGTATCGCTTTTCTTCGTAGAAATGAACGTTTTCCATATTTTTGGCAGTAGATTTAATTTCTTTCAGTGCATCGGCGAGGGGAACTACTTTTTTATCACGAATTTTAATCATCTCTTGTGTCTTCGTTTCTGCGAATCGAGCTGTTGTATTTTCTTCCCGAAGTTCGGTGAAAATTGCAGCGCGCTCGGAGCCAAAGAAGTCGACGACTTTAGCTGTCTTCTGCCTGTTGGGCTTGAGCAAGTCGAACTTGTTTACCGGGGTTGAAATACACAAGCTTGGAGGGCAGACTCGTTTCATTGTGCTTAGGAGCTCTTCTGAGTCTGGCTCGATCTTTTCGAGGAACTCTAGAAGATGGTAAGTGAACCGGTCGACCATATAGACGCCAAGGTCGTGATCCACATGGTGCGATAGAGAATCTTCACCAACTTTCGAAGACGCGAAACCAACGAATCCTTCTGTGTATGTAGAACGAATCATCGACTCTCCTTGGCAGGTATCTGGAGATCAGAATTAAAGCAAACTCGACTGCCTAGATCAGTACCGATAATGAAAAGAAGCTCATTGAAACGTTCTTTCTGCTTCATTTGCTCGAATGCATCAGACAGCTCCTTTGCAGATATTTCTTCGTCGTCTTGAAACTTGAGAAAGTTCTCCCCACCATGGCCGGTTAAATAGAACAAGACGTTCGATTTGGAGTTTGTGCTCAGTCGTCTACTTCGGGGAGTATCTAAACAACTCTTGTTGATTTATTTTTGGAAAGAAAACAGCTGTAACAGCCAGGCGTTGTCACTTGCAGGTGCACACATGCTTTACCTTCGTCTTGTCTTCCAGTGAGGAGTCGCACTAGATTTTCCACAGTGACCTCTTCTCCTCTAAAGTCCACTTCGACATCTTTTCCGTAGAGATCAATGAGTTTGTTCTTGTGATTGTAGACTGCACCAATTTCAGCGTTGCGACCATTGCACGCCATATCGTCAGCGAGGAAGAGCATGATCTGCGAATCTACATTCCAAGTAAAAATGGCATAAAACATGAATAAAAATGTACCAGGTATTCCGAGCTGCTTCACGGATCGGTAAACTGCCAGCGTGTTTGCGATGTGGCGGTAGTTGAACCAGTACCTTGAGTAAATGTTGCGCATGTTTCTGTCACTCGCTGCAAGCTTACCTTGACGCGCAGACAAGTACCGCCCAATTATTTGTGTGGCTAGATTGAGAAAAGTGGCCTTGAATTTGAGAGTCAATATACTCAGTGTGTGCGACCGCGATTTGCAGCGTTAACAATAATGATAGCCTCATTCTACAAAACGAAATTATACTCGCTGATTATTTAAGAAATGATATTCATTATTATTGGAACAGAAGATTGGTTAACAGTGAATGTTTTTCGTGTGTTTACAGGTCAATTGAAAACGACGATCCGCAAGAACAGTTTTGATCGGCCAGGGGATTATCCGCAACAACAAACGCTTTTTTGATAAGCTCCATTTTGTAGTCGATCGTCGCACCATCCATGAATTCTATCGAGTCCACATCAGTCACTACTTTCTGCTCGTCCTTTGTGAATACAAGGTCGTTTTCTGGATCGATGGGTTCGGTAGTCAGCTCGAATTCGTAGGAGTAACCGGAGCAGCCGCCGCCACCAACGGACACGCGAAGATATTCACCGGGTTCCGTACACACTGTTGCTGGGTTTGTCACAAATGCAACTAAACTGCATCTAAACGGCACTTTCTCGTTCTCAAATCCCTCCTTGGGCGAGGCGGGACGAAGCAGCTTCCGTGATATGGAGTTTTTGAGAAAGACGAATGCAAGTTTGAAGAAGACGAGTCTGACGAAGCATTCTAAACTCCCTTTCGTTAGACGCAGTTGCGGCTCTCGCGGATTTACTTTGATGTATGTACATATTTCGACACGGGCAGTTTTTGATTGATTTGGGGAAACTAGAACGTGTAGATAATTGGACGTATTGAACTTAGGCGGATTTGCTGTTTTGATTTGCGAGGTTTTGTTCTTGTCTCGCGTGCGCCTTTTGCATCCTTTCGTTGCGAATACGATGCCTTCTGTTCCAAGCCAGCAAAATCTTATCGAGGGTAAAAAAATGGAGAAATCCAGTGAGCATCACCTGATCATCAATTTCTTTGGCGTTCTTTTTCATCGCGATCGCTTCCCGGAAGTGAGGGTCCAAGAGAAGCTCGAGAAAACGAAGGCAGGTCGGGTATCTTATCAGCTTTGCATATTTTGGATCTTTCCAATACTATTATTTTCAAGTCATTGACATTCATCGATAGATTGACGTACCTCCAAATACCTCAGATAATTAAGAAACTCTGTCTTTTTTAGATATCCTTCTTGTGCAAGGAAATTGATATAGTTCGGGTTTGCAAGGCACTGGACGAACTCCAGTTCAGCAATGAATCTATTTCGCTAGAATGACTATTAGACACTGCTTAGAATACGTAAAGTTACCTCTTGGTCCTGGGCATGATTCATTTGCTGCTGTTGAACCATATTCTGCTGCCCTGGCATAGGCGTTGAACCCATCTGCGAATGAGGCGGATTTTGTTGGGGTCCACCCATTTGAGATGGATTTTGCATTTGATTCATTGGATTCATCATTTGTGCCTAAAACCTTTGATGGCTAAATAGTTTTGGTATTTTGAATTACCGGTGGCTGGTTCATCATCGCTTGGTTCATCGGATTGAAATGTGACTGCCCTTGATTGTGGTTCATCATTTGTCCCATTCCCATACCGTGAGCTCCCATTTGATTCATCATTCCTCCCATCTAGTATTTATGTTCATTCCTATCTGACAGGCGACTCATGTATCAAGCGAGAAAGTGAATTGTACCTGCTGCGGATGCCCCTGATGCTGTGGGTGTCCCATTTGGCCCATTGGTCCCATCATGCCAGGATGGCCCATTTGCTGTCCCATGCTTCCCATCATCTGATTACCCATCATTCTACCCTGGTTATGAGGGTTCCCCATCCCATGTCCCATTCCGTTCATTCCCATACCGCCAGACATACTAAACGAAAACGACGTTAACATCATAAACATTTTTAGAGCATTGAACTTGTAATGATATTAAATTATTCTAGATGTTGCAGCAGGACAGAATTTCTTCTAAAATATTTTGTATCGTTTTCTGATTTCACCGTTTCACATTTTCATTCACTTCTTATTCCAATAGCAGAGTAACATCTGGTTGTTTTATCACTGGAGTAGTGATAGCCAATCTTCTAAGTCTTCCACCAGTGCGACAGAACTCGTTGATCCAGGTGTTGTCTTTTCCAGAGGGGCAACGCGCCAAGAAATCTTCGAGTTTCTGGTCACTCTCTCGGACTTTCGACATCACCGTCAAACATGTTTCAAATGCAGACTAAAATTCAATTCAACAAATTGATATGCTAGTGCTCTAACCTTTATTTGCAAGTCGAGACTCTTGCAACCGACAACGACATATTGACAGAGACTTGTGTTTGCTTCTTCCATCGGCTTCTGTGTCCATGCTAACGCATTTCCTAATGTTTGCTGCGCTTCTGTTGGTCCTGCAACCATCAACTCTTTCAAAACTTTATGCAGGAAGCCAGGGTACGATTCGCTATCAAAGTGCTTGACAGCATATGCAGCTGTCAACGCAACCGCTTGCGCGTTCTCTTTTGCTACCTTCACGTTTGCTAAAAACAGTATGTCACTAGAAAGATAAACAAAATCTGATGCTACCAATCAGTAGTTGGCCGATGTCTTCTTTCGCTAGAAGCATTGTTGGGTTCAGCTTCATGACAACAGAAAGCGCTTCGAGTTGTCCAACACAATCAACATCAAGCAAGTCGTCGAGGGCTTCAACTTCAGGATCTTCATGACCTGCAACGCAAGCACCCAACACACCAGCCGAGCAAAGTCGCGATTTCTCATCCTCTGAAATAATTTGTGAGATTTTTTTATTCTGAAAGAAAATGTATTTACCAAGTCGAATGTTTTCCTCCATAAGTTCGATAATTTCATTTCGTAGCTCAGTTGTGACTTTCTTTCCAGCAGATTCGACAACGAGACGCAGTGCGTGACAGTAAGTAGTGTAGAATTCTGGATCGGAGCACTTTTCGATGGCGTTTTTGAGCTCGGTCGTGAGTGGAATCACTTTCGTACTATGCACTGCCAATTTGCCGAGGGCTTCCGCGCCGGAAAACCGAATCTCGCGGGACTCGTCATGCATCGCCTAGAATATGTGTTGCTTAATTGGGCATATCCTTGCCAAATAGCGGAAACCCAAAACGCTGTTCTTTTAAAACGAAAAGCCCCCGAGTAAAGTAAAGCACTCAACCTTGACAAATGTTGTTTGCAGCTGCGGAAGGAAGGCCTTGAGTCCAAGTCCACAGCGGCTCAGGAGTAGATTAAGGCATGCTATGAGTGGCACTTTCACTTGCCATCCGTATCGATCTCCAAGTACTCGAATGAGTGGTCCAGTGATACCAATGATGGAAGGTTTTATCGCGGCTGGAGGACACATCGAAATCACGTCTTGCATGCACTGGGCACACTGTTCTTTGACCTCAGGGCCGCCGTTGAGAATGCACTCCTTGAAAAGAGGAACGAGACAGTTGATTCCCTTCTTAGGAAGACCGAAGCCGGGGAGATGGCCTTCTGAGTCAAGTTCTTTTTTGATGAAAGAGATTGCTTGTCTCAGCGACGCCAGATGATTTTGTAACTCCTCTGCGTCCATTCTTTTAACAACGAATTGCAGAGAATCCCAAGCAAGCTCCAACGTAGGGGATTCAGGAGCATCAGTCATAAGCCTTAAAATAAATTATCGCGAGCACAATTAATAAGATCATACTGGAGCATATCCCTGAACATAGCACCGTAATAATCACAGTAGTCGGCTTCAGTACGCGTGACGAACTCTTTTGTGAGCAACGCTGCAGCGGTTCGTCGACCTGCGTCTTCATCTTTCGTTGCATCGAGGATCTCGCTGAGAATGAGTGAGGCACCGTAGTCGTCCGAAACTTCATCGATAATGATGGTACATTCTTTGAGCTTCTCTTCAGAGCAATCTTCATCGGCAAGAGCTCCAATTAATGCCTCCATAACCTGATCAACGTATCGACTCAAATGCTCGCCGGAAGCAGCAGCAAGAGAGGAAAGAGTTGCACAGTTAACAGGAGGTTCTGTGAGTTTTGGAAGAACAGCAGGAAGAACAGAGCGTCCCTTCGAAACGAGTACTTTTCTAAGACCATCGAGGGCGTACGCTCGCTCGTTTCTCTGAGAGTCGAGCAAACCAACCAGGTGAGGGATAATTTCTTCAACTGCCTATAATTTTATTCTTATAGTATTAAAAGTTATAGAAAACAAACCTGAGAGCCAAGCTTATTATGAAGAACATCGAAGGTACAGGCTGCTTCCTGTCGAACGTTCTCGTTAGAATCAGAAAGAGCACGTTTAATAGTAGGACCAACATCTGCCGCCATAACTGCAACCATATCTTTGCTAGCAGCGGATATGACTTCAGAGAGACCGATGCAAACGCCTTGTCGCTGCTCGTCAGTGCCAGTTTTGAGGCCTCTGTTGAGGATCGGCATGAGTTTAGGAAGGATGCGTTCTCCAAGTTTCTTCGCCAAGTCACCGAGAGTTCTCGACGCGATCGAACGGTTATCCTCGTGCTCGGAGGCCAAGTTCTTGAGAATAAGCTCGATGAGGATCGGAAGCACCTCGCGGATAGTTCGGGCGGTGTTGTTGATGAGCAACTTCCAGACATGGAGGGCAGATGATCGAACGTTGAGAGCAATGTCGTTTCTTAACAAAATTTGAATACAGATATTTCATCAAATTTTCAAATATTTTTTAGGATGAAATGCTAACCTGCACATGTAGAGACCAGCCATAACACGATTGTAAACGTCTTCTCCGAGCTTGTTGATGATCGCTTTCTGAGTTTCCACACTTCCCAAGCTTTCGTCTCCGCCAGACTCTGATGACATCTTTCCAGAAATACCAGTGATGTGGAACAAGAGATCTCCAAGCAATTGTACGGAGCTACGAATTTGATTATATACAATTACATGAAGGAGTAGATACCTGAATCGAATACGCCAGTTTTCATCCAAGAGTCCACTTTCGAGCTCAGGAAGAAGGAGTTTGATGGCACTGTCGGCAAACAATTGGATAATCTTCTTGCCAGCCTTCAAAGCGGTATCTCGAAGATATTCTTGTTCGTCCGCCAAGTTTACCAAGAGAGCTATTTTTCAATGATAATATGCTATTTTCACTTTTCGTTACCTGGAATAATCTTGGAAATATACTCGGAGAATTGTTGACGGAAGACAACTGGGAAGTAAATGAAAGCCATACAATAACCGTCTCGGATAGTTGGAGCTAATCTGGTGTCGGAGGCCATCTTGATCATCTTCGGAATAAGCTCGTCGAGTTCCTCCACGCCCTGGGCGAACATGACTTCCGCAAGACCTTGAGCACCGCCAGATCTATCAACCGCGCTTGAGTCTGATGTAAGAAGACCATTAAGCCACTCGTGGAGTCCATCTGTAACTGATCCATCGCTGGAGATAGCGACGACGTTTCCGATTGCTTTTGCTGCAGTGGCTCTTACGTCTGGCACAGGATCGGTAAGCGTTCCCTTCAAACCGGGCATGATTGATCCCAAATAGGGTTGAAGATCGGACTCAGTACACAAGTTGGCGTTCTTTGCACACATGCCCGAGATAATCTGCGCGGAAAGTTTGCGCGTTTCCGCCGAGCGCTCGTTGAACGCTCTTTGCACAATGGGCATAATCAGGGCAAGCGAGGCCGCATCAATATGATGGACAAATCGTGTCTTGTTGAGTTCGACCAGAGCGGGCGCGATTTTCTGCGCCGGGCTGGCCAATCCTTCTAGCAAGAAGTTGCTCAGCGCCTTGATCTCGGGGTTTTGAATTACATCGCCGACCTGTGCGAGAGCTTCGCGACCCGCCTTTGATACCTTAGGATGCGAGTCAGCCAACACCTCGATCAGGTAGGGCACGATCTGTGGGAGACATTTTGACAATTGCTTTGGTGCACAGTGGCTCATCATACCGAGGAGATCAACGCCACCGACTTTTGTTCGCCAAGTATCGTTTTCAAGCGCTTTCAAAAGAGCTGGGAGAACGAGCTTGACTCCGTGTGCACTCAATGATTTCATCACATTAATAGCCGCTTCTTCTGCTGCTTCTCGTACACACTTGACATTGTCACCGAATGATTCAAGCAGTTCAGGCAGCACTTTGCCGATAAAAGGTTCAAATAGACGGCCGAGGGAATAGCAAAGGGAACTAAAACACAAGAGAGCACCTTCGCGTTTGATTACAGATTTCTTGTCTTGAACAGCGGCGAGAAGTCTCTTCAGGATATCGTACTTTTTCAATGATAAGATGCCAAGACCCTTAACCATACCAGCCAAACCAGCAGCACCTCCTCGTCGCTCGCCATAGTTGTTTGATTCTAGTGCCAAAGAGAGAAGCCCGTTGATGACATTCTTTGCGTCCGATTTGATAGCAGGAACAAGGCCTGGAAGACAATTTGCAACGGCTTTCTGAACCATTTCTGATGGCACGCTAAGTGCAGCAATAAGTTTTCCGATGATAGGTTTCACTCGAGGATCAGTAACTGGCAGATGCGAGGCTAATCGTCCAAGGAGAACAACGACTGATTGTCGAGCACCATCAGCATCACCCTGGCTCTTTCCACCTTCGAGATATTTGTCAAAAAGCGTCAAAATGTCCTTCATCAGAGTCATTCCGTGTGTATCGACAGCTGCGACTCCTACGTTGAGCATTTCCGCGGCGACGTCGACATTCGAATCATTAAGTGCATCTGGTACAAGGAGAAGGAAAAGCTCCATGGCTTTGTCGCTAGTAATTCCACTAGCGATCATTTTCATACCGGCTCCGAGACCGTATCGTCGCACAGATCGATCTTCCCGGTTTTTGAGAAGTCTTCCAACTTCATCATACTTTGGCCCTGCTTCCTCGAACTCGAATTTAAACGCATCCATCAACAATGACAATGCTTCGTTGCACGATTCTTGGCAAACTTCTTCTGGCAATGCAAAATCTTCTGCTTCTTCCGAAATGGGAACGGTTCTGAGGAGCTCAGCAAGAGCTTTGGAGGCTTGAATTTCAAGATGATAAATTCCACTCGAGCAATCGTCGCAGAGGCGCTTGAGAGAGTCCTCTGGTGGGAATAAATCGAGATCTCCCATTGTTTGGTCTGCTAGGATCTTGAGTGACATCTCTGTTGAGTGCCTCGAGGAGTAGACGCGATGGGAAAGGTAATCTTCCAACTTGGAGCTCTCTTCATCTTTGCCGTGCTCGGGCATGAGTTGTTGGAGAGCGGTGAGACAAGCAGATCGACAAGACACAGATTCAGAAGCAAAGCCATCAACTAGAGGTACAGCAGTGTCGAGCGAGTTCATTTCTCGTAACCGAAGCGAACCAGCGAGATGCACGACAAGTTCAGAAGCTTCGAAAGTGGAAGCATGAGATGATGTGGACATGTGATTGACTAAAGCCGTGAGAGTTTGAATTGCTTGCAGTTTTGGCAATCTTTCGAACGAATTTTTGAGAACTGTGATTGCTTTATCACCGTCTTTTGAGAGACATCTATTGGCGAATTCAGAAACGCAGCCAGCAAAGCACTCAGAAAGATTTCTAGCATCTTCTTCCGGAGAAAGGTCAAGATTTCTTGAAAGAGCATCTGACAGTTTTTCTTCTTTCCAATTGCTTGTCACATTTTCAGAAGAAGCTAAACGCGCACAGATCACAACAATAGAGTGGCAATAACTTGGGGCAGCACAGTCGCGACCACAAAGCTCAACAAGTCGCGAAATCATAGACAGAGCATCAGACGAGCAGATATCGTAGCCAACCATTCGGAAGAGCTTGGAAGACAATTCGGGGACAAATTTAGTGAAGCTGGGCTTCAGCTTACGCCCATGTTGACAAATAATCGCATCGAGAACGCGAGTACAGTTAATAAACGTCCGCACCCGGGATGAGTACTCTGTGCGTACTTCAGATTCAAAGGCTAACTGTTTCGTCTTGGCTTCCAGCTGTGCTTTGTTCAGTTTGACAGTTCCTCGTTTGAGCTCTAATTTGCGTTTTTGCTCGAGCGCCCACTTCTCTTCTTCATAATTTTTCGAGTTCTTATCAATTTTCTCCTCCTTCGCTTTAATCACAGATGTATCGTAAAGCTCTCCCTCAGGTGTCAAGGAAATGTTAATTTGCTCGAGCGTTATCTCCTTCCATTCTCCGGGCGCGTTGAGCACTCCTGAGAGTATTTTTTCGAGAACAAGGGCCGTGAATTTCTCCGAAACGCCAGCCAAGATTCCAATTTTTTTGTAAAAGCTATCGTCATGGTCTTCGTCTAAGGCAAGATTGGTGAATTGCGCGATGAGTATATCCTCTAGACTTGGCAGTTGCTTGAACACAGTGGCCGTCCAATGCTTGATTGACATGGCACTGTAAGTCGCCCAAGTGATAAGGTCCTTAGCGATTTCCGTAGCGTTATTTTTCTGAGCAAGTTTGACGATGATTTTCGCCATCACTGCGGATTTTGAAAAGAGTTCAAGATCATCGTGTTTGTAGTTTGGACTTGCGAGCTCGTTGACAAAAGCCTTCGAGATGCCGGCGAATTTCGTTCCATCTGTCATTTCATCGAGACACTTTTTCAAAGTAGCCGACCATCTTCCGTAAAGAACTTGCTTGACTAAGACGGATAGAAGCGCAACTCTGATAGTTTCATCGCCAGGCGTCGAAGACCCGAAATAATTCACTACAAAAATCGAGAAGAGCTCGAGCGCTGCTGGATTCGACGCGATGTTCTTCAAAATCTTTGCTGTGGCAATCTTCTCCAATTTACTCTTGATCAAGTCCGGGAACTCTGCAAATCCACCGAATCGGTAAAGGCCTTCCATGACGAGCAATGCGGCCGATCCGCCAGCAGGATTTTTTTCTATATTGTCTAGTGATGTCGTTAGTACTTTTTGAGCGGCGCCTTCGAAGAGGGAGACATTGTCCGACGAAATTTGGTGGTAGAGACCTCGAAGGTACACATTCAAACCAGCTCCTGTGCCTTTCGTTTGTTTCGTTGCAGCCTCTAGAATCGTCTTCAAATAGAGTTCAAAACTTACTACATTAATAGAAGTATTCTTCTCCGTAAGACAATGTTCTTTCGATTATTATAGAACCCTTTCCTTGTGGACGTTTTCATTCTTCGTCTTCTCCGATAAGACTGCGAGAGAATTGCCGACAACAACAAGCGTTTCATCAGTAATTTCTTTTTCCGCCGATAGAACCAGATTTGTAATCGCAGAAACTCTCGTGTCTTCCGTCGCATTCACAAAATAGCCAAATAGTTTGAGAATTTCCACTTTTTGTCCGTTGCTCGTTATTTTGCCTTCTTTGCCATTCCAGACTTTTCGAATGTGCTCAACCACTTTCGCGGGAGCGCTAGAACTGCGTTCATAAATCCTTTGCAATGCAACAGCCGAGTTTTTGACATTTTCAACGTCCATTCCAACCAAACACTTTAGCAGCGGCTCTTGGAGATCCGCCGCCAGTTCTGAGAAATCGTTTTTGAAGCCCATCACGATCGCATGAATTCTAGGGCAGCAGACTTCCGGCGATCGGAGCATCATTTTCTTCATCGTTGGCACGAGCTCCTTCACATCTTCAACTTCTAAAACGGTAGAAATGTACTGTAGCTTTTGCAAGTCTCCCCGAGTCGATTTTGCCTTCTCCTGGAAAATATCGTTCACGCTTTTTAGCACACTGGACTTGAGTTCTTTCAGCTGTTCAGTTTTGTAAATCCAAGCATGGAGCACGACCGCGCTAGAATCTTCTACGACAGCTTCTTTTATCGCCTTGATTGCCAGAAGCTCCCGCACTCGGCTGTCAAAAAAGTCTACTTTTGAATACGTCGCCGAGCAAGTTGCCAATTTAGATCCAATGGCAACAGCCTTCTTCGCTACTTCTGGTGATAAGAACGAGCCGCATGCGCTGCACAACTCCGTAAGTACTTTAATCCAGACCAGCGACTCCAAACAGGACATTCGGCTGTTCGCCGTGCTCAACAGTGATTTTGCCTTCTTTTCAACAGCAAGGAAGAGGCCTCCAACGACGAACTTGCGACTGGCCTCGTCAGCCGTCGTCACGGCGTACTTGATCGCCTCCAACACTGCCCTTCGCAAAGCAGGAGGGCTGGCATTGTGCAACGGCTCGACGATAAGCTGCACCGTCGCCAGTTTCTGCTTCGAGTCCGCTTTCTTTACTAAGTCTGCCGCTTCATGAACTGCCTGGACACGATCTTCTAAGGGATGCGTTTTGAGAATCCGCTGTTCGACTTCGATGAACAACTTTTCGAAGCTCTTCTCGCCTTCTTTCGGGCCTTCCGCATCCATTACAATTTCCTAAAATCAGAAGACTTTCACCAAATGCAATTTTATTCAGTTTTATATATCATTTTGCGAAGAAACAATGGTTCGCGTTCAATATGCATTATAATGTTTCATTTCAGAATACTAAAATATTTTTGTCGAATAAACGATTGAAAAGGATTTTGATGAAGAATGGAAATAACAAAATGTTAAAAATGATTTTTTTTTTCAGATAAACATCTCGCAGTGATATGCGCTCAGTTTCTCGGCTAAGCAAAGATCAATCGTAGCGATTCTAGCGCTTTTTCTTCCGCCGTAATTGGGAAGAGCGGAGTTCTTCCATCAAAGTGCTCGGACGCGGGACGAGGGCGCGTGCTGATTGGTCCGCCGCGATCTGGGATGACTCAATTTCTTCTTATTGAATTCTCTTCTCCCACAGCCTAACCCTAACCCAACCTCATTCAAAACTAGCCAACCAGAGAACAAGAAGAGCTCACCAACGTCAACTGAGTACTTAAGGACTTACCCATCTATAATTATTTGTTGTTTTTATTTACTCATACCAAACATTTTTTCAACGCATCATTTTCCCAAGCTTCTACTCATATTTATAAAAAAATATTTCGAGGAGCATAACAGAAACGTAGTTACAGTACAGTAACAGTCGAACTCGTTGGCGAAAGTTAGCGCTGGCCGTCTTAAATTATCCAAATTTAGCGATGACGAGCAAAGAGCTTCGAACTTCCTAAAACTCGAAAGGGTTGAACTAGACTAGTTATGTCAGAAGCAAGCCCAGAGCCTCGGGAAAACATGGTCCGCCTTTTTCGGTCCTTGGAGATGTGCATTTGACATCAATGCAAAATCAATAATCGGAGAGCCGAAAAATAACACGCTCCTCTCTCCCTGCTCAAAAAAAGGCAGAGAAGGCTGTTTACATCAGTGGGCTAATTGGAGTCGCACAATCACTCACTCGCAGTATCGAGCACTCCCTTCATTGCCCATCTGGCCTCATCATTTTGATTAATACAGCGCCTGTCCCCCCTTTTTTGTTGTCTAATAACGCGCTGCAGAGAGACATACAGAGAGAGGGAGAGGGAAGCAAAGAGAGCATTTTTCTCATTTCGCGCGTTGTCTTTTGTGATTCCTTTAGTTTTTGTATTTTTGAAATGCGTTGACGACGTGCTGTACATCTCGCTTTTTTATCACATCCGCGGTCTTATCACGTCGTAATCATCTCACTAGTTTTATCATTGCCTACTTTGTTTGGCTCTCAAATTGATTACGAAATGTCTGATTGCTGGACACAAACAGTAGCAACTACCCACTCGAGCAGAGAGTAATGAGCAGAAGACAGGCCAGCCTCGCCCCGGGCGTGTGTTACATTTATGTGAATTGACTGCCCGTAGGCGGCACATAGTCTGTTTCGAATTGTTCCCGGCCGCGGCCCTTTTTTATTTGCGCCGTTTTTTTTTTCTTCTCTTTCAATGGACTCTAATTTCATTAGACCAAGAGACACCATTCCAGCGCTTTCTTACTTTTTTTTTAATGGACGGCTTGAACTTTAAGATAAACTTTCCGAAGCTTTTTCAAAGGTCAAAATAGCGAAAAAACGAGAAGCTACTAGAGCGACTTGCTTTCAAAATGATTGCTTCTTCTTTTTTTTGATTTTGCCAAATTTATAACTGTGATAGTATTTTCTTCGCACCTCAATTTATCAAGCTCGAACTCACCTGTTATCGCTGTAAACTGTTAATTCGAACTGTAGTTAGTCTACTGTATCAATATTTTCCACGTTTAACCGAGTACTTTTTTCAGAAGGGGTCCAAAATGGCTGATCAGGTAAAACAAAAGAACTTAAAATGAATCGAGCTGGAACTTGCGCGAACTTTTCTTCTTTTCGTAGCTCACGGAAGAACAAATCGCAGAATTCAAAGAGGCCTTCTCCCTCTTCGACAAGGACGGCGATGGCACCATCACCACCAAAGAATTGGGAACAGTCATGCGATCCCTTGGACAGAACCCAACAGAAGCTGAACTCCAGGAAAGGCCTCGAGAGACCATTTTTGATTCGTAAAAATAGTCGTTGTATTGCACCTAGTCCTAATTTTAGAAGCTTGGTGAAATTTTCGATGTCAAATTGTCTTTTTCTGAGACCTTTTTATTTTGAGTAGGCCTGGCTAGGATATGATCAACGAAGTCGACGCTGATGGAAATGGGACTATCGATTTTCCTGAATTTTTAACTATGATGGCCCGAAAAATGAAAGACACAGACTCAGAGGAGGAAATTCGGGAAGCATTTAGGTTAGTGGCATTTACTCGCAACAGCCGGCTTTACGTTTTTCGCAGAGTATTTGACAAGGACGGAAACGGCTACATCTCCGCGGCCGAGCTGCGCCACGTGATGACCAACCTCGGCGAGAAGCTGACGGACGAGGAAGTCGACGAGATGATCAGAGAAGCAGACATCGACGGCGACGGACAAGTCAATTACGAGGAATTCGTCGCGATGATGACCAGTAAATAAAGCAAAAGGAGCGCGGATCATCACACTCTCTCTCTCCCTCCCTTTCTCATCTCACTCTATACGAAAACAGAAATTGTATCTAATCTATTTGTACTCTATTCTTTTCCGGTTTTCCATTTTGTTTACTATTTTACATTTTGTGATCCGAAGACTCAGAATTCACGTCCATTTGTCTTTGTATATAGCAAACAATTAAACTACTGTTTTTATTGTTTGGCTGTAGTAAACTCCCGCATATAAAATTTCTGGAAATAAATTATGCTCATTATACATGTTCAAACATGCGGCGTTATTTGTGTCTCGTGAGAGCGTCTAGAACCTTCAAGCAGGTTTTGAGGGGATGAATCAGCTTCTTGGAGCGGGGAAATGCAATTTTGCGGCGGCCGAGTATAATCTTGCGGTCACCTTGGCCAGTATAAAAAACGGCAGGGGCACAGGGCGGCAGCAAGAAGTGTATTTTTTTCAAAACTCAGAAATATGAAGCTTTTTCCACTTATGACGATCGCAGAGGACCGAAGCTGCAGCTTCCAGCTCCAAAAGTTTGAGATGGGTCTGTCAGCCTTCAAGAGCGCTCCCCTTTGCCAGATATCCGTACGTGCAGAAGGATTGATTTAATGAGTTCATGTTGATTACTGAGAGTGCTCTTTTAGGACACATCACTTTGGGAGGAAAAGCAATGCAGCGCTTTTTCGTGCACATGCGTCGACTCAACTACTGGGTATTCCACTGACCCTCCTCGCCAAGCATCTAAGGCTGACAAGGAGAAACTGAAATGCTCCGGAACCCCTTGTCTCGACGAATACAAGAAAAATACACAGCTGGCCGGGGACAATATCGCCAACGGAATGGTCGACTTGCCCTACATTCCTACCTGCACGCTGTCCGGTTACTACCATCCGGTTCAAAACGACCCCGTTACCGGCGCATCTTTTTGCACAGGTGAGCCACGAATACACGAAAAACAAAACATAACGGCTTAAAGGTCCCCGCGGCGAATACAGAGTTCCAGTCGACGAAAATGCGCCTAACGCGGTAACTTACTGTCAGACCGTCTGGACGAAAGATCTTTGGAAGAAACAAGCTGATGAATCAAAATAAATTTTTGAAAATTCAATAAACAGAAAACTAAAAAACGCGATCAATTATTCATTCAAAAAAAAAGCTTATCAAACAGGCAGATCTTGCAGTGGATTCAAAATACAACGCTGCGAGAGAAAAAAAGGCAAAAAGTTCAAATGACTACTACTACTAGCAGAAACCTTTAAAAATGGAGAGAAAACCTTCATTTGGAGAGAAAGTAAAGAAGACGATTTTCAAGGTTATCTATTCCTTGGGTCTTGAATTTAAACTGTTTAGTCTGGCAAAAAGAAGAACAAGGAAAAGAGCTCCAGGGAGAATTCGGAGTATGGTAAGCATGTTAAAGTCAAATTAATAGAACAGATTCATGCAAAATTATTGAATTATTGGCATCAATGAAAATAATCATTGTTGATTGTTTTATAGGGAAAATCAATTCAAAGCCATTATAGGCTTCGAAGTCAATTTGCGAGAGAAATTGAATTAGAGAGATTGAACATGAGAAAAAGTGAGTATAGTTGACTTGTTTGTGAGAAATTATTGGTTTGGGGTCTCCCGTGGATTTTTCGAAAATACAAAAATAAAAAAAAACCTTGACTTGATTGCTATGCTCAGCGGGGCGACTCACTTTCCCAAGCGAAGTTGATTGTTGATTGATGTAATTCGCCTTGGAATCAATTTCAATTCGTCCTTCTCATTTTGATAAGAGCCGCGTAGATACACGGGCTGACGTTTAAAATACGAGTAGAGAGCAGGGAGCGAACAGACTGAGAGATATTAATTTAGACAGATTGCGAAGCGACCAGATTATGAGCGAAGACCGTGTCGCAGCGGAGGAAGGGTTCAAAGCTAATTGATCAAAAATATTCTTATCTGAGTAGAAAACTTGAACTTGCTCCTAAGGAAATGTGCTTGCGACAACGCTCGCGTATTCTTGAACAAATTCGCGAAATCAAACGAATCGATGTCGACACATTCCACTACGAAACCTTGTATCAAGTAAGAAACATATGCGCGAGATATTTCAATTCACCTCGGAGTTAAAGACGATGACAGATGAATTCGAGGAGCAAATAGAGGAGATGAGGATACTGGAAATGAAATCGAGAATGGCCACCCGAATACTCGAAATTCAAGAAGTGATAAAGTCAATTTTCATTCACCGAATTCACTTGAGTATATTTAAGATGATTCAAAAATCAACAATAACAGCTAAGAAGCTCACGTGTGAAATAGATGAGATCCGGACAAGAAGGCTCCGTTCCCATTCCGAGCCAGTAAATCAATCGACTCCAACAAAGAAGAAATGGCGAGAGTAAGTGAATCATTTGTTCTTTTTATCATCCAAGTGCCCAGCTCGAACGAAGAAAATAAAAGTCGCGGACCGGGAAATTACGCGAGCAACACTTTCAGCCGCCGGCGCGATCCGACCGCGTTGACGATGAAGAGCTACTCCTCCATGACTCCAGCGAGTCGGAGACGACCCGGCGCTGGATCTACTGCGATTGTTAGGAGCAAATCGCAAAGCTACAGGGAAACACAAAGTGATGCGCAGCTGGTTTATAGGGCAAACTTTTTACGAAATGTAATTTTTGATTCAAATGTTTTCGATAATAACGAGTTTTCAGCGAAATGCGCCGAGCGATACAATTCAAAACCCGCAAAGAAAAACGGAGAACAAACCGGTCTCTGAGCAATGCACACATACTGAAGTGCACGTCAAACTAGCAGAAAGAAAAGCACTCATGGCTCGCTCTGTCTCAGACATGGCCCTGGTAGATCGCATGTAAGTCGCGATGAATCTCTTTGTTAACTAATTTTTACTTCAGTGGGACGCTGCCTTTTTCAAAGTCGGAGCGCAAACTCAACTCTTACGATAATGATTCCGACACTGGTATAAGGAAGGGTTTGAACATAAGGAATATAGAATTAACCCATCAATCGCAAAATCCCAAAAAGTTCAATGCACTCATCGGAAGCTGATTTTCGCTGTTCTCCTGATCGCAAAATCACACTTGTCTAAAATTCAAACAAGCACAGTCAATAGTTATCATGTAATTGCCTCTATTCAATAAATCTTAGACGGAAATATATGGGCTGAGTATATTTTTTGTTTTTGCCAAAGTCAGGTCTTAGTGTTTTATTAATTTTGATTAAATGAGTAATTTTTAATTTCGTTGAAGCAGTTGAAGGGTCAGTTTTAGCACTCTCAAAGGCGGCTGGAGCAGGAAATGTATTCAACGTCGTCATTTACAGAGCACTCGTGAGGTAAGGCAGCGACGGTGCCAGAGCAGGTCCTCATTCGGATCAGGCGATTCGAGATCGCGCAGTCGTCATACCAAGTGCTCCACTGTCCCCATTTAGCTAAAGATTTGCGATAGAGATTTTATGGTAATGAAAAGAACATACGGCAATCTGGAACGGAAGTGCAGGGCCGCTCTTCTAGGAGATTGCCTTGGCACTCGGAGGAATGAGAGTGCAGACAGTTTCGAACTCGTCGCTCAACTCCATCACGTTGTGCGCAAGCTTCGGAGCAAGTCGACCATTCTGACCACTCGGAAACGAAGCCTATAAAACGAAATCACTACGTTTCCCCGCAGTTCCTTTTAAGAATCTTACTGCACTTCGTAACTGGACATTTCTCCGTCTGGTTCATGTCTATTCCATTAACGATTCCAGAGCGTGTCCTCGCGTTCCTAGAGAGTTTTACACTTTGCTCAAATAGTTTCACTGTCTGATTACCCTGATCCACAAGGGCATTCGGACCACTCTGCCCAGAAATCAGGAACTTCTCGTTTTCTTCGATTACAGGAATCAGAACATGATCGTTCTTCGTAGAAATTTCCGTCGCCCATGCACTCTGGAATTCGGCCTAATGAGAAAAGAGCGTTTATGCAAGTCTTTTCTCTAAACTCGGTTTCAGTTCCACAATCACAAGAGCTCCAGTCTGACCATTCGCTTAGCTTGGCTGAATTATTTATAGAATTTTTCATGACATCTTCTGAAGACTTACGACACTCGTTCTCAGGATTGCAGAGTGCTGTTTGAAGAAATCCGAGGTTGTCTGATGTCGTCAGTGCGTTTTCGCAGTTTGATGATCGGTCGATGCAAGTGTTTGAGAAAATAGAATCAGGAGAATCGAAAGAGACGCCGCACGGACATGCTTCACTTCCAATATCATCCCCTTTACATCCCCGTGTGCGAACACGCGTGCCAATTTCGTCAGCTGCGCCGCATGATTTAGAACAACACGACCATTCTCCCCAGGAATTCCAGCCAGCTTGAATGAAATTAGAAAGTTTCAAATACATGATGACCTACGGCACTCAGGGACAAAACAGTCCTTGAAATCGTCATCTCCACAGCATCTCGACTCGTCCCCACAAAGAAGAGTCCGTGATCGTCGTTGTTTCCCAAAAGTATCATCGTCAGGATTTCTAAAGAAAATAAACGGAATGCTAGCGTCGCTTTTATTTCTTCTTACCTGCATGGTCGAGCATCGCCTTTGAGTAGACAGAGTCCCCATTCTGACCATTCCGAGTACGTGCATTTTTCTACACATGCTCTCGACTCACCACCTGTTTCCGTGCAGTAGCAGCTACTTGGACTGTTGCCATCTTGGTCTACCCAGTTTCCATTCCAAGCTGCAATATTCCAATAAGTCAATAAATACGACGAGTACTTACTAAAGATCTGGCCTGTGTTAGTCGTACAAGTTCGGAATCTATCGGACCGTCCACCACATTGTTGCGAGCAAGAACTCCATTCAGTCCATTCTCCCAGAGTCGCAGATACAAAATTGCAGGTATTCTGCTGAATCCCCACTTGCATCGGTGATATGTTCTGTTTAATGAATCTTAATTGGGTTTAAAGTGATTGTTTTCTGACTGTTTTCAGTGTTTGCAATGTTCAGTTCTGTTAAACCAATCCTGACAACAGCCTCAATTTTTTCTTCCTGGATATTAGTCGAGGGGATATCAATTAGAATAGTTTCGCGGTTGTCAGCGTACTTCGTGTCAGTCAGATAGAGAGTCGCCTTGCTTATTGTTATGATTTCATCTGGATTGTTTTTGTCACAAGCTTGTCCCCAATTGAACTTAGTCTGAGTTAGTTTTGATAAGTATAGAAAGGATACCTTGAGATCATCGGAAAAGTCATACATGCGATTGGCGCTGCCGTCAACTCGGCTGTCTTTTCTCGTCGAAGCAGCAAAGTTAGTCATAAACTTGGAGACAGGCGATGGATCAGTTGTTACCTCCCGCACATCGACAAGGTTCTCTGTTATCAGAAGGGTTTTCAGCCGCTGAACATTGATGCGAATCTGCGAGTTGCTTCCTTCAATCAAGTTCGAGATGGCGTTGCGAATTGAATTCAGTCCATTGTTGGCTTTGAGTTTTTCCGCTGCATCTGCACGTACTCTCAATCCTCTCCAAGGTGTATCAATATCGTCCGTCGAGATCCAATCTGACATGCTGTAAAGATTCTGCTGCCTGCTGAACCGCGGCATGTTGTTGTACCAATCCTCGAGCAAATGTGCTGTAAATGGATTGTTCGTGGTCGTGTAGGATACGTAGCTCGAAGTAGACTCGCTGATCAAAGGGTTCAGATTGACTATACATTCATCGGGGAACTTCCGAAGCATATCCTAAAAAAAGAATTTAGTACAAGAGCAGCAATTGAGAAGAGCAAACAATTCCAACAGACTCGCAGTCCACGTCATCACTGAGATCGGGATCAAAGCAAAGTTGAGCGCGGACAGGAGATTCATCACAGTCGCATGATCGATCCACTGCTTCACTTTCGGATCCCCTGAAAGACGAGCCGGTCTCACATTTGCAGTTGGAAGCGGTAAAAGGCAATGGAATCGGGCAACGATCGTCACAAATAGTGTCCGCTCGCTCGTTGATTTTTATTTCAGGAATTGCTAGTCGAATCGGATTCCTCGGGTAAGCACCCCATTCTTAAAGAAGAGTACATCAATCCTAGCAACTTTATTTCTTTTACCGGTTCCCCAGCGAGAATCAGTTTCTTGAATCTCCCAAAGAGCAACAGCGTCTTCTACTGTAATTCCATTTTGCTTTGCATATTCCGCAATTCTTGGATCACACTCTGTCGCCACAGAAGGCGCCTGACAGTTCTTCGAGAAATCGTCTGTGCCGCATCTTCAAAAATCTACAGTCGATAGTTATACTTAGATCTTACTTGATGCCGGTATTTTTGTAAAAAGATTTCGTCGCCGCATATCTCACTTCCATGCTGTCATCCATGTCTCCAGCGGGTGACTGAATGCTGAACTGTGGCTTTGACTGTATAAAGTTGACGTAATCGTTCCTAATCTGATCGTCTGTACCACCGAGGATGGTTCTGTATTTAAAGTAGTTTGGCGAGTTTGGATCCAGAATACGCATTGGATAGTTTCGATTGTCCGGGTGAATACATTCTCTGAATATCTCATAAAAGAACGACAAAGAAATAATAGTCCTTACTTGTAGCGCGTTTTACGAAGCTTGTATCTCCCAGGATATGCACAAAGATCAGCCCTAGAAATCAAGTTCTCGCAACCATAGTCATCCGACCAGCTTGTCCAAAACGGGCCATCAAAATTCAATCCAACGAAACTGAGCTCCGCATTCGAGAGTGGAGCGGCCGGGTCTTTTAACTTGTCTAGTGTTGTTTGTGACAAGGCATTAGTAGAAGCTAAATGAAAATATAAATCGCCGATCTCTGAAAGAAGTATACTTGCCTATAAGTGAGGTAAAAAGCGCATTTTTTATCATAACGAGGTGATCTACTCGAAGAATTCGAGAAAATGATCTTGCCCGAGATTGAAGAATTTTCACGTCTTAGGGGTACACAGATAGGGGATCAAGAGCATAATGGCGAGCGGTTCGCGAGCTATTGGTGCGCAGCGAAAGCTTTGCAGCGGCTGAATTGCTTCTCAAACGGGAGAGTAATTACCGTCTTAGTCGGATGAAAAGCCACTGGCGACGTCAACTTTTATTTCTCTTCTTGAACAGTTTAGCCAAATTTATCCAATTACTATTGCAGTTTATTCATTCATAGAAACGCAGACTAGATTTCGTCGATATCTATCACGAATTGTATAGTTTTTCTGGAACTTTGATGAGTCGCGCGTTTAAAAGCATGTTTTGACTTCTCGTTTCTCCAGAAGGATTCTGGTTCTGCCATAATATGCTGTATTGTTTTTCCTACTGTGTGTTTTAAATCCCTGTGTTCATCGGGTTACTTACCGTAAACTAAATATGAGAAGAAACAGAAAAATACGACTACGCATGCAGGTAATCCTGAAATCGCGATCGACGACCTCTAATTTCGGATTTTCAATATCTATTCACTTAGCCAAATAAAAGTTAATGTTACAGTAAGAATTTGAAATCCGCAAAATATATTGTCTCGCAACTCATATACTCTCTCTTGCTCGTCAATGAAAATCAGGAGCTCATAATTTTCATTTGAAAAAGACATAAGGGGCCTTGTCAAAATATATTGCCAATACAATCTGCTTTTTACATGCATAAACAAAAAATACGTATAATTTAAGGTTCGATCAAATTTGATCTTTATTAGAACTTTTTGAACAGAAAAAATAAGTCGTTAACAAATCAGACGAACAGATTAGGAACGATTACGTCAACTTTATACAGTCAAAGCCACAGTTCAGCATTCAGTCACCCGCTGGAGACATGGATGACAGCATGGAAGTGAGATATGCCGCGACGAAATCTTTTTACAAAAATACCGGCATCAAGTAAGTTCTAAGTATAACTATCGACTGTAGATGTTTGAAGATGTGGAGTATGAAGCCATCATACTCGCAAGGTAATACTTTTAGATTCCTAGATTCCTTTTTCCAACGATTTACTGTAGCTCTGGAATCGACTCTGGCGACGGCTCCGGAGAGGAAATTCAAATCGACGTGCTTGACTTAGTAAACGAAGAAAGTGTTTTCCTCGAGTACAATCCATTCGACTATATGTCGGATTTCCCCACACTTTCACTCAGATAGACAGAACTTCTATCATAGAACTAGCACATCGGAATTTACGCAACCTAGTTTGAAGAGCCATTTGCAGGTCGTAGACTCAGAAACAATGAGTTGTCGATGAAATAATCGCAAAACCGCGTGGTTTCGAGCCGAAGCGCGTGTTGAGAAATTATAAAATCCAAGGTTTTGCCTGAGTTTTGTCATATTTTCTTTTGCCAATTTGAAAGAAAATATCAATTTATTCCCGCCAAGAAAAAAGGAAATGTAAGAGAAAAGAAAAGATATCAGTGCTCAATGATTACAAAAAGTTTTAATAAGAATCTTAACACGTCTTCTAGCCAGATGAAACTGCCATCTCGATCACTCGTTAAAAATGATGAAAATGATTCAACGTTCACATCGAAAAGGGTCGGAACTCATCAACCGAACGAGTTTGAGCAGATTTTCCCCAATAAAGTGGTTTCCTATGGCCAGTTTGGCAAATGCGAAGGATCTGAGTGCGATGGGTAAGAATAAATTCTCGTAAAATTAGAATAGTTATCCATGAATATTCAGAGTACCTGCTGACACGATCCAAATAAGTAAAGGAAGGTTCTGCGAAATATGTGTAGATAAAGAACGCGGCGAAGAACAAATCGAAGTCCGAGACTTTGAGAAATCCGACGCGAAATTTCGATGCCCAGCGTTCTCCGCAACTGAGAGCTGCAAATCGGAGAATCTCTCGTTCGAAGAATTCTACCTCGGTTCTTGCTGTGAGCCGGGCTCGAAGTGGTTGACAGACAACCGAAAAGGTAACTGGTCATTCATCATTGAACCATGTGGTTTAAAAATGAAATTTTAGCGCAAAGAAACAAGCTTTTTATCGTCAGGAACATCCATGCCGAAGCAAAGCGTGAGCAAACGGAACTTGAGGTTCTATCTAGACAGCAAAAGTCGACCGTTAAGAAAATGGAGAGAGAGCAAAGCAACAGAAAAGAAATGGCAAAAGATTATTACGAATACTATCAAATGACTTTGAAGGAGATTGAGGAAAACGCACCAAAAATTAAAGACGCCAGGAAGGCTCATGAAGGAATTATGGAAGAGGTGCTTGAAAAGGAGAAAGAAGTTGACAAGGCGGCGAAGCGTTACAAACAGCTCTCTTACGAGTATCTTTCGGTTGAAGCCAAAGAAAATATGAAAGGTAAAAAAAGTTTCTTACAGACTAATAATTATATTCTAAATTGAAGGTAATGGAAGGTGCAAATCATGCTTGGAAGAATACAGCAACGATTCGCTCCACCATAAATGCGCTCTTCGCAAATGTGGGCATGTTTCATGCAAGGAATGTTTGGAAGGGGTTCTTATGGTAAGATTGGAAAGTTGGAACGTCGATTACGCGCTTTGTTCCGTCTGCCAAGAGAGCTTTACCCTTTCTGACATTCTCCCCATCAAAGAATAACTGTTTCATTTCTAGGGAGACTTAAGGAAAGTGAGACTAAAACTTTAGATCTGTCATTTTCTCCCAATAAACTGGAAATCAATACAATCTATCAATACTTGAATATAAATTATATCGTATTATCATTAATATATTTTATATATGGTATTTTATTTTTTTAGCAGGACTAACTGCAGGAGCTTTCGGTGAACCGTTCGAGCGATTATGACAAAAATCTCAATACAAAATCAGTAAAGTTTATCAGATTAGTGATTAAAATCTCATATCCTCTGAAATTTCCAGGAATCGGCACCATCACAGCGGGTAATCACCATTATCATGATGAAAACTTCTTTCTCTCATTAGCCACCTGGTGCACGCAGCTTTTCTTGTCTCATATAAGCAGGTAAAAATTCCTATTCCAACAAAAAGGTACATCGACCAATAACAAAAATACAATGCAGGCAAACAAGACAACCAAAATCGACGAATTCGTCAAGAACCAAATTTCTCTTTACGCCACTACGAAGTACCCAAGACCTTCTCTTTCGCAAACAGCTTCCTGGGCTTCGAAAGAATTCCGGGTCAAGCTTTCAAACGCTGATGTCCTGAAAATAGTCAAAAAACACAAGGCAGCATTGAACTCTCCAAGAATCATCAACAGGAAGAATGCGTCCCCTCACCTCATCGCTTTCCACAAAGACCTCGAAAAGCGCTCTGCCACGATGCTCGACAAGGAAGATGTCATCGGCCTTGCAGAGCGCCTTCGGCATTCGAGAAAGTACAGAAACATCAGAGTCGTGCAAATGCTCGAGTTTACGCGACAATGGTGGAGGGACTTCCAAGCAGAGGCAAACGTCGGTCGACCAGAATTCTCGATCAAGAAGAAAGAGATCATCCCGCCTTCAAGAGAAGATATGATCAAGAAGATCTTCGAAGAGCTTGCTCGGGATCCCTTCAAATATCTTCGATGCTGATTCATCTCCCAAAATACTCTCCCAAGTTTTGTTTTTTCATCTTACTTCTTCATCTTTACTTTCTCCGCTTTCCATCTCCCGATATTCATATGATCACAATTTACTTTACCTACAAACATATCTCTCAAAAACTTAATAAAATCAGTAAAAAATCCAGTTTTGTCTCATCTTTTCTTCTGATATAATTAGACAGAGATAACTTTCTGTTTGTCATAGTAGAAATTTTGTGTTTTTCATATTTTCTAGTGGCCTACCTGAAAAAAGTGCCCTTGTCGAAAATTGATTTAGTATGATCGCAGAGACACCTTTGATTGTGCTCGACCTGTCGTGTGTTTGCGCTCAACCTATAAACAAGATGATTTATTCTGTTATTTACAGTGTGAATTAGCGGCGAGCTGGGCTCATCAGCGTGACAAGTTGATCGTCGCCATTTCAACAAGAGACAGGGTCCTGATTGAGTGACAGTCAGAGTTTAGACAACCCTTCGACAGGTAATTTTTTCATTAATTATAGCGCCACATATTTCTTTGCTTTTCTCTCATGCAAAATGCGAACAGTTTGAATTGTCCATTAGCTCACCCATTTCCATAATTAGGAGTCATTAAGCCACTTGGGGGAAATTTCTCGCGGTGATCATCGTAGTAAAACATGTTTTATGGGCGAGATCATGTTTATTACGGTTCCCAAAGGAGAAGCTGATTGAACACTTTCTATACTTTCTATTTTTACACATTCAAGAGTCCACTCTTCAGAAAGAAGACATTTTTGTCAATTTGATTGATGGATAAAAAATACTCTAATAAATGAAGCAGGTAAAAAACAACGAGAGAAAATCAAGGAAGAATAATAAAGCTTGTTTTCCTTTCTTTCTTCTTCGGGTTGTGCTTGGGCCAATTTTAGCAAGTGATTAGTTTGGGCTTGATTTAAGGGTTTGAAATGCGCTCTTAAATCGCGACATAGATTTGACATTCTGCTGTTTTTGCCTCGTCCTAATCGATTGGTAGAGAGGAAGCAGCTGTGCCTGGAAAAGCAGCGAATGTCGCCAGGCTCACTCCTGCCTGTGTTTATGGTAGCGAAGGTCGGTTAGATCTCAGCTGGAGCGATCACCATAAATCAGGTCTTATACTAGCTGTGTCAGGTTTAGCAAGTCGCTGTTTGATCCTACCAAGTCCAGGTAGAGGTAGAGGGGGATCTCTCGATTTATGGAGCGCCATTATTAACCCTAACAATTTCTGGCTTCGCGAAAACGCCATTCAAGCACAAAATTCCCAGCAAGAGAAAATCAGAATGCAGTAATAATAAAATGCCAACCTGTAAGCAAAAAAATCCCAAGACCAAATTTGGCATAAAAAACTTCGAATTCGCTTATTTTAAAAAAGCCACAATTAAAAAAAAAACTAATTTTGAATGAGTGTAAATTTCAAATTTGAGTTTTTACAAAATTCAACAAGAGAAAATCTCCTGAGAAAACATTTTAAGCTCTGCACATTGATATGGATAACAGCGAATGGACCCAACAAACGGCGAGTCTGCAGCCAGACCCTATGAGAGATCAAATCAACGAGAGAGATAAACAGCGGATACGAAGGTGCGAAGCATTTTTAGTATCTCAATGATCCTTTTAGTCATCCGCTCTTCCCTCTACTCGAGTTGCTCTTCCACGAGTGCGAGAAACAGACTTCCTGTCCGCCACGAGATGTGCGCCGAAATTCTCACCGTCTCAACCAAGAGGTAACTTTCGCCCTTCCTTCCAGCCCTCTTCTCATCAGACTGTTCTAGGTTCAGAAGTTCGCCCGACGGCTGATGGAACAAGGACGAACGATCTACACGAACGACACAGAGCTCGATTCGCTGATGGTGAAGGCGCTGCAAGGTATTTTTTTCGCTGAGTAGCATTGTGCTGTTGGAGAAGTGCGTTTTTGTGACACCTGGCTTATGAAAGCTGTCCATTTCGCCGTAACTATTGTGACAAGATGTGATTGTCCCCGTCAACAGTGCGAAAACGCGCTTTTGAGAGATTTGTACATGTTGGCGGCTAACTAGCGGCGGCGCTACAAATGTCTAGATAATTTATTTGTCAATAGTAAAAACGCCATTTTTAGTGCTAAAAATCCATCTTATCGAGCTCGAGAAAGTTGGCGATCTAAGTAATGACTTCTGCCGCCGATACATACATTGTCTAAAAGGTAATAACAATTTGAGGACTCTCGTCGAGTCAAAAAGTGGCAGGTCAAAAGTCACCGGAAGAGCATATTTATTCAATTTAGGGAAAATGCAATCTGAAAATTTACTCAGGAGTCCTGACTCAGTCGACTCTTCCGATGATCCATGGTAAACGAGTTCGTTTTTAACCCTGTGAAAAATGTCTCCTAGCGATTTGGGTGCCCAGATGATCCATCCAATATCTAGACCAAATACAGCTCAGTATGCTCTAGAAAGCAGTCACCTAGGACACCAGATCCCTCCGCACCCTTACGCCGCGTACGAAGCTTTCCCACGACCCAACGCGCCAGTACTGCCTTCGACCCTTCCACACGGGCACGCTCAGGTTTCGTTCAACACGATTTACATCAAACGCTTAAATAAGATAGAGTCATAACATGCCGGGTCTATACGATAATTTTGACGCCGATAACAGGCTAAAACGGGGCTTACTGCCGCGTCAAGCGACCGACACGCTCCGAGGCTGGCTTTTTCAGTTACGGTCTCCAGACCTCATTCTTCGAGTTAGTTAGTGATAACAACGCTGGAGACCGCATAGCAGCACCTCGTCCACCCTTACCCCTCTGAGGACGAAAAAAGGAATCTCGCTCAGCAAACGGGTCTCACCCTACTGCAAGTCAACAACTGGTTCATCAACGCGCGCCGTCGAATACTACAGGGTAGGAGCTACAGAATACAGAGTATACTCTTTTGCCAAGTTCCTGCAAAATCACTAGCACAAATTTACAACCTCTGAATAGCCCCACCAAAGCCAATGATGGAAAATGAAAACCGCCGTCGCCCAAAACAGCCCTGGGAGAAAGAGAACGAGCAGAACGATCAGGAATCGAAATCTTCAGCTAGCTCAGACGATTAGATGAAACATTTACTCATCTCTCTCAAAATTTGCGACCTGACTTTTTCTGTTTACTTTGGTCTCAATCTATATGTTGAGCATTTTATCTAATTTATACAATAAAATAAAATAGCTATTGAAAACGGCGAAGGCATACATTTTATTTCATCGTCATAGACAGGAGTCGGTAATTATGTGACGATGCTTGCAAGGGATTACTCATAGTAATATTATAAATAACTGCTAATCAGACATCCGAGTCATAATTAAGATTTAGTAATATTGAGGAGTCCCCGTAGTCGTGTATCTTCTTTTGCTCAAAAGCGACGCTCGATTCGCCTTGTTCTTCGTCAGCGTGATTCCATGAAAAAAGTAGAAAATGAAAGCAACGACGAAGAACACCAGAAGGCTCTGTTGTTAAATATTTAATAAGTCGAAATCATAAGCGAGACTGACCGGTAGCATGACCCAAAGAAATGAGTTGTTGAATGTTTCTTTCAATTCAGCAGTATCATTCATCTATTTTCTGAATCTGCAAAGATCTTTTTAGCAAGCTTGTATGTGGACCAACTTTTTGGTCAGTACTGAAAATTTCACGAATGTCACAAATGTCACGAATTTGCTGAAAATGTCGCGAAAAAGAAACATGTTTTCGTGCCAACAAATGTTTCTTTTTCGTGACATTTTCATCAAATTCGTGACATTCGTGACATTTCCAGTACTGACCAAAAAGTTGTTCCATATGTTCGCAGGCTCATTCCTGACTGCTGTGATCGCTTCTCTCAAATTCTCCCTGGAACAAAAAGTGCTCATTCTTACTTGGCATAAACGTTATTTTTATCGGCCCTACAATCTTCGTTTTCTGAGTGAAAAGTTGCTTGAAATAATCGTGATCGGACATTTTTACAGAGTCTGCTAGGGATCATTCTTAATCCACGGCGAAAAAGAAGAACAATTCATAATTAACAATCCTAAGTCAGGAGATCAAAAAATTCTTTTATAATTAATGTCAGTAACGAACATGCGAATTCATTTTTCAGTAGAAGTACGGGGCTTTCTCTTGGAGTTTTGGTGCTTTTCGTAGGATTTCCGCGGTCTGCTTTCCTGGGCTCAGCAACCTGAGTTGAAAACCTGAGTCAGGCTCTGGAAAATGAAAAGCCGCATAGCGGCTTTTTTAAAAACGAAGCCGCAAAGCGGCTTCGCAAATAAACCATATGATTTTTCTTTAAACTCCTGGCGAAGCTTTGCGGCTTTTCATTTTAGCTCTTCCAGAGCCTGACTCAGGTTTTCTACTCAGAATGCTGAGCTCAGCTGGATTCAATGCCGGGAAGATGAAATTGAAAATCTCGCTGCTGGCTGCTGAAATATTTCTCTTTAGAAATAATGGGAATAAGCTCGTTTACCGCAAGTTTCGTCTATTCCTTCCAAGTCTACGGCGAGCAGATCGACGAGACCCTAAGAAGACGGAGAAGATATTCTGAGAAAGTGTTCGAGTCGGTCACTTACAGGTCTTCCGGATATGTTGCCGGACAAATTTGATCTCATCTTGATTCGTTGGTGCGGGAGAGGTTGGTCCGGCACTAGAAACTTTCTCCTCCGGTGGATCATTTTTGCGGATCTAAATTCAATCGTAGAGAGAGGTTATCATTCGAGCCTAGGATTCGAGCCATCCAATATCCCTAGAATCTGGGCTAGTGGTTAGGGACTGGGGGTCCTGTGGGGCGAAGCCCCTGATCTAAGCCTTAGGAGGGGGTCCCGGGGGGCGTAGCCCCTGGGTTAGGTTTAGGGGCAGCTCGAATGATAACCCTCCTACAACCAATTTGATGGCTAGGAAGGATAGTTCATCTTACCTTTGCCGCGATTCTTGCTGACAAGGAGGATATTATCTTCACTTGCCGGTTGTTTTGCGCCGTCTTTGCTTTTTCTAATTTTTTTACTTTGAAATAAAGTAAAAGTCACTTAACGAATGAGAACATTTTTTATACTAAAATGCAAAAAGACAACGCCGAAAAGTCCGCCAAGAAGAATCAAAGTCATGATATGGTTGAGAGCAGTTTTTTCTTCCCCTGCTTGCTTTCTGAGAGTCAAAGAATATTATACAAAAAATACTTATTAAACTCTTCAGACTCTCAATTTTAGAGACCTTTATATGAGAAATATGAACGACTGGTGGATCATATGCTAGGTTGTAGAAACTGTTTGTGCATTTTTTATACGATTCTAAAAATTGAAAACTTCGGAAGGTCTCTTCTTTCTTGCTTTACCCATGAATTTGCGAATGTCAATCTTGCCACCTTCTTCGAGATTGCCGCAGTCGGATAGCTTTTTTGGTCCGCTGAAAGAATCAAATTTTATTGATAATTGAAAATAGTCGTGACTTGCCCGACTTTTCCTATTTTTTCTTGTAACGACTTTCGCAAGATCTACATTTTTTTTTTCAATTTCTAAATTGATGTGCGACAAAATCATTACCATGAAGAAGGACAGCTGTATTCGCATCCATTTAAGATCGTCGATTGTCTACCTCAGCGCCTCTTGACAAAGTCAAAAGAAAAAAAAAGAGACTCTGAGCCCTATCATGCGGCCAATGTCAACTACAGGGTCTTCTCCATGTTCGTGGTCGTGGGAGCTGTTCATTCTCTTTTGGAGAAAGTTTCTCGACGAAAACAAGTGCTCCAAATTCCTATCCATTTTCTGCATGATTTCAATAAAATGAAAAAGTAAATCCTTTGAATCCGAGCAATCATAAGATGCACTGATTAAACGCTAATCAACAACTTGCTGCAACAACCGCTTTTCTTACACGTGAATAACTCATGTATTAATAAGGGTCTGTTTCGTACTCTCATTTGCCTGTATTTTACACTGCTTGTTTGTCTTCATTTTGCAAGTTATAATCGATGATGATTGTAGAGTTGTCATCGAAGTGGCTTCGAAATCCTCATTTTTTGCATTTTGAATCGAAAAAGGGATGAACAGAGTCATCAGAGATCTACGTAGAAAACGTGAGAGACCACTTTAGAGGTAGAGGCTTTTCTAGGATCATTCTCCGTTCAGAACTACTCATCTGCATTTTGCGAGAAAAAATGAACGAGGCGACGCAGCATTACTGCCGACATAGGGACAAATCGTTCAATGATGAGAAACGCGAGCGTATTCTGGATAAGTTTAGCTAAACTAATTAGCGCTTCGACTTTTTAACTTTTTATTAAAGAGTTATTGATTGCGAGTTTGAATACAGATTTGCGCTTCGAGAGTACAACGTCAAAATCATGGAGGTAATTTTGTTCTCTTCGTTGATTTCGATTATTTCAATTTTTAAGACTGTTTCAAATTTCAACCTACATCGAGAAGACATTGAAAAGCTCCTGGTGTAATGACGATTTGGCTGCTGGTTTATTAATGTACATGTTTATTATTATTGTCACCACATTTAAACGCAAAATAAGTTGATTTGTGAAGGAAAAAATTAGAGTGAAGCGAAGGTAAAAAGTGTGCTTTTAAAGTATTCGTGTAAAGAGAATGAAGTCGTTCGAGGTGGTCTGCTGTCTTATGGGTCGATCTCTCGCAACACAGTGTTGAACTTTCTGACAGAAGCGACGGGGGAACAGAGATTACGCAGATTTACTTACTCATTGATTGGGCTTGGCAGTTGCAGCATTCTTTTTTCATCAACATAAACAATAATTTTAACAATTAGAATTAGACAGGAATGGTTCGCCTGGGGTCGAAGTGGATCTCTTCGTCTGCGTAGCGATCGTCGACTGTAAATACTTCGTTAGGTACTGTAACAGGATACTAATTGGAGGAAGCGAATATCCTTGGAGTTTACTGACCTGTGTCGACGTAGTCACTTTCATCACGCACAATTAGTCGAGCGTTGCCACTATCGGAGCGCAGTGTCCCTCCATTATCTCGTTTCAGGGTTCCACCAACTAATGACACTCCTGAATTGAGACGCGCCGCCGGATAGTTTGGCGGCGGAGTGATGCTACTTCGTTCTTCCGCTGGGTCGTAATCGACTGGCTCCTTTGCGAATTTCGCCTTGATTTGTTCCCGGAAGACCCAGGTCAGAGTGCCGACCACAATAATAATTCTGAATGGGGCGTCAATTTACGGATTTACGGGTCGTGAGAGCTCTTACATGAGAATAAGAACGATGACGACGATTAGGACATTGAAGCTAGCTCCGCCCATCGAGCGACAATGCTCATCGTAAGCGTCGCCCAAGTTGATACTAGCGGAAGTGGATTTGCCAATGCTATTGCTCGTAGTGCACCGCAAAACAGCAGTTGAATAGCTTTGCGTCTCGTAGATGCCCATTTCGTACAGAGTAAGCGTCAGTTCTTTTAGGCTTTTCATCACATTATTTGGCAGCGTTATATCGTAGCCAGTGACACTTGAAAATGATGATGTGAGGTGAATACTCGTCGAAAATTACCTTGGTTTTGCTTGATATTCTCTATTATCAGAACAATCGACAGAAATCTGCTCGATAGCTGATCCGTCCGAGGAACACACTACCGATCGGATGTCGAAAATGGGAGTAAACGGCTTGAACTTGAGTGGGACAACGAAATCCTCGCTAATAGGATTGTCTACTGCTTCGTGCTGCACATGGCAAACGAAAAACAAGTCTTCAAGAAACTCCTTCTCCACGGGCAATTTCAAGTCTGCTGAATTCTTTCCTTCTGCTCCAGGAATCTTTCGCAGCTGCATATCTCTGCCCCGAACAGACCATTCCACAGTAGATTGAGCAGGTTTCCCACCGACAGCTAAGAAAATACAAAATTCGATTCACAGAAATGCGCGTGAAAATGCACCTGTACAAGTGGCCAAGAAAATGGGATCGGCGCTGTGTGTCACATAGTCGCCCGTAAACTTCTTATCTATTTGCACGGTCGGTGCTTGCAAAATAACGATTTCGAATTCATCCTTATCAGGGGTTGGGATCTGCTCATCTCAATTCATCAATTTAGGACGCTGGAAACATTCCAATCAATCTTTGTTTTGGCCTAATAAAAATTCGACCCCGCTAAGTAATAAATAGCGCTCAGCGATCAAGATTCAAACGATGCAAATTCAGATACAACCCTTTCCTCAACTTCTTGAGTCGCCATGTAGGTGATCACATATTTCTTTTCGTCCGACAATTGTGCGTTGGATCTCGTGAGCTTGTTTCCAGAGTGCATGAACTCGCTGCTTGAATGTTGGTCGATCCTTCCATTTGAGACACTCCCTCTGAAATAGAATTTCCCTGTGGAGAGCGTTTTCAAGAATCCTTTTCAAATACAACATGCCCGGATGGCTCTCAATAGCAGCCCGGATACATTCAGAGGAGCTCCCAGCTCGAGTACTCACTAAATTTGACTCTCAAAAACGCATTCCTGAGTCGTCTTTGAGGGTGATGTAGGAGAGATCGCTCAACTCCGCTGAATTAAAATTCCGAAGCGGGAAGTTTATCTCGCGACCTTCTTTCACTGGGATTAGTTCAATCTCTCCAAGAGCCGCATGAAATGAAATGAAGAAGAAAAGGTTTCGCATCTTCTCTCTTACTCTGCGCCGCCTGGGAAACTTTTGGAACTTTCTGATTTCGCTCCTTCTTCTTCTTGAGTAGTTTTTATTTCTCTTTTCTCTCTCTTCTTTGAATGAATCGCTGCGCGGGTGAACAAGTAACTATCCACGAGCCGTCGTAAAATCGCAATTCATGAATAAGGCTCCGGCTCTTAAGACTTCTCGGCAAATCAGTAGTTTTGGTAGTAAGCTCCGGTTACAGATTACTGCCTCTCCGGTCGAGCGAGACGAGGAGTACCGCTACTATCGTACAGTTTGGCGCCACTCGACTCTCTTTACAGTTCCGTTATGAATAGCGGCACCTATTATCGCAATGATTAGTACTATTGATAAACACTCCCCTTTAAATTACAATAGCTTGCTCGCCCTCTCTCTTTTTCTCTTTCTCTATTATACCCTCTTGTTGAAGAGCAAATCAAGCTCGTTCTTCTGCCTTTCTACGTTTCTGAGAACGGCGGAGTAATGATTAAACGTTTGATTCAAATAAAGCTCTCAAGGTTCAACAAACGAGCACCTTTGGATTCAAACCAGCGCGCTTTCAAAATGATACTTATTCAAAAAATAGTATAAAACAATTAATATAAAAGAGGAGCGTCTTACCTGAGCAATTCAGCGTAGGCACTTTTTTAGGCCACGGGAATCGAAGAATCGCTACTATAAATTTAAAGCGCTATATCGGCGGAATAAAAAAATAAGGGCGCTCATTGAAAATGAGCAATTGAAATTGTTAAAAAAAAAGAAAGATGTGTTTACTCAATCCTTGTTTTATAGAGACGGGCGGATGTAATCTTTTGTTTTACTTGTATAAACGTTTTTCGGTCGTCACAAATTTTGGCCGTTGATATTTTCAAATTATCATTTTTCAATTGTGACATTTTTACGAAAAACTAAATTTCAGGCCTTTAGGGTTTCCCACCAATATCGCAATAAATTTCCCGACTGCGGAGTAATTCCCCGTTCTCGTTAACATCTCACATCTTTAAATTTTATATCCTCTCACCTTTTTTCGTGCTTTCGCCTTTGATCTTGAAACTTCTCCAAAAAAAAAAGTTTCGTCGGCTCTGTCCTTCGGTCCTCGTTTAGCACGTAAAGTAAACTTATAAATCCATCGCAGGACACTAAAAAAAGCTAAAAAACTAGCTACTTCAGCCGCGTGCCGATCGAGCTCTGTTGTGAGATAAAGTAGCTAAAACGGTGGACCAAAAGCTTGTCGAGAGGGCGAAGATCACTTAACTTTATCGACCGGCACCGGCTGGTGAGCTTGCTATTTATTAAACGGGCCAATGTGGCATTTTTGGAATGCACTCGAACTTGTACCCTTTTCCGCCTTTTCCACAGTTTATTTTGACCTTTAGCTCTGTTTTTTTAATAAAGAACTTTTGTACTTTCGACGATTATAATTTTTGAATGACCTTTTCGATCGTTGAGTAATTGAAAATTATTATTTTCATTACTGTATCACTCGCCGTAATCAACACCATAAATGCTTAAATCATACTGAAGATCAAAAAAAGCAAGATCATAATTCCCATGAAGCAATAAATTCGTAACTGCCTCTAATATAAAAAAAATGCCACGGTGGGTGATGCGTATAATTGATACCGATCAGTTCTCATCAAAGACCGTCTGGAAGTGCTCTTCTGCTCCTGTCTGTTTAAGCAGTTTAATCCACAGTGGCTGATCCCTTATTTTGTAGTCATTAAGCTTTCAAGTGCTCGTCACGGCGTGTTTAACGCGTTATGCAACTTTTCCGCCAGTTGGCGCCAGCGACGTTGTCCAAGTGCATCTGTAAATGGCTTTGGCCCCGACCGCGATTTCGACATGACCGAGGCTCCACATTCAAAACCATAAAAAAGACACACCAAGAGAGACAAAAAGAAATGATCTGGAAGCGGCTAATATTCCTGCTGCAGCTGAGTTTCGGCTATCGGACGTATTCCAGTCCCCGATATCGATACATTCGGTAAAGTTGTTGGTTTTATTTTTGATTTTCAAGAAAAGTTTAAAGTTGGGTAGAGAGGCCTCAGACTACAGAAAAATCACCGATATACAGGCGCAATATTCGACCGACGTACAGATACCCCTCCAACTACTACCCTCATCAGCATAGATCCAGAGATTTGAGCTACAGTTCTTATGCGCGCAAAGCAGAAGTGCCAAAACCTGATGTTATCAAAGTCGAAGCAAGGGACTTACAAGACATCTCCGAGCAGATCTCCGCCGCTGTTCGAACAAATGCGTGTCCCTCGGATGTTCCTATCGACATTCTTTTTCTCTTGGATTCGAGGTGAGCTGGGTATCATCTTGCCAAGTTAAATGACCCATTATGAAGTTATATGACGACGAGTACTGCATATTCTCAGTTCAAGAGGCTTGTGGCTTATATGGCTTCAACGATGATGTATAGGAAATTTCGTATGCAAAAATATCATATCGTTTTTTTTTTGCTTTATTTATTGACCAAATTTGCATCAATAAAAAAGTGACTCGATGGTGAAAATGGCGGTGTTTCAGTTTGATGAAACGCAAACCGAACGATTCATTTCCTTCCACGATTACGACGAGTTTTCCGGCTTCAAAACGAGTTTGTCGGAGATGAAAAGGAAGGCACTTGGTCGGAAAGGTCGCCACGCGAGCCGACGCTCTCAACGTCATTTGCGTAGCTTGCGGCGGCGCTTTGGACGCAATTCCTCCAAAATGGAAGGAGATCCGTTTGAAGGAGCTTTGGATAATGTGCAAAAGTACGGATTTTCGCGCTCCCGCGGAGCACGGGCTCAGGCACGAGGGCCACCAACAAAACTATTATTACCTCCTCTTTTGATCTTTCATTCTCGTTTTCGATAAAAAGGGTTTTATTTTTGTCGCCCCTCTGTGAAAGGCTGTAAAAATATTAATCGTCATGTCAGGGGAAACGCCGACGTACTCGTCAAATGCGCTGGCTACCAAGCTTAGAAGTTTCCACGATGTGAATATTTTTGCCGTCGTGGTCGGCGAGGAGGACAGCGGAATTACCGATGAGTTCACCGGAAGCGCAAGTCGTATTCTTCGGGTGATCAAAGAGAACCGCCTGGTTGATGAACTCGCACAGTTGCAGCAGCTCATTTGCCGCGACTTCGAAACTTGCAATACTTCATCATTTCAATGCCTGAAAAAGTACAACACCGGTGGATATGCCAGCAGCTACATAACAAAATGCCATCGAGTAAATTGCGAACATGGAAAATGCCTTACCAAGCCCTGCCATCCCACTCAATTCTGCAAGGAAAAGGGCTCCTACGACTTTGAATGCAGCAATTCATCGCTCGAAGCGCAACTCACTTGTGAGGATTTGTCCTGTGGCAACGGGGTCTGTAAGATGCTTGGAAACACGGCGCATTGCCAGTGCCATGCAGGATGGACCGGCGAAAAATGCGACGAAGATGTCGACGAGTGCACCATCTCGTCGCACAATTGCCAGCACAAGTGCATTAACACTAGAGGAGGATACAATTGCGAATGCAACGAAGGATACGAGCTGACCATCGGCGGGCAATGCGACGATGTTGACGAGTGTGCAGATTCTAGCCACGGTTGCGGTCAAATCTGCCGCAATTTCCCGGGCGAGTACACGTGCGAATGCTATCCCGGCTTCTCACTTGACTTCAACGGCAAGAGTTGCAGCGAAATTGATACTTGCAAGTTGGCAAACTGCAGCGATAAGTGTGTCAACCTTTCGGGCATGGCTTACAGATGCCTTTGCTCACCAGGCTTCATTTTGGACAACGACGATCACACTTGTATAGATTAAGGTCACCATTTATTACCTGTTTATTTTATAAATCCGAATGTGACCCGATAAGTAGACGTAGACGAGTGCGCCTTGGAACCGTGCGAATACGGTTACGAGTGCATCAATACGGCTGGCAGCTACGAATGCGTTGATATCGACGAGTGTGCCCAAGCTCACTGCCCCGATGGTTTCACCTGCAAAAATTTCAAAGGCGACTTTAAATGTTACGATATAAACGAATGCGATGACAACCCCTGTGACGAAAATGAAAGTTGTGAAAATACGGTTGGCGGGTTCTTGTGCAGTTTCATCGATCCCTGCGCAAAGGAGCCCTGTGAAGTTGGCTTTGAATGCAGAGTTAATGAAGCTGGATTCGAATGTGTCGATATCAACGAGTGTGAGAAGGAGAATATCTGCCCTTCAGGCTACAGGTAAGTGGGATGTCTAATGATATACATGTTGTTTTTAGGAATATGATATATCTTCTTTTAGATGCGAAAATTTTAACGGCGATTATGAGTGTATCGATATCGACGAATGCGCTCACGAAATAATGGCCTGTCCAGTTGGATACAAATGCGAAAACTCCGATGGTGATTTCAAGTGCTCTTTTGTTGACCATTGCGAAGAAAATCCGTGCGCTGCAGGACTTGAATGCAGTAACACGATCGACGGCTCGTTCAAGTGCAGCGACATAGATGAGTGCCTTAATGAGCCTTGCGACAAAGGCGAGGAATGTATTAATTTGCACGGCGGATATAGATGCGAGGACGTCGACGAATGCAAAAGGGAGTGTTTAAGTTTGAGTGTTGTGGTTATGTTTGGATACCAATCGGTTTAGTAAACACCAAAAAGTCATCCATGCGAATCGGGTTTCAAGTGCGCTAATCTGCCAGGGGCTTACGGTAAGCATACAAAACTTTTTGAACTTGCTCGGGAACCGTTGACTTTTAACGAGGCGGAAGAAGAAGTCTACTTTGTTTTCAGAGTGCATCGACATTGACGAGTGCGCGGAAGAAATAAACACTTGCAGCAAGCGACAAACATGCCAGAATACGGAGGGCTCGTTTGAGTGCATAGAAATCGATCTCTGCGAAAATGCGCAGTGCGAAGCTGGTTACGAGTGTGTCGACTACGTTGATGGCTTTGAGTGTCTTGATATCAATGAATGCGTGATCGATTCTCCGTGTGATTTGGGATTCACGTGTAAAAATACTCCAGGTTCTTATCAATGTGAGGATTTCGACGAGTGCGCCGTTTTCGGCGAAGCAAACATCTGCGAAATCGGCTTCAAATGTGTCAACAACGTTGGAAACTTTTCATGTGTGGATGTCGACGAGTGTCTGGAAATTGGATCGTGTCCCGTTGGCTTTGAATGTTACAACAAACACGGCAGTTACGATTGTCTTGACATTAACGAGTGCTTTGAGGAGCCGTGTGACAACGGCTACGCTTGTCTCAATAATGAAGGCTCGTATACATGTGTCGATGTGAACGAATGCACGGCCGAGAGTTGCCAGGCTGGCACAAACTGCGTGAATACTCTAGGCAGCTACGAATGCAAAGATATTGACGAATGTGAAAATTCACCCTGCGAGGAAGGATTTTATTGCTCGAACAGTTTCGGCTCCTTTTCTTGCCTCGACGTTGATGAATGCGCCACTCTTAGTTCCCCTTGCGACGATTTTTCAAACTGCGTGAATACACCGGGCAGTTTTGTCTGTGAAGAAATTCAAGAGGAAGAAAAAGACGAAGAAGAAGCCGATTCTACAAGCGAAGCACTCTCGACATGTGATGGAGCCAACCACAAATGCTCACATACTTGCATTCTTCTTTCTACGAGTACGATAATCGTCGCCCCATCTACTCCAATCCACATTGCTGCTCCAAATGTTTACTATCGATGCGACTGCCCAAATGGATACGAGCTTGCTCAGGATGGCCACACATGTCTTGACATTGACGAATGTCAAATTCGAAAAGGAGGATGCTCAGATTATTGCTTCAATACTCAAGGCAGAGATTCAATTGATAATTATCAGAGCTTTTGAAGAGAATTTCACATGATACGACGATAGCAGACTCAAATCCGGGGTTACGCCGCCACTAAGAGAATCCTGTCTTGTGATTGGCTGACCGGATAACCTGTTCGCCATCCGTGGCGAACAGCTTCAAATCCCGGGCAAAGGCCTGCTATCATCGGTAGTCTATAATATCTCTTGAAAAGGTGGCTATCGTTGTGTTTGCGGAGAAGGAGAGGATCTATCCAGCGATATGCATACTTGTGTCAGCAAATCACGGAAGAACAAGAACAGCGGCTGCAAAGTGGAGTGCGAAAACGGGCTCTGCATCGATGACGTTTGCAAGTGCTCAGAAGGCTGGAAAGGGAACAAGTGTGATCAGGGTAATGTATTTTCAAATGTTTTCAAAGTGCTCGGGATTGGCCCAGTCACTTTCGGACTCTATGAGCAGTTCCGCCACGCGTTGATGTTCTTGTTGCCAATGCACGGGTGGAATCATTCCAAACTTTTCGTCGAGCTCGAGAAAAAGTATTCGCCAGAGAATTTCGAGATTTTCCAACGCCACCAGATTGTCTGAGGCGATTGCAATGCCAAATATCGCTCGCAGTATTTTGACTCTGCCTTCCCAGATGATTGCATTTGGTGCCATTGATTGCATTGGCGGGGGAAAATCTGCGGGCGGCGCTTCGTTAATGTCGTCGTAAAGGTGAATTAGTTCGGAATACTTTACGAGGGTTTTAATCTCTTGCTTGGTTTCAACATCGATGCTTATAAGATAAGCTAACCCGTGCCAAATGCTGTAAAACAGTTATATGATTGCGGCTGACCGTAATATACTCATCCTCGTCATCGTCAATTTCCTCGTCTTCGTCTCCCAAGTCGTCATTGTAAATAGTTTGCGCTAGTTATATTATATTATATTATATTATATTATATTATATTATATTATATTATATTATATTATATTATATTATATTATATTATATTATATTATATTATATTATATTATATTATATTATATTATATTATATTATATACCTTGTTGTCCGAAATGATAAATATCCATTTTGTAGAGATCTTTCAGCGGCACAACATAGTTGAGTTCTCCTATCCATGGTAGAATCACAAAATTTGCATTAAAATCAATCGTGTCGTTTTTCGAAAACGGGAGTTTATAAAAATCGTACGGCCAAAGAATGCAGCAATCACCATCAATGAGATCTTGTCGTAAGAATAAGGGTCTTTCGTTGGCGAGTTGAGTGACTCTCGCGAAGGAAATATTCCATGGGAGGAGCTCCGTGTGACTGAGAAGTTCTGACGGGCGCGTTGAAGATAGCACGAATGATTCTCTAGGAACTGAGCGTTGATAAAGATCTTCGAGGGCTGATCGCGGTTGCTTGTGCTTTTGAATGACTGGTCTTCGAGTTGGTGACTTCCAAATGTGTATAAGCTCGTCAAACAAATTGTCGGAGTTGTCCGACTTGCTCATCAGCTGCTGATCATCTTTCTCCGAGAAGTCGTACCCAGCGCCCACAAAATAAATAATTCTAAAAACATACAAAATCGCGGGGCCGGCGAGAATTGCCAAAACAAAGCTCTCCTTCATGATAATAATAATTATTCTCTCTCTCGTTTTTTTCCGCCAAATCTCCCCTCCGGCTCAGCGCGAAAAAAAAATTGCGCACTGGCGATTGCGGAGTCCCTTAAATAATAATCCACTTTTTCCTTTAAGACATTGATGAATGCATCCAAAGGTAAGTTTTGACCTCATTATTCAACTATAGCTAAAATTAAAATTATTCAGTCCTTGCAATCATGGAAGATGCATAAACACTGAGGGAAGCTTCATGTGCCAGTGTGACAAAGGATTCCAATTCGATTACCAAATCGACAACTGCGTTGATGTGAATGAGTGCCTCTCTCCAAAGAGAAATCTTTGTGAGCAGGATTGCATTAACAAAGAAGGTAATGTAACTCATGTAAATACTCACGTGATCTTCATCTTCTTTCCTAATAGGAACCTACAGCTGCAAGTGTAGGGAAGACTTCGTTCTGAGCGCTGACGGGCACTCTTGCGTGCCACTTGGTATCTGCGCCGAAAATCCTTGCTACAACAATGGAAAATGCGTGATAGACAAGCATTCGTTCCACTGCGAATGCGAGAAAGGCTTTACTGGTCGTCTTTGCCACCAGCAAGTTCAATTTGAGTTACCAGACTTTCTTAATATCGAATCCGAAAGCATAAGATCAGGTTTTGTAAAAATTGCAAACGGTGTTTTCAATTACGGTGTCATTCAGTAAGAGTTGGTGATCATAAGAGTTGTTATCCGAATAATCCTTGTCTCAATGGTGGAAAGTGTTTCGCGCTTAAAAAAAATATGGATGCCGGGCAATTTGTTTGCGCTTGTTCGAAACACTTTACCGGAAACAAGTGTCAACACGGTTATCTATCTTGCATGGTGTCGTTTTTTTTTATTCTATTTTTTATCAAAGTCGGCGAGCGAGAATCAAGCACGAGCGCGCTATTTTCTATTTTTTCATTCAGCCGAAAATTAGCAGATCAATTTTCAATTTTTTTATTTCAGAAATAACTGCTTGCGAAGATGAATGCCGAAACGGCGGGAAATGCATGGAATCGTCTCCGAATCAGCACCAGTGCCAATGCACTGATAGATACTACGGTCGAAGTTGCGAAAAGTTGCGCTCTGTTCCGAACGGTTAGTTCGTCAAGCAAGTTCCGGAAAAGTGATTAATAATTTCAGTGTGCAAGGACCAAGCTTTTGACATTGTTTTCTTGATCGATGGTTCCATTCGAATCGGGCGAAAAAACTACAACATGGTGATCGACTGGATCAAGTCTATCGTGACTCAACTTAATATCAGGTAAGAGTATCACTCCGTTAACTTCAAACTAATCAAAAACATTATCTTTTTCAGCCAAGAAAGATCGCGCATTGGACTTGTGCAATTTTCGACCAAAACAGAGATTGAATTCGACTTGGCGAGGTTCAACGACAAGAGCAATTTACTTCAAGGATTAGAGCAGAGCAAGAACCGATTCAAAAACATGGGCTACAATGCGTACGCCGGCCTTCGTAACAGCATCGATCTCTTCCACGGGAAAAATCCGGTGAGAAAAAAGGGTCGAAAACAACTCTTTGAATCTAACGCTAAATTTAGAGATTTCTTATCATGATCACTGCCGGTCGCCTTTACATTCATCCACGACGACTCAAAGAAGTTCTCAACGCAGCAGAACACAGCAAAGTGGAAGTTTTCGCAGTTAAACTTGGCAAAATGACGAACGAAGCTGAACTGATGGGATTAACCAAAAACGACCGGAGCATCTTCGGGATAAGACACAAGAGCGATTTTAGAAAAGAGGGCGCAGCTATTCTCACTTCTATATGTTTCAAAGGTGGGTGAACAAAGGTTTTGCCCTTAATGTTTTTTAGATGACTGGAGAAACAAAATCATAGAAGAAGACTGAGCCCGCCTCCTGATCGATAATAAGTTCAACCCTCGACCGCCGTGCCTATCGTAACTCCTGAACGCTTAAAATATTTCCAGACCTGACTTGCTGACCCTCTCATTCCATTTGTAAAATACATTCACGTGAAAACTTCTTTTTTCTCTTTTTGGTACAGACAAAAGCCACAAAGAGAGAGAGAGCGAATGGCTTGTCCTTTGTCTTGCGAAAAGCAAATCACAATGGCCGAAGAACCATCAAGAGACATAAATGAAGATAGGGATACTCTTTTTATCGGAAAAGAACGAAATCATTAAGAGATGCAAGCAGTAAGCTAGAATTGATAATTTCGAGATTGAGGCGTCGCGGTCACAACTGCTGGGGTTGTTCTTCTCTATCTAGTTGTAGCAGTTGCGAAACGACTTTGCGGAGTGCGAATTTCTCCATGGCTACGGATTTATCGCATTTCTATGTTTTAATCTTTGCTAGAATATTTCAAAATCCGTGAAAGCATTCTAGATCAATAACAGCTTCTACTTCAAACGTCAACTACCCTTTTAGCTCAACTAGTTATGGAAGACCGCCTCGCCTGCCGAGTATACGCACAGTATCATCCGAGTCAGTAGATGTTCAGTCTCCGCCTCCCAAGTATGACGATATCGTACTGCCTCCTTCATATGAGTCTGTCGCTCAAAGAAGTTAAAAAGTATCTCGATTTTTTCGCCCTTGTAATTTATAAAATTTATATTTTAATAAAATTTTAAATTAAATAAAAAGTATTTTTATAGAAACGAATCCGCCTTTATTCAATGTCTACGTAGAAGGGTCAAGAAAATATACATAATAATCTTTTCGGGACTAAAAGAAGAAGGCTTTTTTCTGTTTTAGGCCAAATAGCTTCCAAATGACGTTGACGACGTCACAGAACAGGGGGATGAGTCTGAGACTGATGAATGAGAGAGTGGATCCGAAAACGAAGAGACCTATTGTGATAAAAATAAAAATCAGAAACTCGAGAAAATTGCTTACGAGTTGCTGCAGCGAGTTGTCTTCCCTGTACGAGATTGAGTTGAGCGATTTCCAGTCGTTTTGCTTCTCGGGGCTATATTTTCAGCTTGCAGTAGGTTGATTAGTTTGAAATTAGCGTTGGAAATTAGCGAGAATATATACTGTCACGAAAATGAATGAGCCCGTGTCTGGTAGCTTTTTATTTCGATCTCTGTGTCGAGCTTCTGTTGAGGATTATCCGGAACGGGATCGGTGGCGACTAGCGAAACCGCTTTGCAGGACGCGATCGATTTCGTTTCATCAGTCCCCGAATCTAGCATTTTTGTTAAATCATTTCGGAAATTATAGCGATGGAATTAACTCTTTCTTCGTTATTTACTTACCTTGATTATTTCTCTGATCTTCGAGCTGCTTAATCATAATCTGTTTCTTCTTGTCCTTGCATCTAAGAAGTATTGTGAGGGATGAGTAAAGGTTAAGAACTCGGGGTTTTATCAAAAATGATCGGATGATCCCTTCTCACCGTTTATTCTGAAACCACACGCGGATCACTCGCGGGGATAAGCCCGTCATTTCGACCAGTTGTTCTTTCATCAACGCATCTGGTCGTGGATTCGCTTGGTAACACGTTCGCAGAGTGTGGAGCTGCTTTTCGTTCAGCACCGTTCGAACTCTGGCAATGAAGACATAGAAGAGATTTGGAAAATAGATTTTACCTCGTTGTTTTCGGTTTATTTCGTCGCTCCATCTCCCGGCAACGGAATTGGTTCTGTCTGATGAAGGGATAAAGGGAAAATTTCCAACCTGAGTGCTTAAATTTTACACTGTAAAATAAGAATAAAAAATCGATGTCGCCTTGGACATATGTCAGTTGTCTGTTTTCAGGCTATCATTAATTCGTAATGCAATAAGCAACGAGCTGCTGGACATGAAGCCGATACGGTGGGCGATTTGCGGTCATTTTTCATTTTGATACTATTCTAGATCCCTGCCTAGATTGCTCCGACTCCAGTTCATGACAAGGTCGACAGAAAAGACGAGTGTCGATCAATAAGAACTCATCACCAGAGACCAGAACACGAACGCATGACGAGCAACTTACTCGATTTATTATTAATCATACCCTCAGACAACTTTACTACGATATGATAACTCGCGTTATACTATCTTTTGTTCTATTTATCTTTCACAGGGCATGGAACAATTTTCTTCTATATAAAATATGCTCGTCAAAAAATTTAAATCGTTCCTGAAGCAGTCCACATGAAAGGTGCAATTCTTGACTTTGTGAACGAGATCGGTCGGATGCAGCACATGGTCGCACTTGGCACAATGCTCCATGTAGAGTCTGAAAGAAAGAACTGCTTATTTTGATATCGATAGTAAAAAAGATTAACGATTATGTTATCACTGAAGCGTGTGGAGCGCGAACCGCGAGTCGCATTGAGCGGCGGTCACTGTTGCGGATGACGATTGATCCCTTTTTTTTTTGACAATGCAAAATCGACATGGAAAAATCGCTGTTCCGACGCTGTTGCGCTGGGATTTGAGCGCGTTAATTTCGGAAGAAGTGTTTTGTTTTTCTTGAGACTCAGCGGTGGCGAGCGCGGCTTTGATCTCGCCTTCGTCATGCTGATTTCAAGGCTCAAGTTGAGCCAGATGGATGATCTGAGTGATCTCGAGCCAATACACTCGCCCGTGGCGATTGGTCGAGGTGAGCCTGCAAGGCGCCGCTGAGTAAAAAAACTCACTCTATCCGCAATTGCCTGATTTACAATCGAAGTTGACATTGAGTGCGGGGATAAGCTTGACTTAGTGGCTGCAAGTGTACTGGCCGATGTTACTGTCAGAATCGAGCGGTACCGCTGAGGGTCGATGATATCTCATCCGCGCGGGGCGGATTTGGATCAGCCATGGACAGCCGCCGTTGAGTGATCGGCTCAACCCGTCCATCCAGGCTCAGCCGCTTCGACCTGCCGAGCTAGGCTAGCTAGGTCACGAGACTGTCCTTCTACTAGGTCGCTGCATATGCTGACCTGGGTCATCGATTCACAGAAAAACACGCTCCTCATTTTTGCTAATTAAGATCGAAAACTTCGCAGGTACTGACCAATCAATATCAAGAATTAAACTATCAGTATGTCAAGTATTTCATTACCGTTCATAATCATCCTTGCAGTAGGCTAATTCGTTTTTCATGAAACAGCTCGTCGCGTCCTGGAAGTAGCATCCACACTCACTTAAGAAAATTAACTTGCATCGTTTTAAGGCAGCCAAAAGGACCCAAAAGGGTCACAACATCTTCCCACGATAACTACATGACCGCCCTGGGGATTTTTTCATAGAAGATATAATAATAAAGTATAATCCGCGCTCTCGGGGGATTTCAAATTATCGACAGATCAAAAGTTCTCGTCACTGATCACATTGATCAATTTTACGCCTGTCATCAAAAATGAAGTACTGTTAGACGTTTTTGCAAGCAGAAATATGTATCAATGATCAATTATTAATCAGACTCCAGCTCACATCTTTCATTAGATAGATTTCTCGACGGAAACAATGCCTATCAAAGAAAAAATGCAAAAACGAGCCAACCCTAACCCTAACCCTAACATTATGATGTAGCTCTACCATTTCCTATTTGATGAAGTTTAAATTTAGCTGCGATAAAATTTGAAAAATAAGCTGGTCAGTTACCTGCACTTGAGACAGTGAGGGTGGAAAGAGTAGTCTGGATGAACTTGCCAGGAGAAGGCGTCGTCGATTTTTCCTCTGCAGGAGTGGCAAACCCTTGGCGGCAGTTCTGTCGGGACTTGAGGCACAGGGAGTGTCTGAACAGGTGGCGTCGTGTCTGGTATATGCATCCGCCAGCTATTTGCCGTCGCCGTCTCATTTACACGCGCATTCACGTCAACTTCGCTAACCATCATTGATGTCTTAATTGAGTAGGTTGGGGTCAAACGGATGTCTCTGTCTTGTCAAAAGAGCAATAATCGAGCGTGTCGCGTGCTCGGCTAAATAAAGGAGCAGGAGAAGAGAAATGCGCCGCCGAGGGCAACTCCGCTGCGCCCCCAGGCGATCGCCGAATCTGGAACAGATCAGCGTTGATGAAGCAGATTGGAAGCGCCCCAGAAGTTGGTCTTTATGGCCGACTTGTATGCGCAGCAGAACTTTCACGAGCGCGCTCACAAACACGCGTGCACTTTTTATTTGCCAATTAATGATTGACAATTTGTATTTCGATACAAAGGCTCTGCGGAACCGAAAGTTGCACGCGACATTTATGCACCTTGACACGCCTGGCTAGATGCTCTAATTGCGCTAGAAGGAATTTTCTCATGGAAGTGTCGAAATTGTTGAGTGCTGATATTATGACAATATGCAGAGCCGGCGAATATAATTTCCTCGGCGATAAATCCGCTTCACATGGGAAAGATGAAAACAAGCAGATTCTGTACATTGCGATATTTAATCGTACCATTCTTTCAATATTTCAAATACTGCTCTCGCCGATAGAAAAAGCTAGAAAATCAAGGAAGACTCGTCTCATACCTTTCGATTCCACCCGAAGAAAAATTGCGAAAATATTATTTCGGAATATTTTCGAAACGTCTTTTTCGGCGTTACTTATTTCGTTTTAGCTATTATTTCTTCTTATTTCAAAAGTTTAAGGCATAGGAATTGAAATATATGACGATATTTTATTTTCTCATCTCGAGCTATAAAAGAAAGCGACGGAGAAAGACTTCCACAAGAATTTTAAAGCTAGCATTTTTCGTCCCATCAGAATTTTCTCCAGGAGATAGCGATTTCAAATCTTGACGGAGAAAGAGAGAGAGAGTGATTTGTTATGTATAACCGTTTATGTTTGGCTTGTTTTCATAGACTGCTCTTGCTCTGTGTCGATTTTTCTGCGGTGAAGCACGATAATGGATTAGTCCTGGCCGTATCAATATTCAGAAAGAAGGATAAATAATAAACTGCTTGATTTTTATATTCTGAGCTTTTTGATTTTACCAAAGAGCCGAACCAAGCCGCTCGAGAGTACATTAGTCGATCTGCTGCTGTTAATGCAAAAACCGGCTAAAATATTAAAAAAGACGGGCCTTTCTCTTTTTCTAGTTGAAAGATTGCGAGCAAATTGCCCAGCTTCTTGTTTGAACCTGGAGCAGGTATTTTTCTGAATTTGGATGAAATATATTCTAGTGATAGTAATACTGGGCACAGTCAGCTTCAGTTCTGCTTTCTACGTGGTGGCGGCTTCCAATCGGTAATGAGCTTCCCACCACAGCGCTCCCACATCTCGTCGAATATATGTGGGAAGATCTCGGCGCCTTTGCGACTGAATTTTATGCTAATACCAACTAACCGCCGCCGGTAACTCACCCTGTAAGTCCGGTTTTCTCAAGACTCAGCTCGCACATCTCCAAGTCATGTCTTCCACGAATTAGCAGGATGGGCTCTTTGTTCGGATGGAGCTCCATCTGCCGCTTCACGTAATTGCCATCGAAGTGAGCATACCACCAACCTAGTTTCGCACCTCCCTAAAACTCAAAAGTCAATAGAACATCGCTCTCATGTACCAACATAAATCTTTATTCGAAATGATTAAGCAAGTGGTAGTTATTAAGGGGGTAGATATCAAGAATCAGATTTCCTGTCAGGGTTTTCTCATATTTTTAACATAGTGACCCCCTTATTTTTTCTGCTCAAAATTTATTTCCGGCAATTATCTCTTTCCTATGGAAACCAAAAATTCAGATTTCTTGAGTTTTCGAGGTGCTACAATGCAAATCTGGCACCTTCGATTGTCGCCGAACTGCCCATTTTAGGAAAATTAGCGATCTTTGACGAAAAATTTTGTCAAAATTGTTTTTGAAATTTGAAATTTCAGCTTCCATAAGAAATAGAGAAAGGTCTAAAGTTTTTGTTTCCAAAGTAAAATAAGGGTGTCACTATTTTAACTTTGGGAGAAAAGTCTGACGGAAAATCGCGATTCTTGATATCTACCTTCTTAATCTAAAATCTCCATTACCTGTCGAGGATTGAAAGGAACTTTGAAGTATCGCTGTTTTTTATTTACTGTCACCGGCGCTGATGAACCCGTTTGACTGACAGCTTGTTCCGCCATCGCACGAACGTTATCGGGCATTCTAGCTTCTGACTGTGTTCCAGTGCTCTGCCCAGATGCTTTGTTCTTAATTGAAAGAAAATTTACTTTCAAACGCGTAATTTCTGAATAACCTGGTCTTTCCACTTGTGATAAGCTTGCAGTCTTCGCGCAAACTCTTCCCTGCAACTTTTTATCATTTCAACGTCGCTGCTTGTGTTGATAAAATCTCTCAGTTGAGCGTAGTTCCACTTTGTGAGGTCATATCTCTGTCCCTTTTCGTTCTTGGCGCTAGAAAAGAACTTTATCAATCGGTTCAACGTGGAACTCAAAAATCTACATATTCTTTTGCCGCGTTGGAGCTGTGGATAGACCAATTTGAGAAGCATCTTCATCTTGCTCCATTTGAAGTCGCGAGGCAAGCTCCCTATCGCGTCGTTCTTGTTCCTCCCGTTGTCGCTTCGCAGTTTCCTCAGCAGCGGTCCTTGCCATGTCGGCTTCCTAAACATTCATTTCTTTGAAATTCGTTTCATAATGTTCAAATTTTTCAAAGGGCACTTTTTATTCACTCTTTTTGCTCTCTGCTTGCTGAAAATGTGGGTATTTTCAGAGGAAGAGTTTCCTGCAATCGAGTGATAAGAATTCACTCACGTCATGTTATTCTGGACCAGTTTTTCATGCTCTTTTAGATAAGCGCTAAAATTACTGGTCCAGTTTTGCCGTTTTGACTTTTCGAAAATTTAACTTGATATAATAGAGGTATTAAAATAATACCGTATAATAGAGTTACACACCATTTGAGCCTGGATCTTTTGCATTTTTGTTCCTCTTCTTTTGCCTTGCTTCCTCAATTTTTCGTTGTTTTTCCATTTCTGCCCGCATTTTTCGCTCTTCTTCCTCCTTTCTTTTTCGTTCTTCTTCTTCCTTTTAACTTGACTTTAGCAAATTTCAAGAGAATATTTCGTTTACCAATTTTCGCTGGCGTTCTTCTTCTTCTTTCCGCCTGCGTTCTTCTTCCAGTTTTCTGAGCCGTTCTTGCTCTGCTTTACTAAGCGAGGCAATCGATTTCATGAGCTTGCCTTCCTGGGCTAGAAGCGCCTGAATATTCTGATCGATCTTTTTGAGTTGAGGACTCGTCTGGGGATTCTTTTCGAGTGCCAACTTCTTCGTGGCTAATTGCGCCGCGCTCAGCTGCGATTGATAATTTTGGACCTGCTTGAGCATGTCGTCACGCGCTTTACCTTTCGGAACCTAGAGATAAAGGTCGGTCCTAATTCATTATTCACGTCATCAGAATATTAATAAGCGCCCGTGGGAGAGGATACCTTCGACGCCGCTTGAATGAGCTCATCTGATCGAGCGACGAGATTCTTGGATCGACGGAAGAGCTCCAAAACGAGCTTTTGTCGACGACGGACGAGCCATCCTCGCCAGTAGGCCTGAACTGTTGTTGCTGCAGCTCTTCGATACTCGATTTTCTTTTCGAGTTTGATCGCCATCCATACGCCGTGAATGTAGTATCTGAAAAGATACTGTATTATGTCCGATTATCAGTAGCGAGTGCAATGTCCACGAAAACACGCAAAAGAAAACCACATAATTATGTCGCTGTCTTACCTCCATCTGGCTTTGATGAGCCACTGCTCAACTTTTTGAGCATCTCGCGCAGGTGCTCTGGATCGCCGTTCATCATCTGATCAAAGGCGGCGAATTTTCCGGGCTTGAAGAAAACTTTGGACACGCCATAGGTGAAATCGTTGGTGTTGAGTCCCAACGCCTGGAAAAGAGCTCGAGTGAACAATTTCGGGTCCAGCTTCGACAGTTTCGCCGGCATGTGCTTTTTGTACATTCCGTAAAGATCGGAGAAGTGCGTCCTGGAGGGATAGCCAGCTTGCATCAGCTCCAAAACAGCGGGAATACCAGCAGAATGCAATTGGCTCATGATACTTGCGCCGTTGAATTCTTGTGGCGCCATTTTCTCGTTGGGCTTGATGCAGCGGATGAAGCTAGAACCAGTTGAGTTGAGCTTCTCCATCAGAATGTTCAAATTCGTCCGGAAGGTGGAACCATTTGATTTGAGTTGAAGTTTGCCGCGGCCGGTTTTTCGCTTTGCATCAGCGGCGAACATCTTTTTTTGAGAAAGATGATGAAGTGATTTTATATAATTAATTTTGCTACCTTGACGAGAATGGAATGTTTGGCAGTGGCGCAAAGTTGGAGGAGGGAATCATGAAGGCCGTCCGTATTCTTGTCGACGAAGCCGTTGACATTGTAGCAAACAGCTCCCGCGAAATGTCGCAAAATGAACGCCTCAGAGTCAGTCAGCGCTTTGTACTTTGTCACAGGTGATTTTCGGGGCGAGAGGAAGCGCCCGTTTTTCCTTATTTAGGGCGTGAGACTTCGCGCCAGTTGTCTCTCAGAATGAGAAGAGGTGAGCTTTAATACCTGTGATTGTTGTAAAGTGTTTCCGCAAAGTGAGAGTCCAGCGGCTTAGGCAATTTCATCTCTTCATCCAAAACGTCAATGATTCCTACGCGGGGTTTTTCGATCAGCTCGATCATATCCTGAGAAAGGCAAGTAAGGATATGCTTCTGTCTGCAAACATCATATACCTGGTTATCGATGTATTCAACGCCTTTTGTTTTGAGACCTTCAGTTTTGTAAAGTTCCATTTCATCTTTCAAAGTTCGCTTGTTGAAAAACTGCTGGAGCTTCTCGTTGCAGTAGTTGATGCAAAACTGCTCGAAGGAATTGTTCTCGAAGTACTCGAAACCTGCGATATCCAGAATGCCGATGAAGCTAGAGCCACCAGCAGGGATGGATTTGTTGATCAATTCACACACGTAGTCGAAAAGTTTCGCATAGAGAGCTTTTGCCAAAGCATCTCTGGCATGAATAGCATTTCTTGCAATCAAAGCTTTCTAAAAGAAAAAACCCTGGAATTCAAGCTCCTAAAGTGTCAAGAGTACCTTGACTAATGTCGCTTCTCCGGGAATTTTCGTCGCCCTCGTTGTTATCGATTCGATCAGCTGCGTTGCATCCATTCCAAGAAGCTCTGCAGCAGCATTAATCGCTGGAATACCTTTTGGCGTTACTTCTGCTCCACCATTCGAGCCATCAATGATTTCTACGTTTCCGAGGTGGAGAACTGCGGCGACAATTTTAAAAACATCCATTCTTTTGTCTTTTGCCATTCCGATCTTTTTCATCGCGTTTTCGGTCCGGACAAAATCGCCCTTAGAAAACGGGTTAAACCAATTTATGCAAGTGAATTTATGGATCAGCGTTTTGATTGGCCGAAGGGCCAAATACAGCAATCTTATTGGTAATTCAAGAATGCACTTCCATAAATTGGTTTAGTTCTAGATAACGATAGTTTTCTAAAGTCTTATAGAGATTTCCGATGTTTACCTTATCATTCAGCATGGGATCTTTTAGCTGTGATCCAAAGAGCCTCGTGTCGCCTTGATTTAGGTAGTGATATGCTTCGGGCGCTTGTAGCTTCAAAGCGCCTTTGACATCCTTGAAAAGGTTAGAAAAAGGAAAGAAAACGTCGAGCTCCACTTACGGCAGGGGCTCCAGCGCATAGTCGATAGAAGATATGGTAGTTGCGCTCGTTCTTGTTCTGCGAGACGATTCTTGAGCGCTAAAAGGCAAACACGACTACAATAAAAAGACGTGAGAAATGCGCACCTCAAGAAGATAATGTGAAAACTGAGCGCCATCGACGGCGTGCTTCTCGTTAAAGTGGACTTCAATAAACTTTCCAAAGCGGGAAGAGTTGTTGTTTCGAACGGTTTTCGCATTTCCAAAGGCTTCAAGAAGCGGATTCGCTTCAATAATTTTCGCATCAAGCGAGCTTTGTCCTGAGCCGTAGTTGTGCACGAGGTAGTTGATCATGAACTTGGTGTTCTCTGTTTTTCCGGCGCCGGATTCGCCGGAAACAATCACGGATTGCGACTGATTGAACACCTTCATATCACGATACGACTTGTCAGCGATTGCAAAGCAATGTGGGGGCAGAGTTCCAAGCGACTTGCCTTTATAGGCTTTGATTGTAGCAGCATCATAAAAACCTTATCCTTCTGCTCAAAAATTAATCGGAACTGAAAATTCCATAATAACTTATTTCATATTTGCTTTGACTCGAGTTGACGATTTTGAAATTTTTCTTCAATAAACCGTCATTGTGTAAATTTGAGCAATCTTTTTTAATTCCTTAGCGATTCCAGAATCTTTATGATAGATTCTATTCTACTCACTTTTATACTGTTTAAATAACCGCGCTTTTGTGCATTTTTGATAGTTTTGTGAGCAAATGCCTTTAATATTCTTGTAGGGATTAATGGCGACTAGAATGTTGGCAACGTAGGTGTAAAATTTGTCATTGATGTAGCGCTCCTTCGAGTTGTTCAATAAGTTGGCCACGTTCAAGTACATCAACGCGCAGTTGTCATCCACGGTTCGTTTCAAGTCCTTCTCAGTCGGATAGATGTCGTCATAGCCAAAGACACCAGGAGAGCCGTCGGAGAATTTCACTGTTATATCTGTTGCTCCGATGTCCTACGAATAAATACAAACTTTCTATTTTGAGCCGAATTTAATGAATTTAGTGAATTTTATGAATATCCCGGATCGAGTTAGATCAACTTCGCAGTTCAAGAAAATAGCAAAAATACATCCCGCATTAGTCGGAAATGAATTTCATAGGAGTATTTTTTTCCTACTTGAGGAATAAAAATACACCTGCATATTGTTTGTATTGATCGAAGGAGTAATACAGGGCGCTCTCTTACTTTGATTTTGGCGGTTTTGTAGCCATCTTTAGGGCAGGGCGCCCAGACCACATCGTCTAGGTTCATTCTCTCTCGGTTGCCCTGCTTGCCGTCTGCGTTCTGCTGGAAGCTCTGCTCTGGCTTCGCTCCATCTTTGTCATGCTCCATTCGCCTCACCGAGTAAATAACAACGTCAGTGCAGTTCAAACACTCGCCTGTAAACTGCTCTAAGTTAAATTCTACTGCTTAATAATGTGCTTCGCCGATAAAGCAGCAGCCTTCCAAGTCTCTTTTCATCGCTGCTGGCATTGTTCGCCGCAGGCCTTGTGCCCGAAGCAGCCTATGACTCACGCTCCCTGCTACGACAAGCGTTACGACACGTTCCAATTCCCACGGGTCCTGTTTTTTAAAAGCTAAGGGACTAATCACCCACTCCTCAACGCGGAAAAGCGCAGTACTTTCTCAATTTTGTCATGGGTCAGCAAGCAGATCAGACGTCTTCGATTAGACATCACAAACGAGGCACCCTTCGCCCTGTTCTCCGAGAAAAGCAATTATTACGACACGTGTGACATCGCGTACCCGGCTTCTTCTACCGGCTCTTCCTCAGACCACTTTTGTAAATTGAGCTTTGCCAAATGGCCTTCATCTGCTGAGGATGATTCAAATCGTGCGAAAAGAGCACTTTTTTTGTTCAATAAGAACAATGATAGATTTATCCGCACTTTTACGTGATCGAACTTTTCTTCTTTGAAAATCACGCATTTTTCGCTGAGATTAATGTCTTGGCAAAAATATTTAATAATAAACTGAAAAAGATGCAACCTGGAAATGGCACACACAAACTAACACACTATTTTAGTACTGTAATGAAGGCAAATGTACTTCCAAAGCTGCTAAGCTGCCCTGATTACTTGCAATTCCATAAATAGACAACGAAAACTGTCAATCACAGAGTTGCAAATTTGCTGAGCTGAGCTGAGCTGAGCAGATCAGACCATTTTCATTCAGCTCAGCTCAATTATTTTCGAGCATGATCTGTTCCGCTCAGTTCAGAATTATCAATAAACTCTGACAGCTCAGCTCAGCTCAATGATTTTAAAACAATTTAACTACTAAAAACACAGTGAAAATAGCTCAGCTCAGCTCTAATTAGGGGCCGCTCAGCTCAGCTCAGCTCAGCTCAATGACCTCTGAAAAAGGCCAGCTCAGCTCAGCTCAGCTTAGTAACCTCATAAGTAGGTCAGCTCAGCTCAGAGAAATTTTTACTCAGCTCAGCTCAGCAGAAATAAAGCAAAATTTGCAACTCTGGTCAATGATAAAAATTGGGCGATTTTGATAATGTAATCGGGCTAGATAAAATAAACTAAAAAAAGGCTAAAGCGCATTAGAAAGTTGTTCCATTTGACGATCCCTGTAAGAATAAACCTTTTGAGAAAGCTTGTTTGATGAAGCTACTTTCTGTAAAAATACATTAGAGGACATCCTCGAGAACGTGAAAAAGAGGGGTGAACTTAAATTCTCCAAATTCGTCAGCTGGGGGAAGAAAATTATACGAATCAAAATACAATTTCTTCACGAAGAAGAAGTCAAAGATTCCAAGGCTCAAGCAAAAGATCGTTTGTTTCTAGAGGTCGATATTCGTAGCTAGAAGTGCTGATACAAATACTTCGGGAAGCAGGTTATTTTGATGATTAAATCGGGCTCGCCAAGGATTTCCGTATATGGGCAGAGTTGCAAATTTTTGAAAATTTTTTCTGAGCTGAGCTAGCTGAGCTGAGGTCGAAATTGAGCTGAGCTGAGCTGAGCTGGCCCCTTATATAAACAACTGAGCTGAGCTGAGCTGAGCTGGATTTTTTCAAAAAAATTGAGCTGAGCTGAGCTGAGCTGGGGCATATTTGAAAATTTTTGAGCTGAGCTGAGCTGAGCTGTCGATTTCTCAAACTGAGCTAGCTGAGCTGAGCTGACCATTTTTTTATGCTGAGCTAGCTGAGCTGAGCTGAGAAAGCTGATTTTTATTTACTACAAGGAATGCCAAAAAAGTGTGTTGAAGCGAATTTCAACCTTCTAGAGTAGATGGACAGGGAGCCCCTGCCCTCACACACCCCTAGACCAGCATCTCACTCGCAACATCGCACTTTTTTTACATAAAAAAATTATTCTGTCATTTAACAATAAGGAATCCTCCAAAATATTATACAGTGGTATAATTTATGTGGGTGTGCCAATGTTTCAACCTTCTAGCGTAGATGGACAGGGAGCCCCTGCCCTCGCACACCCCTAGACCAGTCTCTCACATTCGCAATCACATATTTACCATCTGTACTTTATTATTTTTATATTGGAAGCCCTTTTTTATATTATTTCTCTCTTGCTTCAAAGAAAACTCAAATTATTTCTATCTAAAATTGACCAACAGGAAAGCATGAATAGAAAATACGTTGAAGTTTTTGAAAAATAGACCAATCAAAAGTGGTTCGAACTTTGTCAGCTCAATAGACTGAGCTGAGCTGAGCTAGCTGAGCTGAGGTTAAAATTGAGCTAGCTGAGCTGAGCTGGCTCTTTTCGAAGAACCATTGAGCTGAGCTAGCTGAGCTGAGGTCAAATTGAGCTGAGCTGAGCTGAGCTGACCCACACCTCAAAATTACTGAGCTGAGCTGAGCTGAGCTGTAGCTCAGCTAGCTCAGATAGCTCAGCTCAGCTAGCTCACAAAATTTGCAACTCTGTATATGGGTATTGATTGCTGCGCGCTAGTACTATCTCGGGTGTTAAAGGTTGCAGCGCTAAGCCGGATGAGACAGTGTCAGCTGCCTCTTGGACAGGTGACGCCCCGCGCCGGAGCTCTATTTGGTCGGAGAACTTTCCGACCAGTCCAGAGCACTCTTATCAAGGTAGTAGCCTAGAGGGAATTTGAGAATTGAGTCAGAGATTCGTTCAGATCACTCTCGGAATCGCAACAGTCTCACAGAATGGGTCGACGAAACAAGAAGGAGAAGAAGGTCGTCTGCCAGGGCTCTGATGTCTTCAACATGTTCGAGAAGACCCAGCTCCAAGAATTCAAAGAAGCCTTCGAAATGATCGACTCCAACCGAGACGGCTTCATCGACAAGAACGATCTCCGATCCACGTGAGTATCAAGCATAATCGAAAGCGTGAAAATCAATGTTTCCGCGTAATTACGATTCTCGAGCGCGTAATAAAAGGTTCCTTCCATCCGCTGCTCGGCCCCATGAAAGAAAAACGCTCTCGAGGCCACTCGGCCAAAACCACCCGAAAGCGTTTTTTTCAAATTATTAATCCAAACAGGCGTGAGAGGCCAATCAAGCTAGCTACCTTCCTAACTAAATAATATCGCGCAAAAAGGGAAAATTAAAACGGAACGCTTTTTTCTAGCTACATGTCCCTCGGTGTCCGAAACGTTGAAGATGCTGATATCGAAAAGATGATGAACGAAGCTTCTGGCGCTCTTAACTTCACTACCTTCCTTAACATGCTTGCTGAGAAGCTCCACGGCACTGACCCCGAGGACGTCATGATCGAAGGTACTCTGAACACCGATGGTTTTTGATTCAATTCGCGCGTTCTAGCTTTCAAGGTTCTCGACCCCGCTGGCACTGGAAAGATCCATTCCTCCCAACTTATCGAAGCCCTTACCTGCGAGGCCACTCGATTCTCCAAAGAAGAAGTCGATGCTCTCATGGAATTCGCCCCAGTTGATGTTTCCGGCAACCTCGACTACAAGGTACGCCCCTTTTCCTCGAAGCCCTTTTTTCAGTCACTTTTAAGGCTCTCTGCTACATCATCACCCACGGTCAGGAAGAAGAATAAATCACGCAGCCCCTGCGATGCACCCTTTATAAACCCTTCACCGATAAGCGTAAAGATCACGCGTTCTTTACGCTTTGACTTGTATGTAAACCTGTACTTGCGCATTTTCACTTGTCGACACACACACACTCACATTTTAGGGGACTCTAGTCGGAACATGAAACCGGTAATAAAATTGATTCGAACCATTCATAAGTAACTCGTCGATATGTTCTTTTCATGCCTTCTTTTTCTAGTTTTATAGTGTCAAATAAATTCCCATCAAAAATGCTTTGAGAGTGAACGGTTCTTCTTTCTTGAGTGATTTGATGAGAGGGTTCACATATTCCACACGATTAGTCGTCATCGGCCACCTCAGTCGGAATTCGGGACGGACGGGAAGACAAGAACTGAAGATTTACAAAGGGATTTACAATTTTAGAAGCTCATTTTTCTCACGGCCTTATGAAATTTCGCACTCGGGAAAAAAAGACTCTCTTCCGGAGTAAGACGCACAAGCATGACTCGTCCCTTCCCGGTAAAGAATTTACTCTTCGCATTGAGGTTATATTAAGAAATAACTGAGCTGCTCTCACTCGTGTTTTCATGATTCAATAAGACCCCTGCTGAGTGAATTCACAAGCTTTTACTATCTTGAAAAAAGACTAAAAAAGATCGACTTTATTTTCAAAATAAATATTTAAAAAATTAAAAAAAAAAATTAAATTCATTTAAAATTATAAATATTTATTTTTAAAAATAATATTTTTCAGAATAAAAGACATCTGGATTTTTTTCAAATATGAATCATACTATATGATTTACTTTCGTTCTTCATGCAGTCCAGCTCAGAGTTGCAAATTTCGCTTTATTTTTGCTGAGCTGAGCTGAGTGAAAATTTCTCTGAGCTGAGCTGAGCTGGCCTCTTTCAGAGGTCATCGAGCGGAGCAGACCTTTTTTTAAGGTAGTTGAGCTGAGCTGAGCGGACCCTAATTAGAGCGGAGCTGTGCTGGTTGGCTGAGCTGTTTTCTAGTGTGTTTTTAGTAGTAAAATTGTGTTTAAATCATTGAGCTGAGCTGAGCTGAGCAAAGTGATAATTGTCTGAGCTGAGCTGAGCTGAGCAGATCAGATCATTTTCAAAAATCACTGAGCTGAGCTGAGCGACTGCTCAGCTCACTCGGCCAGCTCAGCTTACTCAGCTCAGCAAATTTGCAATTCTGGTCCAGCTCCCTCCACAGTTTTTCCCAAGTCAGCCATTTTGAAAGAATTATCAAGAGTGTACTTCTGGATATGTGAGATCTACAGGAAAAACTTCATGATTTTTTATTTTATTCGAAGACGATGATGTGACATCATATTTTTCCTTAGATTAGAAAAGCTCAGCGGTATTTTTTAGAAATTTTCTTAGAAAATAAGGAAACACTTTGGAGAATGCTTTTGCGATTGAAGTGTTTGCGCGTCATCTCACGTTCACGAACTCGCACCTTCCAAACTGCGCGAAACGCTCCATTTGGTTTTCCATTAATTTTGATCAAAAACAATGAATACAACAATGATTGCGATCGCAGGACGGTTTCCGTATGGCACCAAGTTAATAAGATTCAATTGCGGCAAACGTGTTTTTAGAGCACCAAACAGTTTATTACGGTGCCAATTTGTGAAAAAAAAAGTGTAAGTTAAGTAGCGTCTCTTATGCAAAGTTCAGTTGTCTCTGCGATTCTACGTGTTGAAGCTACAGTATTTATTCACTTCTCCGAAACATGCATTACCTCAAAAGCAAAGTATAATATTTTGAATATTTCTTGACTGCTAATTATGTTACTTAGTTAGAAGCGCGCTACAGTCAGAAAAAGGCTTTGGCTTTTCCAGTCAGTTGCTCGTCTGGAATCTTCTTTTTCAGGAATCCACATTTTTTAAATTTTCATTTGCGGGGAAGGGAACGAAATTTAGACCTGATGGAACAAATTTTCACTTTTTCTTTTTTTTTTGCTTCTGGGAAAATAAATAGTAACGAGTCCAGGCCGTCAAGAAAATTAATGAGAAAGTAACCGGGAAGGATTGAGAAAAGTTTCCACGTCTTGAGTGCGATTCTGACAGATTCAATCAGATATGCTCAGCTGTTGATCGGATGGATGGTCCATCGCTCGTCGCGCAGGCGCCCTGGAGTGGGGCGCTCGCGAGACGATCGTGCGCGCTCACTTTTAGGAGAATCTCGTCGTCTCCTGCCGAGCAGAATCATCCACTTCGAGAGACGAGCAGTGACAACTCCCTGGCGCACGACTTGAAACACTAGTTTGAAACGCCTTTTTTATATTTCAACACAAACAAACGCAAAAAGCAAAGATGAAACTCTTTTCTTATGGAGGATTGGTCATGGGAGCTCTCGGATCGATAGTGATGGACAAAGGAGAGTGGCAGAAAGCAAAAGAGAGAGAGAGAAGAAGAGATTTAGAGATAGAGTAGATTCCAATATGTAAAATACCGATGATAGCAGACTCAAATCCGGGGTTACGCCGCCACTAAGAGAATCCTCTCTTGTGATTGGCTGACCGGATAACCTGTTCGCCATCCGTGGCGAACAGCTTCAAATCCCGGGCAAAGGCCTGCTATCATCGGTAGTCTATTTTTTGTCTTTTTGAAATGCTTTCTGACCATGGAAAAGACGAGAGCTCATTCGTCATCGAAAGAAATGAGCCCGAATACCCAGACTACATGGACGCATTCGACGACGATCAAGTCTGGATGTACCAAGTAAACGACACTTCTCTTACTACCAAGTTTCTCGACGATTTTCCTGTTCTCAAGAGCTCGTAAGTCGCCGTTTTTACTAGTAGAATGCTTCCTTCCTTTGTTGGACAATAGGTTCCTCTACTGGGGGTTAGGGTTAGGGTCGGGGCGGGAGTAGAGGAACCCATTGTACGTAAAGTTATTCGCCTGGAGTAATAGAATAAGCGCGCGAGGTGTAGAAGCAAAAAGTACGTGTGTGCTGCGCGTGAAATACACCACTGCCCGTCGATATGGAAATTGCATCAAGCTCTAGCTCTCTTAGAATTAATCAGAATCTCATGGCCTCAATTCAACGAGACGCCGTCTCCCAAAAACGTGACAAGCAAAGCTAAATAAGACTTTATGCAAATGCTTAAAATTTCTGAATAGCTTTTCTCAAATAGCTTTTTCGCTAAATTTTTTGATGGTAAATTCGATAATTGACAAATTCGATGTTGATTTCGATGTCATGATTTGTGATGAACAGGCAGTTTTTCGATGACGCGCTGGTTATTGTAATTATCTAGTTCCAGTCTTCGAGAAGTCGCTTCCCTCTCTGTGAGGAGGATCGCTCATTTGTAAGATTTTACGCTTCCGCTTGGAACATTGATACTGATAGCCACGTTAATCGTTTCTTCCCCGAATCAACGATCATAATCATTACAAAATTGAAAGTTGAATTTTATATAAAAGTAAAACAGGCGTTTTGGAGCGGCGAGTTTTTACCCCGTGTTCGACTTTTAGAACACGCGAAAAAGTTTGTAACTTGTGTCGATGGCGAAGGGAACACGAGTCCCACAGCATCTCTCTTTCGCGCTTTCCACAACAACTTTCTTTTTTGAACACTGATCATCAATGAGTATCAACACTGTTTTTAGTGAGCCGAAGCCGACTTTTGTTGATGGAGGAATCAGGGTTCGAAATATGGGCAGAATCATGAAAATGACCATGTTCATGCTGCAGAAGCCGCCCAACAAGTTCATTTCTATCTTCAAGGTAAGCGCATACCAGAGTTGCAAATTTTGCTTTATTTTTGTTGAGCTGAGCTGAGTTAAAATTCCTCTGAGCTGAGCAGGGCTATTTTGGAGGTAAATGAGCTGAGCTGGCCTTTTTCAGAGGTCATTGAGCGGAGCTGAGCTGAGCAGACCTTTTTTAAGGTAGTTGAGCTGAGCTGAGCGGACCCTAATTAGAGCTGAGCTGGTTGAGCTGAGCCGTTTTTTACTGCGTTTTTAGCAGTAAAATTGTGTTAAAATCATTGAGCTGAGCTGAGCTAAGTGATAATTGTCTGAACTGAGCTGAGCAGATCAGCTCATTTTCAAAAATCACTGAGCTGAGCTGAGCGCAAGAATATTATATAATTTTCGTAAGACAGCCATCCTTCACTGCCTTGATAGCTCAGTTGGGAGAGCGTCAGACTGAAGATCTGAAGGTCCTGTGTTCGATCCACAGTCAAGGCAAATCTTTTTTTCGTTATTGCGAGATAAAATTTTTTTTTTCAAGAAATATGGATGCCATTGCTGGCCGCGTGGTCGGACGATTCTTGGTGGACAAGGTCGCCCAAAAGACGAAGTAGACAGGTAATCGCTTTTTATTTTCAACAAATCGGCTCCAACGGGGACGTTCAGAACTTGCAAGCGCTTGTACAACTGCCACAAGTGCAACTTTATCAACTCTTCTGGCTCCTGCTCCCCAGACGCGACGCAATACAAAGTTCGAGGATACGAGTCGGCCCCGGGCGTGCGTGTCCTGAGCTGCGGAGGTAAGCCCAAAGCGGATAATACTTTTTGGAAAAAGACGCTCACGTGGATAATTGAAGTGCTCTTTACGGTGCTCAAGATTTGTGAACAGTTACGAGCACGTTGCTGATCCCATAACTGACACCTTCCTCATTTACCGATTGCTTAAATTTGGCCGGATCAAGTTTTATCCGGCCCTGAGTGCCAATGCACACGTTTTTTTTTCTCTATCAGGCAAAATTCACTCCACTTCTGAAGTGAATCCCTTCCTTCTCTGTTGAGAATGAATGTTATATTTTTGGAAGTGATAAGTTCGCTCCACGAATTTAGATTCTAGCGCTGTCTGATTCTTTCTTTGTGGCTTCCTTGGCGGGGCGTCCAAAACCCAACTGCTAGTTGTCGCTGCGGTCATTCACCCCAATCACAGCCAAGTCTTAAGCATCCCTACAAAAGGATCCCTGCTCCGACTTTTTTCGCCTCACATTTTTTAAATTGACGAACATTACACTCCTCATTACACAACTTCCCGCTATGATTTTCTTTCAAAAAAAAGCGGAAGCATGCACTACTAATGAAACGGTAGTAGGGGGTTGTCGTTCGAGCTGCCCCTAACCCTAACCCTAACCCCCGGGACCCCCACCTAAGGCCTAAACTAGGGGCTTCGCCCCGGACCCCTAAGAGCTCCCAGTCCCTAACCCTAACTACTAGATTCTAGAGATATTGGATGGCTCGAATGATAGCCCCTCTCTACTTATGAAACATGTAAAAAGGGCAGGCGATGAACTTAAAACCTCATACATGCTCATTTGAAAACGTTACGTTCAGATGCGGAGGGCAGCTGCGAGCGGAATCTGTGCGAGTGTGACCTGGCTTTTGCGCTGGACATGGCCGAAAAGGTCCAGCCCGACACGCTCGATGAAGTGGCAGAGAGCGACAATGCCAAGTCGAACGGATTCAGGGCGGACGAAAGCTGCCAGGTCCAGGGCAATTCCTTCTCAAAGGGCTTTCAGCGCGCACATCATACTTTCTCGGTAAGAAAAAATCGAAAAATTGTTTCTCGAATAAATTAAGGAGGATTACCAACTCGCCAAAGAAGTTAATGTTCACAATGGATTTGCCTGCTGCGGAGATTCTTTCGAAAATTAGTAAGTAGCTCATTCGATAATCAAAACAAATTGTACTTGTTGCATTCTAGTGGGGCCGATTTAGTAATAGGAGGGATTGCACGTCTTTAGTTACACAAGCAAGTGTCAAATCAAGTGGGCCGGAAAGTACCACTGCGTCGTTAATTTCGCCATTATCCCCCTTGAATCCACCGTGTTTTTTTCAATCACATCCTTGAATTAAAATTATGCCGGGGAAAGGGAGAGTGGCCACTTGGGTGGAGAATAAGAAAGATCACCGTTCGTCACTTTTTCGACGTGTTCAGATGATAGAGTTGACGTTTCTGAGGGCAGCGAGCCTTAGAAAATCGAGCAGATTTTGTTTTCTCCAAAAACATAGGCCGGATACAAGAGAGAAGCATAAATTGCTTTTTAGCTCTCCCTACCGACCCGAAATGGGCCAGCGCTGCTGCAACAAGATGAATGTCTACTCTTTGGGAAAGAATCAAGTCTGCTGCAGAGACGGAACCATCGCCGAGGTACAAAATTTCGAGCCGAAAAAAATAAAAGTTTAAACCACTTGTTTCAGAACGGCGAATGCTTGAGCTAAAAAGACCCTGAAAGACGAAGAACAGAAACTACAGTTAAATACTAACTATGAATCACCCTTTATATTCAGATACATTGATAATTGCGGATAATTGATTTATTCGCAATATTCTTTTTTTTTTCAAATTCATGAAAGCGATTTTTTGAAAAACTCAAAAACTTTCATTTCACACAATTTTTTCGTTTTTTTTTTGTAAATATAGCTAGCGTCTGATGCTGCCCTGTACATATGATGAAAGAATGCTCGCTAGATGGCTTTATGTCGACGACATTGGAGAATTCTTCTGCGCTGTTTGCTGTTTTCTTCGTGGTCGCTGGGGCCAGAATAAACGCAATTCCTCTTCTCAAGGCCTGAAAATGAGAAGCTTCATTACGTTTACGAAGAGTCAAAAGAAGCAAAACATCACATCACGAATTCTGCTACATAATAAAAAGTAGTCACTCGCGCAATACTTCTTCTCATCTCTTCATCTTTCTCGTTCAAATTTCTCGCAAATGTCAAAAAAAAAACGGACTCTCGTCAGTCCTTCTAATCAGGAAATTCGCGATTGCATCATTGATGTTCTGGTACATATGTCGACCATGATTTTCACGCATGTTAGAAAGTGAAGCTTCGAGCTCCCAATTGAAGACTGTTGGGTAGTAGGGGGTTATCATTCGAGCTGCCCCCAACCCTAAACCTAACGCAGGGGCTACACCCCCCAGGACCACCCCCCCACCTAAGGCCTAAACCAGGGGGCTTCGCCCCCGGAGGTTGACGGCGGAAACCATTCTTTATGAAGAATGGTTCTTTGCAAAAGAACTATTCTTTGAAAATCAAAGAATGGTTCTTTTTCTTTCGAAAAATAAAGAATGGTTCTTTTCGGGAATCAGAATTGGGCTAAGCAGCCGATGTGAAATTCAGTCAACGAGCGGGTGTGCGCTCCGCGCCTGTCTTCGAGGAAACTCTGTGACTTAGCCAGTTCATTAAAACAGATATTTAAATAAAAAAAATATTTTTTTTTGGAATAAATTTCAATAAAAAATTCATTTTCGGTAAACAAATTGTTTCTAGAACAAAGAATGGTTTCCGCCGTCACCGCGCTAATTACGGCGGATACCATTCTTTGCGAAAAGAACCATTCTTTATAAAGAATGGTTTCCGCCGTCACCCCCGGACCGCCCGCCCCCTTTGAGAGTTCCCAGTCCCTAACCCTAACCACTAGCCTAGATTCTAGAGGCTCGAATGATAACCCCTCTCTACGAGTTGAAGACTGCTGCTTTCCACTTCTTCTACATCTGGCCCCTGTATTTTAAACTTCCTTCGCCCTCTTGTTAATTATTGAGTGCCCGATAATAATGATAATATTCACCTAACGAAATCTTACCACCCTACTTGTAAAGGTTTGTGCATTAATAAACACTGAATAGTACCCAGCTGTCCTCCGAAAAGTGAAATTGATGTCATTTTCAAATTACTTATAAATTAGAAAAGACATACTACGCCGCCGCTCTGCTATTAATAAGAAACTGTATTTATGTATCTGAATTCGCAGCAAGAATCGATAATGAAGAAATCGACTGCCAAAATCGCATGAGGGTGCTCTAGTTGTACTGTTTTCATAATTTATTAATTTTGTTATGAACAGATTGCAAGCGGTGTCTTTAATAACGCTGCGACTCAAAACGATACTCGATTTCGAAAGAAATAAATTTTTAAATCTTGATCGTGTTTAATCAATAGAAATTCATTCATTCTGAATTGCACAGTAGAGAGACAAATATGCTAGTCAAGGGTGGATCTATCAAGAAAAAACAATCTTGCGATCAGTTCGAGCTAAGAGATCAGGAAAGGCTTGCTGCAGGCAACACACTTGAATGTGTGTTCTCGGCGGTAATTGCTGAAAGAGAGTTGCCAAGTGACGGGTGAGCCTTTTTTTAAAGACTTTTCAACACATTCATGTGAGACGTTTCAATCTCTCAGTCAGTCAAGCTCGCACTCTAAATTTCAAACCAAATCACAATCCAAAAAGAACTTACAGAAGGGCTTTGTTCCCAAAATCTTACATTCTTCATTTTAAACATTAAAAACAGACTAAACCAATTTATGGAAATGCATTTTTGGATTACCAATAAGATTGCTGTATTTGGCCTGCCGGCCAATCAAAACTCTGATTCTCAAAATCACTTCCATAAATTGGTTTAACCCGAATTTATGGCGACTATGGCTATTTTTTTAATTCTGAATTAGTAAATTAGAATTAATTGTGCTTTCACTAGAATCATAATTAACTAAAAAATCGAGTTCAAAACCCAACATAGCGTCATTCGAGAATATCCATCATCCGCCAGCGAGTAAATGATATAAGAGGTGAGTGAGTTTGGTAACTTTCTTCTTGACCTTGAGAAAACATCAAAGCTGTTGTTGAAAATTATTTATTGAACAATAAAATTTTACGAAACATTTTCACGAGAAAAGTCACGTGAAGATAAATTTACTCAGGGCGCTATTAAATACTAATACTACATTTATTATTACTAGTTAGCTGAAGAGACAGTCTTTCATTTGTATCGGAATCAGAGAGCAGCGCGGAAGGTTCTTTTTTTCTAATAAATTGAAAAAGTGAACAGCGAATGAATAAAATTCCGGCTGGCATAACATGTCCTCCGAATTAGATGAACATGTGATTTTAGTCGCACACTTGCCGCAAGGTCTTTCGTATGTGCTCAATGGAAATATTTCGATATGCAGGCGGATATTCTGGGTGGTTTTCTTTGTTGTTGGTGGAACGTTTTCTTTTAACGTCATAAGAGAAAATGCTGCAAGGTAAAATTCCCGTGAAAAACGAGCTGAAATTTTAGATATTCATCATATCCTTCGCTCCTGAAGCAACAATTGCCTTCCTTCGCCGAATTTCCTAGCTTAGTCGTGTGCCTCAACTCACTCCATTCCAAGCTCAAACTCGCAGAAGAATACCCAGGGCTAGAAGAAGCTCTTCCCTACTACTATGGCGGAAAACACGAGGTACGCATTAACCCACATTTTTCTCGCAATTTCGACACGTAACTGACAAAAAGTCTTTCCAATGTTATATGAACGGATTAGGAGAGCCATGGAAGCATGCTCAACTGGACTTATTTGAACTCGATCGACATGGGGCGTGTACAGAAGCGAATACGATCAACCTTTTTGATGGTAGCGTGCAAATTTCAAGGGCAAGACTGCAGCAGGAGTTGGCTCCTAGCCCGCTCGAAGCAGGTCCGTAAAAAATTCATCCTCCGCTGATATAAACGACAATATGAAGGGGTCCTGTTTGCGCTTTCAGCCGCAGAGATTCGACAATCTACCCTATTCGAGGCGGTTGACGCTGTCGATGGTTCTTGCATTCAACAAAACCGACTGGACAGATTGTGGTTGGAAGCCACTTAAATTTATTTCTATTTTATAATTCTATTTTATAGGATGGAATCATCACTTAGATGGATTCACAATATACATCACGTGAGCCTAAAAGCTTTGAATTCTGCAGCTAAGCTACTTTCTTTCAGCGGTCGGCACGATCGAGCACTCATGGGCCCAGAATACATCATGCTCACAGATGTCACGAGAGGGATACCAGTTGTGGACCTGAAACAGCAACGGAAAGTCCTTCTCGGTGAGCCCTATTCCGAATGCATAAAGTCATCGCAGTCTCTTGTGCATTACGAAAACTACACGCAAAACCAGTGCACGCACGAATGCCTGATAAATGCAGCTAAGAATTACTGTAACTGCACAGGTATACACTCATACGATGCGTTTCCATTCAATCACTTGCCATTACTAGCTACGTATTTTCCGCCTGCAATCAAGGAAGAGGACGGCCGTCTTCCAGTTTGTACATTTAAGCAGCACGCGCAGTGTATCGTCCCGTTTCAAGAAAAATATGACTACAGCGATTGCGTTTGTCCGCCAGAGGTTCGAATAAGTTTCGCTATTGAGTGTTGAGTATTCTGATCAGTGCGACGTTCGAATCACGAAAGTAGAAGCGATTCAATATGGCCACTACGCGCACGACCCTAACGCCTTGCCCGATCTCAAACTCACCTCCGTCATGTTCAACCTTGACAATGAAGCAGTTAACATCCACGAACATCCCGAGTACACGAAAGCAGCGTTAATGTCTGACATTGGAGGCGCAGCTGGTCTCATTCTCGGCATGTCAGCTTCGACGATAGTCGGAGTTCTTGATTATGTTTTGAAAGGGTTTTGAAATTAGATTATTTCTTCCAAAAAGCAATTTTTTATCTGCTTATGAAAAATATCTAAATCCTTGTACAGAGCACTCTCTTCTCGAAAATTCTCCAAAAATTGGCTTGCTTCAGCTACAAACTTTGCAAATAATCCAGATCTCAGTTCTGTTCCTATTAAACTCCTGTACACTTGTAATAAAGATCAAACACACTCAATCGCTCAATCGCTCAGCTTGCGGGCAAGGGTCATCCAGGCCTAAACAGGAGAAAGCTTTACGAGGTGTCCAGGAGCGCTAAATGGTGCAAAGGCAAAGGTTGGTGTCTTGCCCGCGGCCCCGCCATCAAATCTCAAATTCCAACAACGCTTGAAGACCAAATAAGGCCTAAGTCCAAGGCAAAAATACTCTAGAATAACAGAAAATACAGTGACATTTGTATTAACTTAATGCCTTTGCGATGAAATGCGACGAAGGAGAGAAAGACGCGGACTCAGAACACAGGCGCAAAGAATAAGAAGAGCTCTCTATGGACTCGTCTCGCTCACCCTTTTTATCGCTTTTTACCTCATGTACAGAATAGACACAGCTACAGATACCGACTCTCCAAAGCCTAAAAGGTAATCCGCCAGAACTCATTTCTCTCATTTTCTCATCGCTCGAAATTCAAGCTCAAAATCACTGCCAAACTTGATTCAACTGATACCAGGCTTTTCTTCCATTTCTTCTTTCACAACCCGCGTTTGGGAATCCTTGCCAAGTCTACCCAAATCTTCATCCTTGTCCACGCGTGGCTCTCGTCCATTTTCTTCGTTACCAGTTTCGAGTTCTCTCTCAAATCCGTCAAAAATCCACGTCCCCGCCGGAGTGCTGCCAAGCTTTTCTGGCGATTATATGATACGAATGTTCTTCATCTCTCCAGAGTACTTTTCAAATTGGAGATACGAGGTAGCGCGAGTCATATTTTTAAAAATTAAAGTTGAAAAATCAAAGGATGTGACTTTGGTCACAATGTGCTCTGCCAACCACTTGCATCACGTCATCTCGCTTGCTGAGCGGTGGACTGGTCCAATTTCAGTCGGCGTCTTTGGACCAGGCCTTGAAGCATCCTTCGCGACAGACGCAATCGAATCCATCAAAAGTTGTTTCCCAGCGGTGCGGGAACGAGTCCTTTTCCATCTCGTCTATCCAATTAATTTGCCAGCCGATTTGTCAAAGGTAGGAATTTAATTATGAAACTTTCGCGATTAAAATGTCAGTCGACGGGAAGATTGGAGTACAACGACTGCGAAGATCTACGCAAGCAGATCAAGAGCTACGGCGGCGACGAAGATGATCGGGCCAACTACGGCGGAGACATACCATTTCCCCACAATGTTCTTCGAAACGCTGCTCGTCGCGGAGCTCCGACTGCTTTCATTTTCTTGATCGATGTTGACGTGATGCCAAGGTACTTTTTATTTTGATTATATACAATTAATATTCCCAAATTTTAAAGTCTCAATCTACGCGAGGATTTTAACGATTTCGCGATACGGCACAGTCTTTACGACAAGAACGAGAACGAAAAGACGGTATTTGTCGTCCCTGTCTTTGAAAAGAAGAAAGGCTCGAGCTGTCCTGATGATAAGCGAGAACTGGCAGATTCGTGCAATAGAAACGAAGTCCGCAGTTTTCACGAAGAGGTGAGCATCTTAGATACCGATGATAGCAGGCCTTTGCCCGGGATTTGAAGCTGTTCGCCACAGATGGCGAACAGGTTATCCTGTCAGCCAATCACAAGACAGGATTCTCTTAGTGGCGGCGTAACCCCGGATTTGAGTCAGACTCTGCTATCATCGGTATCAATCAATGTTAAAAAATTCAGACTTGCAAATGGTGCCATGAACCGGAGCAGCCGAAAAAGTGGCTGCAAATTCAAGGCCAACAAAGACTCGAAATAAGCTTCAACTCGTCGTGGACCAAGTCTTGGGAGCCTTTTTATATTGCCACTCGCAAGGTTCCATATTTCGACGAGGTAAGTTTCAATACCTAAATTGTAGCACAGTTGTTTACAGTACTATTCAGCGATTTATGGTTTATGGCTTTGATCGAATCCAGCAAATTTGCGAGCTCCACGTAGCTGGTTACCAATTTGCAGTTCTTAATACAGCCTTTTTGGTTCACGACGTAGGTTTTCCATTCGTTTTGAAATTCTAACTCTCAGTTCAGGGCTGGAAATTCCCTGATAAAGAGATCAAAGAGCTGCAAAACCGTCGGCGCTCGCGAAACTGGGTTCTCTTCCATTTCCACTACCAGCAAGTCCTTCTGAAAATGTACCAAAATCCGAACAGCTGCGCGCCGATCGAGACGTTCGTGCCGAAGGGCTTTAAAGCCTTGGCTCACATCAATTCTCGCAACAACAGAATCAAACGAACATACGCATCAAGGATAACTTGAGGAAGTGGAAGTAATTCTCATTGTTAGTGTCTTCCCATTTAGTATTTATTTATTTCGAATTGCTGCAGTCCTTCCTTTTGTCTATTTGTATCAACCTATTAGTATTAATTTTAAGAACTTCATCAACCTATTTTTCTTATTTCAGAAAATATGTCGATTCGGGCGGTTGCGGGCTTCCTCGTTTCGCCCTTCATTTTGATGGGAGCGATTTTCGCCTTTTCGACCATTTTCCTGACTGAGAAACAGCGCCACACAAATCAGCGACTGGAAAAGCTCGTTACTGACGTGAGGAAACTACACAAAACACACGAAACACTCGCCAAGGGCCACAACCAGCTGACTGGAGGAGTCGATGGTCTTTCAGACATCATCGAAGGCCAGGTAAACGATTATTATCTCCATTGCCGATTGAAATTCGCGGAATAGCACGAGAAATTGGTGGAAATCGAACGCTTCTCTTCGCAACGAAATGTTCATGTGACTGGTATTCCCGAGCGGCGAGATGAAAACCCCGAAAATATGATTCGCGAGTTGTTCTCGAAGAAGTTAAAAGTCGACTTTGATGTGAAGGACATTGAGTCCGCAACGCGACTCGGCCTGAAGAGTGAGGAGGGACCACGGGACATTGTCGTCAAGTTCGCCAATTTCAAGGTTAGAATTTCAATCGTCTTCTTTTTCTTGATCTCTCAACTTCTCTCTAGGACAAGAAAAAGTGCCTTGAAACTGCGCACTTACTCGATGGCTCGCCTTACATGGTCAAAGATGCACTATAAAATCTATCAACTGCCCTTCAAATTGTTAGAAAAGCTTCCGATTTTAAATCTTGAAAATACCAATAAATTCGTTGTTTATGTGGCTTGAGCTGCTTGGGCCCCATAAACTTTAGAAAAGGCTTATTTACTTTTTTCAGGATTATTTATTGGACAAGTGCTTGTCTGAAAATGATTGAAGGCTAGCCTGTCGTTCGAAATCCAGCAGGGTATCTGAAAGAATTTTTAAACAGCGCTAGAAATGAGGCTCTACATGTTGTTCACTTGTCTTTCCAGGTCCCTGATGTACATCATCGCCGCTAGAATCGTCTTCTGCTCGTCTTGAGCACAGTTGAGAGCGTCGAAACCGCTCAGCTCGGAAAAGATATGCTCCGGAATTATCTCTTGCAGCTTCTTCAAGCATTCGTCCTCTGTCGCTGACATTGAATCTGATGCTCTTGAATCGGAATTGAGAATAAAAGTTGTTGAAGGACGGTTTTTCCTATTTATTTTTGGATGATTTGAAGAGCGACTAGTTTGTGGAAGGAAATATAATCAAGAGAAAAAACAGACAACTTTTCGCACAGCCCGCGACAGATGATAAAAGCGCCAAAGTAAGACTCCGAGGCAATTTTTTTGCATGTTCCCCTTTCACTGACAGAAATGTGTGAATCCACAACAGCCGCTTGAAACCCATGCCACGCTTTCCTACAATTCCAGCCCAACTAAAGCCTCGGGATTGTTTTTTTAATGAAAAATACCGTTGAGCTCCAGAGTTGCAAATTTGCTGAGCTGAGTGACCTGAGCAGTCGCTCAGCTCAGTGATTTTTGAAAATGATCTGATCTGCTCAGCTCAGACTATTTTCACTCAGCTCAGCTCTGAGCTGACAGCTCAATTATTTTCAAATAATCTTTTCTGCTCTGCTCTGCTCAGCTCAGCTCAGACAATTATCACTTAGCTCAGCTCAGCTCAATGATTTTGACACAATTTGACTACTTAAAAGACAGGAAAAACAGCTCAGCTCAGCTCTAATTAGGGTCCGCTCAGCTCAACTATCAAGCTCAACTAAAGGTCTCTCAGCTCAGCTCCGCTCAATGACCTCTGAAAAAGGCCAGCTCAGCTCAGTTTCCTCCGAAATAGGCCATCTCAGCTCAGAGAAATCTATACTCAGGTCCGCTCAGCTCAGCAAAAATTGCAACTCTGAACCCTTCAGTAGCCTTTCTAACAGTAGACATCTCTACACTCAACCGCTCAGAACAAAACAATGACACAGGATTTTTAAATTATGAATTTTTGCCGTATCTCCCTATTTAGGGAATTACTGCTATTATTTATTGGTTTTCAGTGAAGAATTGCGGTGATAGACTCTATCATTAGCAATTTTGCTTATGATAAAGATTTTATCGGTTTTTTTTTCCCGAATATTGTCGGAAGACCCCCTAAAAGAAGGCCTTCCAGGTAACAGAAACAATAGGGAGAGCCCATGGACTTCGGAGAGCACTAAAAACAATTTTGTAAGCACTTGGTTATCTTCAAAAACGCTAAATTTACCTGAAAAGCAGTCCGTTCGGACTCTGATTACCCCAGAGCTGGTTTGGCGGTTAATGAGAAGAAGTGAAAAACATGAGCTGCTCAGCGCGAGTTCTAGAGACGGGCGCTCATTTTTGAAAACATCGGCCTGCCTACAGTCCTTCTGATGTTTTTTCTTGTGGATAAAAGTTTTTACCTGCTTATATGAGGCAAGAAAATCTGCGTCCACCAGGTGGCTTAAGAGAGAAAAAATAATGGCTCGAATGGATGTTTCGTTTAGTTTATTGGAGAAAATGACAGATCGAATGCAATTAATGAGTCTCAATTTCCTTGGAAATGAAACATCTATTCATTGATACGGACGAGGTCAAAACCGGTAAAGCTCTTTCGGCAGTGGGGACAAAGCGCGTAATCGTTGTAGCTTTCCGTAAGAATCCGTTCCAAGCATTCCTTGCATGAGACATGCCCACATTTGCGAAGAGCGCATTTATGGTGGAGCGAATTGTTGCTGTATTCTTCCAGGCATACTTTGCACCTCCCATTACCTTCAATTGATAATATAGTTATTAATCTGTAAGAAAACTTTTTTTACCTTTCATTTTTTCTTTGGCAGATTTCTCCTTGACTTCAACAGCGTGATACTCGTAAGAGAGCTGTTTGTAACGCTTCGCGACCATGTCAACTTCTTTTTCCTTCTCAAGCAGCCTTTTCGTACTTCCTTCGTGAGTTTTCCTGGCGTCTTCAATTTTTGGTGCGATTTCCTCAATCTCCTCCAAAATCTTTTGATAGCATTCGCTCAAAGTGTTTGCCATTTGTTTTTTCTTGCTTTGCAGTTTCTCCATTCTCTGAACGGTCCACTTTTGCTGTTTAGATTCAGCCTCAAGTTTCGTTTGCTCACGCTTCGCTTCGGCATGGATATTCTTGATGATGATAAGCTTCTTTCTCTGCGCTAAAATTTTATTTTAAACCACAAGGTTCAAAAAATGACCATTTACCTTTTTCATTATCCGTCAACCACTTTGAGCCCGGCTCACAGCAAGAACCGAGGTAGAACTCTTGGAACGAGAGATTCTCCGATTTGCAGCTTTCAGTTGCAGAGAACGCTGGGCATCGAAATTTTGCGTCGGATTTGTCAAATTTTCGGCCTTCGACTTGTTCTTCGCCGCGTTCCTTTTCGACACAGATTTCGCAGAATCTTCCTTTACTTATTTGGATCGTTTCAGCGGGTACTCTGAATATTCATGGATAACTATTTTAATTTTACGAAAATTAATCCTTACCCATCGCACTCAGATCCTTCGCATTTTCCAAACTGGCCGTAGGAAGTCACTTTATCGGGGAAAATCTTCTCAAACTCGTTTGGTTGATGCTGAGTTCTGGCTCTTTTCGGAGTCGACTTTGGATCATTTGTAACGATTGATCGAGATCGCAGTTTCATCTGGCTAGAAAAAGTGTTAAGATTCTTAGTCTTTTGAAACTTTTGAGCGTAATCATAGAGCACTGATATATCTTTCTTTTCTCTTACATTTCTTTTTTCTTGGCGAGAATAAATTAATATCTTCTTTGAAAAAGCAAAAGAAAATATGACAAAATTCAGGCAAAACCTTCGATTTTATATTTTCCCAACACGCGCTTCGGCTCGAAACCACGAGGTCTAGAGATTCTTTCAGCGACAACTCATCGTCTCTCAGACTTCGACCTGCAAATGGCTCTTCTTTCAGAGATTATAGAGTCCGGTAATTTGACTGTTTATTCAAACAAAAAACACTCAAGCTTTGGGGCTGGCAATTTTATTTCTGTTGCATGGCATTTTGGGCAGATAGAAGTGCATAAATTTGTTCTTTACTTTTGATCAGATCTGATGGGGAAATCCGACATGTAGTCGAATGGATTGTACTCGAGGAAAACACTTTCTTCGTTTACTAAGTCAAGCACGTCGATTTGAATTTCCTCTCCGGAGCCGTCGCCAGAGCCGATTCCAGAACTACAGTAAATCGTTGGAAAAAGGAATCTAGGAATCTAATAGTACTACCTTTCGAGTATGATGGCTTCATACTCTACGTCGTTTTCGCTGAGATTAACAATAAGTGTCATCTCGTCGTTCTTGATTGCTGTTGTGGTGGTTATCAATCCGCTCGTTGTTGCTTCATTGGTTGTGGGAAGAGGAGTCGTTGTTGTTGTCACTGTTGTAGAGGGTTCCGACGTCGTTGATGATGATGTTGTTGTCGTTGTTGTTGTTGTTTTTGTGGTTGTTGTTGTGGTGCTCGTGGTAGAGCTCGTCGTTGATGTTGTTGTAGTTGTTGTGGTAGAAGAGGTAGTAGCGGTCGTCGTTGTTGTTGAGGGCAAGGTTGTCGTTGTTGTGACTGTTGTTGTAGTCGTGTAGGTAGTTGTAGTTGATGAAGGTGTAGAAGAAGTCGTTGTTGTTGTCTCGGCTCGGGATGGTTCAATCGTCGTGGAGGTAGATTTCTTGGGAACTGCGCTTTTCTTTTCTTCCAATGGAGAATGGCAATCATAGACATTGACAACAGCAGTCCATCCTCGTCGTTGCACCGTCTTGTCTGATGAAAATTTGACACTAATAGGGCCAAAAACGCGGAATATTTCTGGGGAGAGCGACCACACAGTTCCCGGTTTAATTGCTGGTCGCCTAGAAAAGTTGATTAGATAGAGAGCTGTGGGCAGGCACTTGAACCTGTTGAGATAGTGAGTTTGTCGTAAGGGCACTTTCGGAGAAGATGGAGATCTTCAATGTCGATCTCGTAGAAGTCAACTTCCGTAGTGCAGCCACGGCGACCAAGAGTCCAGCTGCAGTTGAGATTATTTGCGTAGACAAATTCCTGTGGTTTTGAATTGAGTAAGAATATCTTTCACTTGTCCGTTCACTAACCTCGGTCCAACCAGGCGACGAGAAACGCCCGCCGTCTGGTAAGTCTTCTTGACCAGAGCAGGTCAAATCAATCTCTCTGTAAACTTGCGGGAGGTAAATTGTATCCTCAGGAACGATGACTTCTGGCTCCACTAAACTGAGGTAAGGTAACTGAAGCCTTTATCCATGCTCACCTAAGAGTTCTTGATGAATGATCATCGAATGCGCCGTCTGTAAAAAGAATATGCCTAGCATTTCCGGTATTTTTTTGGTTCTCTTGTTGTCCTTGCGTTTCGGAGGTATTTTTGTGATTGTGTAAGGGGTAATGTTTTAAGTTTATTTTCAATCGTCTTTTGGCGCTAAAGAGCATGGGTGGTGTATTAGGTACACACTTGGGCACGCACCCCTTTATGGGGTGAAAATCTCACGGTGCGACTATTAGCGGCTAATGTGACATCAGCGGGTGCTCCCGTCTTCAGTGAAGACTTTTGACTGTTATGGCGATTCAGGCTGATTTCTGTAAGGAATATGTTCCCAATTCTTGATTTTCCCCTTTGCATATGTCGATATTAATATCAAATAATTGCAGTCTTAGAGTTTTTGTAGAGTTAATTCATTGAATTTTTTATCAACTTTAAGGACCCCCTCCCCCCCCGTCAACACTTTTCGAAATTGTTGAAGGGGGGGGGGGGTCCTTAAGTGATAACATCAAAGAAGAAAAAATTACTTGCATCAAATTTCAATGTGTGCATTTGATATCTTCGTAAACATTAACGTAGATTTTCGCGTTGTTTATACAAATATTAAGAATGTTTACAAGGGAAATTCAGACAAAGGATGAATGTATTGAATGGCTCAAGAGGGAGCATTGTCCACGGGCGTATATTGGTAAAGGTTGTTTTGATTTGTTTGAAATGTCTTATTCGCTGTATGGTACTCTTTCGAAAGCACTCATCCCTTTTGAAAACCAGCGTCCAGTGACAACTAAAGTACTCCTCCAAATGCTGAGATTTTTTGCCTCGTGGGAAGGAGATCTCCAACGGGAAAAACTGGGCACCTCGTCGGGAAAAAGTGAAAAAGTGCGAAGCCCCAACAGTGACCCAAACAGGTCACAAGAAACAGGTCATTCACCTTAGCAACAATCTGACAAAGTCACCATCTTTCTTGTCAGACCAAGAGCTGTTAACAGCGAGACATTAATACGCCACGAAAGTAGATCAAATTAGCACTTTGAGCCGGACATCAAGGGCAAAACCGTGCCTAAAGATGAATTTCCGGGGCACTCAATTTTCCATGTGCGCAAAAAATTTTTGGAAAACTTCGAACTTTTCAATTCATTCGATATCAAGCCAATCCATCCTTCAGCACGACTCTTTTCGGTTATTTTGGACATCAAAATAGCCCCTTTGTGGATTCATGAAACGTTATCTGACGCATTCTTCTTTCTTGAAGAAAAAAAACGACTTTGAAGAATGATTCTTCTTCTTGGATTATCCACGACAGAGGACTAAATTAGAGAATCAGGAAAAATGGACGGATGGACGGAGTTCTCCGAGGACGATTCTGAAATTAATAATCAGGAACTGCTATTCTACTATCAAACACAAAACTGCATATTTTCCTTATTGAAAAGTCGGATGAAATTTTCTTACGGAAGAATAGCTCGAATGAAAAGGAACTAGCCAAGATCAACCGAGCTATCAAACAAAGTGCACAAAAACGGCAACAGCTGCAAATTAATTTCAAGACAACAGTTTTTAAAGTTCCGCAGTCAAAAATTTCGAATAATATCCTTTTTCAAAATATACAAACTGAAACGAGAACTGCACCAAAAAACAAGATGAAACGATCAAATTATTGAACAAGGAAAAATATGAGCTTTCAACTCAACTTTCCTTGGCACTTTCGAAGAAAAACTTGGCTGAGGCGGACAGCGACTGCGATGCAATTAAGGCAAGTTTTCAATTAATCAAGTTTTTCGTTAAAGAAATATTATTTATAGGAAGTTGTGAGCTCAAAAGACCTCGTCGAATCGCAAATCGAAAAAGAGTCAAATTTATCGCTCAGGAAATTAATTCAATTATTTATAACGTGATTTGAATTGTATCAATTTTTGAATATTAATTGAAGCCTCGATCAACAAATTCTGCAGCTAAGCGAAGATAAATTGTACCTTTCAAAGAAGCTTTCAAATCTCACCTCTGATGCCGCTTCGAACGCCAAGGATGAAGAAGTCAAAGTTTCCATTCTCAAAAATCGTCTTCACCAGCAAATGCTCAGTTACAATTCCTTGCTCGCAGTCAACAAGGACAAAAAGCATAAAATCCAGCATTTGCGAGGAGAGCACGTGAAATTCCAAAACCATTTGGATCGCCTCGAAAAGTCGATCCAGCACAAACGATCGCTTATGGCAGCGATGGTTGATGAAGGAAATCTTGCCTTTGAGAACCAAGGTAAGGGAGATTTCAAATTTTGCGGACGGGCCAAAAAATTTTTTTTTCTTTTTTCTTGCTGATATGAAAGAGCATGAAAAATGAGGCAGACTAGTCCTCGTATCATCGTCCTAGCTTTCGTAATTACGAAAATATCTTGAAGACAAAGTCCAAAAATATGAAAACTTTTCTCGACGATTGTGAGTCATCGGTAAGAGGTACTTTCATTTTCTCTTCGGATATGAATTCCTCAGTGCCTAATCTAGTGGGGACGACTTTAAAAATGAAAACCGATAAGGTTTTTCGTGATTTCAGCGATTCGAAAGAAGTGATAAAAATGCTTTATGAACGGGGCGAAAATAGGAACGAGCAGCTACTAAACGACCTCGAAATCAGGCGCTGAAAATCAGGCTCATCCCATTTTCGAAAACAAAAATTCGGAAACAGGATTGTGCAGCAACTAAACCGGGTCGAAATCAGGGCCCTCGAAAGACGCGCTATTTTTAAGGTTGGGCAAGTTATTTCACCCACTTCCTGATCTTAAACCCTGGAACACCATACATATTTGGAATCAGCAGGAAATTTTTAGAACTTTGACCGTTTTAGTTTCCAAAATTTCCACTTCCGGTCCGATTCTAGAGCCGGAAGTTGACGAAATTTTGAGTTTGGCCAACTTGTGACCTATTAAATTGATGCTCAGAAAATTTTGAGTAAAATCATCTTAAAATCATTCAAAGAAACCGTCCCAACCGCAGTCAAACCGACCGGCAAAACTAGGAAAAAGGCATAAATTTCTGTTTTTCTTTCAGTTTTTAGCGGTTGATTTGACCGCGGTCGGCATTGATTCTTCTCTCAGATGATAGGAAATCTTCTGAGAATCAATTTGATAGGTCACAAGTTGGCCAAACTCAAAATTTCGTCTACTTCCGGCTCTAGAATCGGACCGGAAGTGGAAATTTTGGAAACTAAAACGGTCAAAGTTCTAAAAATTTCCTGCTGATTCCAAATATGTATGGTGTTCCAGGGTTTAAAATCAAGAAGTGGGTGAAATAACTTGCCCAACCTTAAAAATGCGCGTCAAATCAGCCTGGCCCATTTCGAGTCCAATTTTCTGACCCTGATGATCAGCTGATGAATATTCATGCCGCGCTATTTTTAAGGTTGTCGAAGTTTTCAAGCCAACTTCCGCCTTATGAACCCGGATCATATCAATATCAAGAATTTAGCGCGGTTAGGATGTATTCTTATTTTAAATCATAGGAAATCTTCTGAGCGTAAATTTGATAGGTCCAACTTCATCCTAAGTCCTAAATTTCGTCAACTTCCGGCTCTAGAATCGACCGGAAGTGTAGATTTCTAGAATTTTAAACGGTCAAAAATCTTAAAATTTTCTGCTGATTCCAAAAAGGTATGGTGTTCTGGGGTTTATAAGGCGCAAGTGGGCTAGAAAACTTCGCCCATCTTAAAAAAGCGCGTCAATGCGATCGCTCAAATCGTTGTCATCTGCAATTCTTGATATTGATATGATCCGGGTTCATAAGGCGGAAGTTGGCTTGAAAACTTCGACAACCTTAAAAATAGCGCGGCATGAATATTCATCAGCTGATCATCAGGGTCAGAAAATTGGACTCGAAATGGGCCAGGCTGATTTCGAGGGCCCTGATTTCGACCCGGTTTAGTTGCTGCACAATCCTGTTTCCGAATTTTTGTTTTCGAAAATGGGATGAGCCTGATTTTCAGCGCCTGATTTCGAGGTCGTTTAGTAGCTGCTCGTTCCTATTTTCGCCCCGTTCATAAAGCATTTTTATCACTTCTTTCGAATCGCTGAAATCACGAAAAACCTTATCGGTTTTCATTTTTTAAAGTCGTCCCCACTAGATTAGGCACTGAGGAATTCATATCCGAAGAGAAAATGAAAGTACCTCTTACCGATGACTCACAATCGTCGAGAAAAGTTTTCATATTTTTGGACTTTGTCTTCAAGATATTTTCGTAATTACGAAAGCTAGGACGATGATACGAGGACTAGTCTGCCTCATTTTCATGCTCTTTCATATCAGCAAGAAAAAGAAAAAAATTTTTGGCCCGTCCGCAAAATTTGAAATCTCCCTAAGGCATTTGTATATTATATTATATTATCCGGGCACGGGATAATTGTTATTACAGAAGATGCTCGACAACGGGCGAAAGCTCTTTTGGACAAGAATGAAAAAGACATTCTCCAGCATAGTCTCGAATATCGAGAGCTTCAGCGGCATCTTGACCACGAAGAAATCACCGAATGTTTCATGGACTTGAAGAGTCAAGATAAAGCAGCTATCGCCCAAGAAGCAATTAACAAACGAGCGGCAATTCTTCTCAAGGTAAACCTTTCCGAGAACAAATGGAATAACCAAGTGACTAGAAAAATGAAGCACAAGCTGCAAAAACTCGCGCATTTCGAACACTCCTTCAGTCGTATTTATGCGGCTTACGGCCACCTTCCGATCGAGGAGCTAATTGCGAAGTTGTCAAAGAACGAGTCGGAAAATTTCGCAGCGTTTGGTTACGTTAATGAGAGCTCGAAGAAAATTGAAAGAGAGATTGAAGCAATTGGCCACTTGAAATACAAAATCGAGCGGCTACAGTCAACAAACGATGACGACCAAATGAGTGTTGCGATGAAGATGTCCGAGTTGACGTCGCAAAACGGGAAAGAGGAGGAGAATCTTGAAGAGTTGAAGAAACAGCTGGACGAGCAGAACGAGCTATTCACCAATCTCTTTGATGCCATTCAAAAACTCTCTGATCGCATGGGTTGTAATACGACTTCCATTCGCAAATCTCTTGGAGACAACGACGAAATCAACGAGTCAAACGTTCTTAGGGAGAGTTTAGAAAATAACTTTCTCGATTTAAGATTTAAGGTAGATGAGCTCTGATACTCCATAAAATTCTAGCTAAAACTCGTGCAAGATACATGGCACAAATAGAGAAAAATGCCAACCTTTTTACACAGCTGTACTTGAAGCTAAAAGCTGAGCAAGATCCAACAGCCGAGAAAGTTCGCAGATCTTCTTCGAGTGAGGTGTGCCAAAACTTCTTTCTGAAAAAAAAATAGCGTGTTCAGTTCGAAAAGGATCAAGAAAAGGTCACTGATGTCATTATTCCTCCGGCACTCGAAGACATGGATAAGTTTGAAGATGATCTGTTGAGTCCAGAAACGGCGAGAGCAAAAGCAATCGAAGCGATGACCAAGGAACTGAGGGCTCACTAAAGACTGCTTAAAACTTTAAAGGTGATATATGGAGCCTCAAAAAAGCGCAACGTCGAAAAACGGCGCACAACGGTGGGAGATGACTGGGCGGCTCAGCAGCAGAGAACGTTCTCAAAGCGCGCTGACGTGAGACGAATGACTCTTCTGTAATAAATATACCTTGATTCAGTACCGAATATTTGTTGTTGTCAACACTTTGCTCGCTAATTAAAAATGGCACTTTCTATACTGAGGTAGAATTTATTTCGTCCGGAGGAGGCCAGTTAGACTGGGTGAGATAGCGACTCCTTTTATTTAACGACCTCTTACTAGCCGAGCGAGAGTTCTCTTTTCAATCATCAAAAGATCAAGAGAGACAGCGAAGACGAGTGATGGCTTGCAAGGTAAAAAACTATAGGAAAGTCTTTCGGTACTAACAGATCCCATAGCCCAGATTTTTGACCTTTTACTTGTCCATTCTTTTGGTTCTTTCTTCGTTAGCCGCATTTTCGACAGGGCCGGGTGACTAATTACTTGTCCCCTAATTGAATAGTATAAGTAATCACCCCAAGAAGTTTCTCATCATTTAAATACAACCAAATCGATATGTGGAAATGTATCAGTGGTAGAATCGATGGATCCTTCAACGGAACCATGTTATGCAGTGACTTGCATAGCCTTTGCTGCGAGGTGAGTCCTATTTCTCGGCAAGAAATAAGAAAGAAAATGTTTTAGTACGTATCTGCTTTCAATAATAGTTGCTATTTTCGGCATCGAAGGAAGCAGAAGAGCCTCCAGTGACCAAAAAACATCTAAAGTTCTATTCTGGTTCCACGTAAGTTAAATAACCCTTTGGTATATTGTTATAATCGATTTTAGCATATTCTGGGGATAGTTGCTTTTCTTGCACTTATTCTGTCGCTCATATTTATGGCGAGCAATGTGCTAAAAGGTAATAAATTATTTTCTATCAAATATTTTTCACGGAGGCACAGGTGACATCTTGTTGCCCGTCTCGAAGTCTCTTTCAAGATGATATTATGTTTTCACTAACGTTTCATAAGTATGCGCTGGCTTATATTCAAGTGGGCTGACCTTTGCGATCATACTGATCGGCACTTGTCTTTCTCTGGTGCTGCTTTTGCTGTCCTTGATATCTGCCGTGCGGGCGCGCCAGGATCTGCGGAGTATCGAGTATAGGCATGCTACTTTTTACTGACATGGAGAATGAATAAATTCGATTGAAGTTTTATCAAGGAAATTTAATTCTAATTCTCGTGAAATGTGATTATTTTTATTTTGTTGACGCAAGAAAATGAAATGTTTCATGAAGCGAGATCATTTAAATTGAAGAAATAGCAGATCGGGACCCATTAGCTCTTTCTGCTTGAACAGGTACGTGAGACTTTAAATATACAGTTGCCTTGTTTGGGTTTGAAATTCAAAAACTTTGAAGTAATTTTGAAAACTTTTTTTTCAAAACTTTGAATAGAAGCGGAAACAACTAATCTGAAATGGCGGTAGAATGATTTGCTGCCTTTTTGCGCTCGGGCTCGAAGTTCACCAGTCGCTGGCCAACCATGTACTTTGCATTTTTGATGCCTTCTATCAGTCGACAGAGCTGTTGGTATTGAATGTGAAGAAGGAACATTCCCAGTACTCCTAAGAAGGGTTCAACTCGAATCAATTTCGCTGACTAATTACCGAAACAGAACATGGGATAGACTTTTCGCTGGAAGCGGACGAGCAAGTCTTCTTGGAATGACATCAGCGGTAGAATTGAATAGCTGATTATAAACGGAACAGATAGAAGCACAATAAGTCCAGACGCCACTGGCCAGACAACTGTCCACAAGAAGTTGCGCAAGCGAAAGTTTCTAGCGCCCTAAAACCAATCGGTCAGAAACTTATGGAATCGTTCCTTCTTACCCGATTATAAATTGTCTCGAGAGCATCTCTAAGCCACCAATTCGGACCCAGCAAAGTAAATGCAATGCAGATTTTGACGTGAACAGCGCCGAACGCCCAGTCAACCAGTGCATAGGCTAAATCATAGGATAATTGCCCATTCGAAACTTGAATTCATACTTATAGGTGTTTGGTACTGTTGCACTCGCAGAGGCGTTAATATTGCGTAGTCGAAGAGAAGGCCCATCAGGAGAGCAGTTACTCCAGCAACGAGAACGAATGCTGTTGAAATTTTTACGGCGATTTTGATAGATCGAGCGAGGTTCTTCGCCATGAACTTCCATCCCTTCGGAGCCCATCGTGAGACGATCGTGATGCCAAGCAGAGGCAGCCAGCAAACGAACAGTCCGAGAAAGAGCTATTTAAAAATGTCAATTTCAGAGATAAAATCGAAGCTACCAACCGTATACATTTCGTGCACCCTGCGTTTGTGGCCAACAGTGTACGCTAAAATCTTCCTACCCATCAACACTGGAAAGTAAATTGCAGAAGCAGCACAGGACGAGATTGAAATAGCAACGACAAACAAGAGTACGCCAACTCGGCCGCGGAAGCGGGATGGCTTTTGAAAAAGATGATGAGTTCGGATTTCATTTCGGTCATCGTTGATATGTTCCGGGTTCCAGAAAATATCCTCGTCTTGCTCTTGATTTTGTCCGTCTTCGTCGTTCTCAACCGCGCCACGTAGGAAGCCAGGCTGATTTCTTTGGTCTCCTTCATTACTATCCGCGAGCCGCTCTCCAAGTAGATATCCTCTCAAGCCAAGAGCCCAGCCGACAAGCTCAGCCCAAAGACGAATCAGAGACTTCAAGAAAAACTGAAGGCGTTAGTTTGACTTTACGTCCCTTTCGTTACCTTGATATGAGTTTGCTCGAGCAAGGTAGGAAGGAAAACTTGAAGAGTGACGAGCTCAAGAGATACATGATTTAGTGGCTCGTCCGAAATCGCGAAAACACGATAGGGGAGAAAATCAGGTACTGCCCATTTGATGAATTTAACAGGAACGGCGATGATGAACAAAATTGACAATCCAAAGACAGCGATGTAAACGAGGAAACGGCTAAAAGAAAGTAACTTTTACGATGCATCGAAAATCGAAAGTTACCGTAGATGATGGACGAGGCGTTGATTCATCAATCTCCTGATCGGACTGAAGTCCGGCTCGTTCAAGTTTGGCATGAACCAGAGAAGTCCAGGGCGAAGCACTTCCTTCGTGAAGATCAGAAAAGTCCCAAAGTAGAAGATAAACAACGCACCAAAGAGCCAGTGGAATCCAAACGATGCTCCCGGAGATGCTCGATAAGAAACTTCAAGTTTTTTGGTTAGGTTCGAAGCTATCTTTTTGATCTTACCGAGTCGATCCGAAAGTGTAGCATTGAGCATTGAAAGGGAACAAATGTCGATCCACCAGCCACATATGATAGGCATGATAATCATACAGACAACGAGTAGAATTCCTACTTTGATACACATGTAGCAGATTTTCGCCAGGTTACTGAGCTTCTCCATGTTCATCTTCGAGGAAATGAGGTGGAACATCAGGAAAATAAACGCGAAGAAAACGTAGCCTAGCGAATAAAGTTACCATTAAATTTAGACGAGTACTCGATGCCACTGTACCTGTGAGTGTAAACAAGCCACCAGCAAGCTGAGAAGACTCAACAACCGAGAGAATGTGCAATGTGGTGTAAATGCTTTTTCCGACATGATAGGGTGTGTACGCGAAGACGAAAATGAAGAGTGTGTTGAGCGAAACAACCCAAAAAACATGCTCCAAGAAGACGAAGGAGCCATCCAAGCCGAGCATACGCTCCCAAGTCAGCTCTTCCAGATTCCATTGTTCAGCTGGCTCAACATTTTCAGCCTAAAAGATTCGCTTTAGTTTGGAAGGCTTGAATCAGTATGAAACAAAAGGCAATATAAAGAGTTTGAGTTGAGTTACCCTCAGCGGTCTTATGGTGTAACGGTTAGCACTCTGGACTCTGAATCCAGCGATCCGAGTTCAAATCTCGGTAGGACCTCTCTTTTTTCACCAAAACATTTTGTTCTTGAAACCCAAAATCTACCTCGTTAAAGATGACTTCATCATCTTCTTGAGCTGGAAAGTTGCCTATCCGGCGTTGTAGAGCGTCGAGCTCCCTTTGAGCACGAACAAGCTCTTCTCGAGCGGCTCTTTCTTGCTCAAGATTTTCTTGAAGCATGGCCTCCAGAGGATTTTCAATTCGGTCTTCAAGCGCTGCTTGCTCCTCTGCAAGTTCTTCGAGCCGCTGCATTCCTTCGTGAATCGGACCCATGATCTCTTCTTCAAGGTTCCAGTGATCTTCAGCCGCGAGAATATCGTTTATCATCTGCTGCTGAATATTAACCGCTTCTTCTGCGTTGTTCTGCAGCATGTTTTGAAATGCGCCTTGGATGAATTGCTCCCGAAGATAGAGCAAACACACAAAAATGCCTGAAAAAGAAGCATAGTGAACCTTCGAGGTTCGATAGGTTTACCCATGGTGCAGCCAACGATAAAGCCACCGGTGACAATGTCGCGCATAAAGTACTCTGTGGAAAAAAGTGGCTCCATTGCAAGTTTGTAGAACGAAGTAGACGAAGAAAATAAACTAAAAGAGCCGATTAAGAAACTAAATGATGCGACCTCTCACCAGTAGAATATACGGCAAGTTAGAAGCGGAACGAAACCAAGCCAGGCAAGAGCAACGGCCGTGTAATGAAGCCAACAGCCGATAGCACGAAGGAGGGAACGAATCAGGCCGGTAATGAACTCGGAGATGGGTATTCTAGCGGGCATGTCGGCCGAGTAAATCGGCTTGAACGCGAACTTGTGATTGCATAACTCGCAGAAATCCTTTTTGGATACACGGAGCCATTCGACAAGACATTCTTGATGAACGAAGCGAATCGAGCCTGAGCAGTGGCATGGATGGAAGAGAGCGCGCTTGGCTGAAAAATTGAAATAGATAAGGAAGTACGAAGCAGCCGATTTCAAATTACCTGTGCCTTCCATTCGGCATACTCGGCAAACGTCCGAATCTTGATCGTCCATGATTGCTTTTTTTTTGTTTTTGACTACCTCGTTATGAGCATGCTGAAGTATGCAAATATATTGTCTGAATTCTTTCAGAGTTTCAGTGTCAAATTTTTCAGGACTAAACAAATAACAGACGCGTGTCTTTTCGGCAGCAAAAGATAATAAAAAGAATATGCACCCGTCGCTCATTTCTCGCGGGACTTTCTTCTTACGGGAGATCTTGAACGACTACGGGACTTTTTGGTGCCTTGTTTCTCGGCGCTCGATGCTTTTTCTTCTTCGTTCTTTTTCGGAGGAGCTTTGAAGAACCGGTAGCGGTCGGGTGGCAGATCAGGGCCGATCTCTTTTGCTGGCAGAACTTGTTTTCGCTTTCGTCTCTTTTCTGGACTTTCCTGGAAATAATATCTGTCGTCAAAGGTTATTTAGTAATGATGACGGACCTTTTCCAATTTGAAGCGATTTTTCGGGCGATTCGGATCTTTTTCTTTCTCGCGTTCTCGCCAGCAGGAGTCTTCCTCCAATAACCGATTTCGATTTTCCGCTTGTACAACTGCCGCCTTCAACGTAGCTTTCGCAAAGTCGCCAAGAATCGGCATTGCACAATTTCTAAAAGAACACGAGTGAGTTGAATTCGATAAAATGAGTTCCTGGAAAAGAAACGAGTTGAAATGTATACAGGCTTAATACAGTTTCGTTCGGATTCAAATTGAAGAAATAGGAAAGGACATTTACAATCGGAGAAGCACGGTTAGTTTAGCAACGGTCGTTAAGAAATGAGAGTTAAACACGGCATACAAGTAAGATGAAGAAAAGAGGGGTTAGTCGTTGTTGAATCGACGGTGTTGATTTTCTGTGGGAGTTCAATATTGTTGGCCATATGGTGGTGGGTTTCCGTATGATGCGCTTGAAAAAGTCGATAATTGGTACAAAGACGCTCGAGGCTTACTTGTAACCGACGTCTCCACCGGCAACTGGGTAAGGCATACCAGGATCTTGCTGAGGCTGTTCGTATTTGGGAGCGTGGAACTGACAGAAAACGAAAGGCTGACGCCAAGCAGTTCCGTCTCCACAATCGCACCATCCGCCACCCTCGTCTCGGAGCATTTCCCATCGATGGTTCTTGTGCTCCGAAGCTTAATTATTAAATGGATGCATGAAAATATGCGCTTTCGTTACCTTCAAAACAGTTTCGGCAGAGAACAGGGCAGTCTTCAGTTATCTCGCAGTCAAGACATCGATATGTCTCTTCGTCTGGCTTGAATTGGTACTGACAAGCTATGACAATATATGTACGGAGGGCTCTTTTTTCATACGTAATACGACAAATGTATATAGAATGATACGGTGACATGTTTACCCGAATCATTTCGGTCTACATTGTCGATTTGACGGTGTTCTTCATGTGGAGGATATCCCTGGAACTGTTGCTGAGGAAATCCAGGATCTTGAGGGTATCCTTGATGTTCTGGATGGCCTTGAGGCGGATAGCCTTGTTGAGGGTATCCCTGTTGAGCGTAACCTTCTGGAGCGTAGCCTGGCTGAGGATAGCCTTGCGGTTGGCCGAACTGCTCTTGCGGTGGCTGCTGAAACTGCTGCTGCTGCTGTTGTGGATATCCTCCGTCTTGCCTCGGATAGTCGGCAGACCCTTCGGAAGACTTTTTCTTCCCTTTCAAGAAGCCAAAGAGTCCCATTTTCTAAATACGCTTGTTAAATTTAGATCAGAGGATCAAAAGGTCAGTTGGAAAAGAGGAAAAAAGTCAAAATACGCAAATTGTCGGCAGGATTATTGAAAAATTATTCTATCAAAGGTTACATAGAGTCAAGCGGACGATTGAAGCCGCCCCTCCTGTTCATATATTGTCGGTACTTTCGCTGTTTGATGCAGCGGCTCTCTCCTACGTCGTTGTCCTCATGCCCTAGGAAATGGTAAACTTTTGGCTCTAGCTGTTTGTAGAAAACCTTTATTCTGAGTGGTATCAAAGTTTGAGAAGCCCATCATCTCAGCCATCATTTCTTCTTCCGACTTCTCATTTGATAAAGGAGCAAGAAGGGCTTCTTTTTCACTCAGAACTCTTTCCGACGCTTCCTTCATCCGTTTTCGTTCTTCTTCAAGTTCCTAAAAGGCAATAAAGGGAGGAATGGTTGGCAATGCATACTTTTGACTTGGAGAACAGTTTTGCATACGCGCCAAGATCCGCAGAAGAGTCTTGAACCGGGGCCTTCTCTGTTTTCATAATTTGAACATCGGGCGAGTTAGAGCGGCTTCGAATGACGATTGCTTCCGATTTCTTTGATTTTACTGGACTTCGAGATCGTGTTCTTGATCTATTGAAATGGGTGTTAAAACAAGCAAAAAGAAGAAAATGTGAACCTTCTATCGCGGCGACGCTCTTTCCGTTCACGCTTGCGCTCTCTTGAACGAGACCTTGAGCGTTTCTTGTGTTTTTTACGTTTTCTGTCCCTGTCGCGATCGCGAGACCGTGATCGGGATCTTCGACCCATTCGACTCTAAAAATTGAAGGTTAGGAATCATTAAGATTGTAAATGAAGTTTATTACTAGGCGCAACCGATTATATGCGCCTTTAGCAGGTCAGTATTCGGTTTTTGCCGACAAAAATAGGTGGTTTTTTCGATGTCGGTTTCATCGAAAAAACCAAGGCATTACGCACCTAGTAGGTGGTTTTTTCGATGAAGGTTCCTACTACACTGGGCCCCCTACCGAGCCAAAACACTTACTTACTTTCAGCCAAGAGGGGGGGGAGCAGTGGGAACCTTCATCGAAAAAAAAATGCTCAGGTAGTGCAGAAAAAAAGTGAGGAAATAGAACAGTAAAATCATTTTAGGTGGTTTTTTCGAAGAGGACCATGTCTATCTGGGCCATGTTGATCGTACTATTGTTGGCATCCAGACTGGCCTCTTCCTGTTCTTTTCCAATACTTTTTCGGCATAGCCCAACGGTTTACATTGACCGGTACTCATTCTAAATAAGAAGTTTTAGTGTATTATTATAGAAAGGTGTTCAAAATAAGGAGCAAATGAATGAAATGGGCATTTATTTACAGAAACCGGTAAACATGTGAGCATATGGAGTCTATCAATGTTCAATTGAAGTTGCCGAGCAAGTATGAATATAGTAAGGAATTCTAGGAATAAAAGAATAGACCAGTGAGAAGAAACGGGCTCGGATAAGGTGATAGGCAAAATTGGAGGTGTGTGAACTCGATCTTTTGATGATTGCACTAAGTTCTCGAATAATAGAATAAATTGATGATTTTAAATGCAGAATCAAATAAATAGAAAATAAGCTGGATAATTGCTGAATTTTGACAGTTCTTGAAATTGAAAATGAAACTCGATAACTGAGAAAATAAAGCTAATCTAGGGACATTGTTTCATTATCCATCAGCTAGGAATATTTTTTGACAATTTGATAATGAGCTTGAGCGGTTTGAAACTGCGGCCTAGGCTAGTTCGACATGGCAAAACGTAGGTGAAACTTAGAATGCTGCTTCGGGCGCTTCAGAGGCCACTAGCGCTGATTTATCGTCGTCAACGGGAGGCTGCTCTGCCTTCTCGTTCACAAAATTGCCATTTGGAAGCTGTGAGGATATAAACTGATTTGTTGGAATACGGTTCTCATTTAGATACGCTTTTCTCCAGAGGGTGATCTCCTGAATTCATTTAATCGAAAAGGGGATCAGAAAATCAGTCACCTGTTGTTTGAAGTAGCGGCGGTCCTCTTCGTCAACTAGGACCAAGTTCAGAAAGTACCTTACAGAGAATTTCTTCGCCACTTCCTATAAAAATATAAAACTAGGCGGAACAAAGGTTAGTAAGGCACCTTCATTGTTGGCTGCCCTTGGAAAGATTTGAGGAACAATCTGATGGGAATGACTTCGCCTTTGGCCGGCCCGCCGTCCATGATTTCGTATTTGCCGATGGACTCTTGCTCCATGTAGTTGGATGGACCGCTGCCTGTTTGTTCCCTTCGGATCAAGTCGATCTCCATGTGTTTGATCTTGACGCGCACAAGAATAAAAGAAATTTTCCCTTGGAAAAAAGTGAATTTAAAGTCGAATGACAGCAATTACCGATGATCGCCTCATCCAAATGATATCTGGATTTGTTGTACTCAAACTCGATATGAAGAGAGTCCTCAATGCCAACCTGAATAAATCATGATAACATTAGCATTGGGCCCAATATGAATGACTCACCTCCATTTTGAGAGGGTTAGGCACATTGGGATATGCGCTGAGCATGTGGACGACAAACTCAAGCTCCTGGGCTAGAATATTTCATCAATTACATGTAAATAAGCGCATAGAAAAGGCTTACTTATATTTGGCTGTGCCATCCCACGCATGACAGTAGCCTTGACAAAGTAGCGTAATCGAACATTCGTTCCATGATAGCTTTCGTGAGGCTTTTCAACGTTTGGAAACTCGAATTCGTACGACCTGTCGCTCGTTAGTGACTCTGGACCGGCCAAGTGTTTGACGAGAAACAGGAAGTCATGGGTGTTCCCTCGATCGTTGAACAATTCAATCTGACCAGTGACTTCAACGCGAATTCCCTGCCGAAATGAACAATAAAAAAGTTGTCTCCTTCGAGTGTTAGCAAACCTTGTGATCAACTTTTTTCACGTTTGACTTTTTTAAGTTGACGTCAACCATGCCAGCGATGGTTTCTCCGTCGTAGTAGAGCAACAAGGGCTCTTTTTCTAAAACACTTCAATTAACCCGTCGACGCACTGCTGCTGGTTACTTCTATCTGAGACATTATGCAAGACCCTGCGCCGCGTGCTTTCATCAGACAACCTTATCGAAACGTCCGCTGGCCTCCCGAATCCGAAGAAGCTCATCTGAAAACAAACACGTGATAATTCGATTTTCTCTTTTAAGATTTAGTTTTATTATAAAAATAATATAGAAAGTAGTGAAAATAATTGTGTGATTATGTAAAGCATGAGGCACGTGTGGTCGAAGGAAGCTTATAGAACGTTGAACATGTAGTTTGATTCGAAGGCTCCGTCAGTGTCCAAATCAGTGCAGTGGATGGCGTTCTTGATGCGATTGATGCCGAAGATCGCGCGCAGGGTTCCTGGTCGAATAGCCGCTGCGACTTTGGGGTCAACTGGGCCGCAGAACTCGCGGAATCTCTAAACAAGTGCTGCAAATCTAAGTCCGAAAAGCCATGTCGCAAGTACCGTATGTTCTCCTTCGGGAATCGTGGAAATCTCAAGAGCCAGACTGGGCCCGGAGCTGAGTTCGTCCACCATTCCAGTGTACTCTGTGACGACATCTCTGTAAACTTCGTAAAACTCCTCGACTTCTTTTCTATCCAACGAGTTCAATCTCATGGCGGTGATCTGAAAGCCTAAACAAACGATAAAATCGTGCATTATAAATGCGCACTTACCAGCTTTCTCAATGGCGTTGATAATTTCTCCGGATCGATGAAGGAATGATGGTTTGATTACGGCGCAAGTGCACTGTTCATTTCGAAGAGAAGTGCTCTGCATGGAAATATCGCTGAAGAATGATTCCAAGTGTCTAAAGACGAAGTTAAACAGGCGCTTTGGGGAATTAAAAACGCACCTTGGGACTGCCTCCTTGTCAGTAGAAACGTAGCCAACGTCAGCTGGGTTAGTGCACTTGCTCATAAGAGCGAATGAATCATTGCCTGAAGAAACGGTAAAGAAAAATGAAACAAGGCTAGAGACAAACCTTGAACAGCCATGGCGAGAGCTCGTCCTTCGAAACCGGCGATTTCAGCGCAATCTTTATTCAGGTGAAGCGATTTTACGTTTGTTATCTTGAGTCCGTTTTTGTAGACATTGTTCAAGACATCTCCAACTGCGTTCCATTTCGATTCGGGAAAGACGAAGAGGATCGCTTCGTTGAGCCCGGAGTGATCCTGAAATGCCGTTTATAAATGATTCTGGTACACGAGAGCTTACAGTTTCAGTCTTATCGTCACCATATGCAACAATTGTGTGCTGCCTGCTGTGAATATTTAACTTGGTGCCAATGAAAAGTTTCTCTGGGATGTCAGACATCGCGGTTCGGCTGAGGAACTTTCTTCGGTTTTTGATGTCGTACATTGTAATGGTTTTATCCTAAAAATCAAAATCATCTCAGCCCGAAGAAGCAAAACTCACTGGGTATCGCATGAGCTGGTATCTTCGCCGAATTTCAGCATGAGTGTCGTACCACTCAGTAATGAAACAGTGCCTCTCCTCGTTCGCCATTTTCGACTTTTTTCTAACTGAATGCAATAATGAATTTCAGCTTGCAAAACAAGCGCTGTTCTAGAAATAGAAAGAAGGGAATAATTTCTGTGTTGGATTTGAACGAAAGGAGAGGAATTATTCTTGGCCAGTTTGAAGAAGTCGGAGTGATTTTTGAAGGAAACTGATTGCACCCGGCACATCGTCGTATGTCAACGACGAAATGGCAAATTTTGCGTTCTTCGAGGCTTTGTCGATTTGAGCTTGGTCCGGGCGGAATCCTGCGATTGGATTCACAGCAGCGGGAGCTGGCTCGGCCTTAGGAGTAGGCACACTACGAGGAGCGGCTTCGGGCACGACGGGAGGGGTGAAAGTTGGCTCTGCTGGCGGCTGAAAACTGCTCGTGCTTGGCTCTTGCGGCGGTACGTATGAGGAGGAAGGAGTATCTTCTACGCCGAGCTGATCGAGCTCGTCTTCCTCATCTTTAAAATCCGATATCACAAGTCAAAATAATGATCAACGAACCCTGAAAACCGCCTGGAGGACCGGGCACAGGTTGTCTTCCTTCTTTGAGACATTTCGTGATGTCAACCGTTTTGTAAAGCGCATATTTCTTCTTTTCCGCCCAGTCTTCAGATACCTCGCCGAAGATTGTCATGATATTGATGAGTGAAGCGGTCATAGCGAAGATCTTATCAGAATTTTTCAATGATTATTTGCATTTTCACAAGTTTATTTACTTTTGGCAGATTTGCTGTGAATTGTGCGGCGCGGTCCATTGCATCTGCTCGCGCGAATAATGCCAGTGTTGCATTTTCAAAATGAGCTTGGCCGACTACTTCCTGGGTAATCGCCTCGTTTTCTGCGTGCGCCTTCTTCACCTGCTCGAGCCAGTCCATTTGCGATAGAATCCACATTCGCCCATCTTTGTCTTTCGAATCGATCTTCATCGCCTCTTGAACGCAATAAAACCTATTCTCGATTTAATAAGACGCCGCAATATTGAGTCTAAATTACCTCGACCAGTAAGCAACAACTGTGTCTTTTTTCTCAAACTGTTGCGCTGTTCTGAATGCATTCAGAATCGGCTTGTATTTCGGAGGAAGCGCAGCCATATCAGATCTGAAGATTATTGATTGCTTTCACTTTTTGCGTAATTTACATAATTTTCAAAAGAATATTGGCAGCGAAGAAGATTTTAAGAAACAGGGATGAAGCGGTTCATTATTATTTCTCGTTGGAATAATACTTGGATATGTGTTCGTATGGAAAGTCGCGGTATTTGTCGCCGAATTTGACAGTTGCTTTGAACTTGCTCTGGTGGATTTCTTTGAGCGTTGCGATCTCGCCTCGATATTTCCCTACTAAAATGACGACCTCTCGGCCGACACTTGGGATGACCGTGTCCAGATCAACCTGATCAATCTTCGCACGCTTCCCACTCTCGAGCATCTTCACCACTGCCATGAAGTCTTCTGTCTTTTGGATGAAGCCTAAAACCAATTTCAATAATTTCAAGTTTCAACTCATTCTGAGACCTTTTTGCTTGTAGAAATTTTCTCCCAGCTTTTTATTCATGACTTTAACGACGATATTCTTATGGATCCATTTCTCTTCGGGCGCCTTTTCGCTCCCAGGTTCTTCCTTGACCTTCGGTTTTGCCTCAACACCCGGTTCTTGTTTGATATCAGGCTCCGTCTTAATATCGGGTTCGAGTTTCGGTCTCTTCATGGATTGCTCTGCGCGGCGAATCTGCTCCATCATGCTCGTCTTTCCCGGCTCTTGCTTGATCGCCTTCTTCTTTTCAATCGCGTTTTCAATCGCTTTCCGTTTCAAGTTTTCGAAAGGGTTCACGCTTTTCAGGGCTGAGCTTTGCGTCAGTTTCTTCAATCCCAAGTTGACTTTGATCGGCGCGTCGGAATCGTCGCGCTTCAGTTCTGTCGCCACGCTTTCAGGAAGAGCAAGGCCCTTTTCAACTTCGCGCTGCTTTCCTCGTTCAATCATTTGGGCAATCGCGTCCTGCTGCCGCTCCATGTCGTCTTTCCGCGCTTTCTTGAGCTTCTCCTGTTCCGCCTTACGCTGCAGCGTCTCTGGCGAGTTATCCACGTACTCGAGGAACCACTGGTTCTTCTCTTCGACAAAGTCAATCTTGCAGTAGCCAGTTTTGCCGAGCCATTGGACGAAGCCGGAAAGCGTGTGCCAGCGCGTCGCATTCATGTGAGTGTGGTTCCGATCGGAGATGTAGTCTTGGTAGACTTTGTTCGCAGAGACCCGCTGCCCGGCGTAGCAGAGGCGCAGGATTTGAAGGAAACCGCCGAGAAAGTCTGCCGAGAATTCGGACGTTACTTTATTCAAATGGCCTGGATCATCCGCACACAAAAGCATCTGCCGTTGATGACCCTTATCTCTTTCGTTAGTTCAAAGTTGAAACGAACTAGTTTACCTCTGACATGAGATGGCATTTGAAACCGTTCTCGTCGCGGCATTGCTTCTGACAGAGCTGGCAGTAGAAACGCAGCTTTTGCATTCCCTTCGACTTCATCTGGTTGGACAACGCTTTTGGCGTTCCTGCTTCTGGCTTCTTTCCCATCGCGAAAATCTGAATGGAGTTCGTTTGGAGATGTCGTTTAAAAATATTAAAATTTCGAACGTTATTTTTTTAATAATCAGTCAATAGAACAGGCTAGCAAATATGAAATAGGTACATGTAGCGGGACATTGAAACGCTGCCATACCAAGAAACTTGGCCAGAAGCGTAGTAGAATTAAAATGAAGATGAAAGTATTTTTAGTAACTAAATTCAATTTAGCAAGTTTTGAATTTTAAGCACGTTCGGTGAGTTTTTTTTATGAATGAAGGTACTTTGAGAATTTATTATTAAGAATTATATTTTTAGAAAAAAAAGCTAGAAAAGTATCGACAAATAATCAATACGAAAAAGGGAAAGTGAAGCTATACAAGTAGCGGTGTTAGTATTTAATAAAAACACTGAAGTAAATAGTATGATGGGTGAAAATGCAACAAGAATTGGTTCAATTCTCTTTCTCGTTTTCTGGGACTTGGAGTCGCAGAAAAACAAAATTGTCTAAGTTATACATTGGAAAAGTTTATTGTCATTTTTCTGTAAAATGGTTTAGGACTGTTTGAGAAGGATCGTTGTTTTTGTTTTGTTTTGCGATCTACGGTTTGAATAGACATGCTCAAGTTGATCACAGATGCTGATTTTTAAAGTAGTAATGCAGATAATAAGTTGAAATTATTGAGAAGCCTCGTAACCTAAAACTCGGAATGTATGGCAATTTTGTCTATTCCAAAATAGTGGATACAAGTGATAACGAATGGGGTCCTCGCTAGATTAGTTTTTAATAGCTGATAAGATTGTTTTTTTTTTGGTTGAAATTTATTCACAAATAATGTTTTCTTTCTTTTGAAAATTTTCTTTTTTTTTTCTTTCGGAAGTGTAATCGTTATGTTTTATATGAGACAACGGGTAGAATTTACAGTAAAATGACAGTCACAAAAATATTCTTTTTGAATGAACTTGATTTTTTTTCTTTATAATGTGTCCTTTTTTCGTTTTGCTTTCGTCTTAGCGGCATTCCCAGATCTTTGCTGTGGTGTCCACGCTGCCGCTGACTGCGAACGTACATGTTTTATGAATATCTGGAATTTGAGGAGTTAGGGCTACAATCTATAGGACAAGTAAGTACCGATTGATTGGACGAAGTGATTGTGGGCATGGATCGTTTTGTGATTGCGTTGATTTTCGATATGCCACGTCCGCAGCGTCTTGTCGTCCGAACACGAGAGAAGATATTTTCCTAAATTCCACATTTCAATCAATTTTGGACCCTTTGGAAGAAACCTTTAGGATGAAAACGCAGTTGCCGCACCCAATTATCGTGTCCATTTAAAGTCAATAAGCATATGCCAGAAGTGACGTCCCAAAACTAGCGGAGCGGCATGTTACTTTCGTATTTTTTTGCATTCAAACCTTGATTGTTTTATCCCTAGAGCCAGAGACCAAGAACGGGCCTCCTTTGGATTTGGCGTCTAAGTTGACTGATTTTGCTATAGATTCATATGACGATTCAGGAGCCCATTCGACGCATTCAACGACGTTGTCGTGAGCTCGCAAATCCGCTCTTATTTCCTAAAAGAATCGGTTTCACTTCATTTCGCCGAGCGTGTTCGCGACAACCTTTTTCTCCAGGTCCCAAACTTTGACCGAGTGATCATTGCTGCAAGAAGCTAAGAGGGTTCCATTGGCGTTCGGCCTGACCATTCTTATCCATTCGGCGTGGCCAGAAAGAGTGTGAACGCAGAAGCTAAAAACGCTCTACTTGCGTCCGAAATGCTTTTTCGCTTCTTACCCAGTAGCTGTTTCCCAAAGTTTTATTGTTTTATCTCTGCTGCAGGAGACTAGATGATCCCCAGAAGGAAGAAATGCCACTGACGAAACATTATGATCGTGGCCTTGAAAGTTTCGATGAACTAGAGTTGCTGCTTTGGTGCTTACCTGTCAGCGATTTTATACATTCGTAGTCGATAAAATTCCATAGTTTAATTGTTAGATCAGCGGAACATGAAGCTACCAATTAATTATTTAGCAAATGAACCGAGTAGTTGGCGATTTTACCTAGTAATTTTCCCGTGGAATCAAATGCGAGGTCTTGTACGGTGTCTGTATGTCCTTTTAGCGTCCTCTCATATTCGCCACTTTCAGAATCCCAAATCTAGATCGCTTTAAAATGGAGGAAAGGAGAGTTGTCGTACCTTGATTTGTGAGTCTTCAGAAGCAGTGACGAGTAGACTGAATTGAGGATGGAAAATGGTTCTGGTGATTGGACTTCTGTGTCCGTGCAGTTCGGCTTTCTCCGGGCCGCGTGGAATCCACTCGGACTGGTCTTTTTTCTCCCTTGGCGCGAAGCCGCCGCCGATCGCTTCTTTTTTCACCTGTTCTAATTGTAGTTCAAGATCAGTTATCTGAAACAAAAGTCCTCATCCTCTTCTGCTACCGCTAATTTACCTTTTTCTGAAGCCTGGGAATAGTGATCCATTTCTTCTCTAGCAAGCCGTGAAACTTTTTATCAGATGACTAAAAGAAGAGCTTTGAAAAAGATAGAAGAGAGCGAATGCGAGCTTACATTATTTACATTTTGCTCTTCTAAAAACGCGTTGAATGCTTTATCGGCGCCAAGCTCCCGTAAATAGCTGGCGACGGCGGATTTTAGGTCTTCGGACTGACGAGTGGTGAGAGGCATGCTTTTCTTGTTTTTTTTGGATTTGGAACGACTTCAAATCATCACTTCTCTACAAAATAGAAATGTCAGCAAAGCCACCTTTTTTCTCCAAAATCGATAGCAGAAGTCAAAAGAACGAAAAAAAGAAATAGTAAAAAATGCGTTTGATATTTGAATTAAAGAAGTTTCGTCTTAAAAACTTTTGATTTTCAATTTCAGTTTTGATGAGTACGTCTCAATCTCTTTCTCGATTTTTTGTTCGACACGTCGTAAAACCCAAGGCTCTTCATTCCATCAATCAACTGTCAAGGAAACAAGATGAAAAAAAAACGAGTTTCAATTTTCATTATTCCCGGTTCTCAAGAAACTGTTCCAAGAACAAAGAAACCCGCCATTCGAGGGGCACACCCTAAAGGTAAATTCGTTGACGGTAGAAAGAAAGCAGGAGCTTCTATTTTTCTCGAATTAGGCGGCTTTCTCCGTCAAGAGCAGCCTCAGCCACGTCGGATGCTCCCCTGGGAAGGCGGTCTCGGGAGACTGTGCGTGCTTTTTGCTCCCTTTCGAGTAAGCAAAAATAGAGGAGAAAATGATACAGTCATGAATTTTTCAAAGCAACATTTTTCGGCTCCCCCGCTGAGACCGCCGTTTCCTATCGATTCCAGAGTAATTACATAATCGAAAACCATTATAAAATATATGAGCAAGATCAGTTTTTGAATAAAGTATAAATCCGAAATTACGAAAAGACGAATCATCAAAATATAGTTTGTATAAGAATTTATCATTTTAAAATAAAAATTTCGCCATTATTTTACTTTAGTTTTAATTTTGTAAGAGCATGTTTTCCTTAAGCATTCTCTGCCATCAGGTAAGAGAGCTTCTCTGGCGGAAGCAGCGAAATACAGTATCGAGGAATTTCAGAAAGGAAAGATTTTTTGTGAGAATTGACGCGGCGCGCCTACGCTGGGGCCTAACGCTGAGCTCCGAATTTTTCGGGGCTTCCTTTAAAAATTCAATTTACTTCGGAATCATAATCAAAAAAGAGAAACTCTCCATAAAATAGTCTCTCTCTGTATCATTCTGTTTATTCTCTTATAACCGAGTCATTCTCACCTTCGTCCATTAGTAATCTGTTAGAATTTTCGACTACTTTTTCTACTGTAGTGCTAGAATACCTATACAGGCAGTACTTTTTGACTTAGGGCCCCAAAGTTAGAGGATAACTATCTTAGATCCGTTTGAGCCATGATGATCAGTTCAAATTGCTCGTGAAAACGTAATTCTAAAGAAGGCAAATGCCTTTGAGAGGATTCCATCACGAATTATCAACCCTTCTCAAATGAGCGTATATAAACGGGTGCGCCTGGCGCTTAAGCTTAGTTATAATTTTTCGCGATTTTTTCAATTTTTGGCGACTTTTTTGGAAGATAAGAGGTTGGCCAGATATTTTCAGACAAAGGCAAGTTATATTTTTAAGAGTGGCGATCGAAATGAACTCGGATTCGGACTCGGATGCGTTCGCCGATTTTGCCTCAATCAAGGCGAGGTCAGAGAAGAGTGAACCAAGGAAGAAAGAAACCAAGCCAGCCAAGAGAAAAGACGAGGATGAACGATCAGTATCATCCAGAGTCACCGGATCATCTGTGGTGACCAGGCGAACAGCTTCGTCGCATGGGGCGAGATCCACACTATGCGATGAGGATTCAGAAGACGAGTCCAAAATAAAAGAAAATAAATACTCGGGGCTAGAAGAGGCGGTCAATCACGTAAGTTTTATTTATCAGAAGGATTCTTTAAATTCATTTTTCAGGGCGAAATCTCGGGGGATGAAGACTCCGCCTCCTACAATTACACGGCAATGGGAAGCAGTGTACCAGGAAGCGTAGGAATCAAGAAGGTGGCGGAGCTGGACGAAGTACTCAAGACGGAGGCGGAATACAAGAATATCTACCGGAAGTACTACCCATTCCGCGAGAAATCAGCAGAAATATTTCCCATCGCGACAAAGAAAAACGAGATCATGGAGGCCATCTTTGACAAACCATCCAGCCGAGTTACGATTATCAAGGGCGAAACTGGCTGTGGAAAGACAACCTTAGTGCCATTATACATCCTAGACCATATCGCGCAAAATCGAGACTACCGAAGGTCAAGAATGTGCAATATATGGGTGACGCAGCCGCGTAGAATAGCTGCAACCTCCATCGCCCGACATGTCTCGCAAACCCGCGAATGGAGATGCCGCTCAGAAGTTGGCGGGTTGATCGGCTACAAAGTCGGCTTAGGTATACTCATTTCCTCTGTTCAGCAAAATTTTTATAATAAAGGATAACATTCTTTCTTCTAGACAAATGCGTGAGCAAGGACACCCGAATCACCTACATGACCAGTGGATGTGCCCTACAAATCGTCCGAACAAACCGAAGCCTGGACAACATCACGCATCTCATCATCGACGAGGTCCATGAGCGCGATATGGACATAGAAATGGTCCTTTTACTCGCAAAGGACGTACTCGAGCGAAACAAAAATATCAAAGTCATAATCATGTCGGCGACGGTGGAGACGGGAGTATACCAAAGATACTTTCGAGTAAGTAAACCTTTTTGGCGATCCCTATTCAGTTCTGTTTTCAGAACTTCAGCCCTATACTGGTGGATGTCAGGAGCCGCGCATTTCCAGTTCAGCAGTATTTCCTCGACGACCTGCGCGACGACAACGCCGAGTCCGTTCGAGGATTCACCCCGTACATTGTAGACAGAAGAGCACAAAGATGTATTCGTGAGTTCTCCAGCAACGTCGGAGTTGCTGATCTGAGGGATGAATCGATCAAAACATTCGTCGGATTACTGGAGCACATCGACCTCTACGAGAAAAAGCAAAAGAAGGAAGAAAAGGGATCAGTTTTGGTCTTCTGTCCTGGACTTGCAGAGATCAACCGAGTGTTCAGTGCGATCAAGGCTTATAAGAAACTCGATTTCGCCAACATGGACATCTACAGAGCACACTCAATGCTCCCTCGTGATCAAGCCGAAGAAAAGAAAATGCTCTCACCCCCTGCTCGAGGACGACGAAAGATAATCCTGAGCACGAATATTTGTGAGAGCTCGATCACAATTCCGGATGTCGTCTACGTCATCGACTTTTGCCTCTCGAAAAGAAAGATCCGAGACAAGCAAACCAACCTCGAGCAGCTGATTCCAATTTGGACATCAGAAGAGAACTCGGACCAACGATCCGGAAGAGCAGGAAGAACTCAGCCGGGATTTGCGTTCCGACTGGTTACGAAAAAATTTATGAAAGAAGAAATGAAGCGCGCCGTCACACCAGAGATCATGATCTCTCGCCTTGAGAATTTCATTCTCCTGGGGAAAACATTCTATCCAAACATGCGCCCCGAAGACTTCATTCAAAAGACGTGTGCAAAGGAAAGGATAGATATTTTCTGATTTTTCATAACAGTTTGATAGATCTTCTATATATTCCCTTCAGACTGAAAATATAATCCTCTCTAAAGCCAAAAGACCTTGATGTCAACTTTGCCGTGCAGAGCTTGAAGCTACTGGGCGCCTTGACACGATTTCCGGAGAGCTGCCCATCAGAGAACGTCTCAGCCGGCGGATACACTCGAGATACAATTTGGCCGATCAAGGGAGAGGCCGAAGGCGATGGCGACCTGACGCCGCTTGGACATCTGATGACAATAATGCCAATGGAGATTGAAGTCACAAGGATGCTTTACTACGCATACCTCTTCGGCTTCACCTACGAAGGCATTATTCTTGCTGCGGGAATCAGCCAGGAAGGCTTTTGGCTCGAAGACACGAACGTTAATCTCCAAAATTCGGAGAATTTCAAGGCTAAAACCTACTGGGCCTGTGGCTCCCAATCCGATCCAATTGCCATTATGAACGCCTTTTTGAAGTGGTATGGAAAGATGTCCACATCGTACTGCAACCTCGACCCAAATGTGAGCACTCCAGTTGTACTAGAACACTTTTAACCTCACATTTTAGGTTCGTCGAAGATCAAGGAACATGCGCCCTCCGAAATCTTGGCTGAATTCTAATGCTCTTTTCGAAACAGTCAATGAAGAAGTCCAGTGGTGCAAAGATTTCGGCATTAATCAGAAGGCTGTGAGAGAGATGCACGTGATGATTGATGAAATAAAAGACCGAATGGAATCATCCGGTTTTCTTATCGGAAATCTTTCTGATGCTGACATTGCACAGCAGCGCGCCGACATGATCGGCAATTTGAAATTAGGAAGGGTACTCGTCTCTCATTACATATTACCTCTTTTATACGGTATTTGAAACTCAATTTGAGACTCAGTTACCGAGTAATCTTATGTAAAACTACATGCAGTGCCTATCTAGAAGAACTACATCACCAGATCATAAAAGTGATCATTGCCGCTGGCGCCTTCCCGCACATTTACAAAATGAAGGAAAAAATCATCACAAGTAAGTAAACTCTTCTTTTAATAGTCTATTTTATATTTTTAGCCTTCAAGAAATGAAGCTTACGGACAGCCAAATCCTAAACCCGCTAAACACGATCCACTTCGTATGTCCGCCAGAAGTAGAAGCTCGGGCCGTGGCAAAACACATCAAATGCCAGTATCACTCGTCGTGCGGATATGTCAAGAATGTCATCTGCCACGGGAACAAGATCTTCATTGTCTTTGAGGCTGATAATACGAACACTCTCTACGACTACCTCGGTCAGTATCAGTCCATAAAACTGTAAGTAAATATACTCGTTTTCAGGTCGAGTACATCGCCAAATGATAGAAGTGCATGATCGGGAGCTTCGTAATGCAGGAGATCCGAACCGAAAAGTAAACAAGGCAGTGGTGCATGCTTTAAAAAAGGCCCGTGCCAAGCGAAACGGAGTACCTGGACATGGAAACAAGGATTTCCAGGAATTCTACGCATGTGGAGACTACCTTGAACGAAGAGAAATCGAAGAGCTGGAGAAAAACTGTGGAATGCCCGTTGTTCTCGACGAGAATAACAATATCATCCGTCGAGAGCAGTACTACGCCCAGAAGGAACAGAAGAAGGAAAATGGTCCATTCAAATACAACAGAGATCAAGTATATTCTGTCAAGTTCATGCATCAAAACGGATATGAACGAGTCTTGACCAAGTCCGACACAGGAGGTGGAAGTGAATTTCGCGCCAGAGTTACGTGGAACGATAACCTAGAGACTTTGTGGGTCATCCAGCAAGGTTACGAATGGATCTACGAGAAAATCCAAGAAGAAATCGAGAAACACGTCAAAACAAAGAAGAGACGAGAACGACGGGGCGGAGTGGCTCTCAAGAAGCTGCAATCCGACATCAAAGATTATGAACGATACCTCGCTCCGCATCGAGTAGATGGTCATTATGACCTCCAGTACGACCGATGCGTAGTGCTTCAAGCCGACATAAAGAAAGGAGGCGACAAGGAAGAACAAGCTTACGTAAGATTTGTCGACTATGGTAACATTGAGTATGTGCCAAAGAAGGATCTCCTAGAGATTCCAAAAACGCCAGAAATGGAATTTACCAGGAGTGAGCCGAATCTTGCTATGGAAATCAAAATTAGAGGATTTCGTCAGATACCGGCCGCCCCGAAGAGATATCTTCAGCAGCTTGTGGACCGAGACTCAGGAATTTTGGTCAACGTCTTCAGCACCAAATCAACGAAGCCAGTCATCCTCGCCGACGTTTACACGTTGAGCGGAATCAGTTTTGCTGACTACTATATCAAAGAAGGATTCGGCCGTAGAATCGACGATAACTTCTTGGACATCGAAGCGTCTTGGGAGTGGAGAGGCCGGGAGAAAATTCAAAAGTCGCTGCCAAAGAAGAAGCCCAACCCTGTTCTTATTGAAGCCGAATGCCTCGAAGGTCTGTTCGTTGAAAAGAAAGGGGTCGAGGAGGAGAAGGAACGCAAGAAGGAAGCCGACAAAACAGAGCCCCAGAAGAACAAGAAGAAAACGGACCCAGCGGATGATACGAAAAAAAGGATCAATGAAGAGGAATCCAAGGACAGCGGCAACAGCACCCCCGGTCCAGTAGAAACGAAAAGCGACACCACCAAAGAAACACCGACCAAAAAGGAATTGGGGACTGACAGTGGAAAAGGCTCAACTCCGATTGCATCCGATGGAGCGTCGACGCCCGCTAAGCCGAAATCCGAAAAGAAAAAGAATCAATTCAGATGGACGAAAGAAGTTCCCGATCGCCCTAGAAAAAAGCCAGGTGACTACAAGGACGATATCGATGTCGTCGAATTGGAAGATATCGGCGAAAGAAAGACGAGGTTCCAAGATGGAACATTGATGTTCGGCGTAGAAGACACGTTCGAGTTGAAGAGGGAGAAGCTCTGCATTCGAGAAGGTTACCCAGATGGGACAACGAGAGTAGAGGGGCCGTTCAGTCCACTGGTGTACGAAGCTATGCCAGTTTTCGAATGTGCCCAAGCATATAATATCAAGACGAAGGCAAGCTCTATCAACTCTGTGATCTGTATCGAGACACCAGAAGAAGCTCGGCAGACAGTTCTTCTTGGGAACATGGTAGAAATGCACCGTGACAACATCCAGCCGAGACTTACAACCCTCTTCTCTGATATCCCAGAATGTTTGTTCTTCCTTCATGCATTGTACAGTCCCCTTTATCATGTCAGAAGATCATGTGACCCTAAAGATGATACGGCGAAGATAGAGAAGCGGGACACAAATCACTACATTCATCCGGGCCGCGAAGGCAAGGATTTCGAGCCCTATCCATTTGTCAGCTACGTCGCTGGAAGTGGTCTTGTTCGACGAGGCAAAACTGATGAGCACTACGAACGCCTCAAAGAGGCACATCTACACCAGCTCTTTCCAGAGTACGATGTCCAGCAGCTCCTGAAGGCGGAAATTCTAGAGGAAGATATCGACATCATCAACGAGCTGAGAGATAACATCGACTACGCTGCCGGAACAATGGCGAAGAAAGATCACCGCTTCAAAAGGATGAAAGAGATCGAGCAATTTCAAAAGAACAATAGAAGACTTTTGCGGCAATATCTCTCGATTCCCAAGCAAACCAAATCTCCCGTCTTCAAGAAATTATGGGTAAGATAAACAGGAGGTTATTGAGCATTTCTTAACAATTTTTAGGAAAAGAATCCGAAGAAGCCGAAGGCATGGCCTTCTTACGATCGAATTCTCTACAGGAAAAAGCGAGAAGAGGAGAAAGAAAAGGAACGAAAAAAACAGGAAGAAATTGATGCCGCAAATCAAACTGCCTGGAAACCGACGACGGAAAATGCAAAGAAGTAAAATCTACTTCGAATTAAAAATTGAAAAATTCTGCCACCCACTTACCTTCCTTTAGCTGTATTGTAAAGTTATCAAACCCAGTTTTTGTACATAGATATTTATGCGAAATTTGTTTCTTGCTATAGTTCAATTTACGTCTTCTGAAATACCACAACTGCCTTCAATTACCGATTAGCCAATTACGAAGTCTATCAATATCTTCATTTATTCTTGCCATTCCGAGGGCTAGTAACCAACCACTGCGTTAACGGAAGTTCACATCCGTAATAAAAAATATTATACGTAATAAGTGTTTAAAAATATATTTTTTATCTCTTGGTTTATTGATCCGGTCAACACGATAAGATATAATATATTTTTCTGAAGAATGAATGATTCGGAAAGCGACCTTCTCGAAAATGAAGGAGCGAAATCGGAAGAGACCAACATAATCATGCACGTGGCTATCGTGGGCTTTCATCACAAAGTAGGTCAAATTTTGCATATTTCTATTTTGAAAGTGATGTGACTAATTCTACGATTAGAAAGGTACGATTCTCGAGTATTCCTACCCGCCCTTAGTTGCTGGCCAGGCGCACAGCTCGTCAGCACTGCCGCCCGAGTGGAAGTCCTTGCCTGCTTTGGCGCTGCCCGACGGCGCTCACCACCACGAAACTGACAGCTCCTACTTCCTCCTCCCTCTGCCAGGCAGCGACAGGTGTGTCTTCGGCGTCTCCTGTTACCGACAAATTGAAACAGAAAAGCTGAAAGTCAAGACTGCCGATGTATGCCGCGAGACCGTCCAAAAGTAACCGCAGAACCACAAAGAAATTATCTTCATCGACAATTTTCAGATCGGTTTTGATTATCTCGCGCGTGCCTCTCTTTGGAGTTTTGAAAGCAAAGCTGGAGATGGTTTCTGAAGCTTTCTTTCAAGAACGCGACTTTAGTCAGGTAATAAACTCCTCCTTGATTCCATAATAGAAAAACCTGCGTTGTACCCTGCAAAACGCTAAGACACGAATCAATTATCGCCTTTTTTATTTGCAAAAGCGATAATTGTTGGAAATGGGGTGAAAGGAAATTGATTTTATTCAGGCTTGGACAGAATTCAGAGTGATCTTCATTTCATGAAGGGCTTTCAATCTGTTAGATTATCACTAACATCTTCGAGTACATCTGTTTTTCTGGTGTACAACATGTTTAAGAGCCGCGTCTTTCGCTTCGGCTTTTTGCTTTTCCTCGGTTGGTAACCTGAATCAAAAATTAACTTTATTTACTGAAAACTATGCACAAAATTACCTCTTTATCGTGCGCTTCGGACTTTAAAACTCCTTGAAGTGAAGTGACTAAAATGAAAAACAGGCCAGCGCAGGACCTGTTCTAGAGATTTTTTTTAATTTTCAAAATTTGACAAGTCTCTCTTTAGGTGTCGATTTTGGAAGAATTGTACCAGCAAGTGAATATGTCGGTGCAAGGGTGGACGCCCGAAATGTGCCTCGCCGACTTGTCTGTTCGATCACTTCTGCAGAAATTTCGTCACAGAACTCTCCTTCTTTTCAAACTGCTGCTGCTTGAAAAGAGAAATATTTTCTTCGGCGACGCGGACGGAATTGGTAGCACAATTCTGAGTCTCGTTTCTCTCTTCCCGAATATGATCGAAGAGGGGCTTTACTATGCTTGCGTTGATAGGCCTGCAACCGCTACGGACAGAAATGACAATCCTCCCCCGCGGCGGAGCTCAGAGCCTGACATGACCGAAATCAACAACGACGAAGTTTTTACGCTCTCTAAGCGCTCAACATCCGGTAAATTCAACATTCAGACAAATTTCCTATATTGTGGAAACATTGGTCGGAATGAGAGGATAACTAACTAACAACCGAATGTTCACAAGTATATAATGGGAAGATAAACGTCGGAACTCATGGTAAAAAGTGTAGTTTATTGGTGTGATGAGATGGTTGTGGTTGTGGTAACTGGTAAAAGTGTACAGAGAGAGAAGAAGCGGCGTGGTTATAAGCGCCGATGTTGAGGTGAGAAACAGGAAACAGGAAAGAGAGAATAGGTCAGGGAAAATAGGGGAAGGGGCCAAACTAAACTAAGGAGGGCCACTGTTTCCACTCTATATCCCTCCCTTGGACAAAAAAGAGCGAAATTCCGGTAGGAAATTCGTGAAATGAGTAGACTTAGTGGAATATTGAGTGTGTGTAAAATTGTAATTGGAAATCGGAAAGGGTTAATCAAAAATACTCTTTGTCAAGCTCAATTATCGGTTCGTATGAGAATGCATAATCGTTGAGTGGCGATCGAACAGGGATCGGTAGGTTGAGTAGGAAAAGGGGGCCGTGCAGTGGCCGCGGAAAATGGTCGACTTGTCATCGAAAAGGGTTGAAAATTGCAGCAGAGGTAAATTTAATCACAATTAAATCTGCGAGCCTCGGCTAGGTACACGCCCCTCGAATACGGTAGGGACTTTAAGCTCATCACTCGTCTATGATTAAAATACATGCTGACAATTATTGAAAGTGTGTATGCATCCTCTCCCCCCTTTAAAAGAGCTGTATAAAGGGAACTAGAGATAAAAAATTAAAAATATAAGATAAGAAATAAGGTTTAGGTGGCTGAGTTAGGTTAGATACGCGAAAACAAAATTGTCGAATAAAGTAAACTGGCGGATCCTAAAGAATAATAATTAAAAGAATGAGACCGGCGGTGCGTCTAAGATCGAAAACGTCATCTGTTCCACGCCCTAGGGAAATGATGAGAAGTAAGGCGCCCGGATCTACCCGAAGTTAATAGTCGCGAAAGCTAGTAACGTTAGGTGCGATGTTGTGGCCATCGTTTTAAAGATGATTCTTTTCAGCGATTTCGTTCGGCATCGTTGCTTTGGTATCGGAACTAACATCGTAAACGTAGTTGTAGTCGTTTTGGGTTGCACCCAAGTTTTGTTTTTGTCTTGACGTCATAAGTGGTAGATAAAGTTGTTGTTGAAAAGGTATTTGTAGTTGTTGTGATTGTACTCGTAGTCGTTGCAGAAGAAAGTTTTTTTTGTGGAGGTAGTAGTAGTTGTTTTTGTAGTCGTAGTCGGAGATGTTGTAGTAGATGTCAGAAATCGGGGTAGGGGGCGGGTGTGAAGAATAATGAGATGAAGTTGGAGTTGTTGTTGCTTTATTGTTGTAGAATCCGTAGTTATTGCATTTTCGTTATCCTCTATTTTTTTTGTTCTCTTCGGGGAATGGTCGTTCGTATCAGGTTTATTCAGTCACCACTATATATTGTGGAAACATTGGTCGGAATGAGAGGATAACTAACTAACAACCGAATGTTCACAAGTATATAATGGGAAGATAAACGTCGGAACTCATGGTAAAAAGTGTAGTTTATTGGTGTGATGAGATGGTTGTGGTTGTGGTAACTGGTAAAAGTGTACAGAGAGAGAAGAAGCGGCGTGGTTATAAGCGCCGATGTTGAGGTGAGAAACAGGAAAGAGAGAATAGGTCAGGGAAAATAGGGGAAGGGGCCAAACTAAACTAAGGAGGGCCACTGTTTCCACTCTATATTTCCCGATCTCGATTTGTTACTAAAGCTTATTCAGAACAAATTCGATCGCCTATTTTGGACCACATTACCGTCGGGCTAACGAAACTTGGCCGGCGCGGAAGTCATCTGCTCAAAGACCTCATAGAAGTCGAAATGGTCGACTTAGACGACGAGGACAATTTTGACAACGCCTCTGGCTTGGAGGATCCTGGGTTGCACGAAGTCGCCGGTTTCGGCTCGCTGGTGCTCGACTTGCCAACACCTCCGCGAGAAGACCCGAATCCAGAGGTGAACACAAGACAGTCCTTGTTCTTGTCCCGCCAACGCAATTTTCAGTCAATTCCCGAGAATCCTCTGAAAATCGACGAGTTTGGCTTTCCCCTGGCGATTTTCACTGGCAATTATCTTTTGATGCCGTACTGTTGTCTTCAACAGCATTCGCTCTTGCTCGATATCAATTTTCATTCTGGCTTCACGGCCGCGTCATCAAATGTTCTTTTCAGAGGTGCAGTCGCTAGAATAATATCTTCTTTGAACTAAAAAAGAATTAATTTTTAACACGGTTTTATAGCGCAAAAACACCTATCCGATGTACTCGTGGAAATCGACGGCCAGGGCGAAATCAATTACCGGGACCCCAAAATCGAACGCATTTGCAAACTCACACAAGCAGACCTACGCTTTGTCGACAATCTCCTCCTGGTGCTGGACAGTAACGATGGCAGCGCAACCTGGGAGGGTTCCGACTCCTGGATCCGCTCACAGTTCCGTCAATACCTTATCGGCTTGCTCTCGGCTTCCATGACTTCAGATTCGAAGCACAAAGATGATTATGGGCGCATGTTCGTCGATTCCTTCACAAAAACTCGCTGCCACAAAGTTTGGAGATTCAGCTCAAAGGTATTAGAGTACCTTTGTGTTTCCGTCTCAATTTAACTTTCTTATTTACTAGCCCTCGTTTCACGACAATATGACAGAACACCCTGCTCATGTGCCGCCTATCAACCCTTTTTCTGACCTAAAGTTGCGCCTCACATCCACGCTGCAGGGTTCCTCCAGTGGGCGGATGGTTGAGGAGGCGATAACGTCTGGTGTCGACCGCGCAGGCTCCTGGTTGACGAGTTTACGCAGCAAGTCCCTGTCCGAAACCCTTCAAAACACTCTGGACACGCTCTCCACCCAAAAGAACTAACTAACTATATATTCTGTTAAACGCGTGCGCGAGTTCCCGTGAGTGCTCCCATTCTAGCCACGAGAATGACTTCACTGACTGCGAGCCCGCGTGAGAAAACCACAAAAAACACTAAAACACATTCAATTTCTCTTTCTGATTTCTGTTTCCTTCTTGTTCCAGTTTCTTCAAGTGCCTTTCATTTCCCCTGATAACTTTATTCACATTTCTATTATTACACAACGGGTCAAATCTACTGCAATCTGGTTCGACACGTTAACCTATTTCTGTTATTGGTAGCTGCTTTATAAGTGTGTTCAAATGGTAATATATATGTATTATCTCGAGTCTCAAGTTTATTTCTTATTTTAACATTAGCAGTCCGAACATGGCATCTACAAATGAAGATTTATCAGCAAGGCCTTTTAATTGAGTAGTTGTTTCCCCCAGTTCTTCACGCAGGGCTTTTTAGGGTCAATCTATTGCTCAGGCAAGCAGAATTTAAAACCTGGGCGCCCTACACCCATTTTTCAACATAATTGTTCGTATTCAAGTAAGAGATCTTTGACCCTTTCCTCGGTAAGTGCTCAAAACATGCTCCTCAAAGAGCTCGTGTTCCTCCATGTCTCCATTTGAATTTGAGTAGTCAAAGTCTTTACTGTCAAATTGCGAGCGTTTATCCCATTCGCCGTCCGCCCGCCAATGTTCCATTGTGTAGTTGTTCTCCGCGCTCTTTTCTGCGAATGCTTTAATTCTCGCCATGCTCTCTTCGTCTACGATGCAGTCTGAGTGGAGTAGAATGAGCTCATTCACTTTGATGTCCAACGGGCGAAGTTGAGAACGATAGAAGTCCCGCCAGTTTTCCAGCTCGCTAAATCAATCATGCAATTCTTACTAATATTTCCCTTCTTGCAAACCTTGCCAGTCTCTTCCTCTCGACTTCTTTGAGATGCTCACTGACGCTAGTCCCGACCTTCTTTTCCAGAGCGCCGATGCTCGCTCTGAATAACATCCTGTTTCCGTAGAGTGGCCCGTAAAGCTCATTCAATCGCTTCTCGATTCCAGCCTTTCTCTTTTCTAGCGTGTTGATCTCTGACTTTCTCCAATTCACGGATGCCCAGGAGCCCGCGGCGAAAACCACGGAGATCGGTGTTGGAAGCGTCCCTGCGATATTTTTGAAAAACGACATTTTCAAGTCAACTTCTATTTTTTCTTTTCTCTTCAGCTGACCATCTGAAAGCTGACTCCCAGACTGGCCTGAGGGGAAGAGCAGAAAACGTCCTCTTTTGATTCTGATTGTTCTAGCGGAAACGCTTTCCTTTCAATCAAACTCAAAGTAGACGAATTATGAATAAGGGAGCGGCATTGTACTGGCAAAGTTTGTCGAGCATGAAATTGATGGCATTGTAAATTGTATCAACGACATGCGCTAATTAATTTTACTATAATAGTGCAATAATTGCACTTGTACTTATCGCGGCTGCTTTTAGAAGACAGAAATGTGGAAAGGCGTTGCTCGATGTAGAAGACTGGTTGTATCGGATCGACTCGCTCGAGACTCTCAAATTGTTCATCGTCTCCAAGCACATGACATCGAGCGAGGTGAAGAAAACGCGAAATACTCATCCGCTGAGAAAGCCTCGGAATATCGCGGCAATTTGATAAATATCGAACGGCGAATAACTCCTTACAGAAAAGTCAACGAGGAAACCGAATTCAAAAAGCTCTGGCAGCTGCAGAACTTGGCGATTTTAAAGAATTTTAACTTAAAAGTACCCAAAGACCAACAAAAGGTTGTAAGGTAGCTGCCCAAGAGGGTTCACCTTTTCTGACTGTAATTTTCAGAGTAGCTGTCATCGGCCGCGCTAATTCCGGAAAATCGACGCTGATAAATCGACTGATTGGAAGGAATGCGTGCCCAGTTGCGAATCAAAACGATTCAACGTACAGAACGAGTATTCACTCTGTGCAAAAAGAAAACATCATTTACGAGTTTGTCGATCTCCCAGGAGTTCCAGATGTGATTTCTCCAACGGGGGTTGGAGAGTACACCTTCAGAAGAAGGAATAAAGAAGCTGCGGCGAATAATGAATCCGGAAATCGTTCCCTATTTCAGCGAGACAACGCGAATTTCGCCACAAACGACATTTTCGTAAAAAATTGTGATGTCATTCTCGTCTGCGCGGATTTAACGAGTAGAATGACGCTCGCCGGAAACTTGACTGTAATGGTCTACAAGCTCCTGAAGAGAAATCCTCACATTCCAGCTATGCTGGTGCTCACCAAGAGTGATCGACTCAAGTACAGAACAAACTACAAGTTCCGAAATATGGAGAGAAAGAACGCAAGGCTGCTGAAACTCGTCGACATTGTAGATAAAGTGACTGAGGGGCATTTAAATGGGCAACTGACAGAGTCTGGCAGACACAAGTTCTTCAACAAGCCGGAAAATGTGATTCAAATGAAGCCGACAACAGTTGAAATCGAAGAAAGTGGCTTGGAACAACGTCGACCAATGCGTTTTAGGAGAATGTCGCAGGTAGATTTTAGCTAAACTTTGCGCTTTCAAAGACTATTATTTCCAAGGTTCGACAGGTAGAATCAATTCTTCGTCTCGCTAATTCCTGGCGCTGGGACGATCTTAATCTTCACGAAAAGCGGCTTTATCAACTTGGAAATCGAGGCTGGCGATATTTCGAATCGGTCTTTCCAGTGACGATGGAAATGCCACAAACGACGGATGTTATATTTGAGAAACTTGCGGAGAAAGCACTTCCTCGTGAATGGGACGTAAATGAGATCCTTGATGGCCAGTTGGACCCGTTTGAACTCATCGAGGAAAATGTATCTATGGCTTGTTTGGGAATGACGAAGCAGGGAAAGCACAAGTTCGCCGCTGTTACCGACATCAACCACGTTGAAGTGAATGGAAGCCCATCAGAAGCGGAGATTCGTCTCGATCTCGATCTTTCTCTCAAAACTGATGCTGAGCGACTCCATCTCAAGAAGAATCTTAGATCCACAGGGAAGGATATGCTTTACATGGAAAAGACATATAGGTACTCATATTTTACCGTCTTCCAATGCCTAATCCTTTTAGCAAATATATGATTCGCATTCGAAACACGCTGGAGAATAAATTAAAAGCAGCATTTGCGGTGAAGAAGGTCGACGTTAATCTTAACTTTTTGACGAAAGAATTGAAAAACGAGCCTATTGTCAACATCGCTCCAAAAATGGAGCGGATCCCCGAAGAAATCCCCAACTACAGGTATGAATAAATTTTATTAACCGAAAAATATCGAATTATAGTGAGAGAGTTCCTGCTCCATCCCCACAAGCTTCATTCGATACATTCTTCGTCGATAGCGATGACTTCCACTTTATGAATGATAATGTAAAGCGAACATATTTAAAAGGCCTCTCGGTTCAACAAAAGAAAGCGGCGGGAATTTTCGAAGCTGAGGAGATGGAAAAGGCGAAGAAGATCAAAGAAAAACACACAAGAAAATATGGCAGAGACGATTCCCATGATCGCTTTGACAATAGACCGAAGATCTTCTTCGAGTAAATCAGTATTTTAGCTTTTAACCCGGTTGTTGCTTAGAATGTCCTGGTTCGGGCTCGGCGCGGGGCAGACTCAGGATGAACCTGATGGTGCGGAAATAGTGAAGGTTAGCATCATCTATTTGAGCAGAGAGTTTCTCAAATAAGATTTAAGAAATTATCCGCTCGGGTTGCTTCCGCCACTTTGCTCGATGACAGACGGGACTCAATCCGCGCGCTCAAGTCGATGTCGAAAAAGTTCCGCCGGGAAGTGACCGAGTTTGGCCTCGCCTCTATTCTAGAGCTCATCCGTGAAGAAAACGATAGCGAGTGCAGATCACTAGCTCTCGACGCCATTTTGATTCTGATCGGCGCCGATGACGAGGAAGACATCCCTTGTCCAGTTGCGCGCGACACTGCTCTTCATATAAGCCAAAGTAAAGACCTGATCAGTCTTTTTTTCAATGTTATTGATGACGGGAATGGTTTTACAATAGAATACGCGATAATCTGTAATTTTAAATTTTAAACCAAAACACAGCGAAACAAAAGCAAAACTCTCCGGTCTTCGACTTTTAACAGCACTCGCGAGGAACTACCCAGTCGAGGTTCAAAATGTCATCCAAGAAAGACCAGGTGGCTCGTCAATGCTCGTTGATGGCATTGGATCGGCTAACGAGCTGTTGAGAAACGAATGCCTGTTGCTTCTCATCGCCGTGGCTGAGAACAACCAGATTTTGCAGAAGATTATTGCCTTTGAAAATACTTTCGAGATCGCGCTCAATGTCGCTGGCGCGGAAGGCGGAATAGATGGCGGGCCGGTCTCAGAAGATTGCTTCGCGCTGCTCCTCACTCTGCTCAAAGACAATCAATCAAACGTCACCTTCTTTCGCGAAACAGCGCTCATCCCCCGCCTGATTCCTTTCCTCGACGCAGTTAGCAGTGGGGATGAAAACTGGACCGCTGGAAAAATTAACTGTTGTCTCCTATTTCTCGGTATCATCCGCAGTTTGGTTTCGACGACACTTCCTGGCAACATCTCGCTTCCAAATCAGAAGTCAATCCGAAAGACGGGCCTCTTTGCCAAGCTCATGAATTTCATCATGGGCGTTTCTGTTCCCGAAGAGGTCCTTACTGAGGTTATTCTTACAGGTCAGTTTACTCTCTTTGATCGCAAATGAATCTATTTACTAGTCTCCGAATGCGCAAGACGATACAACGAAGCACAGACCGATCTGGCGGCGCTAGTTGCACCACCACCGAAAAACCTTCCAGCACTCGTTGTTCTTCTAAAATCGATGGTCAATTCCAAGCAGCCGCTTTCCCTTCGACTGGGCGTACTCTATTGCACATGTTCTCTTTTGATTAAAAACCCGCAGTGCCAGAAAGCGACGATTGACTCTCTCTTGCCGTCTGAAAATCCATCTAGCTTTACTGCGGGAGTCATCATTTCTGGTGGTTTGTTTAAAGCTGATCCGCTAACATGTTGGCTCTCAGCCGCAGCCATGGCTGAAGCGGTTTTCGATTGTCCAGAACAACAAGCTGCTCTTTCGCGGGTCCAGTTATCAAGTCAGGCTGGTACTGCGAGCTTGTCTTCATTTTTAACCGGATCGCTCGCGCACAGTCAATCTCCACACGCACGGCTCGGTATTCTCCAGTTGATTGCTGTTTGGTGTGCCGGTTGCCAGGAAGCAGCGAAAAGATTCATCGACGAGGGAAATCTTGTGTCTACTCTTCAACTGATGCTCGATGGATCTCCTTCTGACTCGATTATGCTTCTCATCCAGGGTGTAGCTGCACTAGTCATGGGTTTGCTTGCTATAAACGACAATTCCGATCAAGTTGTCACTTCTCTCAGAAAGAGACCAGGCCCAGATCAATTCCTAGACGCACTCGCCGGAGTCGCCAAGAGTCCAAGTTACGCGTCTGCGGCTGGCAACGCCTGTCCCAGTGCAAGTGACCCAGAAGAATTGCTCATTTTCAACTCCTTCACAAGAATTTATCGACAATACGAAGCCAAAGTCGGCCGATACGTCGCAAATTTCGAAGAAGTTCAGGCAGAAATGGCTGTGAAGCACGCAAATGAAGAGAAAATAAAAGTCCTGGAATCGCAACTCGCTGAATTACAACAGAACTCGGCTGCTTTTCAAAATGCCGAGGCCATGTTGAAACAAATGAGCGAGGAGAATGAGCAGCTCAAGCGAGATCTCGCCAATCGCCCGAAAATAGATCTCCCCGAGGGGCTTTCTGAGGATGAAATCCGACAAAGACTTAGTGAAGAGCTCCGTCCTGAAGTTGAAAGTGAAGTGAGAGCTTCTCTCGCTGAAGATCTTTCCGCTGGGGTCAAAGACGAACTACGAGAAACATTGGCTTCGGAAATAAGGTAACATCGTAGTTAGAACAAAATATGATAATTTTATTTAGGAAAGAGCTGGAGGAGACTGTCCTAGAAGCGTTGGAAGAAGAACTCCGCGCCAAAGTCGAATTGGAACTTGCTGGTCCTGAAGCTGCCCAGAAGGATGCGCGACTAGCCGAGCTAGAGCAAGACTTGAACGAGTCTACCGAGCAATCGAGCTCTCTCCTTGAGCAGTTGAACGAAATGACGGCTCAATTTACTTCCCAGAAAAAGGAGCTCGACGAGCTGGCAGCTAAGCACTCGGCATTAGAAAAATCGACTTCGAATGTTGCTCAACATCATGAAAATCAACTCCTGCAATTGCAAAAGCTTCTTCAGGTATATTTATTCGTCCATGAATTTATAATTACTGATTTGTTAGACGGCGACAACTGAAATTCAAGCGCGCGATGCGAAAATCCAAGAGCTTATTTCTTCTCCGAACGCCGGAAACAGCCAAGAAATCGCCAGACTCAATCAAGAGATGGTCAAGCTGGAGAACACGGCTAAGATAGCGATTGGCGATAAACAGGCAATGATCAACAGACTTGAAGCAAAGATTAGCCAGCTTGAATCCGCTATCCCGATGACTCCCGTTCTTCCGGAAGGCCACGATTCTCCCCAAGATTCGTCGCAACTTGATCAACTAAAGAAAACAATCGAAGAGCTAGAAGCTAAGGCCGAAGAAAGACAACTTCACATAGAAAAAGTCGAGTCTGAAAATCAGCAACTGTCTGGACAGAATTCAGAAAGCTTCGAGAAAATAAGCTCGATAGAAAGCTTGATGAGTGAGCGGGAAAACACGGCGCAGATGGAGATCGAGTCCAAGAACAAAGAAATTGAACGTCTCTCATCGCTAGTCAGTGCTCTTGAATCAACTGCAGCTGAAAAGTTGGAGCCCGAGGTCGGCGACAATGGTGAAATGGAGTTGTTGCTCGAAAAGCTTGCGCTTCTCGAAACAACTTCGAAACAGGAATTGGCGGAAAAGACAGCTAAGATCGACGCAGCAGAAAACGACAGAAAAGTTCAAGTTTCTCAGCTGCAGCAGTTATTGGAAAAATCAGAAGTTGAACGAGAAAATCTTGAATCTCGCTTTACGGAGTTAGAAAAAGATCATTCTAAGCTGGGCGAGCTCACGAGTGAAAACTCAAAGTTGAAACTCGAACTCGAAAACAGTAAAAAAGAGATAAAAGCTCTAAAATCTCAGCCTCAAAAGTCAGAAGGCAAGTGTTGTCAATTTAGCCAGCAAATATATCATTTTCTAATTCAGGCGTTTCCAGCAGCGAGACCGAGGCAGAACTAGAAGAGCTCAAAAAGGACCAAGAAGACCTGCTCGAATTGCTTTCGGACCAACAGCTGAAGATCTCTGACTACCGCAGCCGGCTAAAAGAGGCCAATCAACCTGTGACAGACGACGAAGACATCGAACTGGAGTAACAGTTTGCTTTTACCGCGACACACTTATCAAGTCCTCGAAAATCGCTTTTTACCTTTCTCTGTATTGGCGAGTGATACCACTCGCCTGAAAACTATCTATGTGCAATCCTGGAAATCAACCATTTTCTTCATTTTCAGATATAATAATAATAATATGATATAAACACTTTTCCACTGCTGGGGATAGAATAGACCAACTAATACCATTCATATATTCAATGATTTCTAAATGCTTTCACTTGAGATTCGCGTTTGTTCGACTCGTCGATGGTTTCCGACTCCTCTCTCCAGCAGCTCAAAGACGCGCTTGAAGAGAAGAATATACTTGTGAGAGGGCATTTTATTTCGACGGGTTTAAGTTGATGTTAAGAGCTTCGCTCAAGCAGCTGAGGAGCTGGGCGAGTCCGTCAATAATGTCAAGTCTTTGTTTCAAGAAAAACACGAAGAATTTAACGGCGAAGCATTATTTTATCTATCTGGCATGTGCAACGATGCCTTCAAAGTTTCCATTCTCAACAAGACATCCAAGGACGCTGCAGTGAATGAATACTCGTCGATTTTCTCGTGTCATATCTGGGGCTTCCAAACGAAAGATTACAACAAGGAAATGGATAATTTCACCTTTTCGGACACTCCACTTTCCCTTGGAATAAGGTAGATAACTGTTATCGGCTAAAAACTGACAGTTTGGTATTTAAGATCGAACGAAGTTCCAAAGACGAAAACAGTCAAAAGCTCGCCTCCTGTCGCTGCTCCGAAAAAAACTGAAATCGACGTATTCAAAAACACTGGCAAAAAGAAAGAAAACAAGCTCAAAGACATGCTCTCACAGAAAACGACTGTGAAGAAAGAACCTTCATCTGAGCCAAAGAAAGAAGCAAAACCAGCTGCGAAGCCAAAAACGAGCAAGAAAACAGACTTCTTCGCCAACGCTAGAGCCAAAGGAAAAGCAGAACAAAAGGTCAAAGAAGAGCCAAAGGAACCCAAAGAAGAAGCCGAATCTATTTCTGACTGCGATGATCCTATGGAAAATCGACAGACACCTCCGAAAGCTGCTAAAAGGGCATCAAAAGTGTTTGAGACTAAATCGAAACCGACTAAAAGGAGTAAGGGTGTCTAAAGAGCGCTGGAATTTATCCAATTCGGAAAATTTCCGGTGATCATCAAAAATCACCCCAGTAAAAGAACACGGATCGTGATGAGCGATGACAGCGAAGAGGAAAACGATAAAGCGGACGAAATGGAAGTCGACGAGGTAGATTTATCTTAGTTCCCCTAAAAGCTTAATTTGCCCGTAGGAACCTGCAAGGGAATCGCCGAAGAAAAAGTCACCAAAGAAGCTGAAAGTGGCTAAAAACCGGCGTCGCGTTGCTTTGGAATCGGACTCGGAGTCCGACGATGGAAACAATATGGACAATACTGGCGGGCGTCTTCTTTTTGGTGGATCTGATGATGGTATGCTCATCCCTTGGTTTTCTTGATTCATCTCTTTCTTTAGAGGAGAACCTAGAAGACTCGGTCAAGAACGTATCGCTCATGTCTGAGGATGAAGTAGCAAAGTCCGATTCAGACGAGGAAAAAGAGAACAAAAAACAGGCAAAGAAGAAGAAAGAAAAGAAAGAAATCAAGGAAGAGACGCCGGTCACTAAGTTTGGAACGGCCAAAGTCAAGCCGGGAAAAGTCATGAAGGTAAACCCTCAATGTTGGACAAAAATAAAGCTATACATGTTCAGAAAGTTCAGAAGAAGCGCACTTACGTTGATGATGAAGGCAACATGGTGACGGAAAAGTACTACGTAGAGGTCGAAGTAGATCCAAGCGAGATCGAGGAAGAGGCGAAAGCAAAACCAGCTCCACAGGTTCTCTATTAATCTTACTTTGTTGAGTCTCATTTTTCGTTCAGAAAATCCAGTCAGCTCCAAAACCAGCGGCGAAGAAAACCGTGGCCAAGCCAAAGCACCAGCCAAGTATCTCGAGCTTCTTCATGAAAAAAAAGTAGATTTCCACTGCCTCTACCTCAGTTCAACCGTAAAATTGCGAATCCTCGAAGACTAATGGCGACACAGAACCACTTCTTGAAATTATTTATAGCGCCTGTCGAATACTGTCCAACTTACTGAATATTGAATATATTGCACATTTATCTATTTTTTTCAAATGGCGAACCGTCGACTAATAAATATTTCTTGATATCCGCCGAAATTTATTTGATGAATTTTCAATAGTGAAAATTTATCTCTTTTAGCACTTATTTCAATGCGTAAACAAGATCACACTTTAGGGCATTTATACTTATTTCAAGCACTTGATTTATTCTCATAAAACAGGCACGATGGATCCGATAAGCAGGCATTAGTAGATCTAACTTCACATAACGCTGCAGCCCCCCTCGTCGACGTCGATCGCCGCATCATGGTCGGGTTCTTCGTCAGAAGATTCTTCAGTTGGTGCCACAGGAGAATCTTCTGGGAGAATCCAGCAGTTGACGACCACGTAAGCGGATCGAACTTGCCGCTTCAATTTCATCTCGATCTTGCCACCTTCGGTGACCTTGGTCTTCTCCGATCCAACAACATGGTCGTAGTACCACCAGTATTCAGTCGCCTCGCATTTGATCTTTGGACCGCCGCCTAATGAAGCAACAATTAGTTATTGTCATAGTTAATCTAAATACCGATTTTTTCGAGGGAAAAGTGATGAAATCCATCGCCGTAGAGTACATCAGTATTCAGGTCCTTGCAGCAGCCAACAAATTTCACTCGCCATCCGTGTGCAACGATGTCTTTGTCCTGTTCCCCCTGAGTAGTGGCCCAGAACTTTTAAGAGTGGATAATTTCTTTGTATACTTGCAGTCAACTCACACAATTCCATCCTATTTTGTTTTTCCAATTTTTCAAAATAGGGCCCAATTGTGCGGGTCCGAATCATAAGATTGTTGCTAATCATTTTTAGTGAGAATCGCAAGGGCCGAATTGTGCGAGTCAACTGTATATTATAATATCTTGTTTAAAACTGGTTAAAGAAGGCTCTTATATACTATTTTAAGTTACAATTAACCATCTTCCCTTGAAATTGACCTCTTTTGCTCCCAAATCGAGAAGAAGCAGAACCTTTTCAAGTTCCTCGTCGTAGAAGTGGTCGCGAGCTTCGGGTCCATTTTTTCCGGGCCAACCCTCGTTTCCTTGAAAATGCCCCGCTCCGAGTTTGGGCGTCAATTTCTTCGTCCAGTACCGTAACCGATTTCGTCGATTTTGCGCAGCTTTCTTGTCCTGATCCATCGTAAAAAGTTTTTTATTGAAAAAAATTCAATTTGAAGTTGAGTCTCTGAGGAAACTGAGGAAAACCGGCTCGGTGCGCAAGTTATATATCGGCTGGTCCGGCTCGAAAATCAAATCCAGAAATGAAAAAGGGAAAACGCAAGGACTAAAGTGGGAAAATAAGCTTTTATATGGCCCATAACTATGGCCATGGCCCATTGCACTTATAGGTAGCATCACTTTTATCAAAGGAATACTGTCGATAACTGTCATTTTATTCTTATGATGTCATATTGTTGATTTCCTTTTTTACTAAATAATGTATGCAATTTAGGCGAACTCTCGATTCCATTACTTATTGAAGATCTTTGTGCATAATAAATTCCCTCGAATCATAAAATTATTAAACATATAAATATTAGGAAATAAGCAGAGCATATGAAAAACAGCACCCGAGTAATATGAACAAAGTTATATTGAGATTGAAACTGCAGAAGATCAGCGATCTCCTCCATGATATCATGGAAGAGACTATCGACAAGACGGACTTGATTGACGACGTGGACGACGACCACGGAATAACTGTCGAGTACTTCTACACTTTCCTGATTGTGACATGCCAAGGGTCTCAACCAGAATAGTAAAATAAGCGTTAGCTTTTCTTGAAACCCGCTCAAGCTGGATTGTGATCATCTGCATTTCATTCCGAACATTCCATCAAGTGCTTGGCTTCGCTAATTTTCAAGGGAGAATCAATAGACAAGAGAACTGGAATCGAAATTGAGAAAAACTATATTTTCGAAATCTTGAATAAATAAATAATTGCCTTCAACAGCGATCAAGCTCATCGTAAATCGCTTCGTCGTAGCTGATACTCGCATCGTCCTGAACAAAAAAATATTCAAAAGTAAAACTGCATTTTGACAGCTATTCTACGACTGGTCAGTACTGGGTTAGTTCTAGTAACAGAGTACTACTATTTAAAACTAAGCGGCGCCAAGAATCTTACAAATGAAAACTAGAATAGGTTAAATTGCTTGACTACGGCCTTGACCGGTTTCACCTCGGAACAAACGGCGTCGTCTTCCTCCGCTTCCTCCTCGCCTCCGTCGTCGTCTCCGTCGTCATCGTCTTCTTGCTGATCTTTGAGTTCAATATTATTATCACGCGTCAATTATTCTCGAGGAGTTAAAACTCTAGCTCGCAATCTTCATCGCAAGCTTCTTGCACCTAAAATCTCGACATTTAATTTGCACCCTTATTACCGAATCGATGTGATGGCTCTACTTCCGCTTATCAGATGGATTCCAATCTGACTGTGATAGAAAATGTATCAGAAATTGTGTAAACAGTTTCTGATCGAAAAATTCTGCTTCGCATTCCGGAGACCTTCAATCTCGGCTTGCTAACAATCAGCGATCAATCAATTCAAAGAGAGACCTTGAAGTCCATTCCTGCCTCTGCATCTTCTCCCTCCGAACTCGAGCCGCCCTCATCATCCGTCTCTTCCACTAGAATTGATTAGTTGGGAGCTCCATCGACCTGGGCTTGGCAATCTGAGTAGAAAACCTGAGTCAGGATTCTAAAAGAGTAATATGAAAAGCCGCGTAGCGGCTTTTTTCTAACGAAGCCGCGAAGCGGCTTCGCCAAAGCTACCAACTCAATGAATTATTTTGACCTTGCGGCTCCGTTAAAAAAAAGCCGCTACGCGGCTTTTCAGTTTTCTCTTTTAGAACCCTGACTCAGGTTTTCTACTCAGGTTGCCGAGCCCGGCCATCGACTGAACAGGTACCATTCATTATGTCTTCCAATACCGCGATGTTGTACTTTTCCTGCGCTGTCTTAATTGAATTATAAGAGCAATTAGTTAGAACTATTATTGTTCTAATGCTGGCCGAATAATCTGAATTAATCTTTTGTGAGCTACCTTTTTCGAGCTTATCTTACGAAAACAATCTCAAGAATCGGCTAGCTGCCTTCTATTCCTGCTTGGAAAAATATCTCCAAGACGTGAAAACAAAAAAATCTATGTCGCGTTTTGATTTCGAATCATCCCGACGCCGCTTTTTAAAGCGATAAAAACGTCCTCCTCTATAGTTCCTTCATTCTTGTCAAATAAACGAAAGGAGCATCATCTGCTTCAGCGCGAATTTTACGTGCGCTAGAGCAAACGTGCTTGCGTAGAATCAGTCAGATGAGCTCACTAACGGGCAATCTTCTAACTCACCATCAACTGAGCTGATGTAAAGGGACGGCCGTTCTTCTGGCTCAGCGTCACTTTCGTGCTCTTCTTTTTTCCAGTTACATAGAGACCGATCAGTGTGGCTAGCTGGGCTCGGCAACCTGTGTAGAAAACCTGAGTCAGGGTCTACAGATCTAAAATGAAAAGCCGCGTAGCGGCTTTTTTTAAAACGAAGCCGCAGAAATCAGTTATAAATCAAGCAAGTTATATCTACGAAGCCGCTTTTCATTTTTGATCTGTAGACCCTGACTCAGGTTTTCTACACAGGTTGCCGAGCCCAGGTGGCTACGTTGTATGCACCGCTGGTAAATTGAAAATTGTTGTCTATCTTTGAAACAAAACTCAAAATTAAAATACCGAGTTGTTGACTTAAAAACCCCGCCATCGATCCTTTCTTTTTCTTCAAGTTTTTTGCGCATATTCCTAAAATATTGAAAAAAAAACAAGAAAAATAAATAACTCATTTACCGTTTTATTGCAGCTCGAATTCGTATCGTCAAAACCAGCACAAAATATGCCACAAACACTACAATTTTCAATTTATCAATCTCCATACAACACAAATCGTGGACTTACTGAAACCAATGACGATTAAAAAAGCGATGATTAACACTCTATTTCAGGTCTTTTTCTTTTTCCACTTTTAATTTTGTAACAAGAGAAGGGATAATTTGCTGCTTCGAAGCTGAAAAAGACCATTTCCCAAAGAGCATCATGTAAAAGTCTTTTAAAAAATTATTCTCGAGTTAATTATGACGGCGATGTTTTATCAATAAAATAACATCATTATCGAATAACTCTTAACTCCTGTTGGTAGTCCTGTTTCCATTGTGTGTATATCAGCTTCTGAAGCTCCATTATTTTTCCATTATCACGAATACGCTTACCGTAAACAGTCGCCATTTTTTTCCGAATTTCTTCGTTATATTTTTTAATAATTTTGCTTTAATCGGTTGCTTGTAAAGGGCATGAGTGGATTATGAAGAGTACGCTACAATTTAGCATTTTTCACATGTGCGCTTGCTTTGAAATGGTAAAATTAAATTGCCTTAAAAATCAAATAAGTCTGATCGAAAATAGGATTCTGATTTTACGGAGCACGTTTGACGCGTTTTAGGGCTCATTCTAGGGAGTTATGTTGAGGATACTCGGGAGAGGACATAACCTGATTACGCTCGCAAAGCACATATCAAAACCCGACAGATCAAACCTCGAAAACACAAACTGCGTGTTTAGAAAACTATGTTCACGCGATTCCAAAGAGATCCGGGATCTCATGCCTATTTACAGCACCTCTCTTGTTTTTCACTCTTTCTCGCTTTTCTAGCTCTCTTTCTAGTCAAATTCCCATCGTCGCTATTTTTTTGATTGACTAGTTTTTGACTTAGTTTAGCTTTTTGACTTGCCAATAAAGCCGTAAATTGGGGTGTGCCGATTAAGAGGAGGAATAATTGACAATCGCGTATGCAAAGTATCAAAAGTATCGATGAAATCTCATCTCATTGGCAAGTCTTGGAAGGAGCTTTATTTTTTTCAAATGAAAGAATGGGAATGGGATTAAAGGAGTCGACCAGCTTTCGTGTTATCGAAGATTTCCCACCTTGATTTTTCGGAAAACAAAAGCTCCTCTTTCTCAATTAGGGAGCCACTTTTTACGTCCGTAAAACGTAAATTCAAATATTGCTTGAATAAGATTAATTTACAAAATCCAGCGAAAGTGCCAAACAAGCACATGTTCGTTTTATCTGTTGGTATGTAGTAAACAGAGGAGATAATCAGCCCGCGTTTAGAATTGTTACGAATAGATAAACGGGAGAAACGGGAACGTTTTCAGCCAGAAAGCGTATTTTATGTTGCGCCTGACGTACGTTTCGAAATCCGGAGCACGTTGAGATTGAATCTTTGTGAACGCGCGTTTTCTTTTAGAAGGATTAACCGCGCCCATCCCTTTCTTCATATCACCTTCCATAAGCTCATGCTAAATTCGTGCAAATTTAATTTTAAATCTGACCGATATATTCTATTCCTGCTTTTACTGGACAAGTTATCATTTATCAAGTGCGGTTTTAATATAAAAAAAAAATTTATTAATTTTTTAATTAAATTTACTAATTTTTTTTTATTAAATAAAAATAAAAATTAATAAAAAATTTTTTTTATTAATTTTTTTTTTATTAAATAAAAATAAAAATTAATAAAAAATATTTTTTATTAATTTATATAATTTTAATAATTTGGGGACATTTGTTGACATTCGGGGACATTTGGGGACATTCGGGGACATAACAAACGTCTTTCAGAAAATAAATTTAGACGATTATCTAGTTTCTTTTATAATTTGTTAGCTCGGGACACGGATTATTATCTAAATTGCCATTCGATCAGTGTTAAAAGAGCAAAACGTGCACCGGATAGTCAGGAAGGTTTTATTCTCCGAAAATAGTTTCCCTATCGGCATCCGCAAAAAAGTAGAAATTACTAATAAAACGTGATTTTCAAAAGCGCCGAGATAGATTCACTGCAAGTGCCAATTTGATATTTTTTATCTTCGGAAAATTATGCTTCAAAAAAGACGCGATGAAGTACAATATTCAATTTTTGAAAGTTTGAGATTTATTTCGTTTTCGCGAAAAAGGAGGAATATACACATTTGAGGATCTTCATCCGATCCAGAATTTGCAACAATAGAAATTCTATTTCTATTTCGATTACAGACAGATTCCGATTTAATAGGGTCAAGTATCAAATTTACAAGCTCGCGGATAGGCTCTTCGCTACTAGTGATAGTTGCTTCTTCCACAATGCTGATTTTTCTCGGCTTTGAATTGAATATTCATTTTTTTCTTTTTTTTTTGTTGAATTAATTTCAGGCTGAGTTCTTCTGGGAAGAGGCGGCATTCACGGGCGCATTTTTGGAGTCAGAACGAGCCGTGAAGAAGATCGCTGTTCGACATACTTGCGAGGGAGGCTTCCCACGGCGAGGAGATGTCAGAAATGTCCGAAGAGAAAATCGACGTTGGCTCGAGATCGCGGATTTCGGAGAAGATGTCCACGAACCGGTCGACGTCCGTGAAGATTGATCCAGAGTCCAATTCGAAATCGTCGATCGAGCTCGATACTAAAAATTTTTATAAATAAATAATTAAAAATTTAGATAATAAATTATTATTAATAATAATATTTTAATTTTTTTTCTATTTCTATAAATTTTATTAATATTAATAATAATTGAATAAAATTTTAAATTTATTATAATTTTAATTATATAATTATTTAATAATAATAATTAAATTATTATTTTGAAAATTTACCGGGAGGAGAGTTCATCGAAGCATCGGAAGAGTCGCCCGAGTTCCATCCTGAATCTGGGCTCATTCTGCACTCGCTGTTCTCGCTCGTTTCGCTTCCATCCTCGCTCGAGTACGTTCGCATCTTCTGGCTGTCAGAAAGAGAGATGCGCCCTCGTTTGGCGCAGGGCTCTCCTTCCGTCGCTCCCGTCCTCGACTTGATCTTCAGCTTGCGCAGCGGGAGCGACGATTCTGAAGCGTTACCGGCAAGGCGCTGAAGGGTCTTTGCGAATTTTCCTTTTGGAGAAATGAGGCTAGAAGAAAGTGAGTCGGAAGATGGAGAAGTGGCCGTGATGATCTTCAATTTCGCAGCAGTGACGTTTAGCTTTTCTTCTAAGGTCTCTGTACTAGTCTAAAAGAGCGTTTATTTCGCGTCCAAAAAGTCTTGAAACTCAAAAGTCAACTCCGACTATTAAAAAACCTGGTGATTCTCGCATCTAGTCCTGTACTCGGCGAGCATCGTGGTCAGCGTCTCCTTCCATATTTCCTCCAGCTTCTTTCGCTCGAACAATCGCGACCGCAAATCGTCAATTTCTGCCTTCTGTCTTTGAATGATCGTCTCGAATTCCTTGCATTTCTCCACCACCTAAAGTTGGAAGGGTTATTTTTGAAGCGCGCGAAATCTAATTTTTGCAAGCAGCCAAGAAGCGCCTTTATCAAATTACTTTTGATATTTAAATAGAAATTGATTAGATTCGGTTCGGGACTTGAAGGTTTACTTTTACGCCCTGATTAAATGTATTTTACAGAGGCTCTAAAGGAGCTTAGAAAAAACTTAACAAAAACAGCGCGGCGATTATTTTGGAGGAGGGTATTTTCACGCTCCAAATAAACCTGGCACGACCCCTCATGCGACGCTAAGTTCATATCTACGTCGCCAAGCGTCCGAAACGTGCAACTTTCAAACACCCGCCGAGTTATCTGGATGAACCTTAAAAATAGTTTTATCTCTTCCAAATAATTTCTACAGAAAATAAATTCACGCCTTAGCGCGAAACCGCTAAAGGGACCTGCGAAACCGCGCCGGCCGAAATTGACAATTCTGGCGCATTCCTCGTCATAACCGGCCCAAGTGCCCGGCCCAGCTTGAAAGGAAAATCACAAGGGCCAATTTATCAAAAGGAGCTCATGTAATTATAACTACACAAGCTTCAGTAATCGAGCGGGCCCTATTTGTTTGAGCAAATGGAACGAAATAGAAGTACCGTCCGACCAGTTTAACTTTCCAGCTCCGGCAACAACAAACTCCGCCGCTAGAATGCCCAAACAGGCAGTTATTGTGAGGTCGACGCGGGGTCGAAATTTTAAATTTTCTAAAAAAAGGGCTGCGCGAGTGCGAATGGGCGATTAGAAACTCGGGTGATCTAAGTTGAGCGCGCTGGAATTTCCCGTAAAATATTCAAAAAGGAAACGTTTAAGGGTACACCCGTCTGGCGCTCTCTTGCATTTGAGCTACTTTGAGCCGGTTGAGAAGGCTGCACGCGGATCCGCACGCGCGCATCCTCATCATTGCATGTGTAAGTGCATCTGTAATGCGCGCTTATCGTTGGTTGCATGATTCGCAATGTCTATGAACGCGACACTGCCTTTTCAACTTGCTTTCCTCTTGAGCTGCCAGAGACCTGTCGAGCAGACTGTTTATCCCTGGGCTCGGCAACCTGTGTAGAAAACCTGACTCAGGGTCTGAAAGAACTGAAATGAAAAGCCGCGCAGCGGCTTATTTAGAACAGAAGCCGCAAAGCGGCTTCGCCAAAATTTTTGACAGATTAAAATTATATTATTAGCGAAGCCGCTTTGCGGCTTCTGTTTTAAATAAGCCGCTGCGCGGCTTTTCATTTCAGTTCTTTCAGACCCTGACTCAGGTTTTCAACACAGGTTGCCGAGCCTAGACTTATCCCCAACAGTACGTTTCTAATTATTCAATTTCATGTTTTACTAACTTTGTCACAAGGCAAGGGCTTGCTCTTGAATTTCTCGCTGGGATGGAGTTGTTCCGTAATTCTACCCCGAAGAATCTACAGTGAATAAGAATCGAAACTGCCAAAACAAAAAATTGTCTATTACCAAACCTAAGAACGTGCGACTGTGTTTTAGCACAAACGCGGCCAAGCCCCTGAAATTAAATTTAGAAATAAAAAGAAATACGTTCACCTAATCACTATCAAAAAAGAAAAATGATAGCCAAAACAAAGAAAAGCATGTTTAAGCGTGTTTTGGGGATACTCGCTCTTTAATAAGGTTTCTTGAAGAACCTGGCTTCAGCAAATTTATGGCAATCTACGGTGGAAAAACTGGTAACCACGAGACACACGTTGCCTGAAACCGCGTCGGTTGTAGTCTTTTGTGTACTACAGGGGACAAAGCGGATTCTCAAAAAGTCGCGCTGACGTTAATACACAAGTTCCTCCAATTAGGTCTAAGGACTTTATTTAGGCCAAAAGCTACAAAGAGAGCGTTTTTTAAGCCGACGGCGACATTATGTTCGAGCTTAGCACCACTGAATTCTAGAGCAGGGTCAGACGAGAAATGCGCACGCTTGTTAGCCCCTCTTTAATCGGATATTTTACTTTGCAAGGGAGCAAATAGGGTTCCGCCCAGCCCAGGCCAGACAGGGATAAAGGAAGATAATCTGTCCAGGGAACGGCTGGGCCAGTAGCGCTTTCGTGAAAAGTAGCCAAACTCAATTACGATGATCAGCGCGGAATTTACGAAATCGGCGACACCTGCTCCTCCATTAAACCATTCCCATTTTTCGCCCCTTTCTCGCTCTTTGCTCTACCTCGTTATTATCCATCTTTGCGTAGACTTCCGGGGCCATCGTCGTGCTCGATTTGGACGACTGGACTCTGTGGAAACGCGCTCGCGATCGAAACTTCTTGGTAATGTTGCTCACGATCAGCTGCTCTGTACATTCCTGAACACTGGTTAGACTCTGGCGACAGGTTTGGGATTCTGGGGTTAGTGAGTTTTTGCTTCGTGAGGAAACCTGGATGTTGACTGTTTTCGGGTTCTTAGCGATCTTTTGAAGGAGCTCCGATGCGAACTGCTCGGAGGAAGGGATAGTGCACGGCGCGACTTTTGACTTTGGCGATGGCGAGGGTTTGCGGCTAGTGAGCACGACCTGAATCAATCAATTTTACAGTTATTCTTGAACAGTGTCAAATAGAAGAGCATGATGTGTTATGACAACAGATGAGAAGAAAAAGCACCGCCCCAAACTTGGAATAAGTATGTGCATATTCAACTTCTTTTTAAGGTCAAGCTCAAGAGAAAGCTGTCACACGGAGAGAGGAACACGTTTCTGTTAGTGAATATCTAGTGAACTGATAACGCAGCGAGATATTCTTTAGAGCACATTTGCTTTCTCTCTTGCTCGCTCTCTTTGATCACGTGAGAGACATTCGCACAGTAAATTGGCGCTTGTTGCGAATGCCATCTCCGGCTTAGATGGAATTCCGAAATAAGATTCCGAAAATGGGCCTCCCGAACACACCGCTTAATTATCAAATTCTAGGCAGTTCGAGCATTTCCCAAAAAAAAGTTGTTGTCTATTTTCAATCATTTTTTTACCTTAAATTGCGGCTTTTGCGCGTTGCTGCTGCCATTGGAGATGGTTTTCAGCGGATAGGCGGTCGCTTTGGGAGAGAGATCGTACGCTCTCGGGAGCGTTATATACTGCCTTACCGTGGACATAACAGTAATGCTTGTAGTGCTTTGTTTTCTGAACAAATGCGGTTTATAGCGTGCCAGGTACAATGGTTATCCGGCGCGACTCGACCAAGAGCCAAGTGAATTCGACAAATGTTCAGTCGCAAATTAGACTGGTAGGTTACCCACGGTTCAAACCTCTTCTTGTATTCGCTCTTCGATCAAGAGGTTGAACGCTCGCCACGTAGAATCGTTACGCCATTTGCCTCAATCCTGAAATAGACGCCTTTAGAAATAATACAGAAGATAGATAAGGCGCAAAACAGACACTTGACTTCGACCGGGCAGCTACCCGGTAGCATCATCAAGAAGCACAGTTAGAAAGCGTCTGTGAGTGGTACGAGTGCATGGCGGGGCCACATTTTAAACAAATGTGTCCTCGCTTATAAACCAATCGCGTATATCTGCCAAACATAGATTCTACTGTGCAGCCTCAAGATTAAAACTTTATAACTTTATCACTTTATAACCTGTTTGTTGAAAAATGTTCTAAAAGAGACTCTTCAATTTTGGAAAGCGTCTCTTTTTTATTTTAGAGATTTCGGAAAATGATGAAACGGTATAATTTACTTCTTTAAGAAGGCCTCCTACTAGGTCAATAATACAAAAAAAAGTCCTCTAACATTGAGCCAAATAGTCCTTGAAGGGGGAAGGTAATTGATGGGAACCTTTGCGGAGGATATTTTGGAGAGCTTAAGAAAGATCTTCATCTGCTTAATCCTAAAAAGAAGCCCTTTCTCGACGGCTTCCTACGAAAGGAACGTGTTGAGGATTATGTAACAAGAAAGTGCTTGCGATAATGCGATCTAGAGTCGGGGGAATGAGGCTTTTGTTCTTCGTCTGTTATCGCCCAGAATTTACAGCTTAATTAATCAAGTAAAACGCGCGATAAGGTCCTATGAATTCTAATACCCGCTTAGCCAATGCTGCCGTGTTGAACTGATAATGGCCTCAAAGCTCATTCACGTAGCGGCGAATCGAAGAAATTACAAATTTCCACGTTTCCGCGCTACTTAGTCAAATGAACCCGCCCCATGTTCAACCCTTAGCGCAGTTACTTTCACTTAGCAGCTTTCTGGATTTAGGCCTCGCGCTACAGTACAGTCGAATTAATGAGCTACTCCGGGGTGCAAACTCATTCGCTTTCTCCTTTCCCGAGTTCGCGCTGGAGGACTTTGCGCCCTTGAGACCGCTAATAAGAAAATACGAGCAAAACAGAATGGAAGGAGAAATTTGTATGCGTATTATTCAACGACACTCTCAAGACAAAATGCCGTATGACAAGAGGGCAGCGGTCGCTTCCAGATGCCGTAATCACCACAACAGAGCATAGATAGCTACCATTAGCTACCTGTACTCGTCGACATATATTTATGGAAAGAAAGCATTATCACACTTCTCGTGGCATTTTAGACCACTCCGATAAAAGCTGGGCTCGGCAACCTGAGTAGAAAACCTGAGTCAGGGTTCTCAAAGAGTAAAATGAAAAGCCGCGTAGCGGCTTTTTTTTAAACGAAGCCGCGAAGCGGCTTCGCCAAAGTTACCAACTCAATGAATTATTTTAACTCTTTGAGAATCCTGACTCAGGTTTTCTATCCAGGTTGCCGATGTTAGGGCCACAGAAGTCCTCTTGATCTTTAGCAAAGGTGTCCCATCCTTTCATGATGTAAGCGAGTTCTGAGCAATCTCAATATCTTAAATGGCTTTGGCAAACATAACGGCATCAATCATAATGTCGGAAGATGCAGTGACAGATGTCCGCTTTCAAAGTGAAATCCGCAGTCCAAGAGATAAAAAATAATTTGTCCGGAGCACGGGCAGCCGGATTTACAGTTGAGCAAGCGCTTTTTTACTGCGTCTCGTCGCCGGGGAAGCATTCCAACTCAGGGGCGACTTTGAACTTTTTCTTCCTGTCAAAATATTCAAAATCGAAATATTTGCATTCTAAAGGCGGAAACGCCAAAGCAGTGAATATACAGGAGTTTGTGTTTATCTCTCAATCGCTGCATTAGGTTACGGTTAGAGAGCGGCCCTCTCTCTCTCTCTCTGCTAGAGATAATGTTTTTCATCGGATATTCTGAAGCCTCTTAGAACGTCCCTTTTGTCACCGATCGGATTAATTCTCCACACTCCCTTGAAATTTTCTTTTATAAAGCGATCAGATACGAACATGGATTACCCAAAAATCCATCTTCTGGGCACACGTTACGAGAGAGAGCTCTTACCCTTTCCTAGAAATTCTAGTGACGCTATTCTCGCTAATAAATTTCACTACTAATGAGGCGGCGACAAAACAAAATATCCAGGTGCGCGGCGCCTGACAAGTAAATGGAGAAAGGCATGTAGCTTTACTGGTAATTAAGGGGACCTCAAGAATCGAAAATAAGGGCGAATTCTTGGGGAATTCGAGTGCTATTTCCGCTCGTGGACAGAAAAATGAGCATTAAACTCGAGTAAAAAATGACACACCGCAAAGAGTGACCTCACGTTCGTTCACATCGCCAAGCTCGAGGGCCGGAAATGCGCCGAACCGAAATACCGAGGATAGCAGGCCTTTGCCCGGGATTTGAAGCTGTTCGCCACAGATGGCGAACAGGTTATCCTGTCAGCCAATCACAAGACAGGATTCTCTTAGTGGCGGCGTAACCCCGGATTTGAGCTGCTATCATCGGTATATGAAGAGTACAGTCTCATGAGTGCGCCTCTCTGAGATAACTCAATAATCAACCAGTAATGAGAAAATACTTGTTTGCTCGTCAATTTTGTCGAAGGATTATTTTCCGAGAATAGCTTGGCACGTGCGAAAGCTCCAACGTGCTTAATATTTGATTTTACGCGACTTACTTGGCCAGTTTGAGACTACAATTAGCTCGTCTTAAAGGTGCCAATCTTCAATTCGCCACACACAATATAGGCTTGACTAGAGTACAGCTTATATGTTATAAGGGATTAAACTTCATGATTACTGAGAAGCTATCAGAACAATAACAAGGGCGAAAGTTTATCTCTCTGCTGGACTGCTCGTAGTCGTGTTTGCTCTGAGCTAAGAGTTTTAGAGAAAGGGAGGTGCCAGGGTTTATCACACTCGAAGAAGCCGTGACGGGACATTCTTCGCAGTCGTTAGAGCTTGTTTGCTCCTGCAGCCAGTCTCACATCGCTCGCGCCAAACAGAAAAGAAAATGGAAATTTCCAACATAGCGCGCTTTGAGAGGTACTCCCACGGAGCGAGTGATTTGTATCACTTCCTGCTTTACCCTTAGAAGCTTTACCAGTTCCATACGACTTGTATAAGCGTGCTTTATCGCTTCCTGGGCAAAATAACAACGCATAGGCTTTTCGATTAGATTCGCTAGAATTTCCAAAGCCGGCAGTTGCTTCTTAGTTGCCGTAATTGTAGGAAAAGAGATTATTCGAAATGACCGTTTGGCGAAGAATATGCACTCGAGGCTTGGTTGTGAACGGGCGGAGGTGATCTCGGAAAATCGATTCAGATTCAACAAGCAGTCTCTTGAATAACGCGGATTCACAACTGCCAAACGGCGAAAAGTATGCCACTTATTGTTATAACAAGAAACCTGCCTCGCGTCCGGAAGGGAGCAAGACTCAACATGCATCAGCTTCTTGATTGACTCTATCTCTCCTTCTCTCTCTCTTACCGTACAGTTATAATTGCAAGCGAAGCAGCCTGACAAAGAGAGAGTTTTTAGATCATCGAAGACGGAATCTCTTAGCCACGTGAACCCGACCTAGGGCCAGGAATTTGCCCAAGTATTCTCCCTTTCGGATGAACTCACATGGGCAGGTCCTGATTCAATTCCGCTACAACAGACTCTTTTTTGGATTCACGTTTCCGTAATTACTAATTAGCACTAGAACTAGCGTGTAAGTTTTATAGTCGCTATGAACTTGAACAAAGTGGCGCGCTCCAACTCAAAAAATGCTCCAAATTAATAATTTCATTAACGGAAAGAGAGACTACGTTATTATAAAACACGTTTTCACCTTAACTTGATCGAGTTTTATCTCGACCGTCGAATAACATTTTTGCAAGAGATAATTTCCCTTGATACTTTTTATGGTCATTTTTATCAGGCAGCGCATCGTTCCGGAAAGGAACGTTCGCTAAAGTAACTATTTCGCGGTTTTGCTTGCGAGCATTTTCGAGATTCATTTTTTCAAAAATGTATTTCGCAAAAAAAAGTACTTTTTTGAAAAGACGCATTCTTGAGATGCAAATTTTCGCCTTTATTCTACGCCACAAGTGCCTTTTCGAGAATTTCGCCCTCCCCTGCGCCCATCGAAATTCAATGGCATGCAGAGAGTAACGCAAAATACAGTTTCTCGGATCTGATTGTACAGTAAGTACAGGGATACAGTTGGCACCCTGGGCTCGGCAGCCTGAGTAAAAAACCTGAGTCAGGCTCTGAAAAAGTGAAAATGAAAAGTGGCGTAGCGGCTTTTTCAAAAACGAAGCCGCAAAATGGCTTCGCAAGAATACCTATCTTGAACTTCTGGCGAAGGCGCTTCACGGCTTTGTTTTTAAAAAAGCCGCTATGCGGCTTTTCATTTTCGCTTTTTCAGAGCCTGACTCAGGTTTTTTACTCAGGCTGCCGAGCCCAGTTGGCACCGCGGTAGCTGAGTACTCGAGTAGCCAACGTGCTATGTCCTTGAGGCCATTTCCTCCATATTAACAGATAAAATCTCCTATCACGAAACATAAATTGAATAACCAGTCATCCTGTCTTCAGTTTATTCAATCTAAAGGAGCATTCCAAAGGAACAGCCAGTTCCTTCAAACTAGAAAAAAACAAAATGCAATCCCCAATTTTGCTTTTTATCTTTTCTGTGTTTGGATTGACAATAGAAGTAGAAAATTAAAGAAGTAAAAAGTGTTTGGATTGAAAATATTTGGCGTTTTGTGGAATATCCGCTTAGAAACGTTGAATAAAGTGGCCAGTTACAAAACACGGAAGTAATACCGTCCTCAGATATTATGAAGATGAGGAGGAGAAGGTTCTAAATGGGAACGGGTGCGGAAGTCTTTAACCCGTGCTCCATGGACGAGGCTCCAAACGACCCTCTCTGTAAGTAATGATGTTTGACTCAATCGTCATCAAAAGGTAGGGAAAAGGATGGCTCGAGGGAAATTCCATTTTGACGAAATTTTGAAAAATATTTTAAAACTCCGCGATTTGGAGAAAATGAGTCTCTGGGGCGGGCAATGACGAATTCAGTAGGAAATCGGATTTGTCTTTTTATCAGTGGGTAAGTACCCAAATGATAACGCCTCGCAAATACTTGCTCAAAATTCGCTTAGGAAGACTAATTCTATTTCTAGCTTATTTGGGAAGAGCGAGATAACAAGAAGGGAAAGAGGCAAAAGCGAAGAAGCACTTTAGTTGATACAGTATTAGCGGATCCATCTCTCTTTGCTGAATATGATGAAAAATCAAGTTGGTAATTACTCTTTAGGGCGCGATAGTTGTTTGGCGATAGCAAAGGGATGACACTGATTGAGAAAAAAGAACATCTTTTATCTGGCGGAGATAGGCTTCAGTGAAGACACACCGCGCAAGAGCACAACTCAAGTAGGAACGATCTTGTCCCACTAGCCGATTCGAAGGTAGAAGGGGTTATCATTCGAGCTGCCCCTAACCCCCCGGGACCCCCACCTAAGGCCTAAACGAGGGGCTTAGCCCCCGGACCCCCTAAGGGTTCCCAGTCCCTAACCCTAACCATTAGCCAAGATTCTAGAGATACTGGATGGCTCGAATGATAACCCCTCTCTACGGATTGGAAGATTGAAAGAACTACTCTTTGTCTATTACATTTGTTTTTTCGTAACGATCAAAGAGCTATTTTGACTATTATCAGTGGCGTGTTTGATTTGACGTGCTCTTGATTTGACTGCAATTATTAGTAAATTCGATTAAGTGGAATTACAACCCGTAACGTGCAATTAATGAAAATCGTATTTGCAACAAACTCTCCATGTTTATTACGAGGCAATTGCGCGAGCCCCCCCTTTTTCCGCCCGTGCTTGTTTTACTCTCCCTAAAATAATACTAAAAAAGCGGCTTTGAGGACTTAAACGACTCCTCTCTTTACGTAAAATCCTTCCTCCGAGAGAATGATTTATCTGAAATTGGCGAAATGAAATGATTTCGAAAGGGACTTCAGCAAGAAATGGAGATGAAAACGCGTGAATATGCGTAAAAAACGAAGCCTTAGTGATGTCCGGAAAGGGCGTCCTCGCGGAAGTGTGCCTCTTCTGCTCGTGCATTTTGCCACACTTCAACTTTTTAGGAGCAGAAGAGACTTGCTTCCGCAAATAAATCCCCCTTCCTGGTAGGTGTAAACAAGGGCCAGTCGAGTGAATTAATTTCTTGCGCTCCTCTCCCCTGAATTAGCGGTTTCTTCTTTTTCCTTCTTTCTTCTCGCCTTGTTACGGTCATATCACCCAAACACCTAATTTCTGGTTGAGCGCTGTGGTCGAATGCTCGCGCGCAAAGCTTTTCTAACCGAGCTGAGGAATCCTCGAAACGAACTCTAGAAGCCAGGCTTAGATTCAACGCGCTCGATTGGAAGGGGCAATTTAAAGTCTTCGCTTTCCGGATTAGCTAGTGACAGCTTCAATCGTTTGACAGCCAACGTGGAGACAGATAACATGTTAGTGGAAGAAGCCAGATTAATCAATTATTTTCCCCTGGCTTTTAAAACGCTCCGCTTTCATCAATCTTTAGAAAATTATACCCTCCGCGCTTGATAACAAAAATATGCATCATTGCAGGATGAAAGTAAAAAAATATTTTTATTAAAATTTATTATTATTAAAATTATTTTGTCTTTAAAACATGAAGTCAAGTGTCAAGGTTGATTTTAATTTATTTAAAATATTTTTCGTCATTTTTTGGTCATTTTTTGGTCATTTTTTTATATTCTTGAATTACCTTTCTTCGCCAGAAAAGAAGGGTTGACTGGAGTTTTCAAAGTCTCTTTTTTTGTAATTTATATTTTCTTCTTCAGATACTTCGTGATTATTATTTACTCTCGTGGTTTATTAAGCTCGTAGTTTTTTGGTGCGTTTCGAAATAGAAAAAAGGGATGGAATATTCGTTGTATGGGAAGAAGTCACTGTTTACTCCTTCGTTAATTACTTTCTGTACTCTTGTAAAAACGTGAAAACGCGCGCCCCGCGAGCACCACCACCGCGTAAAAACGGCGCCGTAAAAAATGGTGGCGCTAAAATCGACCAAAAGTACGCGATCGAACGCTATAATCGTAACTTCTCGTTACTATCTAGCTATCTATCTTAGATTTGTTTGTCTTAACTACGCAATTCCTTGTAATTGATGATATTGAATAGTGGATTCGTCAGAAATTAACAGAACCTGCTCAAAATAGCGGCTCAAAATAGCCAAATGATCAACAAAAAAGGTGCAATAGAAGAGCCCGCGGCTGCGGTGAATTACTGTAGTTGTGAAAACTCTGAATATATTCCGATTCTTGTCGAGCCTGAATGGGGATAGCTTGGTTTAGTGGGCCAAGACGAGGCGTTTAGGAAAATTCAAAATAAATCTGTCATTTGGCATCGATTCCTGGACAAGTTCAAGAATCTTCAGGGCGCCGCTCGATCTATGATTGTTTGTATGTTTGTAAATGCTTGTATTATTTGTATATTTGTGAAGGTCAGTTCGAGCAATACCCGCTTAGAAAAACCCCAAATTGACGAAGAGCTCACCCACTAGCTCTGGAGGTTCTTCCTGGTTCCCCAAGGAGCAAAGTCTACGATTAAACTTCCTCCACCAACGCCGCCACCAGGGAGTTTTTAGATTTTGGAGAGATTTTAGAAGCTGTTCTGGGCAGAAGTCGACAGTGATTGAACCCAGAAGCAAAATCCAGAAAGATATGCTAGTAAATATTTTCGCCGAGGTTGCGCGAGTTCCACTGGGAGCCCATTTTACACGATCGGAAATTCACGTTGTAGGGCATGAATTTCCGCCCAGAGTTTTCCCCGCCGCCGCCGATTCCTTGCATAATGAGCATCGACCTCCGAGGAAAAGGTCGCCTGCGATATCAAATACGCAGGATATACAAGACCAAGCAAACAGAGACGTCTCTGAATCAATCAGAAAGTCCTGATTCATCAAAAAATGCTAAGTGATCGAATCATCATTATCGAAAATCGGGCAAAAACGAGACACGAGTTGCTTCATTTTCTCAAAATTGATTTGTACCTAAATTTTATTATATATTTGCTGAATTGCTTATGCTCGTCTAAGCGAGTGTTTTGGATACTTTCGGAACGTGGGAATCAAAATAAAAAGCCCTAGCCCTAGCAGCGGTCAGGGGCAAACGCTATCAATGGCGACCCCCATTTTTCTCGGGGTTTTTATTAATGCCATGTTAACAAAATTGCACTGGTTCTCATAGTATGAGCAACTCACAAGTGCTAAAATTCGGTTCAAGCAAGTTGCACAGCGCCACGTTTCCCATCTTCTAGAGCTCATAACTGCACACTATGTCTATGCGTGTTCTCTTGTTCCAAACACCTTTACTTACACCAGCAGAGCGCAGGGTCGAATCTCGCCCTTTCATTTCTTCCTGAGACTCTCAGGGCTGGATAATTTGAAATCAACACAAATCTCAACACCCATATTTCGGGAATTTGGCCATCCTGATTGGTCAATAGGACCTTTTCGGGTGTTCAGATTTGTGTTGATTTCAAATTATCCAGCCCTGCCTGAGAGTCTGCTAATTCAAGCCCAACTGGTGTTGGGCACCTAAAGACCGTATTTTTCCTGTTTACCGTACAAGCCAATTATACAATGCTCCCAAAACTACCTAGGCGAAAAAGGCAATTAGCTACAAGGAAACCCTCCCGGATGAAACGGGCCCGTTTTATGCTCTTTATAAGAAGGGCTTTTCGTTCGAGGGTGTTCCCGCTTTGGCGAATACTTCCGGGCGAGTACTTCGGGAGACTCACAAGCTGTTTGCATTTTAGGAATAATCCCTCGCTCTCCAAACCAAAAATAAATTACGCCAGATTATACAAGCGGCTCCTCGTTCCTTCAAGCCCCTTTCTCAATTTCCCATATTTGATGGTTTTGAAAAAAGGAAACGTGTTGAAAGGTTAGCTCCGATTAACCCTTTTTATGCGCAATCAAAATAGTTGAATAGCGAACGCGCTGATCTTTGGATAAAGCATAAATTCTAGCAGTTTTTAGCGTTATCTTTTTAATAGAAAGTTTTAAGGAGTCAGAGCGACGCTCATTTTTGTTGTGATGTTTACGATTCTTTCTGAAAAGCTAGTTCGTCGTTTTGTTTTGATGTTATGAGTTGCTTGCAGAGACACAACAGGAAAACCGTCTCAAGTATACGTCGATACAGAGCTCTAAAATGTTGGAGCGTACTCTCCCACCGCCAGGATTAGGAATCGTTGCTGAAGAATACTTAAGCCGTTCGCGCCATTTCCTGTACTTGTTTGCTCCTTTCAGTCTTTTAAGGAGGTAGTCCCTGCTTTTTGCGATCTCGGCACTTTTTGAACAGCGCTCCCACAAATTTGCGCTGGGGTTGAGGGATAAAAACTTTATGAATAGAAAGGTCGAACCCTGATGAAAGTTTGAATTCACGGAAAAAATTTTATTCGCCCGCTTAAGGAGTTAGAGGGCGATAATCGAACCTACCCCGGGCGAAATCGCCATTTTGGCCTATTTTCAAACGCGCCTAAATTCAAGAGGATGTTTCAAAAATTTTAACTAATTGAATTTTTTGAAAGTTCATACCTTCGTCTAGGTTTGAATTAAGGGAAATAAAAAAAATCCAAAAAGTCATAATGTAATGCCATCAATCAAAGGTTGGGTCTCAAAATCTTGATAAAATAAGTTTTTTAGGAAGATTTATACTAAATTATCCTAATAATCGACATTTTATTTATTATTTTTATTATCAAGAGGTCATTTAAATTCGAAATAAAGCTATATCTATGGGTAAAATTGACAAAAAAATTCGAGTTTTTCAAATTTTTCATCACAATCTCACTTTTCAAGTGCGACTTTCGGGTTTTTCCTCTTACATTTGGGAAAAATGATCAACACAAATATTTCAGCTCTTCTAACAAGCTTTCAGAATCCGCTAAGAAAATTTGAAAATTCCGATTTTTTCAAAAGCGAGGACTACCCCCTTAAGGGAGTAAATATCAAGAATTGGATATCCCGTCAGTGATTTCTCAAATTTTTAACATAGTGACCCCCTTAATTTTTCTGCTCAAAATTTATTTCAGGCAATTATCTTTTTCCTATGGAAGCCAAAAATTAAGATCTCTTGAGCTTTCAAGGTGCTACAATGCAAATCTGGCACCTCCGATTGTCGTCAAAATGACCATTTTAGGAAATCTGTGACGAAAAATTTTGCTAAAATTTTTTGAAATTCGAAATTTCAGCTTCCATAGGAAAAAGAGAAAGGTCTAAAGTTCTTGTTTCCAAAGAAAAATAAGGGTGTTACTATTTTAACTTTGGGAGAACTGTCTGACAGAATATGGCGATTCTTGATATCTACCTCCTTAAACAGTCTTAAACTAGAACTGCAGTAGCCTAAAAACAGCAAACGGGCAAAAGCTATCAGGTGTCAAAATCTAGCTTCGATTTACAAGCAATAACAAGTGCATCTTATGGTAATTCGAAATGTTACTGTTTGGTGAACGCGGGCAGAAGCTTTAAAAGAAGCTATTTCGAAAATAGATGCAGCTCCTTGTCGAAAACTCGATCTGGCTAAGGCGGAAGCAAAACTGAACAACGTATATTATCATATAATAAAAGGAGATATGAGCCAACTTATAGCACTCGGGGCACTTGTTCTGGCTGACATTCGAGACTTGAAATGTGCGTCTTGATCAGGTGGCACTCAACCGGCCAGGTTCTAAAAGCGCCTAGAATTCGTAAGATTTGCTCAAGAAATCAAGCTATTAGCTTATATTTCTTTCTTTTAGAAAAGCGCCGCCGAAATTATGTAAAAACTCTCGACCACGAGGATACGAAAACAAAGCACTTAGTTTAGAGGCTGCTTATTCCAGCTAGCAAACTAAAGGACCTTTTCCGAACTTTAAGTCCCTCCCCTTTGTCATCATTTATTGTTATTTGAAAATTCGTTGTGTTGTGGATTTTAGCTCTGCGGTCTAATTCGCCCTTCCGGAGAAAGTGAAGTCGATAACGTCTAGTAATTTGTTCCAGCTAGTAAAATTACATGATGTCAGGTGATTCCGTGTCATATTAGTCAAATTAAATTGAGCCTTTCGTGAGCTTTGCGGCTCAGAAAATTGAAGCTCGAAGTAGGTCGGTAAATAGCTATTTTCTGCATGCTACCACTAGGTAGTCGAATCTTCTTTAGAGACCTTGTACTAGTACCTTAGTAGAACTAGAATCGTCCTTTAGAAAATTTAATAATAAGGGTCTCAAGGCCTTTTAAATGGGACTTAACCAATTTATGGAAGTGCATTTTTGGATAACCAATAAGATTGCTGTATTTTTCCTACCGGCCAATCAAAACCCTGATCCATAAAATAGCTTCCATTAATTGGTTAGACCCTTATTATGACCTTTACATCATGACTATTTTCTAAGCGCTAGAATTTTAGGGTAGAACCAAATTGCAGCTATGGGAGCAATTTTTCAGTACCTCGTAAAGTTTGTATGAGTTTAAGTATTTTATAAGAAGTTTCTGACAGAAGAGGTACTTACTTATGCATGAGAGTAACGCTTGAAAGTCCCCGGATGACCTCAATTTCGGTCTCGATCATATAAACGAAGATAGCTCAGCCAGCTAGCCCAAAGAAATGGGACTAAACCAATTTATGGAAGTGGATTTTGGAAGACCAATAAGATTGCTGTATTTGGCCTACCGGCCAATCAAAACCCTGATCCATAAAATCACTTCCATAAATTCGTTTAACCCAAGAAATGGGGATAACCAAGAAAAGGAAGTGATTTTCTGGATCTGGATTTTAATTGGTCGGTAGGCCAAATCCAGCAATCTTATTGGTCTTTCAAAAATGCAATTCTTTTGATTTGTGCCAGAAATGGACTAGATACTTTAAAATTCATTTTGGAAAAAGTGAAAGACTTGAAAAAGTGCGCAGTTAGTTGATCACGTGGATGGAATGATTAGTTTCTTATCTCGGATTTTGGAGCAAAGGCGCCCATTCTAAATTCTTATCGTGTTTCATATTTGAAACGTAAATGGAGCAAAATTTACGCTACAGTGCCACGCCAATTCAAACACGCGCCGCAATTAGTAGCGGCTTCAATAACGCTGTCGCTGGAAGGAAGAGGCTCGAAGACGGCGACTTCTCGCTAATAGCTGCTTGTCCTCAAAGCTAAAAAACGATTTCGTTCACTTAGTAGCGAGTTCAATAGACCTCGCAAACGGGCCGACTCTGGCGCAGTTAGCTCAATCTCTTTTTCGTAAAATATTATGGGTCGCGTTGTCGCTACAAACGCCATCAAACATAATTTTACACTGCTACGGCAGGTCCCACGTTTTGATATTAGGATTTCAGTAAAGTTTTAAATCCGCAATGGCAAAACTTGAATCTCAAAACTCGAAAAATAATTTCCGTCTTAAAATTAGCAACTCAAAATACGCGATCTGAATATTTCTGAATATTTTAAAAGAACGAAAGGTCAAATTTAAGGGGGTAGAAACAGCTTTTTCGAAAATAGGCGATTTTTGACTGGCGCTACAGACAAGAAAATCTTAGATTTTCAATTTTTCTCTTCATATTTAGAAAGAAACTTCATAGACCTAGGAACATCTACCTCGAAATTTGTTTTGGTCATCAAATTTTTGAGTAAGCGGGCTCAGAAGCAACTCATCTCTCCGAAATTCTCGATTTTCGCAGATTTTCAACCTCGAATATCTCGAGTCACGTAATAGGAGAACAAATTTCATTAACATTTTTGTGAAGCTGAACCCCTTTTTAGGAACATTTATGAGGAAACTCTGTAAACATAAATAAATCTGATGTTTTCTTTTATGTAGCTTCAGTCCCAAATCGAGAAAGCTGTTTCTACCCCCTTAATGTTTTAATTAAATTAATTAATTATTTATTATTAAATTAGTTAATTAGTTAATTTTTAATATTATATTATACATAATTATTATTTAATAATTTATTATTATATTTATATTATAATTATTATATATAAATTTAATTATTAATTCTTTATTTATTTTATTAATTATTCTATATTAAATTAGCTTAAACCCAAATTTTCATCCTTTTTTTGTAATAAGACCTCTTTTTGAAAAGTAAAATTAACTTTTACTAAGTATGAGTCATTTTCATGCATGAGACCTTTGGATAAATCTGTGGCATGTCCTTTCTCGCTGCACCTGGTTTCCTACAAGCTGAGCTCTGGCCAAAAATAACGTGTTACCAGCGAGCACGTTTAATAGTAGCGAGGGGCAAATCTAGCCCGGTATTCGACTGTTTAGGGCCCTTCACGTGTTCAACACAGGATCATGAGATGACACTAACTTGCGGGAAGGTTGAAGGAACTGCCGTTTTTATTCGTCGCATGTTATCATGAATGAGCACGTGCTCGCTCGAAAACTTGCACGGCCAAAATAATGATTATATCAACTCAACACCACGGCCGATTTTTGTTAATAAAACGCTAACACAATGAAAATGAAAATTGGCCGACTTTTCCAGGTAAAATTCATCAGCTCCAGTCTGCCCTATATTGAACCCGTTGCGCTTGGCGCAGCAGGTAATCCCTAAAAGATCAGCTATAAACGCCAATTTGAAGGGCTTGACAGGGTCTTCGACGATCAGCCGGGGTGCTACTTTTCTTGTAACTGCTTTTGAAAGTAAAGACACGTAGCCATGTATTCCGGCTTTGGGCCGCAGTCTCTCTTCAGGGCTGAAATTAAGGCGGCCCCCTATTTTTCGCCGAACGTTGCATAAACGGGCAGTGAAATTTGCCGCACGAGCAAACAACTTTAAACTCTTTCTGACAATTACACTGTTCACGAAGGTTACAGTTGATCAGAGAAATTTTCAGTTGGAATATCCAAAAGGGAGGAAAAAGGGCTTCCATTATTTTATCTAACAAAAAAAGGACTAAACCAATTTATGGAAATGCATTTTTGGATCACCAATAAGATTGCTGTATTTGGCCTACCGGCCAATCAAAACCCTGATCCATAAAATCAATTCCATAAATTGGTTTATCCCAAAAAAGAAAACTTAAGGTCGTCAGAAAAAGACAAAAGCGTCTTTGAGAAACGGATTTCGGTGTTCGCTTATCGTCAAACACGGACAGCCACGCGGTGGAACTTTACATTTTCCCAAAAACATTCCACCATTTAATTGAAAAAGGGCGAAATGAATAAACTGCGAAAGAATCGGAAAGCCCTTGTAATGGAGCGAATGTCCCCACATTCGGGACATTCGGGGACATTTGGAGACATTTGAGGACATTCGGGAACATTCGGGACATCTGGAGACATTCGCTACAGAGTCAGTGTTTAGCAAAAGAATCACAAACGCCCCGCATTGACCGGTAATAAAAATGTGAGGTGAAATTGTTGAGTTTTCAGGGAACGAACCGCCGCGCGGTACCAATTTTGAGGAACAACTTTCTCTTCGCCCAGGTTGCCGCATGAATTTGTCTCAGCTATTTGGCCGCGGTTGATTTCGGTGAACGGGTTTTCCCGCTTTTGGAAAATATTTTCTGCGATAAGCTACAAAAGAAATCTCCTAACGGAATCCGCTTCGATTCCCGAATAGAGTCAACAAAAAGAGAAATAATTCGTATTTTAGACCACTTCTTTCTGTGAACAAAAGAAAGAACGGACAGGAGAAATAGTAGATAACGGCTGAAACCAGTGAAGCCAACGAGAAAACACTTGATGATAATTGGTTTAACAGTATTTACCCCGCTTTAAGGAGGTAGATATCAAGAATCGCCATTTTCTGTCACACTTTTCTCCAAAAGTTAAAATAGTGACACCCTTATTTTACTTTGGAAACAAAAACTTTAGACCTTTCTCTATTTCCTATGGAAGCCAAAATTTCGAATTTGACAAAAATTTTTAACAAAATTTGAAATTTCAGCTTCCATAGGAAACAGAGAAAGGTCTAAATTCTTGTTTTCAAAGTAAAATAGGGTGTTACTATTTTAACTTTGGGAGAAAAGTCTGACGGAAAATGGCGATTCTTGATATCTACTCCCTTAACGCCAGGGTTAAAATTGTTGATGGCAAAGAGATGCATTAGAGATACACCTTGCAAGATAAATAAGTCCTTTCTAGTGTACATACAGAGTTGATCGTCTTAGTAAAAGCTGCTGAATGGGAGAGAGCATCAATGATTTACTCCCTTCAAAGGAACGTCGGCGAGCGTCAACTGAAATCTGTTTTAAGAAACTACACCCATCCAAAGACCATATGTTGCAATCTGAAAAAACACTGGATCGTGACAAGAACGATTGGACAGTATAATTCCAGCATCTGGCTCATTTCATCACTTATTGAAGCAACAATTTCAAAAGAACTTCGAATGATTTATTCACCTTCAATAACAGAAGCGAGTTTGTATAGAGCGCAACTACAGTTGTAAATCACTTTGGAAGGCGCAATTTACATGCTTAATTTGAACTGTCGATCAACTGTCAAACTTTTTCGCGCACTCGATTTGCGGCTTACTTGGGGATTGATTCTCGGCCAAACCAAATTCTCGGCTAAAGTCATTTTTTGCTCGAACGGATTGTTCCATATTCTCCTGCTACTGGGTGTCATCAACGATCGACGAACTCATCATTTGGAAGTAGCTTCATCTGATTTTAACAACGGATGGCAGCGACAAATCTTAAATTGTAGGTACCGAAAAAAATTTTCCGCTAAGTTTTCATATTGAAAAGTAAACTCCCTGTTTTAAATCTGAGCTCGGCAACCTGAGTAGAAAACCTGAGTCAGGGTTCTAAAGGGTAAAATAAAAAGCCGCATAGCGGCTTTTAAACGAAGCCGCAAAGCGGCTTCGCTAGTCAAAATAATACATTGAGTTGGTAACTTTGGCGAAGCCGCCTCGCGGCTTCGTTTCAGAAAAGGCGCTACGCGGCTTTTCATTTTGCCCTTTAAAACCCTGAATCAGGTTTTCTACTCAGGTTGCCGAGCCCAGCTTATGATACTTGAATGAACGTCTACTAGGAAATATTTGACATCTCCGCTGTGAGATGTCATTTATTTTGAGAATAGAAAATAGGAAAAGCTCATCGTCTATGCACAGGTTTGTTTCTGATGAACGGGAGGAATAATTAAGAGCAACAGTCTGACAAAAACTTTTTGCTGCTGATTACTTTCATTATAAATCAAACATTGCTGCTAATTACCAGCAGGCCCCAGACAAAAAGAAGAGAATAAATTAGAACTAAGTCGAGTTGCTCAATGCTTAACGCTGTCGCTAGATGCCGCTTCGGTGCGCAGTGACCTTTGGATCAAAATTATAAAAAAAAAAGTTACAAGTTCGGTGAAATTGTCTTTTTCTTCGAAGATTCAGATTCAGAGTTCTGAGATTCAAAGTTAATTGGAGAGAGAATAGTTTCTAATAAATATCAAAAGGTGAGAAAATTAAGGGTTTCCCTCAAATAAAAACCCTAAAAAAGCTTACTCCTAGCAACCTGTCCTTTAACGGCCTGTATATCCTTAAGTTATTGATCAAGAGATCATCATAAGGGGAACGGTTGTAGTCGAGGGTTGGATCTTAAAGTTTCAATTAAGGATATACCCGATAAAATTGAACTTTCATAGCGTCGAAATGCGACGTAGGATCATTTATATTTCAAAAGCAATTCTACGTTAAAATGCACGTAGAACTCAAATTCGGTACTTATTTATATTTTCTCATTTGAATTTTTCTCTTTAGAGCGATTTCAAATCTTACTCTCTCGATTACTCGAAATTTTTGGACTAAATCGGTCGAGATTTTTCGATAGATAAGTTCTTTACACCTTTATCTACAATTTTGATGGTATACTTTTCGTTAATTCCGAAGGAAACCGATTCTAGAGCCATTTCACTGAGGGCTACTCAGCGCGTGAAAGCTCTACAAAGCGGCGCGCTGGGAGCTCGCTCACTCGAGTCCTCTTTTCCGAGAGAAAGTGCGTGGTTGAGCGCACCGCTCTGATTGGTAGCACGCGAAAAAATGCGCAGAGAAGAAAAACAAGGGTATAAAAGAAGAGAACACTAGAATGAAAATTCAATCGAGTTTAAGAATTTGATCCCATCAATTTTGTAGCTTTGCATCATTGCAATACAGAACACGGTTCAGTTTTAGCAATTTAGTGGAAAAATTTCGAGAAATCGAGAGACTTCGTTTTCAAATCGCTCTAGAGAGGAAAATTCTTATGAAAATTTCCAAAAAAGTACCAGAATTGAATTTAACGCACAATTTTAAGTAGGATTGCTTTTGAAGTAAAAATGATCCGACTTCGTATTTAGGCGCTATGAAAGTTCAATTTTACCGGGTATATCCTTAAGATTAAGGGTATATCTAAGATAGCCTCGGAGAAAAACTTGCTCCTAAGAGGCCCATTTTCGCAATTCTTGATGGGGGGTCCTTAATTTTCTTCTAAAAAAGCCGTCCATTAGCGATTAATCAAAAAGTTCCTTTGGCTCTTCTTGCGTTAAATAGCTAATGTGCTCCGCGGTGAATAAGTTCGAGCACACACGGTACTCGCAGTACTTCATTTTTGAATACTCTTATAACTTGTTCTTGTTCGCCGAAGAAGAAGAGAAACGGGATTTTCTGGAAGGCAATAATAATTATCCCCACCGTCAAGGTATTATCGTTATATTCTTACCGGCGTGCGGTGAAAACGTATTGGGGATTATTTCTTCACTTTTGCAAATTGTTTTCTTTTTTTAGGAGGCTGGGCTGGACGTCGATGGAAGGCGCGATTGACTGCGGCTTCAACTCATGACAGTTTATTCCAGAGAAAAGTAGGAAGTAGAATACGAAAGCTTGGTGTTATCGCATTTTCTAGAGACGAAGAGTTCAGCGATGTCATCGAGGGTGACGCGCACATCATCATTAATTGCATTATCTTCGCCATGGGTAAGGCAGCTTCAAGTGGAGTCTTTCTCTTGGGGATCTACCTGTACACTGTTGATTCTACAGATGGGGCTTAAAATAATAGCACTCGAGTAGCAAATGAATCGCGAACTCCCTTTTTCCCGACTGAAAAAACCCCGTCTGTCGAAAACCTTTTTTTGATCAGAAGTAGCTGAAAAGGGAGTTCGAAGCACTGATGGAACGGATTGGGAATATTCTAGAGATAAGAGCGAAATGACGTCGGGTACTTTAAGGTCCTCGATGCTTGAATACATTTGTAATAATCACTTTTGTTTATTACGGACAGACTTGTTGATAATTGTCAATGAGCAAGAGTAATGCAAATTACAGTCTGATAGTTACTCTGTATATTTGCTTAAGGTGGTAGATGTCAAGAATTGCCATTTTCCGTCAGATTTTTCTCCGAAAATTATTATAGTAACACCCTCATTTTACTTTGGAAACAAAAACTTTAGACCTTTCTCTATTTCCTATGAAAGCTGAAATTTCGAATTTCAAAAAAAATTTTAGCAAAATTTAATTATAGAAGATCAACCAAATTTGGGTCTACCCGTCATTTGATTCATGATTTAGGTTTTCGTGCTCATTATTACCAAAAAAAAAATTAATTAGAAAGAAAGATGATAGCTTTGAAAGGAAGAGGATTAGGATGTTCAAATTATAGTGAACCCTAACGGCAGAGCTTATCACGGGTGAGTACCAGATATTTGCAGAGTCGCAGAGTGGACGCAGCGTTTTGGGACAAATATACGCTATCGTCTATCCTGGCCTCTTAGACGGATTTAAATTACACGTGCGAACGAGGGAATTATAATTAACTCGCTCCCCTTAATACGGGCCAGTGAGACGATAACTTCTCTACTTTTTATTTAAGGGTGTATCTTGCTGCTTCTGTGCGTAATAGTCTGCTACGACGCGTGCAGATACTCGCTCTTCGGAAAAAACCTCAAAGAATCGCTGCCTTGTCGCAAGAAAAACAGCCAAGATTTGGACCCCTACACGACTGCGTAAAAATGTAAAAAATGAATAACTCGCAAATAAACCTATTTGACTGTATATATTCGTCGATCAATTTAGTCAAGCATTAGTCAAGGCATCTGTTTTGAAGAAGAATTAGCTGAGGATGATTTTAAATCGCCGAATTGCCGTATCTACTCCAACTTCCATCCGTTGCCGATAAGTTTAAGAAGCGATAATAGATGTTAAACACAAAACTTCGTAAAACACCAATCTAGTCGCATTTCCTAAACAATGTCAGTTTTCAAAGACGCAAAAGTTATGTTGAAAACAAGCTTGATTGCAGCAGAAAAAGACTGAGCTCAATCCGAGATAATTGGTATCCTTGAGGACGCTCCCTTTTTAAAAACGCGTCTAAACAAAAGTAAATCAAAGTATTTCGGCACAGGTAAATTGAGATTGATTGTCCGAAGCTGCTGCTGCTGCTCCACGCGCTCCCTAAAATAGTTCACAAAAGTCAGATCAAGACGAATTAGACGAAGAATACTGCTTTTATAAATTTATGGATAGTGTTACTCACACCATAAAAACCTATATTATATATTATATACGTATTATATTTTTAATTATATATAATTATATTTAATAATATATTTGATATTATTAAATATTATATAATTATATATATATATATAATATATATTATATATTATAAAAACCTATGTGTTATTATCTTAAATTGGGCAGGAAGAAGTCAAGTTCTGACAAAGCTACATCATATCGAGGGGCTAATCCAGGTGGAGAGTTCTTGAGAATGATAAGGAAGTGGAAAGTTCCCATATTTAACTTGATAAAGACCGGAGGGACAATGTTTTCTACGACACGAGAAAACTTGTTTAGAATTAGCTATGCTTTTCTCTTCCTTCCTACTACCACAACTTGAAGTTCTCTAACGTGGTGTTGATCTGTAGTGATAAATTTCAAAGAACTGTAAAACGGGAAACTTCGACTTTCGCCAAATTTACTTACCGAAAAGCAAACACCATAAACTTGCAGATCTTTCCTAAGAAAAGCAAGAAAAGACTCTTCATTTCATGTGATGCACCTTCGAATCACTACAAATATTAGTCCAACTGTCTTTTTTCACTCGGATTCACTCATTACCGTCGCAAACAACGAAAGAAATGACCCCATTTGTGGCCTATAGAGAGTTTTACTACAAGCTGAACATCCGAAAATAAAATGAATATTAAATTAATCTCCAAAGTTTGGCTCTATCTTTTCACGATTGTTGGCGTTTTATCGGGACTCGTTTTGTTTATCTGGACGCTTTTGTATTTAAAATCAGAGGTAATTAATTTAGCTTAATTATTTTTATTTTATATAATAAATACTAATAATGACGATTTTCAATAAGGATTTCTGAGTGAAATCCTGACCCCCCTTTTTTATTAGCTCATTGAAAAGAGCGTAAAAAGTTACCGAGAAGAGCTCTCAAAATCTTGATTTTTGTTGAAGATGACGTCACAGCACGTGATTGAAGTTCCAAAGTACCGGATTTCTCCTACGCCCGCATTTCCAAGTCCTCTTAGCTACCCGGGCGTATGATAGCTGAAAATGATCGTCTCGTTGAGCTCTAGGTCAGCATCGTTTTTCATCCCTTCTCAACCTTTCTTTCTCAAAATCAATATTTTAAGCAAACAGGTGATTTCAAAAAGGGTTGAAAAAATGAATGGAATGTGATGAAAACTAGATGCTGACCTAGAGCTCAACAAGACGATCATTTTCAGCTATCACACGCCCGGGTAGCTAAGAGGACTTGGAAATGCGGGCGTAGGAGAAATCCGGTACTCTGGAACTTCAATCACGTGCTGTGACGTCATTTTCAACAAAAATCAAGATTTTGAGGGCTCTTCTCGGTAACTTTTTACGCTCTTTTCAATGAGCTAATAAAAGGGGGTCAGGATTTCACTCAGAAATCCTTATTGAAAATCGTCAATTATTGTTATTATCAAATTATTTTTTATTATATTATTTAATTTGGATTATTTAATCATTAAATTAGTTATTATTGATAATAATAAATAATTATAATAATTCAACTATTTTTTTAATTGACTTGTAATTATGGACAAGTGAAGAGCTCGATCAGACTTAATTGAAATTAAGACTTGGGCGGAGATTTACCAAGCAGCAAAAGACGATTACAGTCACGTAAATATTGACGGAGCGTACGATTTGCTCGTTTTGACCAACACCGTCGGAGCTGGCATGGCATTCTTCAGTGCATTGGGCTTTTTCTCGATCTTGATAGGCGAGGGCTTGCGAACAAGGAAGAAAATACCAGGAGTTCGAGCTATTTTTCGCGGCCCCTTTGAAAGAATCGAAAAGATCGTTTTGGGTTTACACAATTTACATCGCCGGGTGCACTTTGCTCTCTTCGCTCGTGCTATTGTTGCTGTTCGCGAGGCGGGAAACGATCAAAATAGTTCTGACCGAGAATGCAAGGAGTGTGTGGTTGCTCAGATATGGCCTCGTGCGGGATCTGATCGAGGTTTGTTTATGTCGCTTTGAATTAAAAAGAATGATAAATACGCGCAGGACTTTCAACGGAAAAATGCTTGTTGTGGTTGGTTCAACGCCCTTGACTACTGTTTTGTATTAAATTCTTTCCGCCTATTAGCAACAGGGAAATTTTATTAATCCACAAAAGTACATTTTCCAGCGCGTTCGAAATCATCTACAAGACACTGGACGAGCGGCACTTGAAGAAGATGATGTCAAAGTTTCACGACGTCATTTGCGCCACAAATTTTGAGTACTGCGACTCGATCGGCCTTGGCTAGAGTTAAAAATCGGTAGTAGGGAGTTATCATTAGAGCTGCCCCTAACCCTAAACCTAACTCAGGGGCTACGCCCCACCTAAGGCGTAAGCCAGTGGGCTTACCCCCACCCCCTTAAGAGTTCCGAGTCCCTAACACTAACCACTAGCCCAGATTCTAGAGATATTGGATGAATGATAGGCTATCATTGATAGCCCCTCTCTACGTAAAATCAGAAATATCATCTGCCTTGGAAATTTATTTTTAACTCATTGAAAAGAACGATGACGGTCGGAGTTGAAGACAATTCAGTTTACTACGACTACTATGGAGACTACTATTCGCCTGCTTACGAAGATCCCCGGGTATTAATTTACTTATTTTTAGATCATGAAATACGACGATACTTTTAGGAAGCGTTTGAGAAATACTGCGAGCCAGAACATTTCATTGGCGAGTTGTGCGCTTGCTACAGAATGCATGCTTGGGGAATCGACCCAGAATATAAGTACATGACTTGTTCTGGCGAACAGACCGTTGCAGATGTATGTCCCGCGGAGTCCTGCAATCTGTACGGATGCGAAGAAGCGATAAAACGGACGATACAAGAAGGCGCGAATTGGGGAATTTTCGGCTTCACTATTGCTGCCACTTTCTATTTTGCTGGGGCTCTTCACCTGTTTTTCGTCGGAAGAACAAAGTATAAAGAAGACTTTTAGAAAAAGAAGAAGACGCCATTCCACATGAAGAAGAGGAGATTGTTGACCTAAGAGCGCCTCTTTCTACCTCTTGAATCGACATTTCCTAATGAAAAGCATATTCTTCCTAACAAATAAAATGCGAAAGCGATTGGCACAATGTATTCTTTATTTAATTTTAAATTATAGAAGGTTCAAGGATGATAAAGTTTTATCAATTTTTGCTTGGAGTTTTTCAATCTGATTTTCCGTATGAACACAGTATTTTTGATGATTGTTATAGAGCCATCCCAATCTTCCTAGTTTGAGGCAGTTCTTTACTCGCAAGATTCCAGTGTACACAGCGTCTTCGACAGGTATTTGCGGAATTATATCAAACTCACTTAATTTATGATTAACTGAAGAAACATTTAACCAACGAACCTGGCCGACGAAGAGATCTTCTTAGCTGCCACTGAAGACATAATTACGCAAGGTCCACTGATGTAATTTGGCCAAAAGGAATAGGGCCAGATTTCTTCGTTGATATCGAAGCCCTTTTCGTCCATCCAATAGTTTTCGACGGAAACTTCGAGGCGGTGGTTCCCGTAGAGCTCATTGTAAGGAAGTCCACTTTTTCCAAGTTCAAAAAATTTCACTATCTCGACAACATTCACCCAAGTATCATCGTCGTGGATGATAAGCGTACTTTGCTCGTTCTGGTTCTCTTCCTTGTTTTCGCATAAAGTAAAGTACTCGTAAGCCGCTTTTGTTTTGTAGGGCAAGTTCGCATAAGTATCCTCGAAATTCCCAATAATAATATCGTCAGCGTTCTTTCGCGAGCTACTAATAAACTGGCTCAAACTGTAACAAATTCTAGCTCAAAAATTTCTAGCTTTTTCCTCAACAGTTGAATCTTCTCGGTAACCGACGACGAAAAAGTGACTCAACTCGATACCATTTTCTTCTCGCAGTTTTCTTTTGACTTTCAGATAGTAATTTCGAAGAATATCTCGGCTTTCATGGTTCGATATGGCAGTTTTGATGATCACTGTAAGTCGCGTCTCTCCTTTTGGGCAACTAAAAGATTTCTAGAGCTAGAAATTTGTGCAAGGGCTTCGTCGATATCTCACCTAGGTATTTTCAAATGGCCAACATGCCACTTTTTGCCGGCTAAAAAGTTACTACGCCAAGTTGTTGGCATAAACTCTGCAGTGCATTCGCCATCCACAATTTGGTAATAGTTCTGCTTCTCAAAAGAAGAAACATAATCCTAAAATACGTTTTCATTTAAAAGATCTCTTTTCTGGTACTCTTCTATGTCTTCAGAGAAGCTTCGTAAATGGATAAAATGATAAATAATTTAAAATAAATGGGATGGAACTTACATAATTGAGAACAACAAAGCAGCTCAGAAAAAATGAGCCGAGAAGAATGTGTGGAAAATATCTTCGGTTGAACTTTCTCTTGCGCATTTCACTCTCTCGGCTCTCTCGTCATTTATGATTGTCTAACTCATTATTTGAGTTCTAGAAAGCCAGCGATCTGGGATCTGGTCTGTGATCGATGCTACTGGTCGATTTTTCTCTGAGCGGGCCCTCTTGGGGATCACTTGATGACTCAAAGCCTTGCGGACAATGAAGCGAAAACCTTTTGGATCTCACACCTTGACTTCAAGTAGAATCTCAATTTATTCTCGTTTCTCAGTCTCCGATTCAGGTGGAGTTTCCGTGGCAGAGTACTAGGAAATGTTGCCTACGATTGTGAAGTTTTCGAATTGAGGGTCAAGGCATAACAAATATCTCATAAAGAGGTGTTAAATTACCGAAATGAAACTGCCTTGTATGGGTAGATTTCGCCAAAAAATAAATTATTATTATATTAAATTATTATATTTTATGATGTGTAGTAATTTTCGAGTACTTCTCGAGTGAGCTGGGCTTGGCAATCTGTGTAGAAAACCTGAGTCAGGGTATGAAAGAGCTGAAATGAAAAGCCGCGCAGCGGCTTCGCGAATATTACCATTACAATGTATAAAAATACTCTAGCGAAGCCGCTTCGCGGCTTCGTTTTTAAAAAAGCCGCTGCGCGGCTTTCAATTTCAGCTCTCTCAGACCCTGACTCAGGTTTTCTACACAGGTTGCCGAGTTTAGCGAGTAAGGTAAGTATGACTATTGACGAGGACCGAAACCTATTTCGGACAGGCGGGTACTCCGTCCACATTGATCACTTCCGGCCACTGCTCATTTGGGCTAATTTTGGCCACCAGGGTATGACAAATTTGACGAGCAGCTCCTGGTGTGTAGCAGTTGTAAACTTTTCTGGGCTTTTTCGAGTGTTGGATGCAAAATCAAAGACAAACACGGATAATTTCACGCTTTTGAAAATAACAGTTTTGTAATTTTGAGGGAGATCCCCTTAATCCGCTGCGAAATTTGGGCGCGAAGGCGGTGCTTTATCGCGCCAGCCGACTCTTTTTCTTGGTGCTAATGACGACCTGTGGCTTCCTTTCTGGTATTAGCGCCGGCAGAATTCATAACTCGTGAGTGTTTGTTTCGATTCTAGCGTTTGTGGCAATAACTGAAGCGCAATAAAGTTGAAAGGGGCGCCGCCGATTTAAGGTGGTGCACGGAGGCACCTGGTACTGATAAGGCGGCGGCGCAAGCTCCACTTGAAAAGGAGATTTTGAATATTTTTTCCTGCCAGTGTTTTTACCGAAAATGAGACGACCATCCGAAAGTGCTTGAATTTGATGATGATCGGCGGGCGGCCACGCTACTTTTTTATTGATCGCTCAAAATTACCTGCCCAAAAAAGAGAGTTTTGGAGATGATATAATCCGGCGATGCCCGTTTTGAGAATATTTGCACTTTGCTGAAGGGTCCTCGGGGTTTTGTATGGCGCAGCGTTTTTTTGTGCACCAGCGCGGAGAACAATGGAATGCAATGATTTTCTCATCAATCAGCTTCTGCGCGTGGCAGATCGACCGAAAACGCGCACAAATCAGCTCCTTCCGGGCGCAGTTTTCCGCGTTTTGGAACTGCTCAAATGCCGGTTGCTGCGATTGCAAGCCTGAAGGAATTTCGAGGAATTCGTGAGAAGATCTATTTCATAGCTCCCGATAGCTATCGAATTTGCTTAGATCCTCGTAGACCTGGGGCGTCTATCGCTCAATAATCAGATCCAGGCCGGCCAGCTTTGATCCGCTTTTTTTATTGTGCAAATCAGTATTTACTTCCATGCAGATTTTGGCATCAATTTCTGTCCTGACTTCGACATTTTTGCCAAAAAAAGTTTCAAACAAAAGAAGATTTTTTTTGATTTTGGATTCCTTTTGAACGTAACCTGCGCCTCATGCAATTCGTATTTATCGGCAAACAGGTCTGTGTTTATGCTTTTGGTTATTTATTTATCTCAGCTGCCTTCTTCATTTATTCACTGGCGCGAAATCGGAGATCAATCGAAATCGTGCTTCTTCTTTTTCTAGTTGCTGAATCTTTCAATTCAATTTCTCAGTTGATCTCCAGGCGAAGTGTGGAAACGGCCCAATTAGTGGCGATCCCGCTGACGGTAAACATCCAAGTCAAACTGTTTTCCTTTCGTCGGCCGAAGTTCAAAAGGCGGCCACGTGACCTCACTCCTTGGATCTGAGGAGAACCTGCGCTTTCGAGTCGTCCGTCAATTTCTTGGAAGGAAATAAATCAAGTTCGGGAAGAATTTCAAGAGTTTAAATTTTCATACCTGTTTTATTTTACTTTTATTAGATTCAGCGCATTTTGAAGCCCCAGCAGAGTTGCAAATTTTGCTTTATTTTTGCTGAGCTGAGTAAAAATTTCTCTGAGCTGAGCTGAGCTGGCCTACTTCGGAGCTCACTGAGCTGAGCTGAGTTGAGCAGACCTTTATTTTAAGGTAGTTGAGCTGAGCTGAGCGACTGCTCAGCTCACTCAGCTCAGCAAATTCGCAACTCTGAGCCCCAGTAGTATTACAAAGGGCGATTTTTTTGAAGAACGCTGAATCTGAAAAATAAAAGTAAAATAAAACAGATTAAAAAAATGATTCCTATTGTCCAAACTTGATTTATTTCGTCCTTGTATTTGACTAGCCCGCCGCTGAAGAAAAGCTTTACGAAGCTTTTATTTCTATATTACGAATTTATACTTTTCTACTTTGGAGATTTTGCGTGTGTTGAGTCAATAGTGTCGACAATTGAATATTTTTGAAATAAGGAGCTCCCTGGGAAAAAATCTAGCGAAGTATTCAGGATTAAGAGGAGTTTGAATTTTTGTCGGAAAAGTGGCGGATTTCAGTGTTGAAATACTTTCCCAATAAAAATAATAGAAAGTTCTCGAATTAAAAAGAACGAAAGAAATAATGGAATCGAATGAATTAAGGGGTTCCCAGGCGTCTTTCAATATTGCGGCACTTATTTTATTTTATGAATTTTGGAATAAATGAATAATTATTCCTCTCGAGCAAAAACGTTTCTCCCAAATTCAATACAATATGTTTCCGTTGTGAGTTCGGGTTAGGGCGGCTAACATTGAGCATGAGCGAATCATTTTGGCGGAATGATTTTTTCGCGTTCGCGCAAAGAACAAAGTGCGCCGTCCAGCGGTGCGTGTGGCGGAGCAGAGCTGAGCCCCCTCCCACCAACGGAGAAATCGGGCGGCCCAACGACAAAGAAAATAACAGCCCAAATCTGCCCGGGAAATCTGTAACAGCAAAAACAGAGATTAGAACGAACAATTTTTGAAGAGAGAGAGAAAGAAAGAAAGCGCGAAAGTTGCTAAAACAGAGATTACTCTTATGAAGAAGACAGAAAGTTTGAGCGAAGAGCTATGAAGTTTTTACTTTCAATAGCGTTGCCTATCGGGGCTTGGGCAGGACCTTGCTCCCCCAATCCCTGCAACAACGATGGAACCTGCCAGCTCAATGGAAAATCCTATACTTGCCAGTAAGTGATTTTTAAAATTCCGAAAAGCTGTGTTTGAGTGAGTGTTATTAGCGGCTGTCAATCGGACCTGGGACCGACAGTTTTTCTTTTTTGTTGCTTTTTTTTTGTGACAAGCTTCGCTGCCCTACTTGAGCCAGCGGGCCTAGTCACCCTGCAAAATGAAATTTCTCATTTTTTTTTGATGCCCAAACAAAAAAAGAAAGAAATGACTCACTCGAAATCGCATTCTAGCGCACAATCATCCTCTCCCGAGTTCCTTTATCATTAGCCAGTAATTTCGTTAATTTTTAAAATACGATTCAGCCTCTTTTTATTCCCGGATTTGTGTCCATAATTCTGGAAGAAAGCGTTTCCGCCTAAACGGCTGGCACAATCGCCGCTTATTACTTTTTTACTGCGCCCGTCGTCCCAAAACTCGTAAATTCCCCCTTTTGATTTTCTCTCCTGATCCACGTTGCTTGAAGCTTCAGAAAGGCCTTTTTATGAATCACGAAAATCACCGAAATTCTCGATTCTCAAAATTCTCAATAGTACAACATCCGGCTGAGGCTGTGACATTTCCCCTCTTATTTAAACACACACAAGTGAGTGTTGCAATTTTTGGGGTACCTGACATTTTCGCAGCGATTAATGTGTTTCGAATTTTCGCGTGTTGAAAATGCCATCGTCAATGTTTTACGGCTTGCTGTTAATATTTGCACAAATACATTTTCGCTGTTTATATTTTCGCGAAAAAACACACTTTCCGAACTAACCCTTGAAATTGAATTTTATCTTGTTGTTGGTTATTTCTTATTTGCGATATTGGGATTTGAAAGATCTCAGGCGTAGATTCATTTTCTAAAACTTGGACGAAAAAAAGTCGTTGAGCGCAAAGCAAATTTAGATAAACAGAACCCAGTTATTCACAGCTGGCTCGGCTGGATTAGGAGATTTTCAATCGGGCCCCCCAAAAATCCCCCGTGGACCCCTTGCGCCTAATCCGGAAGGGTTCTTCTTAAGTTACTCAAGAGTTTTAAGCCCGCGCCAGCTTTGAACAATTTCCAAGCACAAATACACAAGAGTTAATAAAAAGAAAAATCGCAGGAAAAAAATGCTCCGTGACACGTAAAACTTCTGCGCGTAAAACGAAGATTTACTTTTGTCTATTTAAATAAGCATTAATCTATCTGACAGGGAAGTGCTCATAAATTCTCTCCAGCGATAGTCAAAATACTGAATCACCTCTTCTGTGTCCTTTCCTAAAAATACGGGCAGAACCAAGAAAAGGAAGTGAATTTCTGGATCTGGGTTTTGATTGGCCGGTAGGTTAAATCCAGCAATCTTATTGGTCTTTCAAAAATTCACTTCCTTTTCATGGTTTGTGCCAAAAATACGGACTAAACCAATTTTTGGAAGTGAATTTTTGGATTACCAATAAGATTGCTGTATTTCGCCTACCGGCCAATCAAAACCCTTTCCATAAAAATCTGTTCCAAAAATTGGTTCTACCCAAAAATACGGATTCTTGAATAGGTTTTCTTGCTAAATATTTCGCGGAAAAATTAAAAATATTCTTTCAGCTGCCTAGAAGATTTCGTCGGTGTCCAGTGCGAGTTCCCGAACCCATGCGTTGAAGAATCCTGCTCTGGGCATGGCGAGTGCCGCGTCACGATGTCAGAGTCGAATCCCATCAAAGCCAAAGAACCTAAAGCTCATTGTGAGTGCAAGGTCGGCTGGGGTGGCGATTCCTGCCAGCTGGAACTTGGCTGCGGAGCCTCGCCTCGCGAAGACCCGTGTGGAGAAAATGGAAGGTGCACCACTGACGCGCTGGAACACTACGCTTGCCAGTGCGAGCACGGATTCGAAGGTAGGGAAACTACAAAGTGGCGGGAGATTTATTAGGCGATCTAGCTAAATTGACACTCGATTACCAGATGACTTGATTTATACTGGTCAAGTACGCGAATTTCGAATTTCGTGCACGTGTGTTTGTGTTTGTGGCTCGGCCTGTGTGCTCGTCCCACTTGAATGCGTTTTTGCTCGGTTTGATAAGGATGTTTACGGCTGTTTACTGCGAGTCGAATACGGTATTTGAAAATGGAATTTGAAAAATTCGAAAAAATACTTTTTCGATAAAATTTTTTTTCGCTTTTTTTTTTTGTTTTTATTGAATTAAGCTCTCTACAGGTGTAGTTGGCAGGGTTTGGCAATGACGCAAATGAAATTTTGTTGATTAGGGAATGAAATTTGTTATTCGGGCTAAGAACATGTCGAGCATCGCGCAAAAAGGCGGTGTATCAAAAGCGCGAACAGGCCAACTCCAAAACCACTCGAGACGATAAATTTTCGTTTTTCACCGAAAATTTCAGGCGATCGCTGCGAACGAGTGGACTACTGTGCATCGTCTCCCTGCTCTCCCGGCGAAATCTGCTCGAATGGACCTTCCTCCGCCGTCTGCCGCGCCAACAACTCCTGCGACTTGACTCCGTGCAAGGTAAGAATGCACAGTTACTCCTCATTAGCCAGGACGGGGATGGAAAAAGAGAAAAGCGAGAGTTTGTTTACTGGGCACTGGGCAGTGGCGTGGGAACGGGCGAGTAGTGTGTGGCGTGCGCGGAATGTCAATCCCCGCGTTGGGCGCAGTTATAATCCGATTTCGATAAAAATTTGTAAAACGCCAATTTTGAACTTGCCAATTTTGAATTTTCATCAAAACGCCAAACTTTTTGAAATTAAATTTTTGGAAAAAAATTGAAATAAAAGAAATAAAAATTGAAAATTTCCGACAAAAATTTGATAAATTCCGTTATGCGAAAAAAAAATTCGACTTTTTCCAGTTTCGCCAGTTTTCCGGTTCAATTACGCGTATTTACAGCGAAGCGTTACAAAGTGTCGTGACCGGATGTCCGCAATTTGACCGGGCAACCACTCGTGGTTCCAAGCCTGGAATTCATCTGTTTAGATTGGCGAGCGGCCTAACCCTTCGAATTATCCTAACTAATTACGAGACAGATTTAGCCTACTAGCTGGTTATAAAGGAGATATAGCGGGCGTTGGGCGAAGAAAGAGTGCTATTATTCTGTAGTGATTTCAATGTCGTGAGAAAGTGGCTGCTCGCTTGGGCTTTTCTTTCATTCAAAAGAAGCTGGCAGAAAGCTCAATTGAGTGAGCTCTCTCCAACGTTTGATATCGAACGAGCGCGCAGCTCCGTTCAAATTCAATGAGCCGAGTGACTCTCTTCGCCGGACTGGCCACTCGCTCGGCCGCCTCTCGACGAGCTCCCGGACGAGCTCGCTTCCGGTACACAGTGGTGATTATTTACTTCCAGTCACTAATACCCCGGTCAGAATCGCCCGATATTCTCACCGACTCGGGGCGTCATCGGGTGATCGCCCCTTTTCGCAGCTCGAGTACTTCCGCTAAAAAGTGCACCGAGAATTTTGGACTGGGCAGACTACTTGAGTAATTGATTTTTTCAGAACGGCGGACGATGTTCTCCCGCTGGCGATGGTGGCTACACTTGCATGTGCCCATCTGGCTGGACTGGTCAGAATTGCGAGCGCGCTACCTCCGAACCCTGCGACTCTAGCAAGTGCATCAACGGCTCCTGCAAGAAACGAGCGGATGGAAAGTCGATCTGCGAGTGCAACATTGGATTTGAAGGACCGCACTGCGAGGAAAACGTAGACGACTGCGCAAACCACCAGTGCTACAACGGCGCAACCTGCCAGGACATGACGGGCGGATATGCTTGTATTTGCACGGCCGGTTGGACTGGCAAACACTGCGAACTGGATGTGGACGAGTGCTCGACGACCATGGGCAGCCGGTGTAAAAACGGCGCGACCTGTGTCAACACCCTGGGAAGCTACGACTGCTTCTGCATCAACGGCTTCAGCGGCTCCAACTGCGAGATAAACGACGACGATTGCCGCGTCAATGATTGCGCCGAGGGCAGCACCTGTGTTGACAAACTCGGGAAATACACTTGCCTTTGTCCACCTGGAAAGATGGGTAAGTCCAACTCCTAAAGATCTACTCATAAAGAGAGCCAAGATAATTCTTTCAAAATAAAAGTTTTCTTTGAAAGGGTCTTCCTTTTTAATTTTTACTTTTAATCGCGCTAAACAGTTAGTGCGTGTAAATTGCGCGTTCCTTTGTAAAATATACGGCAGCCCTTGAGAAGCGCATGCGGCGCCGGCCGTTGGTGCTGAGCGTGGGAACCAACCTGTCCCGATAATTGCATAAAATGGCGCAAAAGGCAGCTCAAGCACCACCAAAGCACCAATGTCAAAAATTTCAAAAGAGCGCCGTTTGATCCGTACCGGCTCACTTGACCACACTCGGCTCACTGAAAAAAACGTAAAGGAACGTAAAACGACACTAACCGGACAGAAAACAATTTTACACTGCCAAGTTATGTGCACAGGCTCCCCTAAAAGAGTACCGCCCAAAACTGACAGTTGACATTTTGTAAAACGTTTTTCCCTTCTCAGTTAAAAATTAGTCAGTTAAAAACTCGATAATCATTTTTGGTTTGGCTCAAATTCGGTCTGAATAATCACCGGTCTTTAGGTTTATTTAGAGCAGAATAAGTGATGGTCGGATGGTGCGGTTGATACATTCGAATCAGATAACGCTAATTGATGGTGCTTAAAGTTTCAGATTTTGTACACTGCGCCACGGCACTCTCTCTCTCTTTTTTGGCTACCAATGACGCTATGTCGCTGCGGTCGAAATCGCATATTTGGGTTGGCGCTTAGCGCAAGTTCCCATACCGCAGATAAATTTTTACTCCAGATCCAAAAGGTGCCACCAAGGTGCTCTAGAATCTGATAATGCGCCGCCGCCGTTAAAAGCCGAACACAATGTTATCAATACTTATCGCGCTTTCTCTCTTTTCGTACTCATTTTTTTTTCTCATTCCCGAATTTCAGGCCCTCGATGCGATTTGATCAACGAGTGCTACGACTACGGTCCTGGCTTCGTGAACCCTTGTGGAAACGGCTTCTGTGACCCGTCCGAAGATGGCTTTGCCGTGTGCACTTGCCACAACGGCTGGGAAGGAGAGACCTGCGAAGAAGACATCGACGAATGCCTGGACAGTCCTTGTAGTACATTCGGCACTTGCGTCAACCATCCCGGCAGCTGGGAATGCAAGTGCGATCGAGGATACACGGGCAAGCTATGTGAGGATACAGTCGACCTCTGCGAAAAGGAAAAGCCTTGTTTCAACGGAGGAACTTGCATAATGGATCCCAAATTTGCCAAGGGCTACTACTGTTCCTGCCCTCCAAGTAAGCACCTTCTTTGCACCTTCTGATTTTTCGATTCGAAGAATTTTTTAAATAAAAGTTGACATTTGCCACCGACTGGGCATCGACCCTTTGATCGATTACGCTGCCAGCGCGACCATGGGAAAATCGGAAGCTAATCATATTTTACGAGCTAATGAAACAAACAATGCTCTGAGTCCTCAAGTCTTTATTATGCGCCAGCTAACTACGCGCTGCCAATTTGAAAAATAATGGTTCATGATGTTTTGGAGTCGCCAGAAGTCTGTGCTTAATTAATGAACACGTGGTTATCATTTTAACTATGGTTTTCAAGTTGAACAGTTTTTGTGTACAAAGTATTTCCCAGTTCGTGCTTGACAAAGTGTGTCGACACGATTTACGCGAGCGCGCCCGCTCCAAAAAGGGGATGCTAGGCGCGGAGTTTATATTTTTGTTTAATTATTCACGGAACGGGCGGGGACAAGATTTTCTCACGGTTATTATATTTTCTTCCAAAAATGGCTAAACACCAACTTCTCGCCTTTTACTCCAAGGCTAGGAATGTACCTAGGAGCTCTTAGAAGTTAACAAATCGATTAGGAGTAAAATTTATTATCACAAAGAAAGTGGGCCACCTTTCCCAGACGAGGAGTAACGGTTGACCCCCACCGAGACACGTGTCTGACAGTTATTGATGAATTTTTAAGGTCACGAAGGAGAAGACTGTATGCGGCGAAAGATGCACTGCGAGAAGAACTCTTGCCTCAACGGTGGCCGCTGTCGCGAACGATACGACGGCTTCGAATGTATCTGCGAGAAAGGTAAGAAAGACTGACTCGCTTATAACTAGTTTCACTCGGACGCGCCGTAATGGCCTTGCCGACCTTTGTGGATTCTGGCACTCACTTTCTGAAACATTCATAAACGCGCTGCGTTTTTAACAAATGCAAATCAAAGTGTATTTTCTCGCGAATTCCGGCAGACTTGCTCGAATCTTTGAGAAGCGTTTTTGGATATTATCACTGACGTTATTTATCGAAATGCACGTTGACTAAATCGGCTTCTCATTAATTAATTTTAGGCTACGAAGGCAATAACTGTGAGAGACGGAAAGACTACTGCGCGCACGCTGACTATCCCTGCAACAATGGAAAATGCCACAACGAGATAGATGACTATCGCTGCGAGTGTTCCGAAGGTAGGCTCAATAAGTTGATCGAATTATCCATGGCGGTGGAGGAGAGCACCTGGAAAGCCGTGTGCAGGTGCTTCCTTCGGCGCGCTATGTCCATTACCACAGTGACAATTTCGAAGCTTCCAAATTCCAAACTTGATAACTTGATACTTGTGTTATAACTTTCAAAATAATAATTGTATAAAAAAGTGAATTGGCGCGGCCTTTTATCCGCGCTGAAATCCCGAAAACTAAACAAATCCAAATCCATAAATAGTGGGCACTTTCCCACGGCTTTGAGTTGTCATTGACGCTATTGGAACTAGCCAGGGCTGGAGCTTTTTATATTTACTTATCGATATTGAAGAATTGAATTTATTTGATCTTTCTAGGCTGGACAGGTCGAAACTGCACCAAAAACGTAAACGAATGTGCGCCTAACCCGTGTAAAAATGGAATCTGCACGGACTACGTGAACGACTTCAGCTGCGAGTGCGAAGATGGATGGGAAGGAAAACTTTGCGACAAGCCTATCAACCCGTGTTTGAACGATCCTTGCTACAACGGCGAATGCAAAGTCCCAGCGCCGGGTAAATTCGAATGCATCTGTCCGAAAGGAACTGGCGGTGAATACTGCAAAGACAACGTCAACGAATGTCTTGGTGTCACGTGCGAGCACGGAGGCATCGCGATAGATAGCGTTGGAAAGTGCGTCTGCGAGTGCAAGCCTGGATTCGACGGTCAATTCTGTCAAAATAACATTGACGACTGCGAGTCCAATCCCTGCCTGAACAAGGGCGAATGTGTGGACCTCATCAACGAGTACAAGTGCATCTGTCCAAAAGGAACTTGGGGCGATCGTTGTTACTCGGAGACAGCTGCCTGCTCCCCGAATCCTTGCTTCAACTACGGAAAATGCATCGAGAATGGTGGTAAATACGCGTGCGATTGCCCGGCTGGCTGGAGTGGAGTCAATTGCGAAATAGATGTCTGTGCGGATAACGGCTACTGCCAGAACAATGGTGTCTCCGTCCCCGTTGGCGATCACTTCGGCAGTGGAACAGACAAGTGTAGGTGCAAGTGCCCGCCGAATTTCGAAGGCAAGCAATGCGAAATTTCGACAGTCTGCAAGGCGCGCAATCCGTGCAAGCATGGAACTTGCCGCTCGCAAGACGGAGACACTGTCGAGTGTGTTTGTGACCCGGGCTACACTGGTAAATATTGTAACACGAGGCTCGACGAATGCTCGGAGGTCGACAATTTATGCCGAAATGGAGGAATCTGTAGACACGATTACGACAATAAAGCCATTTGCGACTGCCCATCCGGGTGGACTGGCCGATTCTGTGATATCGACGTTGACGAGTGCAAAGAAAATAGAGGAATTTGCAAGAACAACGGCTCCTGTGAGAATACTAAAGGAGGTTATTACTGCAAATGCGATGGCTTCAAGGGAAAGCACTGCGAGCACGATATTGACGACTGTGCCCATTCGCCATGCAAGAATGGAGGAAGTTGCATCAACAATACTTCGGGAAGAGGATTCACTTGCGACTGCAAAGATGGCTTCTCGGGCGTCCGATGCGAAGAAGAAATCAACGAGTGCGAAGGAAATCCCTGTCTCAATGGCGGCCAGTGCGAAGATATGGTCAATTCTTATCAATGCAAGTGTCCTGCCGGCTTCAGAGGAGTGCGATGTGAAATCGTAATGAGCGTATGTGATCCAAATCCATGCGCGAACAACGGGACTTGCGATGAATATCTTGTAGACGAAGAGTTGAAGTTCCGCTGCGAGTGTCCACGAGGCTTCAGTGGGGAGTTTTGCGAGACAAACATCGATGATTGCAAAGCAGATTCCTGTTTGAACAAGGGAATCTGCAAGGACAAAGTGGAAGGCTTCGAGTGCGAATGTAATCCAGCATTTTTCGGCGCTCGCTGTGAGAATCTCACCCAGCTGTGTCAAAAGAAACGTGGCCTCTGTCAAAATGGCGGCACTTGCATCGACGACGGCTCACAGGATGCTGGCTATCGCTGTATATGCCCGAAGTCGCATGGCGGTTTGCACTGTGACGTCCCCCGTGATACTTGTGAAGCTGCAGCAGTGTCGCTCAAGATTTCCGAATCTCAAGTGTGCAAGAACTCTGGTAAATGTCAAAACGAACGACACGGACATAGTTGCGCCTGCCAGAAAGGATTCACGGGTGATCATTGCGAAACAGAAGTGAACCTCTGCAAAAACCATGTTTGCCATAATGGAGGCGAATGTTTTGTCCAAGAGAAATCAACCTTCGTCTCATACGCTACTTGCAGATGTCCGAAAGCTTATGCAGGTCATCACTGTGAACGATTCATTGGAGACGATCTTTGTAATAAAGCTCACGCTTGCCAAAATGGCGGTACTTGTGTGGTCGATAATTACAACTTCGAGAGAGGATACTTCTGCATTTGTCCTAAGGGTATCTCTGGCAACAACTGTGAAATCAACGAGGACGACTGTATCAAGCCAACGTCTGATGATAAAGAACCTTGCATGGGCCATGGAAAGTGTACCGACGGACTCGTTCCCGTCAACGGGCAGTACGGCTACTTCAACTGCCAATGTGAAGCCGGCTACACTGGCTCTCGCTGCGAGGCGACTGAAAATTTCTGCTATGAAAACACTTGCGATGATGTCGGAACAGCGAATTGCGAGCCCATCGTAAGTTTTTGATAATTTTTTCTCAACTTACTCTATTTTAAGCTCAACGATTTCATCTGTGAGTGCAAGCATGGATACCACGGACGTTATTGCCAGGATTACACTCCTCCAGAAAAGAGCCCATGCGACGAAGAAGATCCCTGCATGAATGATTCCGTTTGTAGCTTAGCTCTCTATACGAATACCGGCTTTAAGTGCCATTGCGTTGAGGTGAGTGGCTACTGGAGATATGTGTTTTCTCTATGTGAAAATGCTATGAATTAAAACTGAATTTATGAATAACCTAACTATATCTTATAGCCTAATACGTATGGTGAACGATGCGAGGAAAAGACCCTGGAATGTGGCGCTCGATACTGCTACAATGCTGATGCCTGTGTAACGACTCCAAGTGGCCAAGAAACTTGTGAGTGCCGTGACGGATATAGTGGTCCTACTTGTGCTGTTAGAGTCTCAGAGTCAACTTGTTTGATGCCCGACTCAGAAAATTGCCAGCCTAAGTGCAATGTCAAAGAATGCGACTATTGCAACGGCCAATGCTCTCTAGGTCAGAAAGATCCATGGGACACGTGCGATGTTGCCAGCTGCCGTAATCTCTTCAACAACGGCCGCTGTGACAAAGAATGTAACACTGAAAAGTGCATGTTCGATGGAAGAGATTGTGAGCAGGATACTTCTAGAGAAGGCTGCGAATTTGAATCTTTCTGCGCGACGAAATACAACGACGGTGAGTGCAATGAAGCTTGCAACACTGCTGCTTGTGGATGGGACGGTCTCGACTGCAACTTAGGTGATCCCGAGGATCTCGTCAGCGGCCAGATAACCATTTCTATTGATATGCGGGAGGATTCAGTCAGCGGTGATGATTTTTGGAAAAAAGTAGAGCGTCAAATCTCTATCTCGATGAAATCGAACGTCTTCATTACCAGCATGGAAAAAATTGACCGTTATGGTTCGTCTACTCGTCATAGAAGAGTTGCAGAGCCAGGAACATCGAAGGTTAACTTCAAGATTGACAATCGCGGTTGCTCTCGAATTGATAACTACCAATGCTATCAAGATGCAAGCTACGTTGTTCGTGACATGAGCGCTCAACGCGTAAGTGGCGGTTTGGCGTATCCAGACTTTGGAATGCACGATATTGGTTATGTTTCCACCTCTTCTCGGCCGGAATATCATATCCCAATGGTTATGACGATTGGATCCCTACTCTTGATCACCACCGTTGTCGGCGTCCTTGTAAATCGAAAGCGAAAGCGAGGTTTCCTTTGGGAAGGACTTGGACCGATTCCGAACCCACCGTCAAAGAGATCTAAAAATGCTCAAGGACAACTTGGTCAGCCATGCTATTACGATAAGGGTAAACGTCATGACAAGGGAAGCTTTATGTATGGACAGTCACCACCTTACATGAACGGCGGAAACATCTACAATCCAAAAGGTAGCAACGTAGACTGGACCCAGCATGGTTATCCAATAACCAGTGAAGAGGCAAATCCAATGATCCCTTACCAGGAACCGAACAGTATTCTCGCGCAGAAAGGCCCTGATGGACGTGATGTTTTGCATATCATGAGTATTCAATCGGATCATACGTATACGGATGAAGAGATGCAGGTACATTTAACGAATTATGGCCGGTAGGATTAATATTTTATATTCAGCAACTGCTCAAATCGGGACTTTCTCCTAACAATCAAACCACGCGATATGAAGAGACTCCGCTTCATCTTGCAGCTCGGAATGGAAATTCGTCTTTTGCTCAACAACTTTTACGCAACGGAGCAGATCCATCAATCAAGGATAACAATGGCAGAACTCCACTTCACGTGGCTATCTCATCAGACGCCAAGGGTGTTTTCTATGTCCTTATCCAGAATCCTCACTTGAGAGTCAATTTTGACGAGAAAGATGAGTCAGGCAGTACACCGTTGATTACAGCTGCAAAGCTTGCAATCGAGTGGGGAATTCAAGAGCTCATCCAGCAAAATGTTGACGTCAATGTCGTGGATAATACTGGCAAGTCTGCCCTCCACTGGGCGGCAGAAGTCAACAACTCAGCCGCTTGCGAGCAGCTCCTCAAACATGGTGCTAATAAGGACTTGCAGACGGAACGAGAAGAAACTCCTCTCTTCCTTGCTTCCAGAGAGGGAGCGCGAGAATGCGTTGAAGGTAAAATATCTTCCTTTTTGTTCAAAATCTAATCTATATTTTAGTGCTACTGGGACACATGGCAGCGAAAGATACCGCGGACATCGCTGGTCGAAAACCCGAAGATATCGCTGCCCAACGAGGACACGAGGATGTCGTCCGAATCCTAAAGAGTGCGGTCAACTCACACTTATTTGACTACAACTCTTGTCAAAAGAATGCAACATTCTTCAACTCACAGAAAAAGTCCATTCCAAGCAAGAAGCGGTCGCGTCCAGACAACAAAAATTCAAAGAACGCTAAGCGATCTAAGCCACAAGGCGGAGCCAGGCCAGCACATCCATATGCTCGGTCTATGACGAATATTCCGAGTGCGTATGGAGCTGGATCAAGCCCGTTGACACCTCCGAACGACCGCAACTTCCCATATCAGACATTGCACCCTCAGTCCCGACTTCAACAAGCCCAGGGCTTACACGGAGGGCCATTCGCTCCCGCACACATGACACATTATCTGGAGATGAACCAGACAATGCCGTGTGCGCCTTACGGTGCGCACAACAAATCATACGATGCTTGGACAACCCAAGTTCACATGGCCCAGTACACGAGCTTCCACGCATCAGCACATCCACTATACAGTCGTTCATTCCAATCACCGCCGATGAACCAAATCCAGCAAACTTCTCTGTAAGTCTTGAGCTCTCCAACTTAATCTTGAAATTGACTTTAATATTTAGAATGGCTGAAACTGCTGTGCAGGGCAGCCCAGACTACAACTCACCTCCTGCCGACAATGTAAGTACATCCATGTCATCCCATCAAAGGTAATTAACCATAACCAAGTTATCTTCCCTCTAACCCCCACCAATGTTGCACGAGCGAAATTCAAATCATCCATTCATTCATCCAATTCCGATCATCCATGTTTTCTCTCCAGGTGCCCAGATCGTGATCGGCCTTTTTAGGAAAATATTCCGGAATCTCTATTGACGCCGTCGCCCGTGTCGAATCCCTGGTCGACCCCACCGACAGATAGCACTCCGCGAGGACGAGGCGATGCAAACATGGGCTCGCTGACGCCGAATAACAACACCAAAACGCAGACAACGTGGCAGAGTCCAGTCGAGTACAGTCCAGGACTCAACCATCCCAAGCAAGCTGCAGTTGCGCAGTTCTAGGCAGATATTTCACAAACCGCGAAAATTCCGTAAAAATTCAATGATACCTAACGTTATATCCTTGATGACAGCTACGTCTACAGTGCTCCGAGACTTCAAGAAGCTAAACAATGTTAACTGTTTCCTCCGATAACTAGAAATTCTACCCCGTCAACACGGTCAGAGCAATGGCTGATTTTCAGATTTAATACCTCTGCTAAAGCATCCTTTTCAAATACTGTCAACAAAATTACTTCCTGCTTGTAAGACCCTAAAGAATAAATGCTTTAATGTATATCATTGTCCGTGTATTAATAGATAATGCCTCGAGACAGCCTTACTTCAACAAACCTGCAAATTTGATATGGAAAACTTAAAAAACGTAATCAAAGCCGTTTTTTCGGGAAAGAGCCAGTCAAGCATCGTATAATTGCAGTGAATTTATTTCTATCAACACTTGATAAGTTGAAATATACATGATAATAAACTTCATCATTCGGTGACGCGGGCACGAGTACTAAAAATCAAGGTAAACGATGAAAAATACTGAAAAAGCTAACCTGGACAAGAACAAGGAATTCATATCCTGAATTCGCGCTTGATGTTGATCGAGTTCGACTTTGGCCATTTCAGCTCCGTCCACATCCTTCGAGATCTGGAAGTAAAATTTTTGAAATTTTGTGAAAAATAGTTTCTTTACCTGAGCAACATGGAGCTTCCAGGTGAGCTCCGCCATTCGCAACGTCTGCTTGAAATTCTTTTCTTTCGCCTTGAACAGAAGTTTCCCTGACGTTGGGCTGCTCTCGAAATCGAAGGCTTCTCCTTTCGCATGAAAATATAAATATCCTTGGCGCGATAAAGGAATCGTGTCTTGGTCCTTCGTGTTTTCAACATATTCGCCAGTTCCTCGACAAAGCGACGCGAAGTTCACGTCGATTGCCGGCTCCTCCTCGATTTTTTTCTTGATGACTCCTTTCAAAGGAATCAAAAAAGAATATTTTTAAGTTAATCAATATATTTTGATTCGTTTCCTATGAAGAAGTCCATATCGTTGTTGTGGTCTGGGTAAACTGCCCCGATGATGTCCCCAGGTTCCATGTCAATGAGCTTGAAGATCGCTTCTTGGTATTTAACTTGTACTGGATCTCCATCTTCGTCGGGCTGTTCTCCGGTCTCTGACTCAACTTCAAAAGTTAGTTTGAAAAGAGTTTCTACGGTGCATAGCGTACCTCGAATATGATTCTTCCAATGCTCGGGTATGAATTTGTCGTGAGGCGGTATCTGCTTCGCCCAGCCTATCAATCGTGGCGATTGGATTTTTTTCTTAAAATCCTTCACCGAATCTTCCCAGCGGGGCTCAGGATCTGACCACTCCTCCAGACCAACCCAAGGAGTGGCGTAAAATTCGAAGACGGCCCTTTCGAATCGTGTACCAAACTGGAGCTTGGGGTCGAATTCAGGAATTGGATTTTCTTCCTTTATCATTCTCTTTAGGTTGCGGTCGGAAACCCACGCAACGTTATGAGTTCCGTAAAAGAACACTGGCCATCTAAAATAAAACATGAAACTGAAAATCAACAAAGATTATTACTTGAAGTCGAGGTCATAGGGTACTGTGCCCATATGCGGGAGCCGGTGCTGCCGTCGAGTCGGACAGAGATCGCCGTTGACGAACTCGATCCTTGCGGGCCATGGCTTCGCATGCTTGCTAGTCTTGGCGAGAACCCAGTCTCCAAAGTAGAGGGTTGTTCGTTCTGGACTCATCCAAAATTCAGGACTTCTCTCTTGTGATGGCTCTTCGGCTTCCTCAGAAGGGGAGATGGGACAATTATCCGGTCCAGGAGCGCGCTGTGGGGGACCAGAAAATTGTTGCTCCGACTCCGTGGAAGGCCCTGGGTTAGCATCTCTCCCCGATTCCGAATTCATTAGATTTACGTTCTGAAACAAGAAATTTTCAGAAAAGGGAGATTGTGAAATATGTGAGGATTTCGCAAATGAAAAGGTTCTTGGACAATGATAATTATCTGAACTGTTCGTCTTAACTGGATCAAGCGAATGCGTGACTCTTACCAAAGAAGAGCTCATTTTTTCAAATGCAAAAGACATGACAAAGCGTTAAGTTATTAAACAATATTTAATTCGTAATCAAGCATGAATAAATGGTAATGATGTGGCTCTAAATGCGATTTAGCGAGTTATAAATATGTACAGAGAAGAGAAATATTTTGAATTGTAGGAAACGTCACCTAAGAGGGAAAGGACAGTAGTTGGTAAAGGTGCTATTACTGTATATTATTATAATAGTGTTGAGTTAGTAAGTTATGCTTCAGTTGGGTCCAGATGTGTGGATCTTGTAATTCGACATGTAAGGATTGTTGGGAACTGAAAAGAGGAACGGTTAAAAAGAGACTGTTAATAAAGGTTTACCGAGACAAAATCGCATGAGATGATGAGAAGTTGGCGGTTGAACAAGTCGAGAAGCTGCTGCGCGGCTAACTGGCGGCATCATGGCGTAGCCGGACGGATATCCTGGTGGAACACTGGTTTGGTTTTTACAAGTTCCACAGGATTAAAAAAAAATAAATTCCGCTGGATTGTAAGAAACCACCCTTGCCATGCCCATGTTTTCGAGCATTGCTCGTCGGGAGCTGGCGCTGGTGACAGGAGGCAAGCAGTCACCCATTTGCTAGAAATAAAAGTCCGGTTTCGACTTGGGAGTAGTTTTTTGTTTGAAACCTGTGGCTCAACTTCATTAGAATTTATGTCAGGATTGCTCTCTTGAGAGTTCTGTCTTGAGTGCTGAATGGATTTCGTAATCAGTGTTAATGATGATGAATCAATTTTAAAAGGCAGCAGTGTTAGTTGTTTTTTGTATACTTTCGGAAAGATGTTACCTTGCCACGTGGAATTTGTGGCTCTCCGTAGCCGTACATCCAGCCCTGGTCGGGATCGTGGTAATAAATTGGAACCTAGAAGGTGTAGCTGCACTGCGAGCACGTGAAAAGACCCTTACCGTCATCTTGCCCGAACGCGAGCGACCTGCGAATCGAGAAATTCCGTAGCCCATAGAGGTGCGGGGGTATCCGTAAGCTCCGTATGCTGCTGCGAGGGCACTGCCGAAGCCTTGGCCTCTGTAAGGCAGTTGAATGTCTGACGATGTCTAAAACAAAGTCTGAGATATGAGAGCTCTCGCAGAAATCAACGAAGCAAGGGCGCACCAGCATAAGTAAAATTATCTATTCTTGAGTTAGCGTTTACGAGCTGTACCTGATAACCGTCGAATTCGCTATCGGTTGTGTCAGCCTGCGAACTCGCGGACTGACATCGTGGGATGAACTCTCGTGCCTCGTTACGAAGCGTAAATGATGCTGCCCGTTCTCCGGGCTTGTTTTTTGACTTATCTTCCTTAGAAGCGCCTGCAGCCTATGAGGACAAACATTAACACTCCCTCATTCATGCGTAAACCATTTAACAAATTTATCTTTTCCCGGCGCCCCTCTTGGCCTCGAAAATCTTGAGTTAAATGGATGATTTGATAAATGGTTGAATAAATAAATATAATAAATGCACTTCTATACCTGGGCGTATGAGAACTTCTCGGATTTGGAGGACTCCTTCACTAGTCGACGCATATCGTAGTCTGGCCGGACAAACTCCTGTTCAGGCTCGGGTGCGCTAAGTTGGGTTAACGATGTCGCGAAATAAAGTCACAAAAATCTAGCATGTTAACCCTTCCTTTGCCACACGCGATCGCTGTCATCGCCTGCTCCATTAAATGGCCCCTCTTCACTGTTCTTTACGAAGAAGTTCAGTCCGGCTGCTGATCGCATTTGTCGGATTTCTCGAGGGCGGGGGTCGACTCTAAAAAACATGATCCATCCCTTTTCAAATAGGAGCTCAAGAACTTACACGTGTCGAACTGAATCAGACCAATGATTGGAGTCAATCATTTGTCTCTGTCTCATCCACTCTTCTTTTCTGGCTTTCTCCTCGAGAAGTTTCTGCTCGAGAAGCTTCTGTCTTCTGTCATCTTGTCTTTTCGCCTCCAGCTTTGCTTCCATTTTAGCTTTCACCTCTGCCATCCACTTGGTTCTTTCATGAAGCTCCCTGAGTAAGAAGTTATTTTAAGAAATATCCACTAAACTAACCGCGCGTCACTTGGAATATCGTCTTCATCTTCTTCGACTTCTTTTTGCTTTTGCCACGTCTTCTGAAGTTGTTTGATGCCTCCCCAGCTCATTTTATCTTCGCCCCAATCGGACGATCCTTGATGAGATCGCATGGCTAATTTTTCCAGCTTACTCATGGGTCTTGGTGGCTCTTCCTCCTCCTCGTCCTCGTCGTCATCGAAGTCAACCTTATCCTCGGGGTCCGAAGCCTAAAAATATGACTTTATGTGGTATTTAAGAACTTAAGGGGGGGGTCGACGAGAATCGGGATTTTTTCAACCAAAATTCAGGAAAAACCAACTTTGAATGAAAAATTCTGATTGGTCAGGTGACTAGAAAAGGGTTCGAAAAATACAGCGGCGAAAACTAGAAAAAAATTTGACCAGACAAAATGGGCGTAATCGTGTCTCAAAGTGGACCTCAAATTGCAATTTTGGCAATTTTCCGATTTTTCGCCATTTTTTTTCTGTCACATTTGGTAAAGAAGTGTACGAAATTCCTGCGAAAACTCGTGAAACTCGTTGCCGCTGTCTTCTAAATACCCTTCTGTTCTCACGTGATAAGTCAAAATATATTTACAGAATCGGGTTTTTCGGGAAAATTGGTTTAAAAATTCTGATTCTCGTCGACCCGCCCCTTAACTTACTGAAGTGCTGGTCGACTCGTAGGATGAGCTGTTGCATTTGCTGGAAATCGCAGCAGAGAAAGAAAGGACCTCCGAGTTTGATTTGCGAACGTTGTTGTTGTTGTGCATGGAGGCGGGGAAAGAACGATCGGAGAGATTGCTTCCGCGTACGGAAGAGTTAGTGCGGCTGAAGTTGGTCATGGTCGCATAACCGGGATCGTCAGTGGCCTAAAACATTTTTCATCTCTGCATGTTTTGTTCGAATACATCTACTCTGTTTTCGCTATCCTACACATATTGTACTTGTACAATGCGTTGTGAACTTACGTTGCTTCCATTAGAGTCAGATGCGCATTCGGATGGAGCACGGACATTGCTCTGTACGGTGTTTTGTACATGGCTGTGCCTCTTTAATCTATTGTGAGCGAAATTTTCATAAAATGGACGCTTCGTATCGGCAGGAATCATGCAATTGTGGCGAGCGAGTTGCTCCAAGTTTCTATTGTGAATGCCACTGAACTGATTTGGCTTTAATGTTATGTTTTTGTGATCTAACCTATCCGTGTATTCATATGGAGTGAGTGTTTTGTGAATGACAGTGCCCTTGGAATTTTTAGATGCAGTTCGGACCATTGGGCTATAGTATGCTTGGGGCATGCCTTCCTCCTGCTGCTCCTCAAAGGGATAAGGAGGCATGTCCGGCCATGCAGCAGGGTCGACAAACTCCGGTGTGACCACGAATGAGTCTGGCGCACCGCACCCTGGTCCCACTGGGTGAAAAACTTTTGGTGTGTTAGGTGGCAAAGCGTGTTGATGAGCATGAAGTTGACTAGCTCGTTCTGAGGCCGTGAGATGATGAGGGATTACCTTGCCATTTTTGTTGCCGTCGGGAATATGATTGTACTGAGGGAGAGGGGGGCCCCATGGGCCATGTTCTCGACCTTTGCTCTGACGCATTGGTTCGGAAGGAGCACAAAGCGGTGGTGAAAATTCTGGCGTCACGCTTCCATTCGAAGGAGAATCGACTGAGGGAGAGACGGCGTTGCCGAAAGGATCTTCTTGTCGAGCCATTTGATAATCAGGACGGTTGATTGATGGAGGTGAAATCGCTGGGCGGTTGGAGTGGCTATTGACGAAACTGTTGGGAACAAATGGAGGGAGGCTTGGAGGCAATGGAGAGATGCCATTGGAGTGGCTGCCATTGTGGGGCTCATGAAGATCGTCGGTTGGGCTGATGGAATGGTCGCGCTCTCTGTACTTGTACTGGCTCTTTGACGGCTTTTTGCTCTTGATACCCTTCTCTTCCTTTTCCTTTTCGTACGCCTCGAAGCGCTTGGTAGCGTTACCCGTCCATGCTTCGTACCAGTTTGGTTCATATTCCTGGTTCATCTGGACAACAGCAATTGGATTGCATCTTTTCGAAAAGTTAGGAGATGTAACATGATAATTTTCACCTGTCGTTGTCAGTATTGAGAACTTCAATCACTCTGTGTCCGCTGAGTATTCCAAAAAGTTTCATCACGCGGTCGCGATCGCGCCGAGAGTCCATTATGGCGTGGTTGCAAACTGCATCAAGAATCCTTGTCATTTGGAATCCCTTTTCATGTTGGCTGGACAAGCGTGCCTGCTCGTACTTTTTCTGGAAGATCATTCCGTCGAACATCAAGTCGGGAAGAAGGTCCACGGTCTTGAAGGGTGAGCCACAAAGAGCAACCATCCAGAGAAAACGACCCATGAGTTTGGAGAAAACATTCGCCAATACAATCGATCGCGTGGTGATGCCTGAGCTTATTGGTAAAGAAAGTAAAGACCTAAACCGCTGTTTACCTTTGGCAACCATGATATCGTCCATTCTCCAAATCTGGTCACAGGTGAAGTGGCGCATGCGCACATGAGTCGCCAAAAAAGCGTAAATCTCCCAGTCTTCCATGTTACATTTTCGTCGAACCCAGTGAAGGACGAGCAAGAAAGTGAGAGTAGCAGGCACCATCGTCATGAGAGTCTGCAAAACACAGATAATCATTTCGAAATCAAGGAAGACCTACCTCAAAGTCAAGATCCGTCGCCTCCCAGATCGTAATAAGCGCCATCACCTGCATCCGTTTGTCCTGGCTAATCCAGAGTTCGTGTGCGTCTGGCAGCTTGGTCCCGTCCGGAAAGCAGAGCTTCGCCGGTTTTAGTGTTATGTTTCTAAAATTGAAGGTAAGCGTGACAATCAGGAGAGCGGGGGCTTACTTGAACGCGGGGTCGGCCAAGCGAATTGGCTCATTCTCGAATCGAGGAATGATCATGTGATGCTTCTTCTTGCCAAGAAGAGTGGCGTGAGCGGAAAATATCGGGCCGTAAAGCTCCACAGAAGATGGAATCCCCGCACCAGGGCAAGGCCAAGACATGTGCATGATGTTGAAATCTCGACGCCAAGCCTAAAAATATTTTCACTACTTCTGCAGAGATGTTTCTTATTTTTTAAGCCAAACAATATTATACAGTATTATTCGGAAACTGCGTAAGAAAGCCGAGAGAACAATATAAACGGTCGCAAACTCGAACTTACCTTTGCTTTGAGAATGATGTCGCATTCGATAACAGGCTTTTTGATCTTTTCAAGAAACGCTTCAAGATTCTCGCTTTTGTCAACATCGTATTTTTCAATTGGCTCGATCATGGGGCTGCCTTGTACTACCTTGTACATGGGGCTTACATCAAATGGATACTGTCGTCCTTTCAGAATGTATCTAAAACACGATCAATCCCAATCCGACATATTCATGTCCAAACCGTCCAAGTGAAAGTCGAACGTCTTTGATATTTTCCTCGTCGACTTGTTGAAAAATGTCTTGAGCAAGTTCGGAAAGGCAAATCGGCACCTCGAGGCTTTTCACGTATTCGATCGCATCCTAAAGAGGTCAAATGGTCGTCCAGAAAGAGTCACGAGATTACCTGGACGTTGCCGCGGTCTCCAGCCCTGATCTTACGCTGAATAACTCCATCGGATGCTTCCACCACGGAAGTAGTGATCGGCGTTTCTGTGTTGCCAAGATAGACCGAAAGAAGAGGCAGCTTTTCCTTGCTGAGCCCGACATCTTTACAGAACTCGTCGGGGTACATCATCACCACGCGATTACGGGCATTCGTCTAATCAGAATTTAGGTCGTCTAATTTTAGGAACAAAAACATAAATATAGGTGCAAATTGCGACGCGCGACTGAGAAGAAGTTTGTTTTATAAAAACGTTAGATATTTATTGTGCGCCTTAGAAGAACACGTGCATCTGGTGGAACGTGAGGTTTCAACCAGTTAATTGCTTCGCCCGTATTAATAAAGCGATTAATACGAGAGCGTGACAGTGATTTCGAAAATAAGCTGTTTGGGCGAATCAATAATGAGTAAAGATTAAAGAGAGTGATACTTACGAGGCCACGGGCGACCATAACAGGGCAGACGGCGTAGATGAGCATGTCCGAATCGTTGGACACGATGGCAGCAGCCTCTTGCTCCTGAGTACGGATTCAGAGGCGATTAGGATCGTATTCAAGTGTTGTTTATAGAACCAGCCTAGCTTAACGTGCTTAAAATCCGAAGAATACCCCATTTTTCCATATTTTAACGAATTTAAAATTCATTTGTCACGTGTTTAATTTATGTAATAAAAATATATAAAAACATCATGAGATGAAAATTAAGACCTTCATTGTTGAAATAAGGCTTGAATATGCGGGGTTTCTCTACCATAAATAATCGAATATTCTCAACGGCTGATAAACCTAATCGTTGTATTTTTGAATTAAAAAATACGTAACCATCTTCCCAACGAACTAAAGCACCGTATTTTCCGTTCCAAAATGATATGATAGTGAATCCTTCCTTGGCGTAGCAGGCGATTGACAAGTCTTTGTCCATGAGCGACTGGAGCACGGTGATGTTTGGCATGCTGCGCAAATAATACGGAAAAACGTTCCGAAGACATGGAGGCCATATCTCGTTGATCTGTGGCAGACCATGGTTTCTTTCGTTCAACTAGAAAAAAAATCATTAAGAATCGAATCGAAAAACAGGCAGCAACAACAAGAACACCGAAAATTAACAATATTAAATGAGAGGAGCGATTTCGGAAGATGCGAGTTCGGAATTCCGAGGAAATCAAAATTCACTACGGAGGGGGTTATTCAACAGTCAGTTTTTTTTGATCAGGCAAAGGAGTGAGTAGCTAGTAATCCCCTGGCCACCGTGCTAGTTATAGTAATTATTAGCTAAATTAGTAATTGAAGGCTACTTACTCAAACAGGCTCCAGCTCTTTTTTTTTTGTTTCTCACTGAACTTGTTAATCTCTCTTGAAATTGGAAGCTTGATAAATGTTTACCTGTCGGTAGAAAGAAGTCAAATGAAGAAGGGTTTGTTTTCCGCGTTCCTCGGCCTTCGTTTCCGCCGAGATCGGCGAGTTTCCGAAGATGAAGGCGAGCTTGAATCCCAGTTGAGTGAGACGCTTGCAGAAGTCCTCGGCTTTTTTGCGGAACTGGATGAACTGGCCGCCGAAGAGCTTGGGCAAGTTGCTCCCGTGAAGAACGTGCCAGAAGGATTCACCGTCGAAAACCAGCAGTGGTGGCCGTCTGAAACGTCTGTAGAATCGAGAAAAGCAAAGACTGAACTTACTTGTTGGCCTTCTTGTACTCAGCGGCGAAGGATTCCAGCGCCACATCTCGACTAGCGATCGTACTTTGACACAAGTAATGTGTCAGTCCTTTCACGCCCATTTTGAAGCGAGCAGGTTACTGGGTAACCGGTGTTTTCTTGTTGGACAAGAAAAGCCTTCTAAACAAGCTGTTAAGCCGGAGAAAAACCATCGCTTTCGAGAACGGAAATGCGCCAGGGCTTAACTTACCGGTAAAGCCCTTTCTTGTAAGCGTGACTTATTCTCTGCAACATCAAAAAGAGTTAATCAACCTATTCACAAAGCACAGGATGAGTGTTCTAGAAATCTAACGGCTCGTTAGCCAACTAAATCGGATAATTTGTAATGACGGATTTCTCAGCTAAAAACCCACGCGAGTGGAGTCACTCGCCCCGGGGCAGGGCGCGCGAACATCTTTAGCGCCCCCTGCCCACTCTTATTTCACTGAAATTAGACAGAGAGAGAGTGCCCAAACGCATCTATTATTGTTAGGTTTTCTATTAATGAAATCACAAATATAAAAAAAAAACAAAAATGAAAACTTCTCTATAAATTATATTCGGCTCAAAAATTTCTCGTCTTTCTTAGTGTAAGCATTCACCTCATCCTGGTCATATGCGGTACTTCTCTGTAGGATGATAAGGGCCCTTACCTTGATAATTGACGATAAATGAAATTTCTCTTGAGGTAAAAAAATGGAGTTAAAAAAAAACGAAACAGCGGCGGCGCCAAGCAAAACGGAAAACGCGTCGAAATCAGTTGCGAAGTGGCTCGGAGGGAACGAGGGCGAACTGATTTCTTTTCCCAGCCGCAGGTGATTTCTTCAGCTCCTTTCTTGAAGAAATTCTCAACGAAACAGGAACAAGGGCGACGAGTTCTAAGCGACTGGTCGAAACAGCGAGGGCATTTTTTGTGCCGCCCACACATCTGCTGACATCGAGCCCGGAGAGCGCAGCTCGCTTTCCTTCTCCTGACGAAACTACCGTACTTCGGATCCGTATCAAACACCACAAGACTCTACCTTCTTACCTGACCAAGATGATGAGTCACCTGCGATCTTCCTCACGCGAAAAACTACGAAAATCGAGCAAAATTGAAAACTTTGCAAGTTCTAAAGTTACTTTCATCTGAATTTGATATCTTCATGATTCATGAAGTTATCACTTGATTGATGATTGACCTAAAGTATATATCTAAGTAGATATGTTTCATATATACTCAAATACATAGAATTGTCACAATATAAGTCGGGTTATTTGTTCAGAATTAGAATCTAATAATTTTATTTTTATTAGTATAAATAATAATTAGATTCTAATTCTGGACAAATACCCCGACTTATATTGTGACAATTCTATGTATGTTAGTATATATGAAAGATATCTATTTAGACTACTTCGTTACTATTATACTGTATAAATTATACAGTATAATACAGTATAATAGTAAATTCTATAATAATGAACTCCGATATTGAATAAAATAATATGATTAGCAGCAATTAATATTTATTAAAGTGGCAATATAGAGTCTGAATATCAGATTTATATTATTTTTTCTTAATCTTAATTATATAGGTATTATACAGAATATTATAATTAATTAAGAATAAGAAAAATAGTAGATTCAGAATTTCAGACTCTATATTGCCAACATAATAAATATTAAGTGCTTCTTATCATATTATTTTATATCAAATTAACATTGAACTCCGAATTTGAACTCGCTAAAAAAATATGAGAATATTTTCAATCGGAAGTTCTTGGTGGCTTGAGTCGGTATTTTATCGCGATTAGTTAGACAAATCGAGCTCGTGAGAAACTCGTGTCCTCCGGCGAGTGATAATCGCAGTTGACAAATCAACCCTTCTCCCGTGAGAAAACAGCTTCATCAAATTTGATGTAATTGTAATTGCTGGTGCTGAAGTAAGCTTCTTTTTGTAAATTTATAGAACTTTGATTTGTGGCTGGAACTGCGGTCGGCTTCTTTTACTCGAAGAGCGGCCACAAGTGAGGAATTATTCTACATTAAGAATGTTCTCCCGAAATCTTTCATCAGGAAACTGATGCATAGCTACTAATGCTGATTCTGATCTTTTTTTTCTTGATTTCACGAAGCTTCCATTGTCTACTCATCATGTTTATCGACAGTAAATATTTGCGAGTTCGGATGTTCTATCTCCCCTACTTTTGCCGGAGTTCACTTCTGACAACCAGTTGAGAGAGGCGTGGAAAAATGAGCAAGTTGGTTTTTAAATATTTCGACTGCTACGGCCGTGGAGGCACCGTCAAATTGCTTTTCAAGGTAATTTTGCGAAACCTTTTTTTTTTATTTTTTTGTTTCATTTTTTTCACAATGGCTATTTTAGCTGGCGAACGTCGACTTTGAAGATGTGATCGTCCCCTTTGAAACGTGGAATGAAGATAAAGCCGGTCTCGGGCTTCCTCTTGACCAGCTTCCAGTTTTGGAAGTGGACGGTTTCACCCTCTGCCAAACCAAGGCGATTGAGCGATACGCCGCGACTAAAGCGGGCCTCATTGGCAAGTGCGCATTGACCGACGCAAAGGGAGAGATGCTTTTGGAAACGATCAGCGATGTCCGCCAAAAAGTATCCGTCGGGCTGATGGGCGCCGTGGCCGCTCAATTTCCCACCGAGCCAAACAGTTTCAAGCTCGTCGATAACACACAAGGTAAAGGGTTTAGATGTAGATGATTGACTTGATTTCTGATTGTTTTCACTGGCAACTTGGCGCGATCACGTGGCACGTTTTTCTAATTTAAACATCTTCAGAGAACAGAGACAAACGAGCCGCTGTCATGAGTGAAACTTACAAAAAGATGATGATGGAAAAAACTGCCGACTTCGATAAAGTGCTGAGCCTCATTCAGACCAACGAAAACTTCTGCGTTGGCGATGCGCTCACCTTCGTCGACATTCAAGTTGTCTCGTACTACATCTTCGCCAAGGACAAGCACTTTTCTTACGACTTCGAGAAAGCTACGCCCAAGCTTTTCAAGGTATGAAAAATCTAAGGTCTCGCTCACATTCTTTTGATTCTAGACAGCCGAAAACATCATCAACAAGAATCCAAAAATCAAAGAATTCGTGGACGACTTCTTCGCCAGCGGAAAACCTTGTACTGGTCTTGGAAACATGTACTGAGCAATGAGCATCATCATTCAAATAAACTTTTAGTTATTTTTGTGGTTATTCTTAGTGACCTTTTTCTATGATTTCGAGCTGGTAGCTATCCCCTCCGTGAATTATCGAAAAAGTGAGCGGAAAAAAGAGTGCTTCTATGATTAAATTATCATCTCGAGTTCACCGCCCTTCAGGTCAAATTCGGCTCACATGATCTCAGTCTGATAATGACTATTACTAACTGTTGCCCTACAGAGGTAGCAAAGCTGTTTCTCCGAGAATGTTAAAAATGCAGGGTTAATATATTAATTATTGCATTCTGCATATGTCTCTTGCATAAGTTCTGCAAGAGCGTTACTTTTCTATAGAACCCCCTGGCAGCGGATGGATATTTTAATGGCCTTGCGCTATGTGTTCCCGGCTTTTAAAGACGTCATTACTTCCTAAGCTGCCATTCAAACAAGTTTATCGTTCTCGAACTTCAAATTTTAAAGAATTTAGAACTTCTAAAAATCATTCTCGAATGAGTGACTAGTGCGCATTATGTATTTAATCACCACTGCGAAAAACCACGACTCTCGATCTCAATTAAACCGGCGCAATCGGAGAGCAAAAACGTAGCATATTCACCCTTTAATTGACGGACTTTGAGAGTCAACCCTCTTCGCGGAAATCATTTAGAAGCCAATTGTGCGCGCTCCCCATTTGAGATAGTAAAAACGAAAGTGATTCGGGAGCGTTGATGTCCGGCCGCCGTGACTTTTAAAACAAACGACGTGGCGATTATTCCTTCTCGAATTCGGAAACAGCAAGAACATTCTTTGTGGAGCTGACTGAGAATCGATAATCAAACAGCTGTCTAGTTCTTTCCGGAGCAGCGAGGTACTCTTGATGAATCGTACTTTCAAAGAAGCAGCTCTTGCGAGCCATCCAATATCTCTAGAATCTGGGCTAGTTAGGGTTAGGGTTAGGGACTGGGAACTCTAAAGGAGGTCTGGGGGGGCGAAGCCCCCTGGCTTAGGCCTCAGAGGGGGTCCCGGGGGGCGTAGCCCCCTGGGTTAGAGGCAGCTCGAATGATAACCCCTACTACCTCTTGTCTGTTTCTTGATTCCTAAACAATTAGTGAGTTCAACAACATCTGATGATCGTGGGATAATCGCGACAGTCTTATCATTCCCACAAGCGTATAAAACCGATCCAATTCTCGGTCAGATGCCAGTCTCAAAAAAACGATATGGAAGAGAATAAAATACTCGGCATCCCGTCACTCACCGTCGAAGATTTGAACAAACTCGCCGAGTTGAAGATCGACGATCGAAATCTCAAGCGAAAAATAGAGCTGATGACTTACACCGCTTACTACGAAATGCACGAAATGGATCAGGACCGGTCATCATTTTTCTTTGGATTTTATTAGCCGAAAATATTGATAGCCATTACAGGAAATAAAGACAGCTGAGCAGAACATTGTAAAGTTGCAAAGAATGGAGGGAATTTTCCGGGATACCTCAAACACTTTCGAAAATATTCAAAAAGAAATTGAAAAGGCCCCGAAACTTTTTCACGGGAAATTTTCAATCATCGTCGAGTCCATTTTCGCTCTACAGATGAAGGTTAATTCGACCTCATAACAGTTATTTACAGTTATATGATTATTTCTAGCTTGCCAAGGTTACGCTTCGAAGTGCCAAAAGAGCGTCCTCAAGCTCCAGCTCGGCATCAGAAATCTCCAAGCTCGGAAACGAAGTGCTCGCTTCGAGTTTATTCAATCCTTCGAGCGAGAGCGTTATGAGGAACTAGAGGAGCTCCTTCCCAAGTGCGAGATCTGTCTTGAAAATTACGACGGCGAGGAGCATCTGCATTCGTGCATCGTTGTCTGTGGTCACCAGTTTGGGCGATCCTGCTTGGAGAAAGTGCTGGAGAGAAGAAACAACTGTCCGATTTGTGAACGATTTTTCAAGAAACAAGATATTTTGACCCTTTACTGATCGATTTCAATAAATTTCATTTCGGTTTATTTTTAGTTTTTGGTTCAAAATTGAGGGCAGCAAAATTGAGGATCGAGTTCTCGGAGAAATGAAGGGAGTGTGAGTTTGGCGCGTCGCTTCCCTTTTCGGGCGGACTGATAAAAATTCTGAAGGACTTGACGCACCTTGCCTTGCTTGATAAGGACTTTCGGACTATGTAAAAGCAAATCGCGAGAAGTAGTGAATGTGAGAAGGCGTTTTATTCCGGCTAAGCTTCCTGTCCGAACTGGATTTGAATTTACTCGAACCCTCCTTCTCTTGATCATCCGCCGAAGATACCTTGGTGAATAAGTCTACTCTTTTTGGCATTGTCGCATATCCGGTTTTGACTATCTTCTACCCGAGAAAGTAGAAGGATGCGCTTTCAGTGATCGGATCAGATCTCGAAATGATAAGTGAAGGATTTCTTCGAGGAATTAATCTTTCTACTAATTCAGCAGAAGGATGATGAATATGCGCATTTAGAAGCTCTTGAATGTATTTTGCGCTTAGATTGTATGCCTTGTATTGTTGAACGCGTAGTTGCGCTAATCGCGCGCTTTCAGGTGGCGCGCGCGAGCGCTTTCGTCGGACTTTTGGTGGCGGTGGAGGCATCTCCGCGGATTTAAGAAAAACAATTAGCGCTCCACGGCGAGCAAGAGAAGTCGGAACAGGTGAATCTCCCTGTCGAGAGAGATCACACGTTTTCTCTCCCTTTTTACAATTTCCACGGGACCGGAGCACGCTTGGTCACTAACAACTGCCGGAATCGGTAAAGGTGCTTTATTACACGAGCGTTTAACTCCTCAACGACAGCGTATAAAAAGAGAGAAACGCCGACAGACTCAAAAACCAGACAGAGATGCGCGTAAGCGTTTTATTAACAGGTGAGTCCGAGAATCTTGAATCTTGACTGTAACTTGCTGTAAGACTGAATGTTCAGAAATAGAGCCATTAATCTGAGGGGCCCCTATTGAGCCAAAACTTTAAGTACTAAATTAGTGGAAAAGCAAACTTTTAATTATGCATTTTTTGTTGTGTAAATAGCGTGTTAAAAATGAGTTCCGGAAGGAAACATTTTCTTCACGATTTGTTTTTCCTTGATGGAGAGCCATGAGGGTTTGAAGCGCTGAATCTTTGGTAGAGCGTTTTGAAAACAATTTTGGTCTCGAGATTATACAACTTCCTAAATAGCCCCTTCAACCGTTGAATGCAGGTAAAAATTTATCCAAACAACGGTTTCCTAAAAATTTATTTTACGCCTTCTGAAATCCTTACTTTAAGGGGGTAGACATCAATAATCGGATTTCCTGTCAGTGTTTTCTCAAATTTTTAACTTAGTGACCCCCTTATTTTTTCTGCTCAAAATTTATTTCTGGCAATTATCTATTTCCTGTAGAAGCCAAAAAATTAAATTTCTTGAGCTTTCGAGGTGCCGCAATGCATCTCTTCTTGATGATAAAATGACCATTTTAGGAAAATTAGCGATCTTTGAAGAAAAATTTTCCTAATTTTTTTTTTTGAAATTCGAAATTTCAGCTTCCATAGGAAATAGAGAAAGGCCTAAAGTTTTTGTTTCCAAAGTAAAATAGGGGTGTTACTATTTTAACTTTGGGAGAAAAGTCTGACGGAAAATGGCGATTCTTGATATCTACCTCCTAAAAAAAGCAAATTCCGCTAGAAATGAAGACTATATTATTCATCCATCTTTGTCGGAAAAAACGGAGTACTTTCTGAATTCTCTTTTCCAGACAAGGTCGACCATAAGAAGCCCGTGATTTCGAGGCGTTTTCTTTTCCTCCGCGGTCAATCTAAATACCAGTGTAACATCTTTCGGCAGGAGCGTGTTCTATTGAAAACTGCAGCCAGATAAAATAATATTTTCAAATGGCTTACCGCATAGACCTGCGAGTCCTCACGTGAAGAATTACTGTTGTTGTAAAAATTGATTCTCCTCCTGAATCAATTATTTTCAAGGGCGTCAATTTATGCCTCAATTACGGATAATAGCAAAGGGGAAATGTATTTTAGCTCTCTAAACTATCACTTTTAATTAACTTTCACTTATAGCTTTATGCTGCTCAATATCCACAGCACAGAAAAGGCGGTCGAAGAAGGGTCTACTGTCAGGTAAAGAATACAGACGGGGCAAAAAGTACCTCCCGGAAAAGACAATCTCCACGAGCTCAATGAGCATCCGACGACCTCAAAATCCAGAAAGCAACAAAATTATTGCAATGGGTATTTTTTTGTAGAACTCAATTTTTTTAATTTTTATGTCAAGGCTTTTGATAATTTCAAATTATCCATCAAGCCGCCAGGTGCTTCTATTTTTTACAGCTTCTTATCCGTTGTCTACAAAAATGAGCCACTTCAGTACTGTTTGCACGAGCCCTTCTTTCTTCTTTCACGGGTTAATTGTATTTTCGAGGCTGAGAATGATAGTCACCCCTCCTAAGCCCCGAACGAGCGCTCTAGAAAAGGTTCTAGCAACATTTTCCCGCGTCCGGGCGTTAATTCTATTGTCCCAGAAGGCAGCTGCAAGAATTTTTTTGTACAAAAAGAAAAGGAAGCCTGCCATACTTACTACTTCTTGCGGCGGGATCAACACAGCTGGCGTTTGAGTTTAAGGGTGTACCTTTCTTAAAAACTTTCTTTGGCTTTCTTTTTCAATGCTTTATTTTTTATTACTATTGGTGTTATTTTTTATATTCCTCTTGTTTCCCTTTTGCTGGGTTTTAAAGTATGTTTTGTAGACAAAGAAGACAGCGGCGAGTGTTCCATCGAGGCGTCTAAGCGCGTCGAGTGCGGCTGGCCCGGAATCGAGAAATGGATTTGCGAAGCGCGAGGCTGCTGCTTTGACAGTTCTGGGGCGAAAGGCGACATTTGGTGCTTCGCCAAAGAGACTAGCGGTAAGTTTCCAAATAAGATCTTCGATTCTCCTCACGATTTATCAAACGTCAACTTTTCTCTTTTTCTTGAGTTGAATTCTCAGTTTACCCTAAGTTATCAGTTTGTTGTTCAAAGAAGATAAGATAAGATGCCTATTATTTTGAGAAAAACACTAAAATTATTCGTTTTTATTCGAGGATTGAATAATTAAAAAGTACAGTGGCTTCTTTCCTTCATTGACCTTTTTGGAACCACGTTTTATCCAATTTTAACCTTTTTTCAAGTCGCGCGTTCCAACAAAAATAATGATACAGTGAACGTTACAAAGCGCTTAAGCTATAACCGCTAAGCCGCTTGCGCCAAAATTATATTAAGGTTTTTCACGTTTTTTAAAGCGGGTAGATTAATGTCGCACGTGCTTTTCTTCGGTAATTGAGAGTCACACGCAGCCGTCGGTAACAAAAAGAAGAACAACTTGAAACTGATAAGGGCACACTGATTAAACTGGACGGTCTTGATTTTTGGGCGAGAGAGGATCTCTCTTCAAGTACCAGCGATCTTTGATCAGACTTGTGCCATCTTGAGCGCATGAAGCGTTTTCTGCTTTTTTCTAAAATTGTAGTCGTAAATTTTTGTGTCCCCTGCTACCCTCGCAATGAGGACATTCCTCTGTCAGTTTTTGTTTGTCCGAACTGGTTCTTTTAACGTGAACAATGTTGCAACCTGGCGCAGGCGGTAATTTAACTTATCCTCACGAATCCGCCGCGGACCAGCACTCACTTCTTCAGAAAAAGGCGCCTTTTGAATGTAACAATTTGGATTTAGACTCGAGCCAATGTGGAAGAGCGGATTTCCGATGCGTAAAAGACGGCAAGTGCGTGAAACGGGACGCAGTCTGTGACGGATACTACGACTGCCTCGATGGATCAGACGAGCTTCAGTGCGGTAAGTGTCGTCAATTAATTGAATTACAGTGAAAACTCAAAAATTGGCCGGTTTTCAGATCCGAATTCGCATAAAAACCGGCCAAATTTTGAGTTCTTTGCCGAGTTGCCAAATTTCTCCTTCAAAAAAGAAAATTTTCGTATAATTCGAAAATCGGCATGATTTTCACATTTTTGATGAATTTTATTCAAATTTAGCTTGTTTGAAGTCGTTTTTATTAGAATTTTGTCATTTGAAATGATTTAAAATAGCATAAATAGCATAATTTTGGCACATTGTTGATACAAAATTTTTTATTTTTGAAAAAGCGGCCAATTTTTGAGTCTTTTTCAGATTCAAAAATCAGTCAATTTCGACCAAAACCGGCCAAATTTTGAGAAGGCAAATTTTGAGTTTTCACTGTACAGGGAAAGCCCGAAATTCTAGCCGAAAATTTGGGGAGGTGTCGGAAACGACAAAAAATCCCGAGAAATTTTGCGTGGAAATTTCAACCAATCAGAAGCCTGCATTCGGCCAACCGGCCAATCAGCAGCCATGTAGCCGCCCACGCAAAATTTGTCGAGATTTTTAGTCGGTTCCTGACACCCCTCAAATTTAGAGGCGAAAATTTGGGTTCTCACTCTTTTCTGATGCAATTTCTGGGCTAATATCAACATCTTGGATCAGATTTTCGTGTCAGTAAACGTGGTCTAAACAAATTATCCACATGTTGCATGTTCTGGCCGTTTATCAATGCAAATATGTTCCTTATCGCGTCTTTTTGGGCTGTGAAATTAACCCAGTGAAAATTAAGGCTGGGCCGCTTGGACTGGCTGGACCAGATGTTCGCGAACATGCGGTAATGGATTGCGATTGCGCGAGCGTGCTTGTCGAGGACACCAAAAACTCTGCAGCGGGCGCAATCGAGAGCAAGAAGAGTGCTTTGCTGGCGCGTGCGTGGATACTGTTGCTGGCGAACGAGATGCCGACGTCTTGAATGCACAAATCAAGGCGCTTCAGGTGAGCACACTACAAGTTTAAGCCCTTCCAAAGAACGCTTTTGAATTTTTATTCTAAAATTTAAATTTTAGGCTGAAATCGGAGCTCTCGAGTCCCACGTCAAAGAAACCGAGATGAAAAACGAAGAGCTGCGAATCGAAATGGAGCTTTTCGAGGAAATGAACGATTCAAGCGTCTGCGACCAGCTCAATAATCTGAGAAAGCAGCTGGACAATATTCTCGAACGAAGACTGAAAAAATACCGTGGAAATTCCGGAATTCAAATCAAACTAAAATCGACATCGACCGCTGAGTCACAAGAAACAGACGCTGAAAGCACCTTTATCGAAAAGACGACAAGCTGGAAACCCCATCCTACCCGAGCACCCAAGGGAAGCATCGAAGAAGTCCAGTGGAAAGACAAAGGTGTGTTTTACAGCAAATATTTTTTTGCAAATAACTTTTTTTAATTTAGCGCAAAACAACACTTCTTTTGCCCGCGTGGCCGTTACGCGAACCCAAAAACGACAGCGAACACAGCGAAAACAAGCCAAGGGTCCAATTTTGATCGAGAGTCCAAATGAAGTTCGCGTAAGTATAGATATCGGCACTCGATCAATCAAAGCGAGCGCACGTTTCAATGCACGAGCCAAATTTGAGAATAATTGATATTCCATCTTTGATCTTTGAAATCGTAATTGTTATCAATTGAGCTGATTTTTCTTTCAGACGTTTTTAATGGACTTGGATGTGACGATAAAGAGTAACCAGATTTCGGACCCAATCCGTTATCTTCGCGATGAAACTTATGAGCGCTTGAGACTTCGGCTCGGCGAGAACACTCGGATCATGGGCCCAGATGTTAACAGGCTGCGTGAAAACTTGTTTGAGCTCCAGTTCCTTGTCTACACCACTGAGGTTCGATAAGCCTCGCTTCTAGCCTGTAATAAAACTATAATTTCAGCCAAAGTTTGACCAACTCGAGCTGCGCAAGGTAACAAGGGAAATCTTTCAACAGATGGAGTGGGTCAACTGGCGAGAGAATACCATTCAAATTCTTGCCTCAATCAAGGAAGAAGATAAAAATCAAACGAAAATTAAACTCAATAAAGAAGAAACAGACGATCAAACGATTCTTTTGGAAGCGGAGCTTTTGACACCACCAGATGTGATTTTGAAACAAGCTGTCGCAGAAGAGTTTACAGAATGGGAACAGTGGTCGAAATGCTCCTGCAGCGAAAAGGAATGGATATTCTTTGGGTCAACTATTATACCAATGATAGCAGACTCAAATCCGGGGTTACGCCGCCACTAAGAGAATCCTGTCTTGTGATTGGCTGACCGGATAACTTGTTCGCCATCCGTGGCGAACAGCTTCAAATCCCGGGCAAAGACCTGCTATCATTGGTATCAAGAATTTATTATAAAATAGTTTACTTGAGTAAAAACACACTGAGTATCCAATCAAGCGTCCAATGAAATCAAGATCGCGAGAATGCCTTACAGATCCTTGCTCTGAATTCCTTTTGAGTGAAAGCTCTTACGATTGCGTCGAAGAATGCCAAGAACTTCTCAATAGAATCAGTCTCGATGGCCATAATGAACGTAGAAGAAGACACGTTGACACCCCAGACCTTGTCTATGATCCTTCGCTTTGTGCTGATGCTCAAAGACACGCAAACCTTTTGGCGAGCACTGAAACATTCGAGCACGACCAAACGCTCGGTCAAAAGGGACTCGGCGAGAATTTGTACCAAGTGACTCCCATCCGCCGCAGCGAGGTAAGATTTAATTTTACGCGTTTCCTTTTCAAATCGCTTTTCTAAGAATGGTGTCTGGTATACCGTTCCGAGCAAAGCTGATGAGCATTATGAAAATGCCGTGAAGAACTGGTACAACGAAAGAACGCGATACTTTTATCAAATGGCCATGTTCACGCCAATGACTGGCCACTTCACTCAAATTGTTTGGAAGAGTACGACGGCGGTTTGCATGGCGCATGCATATTCTGATGAAGATAACCTCTACATTGTCGCGAGATACTCCGAGGGAGGAAACACTGTTGGAGAGTTCAGGGAAAACGTCCTTCCGCTGAAAAGCAATGAAGCATATGCGCAAGACGAGTGTGAGAGAATTCCTGCATCAGTGCTGGCACCGCACCTTCCTGCTCACTGGTCTTGCGAAGAATTTATTCAGTGCGACGAACAACGAGTTCCTTTTATCAAGACATGTGCTCCGGGAACAGCCTGGAGAGCCTATGTAAATTCTGTCGATGGAACTTGCGACTTTCCGGCCAATTCAAATTGTATTATCGAAAATGATCCTGGAAATGGAAAGTTATACGAAGGATACAGGCCTAGAACCTACGAACAAACAACTAAAGCTACAACTACAACTGTAACAGTTACGGCTACGGCCACCAAAACGACTACAACGACTACAACCACGACTACGACAACCACGAATACTACGACTACAACGACTAGTACGAAAACTACGACTACAACCACGTCTACTACAACCATAACTACGACTTCGACAACTACTTCAACTACGACTACTACGACTTCAACGACTACAACGGATACAACGACTACGACAACAACGTCGACTACAACAACTACAACTACGACTACAACGGCTACGACCACTACGACTACGACTACTACGACAACAACTACAAAAGTTACTACTACCACGACAACAAAGGCTGGCTCAACTACATCAACAACTACAACCACTACGTCATCAACTTCTACGACCACCAAAACAACGACTACGAAAATTGAAATAAGTTCTTCTGAGCAAATCATTGACGAAGCCCAACGTTTAATGGCTGCCGCCATAAATATTACAACCAAAGTTCCTACAACTACGACAGTATCGACAACATCGGAAACCAGCAAAATTTCATCTTCCACCGTGTCTATGTCATCAACAACAACAGTCACCACAGCTAGAATAACAACTACCAAGATAAGCCCTACGACAACGAGTACCAGTACGACTACAACTATGACCACGACTACAAGTACCACTAGTACTTCAACAACAACCACGACTACGACTACGACAACAACTACAACTACGATTACGAGTACGACTACGAGTACGACTACGACAACAACAAAAACAACTGTTACGACAACAACTTCTTCGACAACAACAACTTCAAAAAGCACGACAACAAAGGAAGAAAATCTTCCAACTGAATGCACTTGCATATCTAGCCGTGGTGACAAAATCCGAGAAGGTCGAATCGAGCAGATTCAGATAACCAAGGCTTGTTCTCAAGTGATTATCTGCCGTCAATCATGTGAGATCCAAGAGCTCACACCAATCTGTGACACGATGGAACTTGTGTCTAATGCCTTGATTAAAGGACAAGCGCGAACCACGCCACCAGCACCTCGGCCAACAATTCCAACGACACGATCTACAACCAAAACCACTACAAAAGCAACGACCACGACAAGGGCAACGACAACTACTCAAGAATCCTTAGCTCCATGGTTCTGGAACATGAACCCTTTCAAGTCAACAACTCAAAGACCAACCATCACTACAGCAAGCACTGAACCTCCCACAACAATTACAACAACTCAAGGATCCTTAGGATGGCTATGGAATATGAATCCTTTCAGACCAACAACTCAAAGAACAACCACAACAACAAGAGCCTATCCTACTCCGTGCACTTGCAGTAGTAACGGTCGAAATCTTAGAGAAAATGAATCTGCCATTTTCGAGATGAGCGCAAACTGCCGTCAAACACGCACCTGTGGCTCTGGATGTATTCTTCGAACTTCAACGCCAATCTGCAACGTGCAGCCCTCGCCTAGCAACTCCTACATTAACAGGTTGGTACTTTATTATGATAAAAAGCTGAGAGATACTGAGTAATGCAACTAAGGAATGATAAACGTGTTAGACGCGACACTTGAGTGTATCAAAACTTCTTATCGCCTTCATTCAGAGTAAATAGCAACTGCCAATGCGGCTGGAAGGGGCAACAGTTCTCCGGCCTTATCCCCAGCGACAAAGTCTGCTACTGGCTTCGTTGCACTTCCTACTTAGGCTACTGCCAGGCTCAAACGGTCGTCTCATGCGTTCATCCAGATACTAAGAAGATTGGTCCCTACTGGCCGGATAAGAATCGTCCGGCACCCACTGAGCATCCTAGTTGGAGCGCTTGGGAAGTCGCCTTTGTTAACGGGGAACCAATGAGACAGAGAGAAGAGGTCGGCCAAGCTGTTCAAGCTGTCAATCCATACAAACAGAAGATTCAAAAAGAAGACTGTTCAGTCTGGCGAGGATGTCTCCCACGACCAGAATGCATGAGCAACTATGTCCGATGCATCGGCACAAACTAACGAGAAAAATCGACCCTTTCTTTTAAAGAAATTTACATGCCTGTATAAAACAAAATGAAACTGACGTATTCCTTCCTGTACATACATTTCCGTGATAATGACATTATTACTTGTGCTGAAAAAGACAGCGCGAATGACACATTTCTATGTTTACAGAAAGCTCAACCCTATCTATAAGCGTAGCCTATCTGACCTCACACGCGATATTATAGAATTCCTTCAAATAAAAATTGCACCAAAATACAAATTGTCCTTTTTTTTCTTCGCGAAAAGCATCTTCTGCAGAAATTTCTTTTTTCGGCAAAGTAAGAGATCAATCAGGCGGCTGTAAAATCACCATTATCTCAACAAGAGGAGCAGTCAAATAACTGTCAAAAAAGTGACATCTGTTTTATAATAATATAATGTTTGTGTCTTTGAGCGCTCCGGAAGAGGTTCTCAATCATTTTGAGCCGTTCCTTTCCTTGAAGGAAATGAGCGCCGCCCTTTGTTGCATATACACTTGCCAATATTTAGATAATCAATTTAATTGTATATTAATATTATCGCACTTTTGGCGCGCGCAACTTGTTCAATGCCATCTCTCTTCCTTTTAGACAAAACTCGAGATTGATGAGTGCATCTTCTAGCTCCATAAAATTTACCCTAGCTTGCATTAACACTAGTCCATGTCAAAACGAAAAAGAATGATAGTTCCGTCTCCTGCTGAGAGGAATGATCGTAATCAGATTAGATAGATCTAATCTGGGGTCAGAGGGCGCTAAAATACAGTTTTCGGCGGCATAAAATCAGCCAGATGGGTTTATAAGGGAAACATTCAAAGAACAAGAGCCCTAAAATTCAATATTAATTTATCTTTTGAACCGATTATTCTGAACTATGCGAGTCTACAAGTTGCATTCTTCCAATCATGCTCGAGAACTGAAGCTCTGGTCTTCTGAAGTTATCACTCAAAATGTTGGTGAACTTCACAATCTCTTCGGCAAACTCGAGACAAAAGAAAAACACCAAAAGGAAATTTCCCGTTCAATTAATTTTCTTATGAAAAAACTTCGCCCGAAGACAAGGAGTGAAAGACGCAAAATGCATGAGAGCAAAAAGTCGGTACGAGAAAGTGCAAAGAAAGTGAGGGAAGAAAAGCGGAGAATAGAAAGATCACTCGTCCAGTACAAGAAGCAGTACAATCAAGTCGTTGCCGATATTCGAAAAATCCAAAGCCTTATTTACCGAACTTTATCTCGTGATCTTTGACTGCGCCAGTTCTAGTCTACTGTAAGAGACTAGCAAAGATTCATAAAACTGTCTTTCTTAAAATAAGAAAAAAATCTGAAAAAAATAAAGAAATGAAAGCATTGAAAAGAGCAATTGAAAGAGCAGTTTTAATCACGCGCTTGGTAAAGTCAAGTCCTCTTGCCTTTTCGTTTATCAATTTTCCGCTTCTCGCAGAATCCAATCCCGGGAACTACAACTTCTTCACAGTTCTTCTTCTTCTGCTTGATTTGTTATTTCGGAAATATCGTAATACGCACCGTTGTAAGAAGATGTACCGCTCGCTGATAAGAGATTTTGTGATGTCCTGCCACTTCTTCCGCTTTCGCGAATCAAGATCCGGTCTCCTGCTCTGCTTACAGGATTATTCCTGTGTAAGTCTTTGAAAGTAACACTGAGCTCAGCTGGATTAGGATTCTTTTCCGCACACGTTTATTTGTATCTCCAGCCTGGGCGGCTCCGATTTCGCTGGAAACGAAGAAGAAGACACTTTTATACCGCCTTACGAATGGTGCATTAGATGGTAAACACGCGAGTGGCATCTGTCAGACTGTCAGCGAATTGAATTAGCTGAAGTGACCTGCTGGGTCAATCACTGTTTTTACGGGCCGCCGTGCACACAACGTGTTCAATTATCGCCTGAAATCGTGAATTACTGCTATTTTGCTCAAAGAAAACCCAACCTGTCCCTTTTATTTTCCAAAAAAATGAATAAAAAATATAAAAAAAATAAAAAAAAAATAATTTTTTTCTAAAAATTATTTTCTAGTACAAAAAAGCCATAAAGTTTTAAATGAAAACTTTTCATGAAAACTCATGAAACTCTAAATAAAAATAAGAAATACAGAAAAAGACCATCACACTTAGTGGCGAGTGGCCTTACAAGAGTTTCAAGAAGTATTATATCTAGATTTGGTAGAAAAAAATCTTAGCAGAGTGTTCTTAGCCTAAATATTTTTCCGCCTCCGACAATTTGGCGATTGGAGATATGCCCAAGTCTAGTCTGGAATCTTCTTATGCTCATGAGACCCGGACAAATATTATTAAAGCCACCACTAGTTTTATAATTAACGTGAATGATATGATGTCATCTTGCCCTTCCTGCACAACAGTATTTTAGGTTCTTAGTAGAAAATAGGCAAAAAATATTCCCTAAAATTTAGAAACACTTTGTTCATTGTGTTGTGGATTCTTGGCGTAGAATTTTTTGGAGATGAAAAATTATGATGGTAAACATTTTTGTATACATAAGATTGCATGAAGTACTCTTTGCCCAAAATGCGTATAGTTTATGTATGCGCAGCTGAAAACAGATAAGCATTCAGGGACGAATATCAATTACCGAAGCTCGCATCGTGAACAAACCGATAAAATGCAATTTCTGGAATGCTTCACAAACAGGCTGATTTAATCGTAAGAGGGTCCCAAGGATCCTTCGCTTAAAATGCACTAGAATGAATTTTTATTTTCATAATTCGTCGACATGTTTTGCTCCAAGCTTAAATTTGTTGTTTTCTTCTTCGTCGACGTCTTCTGAGTAAACCCCATAGATAATGTTTCCGTCTAGATACCGTCGTATGTTCAGGCTCAATATTTCTTGTAAAAAAACGAGTACCTTGATCTTCTTTGACTTCAATGACTTTCTCAGACGGCCCTTTCATCTTCTGATGTAGATATTTCTTCATTTCAGGAGTCAGCTCTTTCCGCTTGAGTGCTAAAAATACTTATCCGTAGGGGGCTCGAGAAAATACTTTACCTTCGTAGTCGCCGATCACATTGTCCAGCTTGTCGCCAAAAGTGTCGAAACAGCAGCCGAGGATCTTGTCACAGAAAAGCGCCAGTCCTTCAAAAGTTTCCTCTCTTTTTGATTCTGTTTTTCCGAAAAGTAGCTTACCTTCGTCATACTCTTCCTTTTTAAAGTTCAATATTGTACAGCTGACACACGAGTCCACATCACAATCCAACTTCAACGAGGCCTTGACTGAAGTGTCGCGAAAAAGACCAATCATCAGAAAAATTGTCGAAAAAATTGCCTCATTTTTTTTACTTTTGACGAAATATTTTTTACGCGCAGATTTTTAGTGCTTTCGTTTCTTCGCACATTTATGTAATTTTAAAGGCAGTGTCGTTTATTCAAACGCTCGCAACTTGCCAAGATATACTTTCACCTCTATGCTTAAAGTTGTAAAACTGACCTTTTTGCCGAAGAATCTTCGGCGCGTGAACTTGCTAGACGCGCAAAGTTATCGCTCTGAACTTCAAATATTCAGTTTTACTCCTGAATAACTGATAAAGTTATTTAAGGTCGGCATTAGAGTCTACCCTACCTAGTCGCCTTGCTTCATATTTTGAGATAGTCGCAAATGCAAAGATGCTTTTTCGCTTCGATGCTTTGAGAGGAATACTTTTTATAGGAATTTTAACTCGGTTATCGTTCGGATTCGATCTCAGAGCTGCGAAGACGCGACAACAACTTGCAGAAGCTATACTTCGAATTTACGTTGCAAAAGATGGAACAAGATTGGTTTGAGAAAGTCTTAGAAATCTTAGATATAGTCGATATGTTGAAAAAACCTTCGTTAGTTTACCGTTTTCGATTGAAGAGATCTTTTCAAGTGGTTGCTGGTGTACTTTCAATTCGTTCAGTGGACTCAAGGGGCGTCCCCAGTCTGCTATTGATAAAGTATGTCGTGACTGGCACCGATGCGAGCTCTGCGCTCAAATTGATCATCAAGTCGATTGGAACGCCGCCGTTACCTACGATCTGGGACTTCATTCTCCCGATAATAAGCAGCGGTTTTACTGTGAAGAAGCTCAGAATAGTGTGCAAGAACAGAACCAGTGTCTTTGTGACATAGAAATGATACACAGAATCTACGAAATTATCACTTCATTCGACCAGTCTCATGCGCTCTCGGCTGGATTCAATAGAGAATTATCATGTGTTCCAATCGGGCATATTGACAGAGAAAAGAAAGACCAGTGCTGCGGAGAATACCCTACACGATTTCCATATTCATCGTCAAGCAAAACATGTTGTGGTGGCAAGACCTTAAATCCGTTGTTTATGGAATGTTGTGATGGCCGAGTATCTGCAATCGGGACCTGCTCTACTCTTGCGCCAACAACTGATCCTCCGATTTCTTCCACAACAGGAGGACCACTTTCAACATCAACTCTTTCAACTCCTGGACCCACAACAACCACTCCAGGTCCGCCTGGAACGACTACAATAGGTCCACCAGGAACTACAACAACAGCTCCGCCGAATCCTCCTGGAACAACAACTGCAGGACCATTAGGACCTTCAACTACAGCTCCACCAGGTCCTCCAATAACAACAACAATTGGTCCACCAATGCCTCCAACAACAACAGCTCCCCCTGGACCGCCCGGAACAACGACGTTAGGACCACCAGGACCATCAACGACGGGTCCTCCTGTCTCAACTACAGCTCCACCAAATCCTCCCGGAACAACAACAATGGGTCCTCCAGCGCCTTCAACAACAGCTCCTCCTGTACCGCCAGGAACAACGACGTTAGGGCCACCCGGACCATCAACGACAGGCCCTCCTGTCACAACTACAGCTCCATCAAATCCTCCAGGGACAACAACCGTCCAACCACCTGATACGTCAACTACAGCTCCACCAGGACCTCCCGGAACAACTACAATGGATCCTCCAGCGCCTTCGACAACAGCTCCTCCTGGACCGCCCGGAACAACGACGTTAGGGCCATCCGGACCATCAACGACAGGCCCTCCTGTCACAACTACAGATCCACCAAATCCTCCAGGGTCAACAACCGTCCAACCACCAGGTCCGTCAACTACAGCTCCACCAGGACCTCCCGGAACAACAACAATGGGTCCTCCAGTGCCTTCGACAACAGCTCCTCCTGGACCGCCCGGAACAACAACGTTAGGGCCACCCGGACCATCAACGACAGGTCCCCCAAACCCTCCAAACACAACAACTGCCGTGCCAACAGAACCTTCAACTACTGCTCCGCCAGGTCCCCCCGCGACGACAACACCAAGTCCTTCAACGACAACTACAACAAAAACTGTGACAACGACAACTTTCACTACAACGACAACAAGTACCACAACCACGACTAGGACTACGACCTTTACGACCACTACAACGTCTACTACGACTACAAGCACGACTACAACAACCACAACTACGACAACTACGACAACGACTACGACAACTACAACTACGACAACAACAACGACTACGACAACGACGACTACAACGACTACCACGACTTCAACTACGACCATTCTTCCTACCACAACAATCGCACCAATATGCGTCCCTTCCCCTTGCTTGAATAATTCCACATGTGTGGCAATCAATTCCACTGTTTCAGATTGTCAATGTCAGCCAGGATGGGCAGGTGAATTCTGCGATGTTGTCTGCCCAGCTACGTTAACGGGCCGTCTCGACTTAGCAGTGCTTATGGACGTTTCCGGGACTATTGCTTCGAATCCGAACAAAGATGCGGATACTTTTGCATTTTTCGAAGCTCTACTAAACGAGTTCGACACTGTTAACCAAGTTCAATTATCCATAAGCTCGTTCTCAGATGATGCTGTCATTGACCTTCCGATGGGCCATTATAATGAGCTTCAAATCATGAGCGCAGTAAATAGTATCGATTGGGTGGGCGGCCTTACTGATATAAACGAAGGACTGATAACTGCGTTGAGTACCATGAATACGACTGACGATGTTCCAGATGTAATGATCTTTGTCTCTGATGGATTTGATTCTTTTGATCCGGCTGCGATTGGAGGAAACGCTGCAAATATCACCAATGCTGGTGTAGAAGTGGTTGCCGTCGGCTTTGGTCTCAATGGCTTTGTTAACTTTATGACTCTTATGACCGTTGCTGACAACGAAGGTGGGAATGTGTTCACAGCTAGTACTGGTGATGAGCTGATGGATCAGACGTCGGCGATTCTGGAAGCTTTGTGCACTGCAAATTCCCCAACACGGTTCGCTGTCGAGCATAATGATCCTGTCGGAGAAGGAGAGGTTTATACTACTAAAACGTCTAATATGTTACTTGAAAAATAAACCATAAAAGCCGACTTCATGACGATTCAAATGATGGCTCTTCATATCGATCTGACAGGAGAACCACCGTTTTAAAATACCGAGAAAACGAACGAATATTCCAAATCTGACCACACCTCTTTCCATATCTTGCCATCACCTTTTTTAACTTTACTTTACAAACTTTTGCAATACCGCTGAAGCAGCTGATTCAAGTTATCTGACATTTCAGAATAAATTCGAGCTTCTTTGCAGCTGAATCACACGCGCTTTGTGTCCGGAAATTTTATAGTTCCTTATGAGATGTATGTTTAGTCGAATAGCTTTCTCGGCAACTCGTCTTTTACAGAGAGAAAGAGAAGAAAGAGAAGAAAACTATGGCTTCGGGGGCCGCATTGTCGATTTTAATAACACTTGTTTGCTATGTTTTGCCGATGATATTAGGAAAAGAGTCGAACTGCTCTTTAATATTATGATGCAGCTCTCTGTATGCGTATTTCGACATCAATAATAGCATTTGCATACGGCTTCTACATCATTTGCAATATCAAGTACGAAGACTCGGAGAGTGAAGAAACCTGCGAAAAATGTAACAGCAGAGAAAGAAGTCTCGACCAAATTTTCGGCAATGAAAGCAAAATGAAAGGAGCTGCAATTATTACTTGCTCAAATGTAATTGAAAAATTTTTATGAAAATTTTTGATAAAAAACAATCCAAGTGCTTCGTTTACTGTGGATGCAAAGATGACCCTGAAGTCGGCAAAGACGAAGACATAAATAATCAGGGCACAACCAACTACGGGGCTTCGATTCACACTCTCCCCCAAATTCCACTTGCCAACGGAACTGGGCAGCAAAGCGAAGTCTTGCAACGAATGGAAGAAATTGGACAAAAGCTGGGTCAAAATCGCAGGTTTTCTTCCCAGCGAGGATCAATGGTTTCGATGCAGCAGCCAGAGAGCTCGAGGAGAAATTCAAGAACCACGAAGAGAAACTCTCTTATTGACGATTACCGAAAGACTCAACAGCTTGAGAATCTCACTGAAGAGACTGCTTCGGACGGATTCTTGAGGTACTATTCGTATTTTTTGTTTGCACGAAGGTAACGCAAACTGTAGCTCTATTTCTACACCACTGCCGACGGCCGGTTACGACAGTATTCCGGATGGCGGCCCAACTTCCGCCAAATCCAATAGCAACGCGTTTAAATTTCCTTCTTCGGTAAAACTATTTATTCAAGACGGCAAGTAACAGTAACTATATTACATATTTCAGGAACGACACGGTGACTCTCACCAGGCTTGAGTAAATTCCGACATATTTTACAGCTCAATCACATGCTCGTGTCTTCTCAAGATCGAGTTGAAATTCTCCGGAAACGTAACTTTCTTTTTCTTCTTTGCACTGCTGTCTCCCTGAATAAAATTTCATTAAAATTTCCGATCAAATAATCGAAAAATTTGCCTTTTTTAAAATGTTTTCATGCGGCGGCAAATTACTGTTTTGGTTCGTGTTTTTGCTCTGTTTGTTCATATTCGAGCATATTTTGTCGGTTTCTTCGAGGATATCATCGACGCATTTTGAATCTTCCGTGCATTCTATTCAATTCAAATATTCAACTACTAAAAAAACAAAAAAAAATACCTTCAACGACGAAAATTTTCACGGTGCTTGAAAATTCTTCAGCAACAATGAGTCTGTCGTTAAAAAATCTGAAGATTTTCGGAAAGTCGAGGCCGCAATTTCCTAAAATGAGAGTTTTCAGGGTTTCAGATTTATTCGTTTACTGTCGGCAAGAATGGCGGTTTCTGAGGTGTTTTGGTCAACTTTGAGGATGCTTTGTGTCCAGCAATTCGATATATACAGATTATTGTCGGGGGACAAGGTCATTCCGCTGATTTCCTGAAAAACATAGTAAATAAAAATAGTCCATAAGAGAACTAACATCTAAACCAGACGGATGAAGAATGCGGGAGAACGAAGAGCCTTTCGATTTTGAGGTGAATATCTTTATACTGTTATTCGCAGAGTCGAGCATGAGCAGTTCATCTTTCAGCTGAATCAGGCAAGAGCATTGAGGTAGGGTTGTGTCGTTTGAATGTGCAGTCGAAAGCTGAAAAATATTTTGCTTTGTTTCACTTTTCTCGTTTTTCTCTCTTACTTGAGATAAAAATCGCCCATTTTCAGTCATAATTGTTATTTTTTGATTGGAAGAGTCGAAAACAAAAAGCTCCTTTTTCTTGTAGCAGCTTGTAATGGCTGTTGGTCTAGCGATACCGCCATCCACGACGCGTCTAAAAGTTAATGAAAATAATATTGCTCATTCTTACTTGAGAATATGGCCGTCAATAGGAGAAGCAAGAACCAAAGAGTCCTCATATGTTAGAGCCAATTTATCGCCGTAAAGACAGAAGGAAGTGGGCTCGAAGGGAACTCCTTTCAAGGCAAATTTAAAATGCCGCAAGAGTTTGCCCTTCTGATTATAAATAATCAACTTGGCGTTTTGGAGATCAAGGAGGAAAATTTCCCCAGTGCGGGAGACCTCGATCAGCGGCGAGGAACCAAGAGTGACGTCCTTTTCAAAATCGCCGAGTTTCATAAACAACCGCACAGAAGGATTTTTCAGAACAATTTGCTTGACATTTTTGCTCGGAGGTTTTGGCAGAGGAGCGACGGGTTCCGGGGACGGTTTCTTGTTCGAACAAGATGGGCTGGCGGATTTTGGTGGGAGATGCAGCACCTCGTGTGTGTCTTGCTTTGGCTGCAGAGACGAGTTGGACGGACTTCGGATGGTTTTTCGGGGGCAGTCGGGGTGGCTCTTCTGTGATTCCAGAATCGCTGCCTGAAGAATGAATGCTGTCAGGCCGTTTGAGTTCGACGGTTTGCGTTTTCAGTTGAGTAGGTGTCTCGCAAGAGAAATCCTCGACGTTTGAAATCTCTGGAGGAACGACTTCAAATGTTCCGAGATCAATATCCATCAGTCTTTCTGCATGATTGACATGGTAGATTGTCGAGTTTGAAGGAATATCTATGTTTGAGTTGGAAAGAAGGCTGTCTATCGCATTTCTAGCGCGCTGAAGCTGAATGATTTCGTTCGGTGTCCCGATCTGAACGACGCGCGAAATAAAGTCCCCACAGCGACGCAATTGACGATCGCGAGATGTCAAAACCTCTCGCTTCTCCTTGCAATCATCGAGGTCGTGATTGTACTGCGAGTCTATCTCTGCAACGATTCTTTCCAGCCAGCTGTCGATGGCACTGTGAGCATCTTGAGCAATTGTTTGAGATTCTCTCAGAGCTTTATTTTTCTCGAGAACTAGCTGCTCTTCAATGCGAGTCATGTGCTTCAGCTCGGCTCTGAGAAGTTCCGCTTTTCGATGAACATCAGCCAGGCTTGTTTCAAACTCAGCGAGTTTTTCCGCCATGGCGTCTTTGACGAAGACTTCCTTGTGTCTTTGATGTCCGCTGCAGAACTGGCAAACCGATTTGTTACAGTCGAGGCAAAATAGTTTCGTCTCTTCTGACGGATGCTCTTGACAAAATACTTTCGCGCGACTTCTTATTTCTTCGTCGTGTTTTCCTGTCTTGATTTGCTCCATTGTGAGGACCATGTGGCCACGGGTTAGTTTTGTCCGGCAGTGAAAGAGAGCACATTCGCTGCATAGCCAGTCGGAACATTCGATGCATTTGTGAGTTCCACGCGAGCTGACGTTCTCTGGACAGATGTCGCAGTTTGGCAATGCAATCTCGTCCAACGTCATGTCGTTCATATGCTGAAGATTCTAGCTTTATTTCTGGAGAAAAAAGTAAAAACTCTCGACGGTGATTGATTGGAGAAGGGAATCGAGAGAACCGTTCAACTGAATCTGGCGCAGATCAGTGTTTTACAGTTTTTCTAGAGCGAGTTCTGGCATACGAGTATTGATGATAACTGGCAGTCATTGATGGCAGTAACCCCTCCACTATGCACTGACTGTAAAGGACTGCATAGTGGGGGTTTCGAACTCACTCGGGCCTACTATCCGCGGAAGGCGCAATTGGTTGTCAGTACCAACTGCGCCACCGCTCCCGACACGTGACCCTAGAAACAGGACTCTTGTATCATCAGTAAACAACCATATCTCTAGAAAACATCCGAAAATGCACCCATTAGATTCAGTTCTCAATCTTTCCACATTTTCATTCGAAATACCTGCGAAGGAACTGCCGAGTAGAGCGCGATAAGGGGATCCATTGGCAAATCTCTGACAGAGAGGGACAGCTTCGTCGATAATCCGCACTGAGCACATTCTACTCTCGTTTCGTTTTCGCTATCGGGTTGGACAGCTTTGGTACTCTCCATTCGGCACTCGAGGCATGCTAGGCAAAACGAGTGTCCACACATTAGTGCGCGCTAAAGGTGGTTAATGCCAGTAAACTGCTTGCTAAATTTGAGTAGGCATCTGTGTAAATACAGCTATTTACTCAAGCAACCCAAAATGTACGAGCGAACATATATTGCCTACCTGGTCGATTGAAAAGTTGCCGCATAGTTGACACTCCATCAGCCTGGAAATAGAAGAGTTAGCCGTTGAAGAATTAATCTTTGAGGAAGAACTTGGCCATAAAGTGTTCAAAAAAGTGATGAAGCAGAAGCTATTTCCTATCAAAATCGAGCTTTGAACACCTCATCGAACATGCTTGCAAAAAATCGTCTGACTTGTTGAATTTGGCCAAATTCAAAAATTCGGTGTTTCTGTATTTGGCAAGGTTCGCAAGGGATTTTTCCATTGAGGAGTGCGCGTCACATAGATTCTGGAGCACTCTTTTTCTGAGTTTTTAGAATGCTCTTTTAGTATTGTTAAACAAAGCTAAGTTGAACGAGCCCAACCCACTGTCCTTGAGGAGCCTGATCCCTTCAATTCAATTTCTTGCTTTTCAAAGTCTTGAAAGTTCTCTTCGCTCGGAGTAAGCCGCAGAGTCTCCGTGAAGCCGCGGCTAGTGGTTGGCGTTCCCAGTGGTAGCCGCGCGGGAACAGCCGGTGGTGCCCTCTTTGGTCGACATTTGACGATCCTGTTAATAGCTAGAAATCTTGCTAAAGACAAGCGCAACTAACCCTGGATTCAGCTCATCAAGTACACATCCTCGCACTGGCTTTTCAGACATGCAAGTCAGAAACGGACTAAACTCTGAAAATGTCTATTGAGAATTTTCACCAGTTCCGGAACACCCAAACCATTGTCAGACGCAGCCGAGACTGAAAATGCAATAGCATCAGCGTCAACATGTTCGGCATGATTTTCTGGCGTCGTGACCAGGGCTGGTTAATTAGCGCACTATTTTCTCTCGAAGAAAAAAAAATTAGCGCACTAATTTTATTTTAGAGACATTTTCGCGTCTTTCGCGCCTTTAGTGCACTAAAATGACACTAATTTTTCCTCTTGGGGAAATTAGTGACTTTTCGAGAGCTGATCAGCACTAAAGACGCGAAAAAAGAGGCTCTTTTTCATCATCCAATGAGCGCGCTCTTCTCGGAGGACAACTTCATGGAAGACAAATTTTCAAGTTCAATGAATTTTTTTTTGTTAATTTTGCGCCGGGACTGAGCATATTTTTTCCCGGCGAGTCGAGGGTATTCTAGAGATTGCTAGAATCACCAACTATACCCATTTTTAACGCTTAAATATTTTATATTTTAATCGTTTCTTATCAAATGTTTCCCCAAGAAATGGTTTAGTAGGGGTTATAACTTGGGTTTATGGTTAGGGTTTAGGGTAACTATTGAGGAATTGTGCTAATCGATAAGGGATAGGGTTACGGTTGGTGACCCTCGACTCGTCGGGGTTCTGTCTGCATATTTTTCCCGGCGAGTCGAGGGTCAGGCGAAAATCCCGGCGAGTCGAGGGTCTCCCTGAAAATTTGCGCGGGAGCGGGGGCGCGGGAAGGATTCCCCCTCCTTTTGCTCCCGCGGAAGCCCGCGGGAAAGAAAAGTCAACGTGAGAGCTGGTTTAAAAGGTCTTCACGTAGGAAGAAGCCTGAGTCAGGCCCCTTAGATAATTCGACAATTGAGAAATAAAATTGAAAAAATAAATAAAAACCAAAACAAAGCTAAGAACATGAACAATATTAACTTTCAATTTGAATGGTGGTGGGTGGGGTTGGGGAAGAAACTGAGATAGATAAACTCAGACCTCCCCGACCTTTGTCAAGCCCCTTAAATTTAAAAACCAAGGAACGGGACTGAGACCTTTAAAAGCTTCTTCCCCGCTGCTCCCGCAGCCCCGCGGGAGCATTTTTGAGTTTTCGCGGCGCGGGAAGGGGCGGGAAGAAGGCATGAAAATTTAGGGCGGGAGCGGGGGAGGGAGAAAGATCACGAGAAAATCTCGAGGGAGCGGGGGAAAGAATATCCAAATATCTTGGGGGCGCGGGAGAAAATTTCGAACTCTGGGGAGGTCTTCTCCCACAAGAGTCAATAACAAAAATCCGCAGCTAGATCTTCCTGCTTTTCTTCATTTTTTGCCTTTCTTCTTCTTGTCATCGTCCGACAACTTCTCATCGCTGTCCTCAACAGTCTCTGAAGCTGGAGCAGCCTTGACTGATACGTTCTACTTTCGTGGTCCAAGAGCTCTTCTCAGTATCTTTATTTAATTCTTTATTCACAGAATCATATTAATTTGATAATTTAGAAGGGAGGTCTCCTCCCAAATTCACGCTTACTTGATAACTGCTAATGAAGAACTCCTCCCAAAGTTTTTTTAGTCTTCTAGGATATAGCAGTGTTAATTTTTAGAGTAAAATGTATCGGGAGTAAATCTGCTTTCTGAATTATAAAGTAAGCATGAAATTGGGAGAAGATCTCCTTATGAATTGTGAAATAAATATTATTTTGTTATATTAACAACTCGCACAAGGCTGCTCCAGCTGCAGAATTTTGAGGACACCGAAGATTAGTCGAGCGACGACAAGAAGAAGATTGAAAAGAAAGGGAAAAAGCAGGAAGAACAAGCTGCGGGTGGCCCTTCAATAAAAAAATTAGGGAGAAGACCTCCCTAAGAAAGCTAATTTAGGCTAAGAGTCGAAGCTTATCATTCAAATCCAGCACAGAAAGAGAGAACAAACAAAGATTGAATTTTATTTTTCCCTATATAATATAGGCTATATAATAAAGCCTATATTTGTAACTTTATATTTTAAAGAAAATTAACAAATCGATTGATAAAGTCTTTTTGACTCTATATTAAAATTTACCCCCTCGATTACCCAGTCCACTTTATTGAAACCAAACTTTTGAAATTCTTATATTAACGAAGTTTGAAATTCTCAAACTTACGTATTCTTCCGAATTAAAGTGTCCGCGCTCATTGGCGGGCCAATCAGCAGCCCTTATTTTCGACACTTTTCGAGACACACGCGAAAGAGACGCGAAAGTCACTAAAGTCTCGACAAAATAAATTCGCGCACTAATTTTAGTGCACTAAAAATTTTCGACAGATTTTAGGACGCGAATTTACCAGCCCTGGTCGTGACCGTCGTTAGCTGTTCTTGGCAGCAGCTTTAGATGAGAAAATGTTCGTTTTTTTACTATTTTCTCGGCGTTACGAGGAGCACGAGTGAATTTCTCATCCCTAGCGACAATAAACTAGCGGTGTCTCCACCCACCATGGCCTGCTGCTTCGATTCTTAGCTGTGTACGAATATGAAGCTCGCTGAAGATCGCTGTCGTCCCTTAGCTGTCGGTCCTCGGGAGAACTTCGATTAATGCAACTTTCCTCACTTTCGAATGTCATAAATGTTTTTTCAAACAAAACAAATTCAAAAATATCCAAGAACTCAAAAGTCAACCCCTAATGCTGGATTATGAGCGCTTAGTGCATTTCCGCGAAAGAAAGTGGTCCCTTCCCGGAGGATTTACGAGCGCTGTCAAGGGAAAATTTCGTGGGAACAACAATAAAAACGGTGATTACTCGATTCCTTTTCGATCGACGCGTGCGACTGTCAGTCCCTTCGCGCTGTTTGTTCCGGGACCGGCCGCAGCACCGAACGTTGAGGGATTTATCATCGTAGCTTTCGTCTCTTACTGTGCTTCTCATTAACAAATATTCGCGTTGGAATGAGAGTCGACGGAGTGAGCCACATTCCTGAAATCGTTTGCTGCTTCATTTCACTAGTTTTTCACTGCTTCTTCTTTCCACTACTTTCTCGCGTTTTTCCTCTCTGGTAATCCGGCTAATCCCTCGTTTCCGGATCAAATTTAGGCTTTGCTAGGTGTTATCGCAACGCCTGTGGATCATTTACTGAAGGCGCAAAAAAGGTGTGTGGAAATTTTGCTGAGCTGTCGTGCTTAGAGAATGTGAGTGCAGGCTCGTTCACAGAACTACGTTTCAGTCCAAAAAGAGCTTGCCACTTGCCAAATACAGACAAACGCTTTTGCGCTAATCAGAGCTACGCAAGAGCGTGTTGGAAGATGGCCACAATCCAGAAATGACTGTAAAAATAGAGTTCGCTTTTTCCGAAAATCCCGATAAAGAAAATCTTCCCAAAAACTTACCCATCCTCGAAAGTGTCCGAAATATAATCGGAATCTTCCGCTGCCTCAAGAATCGTATCTAATTCGGGTTCTTTACCAATCTCTTACTAAAAATTCGCGGAAAATAAGGTAAAAAGAGATTCGCCTATTTCCTATCATCATTTTGCTTATTTCTAAAAATGAAAAAATAAAATGAGGACGGGCCGTTCTTCCTCTCATAAAAAAGATCAAAAACCGAAAGCCGATTTTTTCAAGAAAAAGTTCAAAGGGAGCACGGGCTCTTCGTGTTGACAACCTTGTTCGTAATGAAGTATGATAATTAATGGACCTACCAGGACTCTGATACTGGCATTTCTAGCACGCTGATCATCGATTTGCTCAGTTCTCTGTTCATATTATAAAGCTCTTTTTGCGGATTTTTTACCTGTTCGTCTGTGTCGTCGATATTGTACGGCGGGTGGGTTGGATCAATCTCTGAGTGTCCTCCTCTATCTCTTTCTCAAAAATCGAAGAGCCTTATCGAGGCCTACAAAGGAGCCCTCCTTATGATAGCGGGCAGAGTATCAGCGGCGAAAGTTGATTTGCGCCGAGCTGTGAAAAGTGCTCACGATTTGGACACACGCGAACACTCAACCTCCCCTCGCCGACAATTTTCGAGGTCACACGATCAGGCAAAATGAAAAATCGGAACCGCCTCAATTTGGGTATTTGAGCGAGACTGATTGAGAGCAAATTCAACAAAATTTTTTCTTTCACCGATTTATGATCCGTCCGGCGTTAACACACGTCCGCTGGACTTGATTTATTGCTGTCAGAAAGCGATTACTCCAGAATGAGGAATATAAGTGCTTATTGTGATGTATTCCAGCGAAAAGAATAATATTTTGGGGTGAAGGATCAGAAAGAAAGGCTACTGCTCCGTTTCGGCGATATACTCGTACTGCTTCCTGCGATCTCGCCCAGTCGCGTTCGTCTGGACAAAGGCACACAGCGATATCGAAACAATCAGGATCAAAAGGGACGCAAACGCGCCTAAAATAAATCCACCTCTGTTGTTTCCTTTTGCGAGTACCTTTCAAGCCGTCGCCTCTGTTGGACGAGCAGTAGTACATAGTGTAAGGTTCGCCGGTGCTGGCATCCTTCACGTCAGAAAGCTTATACGAGCCCTGCGTGTAGTGGCCGGCGCAGACGCAGCGGTGGGGAGCGACGCAAATGCTTCCAGGCCCAGCGCAGAAATCGTTGCAGACGGGCTCGTCGCATCTCGGCCCTAGAACTCAGAATCCATTTTCTCGTTCTCTTCGGATACTCGAATACCTGTGTAATGATCAGGGCATACTCCCACGTCCCCATCGCAAACGCCCGTGTTTTTATCGCATCCATTTTCGCCACAGTTGCAGTTATTGAAACAATCCTTTCCCCAGGCCCCTTTGACGCATTCTTCTAAAGTTGAAATAAAGTTGAAATCAGCTGACTTGTAACTCGACTTCACCTGTTTCGCCATTTCTTAGCACAGCGCTGGTGCCATTGTTGCTCCCATCGTTGAGGAGAGAAACGGCCCTGCAAAAAAAGAACAATTAGAGTTGTTGAAAACTCTTTGATTCTTACTCAGTATAAGAAACTACCGGAGCCTCGGTAGCAGATGAATTGCCGGCAGTCGCGAGATCTTGGCCAAATGAGCTGGCGATGAGAGCTGAAAACGCGAATGATCTTTCTCGAAGAAGAACTGACCGGTCTTACCGAGGGAAATCTTCATTTTGGTGACTCCAATTTTGGTTTCTCTTGAGCAATTCTGGGAAATAAAAATCAGGCTCTGACTCTCGCTCGGCAGCGTGGAAATCAACGGAGGCGGCAGATTCGACTCGTCTACCCTCGAGGTCTTCCTTGCTCGCGGAAATCAAGATAAAGAGATTTACCAAGCAACTTTCATGCTTTATTCAAATGCTCACGAATGGAATTAATCAAAGCTGAGGATAATTTCATCATTTTTATTCGGATAAATTCGGAGGGAGTGTCACAATAAGAGTCAGTATCAATAAGAGGATTCGATCTTCTTGAGCTGCGATGTTGTTCGGTAGGCGAGGTAGTCGGAATGTCCTATGATTTGAAGATATTTCTTTCATTTCAAAAAGTCCACTCACCTGGAATGGTTGAAACGTGCTTGGTAACTCCAAAAAGGCTCTTGAATTTGCACCAGCCAGACACGGGCGCATCCAGGTGGACTGTTTTCTTCTGGCTAAAAGGGAAGACTTTCAGTGGCACCATATCTTCTTCCGTTACCTAAATGCTCTCTTCAGTCGGACGGATCCTCTGCGCAGGAGACCGACATCATATTGTTTTGCACTTTCCGTTCCGTCGAATTCTCGGTTAAAATTTAGCTATTTTGACACTCTTTGGCTTTCAAATACCTCTCAAGTTCTTCTTGTTCATTTTCGGCGAGTCTAACTTGTTGGATCTGGACATGCTTAAATCACTTTGACTCCCGGTAGAGGAGAAAGTTACGCTACCTGAAACTGGTGCGGTGCTGGGCTCTTTGAAAGGGCGAAGCGGCTCCTGCTGGCTAATTTAGGTGGCGAATGCTACTTGACAAAAATCACAAATCTCAAGTCCCCTTACGACGGGCTTCATTTCCCGCTTTACTATTCTCAAAGTAGCATCAAAGTCACCATTTCCTGCGTAGCTTCACTCGACTCCTTGGAGCAATTCTTGGACGAACCTTTTCGTGGCGGCTTCGCTGGCTCTGGCATTGAAGAAAAAAAGGGTTTGGAAAAGAAAAAGGAATGACTCTGATGCCCGGGTCGGTCAGGTTTAAAAGGAAGATCGGAGGTGTTAACTTCGAGAGTACTTGTGAAAGGGGCCACTGGCTTCGTTTCTTTGTGTACTTCTCATGTCTGCCTTCCATTACTTTCCCCCTGCATCTTTGACAAGTCAATCTATCTGATTTGCACACTGCATGCTGATAAAAAAAGATGCAAAATTACTTGAGAAAAGTTCAATATATAATACTTGTGATATAAAATTGAGCGTCAAAGGCCAGGTGTTGGCCGGCCGCGTGGCCTAATGGATATGGCGTCTGACTTCGAATCAGGAAGTTGTGGGTTCGAGTCCCATCGTGGTCAAAACTTTTTCCCTTTTTTTTTGTCCGACGACAGTAGAAAGCAAATTTTGTTTATTTTCTAAGATTAAAAAACACCAATTTGGAATCTTATCAAAACTTTTTTATTGAATTTAATGAACTGAAAAGTTAAATAACAGTAAATAACACCGGATTTAGGGCTTTTCACTGTTCTTAGACTGAATTCTCGATGATAAGATTGAAATAAAATAAAGAGTATAGAAAGAGAAGAGTTATCCACCCTTTCCTTTTAAAATTTTATATCTTGATAGCCTATCAATGATAGGTATTTATTGAACTTGAAAAGAAATATATGCGGCAGAGATTGTGAAAGAAATGTCTAGAATTAATTACTCTCTGTTTGTGAATGTGACATATTTTCTGGGCAAAAAACTGTTGTTGCCAACTGCTCGGCTTCCAACTGTACCGCTGGGTCTCATGTGCATCTTGTAAGAGATAAAACACGTCTTTCCAAGAGCTCTTGTTTTGAAAAGATAAGAGAAGTGTTTTATCTGTTCCTGAGTAACTGAACAGTGCGAAACTGAGAGATGAAGCCATGCAGATGGAGGCAACTGAAGTCCACGGCAAAAAAAGTATCGGATCACGTTTCCGTGGCAGACAATCACGGCCGCCTCGTTCTCCTCGCTAGAAGGCTTGGCACGGCGAATGAATTTACGGAAGCCGGCTTCGATAGCTGCAGATTCTTTGTACTCGGTCCATGGCTGAAAAATAGTAACGCTCAAGCGAGGTACTGTAAGCTCGTACCTTTTCAGGGTAGCCTTTGAGTGGAGGAGAGGGCTCGATAGGGCAACCTTCTCTGATCAGATCGGAACTCTGAAAGAAATGAAATCAAGGAAGAGAACGCAGCTTTTGATGACTACCTCAACTTTGCAATCGACTTGCAGCACCGAGTTTATGATATTGGCAGTTTCAGTCGCTCTGGTCATTGTAGAATGAACGAATTGTGTCGGTTTAATTCCAGAAGCCTTCAGGTACTCCCCGCAGAGGCGAGCTTGCTCGCGACCTTTCTCGCTGAGCACGCGATCTGCGTCTTTCTCGCCGTCCATGTACTGCCCATGTCGGATCAAGTACACATGTCTTGTCTTCTTCACTTTGTATTTTTCCTTCATTTCGTCAGTCCAATCGGCCTGAGGATGCCGGTGATCCCAGTTGTAATCCCAGTCGGCCTTCTCCGTCTCTTCTTTTGCTGCGACTTTCAGCTTCGGCTGAGCAAGGTACTTTTGTAGGCCCTTTGCAGCGCAAACAGACCCGACAAACGGAAGAAACGTGCGTATTACCATCAGAAGTTTCTAAAATGAAGAAAGAGATGAGACAATTTCTTAAAGAAAAGAACATTAATTGTAGCACGAGTAGTACGTCAGGCTAATTTTTTGGCTAAACAATAATAACACTTATTCGGCAATCTTCTTGGCGAGATCGCCATTGGCAGCACCAGCGGAGGTGTCGTCCCCACCGCCGTAGAACTTGCCATTGACGAAGACGCGTGGAACTGATCGAGCGCCAGTCAGCTCCTTCAGGTAGTCCTGGATGGCATCCATGTCTAAAAATTAGTAGGAAATTTGTTCAAAGAATGCATCTAATCTTACCGCTTCGGTTTTCAATCTCCATGACTTCAAAAGAGGCACCGACGCTCTTCAGGGCGTCCTTGGCCTTGGTGCAGAAAGGACAGTAGGTCTTTGAGAAAACCATCACCTTATTGGCGGCGATAGCCTGGTCGACGATATCCTTCACCATTATTCCTTCTAAAAATGATAAAAGTCAGCTCGACCTAGACTTTTCCGTTTATTTCTTGGGAGAATTTTTCTCTCCAGAGAAATTCTTGGGGCAGATAGCGTTGTTGAGGCAGTTGGAGCATTGAGGCGCCTTGGCGGAGCAAATTTGCTGCCCGAAGCCGACAAGGAGTTTGTTGATTTCTTGCCACTTGTCTTTGGGAAGCCAGGACTCTAGCTGAGCGCGAGTGGCTTCGGGGTCCTTTGGCTTTTTCGTGAAGCAGAGACGCTGGCAAATGCGATGGACGTGAACGTCAACACCGATTCCGTCGTTCTTTCCCCACGCACAGCTGAGCGCTAAGTAGCCCATCTTCGGGCCGATACCCGGAAGCTTGACGAGATTTTCTACATAAAAATACGTTAATATCCAGCCTGACTTTTAGAATTACCGATTGTGTCAGGAATATCACCGCCGTATTGATCTCGGCAGATTGCGCCAACTTTGACGATATTCTTGGATTTGGTTTTGTGGAATCCAACTGGAGTGATGAGCTCAGAAAGAAGTGACTCGTTCGCTGTAGCAGCGTCCTCTGCGCTAAAGGATTTGAAGTGCTCATTGAGTCGCTTCATCGCTCCGGCGTTGACTTCATCTTTAGTCTGCGAGCTCATCAAAAGTGAAATCAAAATTTGAAAGCGCTTCTCAACCGCAGTCGCTTTGCCAGAGTACAGCTCGGTGCAACCCATTGTGTCAACAGGGGCGTCGGCTTTGCTTCGCATCTCCTGAATGTTTCGGTAGAGCACCTCCCAGTTCTCCGGGGGCTGATGTCAGTCGTCTTCTTTGCTCCTTTCTTTGTATTCGTTGGAACTGTAGGAGGAGGAACTACGGGAGTGAAGCTCTTAGTCGCCTCAGGAATAACAGCGTCAACATCTGCTTTCTTTATTTTCTGTTTCTTTCCGGCGACTTTCGGAATGTTCGCAGCCGGAATGCTTGAAGCAGCACGCTTTATGCCATTGGCACTTCGAGTCCGCATTTCGTCTGTAACTTTCTATAACATGCCATAATTTAGCGAGACTGAAGTGAAGGGTAGAGGAATTTGTAGAAGAATAACAACAACGAATGAATTGGAACAGATCGGGAAGAAGTGAGGTCAATGATTAATTTTTGAATGACATGGACTGAGTAAAAGGCATTTTAGTTCGTATCATAAATTGGGAAGTGTATTTACAAAAGAAGTCACATTCACCACATGGTATAGCCACCGCCGCCTCCACCGGTGACGAAATTATCCTTTTTCTGACTTATTTGAACGTTTGCACCTTGCGCCTGGGCCACCTTAGATCTGTGTGAGAAACAAAAAACAGTTCAAGATTACCTGAGCTGCGTTTGGAGCACATCCAGGAGGTGGTGGGGGGATAGACGCGTTTCCATTGAATCGTGCACCCGCATCAAAGCCACCTATGTATTCAATAACGACAAGGAAATGATCCAAATTCTTTTACCGTTGACGATTACTTGTTGTCCAGGCTGAAACTGTCCCGGTATGACCTGATAACCAACACCTCCTTGTTGAAAATGCTGCGGCGAAGGGGCTCCATGAGGCGGGTACATTCCTTGTGCCGGTGGATATCCAGGGTTTTGATGAGGAACGGGCGGATAATGCTGAAATTAAGGTAAGTTTTCTATATAAAATCGCTGCTTTCTGTACCTGTGGAGCTCCAGGAGGAGCATATGGTGGAGGTGGTGCATTTGCACCTGCAGAAGGCGGGTATCCTTGATGTGGTGCTGGAGGATAAGCCGGTTGATTTGGATAGTGAGGAGGTTGGACTGCTTGCCCAGGTGGAACAGGGGCTCCTGGATATCCTTGGGGTGACTTTTTCTCTTGAGAAGGATACGAAGAACCTCCTTGACTGGGATAGGAAGCACCTCCTTGTGTAGGATAGCCAGATTTCTCAGGAGGAGGAATGCCTTTCTTCGAACTTTCGTTGCCCATTCTAAAAGATAATACCGACTTATAAACACCATTCATTGATAATAAATGCGATTCATCTTGAGAATAACAGCACAGAAGACTTAAGCTAAAGCCGAATAAATAAAGCTTACAGTAAGCTTAAAAGGAATGTATAATTGAAGTCCAGCTTCAGTAATCGCCCAGGTGATTACCTTAGAGCGCCAGCTTTTGGCAGTTTCGGCGACCTGTAAATTGTTAATGAGTTTATATTAATTAAAGAATTACTGTTGCGACTGAATCTTGTAATATCGAACGCGTTTGGTACGATCAACCGCCCTTCTCCGAATTCCCATACTAAAAATAATAAAGTCAATTTCTAGGGGCAGATATTTTAGTACAACTCATCAGTTTACACAACGAGAACTGCTTTTTCCGCCGCTTATCTTTTTTCTTTTTCTTCTCGACGGCCTCTACGAAGAGTTTTTCTTCGGAAGCATCGTCCAACCTGCTCTGTAGTAGACTCAAAACAGCGTGGTTGAAGTCGGCAACTTCTTTCAACTCACAAAGCGAGTCCTCCGTTACTTTGCGGCACCTTGGTACATAAGAAAAGACTGTCAAAATAAATCCTGTACCTTTCCAAAAGCTGTGAGTATCTCGATGATGCTGTCAATTGTGTAAAAAACAGTCGTTCAACCGCAGCGAGCGTATATGACAAGCGTTCCACCGATTTACGTCGCTCTATTCCATCACAACAAATCTACAACGGAAATATATTCGTGTATAAGAATTCGGAACGCACCTTCATGAATTCGGTTAAAAACTGCATCGGTAGGAGGAGCAGAGCCGATTCCAACTCCTGCTGATGAATTTCGTTAATACTTTTGATAACATAATCAACACTTGAGAGCGCCAACTGTGCCAAAATGGGATGCTTAGCATCGTTTTCGTTCTTCACCTTCTCTGAATTATTATTAGTGAAAAGAAAGCTCTTGTGGTTTCACTGACCTTGGTAATGGATTTCGATCGAATCGATAAGTCTCTCAGCAGCGTTAGCCGCGAGATCAGGGTGAATTTGTGCGACTGCCGCTTCCGCATCTGGGTTAACTCCAGGAATGACAGTGTCGGCGTCTTGCTCCCCACTTTGGTACGCATTCTTTGCCTCCTCCTCTCTTCTCTTTCGTTCCTCATCTTCAAGAACGACGACCTCTTCGCTTCGTTCCCACAGTCTGATAGACTTGTCTTTACCCACGGAGCAGACCATATCGCCATTATAGGACACCAAACCCATGTTAATCTCATCTTGATGTCCGGAAAGAATCTGAATAAGTCGGAATCCGTCCGCATCCCACTGTTTGATAAAACCATCCTTGCCCATCGAGAAAAAAAGATGAGTGTCAACGACCCATGAAACCGAGACGACGCCTTTTTCATGAGCGACAAATGATTTGTGGCAGTCGGCGAAATCCATGCCCCATATTTTCACAGTTCTATCTGCGGATCCGGTCGCCATCAAGGTTGAATCATCCGAAGCGGCCAAACAATTGACTGGTAAACTTAAATTTCGATTTGCAAATGACTTAACAAGGAGCTGAATGATTTACCTGTGGCCGTACATGGAGTTCCAGAACTTGAGCGTGTCTCTGTAGAAAACTTTCACGGTGCTATCGATCAGCGCGACAGCGATGAACTTTTTATCCTTGGTAAATTCAATTCCAAGGATGCTTTCTTTCAGCTGAAGGGTTTTTGTATGCTTGAGCGTGAGTGTGTCTTTCTTGAAATCCAATTTCCACAGTTTCATCTGCCCATCTGTTCCAACTGTAGCCCAATCTCTGAAGTTTTTAAATTAACTGGGGGACTGAAAAGATTCCTTACTGTTTAGATGATTTTATTTGCCAAATTTCTCCTTCGTGCGCTTCCTTCTCCTCTAGAATATCGGCAGAAGCAATATCAACTAGAAGAAGCTTTCCAGTTTTTGTACCAATAAGTGCTTGTCTATCGCCCCGTACATAAGCAACGGTAGTCACTGGTTCAGTCTCCACGGTTCTCACAGGCTTACATGTTTCTACTGACCATACTTTCACGCAATCGTTGCTTCCCGTAAGAATAGCACGGTTATCGGAAGAGAATGTGACGGCTAGTGGACTATCTCGATGTCCAGCTAGGGTTAGCTTTCCAAGGTTCTCGACGAGGAATACATCGCTCCTCAACGAGTGCATTTGAAGTTGGTTTGAGGTGTGCTGCGCAACGATCTTTATTTCTTGCGCTGAAGCGTGGATAACTGAGAGACCGCGCAGCTTGCCACCGGACTTGTGCGATACATTATTACCAAGTCGATCTTCAATCGTTTCATCTTCATTTACGATTATTTCTGACGATGCTTCTCCATTTTCCGATGCCTCTATTTTGCGCTTCGCTTTTTTCACTCGTTTCTTTTGTCGTTTTCGTGCTTCAGCAGCATCATTAAGCTTCCAGATGTCGATGACGTTCTTGAGTCCGTGTGCAACGAGCAAGTTTTTCGACACTGTCAGAAATGTCGTTTTGTCCGTGGCACTCCTGTTCGTACTGCCGAAATAATCAAGTTTCAGCTCCGCGCCATCTTCGAAGCGCTTTTCATCATCACTTTGCCACGTGATTTTGAAAAAGCGAAGAGTAGCATCATCGGACGCGCAGATGACCAAGTCAGACATCAGCACCATCGTGTTTATCTGTGCTTTGTGATGAATATTGGAGACTTGACAATGTTGCGTATCCAGGTCCCAAATTTTGATCATTCGGTCGGAACTCACCGAGATGAGAAAACGCTCTTTTTCTTCTCCAGGCTTGCTCAAGAATGAAACTGAGTTCACTTTCTCTTTGTGACCACGAAGTCTTTGAGGGGTTGAAAGACAGATTTAACAATCTCGAGTTAACTGAAGCTGCTCAACCCTAACCTGTACAAGCCCGACTCTTCCACTGCATCCCAAACAATAATTTCGGTATCGAGAGACCCTGACGCAAGTCTTGTCCCAGAAGAATTCCAGACCAATGTTTGGATTGCCCTTTTATGTCCATGAAGAAGGACGGTGCGATCGCCGCTGTCCAAATCAAACATGCCAACACTGCCATCCTGATAGCCGACAGCCAACACGGTGTTACCCGGTCGAAGGGCAATGTGAGTGACGGGGAAGTCTCGCCACGTAACAGCGCAACACGCTGTCCTGTCACGACATTCCAGAGCAAGACGTTTTCGACACATGCGCAGGCGACAACGCGCGGGGAGATAAAAACCGGAGGACAACGGCCAGAAGTAACAAGCCCAAAAACACCCACCGGGTGGTATTTTAAGTGCTGAGTCGTCAACCCCATGTCTGAATAGAAAACATCTTCATTTATAATTCGGGAATTGACAGAATCTAGTTTTTGTGCAGTTTTAATTTGTCTACGGAAAGACGATTTTCAGGCACGCCCGTTTTAACAGCTTCCTCAAATAATAATCGCTCTTTAATAACAGGAGGAACATCAACGTCACTAGAATCTTGTGGAACATGAACTTCGAAGTCGGCTTCCAAGTATTTTTCCTCGAACTCGCGGGGGACTATACGCCAGCCGGATAAATTATGATCGACGAATTCTCGTTCGAGGCCATCGGTCTCACCGTAGTGAAAGACTATTCCATATGCGTAGCCAAAATTACCAAGATGGCTCTGTTTCGTCACTTGGTCAGTGTTGGGCGTATTCCAGTCGTACCAAGCTCGAGTGATTAGCTAAAGAATAGTTACTATTGTGTAATTTTGATTAAATCGGGACGGTTATGAATGAATTAATGGATTAAATACGTACCCACATAGTGTCGGGAATTCGCGGCGCTGTTGACCCATCAGATTGAGTAAGTGTTCCGTTTAGGCGCTCGTAATTAAGCGAGTTGTTGGTGCGCTCGTATGCGTTGTACACGAGTCGGCCAACACCGTAATTTGGCAGTTTCTTGGTCATTTCGAACAGTCGGCATCTGAAATATTTTTAGAGCAGTTCACACACGGCGCATGTTTCAGACCCATTCTCGTCTCGTTCTTGGGTAGCGGGATGGTAATGGCCCCAGGTGTCTTCTTTGCGCTCCGGGTTACACCTTTAAATACTTAATACGCGCAATTACGAATCAGTGCTTGTTACCGCTCAGTGAACTTGGACATTTGGCGGTAGAATGCGCCTCCATCGTATGCGTGTTCCGAATTCCACATGTAATGCATTTCTTGCTGTCTCCACATTAGCCTCTCTGCCCAAGGAGCAGTGTTCCATACCCGAGCGTACTTTTCGATCAATTTCAGCCGATTCATCTCAATCAGACACACATTTAATTATCATTTATGAAAGATAGTTGGAGCCAGATAGTTGAACAAGCAGCTCGCAACTTGAATTGTTAGTGTGGTACGTAGTGGTCAGAAAGAAATGAGAAGAATAATTCAGAAGCTATTTAGTGCTAGATAATTGCGCGACGAATTTAAGGGACCTGGGCGAGCAGCGCGGAGCCAAACTTCACGGGCTCGTAGCTTATCTTAGAAGTAAGATTTTTAAGAATTTCTTTTTGCAAATCATATCTACAAACATTTAGCTTTCTCTACCTTTTTTCAGAATTTCTCTATCATTACCGGTTGATGAACTAGAGAGAAAAAGAGAAGAGCAACTTCAAAAGGCATCAAGTCCTGCAAACTAAATTTTATCTTCCTGAAACTAGCACCATTGAAACGCCCGTTTAATTCTGCACAGATTCCACCTAATGCGCAAAGCTAAATACGTACTTATCGCCAAGTAACGCCAAATAAACAAAGTTTCTTAGCGCGCTCAGCTGGTCGCGGCGCAGTAGGACGCTCTGATGAAGCTATTTTGGTCTTCCTGGACATGATTCCCGCTGAGTGCGCGCTCAGTTATCTTGTTTATCTAGCCTCTATCGCCAATAGGTACTGTCCCGTATTTGCGCATTAGGTGGAATCTGTGCAGAATTAAACGGGCTTTTCAATGGTGCTAGTTTCAGGAAGATAAAATTAAGTTTGCAGGACTTGATGCCTTTTGAAGTTGCTCTTCTCTTTTTCTCTCTAGTTCATCAACCGGTAATGATAGAAAAATTCTGAAAAAAGGTAGAGAAAGCTGAATGTTTGTAGATATGATTTGCAAAAAGAAATTCTTAAAAATCTCACTTCTAAGATAAGCTGCGAGCCCGTGAAGTTCGGCTCCGCGCTGCTCGCCCAGGTCCCTTAAGCGCTTCTTGGAATGCGTTCTCGTCATGGCTACTTTTGGCCAGTCAGTCACAATCTAAAGACATTCCTCGAGGAGAGAACGCAAAAATCCACTAACTTGAGAGTGATTTAGCGCCTTCTCTTTCTGGCCTAGTTTGATGTAGCACTATCTTGAGAGTTCAATAGCTATTTTCATAGGATGTCGAAAAAGCCTTTTGTCTAAGTCTGTTTTGAGAACTCAATCTTTGCGAGCATCAAATGATTCTTGTCGAAGAACATGGGCTCATTTTCCTCTGCTCGCTCAAACCAGCTAAGGGCTTCCTCGTACGACGCCTGTGGTACTACGATCATGCGTCATTTCTTTAACGACAGTACAACTAGACGTACCAGCGACACGATAATAAGCCGCGGCGATTTTACGCTTGTACCAACTCACTTCCGTAAACTGGAAATACCACATTCCAAGGCAATACATCGCGGTAGAGTCGTTATGAAGCGATATGCTCCGCTCAAAGTGCTCTTTATCCTGAGCGACTCTTGTAAGAGTGTTCGGGTCCCTTGTTGCTCGGCGAAGTCGCTGAGAAGAATGCCCATCCACTTGTGCGCCGCCCAGTTGTTTGGCTCAAGCTCGACTGCCCGGGCAGCTGCTTCGTATGCAAGTGGGATGAGCTTTTTCGCCTCGGACGGGAACTTGAGTGCATATTCACGGAAGGCACGCGCAAGACGCCACTGAACACCCGCATCGTCAAGCTCGCTGTACGCGGAAATGAATTCGAAGAGCTGCTCCACGTTGACAATGCGCCAGTACTCGTCGCACTTTTGACAAATGAATTTGACGTTCGTGCTGCCTTCGCTCTTCGCTTCTACACGATTCTGTTTTAGTGAGTTTTCTCTGTGGACGAATGATAGGTACCCGACGGAAGACACGGCAAGGACTTTTAGCCGGAGAAGCGAACGATTCATCAAAACTCTTCGCAGATCTTTATTAAGAATTTGTATTGGATTTACAGTCATGTACAGAAATGAACAAGGTAAAGGAAAAACAGTGTTTAAAATAAATATTTATTGCTTGAGAGAAGCTTGAGAGAGCATACATCCCTGTTGAAGCATCACGAGTTTCTGCTGTGCAGTTCGCGAGACAACCAAATATCTGTCGGCGCCCTTTCCATAGCTTCTCGATCGAAGACCATATCGACTCACTGCCATATGTATAGCTTTTCTTTCTTCTTTTCGAAGGCCTTTAGAAAAACTCAAGTCCTCGGTGATCTGGGACGTCGCATAGCGCGATATGAGAACATCAGCTTGTTCCACAGTCACTAGATATATTTTTAATCCTAGTAAAATTTTTTTCTTTAAGACCTTGACAACGGCCGTCTTCATCAACTCCCAATCCGGTTGTTTCCCGACCGTAGCGTGCTGCATTATGCTTTAAAAACATTCAGAAAAATGTTATATGAACAAATACTCACGTCAATGGGCTGTTCGATTCCATCTTCGGCCGCTCCAAGTCCACCGCCGCTCCAGCCCATCAGTCGCATTAACATCAGTCCTTTGTTGTTTTTATTAGCTTGTTTCTCTCGTGCTTTCGCCATTCTGACGAGATGCGGTTGCGCTTTGTCGATCATTCCATTTTGGACTTCCTCGATTCCTTCAAGAAGCGATACTTACTTTTTGAGCTTGGCGAAAGAACCTACCTAGCGCATTTTCGTGTGCATATTCTTTCTTCCTCTCTTCAAGTACGCGGCATCGCTGAAGCATCTCTTTCAAAGCATTACAAGCAGCATCCGCCTTCGCTTCTTTTTCGAGTTCCCTTCGCCTTCTGCGATCTTTGTCGTGTTAAACGCAAGTGTGGCACGCCATGTTCCGCCCCCTTGTTTCTCGTTCTTAGTTTCATCTTCTGTCCATTTCATCGAGAACTTGTTCAAGTTGGCCGTTCTGGAGATGATAGTCAGCGGACAATCCATTCCTTCAAGCATGAATAGAGTTATGTCTTCAAGTTTGATTTCAGGTTTAACGTCTTCATGTTTTTCTTTAAGCTTCGACTGCTGTGCCTGTAAGTCCGCGAATCTAGCCTGGTCCGGCGTCACGATTCTTCCTGCGTCGTTGGCCGGCAAGATGTATCCAACTTGGCGGTCACCAGGCGTGAGCGCAAGCGTCAGTTGCGGTTCCGTGCGCACTCCATTATGACGCAAAGCAGAAACGACGTGAATCCTATTTTCGCTGTTTTCGCGGAGAAAGTATTCCAAGTTGTCGAAAGCAACTCGCTTGGCGAATTTGCCGAAGCCGTAAGCGCATTCGACGCCGCGTATAGACAGAACGCAGTATTGTGACTTTTTCGTAATGAAGAGGTCCTCGGTTGCCTGGTATAATCGAGGTCGAGTGGAGTTGAGATACTCACGAATAGCAAGGATATTGCCGCCACACGTGTACATGTCCTTGGCGATATCGATTCCAGCCCGACGCGCAGCTTGATCGACGCAATAAGGCGACCCAGCTTTGAAGTCTGAATTCTTAAATTAATTAATAACTAACATGTGAAAATCTAAATTATCAGAATCTTTGATATTAGATAACTCACCTTTTAGGCGTCTTTTTATTCTCATAATAGCGTCCTTGTGTTCTCTCAACGGGACAAAGTTATTTTCAGGTGCAGCTTCAGTCTTGGCGTTCGTGAATTGGAGATACTCAGGTCTTCGTATCTCATTTGGCAGTGTTTGTCGTTCACTATCTTTGTCCAGCAGGCCAGCACTGTAGAAAATCACCTTGTCTTCTAGCTTTAATTCGGGCTTCTGCGGTTTAGGTTTTTCTGGAGATGCTTCAAGAGCGTCAAGAATTTGGTATTCAAGAGATGTATCCTTCACTTCGTGCTCGCCGGCCTCGTCAATTGGTACCTCCGGCTCCGCCTTAATATTCCATCGTATTTACTCGCTATAATCATCAAAACAAACATATTATTTGTAACGTGTTGGAAATTAGCCCGTGTAAATTGGAAAAAACTCCAATTCAAGTTCTTTTCAAATTTAATTTTAAGTTCTAAACTAGAATTTTCAAATTACCTGACTCTTGAACTCCTTCGACACAATTTCGTAGCCATCTCGTTTTCCTTTTCTCTCAACGTAATCGCATCGTTGTCTTAGCACACTGAATGCGCTTGTCCAACACGCACTTTTGGCCGCTTTTTTACCAGATGACACGGCAGCGCTGATCTCAGTGCCATTCAAGAGAACACGCGCTCCCCAGTCCGGCATTTTAGAACCCTCCTTCTTCACCTCGTACACTTCTGTTCGGAATTCAAGCCCGTTCTGCTGCGCGAAATTCGACAAACTAGTCGATATCGGCGCATCTTGGATGTGAGAGAATTCTAGCCCAGCAAGGTCTTCCAAATCCAGCCCAATGAAAGCCTCGGATTCTGAATTCTCTTTTTTGACTTCTTCTTCTTTCACCTCTACTACAGAAGAAAGCGGAAGGGGAATCGCCATTTTCCTCCTTGCGAATGCCGATTTTTTATTGTGCACACTTGGCTTTGTATTGAAGGGGACCACTTTTCCGATCTTGCGAAGATTTCTCTCTGCATCTTGAATGCACTCCTGCTTCGCAGCTTTCTTGCCAAAGCCGCGTCCAGTTCCAATCACAACTCCATCGATTTTAAACTCGAAAAGCTTCTCAAAATTGCCGTATTTGTTCTTGATCTTCGTTGACGTCGTTTCGAAAAAGTCCATTTCGAATTCAGGATTTAAATCCTTCGTCTTCTGAATCGTCAAGGATCGATGTTCATCATTAGCGTACACAATCAGGTTCGAGAGCTCAAGTTTCTTTTTCTTCGGACTCTCTTCATTTTGGTTGCTTTCGCCTAGTCGCTTTAAGTTTGCTCCGCTGTTACCGCGATTTTCTTGTTTTATATCTTGTTCCATTACTTTTCGGTACGACCTCGAGTTCTTAAAAAACTTATGAAACTAAACGGTCCATTTCTTCCATTTTAGAAAAGAGGCTTTCTGGAGGATGGAGCCCCTGATGAAAAATGATTCCGATTAAAGAAAGACGAAAATTTCAAAACTTTTTTTGACAAGGGCAGGTTTAGAGCAGTGTTCTAAGGTAGCTCGTCTTCAGGGGTGAGTGACTACATGCAAAGAGAGAGAGACAGTCGGCTTTTTTGGAACTAGCGGTGTCATAAGCCCGCTTGCTTTCGCAGCATGATGTAAATCTTCTCTTTGATCCAGTCCTAGCGAAAGTTAGATTGAGTTAAAAAAAGTAGTGTTTACTTTGTTGTAGGGAGCATAGGACATGGAGGTTCTTTGGTAAACGAGGATCGACAGATCGGAGAGGTTGTCGATGTAGTCGAACAGTTGGCTAAATATATAGGAGAAAAGAAGGAAGAACAAACTGTTCTTACCTGATATCGTAAGTGATCTGTTTCATCGTGACATTCTCCTTCTTGAGCTGCTCTTCGTAGATTTTGCAGATTGCCTCCACAGCTTCGTTGACTGACTCGAAATCTAAGTGAAATTAACTACTGCATTCGAGTGTGGCTATCTTACCAGCGTAGCTGCGAGACTCCTGCTTTCTGTTCGGCTGAACGAGCAAGATTGCGTGTGACATTCTCTAGACAACAAATTATTCAAAATTAGCATTCTATGATTGTTCGGCGCCCCAAAAAGAAATTCTAGCTTGGGATAATTAAAAGTGAATCGCACGGGATATTTACTAAGAAACCTGCGGAAATTAAGGAAATGCGACATTCAAAGATTGATTATTCTTCATTTATTATGATTAAATAGTAAAGTACGTATTGATATGAAAGGAATAGCGTTTTTTGTGATGCAAGTGTTTCAGATTAGTGAACAATAACACTTCCAGAAAAAGGAAACAAAAAAAAATAGAATAATAAAAATAGGAAATAATTCCTAATGGCTCCAAATGAACTCCCACTCATGAAATTTGAGTGAGCGGCCTCAATCAGGAGGAGGAAAATATTTATAAAAATGATAACGATATTGAAATCATGCATAGTTGGCAGTTTTAGATTCGACAGAAACGAATAGTGGTAAGTGTTTTTTTTTCAGTATTTTGAAAAAAAATCTTGAAAGGCAAAATATCGGATTTGGATTGAATTTCGGGAAACTTAAGGATCATATGGCAAGAGTAGTTTTCGAAATATGCGCTTCAATGAATTCAATATTAAAGGCACTTCTCTTCTTTCTTCGTAAAAACATATTTATAGTGAGTTAGAATTGAATTATCAACAATCAGTGTTCGCCGAAATAAATATCAACAATTAGTCCGGTGAACACGATAATCGCTCCTATCCATTGCTGAACGGTGAGCACGTTGCCGAAGATCAAAACAGAAAACAGGACGGAGAAGAATTTCCTAAAAGAAAGCTTGGAGCAAAAATGTCGATTTTTCCATTTCCTACCTGCAGGTCGTAATGATCGAAACGGTCAGCGGGCCGAAATGCTTGATCGTCAGGAAGATGAAGTATTGACCGGCGACGGAGCAAATGCAAAACGCTAGAATGCGCGGGAGTATTTCGGGATGGCGCGGAATGAACGCGTTGCCGCCGAAAAAGTCGCCACTCAAGAAGCAAAACGGAAACAGAATGAGAAAAGAGCACAAGTTCGTCCAGAGCATCATGTGATTCTCGTTCGGGCAGAATTTCGAGCGCACCTTTCGAGAAAAAGAAAGCATGAGCGCTTGTTGATAATTTTACAGTATACCTTTTCCTGCATTCCACCACAGAGACCATCACAGATAAGCGAGAAGATCAACAGCCCATGGCCGACGCCTTGCTAAAATAAACGGGCTCGATAAAGGCGCGCAGGGTCAGACCGCGATTAGAAGCGAGCTACAGTTTGAAAAGAAAATAAACCACGCATCTTTCGTGAACATCTTTCACGAGCCACGAAAAGGTGGTTCTCAGAGGAAAGTGGTATTGTCGAAAGGAAAGACTTTTCAAGCGCGCCTCCGAAGTTAAAAATCACAAAAGAAGGAAAGCTTACCTTTTGAACGGTCTCGTCCGTCGGGTGGTACAGAAACATGGTGATTCCCAAGACTAACGTAAGAACGCAGAGGTACTTCACATAATTGTAACTCTTCCGGCCCACAAGCCCTGACAAGATAAGCACAGGAATTGGTTTGCATGCCTTGCCGACGACCTGAACCACGTCGCATTAAATCAACATCAACCAAAACATCTGCGAAAATAGAAAACGTGCGTCTGACCCTACTATGCTCAATTGGCAAAATTTCTAGCCTACTTCTTTCAATCAATTTCGACTCTTATTATTTGGAAGCAATTATTTCTTTTCACCAAATTATTCGTCAATGCGAATATTTCGTATATTTTATCAACAATTTCTGCTGGGCTGATGATAATTGAATACTTCCAAAGCAAGCTTTATTCGTTAACAAAACAATTATAATTGATTATAATCCTTTTAATTATCGGTATTTATAATTGTGTTGGTAACGAAAAAGGTTTGTTTTGAAAGTATTCAATCATCATTAACCGAGAAGAAATTGTTGATAAAATATATGAAATATTCGCATTGACGAATAATTGGTCGGAGATCAATAAATATAAATTTTAGTGGCCCTTGAAGTCAATTAATCTGCGAGGGGGGAGGTATTTTTAACTATAACTCGTGGAAACGAATTCTGCAGAGTTTGAAGATATCTGCGAGTTGTGATTTTACTTAATTCTGAAGGAGAGATTCCAAGATTCGCGAGTGGTTAATTGCTCCTTGGGATCAAAAACGTGTGTGGCGGCCACTTGCTACTCGTGTAATGTATGAAGCGCTCCTTAGTCGACCGAATGAAAATAAACTCGAGTGCGTCTCGGAGTTTCAAGTTTGAGTTTTGCTTTAGAGGCTGCCTTGACTTAGTACCTGGCTGGGGTAGCTTAGATATTGAAGAGCTTGGTTTGAGCCGAAGATCGCACCGCAGAAGAATAACGCGCTACAAAGTTCTGGTTAAAAGTGCTCCCGCCCAAGTCATTATCTAACCAGGCAAAGTAGTATTTGAAGGGAGTCTTATCGACTTCGCCGGGTCGGGAAGAGAGCTGTACAATGATCGAGGCGACTGTCATGTTGGTCAGTGTCTGCACGGAAATCAGCCACAGCGTGAACGTAAACCGTTCTCCTTCGTAGAGCTAGAAACTGTTGTTGAGCGAAAGACTCTCCTTGATCCTTAATAATCTACATGTAGCGTGGTTGTATGACCGAATTCCTAGACGATTAGGGAATTTAACTTTAGCAGTCGACTGCGCAACTCAATTCAGATTCATCATCAGATGAAATCTAAGGAAGCTGTTTTTCCTAATTGAGAAAGGTACCTGTCTAGTGATGGACTCGTGGCAAACTCCGTAAACAAGATAACAGGAAATCACGGCGGTGAAGCATTTGACCAGGAGAAGTCTTTTCTGGGCTACGGAAGAAACGACCGTTTTCGCATTTTGCGATTTGGCAGCGGTAAGCAGCGGGTTATTCTCCACATCGATGTCGTGCATCTTCTTCTTTTCTTCCTTTCTTTGCCTTTTCTTCACATCATTTCATCACATTACTTTCTGGAAAAAAAAGTAATAAGGTAAGTGCATAAAATGAATTCTTTTTTTACTGGTACGGTACACTAAACAAGGTTTGAGTTGATCAGGATTCAGAGAAGGCGATTTCTGAGCAAAAGAATGATTATTTTTGAGTTGGAAGGGCAGTTGTTCTTTTTCTTCAGTTTAGTTTTTTAATCAGCGGTAAGGTCTTCTCTTTCTCTAGTTTTGGAATTCTAGTACGGTCGGTATCGCCGTCGCTCGTCGCGCATTGGGCCGTCTCGTCGACCATCCTGAAGAACAGTTAGATTCTAGCGCCACCGAAAGCTGCGTAGAAATCCTGACTCAGGGTCTTTAAGGAGCTTTAGAGGTCTTCCGAACCCTGACTCAGCTTTTTCAGACAGGTTGCCGATCCTAGACAGAAAGGTCTTACTCTAATTGCTATGTCCATAAAGTCGCCAATCTGAAACTTGGAGTCTTGCAGGGAGAGATTCTCATCGCCAGACTTTCCTCCAGAGACAGTCTTTCCAATTTCCTTCACTCGATATCGGTTCATTCTCGTATCCTAAAGACGGTTATACTTCGAAAACGGGCGTCGATTTAGCTAACCTGGTAGACGATGGCAAAGTGGAATTCAGTTCCTCTCTTGCGCGTTTCTGGATTGACGCCGCGGACGAGATTGGTGATTTCCTTGAGCGTCGCGTCCATCCAGGTGTAGACTGAAGTATTTACGTTTGTTTAGGGTTATCGCTGGTAGGGTACCTTGCAGTTCATTGTCTGGAGTTTGATTACGCGAAAAGTCATCTGGCCGGTTGTGTCGTCCTAAGTACAAAGATTAAAATAAACAGAGCCAGCGAAAGTTGGAACTTCAAGAGTTGTTTTATCTTCAGAAGATACCTTTCGAGTGGAAAACTCGGAGCAGCATGGGGCAGGTCTTCTCTCTGTCGACTGGCTCGCTTCTCGACTCCTTCTTCGGCGAGACTTGGACCACATCGGACCTCATGCGCGAGTCGACACCCATCTGAATAAAGAAAAGGGTGAATACAGTGAAATACAGTCTAAGTAAAAAGAAAATTGATAAATAATATCTCTTAAACGCACTGAAAGAAAGAAAATTAGTTTTTATAAACATTTTTACAAAAAAATGACACATTTCCACTTTTTTCTGCATGAAAATGACAAATACAACAAAATTTTGAAATAGAATTTTCTAATATTCACAAAATTTTAATTCAATTACATTTTTTCCGAGGGAAAATACAGTAGTAAATTTAAAATGAAGAGTTTCTCTTTTAAAATCGAAAAATATCTCGAAAAAATAAAAAATCATGATTTTTCTTCTGAAATAAGTTTCTTCTGAGCATAATCTCTAAGTCGAAAAGGTTGAGATAGGTGTAGATTTCGTCTTTTTTAAGATTCTTGAGATTCGCTGGGAGCGGCTCTTGGAGTTTTGCCGATGCGTCATCGGGTGCGCGGCGGGGGCGAAGCGCCGCGCTCTTTTCTTTTTTCAAAAAGGATTTTCCTTTTCCCGATTTGGAAATCCGATTGTCGCCACTCCGCCCAACCTCTGGAGAAGAACCTGAAAGAAGAAAGAAAAAATGGCGACTTTTGATTTGGGATTCTACATTTAGACATAGCATAACTTTTCCTATGATTTGTCGAGGCGAAAAAAATAACATGAATTTTTGGAATTATAGACGAAGATTCCGGACTCGGAAACCTGAGTCAGGATTTGATAGTCAGGTATAGTATAGGCTATACTCCTGATTATCAAATCCTGACTCAGGTTTCAGAGTCCAGACTCTTCGTCTATAATACCAAAAAATCATGTTATTTTTTCGCCTCGACAAATTAACTCAAATAACTCAGTAAGTACCTCAACATAATCCCCTGTGGAGGCTTGAGAGGTCAAGTCCAGCAGCAGAATTATGTTAGGAATCCTATCGAAGAAATTCAAGGCTTCCTGGACGATTCAGCGAGCGGCTACGTCATGCCAAAGGAAGGTCAAATTGTAATTTAGGAAGCACTCTCTTCTGATCTTTGGAATGAGGACAGGTGGCGTCTTCTTCTAAAAAGGAGTGTTTTATCAATAAACTTACGATTTGAGCTTTGAGCCAGGCCAGCTGTGAGCATTTAGAAGAGCATGTAAAAGTAAGGAGCTTACTCGAGCAAGTCAAGCCGGATAATGTCTGCGGCGAATGGTGAGTCCTGATGCCTATCAGTAGATATTTACAAAACTCGAGGCCTCTTCCTGAACAAGGCGCGAAACGAATTCAACAGTTTTCAAGCCGGCGGAACATAATAACTTTATTCACAAAAATCTAGCGAAAAAATAAGTGTAGCGCGAAAAAATTTGCACGAGAAAATGTGAAATTTTTACACAGCGTCCAACATCCAAAAACTGCATGTTTTCTGCTTTGGTTGAATTTGGAGCTCTTCATTCTGAATTCAAATGAATTCGAAGCCTTTCGCGAATTCTGTATACGTCAACTGCGCCAACTGCGGGTTGTAGTGGCTCGTCGCACTGTAGTTCTTTTTTGGATGGGTAATCGAGACTCTCTGCTTTTGTTTTTTTAATTGCTTTTTTTCTTAAATTCGATCTTATTCCACATTTTGGATTAAAACGATCCTGTAGCCCTCAATCATTATACCAATCTAAATCAGAGTTGCAAATTTGTTGAGCGGAGTGAGCTGAGCTAACTGAGTGAGCTGAGCAGTCGCTCTGCTCAGCTCAGCTCAGTGATTTTTGAAAATGATCTGATCTGCTCAGACTATTTTCACTCAGCTCAGCTCAGCTCAAATATTTTCAAACACGATCTTTTCTACTACGCTCAGCTCAGCTCAGACAATTATCAATTAGCTCAGCTCAGCTGAATGATTTTAACACAATTTCTCTACAAAAAACACAGTAAAAAACAGCTCAGCTCTAATTAGGGTCCGCTCAGCTCAGCTCAACTACCTTAAAAAAAGGTCTGCTCAGCTCAGCTCAGTTACCACCGAAATAGGCCAGCTCAGCTCAGCTCAAAAAAATTTTTACTCTGCTCAGCTCAGCAAAAATAAACCAAAATTGGCAACTCTAATCTAAATCGCTAAATCAACTTCGATAATTAATACTGTAACTTGCATAGAGCTTCAAGCAAATAACGAGCAAGACGGGGTCCACGCATTACTACAAACTGTAATAGTGAAACACGTTCTTGATGAGTGAAACATGTATTTCCCAAACAGTTATCCCAAATTTCTGTATCTACTCGAAAAAAGTTTGGAAAATACAGTTCGAGCTAATCAATAATTTGGCTCGTACAGAAATTTTAAATGACGTTTTTGGGCCGAAATTAATGAAAATTTCCCTTTTTAATTTTTTTGGAATGGCGCGCTTCGCGCGCCATTCCCAAATTCTTCTCGATTTCTGTATATATTCGAAATTCCCTATTTTCAAATTTCTTAATTTCTAATCTACTACATATTTTCCTATTTTTTTTATATAATGGGCGCTGAGCGCCCAATTTTCAAATTCTGTACGAATTCGAAAATTCTAATTCAAATTAACTACTTTCTAATCCCTACTCTATTTTCCTATTTTCTATATATAATGGGCGCGGAGCGCCCAATTCCCAAATTCAACAAATTTGAGGCGTCATTATTTTGGTAGCTAGGGGCGGGGCGGGGGAGATTTTACCTACCGATCTTCTGATGAGACCTGTAGCCTTTTTACGGATTTTGCCGAAAACCCTGTATTATCTCGAAAACCTATATATAATATATGAAATTTTAAACGTCATTATTTTGGAAGCTAGGGGCGGGGCGGGGGAGATTTTACCTACCGACCTTCTGCTGAGACCTGTAACGTTTTTACGGATTTTCCCATAAACCCTGTATTTTCTCGAAATCCATATTCAATTTTTATTTGGCCTGAAGCAATTATCGCTTATAACCGGAAATCCCGTTTTACTCGAAGTGGATGATCCTTCGAATAGTCAATTATGGTGAATTTTCGAATTGGCTTGAGCTCTGAGTGCTCTTGATCGACTAAAAGGATGTCTTGGATTCCGTTGATTCCTTTTGCAATCAAAGTCTGCGCCCTTTTCAGCTAAAAAAACCTTCTTGTCAGACAATTAACCATCCCTGATCTTTCCATAGATCTTATTCCTTCTTTCAATGAAAAATTTCTCCTCTTCAAATCCATTTCTTCTCTTTCCATCTTCTGTCATATCGGAGTAAACAGTCGCTAAGGTCCTGTGTAGCCGAGCATCATCCAAGAATGGTAAAAGGGCGACTCCCGTCCGTTCGAATTTTTCCCTTTGAGATCGACGACGAACTCAGTTTGGTTGAAGTTAACGATTTATATGAAAGGCATCTCTGGAATTCAATTCCAAAAAAATTCAAAAAAAAAAATTTTTTTTTTCGAGGGTCGTGGGTTGATTTTTTTTTTCAAGTTCGAAAATTTTGGCTAATACATGTTTGGCTAATCAATAATTTGCCTCGAAGATAAACTAAAAATGACCTTTTTTGGGCCCAAATTAATGAAAAATTTCCTTCTTTTTTTCTAGTCTTTTATATTTTCCTATTTTCTTTATATAATGGGCGCGGAGCGCCCGGTTTACGAATCCTATATTCTGGAATTGGTTTTTGTATTGAAATTGGTGCTCAAACTCTGAGCTCTGAACTGAAGCTCTGCTTACAGTAGAAGAAGGTGAGCCGCTTGCCAAACTGGAGAGTCGTTAGACGAGTCGTAAAGACTTGGAAGCTCTGTACTCTTATTATTCATCCATGATTTGATTGCCGCAAGGTTGCTTGAGATTGCCGAATCCAAGTTGCCAAAATGCTTCACTCGTCTCTGATGACGAATGCAATTTTCTTTCTGCTGCTCCGTGAAGCTATCATCGAATCCACAAGCGGCGATTTCGTTTGGCTTGACGAGAATGTCTTGATTTTGTAAGACATGATTGAGTTCTGGCAGCGCGATGTTGTTTTGGTAAAGTAAAAACTCAATCTTGGCGAGAAGGAGGCCGAGACAGATACGATTCTGGTGGAGCAAAGATCGAGAAGCTCGCAGATATGTAGCCATGACAAGGAATTTGACGATTTTGTCCAGTCGCTCGGCCTTGTCAGTAGCTTCCGCAGGCCCATCAGCGATGGCGGAGTTGAAAATATCAAAGAAATTGAGGCTGAATTGGTAAAGCCTGTTGATATAATGTAGCGAGTCAAGTATAAAGAAAATGGACAAGCAGGCGGTTGAGAGAGGCTGATAAGTAGCAGATTCTCGCTCGATTTCGTTCATTACATCTTTTGTTTCGGAAGCCTTTTGAGCGATTACCTTAGCCTCCTTCTTGAGTGTTTTAAGAGCAGTGATGACCTTATCGTCGTTCAGGATTTTTCCTTTGACATCGTTGAGAGTCGAAAGAAGCTGTTGTTCGAGCTGGCGAGTTCGTAGCTGATATTCTTCTTGAAGCTTAAGCGTGTCATTTCTTTTGCGTCGACATCAGGCCTCTCAGCACGTAAAACGGAGCTCAAGCACTGGCTCATAAGCGAGCTTCGAGTGACGGCTTAGTTGACCATAGTGTCACGCGAGCAAAGAGACGCAGAGAATTCATGAGTCGTATCACGAGTTGCGAGGAAAATCTTGAAGTTTGGAGAAAGATCAATGTCTTGATCACCGATGGTAATCAAAACACGTCCACCAGATTTGCGAACTTAGCGGTTCAAAACCGGGTTCAGAATCGGATCATAGGATTCTGCATCGTGAACCAGGATAGGGTTTCCGAATCACATGAAGTTGACACGATCTTGTTGTCGGCATATTGCGTTTTGATGTAGCCAGTCGCTTGTCCGGATAAGAGTATATCGGTTGTATCGCTCCAACATGATCGCATTTTCAATACAAAGATCATCAACTGGCAAGCTTATCCACGGTTGAGAGATATTCTGACTGTGACAGAGTCTCGCGGAATGTGATCTCAGCTTCCAGAGGACGGTCTTCCCTAGCACTTTCAAGGTTGGCTCGCATTTCTTGGTCAAAGTAAGCAGCGTAAGATTCGAAAGCGGTGGAGAGAAGACAATCTCCCGGAAGAGTGGACATCTGAGCCTGGAAGTTAGTTGATGACTCTTGCCAACGCTCACGCTCGGAACCAAGATTCGCGAGAAGACCTTCGGATCGATTGACCTTTGATTCGACATTTTGCATCTCAGCCTTGATCGCTTCTGCTTTCGCGATTAAGGATATAGCCTATGAAATTGAACTTTCATAGCGCCTAAATGCGACGTCGAATCATTTTATTTCAAAGACAATCCTATCTCAAAATGTACGCAGAACTCGATTCTAGTACTTGTTTAAAAATTTTCATTAGAATTTTTCTCTTTAGAGCGTTTTAAAATCTTACGATCGCGATTTCTCGAAATATTTACATTAAATCGCTAAAAATAAACCAATAACTGCATTGACAAAATGCTAAACTAGAATATTGTGGCTGAAGAATTCTCAAACTGGGCCAAATTTTGATTCTAGTGTTTTCCTCTTTCTTGCTCCTGTTTTTCTTCCATGCGCGCTTTTTTCGGTCCAACCAATCAGAGCGCACTTTCAAACGCGCAGACTCTCTCGGGAAAGAGGAATCGAGAGATTGAGCACCCAGCGCAGCGCTTTTTACACTATTCGCGCGCTGAGGAAGCCTCATGGAAATGACTCTAAAGTCGGTTTTTGTCGGGATAAGAGAAAACCGAAGCCACAATATTGTAGATAAGGGTCTAGATTACTTTTCTATCAAAAAAACTCGACCGATTTAATGTAAAGATTTCGAGAAATCGCGATCGTAAGATTTCAAAACGCTCTAAAGGGAAAAATTCTAATGAAAATTTTTAAACAAGTACCAGAATCGAGTTCTTCATACATTTTTAGATAAGATTATTTTTGAAATAAGATGATCCGACGTCGCATTTAGGCGCTATAAAAGTTCAATTTCATAGGCTATATCCTTAAGGCAGCGAATTCTTTCTTGTACTCCTCGATCTTTGTGAGAAGTTCAGCGATGAGCGCTCACATATCCGCTGACTCTTTTTTACTTTGCTCGGTCTCGTTCATGAGCGATTTCAGTTCTTGACGCAATGGATCGACTTTCTTCAACATGTCCGAGTAGTTAACGTGTGTGGATGCCCACTTGACGAGAGGTCCACAAGCTTTGGATGCCTTGTTGATTTTTTCGAAGCTGTACTCAGGATTATTGAGGAAGTTTGATTGCAAAGTCTTTCTCGTCTTGTCTGGAAACAGCTCAGAGTCAAAATTGACAATACTGCCAATGAATCCGTCTTTGACGATAGTTTTACGAATTTGGGGCCATTCAGAAGATGCTTCACCAAGAAATGCCAAGATTGTCGGACTCAGTGATGTATTGATGGTAGTGCCTGAACCGACGATTAGACATCTTATTAACAAAGGCATCCCACAAAATCGCGTTTTTCATTCGACCGATACTTTTCATGTAATAAAGCGCGTATATTAAGGCCAAAAATGCACTTTAAATATCCTCTTTAATATAAATGATAATTATAATTTAGATAAAATGCAAAAAAAAAAATTTTTTTTTCGAGGGTCGTGGGTTGATTTTTTTTTTCACGCGCGAAAATTTTGGCTATTACATGTTTGGCTTATCAATAATTTTCAAAATTTTTAGCACGTTTTTAACGCCCAAATTCCAATTTTAGCCCCTTTTAATTTCATAAGTTCTGAAAAAAAATTTTGGGTTCCCCGATGCTGATTTGCGTTCAATCCCTACCTACACGGAATTGTGGTGTTTGTCTAGACCAGTTGGTATTGGAGACATTTCCGGTGTCGAAAGAATTCTTCCAGGGATGAAAAAAGCAGCTCGAGCACTAAAAAAGAAATTGAACACATTCGTGTCATCTTCTCTTACCTCAGTGGCCGGGTTGGTTCGATCTCCATACCAGCTTTAGCCAAGTGGGAAGACTTACGCAGTTGCTACGGCCATTTTCAGCAGATCGGTAGGCGAACGACTTTGATGGACGGTCTCGACAATGCGCTTTAGGGTTTCCCTTAGATAAGATCATTAAAATATCAGCTTGAAATACTATTGTTCTATTAAATTTGATCTTTTTCCTGAAATGCGTCGCAAATCGATCATACAACTTGAGTGTTTTCGGCAACAATCGACTGAGAATCGCTAGTCTCTCAATCACGTAACAATCCATATCTTCAAATCGAGGACATGATCTTGGCGTTATCTTCTCAAGAATCGGCTTCAATTCGCTGTGGATGGAATCCATCGTTATCTCGGTCGCTTTCTTCCCCATTGTTTTTTCAAGAAAGAATTCTTAGCACAGCCAGAGTTGCAAATTTGGCTTTATTTTTGCTGAGCTGAGCTGAGCTGCCCTGAGTGAGAAATTCTCTGAGCTGAGCTGAGCTGAGCTGGCCTATTTCGGAGCTCACTCAGCTGAGCTGAGCTGAGCTGGCCATTTTCAGAGGTCATTGAGCTGAGCTGAGCTGAGCAGACCTTTTCTTAAGGTAGTTGAGCTGAGCTGAGCTGAGCAGACCCCAATTAGAGCTGAGCTGAGCTGAGTGAGCTGGGTTGAGCTGTTTTTTTACTGTTTTTAGTAGTAAAATTGTGTTAAAATCATTGAGCTGAGCTGAGCTGAGCTGAATGATACTTTTCTGAGCTGAGCTGAGCTGAGCAGAACAGATCATTTTCGAGAATAATTGAGCTGAGCTGAGCTGAGCTGAGCTGAGTGATAATTGTATGAGCTGAGCTGAGCTGAGCAGATAAATTCATTTTCGAAAATCAGTGAGCTGAGCTGAGCTGAGCGACTGCTTAGCTCACTCAGCCAGCTCAGCTCACTCAGCTCAGCAAATTTGCAACTCTGAGCACAGCTCGGCACTTTTTATCAGCTCTTCATCCTTTTTCTTTTCTTTCAGCTTCGTCATGTTTTTAAAGTGCGGAGAAGATGTCTTCTCTGAGCTTTTTGATGTTGCAGCAGTGGGACATGACACGCATAGCTTCAATTCTGAGCGGAGTCAGGGAATTTTCATAGCTATGCTCGTTCTTGATCATTCACTTTTTGTAACAGTGCCGGTTTATATATTTTTCATCGGCGGACATGATCTTAAACGTTTCGACAAGGAAGGTATGGCATTCAGCAGTAGGCTCAGGACTGTAAGCAAATACAGGAGGGTCCAGGCCGAGGCAAAAGGCAGAACCGTTCAAAATGCCAATCTGGATTGGAATTGCCTTGAAGTTCATGTTTCCAAGTTTTCCTTTTGACGGAAACTGGAAAGGTGGAATTTCAAGAATAGTTTTATATTTGCCGACGATTTTAAGAATGATTTCAGAAGTGTCTTTTCCGGCTTCTTTAGCGATTCGCTGGAGAGTCTTCTGCGAGAAATCACGGACAATTTCGAAAGGAGAAATGATATCATTAACCATCGCCTTCAGAAGCGATTCTCTGACCAACTTTATATCTTGAGGGTTGATGTTTTTCGAATTGTCAAGAAAAACGCGCTGGATGAGTTTCCAAAGAGTAGCATGCGTCAGCTCGACGGCTGAAAAAGAAACTTCGTTTTCCAAAATGTACAAAAGCGCATTGTACCGCGATTCACATGCGTGAGTGACCAACTCAAAATCGTTTGTAGAATGGTAAGCTGTGCTCGTAGACCCATGTCAGGGGAAGTACTCGAGAAGCTTTTCAATGGCGTTTCTAGCAGCGGACTTGATGTACCAGCTACGCTCGTAGCAGACTTGGTGGAGCTCGCGGGCGATGAGGACGAAAAATAGGAGCTTGGTGACTTTGACTCCATTTTCAAGCAGCAAAGTAGTAGTTTCATAAGCAACTTTTACTAAACACAGCTGAGGAAATGACATCGATGTTACACTCCTGGAGCTCAAATGTATTCACGATCGCTTCGACAATGTAGACCATCTTGCTGTTCTGATAATTCATCAACGGAAGCTCACTCATTGGAGATACGTAAAAACCGCAATTAACAATGACTAAGTGGCGGATCAACGTCTCAATGTGGAATCGAGCTACATCGGAGATCGAAGAATCTTCAAACTGAAGAGTCTTCAGTGAAGACTGTAAATTAATTTTTCAAGAGGAATTTCCATCTTGACATCGTTGAACTCCATCACCATGATTTGCGAAAAGGCCTTGTTGAACTCTACCCATTCCAATTGAGGGGCTTCTCACAACGAGCTCCTGCTCTCACCACCGAATTTTCCGAGAATTCAGAATGCTGCTGTGCAACAGTTTTCCCTCTCCTTGCTTGATCGAATGATATCATCGCGATTGATGATGTCCCACAGTGCTCGCATCATTTGAGGCCGAACAGGTCGAATCTTCTCTTGCAAGAAGTCTGGTTGGAGATTGTCGACGAAGAGCTCCAATCCGCGACCATTGTATATAATAAATAGGAAAATATTAATTGGTTAGAAAAATACGAAATTTAAATTAGAATCGTTCAGATTGGTACAGAATTTAAAATTGGTCGCTCCGCGACCATTATATATCATAAATAGGAAAATATATTGTTTATTAGAAAAATTGAAATTTATAAATAGGGAATTTCGAGTTAATGTATGAAATCTGGAATGAATAGTATAATAAAAAGCTTTTGCTCTCCAAGTCCGTTTTTCCATCTTCTGTCAAATTGGAACTAACAGTCGCTAAGGTTTTCAGTAGCCGAGCATCATCCAAGAATGGTGGAAGGGTGACTCCCGTCCATTCGAATTTTTCCCGTTGAGATCGACGACGAAATTGGTTGGGTAGAAGTCAAAGATTTGTTAGAGAAGCATCTTTGGCATTCCAATAAAAAAAAAAAAAAATTTTTCCGGGGGTCGTGGGTTGATTTTTTCAATGTCGAGAATTTTGGCTATTACATGTTTGGCTAATCAATAGTTTTGCTCGTACAGATAAATTAAATGACGTTTTTGGGCCCAAATTAATGAAAATTCCCTTTTTAATTTTTTTTTGAATGGCCAAACATGACACGCAAAAGATATTACTGCCATAATTCCAGTACATGGCATAGATAGATAATGATCAATTTCAAATTATAAATTTGAGTATAATATAATATAAAATACATTCGGGCAAATACAGGGGTTTCCGGAAAATCAGTAAAAAGACAATAGGTGTCATCAAAAGGTCGGTAGGTAAAATCTCCCCCGCCCCACCCCTAGCTTCCAAAATAATGACATTATAAATTTCGCATATTATATAGGTTTTCGGACAAATACAGGGGTTTCTGGAAAATCAGTAAAAACCCTATAGGTCTCATCAGAAGGTCGGTAGGTAAAATCTCCCCCGCCCCGCCCCTAGCTACCGAAATAATGACCCCTCAAATTTGTTGAATTTGGGAATTGGGCGCTCCGCGCCCATTATATATAGAAAATAGGAAAATAGAGTAGGGATTAGAAAGTAGTTAATTTGAATTAGAATTTTCGAATTCGTACAGAATTTGGAAATTGGGCGCTCCGCGCCCATTATATAAAAAAAATAGGAAAATATATTGTAGATAAGAAAATAGAAATTTGTAAAAAAGGGGGATTTCGAGTAAAAACAGGATATCTGGATCGATTTGGAATGGGCCGCTGCGCGGCCCATTCAAAAAAAAATTAAATTCGGGCGAAAAATCGAGTTTAAAATTTTCGAAAACATTGATTAGCCAAACATGTATTTACTCGAAAATTGATTTTTTGTTTGGTTAGTACATGTTTGGAAAATACATAAATTTTTTATAACGGTTTGGGTAATACATGTTTCATTAATCAAGAACGTGTTTCATTATTACAGTTTTCAGTTATGCGGGGACCCCGCAAGACGGCGCTGGTGACTCCCATTCCGCTAAAAGTGAAATTTAAATTTCCAGAATGGGAAAATCCTTCGCCTGCATGAGAAGCAACAACACTTTTCCCGGGGCTCGGCTTCTGTTCAATTCCGCTGCCCAGCAGTTTATAAATATTTTCTAATTTTAGATAACCGTCAAAGAGTCTAAGCTAGTGCCGAGCCGCCGCCTTGTAAGGAGTCGTTTGTTGTTTCTTCTTCTGCCATTTGCGCTCTTGTCAATAATGCTCTTCGAGTTGTAATTTTCTGTTTGGCAATAATAAAATGACCTTCCACCAAAAAGAAAAACTCATTTCAAAAAGTGCTTTTCTGCCAGATCGACGCGCCGATCATCTAAAAGCCCTTTCGAAAGCAATCATTTCGAATCACGTTTTTCAATAATCTTTTCATTCTTTGAACAGCTCTTTCAAAGGGCCAAGGAGCGAGAAAATAATTTCAATATAATTTTAGCCATAAATTTTAATCGGAGCAGAAATCTCTTATATCGAAGAGCGGACTCATTTTTTTAGTAGCCGCTGTGCGGCTTTTCATTAAAGATCGTTCCAGACCCTGATACAGGGATTGCTACACAGGTTACCTGGGCTCGGCAACCTGAGTAGAAAACCTGAGTCAGGCTCAGGAAGAGCTAAAATGAAAAGCCGCGTAGCGGCTTTTTTTAAAAAAGAAGCCGCAAAGTGGCGTCGCCAGGTTTATTTGCGAAGCCGCTTTAAAAAAGCCGCTACGCCAGAGCCTGACTCAGGTTTTCTACTTAGGTTGCCGAGCCCTGGCTAAAGCTAGAATCGAGGGGCCCCTATTGAAAAAATGAAAAGATGCGCGTTCTCTAAAAAAAGAACGCAGCTCACCCGAGTGATGTACGAGTGTTGTCCGGGAACACGCTAATGGATTAGAGCCGACTCATCAAGTTCACGTTGTGATGCTCCGAAATGCTAAGCCAATTACTCAAGTATCATCTTGGGCTTCGCTTTTGAAAGGAACGCGTGCTTTCTGTGTTTTCTCCATTAAAAACTCCGCTCGTACATGCGTTTCTGCGTGTTATGATTAAAGTGAGCCTAGCGCCAATTTGCTAATTAATTAAGTCTTTTGAGTGGATAATAACACGTCTAAATGTCGACTTTATTGCTTGTTTCGCCACATTTTAAAGTTCCAGGATTATGTCTCGACCTGTCAGAAATAATTGAACTATTAAATTAATTAATTGCTGATTTATGTAAACTTTTAAATGAAAATTCTTAATTGGAAAAAGAAAAGTGAATTCTCACGAATCTGGTTGAGCTCATAGACGGGCGACATTTGAAGTGAGGGCGCAAGGATGAAAGAGGGCCAGCCCTGGACTGGTTTTGTTATCACCTTTTGCTTATTTTACTGCATCTCACAGTGTTCTTTTTTTAGCGGTCACGAGGAGGAGAACTGGATTTGCTTAGCTTGTGGGGATTGCTTCTGCGGCAGGATCGGTTCAACTTTAAAGTAATGAAAAAACAACTACAGGAGAAGGGAGAGAGAGGGAGGCGTAGAGAGGGGTTATCGTTCGAGCCATCCAATATCTCTAGAATCTGGGCCAGTGGTTAGGGTTAGGGTCTGGGAACTCTTAAGGGGGTATTGGGAGGCGAAGCCCCTGCATTAGGCCTTACGTGAGGGGGTTCCGGGGGTTAGGGTTAGGGGCAGCTCGAATGATAACCCCCTACTACCGAGGAAGAACCGCGTACAGATTCATCAACCGCCACATGGTGGACCACTCAATGGAGAAATACCATCTAGTGGCTTTGGAAGGGCTCTTTATTCACTCTTTTTTTTCTGGACAGACATGTGCAGGAGGGCGAGAATTTGGCGAATATGCTTGTTAATCCTTGTTAGCGGGCTCTTGACTTTTTAATGAAAATTTACCGCCGGCGCACTTATGCACTGCAATAGATTGCGTAAATCGAGGAGTGCGGCGATAATAGGCCACTTTGGGGAAATCAAAGGGCCACTTTCGATCACGTAACGCATTTAGATCTTGTAGACTCGGACGTCGTATTGTCGATATCTGACAAAATAGAAGTTATCTTGTCAGAAACGCGCACGTTACGATCGCAAATCTAGCACGTGGCAATACTCTCCGCTAAGAAGAACAGATTTTTCAGTTGAATAATATTTGGCGGAATTATGAACGCGTTTGTTTTTCTTGAGCCCGCGAAACATAATCCAATATTAAGGGCTATGAAAACAGCTCATTCATTTCTAAATTAGAGGCAGCCCGAATCGCTGCGCCTATATTAGATTTTGAGGGCTTGATTTGATTTGCCATTCCTTGGGCTTTGAAAGTTCGAAGATCCAAAAAGCGCGTCAAATTCGATTCGATCGCGTATATGTAGTCGCGGTGTCTAAACGCTAAATAAAGAAGTTCCTCGTCATGAATATCAGCCCGTTCAGTCATTATCTGATTTGTCGTTCTGGTGCTACGTTTGCGACGAATACGCACGGGCTTTAGCGCTTATTTTCATCAATTCACTAAATCGCTCAATTCGCGCCGCTAAAGCCCAGCGAACAGATCATTCACACGAATCCAATCCTCCATCCTCTCTACAGAGACGCCCACAAGGCAGTAGTTTTAAATCAAGCCCACGGAGACCCCGTTCATCCATTTCTTCTTTCTATGGATATCCTCTCGCTAACCTGTGTAGAAAACCTGAGTCAGGGTCATGAAAGATGGCTTTTTTAATCGTTCACTTTCAAAATCCTAACTCAGGTTTTTACACAGGTTGCTGAGCGAAATAAATTGAATGAAAAGAGGCACCACAGTCTGGGCTTGGCAAACTGTGTAGAAAACCTGAGTCAGGGTCTGAAAGAGCAGAAATGAAAAGCCGCGTAGCGGCTTTTTTATAAACAGAGCCGCAAAGCGGCTTCGCTAGAATTTTTTTATAGATTGTAATGTTAATATTCGCGACTACGCGGCTTTTCATTTCAGCTCTTTCGGACCCTGACTCAGGGGTCCTACACAGTTTGCCGAGCCCAGACTGTGGTGCCTCTTTTCATTCAATTTCTTTCGCTCAGCAACCTGTGTAAAAACCTGAGTCAGGATTTTGAAAGTGAACGATTAAAAAAGCCAATCTTTCCTGACCCTGACTCAGGTTTTCTATACAGGTTGTTTAGTCCAGACCACAGTTCTATCATTCTAGATCCAATAATTATAAATAGTTGTTATTGAACTACGTGAAATAGGGAAAGTTTGGCGATTATCCACCAGGCACGAACGAATCAGATCAATAAAAGAAACATGCTCACTCTTTCGCGACTACTTGGTTATAAATATGTTAGCTCTGGAATCATAATAAAAAAGAATAATACAGAATGTCTTTGAGTGGATCAGCGCGTTCTGTCGTGGTGCCACTTGTTGCTTGGGGAAAATAAATTAGCGCCCGAGAATGGTAACTAACCAGCGTTCACGTTGGGCGGTTTCGAATTTACAAAACCGTGTCAAAACACGTATTACAGTTGCTTTTGCCGGAAAGAATGCGAAAAGCCTCTCTTGGCGTTTTCTACGAATTTCATTAGCCGCAGCTCTAAACTCACTGCTTGCTTGCTTACTGACACTTTGTATACAGGCGATAATTACAGGCGCATATTCGTAGACTACTCCATGTTTATGCAGAAAACAGAACCCGCAACTACTGTAGTTACTGAATCAAAAGCGAATAAACCTGCATCCTGCAACTGGGCTCGGCAACCTGAGTCAGGGTCTGAAAGAACTGAAGTAAAAGCCGCTACGCGGCTTTTTTAAAAACGAAGCCGCAGCGCGGCTTCGCCTGAAGATTTAGTAGATTAAAACGGTAATATTAGCGAAGCCGCTTCGCGGCTTTGTTTTTAAAAAAGCCGCTACGCGGCTTTTCATTTCAGTTCTTTCAGACCCTGATTCAGGCTTTTAACAAAGGTTGCCGGGCCCAGTCCTGCAATAAACGGAAAGAGAGAGACAAGCAAAAGATTAAAGTTTTGAAAAAACAATAATCTGGATTTTAAATTGGGGTGAGAAAATTGATTTTATTCAGGTTCCATAGGAGTGATCTTCTTTTTTGAAGAAGTACAAATTATCCACTGCGCTGTGGATTTCCACGGCTTTCTCCAAAGAAGGGGATTGCTCAACGCAGTTGTAGAACAAGCTACTAAAATAGTGTGTAGTGAGCTTACTACAAACTCAACATGAATACGTACCTAAATTTTTGCGGCGTCGGACTTGTCCGATTCACTCTGAAAAGCGAACTGAGGAAAATTCGGAAAGCGCTTTCTTTATAAAGCCCGGTCCCATGTCAATATCACGTGATTTTTAGAGATTCTAGAGATGATTTTTGTTCTCTCTTTTTGACTAATTTCTTGCTTTTTGAATTTCATGAATCTCAAAATAACAAGAGATTCTAGAGCTTCTTTGGAAGAGACAACTTCAAAGGGCCGTCAATTGTTATCCAATTTTTTCGCGAAAATTAGCTCCGCCAAATTTAAACAGGTCTCGCGATATCCGCTGCGACCGCAAGAAGATTTATTTATGTCCTTGGAACATTTCATAAAAGTGAGCTCAAGCTTGGGCAACAGATAATCAGAGGGATAACAAAGGGTAAATATTTAATTTAAAATCCAATTCTCCCCGCTGAAAATCAGCTTTCTACGCTTTGAAGAAAGAGTGCCGTTTTAGCGCGTTTATACTCAACGAGCTCGCTCGCTGCTTTATCGCTGCTCAGCTGCAAGATTGTGAAATGAGAGGTTTTTGGGCGGAGGCAGACGCGTGAATTTGACCACATTTGGAACGGAATGAGCTTGTGAGCACTTCTGCGGCTGTAGATTACCCTCGCATGACTGTATTAATGACTGCTGGGCGAAAATGATGAGAGACACGAAAAGTGGCCCCTTTTGTGGATCAACTTTTCGAAAACTGCGGTCCAGTGGCTCAACTAACGAACCCTCAATCGGCGAGGCGTTATCGCGCAAATTACAGTTTTCGCGATTTGTAACTTTTTCGAGTTTGATTTTCTCTTGTAAAGTTTTCGCGTGTAACGGATTAATGAATAGTTTCGTTTCTGGTTGCGAGCAAAGTCGATTTGGCTGAAGTTGATTATCAATTTCTTTCGACTGTTATTAACTCTGTTATTAGGTAAAAGAGCCCTTCAAGAGGTAGAGTAGCGCCCTTGAGAAAGAGCTATGTCCAGCATTCGTCAATAAATAGCTTAATTCGATTGCTGACCTTTTAGATAATTTTCGATTGGGCAAAATATAAAAACTGCTAATAAGTAATTGCCAGGTACTCGCTTCTTCTTTCTGTGAGAGCAAGCGAACGTGGTCTCGTTAGCCAGATTCCGGAAGTGGAAAGAATCTTCGAAGAATTATGATAGAGTATACTTGTGACTCGGAGCCACGACTGGTGTTTACTTCGCCATCTTCCGGTTCATGTGCATCTTCTTTCATAACGGCGAGGGTCGACATCACCAGAGTTGCAAATTTTGCTCCATTTTTCCTGAGCTGAGCTGATCTGAGTAAAAATTTCTCTGAGCTGAGGTGGCTTATTTTTGGAGGTTACTGAGCTGAGCTGAGCTGAGCTTTTTCAGAGGTCGTTGAGCGAAGCTGAGCTGAGCAGACCTTTTTTAAAGGTAGTTGAGCTGAGCTGAGCTGAGCGGACCCTAATTAGAGCTGAGCTGGTTGAGCTGAGCTGTTTTTTACTGTGTTTTTAGCTGGCCTTTCTCAGAGGTCATTGAGCGGAGCTGAGCTGAGCAAACCCTTTTTTAAGGGTAGTTGAGCTGAGCTGAGCGGACCCTAATTAGAGCTGAGCTGGTTGAGCTAAGCTGTTTTTTTACTGTGATTTTGTAGTAAAACTGTGTTAAAATATTTGAGCTGAGCTGAGCAGATCAGATCATTTTCGAAAATCGCTGAGCTGAGCTGACTGCTCACTCAGCTCAGCTCAATGATTTTAGCACAATTTTACTACTAACAACACAGGAAAAAAACGGCTCAGCTCAACCAGCTCAGCTCTAATTAGGGTCTGCTCAGCTCAGCTCAACTACCTTAAAAAAAGCTCACTCACTTAGCAAATTTGCAACTCTGGAGTCCAGAGTCTGGACATCACAAAGCCCGACTGCCGGGCTTCGTAAGTCCTTTGACTGGCTCAACACTGGATGATGGAGGAATCCATCATGAAGGGGTAGTAAATCTTGTGGCCGCGATTCGTCACAGTGTTGCTGTCTTCCCAAATTTTTTTCTCTCCACCACCTCTATGGTGCACTAATCGATTCACTATTTATTAGAAATTGTTTAGCCCCGTTTCATTCAGTCAGAAATTTGCCGCGAAAAATGCGCCTGATTTTAGCAGTTTTTCTCGGACTGACTTTTGCTCAGTTCAAAAACGATCGCCTCTTGGCTCGCTTTGAAAATTCAGCTGTCAAGGAACCAGGTCTAAAAAAGAGAGAGAGAGATTTTTCCTTCACGAGAGAAGCTTTTTTGAAGAATTTGGTTACCAAGATGGATTCTAGAGCTTCAACGTGGTCTCAATTTTTGTAATTACAGAGGAGCGGATATAATTGATCATGGTTTTTTGGTGACTTTTTTTGATGAACACTATCGGCTCAGTTCATCGATGAATCTGTCGAAGGTTCTTTAAAATTTGTAAACTTAGAATTTGAGCACCTGGGATAAGCTTAAAAATGCCGATAAGAAGAAAGGGCCGAACCTGGAATGTGGCTCTGATAAAATTGAAATCAGCTTCGAAATGGCAGAACTCGAGGCGATGAAACTAGGAAAGGAGACAAGAAAAGAGAGAGGAATCCTCTTTTGAAGACCTTAGAAAATGCTAATCGCCAGTGGAACTTGAATTTTTTGAACGCCTTAGAAACTCGTCCCTTGTTTCGTATTTTCTTTTGAATGGTGCTCTCCTATGTAATTTAACGAAGCGGGATCGACACCGGATATTTCAAATGCTGGCGTTTGTTTTCCTCAAAGTACATACTACGCGATATAGGCGCCGATAACACGACGTCCGCTACGTTGAGGCGATAAGGTTGCGAATTATGGGTCGCGAGGCTCTTCTAAAAATTTTTAACTCTCGCTCTCCCAAAAAAAGGTGTCGACGATCCAACAAAGATATTCTTCAGAGGGAACAAAAACTGCTTCTCGGTTCTCGACGGCACCAAGGAAATGTTTACAGCACGAGTATTTTGTTCAATTCAAGAGCATCTAGACTCGTGTCCTTCAATTTTCAATAACCAAATCAATTTTAACCAAAAAAGGTGGATTCTGAGTTGCAAATTTGCTGAGCTGAGTGAGCTGACCTAGCTGAGTAAGCTGAGCAGTCGCTCAGCCCAGCTCAGCTCAGTAATTTTTGAAAATGATCTGATCTGCTCAGCTCAGACAATTTTCACTCAGCTCAGCTCAGCTCAGCAAATTTGCAACTCAGAATCCACCTTTTTTGGTTAAAATTAATTTAACTCAATTTTACTACTAAAAACACAGTAAAAAACAGCTCAGCTCAGCTCAATCAGCTCAGCTCAGCTCTAATTAGGGTCCGCTCAGCTCCGCTCAACTACCTTAAAAATGGTCTGCTCAGCTCAGCTCCGCTCAATTTCCTCTGAAAAAGGCCAGCTCAGCTCAGAGAATTTTTTACTCAGGTCAGCTCAGCGAAAATAGAGCAAAATTTGCAACTCTGGGTGGACAGATAACTATAGCAAAAATCAAGCAAGGATCTTGATATTATCGAGATCTGTTCATTAATTATTACTTCCAGAACAAGTGATAAGTCACTCCTTTAATAAGCCGTCTAAAATCGCGTCGATTGAACCGCGATGGAACTCTCCGCGGCGCGTATTTAATTGTAGAGGTTCCGTGAAACAAAGTTTTTGTTCTAAAACGTAATTTCGAAAACGTTGCATCACACCTGTAGCGCGTTGTGTGGAGCCAACACCCGAACACAAGCAGCCCCTTCTTTCTCTATTTTAGCGAAACGTGGACAAACACGGTCGGGCTGATTCAATCAACCGCCCTGTGACCAACCGGTTCATTACTGCCTAGCCATCACAAATTATGTGGCCCAGCAATTGCCTCGCCCGCTCCTTGCATTTCTTTCTTTCTCATAAGAATAGTTTTTATTTGTTTGGCTGGCTTTTCTGTTTGGTTTTTTGCTGGGTTTTATTTGTTACCTTCGTGACCCGAGGTTGACTTTAGTTGGTTCTATCCTCCTCGCACTACTGTAATATCCGATTGTCGAAAAGAAACTTTTTAGAAGATTCTCCGTTTGTATAGTAATCACGCATTAATAAATATGGTAACAGGAATATTCCCGAGCACGCGCAATTACTATACTATGGGAGACTCCGCTCGGAGATCGGGAGTCTAGGTTATGGAATGGGTAGTATGTAAGCGTGTGCTCGTTTTACCTACATACTATCGTTTTCGTTCTTAGGGATGGAGGGTGGGTGAGTTTTTTGAGAGTTGTTTGAAATCTCGGCTGCGCGAGTTTGGCGGCTCTCAAAATTCTCTTAACCTTCCCTATTAGAAATTATAGCCTGGGGCTATAATTTTCGGAACTGACTTGCGTGATTCCTAGCAGCTTCTTTTTGTGACTCGCTCTCTTACGCCCGTGTCACCTCCCGCTTCTAGAACTAGGTCATGGCGCTCCTGCTTCCTTCGCTGCTAATCCGAGCTCGCCGAGCCATGGAGCTGCTAATCCTTATCCTATATTCGTATAGTAATCACGCATTAATAAATATGGTAACAGGAATATTCCCTCCCTACCATTTTTGTTATTCTCATCATTTGGAAAATAACTGACTCTTTATTTTATGGCATATAAAAGAGAGGAGAAGGCAGTTTTTTGGTATTCTTAGTGAAGGAGCTTGGCTAATTGCCCGCTGCTTCTAAGCTTCTGGGATTTCGGCTGTGCTGCTGCTAGGTTCGACGTCTGTACGTGCTCTCTTGGTAATGCCTTCGCCTTGTTCGTTGTCGCTTTGGGCGGGGCTCTCAGCTTCTGAATGGTTAGAGATTCTTCTTTTCGCTGCTCTAGCTTCCGCGATGGCTGCTGGCGCTCCGTCGTCTGTGCATTCTAGCCAGCATCGTTCGTAGTAATCTGGCATCGCGCTTCCCGGGGCCCAACGCATTGTGTGGGTTAGTGTACTTTGCGATTGTCCTGCTCGGCGGCCTTCGATGTAGAAGCTTACTCGGCCGGAGTGTGCTGAAACCTGAAGCGTTGATTATTTTGAAAAGTTTTCGGGCTTACCTTTTTTCCGATTCTTGCCTTATCGCTGTATCGCCTTAGGTAGTCCCCCGCAATGCTTGTCTTTTCGTCCAGCAGCGGAAAAAGCAGGCCTAAAAATGGGTTATTTTTATGGCTTCCCTCTTTTTTTTTGAGGCTTTTTCTCACCAGAGTTTTTGTCTCGGACCAGGTGTCGTAGTTCTTCTGCTAGCGGCACTCCGTGGTTTATATTCATGGGGATATTGAGCGTTTCCATTCTTTTACAGAAAGGGTCCGTCTTGCTGCTTCTGATATGGAAGCGCCAGAATTCTTTAGCTGCTTCCTTCATGATGCTTCGGTCCTCGATTCTGAGGCTCAGTGCTTCCCCCATTCTAGCTCCTGTCACGTAGGTGACAAAGAATGCGACAGCAACCTCCCGAGGCTTGGGCTTGTTGGTTTCCATGAGCTCGTCCCAGAGTTTTACAGCTTCTGGTTCGTCGAGCACTTCTGCTTGCTGAGTTGTCGAGTTAAATGGCTGAGCTGTGTAGCTGCTTTACCTTTGGGAACTGGAGAGATTCTTTTGCTGACTCTCTGGCCCTTCGTTCGCACCAAAGCTTGATTTGGCGCTTGAGCTTCGAAGTGAGCGGCTTTTTTAGCTTCGATGCGGCTACGTCTTGGATAATGACTACGCCCTTGCCGTAGGCATAAGCCTTGAGCTTCGGTTTATCCAAGAGTCTGTCCAGAAAGTTCTGGATGGTGGATTCGTCATCAGCTTCTTCCGCTTCGGGGTTCGTGAGCGCTTCCGTAACGTCCCAGATTTCCTTTAGATGCTCGAATTCTAGCCAGGTCATTTCTGAAGTACAAATTGACCTGAAGCTTTTTGCATTATTATATTCTTTTTTTTTTAAGAGATTTTTTAAATTGCTGCGGGCGACGCTAAATGCAGCTGGGAGAGGGTTGCTTCTTTTTTTACTAAAGAAGCTGGGAGAACTCGCTAGTTTTCAGGGCAGTTTTTAGGATTTTTTTATTAGCAGCTTTATTCGACGCCTCCTTGGTCCTGAAGCTTCTTGGCGTTGCTGTTGGAGTTGCTGGCGCCTCCTCTTCCGCGGCCCCGACCTCTGCCTCGACCTCTTCCGCGTCCTCTGCCGCTCTTGCCCTTCTGGTCTTCCGATTGGTCAGTTTTCTGGCCGTTGGGTTGGTCTGTTCGCTGTTTTTTGTACGTGCCTTGGTCGTTAAAACCCCCTCGGCGTCCTTTTTTGTTGTTTCCGTCTTTGCCGTTGTTTCGCCAGTCTTCCGAACCGTCCATTGCCGCTTGCATCCATTTCTTGTGGTGCGGTGTGGTCCAATTCATGCTGAGCGTGTAATCGAAATCGTGCTGGGTGGTTGCTGTCATGAGGGAGGAGCAGCGGAGCAGCGCATTTCGTCTTGGCATGTCTGGCATCTTGATCAGCGTGTCGATGATGGCCGTGACCACTGGCTTCGCGGAGTGCTCAGGTCCCATGGCTTCTTTGTAGCGTCTAAGCAGCTCGAGAAGCTCTGCTCCTTTGAAGCTTCGTTGCTTCTTCGGGTCTGTGACGAATTGGCGGAAGAGACGGCCCATGTCGTCGATGTTTTCCCCTTCGTGCTGGTTGAGGTCAATTGCTGCTACTTGGGTCTAGAATCGGTGTTTATTTTTAATTTCTTTTCTTCCCCATTACCTTGAAGTAGGATATTTTGCCCGTGACTGGGTCAACTTCTGTGTGAGTTGCTGCTGAGTCGCCTTTCTTGAAGGTTAGGTCTGCAATTTCCGCTTCGCGGATCTTGATGGCTTTGAGCATTCCGGACTTCGCGTTGTAGCGCTCCATTTTCTTGCTGCTAAGCTTCTCGAGGACCTCGGCGATCTCCTTTGGATTGTTCTTGTCGTAGAACTGATTCTCCTCGGCGGTTCGCTTTCTGGCGTTGGGTTCGGCGGCCTTGATGGCGATGCTTCTTTCCCGATTCTCGACGAGCGTTTTCATCTCGGCCTAAAAATGAAGGGATTTTCTTTTTTTTTTTTGTATCCCTGGTACTCACGATGAGTTCGTCGGTGATGCTATCGTGCATTGCCAAGTCGCCTCTGATGTCATCGATTTCGAGTTGGAGTCGTTGGATGTCGCCTGAAGCTTCGGGCGCATCTTTTGCAGCGTCATATTCCGCCTGGGTGATGGCGAATCGGGTGGCTCTAGTTTTTGAGTCGTGCTGCGTTGCTGCTAGGTGCTCCTTCACCATGGACAACACGTTTTGGCGTTCGGCCATTCTAGCTTTTTTTTTGATCTAAAGAGAGGGTCTTTTTATTTCAAGGCTTGTACTCTCTTGAGTGGGAAATGTTACGAGTGGAAGCAGCTTTTAGAGTCTGTGTGCTACAGCTTTTACAGTTGAGATATTAGATGCTATTTTCCAGTAGCCTGCTGTGGTTTTTACTTTTGCTGGGGTCAAGATGGAGTCTGATGGAAGGTCGAAGATTCTGTAGCCTCTTGATCTAGCTTCTGCGATGACTGCCGTTTCGGTCTCGAAGATGGCCACGAGTAGTACCCACGGCGTCGGAATTTCTGTAAGCCGCTTGAAGTATCTGAAAGCCACTGCTTGCGGCGGGAAGGCATAAAGTTTTCTGCCCATGAGCTTATGGATGGGGAAGCTGAGAAAATCTGCTCCAAGCGCTCCTTTTGATTCTCTGCGGCTTATGAAGTCCTTGCATTTTGAATTCAGGATCTTAAAAAAAAGAATAATTCGATCTTTTTTCTCTTTGGGTTGGTTTCTGGCGTTTTGGCGCCTTCTTATTCACTTACCGTTGCTGCCACGTCGACGTCCAGCGCGTCCGTGAGATGCGATTGCAGATATGCGAAGCCGTTTGCCGTTAGTCGCTGCTCTCTTGAGTCGATGATTCTCGAAGGTGCATCTGCCAGCTGCTTTTTAGTGCTGACCCAGTCGCATTTTAAGTCGATGTTGAATCTTTGAGCGATTTCCCAGATTCTGACTAGGATGTCGTTCATCTCGAGGTCTTTGCTTCCGGCTATTATTCCTTGGACGACCGAGTCGTTGTCACAAAGAAAGAGGATTCTTTTATTTTCGAACTTTGGGCCATACCATTCGACAGCGTAGAGGATGGCCATGGCTTCTTTGATGCAAATGTGCTTGTCGGCTAAATCGGCTTCCCAGGCAAATTTTTCTTCTAAGCCCCATTGTTCAATGACGATGGCTCCTGCGTGTGATGACGCGTCTGTGTAGATGATCAGACCTGTTTCTTGGCGGCTGTTCTGCGTCCAGATTCTTGAGAGTCCTTTTTCTTCCAGCTTCTTCCATCTTGCCCATTCTGCCTTGATCTGAGGCGTAAGTTGGACTTTCTCGAGGTTTTTGTTGTCGGCCTGTTTTATGAGGAGTGTCGTTTGCCTGATCAGGAGTCTCATGTTGGAGAAAACTTCTGCCATACTTGCCATTGTTCCTCTGATTCGTTCTAGCAGCTTCGCTTCTACCAGTTGTTTATTTTGTGCCTCTTCCATGAGTGCAGTGAGAGCCTTCCATCGCTGCGGCGGAATCTCGACTGTTTCCTTGGTCGTGTCGAGGATGAATCCTAGGAACTCGAGTCTTTGGGTGGGGAGAAAAGTACTTTTCTCGATGTTTACGAAGCCGCCGAGCGCCACTAATGTAGCTGCTGTTGCCCACACTTCTCTGCTGATTTTCTTTCCTTCCAGAAGCTGCTTTCTATCTTCCTCCGAAGCTGGTGAGACGATGAGGAGTCTGTCGTCGAGGTAAAGCGTGATTTTGATGCCATTCTTTCTAAGAAAATTTACGCCGCATAGATTCATAAGCTGGTAGATGCCTGGTGCTGCTGGGAGGCCAAACGCAAGGATGTTATTTTTGAATCTTTGGCCGCCCCATCCGAAGCATGCCATCTTTTTGCTTTCTTCTGAAAGCGGCAGCTGATGAAAACCTGGAGAAAAGGAGACGGTTACTTTTGGTATATTGTTTCTTTTTACGTACCTTTTTTATCATCAAACTTGTAGAGCAGATCCCCTTTTTTGAGCATCTGGATGGCTGTTCCGACCGCTTCCAGTTTGCAGGGGAAGCTGTAGAGCTGCAGCGGCTTCAAGATTCCCCCATTGAGGCAGACTCTGGTCTCTCTGCCCGGCTTGTCTACCAGAATAAATCCTGATTGTAGCCACGAATCTTTAGATGCTTCGGGGAGCCTTGAGATTGATCCCATTTTGCACCACTTGGATATTTGGTCGATTATTTCTTCGTTTCTTTCTTTGACTGCTTCTTGGCTTGCAACTTGCAGCTTTTTGAATCTTTTCCCGATCTTTTCGTAGGGTTTTGGTACGAACTTTGAAAGCCTGAGGCGGCCGTTGTACCAGGTCTTGAGGTTCCCGCCAAGCTTCTTTATCGCGTCCGAGTTTGCGTGATTCCTCTTCCATCTTGTGACCAGCTTCTTTTTCTTGAACTCCACTGGCTTCGTATGAGGGATCGCCTTTAGATTCAAAAAGAGATCTGCTCCGTTCATGACGAAGTGGTAGATGAGCGGCTTTACCTTTTCCGGCATCTGATGAATGAGCGTCCTCCAATTCTCCTTATTGTGCGTCCAGATTCCTGAGATGAAGTCTGCTTCTTTTTGAAAAACAAAGTGGTCCAATCTGGCTTTTCTCGGTGTTCCAAAACGTCTAAGACTCTGTGCAGCAGCTTTGACTCGTAAATTTTCCACTCTTCGAGAGTTTTTGGGCCTTTTAGTGGTGATTCTAAGATTGTGACAGGTGAGATAATGTTGCGGTTCATTTTTTCGAAAGCTCCTTTAGCTGCTAATGCCTCCATTTCTGCCTTGATGCTCGCCCATGTCGCTGGCTTCTTCGTCTTCTCTCTTTCTCTTGCTTCCTCGGCCGTAGAATCCATTGTATTCGAAGCTTCGAGGGATTGGGATGCGCCAAAATAGCTTCTCGTATGTCGTTCCCTTTAGTGAGGCAGGGTAAGCGATTCCCCGTTCGATTCTATCATCGATCCCGCCCAAGTTGAGGATTTTATATTCCGCCTCGGGGATGCTGTCACGGTTCGGCCAGATTTTTCTAAGCGATAGAATCGCGTCCCACGCCGTGAAGCTAGGATTTGAATCAATGTTGGCAAGGAAAGTTTTGAGGATGCAGCTGATGGGGTTGGATTCGCCTATCATGCTGTTAAGGTGGGTCCATGCTGAGCGTGCTGCACTTGCCAGGAGCCTCGGGAAAATGCAGCGGGTATTGGTTATCTGGAAAAGTATATCTCCGAAAATCGCCCTTGAGATGGCCGCTGCTATTTGCTGCTCGTTCGTGAAGGCCGCTTCTCTGTCGCTTTCTTGTCTTTTGAGGATTTGTTTGAATCTCAGGTTCCAGATATGCGTAAGCATGACAAATCTTGGCGAGGTTTTCGAGGTCATAGATGCTGGTTTTTCACATTTCGCCAAGGCCATTCGGAGGATTGCCGCTGCTGATTGACTCCAGAGCTTCTCAAGGATCCACGTTACGGCTTCTTCCAGCTTCAGTAGCTGCTCGCTGCATACTGAGTCTTGCTCCGAGGGCTCCATCATTTTGGCCCAGAACACGAGCTCTTTTGAGCAAAAAACTTGCGACTTGTGGACTTGTTTCATAAGATTTTCCACTATTGGTCGAACTTTGTTTTGGAGCATGTTTTGGAGTTCTTCGATCTCGATTTTGTTAGTCGAGGCTAGCCGGCGGTTGATTTTGATAGAGGTGGCGTGAGAAATGGTTGCGATTGCTTGAAAAGCTTCTATAGCTTCTGCTGCTTCAGTTTCTTCCTCCTCCATCTGAGTCAGAATCTTTCGGACTTGGTTTGATGCTTCTTGGGATTCGGAAATTATTTTTATTGCCTCTTTCACTAGGTTGGACATTTTTTCGGCTACCGTTTCTCCGTAGCATGCGATTCTTTTGGGCGGCACCGCCGCGTTTGTGTTGAGGCTGTTCTGAATGTCCCAGATCAGACTCTTGAGGATTTCTAGCTTCAGGCTGGTTTTTGATGCCTTCGGCTCTTCGCTTTGGGCCATTCGGGGCTCGTCTGCGATGGCTGCCTCTGGTGCATTGTCTGAATCCACTGAGTCTCTGCTGTTGAGGGATTCTTCTTGTCTGAGGCTTAGCATCTTTATTATTGATCCATTTTTTTTGGGAATCATAAAGGAGGATTTTAATAGGTTTAGCCGTTTTTGGCCTTGCTGCTTGGGCTTCGGAACTTAAAGTAAGAATACCGAAACTAGAATCAGTCCTGATTTCAAATAATTAAGTAGCTTGACTATCTTGAGAAACAGACTCTCTGCTGCCTATTCCTGAAGCTGAGGGCACTAGAAGCTCCAGAGCGTCGGCTTCTTTAGCCGCTTCCATGCCCGAGACAAGGTATTTTTTGGCTTCTGAATTTAAGAATTCTTTTATTTCGTTTTTATTTTTAGTTTGAGTTGCAAATTCTGCTAAGTCTTTTTTTTTTAAGAAAGAGTCTTTTGTCTTCTAGTGAGACTTTCTAATTTATTCTAGTACAGTTGGCTTCTGCCATTTGAAGATTTTTTTTTCAGTGAGTTTGAAGATAAAGAGGAAAAATTTGAGGCAGAATGCAAATTTGGAAGACAATTTCCTTGTCTGTAGATGCTTCGATGCTTGAGCTGCTTAGTAGTTTGTCTCTGGGGCTGCTTCGACGTTGATGCTGGGGATGGCGATGTCGTGGTCGCGGAAACAGCGGACGAACATCTGGCGGATGAACTTCACCAGCCTTCCACCAACGATTTTCATGGTGAAGACCATGAGGACGTCCAGCCGCTGTGGGTCGATGAGGCCGGCTTCTGAAAATCGCTATTAGTTTTTGGAAGTATGATTTTTGGCTTACCGTATGCTTCTTTGAATCGCCGCTTGATGCCTCTGTAATTTAAAAATTCGAACACGTAGTGGCACATTCGAATCTCGTGGCTGCGGATGAGGTCTGAAGCGTTGAAGGGAGGCTCATCCTTGATTACCCAGCCGCTCGCTCGGTGATACTTTGCGAGTTTGTGGTCAGGCTTCCTGGTGTTGGAGAATTTCTCGAAGCTGACGCTGCTGTACCAAGCCTCCTTGACTGCTTGGCGTTCCTCCTCGCTGAGCTTGTCGTTGTAGCTGCGTTTGTAGTTGAGGGCTTCGCGGACGCTGGCCTTATCCATGAGCTTGGCTTTTTGAGGGTTTACTTTTTGTTTTATTTTGTATTTATGTTTTTAGATTTTTGTAAAAAATATAAAAAGTTTTCCCCTTTCCTTGTTTTTTAGTGAGGAAATAGTAATTTCCTCGCTCTCCAGTTTCGGCCACTTGGAAGACGCTGACTCGGGGGTTCTTGAGCGGCATGTCGTCGGACTGGGCGGCTTTGGCGGCTTTGGCGGTTTCCTGTTGCAGCTTCTGTTGGGCGGCTTCCTGGCGCTGTTTGGCTTCTCGTTCCTGCTGCTCCTTCTTCTCGAAGTATTCCTGGCGGATTCTGGTGTTCTCTTCTACCTGTCGCTTCGCCGCCGCTTTCGCTTCCAGTTTTGCCTTCTCTTTTCTCGCCGCTTCCAGTTTCTTTTCGAGCTCGCGCTTCTCAGCTTCTTCTTGCTGCTTCTTCAGGAATTCCTGTCGTCGCTGGATCTCCTGTTCTTCTTGAAGCTTGCGCATCTCGAGGGCTTGCTGGCGTCGCTGAGCTTCTGCTTGCTCTCGTTTCGCTTCCAGTTCTTTCTGGCGCTGAAGGGTCTCTTCTTCTTCTTTCTTGAGCTGCTCTTGAAGCTTTTGTTCGTCCAGGCCGCTCCTGCGATTCGCTCGGCCCATTCTGCGTCGAAGTTGAGCTTTTCCCTGGAAGCTGGACTGTTCTGGCTCCTTCTGCCGGTCCTGGGCTGGGAAGCCCTTGAACTCTTGTCCTTCTGAGGGGATTATTTTGGTTTTTCTAGAGATTGAAGTTCTTTAGGATTTGTAAGCTTACGTTTTCATTTTTATTTTTGTTTTTCCCCTTTCCTTTAGCGTCCTCGACGTCCTCCTCTGCTTCCTCATCGCTGTCAGCTTCGACGACTGGCTTGAGCTGCTCTGGGTTCTTGACGGCTGGAGGGTCGAACTGGCTCGGATCTTTTCTAGGTTTATAAATGCTCCTTATCATTTTATTTATTTATGAGCATTAATAAATCCTTTCCTGACTGGGCGTTGTAGGAATCGTCGTCTTCGCTGCTTGAGTCGTCTCCTTCGTCGCCCACGGCTACGCCCTCGGGGAGGGTGTCGATGCCGCTGCTGTCCTCCTCTTGCATCTCAGGCTGCTTGGCGGCTTCAGCTTCTGTCTGGGCCAAGTCTTTTGTGAAGGTTAATCACTTGTTTATTCTGACAGATTTTTTTTTTTTACTTTTAGTAATTTTTCTGTTGGTGATTAAACCTTTCCTGGATCCGTCTGGCACTCTTGCTGCTTCTGAGGTGCTGCTGGAGTCTGGGTCGCTTCGTCTTTCGGCAGGTCGAGGAGGTACTTGACCGCGTAGGAATTCGCTTTCGCGTGCTCCCAGCCCTTTTCCCTCATAAGCTGCTTTCTGATGCTTCTCCTCGTCTCTCTTCGTTCTTCCTTGGAGAGTGGTCTGTCCTCTAAAAACCGGAAGTTCCGGTTTGCCTTGACGTCGGCGATCTTGTCCCAGTAGCTGGGCCTGGCTGCTTCGATGTCTTCGCCTTCCTCGAGGTAGACGAGGCTGATGATCCAGGGGATGTCGACGTAGTTTCTGGCGACGTTCAGAGCTGAGTAGAAGAGGGCTTCTGGCGTCTGGTGGTGGTGTTCTTCCTCTAGATCGTCGAAGGATTCTCTGATCGTCTTCGACAGGAGTCTTGATGCTTCCGCTATCGCTTCCATGTGCTTCTGGAGAGGTATTTTGAGGCTTTCGTCCAAGAGACCTTTTTTAAGAGAGTCTTTAACTGTTTTAATTCTAAATGAATTGTTTTTTTTTTTGACTCTTTTCCTTTGACCAGCTCCTCCGTAAGTGCAGTGAACTCCCTGACCACCTTCGCCCGGTGGCGTCTGAAGATCTTGCCCTCTTCTTCGTCGACTTCCACCTCTGGATCGTCCCTGGCCTTCTTGAGGATGGGTTTTGGCTGCTTGATGCTGTTTTTGCTGCTCATGTTTTCCGAGTCTGTAAAAGAATTTTTTGTTATTGGGGAAAGTTTTTCTTTTTTTGTGAACAAAATTTTGTAGAAGCAGCTAAAATTTTGCAGCTAAAATGAATTTTTGGCGGAATTAAAAATGAAATATGGGAGGGGAGGAAATTTGAGAAGGAAAAAAGAGGCGAAATTTCTCGGGAAAATAATAAAAAACTAGCAGCTTTGTTTTTGGCGGCTTGTTTTGCAGCTTTTTTCTCTTATTTTCCTCTTGTGTGGTCGTTTTCTCTCTTTTTTAGGAGTTTTTCTCTTTTTCCGCTAGGTTTCCCTTTTTCTCTTTTTCTCCTTTTCCTTTTTTCGCTTCTCTGCCTCCGCGCCGCGCCGCGCGCTGATTGGCTCCGGCGCTGTTTTGAAGGATTTTGATTCTGCTGCTTTGGAAAATTGGTGGATTCTATTTGGGCTGCTTTTTTCTAGGAAAACTCTCTTCCTATGGTAAAATATGAGTCTCATAAAGTTGGCGGTGGAAAAATTAGGCGAAAATTCTTTTAATTTTGAGTTTTTCCTTTCCTGAGTGGGATTTTTCTAGGCTTAGCGGCGGTGTATTCTTTAACCTTCGCTAAGGAGTCGTGCCAGTCTTTCTTCAAGCGTCTTTTATCGAGTCTGAGCTGCTAGAATCTTTATGTCGACCTAGGCCCCTTTTTTTTACTTTTTATGGCCGGAAGGATTTCCCGATTCTCTCTTTTTCTTTGGACTCTTTCCTGTTGGGCCGGCGTCCAGATATTCGGAAAGAAATTTTCCGGTTCCGCAGCTGGGAGATCTTCTTTCGCGGTGAAACTGCCGGCAGCTTTGACTCCGTCCATGAGGATGTCCCTGATATGGGTGGTGAATGGGCCGCTGATGCTTATGTCGAGCTTTTCAGCAGCTACTTCTTCCCAAGATGCTTTATTGCTTCTGAGTTGGAACTTCTTTGCCGCTCCAATTGTCCAGTTTTTCGTGGCTCGGTTATTGCAGACTCTGAACATTAGTTCCGCGACTCTCGGGTGCGCCCAGCACGGCATAAAGACTGAGTCGTATTCGCCGTCGCAGGCTACAGTCGCGATTTTCCAGATGCCTGTGATTCTTTCCTCGTCGTCCTTGAATCTTGCATGAAGGTTTTCGCTTTCTGCCAGCGTTACCAATTTCGCATTGAAAATGGTTTGGCAGAGCTGCTTACGGAGGCTTTCTGCATCTTCCTCGCTTGGCAGAACGATGATTATATCGTCTAGCTTCGCTGCTGTTCGTCCAATTAGGGCTGCTACTTGCTGCCAGTCGCCTTTCTTGACCTCCGTGATGCTTTCTGCTAAGATCTTGAGAGGTTCATTCAGCGCTTTCGCGCTGCGTCTGATTGGGAAAGCTGCGAATCCGTTCCTGGTGTATTGGAGCGCACTGTGGTAGATGACCAGGCCTTTTTGAAAGGGATTTTCCGTTCTCTCCCGCTTTTTGACGGTCGAGTCTGACGCTTTGAATCTTCTGGCGAAGTCGGCTATCTTTTCGTTGCCGCCTCCAAGAAGGATTTCCGTTGATTTCCAGGCTTCGATGATCGAGTCGAAGCCTTCTACTTCTGTGTCTTGAAGTTTTTCGATCAGGCTTGCCGATGCCGCTTTTGGGGAAATCTTGCTGAAGAGTTTGGAGAGATCTTGGTGGAGGTTTTGCCATTCCTCGTCGGTGATTTTTAAGGCTTTACGCCGAGGCCTTCCTTTTGAGATGGCAGCAGCTTTTTCTTCGTGGAGTTCTTGGCAATCTTGTTTTCTCTTCTCACAGATTTCCAGTTTTAGGCCATGCTTCTCGCACCAGGCATCTTTTTTGCACAGCGGCCACTTGCAGCTCCAGATTCTTTTAGCTTCTGCTTCTGCTTCGACGGCCAATTTTGTGTCTTCAGCTGCTTTGGTTCTATAGAACAGCCAGGCATCTGTGAATCTTTCGATAATTGGAGAGGGGCTAAACTTTCCCCCCGTTGGCCATTTCCATCCGGTGGTGAGGATTTTTAGGTGGTGCGTTACGTCTCTTGGGACTTCAGGATGCTGGTTTAAAGTTCTTATTATTCTGACCATTACGTCGAGCAGCTGCTTCTGGGTGGTTGTTGGTCTTGCGGTGCCGACTATGCATCTGTCCTTTCCCCAGAAGTTCTTCGGGTTGTTGAAGCTTTGGATGCATTCCTCGCAGTTCTCCTTCGACCAGTTTTTGCTTGCCAGATTTTTGAGCATGCCGGCTTCTTTTTCGTTGAGGACTGGGTGTTCTGCCAGAGCCAGAAGCGCTTTTTCCCGTCTTGCAGGATTTTCGTCGCCATAGCATACGATCCAAAGCTGCGGAGCTGCTTTATGTGGGATCCACATGGTCCAGTTATTCTTGCCCTCTCCTACTTTCTTGATTCGGAGAGTCGAGTCCAACGGAGTATATTTTTTGGCTGCAGCTTTGAGCCATGGTACCAGCGTTTTTGCCTCCGTCAGCTCTTTCCATGACGAGTGCCACTGGGTGATCATTTCGCAGCATTCGCCGTCTTGTCCCACGATGCTATCATTCGTGAGCTGCGCGTGAGTCAGGTGGAGGACGAGCTGTGAGAGTATTCTCGTAAGCGGCGTTGAGCAGGGTAGTCTGGAATCTTGATGATTAAACTCTCCTAGCACTTCCGGAATCCAGGCGTCGCTGTTTTTTGGTGGTTCTCTGGCCCATTTCGTGTCTTCGCAGCTTTTGAGGCTTAGCCACGCGTTCTCCCTGTGGCAAATGCTGTGCCAGGTTTTTGAGGCTTTAAGCATCTGGAGTTTTGCCAGAATTTCTGACGGTGTTGGCTGGGCTTCTATCTTGTAGATTGCGTTGAAGATTTCTTCGAGTCCTTTAGTTATCAGCTTTCCGAGCCACGAGCGGCTATTGAAACCTTGGTGTTCGTAGTCTGCTTGAGCTTTGGACGGGTTTTCCTTGATGATTTGGAAGCAGACATCGTGCCAGAAGCCCTGGTCCAAGACTTGATCGTAAGCTAGGTCCTCCCAGACCGTGAACCACTCTTCCGCGCGTAACGCTTGTCTTTTGGAAAATTCTTCCAAGAGAGCCGTTGGGAAAAGTCTGTTTGCTTCTTCCGGATCTGGGGCTGAAGAAAGGCGGAGTTTCTCGCTGCTTCTGCTGCTGAGCGGCTTTTGAATCTTGCGTGCCACTATTTTTAGCGGTACTTCTCTTTTTCCTTCCGCTCTGATCTCGTTCAGGAGCTCTGAGAAGCTTGGAAATTTTTCCAGATCGACGCTTGGGTGAAGCTCTGGTGTGCCCCTTATGGTCAGCTTCGTTGGGCTTACTGATGGATTGAAAGGGTTGGGTGCAGATTCTAGCTGCCAATCTTCCAGCGTTCTACCTTCAGCGGCTGCAATGTTCTCCGAGATGAGTTCCAGCGTCTTTGCCGGGTTATTTTGCTTCGGTGTCAGCCACAGTGATTGCTTTCCACTCGAGGAGCAGAAGATTATCTTGCACCAGGACGCTAATTCTTCGAATTGAAGCTTCGCCTTTTCTGGCGTTTTCGGGTTGAAAGCCAGATTCTGATTCGCAAGGATGCTATGGACGTCGGAGAGTACGAAGAGTCTGATGATTCTGATTTCCTCGTCTCCCGAGAGGAGGATTGTTCTGGAGATTCTCATCCAGTCAATGATCGCGTCCATGAGAAGGTCGTTCCTTGAATTAGGCTTAAGATTTCTTTTCTTACGGAAAAAGAAGGGATAATTTCAATTTCTTTTTTGAGCCTTTTCCTGGAGATTGATTTCTCCAGTTTTTGGAGATGTTTAGCTGCATGTTCGAGCGGCACTTTTGGCGTTGCATCGGAAGCTAGGCCCCATTTCGGTGCGTAATTTTTGGCTGCTTTCACGAACGATTCTCCGAACATTCACTAAATACGGAAATCGAAGGTTTGAAGCTTCAAAACTTCGCTTCAGAAGCAGCTGGGAAGATCAAAAGATTCTTGGGTGCGCACAGTAGATAGCTGAGCAGAGAGAAAGAGAATGAGTTCTTTATTTTTTCTTTTGCTTTCCTTTCTCTGAGCTTCTTTTTTTTAATGGTGGCTGTTTTGGCTGTTTTTGCGCTAGCCTGAAAATGCCCCGCGCTTATTGGTTCTGGGACCTGCTGCGCGCGCATTTTGAATCAAAAGAAGCTGCTGGGCTGCTGCGCTCTCCCGGCTCGCCCTAGTTCCCTTGGGGTTTGAACTTGCCGCTTGTGTTCTTGAGCTGAGCTTCTGGGCTGCGTGTAGGAGAAAACGATATATGTTCGCATCTCTTAGCGGAAGTTAATCTGGAGTAAGGAGCGTCTTATCCAAAGATTTTTTGGAAAGAATAAAATTTTATAGTCACCAGGACTTAGAGCTTCCTTATTCCCGCAGGGCTAAGTTTTTAGTCTGAGTGAGACTTTCTAGTTTTGGAAGTCTTTTCGGACTTAGGGTTTAAAGTCCTGAGACTGAAGGTGAATTTTAGTTTATAGTCTTAAAACGGACTAGGTATTTTAAGTCCTTGGGACTGGGAAAGGTGGTAAGAATCCAAATGATGGTCTACCTTATGAGTTTTTTGAGAGTTGTTTGAAATCTCGGCTGCGCGAGTTTGGCGGCTCTCAAAATTCTCTTAACCTTCCCTATTAGAAATTATAGCCTGGGGCTATAATTTTCGGAACTGACTTGCGTGATTCCTAGCAGCTTCTTTTTGTGACTCGCTCTCTTACGCCCGTGTCACCTCCCGCTTCTAGAACTAGGTCATGGCGCTCCTGCTTCCTTCGCTGCTAATCCGAGCTCGCCGAGCCATGGAGCTGCTAATCCTTATCCTATATTCCAAAAATAATACAAGAGTTTAGGTATCATCGACTCAAAGATTCAAAGATTTTAGTTGTTGAAGAAAGTTTTAACCTTTTTTTGGACTAAACCAATTTATGGAAGCGCATTTTTGGATAACCAATAAGATTGCTGTATTTGGCCTACTGGCCAATCAAAACCCTGATCTATAAAATCAATTCCATAAATTGGTCTAACCCCTGATGATTTCAAAAACTTTTTGCGGAGCCGGAAATCATGAAAAAGTGCTTGTGCAGTTTTGTCGAGCTCGTCGAGACGAGTCGATTGGTATAGGTCACTTTTGAAAATTTTAAGGATTTACCGGTTAACCGGCTGGTTACCGGAAATCACGTTGTCAGCTCCCGTTTTTGTTCTAGTCGACGGATTTTCATGTTTGAAGTGTCAAAATGATCCTTATGATCAGGGCTACTGTAGCCTCCGAGATGAGCCCCATATCTCAACTCCTGCCGAGCTTATCACTAAAAGTTTGATTTTTACGCACTTTTTCAGTTTGAAAGTTCATAAAGTAAAATTTGTACGGTAAATACTAATAATTTTTGCGGTTTTGATAGAGAATTCAAAATTAATAATACCGACCGGTCAAAACTTTGTAACCAGCCGGTAAAAAAGCGCTAAATCGAAATTATGCCCTCAAAAACCACTTTTTGATTATATTCACACAGATATGTGAATTTCTGGAAATATAAATTATTCTAGTAGTGATGCTAAATAAATTATACAGCTTCGAGCCCTCGATGCCAGGAATCAGGTGATGAATATTCTCATTAGATCCATGAGTCTTTCTAACTAACTCGTGATTTCTAGCAGTACTCATAATCGTGCAGGCTTGTTAGATCTCTCACAGTTGGTTGAATTAACACAAATAGATGAGCGGCTTGCCGAGAATTAAAATGTAGAATCAAGGACGAAAAATCTGGCTGGACTGTCTACTTTAAAGACCCCGCTCGAACTGAAAGCTTCCCCGTTATTCTCACTCACATCATTTATCTCAGTTATACAACTCTTTTATCGATATTTTTCTACTTAGAGTTTGAGATTTTCCAGGGACTCGCTACGGAAAATTAATTTAAGAGAAATGAAGAGAGAAAAATAATATTTCTCCTTTTGAGAGTAAGAACTAATTCTGTTCCTATTAGGGTAAACCAGATTTATAACCGTAAGCAGTGATTCCAGCAATGATAACTGGAACAACCTGGGCTGTTGCTTTCCTCTGCTGGCTCTATGCGAACTCAGTTCTTGGCGAAGCTTTTACATTCACGATTCTGGCGACAGATCATTCTGTCTTAGGTTGTGTCGTTGGAATTTATTTCTTCAAAGAAGTCAGTGAAAAGGCTCGATCAAAAATTGAATAGAGATCTAAATACCTTAGTCCGCATTTTCTGAGACTTTTTATAGCGAAGTCTTCTTCTAGCACTTAATGGTAGTTTAACTTGTGTTGCCGGAGTCCTCTGCACTTCATTTGGCCGCTGAAGATGCGTAAAAGCGCATTATCATCATTATATCCCTTGTTTCCGAAAAATCACCATTAGAATAATTTATATTTCCAGAAATTCACATATCTGTGTGAATATAATCACAAAAGTGGTTTTTGAGGGCATAATTTCGATTTAGCGCTTTTTACCGGCTGGTTACAAAGTTTTGACCGGTCGGTATTATTAATTTTGAATTCTCTATCAAAACCGCAAAAATTATTAGTATTTACCGTACAAATTTTACTTTATGAACTTTCAAACTGAAAAAGTGCGTAAAAATCAAACTTTTAGTGATAAGCTCGGCAGGAGTTGAGATATGGGGCTCATCTCGGAGGCTACAGTAGCCCTGATCATAAGGATCATTTTGACACTTCAAACATGAAAATCCGTCGACTAAAACAAAAACGGGAGCTGACAACGTGATTTCCGGTAACCAGCCGGTTAACCGGTAAATCCTTAAAATTTTCAAAAGTGACCTATACCAATCGACTCGTCTCGACGAGCTCGACAAAACTGCACTAGCACTTTTTCATGATTTCCGGCTCCGCAAAAGTTTTTGAAATCATCCCTTTTTTGCCACAGAACCAAGAAAAGAAAGTGATTTTCTGGATCTGGGTTTTGATTGGCTTGTAGGCCAAATACAGCAATCTTATTGGTCTTTCAAAAATACTATTCCTTTTCTTGGTTTGTCCCGTAAAAACCCTAGCAGTAAATCTTTCTTTCTTTGGCAATTAAATTTTCAACTTGAATGCCCCCTCTCGTTTTCGTAATTAATAATTTTGTAATATATGTTGAGCAATAAGAGCCCCAATTAATAATGATCCGTTTCCCGAGTGGTGTTGTAAACAGTGTTAGTACAAGCTTACACTCTTTTTCCATTCACTAGCTGCGGGACAAACGTGGTCCACGACACCGAGGATTTCGTCTACACAAATCAAATCATGTTACAGGAACGGTGCACGGCTACAGACGCGCGTTTACGTTTCCACGCTGTTTTTATCGATATCGCGGTCGGCCACGGGTTACTTTGAACGCTGGCCTGGAAAAATGCATTAGCAACAACTGGCAGTGCATTTCGCGCATTTCCGAAAATGTAATCTTTTGTTGAGCAACTATTTCTTTTTCTTTTTCCTTCCATAATTATTTGAATAATCGAGCGCTGGAAAAGTTACGCGAACCTGCTGACAAGGCTCTATTTGCGCCCATAATATATGTTTATTTTTACAAAAACTATAGTAGACGAATTGTTTCGTCTCACTCACGCAAAGGCCACACGTTTTCGTCATCTAGCAAATTGAAGGTTCAAAACTGTATAAATCAGTTAAGGGGTAGATATCAAGAATCGCCATTTTCCGTCAGGCTTTTCTCCCAAAGTTGAAATAGTGACACCCTTATTTTACTCTGGAAACAAAAACTTTAGACCTTTCTCTATTTCTTGTGGAAGCCGAAAATTTGAATTTCAAAAAATTTTAACAAAATTGTTCATCAAAGATCGCTAACTTTCCTAAAATGGTCATTTTGGCGACAATCGGACGTGTCAGATTTGCATTCTAGCACCTCGAAAGCTCGAGAAATCTTAATTTTTGGCTTCAATAGGAAATAGATAACTGCCTGAAATAAATTTTGAGCAGAAAAAATAAGGGGGTCACTATGTTAAAAATTTGAGAAAACATTGACAGCAAATCCAATTCTTGATATCTACCCCCTTAAACGTTTCTCTGCAACGTGGCCTCTAATTACCGTGATCTTCAGTGGAAGAAAGCCACAACTGGTCAAAAGTACTTGCATTTTGAATTGACTCTTTGAATCAAGTTGCGCGTTTTTCGTTCACATCCGTCAACCCTTTAAAGCTCGACAAAAACCGCGATCTGACGTTGCTCCACTTTCGCTGTGTCTACGAAGACAAATATATTGTGTCCTACAACGAAGGGATTACACCTGTCAAGAGGTACTTCGTGGCTCCATCCTCGAATAAATATTTAATTCGAGAAATTCAAAGGAACTTAAAACGATTCTTAAAAACATTCTTATAGAACCCTCCAATTCGACACGAAAATGGGCAAATTCGACGTCGATATGAAGCTGTACAAGGAAGCAGTTTACAGTTACTTCCCTCTTTAGTACCTGAGCTCGGCAACCTGAGTAGAAAGCCTGAGTCAGGGTTCTAAAAGAGTAAAATGAAAAGCCGCGTAGCGGCTTTTAAACGAAGCCGCGAAGCGGCTTCGCAAGTTAAAATAATTCATTGAGTTGGTTACTTGAGTTTGGTTACTACGCGGCTTTTCAATTTACTCTTTTAGAACCCTGACTCAGGCTTTTTACTCAGGTTGCCGAGCCCAGTTTAGTACAGTCGGGCAGCTGTTTAACTGAACTTGAAGACTCCTCAATTTCAAGAATCCGAGCGGCTGGAAAATCGCGCTGGCGTATTTTTAATTAGGGCTCGGAAAAAGGCTGCTTTTTGAAAGGAAAACAGTACTTGAAAAGTCAACTCCCAAACTTGAAGTTTGTCGAAAAACAACAATATTACGTTGGTCCTTGAGTGGGTACAGAGTGCTGACCTATTTTGCGAGTGAACTTCAATTTTGGGCAAAATGAGTTTGGAACGCGCGGAATCCGGTTCTTGAATGGAAGGCGTGCGTTTGCTGACCGCCGGATTTTTAAAATAGAAATTGCTCGTCACCGTGCAGAATAAAGTAAATCCGGCTGATAGCCAATCTTCCATTGCATTTCTAATCAAGCACAAAAACCTAATTACGAACTATGTCAACATTGTCGAACTTCCCTTAAATTAACAAATAATACGAGCTAAGTGATGCAACACGACTCTAATTAGAGTTTTTGGCATTCCCTTAGAAGCGCCTAAATGACCCCTCCACCGCCGGGTTTATTTCAAAAGTGCCAAGCGCCGAGATTATTAGTGAGCGCAGCTGTGTTTAAAAAATAACACGCAGGCCGAGCCCTTTTAGATGAAACAGTCTATGTGTCCACCGAAATGTACGATCCGCTGAGACGACCCGAAATTGTACTTTCCATTCAGGTACTTTCCAAACCAACGCGAAAAAGCAAACTAGGCCTTTTTACCTTCATTTTCGAGCAGAAAACTTTAAAGTAGTGATACCCTTATTCTATTTTTTATTCTTTTTACTTGTTTCGATGAAAATTTTTTTACAAAAAAATACGTCAAAATAGCCAATTTAGCCGAGTTTTCTGATACTTTATTTTTTAGAAACTAGAACTTTCAAATTGGTATATTTTTGTTTAAAATACTGAGGGTTTTAACGAGTAGTTCTTTTTTTTTTCATGGACACGTACGTGAACACGAGCTTCAGGATATTACAGATGGATGTTATCATCTTTGACGATGAGTCGTGTACCCTTAATTTGTTCCAATTATAAATTGGAATTGGCTCATTTCTTTAGAAAAAATAAGCTTGATAGAATTTTAGATTGTTACAAAAATGATAAAAAAGACATGGATTTTAAAACGCTTGCGACTAGTCCCGAGCGATTAAATATTTATCCTCTTTTTTGAAAAATTATGATTTCACTTTTGCAGACTTGTTTTGCGACGGACTCGCCGAACTTCTCCGACATGAACAGACTCCACAACTTGATCGCTTCGATGTGCACTCACCCGGACGACGAAACTGTTCAGGACTGGATTCCGCAAGTTTCGATTATATTATATAATAATATATATTATATTATATAATTATATGAGCAGTCGCTCAGCTCAGCTCAGCTCAGTGATTTTGGAAAATGATCTGATCTGCTCAGCTCAGCTCAGCTCAGACAATTTTCATTCAGTTCAGCTCAGCTCAATTATTTTCGAACATGATCTGTTCTGCTCAGCTCAGACAACTATCACTTAGCTCAGCTTAATGATTTGAATGCAATTTTACTACCAAAAAACAGTAAAAAACAGCTCAACTAAGCTCAATCAGCTCAGCTCAGCTCTAATTAGGGTCCGCTCAGCTCAGCTCAGCTCAATTCTCTTAAACAAAAGGTCTGCTCAGCTAAGCTCCGCTCAATGACCTCTGAAAAATGCCAGCTCAGCTCAGTAACCTCCGAAATAGGTCAGCTCAGCTCAGCTCAGAAAAATTAATCAAAATTTGCAACTTTGTATTATATTATATTATGGCTGCCTAGCTACGAGTTCGTACGCCAGAGTGACAGCTTTGGATGGCGCGATGGATGGTGGTGTTGAATTTAAGCAATCGACCCTTTCAAGCTCGTACATTTTCTATTCATCTGGGCGCGAACTCGTAGCGTCGTTCATGAAAAACGTGGAATTCGGACTTAGATTTTGGAAAACGGAGTTTCGGACCGCGCTCGCTTTTCCTTCAAAATGTTCCGTTTTACGGAGTCCTTCTCGTACATTTACTTGCACTGCGAAGTGAGGGTCTGCAACTCGACGGCCGAAACGTGTGTTGGGTCGCAGGGATTATGTAACGGTAGGCCACAAGTGGCTCTAATCGCGCCAACTTATTAATTCAGGCGGTCAATGGTCCAGAAGAAGAAGAGCCGCGGAAGTCGCCGAAGGACCTGCCGCGCCGGGCGAGACTCAGGTGATCATTCTTCTCTCTCGAGTTCCAAGTCTAGTCAGACTGAGCGCAAGTGTCTCGCTATTAAGCCGTTTAGTTATGTGGATCTGTAAATGAGCGTTACCTCGTTTTTGGTCACAGCTCATTTTTGCTTTTGAGAAAAGCTCAACTTCTGCGGCGTATTAAACTCAGACAGCTCTTTTGCCGAACTGACTGTTATGTAAAATTTCCGTTGAGAGGGGTTATCATTCGAGCCTATGATTTGAGCTATCCGATATCTCTAGAATCTAGGCTAGGGTTAGGGTCTGGGCTTGGCAACCTGTGTAGAAAACCTGAGTCAGGGTCTACAGATCTAAATTGAAAAGCCGCGGCTTTTTTTTATAAACGAAGCCGCAAAGCGGCTTCGCCAGAAATCAATTATTAATCGAGGTAGTTATATCTGCGAAGCCGCTTTGCGGCTTCGTCTATAAAAGCCGCTACGCGGTTTTTGATTTCAGTTCTTTCTGACCCTGACTCAGGTTATCTACACAGGTTGCCGAGCCCACGTTAGGGTTAGGGACAGGAAACTCTTAAGGGGGCCCTTAGTTTACCCTTGGGTGGGGTCCCGGGGGCGTAGCCCCCTTGGCTAGGTATAGGGGCAGCTCGAATGATAACCCCTACTACCAAAATTTCAATAGGTTTACTATCGATGAAAAACGGAATCGGAATTAATTCTGTTTCTTTCGAACATTTAATATTTCAGCCGCTACTTCACTAATTTGATAGGAAGAACTGCTGACAAAAAGGGGGACTGCTAATTTCGTTCTCTCGATTCTGTAATAATGCGCGCTCTGGAAGCCAGCTTGCCGTAATATTTGTCGTCACAGCAGCAATTGCTTGATATATGGCGAATTGGGATAATTAGACACAATTTGGCCCCTAGCTCTGAGCTCTGTGGAAAACGTGTTTCAGCCACGCTGGTTTCTAGAGCAAACACCAATCGTCAAATAGTATTATTATCACTGAAATCAAAGACTACCCATAAACGTAAGAATACGGTCTATCTGGGTCGCGCTCTTCTACCTCCTCGAGAAAGGGAAAGCGGAAATATGTCACGCATAAAAATGAAAAAGACAATTCTGCTGAATTTAGCGGCTTTTCTCTCCATAAAGAGCTCCATAAAGATACAAGGGTAATATTGTATTTTTCATTTATTCAATATATTTATTTCAGTGTTCGTTTCCCTCTGACAGAACTTGCATTATTAGGTGTAGATTCATTTTATAAAAGCATCAATTGTTCTTCCATAGGATAATACGGTCTCTGGAAGTAGTGGGAACTCGACTTCAAATTTGGCATACCTTTGATCAAAATGGTTAAAAAGTGTTATGTTTTCATTTGACAAAATTTATCCTTCTTTAAAATTCTGCCCCTTTTATCCCATTCAGTGGTCAAAAGAGGGCGCACTAGTAGAGGAATTCACCGCGGGAGATTCCCCAACCAGCTGGTCTTGGTTAAAAATATCTCCCAAAAATCTTTGGAAAGATATGATCTACTGTATTGATAAGCGAAGTTCCACATTTTCTCGATTTGAAAAAGAATAGTCTAAAAACCCATCGCTAGAAAGCTATTTTAGTATGCAAGAAGCGAGTGATTGATAAAAATCAATTATACTGATCAATTTTTGCTGTCAGTTAGCTTGTCATTCCGCTTGTTCCTGTGACAGTCATTTCCTCGGCGCTCTCGATGAGAGAAGAAGACTAGCGCGGATTTCTTGCTAATTTTGGACTCCGGCGGGCACTAATTCTTGTTTTCTAGCAATTCATATCCCGTGGACCTCTCATTGCTTATATGCAAGAGAACGCTGGCGAAGGCAGGGTTCAAGTAATTCGAAGCATTTTTTCGATAATAAAAATATTCGAACGATTTCGCGGCTGACTAGCGATTTCGCATCCACGATCGTCCACGAGCACACACTGCCGTACTAACCGCATTTGACTACCCTTGAGAAATTTTATTACAAAAAAGTCGCCCCAAAAGTTCCCAGAAAACGACTCTTCACGAGAACAAACGTATTTCTAGGACGAATTGATAAGTAGTAGTCTTAGGTGCCACGCTAGAATTTAGCGCTTAGCTGCGGGTTAGAAGTGAATCCGTTTTCCGGAACTGGCGGTTCTTCATTCTCCCCACAAAAGATTAACTCTGACTGTTAGAAAGAACACTCCCCTTCTTTTTCGTTTAGAGCGATAGTAGAAAAGAACCCTGAGCAGGCGATTATACAGTAACGTCGCTCTTCCTCGAAGAAGATGGAGTGAGCTACATTCTTGGCAATCCAAAGCTTTACATTTTCGGCACTGTGGCATCGGGAGTTATTTTCGGCGTCGTGGTTGGACTGACGATGATCATTTTCAAGGATCCGGTTGATAACGCTAGAAACGAAAAGACGGCGACACACGTTTTCGAAAGTAATCTCTACCTCTTGAAATTGCATTTGGCTACATGTAGATATACAGACCGATAGATTTACTGTATATCATATACAGCTAGCTTTAAGGGGGTAGATATCAAGAATCGGATTTCCTGTCAGTTTTTCTCTAATTTTTAACATAGTGACCCCCTTATTTTTTCTGCTCAAAATATATTTCAGGCAATTATCTATTTCCTTTGGAAGCCAAAAATTAAGATTTCTTGAGCTTTCGAGGTGCTACAATGCAAATCTGGCACCTCCGATTGTCGCCAAAATGACCATTTTAGGAAAGTTAGCGATCTTTGACGTGAAATTTTGTTAAAATTTGTTTCGAAATTCGAAATTTCGGCTTCTATAGGAAAAAGAGAAAGGTCTAAAGTTTTCGTTTCCAAGGAAAAATAAGGGTGTCACTATTTTAACTTAGGGAGAAAAGTTTGATAGAAAATGGAGGTTCTTGATATCTACCTCCTTAATAGCTTCTTTTGGTGAGCCACGTCTGCGGAGCTTTCGAGCAGCGCTAAGCAAAATAGGAATAAGCAAAATTACAAACTAAAACAAACAAGCGCTGGCTTTGAATATTCCACCAAAAAGGGGTCTCTCTACAACCGGTAACAAAGCATAAGAAGACAGCGAAGGTGCAACGCGAGGAGTTTAAAAATTTCGAGCAAATCCAAAGGACAGTTTCGCAAATAAAAAAATGAGCTTGTTCGGGCGAGACGCGTTTCGGGTTGAGCTAGGGACGACGTTTTCATTCGCCATGATGGGTGGCTTAGGCTCACTTGCGGGCGGCCGGATTCATTCCTGCTCGCCGAAATGCGTGGCGGCGAATCGCTACTGGCATTCTATCCTTTCATCAAATTCATTTCCAATTTGCCAATTGCCAAAAATTTCCGCCCAAAACGCGTAATTCAATTTTGTCGAAACTCGGCCAAAGCATTTCAAAGATTCTCGCTGGTTGCCGACCTGGCGGCGCTACCTTCGGCCGCTGGACGCTCAAGAGGCCTGATTTCCAGAAGACCTAGAAACTGGTGTTTTCTTAAGTTTTGTAAATAAATTCGTAACTTTTGCCTTTTTTAAATTCATTACAAGAGGCTGGGCTGGGTTGGTGCTTGAGCAAGTCTGTTAATTATCATCCACGTTTGGCCTCGGAAGGAGAGTAGTGATATCATCGGATTTAGCCTCTAGCACTTGAATGATCCCTTGGCATTCGTTAGAGACAGGTTCGATGCCCTTTAAAATGCTTATCAAGTCAATTAAAAAGCGAGTCGGACGAGGGGAGCGTCATTTTCTCGCATTCCAAATCTCGCAAATAACACTCGCCGCGCCGCTCTCAGCCCATTTCAGAAATTCCCAAAGTCAGACAAGTGTTCCAAAATTCACGAAAAATGCTGCTTTCGCTGAAGTGCAGTTTCGGTCTCACAACTTTCCGCAAAGCACGTATTTAGAACGTGTAATCAATGAGCGGACTGTTGTTGCACCAAACTCGGCATTTGTTTGTTTCTTGCTTTTGCCATGCAGATCCGTAATTGCTCAGAGCGGATAGAAGTAGTGGCGAAGTAGAGGCACGGGAGGAAGTGGCGGAAAAGCGCCGCTATCTGGAAGAGGTGTCAAACGCACCCCGCCTAAATTATCAAAGTTGTTACTTCCAACCTCTCGGATCTGACGCAAGCTGGGCGTTTTTCTTGAGACTCTTTCAGGGAAGTTACAGGAGCTCGTGCGAGTAAGACGCGGTCTCTCCCTATTTCTCTCGCTAGTTACTGTCATCTGAAAGATTTTTTGATAATAATTTTATCTAGTATCTACTGTATTCATTTTATTATCAACTAACGCTTTACTTCGGCGATATTGTATTAGCGAGTTTTGTCTTATTTTATCACTGGCCATCAGTTCCCAAGCGACCAATTCTACAGTCTGGCGCGGTGATTATGGTTTTTGAGAAATGAACAGAAAAAAATGAAGATAAAAGAAATTCAAAAATGAAGAGTGAAATGAAGAGTTTATTCTGACGCGAAGAGAAAAAAAAGTTTCTAAAAAAAGTTCTAGCGCTACTAATTCATGAAATGAAACGGCACTTGACTTGACAAGGTGGAATCAAGGAAGAGTGCGGAATTCACTTGAATAAACGACATTGGCGGCTTTGCGCAATAATCGAGTGAATATGAGTTGAGTATTTGAAATTGAGGTGGCCTTTGCGACCTTTGCTGGTTCAACCTCGTTTTCGCCGCGAGCCATTTGGAACGTACCATTGAAAAGCGACTACGATCGGCCGTCCGCGCCGCGCTACGAGTGCTGACTTTATAGATGGCGCTGGGTACCTTGGTGCTACTCCACAGCACCACCGCCTTCTGCATCGATCCACGCTCCCGCTCTAGCGCAAGGAGGAAGCTCCGCCGCAAAACCGTTTTGTAGATTCTTTTGTACTTTACGCCAAAACGCGAGAGACTTTTTGCTTCGCGCCCGGAAGATAACAATTTTCGGGAAACAGAGATTTTTGGTGAAACAACTGGAAAACGAATCGGAATAGAGAACCCTTTTGTATATTGCTGAAGAAAAAAACATAGAAGTTTGCTGCTTTTGGATTTTAAATATCCGAAGGAAAGGTTTTAGAGAAATTTAAAAAGAAGAAAAAATGTCACAAAAATTAAAAGAAATTATAAAAAAATAAAAGTTAGGGAAAAAAATTAAACAAGGAAAAAAAATTTAATCAAAAAAAAATTGAAAATAAAATTAAAAAAAAAAATTAAAACAAATTATTTAATTAAAATTTGCGCCATCTATTATAAATAACGAGCGAAAAATCCGGAACTTCTAAAAAATATTCGTCAAGAAATTTTTTCATAAATTCGGTTTGTCAGTGATTTTTCTGTGTTTTTACCAAAAGTACTCATAAAAAAGTAGCCCAGCGACGTTTTTGCAAATTGAAATTCAATTAACCTGTCGGATCAGAACATAATCTTGTCAATAATACTAATTTACTAAATGTCTGAAAAAGCCTATAGAAGTCAAAAAATTGAAGGTAATTTTTTCTTAGCAAAAAATTTCGCTAATTTTTTTCACTAGTATCGTCGATATTGCTGATCAAACGACTCATCTGTTCAACACTCAACTTTCTACTAACCATCTCCTTTTTTTATATTTTTATTACTAGCACTAGTTTTAACTTTAACTTTTCGAAAAGCCTAAAGGACTATTTGATTGGTTTTGGCTTTGAAACGATAGTTATTCGATAGTGAATCAAGGTAAGAGATCGACTTGTCCCCGTCTTAGTGCGAAGCCGGATGCGTCTCCGGTTCCGAGTTAGCAGCAAATCCTAAAGTGCGCTGTAACCTTTCGGTAGATGAGCGCTAAGCTCATCAGAGGCGGCGATCAGCGCTTTTTCGCTTTCTCCGAAGCGGTCGGAAGCTGAGGCAAGCACAGGAGTGAACCCTGCTGGCAGCGGAAGGACGGCAACGTTGCCATCCCCCATCCGATCGTTTTAACCCACAACAAAACTGAATAGACCTACGAGCACAAGTGCTCATCTCGTCTATTTTTCCTTAGTAACTACTAACCGGGGCGCCTTAATTATGGATAAACGCTAATTTTCATTTATAATTTATAATTAATATTTGATGAAATCCAATTAACAATACTATTTGCAAATACAAATAAGAAAAACTAGGTGCTAGGAAAGTTGCTAACCCGATAAGTAAATATTGCATCATTTCGAGACCGCCTGGTTTTCGTTTTTGGTAAATTTAGGAAAATTTTTTTAGCATGGCGAGTTAAGTTTATCGTGTGCCCCATCTTCAGTTTGGGTTTAGAATCGCTGCCCGCTCCTGGCGCTTCCTTATCTCAGGCAGCTAGTTCCTCTCACTGAGCTAATAATTTAGCCTTTTCTCTTTCTAAGCCTCTTCTTTCAGGTAAGACAGATCGAGAGATGGAAGATCATCGCCGATCAACCTCTCCCATTTCCGTCGACTTCGTGCAGAACGAGCAGCCGCTGCCATACGGCCATGCTCAGCACGACGACTTCGACGCCGACGATCTACACAAGCCCTGCGTAAGCACATGCTGCCTCTGCTGCAATCTCGGCCTGGGATCAATCCTCACCGGCGTTGGATTTGTGGTAAGTCTTAGGTGATAAAACAGCAAGTAGAAACAGCAAGTGTTGACAGGAATAATATTCGTAGGGGGCTTCTTTTCAACCGTGAGAACTCGACCTTCTTAGATTTTCTCGCAGACGAAGTTGACGATGTATTGAAGAATTTTTTTACTCTTATCGGTGTTTTCGCGCAAGAAATTCTGACATAATTACGAAAAAGGCGATAAGGCCGCTCCTGACGGCTCTCGTGGCAAAAGTCCGCGTTGTCGAAAGGAGATCTACGATGGATTGTCGAGTACCGCGGTACTATCATCTAAACAGCAGCGATATTAATCCATAATTTACTGTTTTGCAAGGTGAACGAAAGTAAAAAGAGCAACGCGCAATTTTCTAAATTCTTACGCGATCGCGGGCGCTGATCATTGGCTGACCCGGGCAGAAATTCTAAAGCCCATGTCAATGAACATGTCCGAGGGGATGAGTGAGCGACGCACACGTTTTGGCGACTCACCTTTGTTCCTGAGAGGCTTGGCCAGCTTAGATCGCGGCGCAGACGCATTTGCTTTGCTTCTCCGCGCATTACTGTAATTTGCGAAATTTATTGAATTCAATTCACGCCTATTTTTTAGGATTTTTTTAAAATAAAATTGGGTCTCTTCGTTGTTTTCCGCTTTTCCTAAGAGAAGTACAAAAAACAAGAATGGGCGTATTTTTCTCTCTAAGCGCATTATAACAATCAATGCGTAGAAAATTATAATTCGGTCTTTCTCTCTCTCTCTCTGCGTTGCTCTTTTTTTGAATTGGGCAGGCTCGCGTCAGATCCTGTTTTTTGCGCTTAGCTGATTTCATTATATTTTGCATGTGGCGTCAATTATATGTTCGGTGATGACAATTAACTCCCAGCATTATCGACCCGGGCGGTTTTACAGTAGCTAGTTCTCCCCCGGTTCCTTCTAAACTGGGCTAGATTTACTTAACGCTCCTTATCGGCAAGAGCCGGGCAGCTCTAAACGAGTTGGACTCTGTTTTCCCGTTCGAGGGTGTCCTCCGCAGATGAGCCCAGCCGAAGGAATCTTGGGCTCATCACTTGGAGTGTCAGGCTCTTTTTTCAAAGAAGCGTAATGAATTTCACGATTGTTTATTCTCATTTGCCAACAAACAACAACGCGGTCGCAGCTCCCAAAATCACGAAAACGACGAATAATGCGCGCTCCAGCATTGCCGCCGCCCAGTGCCATTCATTCTAAATAATTACATGAGCCTCAAGGAGCCTTTTCGCGTTAATTTTTTGTTAACGTTGGATTATGCCACTTCCGCAGAAAAAGCTGTCCCGCGCTCTTGTTTACACGAAATCGAGAAAACTTATATAAAGCTTAGAAAAGCGTGAATTTCGCGATCCGCCGTTCCGCCAAAAACAAACTAGAATTAGCAGTAGTTACCTTGAGGGTTTCCTCGCGCGCGAATCGCTCCACTCCACGGCTGATGTAACTGATGATTAGTTAGAACGGTGGTGGAGAGGAGTAACTCTAACCTTATGTGGTGGAGGACCTTCTTCCCCAAGCCGTTGGCGAACGTGTGCGTCTGCGAAAGCTCAAAGTAGGGCTAGAATTATGGTTAGCGAGGAGGAAGAGGAGGGTGTCATCTAGAAAGTGCCTGTGACGGGGAGCCCTCGGAATTGAGATCATTGTCGAGGAAGCACTCGTCGGGGAAGCCGCCCAGCTTTCGGAGCCATTTCGGCAGGCGGCCAAAGACGCGCACGCGCGTTTCCTGGCATCGCACAATAAACACTGAAAAAAGCTAATTAAAAATTGACAGCTATTTTTGCATCAACAGTTGCTTATTTTTAGCCGAGCGCGTAGACGCCACCAAATGCAATTTCGCAAAAGTTAATTGCGGCGGCGCTTTACGGAATATTCTGTCCGTATTCCAGATTACTAGCATTACTGTTGTGTTGGAATTTTTCGAACGTCACTTTTTCCGCAAGCCCTTGTGCACGTTATGGAGTCACAGGGGCTTGGAATGGATTCCGTGTTTGAGGTGCGCAGCTTATTAGAACTACGCCAGTTCAGGGGAGAATTTCATGTTTGGTCTTACACGTACCTGAACAGCATACCGACGTGGTAATTAGCACAGTCACACAGAGCAGAAAGACTCCTAAAAGTGAGGCATTGCTTTTCAGTGCGGATGGCGACTCAAAAATGCGGGAAAGTTCACAGACCCGGAATTTGAACAGTTGTTTTCTCGATTTTAGAGGATCCCCGAGTCCTCATTAGAGCTTAATTGATTTCCGAAGTTTGGGAGTTAAAGGGGGTCACGTGCCGCAGCGCTGTCATCTTAAGGCATTATGAAATCGGTGGCCGTCTTGAGGCATTGTTAATCAAGCGATCAGGCTGGATCCTTGAAGGCTTTTTGCATAATCTTGGTTTCTCGGGTGCATAATTCCAATTAAGCACTCAGTGCCAAAACTGCCGCTCCGGGTCCTATTCGTCGGCATAATTTCGAACATCAGCATTTGAAACAGCGTCAGGCTCACTAACAAGGTTATGCACAGGGTGACCTGAATGTTTTAGAAAGAAGCTGAACGTTAACTTAACAAAACACCAAAACAGAAAAACACCAATACCGTAAGCTCTATTTTCTAAACGCGTCAGGGACCTTCTTACCTTCTCGCTCGAGTCCACTGGGCAGCAGAAGGCGGCGATCGCGAGGAAAATTATTTGGAAGCAGGGAACTTAACGGCCCTGTGATTATGAGGAGCGAATTAGGCTTTACCAACCGATTACGTTTACCAAATAAAACGTTGGCTCTCGACGCAGGAGAAATCGAAATGTTATCACTGAATATTTCATCAGCGCCTGGCTTCGATACTTTTTCGCGGCTCACTAGGCTCTTTTCGCAGCTACCGATGATAGCAGCCCTTTGCCCGGGATTTCAAGCTGTTCGCCACAGATGGCGAACAAGTTATCCTGTCAGCCAATCACAAGACAGGATTCTCTTAGTGGCGGCGTAACCCCGGATTTGAGTCTGCTACTGGTATCATCGGTAGTTCGCTTCCTTCCGAGCCGGGCCTTGTAGAATCCCTCTAAAGACTTCTCGATGCGGGAGTCTATGAGCTTCCACTCGCCGGACTTGACGAACTGTTGCCGCATTATAATTTCACATAAAAGGGATTAGAATTATGCGCTGCTACGAGTAATTGGCATGGCTTAATCCTTCAATCACCTCCCTTAAGGTCTCATTATTTCCAGTCGGAAGTAGCAACTGCTCCTCCGCCGTAAAGCTCCACGAACCGAACTTAATTTGAGGACTGCGTTGAGCTTCGGCAAACAATCGGCGGCCGCTTAACTGGCCGTTTCTAGAGCCCCATTCCTTTAGCGTACAGTTCTGCGAATCGAAGGGGAAGAATTTCGTATCAATGCCGCATGAAGTCTGATAAAGCGCTGCAGGCTGCCATTCCACCGTTCCGTTATCGAATATGGTCACTAGAATTGAATTGCGTAAATTTCTTTGAGCGTAGATCCGTCTTGGGTTTCTGGGATCGAGCACGTTCGACACGGGCACTTCCCATTTCCACACGCGATTAGTTCTGCTACTGACCTTTACCGCTGTAATAATAACATGCTTGTAAGCCTTTTAGCTTACTTGCAATTGGGCGGCGGCGGGTTACGACAGACTTTCGCGTTCAAAATCAAAACGGCTCCGCAAAATATCAAAACGGCTCCACGGAGCAATTAGACCTCACCTTTGTAGTAGTGGCCCTGCTCCGTCGTTTTGAAATTGCCTGTCACGGAGTTATGCAAGACAATGTCGGGTTTCCATACTCGCGTGGAGTTGAGCTTGATCTTCGTCATGCCACCGAACTGCGCCCTGAGCAGTCATGAGCTACTCAAGCTCAGCTAGAATACTTACGGATCCCAGCGGAGCCTTGGATCGTACCAAGAAATCTTCAGTCTAGCTTTAGTGTGGAGAATTTCTTTGCGTTCCTCCAAATCGGCGATTTGAATCAAATAGAGTTGAAGCTTACTTTCGGGCTCTTTTTCGTCTTTTTTAGATAATAAACGTGTAGTTTATTCTGGCGACGAGCGGACATGGCGGACATTGGCACATGTCTGATGACATTTGGAAAGAGCGGTTGTCAGCCTCGCGCTTTATCTAACGTTCTGTGAGCCCGTTATCAAATTATTATCGGATTGGGACGCTTGGTGAGCGAGTTGATGGTCACGGGGCGCGAGCGGGTGTCGTAGTTACCAATAAGTCGCTGGAAGAGCTTTTCTTCGTCGCAGCGGGCCTTTTTTAAAATTTTAACCAAAAGATGAATCTTTTTGAGCTCTCCAAAGAGGATTATCTTGTAGAAAAATCCATAGACTTACGTTTTGAAAGAAAAGTAATCCGACGAGCAAACGCATAATAATATTAATATTCTGTGAAGTAAATTCGCTTCTTCTTCTTCTCTCAATATTTTTCCTGCGCGTAACGATTCGCCACGCATGAGTATGAGTCTCTATGTGAACATCGATTTTAAAATCAATCAACCCTTTTTTTTGCTCTTTGAAACAGAGGACGATTGAAAATTACTTTTGCACGCGTTCAAACGTGAGTCAATAATTCTGCAAAAACAGCGTCGAATTTCGCGAAAAAATGGATTTTGGAGAGAATTTCGATCTTCGAGTTCAACGAACTTATTGAATTATTCGTGACAAAAAAGGGGTTAAACCAATTTATGAAAGTGTTTTTATGGATCAGGGTTTTGATTGGCCGGTAGGCCAAATACAGCAATCTTATTGGTCATCCAAAAATGCACTTCCTTAAATTGGTTAAGTCCGAGAAAAGTGAGAATCTATGTTTTCTGCTTCCGATTTTCCAAGAAGGCGAAAGTGTGGCTACTTGGATGGCTTTGCTGTCTTAAACCGCACCAGCCGCATCAAAATTATAAACTTGTCGCAAAACAGATGTCGGTTAGTTTTGCCATTTTCGATCGGGATGGGAGGCTAAGTGACCAGAACACGTCCTAATCTGCGTCTCCGTCTAAGTATTTTGAAGGCGATAAAAGATCGATCATTTGAGTTTTGATTTATTGATTTTGAAAAGTGAGTAAAAATGTGCAAAGTGGGAGTACTTGCAACCAACGTCGTAAAATGCAGAAAAGGCCACTCAACACGTCGGGTACAGATGTAAGCGCCAGCGCTTTAGCAGTTTCGGCAAGACTCTGCTTGTAAACGGTTACTTTTGCGGACGTATTCACACAGCGCAACGAGCAACGCGGCGACGACGCCAATGCAGAGGATGATGTAGATGCCGCCGAAAGACTCCATGCCCAGCGAGCTCTTTAAAATACACGTGAGGCCTTTTTTTTGGAGCGCGGTTATTAAAATGAACGTGTCGTGATCTCTATTACGATCCGGGTGCGGTCACCAGCCGGCCTCGTCATTGCCATTGTGTCGGCTTCGGTTTGACCCTGCCTGACGCTAATGTGACAGCGCGGAAAAGGATCATTCGAGAGAGAGAAGGCGAGTTTCTATTCTCGAGCAATAATTCAATTGGAACCATATCAATTCCATCTGCATAATCGCGAAACGAGCGCTTCTTACCTTGTTTTCTTGCAAGACGGGGCACGGTTTTTGGTTGCCCTTCCACCACTTCTGCCGCAATTCTTCCATTATCCCGTTCTCGTGCATTTTGAGTATTTGCATCGAAAGTATCTGACGCCACTTCGACCCTTGGAACGTCGTCTTTCATTTATTTAAAGCGAATGAACGAATACCTTTTGGCGTGGCGATCCCGTAGCCCTTGGAGTCAAGGAGGCCCCCGACTTGTGTCAGGTTGCAGTTGAGGGTAGTCAAGTACTCGATGGAACTTGCGTCGGGGAGTTAAAATTGTATGGACACGGCACAATTGAGATTTTAACCACCCGCCTTGCTTCCATCAGAAACGCGTAATCGCCATCCAGAACCCGCTGAATGCCCGTCTCCTGGCTGAAAAGGGAGTTATTGAGCGCTGGTTGGTTAGAAGGAGCTCTTACTCTTTCACCAACACATCATTGTTGCTCGCCATATATTTCCACATTTGTTGATAAACATCGGGTTTCCCACTCACCTCTCCAGAGCTAAAATGTTTAGACTTGGGAAACCCTTTTGGATAAAGAGGAATTTTCGAGTTTCTGAAAAATGACGACGTTGAGCCATCGTCTTCCCTGGTGCTGATCAAGTTGCTCCTTTGAGAAGTCAAGTAGCGCGATCTAAGCACCTTCCCATAGTTCCATAGGCAATGGCGCTCTGCTGAGCCAAGTCTTGGGCCCCTTTAATAGGTACGTCCATTCGCTTGACGGTTAAGAAGGCCGCCAAATTCGCCGTGTAGAACATGCCAAAGACTAGCGTGAAAAACCACTAGATTGCGTGTGAGTCGTTGATCATTGACAGACGCTTTTCTGCTGTTTAGAAATCAAACTAGCTCCTTACCCAGATAGCCGTAATCGTCCGCGAAGCTGGTGTTGTAAACGTAATGTCGGGCCCTTGCTAAAGAAAAAGGTCGATGATTAGCACACGTTCTTTTTTTCTTGCCTGCAAAAGAGCGCCTATCGTAAACCAAACCGAATCACAACATCCAAGTTTGGCCTCGTCAGCCGCAGTTTTCGTCACGACAAAAACTGCCACGGTGACGAGGAAAAGCGCGACTAGAATGGAAATCCAGACGGAGGAGGAGAGAGGCGCCAGAAAAGAGAAGGGCCCTGGAAATTGAGTAAAAAGGGATTGGCATTCTTTTGATTTTGAGTTGAGTAACTTTATTGGTGCACCTGACCTGGATCCGAGGGCTTAGCCGTTTTGTATAGAATCGAAACGCCCGTGTTCATGAAGGGAGTGGTGAATGAGACGCGCTGCTCCCGCTCATAGCTGATCGTCAGTGATCCAATCGCCAAATCGGCTTGGCCTGTTTGGGCTCAACTCTGCAATCGTACAAACGAAATAAGCTGCCGTTGTGGTAAAAGCCCTTTACTAGAATCACTTCGCCGATCATCCCGTTCTAAAAAGTCTGAGCAACCATTCATTCAAAAGCTTTTTTTGTTTACCCAAGTGCCATCGGCCTGCTCGTTGCCGTACTCATTATCAGAACATAGCCGAATGCGATACTTGAAGTTGAGCTGCCGGGCCATTACGTCGAGGATATCTAGACAAAAGATCTTGCCGCAGACGTAACTGTAAACGTAAAAGTACTATCGAGCTTTGCGCATTGCATTTAGAACGTTTTAAAGCGGGGAAAGGCGATTTCCGCCGCGGAGATTTGTCCGCCGCGCTCTAAAATATTCAAATTCGAATATGGAATTCGTCAGATTTGACCATTCCTAGCTTCAATTCAATTCAGTTCATTTAATCTGCGCCCGGGAAAAGAGGCGAAATTCGATTTCAAAAGGGCGCATTAAACTAGAATCGCGGGCTTGTTTCTTTCTTACCTTTGCAAAAGCCTTCGAAGTATTCCGAAGGAAATGACCGTTCGCGTGAGAAGTTGCCATGTCCCACTTGCCAGAGCAGAGCGAGGGGAAATTTGTCCGAGAAGGCTAAATTAAGGCCCAGTTAGACATCCTTAATAGCCCCTTTTTGCGTCGAGTTGGAGAGCGACGAACTGATACTTACTCATGTAAGGCTCAGTGCGACTTGAAATTTCTGTCCCGGATGAGATATTCCGAGGATGTCCTTTTCGATAACCATCGCAGCTACTGGGCCTAATTACTCGCCCCCTTAACGATAAACAAAGTCCTTTATCAACACGAACTTTATTTATTTCGCCAGTTTCAGTAAAGTACGGTATTTATCCCGGCTAATAATAATGACTGTGGTTAGTGAAATGAAATAGCTTAGAAGTCGCATTCCTGAGAGATTAGCGTTGTGACCAGTATGTACTCGGGCTGCTCTTTGCTATTGGTTAGAAACATGTTCTATTAATTATAGATCGATTTGTTTCTAACATAACTGAGGCCGGAAGGAGCTGGGAGTACGTCATCCCATCGCGCTTGTTCCACTGCGCCGTAAAGTGGTTGTAGCCAACGTGCTGCTCGTACAGATAAAATCGCGGCTAGCAGGGCAGTTACACAAGAGAGTATCAAAATTACTGGAGCACGGTTTTTGAGCGCCACGTAGGCTCCCTTCAAATGTGACAGATTTGAAGCTAACCTGGAGGACTTCACCATCCCACGACATATTGAGTCCGGTAATGAGCTCGGACGTGTAATTTGGGCTGTTCTTGATCATCAGCGTGCCTGAACGGAGGTGTCCTTATCCGCCCCGTAACGTAAAAAACGGCCGAGACAGAGTGTGTTTGGCTAGGTTTTATTGGAGATATCCGCATGGGATCTAACCTTGCGTCCATTTGCGTTTCCTCCGGCAGGAGGCTGCCAGCGGCGCCAACGCGTCCGGTTCTGTGGAAGGTATCGACTTTACACGGGTTGCGGAAGAGGCGAGCGCGGCTTAGCGCTTCTAGAGCCAGCTTCTTACCGGAACCTTGATCAGCAGCGAGCCGAACATTCGCAAGGATTCGCTTGTCAAAATCATCCCAGTTGTCACATTTTCCATCTCAAGAAGCTCCGCCCTCGCATTGAATCCGCTCGAGTTCTTGTCATAAGGGAGCCATGTTGTCTTCACGGGTTAAAAATTTTGGACTATTTATTTTTCAAATCAATCATTGATTTTTGACCCTTCGCAAATTAGCATCCGTCGCTTCTACATTCGCGAGAGTCTTGAGGATTGGATATAAAAGGAGTTACGCAACAAGAACCGTGCACTCTTGAATTCGTATTATTTTTGCTTCGGTAATCAAAATGTCACTGAATGGGCGGCTTTATATCCCGAAGCCTGATCACTCGTCGGATCCAGGAATAGAATATTAATGTTGCGCTTGAAGAGCCCAGTCACTTGCGCAACTAGAATCATTTCGTTAATGATGGGCCCGCCGCAGATGCATATTATCCGTCGAGAGCCGCGATCGTACAGGGCCAATGTTCTCGCAATCTCATCAGCGATGCTTTTCTTGTCGAAATACATCACAATCGGTTGAACAGTCTTGTCCTTGTTCAGTTGGAAAACTCGCGCAACTGGCACCACATTCGCCTTCTCACAGGCCCAGATGATCGTTTCCCGAAGATCTGTGATTTGGCTTTTTAAAAATGCAAAGATCTGTTCTTCTCCTTTTTCCGATTTCACTAAGCCGTGTAATTTTTCGAGTGAATGAATGAAATCCGGCCTGGGAGAAACGACACCGTGGTTGTGGAGTCCTTAATTCGCCCCGCGAAAGGTGTAATCAGCGGCAATCCCATAGTCTCTGCAAAATCGGCCACTTTCGGCAACGCGGGCGATCCTAGCTTCACATCACTGGAGTTTGTAATTCTCAAAGTACCTGCTCGTGAAATGAACAGAATCCCGTGCAGCGGCTTTTCCAGCAATTTGCACAGCGCCGTAAAATCGCGAAAGGGATTCTTCCCGTCGTTCAGCTGCTCCGGCTCGTACAAGTAAAAGCTGACATTCTCGTTGGACATTTTCGCTGCCACTTTGAACACTTGATCACGTGTTAAATCATGCCCAGGCTCACTCAATACGGCTAAATGTCATGTTAGATGTCTAATGTTCAGAACATCGTGAATAAATACCTAGCCTAGCGGATAGTGAAGACCACACTACAGTCAGCAGAAATACAAGCACAGTTATCATTATTTTTCTTTTAAAAATTAATGACTCTTCTTTTCTTCGATTTTCTCGCTTTTCTCTTTTCGCGGCCAGCTTTACTGTATTGACGGGAGTCTGCAAGGACGTAAAGTCATAAGTCGATTCCAAAAGACACGGTATCAAACGCTTTGTAATCCCCCAATCTGTCGAAATTGCTCTTCGGGTTTTATATATACGCTTACAAAGCAAGACACCTGTCACACTTGCTGTCAATAGTTGGAATAATTAACAAAGTACGTGTCCCAATTTGCCATTTAGATACTCAACGTGATCTACATCTTCCGCCAGATGTCGTCTCTTCAAGCTGCTCTGCTGGACTCGTCGCTGCCTGAGATCTCTTTCAATGATGGAAACCTTGACGCGATCTTTGCTGTTGTCGGAATCGCACTCGCCGGCGTTGCTGCCCTTGCCGCATTCGTGTTGATGATGTTCTCTTGCTGCTGCGGCGTCGCCGAAGAAGTTTCAAAAGTGAAAATCGGCGCCTTCAGCTGGACGGTTGCCACCGGACTCTGCTCAATTTGGGTGCTCGGCGAGGCAATTTACCGCACTGTTCCAAAAGAAGAAGAGCAGTCCAGCCGTGGCTACATCATCGTCACCAACATCAACAACGTCGACGATCCAAACACGATGGACGTGCAAGAGCTCGTCGTCACCTGGCTCATCGCTGGTTTCTACCTTCTCTTTTACGGCTACTTGAGCATCGTCACCATGAGTTTCGTGGCTCTTCTTTCGCGAAACCGACAAATGTCTCAGAAAGAACACCTCGCCGCCAAGCAAGGCATTCCCCCGCACAAGTCCGACTCGCCAATGACCGAGAACGACTTCCTCCAGCGAAACATCTCCAACATGGGCCTCCTTCGCTCGCCTTCTGGCTTCAGCTCGCACATGCAGTATCCACCCATGTACGGAATGTCGAACCCCAGCTACTCCCCCGAACCAGCCACTTTGGACAACCAAGCATTTATGCCGCCGATGTTGCCGCCAATGTTCCGCGAGCAGATCATCTCCGGCCCACAGGGACAGCCCATCTCCGTCGTCATCGATCCAAACGGACAAATCGTGCCGCCAGAAATCGTCAACCAGTTCGTTCAACAACAAATGGCCTATCAGAACCAGCTCATGTCTGAGAGCCAGAGCGTGGTTACAGACATGACTTACAGATCGGGCGCCGCGTTGATCCAGTCTGAAGTTATGGAGGCGCCAGTTGAGCGAACGCGCTCAGTCAGATTCAACGACATCCATCAGACCCGATACATCCGAGATACAGACAGGTAAATTAATATTTCGTCATTCGGAGACCTTATCAAATCCTTAGCCCGAACAGACACGAGCCCAGCTCCTCGAGTTGCGACGATTTGAGCTCGACCTCAGTAGAGAGCAAGAAGAAAACAGAAAACAAAGTTCTTTTTACGTAAGTCAAAAATCGGAAAAGCTGAACCTTTTTCAACCTTTTTTTCGTTCAGTGAACAAGCGACAGATTCCAGCGAGCCGCCAAGCAGTAATGACTCAGCATAAAAGATAGATTCGACTTCTTTTTCAGCAAGTACGCAATTTAAAAAAGAAAGAAAGAAATTGATTGTTTTCTTTTTTAGTGTATATATTTCAAATTTGTATAAAGTTGCCGCGAAAATGAGAAATACAAATTCCGCGATGCAGTAAAATACTTTTTATATTCTCTATCCATCCATTCGGAGCATGTGAATTCCAGTGATTCGGAGCTACAGTGAAACAAACCACGAAAAACGGAACAAACAGAAAACGAAAAAAAACGCGTCAAAAACCGGTCAACCGGACTTTGGACATTGCAAAATGTAAACCGCTACAATGACGATTACTTAAACTGTACATTTTTAATTTCAAGCGTTGCGAATTGCTTGCAGCTCATGCGAGTAATTCAAACAAAAAGCGTATTGGCGCGTAGTAATGAAGATACTGCGCGGCAGCTTACTGTACGTACTGAACTAAGCACGAGTTTAACGACCCTACCTTTCTGTACAATTTTATTTAAAACACGTACTCAATATCAAATTTGAAATTGTCGTTTTATTGTTCAGTTGAAAAGCGAAGGTTAACTAGTTTTTTGAGGACATTCTTCTAACCCGCGAGTTATGCCCGTTGCAATTAATTCTTTTGAATAGAACTTATTAAATGCAGAATATTTCAAAGAAAGAAACCGCAGCTAAAAGTGGGTGAACAAGAGTGGAATTTATGTTGTAAATGCTTCTAAGTGCAGAGCCAAAGAGTGGAGTCGTAGATCGTTTTTTGAGCAAAAGTCTTGAAGGAAAGTTTAAATAAGAATGCTAACGATATGCTTTCAAAACTCACCAATTGTAAAAGGTGTATCCTTTGTAAGTGTATCCACCAGGGAATGCTTGGTAGATCGAATCCCAATCATCGGATGATTCATCTTAGAAGTTGTTATAAATATGCATGAAAATAGAAAAAAAGGTTGAACAAAACATATCATAATTATCCTTTAATAATTTACCTGAATCAATGCCAAGCGCATTCATCATGTAATGAAGCGGGTCGAAATACCCGTACATGTCATCGTCATCATCATCGTCATCGGAGTAAGGATCGTCTTCTAGGTAGTTATTATCGAAAAAATTGCTATGATATCACCTGAGTCAATTCCAAGGGACTCGTACATCTCCCTTCGTTGCTTGGCGAAGGTTTTCTCAAATTTGGCCAAGGTCTTTTTAGCCAGAGGATGACTGAAGTCAGATCATTTTTCAGCTCCTTTATAGATCGAAAAAATGTTTTTTTCAAAAAAGTATGACCGTTTCCTTTCATCATTGTCTTTGATCTCAACTGATCGTCCTTGACTCTCCAGAAACTCTACCGCTTCATTCCGGGAAAAGAACTTTTTCATCAAAGAGTGAGGATATCGATGAATTTGTGCTTGCGCTACGGCGCTATTCTGAAATAAGCCCGTTTTTCGTCCATTAGCGACAGCATAAAAACGTTCTTTCGGTGGCAAAACGCCAGCCTTTTCCAGGAATTGCTCGGCCGAGTCCTTGCTTTTGAACTTTTTGTAGCGCCCGTTTCGAATCCCTCGAGTTTGAGTCTTTGCCTCGTTGAAATCCGTATAGATTCCAGGCTGTTGACCAACAGATACTGCGTAAAAAGTCTCTTTTGGCATTATTTATTAATTTCCAATTTCCGCGAAAACGGCCTCTCTTGGCAATAATTTTTAGCGACTGGCGAATTTTGCTCCTGCAGTTGAGATTTTAAATCTGATTCGCGCCGAAACGGTTGGTTTGAACTTTCGCTGCTCTAACTGCAAATAAACACCTAATGAAATCATCGTTGATATCAAAACAAGCTGATTTGTCGTTTTTAAGATATTTTTATTGAATGGATATACAATTGAATTTCGTCCATGAGAAATGGACATTTTTTGAAAGCATTTTCTTGAGAAAAGAAAAGAAAAAACTGGGCGACAGTAATAATGAAGGAAGAAAATTAAGTACAGAAAAGTATTTTTAGAGAAAGTTTAGTTGAAGTTGAAATTATGAATTTTGTCATTTCAGCCGACCAGCGGGGAGAGATAGTCGTAAACCTCGAGGTAGACGCGCGACGGGTGAAGAATTGCAATCGCAGAGTCCGAAGTGTGAACAGAGTGCGGACTCACCGATTGTTTCAGGAAGGCGCGCTGGTAGGAAACGGTCTTGGTCTGGTCGTCTTTGCGGTAGAACTTGAGGACGAAGGTTTGCGCGTGGATTTGGTCGAAGCCGGTCAGAGTGATGGTTTCGCCGTTGACGAGGACGTTTATATCCGACTAAAGTTTCTTTTAATGCGGATTTGAATTGAAGAGAGGGGTTATCATTCGAGCCATCAAGTATCTCTAGAATCTGGGCTAGAGGTTAGGGTTACGGACTGGGAACTCTTAAGGGGGTACGGGGGCGAAGCCCCTGGTTAAGGCCTTAGGGGGTCCAGGGAGTTAGGGTTAGGGGCAGCTCGAATGTTAACCCCCTACTACCATTTAAATCGACAAATTAGTACCTTGCAGCGGAGATCGACCGGAGTAACAACGGTTCGTAGGTCATCGACAGAGCTAATTCGAAACTCCAGTCGATCATGATACCAGAAGCAGATTTCATTTCCGAGGTAGGCGAGGCCAACATCGTCTGGAATCGTAAACAGCGTTCGCTGCTTGAAGACCTCTTCCTCCTCGGCTCCTGCTCCCATCTTCGAAAATGGCAACTTGACGCATTTTATGTTTACGGCCGAACCAAAGTATCGTGCGCATCTATAATTGCATTATCCGTAAATACGATTGATAACTCGATAATGCACTTTTTTTTATTTATTTTGTAAAAAGAATGGATAATTGACGAGAAAAGTGATAATGAGCGCACTTGTTTTTCCACTAAATTTACACAACTTACTTTTCGAGGGTGAGTTTGTAGAAAACACTGCCAAAGAGGTAGAGCTTCTGGCTCAATGCCTCCGTGTTGATGACAGTTTCAATCTCCGTCACATCCGTCGCCTGTGGGCCTGCAAAGAGATACGTAGCCTCGGTCGTGTCCATATCCTCGAAGTCGGCGGCCAGACCTTCTTCCTCGATGTCGGCCTCGTCGCTGCGCTGGACGCAAATCAAAATTCGCCCATTGGGATCGACGGAGATAATCCTCAGCGTTGTGTAGTTGTAGCTTCTAGAAACAGATTTGTTTATTCCGCCTCGATCAAGCGTGGACGAACATTTCCTGAATAAACTTACTTGGCTGACTGGAGCCCCCAGAGTAGATTGAAATTGATGGTGCAGTAAGCTCTGATCTGGACATGTCCATTGTCTGAAATCGCAGCGTAGATGATGTATTTTTCCGATGCGTAGAGCTCGATGTTTGACTTGCAAGTCCAACTAGAAGAATACATTAAGGGGGTAGATATCAATAATCGAATTTGATGTCAGTGTTTTCTCAAATTTTTAGCATAGTGACTCCCTTATTTTTTCTGCTCAAAATTTATTTCAGGCATTTATCTCTTTCCTATGGAAGCCAAAAATTCAGATTTCTTGAGCTTTCGAGGTGCTTTTTAGAAAAGTTAGAAAAATTCAAAATTTCAGCTTCCATAAGAAATAGAGAGAATGTTCTAAAGTTTTTGTTTCAAAAGTAAAATAAGGGTGTTACTATTTTAATTTTGGGAGAAAAGTCTGACAGAAAATGGCGATTCTTGATATCTACCTCCTTAAGAGAATTAATCAATCATTTTTTATCATAAGAGGACTTTCATAGATTTAGATAAAATGCTTTAGATAATGTCAAGTTATGTAACTTACATGTTCTCGACTGGCGTTTCCGTGCAGTCGATGTAGTGCATTTGCTGATTCTGACGTCGCCAGATGCAGAGCTTTTTGTTTCTTGTGAAGCAGACGACGTTTGTGTTCAAGACAGGATTGTGCATCGGCGAAGCAGCGTCCAGCACGTGAATCGAGCACTTTTTCTGGTCAAAGACAGAAGCTTCTTTGAGCATCTGGTGCGCCGAGAGAAACCTGTAAAAGAGTCAGTTTGACAGAGTTAAGGCGATTTAAGGCGACTTGCCATGCGACAGGCTCGCGATTTGTCCAAGACGAGAGGTTCGGATTCTGCCGGGCGAGCTCGTCATAGTTGTAGTTGAAAAAGTCGACGAATTTCGCGTCGTATCGGAACTTGTCCAGAAGCGGGTAGTAACTGGGGTTTTTGCGAGCTCTGCGCGCCTGATTCAATTAGATTAATATTTTCTCGCCGATGAGAGCAGAGTTGCAAATTATGCTTTATTTTTGCTGAGCTGAGCGGGGCTATTTCGGAGGTCATTGAGCGGAGCTGAGCTGAGCAGACCTTTTTTAAGGTAGTTGAGCTGAGCTGAGCGGGCTCTAATTGGAGCTGAGCTGGTTGAGCTGAGCTGTTTTTTTACTGTGTTTTAGTAGCAAAATTGTTTTAAAATCATTGAGCTGAGCTGAGCTGAGCTAAGTGATAATTGTCTGAGCTGAGCTGAGCAGAACAGATCATGTTCGAAAATAATTGAGCTGAGCGGAAAGTGTGTGAGCTGAGCTGAGCTGATCACTGTAAGAAATCACTGACTCAGCTCAGCAAATTTGCAACTCTGGATGAAACTTTCATCATGAAAGAAGTTCTTTACCTCAATCGTCAGATAGTCCAAAATCGCGTCCTTCCAAGGATGGATCTTCAGAAGCGTCAAAATCTGCGCCAGATTGACTTGGGAGAGGATCTTGAGCTGCAGCTCCATTGGGAAATCGGTGAAGCTCACTCCCGCCTGACTCATTTTTAACAAACTGAGCTCCATCTTTCTCTTGAATTTTACAAACACCAAAATTCACGGCATTCTAGAAAATATCGAAAATAACGATAAAAGAATAATTGAAAAACAAGACGGAAATTTAGATGGAGCTACTTTTTGCTTATTCTGCAGAATACAGCGCGTCTTCCAGACAGAAACTCCAGAGAACTCTTTTATTTTCCCAAACTTGGAACTTTTAACTCTTTTCAGAAGAGTCTTCTGATTGTGAAAAAAAATCGAAAAAAATATCTGCCCCAAAATTGGGCCAATAAAGATCCTTGATCGATTGTAAAGGGTTGAAAATATTTTCCGCGAGCTCAGCCACTGTAGCGTGAAAAATTGGTGTCGAGTTTTCTCAGATTTTTCCTTTGTGCTGCTAAAGATCAAACAATCCGAAAGAACGATCACCGAAGAAGCTCATTTCATATTTATAGATTATAAAAATGAATAAAAAGCAAAACTCATCTTTCAATTTCTCTCATTTCTGGCTCGCTGAAAAACCTCTTTTCTCGTCGATGAAGCTTGGCGACCTGCCAGGGATCTCCCTTTTCTTCCGAATGCTTGCGTAGCTTTTCATCATTTTTCGAAAAAAAATAATCTCGGTTTTTTTGGAAAAGAAATTTCAATTTCGCTTTTTTAAAATTCCAAATGCTCTTTATTGTTTTTGACAGTGAACAACACGAAAAAGACTTGAAAGAGTGAAATCAAGGAAGAGTCATCCTCCAATTGAGAACTCGCGGAGACGGGCAATCAGCTTCGCAAAATATGGGTCGTCTCGCATGGATGGCGGAATGGGCGAACTTCGCTTTCGTTTTTCGTAGCTTACGACTGTATGCGCCGCTAGATAAGGTAGCTCTTGTTTGGGTGACACGATTTACCTTGCAGAGAGTCTAACAGTTTAGTTCAACGTTTATTTCTAAATGCGTTTTAAGCAGTTATTTATTTTCCGCACGAGATAAGCTACTTTTGCTAAGCTGAATTACTATTCTGTATTTTGAACTCTGATCTGGACATCCCCACACGACGCTTCCGTCCGGCGCGTTGTAAATGATACATCCACCTGTTTCAGTTTCCAAAATTAGCAAAAGTCATTTTCAGCGAAAAAATGGCTACTCGATTGGAACAGACTTGCAAATTTTGCTGAGTTGAGCTGAGTTGGCCTTTTTCAGAGGTCATTGAGCGGAGCTGAGCTGAGCAGACCTTTTTTTTAAGGTAGTTGAGCTGAGCTGAGCTGAGCGGACCCTAAATAGAGCTGAGCTGGTTGAACTGAGCTGAGGGACTGCTCAGCTCACCCAGCTAGCTCAGCTCAGCTCAACCAGCTCAGCAAATTTGCAGCTCTGAATTAGAAACTCTTCCTGTCGAGCTCAGTCCGTCGTGTCCTTTAATCTCCGTTGCATTTGCCACCGCCAAGACCAGCAAAAGTTTAATCAAGTTTCTCATGTTTTTGGTTGGATATTTCTCTCTAGCGAAGGATCTTATCAATGTAGTAAGTCTTGCTTGTTTTCTTTTAATCGCGTTACTGATTGAAAACCTAATTAGCTTTGCATCGCAACGATTTTTATTTTTAGCGAAAGACCCTTTTTTGTGGCTCCCTTTTGCGGCTGAATTTGCATCGGCTGAATGCAAGCTGTCAAACAAGGGTTTATATACCAAAGAGGGCGATTTGGATTATCCGCCTTTTCTCTTTTAAAATTTGAGTCAAGTGTTTTCTTGTTTTATGTTTTCTTTTATCATTTATTTATTGTTGAATCAAATTGGGTCATTTATCTGGATTGATTTTTTACATGTGTTCAGTAGTATAGTTACAGTTATCTACAAAATAGTTTGAATTGATTGCTATTTATACAGTTAGTTCGAGTTACAGTTAATTTCGCGATCGCGTAATAGTAGAAGTCGTGGAGGAGGAGGAGCCACTCCGCGTGTAGGAATGATTAGCTGCATCCGACAAGAGCGTGGGAGAGAGGATCGAGTACTCGTCTTCTGATAATCCGCTCGAGTTGCTCGAGCTCGAGCTCGAAGATGACGAGGAGGATGAGTCCGAGGAGGCATCAGAAGTGCCCGAGGCGATTACGCTGTGTTGTGTGTGCCTAGAATAGAGAGTGTTTTTATGTGCTTACAGCGTTTTGACACGGCGCTAGACTCTCAACATTAATAGACATTGATAACGCACTTGACGAAAACTAAACATCCATGTCATACGTCGTTGACGGTCTCGTTGAGGGGCGATTATCATTTAATTCGGTGTCGGAACTGAAATTTATTATTTATACACGCGTGTCCAAACCAAGAAGAGCGCTCGAATGAGGAAATGTTAGAAGTGCCTAAATTTGCTAACCTGATGGAGGAGCGATCAAAGTCGATCTCGACGGCGCTATAAGCAGAATTGTTATTTGTGTTGCTGCTGTTCGTGGTTGTTGTGGTGGTCTGTGCGGTTGTGTTTGTGAAACTTGGTGTTTGAGTGATAGAAGGTGCTGTGCTCGTGTGATCAGAATTGAACACCGAAGTGTATTGGTCGTAGGAGACCTTGGCAAATGTGCGTGAGTTAAGCTGCTCTCCAGAGCCGCTCGTTTGAGTTCCCAAATACGACTTCATCCTGCTTCCGACGGGAGTCCGACCGCCAAAGGACATTTTACGAGGAGATTTCGAGGTTGAACCATCAGTCGTGAAACGCTCCACTTTTTCCGAAAAACTTTCCGGCGACTTTTGAGAAACGCGTTTACTCCTCGTCGAGGAACGCTTCGCCTTTGCTCCAATGACAGGATGCTGCCGAAATCGACGAGGTCGCTCGTTGATTTCGCTTTCAAAAGTAGAGAGCATTTTTCGCACTGGAATTCTCGAAACTTCTCGCTGACACTCGGCGTCGGAGCGCTCCGACATTTCAGAAAGGACCTCCTCGAGCTCGTCCATAAAATCGGACATTTTCAATTCCAACTGGGTCGGCGATTTTCGCGACTTTTTACTTTTCTTGGTTTCAATTTTCTTTACTGACAATGTCTCTTTGTCTGCCTTTTTACGTGCTTTTTCGGGGCTCTTTGCTGGAGCCATTTCTGCGCTTGTATTTTCCGCTTCAGTGATTGAAATTTCCGGGAAGGTTGAAAGAGAAACGTCGGTTGGATCGTGAGTTGGTGCGGCTAAATTGGTCTCATCGTGGGATTTCTTCGAACTGGACCTCTGAGAATTTTTTCGCGATGATTTCCGTGTTGAACGCGAGCTCTTCGAACTCTTGCGCGATTTTTCTCATACGATCGGCGGGAATATTCGGTTTTGCCGGACTTTCCGCTTTTTGAAAGTTGAGAATCGGAGCAACTTGACGATCTCGATGATGATGATGAACTGGAGGATGATGATGAAGATGAAGATGAGGATGATGATGATGAACTGGAGGAGCGGGATCTGGAGGATCGGGATGTGCGAGATCTTGAGCGAGAAACAGAATATCTCGGTGAGCCTGATCTTCGAGAGCTTGTATCGTAATCTGTTATCTTCGTATTCGACCTTGTAAGCTCTGAATGATCGTACTTGCTTAGATCAGTTTGTGACAGGTTGCTCAGCTCGTAGGTCCGTGAGCGCTCGTCTTCCTCGATTTTTTCGTTTTGCATGGAGTAGTAGTATCCTTGCGATCTGCGCAAATCGTTTGTGGACAGGGTACTCGAATAGGCCCCCTTTGATCCAGTCGAATATCCTCGAACCCGTTCATCGCTTGAGTATTTCTCAGAATAAGAGTTTTGCTTCGAAATGTCAGAGTACGATTTTGAGTACTGATTTAGGCCCGATTTAGACCAGTCTGTCGTATTGACCACAGTTGGCTCTGTGTAATCTGTCGCAGTGTAGTTTTTGCTTCCAGAGTTAGAATGAGAAATCTCATCTCGGGATCTGGAGTAGTCCGTTTCGTCTACTGAAAAAATGAAGTTATAAAGCTTGTTTTGCTTGAAATTGAAATTCACCTTTTGAAAAACTGTGCGTTCTTGTCTCAGTCTCGCTAGTTTCGTCACGTGATCGTTGAGTTGTTGCTTCGGTTTCTGTTTCAGTTTCCGTTTGCGTGAATGTTTCGGTTGTTCTGGTCATACTTGATGAAGTCATCAAATCAGTCCTCGAGCTCGTCATCGTCGTTGAAGCGGTAATAGTCAATGTTGTTCCCGTTTTCGTTCCTGTTCCTGTCTCAGTTCCCGAGAAAAAGCTTTGATCGTTTCCAGTCCAGCTCGTGGTTCGTGTGGTTCCAGTGTCTGTCGTTCCGTGAGTCGACAATGTCGTTGGATCGGTTGTTGTCTTCCCAGTGGTGCTATCCAACACAGAAGTATGAATATCCGCAGAAGTATCGTTTTTCTTTGTTTTCAAGAGAGTGCGAGTTTGACTTTGGGTCGTCGCCGAATTTGTCAGACTCGAGTTCGAATTTTTGCTCGCCTTTTTGTTCCGTTCTTTCACCGATTTTCTCCTTTGCACTTTCGGCTTCACGCCTTCCACCTCGCTCAGATCTTCCATTCGAGGAAGCATTTTTCCCTTTTCGCGATTTCGCCGTCTGTACTCGCTTTCCGAGTCCGTGACAAGAAGACTGTCCGATTTCGCTTTGGCAAGCCACTTTTTAGCGTTTTTCACTTTTTCGGCGATGTTTTTATTTGCGTGCTTGCTTGTCTTTTTCTTGCTTGTTTCCTTCTTTGTTTCTTTTTCGACGATCATTTGAACATCCGAACATGGCGCAGAGTCCATCACAACGTCATCATTCCCTTCTTCTATGAATCGAATTTTTATCTGTTTTACTTTCTTTGTTTACCTTCAGGAATGCTGTCAACATCCACATCTCGCTCTTTGATCGAACGTCCTTTTACTTTCTCGAAAGCTTTCGCGATCTCGCAGCTTTCAGAAATGTAGCCAGCTTCTTTCTGGTCCTTCTTGAAGATGTCCGAGTTGATGGAAATGCTGTCGACTTTGATTGTCGACGAGTCCGTGCCAACTGTTTCCGTGAAGCTCTTCCGCAAGTTCGCTTGGGAAGAACGGTCACTTACAGAAGCGAAGAAGACTTTACCTTTCACTTTGTCCAGATGATTTGAACTGATCGTTTTCTTGTCTGACTCGGAGGAGAAGACAGATGGCAAATCATCGAGTGAGAAATCGTTATTTTCAGAAATGTCTTTCGTGCTGTCAAAACAAAATGTGAGCAATCAAAAATCAAGCAATCGAGAGTTAGTGAATAAGAAAAGAGTGAACCGATGAGAAAATGTTTTCTTATCGTCTGTGCTTGCCACGTTAGTGCTGCTTACCTAAGCTGCGCCGAGCCTGGAACATCAATGATCGAGCTTGGACCAGTCTGCTCGTCAATCTGTGCTGTTACAGTCGCTGAAATAGTTAATAGTAGTATCACTCGATTGTTGGTTCTATTTATTATTAATACTAAAATTACAATAGTCTTTTTTTTTGTTTATTTAGTTGAAAAGTGCTTAAAAAACTTACGTAACAAGAAGTTTGGATTGTAGTAGCTTGGATTCACGTGGCCTGGTGCCATTTCATGGTCCCACTAAAATTATAAATAATGAAAATGAATTTTCAGACAAACCTTATCGTAATTTGACCCCGGCTCATCTTGGGCAAATTTCTTCATGGGCTTGATTTCACTAGCTTTTCGGTTTCCAAACATGACGAACAAAATTGCCACTGCAACGAGAAACATAATTGTTGGAATAATAACTGCCACAAGTGATTTTCCCAGGATTGGGGGATCTTCGCCTAGTTCTTCTTGCGTGCTTGATTGATCTGAGAAGGTGCTGGTTGTGAGTGTTAGGGTCGAGACCAGCGTGGAAAAGGATGAGGAGGAGGAGAGTGTCTTTGTTGTTGTCGTTGGAATCGGCGTTGTTGATTCTGAAACAAAATCTTAATCCAGCACTTTTGATCATTTTTGATTCAAAAAATGATGAAAAGAAAAAAGAAATTTATCTTTATTTAGTTGTTTTCAAGAAAAATGGAAAGTAGTAATTACTATGATTGATTGAGTCTGAGCCGGTATTTTCGCTAGATTGAGAGCCGCTATTTCCAGGAATTGTTGCCCAATACGGTGTTGAGCCCTGATGAATGGGAATCGGAGTGTTTGTCGGCGGCTCTTCTACAACCTCATCGACGCCACCAAAGTCTTCGTTGTCTTCAAAATCGACAGTAATAATCGGCTCGGCAGAGAATCCCGTGTTTCCAGAGCCTTCTTGGAACCCGAAAGAGCGTTGAATCGAGCCACCAGAGCCCTCCATTTCCTTCAAATCGTTCCCGAACATTCTGCTCTGGTGATTCTTCTTTTCTTGGATGTTGAGGCTCTTCTCGAACTCTTCCCAGGTCTTCTCTAGCATTTCCTGCATAACTCTCTTTTCTTTGTTCTCATTTAGCTTCTTTTCGCGTCTCTCTTGCTTTTCCAGCCTTCTTAGCTTTCTCTTCCTTCCGTGTTCCTTTGGAGCTTTTCTTCTGGACCGACCGAATTGCACTTTCGGTGGCCCCATAATCGGAAATCTCTCGTTTTCAAATCTCAAAAAATGGTTCTTCTCCTTTTTCTCCTTTTTGATAATTTTGACCTTCAGAAAGTGGAAAGATTAAGGGGCGATGTGTCGCCACCAGTTGCTCAGAAGTGAGTTTAACTATTCATGCGCCAGATGAATAAAGAAAGGCGGATATCGAAACATGCAGTATCCGGGTACTGAGCGTGTTTTGAGGGAACTAGCAGCCATCATGAATGCTAAATGAAACGCGAGAACATGGCGAGTTTTAGTACCCGCCCAGACAAAAAATAACATAAAAGAAAATACGATTGCCCAAGTAGCTCATCCGCTTTATCTTGGAATCTAATTCAGAAATTACTTGAAACTTAATTTGAAAATAATGAGATAATAATTAATTACATAATCTATCGGATGAGGAGCTAAGTTTTCTAGCATCTAATGATTATACCATGAAAATGAGCGACCAAATAATCATGAAAATAAGGGTTAAAAATGTGTTATCGCTAAAAGCATACCCCCATTCGGAGATTTTGCATGAAAAATCGTCAGGATTATACCAATGATAGCAGACTCAATTCCGGGGTTGCGCCGCCACTATGAGAATCCTGTCTTGTGATTGGCTGACCGGTTAAGCTGTTCGCCATCCGTGGCGAACAGCTTCAAATCTCGGGCAAAGGCCTGCTATGTCAAGCTATCGGAATCTTGCTTGCTTTCAGTAGCAAGGTACTGTAAGAGTAGAAGTGATACACTAGCTTATTCAATGAGCGAGCTGACGCGAAGCAGTTGTGTTATCAAACGTTGCATATCTAATTCTAACAAATTCATCATTCACAGATGCAGCGCTATAGCTGGCTCAGAGTACTATAAACTACAAATAATTCAGCTAGTAGTCCACGTAGCGAGCAGGCTTCAGAGAATCGTCTTATTCGATAGTAGATATAAAAAATAAATCTGGAATGATACCAAATCAACGTTTGTGTCTGTTTAGCGTCAAGAGGATGTTTACCTGTTTCTACAATCCCTGTCGTCATCGTTTCAGCTGTCGTCGACGTTTCTGCGGTCGTCCCTGAATAATCAGCGGTTGCCCCTGTGGTCGCAAACGAAAACGTTGAAAGAGTCTCAACCCCGCTGGAACTTTGAGCTGTTGTTGGCAGCGAAAGTGGACGCGTTGTGACATCTTCTGTTGTTGTTTCGTACTTTTCCGTGGCTTTGGTTGAATAAAATGGCGTTGTCGTGAATTCAGGAAAAGTTGATGCAATTGTCGGAAGAAACGTTGTAAGATCGAAAATTGAAGTTGAGGAGAAAAATGTTGAAGAAAATATAGCATCAGTAGTTGGTTCTTCGCTTGGAACTGTGGATAACGAGTCTTGGAACAAAACAGTTGTAAGCGCTTCTGAAGTCGATAAAATCGTTGTAATTAAATGTGTGGTAAATGTAGTTGTGGTAGAAGTTTTCGTGGTGGGGTCATCGCAATATTCATCATATCTTCCACAAATTTTATTCAATCCGCATTCAAAATAGCCAGGAATTTCAGTTACATTTCCTTCAATATCTTCCGGATCTCTGTTTCTAAGATTCATTATAATTCTTCAAAAAGACAAAAATGAACTAAGATTAATCTTTTTCCTGAAAAATAAAACTTGGTCGCCGGGGCACTCTTGAGTCTTAGAGGAAATGCAATAAATTCATAAGCAAGATAGAAAATATTTCGATCATTTGAATTCTTTCCTGAACGCCGTATGTCTCATTACACATGAAAAACTGATTGCTACAACCATTATCAACCCAATAGCAAAAAGTACAAATATCAGGACAGTAACCGGAACATACTCTCTCCTTCATTTTTCTCTCAAGAATTGAACTCTTTTTTTAAGAAATCTGGAGCAAGGTCATCTCCTATTTCTTCTTATCTCATTTAATTTCGGAATTCGGCATTATCCAAACGTCGAGCATATGATGATCGCGTTTTTACGAGCAAGCAAAGTTCAGTTGGCTGACGAAGAGGAGCGTGTTGGATCTGCTGCTCCTTTGATGTTATGGAGCAAAACTTTCGCTGCCAGTGGTGACATCGCCATAAATTTCAACGTTCCGGAAAATCGAAAAGTCCGAAACGGAAATGGCAGCACCCGACTAGAACTACACATTCCCTTGCCCCTTATTTAAGGGGGTCCCCAACGATTTTTCCGAAATGAGCGATTTTCAAACGGCGCTCACGGCGTCACGGACTTAGATTTTTCAAAAATTTTTTTTCGTACAACTAGATCATTCTTAGATCTAGTGAAGCGTGTCTCAAATTTTTTTTAATCCAATCACATTCGGCGCTAGAGCGCCGAGAAGGTAACCATCTCGCGCAAAATCGCGTTTTTGGGTACTTTTTGAACGAGATTTACTCCAAAAATTTAGGAAACAATTTATTTTTTTCCTGTGGTTTCTAAAAGGTCTAACGCTAATCTAGTGAAGCGTATCTCAGTTTTTTCAAATTCCAAAAAATGATAATGTAACGAAGACGATCAAAATAATGTACGATTTTTGAAATTTCAACCATGCGAATTGCCTTCCGGGCATTACCCAAACCCATATTTTCGGACATAAATAGAAAGTTGAGCTCATAGCCTTTCTAAAAATGTGCCATATTTGTACTTTAGACAACTGTAAATAAGGGTTGATTTTTTAATTTCCATGCAAATACATCAAAATTGGCCACTTCAAGGTCAATTTTGGACACTTTTTTCTAAAACAATCGAAAAAAGCTAGGGACCTTTTTGAAGCTTTTTGCATGAGGAATTCAAATCTGAAGAGAAAAATCTAGAATTCGAAAAATGTAAAAATCGTGGGGGACCCCCTTAAGTAAATAAGACTGATGTTGCTCAGAAGAAGCGTTGCTTGCTTATTTTGAAAGGTTCCATCGCAATTCCATCAATTCCTGAACGATCATTTCATTCATAATCTGTTTGTGCGGTTGAATAATTAAGTGTAAGTGAACCAACACGCATTTCGAGTTTCCTGCTGAGTAATTCAGTCCCTTTCTTGATTATGCAGAGCGACAACGCTAGAACAAATAACACCGCCGTCCAGCAGTTTTTCGCATACGAATCAAGTTTTCTATTGAGTAAATTTTATTTTCCAAATAATTCCAAATAACCGCGAATTTCAGTAAAATTTTCGGCAATTTCATATTGGATTCGATCATTATCACTTGGTAAAAGGGATAATTTTTCAATTATTTTCGTTGAAAATCAAAAATTAAAGCAATCAGCTCAGAAATATCGTAAACAGATGGTGCTCAAGAGCTCTCGTAAATATAAGTGAACATCCCCTAGGGAAGTCAAAATAAAATCAGTATCAAAATAAGAGCAAAGCTTTCACCATGAGTTACGAAATGGACGGGGATTGGGCTCATTTCTCCACTACCGCAAGCCCAGTGATACACGAAGATACGACTGGATTCGTAATTTTGGTATGCGTGACTCTCATCGCTTGTTGTTACGGATTGTTCGAGCGCTGTAGAGAAGATGGGCAAGAAAATCAACTAGACGAAGAGAAAGAAGAAGCAATACTCAAAGTGGAACATCAGAGACAAGTGAAAGCTCAACAGGAACCAAGCCGCCTGAACTCCTTTGAAAAGCAGAAAAGCCAGGAAGTTAATACAAAAGAACAGACACAGCAAAACCCCTCTTCTTGCCCGATTTGCTTTCAAGTCTTCAATGGTAACGATTGTCAAGAATGCACTCTTCCCTGTGGCCATCGCTTTTGCAACGATTGCTTGAACCGTCTTTCTTCCTGTCCAATTTGTCGAAAGCCTTTCACCAACGACCAGATCATCAAGCTCTACTGAACAACATTTTCCCCTCAGCAACACTTGTCTCTATCACACTGAAAACTCTCCAAAAATTTCTCATTTATTTTCGCTGAATATCAAGAATTATAGCAATCAGCTCAGAAATATCATAAACAGTCGGTGCTCGAGAGCATTCGTAAATAAAAGCGAAGTCAGAAAAATGAATTTATCAAAAAAATAAGAGCAAAGAAAATTTCATCATGGATGCACTTTATATAATATTGATTGTTCTTTTTGCTGGTGCGACTTTCATAGCGATGTTGAAATGCATCGCTGTATATTTTTTCTTTGAACTGATCGACGACTGCATTGGAGATCGAGGAGACAATTTACGCGATTCAGGAACTTATGAAGGAGCATTTCGATCAGGCCATCAAGCTCTACTGAACAACATCATTCTCTAAGCAACCTCTGTAAAACTGATAATTCGAAAGAAATGAATAAAAATAAAAAAAAAACTGATTTCATTCATTTATTTCCTATTTTTCCTTCAAGTATCTATTAGATACTTGAATAATAATTAGATACTTCAATAATATTGATTCAAATGAAATTTTTTAAGAAGATTTTTGGTCAAAAAATATTCAATAAATTGCATAATTTTTGAATTGTATTTTGAAAGCTTTTCTTGAAGTGGTGCGCTGGAGCACGCGGCGTGCAAATGGAATTTGTTTTATTTCATTTGTCAGAACTAAAAGGATTGAGTTGCTCGATAACGGACTTGGCGACTGCATCGGTGGCAGCTTTCGTGAAGTCCTGCGGTTGTTCCGTGACCACTTCTGCTTTTCCAAAGCCTTTTGTATCTTTCTAAACGGAAGTGTTTGCATGCGATTATGAGCTAAATAGGTTTCTTCTTCTGGCTCGACTTGGATCCTTCTCAAGCCAAAAAAGAACGTGCGTAAAATTCGTATTTTCCTACCTCTTTCAGATCAAGTTGTGCTTGAACAACAAAGGCTCTGGAGCATAAAAATAGTTTCATCCACGTGGTGGCGCTTTTTTCGCCAATGTTTCTTTCTTCGACCATTTTGGAATAAGTAGCTTTGGTCTGGGCTCGGCAACCTGTGTTGAAAACCTGAGTCAGGGGCTGAAAGATCTCGTGGGTTTTCAGTAGAGACCTGACTCAGGTTTTCAACACAGGTTGCCGAGCCGACGCTTTAGTAAGACAAGCTTTGAAAAGTGATGTGAAAAGCATCGTTATTGGAAAGCCAATATAGAAGAAGGGATTGCCGCAGCAGCCGCAGCAGCCGTGGCCGAGAAAGAATGTCTAAGATCGTTCTCTTGACGACGATATAATCAAGGTCATTGTCATACCCCTGCAAAGCCTGCGCATTCCAACACGTCGGCAGAGAAGAGCCAGCAACAAGCAGCGGATAATCCTTTGCTACGTCCTTCATACTTATCCTTGATTCTCTACTGCTCGGCTCGAAAACTTGTGTAGAAAACTTGAGGTTAGTTCTGAAGGGACTTTGAGGAAAAGCCGCGTAAGGATTAACCACCTTCAGAACCTGACTCAGGTTTTCTACCCAGGTTCCCGAGCTCTACTTTTAATCAAAGCTCAAGAAACTCATTTAAGAATCCAGTGGCTTGTTATTGTGCTTTCCGTGGTAGTAATAAGGGAGACAGCAGCCAATAAGGCAAGAAATCTGGTCGTGCTCGCCACGACACGGGCAGCAGTAGTCGGAAGTCCAGCGCTGTTTCTAAACCATCAAGTGAAGTGCGAGTGCTAAATTGCCGCATCTCGAAATTTTCCAAAAAAAGGCGACACTTTTGCGATAAGATTTCAATTTCTCGAAATTTTCCCTTTTCTCTCACGCTCCTTCTTCTCTACCTGCGGAACAGTAGACGGTGCTGTGGTGGTGGTGTCGACCACGGCTTCCTCCATGCTCGAATTAAAAATGCTCGAGAGGGATAGATAAACGAATAAAACGTGAGGCGCGATGCGCAAACAACGCAAACTCAAAAAATCGCACAACAATTGCAACAAATTAAACAGCTAAAAAAAGAGTGCTCAGCATCAAGGGTTAGGTTAAGGGTCTGGGCTCGGCAACCTGTGTAGAAAACCTGAGTCAGGGTCTTCAAAGAACTCCTGAAGCAGGTTTTCTTCACAGGTTGCCGAGTCCAGATCTAAAAATCTTTTTTTCAAGTTCGGAAAAATCGAATTTGAAAAAAGATAATAACGATTTCAAACTTGGAACATCGTTTACGACGCTAGCGTCATTACCACGATGAGCTCAGAAGTGTTTTTAAATTATAACCTGGCGGTGGTCGAGATGTTAGCGCGAGAACGACCTTTTGCGGATTCAGCCAGACGGCCATTCGTTTTGGTCGAACATAGAATGTCTCCGCCATTCCAAAATCAAGTCTCGCAAATCAAGAATTCTGAGAATGACCCAATTATTCGTAAATACTTGCTCGCAGGAACTTGCATGCCCCTTCATTTTTTTCTGCAGTTCTTGTCGCTCAAGCTGGCTGATTGGGTTAAAGCAGCTCGAATGCAGCGTCGGACGTGGACATGATTGTTTCTCCTGCATTCACCACGTGCTTCTTGCTTTTCTTTCTTATGCAACGCATCCGATACCGCATCATCCTTAATAATAATAATAATAGAGATACCAGCCGTTCACACTGAGATGCCCACTTCAACGGCAAAAGAGGAAGTTTTGTCGCCACGTAATTATTGACTTCGCGGCTGGGCTCGGCAACCTGTGTAGAAATCCTGAGTCAGGTCCTGACTGAAGACCGGCTTTTTTTTAAGACAAAGCCGCAAAGTGGCTTCGCCAAAATAATCAATTAACGAAATAAATAATTAATCATAATTTTTTTATTTTAATAAAAAAAATTTTAAATAATAAAAAATAAATTTTTTTTTTAATTCTTCTACTCGTCTAAAATTTGAATAAAAATTTCCTTCAAGTCGTTCTAGTTCTTTGATGAAACCTGGAAAAAATATTTTGGGTTCGTAAAATCCCAAAATCGAGCGTGTTATTAAATTAAACTCGCGGGTTATTACCCCACATCAGCACACGTATGCAAAACAAAAATTGACCGCATACGTAGCTTTTGTTTCCAAACTCATTTTTTCTGGGCAGTTCAACCTCTTCATCCTGGGCAATTACAATTAGGCGGCCAATCTTTTCCTTGAGAGCCAAGAGCGCCGGATACTTGTCTTCTTCTAAAAAGAGAGAAAAGAGTGATAACGGCGCTGTAAGAATTTCTCACTAGAATTCTTGCGCTTTTTCTGATTTGAATTCTCCTTATTAACGCATGAACGCACGAAATTTTTTTCCTGCTGAACGCATATTGCGCAGATTTCTGCGCAGCACCTTTGGAGCGTTGTAGCGACGATTGTGGTCGAGATTTGAAAAAACCGAATCTACCAAAATGAAGCTCAGACGCTTGCGAAGAAGCTAATTATAGTTTAAAATCCTAACCCTAACCTTAACCTCGCGAAAACAAGTGATTTCAAGTATTACCTAAAAAATGCCATTTTCTCAAGTTTTATCGATTGTTATACAAAAGATGATATAGTTTTAAATATATCGTCATTTTGATACCTTTTAGATTTATTTTTACTAAAATAAAATTAGCAGATTTCGTCAAAAAAGAATCAGTTTATAAGGAAAATTTCGAGAATTTAAAAGGGACGGAAATTTTCGCTCTGAAGCCAAAATTTTAACCTGAGGCCACAAAATTTTTTTGATGACAGATTTAGATTCCTCATCGAAAAAGAGTCCGAAAAGTGGGTGTTCATTTTAAATTTTGATAAAGTAAAAGTTGAGTTATCGAGCTTGGAAGGTGCTCTGCGCAGAAATCTGCGCAATATGCGTTCAAGCGTTAACGTGTTATTGGCAGTTTTTCTTAAAAATTTGTAAGAATATGAGAGAGAGGAGCTGATTTGAACCGCTGGAACGAAGGATTGAGTTTTGGGTCATGTTCTGATTATTTTCGAATTCCTGATCGCCTTGTTACTCGCAACAAACGCGCTTTCTAAAAGACGTCTGTCCCTTATTTTTTTAGATAAGTCAAACCACATGTAAGGCTCAAACCCTAACCTGCACTCGACAACTGGGCTCGGCGACCTGTGTAGAAAGCCTGAGTCAGGGTTTAAAAGATCATTAAAATCTAATTATTGGATTCAATCTTCATAAAAAAAGGGAAGTTAGACAAAATCAAACAAGCTCTGAATGAATTAATCTCGAAATCTGTAAGCGTGCCGTAACACTCTCACTGAAGCGTTCCCGGAGTTGTGAAATATTCAGCACGTGCTCGCCAGCCACAAAAATCCATATTTTCATTATCGAGAGTCCTGTCCTCGCGAAGCAGGTGAAAAGCGCTGATGTTCCTAGCTCGTTAGAATGCCCTCGTCTCCCACGTCGCTGCGTCTTCTTCTTTTTAAGCACTTCAACTTGCTCAATGCTCCATTCAAATTTGAGCTCGGAAGCCTGCGTAGAAAACCTGATTCAGCATCTGAAACGTCTTTAATTATAAGCCGCGTAGCGGCTTTTCATCAAAGTACTTTCACACCCTGACTCAGGTTTTTTACACAGGTTGCCGAGCCCAACTAGTACTGTTACATGAAAAAAGCTTGTTTTTTCTTTGAACTTCGACTGGAAAATGAACTCTCGATAAATCCCAGCTGTGTAAAAATTTCCTCTCAGATGTGGCAGCCCGCAGAACTGGTGTGCTAATAACTTTACAAGAATTTTACGGAGCATTCTTTTCTCCCAGCTCGAACAAGTGGGATTTTCTCGAACTTGCTCTGGACGAATTCTAAATACTCAAAATGCATGAGAACACAAGTTTTTAAAACGACAAACGATGAGGAACATTTGAGATGACATAAAAAGTGTTTCAGAAAATGTGACAGTACTAATCTTAATTCTTGGCGGTAGATTACTTCACGCTGGAGCATAAGAGCTTATAGATTTCTTTGCCTATCTTCTAACCAACCAAAAAAAAAGAGAGAGAGAAAAGAAAATTTTATTTTTACAGTCTCTCACCCTAACCCTATCCCTAACAACCTGTGAAGAAAACTTGAGTCAGGATCTGAAGGATCACTAATGAAAAGCCGCTACGCGGCTTTGTTTAGTAAAAGCCGCTGCGCGTCAGTTTATTGAAGATCCTTCAGACCCTGACTCAGGTTTTCCGCACAGGCTTCCGAGTCAAGCCTAACCCTAATCCTAACCCTATGATTGATCTTATCAAGATTATAACCTAAAAGATTCATGTTATCTATTTTATTCAACTAAAATACTCTTTTTCGTCTCATAAAATTTTTTCATTGATTGTTAAAGAAATCAAAATTATCGATTCTTTAAAAGTACCAAGAAAAAACTCGGAATCATCGAAAAAAAATCTTCATTTCTAGTGATTTTTCGATGCGCAGCGACGCTCCGCTCGAGCGCCCTCTTCCCGAATTCACGATTTTGAATGCGCGATCTTCGGAGCGCCAAATTCTCAGTCTTTTTTTCTCCGTCAAGAGAAAAGCTGAAAAATTATGAAGGGGTCGTTTGTGCCCCTGCTGGCATTCGCCAGTGCCGAAGGAGAGAATCGTTGGGCTTCGGCTGACTTTCCTGATCAAAAAGGACCAGTCCACGTTCCGAACAACAGATGGGGCGGAAACTCCAAGGAGAATGGCAACTATGAGCCGCGCAAAGAGAAATCGCCAGTCGACCTGAAGTTCTTCGTCAAAAGCCAGCCGGGAAATGCGTTCTTTGTTCCAGACAGCTTCGAAGTAGCCGACTGGGTCGAGCGATTCAGCGAAGAGTTCGACACCAACGAGGTCGCTACTAATTTCACCGACGCCGATGGCAACAGAATTTACAACAGAAAAATGAACGTTTTCAATTCTGACTACTGGGAATTCGCTCAGACCGATACAGAGAGAGAGAACAACTGGGTCCGAGGAGTCAATTCCTGCGGAGCTCACAGAGAACTCGGCCAGCAGGACGACGTCAACTGCCCGAATGTCATTGTCATCAACACGGACGACATGAGTTGGGCTGATCTTTCTGTCAATAATCCTTCAAAGGTAAGAATAAACTCATAAAGTAACCCTTACTTTAATCCTAACTATAAATTGTAAATATAAATTAGCTGGCTTTTGGGGACTCCCTGACTTTGTCGTGAATGTCGTTAATGTCGTGAATGTATATGATATACATATAATATACTGTATATTTAATATACTATATTATATTATACAGTATATCGTAATATTTTTTTTGGCTAGGACATTCACGAGATTCACGACATTCACGACATTCGCGACATAATTAGGGTGAACCGTCTTTTCTTCGGCAATTTCGATTTTTTCTCATAATTCGGCCTAGATTTAAATGTTTATTGTTTCAAAATTTGCGGTGCCTGAAAAATTTAACCTAAACTTGTATTTTGCCATAATAAATGGAATGACAAAATTAGAAAGTGAAGTAGATACTTACGTCAGCCTGCCGAATCCGTAACAAAAAGCCACGATATGAACCTAATCGTGTGTCCATTTCCGCCCATGTTCGTGGCTATTTTCTAAATTGTAAAATTGCAGCATTATTTGTAGCTAATTCCGACGCCGAATTTGGATCGGCTGGTCTCGAAGGGAATCAACTTCCGAGATGGCCACAGTTGCACTGCTCGATGCGCTCCCAGCCGCTACTGTTTGATGACGGGCCGTCACAGCTGGAGAAGAGGCGACTATCACTACAAACCGATGTATTTGGAACACGGGCGAAAGATTATCCCGCAGATGTTCAAGCGCGCAGGCTACAGGACCTACCTCGTTGGAAAGGCTCAGCCTACAGAAGCCAAGATCACCAAGATCTTCTCGATCGACCACTACACTGAATGCCGAGTAACGCAGAGTGATGAATTCGGCGATGAAGAAGCAAATGAAGAGAGACGAAGACGTCGACAGGCCAGTGACTTCCAGGTATTCCTCTTTTTTCCTCCGACTTGGGTTTTATGCTAATTTAGCGACTTGTCTACAATGGAGGCGCTTACGATCCAGCCGTCAACGATTACATGTACATGGATATCGGTGAAGACGGAGAGGCAATGGGCAATGTCGCTCAGCGAGTATGCTGGTTCGGCGCGGATGTTTTGCTTAGAAACGATTGCGAAGAGAGCTGGAGATGTTTGCCGAAACGGTTCAACGCGGCACTGTATGCTTCTTGCGTCGACGAATGTATGGCCCAAGCAGTGAACCGAGGAGACGATGCGAAATATCAGGAAATTCAAGATACCTCTTGCCCAAGCAGACAGGGATTCTGCGATCCTGACAACACAGACTACAAGGTAACTTAGCTCTCTCTTTCTCAACTTCTAACCCTAACCCTAACTTCGGCTCGAAAATAATTAAAAATTAGAACTTCGCTCTCCAAGAAGGTGTTCTCAAGTGGGGCTACGATACTGGCTTCAACAGTTTCTCCTACTGCTGCTACCCAGGAGCTGCTTTCTTCAGAGACGATTACAATATTGAGTCTCTTCGATCTTATGGCATCTATGTTGATATTCGAGATGATGCGCATATGTACAACGACAATCTAAGAAGTAAGTTTGGTTGAACATGGAAATTTGTCAGTTTTTGGGCGATAAGAGCGATTTTTAACATTGAAATTCAAGTTCGCGATGATTGGATCTCGAAGAACATGCAGTACATCATCGGACGAAGTGGTTTATTCAAGCATTTCCAGGGCGAAAGCTTCCGCCCCTGGTCTGGAGCTGGCTACCCAATTCTTGATCGTTACACAAAACTCACTGTTGAACGAACAACTGGAGAACCGTGCTCTGATCTTTCTGAAGAGAACCAGTGCAGCGAGCCTGAAGAAGTTAGTCAGTGTGACTGGTTCGATAGCCTGGAAGACACCCTTAGAACTGCGAAAAATAACAGGCCAGATGAGCTTGTGCAGTTTTTCAACGATGAAACATTTGGAGACATGCTTCAAGCACTCGAGGCTTCGTTCTTCACTATGACTAGAAATGAGACTGTTGCGTAAGTAAAAATTATTTCAATGCAATATTTAACGATTGCGAATGATATATCAATGACTGTCAAATTATTAACATGTATCTAGGCTCAACAAATTCCAATTTGTCGAGAGAATCGTCGTCGAGAACAACTCCCTTCTTTCTTCGAGAAAACGAACTGAGCAAGAAATTGCCGACTCCATGATAAACGTGATGGGTCCATGGCCAGATCACGATGGAGGAGAGTTTAAAAAGGTAAAATTTCGCGCTAGCATCACTTCGTTTATTTGATATTTTAGATCGATCCAACTTTCACCGTCCGATTCTTCAAAAACTACGCCAATCGAGGAGCAACATCGAAAGAAAAGAACGAGCGAAGACGAGAAGTCGAGTCATACATCATGGATTTGGTCGCGAACATGCTTGCACGAATCGATCTCATCCGAGACATCGAGTTGAAATGTGACGATCGGCGAAAACGAGACACTTCGGTTAACCTCCGTCCACAGCCTCAGCAAGGCAATACGTCGTTTAATCCCGCAGTCGCGATGAAATTCGTTGTGCGCGGTAACATTAAGTCCATGGATCAGGAAATAATCCGGCCGAATCTAAATGCCACCGAGTTCCAGCAGTTGCGGGAGAACTACGAGTTCAGCTCCAACATGTACAAATTCATCTACTCAGCGAACTCAGCTGACATCATCGAGGCACCTTATGGCGCGGAAGGAAAGCCACGTCACTTTCATTCCAAGGCAGAGGCCAAGGCGTTCGTGGATCGGGTCGCAGATGCTTTCCTCCAGTACCAAGGAATCGAACCTGACGGTAAGTTAATTTCGCTAATCGCAGCACCTGTGCATCCTTAACCCGCCGCCCTTCAAAGTAGCAGTGATTAGAGAGAGAAGACCGGACTTGTGGTTACATTAAGTTATCACAGGCACTCACGTTTTCTGTTGATCTAATTTGAAATCAACTTGAAGCAAACAAAACTAATCAACGAATTAAGGACCTCTTAATCCTGAAAACGGCCTGAAAACTTATACCGACGATCAGCGAGCGCGCTTCAAGCTTTGGGAGTGGGCACACACGAAGAAATACGGAGGATATGGATTCAATTCGCCAAGAACTCAACCATCTTTTGATTCTCGTGAAGTGATGAAAAACTTCCACGAAGAGGCGAGCAAAAACTTCGTCGAAGCAAAACACCACATCGCCGAAAAGAACCAGCCCTTCTTCATGTATCTTGCTTTCCGTGCTCCTCATCGCCCATTCTCGCATATTGAAGAATACGACTACGCCAGGCCAGGTGGATTCATTGGAAAAGCTGGAGAGCAGATCCGCGAGTTTGATGATCGAATTGGTATGCTCATGAAAACGCTCGAAGATCTCAACATTGCGGATAATACTTTTGTCATGTTCACTTCTGACAATGGCCCAGATGGCTCGGGATTTGCGAACCAGGATTTCCAGGGACATGTGAGATTTGGAACACTTCGTGGAAAGAAGGCTTCTGTCTTCGAAGGCGGTCACAGAGTTCCATTCTTAGTCTGGTGGCCGAAGGGAACTGACCAGTCTCTTTGGGGTTCAAACTATGATCTTCCTGTTGGTCAATTGGATCTCTTTGCTACTTTTGCCGATATGATCAAGTACCCACTTCCGTCTGCGGAAAAGTGCAGCTATTCTTTTGATACCACTAACCCGCCGATCAGAACAAACAAGAAGGTAAGAATTGCTTCAATCAGCTTTAAAATTGAAAAATAAATCCGACGAGATTTCTTAGAAAAACACTCATTCCGCTACTTACGAAAGATTGTTTTAACTCTTATTTTCGTGGCTCGCGGAATCAAGTGCATTCCAATCAAGAATTATTTTCAGAACCGATCTTTGGCCGAAATTAAACGTGAACAAGCTTGGGTGCACGCTGAAGCCTCCAAATTCCCCGACCTGATCGTCAACGATAAAAACGCTTTTTGGTCGATCGAGACGTTGAGGACCAAGTGCACTTCAGATGATGAAGACTGTCCTTGCGACAATTGGACGAACGAGAACAATCCGGACTTCAACAAAACCATTTCAGATATCTGCTACCATCGAACTCTCGAACCATGGAAAGCACACAATCTCGGAATCTGCCATTGCAAGCCCATTGAAAAAGACTGCCCAGAGGGTTACTGTTTCAGCAGAATCTTGCCAGGATCGACCAAGGAGGATATGACTGAGATAACTGGTGGACGACACGCTATCAATAACCTCTTCTACCGGACCAACGAAGATGGATCCTCAAGCTATGTCGGTCCATGGGACACCATGTCCGATGATGAGCGACGAGACTTCCGACGAGGACTTGAATCTGTCCACATGTATCATCAGTTCCTCACGCTCGAAGAAAAGACTGGCCTCGTCCTCGGATTCGATGGCTGCATGGCAGAAGACTCTCATTCCTTCCTCGACGCTTTCAAGGCTTCTGACGAATCGAAAAACACTGGCAAGTTCCATCGACGTCCAGCTGAGATTTTCGGTGGTAAACTTGGTGATATTTCGCTTCGAATGGGTCGATACAAGCTTGTTCGATGGAATCCACCAAAGGATCGACGAACTGGACCAAACGCTCAGCATCTTCGACCGAACAACGAAGCCGAATGGCCACGTGATCCGAATGGCGGCAAAACCGACAAGGAAAAGCCTGAGAACTGGCAAGATCAAGAACTCTACCAGCACTGCACTTGGGCTCCAGTTTACACTGAAGACATGGAGAACCCTTATCTTTCGAATTTGGTCATGGAACGAAAGAATTTGCCAAAGAATCACACTGACAACCAGCGATGGATGTGTCAAAAAGATCATTTCTACGAGCTCTGGGACTTGAATATCAATCCGGGTGAGCGACAACTTTGTAATTCTGAGTACAATGTCGATGTTTGGGAGTCAATGCGCGAGCAAGGATCATTCCAGGCCGCTGACAACCCACGTGAAGATGGTTTCGATGTCTTGTCTGCTCGAGGACTTGGAGGAAATACAATCAATACTGATTACCTTTACGGAAAGAAACTGCAAGACGGAAAGCCTGAAAAGCACCCGGATCCACATGGAATCGGCTCAGGCAAGGAATCCACTCCTGTTCCCGACTACGTCACCGACTGCTGCCTCGTTGATTACGGCAAGCTTGAAGACAGACCATGCCGAAACAGTGAGAGCGATGTATGCGTGAAACCAAGAAATGAGCCCATCGACTCAGCAGCCGAGATTTTAAAAGTCAATGCAAAGAAAGCAGCTAGATGGATGGAAAAGCGAGCTAACGTTCTCGAGCTGTTTAAAGCCTTCCCCGATGACTTCAAGGATTACTTCGCTTCTGTCGACCGTGAAGCTCGAGCTGAATACTGGACTGAAAGGTTCAACGCTGCTGAACCTATTTTCGAGAGCCATTTCAATCAGGAATTAGCTGAAGCTACAGCTCTCAGAGAGAACCGACGGCTTTACATGGCAAGATCCCGTAATTTCGAGAATTTACCGATCTTTGACGAAACTGAAGGAGCAAGGAGTGACGATCCTTGTCTCGTTTTTGCTGCTCTCCGTGTCCAGCGAACTGTTCGAGGAGCAGACCGACTCACTGATGCTCGATTGACTGACATCATCGCTTCCGATTCTTTCCTCGAGTGCAAACGAAGCAACTCAGACTTCAAACTCAACGAAGATGGCTCGTACAAAATGTTCTTCAACATGAAATTCAGCCGCTTCCTCTTCCCAAAGAGTACCAATATCGATGACTACTCTATGGAGTATTTCGAGAATCTCGCTGGATGCGAAGATAATGATTGTCTTCTCTCCAACATTGATAACATGCTCGACATTGAACATCGCCACGACGCAAATAACAACATGAAAATGGATCCCGCTGAAGTTGTCGAACAGTTCAATAAACGAATTTTGATCAAAGGTGGCTTCTCCACTATGAGCACGTACGAGCCCTTCTGTCCACGAGGATGCGTGAACTCTGCCTCCTGCAAATGCCCAGTCAACGGTACGACTGCTGCCCGTAAGCGAAGAAATACTTCTCCTAACCCAATGTCTGCATCTGCTATCATCCCACGCGCAAACAAATCTATCCTTCGTCGATCATCCCGTTCAGCCCTTCCTCCAATGAATAACATGTACTACTTGAAACCAGAACACGTCGTCTGGGTCATGGACAAGTTTGAACCAAAGCTTTCAACTTTCAACTCTTGGGTTGCTGAAAACTACGAGGTCGGATATCGCTGTGCGGAATCACCAATTCTTTCCCCTGGCCAATACACACGGCTTGATATTCCAGACATCCGTGGTCGATTCTGCAAGCCAAAGGCCGAAGAAGATACACTCAAGTGCAAGGTGCCCGAGCACAGTGGTTCTGTCGGAAATGGTTTCAAGATTGTTGACTCTGCTGAAGATGCTGTGCGTTTCCCAGGCGCCGAGGAAGCTATTGAGATCAAGGGCTTTGGTGCATATGCTAAATTCGCCAAATGCATGGCGGACGTAATGCTCGAAATCGAAGGAGCGGCACATTATCCGGAATTGGACGAGAAACTCAAGGCCTTTGCTGGTCAGGAGGACACTGCTCTCTGGCGTCAGGAAGCGAAAGATGAAAAGTATCAGTTCTCGGGACTCCGAAATGGTCTTAACCCACGATCATTGCAATCTAAAGCTTCAAATGTCCGAGGAATTGACTCTAGCAGTCCGTACATGGCAAATGAACCAGCCGGAGTAGAGTCTCAGTACCTTCACGGAGGAGGATCTCGATACATCCAGCCGAACAACGACGACTACTACGTCAATGGGTGCTTGAAATACCTAGAAGAAGCAGGCCTTCCATCTGCGTACACTGTCCCAGGCAGCAATATTCCAGGCTCGCAGCGAGAGGACCACACTGTGAACTCCATCTTGAATACAGAGAATGCCGGTGACGGACCAGGATCTCTTGATTATGATATGGACGCCAGTCTGCTCGGTTACTATCCGCTCAAGGTAATAAGAGGCCTTATGATCACGGCTATTCTTTTACAACTGCAAGAAAATATCTAATTTTTTTTAGAAAATGCCCCGTCTTGACGGAAAGTGCGTCATGGTTCCTCGCTGGCTGCCCGAAAGAGAGGCCAACTTCGTAAAATATGGCATCGTCAACTGTTAATTTCGAAGAAAAGAAAATGCAATTCAGTTTCTTTGAACAACTTATTTCATGATAAATAATACTATTTGACCCTTATCTGGTATAATTACAACTAATGTTACATCAGTAATTTGCCATTCCTCATGATTCCTGTAAATAAATAATAATCAATCAGAAAATCGTTGCATTTGACCTGCAAATCTGCCACTATTAGCAAGTATTTCTTAACTTTGCACAATAGAAATCAACCAAAGTAAACATTTGTAGTTTTGTGAGCCATTTGAAATTTATTCTAAATTTTGACAGGGTCTTTTAATATTAAAATGGCAGTGTGAATAGACTGGAATGAGATAAGTTATATACAGTTAGGTAAATGAACCAGTCTATACAGTTGTGGAGGGTTTTGAATCGGAGTAGCGAAGTTGGATGGTGATGTGAGTGACTGTGCGTAGAGAGGAGAGGTGATTTCTGGTGGTATTGGTGACACATCGGGCGCACGAAGATTTCTCCAGTTTTTCTAACTTTGCCCCAAGTTGGAAGAACTGGTTCGTCGTTTTCGGCGACTAATTCTGGTGATCAGCGAAAGTCGATCTTCGTCAGTGACGTTTTCGATGTTCGCGTTGATCGCCTCCTAAAATTAATCAAATTAAATCGAAGCTAAATTAAAAAATAATACCTTGATAGCATTATAGGCGGCTTCGCGATCGTTAGTAGTCGGCTCCGGAATCGAGGGCGGAAGCGGGCGCATTCGAGGTGACCCTTCAGGCCTGGCCATCCTGAGCATCTTCTCGGTCCGAGTGAGGCTCTTTTCAGAACGAGGCGAAGGGATAGACTCACTGCTGGGTCGACGCTTCAGCGCGGTTGGCGAAGAGCTGCCAGGCAAAGAGGTGTTGCTTGGAATTCGCCTGATCTCAGGGCCACCGAACTGTTCGTCGATGAAGGAGACTCGATGTTTCTGAATAATCATTGAAAAAAGAAAGTTCGCGCGAAAAATACCTTGCTTGGGCGAGAACCCTCTGAAGAGCGTTTCCGCTTCATGATGGGACCGGACTTGAGATCTTTTGACATCGTCATGCTCGTGTTGAGCTTCTGATTCTTCTTAGCTTCCTCCCATCGGTCCTTGTGGAGCTTGGAGGCAGGGCTCAAAGAGCATCCCGCTCCGCTTCTCCCTCGCTGTCGGTCTTGATAAGCTCTCTTAGCTCTTTCTCGTCCTCCTCTTCCATAATTTCCCACTCATTCTTGGGCCTTCGCGGATCATTCCTCAAATACGGAACGTCGTGACCGAATTCGTCCTTCCAAGTCTTTGGAAGTGGGTAGGTTGGCTTTTTCTCCGACTTCTCGTCCTTCGCTTCCGATGTCGATGCTTCCTTGCGCAATTCGTCGAACTTTTCAGGCGACATGCTCATGTCAGTCGTGTTTTTCTCCTCGGAAGGATCTTTTCCAGGAGAAGAAAGCTTCTTGGGAGACGTTTCCATCGCGAGCTTCGAAAGTCTATCGGGCGAAGTCGGTGGTGTCATGTCTAACTTTCGCGCAGCCTTTGTTTTCTTTCGCTCTGCAGAGCCCTCCGCGACTGTATCATCTAGGATGATAACAGAATAGTCGTCCGCTGTTCTGTCAGGCGAGAGAAGATCGACGACAGGATCCGGCGTTAGGCTCCCTTCGTCAAGACTAAAAAGCTCATTAAAATTTGAAATTGAGCCCAAGCTTTCATTTTCTGCGAAATAAAAAATAAATACTCACGTGCTCGCTTCTGCGTCTTCATCGACTTCATACATGGACGCAGTTGATGGAATCTTAATGAAGTTTTTAGAAATTTGACTCTATTTTAACTCAAAGTACCTCCATTTCCACAACATCAGAATCAGCTTCGCTTGACTCTGGTTTCTTTGGAGAAACGGGTTTAGGAAGACCCTGTTTCTCGGGAGAAGAAACCGGCTTGGGCAGCGCCTTCAGTTCGAGAGTAACTGAGAGTTGCTCTTCGGACTTCTCCGTTGCTTTGCCATCCTTCGACTCTTGAGAAGCCTCCTCGACAGCCTTAAGAAATGTGATGCCATGAAAAAGCATTAACTTCAAACCTCATTTTCATGCACTCGTGTGCTGCCTTCCTCACTCATGCTATCGCTGGGATACTCACTCGAGTAGGTCTCGGGACAAGCACACTCGATATTCTTCACGAGCCGTGCGTCCTCAGCCTTAGTTTCAACTTTCTCGGCATTCGTCTTGACCTCTAAATCGTTCTGCATTCTTTCTGAGCGAGGCTGCTTTGGCGTCGGCAACTTCGTCATAGTCGTGGCGGCCATGCTCTCATCCATCGACGAGTCGATGTACGTCATCTAAGAAAATTTAAAAAGGGACAAAAGTTTTACTCATTACTTGGCAGCCAATACCCGACGTAACATCCATCGTCCGGTCCTGTGCAGGGGCAACCTCAGCCAGGGTGGCTATTTTGGACAAAATTTTGGGGTCTAGCCATCCAATTTCCATCCAATAAATTTTGAGTCGGAACTATCCATCCAAAATCCAACCCAATCCAATTATTACCCAATTCCCCAAGAATCCCCAATTCCAATAAGATCCAATTGGATTTCCAATTTTTCCAAGGCTTTTAGTACTTTGAAAAGAAGCGAAACAGTTAGTTTCTATCCGAAAGGAGGATCAACATAGCCAAAAGAATGATTTTTTATCCGAAATTTTTCATTTTTATCATGAAAATGACCCTTCTTTGCATAGTTAAGCGATACAGTGAAAACTCAAAATTTGCCCACTCGAAATTTGGCCGGTTTTGGTCGAAATTGACTGATTTAAGAATCTGAAAAAGACTCAAAAATTGGCCGCTTTTTCAATAATAGAAAATTTTGGATCAAAATTGCGCCTAAATTATGCTATTCCTGGGCATTTTTAGCTTTTTTAGACTGTTAAAATTATTTAAAATGACTAATTTCTAAAATAAATGTCTTCAAACAAGCAAAAATTTGAATTAAATTGTTCAAAAACGTGAAAATCATGCCCATTTTCGAAAATTTGGAAAATTTGCTTCTTAGAAGTGGACTCTTGGCTATCCGGTAAAAAACTCAAAATTTGGCCGCTTTTTTCTTGAATAAGGATCTAAAAACCGGCCAATTTTTGAGTTTTAACTGTATATATTTTATTGGATCCAATTCCCCAATTTCCCCCAATTGCCCAATTTTTCCCAACAAAATCCGGTACCCTGGCCATCCAAATTCCATCCAAACCTTATTGGATTGGATCCAATCCAATTCCAACTAACCCCCAAATCCAAAATAGCCACCCTGACCTCAGCTGTAGTGTTCCATTCCGACGTGTCCATCGTCTCCTCGAAGGAGCTCTCGGGCATGCCCTACAATTTGAAGATAGATAAACACAAATGTGTCGATAGTTTTTACCTGAAGACCGATTCCCGCTGTCATGTCGCAGGTTTTGTTTATCGTCATGTTGGATTCGTCGACAGGGGCGATCTTCGTGGATTCTCCCTGAAAAATGATAGAAACTTGATTTTACTTTTGTCAGTACCTTCGGTGGGACTGGCGGAGCTGGCAATGACGTCTCAGAGATGCTCTCGTCGATCTTTGGCAAGCCAGCTGTCATATTGGACTCGTCGACAGCTGCGATCTTCGTGGATTCTCCCTGAAAATTGATAGAAACGTGAATTTTTAACGAATAGTACCTTCTGCGGGACTGGCTGCTTCATAGTTATCTCAGGCTCGAGCACAGTAGAGTGGGCGCTCGGATTTTGCGCCAAAAGCTGGTCCCATCCATGGCAGTTTCGTCCATATGTTCAATATCGACGGAAGCTTTTCGGTTGGGCATGGACTGAGTAGCAGTGTCAGACGCTTGTGTATTCGAGTCGGTGCCGAGATACTGAGACATGCGGGACTGTGAGTCGTCCACGTGATTGTAGAGCGCAGTTCCGACCTGTTCCTCCGACTTTTTCCTTCATTTTTTCGCGTTGGGCCGCGGTTAGATTTTTCTTATTGAAACTGATCGGAGAATCAATAATGGTGAAATCGGCGGTGGCACCGTTGTCGCGAATGGTCGAAGACATAATTCCAGCTGCGCCACGGCGGCGATTTGGTGGCGTTTTGGAGAAGATTGGGTCGCTCCTTGAAGCGCAGCGAGTTGGCGGTTGTATCGCTGCGGCGTGCCTCCATTACGCTGAGGCGTCCCGTTTCGACGCTGGGGAGTGCCATTCTTGCGTTGAGGAGTTCCAACCTTTCGCGCTTGAGCTCCACGAACTGGCGTAGACGGCCCTTTTTCACTCTCACCTACTGCAGCAGCTACAGACGCTGATTGATTAACAGTCGCTGAAGTAGTGGCCAACTTCAGTTGAAACTTTGATGGAGGATCCCAGTCTCCAGTCTTGTAGTGGATCTAAAAAGACAAAATCAGATTTGCTCGATAACAAATTAAGTAATTTCAGTTGAAACTTTCAACGTTTTGGATTTATGAAAATGTCGGTTGAAAATTACCTTAATCAACTGCCAGAAGTTTTCGGACATATCCAGTTGATTATGATCCTCGAGGAAGCTTGCCTGCCAGCACTCTCCCACAGCTTCGGAGACTCGGTGAACGGACTTTTGGAAAGGAGCAAAGAGAAAAGCGGCTCGAGGCCAGGAAAAGTTTTTGCTAGAAGAATCGATTAAGTTTTGAAAGTTTTGTTCATTGCTACCTGGTGTCCGGTTGGCGGTGGAAATGGATTCCAAGACATCCATGATGCAATCGGTGGCGTTAGTCCACATGAGACTCTTTTTGTTCGCTAGAGCAACCTTGGCGAACTCGGTGATGATGTTGCCAAGGACCATGACTGCCTTTTCGCCATGGTTGTCGATCAGCTTTTGCATGATCTTCAGAGCGCTGACAGTACCGCGGCATGAGAAGTTCTCGAGGGGACGACCGGTTGCTTCGTCAAGGATATTTATGACGAGCTGGGAGAATTTAGTAAATTCGCTGCCTCCGTCACCGGATTCGTTGTCGAAGATCTTCTTAGACTCTGACGCCGCCAACATGCTCAAAATGAAAGAAAGAGGGGTCGCTAGCTGATAGTTCTTCACTCCCTCTTCGCCAATAACCGTGCCGATCTCAACATTGAAGTCGTCTGAGTTGAACCCTCGGACGAGTGCAGCGCCGGAGCGAACGGCCAGATAGAGTTCCTTCCAAGCGCGAGACATGGCTGGAAGAAGCTTGGTGAAGTCGGCTTTAAACGCACCAGTTTCAATCTGATCCATCTTCTTGACCCGGAAGGGCAGGCACAAGAAGTTTTTCAGGATCCTCAAGTCGCAACTATTTCTCTCTGAAGAGACGTCGCCACCAGCAGTGAGTCGCTCTTTGAACTTTTCAGCTCCTCCGACCCAAGCAGTAACAATAGTAAACTCTTTTTCACCGGTTTTGAGTTTACTTGATTTGCTGCTTGGCCGGGCGCAGGAATCTTCGAGGATGGAGGTGACCTCTTCAAGAGCAGCCAAATGACTGTCGCTACCACTGAGCATTAACTCGACGAACACCTTGGCATCGTCGGCCTTCATCGTCATCAGCATGATTTTGAGGAGTCGACCGGCGATCGAGTTGAGGCCTTCTTTGGTATCATCAGCCACGAATCGTTTTCGCAACACATCGGCATGGAGGTGATCGCAGACGAGTTTGATGAGCCAGTTGTTGTTCTTGGAACACTGCTCGGTCAGGTAGTCGGTTATTCGGCCGATCGAAGAGAGCGCTTTCAAACCACAGCCTCCAAGCATCGAAAGCAGGATGAGCATAATTCGTTCGATGCCACCAGGGAACAGCGAGTCGTTGGCGAAGCCAGTGCTGATCAGTGAGAGAATTTTAATCGAATGCTTGGCCAGCGAAGGCGCCATGAGAACGAACGTCTCCTTGGTACAGTTCTTTACATCGAGAGGATGGACATCGAACTTCTCGAAAGCGCCGCCCTCGAGGAGCAGCTTCTCGCCTTCTGCGCCGCAGAGCGACATCACCATCAGCACGGCGAAATCGACGCGGTCCTGTTGTTCATCTTCTTCGCCCAAGCTGGTCTCGGCGAGGAGGGTGTCGAGCGCAGCGCCGAAGGTTTGAGTGTAGTCCTCGGCCACCCACGGATGGAGGTTGTAGTAGCGCGCGCGTCCGCTCGCATAGAGGACCTTGACGCGATGCATGCGCAAGACAGTCAAGAAGCCCGGCTTGACGGAGAGCGCCATGAACTTCTGCTTGTGGATCTGCTCGCGCAAGTTCCAGCAGAAGTGCGGCCAGAGCTCTAGCATTTCTTTAATCCAGTCTCGCTTGGTGTTTTTCGCTAAACGGTTGTTGACCATTTCCTCGCCGAAGGCGAGCCAGAGCTTGATCAGCGAGCGATAGTCGGCCAACGGTCCCAGCCACTGGAAGGCCATTTCCCAGCAGACTAGAAGCAAAAAAATTAATACGAGAAATAGGAGAGGATCTGAGCTCTGGAAGCTGAGCAGGAACCTTCTTACCTATCATTCTGGAGATTTTGTCGTCCTCCATCTTCTCGTAGTCGCGGACCTTTTTGCCCTGCTTGACAGTTAACTTGGTGAGTTTGTCGTTGGCGCCCCAGTGGGTAGAATAGTTGTCGATTACTTTTCCCCACTTTTCTTGGACCTCCGGCTTCGCTTTCTCGTAGAGATACTTTCCGAAAGAGCGCATTTCCTCGTCGGTCATGATGCTCGTATCGTGCCAGATCGAGAGGAACCTCTTTCCGAGGCCGTATAGCTCAGAGTCATTTTGGACCGATCCTCCCTTTCGCCGCCACTCTGAAAGTCGAAAATTCAAATCATTCGCTCGAGTCATTTTTTCTTACCTTGAAGAACCTTCCATTGCTTGGAATTGTCTCGCTCCATTTCTCAGTAATTTGTCGTAAACCTTTTTGGCCGGATTAAAAATCAAATAAATATGAACACAGGAAAATTCGAAAATCTGAATTTCTGTGTTTTGAAACTGAAATTTTCCAACTGTCAAAATTTAAGAAGAAAAGAGGAGCGCAAGAGCAACGATATTTATCGATAAAAAAGTTGTCGGAGTTCAAATTTTTCAACAACCGTATTTTCCCAGATTTAAGATTTTTATCGTTTTTTCTCGAAAAAACCGACTTTTTGTCCTGAAATTTCCGCTAAGACGCATTAAAATCATTGATTCTGAAAAATTTAAGAAAAAATATTTTAACCAAATTATCTAACAATATTTATAATATGATTAATTATTTTATTCCGTTCCTTTAGGATCAGTCCAGAAATGAGCCTGATCGGCTCAAGAAAAAATTCTAATTTATTTCTTCTCTCTTTGTCGAATTTCTCCGGCAGTGGAAGTGAGCTACAGTAATCCACCGATAATCAGGAGGACTGCTGCGCCACGCGCGGGCCAATCAGAGGCGCCGTTGATTTGCGCGCGCTTTTTGAAATTGCTTCTCTTCAACCGTGGGAATTTTCTCATAGAAAAAGACCCTCCTCTCCTTCACTTGTTATAGAGAAGTTGTAGAGATGGTTTTTGCGGTTCAGTTATCATTATGATTTCTTAAAAAATAATTTTGATAAGATTACCTTCTTCCTTTTGATTTTTTATTATTTAAAAAAAATTTAAACAAAAAATTAATATCTTCTCAAAGTTCCCGGTTTTTGAAAACCAATCTTCAATTAAAAAACATAAAATTTTTCGTTTTTAGTGAAAAATTATAGTTTTAGTTGCAGAAGCTAATTCAGTTCTTTTCCGACTGAAAGAAGCTAGAATTTCTTCTTAGCTGGAAAGTTTGTATTGAAAAAGCTGTCAATTCATTCTCTAGAATAATTGATCCTATTTTTTCTAGTAAAAATTCTAGCTTTGAAATCTTGAGCTTCTTTACTTTAGCCGAAAATGATGACTTTCAAATGAGTTACAATGTAGCCGATTTTCATTTTCTATTTTCAGAAAGAAAAGGGAATGAGTAGAGGCGTGTCGCGAATCGAGGCGCGATTGTCGTCCAAAATCGCAGAAGGAGAATACTACGAAGCTCATCAGATGATTAGAACACTAGCTTCCAGATACAGGTGTCTCTCTCGATTATTCTGATTGCTGACTGAATGATTTTCGCTCATATTCTGATTGTTATTCAACTAATTGAGCAACTATTGGGCAAGCTTCACGATTTTCAGCAGAACGTTTTGAGAATACTAGCAAAAATCAGTCAGAGACAATCGGAATCCTGGAAGTTTCTTGATTTCAATTGTTTATAGAACGTCAAAGAAGCACCAGGACGCGCTGCAGTTAATCACAAAGGGCATTCTGGAGCTGTACGAGTTGAAACAGAGCGGCTCCGCCTCCGATCTTGGTCTTCTTTATTGCTCCATCCTCGACGATGTGGAAAAACTGACGGAAACGAATCACGAGCAAATTGGCAAAATCCACAAATCGACGATCGAGTGCCTCGAGTTCGAGCAGCCCGAGCGCGAGCAGTTCGAGCGGCGCATTCTCAAACGCACTGGCGAAATTTGCGAAAATCCGATGGGCCACCCGAAGACCCGTCTTGCCTTTGCGCAAAACTACGTCCAAGCCTCGGACAAGGCGAGATCGGCGAAGAACATGGAAGATTTTACGGTTACGATCACTTTGGCTAGGCAACACTTTCAGTACTCCGAAAACGGTCGCGAAATTGCCAAATTTCTAGCCCAGGTAAGGAATATCTTCTTTATGCCCAGCAACCTGTATGGAAACCTGAGTCAGGGTCCTGAATTAGCTGAATAGCTTCTTAGCGGTTTCTTCATGAGTATTTGAAAATTAATTGGAAAGATAACTTACGAAGCCGCTTTACGGCTTTCATTAGAGGTCTTCCAAACCCTGAGACAGGTTTTCTTCACGCGCTGCCTATTCCAGCTGCCTTTTCTCACCGTTACCTTCAGTTGACAGAATATAGCTCGAGAAACATGAGCGAGGTCGAGCTAATCTGCACGCAGATGACCCTCCAACTTCTTCACCAGCACACAGTCCCCGTTGCAAACGAATTTCTTCAAGCTTTCTCCCGCTTCCACCCCCAACTCGAGTCGCGATTTCCCTCCAACTACCCTCTACTAAATTATTGCTTCTTCCTGCTAAAAACGATAGATTCAAAAGACGTCAAGGCATTTAAATTTCTTAATTTCGCATACCAAGTGAGTTCCTATCCGAATCCTTCAAAAGTAAACCAAGGTAGCCTTTCCTAGCGGAGCCCGATCCAACTCTGATGGAATATATTATACGAATCGGGGAAATTTATTTTGGAATTGTTGAGAAAAAGAGTCGCCCGCAAGGAGGACTTATGGACATTATCGGATCTTTGATGGGCGGCAGGCCGCTGTCCAGTGATAGCGATGACGATGACGACTCTGCTGGTACGTGTTCGTGTTGATTTTTGATAAACGATGTGCTAAGTGCTCTCTAACGCAATTTAGGTCCTCCTGCTGGACTCGACATGGGCGCGCTAATGAACATGGCCAACGATATGTTCTCTGGAATGATGAACCAACCACAGAGCCAATCGAGTAAATCAGCTCCTCCTAAACCAGCTGCGCCCCCGGCCGACGAAGACGTCGACGATCTAGACTAATATACTTTAATACTTTATATAATCAAATCTGCAATCAAATCTTGCGTGTACAATAGTTACAATTGTAATAAAAGACGTGACAAAAAACAACTTGAAAAGGGGGTGTGTCAGCACTCTCTCTCTGTCTCCCATGTGAACCTCTTGCAAGGTCAACTGACTGTAGCGATTAGCTGTAAGCGAGACTTTCGAGATTTTACTTTTTTGAAGATTCGATTATTTCTTTCAGAAGATGCTAAACAGGACGTCGAATAGAGTCGCAACGCGAACAGTCGCCTCTGCGAAGACGAACTTGGGCGGACGGGCGTACCTGCTAAATCCGCATGTGAACAAAGGAACTGCGTACACGATTGAGGAGCGAATGGCCCTCGGAATCCACGGCCTCCTCCCTCCCGCCGTCTTCGATATGGACACGCAGCTCGAGCGACTGAAGAAACAGTACGAGTACGAAGCCTCCGATCTGGCCCGATACTCGTTCCTGATGGCTCTCTACGAGCGAAACGAAACCCTCTTCTATCGCCTCGTCCAGTCTGACGTCAAGAAATACATGCCGATCATCTACACTCCCACAGTCGGCCTCGCCTGCCAAAAATTCGGCGCCATCTTCCGCCGACCCCGCGGCCTCTTCATCACCATCCACGACAAAGGCCATATCGCTTCCATCCTGGACAACTGGCCAGAAACGGACGTCCGGGCTATCGTTGTCACTGATGGCGAGCGAATCCTCGGTCTTGGCGATCTTGGTTGCCAGGGAATGGGTATCCCAATCGGTAAACTCGCTCTTTACACTGCTTGCGCTGGTATTCGACCTGATATGACTCTCCCAATCCAGGTTAGTATTCCGTTTTTCTTGTGAGTATTTTTTATATAAAATAGATCGATGTTGGAACCAACAACAAAGAATTACTCAACGACCCAATGTACCCTGGCATCAAGCTTCCCCGAGTCCAGGGAAAAGAATACGAAGAATTCATCGAAGAATTCATGCAAGCAGTCACTCACAAGTGGGGCAAACAAGTGCTCATTCAGTTTGAGGACTTCGGAAATCACAACGCTTTCAAGGTACTTTCATTTATGAATAGATTTCTATTCAATTTATTGAATTTAGCTGCTGCGAAAATACAAGAACCGATATTTAACTTTCAACGACGATATCCAAGGAACTGCTGCCTGTGCTGTGGCAGGTCTTTTGGCGACTTCCCGAATCACTGGAAAGCCAATTTCCGAGGAGAAGTTCCTCTTCCTTGGTGCTGGAGAAGCAGGATTGGGTGTTGCCAATCTTCTTGTTCTTCTTCTCCGAGATATGGGCGTCAGTCCAGCTGAAGCGTACAGAAAGATCTGGCTCTTCGACAGTAAGTCATCAAGTCCATTATCGAATCTGTAGCAACTGAATCTAGTCGACGGTCTGATCACTTCCAACCGAATGGATCTCGATCCCCTGCAAATTAAATTCGCTCACGACCACGAACAGGTGAAGACCTTCGAAGACGCCGTTGATTCGCTCAAGCCATCCGCCATCATTGGCCTCGCTGGTGCCGGAAGAAAGTTTACACCTGCCATTCTGAAGAAGATGGCGGCAAACCACGATCGACCGATTATCTTTGCTCTTTCGAACCCGACTTCAAGAGCTGAGTGCACCTCCGAAGACGCTTACAACCACACCAATGGTAAAACTTAACTTTTTAGAAATTTGAGTTAATCTTTGAAATTTTACAGGTCAGTGTGTGTTCGCTTGTGGCTCTCCAATGAACTCCGTGACTGTTAATGGACAGGAGTTCGTCCCCGGACAAGGAAACAACGTCTACATTTTCCCTGGAGTTGCGTTAGCCTGCATTCTCACCGGCGCCACTACCATCAACGATAGAGCATTTTTGATTGCTGCTCAGGTAAGCCCTATTTATTTTTCTGAATTTTCAGCCGCAATTCTAGCGGGTTGCTTCCGAGCTTTCCGAGGAAGAAGTAGCCAAGGGAGCCGTCTACCCCGATCTGGACCGCATCCGAGAGATCTCCGAAAAAGTCGCCATCGACGTAGCAAAGTACCTCTTCGACGCTGAACTGGCGACCTACCGACCAGAGCCTCACAATGTTGCCGAGTGGGTGCGATCGAAAACCTGGCATCCAGAGTACCAATCGATGATTCGGGCCAATTACGCCAGTCTATTCGACAAAACAAGGTTTGGATCTCGGGTTTACTTTTCAATATCGGTAAAAGTCAAATCTTTCAAGCTTTGGCTTTTAGCTTTTTCCCGATATTGAGAGTTCTTACTTGGAGTTACAATATTCATTTATACTAACTCTTCAGTTCAAGTTGAAGTGTTAAACGCTTTGCTTATAATCACAAATTTAGCGGAAGACCGGAGTCCCTTTTGAAAAGAGTTGATTTTAATAAATCGCCATGTGAGGAAAAAACAAAATCATTTTTGTCAATATATCATTCTTCATTATTAATCCTATACAAAAACAACCATTCACTAATTCATCCCAATTAGTATGGGAGCCATACTGATGGAGGTCCCCCCTGGTGTCACCTTTTATTGAGCCTGGGCGCTGCACCCTGAGTAGAAAACCTGAGTCAGGAATTGAAAGAGCTTCAATAATAACTATGTGGCTTTTAATTGAAGCCTTTTAAAAACCCTGACTCAGGTTTTCTCAACAGTTTGCTGGTCGAGTTCGAGTTCACTCTCTGCATGATTCTTGAAATTCACCGATTGCAACCTACCTTGATAAGTTTTCATGAAGCAAACTGACGTCTCTTTCTAGTTCTCCCAAAAATTGAGGACTGCAAAAAACAACGAAACTCTTCAAACTGATAGCAGCTGATCTGCAAGTTCTTCAACCCTGTTCTCCCTTCAATTTTCAATTTCCAATAAGCAGATGTTAAAAAGAGAAAAAAACAGATTTCAAAAAACAAATTGAGTTTGTTCTCTTTCTATTTATTATTTCCAGCACAGTCATTTCAGCATTCAAAATAAGCACCTACCCGTTCTTGCTCTTCAAGTTCAAAACTATTTAATTTACTGTGTGAAAAACCAGCCTTGTATTCGGACAGCTAAATAAAAATCGTTCCATCATAAGATTTATAAAAAAATGGCGGAGGACGAGGACGTGTCTCTCTTTGATGCGATAAAGCAGATAAATGATAAGCAGCAAGTCGAGAAGGAGAAGGAGAGGACGATGCTCTCGAGCAATCGTTCGGCTTTTGCCATTGGAGGCAAATCCAAGCTCAAATGTAAAGTTTCCAGTTCTAGGCTCCGCAACTTGTGTATAAAACCTGAGTCAGAGTCTGAAAGATCGTCAGAATTTGAAAAGTGATACGGAAAGAAGACGCTTTGCGGCTTCGTTATTAAAAAATCCGCTACCTGGAGATCTCTCTGACCCTGACTCAGGTTTTTTACACAGGTTGTCGGGCTCACTTGCTCTCACTTCGAAGTATATTTGAAAGTCAATCGCATTATTTTTAGTAAATCAACTTCCCAAGAAATCCGACGCTTCTCTCAAAAAACAAACCAACAAAGTTCTCCGAAGCCATAATCTTCTGCAGACACCGCTAGAATCGAAAGAGAGCAAGAAACTCACGCGAAAGCTAATCTATGAACAGACATCGACGAAATTGGGAAGATGGGACGACTACGTCAAGAACATACGCCACGGCAGTCAAATAGATCTGCGCGATGTCAACCAAAAAGTGCAAATTGTCCCGTCTGAAGCGCGAAAGCGAAAACTCGGGACAGAAGTCGAGAGGGAACTCGATGCGCTTCTGAATGGCAACGAGTATGTTCCTACTGGAGACGATGAGCTTTCGATGGCTGAGAAACGAGTACTGAGCTCCGTTTCGATCCAGGAAGCTAAGCTCAGACAAATGGAGCTCAGAAAGCATCGAATTCTTCAATGTATGAGAATCGGCCCTGTCATTTTTCTTTTAAAATTAAATTTCAGCGGAGTACCAAGTCAAAGCCCGGCGCATGCGAAAGATCAAGTCAAAAACGTTCCATCGTCATTTGCGAAAACGCGAGAAAAAGGAACAAGAACGTATCCTCCGAGAAGGAGGAGAAGATGAAAAGAAGGATGAAGACGAGGCAGCAAATGCGGCAATTAAAAGAAGAGCCGAGGATCGAGCTACTTTGAAACACAGTTCTGCTGGAAGTAAATGGTCGCAAAAGGTTGTTCTTATAAAAATTAAGCTGATTTTCATTTGAAAATTTAGGTGAAAAGAAAGAAACTTATCCACAAAGACGATGATATTTTGAAACAAGTGAATGAGCAAAACGCAATTCGCGAAAAAAATCGAGAAAGAGTCAACGAAGCAATTGTCGAATCAGACACAGAAGAAGAAAGTGATGCAGAAGAGACCGAGCAGACTGGACCGTCTGCAAGCGCAATTAGTATCATCCAGCAGATGGGAGACAACGAATGGTTCAAAGTTTCGAAAGATGCTGAAGAAGTCGTCGATAACTTGGAAACCGCGGCCGAAAATGCAGATAAGATTGTAGGCGAAGAAAAGGGAGTAATGAACTTGCCGAGTGTGAAGAGCAAGGACTTTGAAAGCTCCTCCACCTCTATCACGCCGAGAAAGACAGAAATTGGTAAACTTAAGCGGGCATTTACCTGTTCTAATTTGATTGTTCTAGAATTGGAATTGGAAGCGCACATGGAACGCAGAAGGCGGAAAGCACTTTTGAACAAAGATACAGACAGTTCAGATGAGGACGGAAGTGCCGATGAAGCAGTAAAAGAGCCAGAGAAAGAAGTTCAGGAAGAGTCTGTTCCAGTTGAGCTCGTCCCAGCTACTGGATCCGAAAAAGCTGAAGAAGAACGACCGAAAAAGCGTGTCAGCGAAAAAGAAACAATTGATACAACAAGTGAGCCTTAAAATTGATAAAATAAGTTCTAGCTTTTGTTTTTAGAGGTGCTGAAGCAATCAGATCATCTGTCCACCTCCCTGCCTGATACGATCGATGAAGATGGACAGACGACGTCGATTCGAGAAGCTTTCCAGGACGACGACATCGTGAAATCTTTCAAACAATCGAAAAAAGACACGGCTGAGGAAGAAAAGGGAAAAGTCGTGGATTTGATTCTGCCCGGATTCAACGGCGCTTGGGCGGGCGAAGACTTCAAACCGTCGAGAGCGCAGAAGCGACGATTTAGAATGAAGCAGAAGATGGCGCCTCGTGCTGATCGTCAGCTGGGCCATGTCATTATTTCTGAGAGCGCAAGCAAGATGGATGGCAAGCGGGTGAAGCAGCTACCGTTCCCTTACCAGAACGCGGAGCAGTTTAACAAGGCCATGTCGCAGCCTATCGGAAACACGTGGAACACTGCTGCTAGTTTCAGGGAAATGACCCAGCCCAGTGTTCTACAGACGCCAGGACAGATCATTGCGCCAGCAACGGTACTTGCGTGCACTTTCAATGATCAGGTTTTATTCACAATTTTAGTTGGAGGAAAAACAGCGACACTCGGACATTTTCACCGTTGAGAAATCAGTCGCTGATAGTTCGAAACAGAAGACGAAGCAATTCCCTAAGAAGTATAAAGGTGGAAGACGGCGAACCGCGGCAGATGATCTTTCTTTATCTCGAAGCTGAAAGTTGATTGTTGACTGGAAGAATAGAATATAAAGATTATATAATTAGGGGGCCTCATTTTGTGTGTATTTAGAATGGAAAGCAACGAACTTGCCGATGTGGAAGAGAAGGCCAGCTTCAATTTGTGCATTCGCTTGGCTCCCGTATTCAATGCACTGCAGAAGATTGACTCAAATAAGTGTTCTAAAGAGATGGCAGCGACGATATCGGCGGCGACGCGGAAGTACAGACAGATCTTGAAAGAGCTAGAGGGAGAAGGGTAAGAAATATAAGCCAGGAAGGTCGAATTCTCACTTTTCTTGTCTTTAGCCACGATGTAATGGGCGAAGTTTGGGAACTGATCGAAATCATGATGGTCGACTCTGAAATTACCGGCATCGATGCAGCTGGAAACACGCTCGAGTCGCTGATGCAATGGTGCCAGAAACACAACAAAATCCCTGACCAGCTGAAATCACTGGCGATCGACGCAGAGTCTACAAATCAGCAATCGCTTTCGACCAACCAAAACTACTTCGACGCCATTGCCGGGCACTTGCTCTGCGCTGACATGGAAAACGCTGTAGAAACGCTCAAGCTGCATCCGAAATTCGACGAGGGCGGCTCAAACGAAGTCTGTGTCCTCGTCGACTTCATTCTCAACAAGCCGCTTCTCTCCGAATACACCAATTTCCCGATCAATCAGTACCAGACAGCGTTTGAAAATTGGCAGCAAGATTTGAGCGATGCGCTAGAAAACGACTCATTCGAGGATGAAAACATCGTCAAAATTGTCGGCATTCTGTGCGGAGACGAGCAAATCATTGACGATTGTCTGCATCTATGCGGTCAATGGTATCGACTTCTACTCGCAAAGGTACACTCCTGCGCACGGGTGTGCTTACTTTTTGTGATTCTAGTGCTACTACACTTGCCCAACGATAGACCCACGTACTGTTATTCACTCGTCCTCCGCGCCAGCTTCCCTTGGAGCGCTAGAAAACACAATTCTTAATGAATTGATCAACCGTATTTTCGAGCTGGACAAGGAAGAAACCCTCCGCATGCTCGTCTCGCTTTCCAATTCGTGGTGGCCCTCGGCCCACATGGCAGATTTAATTGCAAAGTCAGATCCCAAAAATAAGAAAGTACAAGAACTCCGAGAGCGCTTCGTGAAAAGCTACGCTGAAAGTTTGATAAAGCAGCGGAAGCTTTTCAAAACTGGCCTTAGATATATTCTCTCTCTTACAAATATTCAATACGTAAGTTGCCCTCTTATATGTTGTTTTTAATGATCGCGCATTAGGTGAGAGAAAAATTGAATACTGCAATTTTGGGCGTAAAAGTAGAAGAAGAACCAGAACTGGAAAAACTGTACAGGCTTCCGAAAGAACTAAATCTTACAGCTGTCATGTACTTACAGAGACGCATCGCTGAGAAAGCAGGTAAATTATCATCACTCTTTTTATAGTTAATTCTAAATTTTTGTTCTTAGCTCGTCATTTCATTGCGAAGGAAGAATTCGGAAGCTCGCTTTGCTGGGCGATCAGGGCCAATAATGATAGCATTTGCTCGGAGGTACTAAATGAGGCCCTAAATACATTTCTAAAGGATGACTGCTTAGATTGCTGAGAAAGTAATGAGAAAATTTCACGAAGAAGACGACTGGGAGCTGCCATTTATGATCGACAAACTCGGGAGGTGCCAAGAAAAACTTCCGAAGAAATTGATATTCCTCTACAAATATAAACAGGTGGAGAGTGCTGAAAATTTGTTCAAACTAATGCTGTTTTTGTAGTTCCACAGCAAGCTCAAGGATCACAACTCACAAGAAGCAATGGAGGATTTGGAATCACTTCTGAAGTACGAAATGAAAGCAGGTACTGTTAGACAACTTTTGTTCAAGAAAAATGAATCAACCGACTTCTTTTAGAGATTCTTTCTCTCGTATTACGGCAAGCGATGGTGCTGCTCGACCATGAAGTCATGTTCAAGCAGAAGCAAATCGTCTCAGTTACTAAAGCACTACAACGGGTAAGATTTTCTTCTTGATTTCGATTTTATTTCTTTCATATTTTCAGCTTACTTTTCTTCAAAAAATCAAAGACGAAGCAGACGTGGAGCAGGCGAACCTACTGAGGAAAAGTCTGGGCGAGCATCTAACTAGAATAATTTTGAAAAAGCAAATCTTGTAAAAAGAACAACCCTAGAATTCAATTTAACTTGCATTTCACACTGCCCAGTTCAGAAATTTGTTTATTGCAAGCCTTTCCTCGACGATAGATATTAACAGTGGTTAACTTCACTAAATTTGATTCAGAAAAAGGAGCATAAGATGAGGATCGGTAAACGAGGGCCGAGCCAGGCGGAGACCGTCATCAAGGTACACTTACTAGTTTTAGTTTTGAAAGACTTACGCAATAAAAGGCGATCATTCGGAAAATTGTTCAACGATGCCAAGAGAAAGGAGCCGCCCTTTCCGAAACGCTTGTAGGCTTTATGGTCAAGTCGGTTGTTCTTGATCCAGAAGCTAACTTCTCCGTCGAGCGAACCCTCACCCAGCCAGACGTAGACAGACTGATAGACACGTGTACCAAACGACTCACTGAAACCAAGTCCTCTCGTCTTGAGACAATCAAAATGCAGGTAAGCACATTTGGTTTATTTTGCCTATATTGGAGCAAACGCTAAATTAAGGTTTATTTCGACATGAACTACACAAGTCGAACGGAATTCATCGGAGAGCATCGGCGAGTCATCAGATCGCGTCTTGTCACGACTGTCAATGAAATCTGCGAGTCACGTGCTCTTTCGCGAGAAGAACTGCAAAACCTTTATCGGCGAATCGTGGCGTACATCCTTCTCGAGTCTGGCCTCGGCTCTCCCACAGACATGGCGATCGTGCGTGAGACAACCACCGCGCTGCAGTCTGTCTTTCCTCCTCAGGAGCTCGGCACATTCCTTGAGTTCTCCAAAAGAGAGAAGGAGCGCCACCTTGCCGAGTTGACCCGCATCGTCTCTGGCATTCGCCTTTTCAACAAGAAGAACGGCACCGGTTCATCAAGAGGAATCGAGGATCTGCCCGTCATCATCCAGGACGCCATCAATCCATCATTAATTGAAGTCGAAGCGGAGCGGCAAAATGCTCAAAAACTTGCAGAGCACTACACAGCAATTATAATGTCTGATACCTTCGATCCAAATGGAGAAAACATGGACAAGATTCATGACGCTCTTTATAACATCGCCCAGTGGGAAGTCTTCCTGAGAATCATTTACAACGAGCTTGTCAAATCCAGGTAATTCAAGCTTTAGAATATGAGTAAATTAAAACACCCAATTTCCTAGCCATCAAGTTGACACATTGACGGAAAAGCTCAACGCTGCATTTGAATGTATCCAGAACGCAGTTCAACAGCGCACAGCCGTGCCGACGAATCAAGTCTATCCGCTCTTCATCAAACTCTCCGAGCTGTGGACTTTCTTCCAAGAAGAAATCGTGCTACTGTCAGTGTTCCAGAATATCCGACAAAATGCGAAAGAGTTCATCAAACAGCATGAAATCCTGTTTCCCTGGCCAGTGATTCGAAAGCTCACCGCAGACATGACCGTCAAACGAATGGACGAGTATCTCGCCGATGCTGAGGCCAGCGGTCGTATTGATCCATCAACTGGAAAGGATTCCGCCGACAAGGACGACATCACCTGGGTTTATCCCGAAACACTTACCCAGAACATGAAGATCGAGTCGATGACATTCCGCTTCCGGAGCTTCTGTCCTTTGATGCTCGCCGAATACGGCCTGCTCATTCCTGGCAGTGCTAAAATCGGAATGCTCAATCACGACGACGGATTCTACGTTTTCTCCAGCAGCCAGGCGGCGAAAACCTTCACTGCTGATATCGGAGGCTTTTTGAACAAGGTATGAAAGTGAGCAAAACGACGATTGTAATTGAAACATTCCTAGATCTCAGCAAAAGCTCGCATCTCGACAGAACTCATCAACTTGGTGCAACTTCAACGACAGTTTCAAAATCTCGCCCAACACGAAGGCTTTGGTAGTGGCAGTGGGCAACGCTTGCAACAAGGTACAGTGAAAGGCAATTGTAACGATGAATGACTATTTATTTAAATCAGACACCGCTTGTCAAACAGACACTCATCTGTTGCCGCCGACGCAGGACAAGGAGTATGAATGGAACGAGTGGGAGATGAGGCGAAAGGCACTGAAGCTCGCAAATCTGAGAAAATGTGTCACGCATTCTACGCAAACTGTAAGCCCCTTTTTATCTCTAGGATGCAATAAGACTTCAATTTTCAGGTGCTTTCGAACTTCCGCCGGGAGAACGAAACGCAAGTGTATCTTCCTAAGGAGAACGACAGTCAAACGAAGAAAGAGTCGTACACAAATGCTCCGAAGAAAAATGTCTACTACGCTGGACTGCGTGGCGATACGCGCAAAAATGCTTTCAAGCAGTGGGACATTACCGACTACCGCGGTGTCGATCCAAACTAACAATTTGTTAGTTTTTGAAAGAAGAGATCCACCCATTGCTGTTTATATTTTTATATTCAAAATAATAGATATATATTTTCATAAATTTTACACATTTCGGATCTAAATATCGCTGCTTTTAGAATGAGATAGTTGTGTAACTGAATGGACAGATATGGAGCCAAGTGAAGTTGGGAGTGGACCTCAAGAGAACCTTGAACAAACGGTCATCAACGCTGTTGAAAAAGAAGAAGTTGATGCTGTGCCCGCCCCAGCCGAGGAAAAAAGGGATGAGACGCCACAAACGGCCGTAGAAGAATCAACCAAGATCGAACAAGAAGAAACGGAAGAACCAGAAAAGGAAGCTAAAGATGCTCGACTTGAGGAACAGACAAAACCAGTCAGCGAATCTGATTCTGCAGATGTCAAAAGTACTGATAATCGATCACAAACAGCGGAGTCAGAAAGTTGTGCTCCCTCCTCAAGTGGGCAGAATCCAGAGCAATCTGCAAGCCAAGAGGAGAACAAAACCGCTAGTAGCATAAGCGAGAGCGAAGATCTTTCAGAAAATCAATCACGTGTTCAAGAAATGTGCCCGGAAAAGGAGCGCAAATTCCGCATTGAGAACGAGCTCGTGCACAAATTCGAAATGATCGACGGCGAACCTGCCGAGCATCTGATGGTGAAGGAGTATCGTCGAAGTGCGGCTGATCTCGTCGAAATGAATGAAGAAGATTCGTTGAGATCGAAAAGCAGCCTAGAAGCGTCGATCCAGCACTTGCTGACCAACATCATGATGCTCGAGGAGCCCTTCCAACTAAAATTTGACTTCATCGACGATCGCTTGAGAGCAGTCCGGCAAGAACTAACCATTCAGGTTTGCCACAGTTCTGTCGAAAGATCTTGAACTTATGTTTTAGCGGCTAACGTTGACCTGGTTCGGCTGTAAACAGCTGTTATCGTGCGTCAAGTTCTACCTGATTGCTAGGCGTCTTTTTAATACAGTCGACATTGACGCTACTGCCAATGCTGATAGATTACATGCCTGCTCTACACGCATTTTCGAGTGCATCTCGTCCATTTCCGAGTTTGTCAAGGTACACCAACATTGAAGTAAAGTTTAAAATCGAAGAATAGGCCATCAAAAACGAAGATCTCTTCGGCCGTGAAATACAAACCACGCGCGACGCATTTTCGGCAATGATCCTGACCAGACTAGATGATCTGAAGCCATCTGGGCTGATTTACTCGACAATCTTCCACCGGATGAGCGAGCTGCTCTCCAACGGCGTCTGCCTCTTGCCAATCGAGCTGCTGAAAGCCTACATGACCGAGAACTGGTGCAAATTCGCTAGAATTTTCAACAGACTCTCGCGCATCCAGCAGATCGCCGCTGAGCCTTATGTTTTGAGCCTGCGCAAGGTCAGTTAACTCAGTTAAATTTCCACCGAAATAAACTGCGTTTTAGGTGTGTCTATCTTCCTGTGCCGTTGCCTACCACAACCAACAGATCCCCCTTCGCATGATTTCAAGCTGGCTTGTATTGACTGTTCGTGACACACGTCTGCTTCTTGAGTCCAGTGAAGGCGCAAAAGTGGCCGAAACGGACCAAGATGGTGTTTTCGCCATTTTCAACAAGAAAGAATTCCAACTGCCCGAACACGAGTGTCTTTCCAATCCAGCAGCTGGCGAGTTTTCCTTCCAAGTTCTAGCGCACATGTTAAAAAGTTAGTGCTCCTCTTATTCTGACCCAAGAAGTCCTTACTTATTCTTTAGCAAGTCCAGAAGTTGGAGCAGAACTCCTATCAAATTCCACTACGGTTGAACGTAGCCCCGCAGTGCGCACGAATCAACCCGCGGATACTGGGAGAGTGCCTGTTCTATCCAAAAATCCTCTTGGTAAGAAAATTAACCCCTCCCAAAATCGTAAGCTCTGCATGATTTCCTTTCAGATAATATTGCTAGCGACGACGACGATACGCCGATCTGGATGAAATCGGGGAACAAGTCTTACCGAAAAAATCACCGCCGCCAGCGTGATTCCGAAAAGAAGGAAAAGCAACGCCGGGATAGTAATCGGGACGAGAAGGATTCTTTCCGCGAAAACGACCGCCACCACGACCACTGGTCAGAGCCCAAGAGGTAAGAATGAAAGTGGTTTACTTTGTTTTAACTGTTGTTTTTTTTCACTAGGAGCGGGCACAATCGACACCGAAATCGAAATAAAAAAGACAATTTCGGAGGTTCGCGGGGCGCCCGAAAGCCAGGCTCTACTGCCTCTCGAAGCTGGCAACACGACGACCGTACCCGCACGGCTTACTAAGTTATAACTCGTTGAAACAAAAGATACTTTCTGAAAGTCCATTTATTCATAGTCCTTTTGCGAGGCCTTGCTCGGTTGAAACTGAAACACACGCTTTGAAATCAAGGAAGAGAACAAGTCACTCTCTTTCGCCCCGTTTTCACCAAAAAGGTCCACTTTCCGAAACCTTCTCCGATATTGATCTCATTCCTTCTGCGCTGCTTATTTTTTATTTTCTCAATTTTTCGTGGTAGTAGGGGGTTATTGTTCGGGCTGCCCCTAAGTCTAAACCTAACCCAGGGGGCTACGCCCCCGGGACCCCCCCACCTAACGCCTAAACCAGGGGGTTTCGCCCCCCGGACCCCCCTTAAGAGTTCCCAGTCCCTAACCCTAACCATTAGCTCAGATTCTAGAGTTATTGGATGGCTCGAATCATCGGCCCGAATGATAACCCCTCTCTTCGTTTTTCGTTTTCTCTTTGAAAAAATTTTCTTAACTTTTTCAATTCTGAAAATATTTGAATAGTTGTTGATTGATCCTATACAAACAATATAACTGCTATCGCCTACAGCATACTGTGCTGGGCTCGGCAACCTGTAAGCAAACCTGAGTCAGGGTCCTGAAAGAGCTTTCATGAAAACGCCGCTACAGGACCAAGACTCAGGTCTGTGCACAGGTTGCCGAGTCCAGTTACCGTGGAAAAGCATCTTTTGTTTTCCGCAACTGTAACTGATCCTCAGTAAATCATCTCTCTTCCTGTATCCTGGGATATATACTGGCCGCCCGATTTCCTCTAGAATCTGTAATTTAGAATCAAAGATCACCAAGTTCATGGCCGTAAAGATTTAAGATTTTTTTTGCACAAATTGACCTTCTAAGTTTATCTTTCTTATGTTCTCGTATCCAGCTTATTCAAAAAACTTTCTAAATGAAGGCCAATCTTTTCGTTTTATCGGCTCCTTTTTCCGAATTTAGCTTGTCGAAAATGCGTTTTGGAAACTCTTGAATTCGCTTTCTTTTATCCCGCCTTTTCGACAAGCTAAAGTCGAACAATTTTACGTTACAGTCGGACCACATTGATACTGCTTAAACTATTTTATGTTGAACTGTACAGTGTACACAGTACAGTTACTCTCTATAATACTTCAATACTTTCTTTAATTTCTCGAATTCATAACTCGAAAATAATTGTTTTCCCTGCAAGTGAAAACTCATTCACAAAGAAATTCATTCAGATGCCAAACAGAAGCTTGCCAGACAACTGGCTCAACTGCCCTCAATTCGGAGAGACAATCGAAGGCGTCGTCCCCATTAAAGTGCCTTTAGATCCTCAATACCGCTACGCTAGAGAGAAAAGATGGTCTTGGGAGGAAGCTCTTGCAAAATATCCTCAGATCGGGCTTGGTAACAACTCTTTCTCTTGTTACTGTATCTATCTGTATTATCTAGTTGTCGATCTGACGAACACGGATCGTTACTACGACAAACAGCAGCTCTACGATCAAGATATTGAGTACATCAAAGCCAAGATGCCCGGGCACGGACAAATCCCTTCGCGACGAGAAATCTTCACTCTTGCTGGCAAGATCAACGGTTTCATCGAAGAGCATCCAGACAAAATAGTAGCTGTCCACTGCACGCATGGCTTCAATCGCACGGGATTCCTTGTTTGCGCCTATCTCCATTTACACAAGGAATATACTATCCCACGCGCCGTAGAAAGTTTTGCAAAGGTTCGACAAGGTGGCATCTATCGAACAGAAATCATCCAGGCGCTTCATGATTTTTACCACGACGAAAAGGTGACTGTGAATGAGGTTCCCAAGCCAGCGTGGCATACTACAGAAAAGAAGAAAAATACCAAGGGGGCCGAAGAAAGCGTCGCAGAAGAAAAAGAAGGAAGAGCCAGAAAGAGAGGTTACCGTCATTGTTGACAAGCCTCAAAAGAAAGAGCGAAAGGTCTCGGTTGAAAAAGCGCGCTCCGAAAGTCGAAGAGGCTCTGGTTCCAAAGGGTCGAGAGGAAGCAAGCCTCATTTCGCCTCTGCGAGCTGCAACCCACTTGGTACTAGTTTTCAAAGATAATGTGTGATGAAAACCAATTTAGATGCGATCGACAGTCGTGACACCGAAACTCCTGTTTGGATAATTCCAAGTCGACGATCCAAGGGCCCCAAAAACTAAACTAGACTATACCCAGAATTTTACTCAAAGTGTGACCATTTTATCTCGGATTCCTTACAAAGTTATGTAAGTAAAGCATTTTTTTTTGAGTACAGGAAAACATTTACAGAAAACACATTTATCATTGACAATGATAATGATACTGTCATCATTAATGATTCATTGATTATTTCAACTTGTTTTCATGAATTTGACTTTCACTTTTCATGAATTGATGGTAAATAAGTTCAATAATTATTTTACCAAGCCGTTTTTGTTATTATTAAGTTCATACTTTACATTCTGAAACGCTACATTTTGAACGGCCCTCATTTACGATAAGCAGCTCTCATGTTGAATGCTCGTGTCTTTTAGAATGCGCATGATGTACTGAAGAAAATCCTAAAAGAGTAAATGCCTATCGTTCGCATTAAATACTTCCCCGAAGAAGCGACCTCCTCTGATGTCCGCCGCTTCTTCAGAAAGATCGAGATCCCGGATGGAGGGGTCCACATTGTGGGTGGACCAAAGGGCATCGTCTTTGTTCGTCTTTATGACCGGGAAGGTATTTCGAAATGTGCTTTGAAAAGAACTAACCGATGATGATTTCCTAGATTTGGAAATTGCGCTCAAACGGGACGGGAAGAAGCTCTCACCGGCCCAGTGCGAATACTCCTTCAAAGTCAAGGTCTCGGAATCTAACGAAGACCAGATGAAAAAAGTCATCGCCGACATCACGAGTTTGGTCAGTACGAGTGAAAAAGAAAATCCCCCGAAAGGACCGCGCGAAGTAACTCCTCCCCCTAAAAATGACTTTTTCGTGCGTCTCGCCGACCTCGCTCCTACTGCCACTGTTGACGACATTGTGCAGTTCTTCGATGGTATTCGCATCGCACTCGTGAAACAAACGGACAGTGGCAACGCACTCATCAAGTTCAAATCTGTGGACGACAAGCAGGAGGCCCTCACTTACGATCAGAAATTCTTCGGCTCACGGTTTATCAAAGGTAGATATCTTCTTGATCATTTTTCAGCTAAAATCGTCCACTAGTAAATCATCTGGGTTGTGATGTTTGGGAGAGCTGTAAAGCCGACGCAATCAGACCTGTCTATCCCTCTGTTTCTGATTCGAAAGAAGTCGAAACCGAAGAACAGGAGGGAACGGAAACACCGCAGATTGAATCACAGTGTGTGATGCTCTCTGGGCTCGCGCCTGAAGTCACCAAGAAAGACCTAGTGCACGAGCTGTTGAAAGCGTGCAAGATTACGAAATACGGGCTGTACATGGAAGCGCGGGACAGCAAGTGCACCGGCAAATGTTACGTCGAGTTCGTTGATCAGGTTCGATGACCTTTTGTTACACAAGTTCGAGTAAGTAAGTTTGATTTTTAAGGCTACTAGAGATAGGGCAATCCTCAAAGCGGATAAAAGCGAGTTTCGCGGCAATACGGTTTCCTTGGAAGCAATCACAGCTGAAGACATGAAACACGGAGTACAACAACATCGAAAAGAGTTGAAAAAGATCGAATACGATCGACGTAAAGAAGCCAAATCTAAGAAAAGGAAACGCAAAGAAGACATTGGCAAACGCGAAGAGCGCGTGAAAGAAGAAGAAAAGGAGCGCGAGCGGCTAAAAACAGAAATGCTCAAGGAACTAGAAAAAACTTCTACAAAGCATAAAAGTCCTAAGAAAAGCAAAAGGCCCTCGAGCCCACCGAAAAATCAACAGTCCTTCTCCTTCTCCCACGGTAACTCCAAGTCATTAGACAATCATTAAACTCGTCCCAGGCTTCGTCGAAAAACACCACTACCTCTTCTGAAGATGAAGGTCTCTCTGCGCTTTTTGCACCAAAAGGAGCGTCTGTGAAGGTAAGTAGACTTCTATTATGGAATTCAATTTACACTTTTTGAAGCCGCTGAAGCCAGTGACCGGAATCAACAAACCAGCTATTAAAATCAAAATGAATCTATCCACCACTTCCAATTCAAATGAACCTGAAGAAGAGGTACTCTACAATTCACTTCTCATTATTGATTCCACTTCTAGTCCGTTCTAAAGCGTCTCCAGCAAGAGCAAGAGGCGAACGAGCAAAAGTCTTTGAAAAAAGAACTCAAAAAGAAAAGCGAAGAAGCCGAAACTGCCACAAACACGATGGGCTTGATGCTCATGTCGAACATAATGACGAACATGATGACTCTGCAAAACTCGCAAAAGAACAACGCTGCTACCAATCCCCCTCCCTTACCGCCACCGTAAGTTTACTAGTCCCGAATTCGAACATCTCGATCTATTTAAATTTTAGCGAGCCTAGTCCTGCCGAGCCGCCGACGCTCCAGAATGAGTACCAACATCAAGCTTACATGCAGTTACAGAGCCAAACCAACCAACTGCCAAATAATCTGTCCGGCTCTAGCGCTCCCCAAGTTCCGACCCTTCCGCCCAACTACAATCCAAACAGCCAACTTTATCAAGCACCGCCGGCAATGCAAGCCCAGCATCAACCCAGACCTCCTAAAGCAATGCGTTTCCAAAATCCGGCTGCGAGAAACGCTCCTCAACGATATTCTGCTCCTCGAATGCCGGTGCCGATGACTCCTCAGAATTCTTTCAACACAAGTGTGGACAATTTCGACACGTCCCCGCAAAAGAATCGTTATCACCAGACACCACCAAATCGTGGAAGAGGCGTTCCTCCGCGTAGTGTTAGACCTCAAGCACTTAGTGGCAACTATCCAAACCCTGGACCTCGTGGAGGTGGCCCTCTCAGACCTACTGGCGAGCAGAACTACGGTACACCAAACTACGGAAATCAGAACTACAACATCAGAGGGGGAGGTCATCAAAACAACGGCCCATCGAATGGTGGAAGTCATCAGAATCGAAGAGGACACCAGATGAATGGAAATCGTTTTCCAAATCGCGGCGGTTATTCTTACCGAGGCTCTCCTAAAACAGGTTTTGGAGGACAAGCTTTCGATAACAACGTTTCGTATGGTGCTCCCAACAAGGCTCGACCTGTTCCTATGTCTCAAAACGGCTATTCTGGTGGACAAACTTTCAACGACCAAAGCTTCCACACACCACGGGGTGGGAGCAGGGGCGCCCCTCATCGTGGCGGCTTTCAGCAGCGCGGGCGATCGTGGATGGGCGGACCCCGCTTCCGCTAAATTTACATCCGGCAATTTCTGTAGCCACTTACTGACTGATCTGCTGCCCTTGATTGTATCTAAGGCCTATCTGACTCTTTTCCTTTACTGTTCACGCTAACCTAAGAACGTTCCTGTGTCCTTAGTTCATCGCGCCATAACGCGGTAATTTCTGTATCAACGTCTATTATCAGTTTCTACTTTAACCGCAACCATTCAGTTACCTTCATTTACAACTTTTCCGTCGCTTATCAAAATACGCTGCCTTTTGTCGCAAACGAGCGTCCTCCTTGATTTCTCTTTAGAATGTGAAGCCAAGCAATAATAAATGGGAAACACGCAGTCTTCCAACGATCCCTACCAAACGCTGAGCGGCAACGAGCTCGTCGAGTTCACCCGGCTCACTCCCTTCTCCCGCTACGAGATCGAGTCCTTCTACGACGATTTCCAAAAGCTCGATCATTCGCCCAACCCGCGACGGAACTTCAGAGCACGCGCTGAAGACGTCGCTCGGCTTCCCATACTCAAGTGCAACCCCTTCAAAGACAGAATAATTCAAATTTTCGCCGACCAGAACTCCTTCCTCACTTTTGAAGACTTTCTCGACATGATGTCGGTCTTTCATCCGCGCTGCTCGAAGATGGTCAAGTTGTGCCATGCTTTCGCTATCTACGATTTTGACAACGACGGATATCTCGGCATGGAAGATCTCAAGCGAGTCGTCAAACGGCTGACCCATCGAGGCGATGGCTCGGAAAGCATCATCTCACAGGTGCGTCCCTTCTTTCTCGTCTCCTCTTTACTAATTTTCATCTAGGATGACATCGTCACAACTGCCGAGCGATTGATGAAAGAGCTCGATCTTGATCACTCCGGGAGAATCTCCATCGAAGAGTTCGAATACTTCACCTCCAAAAGTCCTGATTTTGCCTTGCTTTTTTCTACCCGCCAAAAAACCTGCTAATTCATTCCAAATGAAAATTAACAAAATAAAAATGACGAAAACCAAAAACATCTTACGCTTCTTCAAGCTAAAAGAAATTGCTTCAAGAAATGGTTTCTGTGGCTTACTTGCAATTAGATTTGATAAAACAAGAAAGTAATGTTGAGTTTTGGTATATTATTTACAACCATCGAAAATTAACAGTGGGTGGAAAAAATATAAATTTAACGAAATTACAAAATCTTTTCTCTCTAAATATTTTCAAACTTTGGATAGATGTCTTGAAAGAACAGGCCAAGCTACATATTCTCCGAGGAAAAAAATTGAAATTTAAAAGTTCTAAAGCTGTCTAACGGCAATTGAAGTACCTTTCTACTGACGGCTCTAGCGTAAAAAATATTCATTGTAACAGCATAATTTTTGAAGGAAATATATTCTTGAGCATCTGAAGTAAGACGCCAGCTATTTTTTATTTCGTTTTTATAACGCGATTCTGCTCTTATCAGCGATTAAAGTCAGACGAAAATTTTGATGAGACGGGGAGCGCGGCAGTGACAATGCGTCATGGTGACGCTGTGGCGCACCCTAGCCAAGCACGAATGAAATCTCGTTCAAGCATTTTCCTTTCCAGCGTCAGGCTAGGGTGGGCAACAGCGCCGCCACGCTGTCTAGTCACCGCCGCGCTCATCGCCACAGCGAATTTTTCACCTAACTTTGATCGCTGATAAACCGGTGATAAACTGATCAGAATGGACAAAAAAATAGCTGGCGCCCTAGTTCAGAGTCTCGAGAATATATTTCCGTCAAAAAATTGGAGTCCGTAATGGGTACTTTTTGCACAATCGCTGTCAGCAGAAATTTACTTCAATTGCTTCTAGACGGCAAAAAAAACTTTTCGATTTTAGATCTTTTTCTTGAAAAATATAGAACTGGACCTACTCTATCAGCTCATGCAGTCAGATTTTGAAAATGTTCACGGAGAAAAGATTTTGTAATTTCGTGAAATTTATATTTATTTCACCCAGTACAGTTAACAGCCCTTCCTCATTCTTTTCGCAGCAATCTTCTCGAGCTGATGAGCTTTTCGTTTTCGATATTGACGGACTTGATACTCGGAAAGGTCGTTCATGTATTTTCCTTCGACTGTTTCTATGTCGGAGTACAACTGGCGCTGGTGACAGTATCGAAGGGTCGATCGCAGAGTCTTGATGTCTTTTTTCGTTCGTGGAGACAAGGGCATTGAAGACAGGAGGTTTGCGTCGAGCTTCTCGAAGAGCTTAATTTCCACGCGGCGTCGGAGCAACTCGGTGTACTTTTCCGTTCCAGGGTTTTCGGAGTTCTCGTTGTTTCGCTTCTTCGGTGGTAGGAGAACTGGGATGTAGGGGATCGGGAGCGCGATCTTGGATGGAGAAGATGGAGGCGAGGGCAGGGCTGACGGGGAAGAAGATGAGGGTTTTCGCGGAGTTGATGTAGCGACGGGAGAATTTCCCGGCTCAAGATCTTCCGGAAGTTCGCCTGAAGAAGTTTCAGCGGCCTCGACCGGGTTGACAGTTTTCATAGGCTCCACAACTTCAAGCTCCTCGAGCTCTTCGCAAGTAGACGGCTCCTCCAACGTAGCGTCAGTCGAATCAGGCTCGTCCAGGGTAGCATCGTAATCAGAATCCTCGGGATTGTCACATTCATAGTCGGAAACGGGCTCGGTCTTGATGGCTGGCAGATCCTCGTAACATGTCCCCACGAACTCTTTCTTGATATCGTAAGCTTCCTCATCGCTTGAAACTTGATCAGTGGTAGAGTTGAAAACTGTGCTCTCGTCGTCAGAAGATGGAGACGCGATTTTGCCTTGGCCAAGATCTTCTTGGATGTAAGCATCATCGACGAATTCTTGCTTGATGTCGTAGACCTCCTCACCAGGAGCGAGTTGCTCTTCGACAGCGGAAAAAGGTTGATAATCCTCGTCGACGGGCTTCGGAACAATTTGCTCGTTGTAAAATGCCATTTTTTGTTGTTTTTTTTTTTATTTTGTTTGACTGTCAAGTGAAACTGTTTTGATGATTACGGTCGGAAGGGGCTACTTATTCTAGGAAGCAGCTGAGATTTTCGCAGACGGCGCGCTGATTACTTAATTGCTTGCTTTGATCAGCGATCTGTTCGTCTGCGCGGGATCGACCCTTTCTTTTTTCCATTTGAAATTCTCAGCATAATGCAATTCGTGTTTTCTCTTCGCTTCCGCTGTTCAGATTTCAAGAGCTCGTTTTGCATACAATCCGCGCGATTGCTCCTCACTTTCTGGCCAAAGTCTCTCTTTTCCGAGCATTTTGGAATCAACAAAGACTCTGGCGCTAGAAATGCTTTTTACGCTGACTGAGGAGGAGTACACACGAGTCGATAGCTGATGAAATATGCACTGGACAAGTCGCTCATTTTGAAAGTTTGGAATAATTATTCTCAGCTTGTCACTTAACAAAGCGCTATTTATTTTTCAAAGAACTTGGAAATGTACAGTTCTCGCGAGTCATTTATTGAATCTGTATTGTACTGTATTTGCTAATTCTGCTCGACAAAAATATGAAACATGCAAAAAATGAGACGAAAAAAAGATGATCAAGGAAGAAAACTTGGTTAGAAATTCTAGCCAGTTATCAAAACTTGAGCATCTTTATTCACTAGAATAAAAAATTGGAAATTGATTTTATTCAGGTAACAGTAAACGGAAAATCCTTTGAAAGGATCGTTAGAGGGAACTTGGTGTTTTTACGAGTCATGTTTTCATCCACGACTTTTCGGGAGTTTTGCTCTTTCGATTGAGGCTTCCTCGTATTTCAGTCTTTTAGCTCGGGCGTCTGAAGAAAAATTATTAATAAAATATTTCTTAATTTAATAAAATTAATTAACTAATTAATTAAAACGCGATTTACCTGAAAGTAGTGCGGCGCGGACTTTCCAACTTCGAAAAGTGAAGAAGTGAGCGTCAACTGAAAAACAACTCGCTTTGCCGGGCCTCTTCTAGAGACAAACTGACAGAAGGAAATGTATGTTTCTCGCCCCATTCGGCCGATTTGATGTGACATTAATAAAACAAAGTCTTTATTTTCGCCCTCAGAAGTATTTTTGATCACTTCCTGGACGGATCTATATACGACCCAGGAACCATCTAAGATTATAGAACTCGGTAGTTTCCTAACTCAGGCGGCACCACTCACTACTTCCTGGCAATAGTAAAAAAATCATTTACGAGAGGGGCGGAGGGAGAGTGCTGGTTTCGTCAGACACCGCGGCGGAACCGAGATTAACAACTAAGCACTAAATAGAAAAGCAACGGATTTCGGTACTTTCTCGAGCGAAATACGCACCAACAATTCAGTCAGGGAATAAACCTGTGTTGAAACCCTGAGTCAGGGTTTCCATTTCAAGCTTTTTTCTTTAATTCTCGCGGCTGTTTGAATGTTTTGAAATAAAGTCGCAAAGCGGCTTTTTATCAAAGCTTTTTTCGAGACCCTGACTCAGGTTTTTACACAGGTTTCCCAGCACCTGACTCAGTTAATCAGAAGTTCTGCCCAAGAACTTGTCAACCACACATCTCTTTTTTGTGATTCCAAGATTCGGATTGTCCAGAGTTGGATTTTGAAACTGAGTTTCTCAGTTATTATGTTTCTTGGAGACTCTTCTGTTGATATTTGAGCTGGCAATGTGGGTCAGGCACGGGACTGCCTTGGATTCGAGTCTCGCTCTCGGGAGCTGTCAAAGAGTTCTTTATAGTGGCGAAGGCGGAAGTTGAGTTATGCACGCGCAAAGTTCAGCCAACTTAGATTAACTACTGTACATCAGTCCAGATTTACAGTCGCTGCTACTTCTGGTAGCAACTTATTGTGTCCGAGAGCAAGGAGCAGCCAAGTTATTAATTATTTTTGGCGTGGAAATGGTGCGTAAGGATTTGGCGATTCTGCTTCATCAAATCCGGCAGTGACAAGGCGGATAGATTATTCTAATTCGGCGACAGCCAACTGTCACTCACTTTTAGCCAGCTCTAGACTTCTAGGCACGGGTGATACCGGGGCGGATTTTTAATGAAAATTACGATCCAGAGTTTTAATCCGTCGAAATTGGAGGAGGCCGAAATTGACAAAATAGCAGCTAATCGTGGCTTAAAAAATTGAGGACACTAAGAAGTTGAGTATTTGTGTGTTTGTGCTCATTTGCATCTTCATTTCATGCACAGCTGCGCGGCATAAGTATACCAACAAAAACATGCTCGCGAAAGGAAAAAAAACCTCTGGAAGTCAACTCGACTTTCCATGAAAGACAATAGAGCGGCGGTTATTTCCTCAGCTGAGGGGCAGAAGCAGGCCACTTTTGGAAGCGGATTACTTCTTCTTTTTCTGTCGCGAGGCGGATAAACCGCTATGATAACAGCTTCCGTTTCTTGTCAATGGGCAATATTTAAAATAAAAACGAAGAGCACCTGACTCTTTCCATTCTTCGCGGCACAGCAGCTGCACCATCGACGAGGAGAAGGAGGGTGATCCAAGAATGGACGCTAATCCGATTTCGGCCCTCACTCTTTCTCCAGCGATCCAAACTTCTAGCTTGTCTCGGCAACCTGTTAACAAAACCTAAGTCAGGGTCTGAAAGAGCGAAAATAAAAGGTTACTTTTCACGGCTTTCTACAACTTTCTACAACTCTCGTCATATTTTCGGTAGTAGGGGTTATCATTCGAGCTTCCCTAATCCTAAACCTAACCCAGGGGCTACGCCCCCGGGTCCCCCACCTTAGGCCTAAGCCAGGGGCTTCGCCCCCGGACCCCTTAAGAGTTCCCAGTTCCTAACCCTAACCACTAGCCAAGATTCTAGAGATATTGGATGGCGCGAATGATAGCCCCTCTCTACTACCGGGCCCAACCTTCTACGACTCTAGTCATATTTTCCCGGTGACTACATTTCTATTTTTAATTGTCTTCTATGTCAAGTGTGTTTCCTGGTTCTCTTTTTTGACATCATAAACCATCATAAAATCGCTCGACGTCTACGCACGACCACAAAACATTATTTCCGTTAAAAACATTATGAAGTAATTAGCTAATTTCAAACAAACGATTTGACATTATGAGAAGTTTAAGCCAGCAAAAATAAAGCCCGCGCCTTTGAAGTGCTTTTAGCACCGAGCACGAGCTGCTAGAATCGTAAAAAACGCTATCAGTGATTCTGAAAACGCTGTTTTTAACAAATTGTAAATTCAAGAAAGAAAGAATTTTTATTTTGATTCCCTGGGTTAATCGTAAATACTTGGCGAAAAATAGACGTCTGCCGTTCTAAACGACTAATCTTATGAACATATCACACTCATATGTTTTGTGTGTTTTGTTTTGTTTGAGCATAAGCCGCAGCTGACACAATGGACGAATCATTCGATTGTTGTGATTTTCCAACTTGTAAAACTCCGAAAAGCTGAGACAAAGTGGCACCGGCGAGGGCGATTTCCAAATAGCTTCTTTTGAAGTACCAAAGCAAAACATGCCAAATTTTGGCTTCCAGACAACTTGATGATAACTAATAAAATTTACAATTGGAGATCGACAATAATTCATAACTTATGAATTATAAGAAAAACGATGGAAGAAGAAGGACTATTTCGATCCTTTTTCTCATCTCGAGTACTTTTTTTTACTCCTCGGGAAGCTTTGGCGCTGCGTTTTCCCGAGCTGGGAACCTAAAAATCGCGCTGAAAAAATATCATTAATTTACGATATTTTGCTCCCTCCTTCCTTTTTCTTGAATGAAAGGAAGCCATCATTATTGATATTGTTAACCATTTGATATTGAGCAATCAGCAGTTGTTCCCATGTTGAGATGCAAAAAGAGAAGCATGAGAATTCCCATGCATTCAGAACTGGCTTCCTGCTTATCAGATATCTAAATGGGATATTTCTTAATTTAATAAATATGTAAAGCAAAGCAATTCCTAATTCCTCAAAACATGCTGCGTTGTATTTTGTAGTACCGGCATTATTCTTATTTTCGCGATAACCTGAAATGTTAATCATCTATCGTTAATTGCTAATTCAAAGTGAATATGCGATAATGGAACGAAAAAGCGAGAGTTGCACATTTTTTTATTTTATAAATATTTTTGATACAATTATGAAATCAAGTGCCAAGCTTGATTTTCGCCACTTGAAGATGCATGTTTTTAGCATTGAAGGGATGAGAAACTAACACCAAGAGATTCTATTTCGAGCAGTTGTTGATCCTCGGAAGTGCTAAAATTATCGCTGGCAGATCTTTAATAAAAGGAGATATAAATCTCTTACAGATCTCTTACAGCTCGCATTTCCATCATTTCCGGTCACGGTCGTTCTAGAGCTGGAATTCCAGTTCTCAGATTGAACGCTTCATTTCCTCCAAAAAATCAGCATGCAATTGGTCAATTTACATTTTTATGGTCTCCTCCCTTATCGCGTTTTTTTATCAGTAAACTATGTGTGACAGTGATACAGGGTTCAATTTGGCGATGGCCTATTTTCGATTCTCCAATTCTAATTCCAGGGCCGTGGTTCTAGGTCATCCTATCGCTCGCGGTCGTGGTGGTCTAATTCAACACAATAAAAACGCAACTCTTACTTGACAAATTAGTGAGCACTAAACAAACAGCCCTTACTAATATTAATCAATCACCATAATGCACTGCTCCTACAGGCGAAAAATGAAGCTACAGAAAAAAGCCGGAAGCGTTTCAAAGAAGCAGGAACAGCATCGATCAACTGGAAGTGATCAATTTCTCGGAGACTCGGACAGATGGACTTTTGGATCATTATTGAGGAGCACAGTGGGAAGCTCCAAAAGTCCAAACAGGCAAATTTGGGGAAAACGCGGGCGAAAATATCGAACTTCCTTTTTTTCCGAATTTCGGGGCATTTACCCCCTTCGTTTGAGTTTAGCAGGGAGATGTCACTGACCCTAAATGAGCGTTCTGTCTTCACTTTCCTTTTTACTTTCCCCGTGTTTAGACAGCACAAGCATGCTGCTGAGCTCTAAGTCAACAAAGCTCAACCACATGGACACTATTCACCTGTTTCGAAATTAACAAAGAAGAGTTCTGCCAGACAGTAACTCACTGAAGCAATCTTCAATCTAGAGCTTCAATCTAGGAGCCCACAGATTTTCCGCCCGCCTTAGATTTTTACTCCGATGTGTGTTTTAATTATAATTCCTCCTGGGAGTGTTTTTTTCCCAGCGACTTTTCAAATTATGGTGAAAAAATGGGTGAAAGATGGGCTCAGACAAGGGCCAAGAGGAGGAGGAGGCTGTAATAAACAAGTCTTGAAAATTGGTGGTTAGGGTTTCAACGCAATACAGCAAGTAAGAATTTGGTCTAGAATTTCGCCCGGTGCTGTGATCAAAAGAAGAAGGCGTGGGGTACATGCGCTCATGCGCTCATCCTCCTTTTTCAAACGGATCGCCGACGCTTTCAAACAGCTGAGCATCCACTTGTGCCATTCCAAAATTTGCTGTAGCGAGAGGTAGAGCATCTTTTATTGAGCAGGAGGAGTGCTAGGGCCAGGCGAAAAACTGCACGGGGTAAATATTTGGGGGACAACGCTAGTTACAAGGGCTCGGAAGGTTTTATGGCGCGATCGGAATGATTTACTTGGCGCAATCGAAGTCTAAATATTTTTACGCCAAATTGACCTCCAGCCCGCCGCTGATTTTTACAACTCTCACGGCTTCATTCTTCATTCACTGCAGTTTTCTCGCTGGAAAAGATGATTTTACGTTAGGCGAGATTGTGGTTCCGGGAACCGCTCATCATCGCGAATTCGATAAAAGCAGGCGGTGATTGTGGTGAGCTTTGAGCGATAAGGCGCAGTATCCTGCTGAGATCGAAAAGCGGAGAAAGGGATGAATCCACGCATGTTCCCGCCGTCTATGTGACGTCCTTCCCTTTCTCACGGAGTAATGCTTGTATATCACCGCGATAGACTGCGTTTTATGCTCACCTAAGGGTATATCGGCCGATATACATTTGCGGATACACTCTCAAAAGTGAGTATTCTCGATCAGCCGTAAAAATCAAGGATCGTTTTTTTTTGAAAGAAAGGCAGTGTTTTGGTTCACCGCGTCATGAGGGTTGTCAGGCTTAAATTTCCGCGCAGTGATAAATTAACTGCATGTTCGTGTCAAGAAGACGACGAAAATTATTATCCTCCAACCTAAAAAGCGATATCCCCAAATGCCATATCAATCATTGGCGAAATTTTCATTTTGGCAGCGCAATTACTCGACACTCCCTCTTCTACCCTCTTCGAGAATAGATTACAGTTGTAGCTTACAAGCAGATAATGGACTCGGTAACTTGTGTAGAAAACCTGAGTCAGGGTTTGGAAGATCTTTTATGAAAAGCCGCTACGCGGCTTTTCGTTTCAGATCCTTCAGAACCTGACTCAGGTTTTCTACACAATCTTCCAAGCCTAGGGGGTGGCCTTCTTTTGCTTTTTTAGACTGAGAAGGGATTAAAGCTGTTTTGCAAACTTCGAAGCTTGTGCGACTGATGTTTGCTTTGTTTCATTTTTGGAGCGTAAGGGAGCATTAGTACTGAGCGCAGTCATGTCAAGTGTGATCCCCACTTGGATTCTGAAAACAAATCTCGTCCCTCTCTCTCTTCAAAGAGGGTGTCGAGCGTGGGAGCCTCTGAAAGACGGTCTGATGACGCTTCTCCAGAGGGAGAAGTTCCAAAACTGCGGATCAACGGGATTAAAAACGCGCCGCTCAGCAAGAGACCAGACTATCAATCCTGACGGCGTGGCACATCTTTCGCGGCGAAAAAAAAACTCACTTTCTCAGAAAGAAAAAACGATCCGGTGATGGATTTGCCGGCTTCAGAAGTTCAGACAGGCCATCATTCTCGCTATAATGGCAAGAATCGTGGCTGCTGAGGCAGTGTTTCTTAGGATGCGAATAAGCTATCAGATGTTCACTTCCGGGGCCTGTCGATGATCCCAGAGATAGGGGTGCTGCAAAAGCTGAAAACAAATTTGAGAAGCAAGAAAAGCGAACTGCCAAGGCCGCCGTAATTGTCAATATTGTCAGATGGGGAGGCTCGTTCTCTCTTTCTCCAACTCAAGCTCAACTGTCAAAAACTTTTATCGCGTCGAGTCGTGATCCGCCTCCTGATCCAAAAGCTAAACATCTCGAACTTTCCCACAAATTAGTCGCAAATAGAGTTGATCTTCCTTCCTCCCGATTTTCATAATTGTCTCCTACAGGCATCCTCAATACAGACATCCGCAAATAAGCGCGCTAAAAACTAATCAAATTCAACATTTTAAAATCAGTTTGATGACTTCAGAATCAATTTATTTGGCGCTCGCCGTTGACAATATTCATAAATCAGCGCTCAAGTAGGAAGCAGTCAATTTTGTCGAGTTTAACAACGCAGAAGACGGCTTTAAAAAAAAGCCCGGTCAACATAATCCTTGACGTTATTCTTCAATTCAAAATAGAAGCTGCAGCTGAGTTTTATTCAATAATAGTTTATTGAATAAACTTGATTTTCGAACAAGTGGAAAGTGCTTGTCCCTTGCTTGTAATGAGCTTATCGAATGGAATCAAGGATTGACGTAAAAATCATCACAGGATCTTAGACTTTCCATGAGAAAGAATCAACGATTCCTGTGGTCAGCATGCTGTGTAAAAACCTGAGTCAGGATTTGAAAATGATAGATAAATTGCCGACTAGCGGCCTTTAGAAAACGAAGCCGCGTAGTTCTTAAGGGTGTCAACATCGATTTCGTCATTTTTGCGTCCGCATTTTAGACACTTTCCCTAACTCAATCGATGTGGACACCCTTAAGAATTATATCAATGGTTATTTTCGCGAAGCCGCTTCGCGGCTTCGATTTTTTAAAAGCCGCTACGCGGCTTTTTATTTAGCACTTTCAAATCCTGACTCAGGTTTTTTACAGTGTTTTTTCAGCATAGAAGAATGGAAAAAAAAAGCTAGAATTTCCCTTTGGAAGTGAAAAAAAAAGATCAAATTGATCTCAAAGTGAGCGGAAGGGAATATATAGTACGATGGTATCATCAAAAAAGAGGAGGCATACGTAGCCTAATTCGGGGAGCGGCGCTTCAAAGGCCTTCAATGGCGCCGGATGCACTCATCGGTCACGGACAATAACGTCTTCCAGATACACAAAACCCCATAAACATTTATACGAGTGAGCAAATAGTAGTAGCCCTGGAGTTGCGCAGTTCGCCCATCCATAATTTACGCATCATTATGGTTCCCACTTATGAATCTTTAATCCTCTCGAGTAAACAGCATAACCAGTATCGCAAAATAACCGAAACTCCATCAGAATTATCAGATGTGCCAATAACCATATAATTTTTGAGCTCAGAGCTCTTAAATTATAAATTTTGCTGAGCAAAATTTGATCTGTCAAAAGCATAATAGAAACATAATAAAACTGTTAAATCTACTCATTTTTAATCTGAAGGCTACTCATTCTCTCTCGTAAAAAAGGCTTATCAAACTATCGACCCGCTGCAAAATTACGAATGACAAACGAGCCAAATACAATTAAAGAACTTGAATCTCAAGTTGACCAAGAATTTCTCACGCTTATTTTAAATTCTGAAAAAGGAGAGTTCCAAATTGTGATTTCAAACTCGGCTCGGCAACCTGTGTAAAAAACCTGAGTCAGGGTTTGGACGATATTTAACGAAAAGCCGCGAAGCGGCTTTTTCTAAAACGAAGCCGCAAAGCTACTCTGAAATTCTGGCAAAGCCGCTTTGCGGCTTCGTTTTAGAAAAAGCCGCTACGCGGCTTTTCGTTAAATATCGTCCAAAGCCTGACTCAGGTTTTTTATACAGGTTGCCGAGCCGAGATCTCAAATATCCAAAATTGAAAGTCCAAATTAGAAAGTCTTTGAAATGAGGCATAAAATCACCGCCAAACAAGACTACAAACGCGCTGTTCAGACAAAAAAAAGTATGAAAAAAAAGCGTTCCCCTAAGCGCAGTGTTGTCTGTAGGCAGTGTTTGTTTTATAAATTTGACTTCAAAGAGCAAACTTCCAAATGCAAACAGGGAGTTCTCGTGCAGCTTGGCGAGAAAATCTCGAACCGCGGCACTTTTGGACGGAGCACTGATCTCGGCTGGAGACTGCGCATGAACTTTCAAAATTCCCAAATCAACAATCTTCTTTTGAATCTTTCCCACATCCCCAGAATCGTTCTCTCTGAACCAAAATTCGGAACTGGCGGCATCAAAAATATTTATATTTTAGTCATAGAAAAAGTTGCCAATTTGGAATCTAATTTGTTCGATACTCAGAATTTGACGACGCATTTCGTAGTCATTTTCGCCTTTTTTCCTGTCTAAAAAACCTGAGTCAGGATCCAAAAAGCTTAAATTAAAAGCCGCAGAGCGCCTTTTTCAAAAAATCCTGACTCAGGTTTTTTACACAGGTTTTCAAGCCTAGTTCAAAATGTTCGAAAATGATTACGCCCTTATTTTGCAGTAAGAATCAATTATTCCCGATTATCTTCGAGGTCCTTTTTGTTATTAACATAAAGTTCGTAAGTTGCCACGTAAAAATTATCAGTATACGAGGACGATAAAAATCACCAGCTGGCCTGAGCAGCTCGATAGGCGCATAAGCCGAGAAGTGAGTGAGCTTGAGCGCGCGATTTAGCGCGCTAGCGCCCTACGCTACAAATTAGCGCCATCTCGTAATTTTTTTTTTGCGATTCTATTTTGCCAGCGATAGCTAAAGGCCAGAGCAGCACATACAGCTTCGTTAGCCAGGAGACACCGGGTTAGTTTCATCCCTTTTCTCCACGGAAGCGTAAACACACTCGCGCCAAATCACGGACAAAGAGACCTTTGAAGAAGCAAGAGATCGGAACAGAAAAAGAAGAAGCTCTAGAAAAAGCAAGTGATGAAGATGATGTTCATCCTTATCAACCTCGCCGCAGCTGCCTTTGTCGTTGAGGGCACGCGCTATCAGAGGCCCGCGAAGACGATCCACCTCAGAACTGGGTAAGCAAATTTTACATTCGCCTCGTTGACATTACTTTTATCGCCCCGGGGGAGTCTCCTTTTTTCTTCGGAGGCGAGAGCATCAGCGGAAGCAGTAAAAACTTTCTTTTTGAATTGAAAAGTTTATAATAGTCATATCAAACTCGATCAACAAATACTTTTCGATTGAATTGAAAAAGCAAATACCAGTACCACAGACCATCACTTTTTTTCGTATTTATACACAAGCAGAGCCATTTACTATTTGCCGGCTTTTGTTATTTTTCGTAAAATAGCGAGAGGCTCCTTCCAACGAATTTCGTTCTTTTTCTTCTCTCCTGGGAAAGTGGCTGCCAGGGGACATGATTTAGCCGAGATCGCGAAAGGAAGTCCTGAAGGCCCTTGGCGGAACTTGACTACAGTATTTATCCATTGTGATTTGTTTTAAGAGCAAACAGTGCGATCGCATTCAGCTTACCCCGCCATTCGAACTCGTAGAGTCAGCTTTGTAGGCTTTAGGCCCTTTATTCGGACTCTTTTTACGAATTTTGACCACCCGATTTTCCAATAGTTAGAATCTGCCAATTTGTAATTGTGCGATTGTAGTGCTGACCTTTGCGGTAACAAGGCTGGGTTGCTCATTATGGCTTTGATTTCGTCAAATGAAATCTATTTCCAAAGGGGATGAAATGCGGTGATCAATGATTGAGCGGAGGGGAGCCATAGGTCGCCCCTTCCGAGCCGCTTCCAATAAACAATTTCGCCGAATAACCACATTGGCGGTCCTCATCATTGATTGCCGCTTAATTAGGGACACACTCCAAAGGAAATCCGGGTCTCTGAATTGAGCTAAGCGGGGCTGTTAGCTGTTCTTTGTTCTTAATTTCGAATGTGGCGCTTGAACTTTTGCGTTTTTTGCACCAAATCCCCCATTTTGGCAACAAGAAGCGTTATCTACGATTCGAAGGGGGCCACGCGCCACCCAAGCCTATCAAACATTCAAGTGATGGATTAGCTGCCTCATTGTCAGCCGAAAATTAATATTTAATGCTCAATACTCAATTCTCAATATTCTCGAAACTGGGCAAACAGGAGCAAGTTCCACTTTTGCGTGAAATTGTTCACCTACTTCCGGAAAATACTTGGCCCAATACAGATTGACTGGGCGGATAAAGTAAGTCCCTCCCGATTTTCTGGGGCCGAATTTTTCTTTATCTTATCGAGCTTTTTTTTCTGTCGATTTTTCTTTCGCTTCGCACGAGAACGACAAGTCCTTGACAGGCTTAGAGCGATCAATTAACATTCAGCCGGATTATCTGGCAACAAAACCAGATTCGAAAGATTTCAAAATCAAGCTCGGATCTTTTCTTTTGCCGGAAATTCCGAAATTACAATCGACTTGGCCAAAAATCTGGAAGAGGGATAATTAGATTCAATTTCGATCGACGGAAAAAATCGAGGGAAAAGATCGATTTCGTTTTCCGAGTTTTTGGAGGTAAATTCAAATTGGGCCTGAAATTTGGCTAATTGCTGTTATTATATCGCCTTGGCTTGGCGAGCAGCCAGCCTGATTCCTGATTCCCGAAAAATGTGTATCGCATTTATCGATGCCTGTTAGGCAACATTTAGCGCAGCGCTAATAGCGCTGATAATGAGCCCCGTTACTGTAACTAGTGTGGAACAGTAGCGCGCTGGGGAAGTATACTACGCGGGAGATATTGTTATGATAGTTCCGGAAAATCGTAGGTAGATCCATTAGTGCTTAGACGAAATCTGGCGCCTTTTCGTCGGCCGCAAAGTGCCTCCCCGCCGCCACTTGGACAAGGCATCTCTGCTCACGCTCTTTCGTGTTTGACTTAGATAGAACTTGCGTGTTCCTTCTTATGGGCGCCGCGCCAAACCCATAACCATTAACTCGAAACCATTGCTGAATAATTCGCAGCACTTGAGCCAAAAAAGAGGAACCTGTGGCTATATTTAAAATGCATTAGTAGCGGCTTGGTGGCAGCTCTATTTTAGTTCTTGCTAGGGTTAACACTACAAATCGGGGAGAAAAGAAAGAAGGCGTTTATTTTTGGAAAGGTGGTGGCGAGAAATCGACCTTTGACGGACGTGATAAGCACCATGGGCAGTGCTATTGGAGTGTTGGAGCTTGCACAGGTGCCCGTCAGGGGTTAATCCCCGCCCATGAAAATAAATTCTAAGTTGGCAATAAAAAATCTGTCGCTAGAATTGAAAATTCGTAATTAGGGAGCCTCATTAGCGAACCGGGGGAGTAATGCAGTACGAAATGCGCTGAGAATGTTGCCTCTTTCATCCAATTAACGTGTTTGTTTTTCAGTGCCTCACATGATCACTCGGTGCGCATGCGCGACAAGATCGACTTTGTGTGCCCTGAAGACGAAGACCTCGACCTGTTCAAGATCGACATGAGCATTGACCCGGCGGGAAAGGACTGCCCCGACCTGGCCAAAGGTAAATTTACTCAGCGACCGTTCCTTTAACTAACTGACCCTTTTCCAGCCGAACTCGTGTGGCGCTGCCGATACACTAGAACCGACGGCGACAGCCGCTACTCCATCGAGATCATCCCCTTTTCGCCGATCCCGGGCGCGCCGACCTTCAACTTCGGCGCTGAATACCATTACTACGGTAAGTCCATTCAACCAATAATTATTATCGCCAGAGATGAAAGCGCTATTCTTTCTTTTCATTTTTCGCTATTTCGCTTTTTCGTATTTTGAGTTTATATATTTTTATAGCTCGTTCGAGTGGAAAGAATACTTGCGAAGGGCATTCAATCCAGCTCCGCGTTCAAGAAAAGAAGCCAAAGGAGACAACAAGGACTACCACGCCAGAAGTCACTGAGCCGAAGAAGACCACAACCAGCACAACTCCAGTCGCCAAAACCCAGCGATCTTCCCGAGCTCGCCCTCGACCGCGAAGCGAACAGCCCAAAAGACCAGTTGTTATCGTGCCTGAAATTTCACCACTGGTCCAGTCTGTCTCGCCCAACTCGTCTCAATCTGCCTGTGTAAATGCCTTTATTTTCGGACTCGCCGTTTTACTTTTGAATTGGTTGTAATTTTGGGCGAATTTTTGAAAAATTTTCGCCGAAAAATTTTTAAAAATTATTATTTTCTAAAAAGTGGAGAAGCGAAAATTACTGGAATTATAATTTTCCCTTCCCAAAAAAGCTAGCCAAACTGACCTCTCAAAAAAAAAAAGAAGTATCGAGCTCGAACTCAGCCGGTCTGAGTTCATTTTCTCGACTTTAGTTTTTCGAAGAAAACTTCAACGATTCCCCAAAGTTCACCAATTCGCACCTTGCTTTTTACTTTCTGCAACTTTTAACTTTCGTGTGCGTTTTCCATTTTGAATGACCCTTTTCCTTTTCCAAAACTCTGTAAATGAAAATAAATATTTATATATTGAATTTGGTCGATTTTCGTTCCTCTTTTTGAATTCTGAATTTCAAGACTCACGTCAAAGTGTAGCCGGACACTTGCGTTTTTCGTCATTTGAAGTCAAATTGTGAAAGACACCTGGCAGGGACAAATAATCGTCGCTACTTTTTTTCAAAAAAGTGGCACTTATTGAATCGATTCTGCGTAAGCGAATTTTCCATTCTACAAAGAAAGAAACTTATTTACAGCCATCTGACGGAAGAAAAGACTTCACGCCAGAATGAGCGTATATCGCCACTGACAGTCTTTACTGTCTCGAGCTCTGTTTATGTGGAAACTTCTGCGAGACTGGAATGGAATGTCGGCTCTTTCACATTTTGTCTCTAGAAGAGGCCCGGCAAAGCGAGTTGTTTTTCAGTTGACGCTCACTTCTTCACTTTTCGAAGTTGGAAGGTCCGCGCCGCACTGCTTTCAGGTAAAATCGCGTTTTATTTAATTGGTTAATCAATTAATTTATTAAATAAATATTTTATTAATAATTTTTCTTCAGACGCCCGAGCTAAAAGATTGAAATACGAGGAAAGCCCTCAATCGAAAGAGCAAAACTCCCAAAAGTCGTGGATGAAAACATGACTCGTAAAAACACCAAGCTTCCAACCACGATCCTTGCAAAGGAGTTTTCGCTTGCTGTAACCTGAATAAAATCAATTTCCAATTTCTTATACTAGTGAATAAAGATGCTCAAGTTTTGATAACTGGCTGGAAATTCTAGCCAAGTTTTCTTCCTTGATCATCTTTTTTCGTCTCATTTTTTGCAGGTTTCATTTTTTCAATTTTTGTCGAGCAGAATTAGCAAATACAGTACAATACAGATTCAATCAATGACTCGCGAGAACTGTACATTTCCAAGTTCTTTGAAAAATAAATAAGAAGCGCTTTGTTAAGTGACAAGCTTAGAATAATTATTCCTAACTTTCAAAATGAGCGACTTGTCCAGTGCATATTTCATCACTTATCGACTCGTGTGTAATCCTCTTCAGTCAGCGTAAAAAGCAATCAAGGCTTTTCTAGCGCCAGAGTCCTCGTTGATTGCAAAATGCTCGGAAAAGAGAGACTTTGGCCGCTAAGTGAGGAGCAATCGCTTGGATTGTATGCAAAACGAGCTCTTGAAATCTGAACAGCGGAAGCGAAGAGAAAACACAATTGAAAGTGAATGAGACTCTTGATCGACGGCCACAAATAAGAGTTCCTATTGAGTTTTCGCGAGAAATTAAAATTTTGCTCATTTCAATTAGCTGCAGCTGACATTTTATTCTTTAGAAAATGCCGAAAAAAGTTCAGTTGGAAACCTTGTAAACATTTTCGTCAGTGAAATCAGCTTTGCATTTCGGACACTTTTTCTCCGAAAGGTTGGAGATGCAGTTGAAACAGGCTTTGTGGCCGCATGGGGTGATGATAGCTTCTTGATGCTCGTTGTCGAAGCCGAAATCGCAGACCATGCATCGAGGCGTCAACACGAACGAATAAAATGAGGGTCTTTCTGGGCTAGTCGCTCTATTTTCCTCCGCATCGCTATCTTCATCAGATGATGAGCGAGAATTATGTTCAGCATTTTGTTTAGACCTTTTTTCTACTGGCTCTTCTTCTGAAAATAACATCAATTATCAATTGAACAATAAGTGGATTTTTTGGCTGCCGCATAATTTGAAGACTGTATCAAGGGGTCTGGGTCGTGCCCGAAAGGCGATTCATGGGACCGGAAGTTCCGAAATGAGTACTAGAACAGTTCAGAACTCTTCATTTGAGTCATCGGTTGGCTTGAAAAAATGCTAGTAAAATACTGCTGACCTGTGACAATATACTAGTGTCAAGGGGCGCTAGAATAGTGAAAGGGAACGCAAGAATCTTCGTTTCAACCGGACGGTTTGGTCACTCCTAACATTTATACCGTTTAAGTTCACGAAATCCCATTTCCGGGGCAAAATTCGACTTTCTAGCGACCCAAGCAGCCACTGTGATGCAGGTCAGCAGCATTTTTATAAATCGATTGACATGTCCATTTCGTAACTTCCGGTCCCATAAATTGCCTTGCATGACACCCCTTGATATTGTGTTAAAATGAAAGCTCAACATCTTAGCTTTCTAAAGCTGTATCATAAGACCCCTAAGCATCGCTAGAAAAATCGATTATCTAACAATCGTAAAATAATTAATTTTCTAAATAATTTATTAAATCAAAGTCAAATTGAAGAGTTACATTTTTCCATTAGAAAAACAGCGCTTTTACCTGAACGGGGATTTTACCTGAGCGTTGGATTTACCTGTCAGGTCAAACCCCCGTTTAGGTAAATCCGACGCCATGTCAAACCCCCGCTCAGGTAAATCCGCCGGCAGCCGGATTTTTTTTACCAAAATCACTGTTATCCTCCTTTGCTAAAGATTTCGCAGCGATAAAAATACGCTTTTGAACTTTTTTTCGCCAATTTGTTTTAGCAAGGTGTTTTTCCCATGCTTTTGCAGCGTCATCTTCTTTCATTTTTAGTTTTTCTTTGGCAAAATAAAGTTTCACTTCAATATCTTCAACGGTCATTTTCGCCGGGTAGATAGACAAATTAGTTTCTTCCCATTTTTCACGAAAAATTTTTTCGTCAGCTTTTGATTGATGATAAATCTTTTGCATGAGCAATAACTCTTCGTTTTTTTCTTAAATTTTACATAAATAAACAGACTTAGTTGATAAATGATCAAAAATGATAGGTTAGAATCAGAGTTGCAAATTTTGCTTGATTTTTGCTGAGCTGAGTTGAGCTGACCTGAGCAAAAATTTTTCTGAGCTGAGCTCGTCTATTTCGGGGGTAACTGAGCTGAGCTGAGCTGGCCTTTTTCAGAGGTCATTGAGCGGAGCTGAGCTGAGCAGACCTTTTTTAAGGTAGTTGAGCTGAGCGAAAATAATTGAGCTGAGCTGAGCTGGTTGAGCTGAGCTAAAATTGTGTTAAAATAATTGAGCTGAGCTGAGCACATCAGATCATTTTCAAAAATCACTGCAGTCGCTCAGCAGTCGCTCAGCTCACTCAGCTCACTCAGCTCAGCAAATTTGCAACTCTGGTTAGACTCATTAAATTCACCTTCCCTGACATCTCTATCCAAAGCAGCGTCGCAACAAGACCCAACATAAAATTCCCGGTAAGAGAGTTTATCAGCTCCACAACTTTTTGCTGGACATTTGAATGTAGCGTCCGTTTCTTGAAACTTTGCCGAGGATTTAGGATGTTTCTCATCCTTGCATTCACGGCAAAGTCGTCTGCCCTGAATCTCAGCGGTTGAATCTACAGCACTAAATTTAATCTTTATAAAAATAATTCTCGGAAATTTACTATTTGCAATTTTCACATCGTCCAAATTTGCCATAAGAGTTAACAAATTTAGGGTAAGGAACAGGGAGAAGATCGGATTTCGGCATTCTTTATTTCCTCAAAAAAACAATGTGATGTGATTTTTTCTCTGACAGTAGTTCGCTTAGAAGGAGTAGTTGATTAGCGCTATTCAATTCCTCTTGCCCTGGGACATTTTGATGGCAGGGCAGGTCACCCTGATGAGGGTTGATTAGAGGTCATTTCATTTTTCATGCTTACGACTAGCAAAACTTCTAGTTGAAAGAGCTTCAAGTTTGAAAATCTTGTAAACATTGTTTTCAGTGAAATTAACATGTTAGAATAGTGAATTTAATTTATTTCGCAGGGAATTTCTCAATCAAACAGCAACCAAGTCGAGCTCCAGCAGCTCCAGTAGAGCTCGGATCACGATCTGGATTTCCATCGTCGGGCAAGGCGTGAATTACAATAGCTTTGTCGGTAATGTCATTTTCGCTGCCAACTTCAAGGCTGACCATTTTGTCTGTGATGTCGACTTTGCTCGTTCCTCCTTGAACTGTTATGCTGCCCAAGTCGCCTGTGTGGCTAAATGGAATTGTTTCTTTCTTGAACAAATTTCAATAAAGCATACTTTTCTTGGATATATACTCAATAAATTACCGGTCTGGCGCGTTGAAATACGGAAATCCATGAATCTGATCAGGGGTTCCTTTGAAATGACCGCCAGCAGCGCCGCAGTCCGGAAAGACGTTGCCAACTGCATGGACGTGGAATCCATGAACGCCATCTGTAAAGCCATCGTCAGTGGAGGAAAGATCGCCAGTGAAACTAACTCCGTCTTGGGTCTGCTTGATATCGACGACGCCCTAAACATCGCGGTTTCGTTGTTGATTGCAGCGTCACTTTTTCTTACCCGGATAATGCCATGGCCGGCTCGGAAGTCACATTGGTAGGAAACTGGCTGGATCAAGCAGCAGCCAATCCTTGCTCCTGCTGCTCCGGTCGACGATGGATCTCGAGTCGGGTTGCCATCGTCTTGCAAAGCGTGAATGACGATCGCCTTGTCGCCAATGAAATCAGCGCTTGTTCGGTCCAGCGAGATGCGGGAGTCTTCGATGTTCACCTCCATTTTGCCGTTGTTGTTATCGACGTTGCCCAAGTCTCCTGTGTGGCTGAATCGAGCTTTAGACAAAGACGCAAATTTGAATAGAGCATACAATGAGGGTGAGCTTCATATAATCGACAAGTTACCGATCAGGATAGATGAATTCGGGATATCCGTGAATCTGGCTCGGATCACTTTTAAAGTGTCCTCCAGCTGCAGTACAGTCGGGACTGATTTTGCCCTCCGCATGAACATGAAAACCATGCATTCCTTCTGCGTTGTCTCCTGCATCCAGAATGCCGCTTACAACGACACTTCCTTTCTCTGTGCCCATCAGCTTGACGGCGCCCTTGATCGATCCATGCCCGTTCGAAAAGTCGCAAGTGTATTCTTGGGAGGAGAAGTAGCCAGAGAAAAACTTATCAAGTCTCATTTTTTGACTATTTTTCACTTGGAATGGTGCGATTTGCCTCGTGGCTTATATTGCACTCGATTTAACCTCTGTTTGATCCTTGTCTATAAAACCATGCAATATTAGAATTTGATCGCGTAATAGGATTGCTTAGCAAATTCCAGATACTTGAAGCCATCGACGAACTCGTAGACGAGGTTAAATTTTGACAATATTTGATGGGCACTACGTAGATCGACCTATTATTTAACCTATTTTACGAAGTGCATTTCTGGATTACCAATAAGATTGCTGCATTTGGCCTAACGGCCAATCAAAACCCAGCTCAATAATATCAATTCCATAAATTGGTTAAACCCGCTAGGGGCTAACTCTAACCCTAACCCTAGGAAAATAGTAACTTCCAGTCATCTTCTGGTGACTTTTTACTGTACTACAAGGACCGTAGGAGGTAGGTGAACAGTTTCTCGATGTGAAACCACGTCGGCACTAAGAGGTGATTATTATTTCTTCTTCTCCAAATAGTTTTCATAACACAGAAAGCACTTGAAAACGAGGAATGTTGTACCAGGGGCGCCGACTCTTCGCCTAAAGCGCCATAAAAGACTTGGATTGACCAAGTTGATCTTTTTAAGAAATTTCAGAAGAGAAAGTTCTCTCTTGCGATCGCGGATCCGGCATGTTCTATTTTACAGGATGGGCTTTTCAATCAATAACGCCAATCATTCATTTTTTCTTGAGATTAGAAAATCCCGATCGAAGTTTCTGTCATTTTCGGTCTCTGCGCTTCTCAAAATCAGTTTGCCGATCCGATTTGGATAACCTTTCAAACCGGGAGTACAGTCTACGAGTACAGTAGAGGTAAGAGACGCAAGTCTATTCCAGAGAGAGACAGAATTTAGCCACCGAATTTGTAACCTACAGTCAGGCTCGAGAACGATGTCGAGCTATAAACGCGTCGCTCCCGCTTCCATCGAATCTTGAAGAAAACCGCTTCTTTAGGTAGAATTCTTCGAGAATAACTTACGGATCGATATTTTGATCTATAAACTCATAGGGCTATCGGAGGCACGTTTCTCAGATTAATCGATTCGCCTGGAAACTTGACAGCGGAACTTGGCGACGGGATCCACTATGACGAGCTGACAAATGCTCGTCCTACCTATACCCAAGTAAGATGGCTTCATGGCTCGGCAACCTGTGTAGAAAACCTGAGTCAGGGTTTGGAAAGAGCTAATTCAAGCTATACTTTCAATTCTGGAAAAGCCGCTTTGCGGCTTCGATCTTAAAAAAGCCGCTGCGCGGCTTTTCATTTAACATCTTTCAAAATCCTGACTCAGGTTTTTCGCACAGGTTTTTGAGCCCAGAATAGCTTTGAAAGATTTCTGACATATTATTTAGTATTGCGCTTCGAATATTTATATAACTGGACAGTCGGAACCGATCTATTTGGAGTTCAACATCCTTCCAGGTTCGTAACTCATACTTCATCTTTTTTGAAAAGTGACAAGGGTGCTGGCGGCCACGGACGCTCGACGAGGTGAATGCGTTTACCTGTGTGAGGAAAATAGGACCAGTTAGCAACTTTCCACCAAGGCTGTCTCAAGTCGAGGAGAATCTTGCGAATGTTACGACAGAGGCGCGACAAGGACTAGACTCCACTCAGGAACAGGAATAATTCTGTGCCTTTCCCTCAGAGTCCAACTCGATCAATTAGAAGTTCCACGCTCATGTGAGTTACTAATGGCGTTATTATTTCTGTAAAAGTTGGTGATTGAACGTCTTGAACAACAAATTGCGGTACGGATCCATCAAAAACGTCTATTTTGACATGAAATTTTGTAAATAATTCTAGACTTTGGAGGCAAGCCTGGAACTCTTAAACTCAACATTCACCGGAACATCATCTGCTCAAGTTTTTGGAGTGAACTTATCTGCGCTTTTTATTCTTTATTTTTCAGTATTCTGATTGAAAGAAATAGCAATAAATGAAAGTCGTGACGTCCTAGAAAAGCAATCTTGTTAAGGGTGTCATCTATAAAAGGAAAAGAGAGCAAGAGCATTTGAAACAGATGTATTCAGCAGCTTTTTTCATCATCCGGTCAAGAATATCTGGCTAGGAGTCGAGGATCTCACGAATAGAATCTTACGAAAGAAGTAACTTTTTCATTAGCGCCACCAACTTCTCCGTTATAAATATCGATAAATGAGCGTTGCCAGCAGTATCGAAGCCAAGTTCTTCAGAAAGTATTCGACTTTCTCAACCATGAAAGCTCTCAAGTTTTTTGCTTCTTTTTTCGCCGTCTCGTCCGCCAAGCTCGTTTGCAAAGAAGACACTTGCGACTTGTGCTCTCACGCCTTGCAGCTCAACAACCTTAAGAACAACAACCAGCGACTGGCAGCTGAATGCCAACAGTTCTTGGCGAGAAAGTGCTGCGACGCATTCGGCGGCCACTTCCATCATGGACTGACGTTATCGACCTCTGATCGGGAAAGCGTCGTTCCGCCACCAGAGCCGGCAATGATCGAGTCCGGCCTCGGCTTTCAAAACAAAACCATCTGGATCCTGCTCGCTGTCATCCTCGCGTTCGTATTTCTCGCATCCGTCTTCGAGAAAGTCATCATTTTCACCTGCTCCCGGCGTTCTGGCAACAAGCTCTGCGACAAAGAACATTTCATTTGAATCTGCGTCTTGACGTCGTCAATAAAATACCCTGTCAAAAACCGTATTGAGTTTTCTCGTTATCCTAATCATCTTTCATGAGAAAGAGGCAGCCCGGGGCAAATTTCTAGCGATGCCCTGGTTTTCAGTCATTTTAGACGAGAAGATTCAAAAAAGAGAGAGAAAAAATATGAGATTATTTTCGGCAGGAGCATTCATTGCTATGGCGAGCTCAGTAAGTACAACAAAATTCTAGTTCCGAAATGTGATCTTGTTCTACTAGAGCTCATTGCATTGCACTCCAGTCCAATCGCAAGGCAACATGGTCTACAGACACTGCAAGTGTGTCAACGCCGACGGAAGTGACGTACCCAACTCACTTCAACTAATCATTGGAAACTCGCCCTTGCCAGTCTGTGCCCCGGCGCAGATTCAACCAGTTCTCCCCGTTGGCAACTTTGCCAAAGTTGAAACTTCCAACTCAGCAGCTCTTCCGACAGATGCCCCCTTGGTCGACTTTGAGGCTGGGCTCGGCATCCTGTGCAGGAAACCTGAGTCAGGCTCTGAAGAGCTAAAATGAAAAGCCGAAGCGGCTTCGTTTGTTAAAAAAGCCGCTGCGCAGCTTTTCATTTAAGCCCTTCAGAACCTCACTCAATTTTTCTACACAGGTTGCCGAGCCCAGCTTTGAGGCAACCACTGTAGACGACCATGGATTCAACCCAAAAGAAGCAAATGCTCTTGAGCCAGCAAAGAATCTCCATTCTCTTCCTCCGTGCGAGTACGAGATTCAATTCGGAACCGGGCGCAAACCAAAATGCGATGAAAACGGAAGCTACTATCCTGTCCAGTGCGAGACGCCCAGATACAGTTATGGATAAAAATGAAAGAAATCGTATATTAGAATCGTTGAGTAACTCATAATATATCCATCTGGCAGATCTCGTGTGACAACTTGTTGGTGCGTAGATGTCAAATCTGGTGAAGCACGGCCAGGCTCAAGAAGAACAGTTTCCGTCGACACCATCAACGGTAAGATTCATCAACATCAAATTTTTTCCGTAGCTCTTTTCTTTTTCTAGGAGCGCTGCCCGATTACGGCGAGCCAAACCTCGATCACGGAAAAGACTGCCGCGCGTTTGGATCTTCTGGATCCCGACCGATGAACATTTATAAAGGCACAGCAACGAATTCGTACTTGTATAACCAAAACGCTGGCCCAAGTGTTCGCCAGGATCCGACAATCAGCTCTGAGCCAAGCCCTATCAACTTGTCTCCTTTCAAAAGCCCGGTAAATATTCCTATTTCTATCATCAGCCATTACTTGATTATTATAGTTCGAATCCCCTGTGATCTACAATCCAGCATCAGAGAAATCCGAGTACGTTCAAAAGCCACCAGCAACACTCTCCAAAACTTACACGGAAAAAACTGAGCCTATGTACCGCCCAAATCCGCAGATCTCTCATCCCAAAGTCAATTACAACCCCTTTTTCGGGCTCTTTGGCCGAAACTGGTTCGGATAAAGCAATACCGCTGATGCTTATACTGACTTAGTAACAATCGGAATAAAATGAAAAAAAGAGAAACCTTCTTGTTATGGACATTTATTCTGCTTGTGACAGTAATGGTAGAGAGCTTGCTTAGCTTGGTGGTGAGCTCGGCAACCTATGTAGGAAACCTGAGTCAGGGTCTAAAAGATGCTTTACGAAAAGCGAAGCCGCAAAGAGGCTTCGCTAAACCATTATTCTTATCGATTTAAAAATCTGGCAGACCCTGACTCAGGTTTTCTACACAGGTTGCCGAACCCAGGCTTGGTGGTGATCGTTGTCTGCCGCGTGTTTCAAGTATCGCTCTGTCTCTCCTAAAGACCGAATTAAATTGCGGGGAGGGGAAGTTAATGCAACCTGGTGTGATGTCTTTCGGGTCAGTGAAGCCGTGAATGTTTCCGATTCCTCGGTGCATTGCCGCTTCATGATGTCCCTGATCTGCTGCGGCCTTTTTTTTGAAGGTCATGAAATAAAATAAAGGGATGAAATTGCGCGTGATCAATCAAAAACGGCAAAGTCAATCAATCTCGTCCAGTGACACGAGATAACCTTCTCCTTAAACCATTTCATTGCTTCCCTCTTGTCTTCTGCGACTCCGACCCCGTGGTAGTGCTTCAAGCCCATCTGATGCTGCGCGATGTCGTAGCCTAGATGAGCGTATCCCTTCGCCACGTGAAAATGAAACTCGTTCGGGTAGTAATAAATTAAAGTAAGCAAAAACACCGCCACGGCGAGAACTTAAATGCATCACTACTTCTCTTCTGCTAATCGCGCTTTAATTACCCAGCCACTCGAGAAACGTCTGAATTCTGTGCGTTCGGAGGAACTTGCGTTCATACCACGCGTCGAAATCACCGTCTACTTTCTCTACCTCTTCGATTTTCGGCAATAGCGGCTTGTTCGTAATTTCGAGTTTTTGAAAAATTGACAAAACTCTTTCAAACTTTCAAAATTCATTTATTCTGCAGTCTGGCATCGCAACCAGTATAGAAAACCTTAGTCAGGGTCTGAAAGATGTATATTGAAAGCCGCAAAGCGGCTTTTTTAAAAACGAAGCCGCCTAGCGGCTTTGCGAAATTCTCGTTTCGATCAGTTTTTGATTTTTGGCGAAGCCGCTTTGCGGCTTAGTTTTTAAAAAAGCCGCTTCGCGGCTTTCAATTTACATCTTTCAGACCCTGACTCAGGCTTTCTACACAGGTTGCCGAGGCAAATCTGCCGTCTTGATTCAAAAACTCTTAGCAAAGGCATATCAAGCGAGTCCTTTCGATTCATTCTTCTCCGGATTGATTTCAAATTCACCATTTTTCCACCAGAAAGCACTTTTACTCTTGAAGCTCTTGAAGGACGTAAAAATAGAAAGAAGCGAGGGCGTAATTTTCTGAAGAGAATTCTTCATTTATTAATAAGTAGATGGCAGTGTTGTGAATTTTCTTTTTTTTTTGCGAAATTTACAAGAACAATAGACAGAAGATTGAGACGAGGCACATAGTTATCAATTCGTAATTTTTCCAGTTGCGCGCGGAGTGGTTAAATACTTTCACAAGCTCAAGATTCTTGGGTTCGGCAAACTGTGTAGAAAAACCTGAGTCAGGATCAAAAGAGCTAAAATGAAAAGCAACTATTTTTAATAATAGACTCGAATGGTTCCATGATAGAACTTCTATCGCGAAGCCGCTTTGCGGCTTCGTTTTAAAAGCCGCTACGCGGCTTTTCATTTTAGCTCTTAAGATCCTGACTCAGGAATCTGTCTACGCAGATTGCCCACTCTAGCTCTTTGAATTTAACATCCTGGTATTAATCCTTTTTGAAGCCTTTCCTACTATTTCGTAGTCCACATCGCTTTTGCTTTTGTACGTATTGGGATCTTAGATTCGTTAGACTCCCTCGTCCCCTAAGGTCACTTGCTTATCTAGATCGAGCTTTGCTCGGTCGCCGCCGTGTATTTCTCTCCATTCGGTAATTCACGCAGTTCGTGAATTAACCTCTATTTTACTCCAGCTCGAAATACAGACGTCAAAGATACTTTACTCGTTTTCTTCACTCGTCCAGATATAGAGAGCAGGCAAACTACGCTAGAAGTGGGAGATTCAGCAGAAGCTAGGATCCCTTCAGTGGTATCAGAGTAGTCCCGTTGGAGAAAAGATAAATTTTTCCGCCATCGACAACCGAAGTTTCGCAACTTGGACGCTGATTGGCCGTCAGCGGAGTCGAGGGGAACCGAATCACCAACCGCCACCGCGCCGCCGGAGAAACTCCACTCAGAGAATTTTCCGCACCACACCAACACCACCCCGAGCGAGCGCCACCGCACGAGCGCCACCACGACCCACGCGCCGAAAGTCGCGCCCACGCAACCACGCACGCACGCCGGGGAAAACCTAAAATACTGAGAAAAACATAATTCTTTCGCCACTTTTCACCAAAAATCGAGAGAAGTTTACGAAGAATCGACCCTTGGACCAGACCTTGAAATTTCGACAATCGCTGGACAGAGAAATCGTCGGGCGTTTGCGCAAAAGGCACCTCAGCTCATCATATTGCGACTTTTAGTCGCAGTATTTTCTGAGGGCCTGAAAGGTAATCCAAGGCCCATAAACCCTTACTGCCGATATATTTCGAGCTATGGCGGCGAACAAATCACTGCTAGAAACCGTCACCGAAATAAGAAGCATAAACGATCGAGTAAACTACCTCGAAGAACAAGTGCGAAATGACGAATCACTAAAGCCAAGCCTAGAGCCCTTGATCACAGAAAGCAGAGTAAAATTAGAACAGCTCAGTACAACGCTTCTTACCTGCGAGCTCGATCAAGGAAAAGACTCTACGAATGCGACAATGAGAGAAGAAGCATGGGTGGCCACTACCTGGTCTCGTCACGTCCAAGACTTGCCGAAGCTGGACGCCGCATGCAACACATCTTTCAACACCTTCTTGGGCAGAGCCGACATTTATCACCGCGCCTACGTCCGCGACAGACCTTCACGTGAACAGCCTTTCATCGCAGCAGTGTACAGCCACTTCGACTTGAACATCGAACGCTCACTTGGAACCGAATTTCTGAATTGTCAAGACTGGAAATCGGCCAAGGCGCTGCTAGAGAAATCATTCGCCGCGAAGAGTCACTACTTACTGAAGCTAAGCGAAGTTTTCGACGTCGAATACGACCATTCGAAGCCGTTTGCACACTACACCGCCAACGTCTTGCAAAAGATGAACGAGGCGAAGCAAGCGACTTTGAACTCTTACCGACAAGAGAAGTCAGCCGACGCCGGGGTCGATGAAATATTTGACATATTCTCGACGATGATGCTGTACTTGAATCTTAGGAAAGAAGAACCAGACGTTTTCAACGCAATCCTTCCAAGCCTATCAAAAGTTTACGATATCAACGAACTCTGCCGTCTCGCCCAATCCACAAGACAGAATCGAGTTGACAGCGCGACCGTCTCCCAGCACTTCAACAGAAATAAGAACAAAAAGAAGAAGAATGCTAAGCGCGCCAGCAACGATTCTAAGGATGGGAAAGACGATAAACAACCAGAATCCAAGAAGATAAATACGACTAAGAACGTTGAAGATTTCCAACCATTCGACGTTCACTTTTACACAGTGAAGAAGAAGCGACCAGGAAAGGCTTATTTCGCTTCGGCTACCATCATTACGGGCTCTAAAAGTTTTGACGTATCGATGGAAGTCGACAGCGGAGCCGAGTCCTCCTGTCTGTCCGCTGCTTACGTTCCCGACGAATTTCTCCAGATGCTGAAGCCCTGTCCCTTCAAGGTCACCGGTTTCAGCCCAAATATTCCCGCCGAGCAGCCGATGGGTATCCTTCCCTGCCGCTTATCATTCAATGGTGGCCCTGCATTCTCCCTGAATCTCACCATTATGCCAGGCAGTAAATACCCAAGTCTACTGGGCCGCGATATACTAGAGAATGCGATGACGGACAGCTTCACAGTCGACAATAAGAATCGTACTCTCTCATTTTGCTACAACGAAGCCTTCACACAAACTGAGACTCAAGTGGTGAAGCTGGACGGAGTGAAGCGGACCAAAATCAAGAAATACTTGACTACTAGATCAGCGGTCAAGGATAGCGATCGATCCCGCACTCAACCGCCACCAAAAGTCCCAAAGCTGGACGCACCTAACAAGAACGCAGCCAGGTGCCCCATTCAGCTAGCGAAGCAAAAACTCGGAATTACCCTACCAGCAAACGCCGACCCGGGGCAAAAGAAGGTGGTCGCCGAGCTGTGTTTGGATTTCGACGACAGATTCGGCTGCGACGGTCAAAAATGGGTGAATTCCCATTCGAGATCGAAATCCCGACTGATGGTACGAGTCGAAACATCAGTCAACACCCTATTCCGCAAGCTTTTCATGGCCAGGTCACTGATCACATCTCCGAACTGCTCGATACGAAAATAATAGAAGAGATCAAGGACCAGAAAGGGTTTAATAGCCCCGTTCTGCCAATCCCTAAGAAATCTGGGGAAATGCGCTTCTGCATCAACTACAAGAACAGCTTGAACAAATGCCTCTCCGACAAATCCGACCCATATCATCTTCCGAGCATGGAGGATACGATCGCGAACATTGGACCGGGCAACAAGTATTTCGCCACAGTTGATTTGCGGAGCGGATATTGGCAGTGCCCTATTAAGAAAAGCGATAGGTATAAGACTTCCTTCCAGTGGGGTGGGAAATCTTACGCCTTCTGCAGATTACCTTTCGGTTATCGATGCTCGGGGAATATATTCTCGCGCGTCGTAAACACGATTCTCGACTCAAGCCCCACCAGGAAGAAGATGCTTTCTTATATCGATGACATAGTATGTTTTGGGAAGTCTTTCAGCTGCTATTACAACACTCTCCGAAACCTATTCATCGCGCTCCGCAAGTTTAACGCTAAACTCAAGGGCGAAAAGTGCTCTTTCCTACAATCAGAAGCTCACTTTTTGGGCCGAATCATCAACGAAGAAGGAATCAAACCGGACCCTGCGCAAGTCTCCGCCCTTCGTCAGATGAAACCCCCACGCTCCCAAAAGGAGTTAGCTTCATTAATCGGGTCATTGAATTGGATCCGAGGTTTTCTAGAAACAAAAATGGGCGAAGCTATTTCATCCGGTTGCTTCTCGAGCAGAATGAAACCCATAAACGATGTTCGAAATTCGGCGAACGAAACAAATTGTTTCAAGTGGACCAAAGAAGCGGATTTGGCGCTCAAGGAAATTCAACGACGACTCTCCGAGACTCCTGTCATAAGCTTTCCTAACTTTGACGAGTCTTTTCACCTCTACACAGACGCGAGCCTGTACGCAGCGGGTGGTGTTCTGCTACAAGAGTATGGCGGGAGAGTGCACCTAGTAAGCGCGATTTCCCACACCCGAAAGAACCCAAAAGAACCCGTCCAAAGTCTTCACCAGATCGTCAATACTCAGCCGGCGCCGATCCGAATGCGACTTTAACCGAAGTTGGAGCAGCTCATCTCCCGAAACATACAAAACGAGCACACCGTGAAACGAGGCCCGTCGAACCTCTAAACATCGGCACAAACTCGGGTCAGTCATACGACTAAGCGCAAGTACTGCCCCACTCAGGTCCCCTATTCATCGACCGGGGCCTGAAAAGGTACGGAAATTATCACAGTTTACCGTCGCCGACGTATTTTGAGTTCTTCTACATGTGCAGCTACTCCTTCATGTCATCACCGCTCGGACATCACGAAAACTTCGCATCTGATTCAAGCTTTTTCCCAAAAAAGGGTTTTTTAACGCGAATCAGACTGCCTCGACGTTTCGAACCTGCCATGTTACTCATCTTACGCTTATACTCCTGCAAAAATCACACACTTTGGCCTTAGAGGACGTTTCAGTCTCATGGGGGGTATTGGGATCTTAGATTCGTTAGACTCCCTCGTCCCCTAAGGTCACTTGCTTATCTAGATCGAGCTTTGCTCGGTCGCCGCCGTGTATTTCTCTCCATTCGGTAATTCACGCAGTTCGTGAATTAACCTCTATTTTACTCCAGCTCGAAATACAGACGTCAAAGATACTTTACTCGTTTTCTTCACTCGTCCAGATATAGAGAGCAGGCAAACTACGCTAGAAGTGGGAGATTCAGCAGAAGCTAGGATCCCTTCATACGACTCGCGAATTTTCGGAGTCGGAAAATTTTCCGGCGCTGGTTGATCTTGAGGCATTTTTAATTTTGAAACAGCTCGCTTTTTTGCGCTGCAAAACGGATTCCAGTCGGCGTACAACTCGTTCATCCGCTGCCAGTGGGAAGCGAAACTCAGCGGAAGTGCACACTCTAGTTTGAGATTCTTTCAGACACGAGTTTATCGAAATTGAATTGAATCGATCATTCAGTCAGACGTCTCAGAATCGAATATAATATCTCTTTCCTTTCTGCACCAGCTCTTGTCGGCAAAGTGAGCCCTCTCATGAGTTGTCAATATTGTCTTTAGATAAAAGCTTTTATCCTTTTTTTATTTGTAGCTTATTTTAGACGCGGCATTTTTTATGAGCGATCATTGCTCCGATTAATTGTGACCTGTTTCGCATCATCAAAATATTATCTATCTATTTTTAACGTCACTGAAATGAAATGACCACTGACAGGTTGACACTCTTCCCTGTCTGTACAGCCCGCATAGCTCCATGTCTGCCGGATTCGAACGGAACACTCGATGAAAGGGCTCAAGCTGAGCTCGGAAACCTGTGCAAAAAACCTGAGTCAGGGTCTGAAAGGTCTAAAATGAAAAGCCGCGGCTTTTTTTTATCGAAGCCGTAAATAAGCCGCTACGGGGCTTTGCATCAAAGATCTGTCAGACCCTGACTCAGGTTTTCTACACAGGTTGCCGAGCCCATGGCTCAAGACATTGCTCGATTTTCTCAAAGTAGGACTTTTGACAGAATCGACCAAACTCGCCCAGAACTGGTTTGCTCAAGCCACCATCATTACTTATTCAATGGGATTAATTTGCCTTCCTTCGAAGATGATGGGGGGAATTGATGATGTATTGTTTTGATGTCAAGTTTTTTGTATAAAAAGTGACTTTTTCGAAGATTTTTTTCTTCGGATTTTCGAGTATGGCTTTTTGGCCGATCTTGGCGAAGTTTGAAGAATATATTTCATGAAAGTTTTGAAAGTTGTCATTTTCTAATTTTTAGTAGAGACAGCCAAAACTGTAAAAAAGCGGACAATGTGCATTTCATTAAAAAGATCATTGTTTCGGCGAGCTTGTTGCTCAATTTTGTATGTATATTGTTCTTTATTCAAGTGGTTCAACTAAAGATAACCGCAAAATTGAAATATATCAACAAGCATTTGTTGAATAATGAATAATGCTGAACTAAATTGAAGGCGATTTATATTCCTCTTTTTATTCACGAGCAAGTACGGGAAGTACATGGCCAAGGTGCGCGAAAATGAGCTCAAGCGTTGGGAAGAGTACAAAAACGAAACCTTCTCATCGAGAAAATCATCGAGAAAAAGCCGTTAGTTTTGAACTTCCCCTTCTGAATTGTCCCCAAAAACGTGTATTTAAGATTTTTCGAGAGACGTATTCAGATTAAACCCGGTCCAAAAAGACGCCATCATTCCACGATTGAGCTCCTGAAAAGCAGAAGTAATAGTAATGGTTAGCATAACGTTCATCAATTTTAAGATTTTCATCCTTCTGCTACTAAATACTCAATTCTGGCAACGAGCCGTATTGAAAATTGAACTAATCCGTCAAAGACTGATAATCAACCGCTCTTTCGAGCCTGTTTCTTTCTATCGTCAATTAAAACGCCAAAAATACAGACCGTGTTGTTTTCAGCAGCTGTGGCCGGGCTCAAGCATTGAATAGAATCCAGACAGGCTGAGAGCTTGATGAAATGAGCGCGGCAATTGGCACCACTGGTCAGCACCATTCCATCGAAAAACTTTTGTTGGCAGGCTTTGATTTTGTCTTTTCTGGATTTCAACTTTGACGAAATCAAGGAAGAAAATCTCGCAAAATTTCCAATTTCAAGCAAGAATTTTGAAAACCACTTGGCAATAAATTTCTCAGCGCAGTCGGAAACTGGGCTTGAAAACCTGTGTAGAAAACCTGAGTCAGGGTTTTAAGAGCATAAATGAAAAGCCGCTTAGTAAAAGAAGCCGCGAAGTTTTAAAAAATAGCCGCCACGCGGCTTTTCATTCAAGCTTTTTCAGAGCCTGACTCAGGTTTTCCACACAGGTTTCCGAGCCCAGGTCAGAAATAACAAGCTCCACAAACAAAGTAGCCATCAGGAGAAGCTTGATTTTCATACTACTCTGTCTCTCTCTAGAAAAAGAAAACGAAGAGCATACTTCTTTCGTCGAATTTAACTTCTGGGCGCCGATGGGCTTATGTGTGTCGGGCGTCGTATGTGAGCTCTGGTGCTCGTCAGAGTGAAAGGGATCAACGGTGAAGCGCGCTAGTAGCGTCGATAAGCGCGTGCATGCGCTACTATTCTGGGCCGTCGAGCAGCTACCGAGCGGATTAATGGAAATCAGAGAGGGCTAAATTAATTGAGAGGGAATCAATCTCGAGGCAAAGAGGTGAAATTAAACATTTAAGCACGCTGCTCATCCTGCTAGTTAATAGCAAACTGTTGGCGTGATGCGTGCGCTAATTGAACAGCTCACTTGCTGCTTACAGTATCTATCTTAATGCATCTTGCGTTACGAGCTTTCAGAACTCTCAACAACGCTTGATCGACTCGTCACGGTCTTGGTCAATAATTGAGAAGCCGCACTCTTCTCTCTATACATTTTCGCCTTCTCAAATTATGCTGACTCGCTGTTGCTTACTGTTTTTTGCTGCAGTTTCAAAGAAAGAAGGCCTTGGTCGTCCATAAATTAATTTGCAGAAGGGGTAATCACGTAGAAAAGGGATGAACTTTTCATACTGTGTACTACTACTAAATGAGGCCATGATTACAATTGGGATTGCAAATTGCTACTACCGGCGTTGCCGAATTCGAAAAAATAAATTCATTATCGCTACTGGTGATTTTTTCTACTATTTGAAAGAAGAACCGAGAACCTAGAGTTGATAGGTTGGAATCTGGGCTCGGCAACCTGTGTAGAAAACCTGAGTCAGGTTCTAAAGAGCAAAATGAAAAGCCGCGTAGCGGCTTTTATGAACAGAGCCGCGAAGCGGCTTCGCTTGTATTAAATATTAGATAAATTTGGTAATCATGGCAAAGCCGCTTCGCGGCTTTGTTCATAAAAAGCCGCTACGCGGCTTTTCATTTTGCTCTTTAGAACTTGACTCAGGTTTTCTACAAAGGTTGCCGAGCAAAGGTTGGAATTCTTCCTGTTGATTAGTACAAGCAGGAAAGGACTGTTTGGGAAAAAGGTTGAAAGAATCTCATTAAGAAGTAGCAACTTTGCCCGCGGCGGTGCTCTCAAAGCGCTCTTCTTGATTTCTGAAAAGGTTGAGGAAAACGAAGGAGCCGTTAGTTTTTGAAATGAGAGAAGTGTCTTGAAATCGGATCTGGATGAAGTCGAAGTCGGAGAAGATCTCGCTTCTTGGGAAGAAGAAAGGCGCCAAGAGGTCCAAATCGGCGTCAAAGGGGCTCAAGCTCGCGAAACGGGAGAGCGCCGCCGATGCTCGTCGCCGAATCGCCCAGTCCTTTGCCGGCAATGCTGTCCTGACCGTTCTTCTTATCACTCTAGTCGTTTTGTTCGTTCTCGTACAGCAAAGAAACCTTGACCTGGAAAAACTTCTGCCGCATGTAAGATCTAAGAATGTCGAATTGTTCGACTTTCTTGTTCGATTTTTTACGATATTTTTAAAGCTTTCAACAAAACCAAGGCCGCCAATTGAAGGATTCGAATCGCAGCTTGCTGAAATGCTTGAAAAGAAGGATGAAGTGCATTTGATTCAGCGCGACACCCCAATTTCCTTACCAGAACTCTCGCAAGTCGACTTGGATACTCTCAATGCTGCTCCAAAGGAGAGTTTTTAATCTCGCTTTATTTGATGATTCTCATTAGATAAGCCCTTATTAACAAATCCTAGCCCTAGTTCAAACCCCAAAATTATCTAAAAAGCACTTTGAAAACTTGAAAAAGTCGCTGGTAGCTCCGAATCCCGGTTTTATACTTCACAACAAGTTGCCAAAATGCGGTTCGACCACGATGCATAACATTTTGACGATGCTTTCTCAGTGGAACAACTACGAACACATCAAAATCGACTCGGCAATGATGAAGTTCGACGACGAAGAAGGACTTGGTAAGGGAAACGGAGCACTCTTCATTTTCTTATCGTCTTTTTAGCCGCCTATTTGAAGTCGATTCTCCGGCCCCCGATGACCGTGATGAAGCATCACTATTTCTTCAATTTCACCGAGTACGGAATGGAAGCGCCCACATGGATCAACGTCATGCGCGAGCCCATCAGCTGGTTTGAGAGTCGATACTGGTTCAAGCAGAATGGTTGGATCCACAAGGTGTGATTTCTCCAACTTCCGATTTTAAGTCATCTTAGACTGGGGCGAGAACGAAGGAAAACTCCCACGACTTCGAGGACGAGCGGCTCGACATCGACACCTGCATCCGTCGAAAGATGAAGGACTGCACCACCGTCGTTTGGAAATACACCCGCTTTTTCTGCGGCAACTCCCAAACCTGCAAGGGGAAAGCAGAGGCTACGAAGCCAAGGCTGCGGCCGCTGAAATCGCGAAGAAGCGAATCCTGCGTGATTATTTCATCGTTGGAATTTTGGAACAATTCGAAGACACTCTTTCGCTCTTTCAAAAGCTCCTCCCGCAGTATTTCAAAGGAGCAAGAGAAGCAGCGAGATCCGAGTTTGCCAAGATAGGTAATGATAAAGGCTTTGGTGAAGAAGTTTCTTATGGTAATTTTCTAGCGATGAATACAACAAGGACGCTGGATAAGAAACACATGTCCACCGCCGCGAAGGAGTTTTTGATGAAAGGGCCGTTGTCGCACGAGGTAGTAGATGTAGTAAGATGCTGATCTTTTCAGAGCTGGGCTCGGCAACCTGTGTAGAAAACCTGAGTCAGGCTCTCAAAGAGCTGAAAGACTCTGAAGAATAGCTGCGCGGCTTTTCATTTCAGCTCTTTCAGACCCTGACTCAGGTTTTCTACACAGGTTGCCGAGCCCAGTCTCACAAACCCGGAATCTTCAGGAAACAAATTTTGATTTTAGATGGATTTGTACGTGTTTGCCCGAGCTCTTTTCAACGAAAAACTGCGACTTGCCGGTCTCCAGGCTGAAAACCCGACTCTTTGGGACGCGCAACATCCTGAACAGGCCAAAGACAAATTCTCAGAAGAAACGCTTCAAGAGAAAGTCAACGAAGAGAGTGGCACAAATTCCAGCTGAATCCCTGATTGACCCTTTTTTAATTAATTCGCGCTGTACTTGTATAACTGCCAGTATCTGTTAATATAGTGAAAATAGAGCATTTTAACGATATGGCCTGAGCTCGGAAACCTGCGTAAAAAACCTGAGTCAGGTTCTGAAGAGCTAAAATGAAAAGCCGCGTAGCGGCTTATTCAAACAGGAAGCCGTTTCGCGGTTTTTATTTTAGCTCTTCAAAACCTGACTCAGGTTTTCTACAAAAATTCCGAGCGCGGAATATGACTTTTTCGTTGATTTTGAGCAAGTGAGATGCATGTAGGTGGATTATGCACTTTTGGCAAGGTCTGGGAGGGGAAGTGACAAAAGAAAATGAGCCTCCCTGGCTGGTCGAAGAGAAGATTTTCAAATTTTTGGAAGCGCGGAGCGACGAGAAGATTTACTTTGCGATCGTGTTCGAAAAATGGAAATATCTGGCGAATCCAGACGTGATGATGCAAACTTCATCCTCGATTGCATTTTTTATAGGGCAAAATCAGGAACTGCCGAATGAGATTCGAAACTTGTATCAGACGCATCATACAGTTCTCTGCACAAATCTACTCAATAGCATAGGAATGGAATAGAAAAAAAGGAACTAGAAACAGAGTTGTAAATTTGCTGAGCTGAGTGAGCTGAGCAGTCACTCAGCTCAGCTCAGTGATTTTTGAAAATGATCTGATCTTCTCAGCTCAGCTCAGACAATTTTCACTCAGCTCAGCACAATTATTTTCGAGCAAGAGCTGTTCTGCTCAGCTCAGCTCAGCTCAGACAATTATCACTTGGCTCAGCTCAGCTCAATGATTTTAACACAATTTTACTACTAAAAACACAGTAAAAAAGAGCTCAGCTCAACCAGCTCAGCTCAGCTCTAATTAGGGTCCGCTTAGCTCAGCTCAGCTCAACTACTTTAAAAAAAAGGTCTGCTCAGTTCAGCTCAGCTCAGTTACCTCCGAAATAGGCCAGCTCAGCTTAGCTCAGCAAAAATAAAGCAGAATTTGCAACTCTGACTAGAAAAGTGCTGATTATCTAATGAAAATTCTATCCAAAATAAGACGAGGAATTAGGTAATCGAAAATCGAATGAACGAAACCGCTTGAGAAAACGTGATTTAGAGACAATCATGGGCTACAGAAATCAGAAACGATCGAAGTACTCGATCGCCCTCAACTCGAGACTGCATTCCTTGCCGATTGTTTACGGTAAAAAAAGCGCTCTTTCGTATAAATTGAAAATTTCAAGACGAGTTCCATGCGTTTTGCGGTTCGCCAAAGGACAAGTCTTTCGAAGCAAGAATTCACTGCGTTCTTGAGCTCGCTGTCAAAGATTTTGACCGCGAAGTTCGGGTCATGCTCATTCGCCTGATTGTCCTCATCCTTGGCGATTCTAGAGTGCTCAGCCTGCCCAAAAACTTCCTTCAAATCGACGACATAAAGCTTCTTATGCGACAGTATCCAAAAAACAAATGCCTCTACCAATTCGCGGACGAAAATGACTTCCTCTTCGAGATCGCCGTCTTTGGCTGTGAATCTGAGTTCGGCAACCTGTGTTCAAAACCTGAGTCAGGGTCTGAAAGAGCCCAAATGAAAAGCCGCGTAGCGGCTTTTAAAACGAAGCCGCAAAGCGGCTTCGCAAAACTACTTTTTGAATCAATTTCCAAACTATAGCGGCCCAATTTGGCTCTTTCAGACCCTGACTCAGGTTTTCTACACAGGTTGCCGAGCCCAGCTGCGAATTCTTTCACGACATTCTCGCCGGCTTGCTGGAAAATGGAATGAAAATAGAGCAGCTCCATTCGCCTGCTTGCGGAACTACCCTCGTTGATTTCTTGAAAAACGAGTTGGAAATGCACAGAGAAGCGATGGAAAAGGAAAAACAGTCGGAAATAAAAATTCCAGAAACTTTGCGCGACAAACTGCACGGCGACAAAATCGTGGTTCAATCACTTTCAAGTCTGGGCTACTATCACCTCAAGTTTGTAGACGCCGTGACGAAGGCACTGGAAATGCTGCAACAAGAAACGAGAAAAAATAAAGTGTAATTGTGAAATTGTGAAGAAAGCGTTTTTATTGGTATTGAATAGCGGAGAGTGTTGAGTTTAAGAAAATTGTCCGCGGACCATGTCGCCTGCGCTGAGAGTGCCGGCGCCTTGCCCAAGAGCGTACTGCCTGTGGACCATGAAAAGCGAGTGGAACTTGCCATCGACGTTGAGCCCGTTGAAGAGGTTGCCATCGGCGGCCCAGACGAAAGTAGCACCCTTGTCCGTGTCGTATGCTTTGCCGGGAGATCCAGCGTATGACTTGTGGTTGCAAAGCTGGGCGATAGCGGGCTCGTATCGGTCGAGAGTGTCAGTAAGAGCGTCGCAGCACCATCGGCAGACAGAATCGGGGTACATGTTCGTCTCTCTCAAGGTTCCAGCCTTGCATTGATCGCCCTTGACCTTGGGATCGTTGTAGGTGTTCACCTTCCAGTGGAAGTTCTGGATCATTCCTCTCAAGCAAGCCTCTGGAGCCTTGCAGCCTCCGGCAACACCGACGACGACGCCCTTGTGGCGACGCTCTTCCCAATCGCAGTAGTACTCTTCGCCGACGCATTTCTCGATGTAGCCATCATCGAAGCACGAATCGTAAGCGTCCTCATAGCCGGTCCAGACACCATCGGAGTCGTACTTCATCTTGATCGTAGTTTTGCAGTTCCAGCAGAATCGACCGTTGCCGACAACATCTGAGTCAACGCCCTTGCCGGATCCGTCGCTGACTTTAGCGCCATAATTGGCGGCGTATCCGGTGTTCCAGCCGGTGTTGTAGTTGTATGGATCGGAGGCGTAGTTGTTGTTGTTATAGTTGTTGTTGTTGTAGTTGTTGTTGTTGTAGTTGTTGTTCTTGTTCTTCTTATTCTTCTTCTTTTTCTTCTTGTTGCCGAGCTCGTCAATGTACTCGTAGAAGTAGTACTCGTCGGCGTAGTCGGTGCGAGCGATGTCGCTATCTGAACTTACGTTTTACCTTTCTGCCTTTTTGCTAAACTCTCTAGAAAGCTCTCTTTCTCTTCCTTACCGTAGGTGTACTCGTAAGCATCTTGGGCGTAAAGGGACCCGATGATAAAGGCGGCGAGCTTCATCTTTCAAAAGCTGGCTGAATTCAACTACGATCGTATCTCGCAGTTTGAAACTGATAATTTCCGATGCAGGCCAAAGTTGCTTATAAAGCTCGGCTTGCGTGAGCTTCGGAGCATAGGCATTATTTACGAGTGTTTGTCTCAAGTGGGAATCACCAGTGGTTTCGCCGTTGCGCTTCTAATTATCGAAAAACCCAGAATCAGCATACAAAGTCGTCACCACTTGCATTTTCAACAAATCAAAGTTCACTGAAAATTACGATTTTCTTCTTGAGCAACTAGCTTTTGAGCTCATTTATGAAACAAAACAGACAATCGATCAATTTCTTTCTATAGAACAAAAATTGACCGACATCGTTAGTCTTCTATGACTTCAATAATTAAAATCATCCTAAGATGATTTACCCCCGAAAAAGAGTTGCTCAAACAGAGATATACTGTCATTAGGTCGATTTGCCAGTATAAAACTGACGATTTTTAAAAAAGAAAAGCTATTTATTTACATTTTTATGAGGTAAAATTTGCCAAAAGCTTCTGTGGGTCTAAAAATTCTTCGAAATTCGTGACGTCGGTGGCAATTTCATTGAACATTATAAAGAAATTTCGGCAAATTAAGCCATAATGATTGTAAATATGCGGTTCGAGAAGAAAGTCTTCTTCCAAATTTGCGGTGGCGAATGATCAAAATATTTGAGTTTGTCAGCAGAATCGTTTACATTTGAATTATCACTGCGCTCTCATCGTGGGAATCTTGAAGGCAAATTGCAATGTTTTAAGATTTTTGATGAAATGATTACAGAAAAGGTTTAGTTTATTGAAACAGTAGAGAGATTCAGCAATAGCAGAACTCGAGCTTGTCCACTCGCGGCATGTACTTGTCATGCGTTCCTTCGAAATTGATTCTTTTTAGGCTAGCTAGCCTTCGTGGTACATCAAAATTTCAAGATTTTCGAAGCTCAAAAGAAGTGACTTTCAAATGAAAAGAGAAGAGTAGCCGTTGCCTGAACCAGTCGCGTTTGAAAGTGGTTCTCTCGTTGAAGCCAACTTCCCATAAGTTACCCTCTTTTTCCTCAAAACTGGCGATGGGAAATTGCCACTTTTTATTGAAACTTTTCTGGAAAAGGTCAGTTTCACTTTTCCAGTTTTATCGAAGCCGGAAGGTATCCTCGCCCCGCCGTGCACTTGAAAACTGTCCGGGCAACTCCAGGTTGGTCGAACATTCGCCCCTGAAAAACTCAAAGCTTGTGAACGAGTTGTTATAGTAGACAAGTACCTGTGCTACCCGTGTACTTTTCCTTGTACTCTAAGCATTTGCAGGCCCCGCTGGCAGACGCACTGGAATCGCTTCCTTGCGACGGAGAATTTCCGCTATCAAAACGCGAAAATTTCGTGGTGGACTTTGGTTCTGTTGGAGGGACGGTTGCAGGAGGTCCGGAGCATTTGATCTTGTTGAGAAATACCCGCTTGGTTTTTCCTTTCTCTCTGGTCCAGTAGCAGCCCTTATTCTTCTTTCTATGGCAGAAACACCGAACTGGCGCGCCGAAAAGAGCTGCAAACGTCAATAAAGGCAAACGAGCTGCTGATTTACCTGGGAAACGAAGATCGCCACCGTTGGTGCATTTGAGATCGCAGAGCCTTTCGTTGGTTCCTTCCCTCACGAAACAAAAACTCGCTATCTGAGGATCAGAAAACTCATCTTCCGAGCAAGTCACACAGTCAGACAACTGATGAGTCCAGTAATATCGGGTTTCTCCTTTTTCTCCGTTTTTTAATCTCAGTTCTTGAAATCTAACGAAGTTCAGAAATTAAATAACGAGCCTTTGAAATTAACGGAAGCTCTGCAATTTGTTCGATCAGATCCCTTTGGCGTCGGATGATAACCTTTTACTGGAATCAACAAAAATGATACCGATGAGAGCAGACTCAAATCCGGGGTTACGCCGCCACTAGGAGAATCCTGTCTTGTGATTGGCTGACCGGATAACCTGGCAATCCCGGGCAAAGGCCTGCTATCATCGGTATCTTATGAAAAACAATTGCTATAAGCAGATGGACTCTGACCCTGGAAGACAATTGACAACGCAAGTAGCGCCGTTGCAAACTACTTCTGAAGCTCCTTTCGGATTGTTTAGCCGCGGACAGAGCTTGCTATCTTGGTAGCTTTCGTTTGGAGGCCTGCCCCATGTCACCTGCCCAAACTGCGATCCTCGAGCAATATCACTGTTCTTCGGATTTTTGAGCAACTCGTAGAGCTGCTTCCTCGTCGGTCTGTAGTAATCTTCTGTCCGCGCTCTCTCTGATTTAGAAAAGGAAACTAGGAAAATGTAAAAAGAGAAAGGTAAGGGTCTCATTTTCTTGCTTCTAAAAAGTGTCTGAGTCGGAACTCTTGCGAAGCCCCTTGCGGAGATGCCACGCGGAAAATCATCTGCGGACAGCGATGATCGACAATTTGCATTTTACCAACCGCGCGCCAGAGATTCAAACCCTTTGCCAACTCATCGTTATATCACGCTGCCGGAAGTGAGCAAAAAACGCTAGAAAGTCCGAAACATGAAAATCTGCTTTATTTTCTTTTATTTTTTCATTAAATGTTCACATAAAGAGCTCCTTCTGAAGATTCCATTCTTGAGTCGCGGTCTAGAAGTGACACTGTAGTCATTTCGCTCAGCTGATTCAGCTCGTTCTGGTCTGGGCTCGAAAACCTGTGTGGAAAACCTGAGTCAGGGCCTGGAAGATCTGCAATGAAAAGCCGCGTCGTTCCAGACCCTGACTCAGGTTTTCTGCACAGGTTTTCGAGCCCAGGTTCTGATAGGACGTGCATGAAACTGTCCTCCTTCTGAATACAGTCATTTTTTCCCTCATGCTCAGCAAATTAGAATCACCTTAGGTACGCAAAGTCAGATCTTTTCTTCAAATACTTTTGGGTCATCCCCAGTTTTATCATCCGCGCGAACTTGATTTTCAGCTCTTGGCTCATCAGCACGAATAAAACTCCGATGATTATCGGATACACAAATTGACTCACTAAAAATTCCATAACTACACAAGAAGAAATAACTAAGAAGTAATATTTGGCTCGGCAACCTGAGTAGAAAACCTGAGTCAGGGTTCTAAAAGAGTAAATTGAAAAGCCGCTAAGCGGCTTCGCCAGTTAAAATAATTCATTGAGTTGGTAACTTTGGCGAAGCCGCTTTGCGGCTTCGTTTTTAAAAGCCGCTACGCGGCTTTTCATTTTAGCTCTTCAAAGCCTGACTCAGGTTGCCGAGTCCAGCGGTAATACCTTCTATAAGAACCAGATGAATTGTAGAAGAAAGGTGACTTTTCTTCGTGGAGAGATAATTTTCTGGAAAGAAGTGGACTGTGATTTGAAAAATATTGAACAGCGGTCTAAAAGTGGGCTTCATTTTTGTTGATATTTTTTTGTCTTACATTAGATAAAAGACAGCGCGGGACATTTGGTGGAGTTTCGTCTTCTGCTCGCCTTCTGTGAAACCCGCGCTGAGATAGATTTTCCTGTGGATCGCGTACACTGTTATTACAAAGAGAATAATGTTGCACGCTATCTGCACGCATAAATAATAAACAGTGTGCTTTGGTTCGTCGATCTGACCAAAGACCTCTTCGGAGTACTTCCCGTGGCAGCCGCTGATCATCCGCATGTGATGAAAGGAATGGTCGACTTCGTTTGGGTGGTTCATCTGAAATAAAGCTAAAGTTGAAAGAACCGTTTTTATCCCGTTTACATAGATTGCCATTGCTAGGACAGGTAGAGGCGCCAACCAACCAAGAAAAATGTAAATATGGTTGCGGAAAATTGGCTCTCAAAGGGATACCTCTCTCTCTCTTCAGTACTAGTCAAGTATCAAGATAAGGATCAGGGTTTTGATTGACCGGAAAGCCAAATACAGCAATCTTATTGGTAATCCAAAATGCACTTCCATAAATTGGTTTAGTCCCAATAAGGAGAGAATTTATCCCCTGCCAAGACCCCGAAATTGCAAAGAGTCAAATTCGCAAGATAGATCGTCTGTAAAAGATACCAACTGCTCTGCGCCATGAGCATATAATCGTTGAAATATTGAAAAACGTAGCAAATGTTCATTACTTTCTCGTAATTCTCGATATAAGCAGAGCACTCAATTTTCTTGCTGATATTCTGCAGAAAATCGCTATTGCTTTTCAAAAGACTATTTTCCTCGCAATCTGGGCTCGGCGACCTGTGTAGAATACCTGAGTCAGGCTTTGAAAGGCTAAAATGAAAAGCCGCGTAGCGGCTTTTTGAAAACAAAGCCGCAAAGCGGCTTCGCAACAAAATCACTCTTATATCTTTTAGTATCAGCGAAGCCACTTTGTGGCTTCGTTTTCAAAAGCCGCTACGCGGCTTTTCATTTTAGCCTTTCAAAGCATGACTCAGGTTTTCTACACAGGTTGCCGAGCCCAGCTCGCAATAGTTTGCCCGTCAATGTCGACTTGGTTGATCGCGGCACGAAATCTTTCCCTGGAAATAACATCGTCGTCTACTAAATTGTTGATTCTTTTGTAAATCGGTTCCATGGCCAGAAAAGAGAAGCAATAAAGAGTCGAGCTGAGGAGTAGATTCATCAGAACAATCACCCGCTGCGTCTTCTTGAAATATCGCTTGAGCAAATAGACGGCTGGGGCGCAAAACATGATGCAAATTAGTGGAAAGACAATTTTCTGAATGCGGAAGTCGATCATATTCTCCGAGAAGTCGTCGAGCAGTTTCTTGTCCGAGGAAAGGTTGTAGTTGAGTTCGATGTGGTCGACGAAGTGATAGTATTTTGCTGGTTTGGAAGTGTTCTGTGGACTTTGAAAAGAGGTGACAAATTCTTGATGCTTCTTAGGTCTTTATGGACTAATGGAATTATTAAGGAGGTAGATATCAAGAATCGGATTTTCCGTCTGTGTTTTCTCAAATTTTTAACATAGTGACCCCTTATTTTTCTGCTCAAAATTGATTTCAGGCAATTATCTATTTCCTATGGAAGCCAAAAATTTAGATTTCTTGAGCTTTTGAGGTGCTACAATGCACCTCTTCTTGATGATAAAATGACCATTTTAGGAAAGTTAGCGATCTTTGACGATAAATAATGTTAAAAATATTCTTGAAATTGGAAATTTCGGCTTCCATAGGAAACAGAGAAAGGTCTAAAGTTTTTGTTTCAAAAGTAAAATAAGGGTGTTACTATTTTAACTTTGGGAGAAAAGTCTGACGGAAAATGGCGATTCTTGATATCTACCTCCTTAAATTTCTAAATTAAATTTAATTCGATCATCAAAATCTTTGCCACTCTCGTACATAGAATCAGGACAAACGCTAGAATTCAATGAGGCGGTAGAATTCTGAGGAGGGATACACAAAGTTCCATCCTCTCCACTAATTACTTTTGAAGGGCAAGTGTAGTGTTCTCCTTCCGTTTCTGTTAGGTTCAGACATCTCGTTATTTTCTCTATCACATCGCACAAGTTAATGTAGTCAAGCTCAAATTCAAAATTCTTGGTAAATGTCATTTCTTTGAACAAGACGATTTTCGCTGGAGATCAAGTCAAGAAGTTTGATCATCAAAATTCATCAATGGCGCGGAAAGAAAGCTAATTTTAGAGATAATTGCTCACTGCGCCTGATTTTTAAACTTCAAAATATTTTTTCTTGCAAATAAGAATTTTTTCTGCTTTGAAAAGAAAAAACACAGAAGTTTTTAAGCCAAATCAATTAAATATATTATACAGAAAAATCTTTTGAATTTTAGGATTTTGAACTGCAACAGAAAATCTTCACGGGGCAGAATTACGCGGAGGTCTTCATTGAGGCCTTGGCGACTTCTTCGTCGATGTTCTTGCCTTCTTCGAGCGCCTGCTCCCATCGGATGATTTGAGCGGCGCCTTCGATGAAGATGTTGACCAGGTCAACTTCGGACTTGCCGAGTCGATCGGCGTTGGAGATGTCCCAGGTGCCACCGGTCGAGGCAGAGTCGACGCCAGCGGTTCCACGGGCCTAGATTTTCGATGAGATCAGAGAAGCGAAAATTGGGCGATTTACCTGGAGACCCATCTTGGCAAGGACGGTCTTGAAGTCCTCGCGGGCGGAGAACTTGGGGATTTTCACCATGCAGCCGGCACGGAGACCAGTACCGAGGTTAGATGGACAGGTGAGAATCCAGCCGAGATGGTCAGAGCGCATGAAGTCAGCGTCGTTTTCCTTGAGCACCTTTTGGATCTGCGCGGTGCCGAGCGAGAAGCGGGTGATGATGGCCTTGATGTCATCGCCCTTCTGCATGGAGACGATGCGCATTTGGTCCTCCTCGTTGACCCAGACGAAGAAGTTCGAGGCCTCGTTGTGGTAGATGCCTCGGGCGTCGGGCCAGTGGCGGCCGCAGCCGGAGGAGAGAAGCAGAGTCGAGTCGGGCTCCTAAAGATTGCAATCAACGAAGAGAACGGAAAAACGGTTTTTTACCTGGAAAAGATTTCCAGCTTTTCGGAGCTCCTCCTCCTTCTCCTTGGACATGCCTTCGGGCTTGGGCGCGTAGGACTTGGAGCCGTGGAGAGGGAAGTAGTCACCCTTGAGCTCGCCTTCGAGGGAGAGGAGACCCTTGACGATGAGGGCCTCAAGCTTGCGGCGCTCTTCGAACTCGATGACAGGAGGGAGCTTGAAGCCTCGCACGGATCGTCCGGTTCGGCAGCGCGAGGTCAACACGTACTTGCCGGTGGGGTCGATCTTCGTGTCGGAAAGCTTGGACACGTCGAGGTCGGTGGGGTGCTTGGCGTCGCGCGCGTAGCCGTTGTGGCGGGCGCTGATGACCGGCTCGAAGATGTCGGCGAAGAGTTCGAAGCACTCCTCGTCGCCGGCGACGAGGCCACAGGTCTTGATCATGGGGTGGCCTGAAAATAGAAAAATGATGATTCTCAAATATGAGGAGACGATTACCTTTGTTGTCGATGCCGGTCTTGATGCACTGGCCGAGGGTGACGCCGAGCTTGGTCTTCTTGTCCTTGAGCTGCTTGTAGAGCTCGGGGTTCTTCTTGAGAACGTCGGTCAAGAAGTTGTTGTGGTCCTTGAGGTCGGGCAGCTCGGCGGGCATCTTGTCCGCGGCGCCCAAGAAGGTCGCGTTCTGAGCAAAAAGGATGAGTATACAAAAAGAGGTTGATTATCTCTGATTTACCTTCTCCTCACAGTAGTACTCGTCGTTGCCGCAGCCCTTCTGAATCCATTCAGGAAGGGTCTTGACGTTCTCGGAAAGACCAGTTGGTGGGTAAGTAGCCATGGTTTTTGAAAACTAAACCTTGAAAAGTCAAATTTCTCAAAAATTATAGACACTACGACTTTCGTACGTACTGCGAAGCTCTGCGCTCGGAGCCGCCTTTTTATAGGCACCATGTTTTTGAGGCTGCAATCGAACCAATTTCGGCCAAGTTCAGGCAGGTCCAAAAAACAGAGAAACAACCGGTGAAGATGGCGCGACACAGTCCGGGTTACGGCGGTTTCAGGCGCCAAATTGTTAAAATTTTCCGTTGTTACATAAGATAAAATATCTTTTTCCGCGAAATTTTCAAAAATATTTCGTCGATAATTGGCAAAGTTTTTAGTTGGAGAATCTATTGAGCCTTTGATTGTGCTTTTTATCGTGGACATTTATTAATAATATTATTAATTAATTAAGAAAGATACAGAAAGCGGCAGGAATCAGTTGAAAACAGGCAGAAAAGAAGGAAGAAAGAGTCACCAAAAAAGATTTCCGTTGCTTCTTCTCCAAACCTCTCCCCTATTTCTCGCGATAATGGCCATGCACTCTGGGTTTCTAGTGCACCGCTGCACTCGATTCGAGATTTTCATCTGTCTTGAGACTTGACGCGCATGTCCGTTCTGCTGTCTCCTTCTGGCTGCAACTACTGGTAGCTGATGAAGATTGAAAAAGTAGAGTGTGAGGAGAAGAATGTTCATTTGTTGTGTTGGAGTTACTTTTCGTCGGCTTCCTTCTTTTATAGCTTTAATAAACGATATGGATGGTGCGGCGAGAGCGACCTCACTCTTGTTCGTCAAGAACTCGCCTATTTCGATGATGAAAATGGCAACTGAGGATCAGTCAATTATTCCTCTGATAAAGCTATAATAACTGCCGATATGGGCACGTGATTCATACTTTACACCTTACATATTTTATATAGGTTCTTATATCATCAATCTTCGAATTGCTTCTTATCAAAATAATTAAGTCATTTTTGTCAATTAAAGATTGATAAATTATCAGGCACCTTTCATCCTTCCATTATCTTTGGAGATCTCAGATCTATGATTTAGGACCTTATATCTACCTTTATAATTTTAAGGTTCTCAATATATATGAAAGCTATAAAGGTATAATTCGCTATTCAGTAAGCTGTCGTTAAGTTAGCAATTAGAATTTGGGGGCATATTATGGCCCATATATTATATGGCTAATCCCTATTTTAATATTTAGTGCCTAAAATATAGGCTTTTTTTGAAGATTCTTTCCCGGAAGAAACTTTCACCGAAACTTCTATTCATAGCTCAACGTCATCATTTATTTGGTAGAATTGAATGGTAAGTTTGCGAGAAGCGAGCCGTTAAGATGACAGATCTGATCGACGATTTCATTTTCCAAAAGGGTTTTCTTCTGCGTAGATGCAAGGTTAGATTAATTTTAGACGAATTTCAGGATAAGTAAGGACAGCCGCGAAGATCTGACCTTTTGACCCCGGACAGAAACGACAACTTGTGTAGAAAACCTGAGTCAGGTTCTCAAGAGGTAAAATGGAAAGTCCCGTAGCGGCTTTTATAAGAACGAAGCCGCGAAGCGGCTTCGCGAAACAATCTTTCTTATCAATCTTAAAATATTGGCGAAGCCGCTTTGCGGCTTCGATCTTAAAAAAGCCGCTACGCGGCTTTCCATTTTAGCTCTTTAGAACCACGCGACCAACAGTTATTTAGTCATAATTGGGGGAAAAATCAACATTGGCGAACCCTGGTTGCACGAAAATTAGCGGCCATTAGAAATGCTGCCGTTCGTTTTCTAGCGCCCGTGAAATGCGTTTTACAACATGTGGTGGTGTTTTGCTGAATCGACCAGCAATCGCGCGTCACGGCCGATTGTGTGGCTTCGGCAAAATCTACCCGCCTGCCTTTTTTTCGAAAAGATAAGTAAAAAACTTCTTCCTCTCTCAAAGAAAAAAAGGCGAAATCAAATCTCCATTGCGGTGGTAAAAGGCAATTATCCCCTTTCCGTTCACTTTTCACTCGAAACGAAGGAGACGATAATAAATTATACTTCTATATGTATTATACTGTATATTATATACAGTGTATAATACATATAATTTATACAGAATTTTTCTTGTATTTACCGACTCCTTTGAAGGCAGTTGAATTCACGTAAATGACACTTTCTCGGTCCTATGATCTGCTGAGCCTATCAGCAAAGTGCCAGTTGATAGTCCCAATTTGAGACCGTAAAACTTTTTATGAAAGAACTCCAAAATTTACATAACATCTAAGAAATAAAACAATTCCGACGCTTTTTATCACCTAATTTCTTTATTCATTTCTAGCTCGCATTCTCTATCGACAATTAGATACAGTACAATAAAGTAGTTTATAAAACACGTGACATAATTAAAGAGCGGCTTTTTTTTACGGAGAAGCGTGAAATTTCTTTTGATGAAATTTTCGAAAATTAGCATGTTCCAAATTAGAAATTAGAGTATATGATCTGAGCAGAGCTCACTCATGTTCCGCGCACGAGTGTGTTGAATTTTGAAGCGGTCACGTTCAATCGTTTTTTTCATTCATAAAACAACGATGAACAGAATTTTTTATCTTCAGCTACAAGAATCAAGAGCAGAATTGGAAGAATCAATCTCGGAATTCGCTGTGGTCACGAAGATATTTCATATATTTTTTATCGGCTTTTTAGAGAGAGTAAGTGACTCTATTAGCTAATTTACCGCTAAGCTGAAAATTATTTACCTCAAAATTATTTGATTTCTTGGAGGTATATTAAGGAGGTAGACATTAAGAACCGCCATTTTCTGCCAGACTTTTCTCCCAAAGTTAGAATAGTAACACCCTTATTTTACTTTGAAAACAAAAGCTTTAGACCTTTTTCTATTTCCTATGGAAGCCGAAATTTCGAATTTCAGAAAAAATTTTAACAAAATTTTTCGTCAAAGATCGCTAACTTTACTAAAAATGCCCATTTTCGAGACAATCGGAGGTGCCCAATTTGCATTGTAGGACCTCGAAAGCTCGAGAAATCTAAATTTTTGGCTTCCATAGGAAAAAAATAATCGCCTGAAATAAATTTTGAGCTGAAAAATAAGGGGGTCACTATGTTAAAAATTTGAGAAAACACGGACAGGAAATCCGATTCTTGATATCTACCCCCATAATCGGAGCGGTTTCGAAAGCGGGTGTTTATGGACCATAAATTATGGTACTACTTGTTTAGCTAACTTCGGCTCGCTACTAGTGATGTTTGTCTGTGTGTGTGCCCAACAAACCTAAATAAGAAAATTGCCCGTAGCGCCGGGCGCGCGGCTCACACCCCTAGTCAACTAGTTTTGCCCGATTTTCTCACGACGTAAGAGAAAAGAAAGAAAAAAGTATGAAACTAGCTGTCTGGTTTTGCGCCGCTAAATGCATCCTTGCTGACTACGAGGACAGTAATTACTACGGCGACAGTAATTACGAGTATTACATAAGCTACTACGACCCAGATGGAAACAAGCAGACAAGAGTAGCGACCCTGGAGGAGATTTGTGCAGATCCTGAGTTCACTCGGCCAGATTGTCCCGAAATTCCAAGCCAGATTGATGCTGTGTATGATTCATATGGAGTGCCAGAAATTCAAGGCAGTCCAACTCCAGAGCCCTATTACTGGCGAACTACTGACTGGAGAACCACATCAACATCATCTTATATCTGGAGAACGACGACTAGGCCGAGTACAACTACGACTTCGACAACGACTTCAACGACAACTTCGACGACGACGACAACAACAACTACTACTACAACTACAACAAAAGACGTGAGCTTGGCTCGGCAATCTGTGAAGAAAACCTGAGTCAGGGTCTAAGAGATCTCTAATTTAAAGCCGCGAAGCGGCTTTTAAAGTCGGAGCCGCAAAGCGGCTTCGCCAGAATGAAGAAATAGATTTGAATGATAATTTTGCGAAGCCGCTTTGCGGCTCCGACTTTAAAAAAGCCGCTATGCGGCTTTTCATTAAAGATCTTTTAGACCCTGACTCAGGTTTTTACACAGGTTGCCGAGCCAAGAATCTGAGAAAGATTGATCTTGGTGTTAGAAATTTATTTCAGAAGCCGTGCCGCCCGCTCGTTGACGGTCCCAAAGAAGTAGAAGGCTACGATCTCGACGAAAACAAAGTGATCTGGTCGTTGAAGCTGAAATTCGTAAAAGTAGCGAACCCGTTCGAATGTCGCTTGGAGTGCGAAAAGTACATCGATTTAACCCGAATCAGCCGGAACGAAGAAGAGCGGCGACGATGCGCAGCTTTCCGCTACCACAAACGTGAGTAGAATTTTGTGCCAGCTTCGCGCACTTAGAATCGGGGAGTTAAATTTAACCGCTTAGTGAATAATTGGTGCTTCTTGCTGGAACAGACGCCCGAAAGCGCAGGGCTCAGGAACGGGAATCGATCTCTTCTTATAAGCTGACAGGAGTGCATTTCTCTCCATTCCCATCAAAAAGCTACGCGGACGACAAGAACTACGATTTATACATCAAACGAGCGGCTCACTGTCCGGTGAAGAACGACGTGGTCGATCCGTGCATCCATGGCGCGCTCGGGCCCCGCGGCTGCTCCTGCGAACACGGCTGGGACGGCTTCGATTGCGGCACCATGACCTGCGACAATGGTGACGCGCCCGAGTGCTTCGGTGGCAGGTGTCGCCGCTATCCCAACCCTCATGACACCTTCGCGCCTTCCTTCGGCTGCGACTGTCCCACCGGCACCCAGTACTATCAAGGTATTGTTTTCCTTCTCAAGAATCCCGGCGACGCTATCAGTTCCATTCAGCTTTTTCTAAAGAACAATTTCTCAAATGCCGATTCTAACAATAAAATGCACTAATAAACTGGTACTGGCTTTGAAAAGCAACATTCCGAGTGAGCAGGAATTTTGTTAATTGAGCCATAATAAGAATCACGTTTATAATTCTAGAGCGAGACGAATGCGCCCCTCCACAAATTCCGATAGCAGTTCCGTTCGACGAGCCTCAACCCTTGTCTGATCTCATTCCTGGCCATCCTCTAGTCAAGGGTTACCAGTTAAGCTAACAAAAATTAATAGGGATCATGATAGCAACTTGGGCTCGGCAACCTTAGTGAAAAACCTGAGTCAGGATTCTAGAGGAGTAAAATGAAAAGCCGCGTAGCGGCTTTTTCAAAACGAAGTCGCAAAGCGGCTTCGCTAGTTAAAAATTCATTGAGTTGGTAAGTTTGGCGAAGCCGCTTTGCGGCTTCGTTTTGAAAAGCCGCTACGCGGCTTTTCATTTTACTCTTTAAGAACCCTGACTCAGGTTTTCTACTCAGGTTGCCGAACCCAGATTGCTATTGCCTTGAAATTAATTGGCCTTTTTAACTTTTGGTCAAATTTTGGTAATATACTGTGAGGCAATCTGTTGACTCTAGAAAGACAACAGTCACGCCCCTTCAATCGCCGAAGACAGTGGCGAGATCGACTGGGTAGATGGAATGTGGCAGTGGACCGAAGGAAGCGAACGTTTCAGAAGTTTTCCTTCAGTACGATTCTCATTCGATCAGGAAGCGTTCTTGATTGCATCGGAGTGACTGAGTCTAATTCAGCACATTATCAGATTGAACGAGAAAGAATGGATATTTCTCTTAAAATTCTGAATAATGAGGTAAACACTCACTTCCACCTGAATTAATACAAGAGAGAATCTGCTACTGAGCTCTTTTGGAACGCTAATAAAGCCCAAATCAATCAGTTGTATAACCACGTCTGGCGGTCAAGGTGGCTACGTCTCAGAGTTCAACTTATATAACACCGGCGCGGAGAGTGGAAACAGAGAATTCATACAGGTAGTATTGCGTAATCGGGCTTTTCATCCCTCTTGCCGAATCTATTTTCGGACGATATTCTTGATTAGTTAATTTTGGATAATGCTCCCTGAACTCCATTCCGGGATCGGGCTAATTTTGGAACGCGCTAGTAATAAATGTAGTCATGCGCTTATGTTCGAGGCTGAACTCTTTCATAAAAGAATATGAGAAACAAATCAATCAACAAGTTCTATTTCAGACGATCGAGGTTGATACAAAAGACGTGACTCAACAGAAGACTGCTTGCTTGTCGTCTCCGCTGACGACTTCGGACTTGATCATCATGCCAACTGGAGGATCGAAGGACTTTTTCATGCGCTTCTTGATCTACCAACTGTAAATTTACAATTTCTGCTAGTACAATTGATGCAATACAAAACAATTTATCAAAAATGGATTTTATTTTTAGAAAAGATAGTGTAACGGTCAGTCAGTTGCGGGGTTAGAAAGAGGGGTTTAGATTTAAATTTGAAAACAAAAAATTCTGAGAATGAATCGCAACCGACGCACAGTGTACTTTCAATAAGCGTCGAATTTTAATTATAGACGCAATCCCAGAAAATCTTGCGATTTCGACTAAAATTTTAAGGGCGAACTCGTCTTAGAAAAATAATGATCTAAGGCGAAAAGTGTTCTTAGACGGATCCCATATGGAGTTTTCCATTAAAAATGAGAGGGATATTAGTACAGGGTGGTTATGTCATAAGTTATGACTCATAACCGTTATGAACATAATGTTCATGAAGTAAGATCAAGAGGATAAATACGCACATGCAGTAAAAGAAATATGATTACATGTGCGTATTTGAAAACGAGCGATGGAGATCATGGATCTCTGATTGATTCATTTCGACTTGCTCAAGGCCAGAATGAAGGTTGGTTTCATCAATTGAGAAGACATTTATACCCGTATGAATGCATCTTGGTACATCTTGGTGTTGTTGTGGGTCTTGTGGTCTTGTTAGTCTTTGGATCAATTCCATATCCTCAATTGATGGCCCAGACATGGCACTAAAATTCCATCAAATTTGGGAAATTCATTCTGCTGAATCAGCAGTGCTGATAATCAAAAATAAGACTTACACTGACTGAAAGTTACACTGTCTGATACGTATATTTTTCTCCTATCGGTTTTATGCATCCGCTTGTTAGCTCACACATCGTTGTTGAATATATAAAGCTGAAATGAAAGGAAACCCCTAAGATAGGAAGATACTGTAGAAAACAGCTTTCTAATCGCAATAGAATTGAACTCTTATCTCGACCAAAAAGACGAGTTCCAGAATTCGATTATATCAATGTTCAACATCTGCAGCTGTTGTCCGAAAACTAAGCCAACCAGTTATCGCCAGTTTAATGAACTTGGCGGGTTTTCTGTAAGATTGAGCCAGCGATAGGCGATAGGTTTAGAAATTAGCCCGCACGTTGGCTTTTCTGAGAGCTTCCGCCGCTAATTGTCGAAATTGGCGAAAATTTCGAAAGTGTTTCTCTCGATCGCGAAAACTCGCGGCAGCGGCGGGGGGCGCGCGGGAGCCCACCGCTCCTTCTCGCCGTGAGAACTCACGATCGGACTTAGGCGATCACTTCGATCAGACTATCCGAAGAGAAACAACAGATCAACGCTAGAATGAAGTTTGCCTCCGCTCTCTTGGCCCTCGCTGTAAGTAGATTGAACTCGCTAAAACGCTTCATTGAACCGTTTCTATCTTTTATTATTATCGCCGATAATTGAACGGACCAACATTTTGACGATAAACAATATCACGTAAAAGATATAGGTATTTTATTTAATTGTGATTCTATCGGAGCAATATTGATATGACTATACCTACTATTGACGATCTGGAAAGATAACAAGAACTTTTACACGTGATTTGAACCACTCTATATCTGTATTTTCAGACAAGTAAGGCTCGGAAACCTGTGTAAAAACCTGAGTCAGGGTAAGATCGATACTGAAAAGCCGCGTAGCTTTGCCAAAGTCTGAAATTAGACTGCATTGATAATTTGCGAAGCCGCTTCGTGTTTAAAAGCCGCTATGCGGCTTTTCAAAAGATCTTTCAGGTCAAGACTTAGGTTTTACACGTGACTTGAACCACTCTATATCTGTATTTTCGGACAAGTCAAATTATTGACTTGAGTAAAAACCTGAGTCAGGGTAAGATCATTAAAAAAGCCGCGTAGCGGCTTTTTCAAAACGAAGCCGCAAAGCGGCTTCGCCAAAGTCAAAAATTAGATTGAAATGATAATTTTGCGAAGCCGCTACGCGGCCTCGTGTTTAAAAAAGCCGCTACGCGGCTTTTCATTTGAGCACTTCAGACCCTGACTCAGGTTTTATACACGGATTGTCGAGCTCATTTAAACTGTTGAAGAAAGCGTGAGTTCTAAAATAACTCTCAAATACTCTCGTGCCTTTACTATGATAATAAAACACACATTTGAAAATAGCTGAAATTAGATGCTTATAAGGCTTATTAAAACTGCTCTTTAAAGATAATAATGCGAAATTGCCCTATTTCATTTCCATTGCTATTTTTATTAGCGTTAAATCATCGTAAATTGTTCTTATTAAAAAGTTATAAAGAAGATGTAAAAGCTGCTTATTTTAACTTGGCGCAAGCAGCGCGATATTTTTCTTGGAGGAATCCGAATGCGATTAATTACGGGCAAGAGAACATGCGCTCGCAAATTTTAAAATTTCGTCGGTCAGGGTTAGGGCGCTGAAAATCCGCTTTCACGCTCGGAAAAAGAGGAGAAGAAGAGGGCTTTTAGAGAACGGCCACATGAACGCGATTTGGATTTCATACTTTCCCTTCCTTCTTTCGTTTTGTTTTCTACCAGCGCCTTTTTCGGGTTTTCGAGTTCCAAGTCGTTAACTTGGCTTTTCAGGCGGCGGAACGAAACGGCAAGCTTGACGATGATGGAATCCACATTGGTGGTGGTGCTTTTGACGCTGGCACCCCAGAGGAAGGTCAGTACTTAGTCCGATTGTTACTCAAGTAGCTGCTAAAAATCGAGAAGCCGCTTGCGGTTTCGAGTCGAAAAAGATTGCTGCGCTTCGCGCGGCTTTTCTCCTTAGTTCGCTCGAAGCCGCAAGCGGCTTCTGGATTTTTAGCAGTAAGTCTACTTGAGTAAAAATCGTTAAAAAGAAGCGATTTGTAACAGTTGATTTTCAGTTGCTCTTTGGTCGATCAGAAAGTGCCGAAAGAAGATCTGCGCCGCCTGGTCCTTTGGACGGTGCCCGATCAACAACATCAGCGAACTCGATGGGCAGGGATTCACAAATAGTGACAAGAGCAAATTTAATTTTTTCAAAAAGCAAGCTTGACTGACTTTCAGACAGAGATTTTCGTGTAAAAGTGAATAACCAAATTGAAAGAAATGCAAAAGTATCACGTGCGCCTTGTTGCCACAAATGCTGGAACAAGTGTCCTCCATATCTAGCTCGACGATTCTTGGCTGATTCTAGCGTCTTCCAGGACAAGGAGGTCCGAAGATACGTCAAGGAAGAAGTCTGGAGCTTCCTTTCAGAAGATGTCCAGGTAAATCTAAATGATACAAGCCTGGTCTTATTCTGTATTTTGGGATCGGCAATCTGAGTCAGAGCTAGCTCTGAAGTGCTCAAATGAAAAGCCGCGTAGCGGCTTTTAAGAACGAAGCCGCAAAGCGGCTTCGCGAGTATTTAAAAAAGATCAATATGGTAATCTTTCGAAGCCGCAAAGCGCTTTCGTTTTAAAAGCCGCTACGCGGCTTTTCATTTGAGGACTTCAGACCCTGACTCAGGTTTTTCATACATGTTGACGAGCCCATGTCGCACTGAATGAGTAAATTTTCACGTTGGAAGCTCGAACCCGAATTTCGTTTTGGCATGAATCTAAACATTTGGACTCAAAGCTCGCCGGATTTCTTTGTTTCGCTCATCAGCATAATTTCCCTTCCGCCGAGCGAGTCACTGTTTGGCATTATTAGACGCTTGTAAAAATAAATCCAATTTCAGTGCGATCTCAGTCGGCTGGACGAGTTCGAGAGTCTCCAAGCAGCGGAGGTGGTCGAGGAGTCTGAAGCCGTCGAAGTCGCCGAGGGCATGCAAATGGACATGGGCATGGGTGGCGCCGCTGCTGCGCCCAATCAATGCGGCGAGAAATTCGGTAAAAACCATTAGACAAGGGATTGCATGTCTAACGACTCTTGCTAGGCTGGTTCCAATGCCACGGACACCGCGACGCGCATTGCTGCTCAGACACCTGTCTCAACCAGCCAGAAAAGGAATCCGGCAAGTGTGCCAAGTGCGGCTGCGAAGGACGTAAGTAACAAGCCCTCAGTCCTCTTAATCCAAACTCCATTTCAGAATGCGACTTCCGAGACAACATTGCCGACACCGTCGCCAAGGCCAGCGAGATGGGCTGCTACGTCTGATTTTGATCAATTCTGTTGAAATATCCAACGACTTTTGTTACTCCCTTCCTTCTGTACATTCACCTGCGCTGAAAACGAGTTGCTTAATCGAGCACGATCGCGATGCAAAATTTTAAACGAGCTTTGCGCCGATCTCCATCGAAGATATCTTTGTACCAATAAACTAATTTATAATCAAAGCTTTTCGTGTCCTGATTTCAGCTGGAATATTTAATCCCGCAAAAGGGTTGAGAAAAGATAGTAAGAGATTGAAAACGTTTCTCAAAGACCATAAAGAAGAGTGGAATGTGATGATATGATGTTTCAGATTTTTATGAGCATTGAAGAAATGGATCTTGAATGCATGTGATGCACAGATCGTAGTGTCATGCTATTGCCGAGAATATAATTAATATAGCAAATTTATAAACAAGTTGGAATCCCCTTCTATTACTATAATAATTCGCCAGTATTTGAGAACAGATATAGATGGTAATGTTGCGAAGCCGCTTTGCGGCTTCGTTTTAAAAGCCGCTACGCGGCTTTTCATTGAAAATCTCTCAGACCCTGACTCAGGTTTTTCACACAGGTTGCTGAATCCAGTTCAACAATTTTATTTAAATTATAGTGTATGTAGAATTTATTCAAGGGTCGTTTATGATAATCGACATCGTACGGTTGTTCTTTTTTTGATATGTACAGAGATATGACTGAGTTGTCCCAGCTTGTGGGAGCGCGAAGCCGAGGTTGGCAAGGAGGCTGAGTTGCTTTTGGTTGCGAGTGTACGCGGCGACATTCACACTCACACAGTCGTTTCCTTTACAAGCGTGGTTAGAAGTGCCTGCAAGTCCTCGCAGTCGGCCAGCACGGCGTCTTGCTCCGTCTTTAGCTCGTCTCTTCTCACCAGCAGGTTTACTTTGATCGGGGTTTTCCCTGATTGGCGATCGTAGAAAACGATTCACGTCACGTTAAGTTACGTTGCTGGTCACTGGAGCAATTAGTAGTACTAACCGCATTGTTGTGCAAGAGCCAAAATTGCTATTTCCAAAACAAGTACTTAGTAGCTCCACAATGTCAATAAATTATTGACAAGGATGAGATTCAAATTCTCTAAAAAGCGAATTTACGAATCAATTATAGCTGGATCTATTTTCAATAAAGACAAAAAAGACGAAAGTGAGGATTTTGAATCCTATCTAGCACTGTGGTCGTCGATTGACGTCAGCGGTGGCCCCTCCCGAATTCGGAATGGGCTGGAAAACGCCTCTTACAGCAACGTGGCTGGAAATGGTGTAATATGCGGAATATTTCATTTTTGGGCAAGCTATATTTAGGATAGTCTGCAGGGGGTCCTCTGCTTGGCTTGGCAACCTGAGTAGAAAACCTGAGTCAGGTTTTTGAATAAAGAGCAAAAATGAAAAGCCGCGTAGCGGCTTTTTTATCAACAAAGCCGCGAAGTGGCTTCGCAAGATTACCACTTAATACTAGCGAAGCCGCTTCGCGGCTTTGATGATAAAAAAGCCGCTACGCGGCTTATTATTTTTGCTTCTGTGGATCCTGACTCAGGTTTTCTACACAGGTTGCCGAGCCCAGGTCCCCTGTGCTTCCCAAAAGGGGCCCTAAAACCAGTGAAATTTGGAAAACCCTTGCTAGTTCGTCGTTGAGCTCTGCAATGCGTCTCTCCAGCAAGAGGTGATGGTTGCCCAACTCGGCCAGGTTCATTTGGTTTAGCGTCGACGGCGCATAGCTCGTCGGCGTATTCGCGCTGGAGGAAGACCTAGAAGCGTGGGAAGAGTTAGCAATTATGCACAAAAAACGCGTTTGAAAGTCTAATTGAGCCTGAAAAGTAAACCTGAGAGTGGCGGATTCGATGCAGGCGCGGCGGTGCGCATCTTCCATCGCTACTTTGGCAGCTTTCTCCAGCCGCCGCACGTCAGATTCGTTGTCTAAAATAGGCTTTAAAAAATCGAGCCACAGCTGTAGCTCTCAGCGGTCTTTGGTCAAGTCCAAAGTGGCGGCGAAGTGCAAGGATAAGCCGCCACGTTGAGGGGGATCTCCTCCGTTGATCGCCCAAATGCTCATTAGAAAGCCCTCGCGGTTGCATAATTTATTGCGAATTTTGGCCAGCGCGACTAAGCCTGCCAATTAGCCTTTGATCGCACCGTGGACAGCGACTTTATTGAAACTATTCTAGATACAACTAAGTGACTTATGAAATCCTGAGTCAGGGTTCTAAAAGAGTAAAATGAAAAGCCGCGTAGCGGCTTTTTTTCAAACGAAGCCGCAAAGCGGCTTCGCAAGTTAAAATTCTTGACTGAGTTGCTAGCTTTGGCGAAGCCGCTTTGCAGCTTCGTTTGAAAAAAAGCCGCTACGCGGCTTTTCATTTTGCTCTTTTAGAACCCTGACTCAGGTTTTCTACTCAGGTTGCCGAGCCCAGGTTGCTGAGCCGAAATGCAAGAGTACGAATTATGGTGGAAAACAATCAAGTTTTCAAATTTTTAATAGCTAAACAAAGTATTGGGGCTTTTTGAAAAAAGGGTTTGCAGCTTTGTTTTCTGTTTAATTTCAGTTGTCCATTACCTGAGGCTTCCGATTCCGAGGAGAGCTCTGATACATAAAACACTTGCATGTTGCGTTTCGCTTTCTTCTTGCGTCTGTTGTTTTTCTGCAGTAATGACTAGATATACTGGCGTTGGCTTGAGCTGCGACCCAAAAGTATACCTTTGAGTTGCTCGAGTGGCCCAGCTCGCTTACTTTGGACCTAATTTCTCTCAGCCGGGCATCGTCGTCTTCTTGCGGCCGGGCGCTGAAGAACGAATTTAAAATAAAAACGAAATAAAAAATAATCATGGATGAATAATTAAACACGCGTAATGCGAATTAGCCGCTGCTATTTTACCGATTTAGGATGATCATCTCCTCCTCCTTTTTTTTCTCTGCTGATCTCCGGGCCGAGTCCTTTAGCCGAAGTCTGAGCTGACCGCTGAGCGCGCCCGGGGCGAGAGCGCTCTTTAATTTTGCATCTTTCCACTTGGCCAATTAAAAATTTAACGCGCAAGAAAACGCCAGAGCATCAACCCATGACAAGGGACACGACACCAACCATCACAAACTACCTTTCGAATTATTAACACTAATCCAAATTCAGCCTCACAACTTTAAAGAGGGATCAAGGGACTTTACTCGCACTCTTTTCTTTTCAGCCAATCTTCCCAAATGGAAGCAAGTACCCTAAAGATCCATTTTAAATCATTTAAATTATGGGCGGATTCAAGGTCGGAGAACTCCCTAATGAAAGCCGCGTAGCGGCTTTTTTAAACGAAGCTGCAGAGCGGCTTCGCAAAAGAACTTACGCGGCTTTCATTAGAGATCTTTCAGACCCTGACTCAGGTTTTCTACACTGTTTGCTGAGCCCAGAGTCTACTCTCCAACTTAAGGGTGTCCCCAACGATTTACAAAACAGTGCATTCTCAAGTGGATAGAGATAATATCCTGAGTCAGGGTCTGAAAGATCTCTGATGAAAGCCGCGTAAGTTCTTTTGCGAAGCCGCTCTGCAGCTTCGTTTAAAAAAGCCGCTACGCGGCTTTCATTAGGGAGTTCTCCGACCCCGAATCCGCCCATTCGCGGTTACCTTTCCCACGTTGATTTTACCACCATTTTCTTTCACGGGAAAATGGCCGGTTGTTCCTTTGGTTTCGAAAATCAAAGAAGCATCGCCGTAAACAACAATTAGTGGTTGTCCATTGCTTCCCTTGTTTCGAGAATATTGGTACTCGCGTGGAACTAGCGCAAGAAATGCTTTCTAATTATTCAGTCTTGCGTAGCAAACAAAGATGCGACAACTTCAGCTGGTTGTTGACTTGTTGATTTTCGGCGAAATTAAAAATTTCCAAACACGAAGAGTCATTTTTTCTTTAGAGCACTTTTTTTACAAAAATTTGCATGCCGGGCTGAGTCAATTTTCAATCAAGCCTTCAAGCCTTCAAGTTCAATTAAAACTCTTTGATAATCGAATTAAACCATGGCTGATTTAGTAGATTGCTGGTAATCAATTCTGAACGCTTCTACTACCGGTCAATGCTGGGCTCAGCAATCTGAGTAGAAAACCTGAGTCAGGCTCTGAAAGAGCTAAAATGAAAAGCCGCGTAGCGGCTTTTTTAAAAACGAAGCCGCAAAATTTATATGGTTTCTTGGCGAAGCCGCTTTGCGGCTTTTCATTTTAGTTCTTCCAGAGCCTGACTCAGGTTTTCTACTCAGGTTGCCGAGCCCAGGGTCAATGCTCTCAATGAAACTCGAACAACATATCATCAAAAATAATCCACTCAAAATCTTTTTCAAAACCTACCGATTCCACCAATTTCCAGAGCTGCAATTAAAACTTATGCCTACCTGGATGTCAAAGTGGACTCAAGCTTGGACCAGTCAATCTCTGGAAGAAGATCTTCCTCTTCGTTCGAAGAGAGAGAGGCTCCCTCTGGATCGCCACGTGGGGAAAGATCCTCCTCTTCGTTGTTCATTTTTTTTTTTCTTGGATTTTTGCTCTTGGAGAAATGAAAAATAGAAAATAGCTGAGAGTTGTGTGTGAAAGTTTATGGTTTTTTTTGCGCAGCGGGGGGACTCAGCACCACTACTCGAGCGTGTTTGATCACCCTAGTTCAACCTCGGCCACATGACTCAGCTCTCTAATCCCATTGTTCAAAATGCGAAATTTGATTAATTTATGAGACGCGCCGTATGAAACGACGCTTCTCACCCTTTTCCAATAATACGTATGTTTGTAATTTTATTAAAAGCTTGGAAGAACTGATTTGTGGAAGAATGAAGAAAGGAAACTAACTGATTCAGAATGAAAGGGAAAATTCTAAAATTAAAGAAATCTAAACCACAGAGCTGGGCGACCTGTGAAGAAACCTGAGTCAGGGTCCTGAATAAGAATGGTCGTTGAAGCTCTCTCAGGACCCTGACTCAGGTTTTCACGCAGGTTACCGAGCCCGGCTAAAAGAAGAGGGCTTTTAGCTCAGTAAAACACGGTTCGGCAGAGATGATGTGGCAGCCGTTGGCACTGGTTTTTATCCAACATGGCGTAGGTCCAGAGGAAGGTGTCGACAATTACGTCGGTGATCTTTGCAAACTTCTTTTGAACTCTTCGCTAGAATGAAGATGAGAAGAAGAAGGTTATCGTTATAGGAAGTTACCAGTTCCGAAGTTCATTCGCTACCAAATGAGCGGCGTGAACGGAGACAGCACGGATTTCCACTTCTTCTTGCTCTCCTGGCTTGAACCGGTGTTGCTCGTTTAGCAGCTTTTTCAGATGCTCACTGAAGTAAAAGTTAAAACTGACAAGGGCTGTTTTTAGCGTCGACACCTATATTCTAACGCGCCCATGCTTTCCAACGATTGCGGTATTCTGTAGTCTGCAAATGCACTCAACTGGTGGATATCCTCGAATTTACAGAGCTTTGAAATTTCAGTTTCTTCGCTCTGCATCCCACAGTACCACAGATCCGCGCAAAGAAGCTGGGCGCGCTTCAAAATCCACATTCTTTCATTTCCCACTTTTTCAAAAGAGTTTCACAATTTTCGGGTTTACTCATTGACAATAAATTTTAACTTGGCAAACTCTTGCCTGGGCCGTAGAGCAAACTGTCGTTCCAGTTCGGCATCTAAATTCGTGAAAATTCGAGCGTTGTTCTCTCTTACTTCGCACAGCAATTCAATCAGCTTCAGACATTTTCCTTCGCAGCGTTCCAGGATTTTCTTGAGGCCGCCGTAAGAGTCGATCCACTTGCCAAGCTCGTTGATCGACTTGACTCTTTGGTCGAGCAGCGGCACTTCTCCACTGCCAGAGTCGCCTTCGAAAATAAAGGCAACGTCACTCCGCGTGGCCTTCATCTGCCATTTCGGGTCAGCCAGTTCGACTTTCCGACCATCAAGCGCTCGTGTGACCGAAGCGATCATCGCCCAGCTCCGCTTGTACGTATGTCCCCTGTGACTGATCGTCAAGGGCATTTCTCCGTCCTCAGGCCAAAAGCAATAATTCCAATTTCCGCAAAGAAATATCCAATTAAGCCCGTGCTCGTCCAAAACTGTCGGACGTAAATTATGCGTCCAGGTCTTTCTGCAAAAAGCTGGCATATCATCAAGTGCGTCGCCAATCTCTTTGGCAACTTCAGCAGCTACGACTTTGATTCCTGCTTCATTTACCTGCCATTTGGTTTTCCAACTATCAAAACTACAACAACAGAAATTAAATCACGAGGAAACCAAAGCTTGACATGCTCTGCAGTTTGCGCTATTCTGCCACAACTGCTAACTGCGCTGTAATCTGCCATCTTTTCTGAAAATTACATCGTTGACTTCAGTTGTTTTAGATTTTATTGAAGGCGACAATGTCAACAGATTGAACATAATCTTCCAAGGCGGTGATTTGTTCTTCAAGGTCTTCGGTGGAGACCTTGTCGTCTTCGACAACTGTCGTGATCTGCAATTTCTTGATACCGTAGCCGATGGCGACCAGCTTGCCAGTGCCCCAGAGTAGACCGTCCATGCTGATCTTTCTAAAGAACAAGGTTAGATTCCAACAAGAGCTTCGGTTAAGTTGCTTCCCACCTGACTTCGGCCTCGAGCGCCTTCATGTCGGTCTCGTCATCCCAGGGCTTGATATCAAGGATGATATTCGACTTGGCGATGATCTTGCCTTTCTTCTCTTCCTTGGCGGCTTTCTTGGCGTTGTAAGCGGCAACTCGCTCGGCCTTGATTCTTTCTTGCTCAGCTGCGGCATCTTCGTCTTCGCTATCATCGCCGAAGAGATCGATGTCGTCATCTTCTTCTTCCTCTTTCTTCTTGGCTGGAGCAGCTAAAATACATTTCTAATCTAGAATTATGGAGGATAACTAAACATAATCAAGTCTAAAGAGGATCTAATTTAAAACCAACCTGGAGCAGCGCCGGGCAACCTTGGCTCTCCAGGAAGAGAAGCGAACTCGCTTTCATAAGAAGCAATGTTTCGCCACCATCTGGCGAGGTTGACAAGTTTCTCGTCGACTTTCTTGATTTGAACAAAGTAGAAGACGTCCTCCTGGCTTGGGGTGTAGCCAGAGACGTAGGGCAAATCGAGCAGCTTTCCGTTCAACTTTGCTTTTTCCGCGTCGCTCAACTCGGGGTACGAGACCTTCTCGACGGGTTTCTTTGGCGCTGGCTCCTCTTATGAAAGACTGCAAAAGAGATCAGACTCATCTTGAGAGTCCTGATCGCGAATTCAAAAAGAGAGAAAGACAGAAGAATACAAGATGAGTCTGAGCAATTTACTGTATTTGCGTGAATACAGTAAGATTATCTCAATAGTTTTGCAGCCTCTATTCTTCGTAGATCCAGCTGTACATGGCGGAGTCCCAGTTGACGAGTTCGTTCTTGTTGAACCAGAGTGCGATTTCGTGGTTGGCGGAGTCGACGGAATCGGATCCGTGGCAGATGTTTCGACCGACCTAAATTTGAAGATTAAGAAGTTAGGAGACAGCTTCTGTTGCTTGCCTGGATGGAGAAGTCTCCTCGGATGGAGCCAGGAAGAGAAGCCTGTGGGTTAGTCTCGCCGAGCATCATTCGGCCGCACTTGACGACGTTGAGACCTTCCCAGACCATGCAGACGATTGGGCCGGAAACCATGTAGTCGACGAGGTCCTTAAAGAATGGCTTCTTGGAAAGATCGGCGTAGTGCTTCTCGAGGTGAGCTCGGCCAGGAGCGCACATCTTGAGCGCGACCATCTTGAATCCGCGCTCCTCAAATCGCTAAAAATAAAAGTTTAGGAAGTTTATTTTACCACATCCTGGCACAGGAAAAACCCATTTGCCAAAAACCAAGTTAATAAGTTATTTATAAATACAAATTTATTCTACTACCAGAATTGGGCTCTATATTTATTTATAGCCTATAAATTAATAAATTATAGAGCAGATCTCTATATAAAATCTAATATTTCATACACATATTTTGAACCAGAATATGGCTCTTTTTCTAAAAATAAAAAGGACCTTATTCTGGTAGCTACTAGCTAAATTGCAGTATAAGTTTGCCTATGATATAGATACACGTAATAGCGATATCACTGATATCATATCAGTAGATGGATATCCTATCATCCTTGGTTATGATTTTCGAAGGAAGAAATGAACGTACCTGGATGATCTTGCCAACGAGGCCTCGCTGAACACCATCAGGCTTGATAGCAATGAAAGTTCTTTCTCGAGTAGCCATTCTTTCGTCTGAAATAAATTGTAAAGGCGCGAAATCAATTCAAAGACCAGGGTAGTACAATCTCTAATTAAGCCCTCTCTCTAATATCCCAGTCGCGGGGATGAGTATTCAATTTGCAATAGTAATAGTAGCTAGTGTGGTCATCTGATTCGCACCTTTGCGGAAACTTGACGAGGAGCGTTGCCATGCGCCGCATGTGACGATTTTTCACGTTTTTCGCGAAGGATTTTTGAGCACTTTTCATTTCTGAATTAGATTTTCAAAATTGATTGGAAAAGGAAGGGCTTCAGAATATTTTCAGAATTTATTTATTCGTGATGTGTTATCAGTGTTATGACTTTGACTGTGAACTCTGATAAAGAAAATAAGATAATAAAAATAATTAGTTTTTTTTTCGAAAAATGCGCATTTTCTGGAATGAGGTTCTTCACAGGGTTGAAATTTAACACAAGGACAACAAAATCGTATTTACAACAGTTGTGTTTTGCAGACGAAGAAAGTAAGTAAGGGTCGGTTTACATGCCAGTCGTTCTGTCCGAATTCTGCTGGTCGAAGTAGCGCGTGTCCCAGTCTGTGCGGAGAATTGGCTCCCAGGGCGCGTTGATTGTTCTTTTTTGCAGTCCTTGCCAGTCGAAAGCCTAGAAATGAACAAATGAGTCGGTTATTTCAACTAATTTTGGCTAGGAAACAGTAAGAAAGTCTACATTTTTGGACATGAAATCAAGGAAGAGAACGAGAGAATAAAAACTAACCTGGAACCATCGATGATTTTTGATCTCGTCAATGCCGCCCTTGAAGTTACCGAGTCGCTTACTGGGATTGACCTGGACAAGTGCCTTGACAATATCTTTTCCTGGGCGCGTGATTCTGTTCGGGAAGGTGGCGACGTCGATTCCTTTCATGATGAACTTGGGGCTCTTGAATGGCGGTTCGCCCATCGTTAACTCGTAAATGAGCACTCCCAGGGCCCAGTAATCGACCGAGAAGTCGTGGCCGTATTTGAGTAGTACTTCAGGCGCCATGTATTCCGGCGTTCCGCAGCAAGTCCATCGCTTTGATCCGGGCTGGGTGATTCGAGCAAGGCCGAAATCGGCGAGTTTCGCGTAACCGTGTCGATCTATCAGCAGATTCTCGGGCTTGATGTCTCGGTAGACGATCTTGCGAAGATGCAAGAACTGGATCGCTTCTATCGTACATGCTACGTAAAATTGAGCGCGCTCTTCTGGGAAACGCTAGAAACAGCGAGTCAAACTTCATCTACATAACAATCGTACCTTGTGTTTTTTAAGATGTGTCCAAAGCTCTCCACCGAGACACGGCTCCATCAGTAAGTAAACATAATGACTGTCAGTGAGAGTATAGAATAACTTGCAAGGGCGCGACAAAATTCAACACGAACGAGTTAACTTAGAAATTAGAGAGTTACTCACAAAGCAATAAAAATATTTGCCCTTTCCTTGACGATGAATTTGCACTCGGACGTTTGCATAATTGTTTTCTCCAGCTCCATGTCTTTCTTGTTGATCTTGGTTCGCGCGACCCGCTTCCTCGCATAGAAACGGTTCTGCTTTCGTACTTTGACGAGTTCGACCTTGCCGAAGCCGCCTTCGCCGAGGATCGACATGGTCGCAAGGTTGGCAAGGGAGATGTCGGGGTCTTTGTCCGCTTCGGGTTGCTTCTTGATCTGCACGTAGCCTTGGTCTGGATCGGGTCGTTCTGGGTAGTTGTCGGGAATGTTTCCAATCAGTCGCAGAACATCCTTCTTTTCGAGCGTAAGAACTTGGACTTCAGTGCTTGCTTGGACAGTGGCAGTTCTTTCATGGAAATGTAAAATTGTTCGAATAAAGTCTACTAACAAATCGAACCCTTTTTCTAAAGGTAATGCTGGAATATATTTCGCAAAGCGAGCTCAATAAACGATAGTAAAAGACTGAGCTTAATTTGCCACGGAAATCCCTCAGTGTATGCATTCTTCCACCGCTGACATTAAATATTTGGCATTTCTGTAGTCACAGTAAATCCCTCTACTTCCTAGTTCTGACACTATATTTTCAAAATTATGATTCCCTTCCTTTTGTTCGAGTTCGCCTTGTTCATCAGGGCCTTTTCTCCAAAGTGGCTGCCAGCGGCGAGTTCTCGGAGGAACATTTGCTTGTTTGTCTTTTCGTCGAGCTGGTAGACCGCGCATTTACCCTTGACGATGATGTAGAAGGTTTCGCCTTCGAAGCCTTCCCGGACAATGTACTGGTTCTTTTGGTAAGTTTCGCGGTCTGCTACATGGGCAATCTTGGCCACTTCATAATCGGACAAGTGACGAAGAATGGAGATTCGACGGAGGAAGGTCGATCTAGATTGCAGTTTTATCATCTTTGAAATGCTTGATTTTGATGTTATTACCTGTCAATATATTCAGTTTCGTTGGTGTTCTGCATGATCTTCTTGAATTGCGCACGATTGATGCTCCAAATTGTGCAGTTCATCGTTGCGATTACATTTGCCGTTCGTTTCGTGTTGAAGAGCAACGCGATTTCACCAAGAGTCGCTCCAGCTTTCATCTTGTGAATAACCTGACGGCGTCCATCCCCCTCGTCATGGCTTACTTCTACTTCTCCATGCTCAAGAACGTACATTTCTACTGCATCAGTGCCTTCCCTTTATTTTCGTTTCGACATTTCAAGTTCATAAGCTCATCTTTAAAAAGCCCAATTGTAGGAAAAGAATATTTCGAAACTATCCTAATGACAACATCGTCCTTTTTGTAAGAAGTCTGCTGCATAACTTCCACGATCGCCTCAATGTGTGTGATATCCAGAGCTTTGAGCAAGTCACAGTTTCGCAGCGCCGTCTTGAGCATCGTCGTTGTCTTCGCAGATTTGGAAACGCGCTTGAGCTCGACTGCTTTGCCATCGACAGGATCTGCTGCTTCCTCGATTCGTCTTCGAGGAGCGACGGAGACTGTTGTCAAATCGCTTACTTCTTGGACGGTTGATATTGCTTTGACTTTTTTGGTGAGAGCATCGATTTCTGAAATCTTTGTTGATTTCAAAAAAAGGATTGAGACGAAAATTTTCCAGTTATTTGACCATTTTTCTAGCACTAGAATCGAAGTAAAAAGATGTCCTTGAAACCAGACTTTTCGTCTTTGAATTTTGAGGAAAATAGATCATTCATTATTATTCTTGAATTTTATGTGGCCACTTTATGCCCGTTCTTTGATCGCTTCCCTTGGAACTGAAAAGCAAAGAATGCTAACCTTTATTCTTCTTGTTTACATCTTGCGTCAGCGAGGCGTTCTGACTGCGCAAAAGCTGCAGCTCGCGTTCGACTTCGGCCGGCACTTCCTGCTTTCCTAGCTTTTCTACATTTTATTAAGATGGACATCGCCATTACATTTGCCATAAAAACTCGAAAATGCTCTTACGACAACGCTCAACAAATATTTACTCGAATGCATGGCAATTGAATGCTCATCCATTCTTCTCGACAAGTAGCCTAGCCACTTCCCACATTAAACATCTTCGATTTTCACCCGAGCAAATTCAGCTACTGATAAATCCTAAAAGCCATTCCTGTCGGAAACTTTCATTGTTGAGCCCTTGATTATTTTTCTTCTGGTCTTCAAGCTTTTTCGTGTCTTTCTGAAGTTTGTTCTCTCTCTCGCGCACCTCTCGTTCGCGATTGTCAAGTACCTTCTCACGGTCATCTTCTCGGGCTGCTCTATTTCGATTAAAAAAATCCCTTTATGGAAGATATATCTGCTATTTGCACTTGGGCCCAAGACCGGCAACATAAAAAAGCTTAGAGCGCGCCCGGTTCCTAATTCTTTTTCGCGCTCTTTTGAAGAGTCTGAGCAGCAACCAAAAATCCCCATGTCTTCTCAGACCGTAGTATGTCTCTGTTTGATTCTAAGCGTTTCTCTCTGTTTCTAGTTGTTGGGTCTCTAGTTGAGTTATTCGCGTGTTGCAGTGGCTACCTGACCGATTAAGCAAATTCCAAGTGAGCAACTCGTTTCGCTGGTTAATCATCAACTACCGTCGAGCACACCGAATTCAAACGCTCCGAAGTAAACAACCATTATGATATGAGTTCGGTGGGATCTAACTTCTCTTATCTCACAACACAACAAACACTAGCCAGCTGCACCTTACTGTAGATTCAAAATTGACAGCCACACCTTCATGACTTCAGTAAATAGCAAAGACCGAGGTAGATATGAAAACTATCAATTTTCAAGCACACTTTTTCCGACAGTTAACAAAGTGACGCCCTTATAAAATAAGGCTTATACTATCAACCTGAGCATCAATTACCGTAGATTATGAATAAATATGGGAAATAAATAACAAAAAATTAGAAAATAAAAAGAATTTATTAAAGATAGAAAAGCATAAAAAAATTTGTTGGAATTCGAAAGTTGGAAAGAATGTAACAGTAGATGAAGTTTCGTAGCGGAGGAATGCTAGTTGGACTGGTCGGAGAGGGAGTTGTCTGGCTGTTTAAGGATTATCGAAATGTTTCGCCCTGTTTACCCTTTGATAGCATTTACTCGTTAATTCGAGCTTGACGTCAGAGAAACGACGCTTCTCTCTTCAAACAACTCAAACGCTCCTAGCCACTTTTAGGGTAAATGACTTAAACTAAGTAGGTCTAAATCCTATTCCTGTAAGTCAGTAGGATCATCGTACTCGGACTCTTCCGAGATTGTCTCTTCGAATGGGGCAGACATGGCGACATTGGCTGGATTTGCTTGATTCTTGACTCGGTACCGAATTTCGCCTTCAGAGAACTCTCGCGAGGTGACCGGAGAGACATCGTTCGCTGAGCACTCTATCTCGCCTGAACACGTGATTTATTTTTATACGAGCACATTAGCGCATTTAGGACGGCAAATATCAATAGCAAGTGTGTTTGATAATGTCGCGTTTCAGAGTGGACAGATAAATCTCCCTTCTTTCGGGAGATTCAAGCGTCCAACTTGAGTTCTTTGGATAACCCTACCTTCGGATAAGCTGTCCCCTGTTTTCCTGTTTCGCGTATTTTGTCGTTTGGGCAGTGACTTCGGAGGAGCTCTGTATTCGCCGAAAGAAATGATCAATTCACCCGGGCTGAATGTGGCGTCGGTCGAGCTGCAAAGAGTTGACTCTTCCGATTGAGTATGAAGCGAGGGCGGACTCTGCACGACGGGCACCTCCTAAAACGTCATTGAGCATCAACGAATGACTCTCAAAGAGTGGAAAACGCGATCCTATCTCCGCAAGAGCATCTGGCCTTGACATCCCAACGGGCGAATCGGTGCTCCTACACATGACCGGAAAAAGACGAAAGCACATGTGTGTGTGCGAGGAAACTCTACCGGAGAGCACTGGATAGATGAGAATACCTGGATAGACGGAGGACGCTCTTCAATTTCCTGAGGCGGCGCAGCCTTCCCTGGAGTAGACGACCGGATGGGTGTAGGTGACGACTTTCCATCCAGCGAGTTTATGGAAATAACACTAAAATGACGTCTAAGATATATAATATCCAAGCAGTTCTCACATAAGATTCTCTTATTCCGCTGGTTGATTAGAATAAGAGTATCACTATGTTACTTCTAGAGGTCAAAAAAGGGATTCACGATAGCTAATCAGGAAGAATAAGGATGATCTTTTCAAAACTTACGATTTTGTGGAAGCGCCGGGAGTGATAATTTGACTAGCAGCAAGCTCATCATCAAATTCATCGTCGTATACGTTCGACATTTCTGGCGTGTGGCCAGCAGTAAACGACGAGATTGTCCGTTCACTCTCCGACTTCTGCAGAATTGGTTTGAATGATTCTATTGATTCAATTTCAAAGTCTTGACTGTAGCTTTCTTGGTCTTTACCATCGGACTCGTCGATCGGCAGATTCTCCAGAGTGTTGTTTTCCTTGAGTGAAGGGGAACGAGGAGGCCTTTGTGACGGATCAGGAGTGGAAATGTTAGCTACCGTCTCGTCGATGAATGCTTCTAACTCGATCGGCGCTGGGGACTAATCGATAATCTGTTAGATCATATTCTTTGAAGAGATCTTTTTACCTCAATAGAGTGGATCGGACTCGGCGTCATCGGGCGAACATAAGTTTGGCTGACAATAAGCGGCTCTGCTTTTCGCTGGACTACAGGTTCAGGCGCTGGCGGAGTCTTCTCTCGCCTCATTTCACGCAGGTACTTGCGGACCCTATCTTCCACCAATTTACGAAGAAGTCTTTCGTCCTGTGGCTGTTGGTGATGTCGTGGAGGAACAACGGGATGAGGGTTTGGCTTGACACCCTGTTGGATGAATTTCGACATGAATTCGCGTTCCAACCAGCCCTTGAGCTCATCCACCCGATCATCCACTGAAAATAACGTTGATCAGGGATCAAAGAGAGCGTGACAGATGAAAAAGAGAGAGAGAGGGCAATTAAGAGTTTAGTCATTTCGCGCTCATTAGATATATGTTCTTAGTTATTCACTTTTTTTCCCTCTTTTTTAATCTATAAAAATCAATTACCTTGTGGAGAAGCGGGTCTTTCATTGATGGCTTCGTATGATGGCTTGATTATAAGGGGAGGCTGACGAGAGTCCTAAAATGACAATTATAGAACAATAAGATTAATTGCTATAAATCTTCAAAGGAACGTCTTGATTGATACACTATCAATAATGTTACACAATAGACTCTAAATGAATATAAAATTCAAAACAAACTTACGCTTGTTAAGGTTGCCTGCGTTTCAACGGATGAGTAGGGCTGAGTATTGGTGGGCTCCGTCGTTGCCATTGGGGTGACAGAGGTATTCTGGCTTCGATCGACTAGTTCCGCGGAAGGAATCGGCGTCGAAGAAAGCACCTCCGAAGTACTGGAAATGCTTACTGTGCTAGCAGACTCGGGAGAATAGCTTCTGCGATTTCTGCTGGAAGGACCGGCGCGAACAGGCGGCGCGATTTGAATCGCACTTTCTCCTCGTTCCAGGCCGAGTCTCGGCGTCGTCTGCGACTTGGAAGAGCGCACACGGATTCCTTGCGAAATCTGCACGTTTGTATGATGCTAGTATAAAGATGAGTCTTTTGGATCAATCGATAAAGAGCAGAAGTACCTTTGGCGGCGATTGATGATAAATGTACGGGTTTCTGCCGAGCCTCTTCGCTCCGCCTTGCCATTCGGCTCTGCCATAAATCGACCTTAGCTTTTCATCCGCAAATTCCACCGATTGTGTCTTCCTAGCCGTCTGGGGAGCTTTACGTCGTGGAATCACACTGCTCCGTTGTGCGGTTTGAGCAGCTTTGGGTTTTTCTCTCTGAAATCGCTGCTTGGATGCTACCTTTGTCGGTACTTTTGCTCGAGCATCGCTGATTGCTTTTGAAACCTTGAGCTTGATCGGTTTTTCGTCCAAGAACTCGTCCTCTGCAAGGGGGTCAATTTGAGCACGACGCTGCTTCTTTAGGTTTTCGTCGAATAGTCGCCGTCGCGCAGCCACTTCTTCTAGCTCGTTCTCAATGGTGCTGAAAGCCGATTCTGGCTTCTCGTGCCAGATCTTGATCGGCTGGCTCTGTCCGATTTTGACTGGACTTGAAGGACGCACTGGCAGCGGTGACACTTCATCCAACCAGTCAATATTCAGCTCCTCACTAACAAAAACGGGTCAGAAAAGAACTAAAGGTTATTCAAGTCTAAGCTCATTTTCTATACAAAGTCTGCTTCAAAACCGTTTCTGCAAAAATGTTGCCAGTAGTCGTTGTTGATTTCAATGCCTATTTCCTGATCCTGCTCAAGAAAGAAAAGAAAAGTAGTGAATAGCTATGGGTTGTATTTTCTAAACAAAGACAGAAGAATGTTAAAAAAAAGTTGCTTGAACGCAATGAACGTCGAAAAAAAGAAGAAGTGAAAGCAAGAAAAAAAAAGTTATCATTCGACCAATTTACAGCACCATGAGAAAATCGACCGTGTTTTTTTGAAAATAAAAGTGGCAGGGAAGGGGAACTACGTCGACTGTACAAATGGAACAGGGTGAGTGACAGTAATACACGCTTTGAACTGACTAAGTACATGAACTTGAGGAAGACGCCTTAAGTCGAAGGCACGATTTTAGGGTGGGGCCTTTTATCCAGCTTGTTTCTACAGTAACTAAAGTATTACACAGTCACGCAACTTGTTCTCGTCGTGTTTTTTGTAGTGCATGTGTATTTCTATCAAACGAAGCGTTTAACAAGTTAGAGGTAAATTTGCAAAAGTGAAATTGAAGAACCAGATTTCGAGAATAAGGGCTCGTTGCACCGTTACCAGTTGAAGAGAACGAAGAAAAAGAAAATAAAAATAAACGACAAAATGAGCATTTAATGAACTGTCACAATCCTGGCCAGAAATCAGCGTTTTTTCGGTGAAAAGAAATGGGAAAAATACCTTTATTTTTGGCCAGAATTACGCGATGGCCCTTAATTGAGCCGATGAGATGCTATCTTGTTCGTTGCTCATTTAGAATGTGTGCTATTTATGCTATATCCGTGTGTGTATATAACCATATGACAAGTTATTTGATGAATAATGTATCATTTTGCCGCTTGAAATTAGTGAAGGGATGGAGGAGCAATTATCGGAGCACCAGGACAACGAATTGTTTAAAATTGCGATAAGTTGCTCGATATCGACGGTTAGCCGACTCTCTCCTTGACGCCTGGATACATGGAGAAGGCGGCCGGGTCGTTGGCGCTCATCGGAGAGAGTAGCGTGTATGCGGGAGGGACCCCAGCCGTGCGGCGATTGCGCGGATTCTTGAACTCCTGGCTCATCAAGTTCGAGAGAGCCAGCTGTGTTGGGTTTGTCGGTGTGAATGTTGGAGGCAAGTAAGGAAACCCAACGCGCTGTTGCAACCATTCTTGGCTGAAAACAGCGTTAGAAAACTTATTTTTGGAAAATCAAAATTCTTGTAATGGACTTACCCCATAAGCAAACGAGGGTCGTACTGGGCTGGTGGGAGAGCTTCGGCCTCGCTCATCACGGTCCGCGAGTTGGGAACAAAAACCGTCGGTACATGTGTTGTTGAAACGGGAATCTTGGGCGACTTCTGGGAAATCACCGACTCCTGAGTATGAGTTGGGAGAGCAGCTCGTCCACGCTGATACAAAAAGGTGGCTAAAGAGAGCCATTTTTGTCCGTCGAAAACGTTCATTTGCACCTTTTTGGGGATATGACTAGAATGGCTTAGATTTATAGTCACTGTAATTTTTTCTACTAAAGATTACTCGACTTTGATTCTGTTATGCAACATTATGTAAACAAATAATATAGATGAATGCGAGAAATGCGCGTCTCAAATTTGCGTAATAAACAAATGAATAAACAGGACTATCACAAGATAAGAATAAGCGTCTGTCACATCCTATCCTTGCTCAATTCGAACTGATTCTGTGCCAGCGTCATTCTAAAGTCGGCAATATTCGTAAACTTTTGTCCCTGAAGGAAGCCATCGTCGACGACGATGTGGTAGATATCCGGCGCGCTGATGACGACGTGAAAATTAAACGAGCGCCTATCGCCGCTGCCGACGATGCCGCGGTAAATCATCGGCATGCCGCCGTTTCCGGCGCCTGTTTCTGCGCGGCCGCTTGATGCCACGCTGCTTGTCGCAACTACCGGTCGCGAAGACGTCACTGGCGGTGGCGTCAGCGTTGCTACTGCGCTCGAGTAACTGATCGTTGGCTTGCTAGCACTGGAAGACCTCTCTCGTGTCCGTTGCCGATGGTCCTTCATGTTCTCCACCGCGCTTCTGATCAGCTCGAGCGACCCTTAAATTATTTCATAATTACTTTCTCCAACAGAAGTACAGCTTTATGTCATCAAACAAAAAGGGTGTAACAAAATGGTATAACAATAAAAAGCGCCCATAAAACATATTATTATCTTTTGATGACTAGAAAGAGATACATTCATTAAAACATAAATTTTATTCTTCTTGAAAATAAATATAATAATTTTACAGCCGTAAATTATTTTGAAGAGTTGTTTTTGTGGTTAGAAAGGATTTTCAAAATAAAGAGTACTAGTCTTAGATGATCTTGTTTGACACCGAAAAGAATGTACAAAAAGGTCATCATCATAACTCAATCTAACGAGCTTCGGCTTTACGAGCTTAGGGCCCTTGTGGCGAAGCTCTGAGCCACTTTCTCGTTCAAAAATTGCGGGATAAGCTAGAATAAGGCTACAGTAAAGGAGCCCTCGCAGTAAAGGAGGCCTTTAAAAGGAATGAAATATTCAGAAATGAGCGGTCTGCTTTTCAGACGAGCCCTTTTAAATATCGATGACTTCTCAGAGAGGTTATCGACTGGGCACGAGTCACGTGTTCGGTAAACCCAGGAGAAAAAAAAAAGAAAACAATCATAGGATTGATTTTAACGATATCATAAAAAGAATAATGATAACAAATAAACAATGATGTCTTCTATTTTTTGATAAGGAATGCGCCCTAAATATACATACTTTATGAAACCGTCATTAATTACGATTCTCTTTATTGAAAAATATGTAACACATAATCGACTATATAATGGAATAAAAAAAGACCTTAGATCGGAAAATATTTTGTTGAGTTGTAAAAATAGCCTTCTATTTATGGAAAATACGATGTATTATTACAAATTGAAATGTATATTTCTGAAGCGTTGTTTCTTTCGCGAGATATATCACTTATGGAAATTAGGGCGCGTGGAAACTTCTATTTATAAACATTCAAATAGAGGTGAACTTGGGGAGATGTAAGCTTACGTACCTTCGTGATTGGCGCATGCTCGGCAGACGTGCTCGTTGTTCAGGTGCAAAATGTCGCCACCGACGAAGGCCCAGCAGTTCTTCTCCTCTTCGCATAAAATGCAGGTCAATCTGCCCTGGATCGTGCTCGAGGAAGACGTGCCGTTGGAAACTGGCGATATGTGAGGCCCGTTGTTGGAGCCGACCGAGACGCGCCCGCTAGACATTCTTTTTTTTTTGACTTTCTCTGGCGACTCTGGCTTCTACTTTCTCTTCGTTGATTGCACCTTCTTCTCGATCAGAATCAACTCTTCATCAACTTGGGATCTGTTGTGTAGGGTCAAGTTGTTATTATTCAGCTCGATCTGTTTCTCTTATTCCTTACACTTCTTCTGTACGCGCTTCTGTCTCTCTGGCGCCACCACCCGAGCGCTCGTCTTGGAGGCGATGCTGCTTCTGATGAAGAACACCTGCGATCGATGCTTGAGAAAAAAAGAAGAAGAATGGTCAAAGTTAAAATCGGAGAAAGGCGCTCTGGAATCGCGAATCGCTCTATTTCTGGCCAAGTGGCGAGTTAAGGGACCCCTCCGCGCGATCTGATACACGCTCCCGACAACACGCGTAACAATTAAATTAGATTAATAGCTCCGCGTTGAAGTCTCTCTCCCTCTCTCTCTTCCGACTTTCCCTAGATAAAGTCTAGTTGATTAATAATTGAAAAATCAGAATCATAATGAAGCCGAGTTCAAATAAGCGCTTTTGATTATTTATACGAGCAAAGTTCAACTAATGGAACAAACAGAAAAAAAGGCATCGCTTTGGTTTCTAATTTATTATTTAATAAATTGAGGCGTGCTTCAGTTTGTCGCCAAGACGAGAATAAAACCATCGATTATTATTTTACTCAGCACGAAATTACGGGCTCGATCAAAGCTTCAAAGCATCAAAAATTCGCAATAAAAGTAAAAACCCGTCTTTCCGAAAGTGAACCCGGCCGACAAGCGTTTTAATATTTTACTCTCGCTGTCGAGCGAGATGGAACGCCAAGAAGAGATCTTTGGTTAATAAAAAATTCAATAGTAAAATTTATACAGTACTAGTGACTGAAGTGAGCCTTCCATCATCCCTATTATCTCGCGAAAAAACGGCCAATTTGTTCTAAAAGTAATTTTTTTAGACCAAAAAAGTAGCAGAATCGATTGAAAAAAAGAGGTGAAAGTCAACAGTAGTAGTTGTCTGTAATTCGTTCTCCTGATATAGACCGCCCTATAGAACCCTACAGTCCTTCTTTTTTAGACGCTAAACTCAATAATTCTTCCAGAACATGATTAAAACAGAACGCATTTGGAATTAGTCAAATAATCTGTCCAAATGTCGTGATGGGTTAAAACCGCCACAATCGGATTTTGTTGGGAATAATCTTAATTTGCTCTGCTCGTCTACCGAATCGCTAATAAGAGGAGTGAAGTGGACTCGCTCGTTATTTGGGCAACTTTATTTGCAATTAGTTACTTATGGAGACTTGATTAGATTCTGTCAGTGTCAGGACGACTGTTTTTGTTTGTGAATGGCAGCTTCTTATTGACCTTGTCTATCTATTCCTTCTTTATTTTTCGAACGCTTTCGAAATTGACGCCACCTGCTAAATAAATTGCAAAACAACATGTCGTCACCCATCAACATGGAGTGATAAAGAAAAAAAAAGTTGATAGCCCATGTCATCTTTGATTTTTTCGCTGCCGGGATTCATAATTAGTTCGCCTGCAAATTGCTCCTATTGCGCGAAGTACAGTCAAATGCCAAAGTCGAGAAGCCGCTTGCGGCTCCGAGTTAGCCAAAGCTTTGCGCGGCTTTTCTGTTTCCTTAATCTCAAAGCTGCAAGCAGCTTTTCGATTAGGCTTTAATTTCTGGTAGTTTGAGCTTTGAAGGTTGACTGTAAGAAAGAGTAACTTACGCTTGGAAATGAACTGAGTTTTGCCCTGCTATGCGCCCTGTTATAAGGCAGCAAGGTGGAAGAGGCTCACCTGAGGTGATCCCTCGCTCGGCGAGGAGCTGAGCTGAGGGGATGATGCTGCTCCACTCTCGCTGTGACCGACGGTCTAGGCACATCAACGCGTGGATCTGCAGAATTGACCCGAAAATCCCCGCAAAGCTGCTTTCTTTAGGTTACAGCTCTGCTTCGTCACTTCTGGCAGCGTTACCCTTCTGTTTAGCGTACTGGAGCACTTGTCTCAGCAGTTCAAAAAAGGTTAACTCATCTACAAAAAAGAGATGTATGCAAGTTAGTGACTGCTACTCCCTTATTTTAATTTCACATGAAGAAATTGGAAGACCCTTAGAGGACATAGAAGTGCATTTAAAAAACATGGTGGAAATTCGAATTCTGAGTTTTAATTTTGGCTGTAGCCTTTCCTGTCGGACAAGTTGATTTGATTGCTTCATCTGTTCGAGGAGCATGTTTTGAACTTGGACTTGTTGGCTCTGAAGCTGCTCCATTGCCGTGATGCGTCTGTTAGTCAAATCTGTCGAGGGGATTACTCTCATACATTTTCTGTCACTTTCTGGGCAGCCCTTCTCTCAAACTGGTGCTGGGAAGCGAACTGGCTCTAGCTTTAATCCCCTTCCTTCAAGCGGATGACTCGTCAGCTCCTTGATTTTCTCCGTAAGAGAGGCGATTTTGCTTTCCAAAGAAGCTAAATCAGCCAGTTATATTGGTAAAATAAGTTTAAAAAAACCTTTCAATTCCGCAGTTTGTAGAATTTGTGGAATAACCATACTCGCGTTGAACTGGTTATTCGCCGTTTCAAAGTAACCAGAGTCCATCGTCTGGGTATTGAGCCGCTTTGTCTGGACGGGACGGAACGTGTGACTAGATACGAAATTAGCAACTGACGGAAAATCACGGCGGCGGTGTTACTTTTCACTGGCGAACTCGGGCGCGGCCGCTTTCAGCTGCTCCATCGCTTCCAACTCGGCGAAGGAAGCTTCGTGCGCCGCGTAACTGTCCGTCGAACGAGAAGACGAGTTCGACTCCGAAATCGCTCTAAAGATCATTTGCCCGATCTGAGCGTCGCTCAGTTGATTCTCCATCTTCTTTCAGCGCATCTTAACGGAGAAAAACGCTGGCTAATTATTTGATAATTGCGAATAATAGAACTTTAAAAGGAATCGGAACATGGACTCGGCACTTTGAGTCGAGCCCTGACTCAGGTTTCTACACAGGTTTCCGCGACAAGTTCGTAACAGAATGATCAGAAGTCAAAAATAAAATTTACAAAAAGAAAAGGAGATTTTTCAATTCTTGGAAGTCGAATTCCACGATTTGTAGTCCAGTTTGCGCGCAACTGCTTGACCGGCAATGACACTCGTTGCCGCAGCAACACCGGCGGCGTTGAGCAGCGCACCGGTTTCGAGCATGATCACAGCCGGAGGAAAACCGCAACTGGCGATCAAAATGACAGCGTTTCGAACGTAGGAATTGATCGCGTTTTGAGGGTACTTTAGTAAATCCGCGTGTGCGCTTGTATCAACTCCGAAAAACGTCAAAAGCTAAAGTTTCGTTATTTCTCTGTGCATGTGAGATTTCTTACAAGCAAAGCGAAATGGATGCAATTGTAGGTTTTAACATCGTATGCTGCTTTGGTGAATTGACCGTCCGCTTTCAAGGAGGAAAGAAATTTCTCAAAATCTTCTCGACTTCGGGGTTTTCGTACGTTACTTTTTTCAGATCACCAGTGAACTTTGACAGGCACCTGATCTGGAACAATACCTGTCTAGAAACCTGAGTCAGGGTACAAAAAAAGCTTTAGCTCTCTTTTGCCACCCTGACTCAGGTTTCTTAACAGGTTACCGAGCCTGCTTTTTCGAAAAACAATCGTGAACTGTGCCTAACTGTTTGATTTCGAGTGGATCGAGCTTCGGTCTTCTTGTTGTTGAAAGTCCATCGTCTCCGTAAGAGTACTCTCTTCCAAAAGCAAGCACTGATGCATGAGGAAACTTGGCCCCAGTGGAGTTGGTGGAAGACACAAGCCCTTTCGCTGGGTTTGTCTGTAGTTCAACATTATTGAATCTTCTTTGTGAGTGAAACCCTTTTATTTGGTCATTGTCACGAAGGTACCCTGACGAATTTCTCTAACTTTCAGGTAGACTTTCGTTGAATCAATTTCCATAACAGGCCAATTCTGAAAGAAGAAGACTGTAATTTTCAATAATCGCATTTTAGTATTAAAAAAGAACACGCGTGCGCAATAAAAGGAAACAGTTTCAAGAACTCAGTTCAACTGATTCTTGAGGAAAATAATAATAAATAGTGAAATTGTGAATTGGCTTTTTGGAACTTTTGTTGAATAGTAATAATAATTATCATATGTTGCATATAAGATTGTAAATTGCACCGAAGGAGAAGAGTAAATGGTGAATAGTAGCATTTTACTGGAACTGTTACTGTAAGTGACAGGATCTCAGAGGACCGAAAGCCACTGGGAGCCGGTCCACTTTTCGCTGGGCTATTTTGGGAGAAAGATGATTTTGTTATTGAGGGGGCACTGCTTTTTTGAATGGAAACAATCTCAGCTGACACTCGCGACTGTTCGGACTGTAACTGCAAAGTTAATTGACCTGGAAACCCTCCATAGCCGATGTATCCCAAGACGATATCATAATTAGCTCCTGCGATTTCGGCTAATGACCTGTTTGACCAAAGAAGCGTATCTTTTTACTTCTACACGCACTTCTGAAAGCGCTGATAAACGAAGATTAAAATCTTTCCCAGAAAAACCCGGTTGAACTTTTCGCTAATCCTTCGAAATAGCAAAGAATAGCGCTTCATTTTCTCCATTCCTTCAAAACTTTTCGCTGGGCAACGTAACCCGGCTCAACGCAGACCATATTTTTGTATCCATCGTCGTTGAAATCCCCCATTGCTTTGGCTTTCTCGATCCATGGATTCCAGAACACGACGTCTTAAATGAAGAACGATGAGCTTCTCTCTCGAAAAACGGGGATTCTTACCAGGTAGTCCTTTGCGCGAGACTTTGACCTTGCCTAGATTGGAAGAGACAATTTGGTCTTTCTCAACGCCCTTGTAGATTTGGTCAACATTTGCTTCGATTTTTACTGCGTCGGAGGTTTCCACGAAATCTTCTCCTGTCAACGAGTTCGAGCACTTTTCTTGCTGGAATCCATTTACTGAAAGTTAGGGTTACGGCCCGTAACTTACGGGAAGTAAGAAAATCTTATCACCTCTCATATCAGAGCTCTTTTGAATGCTTGAGAATGTACCTGTCATTGACTGAATATCTACGTTTAGATAGGTGTGAAGAAGGGCGGTGAAATCAAACTCCTTCTGATCGGTATTCTCCACAGTCATGATCGTATACAGCGTGCTTTCGTCGATCCGAACTTATTTTGAGAATCTTTACTTCAGAAACCTTTTCTCAGACAAGAGAGTCCTTTCCTGAGCTCTAGAAAAGATCTAGAAATAGTGATCCTTTCCTGTGTATTCTATCTTGAAGGAAAAGTCCCACATTTCCCTCGACTTCTGACAAGGCTCAAGGGAAAGGGTGACGGATGATTCAGTCTCGTGGACGACTTTCCAGGGCAGAATTCGCGCGAAACCGTGCTGCGGCCCGTGAGCCCAGGGACCGAAATTGGGAAAGACGACCGGAATGCCGCCACGAATCGCTTTTGAACCATCGAGCACGGCCGAAGAAGACAGAAAGAGCTTCTCCTTGCCGTCGACTTTCCAAGACGTGACAGTTGCGCCGTGATGGTAAATCTCACAAAGATGGGTTTTTTAAAGAGTTGAAAACCAATTAAAATGAGAGAAACTTAATAAATCGGAAACGAAAAGTTCATCTTGATAAAGAACCCGTAACAAGTTGCGCTTGCGAATTTTAGCTTCGTTATCTCCGCCATTTCTGAAAACGGACTTCGTTTGTTTTGTCGACTCTTTTGTAGGGAACCCGAAATTTTATTTACAGAATATAAAAATATATCTTCGAAGTAAAAAGTAATGAACAGAAGTCTGTGTATCTTCAAGTAAGTATCAGTGTTTCTTTTGGAAGTAGCGAAGTTGGTGCATGTCAATGGAAGATTCATCTTTGCTAACCCAAGAAGTCCAAGAATGCCCTTACTGGTCTTTTTGTTGGGTGAAGCCCTTAAGACATAGGTAAAGTAGTATTTTAAGGGGCAAGAGACGGATGTAAGGACACAAAGGACTTCTGGGATTAACTCTTTTTTTTGTCATTCAGTTTTTGAGTTTTGAAGGGTCAATTTTTTGCACTTTGGAAGAAAAAGGAAGGTTTAGTTTAGTTTAGACATTCTGGCGGGATTTGTTCTGCTGCGAGAGAAGATTCGCGCGCGCCAGTTCCATCGTTATTTGACGCTGCAGATTGGGGCCCTTGAACTGGCCACCAGAGCGAATCCAAGCGTGGTTCAAGACGCCGTCTGCGGTTAATCGCTTCTTTGGGTTGATCACTTTTTCACTGGCTAGCTTACTTGCTATTTACAGTCATTTACAGCGAAAATCCGGAATTCTACCACATTTAAAAAGCTGTAAAAGGCCTCTTTGTTGATAAGAGAAGATGTAGCCGTGCCTAGAAGCTGTCTGATAAGATCCATTGCTCCCTGAGAAATGTCGTCCCAATAAGGAGAGATGAATTCGTACTCGCCGCGGACGATGATGTCGAAAAGTTGGTTCTGATCGCGGTTCGGCGATCGGAAAGGAGGGAAGCCACACAGTAGAATGTAAGCGATAACGCCCACTGCCCAATTGTCAACCTTTTTCGAAGGATGAAAGAGATGAAAGTAGACAGACCATTTCAGAGTTGGAAAGATGAAAAGATTAAAGCTTGGCTGAAAGTCTGAATTCATCAGATGTTCGATGAAGCGTAATGTAACTTATGATCATATCTAGTTCATTTTTACGGAAGAAGAGTAAGTGATTAGTCGAGATATCATCTCAATAAAGAGAGCCTCTCTCTATTTACATCCCGTTCCTCGAGTCCATATCCGTTGCCGCCGCCTTCGACGAGAATTTCGGGGGCAACGTAGGTCGGCGTGCCGCACACTTGAAAGATCGGCTTGGTCACTTCCATGGCGAGGCCGAAATCCGCCAGTTTGATCTGAAGCTTGCCGTTGGGGTGCCGCTCGAGAAGGCAATTTTCGGGCTTCACGTCTCGGTGAACGATGTTACGAGCATGCAGATACGCTAGAATGAGGTGAAAAGAAGAAGGGAATGAGATGATTTGAGAAATTTGAAAAGCTCGGATTTGAAAATTTGGAAGGAATGATGAGATCTGGGCTCGGAAACCTGTGTGGAAACCTGAATCAAGGTCCTGAAAGTGGTTTGATAAGTTCAGGAACCTTAGCTGGCTTTAGAATCCTGTATACAGGGTCAGAAACAGGGTTAAAACGCAGCTTTTCATTAGCATGTTACTTTTAAATCCTGTTTCTGACCCTGTTTACAGGATTCTGAAGCCAGCTAAGGTTCCTGAACTTATCAAAGCTCTTTCAGGACCCTGACTCAGGTTTCTTCACAGGTTACCGAACCGAGGATGAAATTTGATGAGTGTTTCTTGTGCTTGTTTGAAATGACTCAGGTTGTTTTGTATATTTACCGATTGGGGAGGCTAGGTCTTGAATCAAGCTGCTGGCGACGCTCTCGTCGTATCTGACACTTTCGGTGATTGCATCGAAGAGATCGCCACCGCGGACCAGCTCGAGGACAAGGTAAATATTCTCCACAGTTTCGAATTCCTCCACAAGCCGGATGATGTTCGGATGGCGACAGAGACGCATGATCGCGATTTCGTTTTCAATCATGTCTTCCTGAAAAACATCTCGCTAGTTTCGCAGAATCCAAAAGAAACGAAAAGAATTTACCTTTCCCTTCATGATGCCTTTATCGATGATCTTCATGGCGAATTCGGAGCTCGTGTTGGCCATTCTGCACTTGTGGACGATCGCAAAGTTTCCGTCTCCGATTTTTTTCATGATTTCGTATCTACAGATAATTACAATTTGTTCAAAAGGGAGAAAAAACGAACCTGGTCTCAATATCCGATTTTTGACGAATCGTTCTGGGCTTTGGCTCCGCTCGCAGCCGCTTTCTCCACTGATCGACATCGTCTTCTCGTTTTCCCGGACCGACGACTTCGTTGAGTCCCTCGTCTTCTGACTCAGAATCGGAAAATACAGCTACGGCATTTCGAGATTTTCCCTTTTTACTCGTAGGAGTGGGCGCTGGAAAGCGTTATTTCAATTCTTTAAAATAAAATTAATAATTACCTGGATGAGGATTCGACTGAATTGAGTTTCTGGAAGTAGACGGTGCGGTAGTTGTGTCATTTAGCTGGCGTTTTTGCTCTAGAATTCGAGATCTGTTAAACTTGAAGTTTCTCTATTGATAAATTGTCCGCGAGCGCTGATTGGTCAGCGCCTTAAACCCTAATGGGTTTTCCTCAAAGTCGGATAATCAAGAATGAAAAATATTACTTTATAAATAAAAAATAGGAGAAAATTAGTTCGCGTCGAAAGCTCTAGAATTTTTGAGAAAAAAGACCTCCTTTTATTTGTATTTTTGTGATGATTATTAACCTACCTTCCAAAGATTGTTTCTCGGCCTCAATCTTTGCCCACTCTTGATTGAGTTTCTGTTCGATTTCCTTTCGCCTTTGTTCCAGCTCCATTTCAATGATTTCTGCTCTTTCCTGTTCGATCTTCCGCTTCTCTTTCTCCAGCCGTTCACGTTCAGACTTTTGACAAGACTCCAAAAGGCCATTCAGTAACAGATCGACAGTGCTACAATCCGGATTGCGATTTCGGCTGAGCGCTGAGCGGTTTCAAGCAATGAGCGAGCGGAGCGATAAGTGAAGCCAGAAAAGCCGCTTGCGGCTTCGAGATAAAAATAACAAAAAGCCGGGCGAAGCGCGGCTATAGTTTATTTTGTCTCGAAGCCGCGAGCGGCTTTTCTAGCTTCACTTATCGCTCCGCTCGCTCATTGCTCAAAACCGCTCATCGCTCAGCCAAAATGACAATCCTGGCTAGAAAGCCGCCTTTTCGAGTCAATTCCTGAATAGAAAGCTCCTGTTTCTGTCTGATCTTCAACTGGGACTCCTCGAACTCGCGCTTGAATCTATCCATTTTCTCTTGCATTTCGCGCTCCTTCCGCTCATATTCCAGCTGAATTTCGCGCATTCGTTGTTCCTCAGCAACTCGCTGTTGTTGGTGCCGCGAAGCTCGGGCTTGCTCCCGCTGCGATTTCATGTCCGCCTTCATTTTCCTGCTGATTTCTTCTTGTTCACGAAGACGGGCCAGAAGCTCCTGAAAATGAAAAGTTGAAATCATGGAGGAAATTTCGACTCTAAACAGAACTCAAAATACAACTAAATCAAAAGCTAAAGCACCGTCTACTGTATCTCCACCCATCTCCACGTAAAATTATTATCAACCTGGTAGCTTTCCTGAAAAATTAAAATTAACTCTTATATTCTGGTATCAAATTATTCACCAGTGTAGAATACCTGAGTCAGGTTTTGAAGAGCTTAAATGAAAAGCTCCGCATGGGCTTTTTTTAAACGAAGCCGCAAAGCGGCTTCGCTAATATTACCATTACAATCTATCGAATATTCTGGCAACGCGGCTTCGTTTTTAAAAAAGCTGCTTCGCGGCTTTTCATTTTAACTCTTCCAGAGCCTGACTCAGGTTTTCTACACAGGTTGCCTAGCCCAGACTTCGGGTTTTCAATACAACTTGACAACTTGCCCAGCCTGAGATCCCCTGGCTTGAGATCCCACGGTGAACTTCACTTCATGGGAGACAAAAGTCGACGACCTGGGATTTTTTCCCACATTAGAGACTGGGGCAAACTTACCTCCTGCTTCTTCTCTTGACTTTGGATAAGAGCTTCTTTTTCCCTGAGTTCTTCCTGTAACAGGAGTTCATTTCCGATGCTCATACATGAAAAACATATAGAAGAAATGAAGACCTTTCCTTTAGGTACTTTTCTTCCTGCTCCATCATCGTCAAAGTCCTTCCATTGCGCGTCGGCTTCGTAAAGGTCGGATAGGTCTTTCCCGGTTGTGGTTCTTGGCGCTTCGAAGGACGCCCGTAGCTCGTCAACTTTTCCGAACTTGAAGAATAATCGTCGAGGTGATGGGTTGAAGAATACGGGGAGACTTTCACCTTCTGAAAAAACCGTTGAGTTTAAGCTTACTTTCTTCCTGATTTCCTTAAAGATAAATTTCTATTCTATTTTGCCAACACCAGATTCTAGTACCTTCGACCATGTGTAGGGCTTTAGTCTGTGGCGATCCTGTTTTTTTTAAATGAGAAAGAAGGCGAAAAAGAGAGAGAGCTTACCACAGCGCTGTCGGATTTGCTCGCTTTGACACCGGCCTGGCGCTTTCGCTGATCCGATAACCCCGGAAGTTTTTTCGCCGTTTTCTTGGGCGGCGAGGCGCGCGCGTCTTCGTATTCTTTTATCACTCGGCGGCGGTACTTTGAGTCCGGATACAGAGATTCCATAATTCTATTAGGAGAGGCATTAGTCGCCTGTTCGACAGCAATTCAAATTATTCAATTGTCAAATTCATTCAAAAAGAAGAAATCAACAAGGACCCTCCCGGGGTAGTATTTTTTTTTCATAATAATATGGGCTCGACAACCTGTGTAAAAACCTGTGTCAGGGTCCTGGAAGAGCTTTAAAAATAAGATCGAGATGGTCATTTTGGTAAAGGGAAGGAACCTGACTCAGGTTTCTACACAGGTTGCAGAACCAAGAATTAATTAAGGGCATACCTGTGTTTTTCAGCAGATCTAAGGATTTCTCCATGTCCGACGGCGATGAAAACATCTTGTTCAGAGAAAAAAGTATCGACGTCTTTTACTTGCTCTCCTCTTATCGTGAAGATGCGGCTTATTCGATCGTTTTTCCACTATAAAATTGCGGATTTCCTACTACTGTACAATGGGATTTACCTTGGGTCTTCCTAAATGATTGGAAATTTCTTGAATAAACGGTCCAAGTTGCGTGACATGCTGTTTGGAAACGATCATGTTTTTCTGAAGCGCAATAAATCAAAATCGCCCGTGTGTTCTATTTTTTACCATGACGGGCGGTGTCGTATTTGCGAGGATAAAAAGCAGGCTGCGATTCTTGTTGAACTGGGAAAAGTCTGGATGCCCGTGGCGAGCGTTGAACACCATTGCTGAAATTTTGAAGTGGACTTTTTTGGGAAGCAACTCTCTTTTTTTCTTTCTCATTTTTTTTGGGAAATTCAATTGACTTGTTCTTGGCTCACCTGGATTCGAGTTGCGGTAGGGAGAGACGCCGCCGGAAGTGTTCGAGTGGCTGGGCAGTGAGTGGTTGGTCTTGTGCATTCTGTTCCGGCTGCGTTGCTCGAGTTTTTCTGTTTGGAAGGAGGGTTAGAAATACTCTTATAACTTATGAAGTAGCTCGCGTATTTCCTATGGATCGCTTCATGCTTGATCCGTGTTTGTGCATTTTGGTAAAAGCTCGTGCTGTTAAATTCAAGTTACGAAAAGCTCGAAAAGAAGAAGAAGAATCATGCGGTTAATTCAATTTTAAACTCAATCAGCTGAAAGTATAACAATAAAACGATTCGTGCCCTTTTCTGTGATCGCATCCACTGACCGTATTCAACCTTTTTCCACTTCTCGAAACCCGCACAGACATACGCTTGGTCATTTTGCAGCTTTTCGATGTCTTCCACGAGTTTTCCATCCAAGGAGTAGATTTTTCTTGTCAAAAGGTTGATCACTTGCCCTTGATTTACTTCGTACACAAAAAACCTGTGTAAAAACCTGACTCAGGTTCTGAAAAGCTTAACTGAAAAGCCGCGCAGCGGCTTTTTTTTAACAAAGCCGCGTAGCGGCTTCGCCTCTTAATCTGGGTCGGCAACGTGTATAGAAAACCTGAGTTAGGTTCTGAAAATCAAAAATGAAAAGCCGCGTAGCGGCTTTTTAAATAAACGAAGCCGCGGAGCGGCTTCGCCAGTGTTTAAAAATAGATAATAGTGATTGAATTGCGAAGCCGCTTTGCGGCTTCGGTTTTTTATAAAGCCGCTACGCGGCTTTTCATTTTTGCTTTTCAGAACCTGACTCAGGTTTCCTACACAGGTTGCCCAGAAATCTACCCCCTTTTCAAATTCCGAGCCGCTGTGTTCAGCATTTTTTTGTTTATTGCGAATCAGCATTCCGAAATCGAGAAATTGATTTCAATCAAGTGAAGAGGTTAATTATTGAGAAGAAGTGGGAATAGTGGTGGGACAAGAATATTGTTGGTCTTAAATTTTTGTTTGGTCGGTTGCATTGGTGGCCCTGTCACGACGTACTTGAGCAATACTCAAGTAGGGCACTTGCCTCTGGCTTCTCAATGACCAGAGAACAGAATGGAAAAAATCTCTGATCAACCAGGCCTGACGCCGTACGGCAGGTTGAGCTTCTTCGACAGATCGGTCATCAATTCCTCGAAGTTGAGGTAGCGATGGGGCGTTATCTGAATCTAAGAAGCACTTTCTATAATGCTCGGGTACCTGGATGGTCTTGCCCTGAAAGTTGCGGTCTCCATTTTTGTAAAAGGTGATCGTCTTCGGCCGTCGCAGTGGGCTACGAATTGAAATTTTGAAAGTTCTCTCTTTTTGGAAAAAATGAAGATAAAAACACGCGAAAGTGGATTATTGGATTACTGTGTGTGCCACGAACGCGTGTGTGCGCAGAACTCACCCGTAGCGGTCGTCTGTCAAGTCCCTTAATTCTTTACTGCCCTGATGATGGGCAACGCGGCCCGCCGGATTCGGCCCCTTTTTATTCATAGATCCGGTTGTCATTTTCTCAGCCAGCTCCGCATCTTCTTCAAAATATCTCTTTCATTTGCCTTCTTCTCTTATCTCATCTCGTTTTATTGCTCGAATTCAAACACCAGAAAAAAGAATCAACAGAACTCCACCAGCCGCCGTGTTTTTTTCTTCTCTGAAGTTCGGAGAACTTGTTGATCTAATTGAGGTATTGTTGGGTCCAGGACGGCTCACTTGACTCCTGACCGAATCGTTTTTTTTTTCTTTTTTTTTATTTTTTTCTTGTTTGAGAACGGACTGCGACGCTGCCATGGTTGCGCTACGCAAACCAATTGTAACGCAGACGAGATCGTCCTCGAAAAGATCGTCCGCTTTAATTATTGACGACTTGTAATGACTTGTAAATTGTATCATTACGAGCCATAATTTATGGCCTCCCCGCGCCCAGAGCTACAAGTTCAACGCTGCTTCTAGTCCCGATTTCACAGGAGCGATACTGTCAAGCCAGTATTCGAAGCGATAAGGAATCCTGAGCAAACGCGTAAATCGCCGTAAACGGCCATTTTGTCATGGAGACTGAGCCCAGTTGGACAAAACTGATTCTAGTCTATCAGAAGATGACTTTTTTTCCTACACTGGAAGAGTCAGGATCCTGAAAGATGGGCACGGCGACCTGTGTTGAAAACCTGAGTCAGGGTCTGAAAGAACTGAAATTAAAAGCCGCTTTGCGGCTTTTTTAAAAACGAAGCCGCAAAGCGGCTTCGCCAGAATTTTTGATAGGTTAAAAATGGTAATATTAGCGAAGCCGCTTTGCGGCTTCGTTTTTGAAAAAGCCGCTGCGCGGCTTTTCATTTCAGTTCTTTCAGACCCTGACTCAGGTTTTCAACACAGGTTGCCGAGCTCAGCATGAAAGATCTTAAACGAGAGCGGCATTTTCAAAGATGAAGGCATATCATATAATAAGGGCTGTTAATTCTGAAAGGAAAATTTTGACCTTGAAACCTTGAGCTTCTGAGACAGAAAGATTGTTGATGGTAAAAATTACCTTGTCAGTGACAAAAGAGCTTGAAGACAAAGCCTTTTCCATTTGGAGATATGTTGTTATTACATGCTATTATACGAAAATCAAGCTGGAATCGAGCGCATCTATCGCGGAGATAATAGACATGACCGGAGATAATCTGCTCGCCTAAACACACAATCGCTGCTTCAAAAACTCCTACTGACAAATTGATTCGAATGTCAACGTTTGACATAGATCTCTATTTGAGCACTCGAAAGTGCCAGCACTTCAGAACTGCGCGAACATTGCTCAAATACAACGCGTTTCTGCGATAAATTAAATCAAGAGAGCGTTTTTTTGCTAACTGGGTTTATCATTTATTCAGATTAGATAGACAGGAAGATAACTGTAGAAAGATTATAGTGCAGATTATAGTTATTTTTAATACTTTTTTCGGGATTTTGAGATTTTTTTTGGCTTTTTTAGATTTTTTACTTTTTCACGATTACAATAGTTGATTTTTTTTTCGTTTTGGTTTTTGAATTTTTTTATTTTTTATGATTTTTTTCAAAAATTTTTTGAATTTTTTTGTTGATTTTTGAATTTTTATATTTTTTATGACTTTTTTTTTGCAAAAATTTTTCAATTTTTTTGATGATTTTAGAATTTTTATCGTTTTTTTGTCATTTTTATGATATTTTTTGTGCGTTAGATTATAAATATATATATGCTACATGTTACAGCCAATGAAGCACTCCACCATATTCACGACAAATTACCTCTGAAAAGAGACGGATAAAAAATAGATGCAGGTTTAAAAAGCAGCATCCGTGTTCCAGTAGGGCTTGGGGTCGAATGGAGATTCTTCTCCTTCCGCAGCCATTTGCTCGCCAGCAGCAACTTGTGAGCGAGTGACAGAGGGCACGAAGGAGGGGAGCTTCTTGTAAGTTTGTTTCTGGACGATGGAGTTCTTGTCGACTTCAACTCCGTTGACGTAGGTGGTGCCGTCCAGCAACTTGATGCACTTTGGCTTGATCACGTCGCACTGGACGGGCAAGCAAGTGTAGCCATGGCCTGGGGCGGGGATAGCGTCTTCCGCGGCTCTTTCGGTCTTGATGTTTTGGAGTCCCGAAGGCCCCGGTTGATCATCCTGGGCGGATTTTGCTTGCTCTAATAGAAGAAATCAAAAATTGAACGTTGAAAATGAAAAGGTTATTACCTTCTTTAGCCGCCTTCATTCTTTCCATGTGCTGGAAATCCTTGTGGATCAAGTGCGGCTCGAAAACCGAGAAGAGATCGTGCGGCTTTTTGGGGTCGTTGATGTAGCCGTACGCGTTTGGCTGCTCGAAGGGCCACTTTCCAAACTTAGCGTCGTCACGGGGAAGAGTGTGAATTGGAGGAGTGGGGACCTCTTCGAGGATTGCCATTTCCTCCTCGTCATCTTCCTGCTAAAAAAATGATTGAAGACCTGGCTCCGAGTGCTCAAAAATCTTAATTGAACCCTGACTCAGGTTTTTTACACAGGTTTATTAGTAAAAGAGCTTTCTTTACCTGAGCCACTTGTTCAGTTTTGAGGATTTTTCGGGGTGGTCCTGAGTAATTTCCTAAAAAGCGAATTTAACATTTGAAATCAAGGAAGAAAAAACTTTTACCTTGGTTGGAATAGCCCGAAGTAGATGGCTGTGACTGTGGCTGCATTCGCTGGAGCTGGCGATTCCACTTCAGGTCTTGGACAATGGGCTGTCTTGTAGGCCAATGCATCATTCTTGATGGCCCAGGAGTATTTTGAATGAGCTGTTGATGATGCTGTTGGTGTTGAAGATGGTGGTGGAATTGATGGTGGTGGGGCTTTAACGATTGATTTAATTGACGATATTTTTTTTGAAGAACTTACCGGCGGGTAGTTTTGATAGGGCTTACTGAACACGCACGAGTAATTGATCACGTAATTCAACGCGATCTGAGAGCCCATTTTGTTGAGCTCCTCGGTTGGTTGTCGAGAGAGGTTGTGCTCGACCATGAAGTGCACGTAGATATTGGTATAAATCTCCGCGAACTCCTTGGTGAAACATTCTGCGATGGCAAGGCAGTGGATGTGCTGATACATGCCGCTCAAAGAGGGCTGCTTCTTGATTGCCTCGGCAACTGCACCCCTGACGTATTGAATCTGGCCGTTGAGATGGTCCCGTTCATGTTGGATCTCTTCTGGAGAGAGAACCTGCTCAGGATGCTGCTGAGGATACTGAGGATACTGAGGGGCCTGTGGATACTGAGGGCCCATTGAGATGCTTGAGGGGACATTGAGATGCTGCTGTTGAGGTCTGATGCCTTCTGGCTGAGGAGGAGGCTGCTCAGGATACTGTGGATACTGAGGGGCCTGCTCAGCAGGTTGCTCAGGTTGCACCGGATACCGAGGATGCTGAGGGGCCTGCTCAGGAGGAGCTTGCTCAGGATACTGAGGAAACTGGGGGGCCTGCTCAGCAGGTTGCTCAGGTTGCTCAGGATACTCTGGAAACTCAGGGACCATGTCCTGGCCAGGTGTCCACGGTCCATCGTAAAATCCAGGAATATCCTCACCCACTTGAAATTGAACATCCTGGGCCAAGCCAGCGTTCTCGACTTTTCATGTTTTAAAACTTTACAAAAATAGCGCGCGCTGATTGGCCAAGGCGCGCACCTGACAAGTGAAGCGCCACCACTACAAAAAAACCGACAATTTTACCGGCTAATAATTTATAAAAAGAGCTTTCAGATGATATCTTACTCAAATCTGAAAAAGAGCGTGAAGCTTAAAACATTCCGAAATGTCCGTCGATCGCGCCAGAAGTTCCTGCCTGCAAGGTGGCATCATCAGGAACTTCTTCAAGCACCACGGTTTTCAACTCAGCATAGACGGGTTCTTCCTGCTCCTGCGAAGTGGTCGCCTGCTCGTATTCCATAACGTCACTTTCAGCTCTCTCGTGCGTTGTGACGAGCGAGAATGAAATTCGCGAGAGGAAAAATGCATAATCTAGAAAATTTCGCGCCTTTTTGACTTGCGAACGCTGCTCTTTTCGAGTCGATTTTCTGACTGCAGACGGGTTTTTAGAGACGACTGATGGCTCTTTAGCTCCCTGTTGATAATTCCAGACGGTTAGGAAGGAGATTATTAGTACTAATTATAATTATAGTGATTTTGGCGCGCGAGCCAATCAGCGCGCTCGATTTTCTGGATAATCTGCCTAATTATGAAGCTCACAATTTCGCTTTTTTCCTGCAAATGAGTAATGATAATTGAGATTTTTTGTTTCCTTGAGCGTGTTTTTTTATTGAACAAAGTCTACTACAATACTATCTACAGTTGAAATTGAGCCTTGGCTCTTGTTCTTTTGCCTTGTACTAATTTCTCTGGCGTTGTGGCCTTGATCTTCTTTATCTTTTTGGAACGTCTCGTTTTGATTGCCTTCTTCGTGTCTGCAAATCCCCCGAAGAGTTCCTCCCTCGTCTTCAATCGATAGAGCCTGACCAGGCCCTTGGATGTGGTGTAAACTTCTTCGAAATATTTCAGGTTGAAGTTTTTGTGGCCGATTTCAACGCGACGCACTTGATCGTAGCCGTACACTTCTCCCTTTTGGTTGCGGATTTTGTGCTTGGTGCCGAACTCGTGATAACTCAGCTTGTACATCAGAGAGTCGCGGAAAGTCGGGGTCAGATCGTCTTTTCCAGGGCTGTAGCGGCCGCGGTTCGAGATAAAGTCCTTCTCCTTCACGTCTTCTGGGAAGACGCCTTGAGCGATTCGAATCATCCACATGAACTTAAAATTGGTTTAATCGAGAGGAAAATCGAGTTTTGGGGACTGACCTTGTTGATATCGTCGCCAGAGTGGCCGTTAATGCCGCCGAAGAAGATCAAAAAGTAGTCGATATCGAGCTCTTTTGCGAGTCGCCAAGCTTTGGCCTCCGGACTTGCGAGGATTCTTCCCACCTGGGCGATGTGAGTGTTGTTCCATGTGTTGTTGTCAACTACTGTTGTTCTGTTCGAGAAGCCAGCAATTTGATAGCCATAATCCCACCATGAAGCGATTACTGCGTCTTCCTTGATTTTCAATGGTTACGTTTCTGTCCTTGTCCTTGTCATTTATTACCTTCGTATTCTGTCTGAGCCAGTAGTAGCTTTCCCGCCAGTCATCCATCAGTAGCTGGTTTCCTCGAGGGCCTTTTACGTACTTCATGATGGACGGACTTGAGTACGCAAGAGAAGTGAACATACTCGAGTGATGAACGTAGTGGCTTCCAAAGCCTCCAAACGTCGCTAGAATCCTAAAAAGCTCATTGAGCACAACCTCAATTTTCCACCAACCCCTTACAGTAATTTCAAAGGAAGAGGGTGATTTCTAAGAAAGCCGAATCGATCTGTCGCGGCCTTTTCTTCCTCTTTTTCTTCGACTTTTTCTTCCTTGATTTCATCATCATCTTCTTCGTCACCGTCCTCGACTGCCGGTTTCTCTTTCTCAGTAAGTTCTGGAGCCGGAATTTCTGGCGGCGGGAGTTTCAACAAAAGTCTTTCGATTGAAACACTGAATCCAATTCCAGCCAGAACGCTGATAATTGGCGCAACCGTCAACATCAGTCTTGTCATAATGCCGCTGAAATAGCAACTGCACACGCCATTTACGATGAGGAATAAATTCTGGGCATTGAGATTCTAAAAAAATTGAAAGAAAGATTCTCAGCAAAAATCTCACCTGGAAAATGTACCAAATTCCGGCAAAGGCAAAAACTGGCAGGAGATGAACGTCCATCGGATATCGCTCCCAGCCGGTCGGTTGATGCTCGGACACGGAAGAAATGATCGGAATGTGCTTTCTCGCGTAGCCAGTGTCATACATCGAGTAGAATCGCCCAGTGAACGGAGCAACGTATCCAAGTCTAACAGCCAAAACAAGTCCCACAGTTCCGAGCGCTAGAATGACCACAACGACGAATTGAAAGAACCTTCGGGATCCTTCTGCGCCAACGGTTTTCGTCAATCGACTGTGGAAAGCAAAGAGCTAAGGGGAGAATTCGTTGTATCAGAAAGGGTTCATTTGCGGTACCTGTATGAGACCAAAAACGCCAAAAGCAGACATATGCTCCGACGTGGTGACGGGCTGCGTGTTGACAAAGTGAATGCACATCGCCATCATTTGCCCGATGCAGTAAAAGCTCGTGTAGGCCGAGTAAACTTTCTCCGAGTATCGCCCAGTCAGCAGAATGACAAAGGTGTGCAGCGCGATCATATTGATAATGAGGACATATCCGCCCCAAGCAGAGGTCATGTACCAGTAGCAAAAGGCCGTCGCAACGCCCCAGAAGACAGCGCCAGTGCGAACTGCACGGAGCCAGCAATAGAAGGAGATTTGCAGGGCGAAAATGGCGACGCCCTCGTTGTCGAAACTGCCGGCGACGGAGCGCTGCGTGTAACCGGGGATGATAGACATGAAAACGGCTGCTACAAGTCCTGCCTTGGTGTTCCAAACTTCTTGTGTCAACAAAAACGTAGCGGTGGAAGAAAACATGGAAAAGATCGGCGAGGTAAACACGCAAACATCCTTAAACCATCATCATGGCATGGCATGTTTGACTTCCGGGTGTACCTGAATATCCGTGGTGAAACCAAGTCCATTGAGAATTGCATGAATAGTTCCCGCGGTGTACATGAGTCCCGGATAAACAGTCGGTCCAACAGCGCGCCCTAGCGGGTACCAAGCGGTCGAGTCGAACCAATTGATGAAGTTTTGAGCGCCCATTTCGACGTACTTCTTTGTGGCGCGGTAGTTGAACCAGGGATCCATCTCGTGAATGATGGACTCATATCTTCATTCAAACAGTGAACAAGACATATTTCAGCTTCGTCCTTACCTGATAACAGCGAAGAGGCGGCTGAAAAATCCAATCAAACAGGAGCCGATGAGAACAACGAGGACAATTAGCGAGCCAACAGCGTTGCTCTCTCCCATCTCGAATTGTCTGAAATGAAAATGGTCGGAGTTTTTCCAGGAAATAGAACTACATTGTACAGTCTACATCTCGTCAAGATAACTAAGGATATCGTCATGGGCATAAGAGTAAAAGGCTCGTTTTGTCTTGTAAAGATGCCAGTACGCCCAGAAGGAGAGGAAGGCGAGTGCGAAGCCAATGAGCGAGGTGAACAATCGGTAGTTGTGCGTCGAGTTCATGAGCAAAACGCCAATCAGGCAGGTTAGCTGGATAGAAGCTCCGAGAGCGTTTTCAATTCCTCTCATGGATTGACCCGTGATTTTGAATAAATCTTCGATTGTTCCAAAAGGCACCTAAAAAGAAAGCCAAAATGGAGAAAAAATCCATTCAATGAAAACTCACGTTTTTAATTTTGAGAAAAGCAGATCCATTTAGAGTCGCCGTCATGCACAAAATGCAGTAAATAGCCACGGCGCTGCGAGAGAAAATCAACTTTCGAATTGACCAAAGCACCCAGATTGCAAAAAAGACCGCTGTTCCTTTTAGAATTAACTTTTTCAAGTTGATGGGTCGTCTGAACTCGGGAATGTTGATTTTGTTCTTTCGGAGGAAGGCGGCCATCTGCTGGGCCATGTCTTGGTTTGGATCCATTCCTTGGCGACTGATCAACCGTTTGCCATCTTCAATTCTTCCGTCCTAATATTTAACAGGTGAAAAAACTTCTCTGTGGAAATCTGGGCTCGAAAACCTGTTTAAGAACCTGAGTCAGGGTCCTGAAAAGGGTTTCATGAAAGATTTCATAGATTCTTGTCAGGGCCCTGACTCAGGCTTCCTACACAGGTTCCCGAGACCATGTAAAGTTACTGTAAACTTACGTTGAAAATAACAACCGCCGGAATCTGCTGAACCCCAACAGACTTGAATGCATTCAAATTGGACTGCGTCAAGTTCATCCAGGCAAAAAAGACCTTGTTCTCTCCCTCGCCCTGGATCACATTCTGCGCCACTAGTTCAAAATCCTGCAGATTCTGTGGACACTCCGAGCACGAAAATGACGCCTGTTTACTGGCTCCAATCGAACTGTACAAAAAGACGATCTTGTGAGGCTGCACCAATGCGTTTCTGTACGGCTTTCCGACGAGTTCTACCCACTCGTCGTAGTCCATTTCTAGCTCAAGTTTTAGTTCAAATCAATTTTAGTCGAAAACTGCTAGAGGAAAATCGAGAAGATTTTAGTAAAGTAGAATTACTGCTGAAAATCGAGAAGCCGCTTGCGGCTTCGAGTGAAGAAGAACATAAGCCGCGCGAAGCGCGGCTTTTCTGTCTTATTATCTCGAAGACGCAAGCGGCTTCTCGATTTTCAGCAGTAATTCTACTTTACTAAAAATCGGAATTCGAATAAAACCTGGAACAGCTGCTGGAAGACCCTTTTTCTTCGGCGGCTTGAGGGTCTTATGAGTCGCGCCAGCAGTAGCATCCATCATCAACTCAAAGACCTGTTCTCTTGTGAACACATCTTCCTTCGCCGTTACGGCAGCTGCCAGTAATGACAGTAGCTCGATGCCAAGTCTCATACTACGAATATGCGAAAAATTATTGTTGTACAAATTTAACCGTGCCGCCTGGATAGCCTACGAAGTGACCCGACCTGCCGTGCCCTCAAACCCTTTCACCGCTTGAATTTTCGCACCGCGGGAGATCTGAGATCTCGCATTGAAATTTTTCAACCTTTTTTTTTTGATAAAAAACGAAATTTGATTAATTGTGTTTTTTTTTATTTTCTCTCTTTTCCCTTCTTTTATACAGAAATTTACAGTGCAGTTACAGTTAGTTTGAGGTGTATTGAAGAAGTTTGCAGTTTCCACCTTTTAAAATTACACTTTCCGACAGTTGTTCAGTTGGGTCATTGTTCGGGCTTTTCTCATTTCTCCTTGGATAAGTCTTTTTCGCGATCTTGGGGATTTAGGTTAGAATATTTTATTGAATCTTTTTTGAGAAATTTTGCTCAGTTCTGACCTCCGAAACCTGGGCTCGGCAACCTGAGTAGAAAACCTGAGTCAAGTTCTGAACAGCTAGAATGAAAAGCCGCGTAGCGGCTTTTTTTAAATCGAAGCCGCGAAGCGGCTACGCAATTCAATCACTTTAGTCTATTTTTAAACACTGGCGAAGCCGCTCTGCGGCTTCGTTTTTACAAAAGCCGCTTCGCGGCTTTTCATTTTAGCTCTTCAGATTCTGAAGTTCAGAACCCTGACTCAGGCTTTCCACACAGGCCGCCGATCCCAGTCCGAAACCTGAGTCAGGGTCGTGAAAGAGCTTTGGTAAAAAGCCGCGTACCCTGACTCAGATTTTCAACACAGGTCTCTCAGACCCGGCTTACTTGAGTGCTATAATGATTGCCATCACGTGGATAATAATGCCAAACATTTCTAGCGCCAGGTCGACTCGTTGATAATGATATTTGAGATCGGGGTCGGAGCAATCGACCATCTCTCCAGTTATATCATCCGTTGTCGGCTCATTTTTTCCTGAAAAAAAATTTGATCTTCGTTGACTTTTGAAGGACTTACCGAAGGATTCTATGCTATTGGTGAGGACCATGAGGTCAATTACAGAATTGAGCGAGTAGCATGAACAGGTGCAGCAGGCGGAAACAATGAAAAATACATAAAGAAGAGGATAATTCAGCTTAGCCGCGATAAGTCCAATAATAGCTATTTGAAAATCGCGGGATTAATTTTTAATCAACTCGGACGTTCGTACCTCCCATTATATAAACGCAGTCGAACAAGGGCAAAACGCGGTAGAACACTGTGTCGCATACCGGATGGGGTCCGTAAAAGCACTGAAATCGCACTTTCAAATTTTGATATCCTAATTTTTCATTTATCAGCGAAAAAAACGCTTTTACTTCAATTTTTTCTTTAATTAGTTTCCTGACTCAGGAATTCTGATCATTTGAATACAGTTCTTTCAATAAATAACTGTATATTTATATTTCTCTTATCGGAGTTCTCTGAATTTTGATAAAAAATTGCTTGAAAATTATTGAAAAACCTGCGTAAAAACCTGAGTCAGGGTCCTAGAAGAGCTTTTCATTCAGGACCCTGACTCAGGTTTCTACACAGGTTGCCTAGTCGTGGACCGAACTGATCAATCCGGTCAAATTTTAGTCTATTTAATACTTCCTTCAATTTTCAATACAGTAACTCTTCAATTCTCCTGTTTCTCTACTCACATGAAAAGTAATTGCGCTAACGCAAAGAATCAGTGCAGTGACGGCTACTCCTATAAACGCTAGAAAAGTGTTTTTACAAGCTTTTTCCTTCCAAGTGCCTTACCTTTATTGGACGCCTTCTCGGCCATATCTTCTCTCACATACTCTAGTTTGTTGAGGCAGTCTGCTAAAGTAGAAGTAAATGGCTCTGCTGCGTCGCGCGTCGCGAGTGTTTAATTCTGTCGCGAGTGAGTGACAGATTTGGTGGAATTTAAATTAGCTCTCCATCATTAATCATTATCTATTCGCAGGAGTTCCATCGATCCCACTTCTTCTCAAAAACACGGGCCGCCCGGGGGATCGCGCCGATATCTGTGCAATGCGCTCAACGCTCGAGCTGCTGCTGCTTTATTTAGTTCCAGCTAATTTAGTTTTGTAACACTGTTAACATCAAAAAATCGAATGTCGAGCGAGAGAACGGCAAAGGTTGCAACCTTCCCAAGAGGACTGCCCTTCCACTAATGCGCCAACTAAAAAAAGCGACGTACAGTAAATAGGCGATACAGTTCAAGGACAGTTCAAGCCACGCAGCAATTGAAAAGATTTGTCTACCCTGGCAGTCAATTACTGTATTTATTGCAAAGGAAACCGCCGCGCATCCTGACGCACTAATCCCCGCCGCGGATCTGTGGATGGTAAATTACAGTCAAGTAGCTAATCTAAAAGAATCAGGGCCAGTCATAAATCAAGCATGATTTTCTCTACTCAATTCTACCCAATTCTAATATTGAAAAGAAACTTAAAACAAGGGTCAAACGGATCAAACCTGGGCTCGGCAACCTGAGTCAGGGTTCTAAAAGAGAGTAAAATGAAAAGCCGCTACGCGGCTTTTTTTCAAAACGAAGCCGCAAAGCGGCTTCGCTAGTTAAAATGATTCATTGAGTTGGTAACTTTGGCGAAGCCGCTTTGCGGCTTCGTTTTTAAAAAAAGCCGCTGCGCGGCTTTTCATTTTACTCTCTTTTAGAACCCTGACTCAGGTTGCCGAGCCCAGGGTCAAACCTTTTGCTCGGCGGTAAAAGTGTTGTTTCTCTTGAAAATGGGATCGCAAATTTTGTGCTAAAAATCAACGAAGAGAGTCATTTGGATCCCTTCCTTTGGATTCATTTTCCCCGGCCACTTCTTCACTCTTCTTCGTTTGCGAATTCCGATATGCCTGCTCACGGATTTATATAGTATTCAACTATCCAATTTTTTATTGGCTGCTCGAGACAATTTCTCTCGCTCTGTGTATTAAAATTGCAACATTGAATTAACAAAAAAAATCATGAAAAAACATGCACTTTCACTATCGACAACGATCTGGGCAATCATCGGCAACCTGTGTAGAAACCTGAGTTTCAGGGTCCTAGAAGAGCTCTAATAAAAAGCCGCGAAGCGGCTTTCCTCCAAACAAAGCCGCGGAGCGGCTTCCTTAGAAGTTGAAAAGAATATTCAGATGAAAATTTTGAAGCTCTTGAAGGATCCTGAGTCAGGTTTTTACACAGGCAACCTGAGGTTGTCGAACCAAGCAAGCTTTTTCTAGTTTTGCCTCGGCAACCTGTGTTCAGAACCTGAGTCAGGACCTGAAAGAGCTTGAATGTGACAATAAAGTTCTTTCAGGTCCTGACTCAGGTTTTGAAGACTCAACTTCTTTCTCAAACTCGATCTATCTGTAAATCCAGGCGTCTGAAAAACCGAAGAAATCATAATCGCGTTCGCGACATTTTGCTCTTTCTTGTTTAGGCCGCTCATTATTTTTTTCCCCAAAAACTGGCTTTCTCAATTTTCCAAAAAAAGAAAGAGTGAAAGACTTCCCATTTCAATTTCTATTACTGATGCTTATCCGATGATCCTTGGTCGCCATGTACTGCATTGGAGTCGATTCTCTCTTTTTCGATTAGTTCGTTTTTCTCGCGAGATTTTTATCTGTAGAAGAAGCTACAGGTGGAGAGATATATAAGTTTAATGCAATGAAAATATTAATGGCGATAGGGTTACGGAACATTCATTTTCGCGCCGCCACATAAAAGCTGAGGTGTTAGAAAAATGACAACTCCTGCCCAGCCCAAGTCGAGCATTGAGCTTTTTGTCATTGAATAAATATTTTCCGATTGAACAATTTTTCTTCAACAGATGTTCTCTCTAATTATTTTTTATTTATTTTATAAGAAACAGTCAAATCAAACTTGATTTCAAATTTCAGATTTTGCCGATATTGCAGATATTGTGGACTGATCGTATCATTTCATTTTTTATAATTTCTGCCAGCCCAGTGGTTCCTAATAAGTGTTTTTTTTGCCCAAAAGAGGGCACAAGACAAGATATCCCGCGAAGAACATCTGCTCCAAAAATCTCCTGCCGAACTTATCTAAGTTGGGGTAGTTATTGAATCGAACCAAAATTCAAGAAGTTCTATAACTAAAACTATTCTACACAGAACGACGAAGTATGAAATCAACGAAGACTAAGCGCCAGAAAATTAATGAAAGAGGTAAGTCTCCAATTGAGGAAAGCTTAAAACCATTTTGCTGATTACAGTTTCAACATCCATCGGAAAAGGGTCCGTCGTACAAGTCGACCAACAAAAATTTCTTTTTATTTAGCTGATACGGATTCAAGATTTTATTATACACTGTAGTCACTGTACCAACTACACTCCACGACAAGTACCTTACTACTCCTCAACACTGAACCTTTCCCAAATGCAAAAGAAAGGACAACAACAACACTGATTTTTGATTGTCAAAATTGATTTTATTCAGGAACTTTATCAGGAGCATCCACACTTTGTGGTCCAAGTCCAGACTTTTCGCCGATTTCGCGTTCAGTTTTTCGCTGTTCGTCCTTTTTTAGGAGAGCGACGAAAGAGTCACTTCCGCAGTCGAGTTTGTCGACTGCAGGTTGAATGCGACTCTGTTTCCAGATTCAAATCAGTCTGGTCCAGCGTCTCATTTCTGCCTAAGCTGGACCTTCAGATCTCTGAAGAAATTTTCAATAATCGCTTTTTTGTTTTGAAGAAATTTACCTTTTTACGGGTGGCTTCGGACTGTCGAAGTTTGACGAACTGACTTTTTCAGTTTTTTTAGCCCTGAGGTCAACAGAAGTTCTAGAGATTCGCGAAAAGGGCTCGTTGGCATGGCAACATGGGATTATCTAGAATTTCGAGCGCTTGCAGGAAGAGAGCAAGGGATTGCAATTACCACCTTGTTTTCTGACAAATTAGCTCTAGAAAAGTGAAAAACTCATCTTCAACAATATTTTCTAATAAAATATCAGATTCATTATTATTTATTTTAAACAGAATTTAAATATAAAATCAGAATATTTTATTACTCGGGAAGAAATCTTGTAGATTCATTTAAAATTGAAATTGATCATTGTATGATTACTTTTTTATAATTAATGCCAACCCAATGGTTCTTTATAACTGATTTTTGTCCAAAAGAGGGCGCGAGACAAGCTTCCGGATAGATATCCCGCGAAGAACATCTGTTCCGAAAATCTCCCGCCGAACTTATCTTAGTAGGGGTAGTTATTGAATCGAACCAAAATTTAAGAAGTTCTAGCCCTCTAATTCATCATTATCAGAGTCGAAACCAAAAAATGGCCTATTTACTTCATCAAAAAATAAATTGTCTGAACGACATTTAAAAACATAGACGAGATTTTTTTCGGGCCGTGGAGCCTTTAAAAACGAGCCGCAGCAGGTTAAAATCTCCACTTTTTTGAAAAATTAAAAATGTCACTCCCGAGAAAGGCAGTTTTTTCAGAGCAAGAGAAGCAGCTACTTCACGGTATAATTTCCATTGCGTTGCCGATCTCAGGTGCAGTCGAGAGGGTTGAGGGAGGAGTAATCGTGTTTAGGCGTCGAATTGATTCTGGACAGGCGATTATGCGAAATGCAGAGAAAAGCGAGAGATATAAAAGGTTCGTTTAATAGATCACTTGCAGATTATTTATTTCGCATTTCAGGGCAGCTTTTGACGGTCCCCATCGAGTCTTCCGGAAAGGGAATCATTCACCTTGCGATCGAGCTGTCCAACGAGGAAGATCTCCAATTCCTGCTTGAGTTTGAACCGCCCCTCGACCAGCAACATCCATGGCCGATCTTTTCAGCTTTCGAAGGCGAGGCAGTAAATGAGCGACTCCAGAAGTTGTTTCGACTCTGCAAACCAAAGACGCATGCGGAATGGTACGAAGGGCTCAAGGAAAGGGTCACCATAAGATCAAGCCTGATCATCAGGTGAGTATAGCCATTAATAAAGCTCGAGAAGCCGCTTGCGGCTTCGAGCCAAAAATATAAAAAAAAGCCGCGCGAAGCGCGTCTAGAGTTTATTTTGTCTGGAAGCCCCAAGCGGCTTCTCAAGTGTAATTTATGGCTATCTCAGCTGAAATGTTGATCAAATCACGTGACCTGGAAAAAAGTACTCGCGACTTGAAGGAAAAGAGTATCTCAAAGCGTTCTGGTGGGTCGAGCAGATGAAGTACTACGCGGAAGAAAACGAGAAGGTCAAGGCATTCGTCCGGCCTGGCTGCTACACGCCAGACTTTGGATGCAACAGAGAGAGGCCACGGAGAGTTCGAGTTACAGGTATTTTTGATGGAAAAAAATTGTTCTCAACGTTTTTTTAGATAAAATTGAAGTGAAGGAAAAACAACCGAAGAAATTGAAGAGCAATTCTTTTTCAAGAAGAGTTTGGAATGGCCTTGTAAAGGTAAAGGACCGAGAAATGGGAGGATTTCTTGAATGGTTTTTTAGATGAAAGAGCGACTACTGGTTGTGAAAAAGAAAAGAGACAGCAACGAGAAGGAGAATGAAGAAAACGAACAGGAAGACGAAGGATTCGGGAGCTTCGATCGACGAGATGTGCGAAGACGATATGTTCAGAAGAGAAGTGGAAGTCGGCGGTTCAGGCAAATTCGAAAAAACACTGGTAAGAATTCGCAAATTATTATTCTCCTCGTTGATTCCTCTTTTCAGCGGCGAATTTGTGGCGAGTGAAGTCAGACTCGGCGCTGGAATCTGAACCACCGTCTCCGCCGTTTCCGCAAAGCAAGACAATTCCAGCCGAACTGAGCGAGGAGATCAACAAGATTCGAAAAATGAGCAAGAGTACGAGCACCTACCACCTAAATCAACTCTCTGCGGACGAGCCGGAATCTGGACCGGTTTCGGAGTTTCCAATGTCGATGCCGGTCAGTGTTATTTTCAGAAAAGTCAGCTAAATTGACTGTTTTAGAATTTGCATGCGGAGGAATCGGAAGAAGGAAAACTGAAGCTCAAGCGTTGGGATACGACTGCGACTCTTTGCGAGCTTACTATCACTGCTGTCTGACTGCTACATCTAGATAACATCTTCTGAATAAAATAAAACTTTACTTATAGAATAAGTTTTAATTCTTTATTTTCTCACAGGTAGATAATTTTCAGTATTCAAGCTACCCGGGGTAGCCTGCCCCGAGAGCCACTACTTGTGCCTAAACTAGAGCTTACTCATTTTAAAAAGGTTAAAATCAGAGGCATGTAGTTTCTGATTTTGAGTTGTTTATATCCAATTTTTGTCCAAAAGAGGGCGCTAGAGAACTCCTTGTACCTCGCAGATACATATCCCGCGTAGAATATCTGCTGCAGGAATCCCCTGTCGAGCTTACCTTCCTTAGTTATTGAATCGAACCAAAATAATAGAATTTCTGATCATGATTTGATTGACAAAATAAAAGAAGGAATACGCTTTCTCTGCTTCCTATTCAAAGGTAGTAGGGATAAATATTTCGGTACAGTAGGAAGCCTCTTCCTGGAAGAGACTTTTAGTTTTTCCCTAAAACCTAACCCTAACCCCCCTAAAGTAAAAGTACTTAGTTCCTAGCCCTAACACCTAACCCAGGGGGCTTCGCCCCCTTGGAACTCCCCTAACACTAGCCAGAAATGAGGTTACCGAAATATTTTTCCATATTACGTATTGAAAGATACAGAGAAAGATCTGCTTACTAATAGTGTAGCAATAAATATATATTCATTTGGATATAAAAAATAAATGTCGATTTTGCAGATATAAAATACATAAAAGAAAACGTTGAGCCTTAGAAGGGATGGTGGAGGCTATGGAAGGAGGTGTGAGACTGCTGGAGCATCGATTGATGATTCTGAGCGCTCACAGAGTTTCGCAGCCGCGAGCCTCCAGTGTTAGACTGGCGAGCTTTTTCCAGGTTCATTTTTTGGAAAAAAGGGGGAAAGGAAGCGAAAAATGAACCGTTCCTGGTCCAGGGGCTGAGTAGAGCGAGCTCGTGTTGAAATGTCGAGCAAAAGAGCTGCTGGAGTGGAGGCTCATCTCGGAGAAGCCAGGGACCATTTCTCGGTACTCGATAGTAGCGCCACGGGCTGGGATCAAGTGGTGGGGCTTCTTCTTGATGTCCTTGGCTAAATAAAGGCTAGTTTTTCGATCAGATTTATAGAATTACCGGGAATGGTGACGCTTCTGATTGCGTGATCTTTTCGGATGTGAATCGTCACGCTGGTTTTGCTCTCTTGGTACCAAAACTCCATGTTGCTCTTGTTCGTGTTGAGCGATCGAACAGAGCCGGAAGCGTTGGGGCCGAAGAGAGTATCGTTCTTGCTTCGTTTGTAGTAGCTGACGGATTCAACTACATCCCGGAGCTTGGCGCCAGGGCGGCACATGTGCTCCAACAAGGAGATTACATCTGGCCGGGGGTGCTGGAGCACTCGCTTGAGCGCCTCTAAAAAGGAAAAAATGAGGCTGTCCTTGTTGATTTAAACGAAGATCTTTACCTTTGACGCAGTACGCGGCGTGGTGGTTTTCAAACTGGATGAAAGCGATTTTCGGCTTTCCTTCGCTCTTCTCGGGAACCTGGGGGAAGTTATTCTCGATGTACTTTGCCGCCTCGGGAGAGATCTTGGAAATAAGTTTTTCAACATCGTCTACTGTCACGTGATCGCTCAGCTTGCCGATGAAGAGTTTTCGCTTCAAATCCTCTTGATTGGATTCCTTAAAAAAAAGATTAAAAACGGGAATTATAAAAGTGGCCTTTTAAAATTTTCCTGAGTTCGGCACCCTGTCAAGAAAACCTGAGTCAGGGTCTTGAAAGAGATTGAATTGCAGCGCGGCTTTTCGCTCTCTTTTAGGACCCTGACTCAGGTTTTCTACACAGGTTACCGAACCAGAAATTTGCTTCAAAAACTGACCTTGATGTTGAGAACAACTGGGCTGCCCTTGAAAGTCGCTTTATCAAGTGCTTTTTTGTGGATCATCGGTTTCGCAAATCGGAGAAACGCGATTTCTAAAATGCAGTTAGAACATCCTTTCCTTCGTAAAAGACACTTACTCTTCTTCGTCCCGGAATCTTTGTTAGAGATTTTCCTGTCGAAGTGAATCTCTTGTTCGGCTTTGTCAAGTGGGATGTGGAGGTACTCGCAGATGTGCTTGCAGAGGTTTTCGTGCGTCCATGAGCCAGGAATCAGACCGACAAACTAAAGAAATAGTTGATACAATCACGGATCGTGGTTCTCGGCAACCTGTGTAGAAATCCTGACTCAGGTTCTTGAAAGAGCTTCCTCGGCTGTTGAAGCTCTTTCAGAACACTGGCTCAGGTTTTTACTCAAGTTGCCGAGCCCGGTTTTGATTCAAAAGAAATAGCTGGCAGAATCACGGACTGGCCTTGGCAACCTGTGTAGAAAACCTGAGTCAGGGTCCTGAAAAATCTTTAAAAAACCGCGAAGGATTAAGCTCTTTCAGAACCCTGAGTCAGGTTTTCCATACAGGTTTCCAGATCAGGGACTTACCAATTGACGGCAGAGCATTCGGTTGTTTTCTTCAGAAGATTCGCCCTTTGGTCTCATTTTCAATCGAAAAGTAGCTCCGAAATTCGTTACAGATATCTTAAATAATCCTTCAAAAGCTTATTTATTTGTTAATTGATCAATTCTAGCGCTAAAAATGTCCATTGTGCGGCGCACGTGGCCCCAGTCGAAAAAAAATCCTCCTGATTGGCCACTTAGCCAGGCGCTCTTGCCGCGAAATACTCTATTTCCGACCAAAATTGACGAAAAACACTGTTTTCGAACATTGAAGTTCGCAAAAATGAAATCTACAGCGTTTAAATAACCAGAACTTACCTCTTAGTCTCACTGCGCGTTGAGTGCAACTGGCAGTTGTTTTCTGGCGACAACTTTTTGCAGCGCGGCAATCTAGAACATTTTCGATTTTTGTTTCGAAAACTCGAAAACAACAAGAAAATCAGTCAGAAATTTCGCCTTTTCGCGGTAAAGGCCGCGGTAAAGGCCGCTTGCGGCTTTGAGTAAGGCGAAATTTTAGCCGCAGAAAGCGCGGCTTTTCCTTGTTCCAGGCTCAGCAACCTGAGTAAAAAGCCTGTGTCAGGTTCTCGTATTGACTTAGAATATCGAGCCCAGAACAAGGAAAAGCCGCGCTTCGTGCGGCTTTGGTTTTGTCTTACGCGAAGCCGCAAAAATGGCGGCTTCTCGATTTTCAGAAGTCATTTTGATTTAATAAATAATCTTGAATCAAACCAATTTTCCGATAAATTTAACTGTCAATTTACTTTTGCACTGTACTGCAACAGTATCAGTAGTACTGATTCAGTACAGTATTCTTTGAAATCCACGACGTAGTAGTTTTTTGAATGGGAGAAGTGTGCGTAATCGGGGAGAGATGAATCAGGCGCGATGAGTCAGCGCCTCTCAGTTCGGACGGGCGCGCGTTTCGGCCGGGAATAATTTCAATTTCCAACCCTTTTTTTGAAAGAAGAGAATGAATTTCGGAATTGAAGAGTTCGAAAAGTAATTCACCAAAAGTCGCCAGAATAAGGTAAAGAGGGAAATCAAAAAAGAAGACAAAAGAACCTGCCAAATTTACGACGAAAAAAAAAGTTACGATTCGACGAAAATTAAATATTGCGCGAAAAATTGAAATTGTCAATTTTCATAGGAAAAACGCGTTTTCATCAAAAATAAGACTCTGGTGAATTCTAGAGGAATTCTAGAGGAGCAATGTTCCGCGGCGAGTGGCCGTACTGGGAGTGGCCGCCCATTCTTGAAAAAGTATTTGACGAAAAAGTCACAATTTGAAAATTCGATTTTCATTTGGTGAATTAGGGTGATTTTCTCATTTAGTGGTAAATACGCTTTTTACAGTAGCCTACATTCAAAGCTAAACATTTCTTTATTGGAAACGAGCTCCCGAGAAAGTAGCCAAGTGATTCTTCTTATTCTCATTCTCCTTATCGTTATCATTCTTTATCAATCAATTTTCATCAGAACTTAAGGGTACACCCTTATTTAAAACTTTTCATATTCAAAGATGTCCAGAAATTTAAGGGTATCCCTTCCATTTCGCTTTGTAAAGAAACATGGTGCAAATCGTGTTTCATTGGGATACCCTTAATCCATCGATATTGGCAACCAAAGTTGACATTCAGACTTGAGCATGAGAATTCTGTTGGTCTTATCGAGAGCTCGCCATCTTCAAATAGATTACGTAGAAATAGAAGTTTGCTAGAAATAGAATCAACATTGATTTTTACCATATTTTCATCCCCGGTGTCTATTCCGCCTGGAAAGCTTCAAAGAGACTTGAGATAGACGAGAAGTGTCACATGACTGGCTGCGATTGAAAAGTCTCTCTCTTTCTTCAAATTGAAATCCGTCTGATTTCAAATTGGAAAAAATTTGAAAGTATTTTCTTGTTTTGATAGTCGCGCGAGAGATCAGGAAATTCAGCACTTGTCGGGCATTTCTCGATTATCTCGATTCTCACTTCGCAAGTGGCGTTTTTCTTGTTCCTTTTTTCTAAATTGGGTCTCGTTTAGGATGCGATGCCAGTACAGAATCGGGTCGCGGATTACTTCGTCGTCGCCGGCTTCAACCCGAAAAATGCAGAGAGCTTGAGACTCCCAGGAGAATCCTCCAAAAATGGTAAGTCTTTTCTATTCCAATCTAATTTTGATGGAATTCTGATTGTTACGAAAGTATTTCTAATGCTGAAAATCAAGCGTACTCGTTGTTGATTTCATTTAATTCCAGATCCGATCTGCGACGTCGTCGTTTTAAATGCCAACGAGCAGGAGTCCGTGCCACACGGGTACACCCTAGTCGACAAGACAGTCGGTGGCTTGCCAGCTGATCTCAACCATGGGAGCTTCAACGCGCCGTGCATGTACATCTGCATCAGGCGCGGGAAAGATAAGCCTCCAATCGTGCGCGTCGACGTCGTCCAGGGCGAGCAGGCCAAGGGCGAAGTGATTAGACGGACGCCCCACTCCCGCTCCGCCAACATCAACAACACGTGAGCATTCCCTTCTTTCAGAATTCAAAAATTATTCAGCACGTCCTTCAATGCGACGCCACTCTATCTCCGCCTCCACCGCGACAGCTACTCGCCCTTCGTCGTGTCAGAGCTGGCAGTAGTGATTCCTTCCAAGGGCGAGCAAGACCCGCTCGGCTTCGTCCGTTGCCCGCAGAACCTCAATCTCGGCATGGTCGGCTCCGGTGTCTTTCTCACTTACAAGTTGTCGCCGAAGTCGGTGAACAGAGCGAGCTATCGGGCCGATTTGCTTGCCCGATTGCCGAAGGAAGACCATGCAGATGTGCCAATGGCGCCCTGGGTCAACTCTGTGCCTATCTTCGCCCTGCCCTCCGGCGCCAGCCTCGAGAGCTGGGACACTGATCAACATGGCGAAATTAACTCGAATCCTCAGTTTAGGAACAGGGCTTTCAATTATGAATAAAAAGGAAAGATCTGATTGATGGTAGACGAGTTAGTTTTTCTTCAATTTCTGTATCAAAAGCCTTGTTTAGTACGTTCGTTTTGACAACAGAAACTTCGGAAAAGATTTACGGCGCATCGCTGGTCTTTCTTGAAAAGTTCGACAAGGCGCTGCTGAAAGAATCGCAACGCCGCCGCCTCGGCCTCAACGCGGGCAACAACGAGCCCGTCCCAGGCGCCGAGGAGAAAGAAATCTTCGTGTCCAAAGCCATTTGTCTTCTATCAAAGGAAATGCTCGCCAAAATATGAAAAAATCATTTTTCTTTTAAAATTTATCAACAAGAATTCGAATTTGTCGAGCTTCGCGCAGCATCCTTTCTTCAACGCCTTCGAGGCCTTCCTCAAGTTCCTGTATCAAATGACGATTTCAAACTCGGTGCAGAAAGTGTCCCTCGAGCGCCATATCTCGCAATTCATGAGTCTACCCTTTCCCTCGCCCAGATGTCCCCGTATTCACGCTCACCTCTCCATCCACCACGAGATTCACCTCTCGCTTCCTCGATTTCGCCCCTTGCCGCCCAGCGGCGCTAGTTTCAGGAAACAGTGATACATTTTCTTACTTATCTCGTTCAAAATCTGCTAAATTTTCAAGTTAAAACTTCTACTTGAACTTCCCCATGGTCACTTTTGAACAGCTCGTTGTTGTGGCACTTGGGCTCGGAGCGGATGATCTCCCTCTTTCACGCAGTTCTGACGCAGCAGCGAATTTGTGTCCACTCCCTCCATCTTCAAGAATTAACGCCGGCGGTAGAAGCTGTCGCCAACCTCATTTTCCCTCTTCAGTGGCAATGTCCTTTTATACCTCTTTGTCCCATCGAATTAGGTAACAAAATAACTAAGAAGCAAGGGCTTAATCAACTTATTTCTAGCGTGCATTATCGAGTCCCCTACTCCCTTACTTATGGGCGTCTCCAGCACCTATTTCGAATGTCCGGATAATGTTCCGGACGAATCCGCGGTCTACCTGGTTTCTCTCGATCGAGGAGCCATTCCTGATCAAGACAAAAAGTTCAAACTCATTCCTGCGCGTTTCCTCCAGCCCCTAATGAGCACCGTCAAAGAAATCGAAACGCGACTGCGAGCTGTTGGACGAGCAGGAAGCGATTTCAACGGTGGTGGCGGGGATTACAACACATTAGATGATCCTGAAGCGGAGTCCGATCGGGCGCAGATAGAACTGGATCTACGACAAGCATTCCTTCGCTGTTTGTGCCATTTACTCGGGAAGTACCGTTCATTCTTGCTTCCGATTCGACACCAGCCAACAACAGAAACAACCGATCTAAAAGTTCTCTTCGACGTCGCCGGTTTTATTTCAAAGAACGCTGGGTCAAGCAAAAGCAGTCGCACATTCTACGACTCTCTGACGAGCTCGCAGGCTTTTTGCGCATTCATCGAGTCGAGAACCTTCTCTGGTGGCCACGTGGGCATCCAGCAGCACGAGTTCTTCGACCAGTGCCAAGATCTAATCGAACGGAATCCACAGAACGCCGGAACCATTCATTTATTAAAAGCTGGCACGCCGAGCGAAGAAGACACAATGAAAATCGTCCCTCCTCCTGAAGACGACGGCGAAATCGCTTACAGTGAGTTTCCCACTACGCTAAAGTCTGTCGTCGAAGTCACGACGCAGCGAATCGAGAAGATGGAAAGCTCTGCTGGTCAACGAACGCCCCAAGAGCTGGATATGGCCAGAAGTACTGCCGATACCTACTGGAGAGACGACAACCTCTGGCCTCTGTTACTCCGTTCTTACTACTACGCACTCAGTCTCATGTACATTCCAACTTATACGAAGACCGCGCCAAGTGCAACAGCCGCCTTTCGCGAAGGTCTAAAAGTGATGGAGCTGATGGGGCAGGAGCGCATCACTCTTCCGGACGAAGCGCCTTTGAGAATGATCCTCGCTTCTTGTCTCGACCATCACAAACCGATGACAGCCGTGCGGGTCCTAAATGCTGCCAAGAAAGTCCTCAGACTTCAGATCAACGCGGCCACTTATGCGCTTTACAATCAAGTGTTGTTGGAGGCAAAATGGCCAGAGAACGCTCGCGATGGATACACTCTTTGGAAATTGTTGAAAAACACGGTTTTGGCGACGATCGCATTCATGGAACCTGTTGAAGGTTACCGTCGATTCCAAAGTCCTGCGCCGGAGAATCAGTTTAACATGAACATGGGCCTCAATCACGCATCGATGCAAGCGGCAAAGACAGGCAGCTCGCGCTCGCTCGAAGGTGCCTTCCATGTTACTACGAACGAAGAAGCGGAGAAAGAAAAGGTCTTTGAACCGCGCACAGACTCGCCCAGTGCACTTTCCGTCGACACTTTAAATTTGAACGATTCAAATCGAGACAAGGGAGGAGTCGAGTCTGGTTTGCCCAGGCCGGACCTGGGCTTTGCCGTTTCCCAATCCAACCCGAATCTTTCCAAGACTCTTCCTGCAACCCCGACAAAATCTTCTTCTCCACCCCTGATCGCAGCTCATCCTAAATCAAAAGCCGTCGCTTCCAAAAGCTGGGGACTCAGTTCATTTTCCAAGTCCTTCACGGTCGACAACCTTGGTCTCTCAAAAATGTCAGAAAAACTTGGAACCAGCTCGCCAATGAAATACTTTCAGTCGCCAAAGGTTTCCAAGGCCATCACGGATACTGTCGACTCCTTTACTGACACTTTCGAATCTGTCAAAGCGTCGCCAAGTTACAACAACTTGAAGGATGTTTCGAAAAAGTACGTGGACAATTTCTCGGCAGCTGCAAAGACAATGATGGATAACATGGATGGAAAAGGGGTCGAACAAGAGGAGGGATCTAGCGAAGACTCGATGGGTGTCAACGAAGACGACGCAAAGAGAAGCTCCCTGAGAAGGAGAGTAAGGTAAGTAGCTAATGATTATTGAAATATCGCAGTTGTTCAATTTAATTTCAGACCAAACTCTCTGGAAAAGCCCTTATCGGACGGAACTGGAAGCGTCAAATCAGCAACGATCCTCTCTACTCCTGATATTTTCGTGACAATGTCAGCTGCCTGCACATGCTCGAACTGTGGCACGCCACTGTATGAAGAAGAAATCATGGCCGGCTGGACGAGCGACCCGAATTGCATGCGAACTTACTGTCCCTGGTGCCCAAAGGTAATCATTGATTACTAATCAAAGTTTTGAAGCAAGAAAAAGGATACACTTTGGTTAGATTAAAAATGGCTTTTATTAGGCAAGTGTGTTGTGAACTAACAGTAAGGGAAGGAGAGTCTATTCTTCGTCGGTCTCTTCATCCGACTCTTCTTCTTCGGTGTCGTCGATTTCGGGCTGAGCGTCGGGCATCTCTGTTGCCGGGAAGAACTTGTACTTGGCACTTTTTGTTCTGTTTCTTGGCCGCCAGGGAATGTAACCAAGAACTTCGCAGATCGCCTTTCGTTCTTGCCAGCCAGAGTCGGGACCATCGTGGCGGGATGGATAGGGGTAAATCATTCGGTCCTCCAGGGCCTTCCGCTTGTTCTCCGGCAGGACTCCCACCAGGTTTTCTAAAGAAAGAATGAGAAAAAAATCATGTGATAATCTTACCTTGTTTCTCCGCCGACCAGCATTTGCCATCACTGTAGGCGACGGTCCACTTGACCCAGATTCGATGCTCTTCCTCTAGAAATTCTTTAAGTTTTCGAGTAATACTTAGTCTCCATACCTGGCTTTAAGTAGTGTTGAATTGCCATAGTGCCATCATCTCGTCGGACTTTTCGTCTTCCCCAAGCGAGTGAAAGTCCGCCGAGCGCCTAAATAAAATTGATTAATTCCTTTTCCTCAGTAAAAGATCTTTACCTCAAGCTCCCACTCGGCGTTTTCGTCAAATTTCTCGGGCGCCCTCTGTACCTCCTCTTCGTCCGATTCTTCGATCCTGCCTCGTCGTTTTTTCTCAATTACAGCTGGAGTTCGTCTCGTCTTCTTCGCGACCTTGTCATTTTTCTGTGCCACAGCGTTCCGCGCAGCTTTCGCGACTTTCTTCTTGCGGTGCGATGTTTTTTTCGCCATGTTATTGCTCTTCTCCGATCTCGCCATTTTCGTAAAATTAGAAAATATCAGTTTTTTTTATTCTAATAAAAAGTTTCGGTGAATGAACTTTATTTTAAAAAATGGAGGTGGGTATCAGTTACGTCGGCTCAAAAAATTCTGACAGCCAATTGAAATGAAAGAAATTTTGCGTAGTTTGCCATTTCAGGTGACCTCTTCTCCTCAACAACAATTTGCCATGATTGCCATATTTTCGACGGCTCGTCTTTGACAATTTCGCTTATCATCTAATATCGAACTCTTTGTTTCCCATGAGAGTAGCGATGAGTCTACATTTCTTGTAAATTAGTCTTCAACGCTCAAATTTTGAGCAGAACCGAGCGGAAAGGCCGCTCAGACTCCGCTCAATGATCTTTTCGTGAGTTCTTTGGCCGCTCGCTCCGATTTCTGACAAAATATTGATGTTTCCTTTCAGACAACTGTTCCCGAACTGTCAGTGCTGATAGAAGATCGCCGCGGCAAAGTGACTTACAAGCGCATTCCGCCGATGACGTTCCTCTCGCCCATCGTCCTTCGCAAGGAACTCGAGACGCTGCTAGTTGTCCATGGCGAGAAAATCCTCCGCGAGCAAGACTTCATCGAGACGCACAAAATCCTCTTCTGGAATCTTTTCTACGGTAAATTCCTTGTCTATCAAACTCCAAATTTACAATCATCTTATTTAGCGTTCGAAAAGATGAAGCTCAAGCACTCACTTGACCAGCTTCTCGCTGCCTCGTCGCTGCTAAATCGACAAGAGCAAGACGACGACTCAGGATCGCATTCCATGAAAGAACTCAAACCAGTGGGTAAGTCAAGTCGCTATTTGAAGAACTTTTATATTTCATATTTACTTTTTTCATTGTTTGATTTGAATTTTAGTGGGAACGTATCTGAACTGGGACTCGACGCTGGCGAACAAGTCCACTCCTTACCCTCCACTGTACCGCATTTTCAAGGAATTCCAGAAGCCAGAAGATCAGCAGAACCGCCTGCTCGTCTCCAACAGTCATATCAAGCGCGATACCCTTATCACCATCGTCGAGTCAATTAAAAACGTAAGAAACAAGAGTCACTTTCCCATAAAAACGAACTCGAATTCAGAACGACTGTCAGACGCCACTGATGAAGCTGCTTTATCTCTGCGAAGGCCTGACTCGGGATTCGAAAGAAAAGGTGCCGCGCCGCTCGTGCTACCGGGAAGCGCAGTTCTTGCTCGTCGCCGCCGTCGGCCAGCGCAACATCGACTTCTCCCTCTTCGACCGTTACTGGCAGAAGGCGCACGAGATCCTGCAGGACCACGCGAAAGAGCTGCGCAATTCCAACGACCAAACGCCCAACCAGCGCGTCTACATTTGCCGCAAGATCTTCGGCGAGCCCAGACTCCTCTGTTGAAAACTTACACAGCTATTTTACTGTAAAAAATACTTGTCAATTTAATTACTCATCGTCCCTTCACAAAAACTATCAAACAACTATCGAACATCTACATCTATATTTATATATATGTGAAATTAAATTACTGTACTTCATTACTTTCATCCTTTCATACTGTAACATTGCGGACACGCTTCAAGTTCAACCCGCTTCATTTCCCATTTCTTTCCGATTTTCCAGCAATTACAAATCTAAAAATATGCAATTTAAATGATATAAAAAACTACGAAACTAACTCAAGTCACATGACTTATTATGATAGAAAACAAGCTTCATCCAATTTAAAACTAAAATAAGCTGAGCAAAGACGGCCCTGTTTCTTTCTTTATCCATGTTATTACTTGATTTAAAAAAGCTAAAATGTTATAAGCAATAATAAACTCATGAAAGATAAATCTAACAAATTTCGTCAAATTCGTCGATTCTCATACCCCGCAAGTTTCTTTCAGACAGCAGAACTGGGTTTGGCAATATCTGTTGAAAACCTTGACTCAGAATCCTGACTCAGGTTCTCCACTCATATTCCCAAGCCCAGTAGCAGGATGAGGATTTTTATTTTATTTCCGCTCAGAAAACTTATTCAGACATCACTGAACTTTGAATCATCAATTGAGCATTTTGGGCAGCTCTTTTTATATTATTACTTATTGAGCAAAAGTAGCAGAAGCAAAAGTTTAGCAGATAGAGATGTTAAAAGTCCTCGTTGATTGCGATCCGGGCGTGGACGATATTTGCGCATTGCAGTTTCTTATTAATCGCAACGACGTCGAAATCGTCGGAATCAGCATCGTTCATGGAAATTGCCCGGCTTCTGTTGGAGCTAAGAATGCTTTAAAACTTCTTACGTTGAATAATCTGCAGGTACAGAAGACAATTTCTTCATTTTCGTATTTTCAAATTAAAAATTTCAATATTCTTTTCAGCATAAGATTCCGATCTTTTTGGCTCCGATACAACGCTCGTCGCCGAAGACGAAGACTGGAAAAAGCACCATCTTTACCACGGAAGGAATGGATTATGCGACGTCACTGAGAATGATGTAGAAATTGACGAGAGCGTTTTCTTGAGATCCCCGGCAGAGGCCGCTCCCAACGCAATTGTCCAGCTTTCCCAACTGTACGCAAACGAATTGGCAGTGCTGGCGATCGGACCTCTCACAAATCTAGCGCTGGCGATGACAATCGATCCTCATTGTGCGAAAAAGTGGAGATCCTTGACGATCATGGGCGGGACGAGTTGGGGAAGAGGAAATGTGACTGCTGCGGCCGAGTTCAACTTTTTCCACGACCCAGAAGCAGCGGCGACTGTTTTGAGAAAGATACCGGAAGAGCTTGATACGAAGATTGTGACTTGGGAAGCGACGCGCGAAGGGACATTTAAAAAAGAAATGATCGATTTTCATCCCTATCAAACTACGTTCAAAGTACTATCTTCACTTTTCCATGGTTTTTGAACTTATTTCAGGGAGAATGGCTGTGGGAGCGCTGCAAACGAATGGGAGTTCCGATAGACGAAGAAGCATTCGACGACTTTTGCATTTGCGATCTCGTCGCTGCGGTCGTGCTGGTCGAAGGAAAAGCAATCAAGAGCTCCCGAGACTGCCACGTCGCCGTCGAATGTGCCGGCAAATTCTCCCGAGGCGCGATGGTTGTCGATGCTCGAGATCGACCCACAACAAAGCAAAAGGAAGAAGCTGGATTTAAATTAGGAAAAGGGCGAAAGTGAATAGAAGATGTTCCTTGGAAGAGCCAAGCGAGTTAGAATTCATCGTTTGAGCCTTTTAAAAAGTCACAGTGGTAGACAAAGTCGACTATAGCAGGCCTTTGCTCGATCTTCATGGACTCAAACTTGCTTCTACGTAAACAGTTATAGACTATAAGTTATAGTTAGTACATATTATCTCTCTGTGTTTATTACTCGTACAATAAACGATTTTTGCTTTGTCAAACGAGTGCGCCAGCTGCTTGTTTCTGGTAGCGGCGGAGAATCTTTTCGTATTCTTGAGTCACGCCGTCTTTTAAATCGTCCACCTCGTCTTAATTTAAGATCAAAACACGCTCAGAAAATGGGCGTCTTTACTTTTCGCTTCTAGCACCATTTCGTAAATGTTTTCCAAATTTCTGAAAACCGAGTTATCTGGATGATCGTCCATCAGAATCTCATCCTCTGTCGGGACTGCTTCTCCTGGCATTTCTCTGTAAGGAGAAGAGTTTACCGCATTGAATCTCTTCACAGAATAACTGAATAAGAAGTTTAGTCTTCGTTGATTTCCAGACAAAGTTTGGGCTCTTGCCTGTTGTCAAAGGCACTCTTCTTCGGCTGTCTGTAAATAAGGCCGAGAGAGAGGCCAAAAAGAGGAAAATAATGCGCGGCGCTTTTTTCATTTTCTGCGGTGAAAACTGGCGAAATTGCCACATGCATCTTTGCTGGCTCTTTTTAAAGCCCCTGGAAAATTGATTTTGTGGCGTGATACTTGTCTCATTCCAAAAGGGATAATTAATATTCTCTTTCAATAATATTTCATTGCTAAGAAGAAATGCTTTAAACGTTTTAGAAATGTTAAAAAAGAAAATACAGCTCTGCCCACTTTTGGTCGAATTTGATTGTCGAGTAAACAAATCACCGTTCTATTTAATAATATGATAAATTTCTTTGTAAAAATTGAAGTCTGCGGTGCAGCATGGATGCCAGGTGGCTCCAAAAAGGTCAATATTTAAGAGTTACTGGCGCGTTTTGAATTTTATTCAATATCGCCAATTTAATATTTGAGCAAACAGCAATTGAGGCACAGGCGAGGGTCAGACTGTCCCGAGCCCGGAAATCGACAGATGAGAATAAGGAATAAGCTCTTCCTGTTTTTCGGGGCCTTACAGCTTGCGCTTGTAGCAGCTGAGAACTTTATCGAGAAAACGAGCTACAGTACGGAGATTCCGTGCTCCGAATGCACCTGCGAGGAGAAATGCTCTTCCTGTGGTGTTTGTGTCAATTTCATTCTTGATACGAGGTAAGCTTCGAAAATAATGATAAGGGATAGTAAAGAATTCCAATTGTTCTTTCTTTTCTCACTGATATTTCAAAGCTGCGATTCTATGGCCGAATTGCGGCTGATGAAAGACTTCATAGGAAACCTGGTGGACGAGATGATCCTCTCCGACGATCGACATCGCTTCCACCCGTTTCTGATCATCAATTCTAACGGACGAGATATCTTCAACCTTCATCCTTCCCAAACTAGCGCTTCCCTTCGCCTCAACGAGATTAAAGTGGCAGTTAACGCGCTTAGACCTTCTGGATCTTTCAACCTTGATCAAGGAATGGATTCGAAAATATTTCCTTTAAAAATGAACTTTTTTTAATTGTAGTGTCCCCTACTGTCTCCACTCCATTTATTGCTTATCAATTGCCCCCGATACTTACCAGGTCATGCGCTTCGTTGCGCATGACTTGAACTTCCTTGGCTTATAAGCCGCTCGTAAGCCAACATTCCACACAAGTGATCTCACCTTGACATTGAATCACTATTACAAATAAACTATGAATTGACACTCCACAAAAGCCTTTTTATTTGGAGACTCTTGCAGGACACTAACATAATAAACAAATCAATTTTTGGAATCCCAATCAAGCTCTCCGCGCGTCCTCGGAATTAAACGAGGATTTGGGCGCTCACTGCAGCTCGAAAATCAACGTAATCATCAGCAACGGCGGCGATGGCCATGTTATGATGGAAAGATTTGAGAACAAGGCGGATGCGAGCTATTTGCTGACATTGAACAACTGGGCGTGCGATCGGGGACAGAAGGAGGATTGCTGGAGAGCAGAAGTGGTAGACAAACTGCGCGCAAATGGAGCTACGATCCTCAACTTGCCAGTTGATAGCCATCGAGATTATGTGAAAACAGCGATTGTCGAGTACGTCGACCCTTGCGAAGGTTCGACAATTTTTCTTCAAAGAATCTACCATTTTTTCTTTGCTTTAACCTTATACAGTATAAGTTATACTTGAGTTAGCTATTTGCAGAAATATGAATAACAGAATTAACGAAGTTCACAACAACTCCTAAGTTGCTGTTTTCAGAAAAGTGCGAGGAGCACTGCACATGCGACTGTCAAATTGATGTCAAGAATTGCGCAGATGACGAAGCTCAAAAACCATGCTGCGGAAAACGGGGCGAACAGGGCGCAACTGGGCAGAAAGGTGGAAGAGGAGCTAGCGGACCAGATGGGCCAAAAGGAAAAGATAATCAAAATCATTATACAGTATAATTTTTAGACTTGTTACAATAATCTACTTTGATAGAGTTCAAGTAACTCCTTTATTTTATCTCGATAAAAGGAGAGAAAGGGCAAAAGGGAGCAGTTGGAGAAATCGGAGAAACTGGAAGAAAAGGTCCTCAAGGTCCCCAGGGGTAGGCTTGATTTGCTATTTCTCCTACAAATAAAATGATTATAGAGCTCCGAATGACGTTCGAGGGCCAGTTGGGGAAGATGGAGTCGATGGCGCTCCTGGAGAGAGAGGCGAGCCTGGCCCTGCTGGATATCCTGGTACTTTTTGATAGGAGAAAAAGGACTTACTCTGTTTAGGTTCCGCTGGCGAAATGGGTCCGATGGGCCATCCTGGCGATGAAGGCGACGTCGGTTTGGCCCCTCCTGGAGCCAAAGGAACTAAAGGAGCGACAGGGCAAAAAGGCGAACGCGGCCGAAGCGGTCCCATGGGTCCAGCGGGCGCCGGAGTGGGCTCATCCAGTTTCTACGACACTTACAAAAGCTTACTCAAGAAATCGCTGCTGGAGAGCTTTCGAAAAGGAAACGTTCCGACTTCAATCGCGAACAAGTTCAAGAAAATCGCCGAAAAGGAGTCGAACAAGATGTGTTCTTGCAAGTATGACCGTTTGCAAATGCTATAATCTTTTGATGAGTTTGAATAGTTGCGATTTGAATGGGCGCTGTGACAGGACTACTTCACAGCCGAGCTATCCGCAGAGCAAACAACTGGATAGAAAGATATGCCTTCCTAAGAAATCGACCGCTTTTGGTAACACTCTTAATACAGCCCCTCCCTCTTTACTTTGTTAAATCAAGACAATCCTTCCGTGCGAGTCCCACCAACAGTCGCGCCATCAACGATCCGCAAAGTCTACCGCCAGCCAACGAGCAACGACGTTGTTCCATCAAAGAAACCAGCTCCGCGCAAATTCAGAAGACGAAGATTCAGAAGAAAACGATACCATCACTAGTTCTTTTTGTTTCTTTCTTTTCTACACTTCGCTTGAGTTCAAGAATCAAAAAATAAACTTTCTCGCTTTTCTTTCCAACAAGATAATTAAAAACATTCGGTTCTTTCAGGATGATAACGAGGTCGTAATGTTTTTAAATTTGTTGTTTCTCCTCCTGGCGCAAAGTGTTTACAGTGATTCGGAACCCTTTACTATCTCCATCGATGGGCCACATGAAATCACCCTTCCCTACGATGAAGATTTCGTTCTCACGGGAAATATTGAACCCACTGGAAATGAACTATTTGATCCGCAACTATACGACGTCGAATGGACTCCAGTAACTCTTCCCAAAGACTCCAAAGCCAGTGAGCTACTGGATCCAAAAGAGCCATTAATCTACAGAATCCCAAAGGGCGGTCTAACCGTCAGTGGCTTGTACAAATTTTCGCTTTTCGTTTCGTCTACCTCCAATTCAAACTACAGTAAGTGCTAATTAGTAATTGCCAATTAGATGCTTGTTGATTTAATTACTTTTTTCAAGACCAAACCGCCTTTTTCGATGTGACGGTGCATGATATGCAATCAAAAGTGCCTCTTACTGTAAATATACCGCCCAAAGTCGTGCAATTACCGCAAACTCATCTCGTCCTCCAGCCAGAAATCAATTTCGAGGATTATCCCGAGGCCCGGCTCATTATTATCAGATGCTACTAAAATCAATTGATTGAAACATTTTCATTTTTCTCCATCGATTGATAAATTGAGCCTTGAGCAGGAATCGTTAACGTTCAAGTGGGAAGAGCAAGAAGTTCCTCTCAACACAGCGGAGCTCATCGTCGACGCGATAAAAAACGAAGCGTCGCTGGAAATCGACGTCGCTCCGGAAGCAGCCAACATTACTTTCCTCTTGACCGTATCAGACAATAACTCTGACCAGAAAGTGGAAGTACACGCCTCATTACAAATTATCGAAGAAAAAGACGAGCCTCCTACCGCTGTAATCATCCCAAAAGGTGCCTAGTTCGAAAAATTTCAAATTTTTCAGCGAAAATTGTAGAGTTCAAAATCACGCTTCCGACTTCCACCGCTAAACTGTGCGGAAACTCGTCGACAGACGACCACGAAGTAGTCGAATATCTCTGGGAAGTGGAAAACGATGAGAATCCCGAAGTTGTCGATCTGTCCGGCTCGCACGAGCCTTGCCTTTCCATAAACAGCATCCGCAAACCGGTAACCTTCTCCTTATCAATGCTCTCGTTTTCCTAAAGAAGCAATTAAGGGAACTTATCATTTCTCCCTGACCGTGGCAGATAAAAAGGGGCAAAAGGATCAGACTACCGCTACGATCATCGTTGACCCGGCGAAGAATAACAACCCAGTAGCTAAACTCCAGGTAATTTTGATCTCAACTATCCAATCTTTTAACTTATCAATGAAGATTGGAAACGTCATGTTTTCATCGGAAGGCAGCGCACTCTACTTCATTCCAAGCACAAAAGAGCTCGTCCTCAACGCCTCCACCAGCGTTGATCCAGATGGCGACAGTTTGACGTATTTCTTCTCCACGGGGAAGAAAGCTCCGTCAAAACAGATCCTTACCGTAGATCCGCTCGATCAAAGAATCGCCAGGGTTTCAAACATCACCGCAGTCGGCCTCTACAAGTACCAACTGACGGTGACGGATGATGGAGAGCCACAACTATCAGATTCGGTGGAAATCGTTGTCAACGTCACTACTGGTGCAAAGCCGACTATCGTCGTCGAGGAAGAGCAAACAAAGGTTGGCCCTCGTGCAAACTTTGCTATTGACGCTTCGCGCTCTCATTCTTTCGGTAAATGCTTTTCCTCATCAACATTACGAAAAAGGACGTTTTTTTAGACGATTCTTTACTTTCGTTTTCGTGGACGGCTGATCCATCCGTCCTCGCTGGATTCACCGTCTACAACAACTCCATCAACTCGCCTATCCTTCAAATCTTAAACGCCAACATCGGCACCTACAAGTTCACCGTCACTGTTACCGACAAGATCGGTCAAACCAACTCTCAAATCGCCACTGTCAACGTCGTCGAGGATCCAGAAATCGATACTATCATTGAAATCACCGTTTATGACTGCCCAATGATTACGAAAAAGGAGTCAAAAGATGCTGAAACGGAGCTGTTGCTTAATTTAGCGGTAAAGGATGATTTAAAGTAGTTTGTTAGTTACCATCTTTAGGATAACGAGCCTGAATTGACAAAAGTGTCTATTACCCACGTTTTCCAGCCCTTCCACTCCCCGGACTTGGTGCTTCTCGCAAAAGCATACGACATCTTCGAAAACGCAACGGAAACATCTCAAGTCGTCCCCTTTCTCGACGGAGCGCTCGTCTCAAGCGGCGGCTTCAAATCATTTTGTCGCGGGCATCCTGTCACTGCCAGGCCTCTCGTTTGCCTCTCCGACTGCAGTGGCCACGGCATTTGCTCCAACTCGACGAAAGAGTGCGAATGCGACAAGTTCTGGATTCGCAATCCAATGCTGGCGTATCAGAATTGCGCCTGGAGCCTTGTGTACTTGGTCCTGTCCATTTTTCTGATTCTCATCAGTGTCCTCGGTAAGATTGAAAAAACAATCAACAATAGCCTATCGTCAAATTTAGCCGCTGTAATAATGCTAACACGAAAGCGAAAACAGAAAAGCGGGCGAGCAAAGAAGCATCAGAAGCGTCGATCGGACTATGCCGCTCTTCATGCCTTGGATTCCGAAACTGACGAAGATGAAAAAGCACCGTCGAAATTCTCTCGTCCACGGAAGAAGCGCCCACTGCGAGCAAGACCGCCGAAACCTATAAAGAGCGATCACGTCGCTCTGATCGACTCCGACGGTGCTCCAGGGACGAGCGATTCGGATACGCTCTTCGAGAAGCCGCGCTTTTCGGAAGAAATCCTGTAGCGAATATTATCTTTAACTTTATTTCCAAAGCCGATTATTTTATCGATAGAAGAGGTCCTTGACCAGTTATTCGCAATAATTAATTTTGGCTTTGTTATAATTCCTCCTGGTAGCACTAGTTACTTCTTAGCTCTCAGAAGTTCGACTTTTCAGACCATGCGCTCGGCAATTTGTGCAGAAAACCTGAGTCAGGGTCTGAAAGATCTTTTTCATTCGAAATCTTTCAGGCCCTGACTCAGGCTTTCTACACAAGTTTCTACAGCAGGGCCTCTGTGAGTTACTAGATATTTTTTTTCTGGAGGCTGCGTCTCTTCAATCATACGCCTTACAATCTTCAATACTTCTGTAAACACTGCTTGAAAATATATTCTATTCAAAAAATGAAATATTTCTTCAAAAAAACTGATTTAGATGATTAATGAATCGGTTTTTGCGAAATCGTTTGATAGAGTTATTCAAAGCGGTCGTTTTTCTTGCGTTGGGCTATTACCTCGGCGCTCTTTATGCCACGCATGAAATAGCAGCAGTCAGTTCTTTCAAAGATTTTTCAATTGCGAGGAGTTCGAAAAGCAATCTTGATGAAAATAATGAAAAATCAAAAAAATCGAAAGCATTTTTGACGGTTTTTGTTGTTTCCGCGCCTGATAACAAAGAGAAAAGGGATGTTCTGCGAAAAACATGGCCAAGTTCTTAAATTAATCGTCGTTAACAATTTCTGCAGTTTGCTACGGAAACCATCAATTAATTGAATTGCTGATAGAATTTATGAATTGACTAATAAACGCCAGATAAAGTTGCGAACTTGGATGTAAGCTATCAGTCTGCGATCCACCGGAATGCATCTTCAAGTTTGTTATCGGAACGGCTGCGCTTTCCGAGAAGGTGATTCCAGATTTGACAAGCGCTGACATGCTACAGCTGCCTCAGCTCAAAGGTTTTTTTGTGAAACAAAACAAGTAAATTTAAAAAGGGCGACTAATAAGGAGCTATTAGACTCGTACCACGCACTCACACAGAAAGTCGGTCTCTCGCTGGTCTGGATTCATGAAAATGTTGATGCCGAATTCGTACTAAAAGCAAGGGTTTTGGAAGTTGTTCTTCAAAGACTAGTCGCTTATTTCGTGGAAAAGAATTGATGAGTCTCCTATTTAAAAAACCCTGCCAAAAGCGGATGAAGACACTTTCGTTGATCTAGCCAGATTGATTCCTGAGTTGAAAAAGCACGGCTCGGACCTGTACATGGGATACTTCTCCGGTCGTGCAAGGGTGAAAAAGAGTGGACCATGGGCCGAACCCAACTGGAAAATTTGCGACTACTATTTGCCCAATGCCAGAGGCGGTGGTTACGTTTTAGGGAAGGATGCTTACACTTTCATCGGTCGAAATTTTGAAAGGTATGTAGCCACGGATAGGCGATTTATTTTCAATCTTATAAGAGTGCCGAAATTGTCTAGCCTAGGAACATGCATAAAACTTACTAGAATATAATGTCCGCTTTGATTTTCGAGCTACTTCTATCTTTGAAGTTTATAGTGATAGATGCGTCAACTGGCCCTTTTCTTCAACAATGTAAGGCCCAGGTGAGTGTTTGGCCCCACGCAATCACTGCTGGTTATCGGGGCGAGCGCTTGTCGAAATTAGGGAGATCCTGCGCATCTCGCATCTTATTAATTAAGAGGGAGAGAGTTTTATTTCTTTTCACTCAAGATTTTTCGCTAAAAATAAACTTTTTCTCTTTCTTGAAATCAACAAAGACCATTTTTGAAATTCAGCCTTTCGATTTGGAACAACGAGGACGTAAGTGTCGGAGGCTGGCTCGGTCCCTTACCGCTCAACAGAGTCCACATGGTTGAATTTGATACAGAGGCGACCTCAAGAGGCTGCTCAAACAGCTACATCGTCACTCATAAACAGACGCCAGAAATGATTACAGAGAAATGGAACCTGCTCAAGCGGCATGGTAAAATTTGCAAAGAGGAAGTTCAGAAAAAAGCGGGCTACATTTATGATTGGGATAAGCCACCAAGGAAGGATTTTCAATTTTATTTATGACAAATTTTATGAATTCAAAATCGTTTTTCAATGCAGAAAACCTCATAAAAGTCAATGCTGCACTCCAGATCCAAATATCCACTAAAGTTCTATTCTCGTTTTACTTTATTACTGTATATTTTTACATATCATGGTACCTAAGTGCAATTTCTCTATTCAAGCTCATACAGTTCAAATAACAATTCGTAAACTTATCAACTACTAAAAAGTACTTTTTCAGAAAACAATGATAAATGCCTAAACACAGGCTACTAAAACTTATAATGGGAGCTGTATGTCAAAAATCTTCTCCGCCCGGGACTGTTGGGAAGCCGGACCCAGGCGTGAACGGGATTGAAGAAGAGCAGGAGATTCGCTTTCGAACAGATACAGAAGAAGGTAAGTAATCAACATACAGTCAACTTTGTATTTAACTTTATTCTAGGCTACGTTCGGCTTTCTACAAACTCTTCGCTGACAAGCGATCTGCGGGCCTCCTCTTCCCGCATCTTGAGCGAACCGCTGCCCGACCCAAGCAAAAACAGCGCCAATCATCACCGCACTCGCGCCTTCTCTTGCACCACTAACAAGGCTGCCCCATCAACACCGCTCAAGTCACCTATCCGCTCTAAATCTACATTCGTCGACCAAACCAACAAAACAAACAACAACAACTCGGAAGACGAAAACGACGACGTTTTCCTCGAGCACGGCTCCAACGTCTTTCGTCTCCCAAAACCTTCGCCAGACGAAAAAGAGCCTGCCAAAAGAGCCAAAAGCGCGGACGATGGATACTCTCGCATTCAGCGCAATCCCGCTATTCCCTCGTAAATACCTTGTTTAGTCTGCAAAAACCTGTACTAACCGAAAATTTAAGCCGCTCTACATCAATACTGAAGGATCCAAATTACGACAAAGTAGCTGTTGTCTCGTAGCTGGTGCTAAACTTGGTGAAAAAAAGTGAATTCTCGACTACTGTTAATGAAAAACTTCAATTTCTGTCATCCTCTCTCTTATTTTCTGTACCTAAATAAACAAAGATACGATTTGAAATCAACAAGGACTCACTCTACAGGAGACGGAGTTGTGTCTTTTTGGACATCCCCGCTCCCGATTACCGGTATTGTTTCTTTTAACTTTTAAAGTTTAATTAAAGGAGCTCTTAAATATTAATATATACATGATGATCTTCGCAGGATCTCGCAAGAAAAGAGGGTTAGATCTTCTCGGACCAGGCGTGACGAAGGTCGAGCTTGGACTCGCGGCATTGGAAGGTGTTCCGATTCAACCAGTCTTCGACTTTAGCCGCCCTCGACTTACTAGGCTATTCGAATTAGTTATCAAAAGGTCAGGAGTGCGTGGCATGTGACATGCTATGCGGTCAGTACCTGTATGGGTTTCTGGTAAACAGTCGTAGAGGGTCGCCGCGTCGGCGGAGTGAAAATGTGGTTCTTCATTTCCGATTTGGCTCTTCGCGGCCCTTCCAAAAACACCACTTGCGGCGGCGTGGCCCAGTCCTCCGCCTTCTGCGTCGTCCAGGGAAAGCCAGGGAAGGAGATTTGTTTCTTAACCCACGCTAGAAAACTCAACAACAATCAAACGAGGCCTACCTTAATCTGTTTCTGCTGGGATGCTTTGGTACTCTTTTGGTGGCTTTTTACTTTGTCCTTGACGGATTCTAATTGTCTAGATTTCGGCCTCGTCTTTGGTTTCATGGGAACTTGCGAGCAATGAGTCTTGCTCTTCGTGCTGACGACCATGCTCTGCTCAAGAATGCTGTGCGGGCGCGAGTTGATCGGCAGCGTCTTTCCTAGAAAAAAATGATTAAGGGGGTATAGCGCGGCTTTTTCATCTTGAAAGCTTGAAGCCGAAAATGTCCTCACAATTACCTGCGACTAAATACTTGAGATTGGGAGTACTGCTCTGTTTGTGAAACTTGACAATCGCCTGACTTCGCCCTCGATTAAAGCGATTCGGATTCTCGCACTTGAAAAATCAGCGATAAAGAAACAAACGAACATTTCAGAAACTAAAACCTGTCGCTGAAGAAGCTTGCCGTCCTTGTGATGCTGCTTGAATGCATGCTCATGGTATTGCCGATGTGCTTGGCTCCAAGCTCGGCCGGGCGCGAGCTCTCCTGTTCCAGATTTCCGACGCTGCATCTTTTTCAAAAGCTCTGAAAAAGTGTATTTTTAACCGTCGTTTTCTCGTAACCTAAGCTCGAAAACCTGAGTCAGGGTTCTGAAAAAGCTTCAATGAAAGCCGCGTAGCGGCTTTTTTCAAGAATAGAAACCGCAAAGTAATTATTTCAATCTATTTTTTAAATACTGGCAGATTTTAAAAAAGCTGCTACGCGGCTTTTCATTGAAGGTCTTTCAGACCCTGACTCAGGCTTTATACACAGGTTGCCGAGCCCAGAATATCAGTAGAATTGGATTTTAGATAAAAAATCTATCTCACCGGATCTCGTTCCTTTTCGTGTGAATATCAGAATTCCATTCCAACCGCGCACGTTTTTTTTCCTCAAAAAAACTTCTGCTGCAGGTACCGCTTCTTTTTTTCAACTGAATTGTCTTTTGGAAAAAACAACTAATCCTTGGCGTGTACTAGAAACGTTTACTCGTTTTTATGAAAACGAAATACACAATTTTGAAAAAACACCGCGAAAAACCGCGAAATCCGGCGAGAAATAATCGTCGCTGTTCAATTCAAATCGGTGCTACGTCATCTTTTGGCAGGTGCAGTAATTAACTGTAATTTTTCAAAATTGGCTTTTTGGAAAATTGAGAAATCGTCGCGCGAAATGGAGCTTTTGGCGAATTATCGATCTTCTCAGAATGGCGTCTGTGTTTTCGTGCTAGAATTGATCCCGGATTTTTAGGACTGATAAAGAACTGATAGAGGCGCTTGCCCGCGCTTGAGTGCCGGATTATGAGCCATGCTGCGTCCAAGTGCCCCTTCTTGTCTCCCTCTCTCGAGTACTTAGGCCTTCTACTAATTTAAAATTTTGCAAGACTTAAAACTTCTAACTTCAAAAGCCTTGAAAACCTTCAAAAACCACATGATGATTCAGACTTACCTCGGCAACCTGTGTAGAAAACCTGAGTCAGGGCCTGAAAAATCTCAAAAGAAAAGCCGCGTAGCGGCTTTTTCAAAAACGAAGCCGCAAAGCGGCTTCGCAAATATAACCGTTTTAATCTATCTTTGCGGCTTTCTAGCTAACCCTGAGTCAGGTTGTCTACACAGGTTGCCGAGCCCAGAATATATTTGATCTAAGCGCGGCAACCTGTGCAGAAACCTGAGTCAGGGTTCAGAAAGACGGCTCAATTCTTCTATTCAAGTTTTTTCAAGACCCTGAGTCAGGTTTTCTACACAGGACGTGTGTCTGGAGCCGCGCACGTAGATGATTGAGATGTTTAGAGGAGTATTATTGATGCAGCAAACGGTTGTGACAAGAATGAACATCTCGCCACAGTGAAGTATTCGTGTAGTAAAAAATGTGGTGGAGTATCGCTGGTGCAGTGGAAGAGCAACCTGTTGACCCATCCGTGTCAGATTCTTGGCGCGCCCATCGGCAACCCCTCTCCAGTCTTTTAACCCGCTCCTGCGCGCGCGTCCTTTTTTGGGCTAAAATTTGCTAAAAAGGTATTTATTGAGCTATTTAGCCGTCATTTGGTAGATTTTTCAGCATTTTCTCAAAGCTGAAATCTTGAAGAAGAAATTTTCAAGAAAGAAATTTTTGATTTGACTCGAAAAAAATAGTCAAATTATCTTGGTTAGGGTTCGGATTTGGGTTAGAGTTAGACAGGGATAGGTTAATTTGTTTTGAGGGTAAAAAGGGATGATCCGAGTTTCGAGCCGAAAAAGTTCAAAAACAAAAATGCTCAGAATTAAAAGCTCTTTCTTTTTTGTCTTGATGGATTTCCAAGAAAATGGATATTTTTAAAGTTTGTGTTAACCACTCAAGAATAATGACTAGAAAAGCGAGTTAGCTTCTGAGTTAAGTATAGTGGCTCAGAAGGGCGGCTGAAGCTGCCGGCGGGCTTTCTTGACTTGGTGGTAAAACTGGTGCTGGCGCCACCACCACTGAAATCGTAATTCAGCATTTCATACGGCCTCTAGCAAGCGAGAGATTTTCTTGAAAAAGTAGAGCTTTTAGTAAAGAGAATACAAAGAAGAAGATGAAGCTGGGCTTGAAATTACTCCAGTGGGGTGCCTTTATCTCTGCAGGTAATTTTTTCCGTCTTATTCGCTTTTTCGAACACGATTTTCTAATTTTCAAATTAATTAAATATTTCAATTTTCAATCTTGAAAATTTCAAATTCCAAATTTTACAAACAGCTAGTTATTTTCAATACACGTTTTTTAACGACAAAGAAACGTGAAAAAAAGAAGGCGATTGATAAATTTCGAAACACGTTTTTTTCTTTATCTTCGAAAATAAGGGGATAGAGAGCGTTTTAGAAAATCAATCAAATTTATATTTAGGCAATTATCTTTGTTAGGATAATATACAATATAATAATTTTCACATTATTTATTTATAAATTGGGATTTTTTAATTGGCTAATTTTTAATATTGATAGAAAATGTTAATAATTTTTTTATTGATTTTTAAAGAAAATTAAATAGCTTTTTTTTAATTGAAAATTAAATCTTTTATTTGATCATTTTTTTAGAAATAATTTCCAAAAAAATAATTGAATAAAAAATTGATAATTTATTAATTAATCAAATATTCTATATTTTATTTCCTAGAAAAAGATATGACAACTGAGTGTAACCCTAACCCTAACCTAACCGACAATTATAGAATATTTAATAAATTATTAAAATTATCAATTTTTTTTAGAAATTTTTTTTAGAAAATTATTTGTTAAAAAATGAGCAAATAAAAGAGACAGTTTTTAATTTGAAAATATGGATTAGTTGTTTTATAATTTATAAGTTGGAGGTTAATTTAGTCCTGTCCTCTAAAACATTGGTTATCTGATGTCAGCGTTTGAATCGGTCTAATTTGTGGGGATGTAATCAGCGGAAGGCGAAATAATTGTAACACGGGCTCAATTTTAGCCGCGGCGGAGTGCAACGAGAAATTCACGGCGCAAGTGCTTCCCGACGGCTCGTGCCAGTGCAAGGACAACTTCTACGGGCCCACATGCGACGGCGTCGACTACGATCTCGTCTGCGATCAGGCGCTCGTTTCTGTCAAAGTGAAAATGTCAATCTTCGAGAGCATCGGAATTGACAGCGCCGAGAACCTCCACCTCAACGACATGGCCTGCCAGGAACCGATTGAATAACTTTTATTTAAAAAAATTAATAAAAAAATAATAAAATTTTTATTTGAAATAAAGTTTTGGTCAGTTTTTAAAAATACTTGATTAAAATCGTAATTTTGCGAAGCCGCTATGCGGCTTCGTTTTGAAAAAAGCCGCTACGCGGCTTTTAATTTAAGCTCTTCAGATCCTGACTCAAGCTTTCTACACAGATTTCCGAGACTAGAACTTAGTTATTATTTTCTTCGAGAGAGCCTTAAATGCATCTACGATCACCGCGGAAGGGGTAAACAACAGGGCTCCGGTAGTAGTTCGGCATAATCCGTGAAACCGCCTGATTAGATCAAAGTTATTCAATCAGTCGAAAGGGCGTTGCTGGCGTCAATGAAGAAGGAGAAGACATCGTCGTCTTTTCCATCACTGGTTCGCCCGCCTCCTGCGGCGCCAGTGTCGAGTCCAACGGCACCTACATCCGCTACTCCAACTACATCTCCGACAACGACCAAACCAACGATCCCTCGATGACCACCCGATCCAGAGTCAACATCGGTTTCCACTGCGCTTTCCCAGTCGACTACCGAGTTGCTCTTCCTGCCATTGCTCCTACCGTCTCTACTGTTTCTTTCCAGAACGCCCGGTAAGTCATTTCTTCTCGTTTTTGGCTCGAAAACCTTTTTAAAAAACCTGAGTCAGGGTCTGAAAGATCTTAAATGAAAAGCCGCTCTGCGGCTTTGTTTTTTTAAAAAAAGCCGCGAAGCGGCTTCGTTTTTAAATAAGCCGCTTTGCGGCTTTTCATTAATGATCTTTAAAACCCTGACTCAGGTTTTCTTCACAGGTTTTCGAGCCTGTTTTTGTTGAACTAGGGCCTCAAGGGGGCATTTATTGAAACCTTGATTGCTAAAAACAACAGAAAAAGAGTCGCCTATTTCTGGAGCAATTAAAACCAAAAGAAGGTCTTGCGCCTTTTTAGATCACGCGCAATCCTTGAGGACTTATCCTTGTTTTGCTCGCAAATATTTTCACTTTCCTTAAATACTCTCGACTTTCTTTCATCGCACAGCGTTTACTACAAGCCGCGATAAAATACGAATTACGAATCTAAAAAGACTCTTGTCTTTCTAAATTCTAAACTCGCAAAATTCATTCAGGGGTCAATTCGTCGTCAACATGGATCTCTTCGCCGACGAATCTTACAGAAACCCGCTCAGTGCTGATGGCGCCGTTATTGGCAAGGGAGAATGGCTTTATCTTCAGATGGCTCTTTTGAACCAAATTGACGGAAGTAAGTTTTTACCAGAAAGAAAAAACGATAATGGACTATTTTTTGGCTCGGCAACCTGTTTAGAAAACCTGAGTCAGGTTCTGAAGAGCTAAAATGAAAAGCCGCGCAGCGGCTTTTAAAAACGAAGCCGCGAAGCGGCTTCGCAACAATACTCTTCAATTAATTATTCAATACTGGCTTTTCTCCTATAATCATCAATAGACTAAATATATTTAACTATAATTTCCGCGCTTCGAATAATTTGAGAATGGGGCTGGGATAGTACGTGCCCGGGAGCGCGGAGCGCTGCTAATTGATACCATTTCTAACCTTTCTCACCAGGCGCCTCGAACCTCGTGGCTGAGCAATGCTGGGCTACACCTGTGCCGCAACCACACTCGGACGCTCCAGACCTTGAATCTGCATACCACAATATTCTCCTGGTAAGATCTGCCGCTTCTCACGTTCTTTCTCTTTACAGTACCCAACTACAGTAGTCGCTAACGCTAACTTCAGTCTGGCTGCCCCGTCGACTCCTCCGTCGGCATTGCCCACAACGGCGACAAAGAAAAGGTCCAGTTCAAGGTCCAAATGTTCGGCTTCAAAGGCAACAACCCAGAAGTTTACCTTCACTGCGTCGTCCGAGTCTGTGGCGAAAACTGCGAAAAGGTAGCACTTTTTCTTTCCAGCGATTCTCAATTGTGCCTTTTGTAGCAATGCGGCCGAACCCGACGAGGTGCCGCTGATGAGAGCATGTACTCCGACATCGCCGTCGTCTCCTCCGCCAAGATCATCATCGACGAGCGCGACGAGGTCCAGGTCGAGCAGATCGCTGAAATCGAGCCATTCATTCACTGTAAGTAAAATTCTAGCACCGCTCTTTATTCAAAAAATTCTAGCCAAATTCGACGCTACCATCATCTACGTTCTTTCCGCCATCTTGGTCTTGGTCGTCTTCGCTATCTTTGCCGCCGCTCTTATGATTCACCAAAAAAGCAGGGTAAGAGCTAAATCACCTATTTTTCCTCATTTTGATTCGCGCGACGCCGTTTTTGAGCATTTTGATTGGTCTAAAAAGGACCTACAAATAGGTCTAAAATAGAAAAATCTGAGTCAGGGTTCTTAAAGATCTTTGAGAACCCTGACTCAGGTTTTCCACACAGGCTATTGAGCTCAGCCCAAAACAAAATCACGATAAGAATTTGTTCTTCTTTCCGAAAAGTGAACGGAATCCCCCAAAAACGAGTTCGGCGAAGCAGGGGAGCTCCCAGATTAGGGAGTATCAAGTACTCCGCGCCGCAAGCTAGATAGGAATGTCAACCTGCGGTCACTTTTAAGTGCTCTACTCAGTTTTTCTTTCATTCCGAAATTTATGATATGGATGTTTTACACTTTTCGCAATTAGGGACTAAATTTTAGAATGAAATGAAAAAGCTCCAAAGCAAAAATAAGGGCTACCATTCGTACTTCCCACGCCAGTATCTTACTGTATGCTTCTTTTCAGATCTCCCTTCTGGACGCAGAAGTCAACGCTGATTCGAAAACCGCGGTGGCGAACAAGAACGCCGGAACTGCTTTTTCGCGACTTTTTAAAACGCCGCTAAATACTGGCTGCCACTAGTACACAGGTACTACCGACCCTTTTAAGCACTCTTCTAAACACTTTCTCTCTTCAGAAAAATACTACTAACTTATGATGATCCTTCCGTGATGGTGCAATCAAGTCGCATTCCCAACAGACTACTTCGTGCAGTTTAAATTTTATTTTATTTCTTCTTTTTTCTACTGAGTCGCTCCGTGAATCAACTTTTCGGAAAAAGCCGGATCGTTGGAACACGCGTGCAGACATCACCCCAGCCATAATAACCAACAGAAGACGCACCGGTCGCATTTGCTGTGCCGCTGGGCGCCTGATCTACAGCGGGAGCTCAGCGAAGATACAGCCATTTCAAATGCCACTGTTCGACTTTCTTTTTCTGCTTTTCACTTACTTGTACATACAACATATATTTACTCGGAAAATGGCGAACACCAGCCTGGCACAATTTTGCTACACAAGCAACTTATTTTGTATAACGCGTATTTTGAATAAACTCCATTTGCCATACTCTCATTTGTTTCCATCTTACGGACAAGAAACCGAAATCAAGGAAGAAACTCGCGACGTAAATTGGCATTATTCAATGCAGTTCAAAATGTCAGTGCAAAGTCGTAAATTGCAAGTCTTTCTGCAGGGAATCAAATGTTTGTATTGAATCAGTGTCAAATATTAGTATCTGACGAAGCGCATTTATCCTTTTTCAAGCATTTTTATGAAGAAAAAGAGATCATAAGAAGCATGGCCTGGAGGAGGGAGAAAGAGTGCAACTGGATCGAGCATGAGTTCAACAAAAAGTAAAATATTTATTTTCATTGTTTTCTTTCTTTTTTCAGGATCAGCTTTATGAATTTTATAGCAAGACGACCTCAATCGTTTTATACAAGTGTAAACTACAGAAGAGCTTGGACATCGGGAAAATGAACGACGCTTGGGAATATACTGTGCGTGACCATGAGAACTTATCGAAGACGATTCGTATGGAAGAAAGAAAGACTAGCAGCGTTTTCATGAATGCGAATCAACCCTTGGGAGAGTCGCACAAAAAGATCGAATATCTCAAAAACATCGACATTCCAGCATTTTTAGAGCAGATCACAAATCAAGACGATGAAATTACATTGAAGGCGGTTCCGTTCCGTCTTTGGATCATTATCAACAATGAAGGATTTAGAAATATAAAGGTGGTATGCGGTCACCTGTGCAGACCTGCACAGGAAGTCAAATTCAGTTCTGGGTTCTCCCAGGCCCTATGGCTCCTTTGGCCCGTTTTGATTTAGCCCCTTCCCAGGAACTCAAAAACACCTTTCCTGTGCAGACCTCTGCCCAGGAAGCTGAGCTTTGAGTTCCTGTGCAGAAACTGCACAGGAAAGTGAATTTGACTTCCTGTGCAGGTCTGCACAGGTGACCGCGTACAACCAATATAAAGCAAGACAAATTATGGATTTGCTTCAAATTGCCACGCTCGATGGCGGACAATAAGTCCATGCAGATTGTTGTCAACGGTACACGTATATTTTCTCTTCAGAAATTCATCAGTTTAAGATCTTCTTCAACACTACGACGGGGCTTATTGGCATCAGGGGATGACAATTAGCAGTACTTACAAAGGCAAAATCTTTGAGACCCAAGATATCAAAATTGAAGCTCACGATAACAGAAAACAACAGCTCAAGCATTTTCATGGTGGTCTTAACATTCCAGTCTCGCGAGGAGAAGTATATAAAATGACCGATCCCTGTGGAGTCTTGACCGCATCAATCAAGCTACACGATGATTACAAGAATCCAACAGAAAGACAAAGATTTATCTGCAAAGCGATGGTTGCTTCGATTTTCGGGATGTGCGAAATGCGAGTTGTGAATAAGAATTCCATCAGTCCGAGACTCCCTCTTCTCGACTTCGAAGTTGACTTTGACTTCCGAAATCTCCACGGGAACTTTTCTGACGGCAATGTATCTTATGAAAATACGATGGGAAACTTTTCCTTTGATATTAATTACTTAATCACAAAGAAACAAAAGATACAAGAAGCAAAAGGAATCCACGATTATATTTGGAAACAATTCTTTGAAGACGAACAAACTAATTTGATGACTTTTGAATCAAGAATCTTCGAAGAATACCCAGCAAAAGAGAAACACGCAAAGAGCGCAACTCTTCTCGTTCAACTATTCGTCCCAATAATCAAGGCTTCACGCGTTCGGTTGCATTCAGTTTTAATTTTTTCGAAGAAACAAATTTCAAAGCGCGAACCGGTCGTACTCATAATTTGTGTAAGTCGTTATTATTCATAAAATTTATTCAATCAAATTTAGGCGATGTTCAAAACGTTTACTTTGCTGGTGGACACCATACACCCCTGAGAGCTGCGTACATTGTCAACTTTACATTTATCGGTAAACGAGCATCTCTTTGTGTCCTGTATCCTCGGACACAGACAACGAATGAAAATTTATACGTCGCTGAAAATATCTGCGAGAACATCCAAGATGCTTTCGAATACCTCGAGAACCATTCCGACGCTACCTTCGAAGAATTCAAAAGCCAACAGTCAATGAAACGAGATCAAGACCATGAAAGAGCTTTCACTAAAGTCCATTCATCAACTGTCAGTGAATCCGAGAAAAATTCTGAGAGACTTCCAGAGGATTTAGTTAACAATACAAAATCTCTAACACCCAAACAACTATATTTCCAAAACGACACAGCCACTAAAGACGAATTTTTCAAAACCACCGAAAATCCTCGAAAACAATTTGATCCGTACGAAGTGAACTCTTCAAGTCCTTGCTCATCGAGTCAAGCATTCGAAGATTCTAAAGAATCTAAACAATTCGATGTGCCGAAAGAAAAGCAAATCGATATCGTATCTGAGAAAGATAGCAAAGTTCCGGTCAGCTGGGTTAAAAACCAACTCTACTGCAGCATCTTCTGGAGAAAAATTTTTAAAAGCAAATCCTTTTTCAACAGGTCGACCTTTTGAGGACTCTAAACAAGTTTCCGTGCTCAAAGAGAAACTTGAAGGCTGGGCTCGGCAACCTGTGAAGAAAACCTGAGTCAGGGTCTGGAAAGTCTTCAATGAAAAGCCGCGTAGTGGCTTTTTAAAAATAAGAAGTCGCGGTTTTTCATTGAAGACTTTTCAGAGATTTCCAGCAAAGAAAAAGAAGTTCCTTTGTCACTGCGGATTTGAGATTCATGAAGATAGGATAATCAGACTTTTTATCTAAATTCTGTGTAAAATAAATAATAAAGCTGATATTTTTTCATAAGAAAATTTTGTTGAAGATGAGTTTTTTCACTTTTCTAGAGCTAAATTAACAGAAAACAAGGTAGAAATTTCAATCCTTTGCTTTCTTCCTGCAAGTGCTCGAAATTCTAGATAATCCCATGTTGCCATGGCTAGGCCTCGGACGTAAAAATTCATCACCACCAGCCGGTCGTCGTACGGTAACAAGAGTAGGCTCATTCGAAAGCTCTTGAACAGGGCTTTCTGTTGGGCTTATAAAAACTGGGCCCTGTCCTCCTTTTTCGAGATATTTGACTTTGAAGGTAAGCTTCGAAAAATATTTTTCAAAATAACTCGTAACAGAAAGGGAGGGCCCAGTTTTTATCGGTCAAATAGAAAGCCCTTATCAAGACCTTTCGAATGAGCCCTCTCATGTTCCCGTACGATGACCGGATGGTGAAAATCGTCTTTTTTACGTCCGAGGCCTAGCCATGGCAGCGAGCTTGTTTCGCGAATCTCTAGAACTTCTGTTGATGTCAGGGCTAAAAACGCTGAAAAAGTCAGTTCGTCGAACTTCGACAGTCCGAAGCCGCCCGTAAAAAGGTAAATTTCTTGAGAAAAAAAGCGATTATTGAAAATTTCTTCAGAAATCTGAAGGTCCAGCTTAGGCATAAATGAGACGCTGGACCAGACTGATTTGAATCTGGAAACAGAGTCGCATTCAACCTGCAGTCGACAAACTCGACTGCGGAAGTGACTCTTTCGTCGCTCTCCTAAAAAGGACGAACAGCGAAAAACTGAACGCGAAATCGGCGAAAAGTCTGGACTTGGACCACAAAGTGTGGATGCTTCTGATAATCTTCCTGAATAAAATCAATTTTGACAATCAAAAATCAGTCTTGTTTTCATTTCTTTTGCATTTTGGAAGGATCAGTGTTGAGGAGTAGTAAGGTATTTGTCGTGGAGTGTAGTTGGTAGAGGATTAGTAGTGAGCGAGGAAACTGTAGGATGGTCTTGGCTCCGGTCTGAAAACCTGAGTCTGAAAGAGATTCTGCGAGAAGCCCCGTAGCGGCTTTTAAAGAACGAAGCCGCTTAGCGGCTTCGCAAAATTACCTTTCAAATCTACCGTCGTTTTCCATCTTAAGAGCGTTTTTCAGATGACAAGGGTAGACCAAAACGCTCTTAAGTTGGAAAATTAACGATCAAACTAGGATGACAGTGGGAAAAAATGATGAATGAAAATGCATAAAAGAATTTTTCCAAAACTCTAAAAATGCATCTGAGGTCATTTTTACCTATTTATGATAAAAAATTACGATCTTTGAATCAGAGGCTATGATTTCACCTGAGAAAAAGCGTAGAAAACAATTTTTTCAATGATTTTTCAGGTTGAAATAAACGCTATTCTAATTATTAATTAAAAATTCCTAAAAACGCTCTAAAGTTGGGATTTTTTCAGATAACAAAATTTGGAAAATATTGGCAAAAACGCTCTTAAGTTGGGCGCTCTTAAGATGGAAAACCACGGTAGTTTTAAATTTTGGCGAAGCCGCGTTGCGGCTTTGTTTCAAAAGCCGAATACCTGAGTCAGGGTCTGTAAGACTTTTGGTGAAAAGCCGCGTAGCGGCTTTTGAAACGCTGCTTCGCCAAAATTTATAGCTAGATTTGAAAGGTTATTTTGCGAAGCCGGTTAACTGATTCGTTTTCAAAAAGCCGCTGCGCGGCTTTTCACCAAAGCTCTTTTTCAGACCCTGACTCAGGTTTCTACACAGGTTGCCGACCCGTAGAAGAAGGTCATTTTTTCATGGGAAAAATGAGATTGAACCGAGTTCGGAGACATTAATTTCGTTATTCTATTTTACATGTGACTCAGGTGAACTCGGGATGTTCGCTTTGTATTCGATGAGTTTCGAGCAGATGCTCCAGCTTCAAATAAAAAATGATCTGCTCAGAATGGCAAATATGCCTCGGAAGAGAATCAAATGAATATCTGTAAGTCAAGATAAATAGAGTAGAAATCGGGCGGTGAAAATCGCGAATAGAGGGTTGAAAGACTACTTAGAAGAAAAAGACAGTACTCTCACTAGAATATTAAGATGAAGTAAATGAATTCAAAAACTCACTCTCTGCCGGCATCCACGCTTTTCTCCAAGAATCTCAGGAACGAGGTGTTGCTTTTGGAACATTTGAATGAGACTTTTCTTTTGAATGAGACCACAAATGTTTATCTGGAAGTCTTCTATCTTTTAGCTCGAGTTTCTCTTTGTTAGAAACTGATTAAACTATTCAATGAACATTAAATTTAAAGGGAAGAAAAAGTCAAGTCGACGCTCAAGTTCAGCGGCTGAACTCTATCACAAGCTATTTACAGTCAAGGCTTGTCCATAAATACAGTATCAAAATTTCACTGAAAATCTAAGCTTAATTTTAGTCCGAGAAACCTAACTCTAACCCCAGTGCTGGGCTCGGCAACCTGTGTAAAAAACCTGAGTCAGGCTGAGACAGGCTCTAAAAGGTCATCAATAAAAAGCCGCATAGCGGCTCTTCTATCAACGAAGCCGCAAAGCGGCTCCGCAACATAGCATTCAGATTTTATTCTTAAATTCTGTTGAAGCCGCTATGCGGCTTTTCATTCAAGCTCTTTCAGAGCCTGACTCAGGTTTTCTACACAGGTTGCCGAGCACAGTCATAGTCCAATTATCTCTAATACTGTATTTATGTACAAGACTGCATCTGTTTTCAAATAAGTCTAATAACACCTCGCTCAGGAAGCATTCAGCGTTATCCGTTGGTAAGGAACAAACGGAAACTTATTTACATTTGCCCAAAACGGAAAATCGAACATCAGAAAATTAGAAATTATGATCAGAACTTTGGATCAGAATTTTGAAGTTTTCTGGAGAACGAGAGAAAACACAGTAAAATGAGCATTTACTTTAGTGAGACGGCAAATTCGCTAGTTTCGTTTGACTGGACTTGTACTTGTTCGGAGTTGAGCGATTGGTTCAGGCGGGGTATTTACAGTAGCTTCTATATTTACAGTCAAACGAGACGCTAGAATGTTAGTAATTCTACAAGGCTAGGGTAAGAGTTGTTTTAAGGGTACGCCGTTTTGTTGGCCCATTTTGAGCGAGTTGCCAACTTTGACAGGCTAGATTTCCTAGAAAAACTTGACCAACCATCAAAAGCTCCTGACAAAAGTGAGATCTAGCTTTGATCTGTGAGACAAGCTATTGCATGTATTTCTAGCGTTTGTCATTTTCCAGGAATAAACCCTTAAATTCCGCCATCTCGACCTAGGTAGCCTTAATGGAGAAAAACTCTTAACCCTAACTTTAACCCTTACCCTTATTCTAATCGAGAATTCAGAAAATTGGTTTCTTCCTTTCAAAATTTTCAAATAATAAAAAAATTAACCCATTAATTAATTCAATCACTAAAAATCCGAGCGAAGAAAGTTTTACGCTTGGGAACCGCTGGAATGGTATTTGAGTAAGCTTATCCGGAAGCTTATGAATTTAAGATAAGCAAAGCATTCAGACACGCTGCGAAGGATCGGAACTGACTGTGGGAACGAAGAGTGCTGTGATGTTTACAGTAAGTGCGAAAAGTCTGAAACGCTGAGCTGAAATTCTCTTGAAATAGAAAATGAATGCGAAAATCGAATGTACAATATGGCCGGCCTTTTTGACAATATTTACGATAGAAGTTGTAAGAGTCAATGTCAACCAGGTATTTGACGATACTGTAGTTCTGTCTGTAACTGTAGCTGCTAGCATCGCGAGGGATCAACGACGAACACTCGGTCACGAGATCGAGAATGTGCTACGACAGTATGATCGAAATAGAAAAAGAAGCGCGGAACTCGTCCATTTGGTTTGACGACCAGGTTTGTTGAAGAGAGATCAACCAGAAATTTGATCCCAGGTCCCATTCGCCGGCTTGCAATTCTGCCAGATCAACGGCGATTCCAGCTACTCTCCTTGGACTTGTCTTGATTCCTCCGCCAAGGCTTCTCTAATAGGTTGGCTCAGAAAGAGAAAATGAAATTGAAAATGAAATGAAAATTGGGAATCATGAAATCAGAACTTTCTGAGCTTGTATTATCAGTTTGCTGCATTATAATCAGTCTCATGGCTCTTGCATCTGTCGTCTCCAACATTCTTGTCCTCAAAATTTACTGCTCTCGTAAACGGCTCAGATCGGCAATAGGTAAATCGTCAGATTAGTTATTAAAAAGACCAGATAAGCAAGATTCTTCCTTGATTTCACTATTTACTGGGCTCTGCAACCTGTGTAGAAAACCTGACTCAGGGTCTGAAAGGAATTAAATGAAAAGCCGCGACGCGGCTTTTTCAAAAACGAAGCCGCAAAGCGGCTACGAATAATAGCCTTTCAAATCTATCATGAAGTCCTGGCGAAGCCGCATTGCGCGGCTTTTAATTAAGGATCTTTCAGACCCTGACTCAGGTCTTCTATACCTTTAACTCCCACAAATTCAGGTTATCGATGGCGCATTTCTTTCGCCATTTCGGATCTTTTGGTTGGCCTGGTTGTTTTGCCCTCTGCAGTGTACAATATCTACCTGCGCTACATGAAAGTGAGTTCAACTGGAAAATAAGAGTTTTATTTTACAAGGAAAGAGATCCCTATCCCGCTGGGCCTGGTGGATTCGATGACACTGGCGAAACGCATTCCTTCATTGGCATCTATTTGGAAGTTGTCGGCGCTTTGCAGGGAAGGCTTTTTTTCGTTCCGACTTGAGCCTAGTCCCTATAATTCAACATTAAAACTAACATTCTTCGAAAGAAAAACGCCTTGGACAGGTAATTGCTGTCGCATCAGAAATTTATGGGCTGATGTTCCATTCAATTGAACGGTGTGTCAACATACGGTATCCACTCCTCGGTAATGAAAACAGCTTTAGAATTCGCTCGGAAAACTCGAACTTCAGATAGAAAAATGTGCATCACAATGGACAGAGCTGTAATTGCTACGATTCTCTTCACCTGGCTTTTCTCGATAATAATGGCAGTGGTTCTTTATTTCTTTCCAATGGAGTTGTCTGAGGGAGGCTTTTGAAATGAGCAATTTTGATTCTTATTTGGCTCATTTCGAAATCAACCAAAAGGCGAAAACGAAACTCGAGCTCATTTCCTACTCTTGCAATTATTTCAATTTGTTCGGATGCAATCTCTACTCGAGTAAGCTATTTTCGAGCTTTTCTGTTTGTGGTATTTATCGAAAGTGTTCAGTTCAAGACGAGTCGCTTATCATCTTCATCGTGATCTACTCCCTCCCTCTTTTAATCGTTTGGTTTGTCAACATCTTGCTTTACCGATCAATCCGCGTTTCTTCTTCTCATCCGCTGGCTCAAGCCGCTAAAGATGATCAGACAAAAGTCGCTAGAACTTTGATCGTCCTTACTCTCACCTTCTCCTTGTTTATTCTACCACTAATCATCTGCGCGATAACAGGTAAATTCAAGCTTTATAAAGTCATCTTCATTTCCTCTACACTAACTCTGGATTCGGCAACCTGTTTAGGAAACCTGAGTCAGGTTCTGAAAGGCCAAAATTAAAAGCCGCGTAGCGGCTTTTTTAAAAGAACGAAGCCGCAAAGCGGCTTCGCAATTCGATCACTCTTATCTATTTTTAAAAACTGGCGAAGCCGCTTTGCGGCTTCGTTTTTTAAAAAGCCGCTACGCGGCTTTTCATGTTGGCCTTTCAGACCCTGACTTAGGTTTCCTACACAGGTTGCCGAGCCCAAGCTACCAGAATTTTAGAGACTGCAAGTCCACGTCTTCTAATGTTACAGTATTAGTAGTGCAGCTCTATAATAAGTGGAAGACAACTGTTGAAGCTCCTTACAAAGTTAAGTTCTGAAAAGAACTTGTGCATGTCAGTTCATGCTTTTTTTAAAAATAAATTGAGGAAACATGTTTTAGTTTGGCTTAGGCGAATTTTAAATTTAGAATGGAGCTTAGTTGTTAAGAGCTTCCTTTGCTAACACAGATGCAATTACTGTTTCTAGGCATATTGCTGGACACAGTTTACATCAATATTCCCGAGCACTACGATCCCAACGCTGCGAATTTGTTCAATTCGTTCGTCTTCCTCGCCGTTTTGGTCAGCAAAATGAACGGATTCGCAAACATAGGAGTCTACTACTATCGAAACGAAGAGTTCTGCCGCGAACTGAAGAGCTTGTTCGCCCCTTTTCGGTAATATTAGCCTCAGAATTTGTTCTACTGATTCAGAGCGTGTAAGATGCCGAAAATCGTAGAAGGTCGATGCACTGGAACTGGATCGCGACAAAATCGCGCGAAGTTGAAGAGCAAGATTTCAGGAAAAGTGTGAGCTAATGCATTCCTTGCAAGTTGCAATCAACAAAATTAAATTGCAATAGAAGAGTGTTGACAAGCACGCGAGTGGTTATACTGGCAGCGATCATTTGTGTATCATTAGCGATAATTTATTTATAAATGTTTCCTGCTGGATAACTTGCAAATAGGATGGTTTTTCTTGGCAGGGTAACATTCGGAGGAATGGACCTGGGGATCCAAGACTCCGGGGTCGGCAATTTGTGTAGAAAACCTGAGTCAGGTTCTGAAGAGACTAAATGAAAAGGCGCGTAGTATTCGCCGTAGCGGCTTTTCATTTAGCCTCCTCAGAACCTGACTCAGGTCTTCTACACAGGTTGCCGAGCCTACCCCAGAGTCTGGAGCGCAGACTGGGTCGGACTTGAGTAACGGGCGCAAAATATGCTTACAGTCTGTTTACTGTAAAATTCCAAGCGATAATAGCGGGCTGCAGGCCACAGATCTGCAAAATATATACAGTCGGAGACGCCCTCCACCCGGTGCACTTATCTGTATTACACCTAGTAGGGTGATGAATGAAATGACCGAATTGAGATGACTGTATAATCATGATGCTTTTGCCTTGTTATTCTTATTCGTTATTGAAACTACTAGCAGTTTTTCCTTCAAATGCAAAATACTGAAATAAAATTTTGAGCAGCCTTCGCATCATAAAATCAACACTTCAGAATAGACCCCGACTTCACTACAACCAAAAAGACATGATGAAAGATGAAAACGAAGATTGTTACTCCCAAAAGCTGTATCTATAATTTAGGGCGAATAAATTAATTACTAGTAACTTGGAATTGCTCGATTGGAGTCAGAAAGAAGAGCACACTCTAGTGTCGTTTTCTTGCATTTCTCCAGGTCGCGGGTTCTTGGCTCGCGATCCAGAATTTTAAACGAAGCCACCCATTTAGCCTTGAGTTCAGAGAGAAAGTAAACAGACTTATCGGAAGGCAAGAGAGTGGACACGGAGAAAAAGAGGGAGAGATAAAGAGATTATGTTACTGTTGCTGATGATACTTTCTGTTCTTCCGAAAAGATACCGGATTCAAAACTCGAAGCTTAAAAAACGATACACAGTATTTAATTGGGACGGCAAAATATTTACAAAACCTGAGTCAGGGTCTGTTAGATCTCAAGTGAAAAGCCGCGCAGCGGCTTTTTTATTTTAAACGAAGCCGCAAAGCGACTTCGCCAGAATATAAAAATAGATAGGAATGGAATCTTAGAATAAGTTTTTATAAAAGCTGCTACGTTGCTTTTAGTTGCAGATCATTCAGATCTTTCAGACCCTGACTCAGGATTTCTACACAGGTTGCCGAGCTTAGGTCTTGAGAAAACAAGCCGTATAAACAAAATGAATCCTGTTTTAGCCTGACTATAGCAGTTGGGGTTCCCTCTTTGGTGAAGATTTTAAATATCCAGCGAGACCACAAAAGTTTATCCAGAGCAGGGATGAAAAATCACTTTTTTTTTTCTTTGAAAATTGCCTCGTTGTCGAGAAAATTTACATCCCTGGACCTAGAGGAGACCCTTTCTACCGAATGCCTCTGCTAAAAGAACTGCGCGAGCAACGAAAGCTAATGAGATATTTTCTGGGAACTGACTACAAAGCTGTGAAATACTAGAATCTGTAATCAAGTGTCAGTGCAAATAAAGTGTGAAATACAAGCATCGTACATCCAAGTTCTTGAATATACAACTGCCTACGCGCAAATGCATATTATCATTATCCTTTTATTGATAGGCACAGAAAAAAGCCGCTCTTGCAATCTGATGAAACGAGTCAGTTAATTCTCAGCATAGCAAAAAATAATTGAGTAAGCTAAGCAAAACTTGTGAATTTTACACGGTCATCAGAGAACATCAAAATTTTCGAGGGACTTGACATCTTTTTCAGGCAGAAATTAATGATCAACGAACATAAATGGAATTTATTTGATAAGTTTTTTTTTAGTTAAATGTTTGAACTTGCTATTGAAGACTGGGTTCGGCAACCTGAGTAAAAATCTGAGTCAGGGTTTGTAAAATTACCATTCTCACTTATCTTTGAATTCTGGCGAAGCCGCTTTGCGGCTTTGTTTATTAAAAAGCCGACACGCGGCTTTTATGGATATTTTTTCCTGGCCCTGACTCAGGTTTTCTACACAGGTTGCCGAGCCAGGTTGATAACTAATTTAAATGAAAGCATAAAATTCTAGTGATACTTGATGTCAGTCCCCCCAAAGCAACAGTACAAGCGTACAATAAGCTACTGTAGATACTATCGGAAAAGCGCGGGCGTGGCACACTTTGGCAGTTCGTCAGAGAGCTCAAAAAATATCAGCCACTGTTAAATTTTTTATCAATCCACTTCAAATTGCTTCGTAAGTTACTCAAGAGTCCTTTAATTCTTGTCAATAATTAACAGCTTCAGAAGTTGAACACAAAGGGCTGATACCACTTTGAGAAAACAGTTCAATTGCTTTTGAAAATAAGAAACAACGGCAAAGGAAGAAAAGAAGAGAATAAATAAGTTTATTATCCATGGCATTAGAAATAGAGTGAGATTGAAAATTAGTGTTGGGACTCGTGAGTAGCTCAATTTACAAAAATAAAAAGAGTTTTTACAAATTTAAAAAGAAAAAAAAAACAAAAAATGAAATTGTAGTTGACGGCTCAGTCGTCGAGGTCGATGATTTCGGCATGTGGACAGGGCTTTTGGTGGCGCGGTGGAATGAAGAATCGCATCGGTTTGAAATCATCCTCGTCGTCAGCATCGTCCTCTTCATCATTTTCTCCGCCTGAAGGAATAAGTTAATTTCAGGATTAATCTTCCTTGCTATCACCTTGATTAAAGATACTACCGCGACTCTCATTCAAGACTGACCAATTTTCGCTTGATAGTAACTAATAACCGCTCTAATCCAGGAGGCACTTGCCGGTTTGAGAAAGAGAAATCGAAGCGCGGCTTTTCTGTCTTGTTTTGCTCGAAGCCGCAAGCGGCTTCTCGACTTTTACCGGTTATCAAAAATTAGTGACGATCGGAATTTAAGCGAAAATATGGCAGTCTGGAATCAGAAACGCGGGAGTTATTAGACGCTTTTGAAAAGTGGACTCACCGTCAAAATGTGTGTATGCTGCCCGGGGCGAGTTTAGTCGTTCTTCGTCGGAAGTGTTATATTCAGCATTTTCATCGTCAGTATCGGGAATCACGTATGTCGCGCTCTGACCATTTTGATTCATATTCTGCTGATTGTTGGGCACGGCGTTTTCCTCGACGTTGTAGTCCTCGAGGACCTCGAAGTCTGAGTCTCCATCTACCGCTTCTTCCTCCTCTTGCTCGCTGGAGTCGATTATTTCAGCGCCCGAGAGATGATCGTCCATTCTGTATGGCGAAGCTCGCCTTACTCCTGGCGGGGGTGGGACGTCCCATTCATCTTGCTCTTCTTCATCCTCCTCCTCTGTGCTCTCAATTTCACTGGATGCAATTTCAACTGGCGATGCGGGACGACGGCGTTTGCGATTAGACGAAAGAGGAACTTCCTGTATCTCTTCGTCGTCGGAGGAGAGCTCAATTACATCTGAATCATTCTCTTCGTCGTCCGAAATGTTCAAAGTCTTAAATTGTCTTTTAGGATTTGCACTTCTACTACTATTTTTGCTTACCTCTGGCTTGCCTCTTTTCCACCTGAAGCTGACAGAGGGATAGTTGCGTTGGAGGGTCTGAATGGCATCCAAAGCTTGAGCCACTTTTCTAAAGAAATAAATTATAATCATCGAACTGTTGCTCTAAAGATAAACTTACAAAAAGTCCACAGTGGCGACAATTTTTCCACCACCACCAGACTGGAATAGGTTCGCCGCTTTGAGTTCGTATTTCAACCTATCAGTATTGACGCGATGGTACGTTTCCCAAGTGAGCACTAGAATCGCGCGAATGCCTTGGCCACGGCGGAAGAGATCGTTTGCTTTTTCGCGCTCTGCCTCGTCGTAAGCGGCGAAAAAGGTTCGATGACGCATTCGTTCTTCAGCTTCTTTATTTCGCTTCATCCGTTCCATAAATTCCTTAATGAAAACATTTGTCAACAATCTTGACTCTAGATTCTAGAGTTTTATATTAGTGATCTTACTCTATAAATGGGCGACTCGTTATGATGCTGCTCGCTGTTGAAAGTCGCCTGATACGTTCCATCCGGGTTGCGTCGATACTGAGGCGGTTCGCGCTGTCGATTTGACGGTCGGAAGACGCCTTGCGCCGGCCGTGTGTACGGATTTTGACGGTTCGCTTGCTGCTGATTGTGCGTGTATACTCGATCGCCTCTCTGCTGAGGGCGACCACGATTGGGAAATGAAGAGCGAGGTCGAGTCGCGTCATAGTTTCTGCGTTCTGTCGGGTTCGAGAGAATGTCATAAGCTTTCTTGATGTTCAAGAAAAGATTATTCGCATCGGGGTTGTCTTAAAAAAACATGAGAACAAGCCCTCTTTCATGATTCTTTCTTACCTGGATTCTTATCGGGATGGTACTTTCTGGCCTTTTCCCGATAGGCCTTCTTGATTATATCGGTGGACGAGTCAGGGGCAATGCCAAGGATCGAGTAGTAATCTTCACTCATTATTCAAAAAAGGAAGAAGATCTGCCCATTTTCTTAAATTTTCTCTTCAAAATAGATGCTCATAGTCATTCTAGAAAATGTAAATTTTTTTTATCACTAGTTTAAAATTTACAGAATAGGAATAGAGCAAGGATTTAGCATGAAAAGTTGAAACAGATGGATTGGCCCAGTTGACCAGCGCCAACTCGGGGTGGAGCGACGAATGTTTTCCTCGGCGCCTGGCAGGCTGTTTGAATCAGTCGTGTTTGATGCCTTTTGCCCATGTAGTGGTTTATCGCTTGGGGCTTCTCGCAGAATTTCATATCACTGGAAAGGGATTTTTATCAATCGATTGCTGTGGTAGTACGAAGGAAACGCTGTTAAAAATGAAAAAAAGTAAATAAGAAAGCATTTAAAAATCCGTTCCAAAAACGACATTCGCTTTCTTCTTCTCCAGGAATCGGCTGTTTTCCGGGACCCGCTCCAACACCCTTCATTTTGATGCGATGGCCCATTCTGTTGAATCGCTGTCTACCCCACTGTGGTACTTCTGATACCTCGACTTTGTCTGCCCAAGTGCCTGTGAATTGGCGGGGCTCCTCACCCCGCTGTAATGAGCTTTTTCCAGGCAGGCCTTTTTAGAGCTCCAAATTTCAGTCATATTTTTTTAATGGAACGTACATTCTCAAATGGAAGCAAAACTGAGAGCTCTTTCCTGGAGTGTCAACGCCGATTTTCATGAATTTCAAATGCTCCTTTGACGAGTAGTGTCTCGCCGCAGCAACAGGATTGTCGGAAAGTTTCAGCTCACAGAGCTCGCAATACTCCAAGTTCATCCCCACTTTCGCCACGACTGCTTCCTCAACCCTCCTTGGCGTCGCTTTAACAACAACTGACGATTCAATTTTCCCGTCTTCGTATTGTTTCATCTTCTTCCTGTGTTTCTGTCCGTCGTAGTGTTGTTTGGCAGGAATCGGACCGCAGAATTCAACGTTGCAGACGCTGCAAAGACTGTCTGTCATTGCTGGTGGCACTCGGGACTTTTTCGCTGGTGGCTCTTCGTCCTCCTCCTTGTTGTCTTCAATCGCTAGTGGAGCAGATGTTGAGGACTCGCCGAGGGGCTTCGGTCGATTTTCTTCCGCCACTTGCACTGGCTTCGGAACTGGAAGACCTTTCATCTGGCGCTCTTTATCCTACTGCAAGTTTGAATTTTTTGACTCGATATTAAAGAAACTAGCTCACCCGCATCATTCGCTCTTGAATGTACTGGTTGCCCGGATGATGCTGCCAGCTGGACCTGACTTTGGTCGCGAACTCGTCGCGGAAGAAAGATGCTTCTTTGATGAATTGCTTCGTCGCGTAAAACGAGGGCTGAACATTCTTGTAACTCATCTTTTGAACTCTTTCTTCTCTCAGACGCATTTGCTCTTCTTCGGGAAGATCTTTGATTTTGTCGAGGAAGACATCTCGATCTTCGGCTGAAATTATATAAGAAGTAAAATTATTAAGATCAGTCATTTTTTTCTACCTAATCTTCCTCGTTTGTTGAGCCTCGAGGTTTCCGACTCGACGTGATAGTTGACCTTTTCGTCGTCCTCGGAGGGTTCGACTCCTTGTGATTTTAAGATATTGTCGCGGGTTCGTTTCATTTTCACCATTTTGACCATCGCTTTGTGTCTCTGGCCCATGTAGTGGTTCGTGGCTGCGCGGTCGCAGTTGAAGTCCAAGTGGCAAACGTCGCACTGCTTCATGTTCTGCTCCCAGACGTTGTTGTCATCGTCTTCTGTCGGATCATCCTCCCCGTCCGCCAATGCTTTGAGTTTCTCCGTGATGGTGGATCTGACCGGGCCGCGCATTTCTTGCTTGAGTCCGCGTTCCTCTCTCTTCATTGTCGTCTGACGAGCGGCCCATGCTCGCGAAGCACGGCACCACGCCGGCCCCGAAGTGATCCATTCTTTGTCTTCTTCTTTAAACTTGATGTCATATTCCATCCGCCGATTTCCCATCTTGCATTTATCCAATTTCTTAACTGATCACTTCATAGTAACTTTGAGATTCTGATCCTGACTCAGGTTTTTACACAGGTTTTCGAACCTAGAACTAGTCTTTTTAGATACGATTCGCTTCAGAAAAAGTCAAAAGTTTTTTATTTATTTTCAGTGAAAGGTGGCATTTGAGGTGTCCTTTGTACAGTTACTAGTTTAGTTGAAGGTCTGAGAGTCTCTTGGTTATTCTTCTTGTCACAATTTCCCCTCGTCGCAGCAGTTACACTCGTCGCACTGGGATGGCCCTGGTTCTTTCTTACGAGCCAGCAGCGCTTCGGCTGCATCTTCAATGTCTCCTGAAAATGGGCGCTAGAATGGACGAAAAATTACAAAAAGATTCTTACCTTTGACGATCTTTGGCTCGCTGGTCGGCGCAGGAGGGATGATCTTTGTATTCGTCTTGTGGCAGTATCTGACTTCGGGCCCTTCGCGCTTCTTTTTCCAGGCTGCGTACGCGACGTAAAACGCGCCGATGAGGAGAATCACGGCGAAGACGCCCACCAGTCCGCCGATGAGCGGCCACGGCACTTGGCTTGCGCTCATTCTGAATTTCTGGAAATATGAAAATGAGCTGAATAGGTAAAAAATGGGCTGGGAAACAGGTTTTCTATACAAGTCCCCGAGCCTGGATTGCAAATTTGAATAAACAGTTTTTCGTTCTTTTTTGTTTTCAAAAGACATTTCTCCTGGCAGGAAGAGACGATTTGTCCTTCCTCGCCTGTTTCTTTTCTTTCGCCGCTTCTTTCTTCGCGAGTTGATGTTCGGACATTTTCGAACTGGCCTTTTCGCTCTTTTCTTTTGGTACTCTTTCGCAATTTCGCCCTGAAATTTTGAAATCAATATAAATGGAGCTCTGGTCATTTCTTACTCTTTTCCGGTAAAAGGCTGCTTTGCCATCTTTTGCTTTTCTCTTTCTTCTTTTTCCACTCGCTTTCTTTTTGTCGAATTTCCATCCTTTCTCGCCGCGCGTTTGCTTTTTGCTCGATCCTAGAAAATAAGGGTTCAATATAGAAAAACTTTCAAAAAGAGTTGGGCTTGGAAACCTCTGTAAAAACACAGGTCCTGAGTCAGTGTTCTTCCGGGACCCTGACTCAGGTTTCTGCACAGGTTGCCGAGTCATGAGATAATGATTCGATTACCTGTTGACGAGATTGTGCATATTTTGCTTGAGGTCCGCGTTTTTCACTTTTTCAGCTTCTTTTTCAAAATGCTCTTTTCTCGCGCTTCTATGTCTGCGATGAAGGCGAATCTTTTGTCGAAGGCGGTGTGGTTGAACTCGCCAAGCTCAGGGTTGAATCGAGGATCCGTGATTTTTGAGCGATTAGGAACTGAATACTTTCGTAAGTATACTGTTACAGTAGCAGCTTTGATCTTTCATTTGAGCCCGATCAGGTTTTCTACGCAGAACCAGGTCTCTCTCTCGACCTACCTTCTACGACTTGCCTCAACTTAGGCGGTTTTTTCTTCGATGAAATTTCTTCTGGTGCATTTTTTTCAAGCTGAAGCTTTCGCTTTTCCGCGATCGCTCCCGATCTCTTGTCCACTCGGCGCACTTCTTTTCCTTTCAACTTTGCCACTTTTGGATGCGTTACTGTTTTTGCGAATTCCTTGGCGCCCATTTTCCGCCGCAGCTCGAGAATTTCACCCATGGTCATTTCCGAGGTATCGATTCCTTCGCTTTCCATTATTTCTGAATTCCTGAATCGATAATCGTTATTTTAAGATTTCAGTTTCTGCTGTTTTTTTCTTTGCACAACTCAATTTTGGATTTTTGGTCTGAGCAAGTCATTTTCGAGTTCGAGTAGTTTCTTTTTTGGGATTATTAGCAATAAAAAATAGTAACAAAGGGGATGAGAGGAAGAAGAGGGAGACGAACTGGGCTCGGCAACCTGTGTAGAAACCTGAGTCAGGCTCCTGAGAAAGCTTGACGGGGCTTTTATCTAAGCTCTTTAAGAATGACCCTGACTCAGGTTTGTACACAGGCTGCATCTCTAGCCCAGAAGACGAACGAAACAATCAGCTCGTTATTTAGGTATTTTTGAGATTAAAATACGCTTTTGGCGAGAGGTATACAGATAGATTATTATTTTTGTTGGTTAGAGAAGGAAAGAAGAATAGACTGGCAGACAGTCTGAAAGACAGATGTTCAAAGTATACTCGGACGGGTGTCGCCACAAACCGGATCGTCGAGCGGGTGGCGGAAGGATAAATGATCAGCGCTTTGCGCACGATTATCTGGAAGAGGAGTTACTTGAGAGCGAAGAAAGAGCAGAGTTTACCATTTGATAAGAGGTCTAGTTTTCGCTGAGGAAGTGAAGGACTTGTGGCTTCTGGATGGAGGTTCTGGCTTATTCCGATCGGTTGGCCAACCTGAAACAATCAAATTGAATCGCAACCGTTTCATCTTTATAGATCTCTAATTCCCACCATTTTATTTATTTTTTGTTCAAAACTTTTGAGTCATTTTGAACTAGAATTCACCGATAAACTATATTCTGCTAGAATATGTTGATCTACAGATGAAATTCCATAAGAATTTTTCGGCAAAAAAATTTTTTTGTGAGCTATCAGCATATTCTGAAAGCCCGTATCAGAATTAGTAGAATCCCTAAATTCTAGCACTTGATGACGTCACGATGACGTCATCACTGATGATTGATGGTCCAGAACCGCGGAACTTTAGGTACGCTTTTTGAAGACGTTTTTGTCGAAAAAATAATTTTTTCTTTGCAGGAGGTTGTTCAGCATCGAAAACTACACGGGAATCCGGGTTCGAACCGGCCATAACCAGCCGGTCATTTTGGCGGTTCAATTTGTAACCGGTCGGTTCGGAAAAATTCTTCCGGATTCCCACGTAGTTTTTGATGCTGAATAACCTCCCGCAAAGAAAACTGCTTTTCAACAAAAACGTTCTCTAAAAGCGTACCTAAGTTTCTAGGATTCTTCACCTTCAATCATCAGTGATGACGTCATCGTGACGTCATCAAGTGCTAGAATTTGGGGATTCCACTAATTCTGATACGGGCTTTCAGAATATGCTGATAGCTCACAAAAATTTTTTTGCCGAAAAATTCTTATGGAATTTCATCTACAGTCACCCTACAGTCGCTGTAGCGCCTATTTAGTCACCAATCTACAGGAGTAGAGTATACCGTCAATTTTACGATTGGTGCTTGTCCTCTGGTTCTTTTTACTCATTTTTGGCCGATGGTTGCTAATTGCTGTTAGTTGACTAACACTTAACCGTTGCGTTGGCGGGCCGGCGGAACGAGGACGGGCGCAGTTGCTCTTCCCGTCCATGATGGTACCACTGAGCATCTAAAACGCGAAGTCAAGGAGCTGAAGGGTTGTTGGAAGCTACCTGCTCCTGGCGTTTTATGTGATTATCGCTTTCCAACTGGCCGGCGATCCTGGCGATGTCCATTTTGTCGATGGGCTCGCTGGGCGCCCGGCGATGGCCGCGACCGCGCGGGCGCTGACGCGTCATCCCCGTCGCCGCCCCGTTACTCGGCGGCGTCGAAGCGGAGATCTGCAGCGACTTCCGCGCTGCGAACTGATTCGACTGTTTTGGCAAGGGAACATTTTTTCGAACATTGGAAGGACTTGCATTTTGTACAGATGAAGCCTGAAAATCTCATTTTTAGTCAAAATTTTCAACTTTTTTCTGATTAAAGTGTTTTTAGGGAAACATTAATATTATTACTAGTTAATTAAATAATTCTTACTAATAATTTATTAAATAAAAGTCATTTTTATTAACAAAAACGATAAAGAAGAGGTTTTTCTGATAAAAAGTGGTTTTCTAGAGCTATTTTGAATATTATATTCAATAATAATTATTATAATTAATTAATCAGATAATTCTTATTAATAATTTATTAAATAATAATTAATATTGTTAACGAAAAAGATGTAGGAGAGGTTTTTCAATGAAAAAAGAAAGATTGCTCGTTGTTTTGAATTTCTTGGAAATCCACCACTTTCTCTAGAATCGGTCCCATCCTCACGCTGTTTTTCAAAAAATCGTCACTTCCAAAAACGGAAGAAATGACAGTCCGAACGGCGAAAGATCTACGTAAGTACCGATTTCGATGCTAAACAAAGCTAACATTTGTATTTTTAGGAGAAGCAAGATCGTCTTACTTCGTAAAAACGAGAATACATCCACGCATAATCAGAAAATGATTATGCTGGGGATGATCTAACCAATCAAACCTGAATAAAATCAATTTACTTTACTTCTAAAAGAAGAAGTTATCGGCTGAAAATGGCGATAACTTCTTTCACTCGTGTTCGTGTCTTATTTTGAATGATTGCGGTTGTTGTGTGTAGTTGAGAGGTGTTGTGTAGGGAAACCTGTGTAGAAACCTGACTCAGGGTTTTCAGAGAGCCTTTGTCAAAAGCCACGTAGCGGCTTTATTTTAAGAAAGAAGCCGGAAATGGCAGAACTTGAGACAAAAAAAGAGATTGAAAGCTCTCTGAGAACCCTGACTCAGGTTTCAGCACAGGTTGACAAGGGGTGTCCCTGGAGGGAGGATTTTCTAGCAATAAGACTTTCCGCTATTTCCGGAAATCCTCATTGCTGGAAAAACCTCTTTCGTTGCGAGTTTACTTACATGGGGCAAAAGGGCAGAAAGATTTGGTGAAGATGGCGGACTTTGTTGAACTTGATTTTGAAAAGAGTTGGTTTTCGAAAGAGGCGGCTTCGCGGGAGACTCCAGCGACGTCCTGCTTGTTGGCAGCTTGTCGAGCGGCTCGCAGATGTCCCTTCCTAGGCCTACGCCGATGAATAATCTAGCAACGTCAAAAAGTGGATTTTGAGGCACTCGTGTTTGGTGGAAGACTTTCCGATTTTATCCATGTCTGATTCGCGGGTTTGTTTTTGCAATTATTTTTAGTAAGCTGATTCTTTCAGTAAATCAAAAATGATTTCACTGTTGTTAGAAGTTTACTAATAGCGAAAATTTAGATGCTAAATTTTCGATGATTTTTGGGACGCTTTTCTAGTTGATTTCAAGAGGCACCATAACGGTCTTTTCCGTTGCTCAATTGGGATTTTTGCTTTTTGGGAACTTCAACTTGTATTTTGCATGTTGCGGTGATGATCGCTCGAAACATAACAAAATAGCGCGTAGCCATTTTAATTCATAACATAAGTTTTGTAGCCCATCAAAGCGCACATTGATGGGTCCTATCAGAAAATCAACACAGGATCAAGCCCTTCTTGACCTGAGCTCGGCAACCTGAGTCAGGGTCAGGAAAGAGCGTTGAAACAAGCTTCGCGGCTTTTCATCGAGGCTCATTCCTGATCCTGACTCAGGTTTTCTAGACAGGCTGCCGAAGCAAGCTCTTGAAATCAAGGAGGAAAGGGAATGATTCTTGCTACTAGGCGATTTTGACCAAGAAATGTTAAGAAACTACGAGTGAAAGGTCTCTAAAAGCGAGAGAATCTAACCCAAAGCTGAGGTCGAGGAGGATAGCTGGCGAATTTGAGCAGCAGCGAGCTCGCCATTCCGGTGGCCCCAGGTCTTCGCCCTCGGCTCCACCACCTAAATCCACCAGTTTAGAAATCAAAAGCCTTGTCTTTTTTAAATCGAGATAAAACAAAGATAAAAATCATTATCTTGAATGATTTGTTTTGTTGCCTAAAAGAGTGCTTCAATCATTTATTAATTGAAAATTTGAACATTCAGAATTTACGCTTTTTTGTTGCTGTGAAATTGCGAATTTGCAAAAATATAACGCTAAAATTGATAATCGTAATTTTCTGTCTATCACAGTATTACTGTATCACTTGCGAAAGAGCGGAAAGAACGAAAGAGCGACATTACCAACGAGGAGCGATCATCCCAATTGTACTCGGAGGAGTCGTCCGGAAAGTACAATTGAGACTGCAGAATGGGGCCCTAGTAAAGAAGAACATTTAATTCAAGAGTTAACGATTCATAACTTTGAGAATGCCGTTTTTTCTCTAAACTAAACGCAGCGGAAATAAATATATTTTGATGGACATTTTGTTTTTGGCCAAAAATGTCCATCAAGCTTAAAAATAAACACTCTTTTCTTATCACCACTAAAGTACGACACCGTTGGCTGGTCTCGGCGACCTGTATTCAAATCCTGAGTCAGGGCCTGAACGAGCTTATCAAGGCTCTTTGCGAACCCTGAGTCAGGTTTCTACACAAGTTGCCTAGATCAACACCAAAAGAAAGAAAGGGAAAAAGGACACCGGTAAGTAAAAGAGAAAGGAACCTTTCTGTCCGGTTGCAAAAAGCGTTGCAAGAACGCGGGCCGGATTCTCAGCGGATTCTGGCGCTGATGAACGGAAGGATGAGCTGCCAGCCCCGCCCTTGCCTCGGATTCGGGTGGCGAGGAATTCTCCTCGGATTGAGTCGAGCTCGCCGTTTCGGCAAAGGGCTCCCGAGAAATCGGACAGAGCGAGTTTTGGGATGCCTGATTCAGTTTTAATAATTTCAATAACAATTCTTGGAACGCGCTGCTCTAGAAACTCGAAAGAAGAGACAAACCTGAAGTCCTCCGTCGCGCGGTTTGACGGAGACAATGTGCTCGAAGGTGCGCGGGCGGCTGATAATCGGCCCCAACTTGCGATGCTTGTCTTTCTTCTTTTCCTTCGACTGGGCGCTGCGCTGGTCAATTTCTTTTTCTTTCAGAAGAAGCATGATTTCGCGTTGAACCACGTCCATTTCTCGCTGCTCCAAGTCTTTCTGAAAAAACTAGTAAGGGGCGTTTTCGATTCTTTGGGAAAGCTTCACCGAAATTGAGTTATCAAAAAACTGCACAAACTATCAAGGAGTGTCAGTTTTTGGTATCACCATTTTGAATATTGAATAAATAAGGAGTCACCGATTATCATAATTACTTCAAATTTTTTCTGCTCTTTAATGACCCGCTCGCAGTCTTTGCAGCGTTTACACTTGATACAGTCCACTACTGATGACATATCAATCTGGCAGGAATTGAGTGTTAGAAATTGATTGAAAGAAAGAATCATGCTCGTCGATTGTTGAGTTTGCTACTTACGTGGCGCCTGAGCAGGGCCATTTCTTGTTCCTTGAGCGCGACTTCCTTCGTCCGCAGCTCGCCCGCCTTTTCCTTCAGATCCTCGAGCATTCCGCACACCTGTTTGCGCATCGTCGTCTGCAAATTCACCGAATCCTGGTTGTCGTAAACAGAGAGCTCCTTCTGCGCGCAGTCGAGACGCACAACGATCGCGTCAAATTCCGGACGAGAATTGGGCTCTTCTTCCCAGCAGTTACGCATTACACTAGAATCCAACTAGTTTGGGAGAAGGAAGATTTGTTTGATTAGTACCTGGCTAGAATTTGAGGAATGGATTCGGGAACCGGAAGCCTCAATTGACGCTGAGCGACGGCCAAGGCCACCTGCAGCGGTTCCATGCCTCTGTAAGGCACTTCGCCGGTGAGAATCTCCCAAACGAGGACGCCAAAGGACCAAACATCCGAAGCGGGGGAGAAGTTGCTCGATCGTATACTCTCTGGGGCCATCCAAGCATAAGTACCAGCCGTAGTGAACTCCTCGTGAGACTGTTGCTCCCGGCGAGCGCGCGCCAGGCCGAAATCGGAAATTTTTAAAACTAGAATTTTTCGTTAGATTTTTGAAATTTAATGCGAGCCCAAACCTTGTTTGGAAGGATCAGTGGCGCCCGGATAGAGAAGCAAAATATTTGAAGATTTGAGATCGCGGTGAAGAAAACTGGCAGGCGCGCGTTTGTGAAGATATTCCATCCCTTTTCCGATCTGGAGGCACCACTGGATACTCTGCTGCAGGTGGAGGCGGTCCTTGTGGTGCTTTAGCCACTGGTTGAGCGCCCCGCCGGAACAGAATTCTAGCGCGATGCCCTGATCGCTTGGTCCTTCGACGATTAAGCCAAGCATCCTTCAAGCGTCAAGTTCGAGTTTAGAAAAAAGAGTAGAAAAATACCGGAGAATATTGGTGTGATCTAGCATCGAGAAGATTAGTGCCTCCGAGCGTAGACCGTATGGGTCCTGGGTTTGCGACTGGTGTGGAATTTTAACAGCGGCTTCATATGACTCCCTTCCAGCGGGATAAATCGTCGCTCTGTACACCTTTCCAAAGCCTCCAGCGCCGATACATTGCTGGAGATGCACTTTTTTGGGGATTTTGAAAATGGAAATGACCCTGATTCTGAGTATTTTTTTGTGAAGAATTCGGACAAAAAATAGTCCGTAATCAGAATCTTCGTATCAAAAATTAAGATATCCGGTCCTTCAGATCTTCGAATCGTATTGAGATTTGCATCTCGACTCCAGCTAGGTCCATTGTCGAGAAATGCACGATAATTGTTGGCTGGAAGCTGAAAAACCAAGTAAGCAACCTTTTTCAACAGAACTTTTCGCCGAGGAACAGTTTTTTCTCATGGAGAATCATGAGTTTGACGAGTAATCACCGTTACAATAGAAAATACACCATCGAATCGATTCAGAACGACAGAACGACCGATTCGCGACCTTTACCGACGATTTTTTTGATACCTGTCTCGGGGGCAACGGTGGCGGTTCTACAGTAGCATTTGTAGAGATTTGATGACGCTCAGCGTCATACCGTACTGTAAAATCGGAATCCGACATTATCCCTGTTAGCAGAAAACGTTAGAAAGATAGAAAGAGCGTTAAAAGGGCTTCATAAAAGTCATAATCATCGAAAATCGACGTTACCTGAGGTCCACTTTCGCCCAAAGGCTTATAGAAGTGACTACTCATTCAGGAGGAGAAGCAAAAAGGAGGACGCGTATTTTCATGATTCCGATCCGATCATGCGGATGCACAGTTGCATACAATGATGCCTGAAAAAAACGATCATCAGAATTGAAGTTATTGGAAATTGAAGAATTCTCAGGCAGTTGAAGAAACACAAGGACAAGACAAAAAAGGGAAGACGCAAAAGATTCGTTGAAAAGGTATCATATCCTGAACATATCCGAAAATCGAAAATAAAATACTGATACCAGAATTCTAAGAGGAAAATCAGCCGATAGAATTTACAAAAAGGCCAAAACGGGACAGACAAGATAGGGGAAGTTCTTATTGACTCGAAAAGGGATAAAATTTATCCGATAAATTACTGTAATGGACTGTACACTATACAATTATCAATCAAAAAACGGTTCGTCTATGCTCTTGGCTTGGCAACTTGTGTAGAAACCTGAGTCAGGGTCCTTTTAAAATATGCCCCACTCTGTCTGCAGAACCCTGACTCAGGTTTCTACACAGGCTGTCGAGCAGGCCAGCCGAAGCTACAGTGGGTATTTCCGTTATCATTTCAATCATGATTTTCTTTTGCCGTTTTTTTCTGCATATTTGCCAGCTTTCAGCCTATTTTACTAGAGTAATACTTTCACTAGAATTCAAAGAAGAAACTTTCGAATACTGGATACATTGAATCTTTCGTTTTTATGTTTTTTTACTGTCAGTATCTCGACGGAAGACAATACTCTATTGCACAGTATTTACAGTATAGTAAAGTAAATCAAACAAGGTAAATCATACGGTTGCTTTTCAAAGTTGAAGTTGGAAGAAACTTTTTTCTGGAAGAAAATTTCTGAAGATTGGGAAGAAAAAAGAAGAGAAGGTAAAATGGCGGGTCGTGTATCTTGTTTTTTGACGATCGTTCTTTTTGATAATTTATAGTTGTCGCTAGAAAGGGCTGGTCAGGGTGTGCAGAAGGTTTGGTCTTGAGGTTCGTTCTTTTTCTTTCGATTTTCGATTTTGCGATCGTTATTTTTTGGCTAGTAATATTCCCTCTTTTCGACGACGGTTTCTACGGTTTGGTCGATCCTTGTCGATTCTTCCGAGAACCTCTTCGCCTCTTCCTGCATCGACTCTTTGATCTTTTGAATGACGAAGCTGCCCCCGTCCACTGGCGGCTGTAAGCTTTGGAAATCAGTAGCACCACCTGTTCCAGCAGGACCGCCAGAAGAGGAGTTGGACTCTCCCTCGGCCGCGGAGGAGGTGGATGGGACGACGTTTGGAGGCGCTCCTCCGCCGCTAGAATGCGAGGGCGACATTTCCGTTCCCGACGGGACGACGGGAGGCACGGCGCCTTGGGCCATGCCATCAGGAGCCATCGGGGCACCGGGCGGCAGCGGCATCGGACTCGAAGAAACGGGGATTTGGTCCATTCCAGGGCGCAGCATTCCTCGATACTAAAGTAGAAAGCGTTATTTGCCTCGCCTCTTGTTTTCGTTTCTTACATGATCTATCGGCGGCGCTTGAGAATACATTCCTTGATTCGGTGGTCCTGGCGGAGGCTGGAGACCAGTTGCGACGCGCGCTCGGATCGCCGGATGGGCCGGTGAAATTTGATGAAAGCCCGGTATTCCATGCCCTGGATGGCCCTGAAAATTGGGGTTTGAGATAGGTATCATTAATAAATAATTACGGGAAAGTAGTTCTGGAAAGCTGGATGTTGCTCTGGAGGAATTCCAGGATGAGCTGCTGCGGGATGAACTTGGGCCGAATAATCGTGGAACGCTTTCGCCTCGCCGGAGTGTTCGTTTTGCTCTCTTCGCTCTGGCGCAGCGCAGTAGAGATCCCAGAAGACGCACCACCTCGAAATCGAGAAATAAAATAGAAAGGATCAAAGCTACTCACCAGGAATGAAGAAAGCCAGGCGCCTCGGAGACTGATATTGATTTCTCCCAGCGGATTTCGGATAAAAGGTCTGAGCCGCTGCTTTTGCGCCGACGTGCACCAGATATTCGTATACATACACCTGAAGACACGAGATTAGACTCTATCCTTACATCTCGCGATTTTCATTTCTGAGTAACTCATTTTCGCTTGAATTCCGTTTTTAGTAGACTAGAAAAATTTCAAAAATCGAAAAGCCGCAATGTTTTGCGGCTTCGAGTAATTTAAAATGTGAAATTGCGCGAAGCGCGGCTTATGCTTTTCTATTCCTCGAAGCCGCAAGAAGTTGCGGCTTCTTGATTTTTAGAAATTTCTTTAGTTTGCTAAAAATCAGAATTCAAGTGAAAATGAGACAGAAATGAAAATCTCGATTATCATATTTTACTAAAAAGTTTTTCAAGTCAAAACATGAAAAAGCCTCTCTTTTCCAAAGTAGCAATAATCTACTTTTATTCTCTTACTTTCTGGCACTGAGCCACAACGAGGCGCGTTTTCTCACTCAAAATCGACAAATAAAAAAATGATTAAAAATTCTTCAGTAAAATTATTCTCTTTTCTTCATTTTTTCTTTCCAAATAGAGATTTGATTGGCCGAAGATTCTTCTGTGGTTTTTCCTTTTTAAAAATCCTGTAGCGTTTTGGCCAATAAGAGACGCTGGCAACATTTATTGACCAATAAATTGGTCGATGATAATAATTTTTAGTAAAATCAAATTATTTTTTAAAAGAACTTACCGCAAGTTTCTCCCTGGCTTGTGCATCGCTGACAGCTGTTTTCCCACTGGGACCATTCGAGGAGGGAGATTTCGCCCCAGGCCGCCCAGCAAACATAATTTCCAGCGCTATTTCTTCTCAACCCCTTTTTTCTCGTTTCCCACTTGACTGGATGAATATCGAGTAGAATCGTAGTCGGCAATTCGAAGTTTGCAATTTTCTAAAAGAGCCAAGTTAGGGTTTTCATTTTTGCGTTAACAAAATAGGAGGTCCCATTTTAACGGGCGAGTACTTCTGGAAAGTTCGCACTTTAAGGGTAGAACATGAAATCGGCGCGCGGCGCCTCGCTCGCCCTACTTTTCAGAATGCCCTTAAATCGGAACGGATAAAGCTTTTCAAAAATTTCTTCGGATTTCAGGTAATCAAGGCTTTTACTTTTCACAGATCAAAAATCAGCAGAATCGTCAAAGAATAAGTCGGAGAAAATGACACGAGTTGGTTAAACTCTATCTCCTCTCACAATTCTTATCCGATTTTTTCAAACTTAGATAGGTCGAAAGTGCTCCGTTTGACCTAAAATTTCGTAGTCTCAGAATTAATTTTGGAGCTTTATGAAATTTTATATGAGCTTTGAAATGAGAGCTGCACCGTCGTGAGGCGCGCTGCGTGAGAGAAGAAGCGGCGCGGCGTGAAAGCACTTGTTTTGAGAAGCCGTGTGGAACTTGAGGAAGCTTCAAAATTAATTCTGAGACTACGAATTTTTAGGTCTAACGGAGCACTTTCGATCTATCTAAATTTGAAAAAATCGGATTAGAATTGCGAGAGGAGATAGAGTTTAACCAACTCATGTCATTTTCTCCGACTAATTCTTTGACGATTCTGCTGATTTTTGATCTGTGAAAAGTAAAGGCTTTGATTATCTGAAATCCGAAGAAATTTTTGAAAAGCTGTATCCGTTCCGATTTTAGGGCATTCTGAAAAGTAGGGCACGGCGCGGCGCTGGGCGAGCGAGGCGCGGCGCGCCGATTTCATGTTCTACCCTTAACGGATTTAATATTCCTCAAGAGGGTCCCCAACTTAACGGATTTTTCAAGCTACAGGCTTATTTCTCAGCAATATTTCAGAAAATCCGTTAAAAGGTTTTACCCTAACCCTATTTAACGGATTTTCTGAAATATTGCTCAGTAACAAGGCTGTAGCATGAAGAATCCGTTATGTTGGGGATTTTCTTGAGGAATATTAAATCCGGTAAAATATGAACCTTTCAGAAGTATTTAGCCGGAAATGGGACCCCTATTTTATTAACGCGATTATTTAGGAAAAAAGAAACATTTTTTCGTTTTCATCTTGGAACTGATTAAAATGATTATTTAGTTGCAGTAGTTTTTAAGTAAGAGTCACAGTAGTTGAAATTGTCAAAGTTGAGAAACTGAAAAGAAAGTGGTTTAGTGCTTGAGCGAAGATACTGTAAGGTTTTGTTCAAAATCAGAGTTACTGTAATTTCGACTTGAGGAGGCTTTTTTCTAAGAAGTATTTTTGAGCTCCTTAATTTCGAGGTAATAAAAGACGTTTTTTCATTTTAGGCAGAGTTTGTTCTTTTTCAAATTGAATTGAATTTCAAGAGCATAGAAAAAAGACGATTTTAAGATTTTACAGCTTGTAAATGTTGAATTCAAAAGTCCACTGAAAGAAATTCAACGATTTTGAAGAGATTTATCAAAAAATAACGGTTTTTGCCCGTGTAAAAAACCTGAGTCAGGGTCTTGGAAGAGCCGCGGCCTCGACGGACTCGCTATTTCAGGACCCTGACTCAGGTTTTCAACGCAGAATTCTCTCAAAATCGTTGTTGTTTTCACGGATATTTTGAATAGTTCAAAAAGGCCTCTAGCTTGTTTTGTTTGTTTTTGTTTAATAAGAACGAAGGTGACTGTTTGTGATATTTACAAATTCTAGCGCCTGAAAGAGTTCTTTCCGAGTCTGAGGCTGAAATTCAATGGCACTTGCTAGCGAAAAAACATAAAGGAAGAGTCGATCGATTTCCTTCTTTCTTTTTGGATTTTCGAGATCGATATCCAATCTGTTACAAGTCCTTGAAGACGGATCTTTGTTGCGCCCAGGACATATCCTTCGTTTGCCTCTTTTTGCCAAGTCTTGGATCGGGCTTCACCTTTTATTATTCGAATTGGCTCCCTAGTGGAAATCGAGGAGAGCAGTTTTCCGAACATTTTCTCGCGTAAATTGGCGTTGGAAACTTTCGATGGTAATTATGCGAAACGTCAGAACATGGACGATTCCATCGACAACCTGCGTAGAAAACCTGAGTCAGAATCTGAAAGAGCTTGAATGAAAAGCCGCGTAGCGGCTTTTTAAGAACGAAGCCGCAAAGAATGATTCTGTTGCGGATCCTCTTCGCGGCTTCGGTTCTAAAAAGCCGCTACGCGGCTTTTGATTTAAGCTCTTTCGGAAGCTGACTCAGGTTTTCTACTCAGGTTGCCAAGCCCAGCTTAGCATTATTACTTGCTATTCTTATTTTTAGTTAATAAAGTGAACCCTTTCCTGATGGTACTTTTGAGTTCGCTGAGGCTCATTCTGGAAAAGTCGATATTGCTAAAGTTTCCGTTTTCGTCTTGTTCTTGATCTTGTTTCTCCGAGGACGAGTTCGCCGAGGAAGTCGAGGATTCGTGCACTTGCGCAGAGCTCGTTGTCGTCGATGATCTCGCACTCGTCTCCGCTGCCAATAACGACTGAATAGGATAGATTTTATTTTAAAGAAAAATTAAGATTAGTGCGAGTTCTACTGTAGTACTGTAGCGATTCGAAAAAGAGTGGAGATAAGAGTTGATTTAGAGTGAACAAAGATTTGAACTGGTGATCCCTTCAATCACTATGTTTTTAACACACAAGCACACAAATTTTTCTCAAAACGAAGATCTTACGGAAGATGATGGTTCTTCTGGAACCACGCGGCGGAGAGCAGGCACCCGCAGCGCCTGACACAGCGACAAGTCCAGCATGTTGTGTCGATTCACCACCACCACTTTTATCACTTTCTGGGGAATTTTTAGCAAAAGAAGAAAGAGTTGGCTTACCTTGTCTTTGATCTTCTGGACGACTTCTGCGTGCTCGAGGTCGGAAGTGATCAGCTCGCCGTCTATCTAGTTCAATTTTGAAAAAGACAAGAGAGCAATTGAAGATTGATTCTCTCAGAAATGTTGAGAAGCCGCTTGCGGCTTCGATACACTCATATTTTAGCCGCGCTTTGCGCGGCTTTGTTAACATCTTTAGCTCAATTTTCAGTAATATAGGTGAAGAATAGAGAAAGCCGCGCAAGGCGCGGCTATTATTTTCGACTCGAAGCCGCAAGCGGCTTCTCGATTTTTATTAACCAGCGTACCGAAACAATTTTGTCGTCGTTGTTGACGCCAGCTTCCCAAGAAGCGCCGTCTTCTTGCAACTTCGTCATGTAAAACGTCGTGCTTGTCTTTTGTTTCCTCTCCGAATGGAGCACGAAGCCGAAGCCCTTGTCCTTGCGCGCGAGAACGCACTGAAAGAGCAAGATTGAAACTTGGACGATGGTGTTCGTACCTCGCGAGGCATCTGGAGCATCATTTGGCGATCGTCAGTCAAGTCTAGCGTCGGGGAGGGGCTGATCACCACCAGTCGACAACTGCTGCCAGATTTGCGGATGAATTCAACTACTTCCGAATGGTTGTGTCCAATGACATTCTCGTCGTTCACCTGCAATTAGTAATTACCAATATTTTCTTATGAAATTTATTCATACACTTTAGTTTCTCTTGAAAAGAATCATTTTTTCTCTTCCATGATTTCAAAAAAGAAGAAAAATTAATTTGGGAACAAGGAGATTTGATGAATATAAGATAGAAAAGCCGCGCTTCGCGCGGCTAAATCTTTGATAAACTCGAAGCCGCAAGCGGCTTCTCGATGTCTAGCAATCATTTTTTATTTACGATCGAAATTCTAGTGAAAATTACAGTAATTTGAGTGACTCTGGTAAATAGACTACTAGTTACAAAAAAGTTTACGTTACCCCTAAGAGGCGATCGCCTTCGAGCATGCCTGCATTCTGCGCGGGGAATCTTCGACGATTCGTCTGATGAACTGCATGCCCTTCTCCGAGGCGAGATGAAAGCCATATCCGTCGCCTTTGTCGAGGTAGACTGCGCGCGCCATGTCTCTCTGAAATAAATCTTCTCATCCTCCTCTTCATTTTCGAAAAAGTAAAAATCAAAAAGGAAAAACGGAGATTTTCTCACTTTCCCACGGCGGGGAGTTTGACTACAGTAGTCTACTACTACAGAAGGTGTTCACATTCAGCATCGATTAAAAATATTTCTCCCCGTGATACGTATGTATTTCAGCCATATCGACGGGCGCGAATCGATGCGAGTCTCAAAAAATTCTGCCTTGAAGGGTTCAAAAATCGATCCCAAGAGAAGATCGTCCCCTGAGATGCAAAAATAATAAAGCTCTGCGCCCTCCCTTTTCGTAAAAACCCATCCTCGAGCCGGGGATTGATTTCATTTTCGGAAACAACAACCGTCGTAATCAAATATTAATCAAAATGGCGAAAATTGAGAGCTTTTGAGATCCCTTTTGGAGATTTGACAAATTAACTTTTAGTTACTAATGGAAGACTTCTTATTTCGACTATTCAAGGAGGTTAGGGTTAGGCTTAGGACCAGAGTAAGGGTTAGAGTAAGAAATTCTAACGAAGAATCTAGAAAAATCTAAAAATCGAAAAGCCGTTTGCGGCTTCGAAGATCAAAGATAATAGCCGCGCTTTGCGCGGCTTTTCAGTTTTGCAGCTCGAAGCGCGGCTATTATCTTTTGATCTTCGAAGCCGCAAACGGCTTTTCGATTTTTAGATTTTTCTAGATTCTTCGTTAGAATTTCTTCCCTAACCCTAATTCTGGGCCAAAGCCTAACCCTAACCTTTAAAATCTACTGAAAACAATTGAATCGATAATTTCTAGCGCTGTCAAAAAAGAAAGAACAAACTCAAATTTATAGACTAGAAAATCTGGTCGATTTAGCGGCCAATTTCTTTCTTGCTTTTTTCTCTCAGATTCTCTGAAAATGCTGGCTGCTTGGTACGGCCAGAAAATAGGTGACAGGGAACGGATGAAACTTCCGTCCTTTGTGCGCAATTTACTCAGCAAACATTTCCAAAAGAAGAAGTTTGACTTTATCTTTCTACTTTCCAAATCAAAGACAAATCGCAAATTTGAAATTTTCCAGATTGCGAAAAAATGGTTTTCATCTTTCAACCTGTGTAAAAACCTGAGTCAGGGTCAATCTCAAACAGATTAAATAAAAAGCCGCGTAGCGCTCTCAATCAACGAAGCCGCTCTGCGGCTTCGCCAAAATTAACATCTCAATTTCGTTTTTATTTTTGCTCAGGATCCTGACTCAGGTTTCTACACAAGAATAAAAAAGTAGGTTGAGAAAGTATTTCTAGCGAAAAGCTTTGTCTCAAAAAGCCGCGCTGCGGCTATTTGTTTAAGCTCTTTTGCACCCTGACTCAGGTATTTACACAGGTCTCCGAGCGCAGATTCAAACAGTTCTTGTTAAATAAAAGGAAGAGTTACTACTTTCTCTAGAAAAATGATCAAATGAGTCTTATCAACAGTGTGAGGCGTAGTAAAATTGACAATTGTATTGTAGCGCGAGCTACAAATAAAAGGTTACACGCGCTGCTTCCTTTCAAAAGACAGAAATCGAAAGCGATATTCAAAAAATAATATTTACGAATATTTTCTAAATCTTTATTTCCGCGCTGAGAATCTTGTAAAAACTACACGGGGCTAATATTTCGCCGCCAATACAAACAGAAGCCAGCAAGAAAAAGAAATACAATAGAATTCAAAATTTCAAATTTCTGTTTCAAAAAATCGAAAATTCTTGATTTCAGATTTTCAGTAAATTGAATCCTACAGCTCTGAGCTCAAAAACCTGTGTAGAAAACCTGAGTCAGGGTCAAAAACGGCGGCTTTTCGCGGCTTTGAATTTCAAATCTTTTGATCAGTAATTTTAAATTACTATCTCAATGCACCTTTTAATTCAGGACCCTGACTCAGGTTTTCAACACAGGTTTTTGAGCTTAGAGCCCTGGTTTTCGGTGATTTTTTATAGAAAAACTCTTTTCGAATTTGAAATTTCTTCTTTGAAAAGACTAAAGAGCTAAATAAATGTTTGAGTTATAAAATAAGGGAGTCATTATGATAACTAAGAGAGGAAAAGAGAGACTCATCAGAAAAAATCCGATTCATGGTTCAAATAAAATAAAGATGTCTTCTTTGAATAAATTCCAAATCTCTTCAAAAAAGGATCTTCGCAATCTTTGAAATCTTCGTAATCTCTTAAATCTCCATAATTTTGAGAAAAAAGCAAGAAATTTCAGCTTGGATGGGCAAAATTAGCACGCGTGATCAGACAGGAAGTCATGCTCCTAATCACTCTTTTTCTTCATTCAGCTCGTCAACCTGCGTAGAAAACCTGAGTCAGGATTTGGAAGAGCCAAAATGAAAAGCCGCGTAGCGGCTTTTAAAGGAAACCGCAGAGCGGCTTCGCCAAAATTACCAAAGCAGTCTTTTTCGTTCCTTCTCCGGATCCTGACTCAGGTTTTCTACACAGGTTTCCGTGGACAGCTTCAATTTTCTCAAAAACAGGGATCTCTAATCGGAAAAAATGAAAAGCTCGCAAAGATTTTAAAAGAAATCTGCTATCAAAATCAATAGTAAGAGTAGTCCGCAGCAGGGGCGCAACCCATTCAGCGAGCGCGAAGGGGGCTTTCTTTTGAACTTTGGGAAATGATTAGATGGCTCTCGCAAATCAACAGAATTTACATTTTCTTTGCCAAGCGATTCTAAATCTTTCAGTTCGAGGAAATGATTCACAGGGCAATGGATTCCCAGTCAACCAGAGTACAAGCTACACTGATCTCTGGTCGGTGAAACCTGTGTAGAAAACCTGATTCAGGATCCGGAAAAATCTGAGTAAGCACGAAAAAGACTGTTGCAGTAATTTCGGCGAAGCCGCTTCGCGACTTCCTTTAAAAATAAGCCGCTATGCGGCTTTTCATTTTGGCTCTTCCGAATCCTGACTCAGGTTTTCTACACAGGTTGCCGAGCCCAGCGCTTTGAAAAATCGCTAAATTCGAGTACTCTTCTACTACTCTCTCTCTGTCTATAAGCCGTGGGAAGCTTGAAATTTGCGTCTGAATTCAAATAGTAATAGACAACAAACAGGAGAAAAGTTAAAGAGCGAAATAAACGCATCTTAAAATCCTAAAACCACCACGCCGTGGAGAGGATCTCTCTTGACCTTCAGAGAAAGAAAAAAGATATTTTTCTTCGAGTTCCAGTAGCGAGTGGAATTTCAAATTAAAATGAAAAAGTTGATTTTGCGGGGCGCTCCATTGTACCTTGTCAAATATTCAAGAACTCCAAATAAAAAGAAAGCCGCTCGGAACAGAAATCGTCTTCTATGTCTTCAGTTCTTCCTTGTTTCTTTTCGTTTCTATCTTAGGTTTATCTTTCTTTTTTCTTGTTTGTCGCGGAGTGATGCTCCTCAATCCGAATCGATTGTTCCTTCTCTCTTTTTCTCTCTCCTTCTCTTCAGATTCCGCCGCGGTTCACCCTCCCTGCTCGCAGCTCGCAGGGAAGAAGAAGTGAGGGCCACCACGTGACAGGACAAGGAGTTGTGTCCGATGATTTGGGCACGCTGAGTGCGCCGCTTCACAGCTCGCTGCGTGCCCAGAGAGCCGCCGAATTTATGCGGGATCGATGGGAGCAGCCCTGGTGTCAGCGGCGGGCAGGTAGCGATCAGTCAAACCAGCTGGCAGAAATGAAATATTCGCTCCCCGAGACCAAACGCCCAACCACACGCGCAAGAGGTCAATCACGCCCGAAATCGATCAGAGACAGATGTTACTTACAAACAACATACCACGAAACATACCACGCCTCTCTTACTCTTCAAACAAAGTTACGCTCACTTGTCATTTCTCTCCTATCGCCTCTTGACAGACTCTAACAAACTCGATTTACAGATCAGTTTATTTTTAACAGGCCGGCTCGACAAGAGTCACTCGCTCCAAGGCTTCGATAACGTCAGGAAGCTGCTGGTCTCGAACAGCTTGACAGGGCGTCCCAGACGAGCACATTCCACAAAGATCTGCTCGGTGGGGTTTTCTTTTCTTTCCAGGGTCATTCTTGTTGTCTTCCTTGATTTCATGCTCGATCAGGTTGTGCGGCGTCGCTTTAGCAAAACATTCCTAAACAACAATAAGGGCCTTGCCTTGACTATTGGCTTAGCAACCTGCGCTGAATACCTGTGTCAGACTCTGAAAGAACTCAAATGAAAACTTTTTTGAAAACGAAGGGTTTGAAAGTTTATTTTGCCAAGCCGCTAAGCAGCTTTGTTCTTAAAAGCCGCTGCGCGGCTTTTCAGACCCTGACTCAACTTTTCTACACATTCCTACAGTTTCCTCGCTAACTACCCGTCTACCAACTAAACTCCACGACAAGTACCTTACTATTCCTCAACAGTGATCCTTCCCAAATGCAAAAGAAATGAAAACAAGACTGGTTTTTGATTGTCAAAATTGATTTTATTCATGAACATTATCAGGAGCATCCACACTTTGTGGTCCAAGTCCAGACTTTTCGCCGATTTCGCGTTCAGTTTTTCGCTGTTCGTCCTTTTTAGGAGAGCGACGAAAGAGTCACTTCCGCAGTCGAGTTCGTCGACTGCAGGTTGAATTCGACTCTGTTTCCAGATTCAAATCAGTCTGGTCCAGCGTCTCATTTCTGCCTAAGCTGGACCTTCAGATCTCTGAAGAAATTTTCAATTATCGCTTTTTTCTGAAGAAATTTACCTTTTTTCGGGCGGCTTCGGACTGTCGAAGTTCGACGAACTGACTTTTTCAGCGTTTTTAGCCCTGAGGTCAACAGAAGTTCTAGAGATTCGCGAAAAGGGCTCGTTGCCATGGCAACATGGGATTATCTAGAATTTCTAGCGCTTGCAAGAGGAAAGCAAGGGATCTCAGTTAACACCTAGGGTCGGCACCGACCACCATTTTTCATGAAATTTTTTCAATGAAAATTTCCGAAAATTCTTTTCTCTTCCAAACCTAGCCGAAAAAACTGACGGGCAAGAATACCAAGGGAACAAGTTTCGCGTCGATCTTCTTCCTTGATTTCAAAAAACGCCTCCCTAACTCTTCAAACAAAATAACGCTAACTTTGCTCATTTTTCATTTCTTTCCTGTCGCCTCTTAACAGACTCTAACAAACTCGATTTACAGAACAGTTTATTTTCAACGGGCCGGCTCGACAAGAGTCACTCGCTGCAGGGCTTGGATAACGTCAGGAAGCTGCTGGTCCCGAACAGCTTGACAGGGCGTCCCAGACGAGCACATTCCGCAAAGATCTGCTCGGTGGGGCTTTCTTTTCTTCCCAGGGTCATTCTTGTTGTCTTCCTTGATTTCATGCTCGATCAGGTTGTGCGGCGTCGCTTTAGCGAAACATTCCTAAACAAAAAATGCCCTGCTTGTACCCTTGACTTTACTCCTCCTCACCTTGCATTTCTGCCAAACACGAGCGTAAGAAAACGCACTTGCCCATCTATTCGCACACTTTTTACAGCCAAAATGGCCGAACAAACGGCCGTAGTACTTTCTCTTTTTCTTATATCCTTGACATATTCATCGTTGTCACAGTTCTCATTTGGACACTGCGACTTGAGTTTTCGATACTCTTTTGAAGACCAAGAGGTCTCGCAAGTTTTGCACTGGAAAAACGTTTGATCTGGCCCATCTTTTTGTGGTCTGGTTTCAGTCAGGAAATTTTTATTGCTATTTATGTAAAAAAGGGAAAGATGGATGAGCAATGTGCGAACTGTCGCAGGAGGCAAATCATAAAACAATCAGAAAATATTTTAATACAGCAAATAATTACAGTTACACATGAGTCGATCGTCTCTGCGACTGTTGTCTTTTGAACTCGTCCAAAGTGGCGTAACTGAAGTCGGACTGGTTCTCGAGATAGTCGAAAGCGTCTTCAATATTTTTGCATATGTAGTCGGCGACTTCGTAATTTTTATTTGTATCTTTCGTCCGAGGATAGAGCACAGACAGAGATGCTCGTTTACCGATAAATGTAAAGTTGACGATGTACGCAGCTCTCAAGGGCGTATGATGCCCACCAGCGAAGTAAACGTTTTGAACATCGCCTAATTTTGATTCAATCTTTTACATGGATAAAAACCACTTACACAAATCATGAGTCCTCCCAGTTCGCGCCTTGAGCTTTGTTTCTTCGACAAAATTAAAACTGAAGGCAACGGAACGCGTGAATCCTTGATTATTGCGACGAATAGTCGAACGAGAAGAGTTGAGCTCTTTGCGTGTTTCTCGTTTGGCTGGGTATTCTTGAAAGAGTCGCGATTCAAGAGTCATCAGTTCGGTTTGATCGTCTTCGAAGAACAGCTTCCAAAGATAAGCCTGGATATCCCTCGCTTCCTGATTCTTCTGCTCTTGCGTGATAACGCAGTTAATATCAAAGGAAAAGTTTCCTATCGTTTTTCGTAAGATACGTTTCCCTCGGAAAAGTTTCCGTGCAGATTGCGGAAATCGAAGTCAACTTCAAAGTCCAACAGGGGAAGGTTTTTATGGATAGACTTGTAAACAGATGTGCTTCGCATTTCGCACATTCCAAAAATAGAAGCAATCATTGCTTTGCAGATAAAAGTTTTTCTTTCTCTTGGATTCTTGTAGCCCTCGCGTAGCTTGATTGATGCGGTTAAGACTCCACAAGGATCCGTCATTTTGTATTCTTCCCCACGCGACACTGGAATTGAAAGACCACCATGAAAATGCTTGAGCTGTTGTTTTCTGTCATCGTGAGCTTCAATTTCGGTATCTTGGGTCTCGAAGATCTTGCCCTCGTAAGTATTCTCTACTGACATCCCCTGGTGCGAATTAGCCTCGTCGTAGTGCCGAAGAAGCTCTTAAACTGATGAATCTCTGAAGAAAAAATATGCGTAAGTTACCGTTGACAATAATCTGCATGGACTTGTTGTCCGCCATCGAGCGGGGCAACTTGAGACAGATCCATAAAGTGTCCTTGTTGATGACGAACCAGAGTCGGAACGGAACGGCTTTCAGTGTGATTTCATCGTCTTGATTTGTGATCAATTCCAGAAAGCGAGGAATGTCGACGTTCTTGAGATATTCGATCCTTTTGTGCGACTCTCCCAAGGTTTGATTTGCAGCCATGAAAACGCTGCTGATCTTCGTTTCTTCCATCCGAATCGTTTTTGTCAACCCTTCATGTTCGCGCACAACATATTCCCAAGCGTCGTTCATTTTTCCAATGTCCAAGTTTTCCTGCAAAATGCATTCGTATAGAACGATTGAAGTCGTTTTGCTACAAAAATTCATTGAAATTTATTCGATCAAAAAATAAATTTCAAGCCTGAATTGCGCAACCTGTGTAAAAAAACCTGAGTCAGGATTTGCATCTACTTTGAAATTCTAGGCGGCTCTTTGGAACCTGACTCAGGTTTTCTACACAGGTTGCCGAGCCCAGCTTTAGACCTTGAAGACTTTAAAAACTCCGCTCGTAATGGTTGTTTAAAAAAAAAAAATTCCTGAATTACTTTTTATTGAACTCATGCTCAATCCAGTTGCACTCTTTCTCCCTCCTATTCGCCATACTTCTGTGTTTCTCTCCCAGTAAACTTTATCGCGGAAAAGCGAACCGAGCAAAAAGGGAAAATGAGAAAGCCAAGACCTCGCCAATCCGAAGGGGCGAGTATAAATTCAACAAAAACTAATATTTGACAAGAATGCATACTCCAAACCAATTGATCTGCCAATGCGGAAATTTCCAATTTGAAACTCAAAAAATGACAATTATAAACGACAACCATGAAAATCTTGGTTCGGAAATCCTGAGTCAGGCTATAAAGAGCTCAAATGAAAAGCCGCGTAGCGGCTTTTTTAAAAACGAAGCCGCAGAGCGCCTTCGGTAGTATCCAATAATAGACTCTAATGTTTTTGATGCGAAGCCGCAAAGCGGCTCCTGTTCCAAGAAAGCCGCTACGCGGCTTTTAATCTAAGCCCTTTAGAACCTGATGGGGGCCCCATAGTTTAGTTTGCTTGTGTCCTGCAAAAGATAAGACAGATGGTTTCGATTATGTCTGGTATCCTTTATTGTTGTTCACTTTTTTTAAAGAAAATGTACGCAGCAAGAGCAAACACAGATATTTACTGTATGAAAAGAAAGAGCAAGATATAATTTGTTTTTGTCGAGTTTTGAATTTTGTGAATTTTTTGCGCGCCGTAGGAAGTCTGTGTAAAAATAAAAATCTCGAGGGGAGATGGGCCACTGCGCATCCTCACCGATCGTTTTTGGTGAAAAAACGTAGGAATGATGCGGTGAAGATGGCGGTGCCATCTCGGCGATCCTGCGAGCCTGGTGGCACTTTTTAACGGTTTGAGTGAAAGGCGAGAGCCGAGGAGGAGGCCTCAGCGCCCGGGTGAATTTGAGTTGTTTAAAACTGAACTACGCGAATTTGAAAAAGAAGGGTTCGTCATCATCATCGTCATCGCAAATCTAACAGCTGCCGAAGGTGTTTTCACCGGAATAGGCTACGTACAGAAAGCCATCTTCATCCTTGTGTTGCTGGTAGAGCTCGCCCATGGTCCAGCTAGAAAAAGAACAGTTAGCCAAGTTGGCGAATTACAAGCCGACTGAAAATTTGAACGCAAGCGGGGAAAGCATGTTTTTGGCGGGTTTTAAGATTCACCGGGTTTTTGGATTCTAGCGACTTTGACGGGAAGAAATAGCCAAAGAAAGCCCTGTCAAAGCTGCTAGAACTCGGCCGGCCAACCTGTTTGAGAACCCTGACTCAGGTTTTCCACGCAGGTTGCCGAGTCCAGAATCTAGGAAAAATTGATTGAAAATCAAATCAATCAATTTTTCAGTAAATCAAAAATCAAAATTTAAAAAGCGCAAATTAAATTTTATGATTAAAATTTAGGAATAAGCGTAAGTAGCAGTTTTGCTCACGTAAATGCGACGCGCACTTTTCCCGATTGAGACTCGCAAGAATCCGAGTTCTGCGAGTCCGAATCTGAGTCACATTGCTCAACGGAAGACTGAACGAACCTTGACTGCGGCACCATCTTGTCAACGAACAGAAAGATCGCCCGCTCGGCATCGAGATTGATGCGCTTTCGGATGATCCACATGAACTGGGCGGCGGTGATGTCGGAGGGAACCTGAAAACACGCGATTAATGAAAAAAATATGAAAGATAATGAAGTTTAAAGGGTTGTATCTCCTTCCTGATCCAGCAAAATCAACTAATTATGGCTTGTAAAATAGATTTGAATGTTACCGCGATTCAGATTTTCGCTAGAAATCCGATTGTTACTCAAATTCAATCACTGCTAAAATTCTAATAGCCGCTTGCGGCTAAGAGTAAGAAAATTTTAAGCCGCACGAAGCGCGGCTTTTCGTCTTTATGCTAAACTAGAATTACTGCTAAAACGGATAATCAATTCTAGTTTAGTAGAAAAGACGAAAACCGCTCTCCGTGCGGCTCAAAATTTTCTCACTCGTAGCCGCAAGCGGCTACTCGATTTTCTGCAGTGATTGTATTTTAGTAACAATTGAGTTTTTAGCGAAAGCCTGAATCGCGCTAAAATTCAAATCAATTTTACAAGCCCTAATAAGTTGATTTTCCAATATTTTTCCCTTTGGAAAATCTCAATCAATAAAGGCAAAAATTAGATCAATAGCTCGGGCGCCAGAGCCACCAGTAGTGCGGGCCATTTTTTCTGGCGATTTTCCAATAAAAATTATTCACAAGTTTTCACAAGCGCCACTCTTTTTGGAAACTTACGAGGTATTTTCGCTTGTCGATGCGCTCGATGTTGGAGGTTTCGACTTTCTGGACGATGACGGGGATTCTGTCGGGGTACTTGGAGCGGATCTTGCTGCTCTCGGCCATTCGTTGCTCTAAAAACAAATACAGTCAATTCAGATACAAACACATACAGTCATCGCGCATGTGACTAGCTGATCGCTCAGGATCGTGAGTAACTGGGCTCGGCAACATGTGTACAAGACCTGAGTCAGGCTCTGAAATTTCATTTATGTTCTTCCAGAGCCTGACTCAGGTTATCTACACAGGTTGCCGAGCACAGACGAGTTATGACAGTAATTACGGTCTGTTTTCAACAAAAGGAGCTGCTACTATTGATTGCTAATTACAGAATTGAATTATTAAGAAAAAGGGATGAAAAATTCAACATTTTCCCGCGGTGGGAATTTTTATCGATTTTCTTTTCTGGAAAAAATTTTTGTATGGGAAAATAAGTTAGTAAAGTTTAACTGCTTTAAAATTGAAAATGTTTTTATTAAATAAATCAACAATTTTAATCTTCAATTAATAATTGCTTACCGAGAGGATGGTCCGCTTTAAATTGCCAATTCATGCTCATTTTTGTCGCTTTTTTTTCGGTTGTTTCTCGAAAAGCTACTTCTGTAGCCTTTTCTGCTGGAAATGGATTTGCTCGGCGTTGTTGTGGTGCCGAGTCGAGAGTGATGCGTTTCGCGCTCGATTCGTTTGAGCTCCCGTCTCGCCAGTGGCATCACGCGAGAGTGGCTCAACTACGCCCACTGAGCTGGCGGCCAATCATGATCCCCAGATGCCCCCTCAGACATCGACTTGTTTTCGAACGACCACCCGCCCTATGACCGTCAGCATCCCATTAGACGCTTTCCTTCCAACAACAATCACGTGACCCTTCTACTTTCGTCATCCCTCCTCTTACTTGTCCCGAGACTCGCGACAATCATAATCATAATTCTCGGCTCGGCAACCTGTGTCCAAAACCTGAGTCAGGGCCTGAAAGAGCTTGAATGAAAAGCCGCGAAGCGGCTATTCTGGAAACGAAGCCGCTTTGCATTCGCAGCTTCCTTTCCAAAATAGCCGCTGCGCGGCTTTTCATTTAAGCTCTTTCCGGCCCTGACTCAGGTTTCGACACAGGTTGCCGAGCCGAAAATCCCAGACCATCGTCATTAACCGCATGGGACAGAAGGTGTATTCCACTGCACTTAAGGACTTTTCAGCTTAATAACTTCCGAACAAATTGTCCAAATTAGATAAAAATTAAAATGGTTGTTCCTTCATATAATTGGAGCAGGTCTGATAAGTTTCAAGGAATTATCGGTTACCAACCGCCCTCTGCACCGGATTATATGCGGCCTAATCGCCCTCCCGCTGAGTATTTGCACATTGAAACCGAACCAATATCAAGAATTTTGTCTACTAAAAGGGGTTTTATATGTTTTCGATATCGCTGATTTCAAATATTGAATTTACTTTTTCAAGAAATCTAAATAAAAGATAATTTTTGAGACCCCATGTGATAAATGCCATTTTTTTCTGCAATAAGGAAAAGCGCTATGCAAATTTTGATGGCGGATTTGAAATCTACACCCTAAAATTAGTATTGGGTATAATTTTCAAGTTTATCCGACCAGTAGTTTTCTTAAGTGCAGTGGAATACACCTTCTGTCCGAGCGCCTCTATCCCCCGATCTGTCCCATGCGGTTAAGTTGATCCCTTTCTTGGAAGTTCTTATCGCTCGAGTGGGAAAATAAGAGGCCGTTTATTGTTGCCGTTTCAGCAATAAAAGAAGTCGTGGGAATTAAAGTTTCATCGTGAACTTTTTATCGCATCGATTTTCATTTCAAATGGTGGTAGACGACCTTTTATCAACTCTTCTGGATGGAGTGATAAAGAATACAAGGCTGAAGAGCAAATGGCGGCCTGTGTTACCCTCTGAACATAGATAGAACTTAAAATTACTGAAGCGAATCAACAACAACTCAAAATAGAAACGACGATGAAATTATTTCGTCATTGACGATTTGGATGAATGGAGACATTCCAGAATACAAATTAATCGCCAGTACTCATAAAACAAGCTTCTCAAGGACACAGGCCTCGACTTGCAGAATACAGTAATGCTACTTATTTCATGGCAGCTCCCGTTTCGCCCAAAATCCCGGATCGCCCACATCCCGGATCGCCCATTTTCCTTGATCGCCCATTGTGGGCAAAACGGGAAAATGTGCGGATCAGGAAAATGTGCAATTCAGGATTGGGCAGAACGGGATTTACAAAATTAGAAAAGGAACTCTTTATCCCTGAGTATTATATCTTTTCTTCTTTTCTTCTTTCAAAAAATCATAACTCGGTCAAATCTACTTTGGAATGTCCGATATGAAATTGGGAATAGGGGAAAACACTTTTAATTGAGCTTTTTTGGGCTTAGTAAGGTGAGCATATAATACAGTTTTAGATAGCTCAGAAGCTGGGGATCATTTTGACTATTGATAGCTGAGGGTTATCTTGTGCCCTGAGGGCATTTAGGTACCTCCGAAGTCCCAAAATCTGGCCAACTTCGGAAATTTGAATTTTTGAATGCCCAGACCGCCCTTTTAGAGCTAGTGGCTGTGCTAGAATTGTAGCCCAGGCTCTGACGTTCATTTTGAGATATAGAAAAGTACTGAGACCAGGGGTTCCTGAGGAGCTAGAGGCTCTTGAAGTCGGGGAACTCGACAAAAATTGAGTACTTTTTCACAAAAAGTACACCATTTGTGTCACAAATGCCCCCAAAAGACATTTTATCTATCTTTCTTCATTAAAAACTGTCATTTGGGGTCATCCGAGGTCAGATTTTTGCAGGGATTAGCACGCGCAAGTATGAGATTCAACCCTTTTTGGAGGTGATAAATTGGAGGTTGCGTGCAAACTAACGTTAGAATTTCTAAACCACCTTCTTTCATTATCATATTTCAAATTTACAATTGCAAATCCTAGTTTGCACACAAATCCCGTTCCGCACATTTTCCCGTTTTGCCCACAATGGGCGATCCAGGAAAATGGGCGATCCGGGATGTGGGCGATCCGGGAATTTGGGCAAAACAGGCGCTGCCTTATTTCATTTGCAGACTGCAAATTGCAGTTTTTCATTTGCAAAGATCGTGTTTTTGTGCAATTTGATGCATTTTTCTGGCATCTATTTTCAGGAATCATCAAAATAGAACCTGACTCAGGTTTTCTACTCAGGTTGATGAAGCTAGCTAATTCAGTTTTTGGCAATTTTCCAAAAAGGAAAGCTCGACAAGGTTTTCTTGGCAAAAGTAGGGACCTTCGCTTTTGTTAATAATCACCTGTGCTTTTGCAACTTAGCAACCGTCCTCGCCTTCTGGAGGGTTTTTCTCGATGTCGACAGACGTCCAGCATCTTATCTCGGCGAAGCTCTCAAGATCAATTGATGCGAGACCCTTGTTTAGTCCACCTAGATATCTTGCAAATACAATTGTCGATGTGTCTATAAACAGCTCCATTTTTTGTGAAGTACCTGTAATGCTGGGCTTGGGAACCTGTTGAGAAAACCTGAGTCAGGGTCTCAAAGTTTTTTGATGAAAAGCTGCGAAGGAATGGTAAACTATGCGGCTTCTTTAAAAGAAAAAGCCGCTTTGCGCCTTTTCATTTAATATCTTTGAGTCCCTGACTCAGGTTTTTACACAGGTTGCCGAACCTAACTGTACTGATGAATAGAACAAATAAAAAAAAGAAGTTGAAATCAAGGAAGACTATCAATAATTTCATTAAGAAAATCTCCCAAGAAATTTTATAAGAAATCTGAAAAAAAAATGTTTTTATCGTTATGTTTTTTAAACTCTGATTTTCCGTTTCTCCGGGACGAAAATCGCGCCCATCTGCGTGAACTTGGCGCAGCGAAAGTTGCAAAAAGGCCCCCATTTGCGAGATTTTTGCCGTCGGAAATGAGGCTTTTTATTTTTTGCTCTTTGCTCGCCCTTTCTTTTTGCCAGTCGGCGGGAGTGTGCCGAGAGAATCCCTGTAGCAATGGCTGTATTTGCGAAGAGTCCTGTCGAGATGAGGACTCGTACTTTTGTAGGATGGAGCATAATTCTCCCTTGATTGGGAAGAAGTGTGATTACGAGCTTGATTTTACCTGCGATGGAAGCTGTATTAGGAAGGGCTAGATACAAGGGAGCTGGGCTTAGGAACCTGCGTAGAATACCTGAGTCAGGGTCTGAAAAACTTGAATGATTAGCCGCGTAGCGGCTTTTTTAAAAAAGAAGCCGCAAAAAGCCTTTTCAATGAATTTTGGAATTCTGGCGAAACTGCTTTGCGGCTTCTTCTTTTAAAAAGCCGCCACGCGGCTTTTCATTCAAGTACTTCAGACCCTGACTCAGGCTTACTACACAGGTTGTCGGGCGCAGGAAAATGGTTCCAAATCTTCTGAGACTTGTGGCGAGCCTAGGATAGAATGGCTGTTCCAAAAGCGTACATGGAGGAAATGGAACAAGGAAAACAAAACGGAGTACTCCACATGTGCCGAGATCAATTGGGCATGTGTGACTTTTTCGACCCTTGCAAATTCAGGCAAGAAGTTTCAACCCAAGCTGATTGCTAAATCGGGTATTTCAGGCTCGAAGGAGAGTTCTACGTCTTCGACAGCTGCAGCGTCGAGAACCGTGGCTGCAACCAGATCGAGCTCCAGCGCGACTTCAGCGGCTCGTTCTTTTCTTCTAGCACTGTCGTCTGGGACCGACAATCCTCGCAGGGCATCCGAATGCCGAGACCGCTGAAAGAAGTGACCTGCAAAGTGATCGTTGAGAGTGTCGAGCAGGCTATTTTCCCCAGCGTTCTGGTAATTCAATTGGATCTTAGGACCTCCCTCACTCTTTTCAGAACCCGATGAATGTGGAAGACAAGCCAGTGGAAGTGAAGATGACTTTGTGGAAAACTGAGTTTGGTATTTGGCCGGGAATTCCAGGTTAGCTCTTGTAAAATGAATTAGATCCTCAATAGATCATTTCTAGCTTCGATGGCGGAACTGCCCAACGGTGAACTGAGCTACATCATCGGAGAAGTGATTCACGCCCGAATCCAACCCGTGCTCCCTCTTCGGCGAACAGTCGCTTTTGACGGCGAAGAAGTCGACTTCAACCTCAACAACTGCTGGCTTGCTTCTCCAAACGACCCCTCGATGAAATACCTCATCATTTCCGGTAAACCTTCCTCCTTTTTGTCCGAATATTCATCATGATTTCAAGACAACAGCGTGGTTCCAAATCCAATCGTCCCAGTCGAAATCGAAGCTTCGCCAACTTCCTACATCGGCCAAGATTTCGAATACAACTCAAAACGAGCACTGGCGTTCAACTTCCAAGTCGCGATTTTCAGAAACGGAGACCCAATGAAACTCATGTAAGAATCCTCTTCCCCAACTCTCTCTCTAACCTTCTTTTCCAGCTGCGAGACATCCTTCAAGTTCGACACAGTCAAGATCATCAACTCAACTCGAAAACGAAGAGGAGCCCGAGCTCAGAAAGCGATCTCTCCGAATGAAATCTTCACCACTGATGCGGAATTCACGATCTACAGCAACACCACTGAATCGATGAACGAAGGACTGTTCGGAATCGAGAACTACAAAGAAAAGAGCATTCTGGAAGAAATCAAGAGCAAAATCGGTCAAAAAATCGAGCCGGAAAAGATCCTAAACGCTCCCGAAGTCAGAGCTGTTGTCCAACCTGGAGCTTATCTTTCGTAAGTTCACTGTTTTTATCACTCCTTTCGATTACTCTGTGTTCTAGTGAAACACTTCCAAAGACGAAGAACCTGACCCTCGAAGACATCCATGAAGATTTTAAAGAAAACACGAGGTATTCCTTCACTACCCTTGCCTAGGCTCGGCAACTTGTTGAAAACCTGAGTCAGGGTCTGAAAAGCCGCGAGTGATCTTCCAGACCCTGAGTCAGGTTTTCTCCACAGGTTGCCGAGCCCAGACCCTTGCTTTGACCATCAATATAGTCATCATTCTATCTGTCGTGATTTATTACTTCAACTTTGAATAAATTGAAAACTCTTTTGCTGAAGATCAATTTAAGAAGTGGCTGGATCACGATCGAAACTCTCATCTTGCTGCCAATCCTGAGCCTGCTCATAATCGCTGCCAGAATGTACCGAACCTACAGCTTGCTGGAGCGCATCGGCACTTTTTTCAACAAAAAGATGACGAAGAAAAACGAGCTCCTCAAGGACAGCGACAACAACGAAGAGTTCCATCCTCGAACTTCCACTTGTTCTTCGGAAATCTCGACTCACTCTTCTTCCCTCGAAGACGAGACCATTCATTTTACTCATGTTAAGATTTAGCTTTCATTATTTATTAATTAACTGTGCTAAAAAACTTCGGGTTCAATAATAAAGAAGTTTTCAAAACAAAAATATGTTTTTTCGTCTTATTATTATTATTATTTTCATTCAATTACTTGTCTGGATTCGACAAACTGCGTAGAAAACCTGAGTCAGGGTCCTGAAGGAGCTAGGATTGCTTGAGATGGTTATCTTGGCGAAGCCGCTTTGCGGCTTTGTTGTTTAAGCCGCTGCGCCGCTTTTTATCAAATCAATTCAATTACTAATCTGCTCTTAGACTCAGGAACCTGTGTAAAAAACCTGTGTCAGGGTCAGAAAGATCTTTTCTGAAAAGCCGCGCGCGGCTTTTTTTCAAACAAAGCCGCAAAGCGGCTTCACAAAATTATCTTTCCAATATATTTTTAAATTCTTGCGAAGCCGCCTTGTTTTTAAAAGAGCCGAGCGCGATTCTCAGAAAAGCAGAAAATTCTCTAGAAATTTTGTTGATGTCAGGGCGCGGAGCAGCGGCGCGCTCAGTCTCCGAGCTTCATCGGTCCGAGAGCGCAAAAAATAAGGTACGTAGCCACGAGATAAATTGATTAAATTAACGATAATATTTTTAGTTCCGAAGGCGGAAAGAAACCCAGAAGGAAAATGAGCAAAGAGCTTCTCAAACGAGAAGATTGAGAAGAATACCGAAGTGTTTGTAAAACAACAAATACAAACACTTTATCTCTAAAATCCTGAGCTGCTCAATAACGATCCTGAATAAAATCAATTTCTTTCATAACAATCTTACTGTGTTGAACACAGTGTGTTCAAGTTTTTCAAAAGCACAGTTTTTGAACTTTTCTGTCGTTTTTTTTTTGCAGGGTTGCATCAATATTTTCTCACAGGCGCGCCATTGGTCGATGACTCTCCTTTTTCTCATTTTTTGGAAAGTCTGGCAGACTAACGAGAAATGCTGGCAGGTTTCAATTTGTTAATTTCGCATTTATACAGTATTCATAAAACATTAAATTTCAATAGATTTTATCGTAAAAATATGAGTTTAAATAGATCTTGCGCTTGAAATTTCGTCGTTTTTCGACGTAAAAAGATGATTTTATTGCTTTTATCGATTCTAAAATTGATTTGAAACCTTGAAAAAGGACTCGGCAACGCTCTTCGACGAGCTGCCGAAGTCTATTCCGATCGAGTACGAAGACCACGGCGACGATTTATTGAGCTTCATCGAAAAATGTCGCAAAAAGCGAATCCGGACGGACGTCGAATTACGCATCAGCGAGCAGTCCATTCTCGTCCATTCTTACGTCCTCGCTGCTTACTCTGAAGTCTTCCACGAGTTCCTCTTCCCCGAGTTCTACTGCAACCGCCCGCCGAGCAAGGACGAAGAGAGCATTCTCAGCTACTCGAAAAAGGACGAAGACAATATTTTGCAGATTTTGAAATGGATGTACACCGGCGAGCTGCATTTGCACGAGCAGAGCGTCTACCCGATTATGAATCTCGCCAAGCGTCTGGAAATTCCAAAGCTGGTTTCAAAGTGCAAACGAATCGTTCAAGGCGACACGGTTCTCCCGCCCCTTCCTTCCGTCCAAAAGCGATTCACTGAGAGCTCCACTCAATTCGCTCTAGAAGACGGAGAAAATGCGAATTCAATGAACCAAGAAGCTAGTACAATCATCATCGTCTCTCCTGAACATGCACAAGGAATGGGCTCGGCAACCTGTGTAAAAACCTGACTCAGGGTCCCGAAAGGGGTTAATTACGAAGTCGACAAACTTTCATTTCAATCTCTTCCTAACCCTGACTCAGGTTTCTACACATGTTGCCGAACCTAGCCCAAGGAATGGATGGCCACAGTAGCGAGCCCCGTCCCCTAAACAGCGGCGAAGAAAACGGCGAACTGCCGCAAGTGTCGTCGACGACGCAGATCATTTCCCTCGCATCTTCTCGACGGCAGCAAGTTGGAGGAAATGCTCAAAACGCTGCTGCGGAAACGGAAGAGATGGTGCTCCAAGATGACGATGGCTCCATGCTGCCTTTGAATGACGATTCCGTGCTAGAGAACGAACGCGTCGAACTCGGACAAGGAGTGGAAGATCGCTTCGAAGCCGTGCCGAACGGATTCAAGTGCAAATCGTGCCGCCAGACCTTTCCATCAAAAGAAGAAACGCTCAAGCACATCAAGGCATTGCACAGCCATCATTTTACCTGCACCGTCTGTCAGCGTCCCTTCACGAACCAGCACAACCTCCGGCGACACATGATGATCAAGCACTCGGACGAAGCGGACAAAAAGTTCGAGTGCGACGTCTGCGGAAAACGATACGCGATCAAACAGAGTCTCCAGTATCACATGAAAAAGGCGCACAAATCGCACGACAATGACACGAACGACGATGTGAATGAAGAAGAAATGAAACGCGTCGAGGAAGACTACACCCGTCAATCAGCCAGGCCAGAATATGGATTGGAAGAAGCGCTGGAAGAGCTGAGTCGACACGAAGATCCGCAAGAAGAGCAGTCCATTCAGGTATTGGATTTCAGCCTTGTTTTTCTTCACATCTACTGTTTCTTTTTAATAGTACCGGAATATCAGTTCGAACCTGCTTCCTCCGGCGGCAAACACGATCTCCGCGCAAGCTCCCTCCCTTCTTTCCGACCCACTCGCCTCTTACCTCAATCCTGTTTCAACCCTCGCCCAGACTGCTCCTTCAATTCAAATGATGGCTAGCTCACTGCCAGCGCCGATGCCCTTCGAGGTTCCTGTACAACGTAAGCCTCCCCTTATCGTTCCTGCTCTAGAATCGCCTTTCAGATGACCATGGAGAAGCTGCTCCGACGCTCACCATGCTAACACCAGCGCCAATCAGTCAGAAAACCTATCAAATGTACCATCTTCAAAATCAGTGCGATTTCTGCAAGGTGAATTCCTCAGTTTGAATGCAAGCCATATTTCCTACTCCTTCAGAAAATCTTCAACAACTCGCTGGACTACCAGAAGCACAAGAAAAGCTGCAACAAGCACAAATGCAAACACTGCAACAGGGCGTTTTCCCAACTTGGAAATCTTAGGCGGCATGTGACTATTCTTCATTCAGGTAAAAATAGAGGCTTGGTACTGTAAATAACGAAATTTTCAGGAGACAAGCCGTACAAATGCAGCATGTGCTCCAAAGCGTATAGCATCAAGCAATCTCTCCGTTATCACATGCATCATACGCATGGAATCTATGAAAGGTAGCCAAGCTGAATTTCATTCCAGCCTCCAAATTTCATTCTTTTCTAGCCATCCAAGTCAGAACTCGTCGCATTCGAATGCCATGCTCGGAATCACGCAGCCTCCTTTGATGCTTCCTTCGAGCGAAAGCTGATAGAAAGACATCCCAACTTCAAACGGTCGAAAACTCGTCCTGTAAATCTCGCTTTACTGTAATTTCAGCTCTTTTCCCTCTCACTGCCTGCAAAACCAACCTATTCGTTCCAACCTACTAGTACTTATCGAAATAAGTATATTTTGTATTATTTGTTAATAAAGAAGTCATTCTATTCACACCTGACTCCCATTTTCCTTCATTTCGGGCAGGACTGGGCTCGGCAACCTGTGTACAAAACTGAGTCAGGGTCCTAAAAGAAAGGAGATAGATTGATGGTAAAATTTGCTTTTCAGACATCGATGCAACGAATTGCAACAGTGCGCTCTTTGATAAAAATTCCTCGGGACACTGTGAATTGGAAGAAATTTGCGGCTGCGAAAGGGCGAGGAGGACAGCATGTGAATAGAAATGACACTGCCGTGGAAGTTAGATTCAGCATCGATGAAGAGTGGATATCCGCGGCGGACAGAAGCGTCCTCAAAAGAGATTTTGGGCACTTGATTTCGAAAAAGAGCGAAATTGTGCTGATAGAAAGCAAGCATCGAGAGCCGCTAAGGTAAATGTGCAGCTTAGGAAAAGAAAGGCCATGCGGAGTTTTTAGGAACTTTGAAAAAGCGCTGCGAGACTTTGAAGAAAAAGTGAATCCAGCACTAGAGCAAGAAGAGAGCGAAATAGCGCTCAAAAGAAAACGATATTTGGAGAACCACAATCCGAAGAAATTAGAAAAAGCCAACAAGAAACGCCTCAAAGATAAAAGACTCAAGAAATATTCTAAAAACATGCGAAAAATAACACACAAGGACTTTCAGTAATCACTTCATTTTAAATATTCGTCTCGGTTTTAGAATGAGAAGAATTAGAAACAGATAGTCTTCCGTCTTTCCAGAAATGCTAGTTCGATTCTTCAAATGATGAAGGGAATTCTAGCAGTGCTTCTTATCAATCTAAAGCTGGGCGATGGCTCGCCGGGTGACCGAAGTAGCTGGTATCGATCGTGTTTTTCCAAATGCACTTCTGAAAATTGTGATGGTGTATCTGAGCTGCCAACTTATTCATTTCCATTAACGCCCTTGCCCTGTCCCTTATATTGCAAATCAATGTGCATAGAGAAGACCGACGAAGTCATCAAATCCAAGTGGAACAAACAAGAAACGGATTTTCAACCCTTTTCTCTTCTCATTTATCAATACTTCGACGCGTTTGAAAATTCCGCTCTGAGTGCAATTCTTCGGCAAATGGCCATTTCGTCGAATAGGGCCGGGCTCGAGCTTGATTATTAGTAGCGTCCCTGGGAGCCTTAAGCCATCAATAATGCATTCCAAATTTCGAGCCTATTAAAAGGTAATTGCGAAGAATTAGCGTCATGTGTCTTCTCCGTTGGGAATTTAGTGTTTACTATCGCTGATTAGGTTATCCATTTATGTAAACAAAAAATGGCTGAGCAAAAATAGCTACCTCGCGTTTAACCTTTTGAAGGCTTCATAAAGGCAAAGAGAAAGTTCGCCCTCGACGACAAGGAATGGGACAAGAAACGACAATTAAAAAGCTATTTCTGTTTATTGATTATCGAAATGGAATTTATAACCTGTGGTAAGGCTAGGCTCGGCAACCTGAGTCAGGGTTCTACACAGTTTGTCGAGCCCAGTCTGTGGTGAAAACTGGGATTCAATGAACCTATTTTTATCCGCTGAAATAGCTCGTACTGTAGCTCAGAGTTAACTGAGTCGTTTCAAATCCCATCAAGGTGTTACTCTTCCATGCTGTTGTTTGCTCCGTTGGGAAAGGGCTCCTTTCACCCAGGACTCAATTTATTATTTTTTTGCGTTTTTAGTAAAAGTCGCGTTAACTCGAAATTAAAAAAAAGACATCGATACATACAAGCGCCGTTTGTATCGCTTGTATATTCATGATATCAACTCAAGTGGGTGAAAGCTGAACTGACAGCTGGATAATGTCGGCGCAATTTCACGCTCGAGAGACGAAACTTTCAGAGAAAATGGATTACCTAGGCGCCGCCGCCATCATTTACTCCACCCTTTTCCTCTCTCTCTCGCGCAACTTTCCCCGGAAACGAAGCCAGGTATGTAGAAAATGATCGTTGTACATTCGCTTGGTACTCCTCGTTGATTTCAATCAAATTGTAAAATCAGATTGGCATGGCTGTTGCTGCGTGCTTTTATTGTCACGTGTATTCGATGCGAAATAGAATCGATTATGGTCTGAACATGAAGCTGTGCGTGTGCTTAGGGATCATCTCGCTTGCTTTATGGGTACGCGTTTATCTCATTGAGAGAAGTGAAGCGCTTTTCAAAGTCACTTTGGTATCGATCGGCTCGGCCCTGCTACTCGGACTTGAAATTTTGGACTTTCCTCCTCTTTATCGGATTTTTGACGCCCACTCGCTATGGCATTGTGGTACGACAATAACAACCCAAATATACAGTACACACACAGAGCAATAGATAACAGAAAAAAAAGAGAGAAAGAAAGAAAAAGAGAGATAGAGCAGCCCACGCAGCTCATCCCTCGTCTAAATGCATTTTTGCTCATCATACATTTTTCCAAAAATTACTGTATTAAAAACTGTTTTTAGGAACAATGCCAGCTCCTTGGCTTCTTTATCCAGCCCTCATGGAAGACGCTTACGACCAGTTCCAGAAATCCAAGATCAAATTGCCTTAATTTTGAATGGATCTCAAATCAAAGTCAAATCTTCAATTTAGCCAACTCATTATTTTATACATTGTGATAAAAATTGCCTCTCCGAAATGCCTTTTTTTCCAAAACACAAAAAAAGAATATTCAAAGTTTTCCAAAGCCAATACTTTCAATGCTTCATTCTACCTTTACTTCCTATCTTCACCTCGAAATCATCTTTTCTGTAGAATTACGATTATGATTACTTTTACTACTATTTTAATTATTATTTTTTCTTCAATCAAATGTTCGATAATCGAATCGTTGCTTTCAGAAAAAGAATGCCTCCTGTTCACGAAATGTGCGACTCGCCTGTGCAGCAGGATATTCGTTACGACCGACAAATTCGACTTTGGGGCGACCACGGGCAAACAGCACTAGAAAACGCTCACGTGCTCGTCTGTGGAGTGACTACTACTTCCTGCGAAACAGTCAAGAGCCTGATCCTTCCTGGCGTCGGCAAGATCACGCTGATCGATCACAAAGTCGTGGAGAAAGAAGACATCTCGTCCAACTTCTTTCTCACCAAAGCCGATCTGGGAAGGAATCGTGCTGAAGCCGTTCTTTCGAATATTTCCGAACTCAATCCGTCCGTGAAGGTCTCCTACGACGATAGAAACGTTGCTGACGTCCTTGCTTCTGGCGACGAGTTTTTCAAAAAGTTCACTGTCGTTTTGGTCTCCAAGATTGACCGAAAAGTCCGTCGAAAGATTGAAAAGCTGCTCTATCCGCTGACAATTCCTGTTGTCCTCGTCGAAAGCACAGGAATGTTTGGAAGAATTCGCCTTCTCTTCAAAGAACACTTCGTCCTTGAAGCTAGAAATGGTAATTAAAACGGAAAGGCATGAATTAGTCAGAAATGAAATCTTCGTTTTCAGAGCACCAGGTTCCTGATTTGCGCCTCGACAATCCTTTTCCTGAGCTGGGAGAATACCTGCAGAGTTTCGATCTTGAAAAGATAGACGATTGCGATCACAAGGTAGGCAGATCATCGAAACGATGGATTTTAATGATCTTCTTAGCATGTTCCGATGATTGTCCCTCTCTTCCTTGCGCTAGAAGAATGGCGAAACGAAAACGATCGACGGATGCCCGACTACAAAGGGAAGAAAGCAATCAGAGAGAAAATCAATCGGATTCGACGAAGCCCCGACGAGGAGAACTTTGACGAAGCAATCGCCGCTGTCAACAGCATGATTTACGAAAGACGAGTTCCTACGGAAATCGGGGATTTTTGCTGCGAAGTGTTGAAGAACAAAAGCTTGACTCCAGATACGCCAATTCACTGGGTCATGTTCAAAGCCTTGCACGACTTTATCAATAAGGTGAGATTCCGCAAATCTCATTTGTGAATGACTAATTTTCAGACGAATAAACTGCCTCAAGATCCAACGATTCCAGACATGTTCTCGGACTCGAAATCCTTCGTCCGCCTGGCCAAACTTTACCGAGACAAAGCTCAAGAAGACGTAGAACTCTTTAAAAAGTTCTTACAGCATCATTGCTCCTCAATAGGCATCCCTTCGCCGGATGAAAAGTTTATCACGAGATTCTGCAGCAATGCTCGGGGTTTACGAGTCATGTTCTGCGATTTGGATGGTTTTGAAAATACGGATCCTGAGTTGCCTACCAAGTTGCCTGAGCTTTTGCAGTCAAACGAAGACAATCTTCATGCGTTCCTCTGTTTCGAAGCAGCGCTTGATTTTGAGCAGCAGTTTTCCAGGTAAAAATCGACAACTTCGAATTCATTATTTCTTGTGTTTTTAGACATCCAGGCACAGATTACGAGCAAATGCTTGACGGGCAATATAAGGACGCCGATCGGCTGAACTTCTTCTCCAGCAAAATCACGAAAGCTCTAGACTCGTCGTTCCAGCTCAAAGAAGACTACATCGACGAATTCTTGCGCATCTGTGGACTAGAGTTGAACTCAATCGCGACCTATACGGGTGGACTGGCGGCGCAAGAAACAATAAAGGTAGAAAATTCTCCAGCTACTGTTGCTCTATTCTTAGCTCATTACGCGCCAATTCATCCCAATTGAAAACACAGCGATCTACAACGGAATTACCGAAGAGCTCCAGACCTTCGTATTGTAACAGCGAGCGGTATTGCCAAAGAAACATCGAAGACAATCGTCGTTCTTTCAATTAAAGTTCAATTACCAAAAAGTTAACAGTAACAAACAGATATCTTTAAATTTTCATCCATCTTCAATGCTAGACTGTTACACCCGGTTTTACAAAGTTCAAATCAATTATTTGACACTTTTATTGCAAGTATCTTTTTACTTGTATAGGTGTCTACCTATCTCACTGCCCCTGAAAAAACATTTGTATAGAAATAGGCCGAGCTTGATTTTCCTTGTTTAGATGTGAAAAAAGAACCCCGCAAAGGAAGTTAACGAAGAAGCATAGCAATGGCGGCCATGTGCGATGAAATGGCCGTCATCTATGAAGATGGCGTGGACGAAAACGGGTTGGAGAGCGTGGTCGAGCGTCTGGCCGAAGAACGAGATCGGATCCAAAATGATCTACAAACTAGTCGCTCCGAGACGCAAGAAATCCGCAACGAGATCAAACAACTCAACACCGTCATCGATCGACTGCGGCAAATCAACACGGATAAGCTTCCGGCGAATCTGCAAGGCATTGGCCGAGAGTTATGCGAAGCCAAGGAGCGCATTCTAGAGCTCGAGGAGGAGATTCACGAGCTGAAGGCCGAGCGGCAGAACACGCGCTTGTTGCTCGAGCATTTGGAATTTTTGGTGATGCGGCACGAGCGCTCGCTCCGAATGACTCAGGTAAGAAAGAAGAAAGAGCTCAGAACCTGTGTGCAAAACCTGAGTCAGGGTCCCAAGCCCAGGCCAGAAGGAAGAAAGTATTCTGAAAGTATGCGCTAGTAAATTCGTGTAAATAATTGAGCAGTAGCAATTTGCCCTCCTTTTTCCTCGAGTCCCTTTCCCTGGCTTCTTGCTGCTTATTTGGGCAATAATCAAGGTCAATAAGTTGAAGCTCAAATGAGAACGCATGCGACTCTCTCCCCTCCCTCTCGCTTTCTTTTTCAATATTCCGTTTCGAAAAATGTATGTATATTTATATTAATAAGGGAAAGCGAAATGCCGGTGCTCAGCAAAGTGTCTCCAGCGAAGTAGAGGTGTTGAAGGCGTTGAAATCCCTCTTCGAACACCACAAGGCGCTTGATGAAAAAGTCCGAGAGAAGCTTCGCGTCCAAGTCGAGAAGAACCAGGAGCTCGAGGCTCGTCTCATGGAGGCGAAGCAGAAGCTCGAGAGCCAGTCTGGCTCTAGAGGGGCGGCCTGGGGAGACGGTATAGCCGAAAATAACGCGGCAAACGGCGAGCTCAACAAAATTGAGCAAACTCGCAAGGAATGGTTTCAAATTCGAAAATTGGGTACCTAGGGTCGGACTTCCTTCCTTAATTTTTTGCTTACTAAGGGTCCTTTCCTTAGTAAGGTAAGGATTTTTTCCTTACCCTTTTTCGGATTTCCGCCGAAAAAAATCCTTACCATAGTTCCTTTCTGAGTTTTCAGAGATCCTTAGTAAGGATCTCCAATCCTTAGCAATTTTTCCTTAATTCCTTTCCTTACTAAGGATTTTAAAAAGGATTTTTTTCGTGTGCCTGCGCATTTGAAGAGCGCTTTTATTAAAAAACCTTTTCAAAAGCCTTAGTAAGGAAAGGAATTAAGGACGAGTTGTGAAGGAATTCAATAAAAATGTCTCTTGCCAACTTACTGACAGCAAAAAAATACCCAATTGTTCGAAATAAAGGGTCGTTGACGTAAATAATTGCTATTTTTATCAATAAGAACATTTTTGCAAATCGTACCTAATCAAATCCTTACTAAGGTTACTAAGGCCTTAGTAAGGAAGGCCCTTAGTCCTTCCTTAGGCTTTTCTTGATTCTCATCAATTTCAAAACCCTTACCCTTAGTAACTAAGGAAACCTTAGTAAGGGGTCCGACCCTAGTTGGGTACTGTATTAAGCAATTGGAAGAAATCCGCATTTGATCTTTTATGATTCCAATTTTTTGCTGAAACCAAGTGAAGGATTTCGCCATCGAATTGGAACGCCTTCAGCGGGAAAACCAAGCAGCTTCGGCAGAGGAGAGGAAACTGCGGACCAAAGTTGACGAGCTTAAAAATGGAGAAAAAGAAGCGCGAGAGCGTCTCAGTGCACTTGAAAAACGCTACCTAAACTTGCAACGAGAAAATGCAAGCTACCAAGAGCGCAATCAAAAGCTCGAGTCGGAGCTTTCCCAGCAATCGGCTCTTGAAAATCAACTTGCAAAAGGTTTGTTTTTGCTTCTTCAAAGTTACCGCGATTCTCATTTCTGACTAGAATTACTGCTGAAAATTGAGAAGCTGCTTGCGGCTTCGAGTATAATAAGAGATAATAGCCGCGACTTATTTTTTCTATTACTCGAAGCCGCAAGCGGTTTCTCGATTGTCAGCAGTAATTCAAGCAGTTTAAAACTTGCCAAGCAAAATTTTTACTGTGATGAGAAAACTCGCTGTTCCGGTTGAAATTTGCACTCTTATTATTCCGGAAAGACACAAGTCAATCGAAAATTCTTTGAATTAATTATTTTCGCAGCTGAGGAAAGAAATCGAAGTTTGCGCGAGCGTCTCGAACTCCAAGAAAAGCGCTGGACGAGCCATGTGAACGAGCAGAAGCAGTCCGATTTTTCGATAAATGCGAATGAGAAAAATGTCAGAGAAATGGCGGACCGCATTCACGCGCTGCAAATGGACATGGCGGAAAAGAACGAAGAGATTAACTCGCTCAGGTCGAGGGAAAAATCGACAGAGGAGTATTCCGCCCGACTGGCCAGAAAGCTGGATCGGCTGATGGTTGAGAATCATCAGAGAACGCAAAAAGAGCTTCGTAAGTATTCGAAATTGAAATCATGGAAGAGTACATCTCATAAAGAAACCCTAACCGTTGTTTCTAGGTGATCGAATGAGTCTCTTAGAAGAAAAGAACCGCTTGGCTGTGGAGAATTCTCAACTGAGGCGTCAAATCGAAGAGCTCAGCAACCGTATTATGGTCGAGAAATCATTTCAAGCGATCCCCAGTCTCCCTGGTGGCTACCAGGTAACACTTTTCCTCGTCTTTGAACTGAATTACTGTTTTCGAACAGTAAACTTTACTTTATCTTCACGATATTTTCGTGATTTTCAAAGCACTGGCTCTTTGTATTTACACACTATTTCCAGCTGAATGAATATTTTGAATCCGATGATGATGAACTCGTAAGGGCCCAACCAACCTTCACTAATCACAACTTTTTCTCGCCTCACTAAAAACTTTAAATAACTCATTCTACTTTTGAATTACACTCAACTCACCCCTTTCAAACATTTTAAAGTTAATCATCGCAAAAATTTGATTGAGTTTTGCGAAACTTTTGAGAGTCTGTTTCGTTTTGGAAACAAACAGTAGTTGATGAATAACTCGATGAATAACGTGCTAATAGCTCTTATCAGTTGAATAAGATGGCTGTTTTCAGGCTTATCAGCCGATCGAAGACCCTGTCGATGACCACTGGGACTCTGACGAAATAGTGACGGGTCCCTACGGATACGCTCACAGCACCAGCACCCACCCCAAACAGCCCAACAACGAAGTCCTCTCACTAGCCAGTCAAATAGAAGCAATCTCCAACGAAATCGCCATTTTACAGGTATTCAATCATTCGACAATTGTGGGTTGTTTTTTATTTATTTGTAGCACTATCGAGTCTATCTTTACATTTTTGTATACAGTGTATTTACAGTAGTAAGCGTCATTTGTTTCTTGTGAACATGGATCTGATGAACTTGAGGGAGCATTGGTTTGAAGGGAGTGTGTTGCGCTTGTTTTGTTTTGGTTTTTTTTTTGTTTGGCTGCTACTGTAGCAAGGGTCGTTGGGTGAACTGTACAAAGCAGCCGCTTTTTTTCAGCGCTCCCCACGGGAAACGCGGTAGAGCGACTCACTTTCGTCGGCCAGAAGTTTTTTGTAGAAATCGGAAGCTCTGAAACTATCAAAGGGATTGTATTTGCTAGTGCTTGTATAATCTGCTGGTGCTATTTTTAAACAGCGATTTACAATCCCTTCACAACTGTAGCCGTTTTCGGCGAGCATGAATCCGCTGTGACACGCGCAGTAGTAAGACCGCGCGTCATTTTCGCAGTAGTGCTCGCATGGGCTAAAGAAAGTTTGCTTTACTTTGAAAGGATGTTTTATAAGAAGACGGACCGCTTTTGATATTGCGCGTAATAGAGTCTGCAGTAGTTGAGCTGATGCTCGCAGTTGCGCCCCTCCATGTGAGCCGGGCACAAGCAGCGAAACCACTTCCTTGATCGCTTTGTTCTGATTTCCAATTCTCCTGCCCCGCAAAACTCTTAATCGATTGTTAAAGTGTTTTGAACTAGAAAAAAGGATTCGCAGACGTCGAGAATCTGCGGTGGTTAGACAGAAAAATCAACACACTTCCGATTGAGGGTACTTTTTAGTGATTCAACAACGATTATCGTTTTTTATATGACATGATCGGCGTTGATTCACCTGGATTGTCTAGCACCAGAAAAACTTGCTCTTTGCAACGTACCTGGATTTTCAGCCATGTTTTTCTGCAGGAGGCGGAATTTGTTTTTGCGGCCTGTGTAGATCGGACCTTGCTCCCCTTCCGGTGATTTCTCTTCCGCATCCGTGCTATCGGACTCGATGTTGATCTCTCCAACAGGGGGCAGCGTCGCTTTTGTGAAGAGTTTTTCGATTTCGACAATTGGACTTTTCGTTGAAGTCCTTTTTAATGTTGATTTTTTGAAAGTTGAAGTAGTGGAAGTCGTTTTTATCGTAGTTTTTGTGGTGGTTGTCGTTGTTGTTGTCGACTTTTTGGTTGTTGGCTTTTCGGTAGTTGTAGTTTTAGGTCTACTGGAGCTGGTAGTTACAAGAATTGTTGGAGACGGTAAAGTCGTAGAAGTTTTATGCGTTGTTTGCAGTGGCTTCTCCGTCGTATGTTTTTCGATTACTCCTGTCTTCACGGTCAATTCCAGCGGCGATTCTGTCGATATTTCCGCCTGGATCTCTTTGTCTTTCTCTTCGCCCTTAATTTAATATAAAAACTCATCGCGCTTCTCCTCGAGTGTGGACTCACCTTTGGAATTTGCTGCGCGGCGCAGGAATGAAGAGGGCACGTAACTCGAAATTTCTTGAGCTGGCGTTTTTTCCTTCTTCCCTTGCTTTCCACACGCACGTTCCAGCAAGTGGTAGAGTGTCGATCCGGATTGCCGTACGAGCACTTTGTCGGCCGATGACTTCCGGAATCGTAAAAGTTTCCTTCGCTGTCTTGATACGAAACGCTCGAAGAGGAGTAGTACGAGGAAGGGTCGTAGCTTATGACATCATTGGAAACGCGCTTCCCGCAGCGTTTGCCTTTGAAACCGCTGAAGCAAATGCACTTGCTCCTACCGTTCAGAAAACTCTCTTCGCCGTTTTTACATTTTGCTGAAATTTTGGAAAAATGAATGGTTGAAAAGAGCGATTTAAGATTACATTTTTGCTTCTTTTTCTTCTTCTTGCGCTCCTTAGTGCAGCGTTTTCCTCTCCAACCTTCGTCGCACTTGCATTTATGTACAGTTTTCGCCTTATTTTTCGGATTTTTCGACGGTTTTGGACTTTGAAGCTGGAACCGTGCGCGCCACATTTCTCTTAGATGAAGATTAAACATTTACCATAAATTTTACTACATGAAATTTCGATGAATAAGCTGACCTATTCGGAGCACTAAAATCTTTAATGGCGAATTATTTCGGTGACTGTGCACATTTAGGGTGCCCCTGCTGTTGATTCTGGCTTTGGAAAAATGCCACTAAAGTATCTACGATTGACATAAGTAGTTGTTTAATTACTTAAGCATTAACGACAAGATTTGGCCCGATAAATGCGACAGATAACTCATTTCTTCTCACGCAGGGCCATCTCGTTTTTAGAGGCTTGCCATTAAAAGTTGTTGGCGTACTCGTATCGAGTGACTACAGTTTAACGCAGCCGGAAACCATTTCGCCGTAAATTAATTCTTAGACTACGGCTAGCGAGTTTGTTTTACCTTTGTGGCGACTGCTGGGGGACTGGGAAAGCTCGGTATTTGGCAGTTGGAGGGATGGAAGGCTGTTTTTGCGGTACTTGATGTAGGACTCAACGCAGTTTTGAACGAGTATGATCCGCTGCTCTTCATCCGAGCTTTGCGTTTTCGACAATTCACAGCAGTACTAAAAACCCTTTATATAATCAAAACGAAGGTTCGGTCAATTGTTACCTTGTAAGTTCTCTCGTATAAAGGAAGGTCTTTTGCAGTCGCCAATGACGCACTCAGGATTCGCTTGTAATTACTGCAAGTAATCTTTTGTGAGGTATTTTTAATGCAATCGACCGAGACCACCAAGAAAACTGAAAAAGTAAAAATAAGTCACTGATATCGAGAAAAAGAGTGTTTCTTTATTTCTTTTGAGGCTAGGGCAAGTTGAATGGCTTTTTTTATTTGAGTTTTTGCGGTCTGAGCGCTGAACAAGTCAATTTCTCGAAGTTGCTTGTAAATGTCGTCTTTTGTGTGATTTTTTGAATGTGTTTACTCGATGACATGTTTGTACACAATCATTTTTATCGTGAATTGAGACGCTCAATTTAATTATTGTTTCAATCCCTTCCTATTTATTTAATTCATTATTAATTTTTCTACCTACATATCCTGGCGATCCTCTTCAGCATAATTAGACGCTTTGTTGAAGGACTCTCTAATTAGAGGCTAGTTGCCTCGGTGGACCTCTTCGCGCTCCCAATCTCTATCTTCTTTCTGCTGGGTTGATTTTCTGCTGACTCGTCGAACCCAAAAAGGTCGGAGCTCTGAATAAGGCCAGTGTGAACGGCAAAGATAACTGAGAATTGTAGCGCCCTCTCTGCTAGAGCGCGGCACTCTCTCTCTCTCGCTCCGGGGCAAGTCAAGACAAAAAAAACGCTCTTTCAATTTTTGTCTCTGAGCCAACCCTCGGTGATAGCGGACTTGAAGTCTTTTTCTTTAGAATATTTCTTGTTCTTGGTTAGAAAAATTAAATGTGCACACATCTACGGGTTGTGTTGGTGTTAGGCACACGCTCGCTCGGCACCTGCTGATAGCACTGTATGCCGACGGCGCAGATTCGGGCAGATGTATGCAAATCCATACTCAGCTAACTGGCGTCATGAAAATGGCGTTCCTCGTCATTTGAACAGATGCACATTATGATGTTAACGGTGGGCGCGAAGTTCTTGCTCTCGAAAGAAAATAGAAGGAACAGTTAAGTTCAGCACATACGGACTTTGCTCGGCTACGTTTGTAGAAAACCTGAGTCAGGGTTTGAAAGAGCCGCGAACTTCGCTGACTTCAATTTCTGGCGAAGCCGCAGAGCGGCTTTGTTTAAAAAAGCTATGCGGCCTTTCATAAGAGATCTTTCAGACCCTGACTCAGGTTTTCAACACTGAGCCTAGATACAGGCACGCGGAGATTTTGAACTCGCGCGTCTTCCAACTTCCTTTCCGAATTATCTGGGCGGAAATAAACATCACAATATCAGTATCCGAATAAACAACGGGCCTCTTGGCGGCGCGCATGTACAGGATATTCTTGAGAGCGAATTGAGAGAATTTCGATTAGCTAGAATCAAAAACTCGGCTTGACAGTTTGTTGGAAATCGAACAATTTGAAGTCGCCAGGTGAAATTGAAAAGAAATCTCCTGGGAACTAATTGTCGTCTTAGACTCTACCAAGAACATGTCAGAAAAGGAGCGATAGCGGGGCATCAGAATTTCTTAATCCAGGCTGGTTTATTTCTTGAGCCGCACATGCCACTGATGTGTGTGTCTATGTGTGTGCTGGTTCCGCAGCAGCTGTGTGTGCCCAAAAAGAAATCCAGCGGTGCTTGGGTCTAATGTGATCTATCAATGGACTCGTGGCTAAATTTTGATAGCTGATTTCCGCCGCAGCTATGATAGATTTGCACAGATCCACCAGACCGCGCCGGTGATGGGCCCCAAATAGACAATACGAGGAGTGGCATTCTTTAATTCCATTGCGCGCAAATCTATGCGCAAATTTTCCACAGCTTGGATCGCCAAATTTATTGAATTCAGTATTTATGCGGTTAATCCTTCCATAAATCCAAGATGCTATTTTGTCTGCGCAAATTAAGGGGCCTTTCTTCCGAGTTTTTGAGGTTTTGAAATATACGAGCTAAATTATCACTCGTGGGTCCATTTTGTTGGATAACTTTCGAACAAATATCAGTCATCTCAGTAGCTGACGGGATAAATGCCAGTGGACCACTATCAATTACTTTGTTTAAAGTATTTCCCCCGTTTTCGAGCTTATCGGTTGGCCTCGAGTCCAGGATTCTCATTTCCGATCCCCCCGATTTGGCAACAATTCTCACCTAAAAAGACTAGTCTTTCTATCTTCGTATAATTCCGTCTTTCATTCTCAATATTTTTTCTCTTCCTCGATGAAATGTGAGTCTCTGCAGCAGAAAGGAATCTGTGTCTTTTTTTTCTGCAAATCTGAAAAAATGTTTGAGCATTTTTGCGATATCGGGCGGCCTTCATGAAAAAGCTAATATGGCAATGAAACTGTTATTCTCTCTTTGTATTTGAATTCCGCCGAAAAGTGTTTGGATCCGTTCCCTTGACGCCACCTGGCCCAGGGTTGTCTGAAGACAACGAGGTTAAAAGGCAGAATTCGTCAGATCAGGGTAACTCCAATGCCAATATTTAGTTCCTCGAAATTTGTCCCCAAAGTCGATCTGTCGATCAAACTTTCAACAAGTAGCCCAATTTGCATCTTTTATTTGTTAGTTTGATTTCAATTTATTTTAAATAAATTTATGCGAATTGGTGCCAATCCAAACATTAGATTTACCATTAACTTGCTTGAAACTTCAGAATTCGCGTCTTGGCACGGTTGATTTAATAAAAAAATATGAAAATTTATGAAGTTTTCTTAGGGGCAAGGAATGACCTTTATGGCTAGTAAAAGCGGGAAATGAATGGAGGCGATTGTTTAGTTAGATGTACAACTGTAGGACATTCGATTTCTCCGAATACAGCAAAATTCCTCGTTTGACGTTTTTTTTCAGAAACAGAAGCAAGCTCCCACATCCGTCCCACTGCGGAATGACGGATACAATGAACGACCATTTTTGTACAGTCGCCCGCATTCTCCTGGGTAAGAAAAAAACTGCTTCCCAAATTTCCAAATTACAAATTTCAGTCGCGAGCTTGATCTTATCGACACGAACGTTCCACTTTATCCCTCAACCAATTCTGCCTTTTATGACAACGACGCCTTTCGAAATGGAAATCGCAGCTTCGAACTCAACACTTTAAATACTTCCGGCTCCACACTTGGCAAAGACTCCTGCCTCAAAGATGGCGAGAGTGTCTTGGATGGCTCAGACTCCCTTTCGGGCTCTGAAAAGTCCAAGGATCAGGGCATCAATCGCCCAAAAGTAAGAAAATCATCAAAAAAGAGCAGCTAACTCATCAATTCTTTCAGAAGCTCAAGAAACCTGGCATCAAAGCTTCAATTTCTCAGATTTTCAAAAAGTCCCGCTCTGCATCAAAGTCTGAAAAACTCTGCTCCCTGGAATCCGAGTCCTCTTCGAATCCGCGCGAACAGCAGCGGCGGCTCAAGAAGAAAATGGAGCTGCTGGAAAAGGTTCGCGCCGAACGAACGCCGTTCTCGAACTGGAACGGGGCGACGATCACCGCGTGGCTTGAGCTGTGGGTTGGAATGCCTCAATGGTATGTTCCCCTTTTTCTTCCTCGAATTTTGATTTACGGTTTGATTAAATAGGTACGTCATGGCCTGTCAAGCCAACGTGAAGAGTGGGGAGATCATGTCTAGTCTCTCTGACAGTCAGATTCAACGCGAGATCGGCATTCAGAATCCCCTCCATCGTCTCAAACTCCGTCTGGCTATTCAGGAAATGCTCTCGCTCACCTCTCCCGGAGCTCCTTCTACGTCCCGATCTGTAAGTAACAAAAACTACATCATTATAAATTATAATCCCAATTAATAATTCTGATTAACTCTTTATCAATTACCCTTTACCTGGTAAACCCTTATATTACTTAACTAAACAACGAAAACTAACAAAGACTAACTACACTAGACAACTGGGTCAGTCTGGATCCGCCACGAAGATCTCCTCGAGGAAGAGGAGACTGACCTAATCGACGAGCCGTTTTGGCCAGAGGTTTGATTCATGTCCCCGATTGTACCCTGCAATGAAAGGGGCTCAAAATCGAGCAAGTTTCATTGCACCGACCGTCTACATCGATGTTCGTTATGTATTTTTGTCTCTTCCTTTCTCTCGTTCCATCATATTTTTCTCTATTTTTTCATCCGAGCGTTTTTAATCTTCAGGAAACTGATTGAATTTAATTCTAGCACTTGGCTTATGGAGAAATGAACCACGAGTGGATTGGAAACGAGTGGCTTCCTAGCCTTGGCCTGGCTCAATACAGAAGTCATTTTATGGAGGTAATTCATGATTTTTGAGAAACTTGAGTTGTAGTCTCTTCTTGTTTTAGTCGCTTGTCGACGCAAGGATGCTGGATCATTTGGACAAAAAGAACCTTCGCTCGACGTTGAAGATGGTCGATGCTGATCACAGGTAGTTTTGGATGAATTATCAAATTATTAAACAACAATAGACAATCGCTCCAATGGGGCATCTACTGTCTCAAACAGCTCGATTACTCAAAGGCGGACTTGGATGCGCGGCGGGAGGCGAGTCAAGACAACCTTCAAGATGTGATGGTCTGGAGCAACACGCGAGTGATCAAGTGGCTTAATTCCATTGGGTCAGTGCTCATCCCTGTTTTATTTTGTCGAAAAGTGTGATTAAGACTGCAAGAGTTCTCGTCGAACTTGAAAGACACGGGCGTCCACGGCGGAGTGATAGCTTTGGAAAAAGATTTTCACGTCGAGACGCTGGCCCTCCACCTCAAGCTTCCAAACAATCATCCTGTAAGTAGCCCTTGTTTTGGATCAATCATATATGTAAAACCCAGAAACGCCGAGTGCTGCTGGACGAGTTTCTCAAGCTGCTGCAGACCGGCACGACCAGATCGGTGGACGAGTACTACCACGGCTCGTACCGCAACTCCTACCGCCGTCGAGCAAAGAGCGGCTCCAACGAACCCAGCCCGCGTAAAATTCCCAACGCCTCCTCCCACAACGACTCCATGAGCGGTGAGAAGCAACTTTCTTGATTTTTCATAAATTCCCACCGCGCGAAATCGAGCTAATTTTCCTCTTCAGCGCTTCAGCACAGCTCGCCAGCGCGCCCGCCTCTTTGAAAAAATTCACCAAAATTGAAAATTACAAAAAAAAAGAAAGAAAGAAACGCTTCAACCTTTCCTCACAAGCTGCGAATCTCGAGAATGAAAAGACTTCACTACTAACGCTTCAACCCTTCTCACTACTAGCACTATTTATCTTCACTAACCTCGTGTCAATCAAATGTTCCTTTTTGAAAAATGAATGACCCCGAAACCACTCTTCACGAAACTTCACTCCTCGTTCATCCCTTTTTTATATTTATATATATTTAAGCTATTAATTATTAGAATCCATTATTATAATAATTTTCCCATCTAGCGCTCTTGAATCTTTATTCCTGCACTTTCACCTCACTTAGAAATGAATTTCTTCAAAACCGAGTTTTCACTTTTGAAGAGTTCAGCTTTGTAAAAAATCATTCAAAATTGTAAATATTTTTTTCTTGCTCTATCTATCGACCAATCTCCCTGTCCAAAAGTTCTTCATTATACAGCGTCAAAACTAGTAGCACTTAGTTTTGACGCAATCGCATTCTTCAAAGTTATCTAATAATGAAAGTATCTAAAAGTACCTAATTTCCAAACCACTAATTTTGAGTACTGCGGAGTTACCTCAATCCCCTGAAAATATGTTACACATGTAAATTTAATGACGGATGTGCCACCCTTTGCCACTTGTGGCGTTCTTGATTCTGTAATAAAATATGACTCAAGAAAACAGCCAAAATAGATAAGCAGCGAAATCGGAAAAGGATCAACTCTCGTCTTTTGTGCTCGGCAACCTGTGTAGAAACCCTGAGTCAGGGTCTCAAAGATCTTTATTGAAAAGCCGCGGAGATCTTTGAGACCCTGACTCAGGTTTTCAACACAGGTCGCCGAGTCCAGTTTGTATTGATTCTTTTCCAAGACTCCTATTTTCATGTTTTGAGCAAAATCGCAGGCTGTGAACAGGCAGTAAACACCGGTGCTCCATTTAACACGGAGCATGTTCGATTCTAGCGACTCGGCAAGGGCAAATCTCTGCGGCTTTGCCTCGATGTTCAACCAAACAAAACAGTCCTTAGAACTCTCTCCGACTCGATAACCATCTTAAACCAAGTGCGTGAAATGCATCAACAACTATTTACTGGATGAGCGGATTCACTATGCACCGAAGCAAGCAAAATAACACCCACCAGCGGTTCGAACGAGCGCCACTTTTTCGACTCCATTTTCGACCCCATTTTTCGTTGCATTTTGAAATTTAAAAAAATGAGAATTTCTACTTTCTACTTTTTTTTGGGAGTTTTTTCCCTCGACATTGAAACAGTGTTAGATTTGTCTGGAGAGAGCATTTCCGATGCCACAACTTTTCTCGCTGGATTTGAGAGTCTAACCGCTACTACTTCGGCTGTGACTGCAATTGGGAATTTGGCCTCGCGAAATAGCCCGAGAATCTCCTCCGTCGTTTTCACTGCGGCGCAAATTTCAACCCTCGGCGACGATTTGTTTGGAACTCTTGAAAGTATGAAGGCGAGTTTGACTTCCCTTCTCGCAGACAACGGCGATGAAAGCGTGGAATTCCTCGCTTTGCAATCTGAGTGCGAGACGCTTGATTCCGGGAAACAAGTTCGGCTCGCGAGCTACTTGGATTCGAGCGGTCAAATTGTCGGTTCCGTCAATCGCTGCGACGGGACCGCGGATGACTTAACAACCAGCGACGCTTCTGTTGAAATGTCGCAAGTATTGGATTCATCTTGTGCGTTTGACGCGAGCAGCAGCGTTATCACCATCGCCAAGGCTTTAGGAGACACTTGCGGAACAACGTATGACGTTGAGGACAACGAGTACAGAATTAGAAACACGCTCAAGGTGAGTTAAAGCCCCCCCTCATCGTCAATACTATTCTTTCGCAGCTCGTGGATAGTGCTGATTCGAGCGTGCTGGTCACCCAGCCGGTGGGAATCGATGTTCTTCTTCAAGGAGTTGTGACGGAGAATTCTGATGCTGGACTCACGATTACGATGTATACTGACAGTTCTTACACGACCATCGACTCCAGGTAAGACGATGCTTCTGTAAAAACCGCGTGTTTGATACGTTTCATCAAGGACAACGAAGACGACTTCAATCGGGCAGCCAATTTACTACGAAATCGGCGTCACCTTGAGCATGGACGACATCTACTACTACGTCGACGAGTGCCAGTTTGGAACGAGCGAGAAGAGCTACACCTTCCTAAGGTTAAAAAAACTTGAGCCAGCCAATTTCAAACATGTTCAAAATTAAGGTCGAATCGGTGCTACTCAAGCATTGTCGACACAATGACCACTACGGAATTTCTCACCGGCACTAGCGCACCGCAGCAATTTCAGTTCAATGCGTTTGTCTTTCGAAGCTATTCCACTGTCGGTCTCAAGCTTTCTTGCAAAGTGAAGGTAATTACTCTTCTTTTTTTGGAAACTAAAACTCATAATTTTTCTTTAGCTTTGTCTGAACACATCTACAACTCAAAACTGCCCAGACATTACGGACCAGAGTACTCCTGCTTGTGACGCCGACTTTTCCCGCCCCTAGAATATTGGCTCAAAATTCTGCCTAATTCTACAGATTCTCTTTGAAAATGTTGCTTTGAGAAAGATATTTTTAATAAACTTTTTCTATTGTATCTGAAAATGCTGAGTGATTGAGGCGAGACCAGACTAACTTCATGTTTCTCGTTTCAAACAAAATCATTTAAATTTGGCAACTATTGAAATCAATACAATTTGAAAGTTTAATTCATTTCTAAAGAGGTTTATTGCCGCATGTGCACAGTTTTTACTCAAAACCTTTTCCTTTTGGACGAATAGTGAAGTTGACTATAAGCCAATATTCTGAGGGCTTCTTCTTTTCAACCATAAATTGGACCTTCTGTCGCCGGACGCGACTTCCATCTGTTTCGACAGCCTTGCTGTTTCCGGTTGGATCGTGGATGAAGGTGACGTTGAAATTTCCATTTTCAGTGAATCCGCGATTATTGAGGATTCTTACGTCGACATTGAAATTGAAGTCGCGGCCTAAAAGAGGAATATAGTGTAATACAAATTCAAAACAATTTTACCGATGTTTTCGAGGTGAATCGTGAGGAAATCCTCAGTATCGAATATCTTGTTATACTTAAGAAGAAATCCCCATCCATGTCCGCTGTGAGTAATCGGCTGCCATGGATTCAATTTTTCTGGCGGAATCTGTGCTAAGATTTTAAAAATTGATTAGGTCAGAATTCAATATGTCATTTTAATCATTTTCCTTGAGATGGACTCTAGTAATTCCAACACTGATCATCTGACAGAGATAAATGAGACCTTGCATCCAAGTATGGCATCCCTCCCAAGTGTGTGCATGGCCGTATCCGTCTTCCCTCCCAAGTTTGTTCGCCAGCTCGACTTGTTTTTTCTTGAGATCTTAAATGCGAGATAATTACTGAGCAGAATTGTGACATTTCACCTGAATGATAATTTTTCAGTCCAAGATCCTCCACGCAGCCGCTGAGTTTCGCTTCATCCTGAACTTTCTTGGCTTGCTTAGCAGTTAGTTCTCCTTCCAAGGCTCTCAACTTCGCTGTCGCTTTGTCGATCTTCTTTTGAGCATGTTCCGCTGCTGCAACAGCGGTATTCTTCTCTTCTTCAATCTTTCTGATACTTTCTTCCACGGATCGGATACTTTCCTCGACGAATACTTGCCCATCAGTGATACAAGTGACAACTTGCATCCACTTGAAGACAAGTTCCTTAGCACAAAGCTGGCAAAGATACTCCTCTTCGTGAACTTGATAGGATATTCTTTGAAGATTTTTGTAAAAATTAATAAATAGACAATAACTTACACTAGTTTATTGCAATGGGCGCACATTTTCTCTTCCTTGATTTCAAGCTTCACGAGCTTCTCTCCAGTTCCATTCCCTTCCATCTTCCGTTTTGCCTTCTTTGGAGCCATGTTTGACTTCTTCTTCGTCTCTTGATTTTTTGAAAAGTGCTCAAAAAATCTCCGTGCACGAAGTTTTAAACACCTTTCGAGCCGAGTTCCAGAAAATAAATGCGACCTACTACACCGGTCTGAGAGACTAAAGAAGTCTAGAAAAGACGCGCTTCGTAGAAATCTATTTCTCGAAGCCAGGAAAGAAAATTTAATCGTACTGGATTTGAAAAGAATGGGATAATGCAAATGCTCAAGAATGGAATTACATGCTTTTCGAATCAAATAATTTTCAAATGAAGAAAGACGCGTCTCAAACTGAACAAAGTGTATTGCTTTGAAGGGTAACAACAAGGTTTATCATCGGATAAGAAACGAAACAGAGTTTTTTTTTTGTTTGACGATCATGGGTTACTGTGGCCGACTGGTTTTACATGGAGTGTGCGTGTTTTCTTTTTGAATATGACTTTTCTTTTTAGGTCTTCTGGGGAGGCAAGAACTCGTCTTTTTCGTGATAAGAGGGCGGGTCGGTGTTGGAACCGGCGGAGGAGGGGCTGAGCGACCGACTGAGAGTGTAAGGGTGTCCACGGGGAAAGATGGGCGTAGTGAGCACTTCCCAGCGCTAGAAAAAACGGTTTGTCGACAAGAGACAAAAGGAGGGTGTTTTTACCTCAGCTAGAGTGCCAGGAGTTGTTGATAATCGATAGATGGCATAAATCGGTACGAGTAAAATGCTCGACGCAGCCATGCAAATTCCTATCCACTCGCCGTAAACTGGGAAAACGTAATTATTATACGTCGTTGGCGACCAGTCGAGGAAGATGTACGCGAAGGTGCTGGCGCAGATGATGGGCGAGCCGTACTAAATATCGCGGTTTCCAATTGATCCTTTTTTTGAACAGCGCTTACCTTCCACAAAAAGGCAAACACAGTCCATGGATGTTTTTTGATGGGAAACTTGTGGCCGAACATGCGGTCCAAGTCCCTGTAGAAATTGTCGACGCCGTAGATCCACGAAATGACCGAGGTTTCGAAAAACGCCACCCACAAAAGACAGAGTCCAGAAGCTCCGTACGTGTCCGCCAGCTAGAGAAGAGATGAGTTTCTTCCTTGATTTCAAACTTTCAATAATTGCATTACCTGAAAGACGTAAATGCCTCCGCGAGTGACCATCGGGAGGGCGAAGAAAAAGCAGACAACGCAAGCCGCAGCTACGCAAAGAGGTCGCCTGTACGGTGTTTTGTACCAGAAACGAGGCTTGAGATCGACAATCATTGTGCACATTCCCTCGACCGCTAGGAACGAGTTAATCATTTATTTCAGAAACTCGATCGGGAGATCCTCATCTCCCGAAATTGCAATTTATCTAATTTTCTTACCGACATATTGCGAGGCCAGTCCAAGGAGAAGAATCATTACAAAGAAGAGCAGCGACCAAATTTGTGGAAACGCCATCATTGACAAGGCGCGGGGATAGGCAATGAAGGCTAATCCTGGACCCTTTTCGGCAACCTCGCTGAAAAGAAACATTGTTTGAAGACTTTGAAGACCCCCTTTTGAGCGCTGGCAAATGATGATCCTACTACCTGACTTCGCAGCCGATTTCCTGAGCCATGTAGCCGAGCACGGAGAAGATGGCGAATCCAGAGACAATGGACGCACCTGAGTTAAAACCGGAAAGGATAAGTCCCCACTTGAATGAGTTAAAGGAGAACTTATTGTACGAGCCCAGCGAGGTCTGCGAGCCGAGGCAGATTGCGTAGCTGAAGAAGATTTGCGTGCCCGCGTCTTTCCAGACCTAAACGGTTGATCCGCTCAAAACTGCTGAAGATGGCTTGATTCTTACGTCAGGGCTGGCTAAGCGATTCCAATCGGGCTTGACGTAGAACTCGATGCCCTTGGCGGCGCCGGGCAGGGTCACGCCTCGGGCGAGCAGGACGAGAAGCATGATGAGCGGGAATGTGGATGTAACGTAAACCGATTTGCCAGTTGATTTCACGCCCTTCCAGATGCACGCGTAGCAGATCATCCAGCTCAGGACAAGTGTACCCACCAGCTCCCACTGCAGGCCGCCTGGCGTGCCAAGATCATCAGTCAATTGCAAAACTCGATTTCTAAAGGAAAACAAAATAATAAATTGATGCGATTTTCTGCGCGAATGAAGGCATAATTTGTAATTGACCTACTTCCAAAACTCGTTTTCTGGGAAATCGACGGAGGAGTTGCAAGCGGCCGGTTTAATCAAAGTGCCGTTCACCGAAGTTGTCGAGCAACAGGGAGTATTCCACCAGCCATCGCACTTGGTCCAGGGCAGGGAGGGGTCAAACGCCTGGAATAGATAGAACAGGTTCCAGGCGAGAATGACGATGTAGTAGACGTTCAGCCAGAACACGATTACCAACGAAGCCCAGCCGATTCCCTGGAGAAATAGAATATCGTAAGGAGAGAGGAAGAGTCACCTTGAAAATAGGAACCAAGTTCCAGGCCTCAATTCCACCTCGAGACATAAACTGCCCGAGCGCCACTTCCATCAGGAAAATCGGGATTCCACCGATGACCAAAAAGATGCAGTAGGGAATGAGAAACGCGCCCCCTCCGTTCTTGTAGCAGAGATATGGAAAGCGCCAGACATTGCCAAGTCCAATGAAGCCGCCGGCGACGGAGAGGATGAACTCGCGCTGCTTGTCCCATTGTACGCGCTCGTGGCCCTTCACTCCATCCTCATCCTCCTTAAACAGCTCAGTTTAAGAGCTATTCAAATTTCATTTCTTTGTCGTCCTTGAAAGGCGATCGCAGCCTATTTTCACCCAGGGATGCAAAACAGTTGCTTTTCATACAAAGCTCTATTGAAAAAAGACCAAAGCCTGATTGCAATCAACGAGGAATAAATAGCGGATGGGCTCGGCGAATTCAGAAGAGCTCAAATGAAAAGTCGCGTAGCGGCTTCGCCAGTTATTTAATAATAGATTGAAATTTTGATGTTGCGAAGCCGCTTTGCGGCTTCGTTTTCAAAAGCCGCCACGCGGCTTTCCATTTAAGCTCTTCTGGACCTGACTCTGGTTTTCTGCACGGATGCCGAGCCCAGAATAAGCGCTTTTTTAATGAAAGAACCGATCTGATCATCATTACCGCAAAACTCGAATTAGCAGTAGTAAGGTATTTACTTATTTGACCTCAACTCACGTGGTATCGTTAACAAAAGGGGCTTAACACGGTCAGAGCTTATATAAGATTGGTTCTTCCGCTGAAAAGTTCAATGACGTGTCTATTTTGGAATGAAAAAAGACTGTAAAAGACTTCTAAAAGATAATTCAATAAAAAATGCACAAGATCCGCACGGCTTAAGTATTTATCGCTCTTGGAAAGATAGCTCAGGGAAACTCGTTAATTTTCAATTACACTGTGTGTGTCCTTGGCTGCGGGACCGGTATGTTCTAGCGCGGGGCAAGGGGAAAAACTGAGTGTTAGAAAATACCTCTTGATCTTTCTTTTTGGGGATGAGGCCAGAGTCGACGAGATGTGGGTCGACCAACTGGTCGCCAGATAAAACTGCGTGTGTCGTTAAACAGATTAAGTGCTCGCGAAGCTGTAATTACCTGTACTCTCTCTTCCATCACAGCTCGAATCGTCATATCGAGACTCGCGTTGATCCTGTTCACGAGTTACGCGTGTGGTCTCTTTCATCAATTAATGAGTTTTAATACCTATTACTAATAGGCTATTAGGTATTACCTATCTTTGAAATTTTTAAGATTAGGGGTTTCACTTCGTAACTCGTGGCTTTCTCTTGCTTTCGCCTTCTATAGGGCAGAAGGTCTTCATAATGCAGGTTCAGGATTTTGCTGAAATAAAGGTTGATTATCAAGTCTGGGCTCGGCAACCTGCGTAGAAAACCTGAGTCAGGTTCTGAAGAGCCTGTTTGAAAAGCCGCTATGGTTCTTCAGAGCCTGACTCAGGTTTTCTACACTGGTTTTTGAAATAGTTTAAATTGAATATTTTTCAATAAAACCAAGAAAATCAAGCTGTTTTATCGATTTATCTCTTTATTCTAGCGTTAAAAAAGGCACCCTTGGCTGAAGTAGAAAAGGATGAGATGAGCCAGATTGACAAATCCAGTAAAAAGCCGCTCTTCTCCCTTTTTGCTTTCAAAGCTCTCAGTGTTGAAAAAGTTTTTGTTGTGTTTTTTCACTCGCAATTTCAAGCTCGCGTACAATCGTCTAGCTAGTCACTACTAATCGAGGGTTTAGCGAAAAATTAGCGCCAAAGTTGAAAATGGGGGCATTATCTTTTTCGCCTAGGCTTCGCGATCCTGCAGTCAATTTACTGTAATATGCGATTCATACTTTTCCTCTGTTATTTTCGCTTGCAAAAGAAATATATTTTTTGAGGAAATTTTGGAGTAAAAAAAAAGAAGAAGTTCAATCAACTAAGTTTCCAGTCAACTATTTTGAAAGTCGTTAAACGCGAAACACCACGTGACGTTCGTAACCGTCAGTTTTTTTGATATTTTCTTTTCTAAAAATAAAGCCGCGGAGCGGCTTCGCTAGAATAAAGATGTGGATTGAAATGATCAATTTGCGAAGCCGCTCGGCGGTTTTTATACAAAATATAGCCGCTACGCGGCTTTTCATTAAGGGTGTCAACATCGATTTGGACGAACTTTTGGAACAGGTTTTCGACAAGCAAGACTGACCAATACCTAATCGATGTTGACACCCTTAAAGTTCCTTTTGGAGTCCAGAGGGTATCCTGAGTCAGGACCCTGTCTCACGCTTTTCACACAGGTTTTCCACGCCCCTTATCTGCGCGATTTTGAAAGAGTTGGGAAATAAGCTCACTTTATTGAATTTGAATAAGTTTTTTACCCCGCCTATTTTATTAAAAAAAAACACCATCATCGTCAAATGAAAAATTGAATTTCGAAGTTTCTCACTTCAATTTAGCAATTTTTCCATTTCGCTATTATTTCCTATCGAGCTAGAGATGCACAAAGAAGTCAACTTGCAGCTTTGAAAGACAAAAAGAACAATTGCGAATTTTAAACTGCTGAAAAGAAGAAAAGCAGATTTGAACTTTTCTTTGTCCCTCGCTGAAAAACGATGATGAAAGATAAGATTATTTTTCAGTCGTGGGAAAATGCTCCTCTCAAATAAATTTAATAGCGAGTTGATTATGACGACAGTTTTTGCTGGAAAATGAATGATTGCGATTCTGAGTGTGGCAACCTGTTTAGAAAACCTGACTCAGGGTTGTAAAAGAGCTTTTAAGAAAAGCCGCGGCTTTTTGATAACAAAGCCGCACAGCGGCTTAGCCAAAATTATTTTCTCAGTATATTTTTGAATTCTGGAACCTGTGTTGAAAACCTGACTCAGGACCCTGAGCATTTGAAAGATAGATTGACATGATTATTTTGGCAAAGCCGCTTTGCGGCTTCGTTTTTAAAGAAAGCCGCTATGCGGCTTTTTATTAAACTTTTAAGAACCCTGAGTCAGGTTTTCTAAACAGGTTGTTGAGCCCAGTCGACAGTTTTATGGAAAAAATAGTCAATAATCGAATTCGGGATGAAAAGTGGCATATTTTTGAAGTGAAGCCTTGAAAAGGGTTGGAAAGAAATAAATCGATGTTTTAGACTTGGGCATGAATCGATTAACTGAAAACTGAAAAATGCTGGTTTTTTTTGGGACGTACCTTAGGTAGTTCTTCACGAGTCCTCTGTGCATAGAAGTTCGATTTCTTCTTTCTTTACCGGGACGCTTATTACGAGTCACGGCTGCTTAAAAAAATAGTCAACGAAGAAATTTAGAAGTAGCTAAAGAAAACAATTTTAATTCACCCTCAGGCGCTAGAAAATGTCAACTACAGTTAACTACCATATTATTTACTCTGCTGGGCTCGGCAACCTGTGCAGAAAACCTTAGTCAGGATCTGAAAAGTTTTTAGAGAAAAGCCGCTACTGATTTTTCAGATCCTGACTCAGGATTTCTGCACAGGTTGCCGAGCCTATCTACTCAGGTCTAAGGAGCCTGTGTAAAAAACCTGAGTCAGGGTTAGGGCCGAAAATAGATTAAGATTGTAATCTACGGCTTTGTTACAGAACCCTGACTCAGGTTTTTTATACAGGTTTTTATTTGATTTATGAATCAATTTAACTCGAATAGATAAAAATCAGAATCGTCTCTCAGAATTTTTTCTATTTCAATTTTTTTTAAAGATTTAATTTATAAAATATTTTAAGAATTATTTAGAAGAAAATTAAAGCCTACTTTTAGTAGAAAGAGGAGAAATACGGGATTTGCCCTATTTTTTTTTTCTTCGTCTTTTTGTTCTGTCTCGTTCTCCGCGGAATGGAGAATGTGGCTTTGGTCGAATGCCGAGAAGGCGTTTCGGTAACGGCCTAAATTCGGAGCGCCGCTCGTGGGCAAAAAAACACAAAATATAACTTTCAAGGGTTCCAATAGAAGTGGAAATCCGCCACTCCCATGGGCATTCCCATCCTCCCAATACTTTCTGCTACTCCTGCTCAAAATTAAACAAACATACTTTTTGTTTGATTCCTAGAATTGAAATTGCTGAAATAGCGGGCTTTCTTTTCGTCGGGTAGGAAATCAATTGATGACTGGAGCAATTTGATTCTTCCTTTATTGAAGAGCACATAGTTGGAACAATTTATTTACGATTGTGTTTTGAAATGAGCGATTCTCAAGGAGTAATTGAATTCATTCATTTTTCCGGATAAAACGATTGATTTGGCATTTATTGTTGAAATTCATCAGAACGTATGAATGTACTTCCGACTCGGCTTGGCAACCTTTGTAGAAAACCTGAGTCAGGGTCTGAAAGATGTAAAATGAAAAGCCGCTTAGCGGCTTTTTTAAAAAACGAAGCCGGAAAGAATAAGAAACTGATCAAAATGATGATTGTTTCAAAGCCGCTTCGCGGCTTCGTTTTTAAAAAGCCGCTTTGCGGCTTTTCATTTTACAGCTTTCAGACCCTGACTCAGGTTTTCAACACAGGTTGCCGAGCCAGACTTCCGAGGGCTACAAAATCTAACATGAAACATTTTTTTGAAAAGTAATTATTGTTGTTTGTGTATTGCTTTGTACAGTTGAAGAACCTTGAAGATACAGAATTGAGAAAGAAAGAGTTCAGCGATACTTTTAAAAAGAACTAAGTCCAGCCCGAAACGAGTCTGTTTTGCCTATTCACCATGAAGCTCGAAAGCTCATTTCCCTGCATTGTCGATAATCTGCAGAAAGTGTCGTTTTCTTTTGCTTTTTGCAGCTTTGGGAGCAGCACCATGTCTCCGGCCCAGTTTCTTTTTTTTAGCTCTTTCACTTGGTCAATAAAATTTCAATTCGGAGCTGGGCAAACCGTGTAGAAAACCTGAGTCAGGTTCTAAAAGGCTCAAATGAAACGAGGCCGCGAAGCGGCTTCGCAAATATATTTCTTGTTGAATATATTTTTGATTTAGTAGCTTTGCGGCTTGTTTATAAAAAAGCCGCTACGCGGCTTTTCATTTTAGCCCTTTCAGAACCTGACTCATGTTTTCTTCACAGGTTGCCGAGTCCAGTTTGTAATTCTTTTATTTGTAATAGGTTGCTTATTTTTGCAAAATTGAAAAGCGCTTTCATGAAGGGTCGGATGCCATCTTGGCAGGCATCTGCGAGCTGCTCAGACTGATACTTTATCTCATCAGCTCGCCGCTGCACGATGTCTAGCCCTATCTCGTCTATTCTCGCCCAGAACGTTCTGTTGAAATGCTCGTACAGCATAAAATCGGGGTAGTTGATCACGCGCACCAATTCTTCGTGATACTCCTTCGCTTCTTGGCTGTGTTTTCTCCCGCTATTCATCGGCAAGTAAGCCAGGTCTGATGGCGGCCAGTTGAGTTCAAATGACAGAAGAGCCAGTCCGAGATCGAAATATTCCATGATCAGGATTAGGTCAAAATGCCCGTGGATTTTCTCTTTTCGGGGGATCTTTTTCTTCTCTTCCTTGATTTCAATTCAGAAAAGATCGACCCTTCCTATGTAAGCTTTGACAACGTCTCTATCCAAGTTCATCGTCGTCACTTCTGGTCCAAAGAAGCTCCACAACTGAGGCCTTAGCAAGTGCCTTTTCCACATGGAAGGGTCTGGAATGAGCATGGATTTCTTGTAGAAATCAACTGGGTCGGATAAAAGCTCGTAAAGAAAAGAAACGCGTTCTTTTCCTTCTTCTTTTTCGAAGAGCGAAGGGAAGATGGTTCGAACTTGCTTTCAGAGCGGATGAGTTATTTTACGAACAGACAAAGAGAGACCTGTGTCAGGGTCTTCAGGGAGGGCTAAGGAAAGACTCAGGCTCTGGAAGAGCGAAAATGAAAAGCCGCGTAGCGGCTTTTTTAAAATCGAAGCCGCGAAGCCTTTTTTCATTTTCATTTTAGCCTTTTCAGAGCTTGACTCAGGTTTTCCACTCAGGTTGCCGAGCCCAGGTTATCATGTTCACACAAGTTAATTGATACTGTCTTCAATAAAGAGTTCTTCCGCTTTCCTTATCCCTCATCGGGTTGAAGTAGTATTTCCACGTGCTGGTCATGTGAGTGGACGGGTGTCTCAAAATCGAGATCTTCTTCGCTGTGGGAAGATACTCGTCCGCGAATGTGAAATTGTACGTCATATGATTAGCGACGAAATCATATTGTTTTGACTTCTTCTGCCAGCCAATAATTCCGAGCCCGTCAGGATTCAGTGGCTCAGCTAATTCCGCCTCGCCGTAAGGAAACAAATGCGCTAAAGATGCAATCAATCCAATGATGCCGAATCCAGCCGGTTTTTATCGCGGCTTAGTGGGTCCAGAAGCTGGATTATCATTTTAAATTAAATATTCTCCTCGATCATAAAATAGAAAAGCCTCTATTGGAGCTATAATTTATAGCTTTCATTAAATTATATACCTTTTATCTGGGTCGAAAACCTGTGTAGAAAACCTGAGTCAGGGTCCGAAAAATCTTTAATGAAAAGCCGCATAGCGGCTTTTTTAAAAACGAAGCCGCATAGCGGCTTCGAAAATAAGATTTTAAACCTATCTTTATTTTCTAGCGAAGCCGCTTTGCGGCTTTGTTTTTTAAAAAGCCGCTACGCGGCTTTTCATTTAAGCTCTTTCAGACCCTGACTCAGGTTTTCTGCACAGAATGCCCAGCTTTATGCAGCGTTTATTGAATAATAAAAAGGAATTTTAAGACTAGCCATAATTCTTGTCAAAAGTAAGCTGAAAGAAAAAAGATAATTTACGTGATTATCATCCGGTCGTATATCAATTCTGGTGTCTTTAAATTTAAGCACTTACATCCAACATTTTGAGTCGTCAAAAGCATCGACTTATTGTGAGTGTAGCAGTAGCGGGAAAATATTGTTGCTAGCGTCGAACTGCCAGTTTTGTATGTTTTCAGGAAAAATACACTGTCGGCTTTTTCGGTGGTCGACTGAGTCAGGGTCCGGCAATCTGTGTAGAAAGCCTGAGTCAGGATTTGAAACAGGGTAACAAAAACGATGTTTTAAAAAGCATTTAGCCAGCGTTTAAAAAGTAGATAAAAATATTGGTAATTTTTGATCCTGACTCAGGTTTTTTACACAGGTTTTTGAGCCTACACTAAAGACCACTTTCCTGCTTGGCTAGACGAAGTATTTTGCGGCAACGTTTTTGAAGGAGCCTTTGCACGAGGAAATTCGTCGGTGATCCATTGAAAGTCGAGCGACAGCACTTCGTATTCTCTGATGTACAAGAAGAGCGATAAAAAAATGCAACAGGCCCAGGGAAGATATTTGTGGAAGCACTCCCACCTCCCCATCACTGAAATTTCACTGTGATGCTCTTTCAACGGCATTTTAAATTTAACTTCTAGCTGCTATTTTCTAGCGCCCTAATAGCCCGGGGGCAATATCGCAGTACATTCTGGCGGGGACCAAAATATGAGCTAAAATAGGCTTTGTTCCTCAAGAAATTAGATGACGGCAACCTGTGTAAAAACCTGAGTCAGGTTCTAAAGAGCCTATATGAAAAGCCGCGTAGTTTTTTTTTAATTTTTTTTTTAATTTTCTTTTAAAATAAAGCCGAAAAGTGACTTTGCCAATTTTTTAAGAATGATTGAAATAGTAATGTTCCGAAGCCGCTTCGCAGCTTTATTTCCAAAAAGCCGCTACGCGGCTTTTCATAAAGATTCTTCAGAACCTGACTCAGGTTTTCTACGCTGGTTGCCGAGCCCAGGGACAAAGTAATTAATTTCGTCAATCCTTTTTTTTCATTAAATAAATAATGATGATGACTTGAAACTGCTCCGAGTTAATTTCAACTCAAACTTACAAGATTTGTTTGTCAAATTTTCTTCTTCAAAAGTTGAATCTCTTTCATAGTACTCGAGTTTAACACTTTCGCACTCTTTGGGTCGAAGACTCATCAATTAGCTTAATTTTTACGATGAATTTGATAGGCTTAGACTCTTGGACTGCGAGCTGTGAACCCGGTAATGATATTAATCACCGGCGCTTATCCGGCCTTTTTCTTTTCTTTTGGATTTTATTCTTTTTTGAAAAGGAAGAGTTTCAAACTCACGATTTATTACGATTACAGAAGAGTTTGACCTTGAGAGTAAATAGCTGGGCTCGGCAACCTGAGTAGAAAACCTGAGTCAGGCTCTGAAAAGCAAAAATGAAAAGCTGTACAGCGGCTTTTTTAGAAACGAAGCCGCAAAGCGGCTTCGCCAGTGTTTAAAAATAGATAAAAGTGATTGAATTGCGAAGCCGCTATGCGGCTTCATTTTTCAAAAAGCCGCGTTGCGGCTTTTCATTTTTGCTTTTCAGAGCCTGACTCAGGGTTTCTACTCAGGTTGCCGAGCCCAGGTAAATAGTAGTAAGTCGATAATGAAAAGAAGAGGAGATCATTTTTGGAAAGTTTCGCAAGTTGACTGCTTCGTTGACGCGTATATACAGTGATTTGTGCCCTATCGAGTGCGAAATGAAAGTTGTTCTTGCTTGGCGAGATTGCTCGATCAATTTGTTGTCGAATTTTTACACTGATTTAAAACATGGACCCAAACATGCTCCTGTCTAATTGACCGCGCCACTCATTCTAATTAGATTTCTCTTCTTTTAGAGAACTTTTAGCCGCACTTTCGCTCTCTCCCGTGCGCTCCTGATTAATTGAACATTGCTTTTACGATCATGAATTTCTTTAATTTTTCATGAGAAACAAAAAAGAAGGAAGAAAAAAAAACGCTCCTATTGCTGCAAATTTGATCGTTGCAAATTGCAACCTGTATAGAAAAACCTGAGTCAGTATGAGAAGAGCCGAAATGAAAAGCCGCGTAGCGGCTTTTTTGAAAACGAAGCCGCAAAGCGGCTTCGCCAGTATTTAAATATAGATTAAAATTATATTTTGCGAAGCCGCAAAGCGGCTTCGTTTTGTAAAAAAGCCGCTACGCGGCTTTTCTATAATGGATTTCAGGACCTGAGTCAGGTTTCCTACACAGAGTACTGAGCCCAGGATCGTTGATTTTGAAGATTTGATTATAAAAAAAAACAGGTTTTTTTTAATGTTTTGGCTTGTTGGTGGGAACTTGAGTTTTTAACAGGGTCAAAGAAGAAGAAGAAGAAATTACAGTAATATTCTGTGCGCTATTTACAGCAAATGTTTCAAGAAGTTTGAAGAGTTTGAAAAAGAGAGGTCGCGAGGATATTTTAATAAGTCTAGATTAGTTGCTGCGTCACACCATTTGGGACGGTTTGGGCGAGTGTTCGAGGTTGGCCCGGCCGAGGGTGTAGCACTGCCTCGGGCCGCCGTTGTTCCCGCCCGTCGGTGCTCCACCGTCGTCCACCGAGTCTTCTTCATACTCTAAATCTACACTTTCAGAAACGAATTCTCTTCCTTGATTGCAAACCTGAGTCTTGATAGTCTTCGTACGCGAAATAGGCGCCAATGAAAGCAGTGAGCATACAAATATACGCTAGCGAGATGTCAACAATGACCATGCTCTTGGGGGTGATGTCGGGATTGATGCCGCCCTTGGTGAGCGCTTCCATCCGCTCGTGGCAGTACTGGATGTGTTTCTGGCAGCTCTCCCAGTCCTCCGTGCAGCTCGCGCTCTCCAGGTTGAATTGAGCGCAAGTTCCAGCTGGGTGCATTTTTTCTGAAAAACGAAAGTTAGTTACTGACACATTTACCTATCTAAGCCCAGGAACCATTGTAGGAAACCTGAGTCAGGTTTCCTGAAAAAGCTATGATGAAAAGCCGCGTAGCGGCTTTTTTCAAACCAAAGCCGCGAAGCGGCTTCTCTAGATCTTTCAAATATCATCGAATTTGTAATCTTAGCAAAGCCGCTATGCGGCTTTGATTGAAAAAAAGCCGCTACGCGGCTTTTCATCATAGCTTTTTGAGGAACCCTGACTTAGATTTCTACACAGGTTGCCAAGCCCTGAGTGTAAGAAAGTCTACCTTTGGTGGTGAACAAGGGACTTTTGGGAAGAAAGATGAAGGCGTAAAGAAGAATAGTAGCTGCGGCGGCGTAGAGGAGAGAGGCAAGTCCATGGGCGGCAAAACCGACGACTGGGAAATTAACGCGAATGACCACCCGAACGATGCAGAACACCGCGGAGAGGATGAAAGAGAGGCACAGGAGGATCAACGGGGCCAGGAAGATCCAAGGAGGTGGCTGATCGCGCGAGAGATTCGTTATTCCGAGCACCAGCAAAATCACGATCGATAAGAAACACAACGCCGCGTGTAGCAGCCGGAATTTTGTATGCAGCTCGATTCCCATTCAAAACGGGAAACTGAAAATCAATCGTTAAAATAAAACTTGATGAACTTGAAGTCCATACTTTGATTTTTACAACATGCCCTTTGTTAATTACCCGGCTGACCTTTCCCTTATATCGATAATATAATGGCAAGGAGGAATTTAAAATGCATCATATTTTTTTCCAAAAATGAAGATGGAAGGCTTTCAAAAAAAAAATAAATAAGTGGATAAGATAGGGTTAAGAGGGTACTATCGCTTAGTCTTTACCTTTGTAGAAACCTGAGTCAGGGTCCAGTCAGAATTTGAAAATAGATTGAGATGCTAATTTTGGCGAGGCCACGTTGCGGCTTCTTATCCTAAAAAAGCCGCTAGGCGGCTTTATAATTAGGCTGTCTCAGAACCCTGATTCAGGTTTCTACACAGGTTGCCTACCCCAGCTTCTGTCTGTGTTTTGCCCCAAAAACCGTTCCATAATTTACGAAAGTGACAAGTTTCTTTGCAACCTTGCTTGATTTTGCTTTTTGTTGAACGAGACATTGATTGGAAGCAGAGTAGAGTGTCGCCAGGGACATTAAAGTAATATTAAAAACAGTGCACTCGTCCATCGTCAAAATGTCAACCTTGTTGGCAGCCGCTGACGGGCGCCGACTAAGGAGCGTTTACTCGAGCTGCAACTTTGATGCGAATTTAACCGCTACTTGCTTTATTTGTATACATGTTTGGCTAGCACATCATGCCTTCTATGTTCGAATGTGCATCTTTAAAGCGGAGATTGTTTAGAGACGTGTGTTCTGAACGAGTCACTTGAAGTCGAAACACTCGCTTTGAAGGCACGGTAATAGGAGCTATTAGTTATGTATTCAGTGCGCTCGACGTGACAAAGGGTTGTCCTCCATTTTAGATTAGTGGATTGTTTCTAGCGTTTTGTCTCCGTTTTCGTCCAATTTTAAAAAGAGCAACTTCCAAAAGCCACATTTTTCGACTTGATTTTTGGAAACTGTAGAAAACCTGAGTCAGGGTCTCCAATTTAAAAATATATTGAAGTGGTATTTTTGCAAAGCCGCTTTGCGGCTTCGATTAAAAAAAAGCCGCTACGCGGCTTTTCATTAAAGATCTTTCAGACCCTAACTGAGGGCTGCAATCAAGGAAGAGTACAGAAAAAGGGGTCTGTGAAATCCTCGGTCTTTGAAATGCAGTAATCTGTTCGGAGTTTTTACGGGCCAGAGAGGATTATCCTGGTTATTATCCCCAATCGGGCCCTGGTTTAGTGCCTCCTCCGCGCGATTCGCCAAAATGACGTGGGACTCTGATTGCCAAATTGTTTCCTTCGAGAAGGGATCGATCCTGCTCGCGGTCAAATTTAATCACATCAGCGCTTTAGGGGTACACCCTTAGGGGCACGCCGCAAATGGAATCAATTGCTTACTACTCGTTTTTTTCTTTACGAAAGGGTCTAATTTTTAAGGGGCAGGAGTTAGGGTTAGGGCTTATTAAAGGCCATCATAAGAAGAAAAAGGGTTCCTCGGATGGAAAAAAACTGGAAATCTTTGGATCTTGAAGGTATTCCGAAAATACTAGTACGTACTTTTCGCAGAGTTAATCTTTATATACTTCTTCATAGACTCCTCTTATTGTCATCGACTTTTCTCTCGAGCTTCTTATTCTTTTTTTTTGGTCTCTTTTGGAGGTCTGGATCTCTCTTTTTTTTGAAATTCCGGAATATTCGAATTCAGGAAAGTTGAATTCTCGATTGTCTCTCTTTGGCGTGGCCTCTTTGGTGTTTTCAGTAGATTGCAGGTAGATTTTCTCCACGATGAGAAAGTCGAGGCTGGAGGGCCTGATGGGCACGCAGAGTGCGCGCGCACCACCGGCGCTGGAGAGTTGGATACCGCGCCGCCGGCCCTGCCAGGCCCTCCCCCGAGAAATGACTGCTGAACAACTTTTTTTAATTAGGGCACAGTCGCCCATGCCACAGTCGCAAACTGCAAACGCAAAATTTACTGTCATCGGACGTATGTCAACCAGCGCCAAATCCTCAACCGTCAAACTAGTTTGGAAAAGAAAATACACGGGTTAGAGCCTTAGCTCAGCACTTTACCTGTGTAGAAAACCTGAGTCAGGGTCCTAAAAAGCTTTAATAAAAAGCCGCGTAGCGGCTTTCTTAAAAACGAAGCCGCAAAGCGGCTTCGCCACATAAACTATCTCAATCTGATACCCTGACTCAGGTTTTTTACTCAGGTTCTACACCAATTTCCGGGCTTTTTGGAAATCTTGATTCGAATTTAACCCATTTTGTTTTGGCAAAGATTAACCTGTTTAACCGAAGAAGCAAGCAGAGCCGTATTGAAGACAAACAATGGAAAATGAGAAATTAATGGCGAAGCTGCATTATTAAGTTTTTATTTTTATTGCGGGGAGCGATGATATTGAGCTTTTCTTCTGCTTATTTTTCTGGGGAAGAAGGAAGGGTAGTTTAGTGCGCCCGGGGGAATGCAACCAGCTGGCCCGAAATCGACGAGTTACTGTGGAATAGCCATTTCACTGTAATTGACCGTGCTCGATTTGACCAACAAACAAAATGTTTATTGCCCTTCATTTATTCCGCGACGCCATTTTAAAATTCAGAAGAAAATACTAACACACCAAATCTCTTGCCAAAAATTTTTCAAGGAAAATTTATTATTATCAAAAAGCATTTATTGTTAGGTTTACAGGAAAGAACAGAAACATGACAACGCACCGTCTGAATTTAAATCTTAGGATAAGGATTCATTTTATTATCGTTCACAATTACTTAATTGGTACATACGATCAAGATTCGTTTTATTCTTCATATAATACTCTTGTCTTTTAAAGTTTGCAATTAACCGTCGCCGGACAACAAGAAACTAAGAGAATTCAAGAATGCATTTTACTCTATGAAAAAAGAAAGATCTCATTCAGCTTATATGGGGATAGATTACGATCAATGCATGGAAGTACCAGTTATCTGATAAAGAATGAACCTTTTACCATCAACCAAACCACTCTTGAATATCAAAATGGTTCGATTTCCTCATCATACTTATGCATTCAAAATATGACAAGAAGAAATTACTAATATACCAAGACTCTCGCCAAAAAAAGGGTCAAGCTAAATCTTTCAACAACAATTTATTATTATCAATTTATTATCAGGGTTACAGAAAGAACAAAAACATGACAATGCACCATCTGAATTCAAAAGTAAGGATAAGGATTCATTTGAATTACGGCTCAAACCAGGGGATCATGATGCTCAAGGTTCATTTTATAAAGTCAATATAAGGATGGAGGTTGATCTTATTCAGCTTATATGGCGATAGATTACGATCAATGCATAGAAGTACCAATTATCTGATGAAGAATAAACCTTCTCCCTTGAACCAAACCACTCTTGAATCTCAAAATGGTTCGTTTACCATCTTTTTGCATTAAAAATCGCATGTAGAAAACAATGATATCATCAAAATAGAAGATATTCCATCGCGTAAATAATGCATCACCAAAGAAGTGAAAGTGGTACTCCTTTTTTTCCCTTTTTTCCTTTTTTATGAAGCATTATTAGTATTAGCATCGGCTGCTTTCTCGTTCATAATTGAGAAGTATTTTTTTCGGGAAGTAAGATTGATGCTCCACTAGGCATTTTTATTAGAGCAGTTAATTATTCATAAACTGCAGAAGAGCTATTTTAAACCGGCTAGCGAACTAAAACGATTTAGTGACAGCTGATCGAGCAACAACTTTAATTGATCACTTATTCTGAGTTTTTGGCGATTTTTCTATTTTCTGATTCAATGCGTTTTCAAACCGCATTATTTCAAATATGCCTGGCTTGGAAACCGGAGTCAGGGTCTTGGATTGGAATGAAGGACCTCTCCTGTCAAGATGAACAAATTTTTTTCCGAAAATCTTAAGGGTATCATACCGAAATCGCTGTTTGAAAACGGTGTTCCAACTTGACGGAGGGTTCCTTATTAAAAGCCGCATAGCGGCTTTTGAAAAACTTAGCCGCAATGCGGCTTCGCCAAAAGTAAGATCAGTTTGATAATCTGGCGAAGCCGATTCGCGGCTTTGTTTTTTAAAAAGCCGCAACGCGGCTTTCATTAAACTCTTTGAAGAGCCTGACTCAGGTTTTAATTCCTGAGTCCTCAGAATCATTTCCAACTTTTCCTGCATTTTTGATTTGTTGCTTGTTGATGATCTGCCCTGGGGGAAAGTGCCCAATTCGCATCTGTTGTCGAAAGTAATTATAAATGTATTGATGGCTGATGCAGGTCGAACTTTGTACAAAGCAGATGGATTGTATCTTTATAACAAAGCGCAAAAGATATAAATATTTGAATAGTGAATTGAATATTAATTTCATTTGATCGCGCAGGGATCAGACTACAAGGCAGTGCCCATATGGTGCCGATTTAGGGTCATGGCGGTGTGGCTCATTGTCTGCGCCAGGAAGGTGGCGTTTGCATCTTCGTACGCCTTCTCGCCCTCGCTGCCGAACGAAATCTGGATCGAGGGGTCACGAAAAGAACAATTTCTATTGGAATAATTTAAGGGTGGACAAACCTATATCGCAAACAGGCTCCCTTGAATGGTGAATATTTAATGCTAAAGAAGCCAAGAAATGTGGTTGAAAATTGAACTCTATTTAGGAGGAAATTAATCTTTGAGAGAAATGAATGAATCTATCTCTCAAAAGCTGCACAAAGCCGTTTTCTAACGAGCGCTTCTTTAATTATTCCCGAAGAAAAAAGGGAAACAGAACTATTTCGTGACCCCGACGTGGCAAAACATTCTTGGCGGCTTCGCGGATTTCCGGCTCTTGTCCGGCCATACAAACATATTGAAGTTGACGCAGCGCTTCTTTTGCGTTGAGGAAGCCGAGGGCGATGCACGACGCTCGGCGGAGCTTTTTGGACTTGTCCTCCAACAACTCCAGGTAGCTGGCGAGGGCGAAATCGCGCGGCCGCCAGGTCCCGTCGCCGGGCTCGTTGGCGATGTGGCGGAGGTGGGCGGCCGCGGCGTCGCGGAGTTTCTTGTTTTCGTCGAGAAGCATGATTGCCAGCGCCTTGGAAAGGGTTAAGACTCCTTTACTGACCTTTTCAAACCTTCATGTTGGAATGTTTTCGAACGAGCAAGGACTGGAGCAATCCAATCGCTCTCAGAACAGAGGGTTCGTCTCCCGACTCCAATTCGCCGGAAATGAACAACTCGAGGCTGAGCATTTCGACGTGCTTGCCGAACTCGCGCTGCTCCTCTGCTTTGAGCTCTTCTAAGTAGTGTATGATTTGATATACAGTGATGATTTGGTTGTCGAGGTCCTCTTCGCGCGTCAAATCGGGCCGGTCGAGAATGCGCCTCAATAATTCAGGAAAAACTTGATCGGCGACGGCCGGACGCTTGCGCACATGCGACGAGTAGTTGCCAGTCAATTCGTACTTGTACGTCTAAAGTGTTCCATTAATACGAGCAATCCAGAATCGGGCGCTGCGGTTTGATTAAAATTTAAGGAAGTCTACCTTGACAGGAACTGCCAGTTTGGTCTTGTTGTCGCAGCAGGATTTCCACTGCATGAGCAAAGTAGGCCTGAACTTGAACTCGTACTCTTTGAGCGAGTCGAGGGTGAATGAGACTCGCGACCGCGAGAGCTCGATCAATCGGCTGATTGTCCGGCCGTGGCGCATCTTAAATTTTCCCTTTTTTATACTTGACAGCTGTGGTCCACTTACCAAGCTCGTGATGGCTTTTATCTCATTGACGCGGCATGGGCCGTAGTTGCCCACATTGCCCAACAAGTTCTTGCAGCACTGCAAATGTGGAATCTTTCAAAGGGATCTCAGAATATATCGGATGTAATTTAAAGTTCTGAGAAGTTTTGAGACCCGTAGCAACGCCTCGTCAATAAGAGGATTCCCCGTTGTTGGAGGAACATCATCATCGAGTTCGAAAAGCTCCGTTCTACAGGACCGATACGACTGGGTGATCATCGTTCTCTGGTCATCTTCTAGAGGAGCGATGGTGCTTCCTAGAACTGTCGATGGACTTAGCGTCGTTGTCGCGCTGAAACAATTGGTTAGAATTGTTGATGCATTTTTGGGCATTTACCGCTCGGAGTTCATAAAGTCGAGATCCATGGCAGACTCGTTCTCGGAAGGTAGGGGCACAGACGGCTGATCACGTCCGCCGTGACGGACAATCGATGCCAATGTCTGAAAGATAATTTTACATTAACAGCACTAGAGCCTGTTTATTCTCGCTTATTGGTCACTTTTCAAAAGTCGCTTTGTTTATCAATTTTCAATTTTGGTAGAAATGAACTTCACCTTGGAATTTGGGAATCAAGGAAGACAAAATAAAACATCGATTACCTGAATAGACTCTTCCAGATGCCTGAGCTCCTTGTATCTGCCACGGAAGTCGTCCAAGGCCAGATTGAGCTGATTTGTGGCTTCCATAAGTCGCCGCCCTGTGCATTATTATTAATAGATTTATCCCCTTCGCGACAGGAAAGCTTACCGATGGCCGCTTCCATTTGCCGTTTCTCCTCGATTTGCTCGATGTCAGCCAAATCTCAAAAAGGTTCGACTTTTGTTCATTAATTAAAAAACAAGCAACTAATGAAGATTAATAAATAAATGCCAAGTTGAAGTTCGAACCTCATGACTGAAGCCAAGAACTGCGAGGTAAACAAGGGTGGTCTCGGATCGATGGAGTCGCGCACTTCGTCCATAAAGTCCTTCGGCTTGCCCGCATTTTCAAGTCCCTTGATTCTATCCGCGATGCCAACACCCTTGCCAGTCTGCCCGTCAACTTTACCAGGGATCCGACTTTTACTCTTTGCCTGCTGTTTCGCCCTGCGCTCGATATTTACCCTCAGTTTTGCCGTCCGCTTTTCATTGAAATTTTTCTCATCTGAGCGAGTTTTTGGCTGGGGAAGCGGTTTTGGCACTTTTTTGGCCAGATTTTTTGGTGCTTTTTGCAGATTATTTTTTGGTTGAATTTTAGTTGCTTGACTTTTGGGCCTTGAATTTTCCCTTGACCTAGTAGAATTAGTTTGCTTTGGAGCGGTTGACTTTTTCTTCAAGTTTTTCGGAGACGACTGCTCTGGCAAAGATTTAGGCTGGTCTCTAGGAGTTCTACGAGTTTTTGATGGTGGACGCGTTCTTTTTGAAAAAGGTTCATTTTGCATTTTAGGATCCCTTGACGAGAGTGTCATTATCGCGGACTGAGTCGGCAATGTCCGGAATCTCGATTGCCGATGTCGCCGCGATTGAGGTGGCCGCCACTTCCGTCGCCACAATTGAAGGCGCGCGCATTGTTGACATTTCCGACGGAGTCATAGTGGGCGCCAGCGAAATCTACAAACCAACAACATAATCAGAACTATCGCCCTTGATTTAACTGACCTGATCGCTGTCTCGAATCGACGGTGGAATATCCAACCCGCCCGTCATGTTCGCCGCCATTTCAGACAGCATCGCCGAGCCAATTGGCTTAATATCCTCGCCCACAAAGGGCTTCCAGTGGACCATGATCGACAACTTGAGCGAACCCATTTCGTTCAGCTCAACATCGAGCTGCTGCATGTCCGAATTGAAGAGATCTTTCGTCTCGCACGACACATTGCCGACGACGACGCCCTTGCCAATCTTGCGCGCTTCGGTGACTTTGATCGCGATGAACTCGCCCACAGTCGGCCTGAAATCAACAATGACTAATAATCAACAATCATGAGCGGAGTCTACCTGAAAACAGTGTCTGTCTCTGTCCAGGATTGTTTCAAGTTGAGTCCATCCTTTTCGACTTTTCCTTGCGACTTCCACTTTTGTCCTTTTCCGTATCGGAGCGTCACTTCATATTGATCCCCAGCTTTGAGTCTTGAGAAACCGAGCAAGCCCTTCATCTTGACCGAAAACTCGCCCAAGTAACTGCTCATGTCTTGCTCGTGTTGAAGCATCGCAGAAGAAGGCTGCTTGATTTTCTCCTCGCGCCAGTCCCTGTCGATCTCCGTGTACGACTCGTAAAGAGTGTCTATTTCTTCCTGGTGCTCTTGAAGACGGACGAGCAAATGCTGCAAACTCGAGCAAGTTTCAATAAGCTCGTTTGATGGATTTTCCTGATTGAGCCGCTGTGTTTGGAGGACATTTAATTCGGCAGTGTTGATGGAAATGTAATCGCCAATTCCTTTCCGAACTGCGAAGTAAATCTCTGCCAGTCGACTCGGGCGTTCCTTCTTTTTCGATGAGCCGCGTTCTTTCTTTCCGAAAAGGCCAAAGCGTTTCTTGCGCTCTTGCCCTTCTGGCTGAGGGTCTTCGATCGCCAGCGATAAGATTGAAGAAGCACGTGACATGGAAGGGACAGAGAATTTGTCGGAAAAGACGCGGTTCACTTCGTCGTTGAGCCTCGAAGTCAGCGCTTCAGAGACCGAGAGTCCGTCAGCATCGGCGTAAGTGTCCGGATCCAAACCAGTGGTCACTTCTTGATCAGAAGCAAAGCTCTTTTCCTCTCCATCGAGATTCGACGGGTCAATCGTAGCTGTTGGGTCCTCGTCAATTGCACCTTCTTCGGCTACTGCTTCCGTTATCGTTTTTTCAGTAGCAGCTGGCTCCTGGGCTGTGAGTGGCACTGGCGCACCAGGAGGTGGCGGTGGTGGAGGAGGAGCACCTTGAGCAGCAACTGGAGCGGCTTCTACTCCAGGTGGTAGCGGCGGCGGTGGCGCTGGAGGCAGAACTGCTTCGACAGCAACTTGTTCTTCTGGCGCCTTTTCTGATTTTTCTTCAATTTCAGTCGGTGCTGATTCATTTTCTTCTACATTTTGTTCAGCTGGTTTTTCTCCCTCTGGCTCTTCATTTAGTTGAGCTGCTTGCTCTTGAGAACCAGGAGCACTTGGAATTTCAGTTTTCATTTCGTCAGGATTTCCATTTGTCAGCACTTCAGTTTCGTTTACTGGCTCTTCTGAAATCACTTCTTTTTGTTCCACCTCCTCGGAAACTTCTTGAACATCTTGATTAATTTCTGGCTGCTGAGCAATTTCGGGCTCATTATTATTGACAGCTTCTTCAGTCGGCGTTACGTTAAGAACACTCCTTGGAGCAGGTGCTGGTGGAGGGGCTTCTATTTCTTCAGTTTCTTCTTTGTTTTTGGGCTCTGTGTTTATTTCATTATTGTTTTCCTCCACCGCTGGTTCGGTAGTAGTCACGGGCTGAGAATCCTCAAGAATTTCCGACGCGGGCTCGAGCTGGGCTTGCTCCTTGTTTCGATTTCGCGAGCGTTCTCGTTTCTCCCTCCTTTTCTGTCGCTCCGTGTCTTTTCGCCCTCGCCGCTCTTCGTCATTTTCTCCGACAGTTTCGGAGCGCTCAAGTGCCACCGCCATAATTTGCTCCTCCTTCCGCTTTCGCGACTTGCTCCGCGCTCGTTTTCGCCTTTCCGCTTCTTTTTCAAGAATTTCCTTGTCCGTCAAGCCAGCTTCTCTGTATTTTTCCTCTCGCTGAAGACGACGCGCTTCTGCTTCTGGATCCTTGCTTCGCTTTCGTCTGGGCCGCGAGGATCGCTCTGAAGCAACAGTGCTTGCGATTGAAATTGTTCGGTCCACATCGATAGGAAGTCCTTCTTGGGGCTGGACAGCGAGCTCAGCTTTTTGACGGGATCTGCTTTTTGACCTACAGTTTGTTTGTTAAATTCGGAGGATTTTCTAATAATAAGGGGGTAGATATCAAGAATCGATGATCAGTATTTTCTCAAATTTTTAACATAGTGACCCCCTTATTTTTTCAGCTCGAAATTTATTTCAGGCAATTATCAATTTTCTATGGAAGCCAAAAATTTAGATTTCTTGAGCTTTCGGGGTGCTACAATGCGAATCGGGCACCTCCGATTGTCGCCAAAATGACCATTTTAGGAAAGTTAGCGATCTTTGATGAAAAATTTTGTTAAAAAATTTTCTTGAAATTCGAAATTTCGGCTTCTATAGGAAATAGAGAAAGATCAAAAGTTTTTGTTTCCAAAGTAAAATAAGGGTGTTACTATTTTAACTTTGGGAGAACTGTCTGACGGAAAATGGCGATTCTTTATATCTACCTCCTTAATAAAATGAAATCACCAGAAAATCATTTTTTAAAATTGATTAGCAATCAATTTTGAAACTATTATTAACTATTTTTTTGAAAAATAATTTAGCGTGACGAACCTAGATTTTCGTTCCTTTCTTATTTTTCTCTTGGCGCCTTCAGTGACCTCTGGAGCGACCGCAGTTGGCGCTTGGTCGCTTTGATCCGGCTGCGTTGGGTGGAGAATTGAGGCGGTGCGCCTCTCAATCTCGACTGGGTTGTCGACGTCTCCATCGCCGTCGTCGTCGAGCCCGTCGAGCAAGTCCATTTGGACCGAGCCTCAATTCACCGTTTTGTATACGTTTACGGTGAACTCACGAAATTTCTGTTTTGGCGGTGGAGCGAGTAGGCGGCTCCTCCAACGCCGAAACTTTGCCCCGCGGAGCACCCGTGGGAACATACCGCAGCTAGCCTTCTTTCCTTACTTTTTCACTCATCTGAGAAAAATATCTCAGCATTTTTTTCGCTCGATGCAAAAAACATTATCAATAAGAAAAAAGTCTTCCATGATTTCAATCAAAAAACTTAAGGGGGTGCTGGGCGAGAATCAGACTTTTTTCGACTAAAAAAACTCATTTTTTAATTATTTAATATTATTTAATAATTATTTAATAACTATTTAAATAAATACTTTTTATTATATAATTATAATTATATTATATAATTTATTATTCAAATATATAATTAAAATATATATATTTAATTAAATAATAATTATTAATAATAATTAAATTATTCATTAATTAATCATCATTGAAAGAGTTCATTTTTGAACGATAAGAAGTCAAACAAGTCCTCTCCTCTGATGAACTCCAGTATACCATCTTTAGTATGACCATCAATTCCATGCTTCCGGCATCTCTTCTTCAGAAAGCAGAAAATCAACTTATATGACTCGCCAAACAATATTCGCCAAGGCCGTTTTTTCGTCTTCAAATCGTCTTGATATTTGCCGAAGTTTTAGGAATCCCAGGCGACTTATTCTCTCAATCCTTATTCTTGAAAAAACGAAAGTTGAAGAGTCGCTTGATGGGCTTCTGCGACATTCGTGAGCCGAGGGGGAGGACTCCTCCTCGCAAAGAGAGAATTCAGTTCTGGCGGGCCGAAGAATGGATCAGAAACATCACCACGGTACGGTAAAATGGCTCCTCTTTTTCTACTTTTTCCAGGGTCGATTCGAGCTTTGGAATCAGTTCTGGTCGGAAATGCTCGGAACACTCGTGCTTGTAACTGTCGGCAACGCGTCTGTAGCTCAAAATCAAGCACAGTATCACAACGCTGCTTTTCTCGATATCAACTTGGCTTACGGGTAAGTTGAGCTTTTAAATTGTTGAATAAGAAATATTTCAAAAATAGACTTGCTTGTGCGGCGGGAATTTACGTCGCTGCTCGAACCAGTGGTGGACATATCAACCCTGCTGTGACGATTTCCCAGTGGCTTTTGGGACGGATGAATATTATTCAAGCTGTGGTTTACATTGCTGGCCAGGAAGGTGCTCACATCCAACAGGCTTACAGTTAGGTTCGAGTCTATCGACAACATATCAATCTAATCCTAACCCTATTAACCCGTCGCCGAGCAGTAGGCGTAAAAATGCCTTCTAGGCCAATAAGTTTGCCGTATTTCGAGCCTCGGGGAGTGTTGTAGCAGCGAAACTGCTACGCGCTTGGCAACGGGTCAATTCCTAACCATAACCCTAACCCTATTAACCTATTGCCGAGCGTGTAGCAGTTTCGCTGCTTCGACACGCCCCGAGGCTCAAAATATGGCAACCTCATTGGCGCAGGAGGCAAATTTACGCCTACTGCGCGGCAACGGGTTAACCCTAACCCTGTCGGTATCAAAGAGCACGAAAAAGATTCTCGGCGGTTTCTTATCCGGGCCAATTGTTTACCTCGTCTACTTAGATGCCATCAACTGGCTTGATCCCGAACGAACAATTCCTCTAACAAATGCCACTTATGGGTCGAGTTTCTAAAAGACAATCATTTATAAAAACTAAGTAGCGGGTTCCTCTCGTGGCTCAATGGTCTAGGGGTATGATTCTCGCTTTGGGTGCGAGAGGTCCCGGGTTCAAATCCCGGTTGAGCCCGTTTTTGAAATTTTAGTCAACTCAGTACAGTCGCCCTACTGCTGGAATCTTCGCAACGTATCCCACGGATCTTTACAAGTCGACTTTGCCAGTGTTGTTTTTCGACCAATGCTTTGCCACCGTCATGCTCGTCGTTTCCATCAACGCCTTGTTGGACAAGCGCAACTCGGTTCCGCCAATGCCGGCCATGTAAGAAAGAAACTTGTCGGTCTTGTTCATTCTCGAACTTCCAGCATGCGGCGCCTTGTTCATCCTTGGGCCATGTAGCCTTACCCGTGAATCAGAGGGTAGTCCACGTGGCTCAAGGATGAACAAGGCGACTCATGATGGAAGTTCGAGAATGAACAAGGCCGCCCTATAAATGCTAATGATTCTTACTGACTCTCTTCTAGCCCCATTCTGATCGGCCTGTTTGTCATTATGATCGGTTTGTCGTTCGGTGTCAACGCCGGTTACGCCATCAATCCGGCCCGAGATTTCGGACCTCGTTTGTTTTCTGCAATTATTTATGGACCAGAAGTTTTCTCAGGTAAATTTACTGATCAAAAATTTTGATTAAATTTCAATAAATAATTTGCTAGTTGGGAATTACTACTTCTGGATTCCGATTCTTGCGCCGACGGTTGGAGCGATCATCGGTGGATACACTTACTTGCTCTTTGTCGGAGCCTATCTTGATGACTTGGAAGAGCCGGCTAAACTACCTGTAGAACCAGTTATGGCTTGCCAACTACTCCCATTTCTCTTCAGAGAGTGAGTTAGTAAGCCAAAACGAGCTCAAACGGTCGTCCAGAGCAACTCAAAAGTCGTCCCTGTTACAGTAGTCGCTGCAGCTCACTCAACATCTGCTGAAAAAACAACCCTCCCTCCACCTGATTATGGAGCACCACCTCCACCTTCGAGCAGAAAAGGCTCCGTCTCGTCGAAAAAGTCGAAAAAGTCGAGAAAATCAAGCGTCGGCGACTTCGAAGGCGAAGTTCATCGACTTTAAACAACAATCCTGCTCCTCGCTTGAATTCATTTTAATAAAAAATACCATCGCCGTTCTAGAACATGCTCGGAATGTGTTTTCGATTAGCAGGAGAATTCGAGGTTGCATTCAGTTTCCTTTTTACAGGCAGAAGACTCTAACAGTCTCAGAGGCAATTTTCATGTCGAGCAATGATCTGGGCTCGGGAAAAAGCTGTGTAGAAAACCTGAGTCAGGGTCTGAAAGAGAGCTCGAATGAAAAGCCGCGTAGCGGTTTTTTTTTAACGAAGCCGCGAAATTTCGCGGCTCCGAAAAATCTGTTTTTTCAATCTATTTCAAAATTCTTTAGACCCTGACTCAGGTTTTCAACACAGGTTGCCGAGCCCAGGCAATGATGATCGAGCGCATCTTGCCCCGTCATGCAGGGGAGAAGCAGGGAGAAGACGACCACGATCAAGGTAAGAAGATTCGGAAAATTGAAAATCGCGGAGGATCATTTTTTAGGCGATCAATGATCGGAGCAGAAATGCGACAAATGCACCACCATTTTAGCGAGAACTGCGAGGTATGAAAATCCTTGCTAGTTTTTCTCTTCAGTTTTTAAAGTACTGCGAGCTCGAAAACTGCAACAGAAGTGTCGCCACCAGCGTCCTGACCCGCTCAACTTCGACAAGATCAGTTCCAAGCGTTTCCCGAGAACGCCGAGAACGGTTTAGCACGCCTGTCTGCGACTTGGACGTTCCAGCTCCTGATTTTCTGGAGATCGCTCTTCAGAAACTAAAGTACTTAGGTAACTTCGTTCAAAAAAGAAAAGGCCCTGAAAGTTTGAAATTCAATCTAATCGAAGGTTTGCGATATGGCTGGCTCCTGGCAATCGTCATTTTTTGGATCTATGTTCATCCAGTTGACGTCGTTATTTTCAGGCCACGGCTTTCCGAAACCCTGAGTCAGGGTCTGAAAGATTTGTATTGAAAAAAGCAGCGTTGCGGCTTATTTTAAAAGCGGCTTCGAAAAATTAGTTTTCCGATCTTTTATCACCAAAATCTGGCGAGTCTTTCTTCGGAACCTGACTCAGGTTTTCTACACAGGTTTTTGTCGAGCTAAATTCATCAAGAACCAAAGTTTATGCGGCTGAATTCTGCGGTGAATCACAGAAACGAGCAGCAATGGGATTTTAATCGAAAGCCATAAAAAGCCTTGACCTTCACACACTGCTCGTCGTGCTGACTGTAACAACTATCCTCTTCTGCGTGTAATTACTCGTCTCTTTTTTCTTTATTTACTTTCTATCAATAAATTTTGCCCTTTTGGAAATAATCACCGCGTCATTCTCCTTTATTACTTTTTTCAATGACCAGAACAGGTGACATTTCAGCTATTCTTACTGTACTGCGGGAATGTTACAGGGACAAATTACAAGGCAGTTTTGCCCAGACCACATTCGCCCTTTAGTTTCATCTTGCATTTGTTCTTATTCGCGGAGCAGGCGCACGTCACTAGATCGCCATTCCAAGTCTTTGTTTAGCTTTAAAATTGCAAATTTTCCAGTTTACAGTAGCAACAGTAGGATTTAAAGCCGCTCCTGAAAGTCGTCGGAACACTGGACTTTGCAATTGGCACCGTCAGGAACTGATCCAGCGTTTTCTACGTTGAATACAGAGCCAACCCCCATAATCATCAAAGAGCACTCCAGATGTCTGAGGATAAGAACTTCTAAGTGGTACTCTAATGGGACTTGTACCTGATTGAGTCTGGCAAATTCGCTTTGCACGACGTTTTTGTTTCCACCCCATCCGTCGTTATTCCGTCTGGATCGTCTGACAAGTTGCATTTTCCCTTGATATTCGCCCATTGACAAGATTGCTTTTTGCACTTGCACTATTTCTTGGCTTTCAAGGCGAAGCAACCTGTGTAGCGAACCTGAGTCAGCGTCTTATTCAGAAAAAAAAATCATTGGAAAGGTTATTTTGCGAAGCCGCTCTGCGGCTTCGAACATTAAAAAGCCGCTACGCGGCTTTTCATAAATCCTTTTTCAGGTCACCCTGACTCAGGTTTTCAACGCAGGGTGCGATCTTAATCTTCAAGCCGTTTCTTGGGAGGCTTGCCAGAAAATGTCCCACCATTGAGGCAAGTAACATCACATGAATTGGAAGATCGCTTCGGCTTTGCTATCATTTTTCTCCTCACTTCGTCAGAGCATGATACAGAAAAGCCTTCGCCGAAGTCGACTGTGCTTGGATCGGGGCATTCTGGGGCGAGAGCGCTGCACGGCTTCTTGGGCACCCATTCGCACTCGTTTCGCTCTTTGCACCGGCACACTGCTCTGAGATCGTCGTTGGCGCTTCCATCGCATGTCATTGGGCAGGAAGTTGAGGGTCCTACCAGATCACCGGTCTTCAGTTTAGATTGTTGAATAACAAGTCGTTCTTATTCTTGAGCTCTTAGCTCTTAACTTTCAACAATGATCCTGTGATCGATCGCAAACGACGGAGAATCCATCGAAATCGCCCGAAGTTGAACAGCCAACATCTTCGTTTGTTCCGGATTCAGAAGAAGAGCAAACCGACGGCAGTTGAAAATCGCAACTGGGGCCGCTGAGATAGTCGATTGCGTCGGAATCCGCGCGGCCAAACTCGTCTTGTCGGCAGACACATTTTCCCCAGCCAGATTTTCCCTGAAGACGATTTTAGAGGACGGGGATAGAAGAGAGGGCACTTTCCTTCGGACACTTGATCTTGCACTCGGCTCCGGGATCCATCGGAAAGATGCACGGGCCGTCCAGCTCAAAGCCAGGCTGAAGAGGAGGCTTCAGCCGTAAGCATGCCACAGGAGCCACGGTAGTAACAGGCTCGACCGAGTTTGGGTCTTGAACACAGCGTCCCTTTGGCCTCTGGACTTTGCATTTTTGCTTCTGCAACGGCACTTCACAGACGGTCCATTTTCGAAGACGTTGTCTCGCGGGGTTAAATCAATTTTAAAAATCACAAACAAGCTTATTTTATATGAATCAAACCCTATCCTTGCCCCTGTGGCCGGAACAGTAAGCCTCTTTGGCAAGTAACTAAAAAAATACAGTAGTCCCTAATTTTTAAAACTTCCAGACTGTGAGACTGAGATGGGTCTCATCACGTGAGAAAAAAAAAGGGTTTTTACCTTTGCATACGGATCCCTGAGGAATAGGCCACTCGTATTCGCAGTCGAATATCATTTTTGAAGCTGAAAGTTTGTTTAAAAAATCAGCTTGAAATTCTAAATATGAAGATTTACCTTGAGTCCCTTCTATTTTAAGGCTCTAAGGACATCACTTTAACTAACATAAATTTCCTAAACTCTACCTGGACTCGACAAACAGTGTAAAAAACCTGAGTCAGGGTTTTTGTTGTTGGTTGAAAGGTAATTTTGCGAAGCCGCTTTTCGGCTTCGTTTATAAAAGCCGCTACGCGGCTTTTGATTAGAGATCGTTCAGACCCTGACTCAGGTTTTTACACAGGTTGCCGAGCGCAGCTAATCAATTTACGCCCTTGAACCTAATCTGGTGCATTCATCCTCAGCTCTCTCATTCTTGCGCTTCATTTTTGCAGAATAAATTCCCAATAAAGACAGAAAAAGCCTCATATCAGAGATTCGAAATAGAAAAATTCGGATTTAACGCCGGGCAAGTCTTAAGTATGCCGAGTGACAGTTACTGTCAAAAGCCGAGAGTCAGGCGGAAACGGACTGTTTTTATATTAGAGGTTGACTCTTTCCTAGAGTTTAGTCCATTTAGCAACTTTTTGTAGAATGCCTTCCGATCACCATTTTCATTTCCATTTTTCGCCATTAGTTTTGTATGAATTCCATATTACAATCAACGGAGAAATATTAGTCAGTATTTATTATTATTCGAATTGAAAAAGGGCACAAAAACTTCGGCCTTATTCTACATACTATTTTATTCGTCATCTTCTTTTGAATTTCGACTTTTAGAAAAAAATGCTTTTGTAGATTTCTCGACTTTCTCTCATTTTTCGATCGATTTTCAATCGAGACTAATTCGCAATTATTTAGATTTCCCGGCATAGGCGCTGCCAGTGGGACTCGAACTCGAGACCTCTCCGCCCCGTGGCCGATATTTTGACACCTGCGCCACGTCCAGGTCGAGGGAGACGGCGAGTTAAAGCCTCATATTCAGTCCGAAATCGGCGGAATCGACAAGAAATCGACAGCGAGGCGGATGGACAGCGGCAAACTATAAAATACAAAAAGAAAATTGGCTTTGATTTTGTTAGATTTAATGTTTGTTTTCTGTAAATAAAGTAAAACTGATACAACGGAAAAAATCGGAGTATGAGATCGTCGGTTTGTAGAGAAGAATAAACATATCTCTTGCCTGCGACAATTCTAGAGACTCCTCTATTCAAGTCTCAAAAAAAGCAAAATCTATTGCAAAGATAGATTAAAAAACACGCAAATAAATTTTTGTTCTTTTTTCTTTTCTTTGGTCAAAAATTCGAAAAACAAACAAGCAGAAAACTTTCTAGCTATTGACTCTTTCTCCTTCTTTCTTCATTCGATTTACTGTTCTTCGGGCTCGCAGGAAACCTAACGATTACTTATTTGAAAAAACGTCGTTTTCACAAACCTCCATTCGTTCGCCATCTCGACTTGCTTCGATCGCCGCAATTTCTTCTGCCAGCACTCTTTGCTAATAAAAATCAGATCAAAAGAAATGGCAAAAGAAGATACCTTTTGAAGCTCCTTGTAAATGGGAATCTTGGTAAAGTCAGACTCGCTCTCGACCAAGCTTTTTAATGAATTAAAAAAACACTCGAAAAGTGGGGCGCCCTGGTTATGTCGCTGAATGTCGCAATTTTTTGTTTTTGTTCAAAAGTAGAGAGTTTTCGACATTCAGCGACACTCGGCGACATAACCAGTGGCGCCCCGAAAAGTGGTCATGCTTTGATTGAATTCATTCCTGTTGCAGACTTTTTGACTTCGAATGGGGCCAGCAACAAGCCTGTGAATTCAGTGGCGAGACTGAGGATAACCGTAAAGCTCTTTTTCAAAATAAAGGACGAATACCTGGCCGCTTTGTTCTTCACTTCCGAAAAATTGGCGGCCACCTTGCTTTTCTTTTCGAAGACCTGTTCGCGGTAGCCAACAAGGCTGGTTTTCGCAGCTTTGCTCTTCTTCTTCGCCTTTCTCAAATCGCTCTTTATTTTCGCTCTTTCTGCCTCTGAATTTCGCGCCCGTGAAACAGTAAACAGTCACTGTGACATGCGAAAGCACTTATTTAGAATTCGAACTTACCAAGTTCGCGACTTTTCTGGAGCTTCGAAAGAAGAAGAGTTCTGTAACTTTTCAAGGAAACTCGAAAAGAATACACTTTTTCAGTAGCGCTAACTTATTAGTTGCATCTAACAATCAAGAAAACTTCATTAAAAAATGGTCTCTACAAATTGTCTGTTTTATCAACCCGTTTCCCATCTCGCTGCTCTTCAGTGAGTTCCATCAACCCTTCCTCCCCCGACTCCTGGCTTTCCTTCTTTTCCATCTTTTCCAAAAAATTCAAATTCTCGATTTTACTTGACTGAAGAAGACTTCGTTCTGGGTTTCGGCCGTCTTCCTTTTCAACGAGAGTCGACGTTTTCGACTCGAATCGGAAATCCAGAAAAGCCAGTTTTTTCTGCTGAGTTTGAAAAAGAGAGAAAAGAGTTTTCGGAAATTTCCGTTTCGGAAGTTGTCCAATAAGCACCCAGAGTTACTTCTAGACTTTCCCATTTTTTCACTCGAAGCGAAAGAGCCCGATCATTCTTCAGTCTGAAAAAGAGAGATGGATTCTTCTTCACCAAACGGTTTCGAGTTTTCGCAGCAAGAGGCGGAAACCGGCTTCGGTCCGTCAATAATAGACGTTCTCAATGATGAGGAGGGGATTAACATGAAGTCCTTGGGCGAAGCCGCGAGGAACGGACCGCTCGGCGAAGGCTGGGTAAGTTATAACTTGCGTACTCTCTTCGTTGATTTCCTTTCAGCGCGAGGACGAGTTTTTGCTCCTTGCGGACATCATCACCGACGACGCCATCTTCTACGAGGAAGATTATGGGCCCGACATGGTCATCGGCATTATCAAACGATTCCTCAGAGAAAGACCTGGCGAAACCGAATTCCAAGCAGTCTGGCTCCCCCAATTCATCAAAGAGCTCATTTGGTAAAGTAGTTTTTCCTGCAACGCGTGTCATTTCGGATACACGACGTTTAGCACAAACCGACGTTTGGAACAAGTACGTTTAGCACAAAGCGACGATTAGAACAATATTCTGAACGTCGTTTTATTCCAGGCGTCGTTTTATTCTAAACGTCGCTTTTCGCTAAGAATTGCGTAGGCGCTCTCAAAAATATGATTTGGACTAGAATCAGTTTGAAAAACGACGTTTTCCACAAACCGACGAGGTTTTTACTCTTCTGAGTCATGTTAATATCATTCAATATTATTTGAGGTTATTCTTATCAGATTTTTCGGGTTTTTGAATAAGTTACATATTTAAATCACATACATATATGTTATATAATATATTTATTCGGTAAAATATATCATAAGATAATCAGTATTGTTATTCTATCGAATTTATACTGTTTATCAAATTAATATCTTGAGGAAAACTCAGGCAAATAACTTGCTCTCATTTCAATCTAATTCGTTCTGGGCGCCCACGCGTTTCAGACTGAAAAGCGACATTTAGAATAAAACGACGCCTGGAATAAAACGACGTTTAGAACAGTGTTCCAGACGTCGCTTTGTTCCAAACGTCGTTTGTTCCAAACGTCGCTTTGTGCTAAACGTCGTGTATCCTGTCATTTCTCTTTTTAGCGGCATCGAGAAATACGCAGAGTCGCAATCAGAAGACGAGTATGTGAAGACGCAGCATCTTCTTGCACGAGTTTTCGACCTTTGGCATGATGAAAAAAGCGCCAAGATTCGACAGGAGCTCTTCCGGGCGATGTGCGCTCTTTTCGACGATTTCTGTAAGTTTTTGCCTGGAAAGTTTAAACTAAAAAGCTACTTGCAAATTTAAGTCATCAAGAAAGAGCTGAAGCTGCCATCAAAACATCTGGAGTTCATCAAACTAACGATGCTCTTCCAATTGAGCGACGGATACTTGCCAGAAAAATCGATGGCGAAGAAAATAGTCGACCTGATTCTTCGTCCAGGGTGCTCGATTCGTCCAAATTTTTAAATTCTCCCGGACGAATGACGGACGAGGACGAAAAATCCTCGCCGGACGGACGAAAAACGGACGAAAACGAGGACGAAAAAATTCGTCAAGCTCGTCAAACCGAAAACCGAAAAAACTCGTCAAGCTCGTCAAGCCGAAGACCGAAAAAACTCGTCCAGGTCGTCCAACCGAATTTTATAAATGACTCATCTCACCGAGAATTCTCGTCCAAGCGAGATTTTTCTTTCGCAAAATAAGCCAATCGAAAACCAGTGATAGAAATCTGAGCGGCACGTTCCTTGATTTTTGAATTCAAGGGCTTGACGGCCCTTCGGGCCGTTTCAGCCCCGTTACTTGATTTTTGAATTCAAGGGGCTTGACATTGGCTGGAAACACTGCTATCTGATTAATGAAAATGACATTCTCGGGACCAAAACCTGACCCTCATGTTTCTTGTGCTTATCTTAAAGCCCGTGATCTGGGGAGTCGAATGGTATAGGTAAGGGGTGTTAGTCATCAACTATGACGTCATAGGGCTACCTATTTTGGTCAAAACCTATGTAGTGCTCTAATTTTTAAATGAGCTTATAAAAGTATATTTATCTTGGGCTCATTAGAAAGAGCAGCTCGAGATCTAGGTCGGGAGGGGAAAATCGCGGTCAACCACCCGGTAAACCACGTGGTCAAAATTTTGAAACCGGTCGGTTAACCATGGTTTATAGCTCCCGACCTAGATCTTGAGTTCCTCTATCGAATGAGCCCAAAATCAACGTAACTAATAAGTCCAATAAAAAGTTATGGCACTACATAGGTTTCCCCATAAGGCCCTTATTTCGACCAAAATGACGTCATTATCTATGACTAAGACCCTAAGTTATATACCATTCGACTCCTTAGATCATGGGCTTTCAGATAAGCACAAGAAACAAGGAGGTCAGGATTTGGTCCCGAGAATGCCATTTTCATTCATCATCTTAGTAATGTCCCCAACCTCACCCTCACCCATATTTTGAAAAATTCAAATTATCCAAGATTTTAACTATATTATGGTTTTCATTTAAACTTTCGAAAATTATATTAGTACACTAGAAGATTAAATTTCTTTTAATAAAAATAAGCTATATGATTCAAATTTGTGCCGTGCGGTGCCGTGGTGCCGCGGCACTCCATTATCGAATTTCGTGCCGTGCCGTACCGTGCCGCGGCACGGGTATTTGGTTGTGCCGTGCCGTGCCGATGCCGCCGGAAAATTTTGTCATATTTCCATCCCTGGTCTAGTATTAAAAAATAAGAATAGGTGGAAAAATATAAATTTAACGAAATTACAAAATCTTTTCTCTCTAAATATTTTCAAATTTTGACTAGACGTGTGAATAAAACAGGTCAAGTTTTATACTCTCCGAGAAAAAATCTGAAATTGAAAAGTCCTAAAGCTGTCAAAGGGCAATTGAAGTACATTTCTACTGACGGCTCTAGCGTAAAAAGTATTCATTGGACCGGCTTATTTTTTGACGGAATATATTCTTGAGCATCTGAAGTAAGACGCCATCTATTTTTTATTTCGTTTTGATTACGCGATCCTTCTCTTATCAGCGATCAAAGTCAGACGAAAATCGTGATGAGACGGGGAGCGCGGCAATGACAATGCGGCACGGTGACGCTGTGGCGCACCCTAGCCAAGCACGAGTGAAAATCTCATTCGAGCGATTTCGATTGGAGCAACAGGGTAGGGTGGGCAACAGCGCCACCACGACGCTTAGTCACCGCCGCGCTCATCACCACAGCGAAATTTTCACCTAACTTTGATTGCTGATAAACCGGTGATAAACTAATCAGAATGGACAAGAAAATAGCTGGCGCTCTAGTTCAGACTCTCGAGAAAATATTTCCGCCAAAAAATTGGAGTCCCTAATGGGTACTTTTTGCGCAATCGCTGTCAGCAGAAATTTACTTCAATGTCCTCTAAACGGCAAAAAAACTTTTCCATTTCGAATTTTTTTCTCGGAAAATATAGAACTTGACCTACTCTATCACGACATTTAATCAGATTTTTAAAAAATTAACGAAGAAACGACTTTGTAATTTCGTGAAATTTATATTTTTTCCACCCAATATGATTTTATTTTTTTTGAATTATTTCATCTTGATTCAAGAAAAATCGCTAGCATCTACCGACATGGTCAGCGTCGAAGACGATCACAATTGGTATCAACCATGCCCCTTAGAATATCGCTAGCCTCTACCAACCTGGTCAACTTCAGAAAAGATCGCAATCGGTATCGGCCATGCGAATTCCTAAACCTATTATTCTAACATTATTTTAGTAACTAACATCTACCGATGAGTCGGTGTCAGCCATGTTACTATTAAGTGCAACTAGCCTCTACCAACATGGTCAGCTTCAGTGAAGATCACAATTGGTATTAGCCATGTTGCCCTCGATAAAATATTAAATACCTTATTTATAGAAAAGGTATCTTGTAGTTAGTTTTTTCAGACAGGAAAAATTTTCTCTCAGAAATGTGAACGACAGAATAAAAATAAGGAAAAAAATGATTTTAAAAAACGGAATCGAAAAGGGTGAAATGTCACCGGATAAATAGGTTTTGATTAGTCGAGAAGGGAAAATGACTCATTTCCCCTTTTTTGTCTTGGGTTTTCCCAAAATCTCGGTTTGACGAGGGGACGAAAAAAAACGAGACCGGAAACTATTTTCGGTGGGACGAGCGGACGAAAATGAAAAAAAAATTCGTCATGACGAGTTTTGACGAGGATTTTTCGGGCTCTCGGACGACGAATTGACGACGAATTTTCTCGTCTCGTCTCGTCCTCGTTTTGGACGAATTTGACGAGACGAATCGAGCACCCTGTCTTCGTCAAGAGCAACCAGCGCCTGTTCAAGTCTTTGGCTTCAAATTGCTTCAGACTCTGTGTGAGTAATTATAACATAGAAATTAAATTTTTGGAATCGATCTTCCATTTCAGATGCTCAAGGAAAGAATAAAGAAGAAATCTTCGAGAACTTCGAGGAATTCGCCAAGTACCTGGGAAACAAACCTAGTCTTGCGGAACTTTGCCGAATATTCCGAACCATCAACGCTTTCGATCAGATCGAAAAAGTCATGATCGGAAAGAAGGAGTTTCAAAGGGCGTATCTCTCCTTCCAAAGAAAATTTGCGCTGATGATGGTCATCATCGAAGGCTCCAACGAGGTCGACTTCGTTCCCATCTTCAAGTACGAGATGAAGAGAGCAGCAATCAAGAAGAGTGAGAATAATGTAAGTTTGAATCTTGTGATCGTTTTCGATTAAAATCTGTTTCAAGGTCGTCATCCAGTTGGAGATGGAAAGCGAGGAATTGGGCGGCCAAGAAGTGACGATTTTCTTCAATAAAAACTCCACCTTTCACGGAGAGAATACTGAAGATGTGGTCAAAAGAGAAGGGCCTTTCTTCTTTGTTGCAGAGAAAGAGGAAAGCTTCTCTTTGGAAACTACAGCTGCCAGTCCAGTTCCCGCCAGCGCAACGAAAGGTATCTGCCCATCGAATGGCTTAAGTTTGAAAACAAGTTATAGAGTTAAAATCCGACTCGGAAGCAGGAGAAGAGGATCTGCTTAACCCGACGATCGCCGCTGGAACACCGGAGATCGAGATTTCGGCGAAGAAAGTCAAGCAAGAAGAAGCAACTGCCCTCGAAATTGCCACGATGGAAGAAGATGAAGCGACCTCCTCGAGTAAAGTTTCAGGCGAAATGAGAGGCTCGACTCCGGATGTGCCAGTCGAGAGCAACAGCAGCCCAGCTGACTTGAACTTGGCGCCTCCTCCGAAAAAGTCAAAGCCGGCAACGGCTCTTCCTAGCTCCAACCTGCCGCCGGAGGTGATGGCGAAAGTGAGAGAGGTAGGATTGACAGAATGCATTCAACTGAAATGATCTTTTTTTTAGAAATTCGCGAGCATTAACCAACTCATGCCGCGGGTGGAAGAAAGCATCGAAGAAATCCAGGCCGTCAAGAAGCAATTCGACGAGCAGTTGGAGCAAAGGGAGAAGGCCCGGGAAGATCTGCGCCGAAACGTGGAAAAGGTGATGAAGGACTCCGAGGAACATGTCGCAGAGAGCGAGCGTAAGAAGGCGTTGGCGCTCATGTTGAAGGAGTACATGGAGAAGCTCATCGCGGACATGAACCGCAAATAGGAAAACTATAGCGAGCCCGTTTTCACTGCCCATCTTTTATCACCTGCTTCGCTTACTGAAAATAAACAGATTATTTTTACCACAAAGAAGAAATTACTACTTCTTGGTGACAGTATTTTATTGACTGCACTGGCAAGGCATTTTCTCGTCAATTTACAGTATCAATCATGAAAAATTCAGTACCAAGTTGGTACTACCAACGGTTGTCATCCTGGAAAGCATCATTGGAAAGCATACAGAGCAGCTGGTATTGGCACCGTGTGTTTATATATTAGAGGTTGACTCTCCTAGACTATAGGACCTAGAGTTTAGTCCATTTAGCTACTTTTTATAGAACGCCTTCCGACCACCATTTCCATTTTTCGCCATTTTTTTATGAATACAATATTACAATCAACGGTGGAGAATTATTTGTCAGTATTTATTATTATTCGAAATGAAAAAGGGCACAAAAACTTCTCGGGCAAAATTGAAAAATTAAGTGAGAATAAGTTATTATTCTGAATAACTCTCTCCTACCGAGTATCTCAGACTCAAAAACCGAGAAGACGGTTTAATTCCAGGTTTTCCTCTTCAGGAACAATCTCCTTAGAGATCCAAGTCTGTCCTGTGATAATCGCTTTTGATATGATTTCCCGGCAAAGGAGCTGCCGGTGGGACTCGAACTCGAGACCTCTCCGCCCGTGGCAGATATTCTGACACCCGCGCCACGTCCACGTCGAGGGAGACGGCGAGTTAAAGCCTCATATTCAGTCCCAAATACGCGGGTAATCTTTGGACGCGCGCCCCGCCAATCAGCGCGCGAGGAAATTTAAATAGCGAGAAGAGAAAGAGAGAAAGGCTAACAGCGATGAGAGAGGGATGAAAAAGAAGGAAAACGGCAGGGAAACACTTCTTCTACTGTAAACACTTCGTTTTTAGCTTCTTCAAGATGACTTTTTTCTGAAAATAAGGACTTCTCTTCATAGAATGGCTGACGGCTTCTACAACACAGACTGGGGCAACCAGGAAGCGCAGGGCTCCTCTTACGGCAGCTACAACCCGAACGCGTATTCGAATCAAGGGTTCACGAACCAAGCCTACGACGGCGGCCAATTCACGCCGCAGACCAACTTCGCCGGTCAAAACATGGACCAGGGTAAGAAACAATCCATAAAATCGCGAACTTCATTATTTTAAAGTGGTTAAGCTTTGCTTTTTTATTCGCCGAAACCTTCGTTTTCGAACTTCCACTCTGGGAATCCCTTTGGTAACACCTTTACTCCTCATTTATCACATTTTCATTTATCACCTCCTTGCTATCATTCTTTCAGCCTCCTTTCAGATCCGCCGACAGACCACGATCCCTACACGGGCACATTCGACTCCGAGCCGCCGCTGCTCGAAGAACTGGGCATCAACTTCGACCACATCTACCAGAAAACCATCGCCGTGCTCAACCCTTTCAAACACACCGAATCGGCCATTGTCAACGAGGTCGATCTGACGGGCCCATTCGTTTTCTGCATGGCGCTGGGGACGGCGATGCTCATGGCCGGAAAGGTTCATTTTGGATACATTTATGGAATTGGCGCGGTCGGCGTTGTTGGCATGTGGGTTCTGGTAAGTCAAGGCTGATTTACTGATCTTGTGTAGAAATCCTGAGTCAGGCTTTGAAGACCTTCGCCAGTATTTAAAAAATCTGACTCATGTTTTGTATACAGGTTTCCGAGCCCAGTTACTGACCCTGTTTGCTTGGCAAAAGCCTTTTGTTTTCCTTGGTCACTTACGCAAATTTGTTTTATGAGATAAGAGGTCATAAAAAGGGAAAAAAGGGAAAGTCAGTCAAAAGCGCTGCTCGCAAATGACCCTTATTTTTGTAGAGAAAATATGAAAGAATAAAAAAAGGAAAAAAATAAGCTAAAAGTACTTTTCCCTTTTTTTCTTCGCTCGTAGAGAAAATTTAAACTAGAAAGAATGAATCTCGACAGCAGTTTTCTTAAAAATTCCCCCTCTTCATATTCATTACTCTAGCTGAACTTGATGGCTCCAAAGGGCGCCCACCTCGGCGTGATCGCTTCGATCCTGGGCTACTGCATCCTCCCGATCGTGCTTCTCTCCTTGCTCAACATCTTCCCCTTCTTCGACCTGAGAGGCATCGTCGGCACTGTTTGCTCCATCGCGAGCGTGATCTGGTGTGCGGTCAGCGCGTCGAAGCTGTTTTCCGACGGGCTCGAAATGAAGAGGCAACAAGTGCTCGTTGCTTACCCCTGTGCAATTCTTTATTCTGTCTTCGCACTTTTGACCGTTTTCTGAATTTTACCTTTTGCCACTAATTAACACGAAATCTGATGAAAAAAAACTGGGACAAATAACAATAAATGAATATTTTAAACTTCGACTCCGATCAATCCAAAAAAATAGAAACTTCAGACAGAAATTCGGACCCAAAAAGGGAATGGAGGTCGGGATATCTCCCGGAACCTCCGAAGCCGAACGCGACGAAAGCGACTTATCCAGAAACTTGTTAATAACTCATGTTAAATTTGTAAAAGCGGCGCATGCGTTCTGTTATCTCACGGCGACGCTGAAGGGGAGCTTCGAAATCGAGTACGGAGCAGAGTTGAACGTACTCGGCCTCAAAGACAATCCAGTAGAGGACTACCAAGTTGGACTGCCTTTTAGGATTGGTCTTTTTATGGGGGGATTATTTTTTAAATTGAAGAAAGAGTTCCTAGCAAGCTGTGTAGAAAACCTGAGTCAGGGTCTGGAAGATCATCGTAGCGGCTTCGCCAGAATTTAATAATAGATTGACGTGAAAACATCCCGGCTTTCCATTTTCTCAATTACTCTTTATACCACATAATTATATCAAAACCTTGGTCCTCGGAATCGGAAAAGAAAGCGCTAATTAACACACAATAAACTAGGAAAATGTGAATAAAAACCCGGCTTCCGAATCCTAGAGAACCATTCTCACCGAAACGAAAGTATGTAATAAACTATGATTTTCAAGAGATTAATTCCTGAGCCCAAATAGAAAAAAATGCATATAGATTGAAAGTTGTTAGCTTTCTTCATTTCCTGAACCCATATTTAGACCAGTTTAAGCTTGACGATAAGAGTAGATCGCGAAAAAAGCAAGATCTTTGGAATCGTCGAGTGCGCTGAAAATGACAAAGAACGGCTGCGAAAAGGAAGACCTGTCCAGTTCGTGATTGTGACCCAAGATGTTTTCGATATTAGGCGTCTACCAGGCGTAACCATCGGCGAAAACCTGCAGGACCGATTGGGCAGAAGCGCAGTTACGGTCGAAGAGCCACATTCGCTGCACGAGCGCGCTCGTAATTACCAACAAGAAATCGTTCTGAGCGTCGAAGGCGGCGTCACGAAAAACTTTGAATCGCGAAAAAGATCACGGCGGGAACACATCCTTGAGCTTTATTCGGAAGAGCAGAAGAAGACGATCCAAGTAGAGTACGAATCCGACGACGACATTGGCTGCCTGCTCAACAAGATCAACTACAAAAGGCGGAAGACACGGGGATTGAAGAAGATCTACAACTTGACGCAAATTACGCTCCGAATCGGCGACGAAAAGTTACAGGCGGACCAGCTTGTCAAGGAGCGGTTTGGAGGAGATTAGATTGGAAATCCGTGACTGGAAATTATTCATTGAATCTCAATTTCTGGGATATCAATAATATATATTCAAAATCCAGAAACGGAAAGACCTTTTGCTATTTTGAAAATCACCGGAAATTCATTCTGTTACCGCTCATTTGAATTAATTAATAATCTCGATAATGCGATTTCCAAACCTTCTCAAACAGGACGTACTCGAAGACCACGGCCACGCGAAGATTACTCAATCCATCGATCGGCCCCGCGTTCCTTCCCCGTCGACGCTCCTATGCCCTCTGAACAGCCCAGCCCAGCATCGCCTGTGCGAGAAGCAGCTCCGTCTCGGATCCCCGAAGACCAAAGAAGCTCTCCCAGCACGTCTATCGCCGAGCCAAGCGCTCGTGCAGAGTTAACCCTGAAGGTCCTTTTGCCCAACTCTTCTTACATAGAAATCAATATAGCCGAGGACGCAACCATCCAGCAGCTCAAAGAAGTCGTCATTGAAAAGCTCAACGAAGGCGAGTTCGATGTGGCCACCTTTGGAATGCCTAACAGCGACAATCTCCGGCTTATTCGACAAGGTATCGAGCTCCAGCCCAATCAAGCGGCGATTTCGCAGTTTTCCATTGTCAACAACGACGTTCTGAACTCGCAGTGGCCGCGGCCCCCGCCGACAGTGCAGGAGGGACGCGTTATCAACAACCAGCGAAACGAAGAGGAAGGCTACGCGCCCGAAATGGGCCGCGGCGAGGAAGCCACCAAAATACGAAACATGTCGATCTTCCAGCGCAACTTCATCGAGTGCGTTAAGGCGTCCAAGCGCGGCATCAATCCGAACGACAGGCCACGATACAACGATCCGTCCCGCGAGCCGCCACCCAACCCGGTCGTTCGCGACTTGGGCAATCCCTTGGACGAGCTTGGGAACGCACTTCTTCAGTGGAGCAGCCAGCTGCACAGGACCGCGGACGTGCTGTACGCCGATCCGAGATATGGAAACGACGTGGACAGGCTCGACAAAGACAGGAGGCTGATCGATAACAACATGCAGGCAGCGCGATATCTTTCGCCCATTATAAAGGTAGGATTGAAAATTGCGAAACTGATTCTTGAAAATTTACAGCATTTAACAAATGTGATCATTCCGATCGACCGCGGAGAAAATCCGCGAAGGTTCAAAGTCCAGCGCCAAACAGATCAGCAGTGATCTCGGCTTTCGATGTGCCTGAAATTCGTGAAATCATCAATTCGATCTTTTGAGAAATCCAAAAAAGATGAAGACCCAGCTCGTAGAATCTCCAGCTCAATTACAAACCATATAAAAAAAGCTAATCATTTGTAAATACGCCCAATTTCTCTTCTTTTCTTCTACCCCTCATTGAAAAAAACGACTGAAAAAGAGTTCCCTTTCATTTCTCCGTATTTCCGTAATTCCTTAAAAACTAAAAACGCACGATCATATATCGCTTAAATCATCCTTGAAGACACAGAAGATGCCGTGCACAGCTGTTTTCTGCCCATTAATCCAATTGATTGTTAGTTACTCTTGTTTTCTGAAAATTCTATTTTTAGAGCAGAGAAGGAAAATGAGTGGGAGTAATCGAGTGATGATATTTCTGCAAGTGACGTTTATTTTATACGACTTAGTGGCTAATGTAGCTATCGACTCCTTGGCGCGCACAGGTTCATTTCATTTCCTAAGGCTTTCCATATCGATCTACTTCTAGGCTACGTCCAACTCGTGGTTTTGGTCTTTCAGCTGATTCTCCTAGCCCTCTCCCTCCTGATTTTCTTCCTCTCCGTGTTTTACACATATCCAGTTCAGGCAAGTTCGCGTAAACTCATGACGCAATTGAAACATTCTTCTCAGACGGGGCAACTTTGGCGTCTGTGTCGCAAGTTCCGCTCTTATTTCATAAGTCTCTCCATTTACGCCGCCATCTCTGTCGTCGTCATCATCATTTCTGTCAACGTTCGGCTAGATTTAACCGCTGAAGATGTCGCCGACTGGATCAGTATTTGGGGCAAAAATGGCTTCATGGTACGAACTATTAAAAATAACAGATTGAGACCTTTTCGCAGGTGTTTTTCGTTCTCCAGCGCTGGTTCGCTCCTTTTTACTACTACTCGCTGCTGCGGGCATCGCTAAGAATCCGCGACCCAGTGTTCTACTCCGAGAGGCTCTGGAACCTCACGCTAGCGCAATGATGATCCAAGTCGTCCGTCATTCGTTCCGACTTCGCCAAAGATGTCACATGCTGTACAGAAAAACCCAAAACACGCAGCTGAGCCTTTTCCGCGGCAGCTGAAACTGTTCAAAGTCGCATTTTATTTTTTACGATGAAAATATTTTTCTACTCTTCCATTTTCTTACATGAACAACAATTGCCAAAATCAACCTCATTTTTTTTCAAAGTTTGTTTCAAATAAAAGTTTATTTGTAAAATGTGAATAAAACCAGAATCATCTTTTTGCGCGGCCAGAAAAGCTCTGCCAGTGCAAAAAAAAACAGAGCTAGAACTTGTAGCCTAGAAGTTGAATTTATTGTCCTCGCTGTCTCGTGTTCGACAGGTAGATATAGTAGTCGAGGATCTTTGGCGAGTTTGGTTTTCTGCGGCTTCTGGCGTAGCGCGGCGTGTACAAGCTAGCTACTCCGTTTTGGTGGCGAGGTACCATTTGTTCCAGCTCCCGGAAGAGAGCCAGGGCGGCTCTGCTCGAGGAAAAAAGCAAAATCGAAAGGTTGAAAAGAAATCTCATTCTGCTCTGATGCTAGTAAATGCTCAATCGGCGAGTTCGGCTTTCACATTCGCTCCAGTGGCACCGTCCTTGTTTATATATTATACCCGGCGCAACTTTGCGTCATTTTTCGTTGATAGTCTTGTGAAGAAACCGAACACTCGGTCGACTTCAACTCAAAATACTCCGAAAAACACTGATTCTCCTAGCTAGCGTCTTTTGCTACAAGAAACTGGTTGACCTTTCGAAGCCAGAATTAATCAAGAGAGTCAAGATGCGTCAAAGAAATCGTTTATTTTATACATAATACACTTTTTCCTTGAATGCTGATTTTCTTCCGAAGACTGTTTCCAGGTTTCTCAAGAGTTGAAAATTTAGTCGAGGAAGAAAAGTAGTTGTTTCAGAAAACCGTTCCTTCCTTTTTGTCCCTTTCTTTCGCCGCCCCTGTTTGAGCATGGAGATAAATCTTCAGCGCGTTTCGATGAGAAGAAGGCAAGATTTGCAGAATTTGATGCCTCTGAATGGCAAAAATAAGGGTTACTAGATCTACTTCGAAATTGCTCACGGTCAGCGTGCAGGCCAGCATGAGATCAAGAACGCTGTCGGACAGGAATCGCTAGCTTCAATTCCGGCCTTCAATTTTGAAAATAATTAGCCGCAATTAGCTCAAAGTGATAGTATAATCTTTCTAGCAGCGGAGCATTCATTAAAGTTTCCGATTCCCGCGCCTATCAATGAAAGTCAAGCAGCCAAGGTCATTAATCACTTTTGCTCGGCTCCTAGACACTCCGAACTCTCGAATTTACCGATTACATAATCCGTTGGAGCCGACTCATTGTGCAGTTTCTTTTTGATCTCCTCGTTTTTGTTGATTGCGGTTTTCTTGCGCCTCGGCCAGGAGGAAAAGTGCGTTTCCTGCGTTTGAAAACGAACTCGATTTAGACTCTTCTGTCTCTTAATTTTGTCTCTTGAAGTCATTTTTTAGGAGTTTGTACATTTGAATTTATTGAAAAGAAGTTTCGGGAGATCACGTGTTCGACTATGCTTTGTGTTTGGAAGGATTAAATGGCAGTTTCACAAAAGACTCGCTTCTTCGTATTTGATCCCCTTCTTCCAGTCGAAGGGATGGACGACTGTTTCTCCGTCGATTTTGTAGGCAAAGTGTCCTTTCTTTCCAAAGTTACTTGCGCTTTTGAGCTTTCATTGGTTATTACAGTCATTTTTTTCAATGCAAGCACGAATGTTTTTTAACCACTTTCCTGCGATACCTTCTTCGTCCTCGAAAACGGGTGATGATAGGCTGACTTGAGACGAGTGTCGACGTTTATTTCCACCTAAACAGGTTTAATTGCAATCATTATTCGCCCGATGAGAAGGCCTTTCTTTACGATTGAGTACTTAAATGAACCCAAACTCTTGGAGCTTATCAATCTCCTTTCGAATCTGAAAATGAAGCTTTTGGTCAGTCTGTTATCAGCTGTAACGCGAGGAGCAATCCTTGTCGGAGACTACCCTTTTCAGCCGACCATAACAGTAAGATTCGAAAAGAGAGAGAGTTTCAAGAGAGAGTAACCGTATTTTAGCAAAATGGGCAGCAGATTTTCTTCGCGTCGCCTTTCAAGCTCGGAATCAGAACCTCCATTTTCCATAACCTTACCTTTCTGCCTAAAGCTTATTCTATGACTGGCTCTACGTCAAATCCCATATGCGAGGAGTAATTTATGATTAATCATTCCCTCGAAAGCTTTTTGGAAATCGTGAATTCGACTCTGCTTTTGTCAACTTCGACGGTTCCATTTCTTTCGACGGCCCTAGTACTGGGCTAAACTCCACCTCTCAGACGTTGCAAAGCGATTATGGTCACAAGATAGTTATGGCACCGTTCATGGGCGATTTCCAGACATCTGGGGCGCCGAGTGTGCACTATTCCACGTTCGTGGATGGCTTTTTCCGAGCAGGCGTTGAAGCAACGATCAGAACACAGGTTCGTTTCCATTTATTTGCTCCTAGCCGAGTTGACAAGCAACTAATCCTTTGTCAGACAGAGTGGGAAAGCTTCTCGCTGGAAAACGCATTCTCCGCGACATGGGTTGACGTAGTTGGCCCTGATGGCGCTAAAAAGACCTTCCAAGGACTTGATCATGACATCAAAATAGCATTACTGCCAGTAGTCTAGACGTTATCTAAGTATCTGTCTTTGACCAATATCTAAGTTGCCTTGGTCTCGAACAACGTCCAAACTTTCAGCGTATTCTCCTACCACAACGGTCCTCCTTCTTGGACAGAAGATGATGCTGGCCAAACTCCTTTTGTGGGAATTTTGGCGCACGAAGGGTAAGCCTTTCCTATTAAGGTGAATTAATATTGTGCCACCTTGCAGCCATTCGAATGGCTGCTTCAAGACTGTGCTCGGAGAGAAGGACGTTCCATATGGCTCTTCGATGATCTGGGACGCGAGCAACTATCTCGAGTGCACGGACTCTCGGAGCTTCACGGAATGCGGCGAGCTGGAAGTTGGCTCGACCCAGTACGAAACAACTCTTGTCTACAAATCCATCAGTCCCTCTCTTCACTCTTTTGATGCAGTCGCTTCTTGTCTCGAAGGTATTTTTTGCTTCCGATCGACCCATTTTTGCCCTCTTTTCTTTCAGGATTTACTACGGACGCTGCTGGAAATACAGACTTTTCTGTCAGTTGCGCCTACGACCCTGACTTTTACGAATCGATCTGGACGGTTCCGATCAACCCATCGACTAGCAGCGAGTATAGCTGCAACGACAACTCGGCTAAAGTTCAGATAACGCTGACTGATCAACAGCTAGCTGTGGATTCAAGGTGAGTGGGGAGCAGAAAATATCACCACAGCATGCCTTCGAAATAGACAGGAAACACGTAATGGAAAAATGAATGTCTCTCTTCCGATGTGCGGGCCGACGCTTCTGATATTCGCCCAACTGTCAGCCTAGCGCATGACTACCTCTTTTAGTGACCCATTGGCCTTCTTATTCTCGATTGATCCGAGTACTCTCTCCGCGCGAGCAGCGACGATTTGGGAGTTGCTTTTGGAAGTTATGATTGAGGATCTTGTTGCGAAGGAGTTGTCCATTGACGTACGTAAAAGCCGGATTAGATATAAAACATAATATTATATAAAATGTGCCTGGGGTAAAAATTGCACGATGGAAATCTTTGACAGGACATGACATCTTATACTTTTTTTCCATAAGCTGCCATTTTATACTTAAATCCAGCAGAATAAGTATGAAAAGAGTGAATGAACGCGTCAACAGATTGTTAAGGTCTCTGTCCACGTGACAGACGTCAACATCGCCACAAGTGTTTCCGTGGCATCCGGAGAAGTTGAATCTGAAGCTCCCTGATCGCCACGCCCAAGGGTCGTCTCCCTGTTCGAAAAAGACGAGCTGTTGCCAATTTTAGCGCGATTTCAACTGCTCTCTCCGCGGCTGGCGAATCTTTCCAGTCTTTTGAAGACATAGAAGAGTACCTCATCGCTGAAGCCGAAGCTGCTGGAGCGTATCCCTCCGACGTAGCCACCATTTCCTACACCCTTGGTTTCGAAAACGGAGACACTACGAACGAGCAAATCCAAGAAACTGTTGTAACCGTCATTCAGAAAATGCACGATCCCAGCGTCACGGAAAGCACTCTCTCTGGCAGCATCCCTGACTTTTCGGTGGGACTATTCAATTAACGGAAAGCGCCTATATTAGCTATTTTTAAGGAGCAAAGTAGTGCTGAGCTTTCGGAATCCGAAGTATCAATTTCTTGCCTGGGGAAAGGCACTGTTCCATCCCAGCCAAATCCGCTGTGGGTTAAGGTAAGCCTAAGCCTCTTTTTCTGTAAGTCAGTCTAATGCTCCTCTCATAAGCCGGACATTTGCTGTGGAAACAAGCCCATCGCGTCTACTGTTCGTGGATGCTGCCATAATTCGAATGGAAAGGCACGAGACTTCGTCCTCGCCGAGGAGAAATGCTGCCACGGAGAGGTAACTTCAGACAAATTCACATAAGCCAGACACTGACTGCTTTTCTAGGTGGTTTCGAAGACGACTCTTTGCTAGACAAGAACCCGTGTTGAACATCTACCCAGACACAAGTTATATTAAATAAATACTAATGACATATTTTTCCGACTCTTACCATGGCATATCTTTTGGAAACGCAGTCCAAGGGCATCTGAATATCCTCGTAGTTGGTGAAGAGGACAGTACTGTCTCCCTCCCACAAAAGGGCAGCTGAAAGAGAGTGGAAGATTTGGTCACGAGGCCATTTTCGCTCACCTTGAAACTGATTCTTGCCAGAATGACGCGTGTTACATTGATGCCCGTCCACTGGCATCATTTCGTCCCAGGTCATCAGAATACATTTGGGCTGATTCCACGAAATCTAGGAAATCACTCTCCTCGTGACTGCTCAGTTTCCGTACCTTGAACATTTCTCGAGAGATGGTGATTAATTCCTCCCGAAACTTCCCTCTCTCTTTCGCAGTATAGCGCACTGTTCCGCCTCTCAGGGACATATCGTAATTCATCAAAAGAATTGGGATTATCCGGAAGTCTCGCTGCGAGTTCGAGCCGCCGATGAAGCCATTGTAGCCGAGTTTGAGATGGTTATAGTAGAAGCCGTCCAGCTTCAAAGTTTCTTCTTTTGAAAGGTTCCGTTTTTTAGTAAAATCATCCTCAATACCAAATGGTATCTACCAAAATCTACCAACTTCGCGAAGCTTCTCTCTTTTTTGTTACATAAAGTCCAACCTGTGGAACTCGTCATCAAGACCGACTCACCTATAGCAGCTGCTATGGTTAACTTTCCGTTTTCGGGAGTGATGAAAAAAAACCTCTTCCCTAAAGGCAAGGACATCTCCTTCGAGTCCATCCTGAATGAATGTTCCACATGCAGAGGATACATGCGATCTCTGGCCAGGGCAAGTGACGCAAAAACATTTAAAGAAAACACCTTCATCTTGAAAAGTGAACGAGAAGAAGCAAAGTGAGCGAAAGAATCTGCGCAAGAGGATCCATTTCAAATCCGCGCCCGGATCTACTTTCTGACAAGCTGCCTAGCCTAATATCGAGAATTATAGAAGACGTAAAGAGGGGCTATCATTCGAGCCTATGATTTGAGACCTCGAATATCTCTAGAATCTGGGCTTCTGGTTAGAGTTAGGGATTGGGAACTCTTAAAGGGGGTCCGGGGGCGAAGCCCCTGGTTTAGGCCTCAGCTGGGGGTCCCGGGGGCTAGTCACGTGGGTTAGGTTTGGGGTTAGGGGCAGCTCGAATAATAACCCCCTACTACCATACAAGATTTTGCTAGAAACATAGTTCTTTCATTTTTACAGTCAAAATCCAAGAGATCGGATTTTCAGAGTCTTCCCTAGAATTTCCTTTTTCCTCTCAACATTGATGAGCAATTGATGAGCAAGTATCCTTGGTGGCAGATCTGCAGTTTAATCTCCTCCCATTTTTTTCCAGTACGTCAAACTACCATCTGTAGTGGCCATTTGTTTGGCTGGAAACTACCTCTCGTGACCTGAATCAGGTGATGGCAACCCTCCGAGCAACAGGGAGGGACGGTCTCCCAGTCGCGGAATGTTAATTCAGACATTCGCAGACTTGCTCGCTCGAGAATCGGAAATGTCAGCTTTGACATTTGTCCGATCATGGGACCTCAACATTGACGTGCAGGAAGAACAGTCTACGGACTGGGGCGCATCTGACGGTTGAGAATTTCGGCGGGTCTGTTCGTCGCAAGGAGAAAACGCACAAATCGATAAACCGCGTAAATTGAGAATTCATTATGCTGATTAAGGAGGGCCTCTCCCGTTGAGAAGGTGGAAAATGTAATTGACACGAATACGTAATCCTGCATCACAATTGAATTCCCGTTCGTAAAACTGGCGGTTGCTACTGTAGATTCTACACTGTACAACTAACCAGAAGTAAGCTTATTTTTAATTCAAAAAGAAGCGCTGGTTCTGAACCCGGAAATCGGTATTTTAGCTCGCTTGATCCGATTTAGTTCACTCCGGAAATCCGGAGATGATGTGGATTGCCCCGGCGTTTACCGCTATTTCAATCGATAGAAAATAGGAATACTTGGATTAGAATTTATTTTGTAATGAATTTGCCTCTATTATTTCCCATACTGTATTATTTCCCATACTGTATGGGTAATAATATCAGAGTTGATACCCTTAAAAGAAGCCCAAAGTATTATACGAAAATCGCATAAATGAAGCTTTTCTTGTCCAAGCTACAGCTATACCCTTAAATATTTCAAAATCCAAAACAAGATAGCGTAGACCCTTAACTTGAGTAGAGTAAGCAGTAAGGGGCAAGAAATTAAGGGTGTACCAGGCCTTTTATCGTATAGAGTTCCCGTTGAATTTGGAAAAAAGAATGGTTTTAAGGGTGTCAACATCGATTGAGTAAGGGTATCTCTTATGAGTCGAATGTCTCTTATCGATGTTGACACCCTTAAGTATCATTGGTATCAGTAATGTATCAGTAACTTAGCCAAAATTAAAGCTGGAAATGAAAGTACGAAAGACGTGCTATAGTTTTCTCGTTTCCACTCGAAAAAAACGTCTGTACGTCGGAAAACTGTCTGTATATAGGAGTAGAAGGGTCTAGAAACGGGTCATTACCTCGATTCTACACATGATTCGAAATCAGTTTGTCACGAGAGGGCTGCTACGTTCGCATTTACGCCACGAAGGAAATAGCGCCCCCAGGCAGCGTTTATAAGTAAAATGGCACATAATTATCGTAAATAATCCAAAACTCAAGTCAAGGAAGAAAATTGCAGTCATTTCCCAAATTTCGCAAGTGCCGATTGTCGATTCTCCACTCATGTCAACGTATGGTAGGATTGATTTCGATCCGCTTCATTAATACCTCGCTAATGGCCCATTTAGACGGCCAAAGTAGGGGAGTATAGTCGTGATGAACAGTAATGAAATTTCGATATAAGCAGCTCGGGACCACCCGGATAGAGCCACTCCTCGGTCAACGCTTATCGCACTCGTTTTGCCCGCTTTTCTCTCGATTCCGATTCAGCGATCAGAATTTTTCATCAGAACGATTCAAAATCGAGCTGTTTCAAAATTATTATTTTTTGAGAAAAAAGGAATTATTCCAGTTACTAACATGGATAATCCGTTTCAAGTCGACATTGACAGCCTTTTTAATCGTAAGTTTGTGATTCTTACCCAAACCCTGAAAGCCCTGGGCTCGGGAACCTGTGTAGAAAACCTGAGTCAGGCTCTGAAGAGCTAAATTGAAAAGCCCCGTCGCGGCTTTTTTGAGAACGAAGCCGCGATGCGGCTTCGCAACACAATCACTCTTTCTACACAGGTTGCCACTGGCAGGGAGTACTCAACTCTTAAAAAATGGGCGCTCGCGCCTGTAGCTAATTCCAGCTTCAAGTACCCGCGCAACAATGCGAATGTTTAGCTTGGTGTTGTAGCTCGAGTGAGGTGTGAATCGGGAATAATTGTGATAGTTGGGCACAGCCTTTAGCTCACTTTGGTGTTATAAGTGCGCGTTGTATTGCACTTGAAGTGCACTCCAGCGTAATTTAGGCAACTGTATCACAGTCTTAGCTCTTGCTCTGGATTCACTCGCGCGGGCGTTTTTTTCTTGGGCACACACGACTTTGAGAGACCTAGCCCTTTTTCCGAAATGACGCTGCCGCAAATCGACAGCTTCAAAAAAGAGAACTCTTCGCTCGGAAGCGCCTTTGACACTCTTTCAGCCTCGAGTAACGATTCCACCGCCTCGGACAGAGAAAACATGAGCTGGTCGCCCTGCGAGCAAGACATGATGGCGGCCCACCAGACGCAGCAAACTTTCAAATTCGAACCGGTGAGTTTTTCTCGCTTTCTTCCTTGATTCCCACTTTTTTTTATAATTTTAAATCATCTTTTTAATCAAATTTTTTTCTAAATTTCTTGCCCTTTTTTGCCATTTTAAAAACAGTTCTTCAGATCTCAGACACAGGCTACAATCAGCAAGTCGAATTCGGCTCGAGTTCCGACTACTGTCTGGACTTTTACAATTCATCTTCTTCCGGCGCCGAGTTCAGCTCTTCCTCTTCCCAGCTTTGGCGAAACGGGCAAAATCCGCCCATCAGTGCGTCCTGGGAGAATATGTACGAAAACGTGTATTCTACTCCGCACAGCAACCTGTACAGCCTCGACCAGCACGTTCCGGAGCAGCCGTCGTTCAGCTACTCGAGCCACCACCACTCGCATCCTGTCTTCAACGGCTACGGTACATTCATCACTCTTTCTCTTCATCGATTACTGACCATCTCATTTCAGGCTTTGAGCAGTCTCCTCAGCTCTCCTGCCGAAGCCACTTCAACGAACAGCCAGACCTCAACATCCTTTCTTTCCAAGTCTATCACCCCGAAAAGAAGGCCAAGCGACAGAAAACACGCAAAGTGCCAAAGAAGGCCATTTCTTGCGAAGAAGGTAACTTTCTTTTATTTCTCCAGAATTAGGAATAGAATCTCGGCAACCTGTGCAGAAAACCTGATTCAGGGACTGAAAGAGCTGAAATGAAAAGCCGCGTAGCGGCTTTTTTAAAGAGGAAGCCGCGAAGCGGCTTCGCCAGCATTTTTCATAGGTTGAAATGGTAATAGTAGCGAAGCCGCTTTGCGGCTTCGTTTTTAAAAAAAGCCGCTACGCGGCTTTTCATTTCAGCTCTTTCAGGCCCTCAATCAGATTTCCTCTACAAGTTGCGAAGGCCAACATCACTCTTTCCAAAGATTTTCCATCCACTCACCTTCTTCTAGCCAGCAAATTTACGGAGCAAGATCGCCTGGCCCTGACGCCCAACCACAAGAACTCGATCCATCTCTGGCAGTTTCTGGCCGAGCTTTTGAACCAGCAAAAGTACTTGAAGTGCATCAAATGGGTCGACCGAGAGCAAGGTAAGCCACTCTCTTCAAATCTCCGTCTAACATGATCTGCGCAGGGATTTTCAAGATCGAAGACAGCCAAGAAGTGGCGAAGCTGTGGGGGCTGCGCAAAAACCGCCCGAACATGAACTACGACAAGCTCTCGCGCTCGATCCGGCAGTACTACAAGAAGGGCATCATCCAGAAGCCGCAAGTGAGCAGCCGACTGGTCTACCAGTTCAGTCCAAAATTCAAAAGCGGCTGAAGCCCGCGCTCTATTTATTCTGGACCGATTTTCATTCGTTCTCTTCCGGCCCTAATTTAATTCTTATTTCAAAAGCAAATGTGCAAAAATGCATTTGCGCCACCTAGCGATCACTACTGTAGATATTTGTGTAAAACTGCATTTCTGGTGCTCGATTGTGAAAAAAGTTAACTTCCCTATTTTCATTCACCACTATTTTATCAAACTTCATTTCGTAAATAATAAGATAAACCGCTTTATTCATTGAATATTTATAAATATATAAAATTGATGCTCTGCGAACATTGAAAAAATAAAAAAATATGTACCTCCACTGCTTTTTACTGAATCAATACTTTTGGGTGTAGGGCGCCCAGGTTCACAATTGTGAACCCGGTTCGCAATCTGTGTGAACCCGGTTCACAAAATTTTTAAAAGTATAAAATCAGGGGTCTGTATGCGCTCCGCGCCTGATTTCAAAGAGAAACTCATTTTTGACGTTATAAACTTTCTCTACAGCCGCGCCTTTAGTCAGTTTGAGACACTTTTTTGACCGAAATTGTGAACCAGGTTCACAAAACTGTGAACCGGGTTCACAAAATTGTGAACCAACCGATTGTGAACCTGGGCGCCCGCCACCCATACTTTTGGAAAATAGGGAGTAGCCTTGTTCATCCTCTTATTTACTGCATGAGCCCCCTTGTTCATCCTCTGTGCTCGGCAAGCTGTTTAGGAAAACTGAGTCAGGTTCTGAGAACCTGACTCAGGTCTCCTACACAAACTGCGGAGCTCAGAGAATGAACAAGGGGGCTCATGCAGGAAGCAAGAGGATGAACAAGGCTACCTCCTGTTTCACTCTTTTGTGTCTGTTTTGTTGGAAATATCAGCTGCGCGTCTTCATTTTTGCAAATCCAAAAAAATTTGGATTTTGAAATAATTGGCCACTAGGGCGAGAAAAGAGCAGAGCAGCTCCTCCTGCGCGCGCGTATTTTCAAAGCGAGCGCCGGACGAGCCGATTGGGCGCGCGGCGGCAGCGTTTTTGGAAAATCGATTCAAGAGAAAAAAAAGAGCAAAGAAGAAAGAAGAAGCACAACTCAAGAATTGCCACTCGACGAACAGACGAATAGGCTGCAGAAGACCAGCATGGGCCCGGACTTGCGTTTTGGCGCCTGCAAAGAACTAGAATCAGATCCAGCGCTTTTTACTCTTCTAGGTAACCTGTTTTTTCATTTCTACAGAAGGTTGCTTTGATAACGAATATTTCCATCCAAGACTCTGATTGGTCGATTTACAGTAAAATTGGCTTATCAGAGAACTTGATGACAATATTCGTTATCTCAGTCACCGTCTGTAGCTTTTTTCTTGTATGAAAAAATTGAAAAAAGAGCCGCGCGCGGCTTTTCATTTCAATTAACAAATTTCCAACTTTTTTGCCACTTTGTTAAAAAAGAACGGAAATTGCGGCTTTGAAATTCTTCTTCTGACGTAAAAAAATGAAAAAAGCAAAATAATCCGGAGTTCCATCGTTTCGATTTTCTTTCGTTCAAGACTGACTTACAGCTTAATTTCAAATCCGCCCAGTCGCAGCGGAAAAAAGTCGGCCTTGGTCCAGAAACAGGAGCAATCTCCCGGCAGAAATCATCCGTTTTAATTCAAGCTAATTTCCTTTTATGGAGATTTCCGGGTGATTTTTGGTTCCGGCTTCCGCATTAAATTTATGCGGAAATTTATTATTTCTGTTACAATTTTAATTCTATTGCGTGAAAAATCGCAGCTTCGAATTTTTATGGAAATTTTGATTTTGAGGTAATTTTTTTATTGTACTTCTTATTTATTTCTGGCTGAAAAAATAAGGGCGTACCTGTTTTAGCTCAAGACAAAAGTCTTCAGCAGGAAAAATCTGGGCTCGGCAACCTGTGTAGAAAACCTGAGTCAGGTTCTGAAGGTTCTTAAATTTGATTGTCCGCTTTTCATTTAAGCAAATTTTCAGAACCTGACTCAGGTTTCAACACAGGTTGCCGAGCACAGATCTTTACTACTAAGGATTTTAGATAACATAGTCACGCCCTTATTTTTAAGCCAGAAATAAATAAGTAGCTAGAAACGAGTCCAGGTAAAGATTGGACTAAAAATTCCATGAATTTTGAATAGATTCCACCAAAATCAAATAATCCTAAATTACCATTTTACGGTCTTTCTTTATATATATATATATATATATATATCTACAAGCACGTGTGCTCTATCGTTACTGTAGTGAACGAATCATTTTGGGAAAAGTTCGCACTGTCCCCTCGCCAGAGCGTCATTTTCGCCCTGTAATGACGATTTTCAAGATTAAAGAGCGCAGATGTTTGATTTTAGTGGAGGAATTCGGCTGCAACGAGGTGGAAGTCGAGGAAGTCTACGACTTGGACTCGCTGGAGACGCTCTCGGCCGACTCGTTCGGACTCATCTTTCTCTTCAAATGGGCGAACTCGATCGCCCAGAACAGCCGTTCGTTCGGAAGCAGGCGAAACCGCGCGAGCAGGAACCCTGAGTCCAGCCCCGACGAGAATTCCACAGCTTCGGACGAGAACGGAAACGTGACGCTCTTCGACGCGGCTATTTCGCAGCGGCTGTTCTTTGCCCACCAAGTGGTGCCGAACTCTTGCGCTTCGCACGCTCTGCTCTCGGTGCTTCTTAATTGTTCAGGAAACGGGCTCGCGCCGCGTTTTTCGATCGCTAGAATCGTAATTGGCGTTAGCGACTCGTAGATAGACTGAATCTCGGCGCCTGGCTGCTGGAAATGAAGGAGAAGCTCTGCCAAATCGAAGACCCGGAGCTGCGCGGCTTTGCGATCGGCAACATGCCCGAGTTCATCGCCAAGCACAACCGCTTCGCCTGCTTCGAGCCGCCCAGCATCTCCGACTTGGCCGGTGCGACGACCACTTCGCTGGGTCAGGGCGAGACCTTCCACTACTGCTGCTACATTCCCTACGAAGACTCCCTCTACGAACTAGACGGGCTCAAGGCCTGGCCGATAAATCATGGACAGACTGGGGGCCAGTGGCTTGAGGTACGTATTAAAATAGAGAAAAAATGGATCAATCAAACTTTTCTCTAGAAAGCGAAGAACGTAATCAGTCTGCGAATATCCCGCGCTCGCGAGAAAGACCAAGGCTGCCACGACATCCGCTACAATTTGATGTCTGTAGTTCCTTCCCGCAAGCTTCGGATCCGAAAGCAAATCGTCGAGCAGCGAGGGGAATTGACGAACAAGCTCAGAGTGCTCAACAGATTGGCTATTTCCAAGGCGGAGAAAGATGCTACTTTGGAAGAGGTTGACGAAGCTAGAAAAAGCGTGAGAAAAGCGCTGGAAATCGGCGAGGACAAGGAACTGAATGGAGTCGACAACGTCAAGCAAGAAAGCCTCCCTCAGAACGTCGAGGAATTCTGCTCGCTCGTCAAGACCAGTTGCCAAGAGTACGTTTTTCATCTTTCGGCTGATTTTCAAGTTCTTTTAGATTTGAAGAGCTGCGGATTAAGTTCGAAGAAGAAGACGAGAAACACTTGCGCTACGAACGCGACGCTGAAAGGAGGAGGTAGGATCCAATCAGTTACGTCTTGTAATAGCACATTGCAGTCATGACTACGGACTTTTCATTCAAAAGTTCATCGAGTTTCTGCACCGGAACGGCTCGCTGCAGCACGTGATCGACGAGAGCCAGACAAAAGCGATGCTCTCCAGTCGGATGCGAAAGAAGCCCAAGTCCTTTTCGTGAAATTTTCTGTTTTTCTTTGATTTTGTCTAACTTACGAACTTCCAGTTTTCGCCCCCCCCTTTCCATTCTTTTTCATCCTGTCCTATTTGAGTCACACTGTAAGAAGCTAGCTGTGTATTACAGTGTCCTGCCAAGTGCCAAGAACAAACCTTTTCCCGAGTGTCAGAAATATCAACTTTCGCTGCCTATTTTTTATTTAAAAAAAGAAACTTCTCTATTTCATTGTGCAATTTGCAAATACGCCTTCTTTGAAAAATTTTTCTTGAGAAAAAAAAGAAACCTAAATTTTGAGAATTTCAGATGGAGGAGATTTCCCCGACTCCTGAAACTAGTGATCCTCTTGAATTGGCCGGAAATGGAGACGAAAAAGCGGAAGAAAATGGCGAAAATGGAGGAATAGCGAAGATTTTGGACAAGAGAATTGTCGACGATCGGGAAACCTGGTATCTGGTCAACTGGACCGATAAAAAGTGAGAATTTTTATTCACTAGAATTTTGATAATTTTTGCCTAGACGAGAAAACAGCTGGCTGGAATCGTCGGAAATCGAGGCTTCCCAAACGGCGGCGATTGAGCGGTTCGAGGAGGAGCTGGCTGAAAAGGATCCAGACGAGGAATTCACCCTGGAGAAAATCACGGACAAGCGGATCCTCTCTGGCGTCGTCTATTACTACTGCAAGTGGCTCGGCTTTCCTGAGTAAGTGATCTTGATCGCTGGGCTGGGCAGCCTGTGTCTGGGCTTGGAATTCTGTGTCAGACACAGACAGAGAAATAACGTTTTTAGACCTTGATTTTACACGGATACTCCGATAGAGCCTGTGTCAACAAAGAAGAGGGCCTGTGTGAAGCCCTTAGTCAGGTTTGCAGACAGGTTGCCCAACCCAGCAACAGAGCAGAAAGAGAACGTAGCAAAGTACCGATGTTAAGTTCAGATAGCACCTGGGAGCCATGTGAAAACATCTTCGCAAAGAACTTGATCGACGATTTCGAGAAAGAAGCGGAAAACTCGAAAAGCGCGAAAAAGCGGAAAAAGAGCGCCCGGCAAAACGATGAAGATTTCACCCCAGAAGAAGATATACCGCGATTGGCATTTCTGACTGACTGATTCTGATTTTCGAGTGAAATAGCTAATCAACCAATTAAAATTTGACTCTAGTGTCTCTTCTTTGAGAGTTCCGTCAAACCAGTGACGCCTACGCAATCTACGTTACAAATCTCCTATGTTTTTAGCATGGAGAATTGTAACGTCAATGTGCATCTTTCAAAAATCAGTCAGTCAGGACTGCCAATCGCGGTAGTAGCCGGTCAGTCGCGGAAAATATTAATCCGTTTTCGATTCATCTTTTCATTTTTCATTAGGAAGGGCGAAGCGCCGCCGACCAGTGAGAAATTCAACGCGAGTTACGCCGCCTCTAGGAAACGATTTTCAACCCTTTTCAGCCTTTTCGTTGAAATTCTGAATATCGTCTAAAAAGAACTTGTTTCTGACGGGCAGGAGCAGCGGAAATCACGAAAGAAAGGTGCCCTTTCCGAGGCATCTGAGCTTGATGAACCAGAAAGTCAAGTAGACACTCAGCTGGATGAAATGTATTCCTTGATCGGAACTCGAGTTCCTCCTTGCTCCTACGACTCTTCAGACTTTGAAGACGGGCACAAATTCTCGGTGCGAATGAGGAACGGGTTTTCTTCTTTCTCGGCTTGGTAGCCTGTGTAGTAATCTGAGTCAGGGTCCGACAGAGCGGCTATATAATTTCAGTACCCTGACTCAGATTTCTAAAATGAGAATTGCAGCCCGCAAAAAGCAATTATCTATCCTGGCTGGTGGTGGAGCACCACATCTGCGTGTACGAGCAGTTCAAGAGCTACACGCGCCAGGAGCGAAAAACAGCTCTGGAAAAGCGATTAAAACAGTACTCTATGTCGGACGCAATCGTAGAATTGATTCTGAGCCGGGAGAACGGAATCTGGGACGCGGTAACTTGCATGAATCTGGGTGAGTCACAATTCCCAAAGGAAAAAGCAAGAGTCGATAAATACTCAACTAATCGATAGACAAGCGCAAGATGGAGACGATCAGAATGCGGCGATTCATCAGAGACAACGAAACCATCCCTCTCCCGCTCGACTGGCCCATCATGAAGTTCGTCGCCCACATCGAAATGCTCAGGAGTCGAAGCTTCGAAAACGCGCAAGAAACGACGAAATATGTTAAAAGCAGAACGAAGGTAAATTGTTAAAGGATGTCAAGGCTAGCTTCTTTACTAAATAAGGATAAATGATTGTCAACTTTAATCCTTGTCTACTCGCCTTTGATACCGAGACGTTTAAAAGTAACGATTGGCCAAATGAGGAGTATTCTATTTTAGGCTCGTCGAGCTGGAAGGCGGAAAAAGCGGCAACCACCGAAACCGAAAAACAAATCCTTGTCAGATGAGCTAGAGGAAGAGCTTGATCCTCCTCAAAATGACTCACTCGCAGATGCCTGGAATTCAAGAGACCCTGGTACGTTTACTCGAAAATAGATTTCGTTGAAGACAGAGGAGGGGCTAAAATTGAGTTTAGAGGGAGAAGAAATACTGCCAGAAATAGAAGAAGGTGCCCAAAACTCTGAAGAGACCGCTTCTTCCAAGAAAAACCAGCCTTTGAACGAGGAAAAAAGCGATTCAGCGAATCCCCAGGAGCCCAGTCTTTTCCAAACAAATCAGCAAATGACAGAGTCGGAATCACCAGCGGACATTTTCGAAGAAATCTCAAAAGAACTCGATCTCGTCGCCGATGGTCCCAGTTCAAATTCCGCGGAAGAAAATCCAAATCTGCCCACAGTTCAAGTTTCTGAGTTAATTTTAACGAATCCGTGAAGTTCACGATTTTCAAAAAGTAATCTCAAAATCGTCTGTTTCAGATTATGGCTAAAAGGGGATATAGAACGGCATCTGAGTATGCATCACAGGCAGCTGCCCGGATTCAGATTAACGACAGTGGGTTCATTGACATCGTAAGTCGCCTGTTTACCTAATAAAATACGGGGGTCTACATTTAAATCATGCTTGATGCAGTGATGACACTCCAGAAAATCCGTTAAAATGTGGATACTTTATATTAGCCCGTTATATTCAATATGCTACTCGCTCTAAAATCAACTGTAATTGTAGAATAAAGTGGTGCAAGAGAACACGGAGCTGCGGCACAAAGTGGTCTACTTGGGAAGTCGCTGCGAACAGCTTGAAGTCGAACTCGCCCAAACGAAGGACTACCTCAAATCCGAAATCCAAAAAGAAAAGAGCCTCACTCAAAAGGAGCAGGAAACCGTCCAAGTCCAGCAGGCCAATTTGAAAGAACTGGAAAAGCGCATCGCCTCCCTCGACTTAGGTTAGCCATCTTTTGAAATGAATGAAGAAAAAAGGACAACTTCAAGCGTTAATTTCCTTTTTTAGAGCTGATGGAAGCGAAGGAGCGCGCCGACGATGTAGAACGCGAGTTGAGAGCTGTCCGCCAGCTGCAAGCGCAAAGGAACGGCAAAATAATAGCTGAAAATCTAGTCGATTCTAGTTCCTTCTCGCCATAGCCAGCATGCTATGACGCTTATCCTATCTGATTTAGGATTGTGGTCAATATGAATCTGTCAATTCCATCCAGCTAGTTACGTACAAAAGCACATGATGTTGTTGAGCCTAAAACAGATATCGCGAGTTCCTGAATCCCCTGAACACGGCTGGAAGCGACAGCGACGAGGACAGCTGGTCGGACACGTCGATTCTGCCCCGCGAGACCACCATCATCTGATCGAACTTCAACTCGTTTTTAAACTCTGCCTGAACTGCAGCCGAATTTCTTTTCCGAAAATTGACTCAGATTTTAATCTCCAAAACTCCTGTTTTCAATATTTTTCGTCTTTTCTTCAATCTCTTCAAACAAAGAAACTTCTTCAACGTCCAATTTCTTCAACTGCTCTTTTTCGCTCTTTGCAGATCGTTGTCTCGTTTTTCCAACTTTCAAAGAAAATATACTCCAGACTTCAAGAAAGCTATTTTTACTTTTCCATTTGAGAGCAGTCGTCTCAGCTAGTACCGAAAGGAACAAGCAAGCAATGTCGGGTCCAGGTGACACGCCCTATCTCGGCTCAAGAATCTCGCTCATTAGCAAGGCTAAAATCCGATATGAGGTAATTTATTAGAATTTCAAGACAAAAAGTGCTAGACAAAGGCAAATAAAATTCTTGTCTTTGGGTTATTAGTTCCGGATTCTTCAAGCAAAGTTAAGGGTATCCTGTACGCTATCGATACAGAGAACATGACTGTAGCTCTGACGAAAGTGCGATCCTTCGGAACCGAAAATCGCGACTGCGAGCGTCACGTGGCCGCTCGTGAGGAGACCTTCGAGTACATCATCTTCCGTGGCACAGACATCTACGATCTGACGGTTTGTGATCTCCCCCAGGAAAGTGGTATCAAGTTAAAATCGCTAAATCGCGCTCAAACCTCTTGACAATTGATTACCCGAAAAAAGGATCGTCTTCCTCAAGATCCCGCAATTCTGAACGTTTCTCAGCAACCAGCTCCCATCGGTCATCCCCAACCTGGCTACGGAGCTGCCCCAGTGCCCCCAGCACAGCCTGTTGCTCCCACTGTAAGTCCAGCTTGAGCATCCAAAGCTTAAAACTATTCAGTACGCTCCTGAACCTCAAGCCGCGCCGTCCCCAGCCGCTGAAGCCGCTCCCCAGCAGCACAAAGACCGACGTGACAACCAAGAGGTTCCTCATCCTCTTCCTTTCTTCCCTAACTATGATTCTAGCGCAACCAAAACCGCAACCAGAATCGGCAGAACCAAGGAGGCAACCGGCAAAACTACAACAACCGCGGAAACAACAACGAGAACTGGAATCAGAATCGCTCCCAGCAAAACAACCGCCAGCAAAACGTAAGATTCGAATACTTCATTCTTTGATTAACGCGAAATTCAAGGAAAAGGAAAAGTACACTGAAGAGTTCGACTTCGCCGCGGCGAACAAGGAATTCGAAGAAATCCGTGACAAGCTTGATCGAGAGCTCAAGATTTCCCTCGGCGTCAATAAAGACGGAAACGACTCTGGTAAAGCTCGCAGAATTTGAAAGAGTGTATTTTTATGGTTAAGAAAACGAAGAGAACGATCAGGAGCCAGAAGAACTGGAGAGCGGAGAGATCGAAGAAGACACCACCGAAGCGTACTACAATAAGACGAGCTCCTTCTTCGACAACATCTCCTGCGAGGCAAACGACCCGAAGGGCGAGAGGATCACGCGATCTGCCGAGCGCAAGCTCAACTCGGAAACGTTCGGCATCACGGCGAACAGGGGCTACCGCGGAGGTGGACGCGGTCGGGGCCGAGGTCGCGGCGGCGGGGGCAACTACCGCGGCCGAGGAAACTACCGTGGAAACAATAATTACCACAACAATCGAAATAGCAACCAAGGTAACTTAATTCTTCAGGGCCGATGTCTTGTTTAATAACCACTAATTACCCTTGTTTTATCCATTTTTCAGACGGCAACTGGCGGCAAGGCCACGACAACCGCGGTGGCAACCAAGTCGGCAACGGGGAGAACAACTACAACAACCGACGCAACAATTACAACAACCGAAATCACGGAAACAGTAACAACCAGGGCGGCCATTGGAGGGGAGGCAACAGCCAGGGCAACAGGAGCTTCAGGGGGCGCGGCAACTACAGAAACAACCAGGGCCAGAACGACAACAGAAATAACAAGGTATCGTTCCTAAAATAAAGATTAGTCACTAACACCCATTTACAGCGAAACGAGTGGGTGGACTACGACTACGACGTTTCGAAAGCGCGCCAAAAGACCGAAGCCTGAATTTTTTGAATTTGCAATTCGTCGTTTCATCCTTCTTCCGAACAAGGAGCTTTCTGTAAATCCTCAACCGGCCGATCGACTTTTCTCTTTCCTTAAAATTCCTCAAAAGGGATGACGCGGTTCTCTCCGGCCCGTTTTTAAGTTCATCTTTCCACTAGGTTCAATTTCTTTTATTTTTATTTTACTCTTTATTTTTTTCCTGTTCTTCTTTTTTCAACTTGCAATTTTAAAACTAAAGCTATCCAGTCAAATTTTGGGATACGCTTATTTCAATTTTCTTTCTTTCCAAAAGAAAGTTAACGATAAATATGTTGCGATAATTAAATACTTTTTTTCGACTATTACACCTTTTTGAAATAAAAAAATAATATCGCCAAAAACACGCTTTCTTGTGTTAGAAGTAAAAAAATACAACTCAGTTAAACTTAGTTTCTTCAAAACCTAAACTAACAAAATCAACTCAAATCCAACTTTCCCACCAACACCTTTCCAAACTGACATGTAACTAAAGAAGTCCAACTTCTGAATCCCTATTTTGAAGTCCCCATAAACTACATCTATTATAGCCCTATTCCTCTAGCCCTCACGAATAAATGAAAAAACGACTTCTTCATTAATCTAAATTTCTCAATTTTCAACTTATTAAATTTCATTGCCGAACTTTCAATAAAAAACAACATGTAGAGCATCTCAAATGCTTTTGAATGAAAAATATACAAGCTACAGGCTAATGATTATTGCGAACTGCCTTGAAGTATGCGCCCAAGTCGTACCTAGAGCAGGAAAAGTCCAGCGAAGGCGCTCTAGTTGAGGTTGAAAAACGAGCCTTTGCACCTTTTCCGACTCGTGTATTCACTATCATTTCCAATTTCATGCATATCGCTACATATATTTCAATATTAAACACGTATTATATATATTTATATATGTCCATCAAATGCATCAAAAATACACCTAGAGCCGAGCAGAGCACGTACTCAAAAAATAATCGATTTCAAGTAACTCCTCTTTTATCATTTTCGGCGTCAAAGAACAAAAAACACAAATGGGATTTTGGATCAATAAGTAAATTGCAGCTCGCTTCAGAACTGGCATGAAATGAATCCACGATGGTCGAGAAAGTCGAGGACCAAGAGCCACACTTAGTTCCAGAGAAATCGACTTCGGATGAGAAACAACCGTCGGTGAAGTTAGGACCACTTTCGCCCAAGAAATCGGAATCGGACAAGTGTAAGCGCTCCAGAAAATGGGGTTGAGATGAAGAGTTATTTAGATGAAACAGGGCTGCACCGGCTGTTCGCGTCGGAGCTGTTCGACGCCAATATCGCCATCCACTATTTATTCAAGTCGAAAGAAGTGGGCATCCTCCAGTTCCTAGGAAACCGGCTCTTCGACTTGCCGCCCGCCGAGCTCGACTTTTACCTCCCCCAGCTTCTCATTCTCTATCTGTACACCGAGGAGGACACCAGAAAGTGCATCCATCCGTTTCTCGTCAAAAGATGCAAAGGTAAACGCCGAAATTCTTCTTTTTCAAAAACAATCGTCAGAAAATATCGACTTTGCGCTGAACTGTGCATTACTTCTGGGCTCCGTGAACGACTCATTGCCACAAAGCAGAAAAAAACTCGCCGAAAAACTCCGAAACGCAATCATCAAGGGCGAAAGTGCAATATCTCGCCAGAACTCCTCCTGCTCCGACATCGGCGCAGCCCAAATTCAAAACGCCGAAAACAACGAGCAGCTTACTTTCATCGAATCGCTCATCGACATTGGCAGGCGGCTGGTTTCACAACCTGATAGGTAAAGTAGAGAATCGAGGAAGAAAAAAAAGGGTGTCAATAATTGAACTTTTCAGAAAAGTCTGAAATTTAGACTCTTCTGAATTCCGTCGGGAGCAATCTCTAAGGCACTCAATAGCGTCAAAGCTCGTGTCAATTTAGAACTCGTTAATTGACGAGCCTTATTTCTAATTGGCAATTTAGGGAGTCGAAGACGCAGCGGCTTGTTTCCGAGCTGAACGAGCTAAACCTGCACCTGCCGCGGCGGGTTTGGAACCCGATCGCTTCGGAGCTTTCCCACTTCGTGTTGCGCATCACTCCCGCCGCCGCCGTCGTCCTAAACTCCAAGGACAAGGCGCCCTACTTCGCCTATCTCGAGGTGCTCCTCACGCCCGACAAAGCAGTCGACAACTTGCCGCAAAAACTTCTCGAGTCCTCGCTGCACGAGGGCTCTTCCCAGTCCCCGCCGGTCATTCTGGACAGACAGACCTTTTCCGACGAAGAGACGACCGAGGAAGAGCTCGACGAGACGATCAAACCAGTTTCAGTTCCTATCGCAACTCACATTTCTTCAAACGACGCTTCCGACGTTTCCGACCACGACGAGCAGGCCTACTCGCCGCCTTCCCAGAAAGAGGCGCCCCAATCCGACAACGTCTCTTTATCCCGCATTTCCATTCGCTCCGGCGACTCCGTCCAGTCCTACGACACAGGTGAGCTTTCAACTTTAAACAATCTCTTTAAAACTTCTTTAGGGCATACTGTTCTCGCTGCTGACATTCGACTTCGACTGCATCAAGAAACTACCGCTTCTATGGGCGATCTCAGGTAATATGCTCAAGCAAACCTGTGTAAAAATCTGAGTCAAGGTCCAAAAAAGTCATGATATGAATCTGTTTTTTTTTATTCAGGCTCTTCAAGAATCCTACGTCAGGTTTTTTCATAGTTTGCCAAGCTCTTCTGAGGTCTTAAATATACTTTGAATAAATTAAGAAGAAGTGTTCAGCTTCAACTCGAGTTAAGCTCCTTAGGTTTTTACCACCGAGCCTCGGTATCCAAGCTTATGGAATAAAAAGAGTCAAATCTTAAGTGTTGCCGCTTATTTAAAAGAGTATCCTCCAGTCAGACACAGATCGATGATTAAAAGTGAAAAAGCGGATCCGAATTAATGATTGTTTAGAATTGACCCGGATGATCCCTCCGCCGCGGCGCTGAAAGAGCCCTTCGCCGAGAAAGAGCGCAAGATCCGCGAGGCGTCGCCCTATGGCCACCTCAAGAACTGGAAGCTGCTGCCCATCATCGTCAAGTGCGGTGACGACCTGCGCCAAGAGATGCTCGCCTACCAGCTGATGACGGCGCTGAAGGCGGCTTGGGACAAAGAAATGACAAAGATCTGGATCAGGCCGTACAAGATCCTCGTTACTGGGCCCGACTCGGGCATTTTGGAGCCGATCGTCAACGCGCCCAGTGTCCACCAGATCAAGAAGATGGAGCCTGGCGGACTGCAGGCTTACTTCGTCAAAGAGTTCGGCGCCCCCACTTCCGAAGGCTACATGACGGCGATGAACAACTTCGTCCTCTCGTGCGCCGGCTACTCGCTGGTCTGCTACCTGCTCCAAGTCAAGGACAGACATAACGGCAACATTCTGCTCGACTCGGAAGGCCACATCGTTCACATTGACTTTGGCTTTATGCTCAATAGTTACGCGTTCTCAAATTAAAGACAACAATCAGGCGTTCGCCAAGGACTCAGTCATAATTGAAGCCTAGCAATTAGAATTAAAATCAGCGAAGAAATTAGAGTTCGACTGAACTAGATAACTCTAAGTGACCGCGAAATTGATCCTGCTTAGAATCGAAAATCGGTTTATTTTCAAACTAGTGACGAAATTGACCAAACGTAAAGCCCCTCCAGCCAAATCCCCGCGGGGAAATGGCCGGAGGGGCTGGCTTTAAATAAAATAAAGTTTTTTAATCTTAGTCTGAGATTGATTTTGACCAAGATTCTGAGAATTCTCTCCACAAATATTTTTTTCCATCGATAATTTAACGTTGAGTAATCGCTAATTAACGTTATATTAGTGTCAAATTTATAATTATGAAATAAATTCTTATCTAAATCTTGGTCGTAAATTTTCTGACCAGGATTTCTTAATTTTTTCCGTCGATAAAAATTTTTATCTCAACGATAAAAGGTTGAAAAGATAGTCTCAAAAATAAAAAATAAAAGTAATTTTTCAGTTATTTTCGCAGTTTTCTGGCACTGTCGTTGTTTAATTATTAGCCGATCTGTGGCCACCAAGGTTTCACTTGAACTAATCAAAAGCCGCATTTTTTTTCTGGCAGCGAGAAAGCAGCATAAAAGGCATTACGAAAGTAGAAAATAATCGTCTTGCCTCTGCCAGATTACTGTAACGATTTGGAACTCGTCAAAGTTCGCCTGGCAAGAACTTGGGCTTTGAGCAATCCGCTTTCAAGCTGACAGAGGACATGGTGGAACTGATGGGAGGGATGGAATCCGACAAGTTCCGCTATTACAAGGTCTTGCTAATGAAAGGACAGGCGCCAGAGACATTTATTTGTGTGTGTGTACGAGCGCGCATATACCGTCTCTTCTCGCGACGCCTTGGAAGGGCTGAGAGCGGCTGCCAAGCACAGGGACAGTATCGTCACGCTCGCTGAGGTATCAATTCAGTAGCCCCGAAAATCAATTCAAAAATGACTTTTTGAGGTGGCTCAGTGTGGTCCAAGACTCAGCTGCTTCACTTCCAACACGGTCAAGCAGTTCCAGGAGCGCTTCCTGCTCCAGACTCCGGACGACCAGCTCACTTTGATTATTGACTCCATGGTCGAGGTAAGCGGCCGCTTTGAAAACGCGCATTTCACGAAAATTAAACAGGGGTCGGTGAACTCGTGGACGACGAAGCTCTACGACCAGTTCCAATACTTGACCAACGGAATTCTGTGAACTCGACTCTTTTTCTTGATTTTCCGGGCCTGGTGCAACGCTGGTTTCTGTTTAAAACTACTATTATTACTATCTAAATAAGAAATTTAAAACTATTCATTTGCAATAAAGAACAATTCGCACTTCTATCCAAAACTGAAAAAAATGAAATAACTCCCGAATTTCGGGGAGATATTTTATTTTTTATGCGATCTTGATGTTACATCTATTTTTCTTGGAGATGAATTTTATTGAATTAATAATCGCCTCCATGAGATGCGTGCATTATTCTGTCTGTATTTTCCTTCGCCTGGTTTTTATGCAAAAAAGAAGCCCTGGGAGACAAGTAAAAGCACAAGGGAATAGCTATTAGCCCGTAAGTCAACTTCTTTTATCAGCAAAGTCGAAATAACTCCTCATTTTACTGCATCTTCATCAAGTCGTTTTCTTGCACTGCCCGGCGGCGAGTGTAGGGGGCGCTCGAGCAAGCTCTCATTCTTATCCTCGCATCCGAAACAGAAGAAGGAAAGAGAAGTTATTTCCTCGGAGGATTCTCAATTAGAGAAAGCTCAAAATCACCAAGTACTTTTCGAAATCTTCGTTCAAATTAATCTGATATTGCTGGAGAACTTCTGCGTTCGGCAACGAGGAATCGTCGAGCTTGAGCGTTACTGGATTCCGGAGCGCAAGTTTCTTCATTTTTTCGACTTGTTCCGACAGGTTGGCGGACATGAGGAAGGAGTGCTGCGTTCCAGGGAGATGTGTAACGGTTTCGGCGACCACTTTGTCCTAAAGAGTCCGAAAGAGTTCCACTGCGCAACTTCCTGCATTTTCTCTTCCGCTTCTGACATTTTCCGAATTCGGCTTCTACGAAAACAAAATACAATTGTGAGACGGTTTTTATTTATTTATATATTACGTTTATTAAAATGTGTAATTCTTTGAAAGTTTGAAACTAACAGGAATGGGTGAAGTGAGGCAGAAAATGTAGTGAATATTGATTTTTTTCGTGAGTTTCAAGTTCTGTATGTGTCAGGGTTGAAAATGTGCGGAGGAATGATCGCGTGGACATCTTTGATGAACGACTGAAGAGTCATCGCGTTCTTCGTGGATTGAACCAGCTGCTCGAGGACTTCATCGTCCGACTCAGTTTCGGACTCAGAGGTCGACGAGGAGGATTCGGCACTTTCTTCCTGCTTAAAAATAAAATAAAAAGGCGTTCTAAAAATTGTTTGAAATTACCAAGTCTTCCCAACATGTAACTTCCGGCGATTTCGGCTTTGCCTCTGGCTCAGGTATTATTATGTTTATTTTTCGCCTCCCACGAGTGTGAATTTTGTTGCTAGCGCGGACAAGGGTGCGAGTTTTTGACGGACTGTCTTCCTCGAATTCGAGACTTCTGTTCGCAGCGGCTTCTGTTTCAAGTTCATCAAGAATTTCTACTAGCGAAATTTAGACCTGGGCTCGGCAACCTGAGTCAGGCCCGGAAGGAGCAGAAATAAAAAGTAGCGCGGCGGCTTTTTGAAAAACGAAGCCACAAAGCGCCTCCATGAGCTTAGCGGCCTGTATCCAGAAAATCTGCCTCAGGGACCCTGAGTCAGGATCTGAAAGATCTTTCAGCACCGACTCAGGATTTCTACACAGATCGCCCAGTCCAGCTCACAGATCGTCTAATTGAGCTAATTCGATGAACATTTCCTTTCACAATCGTCGGATTTCCTTCCCCAGCTCTGACCAGCGAACCTGCGCAACCCCGCACGATTGTTCTTGTTGAGTCGCCGATGGTTTTTCGAGTTTGAAGTGGCTTTTTTGAAGGTTGAAAAGGGAACTTTTTCATAAAAAAATGATTTCTTTCTTGAAAATTTCTTGCAATTAAAAAACTTTTCAACCCTTTCCTCAACAGGCGCCGTTTCAGAGAAAACATCCTTCCGATTTCTCCTCAATCTGAAATGCTGCGTTTCGTTCCTCAATCCTCGCATTTGCGCGAGCGGCACAGGCGACCACTGTTCTGATTTCCTCGGTTTCTTCGATTTCGTCAAATCGACCACTCCATTCTTCGTCGATAAAGGCTTCTTTTTTGCGCTTGGAAAAGTCGAGTTTGGAACGATCGGATCGTTGAAAAGGTCATCAAAAGTGAGATTTTTCGATGACGAATGGTTTCGTCTTTTCCGGATTTCAAAAATTCAAAGAATCAAATAAATAGAAGAATTTTTCAAATCCGAATTTCCTATCAAAGGACCTATTCGACTTTTCGTTGAATTTCCTCGCTTTGCTTTTTATCAAGTTCTCCTGCGACGAGTCCGAGTGTTGGTAATAGTCGTGAATCGAGTCTGCCGACGAATCTCGCATCACATCATCCCTAACGTTACATCTCTTCGCTCGAACAGTTCGCGGCTTTCTTTTAATCACAGCTTCCTCGGATCCCGCGTCGCAAATTTCTTCTCTTGGAACGTCATCGTTAGGGGAAATCACTAATAATGGAGCATTTTTTTGGGCTTCTTCTTCTTCTTCCGATAAAAGCACTTGGTTGCTCACTTTTCTGGATTTATATCAAATTATCGAATGCAGGGCTCGGCAGCCTGTGAATAAAACCTGAGTCAGTGTCTCAAGCGGCTATTCAATGAAAATCTTTCAGACCCTGACTCAGGTTTCTGCACATGTTGCCATGGTTTCAGCCAACCAAAAACCCGTATTTTTGGAGATATCTTTTCTGATTGGCTAAAAAGCCTTTTTTACAAGAAAAATTGATAATAACCGATAAAAGTCCGTTCCTGATTGAGCCCGCTGCTCATTGGTCGACTCCAGCGTTTCTCCAATCGTATCCGAATTCTCATCAGAAGCCGCGGATTTCGTGTCTTCCTCCAGCTGCGATTGCTCCTTGAAAAGTAAATTTGAGAGTTGTTGAGACGCGAGAACTTTTCTTAAATGAATGAACTTACATTTTGAGCGATAGTTTGACTCCGCGTTTGAATTTTTCTTGGATGAGAAGTTACCGGACGAGGAGGTCGGGGAACGTTTTCAGGAGTATTTTCGACGATGTTTTGGACAGTCTGGGTTTGGATTGGAACTGACGAATCGGTCTCTTCCTTGTTTTCCAAATGAGACTTTCTTTGCGACTTCTTTCGCCCCTTATTGCCCCGGAATTTCGGCTTGGACCGTGCCTTTCGTCGCGCTAGGTAGCGACTTTTGCTACCCATTTTTCTTCTCTTTTTTTTAAATTCTCTAACTGAAAAAACTTTTGAAAATCGAAATGGGCAAAACCGCGCTTGACTCGAAAAGGCGGCGACGGCGAAGCGTCTAAACTTCTGGAAAAACACGGAATGATCAAAAAGCCAAGCAAGGCAACTAACAAGAAAGCATTCAACTCTCAGTCTTCTTCTGACAAAAGCCCCTCACAATTCTAGCGCTGAATAGAGAACCTGAGCAAAAATCAAGCGAATCTCGGCTCAAAAAAAAAGTTTTTTTTGCTCCGGTTTTTTAAACTGAAATCAAGGAAGAACAAGAATTGTAAAGCAAAGATTCTCCGTTTCGAATAGAAATACACTCTTCTGGCATTTTTATTCTAGCGTTGATCGTTTTTCTTCCAGCCCCTCTGGCCACTTCCCCGGGGATTTGGCTGGAGGGGCTTTTACGTTTGGAGAGCCTTGGGCCCAAATTGACCAAACAAAGCCCCTCCAGCCAAATCCCCGCGGGGAAGTGGCCGGAGGGGCTGGCTTTTCCAAACTTCTGATTTTTCATCAACATAAAGCTCGATTGAAAGGCGAAAAGAAGGTTATACTCGACAATCACATCGTCGGTGAAGTTAGGACCACTTTCGCCCAAGGAATCGGAATCGGACAAATGTAAGAACTCCAGAAAAAGAGAGGTTGAAATGAAGGTTTATTTAGATGAAACAGGGCTGCACCGGCTGTTTGCGTCGGAGCTGTTCGACGCCAACATCGCCATCCACTATTTATTCAAGTCGAAAGAAGTGGGCATCCTCCAGTTCCTAGGAAACCGGCTCTTCGACTTGCCGCCCGCCGAGCTCGACTTTTACCTCCCCCAGCTTCTCATTCTCTATCTGTACACCGAGGAGGACACCAGAAAGTGCATCCATCCCTTTCTCGTCAAAAGATGCAAAGGTAAACGCCGAAATTCGTCTTTTTTTTAAACATCGTCAGAAAATATCGACTTTGCGCTGAACTGTGCATTACTTCTGGGCTCCGTGAACGACTCATTGCCACAAAGCAGAAAAAAACTCGCCGAAAAACTCCGAAACGCAATCATCAAGGGCGAAAGTGCAATATCTCGCCAGAACTCCTCCTGCTCCGACATCGGCACAGCCCAAATCCAAAACGCCGAGAACAACGAGCAGCTTACTTTCATCGAATCGCTCATCGACATTGGCAGGCGGCTCGTTTCCCAGCCTGATAGGTAAATTTGAGAATGGAAAAAGAAAAATATGGATGTCAATAATTGAACTTTTGAAGAAAAGTCTGAAATTTAGACTCTTCTGAATTCCGTCGGGAGCAATCTCTAAGGCACTCAATAGCGTCAAAGCTCGCGTCAATTAAGAACTCGTTAATTGACGAGCCTTATTTCTAATTGGCAATTTAGGGAGTCGAAGACGCAGCGGCTTGTTTCCGAGCTGAACGAGCTGAACCTGCACCTGCCGCGGCGGGTTTGGAACCCGATCGCTTCGGAGCTTTCCCACTTCGTGTTGCGCATCACGCCCGCCGCCGCCGTCGTCCTAAACTCCAAGGACAAGGCGCCCTACTTCGCCTATCTCGAGGTGCTCCTCACGCCCGACAAAGCAGTCGACAACTTGCCGCAAAACTTCTCGAGTCCTCGCTGCACGAGGGCTCTTCCCAGTCCCCGCCGGTCATTCTGGACAGACAGACCTTTTCCGACGAAGAGACGACCGAGGAAGAGCTCGACGAGACGATCAAACCAGTTTCAGTTCCTATCGCAACTCACATTTCTTCAAACGACGCTTCCGACGTTTCCGACCACGACGAGCAGGCCTACTCGCCGCCTTCCCAGAAAGAGGCGCCCCAATCCGACAACGTCTCTTTATCCCGCATTTCCATTCGCTCCGGCGACTCCGTCCAGTCCTACGACACAGGTGAGCTTTCAACTTTAAACAATCTCTTTAAAACTTCTTTAGGGCATACTGTTCTCGCTGCTGACATTCGACTTCGACTGCATCAAGAAACTACCGCTTCTATGGGCGATCTCAGGTAATATGCTCAAGCAAACCTGTGTAAAAATCTGAGTCAGGGTCCAAAAAAGTCATGATATGAATCTGTTTTTTTATTCAGGCTCTTCAAGAATCCTACGTCAGGTTTTTTCATAGTTTGCCAAGCTCTTCTGAGGTCTTAAATATACTTTGAATAAATTCAGAATAAGTGCTCAGCTTCAACTCGAGTTAAGCTCCTTAGGTTTTTACCACCGAGCCTCGGTATCCAAGCTTATGGAATAAAAGAGTCTAATCTTAAGTGTTGCCGCTTATTTAAAAGAGTATCCTCCAGTCAGACACAGATCGATGATTAAAAGTGAAAAAGCGGATCCGAAGTAATGATTGTTTAGAATTGACCCGGATGATCCCTCCGCCGCGGCGCTGAAAGAGCCCTTCGCCGAGAAAGAGCGCAAGATCCGCGAGGCTTCGCCCTATGGCCACCTCAAGAACTGGAAGCTGCTGCCCATCATCGTCAAGTGCGGTGACGACCTGCGCCAAGAGATGCTCGCCTACCAGCTGATGACGGCGTTGAAGGCGGCTTGGGACAAAGAAATGACGAAGATCTGGATCAGGCCGTACAAGATCCTCGTTACTGGGCCCGACTCGGGCATTTTGGAGCCGATCGTCAACGCGCCCAGTGTCCACCAGATCAAGAAGATGGAGCCTGGCGGACTGCAGGCCTACTTCATCAAAGAGTTCGGCGCCCCCACTTCCGAAGGCTACATGACGGCGATGAACAACTTCGTCCTCTCGTGCGCCGGCTACTCGCTGGTCTGCTACCTGCTCCAAGTCAAGGACAGACACAACGGCAACATTCTGCTCGACTCGGAAGGTCACATCGTTCATATTGACTTTGGCTTTATGCTCAATAGTTACGCGTTCTCAAATTAAAGACAACAATCAGGCGTTCGCCAAGGACTCAGTCATAATTGAAGCCTAGCAATTAGAATTAAAATCAGCGAAGAAATGAGAGTTCGACTGAACTAGATAACTCTAAGTGACCGCGAAATTGATCCTGGTTAGAATCGAGAATCGGTTTATTTTCAAACCAGTGACTTTCTCGATTTATTTCGCTACCAGAAGATTGAACTTTTTGTCGATTTCTTAGAAACTCGGGACGACATCCTGTGTAGAAACCTGAGTTCGCGGTTGAAAGCCCTATCAGGACCCTGACTCAGGCTTCTACACAGGCTGTCGAACGAGTTTAGTTATTTTCGCAGTTTTGTGGCACTGCCGTTGTTTAATTATTAGCCGATCTGTGGCCACCAAGGTTTCACTTGAACTAATCAAAAGCCGCATTTTTTCTGGCAGCGAGAAAGCAGCATAAAAGGCATTACGAAAGTAGAAAATAATCGTCTTGCCTCTGCCAGATTACTGTAACGATTTGGAACGCGTCAAAGTTCGCCTGGCAAGAACTTGGGCTTTGAGCAATCCGCTTTCAAGCTGACAGAGGACATGGTGGAACTGATGGGAGGGATGGAATCCGACAAGTTCCGCTATTACAAGGTCTTGCTAATGAAAGGACAGGCGCCAGAGACATTTATTTGTGTGTGTGTACGAGCGCGCATATACCGTCTCTTCTCGCGACGCCTTGGAAGGGCTGAGAGCGGCTGCCAAGCACAGGGACAGTATCGTCACGCTCGCTGAGGTATCAATTCAGTAGCCCGAAAATCAATTCGAAAATGACTTTTTGAGGTGGCTCAGTGTGGTCCAAGACTCAGCTGCTTCACTTCCAACACGGTCAAGCAGTTCCAGGAGCGCTTCCTGCTCCAGACTCCGGACGACCAGCTCACCTTGATTATCGACTCCATGGTCGAGGTAAGCAGCCACTTTCACGAAAAACGCGCTTTTCACGAATTAAACAGGGGTCGGTGAACTCGTGGACGACGAAGCTCTACGACCAGTTCCAATACTTGACCAACGGAATTCTGTGAACTCGACTCTTTTTCTTGATTTTCCGGGCCTGGTGCAACGCTGGTTTCTGTTTAAAACTACTATTACTATCTAAATATGAAATTTAAAACTATTCATTTGCAATAAAGAACAATTCGCACTTCTAAAACTTCCAAAACTGAAAAATGAAATAACTCCCGAATTTCGGGGGAGATATTTTATTTTTTATGCGATCTTGATGTTACATCTATTTTTCTTGGAGATGAATTTCATTGAATTAATAATAGCCTCCATGAGATGCATGCATTATTCTGTCTGTATTTTCCTTCGCCTGGTTTTTATGCAAAAAAGAAGCCCTGGGAGACAAGTAAAAGCACAAGGGAATAGCTATTAGCCCGTAAGTCAACTTCTTTTATCAGCAAAGTCGAAATAACTCCTCATTTTACTGCATCTTCATCAAGTCGTTTTCTTGCACTGCCCGGCGGCGAGTGTAGGGGGCGCTCGAGCAAGCTCTCATTCTTATCCTCGCATCCGAAACAGAAGAAGGAAAAGAGAAGTTAGCAGGAGTTTCTTCCTTTTTTTGGCAGAGAAGCGAGAAACAATGGGAGACGCATTAGAGAACATAAGATATATCGACAAGAATCAAATACCCAGGCATGGATTTCCAATTTTAAGAAACTCCGTGTCAAATATCTTCAAAAACTCGCAATATCGAAATTCAAATCAGCGATGAAGGGCAACTGCTGGACAATTTTGTTGCCCCGATTCTTTATGCCAAGGTTACGCAAATTTGCCATCAGAAATATTTCGACCAAGATTTCGATTAGAATTTATTTTACACTATTAATTTGACACTATTATTACATTAATTAGAAATTACTTAACGTTTAATTATCGATTTAAAAAAATTTTTATGGAGAGAATTCTCAGAATCTTGGTCAAAATCAATCTCTGACTAAGATAAAAAAACTTTTTCGCACTTTATTTTATTTGAAAAAGTCAGCCCCTCCAAGACTTTTTCCAAGACTCAACATGAATCTTCCCAAGTGCATATTTACTGTACTTGCAAGTGTCAAAAGTAAAGTTTGCTCAACCTTGACCTGGCAATTATCAGCATACTCGGAGTCGTCGGCAATCTACTAATTATCGCGCTGATGCTCAAGCGAGGGCTCAAGACGGCGGTTGACATTTTGAAAGGGATTGTACATTTCTTAACCAGCTGGATTAGCTTACTTCGTCTTAGAGTGCATTTTCCACTGCGTGATTCCGGATAATCACTATTGCTCCTTTCTGCTGCAGGCTTTTTGCGTTATTGACATTCTAACTTGAGCGTGAAACTAATTCTTTATTATCGCTTTTTAGTGTCAAAATCAGCTTGGCCAGCAGCATAAGACCCCCATATGTTTTTAAGGCGCTAATGAATTAAAGCCAGATTTAAACTCAAAAGAAGAAAAGAAACAGTAAAAAAGGGCGGAAGAGGGTGAACCTGCGGGACCGTTTCAGTACATATCTGAGTCCATTTTTAATTGATTCGGAATTGAATTCGTCCAATTAAATTTTCAACGCTGTGGTATTGCACTTGAGAAGGAGAACTAAACGGCAGTAACGCTCTATCTACAGCTCAGTGTGTGTCTAATCGAGCAATTTACAATTCAGGCGAGATTTTGAATCTGTCCGCGGCCGACTTTCTGTACTGTCTTGGGCAAGGGCTTTGATAATTTCTCGAGTTATCGCTTTTGAAAACAACGAAGCGACCTTAAAAATGGATGAAGGCGCATCATTTATACCCATTTACATGTGTAAGCATTATTATTAATGTACAGTAGTTATTTACAGGAGAAGATCAAAGCCAACACAGACTGCCCATTTGGGCGAATGCTAAGGTCCTCGATTTTAGCAAGATTAATTCGCCGAGAACTTAAATCGTGACTTGCCATCAGATCTCTTTCGCCTGCGTCGCTGGAATCTCGGCAACGCCGCCTGCAAGGTCTTTTCTGGAATATCGCTGCTCAACCTCTACGGCTCGGTCTACTTCTTGTCGATTATGAGCATAGACCGGTACATCGCAGTCTGCCATCCAATACAAGTCAATAGGGCTTTCCAAATCAAGTTGTTAGTTAAAATAAAAAGGGTTAAACCAATTTATGGAAGTGATTTTGTGGATCAGGGTTTTGATTGGCCGGCAGGCCAAATACAGCAATCTTATTGGTAATCCAAAAATACACTTTCAAAATTGCTTTAGACCGAATAAAAAGGGTTGAAATGAATTGGTAGCCCACTCTAAGCGAGGAAAATCAGGACGATCACATATGGCTGGCTTCTGGCCTTAATCGCCTGGACTTTTTCTTTGGGCCTGTCTAGTCAAGGTACGGATTAGTTTCTGCAATTTCGCCCCTCAATCCATATTTCAGCAATCTTCTTCCGCACAAAAATGATCTACAAGTACGACCCAGTCAAATACTGCCGCGAAGACGACTCAACCGACGATTTCAACCAGACAAGTTCGAACAACTGCGATCTGCTCGCCACAGAAACGATCCAGTACTCGCGATGCGTTTGGGACTTTTCATCGAGAAAGATGTCGCAGATTTTCTTAATTGGACGCATGGTGACGGGTTTCCTTTTGCCGATTTTGATCATTACTGTGAGCTACGCCTTCATTTGGAGAACCGCCTCCAATTTGCAGTAAGCCGCCTTTTTCGAGTTTCTCCCGTAGTTACTCAATCTTTTCAAAATAGGAAATCGTCGAGTGCGAGCAGGAGCAAAAGAGTTAACCGAATGATCGCCTGCGTCATCGCTTCTTTCGTCGTCACCTGGACGCCCAATCACTTGCTCACGCTCTCCATGCTCTTGATCGACAAAAACCAGCCTTGGATGTTCTACTGGAACTCCGTTACTCAGGTATTCTCTCCTTATTTGTGCTCGGCAACCTGTGTGGAAAACCTGAGTCAGGCTTTGAAGAGTGAAGGGATCCTAGCTTCTGCTGAATCTCCCACTTCTAGCGTAGTTTGCCTGCTCTCTATATCTGGACGAGTGAAGAAAACGAGTAAAGTATCTTTGACGTCTGTATTTCGAGCTGGAGTAAAATAGAGGTTAATTCACGAACTGCGTGAATTACCGAATGAAGAGAAATACACGGCGGCGACCGAGCAAAGCTCGATCTAGATAAGCAAGTGACCTTAGGGGACGAGGGAGTCTAACGAATCTAAGATCCCAATACCCCCATGAGACTGAAACGTCCTCTAAGGCCAAAGTGTGTGATTTTTGCAGGAGTATAAGCGTAAGATGAGTAACATGGCAGGTTCGAAACGTCGAGGCAGTCTGATTCGCGTTAAAAACCCTTTTTGGGAAAAAGCTTGAATCAGATGCGAAGTTTTCGTGATGTCCGAGCGGTGATGACATGAAGGAGTAGCTGCACATGTAGAAGAACTCAAAATACGTCGGCGACGGTAAACTGTGATAATTTCCGTACCTTTTCAGGCCCCGGTCGATGAATAGGGGACCTGAGTGGGGCAGTACTTGCGCTTAGTCGTATGACTGACCCGAGTTTGTGCCGATGTTTAGAGGTTCGACGGGCCTCGTTTCACGGTGTGCTCGTTTTGTATGTTTCGGGAGATGAGCTGCTCCAACTTCGGTTAAAGTCGCATTCGGATCGGCGCCGGCTGAGTATTGACGATCTGGTGAAGACTTTGGACGGGTTCTTTTCTTGCTGTTTTCAGTTGCTGAGCCCTCAACTACTGTTGAATTATGTTTATCGACTGACATATGGCTATTGTCGGGCGCAGCAACCTCCGAAATCACTGTAGCATCAGCTGACATGTCCTCGGCAGTTTCATAAAGAGTACCACCAGAGTACCAGCGATCTGACGGCTCGGCTGGAGCTACCGACGAGTCCAAAATAGATGTAGCGGTTGTATCTCCCAGATTTTCCATGTCCAATCGGCGTCTACTTTCCAAAATAGGTGATAGAGATGATCTTGGCGGTTTTTCCATAGCAACCATCGGAGTCGACGCGACCTGAGAAGATTTCCTCCCCCCATGCGACTTCGACCCGGACTTTTCCATCGGTTTGGAAGTAGGAACAGGCGATTTTTGTGGGACTTTCGACTTAACGATTTCGGTTAAATGTGGGAATACGTACTCGGCCTCGTAGTAATCAATCCAGCGTAAGTCGTGATTTCGTTCTGCGGCGTGAACCACGTGTTCTCGATGGATGAAATCACGTTGTCCTTTTTTATCTTCGACCATGACGACCCAGTCGTTGCTCGAAACGGCTTTCAGGGGACCTACCCAGCGTTCCTTCTTGCTTTTAGCGTCGGTCAGGTTTTCTCGCTTAATGTACACGACAGCGCCAGCGGGGATTGGTCTCGGCTTAGGCTCGTTTTTCAGCCTGTGCTCCATGGCTCGGTCAGCAGCTTCCATCGCAGTTTTCACAATGGCTTCCGCCGATTTCGCTAAAGCTCCCACATTGAGACCAAACACCTGAGGTGTTTCCGCTGTCATTTCTGCGCCAGTAGAGTGGGTGAAAGTACTTTTTCGGCCAAACCAAACTTCTCGCGGTGAAATTTTCGTGCTTTTGTTTTTCACACTATTGAGCGCGCGCATCACGTGGGGAACGCAGTCGGCCCAAGTTTTTCGACCGGAAGATGAGTTGACCATGCAGAATAGACTGTTTTTGATAGTCCGATTCGCTCTTTCTGCGAAAGCGTTTGATTGAGGGTGAAATGCGGTACTTATTGTATGTTTTATCTGGTTAAGCTTACACATTTCGTCAATCACGCTTGCGCAGAAGTGGGTACCTCTGTCACTGTGTAGATGTTTCGGCAAGAAATCCATGGGAAGGAAGACCTTGTAGATGAGCGCTTTTGCAGCGCAGATAGCAGTGTCGGACCGCGTCGGAATGCACCAAGTGTAGCGAGAGAAAGTGTCCGCCACCACCAAATAATACTTGAATCCGCCAGCGGGAGGCATACAAGCGAAATCGATCTGAATCGATTCGCCAGCTGTTTTTCCACGACGAAGGGTTCCAAGTGGCGGTTTGGTACGAGTTCCAGCAGATCCTTTTCTGCGTAGGCAAGGGACGCAGCTGTGGACGTAGTTAGAAACATCGTCTTGAAATGAAGGCCACCAAACGTCCTCTAATCGCTCTAAAGTCCGCGGCTCGCCCAGATGACCGGACAAGTCGTGAGCTAGAAAGAGAAAGTGACTTTTTACCGCTTCCGGTACCACCGCCCGCGCGCCAGATTTGAATTGACACATCAAGCACCCGGTAGTGTTATCCAGGAACAGAGCTTTTTCCATCTTGAGTAGAGACGATTGTCGGTGGTCGGAGTCCTTCACCAGCGATTTTATGTCCAGTGGCTCCTTACCAGATTCCAGAAAAGTGATGATTGCACTCAGAGCAGAGTCCTCCCTTTGATAGTCCAGAATGTTATTATAATTCGCTGACACCAACGGAATCTCCATTGGCGCCGCGATAGCCTTGACGTTTACCTTATGTATCTTCACCTCTGATAAAGTGATTTTCTCCGGAAACTGATTTTCGTTCCAGAAAGGGACGAAGACACGTACTGGTGAATTCTTGTCGATTTCGTACTCGCGACCAACGGGAAACTCAGAGTCGTATCCAAGTGATTTGTCGTCCTCGCCAGGTCTGCGGCTCATAAAGTCGGCGAATTGATTTTCTGATCCCTTGATGTAGACAATGTGAAAATCGAATTCTTCCAATCGGCTTTGCCATCGGCTTATTTTAGAATTCTTGAACTTCTTTTTGTGTAGGAAGATCAAAGATCGGTGGTCTGTGTGAATCTGAAAGAATCTACCTTTCAGGAGCTTTTCCAGTCGCTCGCAGCACCAGACAATGCTAAACATTTCCTTTTCTGAAGTGTTCCATTTTCTTTCAGCTTTGTTGAAGGTGTGGGAAATCGCGCTTACTAGGTGCACTCTCCCGCCATACTCTTGTAGCAGGACGCCACCCGCTGCGTACAGGCTCGCGTCTGTGTAGAGATGAAAAGACTCGTCAAAGTTAGGAAAACTTATGACTGGAGTCTCGGAGAGTCGTCGTTGAATTTCCTTGAGCGCCAAATCCGCTTCTTTGGTCCACTTGAAACAATTTGTTTCGTTCGCCGAATTTCGAACATCGTTTATGGGCTTCATTCTGCTCGAGAAGCAACCGGATGAAATAGCTTCGCCCATTTTCGTTTCTAGAAAACCTCGGATCCAATTCAATGACCCGATTAATGAAGCTAACTCCTTTTGGGAGCGTGGGGGTTTCATCTGACGAAGAGCGGAGACTTGCGCAGGGTCCGGTTTGATTCCATCTTCGTTGATGATTCGGCCCAAAAAGTGAGCTTCGGATTGTAGGAAAGAGCACTTTTCGCCCTTGAGTTTAGCGTTAAACTTGCGGAGCGCGATGAATAGGTTTCGGAGAGTGTTGTAATAGCAGCTGAAAGTCTTCCCAAAACACACTATGTCATCGATATAAGAAAGCATCTTTTTCCTGGTGGGGCTTGAGTCGAGAATTGTGTTTACGACGCGCGAGAATATATTCCCCGAGCATCGATAACCGAATGGTAGTCTGCAGAAGGCGTAAGATTTCCCACCCCACTGGAAGGAAGTCTTGTACCTGTCGCTTTTCTTTACAGGGCACTGCCAATATCCACTTCGTAGATCAACTGTGGCGAAAAACTTATTGCCCGGTCCAATGTTCGCAATCGTATCCTCCATGCTTGGGAGATGGTAAGGGTCGGATTTGTCGGAGAGGCATTTGTTCAGGCTGTTTTTGTAGTTGATGCAGAAGCGCATTTCCCCAGATTTCTTAGGAATAGGCAATACCGGGCTGTTAAACCCTTTCTGGTCTTTGATCTCTTCTATTATTTTCGTTTCGAGCAGTTCGGAGATGTGATCGCTGACCTGACCATGAAAAGCTTGCGGAATCGGGTGTTGACTGATGTTTCGACTCGTACCATCAGTCGGGATTTCGATCTCGAACGGGAATTCACCCATTTTTTGACCGTCGCAGCCGAATCTGTCGTCGAATTCCAAACACAGCTCGGCGACCACCTTCTTTTGCCCCGGGTCGGCGTTTGCTGGTAGGGTAATTCCGAGTTTTTGCTTCGCTAGCTGAATGGGGCACCTGGCTGCGTTCTTGTTAGGTGCGTCCAGCTTTGGGACTTTTGGTGGCGGTTGAGTGCGGGATCGATCGCTATCCTTGACCGCTGATCTAGTAGTCAAGTATTTCTTGATTTTGGTCCGCTTCACTCCGTCCAGCTTCACCACTTGAGTCTCAGTTTGTGTGAAGGCTTCGTTGTAGCAAAATGAGAGAGTACGATTCTTATTGTCGACTGTGAAGCTGTCCGTCATCGCATTCTCTAGTATATCGCGGCCCAGTAGACTTGGGTATTTACTGCCTGGCATAATGGTGAGATTCAGGGAGAATGCAGGGCCACCATTGAATGATAAGCGGCAGGGAAGGATACCCATCGGCTGCTCGGCGGGAATATTTGGGCTGAAACCGGTGACCTTGAAGGGACAGGGCTTCAGCATCTGGAGAAATTCGTCGGGAACGTAAGCAGCGGACAGACAGGAGGACTCGGCTCCGCTGTCGACTTCCATCGATACGTCAAAACTTTTAGAGCCCGTAATGATGGTAGCCGAAGCGAAATAAGCCTTTCCTGGTCGCTTCTTCTTCACTGTGTAAAAGTGAACGTCGAATGGTTGGAAATCTTCAACGTTCTTAGTCGTATTTATCTTCTTGGATTCTGGTTGTTTATCGTCTTTCCCATCCTTAGAATCGTTGCTGGCGCGCTTAGCATTCTTCTTCTTTTTGTTCTTATTTCTGTTGAAGTGCTGGGAGACGGTCGCGCTGTCAACTCGATTCTGTCTTGTGGATTGGGCGAGACGGCAGAGTTCGTTGATATCGTAAACTTTTGATAGGCTTGGAAGGATTGCGTTGAAAACGTCTGGTTCTTCTTTCCTAAGATTCAAGTACAGCATCATCGTCGAGAATATGTCAAATATTTCATCGACCCCGGCGTCGGCTGACTTCTCTTGTCGGTAAGAGTTCAAAGTCGCTTGCTTCGCCTCGTTCATCTTTTGCAAGACGTTGGCGGTGTAGTGTGCAAACGGCTTCGAATGGTCGTATTCGACGTCGAAAACTTCGCTTAGCTTCAGTAAGTAGTGACTCTTCGCGGCGAATGATTTCTCTAGCAGCGCCTTGGCCGATTTCCAGTCTTGACAATTCAGAAATTCGGTTCCAAGTGAGCGTTCGATGTTCAAGTCGAAGTGGCTGTACACTGCTGCGATGAAAGGCTGTTCACGTGAAGGTCTGTCGCGGACGTAGGCGCGGTGATAAATGTCGGCTCTGCCCAAGAAGGTGTTGAAAGATGTGTTGCATGCGGCGTCCAGCTTCGGCAAGTCTTGGACGTGACGAGACCAGGTAGTGGCCACCCATGCTTCTTCTCTCATTGTCGCATTCGTAGAGTCTTTTCCTTGATCGAGCTCGCAGGTAAGAAGCGTTGTACTGAGCTGTTCTAATTTTACTCTGCTTTCTGTGATCAAGGGCTCTAGGCTTGGCTTTAGTGATTCGTCATTTCGCACTTGTTCTTCGAGGTAGTTTACTCGATCGTTTATGCTTCTTATTTCGGTGACGGTTTCTAGCAGTGATTTGTTCGCCGCCATAGCTCGAAATATATCGGCAGTAAGGGTTTATGGGCCTTGGATTACCTTTCAGGCCCTCAGAAAATACTGCGACTAAAAGTCGCAATATGATGAGCTGAGGTGCCTTTTGCGCAAACGCCCGACGATTTCTCTGTCCAGCGATTGTCGAAATTTCAAGGTCTGGTCCAAGGGTCGATTCTTCGTAAACTTCTCTCGATTTTTGGTGAAAAGTGGCGAAAGAATTATGTTTTTCTCAGTATTTTAGGTTTTCCCCGGCGTGCGTGCGTGGTTGCGTGGGCGCGACTTTCGGCGCGTGGGTCGTGGTGGCGCTCGTGTGGTGGCGCTCGCTCGGGGTGGTGTTGGTGTGGTGCGGCGCGGAAAATTCTCTGAGTGGAGTTTCTCCGGCGGCGCGGTGGCGGTTGGTGATTCGGTTCCCCTCGACTCCGCTGACGGCCAATCAGCGTCCAAGTTGCGAAACTTCGGTTGTCGATGGCGGAAAATTTACCTTTTCTCCAACGGGACTACTCTGATACCACTGAAGGGATCCTAGCTTCTGCTGAATCTCCCACTTCTAGCGTAGTTTGCCTGCTCTCTATATCTGGACGAGTGAAGAAAACGAGTAAAGTATCTTTGACGTCTGTATTTCGAGCTGGAGTAAAATAGAGGTTAATTCACGAACTGCGTGAATTACCGAATGAAGAGAAATACACGGCGGCGACCGAGCAAAGCTCGATCTAGATAAGCAAGTGACCTTAGGGGACGAGGGAGTCTAACGAATCTAAGATCCCAATAAGAGCGAAAGTGAAAAGCTGCGTAGCGGCTTTTGAAAACGAAGCCGCAAAGCGGCTTCGCCAAGATTTTCAAGTACATAAGAGTGATTGTGTTGCTACGCGGCTTTTCATTTTCGCTCTTCAAAGCCTGACTCAGGTTGCCGAGCTCAGCGGCCACCTGAGTAGAAAACTGGTTTGTTACCTTGTTTAGGTGTTCGCCAGTGTTTCCGCCATTGCGAATCCGATCATCTACGCCTTCACTCGTGGGGATCTACGTCGCGTCGGAAAAGAGTGGTACCACTCCTCCATCAGAAGTCATTTGCCAAAAAGAACATGCTGTTCTTGCTCGATTCCCCAGCAGAAAGCGGTAACTACAACACCAAGATAGATGACTTATGGCTTGAATTCAGGAGTCGGTGCAAAACAACCACGTGATCGAGCCGTATTACGAAGACACGGACTCGGACGACGCGCAGCAAAATGTAAAAAGTGCAAAATCGTCATGTAAAAATGGAAACACAACTCAAATGCCAAGATTCGAGATCGAGGGTTTTCGCGACTCCAGCGACGAGAAGCTTCATCGACTCTGCTCTGTTCACGAATTCAATCTCACTAAACACGGACAAACAATCATTTTCCAGCGAAATAAATAAAATTCCACCGTTCCAAGTTATTTCGGAATTCAATAATTGAAATCTACTTGATCGAAATCTAAATTTAAAAAACAAGGAGCTCCAAGAAGAAGAATCGAGCTTCGAAATGAATATCTGATGGCAGAAGGACGGATTCAATTATGCATCTTTTTATTGGAGTCGTCGGCCACATACGGTAACTGGCGATTTGGAATGATAATGCTCAAGTCGTCTAAATTGGCCAGCGCTGATTAGGAACGCTCATCGCGGATTACAGTTAATAATTTATTCTAAGCCTGCGGCTCAATGCGTTTTTATTCGAAATGGAGAATCTTTGCTTTAGAATTTTTGTCTTCCTTGATTTCTGTTTAAAAAATGGAAAATAATGCTCCGATTTTAGCAGTACCTTCTTTTTGTGGGTAAAAATATTCTGTTTATTACAGCAAGCGAGGCAGGTGATAATAGATGGGCAGTGAAAACGGGCTCGCTATAGTTTTACTATTTGCGGTTCATGTCCGCGATGAGCTTCTCCGCGTACTCCTTCAACATCACCGCCAACGCATTCATACGCTCGCCCTCTTCGGCAAGTTCCTCGGAGTCCTTCATAACCTTTTCCACGTTTCGGCGCAGATCTTCCCGAGCCTCTAAGTGCTCGTCGAATTGCTTCTTGACGGCCTGGATTTCTTCGATGCTTTCTTCCACCCGCGGCATGAGTTGAGAAATACTCGCAAATTTCTAAAGAAAGAAATCATTTCAGTTGAATGAATTCCGTCAATCCTACCTCTCTCAACTTCGCCATAACATCCGGCAGCAGGTTGGAGCTTGGACGAGTCTTTGCCGGCTTTGACATTTTGGGAGGAGGCGCCAAGTTCAAGTCGGCTGGGCTGCTGCTGCTCTCGACTGGCAAATCCGGAGTCGAGCCTCTTGAACCTCTCATTTCCCCGGAAACTTTACTTGAGGAACTGAAAAAGAGTTATTAGAAAAAAGCAAGTTAAAATATTGAAGCGTACTTTTCCTCAGTCGCCCGCGTCCGCTTCAATTTCAACTGGCAATCCTCGAGACCTCTGCTGAGTGGAGCCAATTCTGAATCGCGCCGTTCCAAGTCGGAAAATTTTAACTCTATAACTTTTGTTCAAACTTAAAGCATGGTAGAGACAGTTACCTTTCTTAGCGCTGGCGGGAGCTGGACTGGCAGCTGTAGCTTCGAAAGAGGAACTTTCCCCTTCCTCTGCGGTGAAGAAAAAGGCCCTTCTCTTTTGAGCACGTCTTCAATGTTCTTTCCGTGAAAGCTGGAGTTTCTATTGAAGAATATCGTCACATGCTCGTCATATTCCATCTCCAAATGGACGACGACCTTGAAACAGATTTTAATCAAAAACAATGACAAGATTCAAGCTTACATATTTCTCACTAATTTTGATCGTTGCGCTCTCCGTCTGGTGCTTGAAGATGGGAAAGAACTGGGCCTCGAAATCTTCGACCATGACCATCATCAGCGCAAATTTTCTTTGGAAGGAGAGATACGCCTTTTGATACTCCGTCTTTCCGTACATCACTTTTTCGACCTGATCAAAAGCGCTGATCGTTTGGAATCTTCGACAAAGTTCCACAAGACTAGATTCTTTCTCCAGAAGCTTTGCGAATTCCTCAAAGTTCTCGAAGATTTCTTCTCGATTCTTTGCTCCATCATCTGAAATGAAGTTTAATTCCAGAAGATACTTTGTAATCGGTGCTCGCAATCTGCGTAGAAAACCTGAGTCAGGGTCAGAAATTTCTCTAATTAAAAGCCGCAAGAATTTAACCTGACTCAGGTTTTGTACACAGGTTGCCAAGTCTAGGCTTTACTCACACAGAATCTGAAACAATTCGAAGCCAGCGACTTGAACAGGCGCTGGTTGCTCTTGACCAAGAATCAGGTCGACTATTTTCTTCGCCATCGATTTTTCTGGCGAGTATTCGTCGCTATATCGGATAGGATATCCCCATGTTAGTTTGATGAGCATCGTTAGTTTGATGAACTCCAGGTGCTTTGATGGCAGCTTCAGCTCTTTCTTGATGACTAAAATTTGAAAGTAGCTTTTTAGTTGAAAGTTTCAGGCAAAAACTTACAGAAATCGTCGAAAAGAGCCCACATCGCCCGGAATAGTCCCCGACGAATCTCGGCGCTTCTATCAAAGTACCAAAGATCGAAAACTCGTGCAAGAAGATGCTGCGTCTTCACATACTCGTCGTCTGATTGCGACTCTGCGTATTTCTCGATGCCACTAAAAAGAGAAATGACACGCGTTGAAGGGAAAACTGCTTTACCAGATGAGCTGTTTGATGAATCGGGAGAGCCAGACTGCTTCGAACTCGGTTTCGTCAGGTCTTTCTCTGAGGAATCGTTTGATAATGTCAATGACAACGTCGGGCCCATAATCTTCCGCGTAGAAGACTTTTTCGTCGGTGATGATGTCCGCAAGGAGCAAAAAATCGTCCTCGCCCTAAAAGGAAATCAACGAAGAGTACACAATTTGTTACTTACCCAGCCTTCGCCGAGCGGTCCGTCAATCACAGCTTCAACCAAGGTCTCCATTGTGTAACCCTTGATACTGAACACTTCTATTATCGACGGACCGGAGTAGCTTTCCGTCTCTTCCCCCGAAAACTCAGAACCGTTTGATGAAGAATCCATCTCTCTCTCTTTTTCAAACTGAAATGATCGAGCTCTTTCGCTTCGAGTGAAGAAATGGGAAAGCTAGGTCTAGGATCGGGGGTGATCGCTGGAGATCCGAAATGAGGCGCTCGAGAGGAATCACCAATGAGTGGAGCGCGGGTTGTTTGGATCTCCGATTGCGTGGAGATCCGCGCGATCTCCACCCCGAAATTGTGGTGATCGATCACCACTCTCGATCTCCACTTCTTGAAGATCCAAAAATTTTCGATCCCCGAAGTCGGATGAGTCACGTTATAACAATCTTATGCCTGCCTACTGATATCAGAAGCGACTGACCGGATCAACTTAAAAATCTCAGTCAATACTAATTCTGCAGTGCAGATTTCAAATCTTTTGTCAAAACAAGTGCATGGATTGTAATTTTGGATAAAAAATGTACTATTTAATATCTCTGCTCGAGTATTTTTCTCAATAGGATGGTTTTCAAAATTTTTCAACACTTGAAATCACATACTTCTAAAATTGGTTCGGTTTCTATTTCCAAAGACTCAGCTCGGCGGGTGAGCGATAATTTCTTGAAGATTAGCATTAGAAATTACTATTTTCTGAGATACTGACCTGCAAAGTCCCTGCAAAATATGAATTTAATCGAGAAAAATCCATGCTCGAGAAAATTCAGAGCTTCGATCTCCGAAAACTGGAGATCGAAAAAACGTTAACTTCTCAATACACGTGGTCGGTTGAACCGACCACGGCGACTTTGAGCCGCCGTAATTTCTCTTGTGATAATCCATTTGACCTGATTTTTGTAATGTGAGCTTAGATGACTAAAACGAACCATTTTGTGAAATTTCGGAAGTTTTCTCAAAAGTGGAGGCGTTTTGCACCGGATTTATCTTTCACTCTGCAGCTGAAAATCCAAAAAGTATTTTTCAAAAGTAATTGTAAATCTTGATAGCTGAGTGTTCAAGCTTTCCAGCGATATGTATTGTAACTTTTTTGCTTGCCGCAAACGCAAGTTAGAGCTAAAAGTCTTGAGCGCTCTTTATCACACTCCGAATTTTGCGCGCCGCGCGGGGCTGAATAATGCATTGTGGTCCCCTCACCCGACCCCGTGTTTTGAGCGCTTAGTCGCGCGTCCGTGTATTGATTTCGAGAATCTTTTTTCTTCCTTGATTTCAAAAAACCTGTATTTAGTAAATTTATTTTGCTTGTTTATTTTTCTCAAGATATTGCACAGATTTTTCCTCTAGGGTCGGACTTAGCTTTCCTCTTTTCGCTGCCGCGCCTGTCAGGTGGCTTTTGCTTCCGCTGCGACATCTTCTTCTTCTGCTCTTTTGGCGTCTCGCAAGTTGGAGAAGCCGTTTTCTCGCTTTTCTCGGTCCCCGTTCTCGTCAAGTTTCCAGAGGAGCCGTCTGTTTCGTTGCTGGAGTCGCTGTCCGACGATTTTCTGGATGAAAAAAATGGTTAATTGAATTTTGAGTTTTGAAAAAAGAACCTTTTTTCGGAAATACTTTCGGCGGTGGAGTCATTTTCCATCGTCGTTCCTACCAAAGAAATTGCCAGGGACGGTTTTAGGCCCTAAATTTTATAAATAAGGGTCTCCCCGGCTTTTAATTAAAGATCCTTCAAGTGAAAATCCTGAGTCAGGATTTTTTCAACACAGGTTTCCAAAGCAGGTTCAGCTCGGTGATTAAGGGTGTCAACAATGATCAAATAAGGGTCTGTCTTAGGATTCGACAAAATCGTTGTTGACACCCTTAATGCAAAGTTTTCTTCCTAGAAAAACTGTATTTTTTTGTTACCTTTACAGAACAGTACTTCTGCCGCCTGGAAATGTCCTTGGTCGCTTCCAAGTAGTGACAGTAGTGGTGCACCTCTTGCGGGAGGAGCGTGTTGTTGTGTCTTTTCAAGTAGCGGAGCTTGGCGACGTGCTTGTATCTGCTGAAAGGAGGGAGGTTCGGGACGATGTCCATTTTAAAGGCCCACTGGGTGCACTTCTTCACTTGCTCGCGGAAGCAGTTGACGAACGCGCGGTTGCCCACTTTTGGCGCGCCGAAGGTCGTGCATTCTACCTCGATGTCGTAGCCAACGTAGGGCAGCGGCTTGTTCATCTGGAGATCGAGGGTGCACTTGCGAAGGGTCAAGCCAGGGCAAGCTCTATTCTACGATTTGCTCTATTCGGCGATTTGCTTGTTCCTGCTTTGATTGCCCAGCGTCAGTGACTGATGAGTTATTAGCCTCGGCACTAATTACAACTCGAACATGGAGCAATCAAGCAAAACATTTTTAATATTAATAGGCGACCCCTTTGTCAGAATCGCCAGCGCGCCGCCCAGCGAGTGCCCCACGCAGCTGATTGTCAAAGTACTTCCGCTCTTTTCCTCTTGCACCGCGCCACCGCCAAAGAGCCGCTTTTCCAGGCAAGAGTGCACTTTTTTCAGGTTTTTTTTCGTTGGGGTATGAACCCCCTTTCTTTATAAAACCCGTTGCCTTTGTCCCTTACTGCTGCGTATTGCTGAAGAAAGCCAGAATGAACGAGGAGCACCGGCTGGTCCAAATAATGAAATTTCGTCTGATTGAACTTCAAGTCCTGGAAATTTGAATTTCTGCTCTGAGCGTTTTCGGGTTTTTTACTTGTTTGATGTCCTGCAGCGAGAAACCATCTTCTGCAGTTGCTTCCGTCCCTCTCCAGGCAATTATCAAATTGCTTTTGTTCGAGAAGATGTAACAGTCTGTTCCGTACTTTTCGGAATTCACGTAGTCGAAATAGTTCTGAAAAGAAGTTGTTACAGTAGCTCGGCTTTGGAACCTGTGTAGATTCCTGTGTCAGGGTCCTGAAAGCTTCCAAAAAGTGACACAGGGCTGTTTTTTTGACAACGAAGCCAGAATTTTCGAAACAGCATAAGATGGAAAATTTGATGCCCTGTGTAAAAACCTGAGTCAGGGTAAAAGTCTGAGTCAAAAACTACAATCTAAATGTGTCTTCTTATTTCTGGCAAAGCCGCTTCGCGGCTTCGATTATAAAATAGCCGCCACGCGGCTTTGTATTCAAGCACTTTCAGGACCCTGACTCAGGCTTGTATACAAATTCCTGAGCTAATTTTCAGTCTGTTTGAGTTTGAAAAAAAGGCTCTTGTCTCGGGTCTGTGCTGTAATGTATAGCTTCTAATGCAAATAAGGCGCTAGTAGGATGATGCCAGTCTAATGTATGAAGAGGCCGCGTTGAGGCGCTGGCTAAGTGAATATTATGCGACTTGGGCGGCCTAGCTACCTGGGGATCATCCTGCGAGGGGTCCATGAAGCGCTCGATGATCTCGTGAACTTCGTGGCACTTGTACGATAGACTGCATCGATTGTTCTTTTCGACGGGACTGGCCAACTGCTCCTCCGACTTTTCCTAAAGCGAGCAAATCACGGAATATCGAGCTACTGTACGAGCTACTGAGCGCGTCAATTTTCAGAAAGCGTGCATTATTAAAAAAATAGTGAGCAGAATTTACAGTCGCTCAATTTCGTCATCGCTTTCATTCCCAGTCGCCAATATCGCGAAACAGAAATCGATCAATGAGCAAGTTAGTTTACCAAGTGACAAATGTGCAATTTCGTTTATTTTCGTTTTTGAGCCTTTCTTGGCTGAATAAGGGCGGCAAGGAATAAGGGCAATTAGGCCCCCGAAATGAGCGACTGTACTCTTCTTTTTCCCTCGCTGCGGAAATCAGTAATTAATCAGTACCTGTGAGACCCCCTTAAAGGTTGCCTTCTTCAGTTTCACATCGTTGACGAGGTGTTTGAGCTCTCTGACCTAAACTGGCCTCAGGAAGGTATGAAGAATACCTGAGTCAGGGTCTTGGAAAAGCCGCGTAGAAAAAATAGCCTGACTCAGGTTATCTCCACAAGTTAGCGAGCCCAGGACCTGTAGGTACGCCAGTCGTGCTATTCGCGCTGTTCAAGGCTCGCCCATTACTGTAATATTAGCGCGATTACTGAGGTACTAATCGAGCAGAGCCGCGTTTCTTTCTCGACGTACTGAGCGGTTTCCTCCTCGTTGACTTCACTCTCCGCCTCCATTTCCTCATTTCTTTCCTTCTTGCTCTTTTTGCGCGATTGCTTTCTCTTCTTGTCCGAATTTCTCTCACTCGCCTGGGGCGAAAAGTGCTCTGGCTCTTCTTGGGAACAGCGATCTTCTTCAAAAAATGAAATCTTGGCGGCTAAAGTGGCTTCGCTCAGGCAGAAGGAATCGCGAAAAAATGAAAAACGAAGCGCGCAAAGAAAAGTTGAGTAGTGGCGCCGTGCCCAGCCCGAGTAGTGGAGAAGGAAAAGGACGAAAAGGGCGAAAGGCGAAGACTTTGAGCTGTGGTCGATCGGCGCCAAACCAGAAACGCCGCGCCCAGGCCGCACCGCGCCACTCGCCCTGGACTGCCAGGGCCCAAGCGACCCGTTATGGAAGGAGCACGGGCTAATTATGCAGCGGATACAATCCCGCAACGCCTTTTAACAATGCCAATATTTTTGAGATTGGAGCAGATTCTCTTCTATGTCTTCAGAAAACTCAAAAATCGATCAAGGCGAAAGCTGTCTAGAATCCTGAGTCAGGAATCTCAAACAGGTTTCCTGTCTCAGGTTTCCTGAGTCAGGTTTTCAAACAGGTTTCCTGAGTCAGGAATCTCAAAAGGTTTCCTGACTCAGGTTTTCAAACAGGTTTCCTTGGGTTCGGCACCCTGTGTAAAAATCTGAGTCAAGGCATCAACTTCAACGCCCTGACTCAGGTTTTCAACACAGGTTTCCGAGCCCAGGGGCGTCCGCTACAGTCAGATTGAACTACTAATTGAAAGGGTTCCCCCGTAGCGAGCCAAATTTGAGAGCACAGTAGGCAGCTAACTCTCAAATTAAATCAGCTCGAGTCTTATCTCATTTCTATGGAGCGAGAATAGTAGGGCAAAATTTGTCGGGTTATTTTCTGTTCTCCAGGGAACGAGCAGGACTGGCAATTAAATAATAAATTAATTTTTAACTTCATCAACTTGGATTAGCAGCAAGCAAAACTAGGCTCGAACAAATGAGTCTATTAAGCTTTGCTGGGCTTATCCAAGGCCTAACTCGAATAATCAAAGGCCCCTTTGTTGCCGGACATGTCCGAAAAAGCACGAACGAATCAAGCAATTAAAATGACGCAAATACCAATTTAAAATAAAGCCCGTTTTAACATTTCGACAATGCGCCAATGTCCGTTGTTAATAACTCGCTGCCCTTCTCGGATCTACTGCATTGCACTTTATTATTCTTCATTATGCTGCATAATCTAGTCCAATATAGCCAGCCGCGCTAAGCAGATTTCGCTCTTTCTCTGCCACTTTCTCGCCAAAAACCTATCTGCGCTCAAATGCTCTTAAAATCACTCTCAGACAATAATTGCATTATAATCCGCAATTCAAGAATTTTGCATTTACGGGAGTAGATATCAAGAATCGGATTACCTGCTCAGTGTTTTCTTAAATTTTTATCATAGTGACCCCCTTATTTTTTCTGCTCAAAATTCATTCCAGGCAATTATCTCTTTCCTATGGGAGCCAAAAATTAAGATTTCTTGAGCTTTCGAGCTGATACAATGCAAATCGGGCACCTCCGATTGTCTCCAAAATGACCATTTTTGGAAAGTAAGCGATCTTCGACAAAAAAATTTTGTTAAAAATTTTTTTGAAATTTGAAATTTCAGCTTCCACAGGAAATAGAGAAAGGTCTAAAGTTTTTGTTTCGAAAGTAAAATAAGGGTGTTAATATTTTTACTTTGGGAGAAAAGTCTGACAGAAAATGGCGATTCTTGGTATCTAACCCCTTAAAGAATTCCCATTTACTAGTTATTTTTAGTGAAAATTTTTCATGTTGAATTTTTTAATCCTTGAAATGCTGTTTATATTCGAAAATAAGAGCTGGAATAGTCGGACAGCGAAATATTCGGAGCACCCGGTTTGCCCTACGGGAGGAGCTTGCTCTTGAATGCGTCCAAATACTCTTCTAGCTCTTTTTTTTCGCGGGAAAGAGATTTAATCTAGCTCCGAAATGGTGATTTTCATAACTGTTTCAATTTTGGGCCTGGCGCTGGGAGGCCTGAAAGACGAGACGGTTCACAAAGAGATCGACGAAAAAGGCGGAGAAATGGAACTCAAAAACGGCGCCAAGGTCATCGTCGAGAAAAAAGACGTAATCGACAGGAAATCGTTTTCTTTCGCGGTTTTGCCATCTGGCTCGGTTTTCAATGGGAAATTGGAACACGCCGCGGGCGAAGATTATTTGGCCCAGAGCTTTACTTTCAACAACGGTCTCATAAGAAGGTAGATTTCGCCAAAAAGAACTCTTCATTTGACTTTCTCTTCAGAGCGATGACTTCCCCAGTCGTTCTCCAAAAAAGCACGCGCAACAAAAACTTCGATCCTCTGGGAACAGCGACTTCCGGAAACAGCAGCAAAGTGTGGGACTATCACAACGAAACCGAAGCCGTGGGGGAGTACATGACCGACTATTATCTTCTCAAGCCGCAGAGAAACTTCAATCGGCCGATTACTGTACTTTTGCCGATCAAGCACGAGTTGAAGAGAAACTTTACTTATCACGTGTTCGTCGTCAGCCAAGGTAAGCGCAAGGTCATCATCTAGGCTTAACAACCTGAGTAGAAAACCTGACTTAGGGTGCAAATTCTGAGTCAAAAAAAAACGATATGAAAATTTTAATCTATTTGGTAAAATTCTGGCGAAGCCGCTTTGCGGCTTCGTGTATAAAATAGCCGCTCGTCGGCTTTATTAGAACCCTGAGTCAGGGTCCCTGACTAAGGTTAGGCTACCATTATTTTATCTCAAGCTATTTTTAACATTCTGGCGAAGCCGCTCCGCGGCTTCGGTTCTGAAAAAGCCGCTACGCGGCTTTTAATTAAGGCTCTTCCAGGACCCTGACTCAGGTATCTAAACAGGCTTCCGAGTCCAGACCACCAAACTCATCAGTTTCAAGCAATTATTTTTTTTTTAATTTTTCAGAATTCTCGCACCACGCGCCAGAACTGTCGACAGAACACGTGGAGCACTTTTTCGTAGAAGGCTGGGGCTTCATCAACTCGAGAGAAGGCTCGATCGAGCTTTCCGGCGGCTTTTTAAAGTTCGAAACGGCGATGGGCGGCTTGTTCGTCGCCGCCCAGTTCCGCGCAGAAAACGGTAAGAAACTCGAGTAAACGCTCTTCCAAGACGACGCTATTCCTCCTCTTCAGATCCATATGCGCTGGTCGGCGTCGCCAAGCCATCTGCTGGACGGCGCTTTGGCCTTGCTCTCGTCATCATCTGTTTGATCGTCTTGAGTGCAGTACTCGTCTACCGCTTCGGCTTCAGGAACAACGTCAAATTCACGGCGCCGCCGGCGCTCGCGCAAACTTTCAAGTAATTTTTCAATAGAAATCACGCTGATTAAGGGGGTACACATCATAAATAGAAATTTTCATGATTTTCTTTACTTAAAATCTATAATTTTTCTGAAACTTTGGTCTTCAAAAGAGCCGACTAAAAGCTTGAGTTTCTCGGGATAAATTAAGGGTATCACTATGCTAATTCCACAGAGAAAACAACGAAGTTTGTGACCTTCATTTTGGTCAAATTAAATAAGGGCGTCACAGTGTTAACTTTGTAAGAATAGTCTTCTGAAAAATGCCGATTTCAACGATACCCCCTTAATTAACACTCTTCTTCTTTAGTTATCTGTCCTGGCGAAAACTGACGACAAGCAATGCAGTAGTGTAAATACCGTATTATACGGTCCGTATATATTTCCGACGACAACAATTTGAACTGGATTATGTGGCGACATAATCAGCGAAAAAGCCGAATAAAGACTCTTCCTGTAATTAAAGATTGTAACCAATAAACTCTTCAAAGCTCGTTTTCTTTTGCTTTATTTTTATCATAAAAGAAGAAAATCATCTACTGGAGATCGGAAATCCAAGTAAGGGAGTTTTTATTTTTTTCAAACTGCGCGCTCTAGTGCGAGAGTTCCGTCGCCTCCGCCAATCAGAGAGCGCGCTTTTTTTCCGTGAATGTTCATTTTCTGGATTTCGCCGAAGAAAGATTTTAGAGAGAAATAGATGAATATGAAGATAGATAAATTTTCTGTTTTTATTTTCAATTAAAAAAGAGCAAAACTAAAACCTGTGTAAAAAACTGAGTCAGGGTTTGTGACGCTAATTCCTCCGCGGCTTTTCAATTTTTCTTTTCCAAAACCTGAGTCAGGTTTTTACGCAGGTTGCCGAGCCCAGCTTTCAAAGCGAAATTTAACCCTAAGTTTTACTTTTCAAAATTTCCTAAGTTTGCTTTAATTCCAGATGCTGTCGGAAGTCGAGAATGTGTTGAAGCAGCTGAAGAGTTGCAAGAGTCCAGAAGACGTAGAGGCGATTTGCGAGCCGCTTAACTCGTTGGCGTGCGCCGAGCCGGGCCGGGCCAACATCGACCTCCGCGCCGCCGGGTTAAGAGACTGGTGGACCGAGCTCTTATGGGCAGGGATTTCGAGTTAGCTCAAAAACAGCGTTTAAGTTTGCGACATCCCTTTTCTGGATTTGCAAGCAAAACGCGCTGACAGACGCGACGATCAAAGAAGTAATCAACATTTCCGCCGCTGTTTTTCAACAAGTCGCTTCGGAAACTCCCTTTACAGAAGTCGTCAAAGACCTGCACAAGATTTTCGAGACCTCCACTATCAAGGTAAGCTGGCGTTTTTCCTCTGTTATTGATTTCTTTTTCAGCAAAGCTGCTTTCTGGACTTTTTCATGAAGACGGTGCTGCAGCACTTCAAGCTCTGGCGCCAAGTTTTGACGAAAGACCGCGACATGACGTTTATTTCGCGCGACCTGTCGATTGAGAACCTTGAAGAGCCGCTGTACCCCTTTCCGCTGAACATGGCGCTGCCGGAGTTGTATCTTAACCCGCCGCCGCGAATCGACCCCGAAGAAGACGCCGAAGCGGCCGAGAGCGGCTCCGGAACGCTCTTGAACGAACTCGTCAATTCAGAAAACGGTGCGTTTAGGCAAAAAGGCTTTTCGTGAAAGCTCATTATAGCTGGGCTCGAAATTCAAATTTTGAAAATCTCTTCAGAAATAGAGCCGATCGAAATCGAAATCCCGATCGGCGCGTCCGTCAGTCGTGTGGCCCAGTTTTACGAGAAAATCACGAGTTCGATGATGGAAGAAATGAAGACCGAAATGGAAAGCCTCATCGAAAAGAGCGAAAACGAGTTGAAAGAAGCCTACCTCCCAAACAGCTAGAAACGCTGCTTTTTTGTTGCTTTTGCCTTTTTTTCTATTTTCAATAATCTATTCTATATTTTTCTAAAAAACGCTCATTATTTTCGCTTTTATAGAGAAAAGAGGGATGACGTTTCTGTGTTTTCTCTGCACAAAAACTATCGTCTTCGGTGGCGAGGTGACCTGGGCGGTCCACTGCGTCCAGTGCGGACTCAGCTTTCATCCTTCCTGCCTCTCGCGCGCTGCCGACTTCGCCAAGGACATTCCGAAACAGATCGACTTCGCGAACGAGCAGCTGAGCGAGCAAAACGTCAAAGAAGACTTCGTCTGCGCGATCTGCCACTGGTTCAACAACGAGGAGCTCTTCCTTGCTCCTTCGCAAAAGAAGTGCCCGAAGAAACTGTCGAAGGTCATAAGAACATGGTCGCATATCTTATTTAACTGGTAGAAAGACAACGCTCTTTCCGCCTAAGAAATATCGTTTAGGTACGACGAGGCTGAGTGGCAGGCGAGTGCTGCCGACAAGGAAAAGGTCGATGTCACGAAAGTCATTTCTTCGCATTTAATTAAGGAAAAAAGTGGCAAAAATTAAATTCTAGCGATTGTTTGGCGAGATACGGCAGCTTCGCGACAAAATTTGCATGAAATTTTCAGTCAATCAGACGACTCTATTCAGTCTACCGCCCAATCAAATGCAGAAAACTAGCCCACGCAAATTTTCCGTATCAAAAATTACATCAAAACTTGCGTGGGCGTCATTATCCGATGCTGATTAGTCGGCAATCTGAATTTAGTCTTTTGATTCGCTAAAAAATTTAACACAAATTTTGTCGCTTCTTCTTTCAAACGGTTTTTTTGCCACCTTTTTTAAGCAAAAACTGCTTCAAAAATTCAGTGGCGGGGTGAATTCGGCGACTGGGAGGGCAAATCCGACTCCGCTGAAGCTTTCGCTGCCGAACGGAGACAAAGACTTTCCGCTTATCTCTCTGGCCGACTTGCAGGCTTTGGTGATGGACGAGAAGATCAACTGCGTGCGCCAGTTTCTGTTCATTTTGCTTTGCTGGCTCCTGCTCATCCGGGCGTCCAAAGACAGAAACAGTAAACAACTCTAAAATTAGGCACTCCCTTCAGAGCTTCTTTTTTTAAAGGCATCGACTACTCGCTGATCTGTTTCTCCGATTTGATGAGAGAAGTGCAGGAGTATATGGTCTGCCCGGACCACCACCTCAACATGGACATCCTCGCCTATGACAATCAGTGGGACCAGGGTTCAAACTTTTTGACGAAAACTGTAGCCGATGAATTTTGTAGAAAAAAAAATTAGTTGAAATTTTACGTCATTGATTTTAGTCGTTCATGGTCAAATATTTTTAGTGAAATATTTATGCTAAAATGAAATTTTAGTCCATTTTTACTTACTGAAAAATTACAAGTCAAAAATCATCTATTCAAAATTTTAGTCGTTTTCAAGCGTTTGGCAAACCCTGCAAAGATTTCGTCCCCTAAAGATTTCAAAATTCCGGAGCAGTTTCTGATTTGCGCCATTCCGCACAAGTTCGCCTTCCTGCAGACGGAGACAGACGATCGCCCGTGTCTTGTCCAAGTCCTCGGGAAAAAAGCGATCGGCCAATACAGAGTTTTCCCGCTTTTCGACTGCGATGCCGAGAGCTTTCCAATTCTCGACTTGAGTGGTTACGTCGAATTTGTCGACCACACCGATCTTTTGAGCATTTCGGCGAGTCAGCTTAGAAATTTCAAGGTTTGTAAACAGAGCGACAAAAATAGGGCGACAATTTCTCAGCGACAAAATTCGATTGGTGCCTATTTAGCTGCTGATTGGCCGACAGTACGAATGCATGATTTTGACTGGTTAAATTTTAAATGAAAAATTTGTTCGATTAAAAATTGTCGCACCACCGACACTACCCCCATATTTGTCGCGCTTTTGTCGGTCAATAATAAAAATAAAAGAATTATCAATAAATTTTTTGAATTAAATATTTTCTAAATTTAACTGACTTTTCAGCCCCAATTGAGCAGTTCGATGCCGAAGAAAGAGCAAGATGAGTATTTGGAAGAGTTCCAAAAATTCCTGGACGAGCTGGAGCGGCGAGGCTACGATTTGGACGACCTGGTCGATTTTTCACCTGACGAGGTTGTCGCCCGTGTCGCTTCGGTGCACACGCAGACGCCTGTGGCCGATTTTCCAGAGCCCGAGGCGAGTTTGAGAGACATCGAGCAGAAACTCAAGCTCCTACAAGTCGAAGAGCAAGGAAAAGCGATCGTCGAGAAAATCGAGCGAGAAGACGCGGAAACAGCGAAGCCGCCGCACTGCGCCATTTGCTTCTTCGAAAAGAAGGTCATCAACCAGAAAAGCGTGGAGCTGTGCTTGAATCCTGAGGAGCCAGCAAAGGCGCTCTACTTCTGCTTCAAGCTACAGTGGTTCCTCTGCGAGCCACACTACCAGCTAGGGTCCGAATTTTTCTATTTATTTAGATGTTTTTGATTTTCGAGAGCAAGCGACTAAGATAGCGGCATTTTTGCTTGTCCAGATTCCGACCCTTTTTGTGCAGTTTCTTGACCTCTTCAGCGAAGAGTACGTTCGAAAAAACACGCAGAAGAGCAACGACAGCTTCAAGGACGGCAAGGAGCTGCAAAAAAGCTGCCAATTAATCACCGAGCTGCAAAAAAGCTTCAACTTCGAAAACAAGGAAGAAAGTTGAAATAGGAAATCTAGCCTTCACTCTTCACTGCCCCTATTTTCCTTCACTGATAGAAAAAAAACGACTCACTCACTGATAAAAATGATTTTAGAAAAAAAAATGGAAAAAAGAAAATCCGCGAATTTTTCAATTGTTTTCAAATCAGTTTATTCAGAGTGTGAAGGGTGGATTTTGACGATGAATGAGGAGTTGGAGCGACTTTTGCCGAAATTGTCGGTTTTCAAGTATTCGATGAAGCATCCGGCGCGCTTCGATTTGCAGGTCACGCTCGTCCAGTGCGTGATCGACCGCCTCCTCGAGATGGAAGGGGAGGTTCCCCTCAGAAGGTAGCTAGAAGATTGGATTGTTGACTCAAGTGTTCTTTTAGAGTGATGGAAGTACTGAACGATTACTTCCAGAGGAAGAATAGCGGTATCTGGCGCCAGTTGAAGATGTCTCCAGAGAAGGTGCGTACGATTGTCTTCGGCCTCGCCAAGCCATTCGACAAGAGAGTGAGCAAGGTGGGAATCATCAATCCGACTTTTCAATCGACTTGCATCAACAAGCTCATCGAGAAGTTCGTGATGACTAATGAGTGCACTGTCGCGCGGGCAAGGTTTTCAGCTTTAGGTCTTTTCGGGCGGAGCTCCACTTTCGTAAGAGCACGAATTGTTAGACTAAGTTGATAGCTGGAAAACCAAGAATAAGCGAGAAGAAGTGAGACGTCAGTTCGACACGACGATCGACTTTAGCTACATTCGGCGAGGATTTCTGCTCAACGTAGAGCCAGTTTATTTCGAGCGCATTCGCACGTGGTGGTGGGACGAGTCCACCAAGAAGGGCTTCGTCAAAACCAGAAAGGGCAAAGAGATTGTGTCGAGAGCGGGTTGCCTCGTCCGCTTCCTTATTTATTCGCAGAAGGACTCCCTTTTGAAACGATACCGTTTCCAGCTCTACTCCGAAATCGGTAAAAAAAATTGCTAGTACCACGACTATCATTTCTGACTTGAAAATCGACTGTAACTCTGACTGTAACGAGCTTCTTGCTTTTCAGCAGGAATTTTTCATTACTTCCAGTCAGAGTTTCAGTCAATTATCAAGTCAAAAATCAGAATCTTTTCTGTAGCAATTTCATTAATCATCATCATCCTCTTTAGCTGCGAAAATCGGCAAAGCGATTGAGAATAGCCGCCGCGGATTCATCGACGTGACGAGTGTTTGTTACGCGGTATTCGGCTTCACGCCGTTTTTCGTCGACGAAGGCATCGTAGCCAACGTCGTTCTTGCGACAAGAGAACTCGAGGTACTCTAGACAGCTGAATGTGAAGCTTAAATTTGTTTCAGTTTCTGGACCGCTTGACAATCCGCTTTTCGGAAATCGAGGACTCGAAAGAAAAGAAGAAGAAAAGAGAAGCGAGGAGGGCTGAGACGCGCGAGTCCTCCCTCGAGAAGCGAAACTACTCTTCCGACGAAGACTACTTCACAGAAGAAGTCGACTAGCGCATCTTAGACTAGGCCAAGTACCTTCCTGCCCAGGCGAGAAAAAATCACGCTGCCTTTGTTATCTTTTAAATTTGCACAAGCTCTGATAACGCAATAAAATCCTCAAAAATGATACCTCTTGAACTTTATTCTTATCATTATGTTTCTGTTTATTACGAAAAAAATGACACTAACAAGGCAGGGTTCATCTCCAATGCAGTATCTTATGAAATAAGGGGTTACCAGTCGCATGAAATTTCCTGAAATATGAATAATTGTAAATTTTCCATTTGTGCATTTTGCAGATGTAAGAACTAAGATTGATTGTTTCGCGATGGAGACGAATGATAGTGAGCTGAATAGTATGGACTTCGAAAGCACTAGCGGCCAGTCTTCTTCTGCGATGGAGGCTGCAGAGATCGTCGAGCTGAAGCCCTGCGTCGAGGAGCTTAACAACTCGGCGGACAGCAACATGGTCCAGCTGGACATGGTAGAATTGAACGAGGTGCCGCCGGAAGTGGGCGAAATTAAAATGAAGGGCTCGAATGTGTCGATCACCCCACGTTCGCTGATCTGCGTCGAGCTCCCTGTCAAAGTCGACAATCCGGAAAAGATCATCGGCGCTCTGGGCGGCCGGCAAGTCCTGCTAGACACCTTCAACGACGTCGGTACCTCGCAGTTCACCAAGCGGCGGCTAAATTTTAGCTTTCGGCCGGACGATCCGCACGCGCACGCCGCTTGTGGGGATCCCTGCATCACCGAAAATGCTCTCGTGCTGATCCAAAAACTAAGAAGCAAGAAAGACCCGAAAAAGACGAAAATGCGGATGAAAATCGTCGGCTGTTCCAGCATCGCTTACAAGTTCCAGGCGCCGGCGGATTGCCAGCAACTGCCAGTGCTGCCCTTTGAAAACGAAAAAGCAAAGTGCGTTCAATTTTGCCTGCTTTCGATCCGGACTCCGAGGCGATTATGGAAACGATGATCAACGCGGACCTGCCGACGGGAGGAGGTCCCTGCGAGCTGAACAAAGCGCTCGAAAACTACTTCGAAAAACCGGAAATTCCAAGCTTTCTTCCGCCGATTTTCTTCCTCCAAAGCGACAAGCCAACGATGTATCTATTCCGAGACCCACTGCCAGAAAACAAGTCGAACAGGAGCAAAATGGAAGCAAAGAAGACGGCGATTGAAAAGGGGCGAAAGCGGCGCGTCGGCTTTTCCGTCGAGATTAAATTCCACGAAAACTCGCAAAGCATTCCAACAGAGCTGTCAGAAAACGCGAGGAAAAATGAGGCGTGCTTCAGAGCGCGAAAAGATGCTCAAAAGGTCATTGCCTTGTTCGAACAAAGACCGCTCTGGTCAAAGGTAAATCAATAGTGAAATCAAAATGTGGTGTCCCTATTTTAACGGATTTTCTAGCACCTGGAGAAATTTCATGAATCCGTTAATTCGGGGACTTTTTTCAAAGAATATTCAATTCGTTAAAATGGAGACATCCCAGAAGTTTATGCTCGTTAAAATGTAGACCCTATTTAAAATCATTTCTGTAAGTAAATTGATGATTTAGCATGCGCTGATGGATTTGACCGGAATGAAAAGTGATACAATGAAGGAACTCTTGCCGATGATCGCGTTTTATTGGAAAACCGGTCCTTGGGCACGACTGTGGAATCGGTTTGGCTTCAATCCGCTGAAGGAGAAACTCGAGGGCCGGAAATACCAATCCATCGACGTACGCGTGAACATGGACACGAGCATCCACGTGAAACGGAGAACCATGTCCAAATTGCCGAATGTGGTTGTCTACAACACGATTCTCAAAGACGGGCCGATGGAGTGGGCGCACGAAGCTCAGCGCATGTTAGATGCGAAGAAGAAGGAGGAAGAGAGAAATGCGCAAAGGGAAAAAGGCAAGTAACTTTTGGATTCTTGGATTTTTAATACTAACTCGATTGTTTAGCACTGATCACATTTATACGAGCGGATGCATGCCTCCTCGGCGCCAAATGTTCTACCAAGTCTGCGATGTTCATCTGCCCGAAGTTCAAGAAAAGCTAAAAGAAAGTTTTCCCGTCACGCTAAGGATTGGTTCCACAATTTATTTAAAATTGATAGTGTTAGTCCTAGTCATATTCGGAGAGTTGCAATAATGATCAGTTGTTTCAATTTTTTGGAGATAACTAGCAAAAGATTAGTACATTCGGCTGTTGCTGCGCATCTTGGAAATGGTGGATTCGGCGATGTCGGCTCGTTCCTCGGCTTCTTCCAGTTCGTTTTGAAGCTTTCGATATTTCGAGGTGTTTTGGCTGGCGATTTCTTCCTGCTCCTCGGCCTGGCGTTTGAATTGTTTCACCTGGAAAGACAAGAGTTAAGAAAAGAAGAAAGAAAACTGTTTTACCTTGAGCTGGAGCTTGTCGACTTGGTCCTGCGCCCTATCGAGGTTCTTCTTGTCCTCTTCGCCGACGTAAGTCGCCTCTTTGACCTTTCGCTCGAGTTTGCGAATGTGTTTCATCTCATCAGTGCCTCGGCGTTGCTCGTTCTCCAATTCAGCGTTGAGCTCGCGGAGCCGCACTTCCAGCTTCTGGACATGTTTCTTTCCACCCTTCAATGCCACCTGTTCGGCCTCGTCCAGCTTGTTCTGCAGCGTTTTCACTTGGGTCTCCAAGTTCGACTTCATTCGTGCCAGATGAGCCGCGCAGTCCTGCTCCTTCTTCAGCTCATCACCGATGATCGACGCGTCTGTGATGGCCTTTCTCGCCTTGTCCTCTGCGTTCTTGGCTTCTTGTATCGCCTCCTCGACTTCGTTCGCAACGGCTACGAGTTCCTTCTCCATCTTTCGCTTCTGGTTCGCCAGCGCCGTGTTTTGAGTGTGAAGCAGATTCGCCCGTTCCGTCGCTTCCATCAGCTCCTGCTCAGCGCTCTTTCGGCCCTTCTCTGCTTGCTCGAGTGAGCTTCGGAGTTCGTCAATCTCAGCTTGGAGAAGATTGATTCTTCGCTCAGTAACAGCCAGTTGTTCGGCCTCAGCGTCCTTCAACCTCTCTGCATCGTCGATGTTCATCTGGAGGTCCTTCATCTGGCCCTGGACGTCTTTATTCTGTCGGGTTGATTCGGTCAGGCAGCGATTTGCATGGGCAAGTTGAATTTCAAGATCGGAGATTTCACCTTCCAGTTTTTTCTTGATTCGAACGGCTTCAGATCTGCTCCGTGTTTCCTGATCAAGCTGTTGCTGCACGGATTCGAGCATTCGCGCTGCGTTGCGTCGCTCGTTGTCGATTTCTTCCTCCTTTTCTTGCAGCTTCTTGTCGATTTCAGCCTTGATTTGGCCGAGTTCGATCGAGACCCGGAGTGTCTTGGCTTCTTCTGATTCTACAGCGCACTCGACCTCTTCCATCGACGCTTGGAGCTCATTCTTTTCGACTTCGATGGATCGCTTCGCCTTTTCAAGCTCGGAAATGGATTTGGCTCCTTCGGCGAGTTGGTCCGACAGATCGGCGAGTTCTTCTTGGAGAAGTTTGTGTTCCCTCTTGGCTGATTCCAGTGCGTCGAGGCTCTCTTCGTACGAGTTCTGGATTTTGAAGACTTCATTGCGCGCCTCTCGGACTTCCTTCTGCGAAATTTCAAGATCAGAAAGGATTTTGTCCTGCTTGAGCTTTTCGTCCTCGATCACGCGGTCGAAGGAGCGTTGTTTCTTCTCAAGTGCACAGCAGGCAGCGTTGGCTCGTTCCAGCTCAACCGTCAAGTCTTCGATTTCAGTCTGCAGCTTGCCCTTCGCCTTCTCTAGCGAAGAGCATTTCGTCAACGCAGCTTCGACGCCTTCCTCGGCTTCTGTAAGACGCCCAGAAAGCTTTTTCTTCGCCTCTTCGAGCTCCTCGGTTCGCTGGACGGCGTCAGTCTCGTACTTGGTTTTCCACTGGCCGACTTCGCCGTTAATTTTCGACAACTGGCGCATGAGCTCGTTTTTGCCTTCGATCTCCTCCTCGGCCTGCTCTTTCAGCAGCTCGTAATCGTGCTTGGCAGCTTGGACCTGGTGAGCGAGCACGTTTTTGGCCTTGGTTTCTTCCTCCAAACTGCGGCGAATTTCATCGTTCTGCTGGTTGAGCGAGTTCTTTGATCTGGTCATCTGGGAAAGCATGGTTTCTTTCTCCTCGAGGGTCCTCTTCAGCTCGTTGATTTCGGTCATCTGGCGGGCTGTGTCGGCCGAAGCTTCGTTGATCTGCTTCTCTCGCTCTTCGAACTGGCCCTTTACTTCGCCCAACTGCTCGTCAAGAACGCGGCTTTGCTTCTCAAAGCTGACCTTCGACTTGGAAAGAGAATCAACAGTAGCGATGAGATCATCAATCTCCATCTTCATTTCCGATTTCTCCTTCTCGAGCTTCTGAGTCACCCGCTGGAGATTGTCGATCGTCTCGTTCAGTTCAGCGGAGGTGTCGGCATGCTTCTTTCGCAAAGTGGACAAGTTAGACTCGTGGGAGATGTTGTGTTCTTCCAAGTCGCGGTGGAGTTTGGAGACTTCAGCCTCGCGTCGCTTGTTGATCTCGATCTGGCCCTGAGTTTGGTTGTTTGCCTCTTCCAAACGCTCGGAAAGTTCTTCCAGTTCTCTGGCGAGATCGCTCCGGCTCTTTTCGGCTTTGGCTCGTGCGGCGCGTTCAGCTTCGAGCTCTTCTTCGAGCTCCTCGATTCGCGCATGCAGCTCCTTGATCTTTTTGCCTAACTGGGCGACCAAGGCGACCTCGTCTTCATAGCGAGTGGAGAGCTGGTTGTACTCAAACTCGGCCTTTTTCAGCTTTTCTTGAAGTCGCTGCTTGTCGTTTTCGAGGTCCATGACTGTCTCTTGCGCCAGTCGAAGATCACCCTCCAGTTTGCGCTTGAGTCGTTCAAGATCGAGTCGACTCTTCTTTTCGATTTCATAAGTCTGCTCCAGATCGTCAACCTGCTGCTCGAGCTTCGATTTCGCCTTGGAAATGGAATTGCACTTGTCCTCCTCGGCCTGGAGATCGTCCAGAAGCTGCTGGTGAGCTTCCTGCAGCGCCTTCTTCTCCTTGGAAAGTTTCGCCACGGTTTCGCCTTTGCAATCGAGCTCGTCCGTTTTCGATCGAACTTGCTCCTCAACACTGCACTTTTCTTTCTCGACCTTGGCGAGCGTGGATTCGAGGTCGTCGATGTCCTTGCGGAGTTCAGAGCACTCAGTCTCCAGTTTTCGCCGCTTGTGCTGAAGATCAGTGGAGATTTCCTCCTCATCCTCCATTCGCTCGTTGAGCTCCTTGAGTTTGCCCTCGAGATCGATTTTGGTCTTCATGAGGCTCTCGAAACGGTCCTCAGCATCGGCAGCGGCGTCGTTCTCGCCATGAAGATCCGACATGAGCTTGTTCTTGGTCTGGATGAGTTTTACGTGGTCCTGCTCGAGCTTCTTGCGCAGCTTCGTCTCCGACTCCAGTTCCTTCTTCATCACTTCGTATTCAGCCAAGAGTTCGTCCATTTCTTTCCGCTTCTCAGCCGTGTTCAGTAAGGGCTTGATCTTGAAGAGAAGTCCTTGCCAAGGCCAGTTTTTGAGCTCGTTGAATTTTCGCCAATTTCGCTGGATCACATACGCGCCATTTCGCTCGTTGATCGTTTGCACGTATCGTTCGCGAGCAAGCTTGCATCGAACATGCGTCTGGAGCTTGATCAAAACGCGCGCAATCGTGTCGTCACGAAGATCTTCCAGCGAACCGATTATTCCAGCTTTGAAGAAGACCTTTGTCTGGCCGAAACGGTAGCTCTCGGGGTCGATCTCAGTGATGCCACCAAGGATCTTTTCGACGGCCTTCTTTGGCTCCATGAACTGGCCCTTTGGCACAGCGTTGGGGTTGAGGATTGAGTATCGCTGCTTCCACTCGTCGTATTCGACTCGCGACGGGAAACCCTTTCGGCAGATTCGGATACCTTCCAAGACACCATTACATCGAAGCTGGTGGAGGACGAGATGGTTATCCATCAATCCTGGCTTCTTGATTTCGTTGGGGACGATGCATCGGACGAAGTGGGGCTGTGTCGCCTTCAGATTCGTCATCAATCGGAAAAGCGACTCCTTGTGCTGTCCAGAAATGGTCGAAGCACCGCCGCCCTTTCCTTTCTTGCCTTTTCCCTTCGATTGTTTCGCAGCTTCTTCGGAGGACAAATAAGTCTCCCAGATCTCAGCGAAAGTCGGAATCGATGACTTTTTGTACAAAGCGATAACGGAGGTGTTCATTGGATCCTTGTTCTTGGTGAGCCAGTCGGTGACGTTGTAGGCCACGGAGCCGGCGTAGTGATGCAGCTCGAAGTGCGCTTCAAACTTGCCTTGCTTCTTCACCTTTCCGAGGGCTTTTGACTTGCCGAGATGCTGCTTGAGGAGTTTTTCTTTGTAAGTCATGTCTGTTCCCTTTGGAACCATGCACTCCTCCTCCAGCAGCGAGAGAATACCAAGAGGCCGCTCGATCAGATCCAGCGACGCCTGCAAGTCCATTCCGAAGTCAATGAACTCCCAGTCGATTCCCTCGCGTTTGTACTCTTCTTGCTCGAGAACGAACATGTGGTGGTTGAAGAACTGCTGCAGCTTCTCGTTCGTGTAGTTGATGCACAGCTGTTCGAAGGTGTTGAAGTCGAAGATTTCGAAACCTGCGATATCCAAGATACCGATGAAGAAGTTGCGCGGTAATTCGGTGGCCAGAGCCCGGTTGATCGTTTTCAAGAGCCAGTCGAAGAGACGACCGAAGACGCCCTTAGTCAGCGCGCCCAAAGCGTAGTTGACCTGGTCCACTGTCTGTCCCTTTGTGACGTATTCTGTGCCGACCTTGACTTTTGGATTGCAAATCGCTTTCAACCAGTCGGACGAGTTAACGCCAAACAAGTAAGCAAGCTTGTCTGCTGCTTCAGTTCCATCTGGCTCTGCCTGTTCTTCGCGTGGCTTTTGCTTGAATTTTTGGTTGCCGCTGTGCATCATTCCCGCCGTGATCTTGTAGATTGCGTTCTTCTCTTCCTGCGAAAAGCCGAGAATATCGAAGGACTCGTCCGTCGCATCCAGTTCCTCTTTGTCGTTGATGGATTTGACGACGATTTCTCCAAGAGAACAGAACTTGTAGTCGTACGGATCGGTCGTGATCATGCACATTTCGTTGATTTCCGGCTTGTGGCCGGTGCACATTTGGTAGAAGATGTGGAAGCATCGCTCAGTTGGAAGCTAGAAATAAGGATATTTTGGAAGGTTGGCTTTTTAATTTACCTGGAAAGTGACTCGCGATTTCTCGAGAAGATAAGTGTCGATATCACCAGATGAGAGCTTTCCATTGGAACCGAAGTGGATTCGGATGAATTTACCAAATCGAGAGGAGTTGTCGTTTCGAATGGTTTTCGCATTTCCATACGCCTCCATCGCCGGGTTGGCAGCGACGATTTGGTCTTCCAGCGAGCCCTTGTCGTCGGCCTTCTTTTCTCCGCCACCGAGAGCGGCGACGGTGGCGAAATAGGCGATGACCTTCTTCGTGTTGACGGTTTTGCCGGCGCCGGACTCACCCGTAATCAACATCGACTGATTCTCACGATTTCGCAACATGTCGTTGTAGGCATTGTCGGCGACGGACCAGAGATGCGGGGGCATTTCCGTCTTGCGCTTGTTCTGGTAGCAGCCGACGATGTGCGGCTCGTAGACGGGCAGCATCTTGTACGGATTGACAGTGACGCAGAAAAGACCCGAATAAGTGTAGATCAGGAATTTTCGGTATCGCTCGCCGAGATTGTAGACTACAGCGGCTTCGGAGAGGAAAGTCATGTTCGCCATGTCTTCGAGGAGCTCGTACTTGGGCGGGTTTTGCGGCTCGACGTCCTCCGCCTTGTATTCCTTCTCCTTTCCATCTGGCTCTCTCTTCACCTTGATCTTTCCGTCCTTCTCGGCGAGCTTGAGCGCCTTGCAGTAGGCAGTCTCGGAGTAGGGCACCCAGACGGAGCCCTTTTCGAATTTGGCGCTTCGCACAGTAATTAGCTCTTCAGCTGGCAGTCGAAGATACCGAGCGGCGGTTCCCGCTGCGTCCGGATCGTAAAGTCCCATTTCTCGTTAGTTGAAGTTTTTTTTGGAAAATAAATTCGCTTTCCTTGCTGGAACCAAATCTCTTTCTTTTGTGAATTACTCTTGCCGATGCGCTTGATATAAAAAGGGTGCAACTGACGCTCGGGATTATCATTAATGATGGGAGCAGGCGACAATGTCAGCTGGTACATTTCGGAAGGGCAAATTTTTGAAATATCCAAGGTGGGAAGCTTTCGTGCCCTAGAACCTTATTTTTCATGTGAATTATCGATCAATGTACTCGTTACTAGGGGAAAGGGGCTTCTTTAAACATGGGTTAAATTTATAAACTAAAAAAAATTATTCAAAAATCGGAACCAAGAAAAGATGCACAAAGATCGATGGGTGGTTTCCGACTGGCCAGATCGCCCAAATTAGAAGAAAAATCACGAACGACTTGGAAAACAGCCGCGAAAGGAGAGAGTCTGCCAGCAAGAATACCAGCGATCTTGCGGAATAAAAAAATTGAACTCTGTATAAACTTTCTTGTTTTACTGCAATTTGTAAAGGGAAATTATTAAATCCGATAAAAGGCTATAGATTATAGCTGCATCACTGTATGTATCGAATTGTTTTCATCAGACTTATACTCGAAATTCTGAGATTCCCGGAGTACTCAAGTACCAACGCAGCGGCGATTTTCCCATAACAGGGAACTGCGCCTGAGAAATTTATTGCTCCACGCCGGGAAACTTCCTTTTGAAATGTTTTTTTTCGATGTTGTTGAAAATTAATAATCAACGATAAATTATCCAGATAAAATGAGCGAGTCGAGTGAATCAAACAGCCTCTCCTCGTCGGAAGAATCCGAGTCCACGCAGTCACAAGGAAATCGCTCCCAAAGCTCAGCTCAAGAATCGCAAACTGGCTCAGACAACGAGGACAACTCAGAATCCAAAAACTCATCCCCAGAAAACGGAACAGAACAGCTCCAAAGACAGAGAGAGCCGACCAACTGGGGTAAGTCAAAATTAATATACAGGACCCATTTTAACGGATTATGTATTTCTGATGGGGCCCTTATTCTAAAAGATTCAATGTTCCTCAATAGGGTCCCCTTTTTAACGGATTATCTGAAAAGTTGTTGCTAGAAAATACGTTAAAAAGGGGACTCTATTGAGTAATATCTAATCCGTTAGAATGGAGACCCCTCAGAAATATTTCGCCGTTCAAATGGGTACCGTATTTTCAGTCATTTTTGATCAATAATCCAAATCTCGTTAAATATAAAAAAAAGTTTAATTTCAGCGAAAAAATCATTTAAAAATTTATTCCATTAATTTTATCCTCAGCGGTTGTTTATGCTCTTTTCCTCGTGACCCGTTCGTAAAATCGATTCAGAAGCAAAATATCCGTATCGATTTCACCCGGAGCGGGATGCACTTATGAAAGAGTGCGTCCAAATGGCCGAGTACACGATGAAGCCGCCGATCGTGAAGCCCTGGAATCCGGCGAAGGGACGCGCGAACAATCGCGGAAACTACCGCGGCCAGAATAGGAACGAACAGAACCACGGCGGGAAGAGAAGACGCGACTTTTGAAGAATTCCATTTCAAGAAGATTGTCTTTTTTTTTGAAAAATTCTTTCTGCCGCGCCAGCTTCAATCTCAGCCCTGCCTCCTCTAACAACTTCTTGACCCTTTCCGAACTAGAATGGCCATGTATAAGATCGCACCAGTGCTCCAGCAGTACAGCATCGAGGACAAAGAGATAATGTACAAAGTGGCGCCGATCCAGAGCATCGCGCAGGCGGACGCAGCTCCTCTCGACCTCGAAGTCGTCGAAAGCCAGCAGAACGAGCTCTTCGACAAGCTTAACTCTCTCAGGTGAGAAAAGGCAACTTCCAGCAGCACCTATCAACCCTTTCTAGCTCGCGAGTGAACACAGTAATGAGCGTGCTTTCAAAGAGCGCAGCTACTATTCCGAAATCGAACAACGGCGTCAAATTCATCGAAAAATCGAAGCCCCTCGATATTGTTATGAAAATCAATCCATCGCAATGCATCCCCACAGGTGAAAATTTCTGAAATACGACTTTTTTAAAGGAGCAAAACTAATATTTTTGATGGAGTTAAAAATCTCGGCTCAGAAACCTGAGTGAGAAGACTGAGTCAGGGTTTCAAAGTAAATTTTGAGAAAAAAAAAGAGTAAAATGGTCATTTTGTTAAAGCCATTTCGCGGCTTTTTACTTCAGTTCTCTTGGAACCCTGACTCAGGATTTGCACACATATTGAAAAAAAGAGCGTTGGCTGTTTAGCTGTGGCAAAATAAATTAGAATTGTAATTAAAAATCTGAATTTCCAGGTCTTTCGAAAATGTGCGATCAACTGGCGAACCGCGTTAAAGTCGAAGTCAAGACGCTGGTCCACTCGAGTGCCACTGGCTGCGACTGTCAAATCTTCAAAGCGACGCCCAACCAGGGCAAGACCACCGGCCAAGTCGTGCTCACAGTCATCTACACTACTGCTGTCCCGGAGACGACAATTTCAGTCCGCGGCGCTACAGTTTCGGGAATTGGAAATGTCTCGCGATTTTTCGGAAAGCTCTTGGATATCTACCCAGAAACGGTAAAATTAACATTGTGACACCCCTATTTACGATTCGGCGATTCACATTTCTAAATTATCAATTTGCTCCGAATCCCAGCCCAAAAAAGAAGTAATCACAATAATTGATACATTCAGGGAGCAAACGAAGTTTCAGTTGAAAACTGGCTGGACCTAGCCGATCTCATTTCGGACCCAAACACGGCGGTGAAAGAGCGAATGGCCCAGCTGAAATCTTTAGACGCCCATCTCTCCAAAAATAAGGTAAAACCACACTTTTCCATTTTCCGAAATCGTTTTTGAATTAGTTTGTTTGCGGAAAAGAAGTGACAGTTGCCGATTTCGCAGTTGTATCTGCTGCTCTTTGTGTCGACCCGAAGAAGCATGGGAAGTCGTTGAAGGCGTACGTGGCCGCGGTGGAGAAGTTGTAGATTAATTTAAAAGAGTGTGCGTTTTTTCTAAAAAAGTATTCAAAAATTAGCAATAAGTGACTTGTGGGATGCCGGACTATCTAAAATTTTCTCGTGCTATTTGACTCGTGCAACTGTAATTTGCAACTTATCTGCGTCAGATTCTGGGCAACGAACGATTAGGAAAATAACCTCTTTTTCAATCCGATTCTTTTCAGATGCCAATTTTATAACAAAAAACGGCGAAAAATGAAGTCGGTTTATTTGATAAGTAGCATTTGCTTATCACTTGCGAGCGCGAAAATCACCAGACATGTCGGAAGCAAGCTGCTGATGATTTCAATGGATGGCTTTCGCTGGGACTATTTGAACCGCGACCAGCTCGATTTGAAACACTTTCACGACTTTATTGATCAAGGAGTCCGGGCAAAGGTTAGAATAGCACCACAACTGGGGACCCCTATTTCATCTGTTTTGTAGTGGATGACGAATCAGTTCCAAACGCAAACTTTCCCGAATCACTGGACAATGGTGACGGGTCTCCACGAGGAGTCGCACGGAATCGTGGCCAACAAGTTCAAAGACCCGAAAACTGGGAAGCGCTTCGACTACCACAACACTTCGTCTTGGAACGAATCCCCGAGTTTTGGGGCGGTGAACCGATTTGGAAAACCAACCAAAAGGCTGGCCACAAGTCGGCGGTGCAGTTCTGGGTAGGCTCGGAGCTCAAATCGCAGCTGCCGACTTATTGGGAGGCCTTCAATGCTTCCAAACCCTTCATGTCGCGGGTAGACACGATCGTTGAGCAGCTGCAGTACGAAGACGTTACTCTTGGCTTACTTTACTTCGAAGAGCCTGACGCAACTGGACACAAGTATGGCCCCGATAGCCAGGAAGTCAACGACAAGCTAGAAGAGTACGTATATTTTTGCCTCGGGGACCTGAGTAGATACCTGAGTCAGGATCGTGAAAGAGTTTGAAGGTATTTTAGGACACTTACTCAGGTTTCTACACAGGCTACGCAGTTTTTCTGAACTCAGGAAATCAATAAATTTTATTTAGGCTGAACAACGTCTTTGGCTACTTGATCCAGCAGCTGGAAAAGAACGATCTTTTGGAAAACGAACATCATCGTCACTGCCGATCACGGAATGGCGACGATGTCCAAGGAGAAAATCATCACTCTGGATCGCGTCGAAGACTTTATGGAACTCATCGACATCGACAACTCGTACGGGTACGACTGCAACGCCGGAATCGCGCCAAAGAATGACTCTGTGAAAGAACTCTTGTACCAGGTACGAAAACTTGCAACGCCATTTTCACAAACAAAAAATAGCGACTGGTTGACCTGAAAGATCCAAATTTGAAAGTGTGGCTGAAAGAAGAGATCCCCGCCGATCTGTATTACTCGAACAACGACCGAATTCAAGATATCTGGCTCTCCTCAGAAGTCGGCTACGCCATCGTCTACTCCGAAGACGACTGGGGAAAGACAGGCAACAAATTCGTCAGTTCAAAAATGAAGCAAAGTTGATTTAAAGTTGTTTTAGTCGAATTACGGATTGCTGGGAATGCACGGCTTCGACCCGCACTCTGCAGACATGCATCCGATCTTCTTCGCTAGAGGACCCGACTTCGCGAACAAAAGAGAAGAGCAAGAACCGTTCACGAACTTGGACCTCTATCCGCTCTGCTGCTTCCTCCTCGGTGTCGAGCCAGCGCCCAATAATGGCTCTCTCGCTGAATTACATGCCTATCTCGGTAAGTTAAACTCAAGTCCTCTTATTTCATATTCGATTTTCAGTGCGCCCGCTGGACCTAGCCCTACCTATCGCGATGGGCGTGCTGTTTTCCTTCTTCATCCTTTTGGTGATCGTCTACGCCATCTACCAACAGTTCTGGAAGTGGAAGCCGCTCACCCTCCTCCAAGACCAAGACCAATCAAATATTCAATATCGCGGACTCAGCTAAAAACTAAAAGTTCCGAAAGTTTCCTTCTCTTTTTCCTCGCAAGGCAACGTTTTCACATGTGCCATTTTCGTTTCGTCCCTTTTTTCCATTTCAAGTGCTTCGTTTCTATTTTGGACTCGCGAAAAAATGCTCTATCAAAAAATATTCTGAAATAGAAAGCTAAAAGCGGAAAAAAGGATCATATTTCCGACTTTTCCATTCGATTGACTCTTTCTGCGCACTTTTTTCTTTTGAAGCAACAAAAAAAAATGACGTCGATGCTGATTTCGGTCGACTGACGATTTCAGAAATGCAGAAATTCCGAAATTCAGACCTGCTAATATTTCCTATTCTTACACAGCACACATTTATGTATTCAAAGAAAAACATTCATTACGGTCGATAATGACATTTGCACTTTTCAGAACTATTAGACTTCAAAATTGAAAATGGACTCATCACATTTGGGAGGGTATCATTCTCAGACGCCTCTGGACTCTCTCTCGGGCGCAAAGCTCGACCAACAAATCAGGCAACGGTTTTTAAATTCCCTTGGAAGAAAATAGAAGGTGGCCTTGTTCATCCTTAAAATTGTGCGTATGTGACCTTGTTCATATGCGTTTGGCGAGATGATTTCTAGCCCCAGTTTAAAATCGTTAAAAGGGACTCATCAGAAGACATGATGGGTTGCGACATCATTCACGACCTGGGCCCGATGGGCCAGCGCCGCCAAGGTAAAAACTTAAATTAGGTTCTAGCTCCCTTAATTGATTCTAGCGCTCGAACGCGGACTTCTCACTAGACGGGACCCAATGACTCTTCAACAACACGGGATTCTGCCACGTATGTTCATTTTATCTTCGAAAAATCAACGTTTCTAGCGCCGAAAACGCCTCCAAGCCATTTCTATGAAAGCAAATGCCTGGCAAGAAGAAAAACGGAAGACTATTTGAAAAACAAGATCGCCCAGCGCCCCGATCGAAAAACGCTAATCGAGGTTTTTCTTCTTTTCAAAACGACTATTTCTGACGACGATTTTAGTATCACATTCTGGAAGACAACAATGTGAGCCCATCGCTGGCGAACTCGCAGAAGAATCTGCAGCGCGCGCAGCTCCAGGACCAGCTGAACATGAAGATCGGCTCGCGTCCGGGCCCGATCGAGCTCATCCAGCGCAACATTCTTCCAGTCGACGAAAGCATCAAGCAAAAGATCCACGACAACTACTTCACCGAGCAGACGTTCGGCGACTCCCCGGGCGGCTCGCCTCCAGGACAGAGCCTCAATTTCGACAGCGATTTCGACTTCAACCAAAGGTAACACTACTCGAAGAAAATATCAGAAATAAATGTCTCGAAATCGCCAAAATAGTAATAATTGCTCTTAGCTCGCGCCCGTCATCGCGCATCGGTGATAGCCGCTGCTCTAGAAAGCAAACCCAAAAGATGCACAAGCGCTCGAAGTTCAAGTTCCACGTCTACTCGCCCGCCGAAAACAAGACCAAGAAAGAATCTATCAAAGTAAAGCCCCATTTTCGAGTTTTTCTTTACATTTTTGTTTCAGTCGACAACTCAAGAGTCGTACGAGGATCGCCTGCGCCAGCAACAGCTGCTCTTAGAGGTTAAAACCGCTCTGGAAAGAGAAAAAGGCTTAAAATCTTGATCTTAGATGGATAATCTTCAGCAACACATCGAGCAGTCGAAGCCGAAGGAGAGCTTCGATCCGATGCTGCAACAGAGCTTCGGAAAGAACGAACGCTCGCCGCTGATCCTCCCCGCTCCCCAAGCCATCGGCGACCAGCTCATGCGCGAGATCCAACAGAGGAACAAAATCATGGCCCCTTCGCCCCAGCCTTCTCCAAATGTTAGAGTAAGATGTGTGCGACTCTTAAAACTGACTTGTAATTTCGACTAATGTGACTAACTTCAGGGACATTTTCAAACATTTAAAGATGTCTATAAATGTTCGTAGATATCTGCAGATATCTTAAAATGTCTACAAATATTCATAAATGTCTATGAATGTCTAGAAATGTCGAATAAGTATTAGTAGACACAAATTTTCTAAGCCAGCTCATCCCAGATCTTCTTCTTTTGAAGAAAGCTTTGTTACTAGATTTCACACTAGAATTTCAGGCGACTTTCCACGTGGTGAACGCGAAGCTGGTGCCGCCGCCTCCCCACAACCAAGTGCCGCCGACTCCGCCGCCCTTGGTCGACAGTCTGCGTCCCAAAGAGCAGCAGCGCTTCGATCCAGAGCGCCGCAACGAGTACAAAGTCAAAGGTAGGGATTCTCCCTTTTGCATGATCGTTGACATTGATGTTCTTCTTTTTTGGCAGCGTTGAAAGATTTCTGTCGAAAAAACGGCTTGTCGGTTTCGGGCTCTAAAGATGCTTTGGTAGAGCGGCTCATGGGCCACTTCGGCAAGAAGAGCTCGCCGGAGCACTGCGAAATGCAGAAGAAAATGCGCGAGATGCAGGAAACCATCAAGCGCCAGGAAGAAATGATCCAGAACCTGCAGAACAGCGGCAACAACAACCGCTCGAGCGTCAATCCGACGCCGATGGAGATTTGCACGAGTCTGCCTTCGTCGATCCCCGTCTCCGCCCCCGACGTCCATCACCTCCCCACACCGACCCACGCCATCGCCATGAAACAGTTCTTCGACAGTCAGCCCCGGTAAGAACGCGCTCTTAGACTCGCCAACCTGTTTAGAAATTTGACAATCAACCATTGCTAACTTAATTTTGCTAAAGTTCCGACTCGTCGATGTTCGGCCTCCAGTCGTTCAACCTGAAGCACGAGAACAACCTGTCCCACCAGCCGCAGCGCGGCGGGTAGCTCCGCAGTCAGAAGAGACGCCCTCGATGGAACTGGACAAGCTGCTCTTCCAGACGGCGCCATTCAACGCTCCCCAACCTGACACAACAGCCAAGTCTTCAAATCCAAGCCAAGTCCAAAACCAGCACCACCCAAGTCAAAACTCGAACGCTCGCTACTGCAACATGCAATCGCTGCCCAACGGCAACCCAAGCCATATTCAACAGCAGCCCCCGATCGTGTCGATGGCCAACTCGCACTACGATCACTCGCACACGCAGAACTTGCAGCAGCTAGCCTCAGGAACGCGGGACTATCTACTACAAAAGTAACCGAAACTGAAACCCAACTCAGAATTCCCTCATTTCCTCTCATTCTAGAAACTAAAATAATTGAACAAGCAAAAAATCTCTAGAATCAGTTGAATTTCAAATTCAGTTATGAAATCACTTCTGCCCAGGTATTTTCTGCAATAATCGGAAATTTGAGCTTTAATCTTCATCAAAAAGTAAGTTTGACTTCAGTTTTTCGATCTGCGTCTGAAAATTTCTTATGGAAAAATCAAGATCCCGAGTTTAAAATAGTGAACTGTTCTAGAAAGTTTTTGATTCTCATTTTGCTTTTGTAAATTTTGATTTTTTCTATAAGAAATTTTCAGACGCAGATCGAAAAACTGAAGTCAAACTTACTTTCTGATGAAAATTAAAACTCAAATTTCCGATTGTTGCAGCAAATACCTGGGCAGAAGTGATTTCATAACTGAATTTAAAATTCAACTGATTCTAGAGATTTTCGACTCGCTCAAATATTTGAGTTTCTAGAATCAGGGGAAATTAACGAATTCTTTAATGGATTTGTGTTTTTGTTGATTTTTCAAAAAGTTAAAATCAAACTAAGCTTTTGAGATATTAATATATTTTTGTGAGTTTCAAGGGCCTTCGAAGCCAATCAGAAGCCATTATATTTTGCCTCAGCCAATGGCGGTCTTGCGAACCCCCTCCCCCTTCCAGCTTTTCCCCACCTTAGCCATTATTGATGTTAAAAGTCGCTGTCCCAAAAAGCACATACGAACGAGAACCTGAAATCGGACGAGTTGGATTGGCTGAATCTGGACTCGCGACCTGACTTCCAAAGTTACGAACCTCTGCCGCCCGATTTGATGCAGCCCGACTCCGACTTATTCTCTGCAATTAGTTAAATTCCCGTTCTGAAAGTCCTGCTTTCCGTAATCCATGCTACGTCACGTGGAAAGTCTTTCTTTAAAATTCACTTACACAAAAAATAAATCCGCGCTCCTGCCACTAGCCGCCAAAACCGTTGTAAATAATTACAGTCCACTGGATGTCATTTTGCCAATCGCCCGACTCAGTGTCCTACTTTGAAGAAAAAACGCCTCTTTTACGATTTCTGATCATCATTTTTTTATTCCAATCACCGCTCACTTAGTTTTCCATCCTTTGGAAAGAAGGGATACTCGAAATGTTGATTCTCAGATGTCGATAAACCTGCTCAGAGTTATATTTTTCCAGCTAAGCTAGCTGAGCCCCGATGAAATGCGGCTAAGCTCAAACTCAAATTAGGCCAGCTCAACCCGAGATAGCTCAAAAACAGCTCAGCTCGATTCGAGCGAGCTCAGGTAGCAGAGCTCGGACGGACGAAAAATTAGGCAGCTTTTCTTGAGCTGGCTCAATTTGATTTCTATTTCCTCTGAGCTGAGCTATCTGAGCCAGCTCAATTCTAGCTTAGCTAGGTTTTGAGCTAGCTCAGCTTGAGCCCTCTCAGTTCGAGCTTGAGCTGAGGCGTGTTTTGAGCCAGCTCAGCTCAAAAATCCAACTCAGCCCGGGAACGGAGCGTTTTCCCTTTTCGTGTTCTTATTCAATTCAGCGCAACAGATAACTTCTATTCTTCTTTGTTGATTTTTCTTATGTTCAAGTTCTCCCTGTTTCAAGTTCCCTTCTCAGTCTTCATCGAATCATTTCTTTATATATTTATTTTCTGCCACCTGCGGCGCATCAAGGTGTTTTCATTTAATCTACAAAATATACCTTTTACTAAATCAAAATCAAACTAAACTCACTTTCTGGAATAATGCACTTTTGAAAAACTCCTTGAACTTTTATTTTATTTATTCTCGCTTTTTATTTTCCCTTTTAGGCCTTTTTCTAAGTCTAAAAATTCAAAGAAATAACTTGTTGAAATCAACAAAGAGTATTTACCTATGGGGGCAAATCCACCGGCTCGGCAATTGGGGGAGAGGGAGGATGGCTCTCTGATCCAATCAGAGACCTTTATTTTGTTCATCGTTGAGCCAACCCCACCATCCCCCAGGACCCCCAGTTTTTGCCCTACCCCCATCCTAGGAATCTCCTCTTTCTAGTGCTAACTTTCCCCCAAAAAAGTAGGATTCATTTATTTCTGATTAATAATTTTGCATGTCATACAAAAAAAGAGAAACCAATAAATCTTCACCTGAATCATCAATACTTTTCGGATTCTTTAAAGTTCAAAAAAAAAAAATCAAGTTTGTATTTTTAAATTTCTCTATTTTCAAAAGAGAGAATCGTCTTTTACCAAGTGTACGCCCTGAAAACCAAAACTGAAAAACACAAGCTCGTGCACTTACTTTTTTGAAAGCATCGTGTTTTCAACTCAACCTTGCTTCAGCCTCCGCTCTTTCTTTTCAGTACAAATGCTTTCCTTACAGTATCAACAATATGCAACTAATCAACGCACCCGACTGCACGTTGTTATAAACCAATTCCGTTCAAACTTCTTTTTTCCATTTTTCTTTTCAGAATGCCGCCGAAAAAGAAAGCCGTCAAAAAGGAAAAGACGGAGCTTCAGAAAAACTGGAAGCTCTGGACGACGAAGATTTCATTCCAGAATCTGGATCCAACACTCAAGTTGCCGATTCGCTAGAGCTTCAGTTGTTCGATTTTGTTCCCGATGGGTTAGGAACGGTTTTCGCAACTTTCGCCATTTTATAAAATTCCAAATTATCCCATTTTCGAATTCGCGAAAGCTCTTTTTCAGACAAATCAGAAGAATACTGCCTTGGAATCGACGAAGCAGGCCGCGGACCAGTAAACGGCCCAATGGTCTACTCCGCCGCCTTCTGTGTCATCAGTGAGCTCAAATTAGCTCAAGCAAACTCCGGAACTGTGAAATTTAGGCGAGCACCAGAAAGTGCGGGACGACATCGGCGCCAACGACTCCAAGCAGCTCGAGGAAATCGACCGAGAACGGATGCTCAAATCGATCGACAAATGCAAGTGGGTCGGCTACACTGGCGTCGTCCTCCCGCCAGCCTACATCTCCAAATCCATGCTCCGAAGAGCGAAGTACAATTTAAACGAAATGTCCCACGACACAGCTATTTCCATGATCAGACGTGTCCTCGACCACCACAAAGTTAACGTCAAAGAAGGTTAGTAAACACATCCTCATACTTTGTATTCCAGCATTTTTCAAAATAATCGGGACACTCAGCGAATCACTTATTTGCAATTAACCATGAAACAAGAAGAATCGAGAAGCAGAATCTTGCGGCTTCAAGAAAGAAAAGTGTGAAAGCCGCGCGAAGCGCGGCTTCTTTACTTTTTCAGCTAGAAACCGCAAGATTCGGATTCTCGATTCTTCTTGTTTCATGGTTAATTGCAAATTAGTTATTGGCTGAGTGTCCTGGTTACTGCTGTTTTTTCCTGTTAGTCAACTAAAATTTGCAGTATTCGTGGACACAGTTGGAAAGCCAGAGAAGTACCAGGAAAAGCTGCTTCGATTCTTCCCGCAGCTGTCGATCAGAGTTGAGAGCAAAGCCGACGCGACTTATCCGATCGTCGGCGCTGCTTCCATCGTGGCGAAAGTGACGCGCGACAAGTTGGTGCACAACTGGGACCACGTCGAGCCGGCCGTGGACAAATCCATCGAGGTCGGCTCCGGATACCCGGGAGATCCCAAAACCAAAAACTGGATTCGACAACATTTGGATCATGTCTTTGGGTAAGACAGCGCGAAAATTGACGCAGCGACAGAAATACCGACAAATTTTTTTAACAAAAATTTTAGACTTCCTACATACGCGCGGCTTTCTTGGGGAACGGCGACAGAAGCAATGGCGAAAAACTGTGCCGAAGTGGAGTGGGAGCACGAGTTCGAAAACGAAGAAGAAGAGGCGAATCAGAAAGGTGAGAAAGAAAGTTTTCAAATTTCGGAATTGAAACTTGGCTTTGCAGCTAGAAAGCGAGGGATCGATCGGGAAGTAGTCGGCGCTGGTCCAACGCGAAAATGCGCCTTCTTTCGTGAAAATAACATTCATCGGGTCTCGCTCTGGAAGTCGAAGAATGCCGAGTCCTTCACTGCCTGAACAAGTTTTCGGTTGAAAATCTGCTTGGAAGGAAAACATTCACTCTCTCTCTCTTTTTATTTATCGCCACTGCCATTTACAAAAAAATAAAAAGAATCTCCTCAACTCGTATCTTTTATTTGTTGATTTTTTTCTAAAAGAATGCATCTTTCGGCCTCTTTGGTCCTGGCAGTCGGCGCGGACATCCACAATCCGGGTCTGATCGAGCCCACCAAATGCGAAACTTGCAAGTATTTTACGCTGGAACTGTCTGACAGACTCCGCGAAACTGGCAGCAAGAAAGAAGTGCTCCAGACGGGACACGGGCTCGACAGGAAGAAAAAAGAAATAAAGGTTCGATACCCAACCCATTTTTTTTTCAAAGATTCCGGGGCACAGTTTCTTGCTAATTGTTTATTTATTATTTTCAGTACGCTACTTCCGAGCTGCGTCTGATAGAAAGTCTGGAAGACATTTGCGAGGCGATTCTGGAATACAACATGCACAAAGAAAGAACTGGCTCGTTACGATTTGCGAAGGGCCAAAGTCAAACGATGGAGACTCTGAAGAGCTTGAAAGAGCGCGGCGTACAGGTCGACCTTGGAATTCCTGACGAGGTGGGTACTCCTTGCTGAGTTCAATAGTAGAAATGATCAGATGTGGGACGAGCCGAGTGCTGAAGTGACCCAAATGAAGAAGGAGTGCGAGTCGATTTTGGAAAACTCGGAAGAAGATATAGAAGACTGGTTCTTCCACCACCAGCACGTCGACATCCAAGGTCAGTTTTAAAACTTTAAAAGTCTAAAGAGATCTATTAAGACTTCATCTGCCGGCAGCGAGTTTTGAAGCCCGACGACCAAGAATGCCTCGATGAAGTCTGGACAGGAGCAGAACTCGTCCACGAAGAAGAAGTTTCTCCAGCCGACGAAGTAGATCACGATGAGCTCTGATCAAAAATCGCGATCGAAAGTGCATGAGTTTGGTGTTTGGTTTCTTAAACAACGACAACGAATATTTCATGCTTTTCAATTAAAAAAAAATGATATTTCATGTTTTCTTACCTTCCTTTTTCTGTTCAATTTTCACTTTCGAGAGCCGCAACTGCAAATTCTGCCAAAAATAAAAACTGTATCTGCTTGTACTTCCAAGCTTCTGAGAGTAACGAAAAGTTGAGTTGTTGAGTGCGGGATGAACGGGCCAGCAGACGGATCCTGGACTCCAAACGACAATGATCTTCGAGCGATTCTCGATCTGCTGCACAATTCACAGAGCTCGGACAATGAGGTTCACAGACAAGTTCAACAGAGATTACAAGAGCTCAACAATTACCCAGACTTTCACAACTATCTAGGTAAACAAAACAAACTTTCTAATATTTTATTTCTTTTTAGCAATAATTCTATCTGCCTCGCTCGACCCACTGCGCACCGAATCCGAAACGACGAGAAGTTTGGCCGGCCTCATTCTCAAAAACAACATCCGACAGTATTTTAACGTAATGAATCCACAAGTCATGATGCAAAGGCTGCATTTCATAAAGAGCGAAGTGATCAAAGCAGTGAGCGACCCCTCTCAACTGATCAGGGCGACGGGTAGCATCGTCGTCACCACTCTCGCCTCCAAAGTAGGGCTCCAGTACTGGCCGGAGCTGTTTCCCTGTCTGCACCAGATGCTGGACACGGGCAGGGACGAGTGCATAGATGGCGCCTTCTCAACCTTCGTCAAGCTCTGCGAAGACTGCCAAGACCAGCTCGACCAGGAAGAAATGGAGCCAGTCCTCAACAATTTGATCGAGACGTTTCTGCGCTACTGCGGCTTCCAAAACGCCAAAATCCGCTCCCAGTCGGTCAACTGCATCAACCACTTCATCCACAGCCGCAGCGGCATCGTCTCCAAGCACATCGACGACTTCCTGCGCGCCCTCTTCAAATTGGCGGAAGACGACAGTCCAGATGTTCGCCGCTACGTCTGCAGAGGACTTGTCATGATCCAGGAGTTTCACTTCGAGAAGCTACAGCCTTCCATGGACGACCTCGTCAGATACATGCTTAAACAGACCCAGGCAGGGCTCGGCAACCTGAGTCAGAAACTAAGAAACTTGAGTCAGGGTTTTGGAAGCGTTTCAAGCTCTTTCAGAAGCCTGACTCAGGTTTTTACACAGGTTGCCGAGCTCAAAAAAAAGGACGAAGACGAGAAAGTAGCGCTAGAAGCGTGCGAGTTCTGGATGGCACTGGCCGAGCAACAAGAATGCATCCAAGTTCTGGGGCCTTTTTTAAACCACCTGATACCTGTCCTTATCAATGGAATGCGATATTCGGAGACCGACGTGATGGCGCTGCGAGGAGACGAGGTACGTTACAAATATTGAACAGCGATGTTTTAAATTCGGTCATTTTTAAATTGAATCAGACAAGAAAAAGAATCTCCGCATTTTTTTCTTATTTCGCTACGTTTTCAAGAAATTCAATTCAAAAGAAATAGTCCAATTTCGATTTTCTGGATTTTTAAAGAGTATATTTATTTATTATTTATGCAGGCGTGAGTGTTTTTTTTGGTCTAAATGGCGAGTTTTGTAAAGTTTTTTTTTCATGGAAAGTACTTTTTGCATTGGCCGTAAAATGTATCGTAGTACTTTTTTAACAAAGAAAAAGGAAAGCAGAAAAAGGGTTAAAATAAGAAGTCGATTTTGACGTTTTTTTTCTTCGAAAATTTTCCGAAATTCTTAAAATGTCAAAATTGCGCTGGTGGTCCTCGTTGATTTCAACTTTGGTTGATGATGCCTTCGATGTCCAAGTCGTTGTTTTGCAGCTCCTCGAGGATCTGTTCAGCCGGCTTTAAATATTATTAGCATAAGTTAGAGTTTAATTAAAAAGGAGAGGGAGAGAGGCCATTTTGTTGGAGCGCTGCCAAGAGGGGTTAAATAGTCGAAAATAAAAAGTCTCACCTTTTGGAGCTCTCTGCGGATGTAGCCGTCCAGAAACTGGTCGAATCTTTCCTGGAAGTTTTCTTCAGTCAAATCGTCGGTCAATGGCATCGCGTTTTTTTTTTACTTCGTCTATTTTTTGGTTATTCTTCAAACTTCTGCAAGCGTTGGATTCGTTCTTTTGCGTTTTTTTTTGTAGTTTGAAGATGGCGGTTTTATTTTTTTTCTCTCGCGTTTTTGTTGTTTTGCGTTTTGCTTTTTTCACTTGGTCGAGTGTTGTTGTGCGTCTCTCAAGCTGAAGCAGACTCTTTTTAAAGGCAATGGTCGACGGCGTGGGCGCTAGTCGATTCCGCACCGAGGTAACCCACCAAGAGACAACAGCGCTCTCTCGAGACCGCGCTCACCCACCATTTTTTTTCGTGAGCCGAACCCGTCTTCGGCCAAATCCCAATCGATCTCGCCAAGCAACCCATCTCGCTGGCTAATAGATCCTTCCGGAAATCATTACGACTTTTTGACAAAACCGTTAAAAAGAATCGACTCCGCAATTTTTAATGACAATTGCTTTGAAAGCAAAATAAAAAGTTCACAACTCAATTTTTGTTCCATAGTTAAAATCAGAGTTGGAAATGTAAATTAAAAATTGTGAAATCAAAATTGATTATTTGGTAGAAAAATTTTTTTTTTGTTTTTCGATCGTTTTCTTTAATTTGTGATTTTTTTTATTTCACGTTAAAATTGGTGTGGTTCAATAATTATTAATTCGTTCTCAATTGAACTGCGTCAATTGCATCGATTCGCGCGAAAAAGGAAAGAGCGCCATTAAATTTTCAGCAAAACAGTTCTGCGAAATAATCTGTTCGTTCAGGACGACGAGAACGTGCCAGACTCGGAGCAAGACATCCGTCCTCGACACCACCGCGCTAGAATGCACGGCGGCGGAGACGGCGAGTCCGACGACGAAGACGAAGACCCAATGGCCGACTGGAACATTCGCAAGTGCTCGGCCGCCGCGCTCGACCAGCTTTCCAACGTTTTCAAAGATGACATTCTGGCGCGGGCTGAGCTACATTTTTTTCAATTTTGGGGCTCTGGGGAAGCAAATCCATTAACAAGGGAACCCTCTTGAGGAATGCTTTATTAAATCCGTTAAAATGACAACCGAGATTTATTTAATAAGGGGTCCCGATTGTAACGGATTTAGATTTCCTTAAGGGGGTCCCCTTGTTAACGGATTTTCGAGCCCGTTAATTAGGGTACCGTCTGGAAGAATGGAAAATCCGTTAAAATGAGGACCTAGATGATTACTGAGCAGAGTATCCCGATTTTAATGGATTTAAAATTCCTCAAGGGGGTCCCCTATTTAACGGATTTTCTAGCCCCAGATTTGTTATGTATCAAAATTGTAGAAAATCTGATAAATTGGAGATTTTTCTACAATTTTGAAATTATAAGAGGTACAGTAATTTTTTGTTCTTCCGGCAATAAAAAAAATCCGCAGCTAAAGGTCAGCTCGAGTTAGTAGGTGCTAACAAATGTGTCTCACAGTAATGACCGTCCTTATCGCGCGCCTGAGCCGGCTTTTTACAATTGATCAAATTTGACCCGCGCTGAAGTGACATGAGGCGATGCTCATCGTTTCGTAAACGATGAACGCTTATCGGAAAATATATCTATGTGACGAGTAGTGTTCTATCTCTTCAAAGGCTAAAGTGATAAGTTTAATAAAAATCGAAATTATTTGCTTTTTTAAATATTTTGTTTTTCTTCAAAAATAAAATATTTAAGAAGCAAATAATTTTAATTTCTATACTTTATCACTTTCGCTTTTACTTGATGTTTATTTTCTGAGTCCAATTTCTAGCGGCTCAATTTTGAGTTTTCAGTGTAAAATAATATTAATTAGTAAATTTTAATTGATTTTTAATTTTGATTATTTTACACTGAAAACTCAAAATTGAGCCGCTTAAAATTTAACTCAGAAAATCAACAGTTTTGATTTTGATTGAAATTTTTTAATTAAATAATTGTCAATTTTGCAAGAAAATAGAACTAAAGGAACGTACTCAGCAGCAGGGTTCGGTAATTTGAGCTCACGCTAAAACTCAAGGAAACAAAGCTTGAGACTCACGTTTTTTAATTTGAGTTTTGAGAACTCAGAGATGAGAGCTCGCGTGAGAAATCAATTCTGGCAATCCATGAGCCAATCAAGGAAGCGCTCGCTTCATTTGAGTTTTGAAAACTCAAAACTCGCAAATCTCCCAAAAACTCAAAACTCTCAAATCTTCTCAAAATGATTTCTCAAGTCACTTTGAGTTCTGAATTTGAGGAAATTTGAGCGTCTAGCCAAAATGAGTTTTAGCTTGAGCTCAAATTACCGAACCCTGCTCAGCAGCGTTACTTTGGTAGACGGGTGTTTTGTCTGCAGAAAGAAATGTTTGGCGTGCCAGGACATGATTAAAATTCTTGTCTGCGCGTTTTTCAATTGAATCGCGTTTTTTCTTTTGCTCAGCCCACTTCTAAGCCCCATGTACTGCCCAAGCTCGAGGAGGTGCTCTACCACAACGACTGGGTCTATCGCGAATCAGGAAAAGTTCAAATGTTGACCTTGGCCAGCGTTTTAGCGCGCTGCTTTTTTATGGCTTTGATTCTGCTTTTTTTATATTCGCCGTTATTTTGGGCGAACCCGTGCACCCGGCCAAAGGTGAACATAAGTTTTAAAAAGCATTCTATAGAGCGGCGTGCGGCTTTTTCCGAAAAACTAATTAGCTGTTTTTTATTAGTTTTCAAATTATTTTTTTGTTTAAAAAAGCCGCAGCAACATGTGTAGAAAACCTGAGTCAGGGGCTAAAAGATCTATATTAGCGGCTTTTGAAAAAAAGAAGCCGCGAAGCGGCTTCGCCAGAATTTAATTATAGGTTGAAAATGTGACTTTGCGAAGCCGCTCCGCGGCTTAATTTTCTATAAATACCACTACGCGGCTTTTCATTGAGGATCTTTCAGGCCTTGACTCAGGTTTTCTCCACAGCTTTCTTAGTCCAGGACTTTCTGAGTCCTAGCCTAGGAAAAAGAATGAGTAGATCGAGTGATGATGAAAAATAACGTTACTTTTGTACGTGTGGGTTAATAAAAACGCCAAAAAGGAGGCTCGCTTTGAACTTGGCTAGGCATTCTTGTTCTGGGCGCCATTTCTGACGGATGCTCGAGCGGAATGGCGGAGCACCTGCCGCAAGTTGTGCCCTATCTCATCCAGCGACTGGCCGACAAGAAAGCCCTTGTCAGGAGTATTACTTGCTGGACGCTCTCGAGGTACTCTTCCTGGATCGTCCAGCAGTCGATGGTCTCCCACGGTTAGTAAACCCCTTCCCGCATTCTATTTCCTGCTCTCAAACTCTGAGCTAAGCCAGCCTTTTTTAGACACGTATCTAAAGCCGCTGATCAACGAGCTTCTGCAGCGCATCGTGGACCACAACAAGCGCGTCCAAGAAGCCGCCTGCTCGGCCTTTGCGACTCTGGAGGAAGAAGCCTGTGGCGAACTCGTCCCCTACTTGACCTACATCCTCGACACGCTCGTCTTCGCCTTTTCCAAATACCAGAAAAAGAACTTGCTCATTTTGTACGACGCCATAGGAACTGATCCAAAATATTACTTTTGAATTAGTTATTTTTTATTATTTAAATTTAGATTAATTAATTAAGATAATTAATTGTTTTATTCATTTAGTTATTATTTTTTTATAAATTATTTGTTAAAAAATTCTAGAATTTTCAACTTCGAAAACACAATTTTATCTAATCCCGCGTAATTTCGCCCGAGAAGTGTTTTCTGGGAGAAATCGATGAACTTTTCTCAAATATTGATTTGAACGTCAGCGCCTGCCTAGCGCTCGCCTGAGGCGAGTTAACTCTGGACGATTCTGAATTTGCCCCGCGGCCTTTTCAGAACACGCCCTTGACCTTTTGACTTTTCGCCACTTTTTTAAATGTGATTTTTATTTAAAGTTTTCCAAATTTTTCTTTTTAAAATTTACGTTTTCAATATGGCCCTTCTTTTTGGATCCTGAAATGAGGCACTCTGGCAGATTCGGTTGGCGGCCACTTGAACAAGCAGGAATACGTGGATAAACTGATGCCATCGCTGTTCAACAAATGGCACGGCCTCGCGGTAACTCTCCATAAATTCATGCAAATCTAAAGCGCTCTAGGACGACGATCGCGACCTGTTTCCTTTGCTGGAGTGTCTCAGCTCCGTCGCCACAGCCATGGGCCCCGGCTTTCAGCCCTATTCCGAAGCCGTCTTTCAGGTACTACCCAGATCGACAACTCTATTTTTTAAACCAAAATGCCATATTTCCATTTCCTCATTTTTTCATCCCCAAAGGCGTCATAAAAATCGACAATAATTCAATTTCGCAATACTGAAGGCACCTGTGTAGAAAACCTGAGTCAGGGTCCTAAAGTAGCTACATTTTTAGCTTTTTCAGCACCCTGAGTCAGGTTTTCTACACAGGTGCCCTCGGTATTGCGAAATTGAATTATTGTCGATTTTTACTGCGCTCTTGGGGATGAAAAAATGAGGAAATGGAAATATGATATTTTGGTTAAAAAAATAGACCGGAAATGGGGCCATCAATGATCCCTACGAATTAAGTAATGCTCAATTTTTTTGTCAACTTAGCAATTTCCGGTCTATTTTTAAACCGCAATGCCTCTTTTCCTCAAATTCTATCGATTTAATTTCGCGATTTAGCGCTGCGTAAAACTGGTAGAACAAACGCTTCTCCAAGATCGACTTTATCAAGAAAACTCGGATCATGAGCCGCCAAACAAGGACTTTGCCATTGTCGCTTTGGATTTGCTTTCAGGCAACGTAGTTCAAAAACGAGGATTTTGCGGGGTGTCCCTTCCTGGTAAAAATCCCTTCCTGGTAAAAATCCCTTCCTGGTAAAATTCCCTTCCTGGTAAAACTTTTTTTCTTTACCAGGAAGGGATTTTTACCAGGAAAGGAATTTTACCAGGAAGGGAAAATCGAAATGTCAAATTAGTCAAAACATAAAATGAGCACATTTACCTATGAAATTATTTACTCGACCCCCCTCTGAGCATATTTTTATCGATTTTTAGAATTTGTTATTATCTAATATAATTTAGGCTGCCAACGCCAAGCGTGCTAGAAGGCCCAACCTTACGTTTTGAACGCACTGGAGACCGGTTTTCATTATTTTGTTTTTCTTTCATTTATGAGTTGATCAAGTCATTCAGAATCATTCATTCAGGAATGCTGTTTGGGTTGAGTTCAAAATCGTATTTGGGCTCAGATTGATTCCGACGGATTCGCACTTGGTTTAGAATCAGGGTTCGGGATAGCCTATCCCGGATAGGGCTCTTGTCTGGCTTTTGATATCTCTTGACGGACTCGAGTTTGGGTTAGGATTCCGTTTAGGGTGGGGCAGATACAACCCAACATGGATTTTCATATAGAGCTCTATATGAAAAACCCCTCCGTATGTCGAATAATCGAGGTAAGTTTCCGGTAAGAAAAACAAAATAATGAAAACAGGTCTCCAGTGCGTTCAAAACGTAAGGTTGGGCCTTCTAGCACGCTTGGCGTTGGCAGCCTAAATTATATTAGATAATAACAAATTCTAAAAATCGATAAAAATATGCTCAGAGAGGGGTCGAGTAAATAATTTCATAGGGCAATGAGCTCATTTTATGTTTTGACTTATTTGACATTTCGATTTTCCCTTCCTGCTAAAATTCCCTTCCTGGTAAAAATCCCTTCCTGGTAAAGAAAAAAAGTTTTACCAGGAAGGGAATTTTACCAGGAAGGGATTTTTACCAGGAAGGGATTTTTACCAGGAAGGGACATCCCGGATTTTGCTGCCCAAAAAATTACCAGTTTCTGAATAATTTGCGACAAAAATCGAGAAGCCGCTTGCGGTTTCGAGTACAAGATAGCTTTAGCCGCTCGAAGCGCGGCTATTTTTTTCCTTTTACTCGAAGCCGCAAGCGGCTTCTCGATTTTTGTCGCAAATTATTCAGAAACTGGTCATTCTTTGGTCATCAGAATGGGATGTGTTACGCTAACCCTAACCTATTCTGCAACTAAAGCCAACTTAATAACCCGGCTTTGATTTGAACTTGTCCAAGGCCTCGCCGAGGGAATGGGGAACATTCTAGAGCCCTTGGTCGCGCAAAGCAATCTGCTGAACTTGATGGGCTCGTGTATGATGGACCCGCTGCCAGAAGTGCGACAATCAGGTGAGAAGCGAACAATGCCTCTTTCTGTTTCAACTCGCTCTTTCAGCGTTTGCGCTCCTGGGCGATCTAACCAAAGCCTGCTTCAAACTTGTCCAGCCCTGCGTCAATCAACTACTGCCAATTCTTGCTAGGAATGTTTCAACACGTTCAACGATCTTTTAAATTGTTTTAAACAATATTATTAATTATTCAATAATTATAAAAATAATTAATCTTAACTGTCTCCAGATTTGGAGACATTTTTGAGCTTTGCCAATCAGGAGCCTCGAAACTCGCAGTGGCGGCGCTGTTCGAGATTTGAGGAAAACCACCGGTAGTTTGAATATTTCCATTTTTTTTCACCGATAAATTGTTGAAATTTTCGAAGAAACCTAAATCCGGACTACATTTCCGTTTGTAACAACGCTTGCTGGGCGATCGGCGAAGTGGCCATCGTCCACGGCGAAGGGATGAAGCAGCACATCCAGGTACTGCATTTTTTATCGTTTCAAAAATGAAAAATGGCTAAAAGACGGTTTTGCCGCCGCTTATCGACATTTCGCGGCGGGTGACGACGCCAAAGACGCTTTTGGAAAACACGGGAATCACTTTGGGCCGGCTAGGTCTGTACTGCCACAAAGAAGTGGCCCCTTTCTTGGGCCAGTTCATCCGCACCTGGTGCACCAGCTTGAGGAACATTCGCGACAACGAGGAAAAAGACTCCGCTTTCAGGGGAATGTGCCTCATGATCAGGGAGAACGCTGCCGCCGCCGTTCATGTAATTTTGAAGATTATTTATTTTTAACCAAAGTATATTTCAGGAATTAATATACTTCATCGACGCGATCGTCTCCTGGATCAATCCAAAGGAGGATCTAAAACAGATGTTCTCGCAGATTTTGAACGAGTTCCGCGCGCAGGTAAGTCACTTCGGCAGACAAGGCTACTGTCTATTTTTCTTGCTTATTTTTGAAACTAGAATTTGAAAAGACATGTTTTAAATTCTTGTTCGAATTATTGGAAATCGCCGCCGCATTCCTACTCCAGTCTCATCACGAGTAACTTACCCAAGAGTAATCTTTCTGACTCACCAAAGCCAAATTAAACCTATTCAGAGTCTAATTTTTGAAGCGACTCTTTTTTGACATTTTTCTTGATGAAATCATAAACGACTAATCAGAGCTAATATTTCAAATATTAGCTCTTCCCAATTTCCAGTTACTGAGACATCTTTTTAAAGAAAGAATAAAAAACCGCTAAAATTAATAATTATAAAATTTGAATTTTTGGGCTTATGAATCTGTGTAGAAAAGAGTCAGGTTTCCAACACAGGTTTCTGAGCCTGTGTTCTTCCCTCACCCAAAAACTTCAGGTCGGGGAAGTGCAATGGACGAACTTCCGGAGCCAGTTTCCAGCACCACTTTCGGAAAAGCTCGCCGCCCAGTACAACATGTAGCTTGCCAGTTACAGTCTGCTCACTTCTCCCTTCATTTTAACCATTCACCACTTCTTTATTATTTATCTAATTTTAAATTAAGCATCATTTACAAATTCTCAATTATCACGAGTAAATTTTTCAATTCCGCACAAAAAAATCATCACCACGGGCGCTTTATTAAATTTAATTTCCAAAAACTGGAATATTTTTAATTTTTTTTTAATAATTTTTAAAAAGTTAGTTTCTTCAAAATCGAAATTCCCCCTTTTTTGTGACTGTTTCTGATTCTCTCTTTTCCATTTTTTTCGGGAAACTTTCTTCTTACTACCAATGTTCGCCTACTACTGTCTGAGCTACAGTATGAGTTACAGTTATGAATTTTGCTTTTAGTACAATCAGCGTTGATTTTCGCCATTTTGTTTCTGTACGAGTTCATTAAAGATTATTTTTTCTGTCTGGCTTTTTTCTGGCTATTTTTTTTAAACCGAAAGAGAAATATTTTTTACATTCCTAGAAAACATAAACATTAAAATTTAACACCGTAAATAACCTCCTAAACATTTAACCAAAATGTGACCTAGTTTCTTACTTTTTAACCGCTTCATTTTAAAAGTTCAAATAAAGAACCTTATCCCTCCGGCGCGCATTTGCCAAAGAAATGGCCATCGCGCGCTCACGAGTTAAATTTCTTTGAACCTAACTCTCGGTTGTATTTTCGGCAGAAGACGCGTCCGAGAGTAGAAATTTAACCCTTGAGCGCGTGGTGGCCATTTCTTTGGCAAACGCGCGCCGGAGGGTTAAATGTCTTTCTAAGTATTTTTCCGGGCATTGTATTGTAACTCTAAAACTGTCTAAAATCTATTTATTTATTAACTTTTTTCACTGCCCAAATATATTAATATATCAACATTTAGACATTATTACTATTATGCGAACATAATATCGAATATCATCGAAAATATAAGTCCTTCTAAAAAGTAATATTAATTTTAATATTCCTCCTTTTTGTATATTTTGTGCTCAGAATCTGTTTCATTTTACTGTTTTTTACTCCGAGCATAAAAATATGACTTTAAATATTTTTTATTTATCATTTTAAATAGAAATAATAATATGGAATAGACGCCCTTAAGGTTTTGTCTATTCCTATTTTCAAAAAGAAAAGGTTTTTTCCCTTTTCTTTTTTTAATCTAAATTGCGAAATTTAGAGAAATTTTTTTCAAAAAATGTTTCTCTAAAAAGCGACTTTTTTGGCGTTTTGAGATTTTTTTCTCAAATATTTTTTTTTTTGTCAAAAGCAACGCTAAATAGTTAACGATTTTAATCTTAAAAATTAAAAACGGTTTTAATTTAAATTAATTTTACGGCCACCCTTAGTTTTTTTTAAATAAGGGTGGGAGTGGCACTTTAAAGGGTCGGGAAAAGTATAGCACCATTTCTAAAGTCTAGTTGGATTTTCTAAGGGTCGGTTTTTTTTCAAGCAACGTACTGAAATGGTCAGTATAGGTTTCAAGTCTTATTTAATTAACTCAAAAATAAATAAACACTCAACTTATAATATACTTTTTTCCAGAATGCGCCTAAATAGTATTTTTTTAACTTTTTCCTCTGACCCTCTTTAGCATTTTCTTCTGTTTTTTTCGAAAAATAAATTGGGTTTTTTTTTATTTTCTAACTTCTGTCCTGTCAAAAGTAATTTATCAAACAACTAAACTGTTAAAATTGTCGTGTTGAAATATCAAAACTCCTGAATATCAAAAAATATACAAGCATCGACCTTATTCTTCCATTGTATCTTGCAGTTTATCTTAGACTTAATTTATAAAAGCAGAAAAAATAGCCTTGACGCCTGCTCGAGTCCCCATGTTTATATGGGTTCATTTGGGCTTTTCGGCCAATCAAAAGGCAGTATTTACCGTTTAAGCCAATCCCAGAACATCTTCTCCAACAGTTTCAAAAAGCCTTCGTGATTTTTCCAACTGTTGAGTTAGGTGCTCCGTGATTGGCTTAAACAGAATATACTCCCTTTTGATTGGTCGTAAAGCCCCAACGAACCCATATCCCTATGGAAAGCCATTCCAATGGACTCAATTCTTTTCAAATTTCGCAGGAAAGCACAAACATGCATATTTTCGCAAAAAAAGGTGATTCATGCAGGACTTTGAAGGATCAACAAATTGCCTGATTGAAATGTTATCAAAAATTCGAGGCTTTTTGGTGATTTCGAATTCAGCATCAGCTCGTTAATTTTTTCGCAACGCGAGTTCAAGACGCTTATTCAGCGTGATTCAGTTTCCAAAGAGTTCAATTTCAAAAAGAAAAAGTCATTTTCAGAATTCGCCAATACGGAAAAGCATCCAGAGAGCACTAGTTTAGGCCACAGTCGTTGAAAGACATTTTCTCGATTTTTTGGTCTGAAGTCATTTTTGTTATTTCAGAATCGAAATTCGCGAAATCGGACTCTTCAAAATCTCCAAATCGGCCGAAAATGGGGAGTGCCCCGCAAGTCGGCATCGCGCTGGGAAACTTCAGCCACAAAAGGAAACAGAGTTCAAAACCTAAATTATTGTTATCAAAGGGACATCATTTTTAACTCTTGAAAAAGTTTCCCGGCAGCGCTTGAGCTTTGGCTTGGGGACATGGTCGTCATCAACGAAATCTCCGGCGACTGGTTCCGCGGCTACAAGGTGGACGAGCCCGACCGTCTGGGGATTTTCCCCAAGTGCTACATTCATCTCAAGCCGCAGCGAACTCTGAAGATCATCGACGAAGCAGCTTCGAGCGTCACCGAGTGGTCCAAGTACTTGGAGAAGATGTACGAGTACGAAAAGTACGACAGCGTCGAGCTCAAAAAGCAGGAAGTCGCGGTTCTCATCAATCGCGTTCTTGAGCTTCGAAGGAAGCTTGTTTCTGGCTCGTTGACGCAGGCGGCAACGGCCAAGATTGCCCAGGAACTTGCACAGCATTTGGACTTTGGCAACGCGCATTTGAAGGCGTACGGGGCGGACCACACGGTTCGTGGGCCGAATATGAACGTGATTTTGCCCAGCGAGGCAAACCCCGTCCAGTTGTACTCCAAGTCGCGGAAGAGCCAGAAACAGATGCAGAACATCATCGCCGAGGCGAGCCACTTTCACGACGCGTTGGAGAGCATCCGCAAGGCGGGAAACAAGGACCAGAACGTCAAGCGGCAGATATACTTCAGACTCGTCAACGCGCTTTTCAAATTCGGCGACGAGGCAGAATTCAACGTTTGCGTCGCCAAAGCAGACTCCGTCGGCCGCTTCCATCAAATCTCCGACAATTTGCTCATTCGCTGGAGCCAAGTGCGAATAAACGTCAACACGGATATTTTATCCAAGGGCCACTTGCTCAGGGGTCTCTTCATGGACTTGACAAACTCGGAGCTCGAAGATCCGAATGTGCTGTTGATCGTAACGATCGTCCGTGTCGGCCAAATGGATCTGAAAGATGCGGAGAAGAAACAGATGAGTTTGGGGAGCTCGAAAGCGTCGAAGAACGAGGGCAAGACTGGTGGAATCAGACGCCCCTTCGGCGTGTGCACGATTTCGATGAAGGACATTTTGAGTCCGACGGTCAAAAGCGACGCCATCGTCAGTCTGAAAGTCTTCCGCTACGGGAACGATGAGCCCTTCCATCGCTTCATCATTCGCTGCGTGAACCACCATTTTGGACGGGAAACGAGCTCCTCGGTCAGCAACATGGCGCAGAACTCGAATCTCAAGGAGCTTGGCCAACTGCTCGTGTCTTTCTGCGTTCTGCACGGCTCCCTAGAGCACATCAAGAAAGCGAACAGCGAACTGGTCGGCAACCAAGTCGGCTGCCAAATCGTGGAGCGACGCACCTTCCCGGACGTGATCATGCCCGGCTTGTACCGAAACGACTTCTACATTCTTTTGCGGAGCGGCAACTTCGAGAAATCGACCAAGCAAGCGCGCAGCATTCAAGTGGAAATGTCCGTGCGCGTCCAGGACAACGTGATCCCGGGGACGTTCGCGCACGGCGAGTTCGCCGTCCCCTGCAGCCACTTCCGCAGCCACGTTTACTACATGGAAAAGTCTCCCAACTGGATGGAGTGGGTCAAAATGCGCATCCCCGTCGACGAGTTCAAAAAGCATACGTCCTCTTCACCTTTCGGCATCGCTCGACGACGCAGTCAAAAGACAAGAGCGAGCAGGAATTCGCCTTTGCCTTCTTACCGCTCAAGTCGCACAAAAGTGGCACCATTCAAGACAATGATTACAAGGTGAGAATCATGAATTACAGAATAGCCCTAACCTTCATCTCAGCTGATCGTTTACAAAGCAGATGCATCAAAGATCAAATCGGCCAACTTCTTGCCCCTCCAAGCGCGCCACACGGAAGATGGTCTCTCCGACTTGGCGTCTTCAGACGGCATCCACGCGACCAAGGACTTTATCCACGTGCGGACGTCGCTTTACTCGACGAAGCTGCCCCAGGATGGCGGAATCATCGGCCTGCTCCGTTGGAAGAGCGATCCGAGTAAACTCGATGAATATTTGGAATCGCTGCGGCGCTACGACTCGATCGGCGATTCCAAAGTTAGCGGCAAGCAGCACGAAATCATGATTTTCTTGACCGACATTCTCGACGCGCTCTTCGGAATTTTGAACGACTCAAGTTTGAAGAAGTTCGACGAAGATGTGCTTTTGACTTTGTCGAGTTTGATCCAGATCGTCGGGAACGAACGATTCAAGCAGTTCCAGGAAGTGCTCGAAGAATACATCAACGTTCATTTTTCGCAAACGCTCGCTGCTGTCCGTCTTCTTCAGCTGATCAACAAAAGAATCGAAACGAGAGAACGTTCCAGATCTAGGGATCCAAATTTTCGTAAAAATCTTTTATTTAAAATCCAATATTTCGCAATTTTATCTTTATTTTTTCGCAAAAAGATCCCTTTCCAGATCAGCCCGATCAGCGGACAATGAGTTGAAGGGTCGTTACATGGTTGTGCGTAGCTTGAAATACCTCTTCAAGTTCATCGTACGCTCGCAAAAGCTGTACAAGACGCTTGGAGACTCGGATCCGGCCACTTACTTCGTGCACGACATTTCCTTCGAGTCGCTGGTCGAAGGCTTCTTTTGCTCGATCCAGAGGTTGCTAAATGAGAAGGGCCAAAGTCTGACCGCGCATGCAGCTGTTTTCCAAAATCTGCCCGCGACACTAGACGAGCTCGTGCACGTCATCGCCCCCGACCTACTAGCTCAGGCACGGGGTTAACTTGGTTGAGCTTCGCTTTTCGCACGTTTTCAAATAATCAAAAATAACCTCGATCGTAGCAAATGGTGGCGATAATGCGCCAGATAGGCTTCATTCCCGGAGAAAGCCGCTACGACGAGCAGCAGCTCATTGAGAAACGCGTCGTCTTCTTCAACTTATCGGTCAATTCGGTGGTGTTCACTGACTTCCCTGATTGCCAGAAGATTATTTTGGAGGAGCTTGTGGCTCAATTGAACTCAATGCTCGAATTGAACATCGAACCAGCTGCTACGGCGGCGTTAATTGGCGACATCATTTGCGCCTGCGAAAACAATTCCGTCTCGCAGAAAGTCATTCTTGCTCAGCTACTGCGCCCTCTAATGAAGCGCTTTGTCAAATCTGTCGAGACTGGGAGCTTGGACGAATCTTCGAAAGAGTCCACTCAGCATTTGTTTTCAACGATCGTGACGGTGCTGAACTGGCTGTCGCAGGATCTTTACCAGTACTTGATCGACTCGGTGACGGAAAATGAGGGCTCTAACCACTTCCACCTCAAGCAGTTTTTGATGCAGCTGTACGAGTTCATCCAGATCTCGGCGCAGTGCGACTTCTCCATTCCGAAAGAGTGGGTCCAGCTCAGCATCCAATCCGCCGCGACAATCCTCAACTGCATCAGAATGACCTCCCTGACGCTCTATTCGTACTTCCAGAGCAAAAGTGAGTTCAACTTTGAACTCTGGAAGAGCTTCTTCAACATTTCGATCTTCTTCCTCAGCCAGCCGATTCTGCAGATTGAGGAGAAAGTCTTCATCAAAAGACTAAAGATGAAGCTGATCTATGGGGACATGCGTCTCCAAGTGGCCACGCTGGTCAAGGAAATGTGGAACAATTTGGGTCGCAACAAGCAAGACTTCATCACGCACGAAGCTCAAGACGTTCTGCAGAATTTTCTGCGGATGAGTTTGGTTCCGGTCAAGTCGCTGCGCGAAGAGACGCTGCCAATTTTCTACGATATGATCAATTTCGAAGTGGCGACGAGCAAGAATGCTACCTTCCCAATCGTCGAGCACGCGGTCATTTCCTCGCTGGACAAGCACTTCTCGGACGGCCTGGGCGACCAGCAGTACGTCGAGCTCTTCGTCAACATCCTCTCCTCTTGGTGTCAGCGGAACCAGAAGCTTCAGGCTTTGGGACTCGATTTCGTCCGAAAAGTCAACATTTTTATGAATCTGCTGCTCGAGTTCCGCGCCAACGTCTCCAAAGACCAAATCGACGCCATGATCGTCATCGAGAAGCTCTTGAAGTTCTACAGAAATGAGCTCAACCGGGACGACCTCTACATCGACTATCTCTACAAACTCTACAAAATTCACAAAGAGACTAACAATTTCGCGGAAGCAGCGTTCGTTCTCTTGGAACACGCTGATAGATTGTCCTGGGAACCTCGCTCTCTCTCAATCAGGTACTCAAAACTGAGTTTTTCATCCTTGATTTCATCATTTTCAGCAACTACTGCTCCTCCGTGGTTTTAAAGTACCAGAATTGCCACACAGAGCGAGATTTAAAAGAAGAGCTCTACGAGGAAATCATCGAGCTTCTGGACAAAGGAAAGATGTGGGAAGAAGCGATCCGCTGCTCGAAAGAGATCGAGAAGGAATACGAAGAAAACCAGCTGGACTATGTGAGCCTGGCCGAGCGGCTAGAGATGCGCTCTCGACTAAGCCGCAAGATCGTCGACAAGTCTGTTGTGCGAATCCCCTCGCCCTACTTCTTCGTCGGCTACTTCGGACACGGCTGGCCCGAGCAGTATTCGAACAGGATGTTTATTTACAGAGGCAACGAGTTCGAGCTCAGGGACGATCTCATCGACACCATCCAGGTTTGCCTCCATGATTTACCTTCTTTTTGAAAAGCCTTTTTACAGTCTCGATATCCGAAGTCAAAGGTGATGAACAATACGAAGCCTCCAGATCCACACATCAAGCAGTCAATCGAGCAGCACTTGCAAGTTTACGAAGTGAAGCCAGTCGGCAACATCCCCGCCCAATTCAAGGTAAGCTTCAGTTCTCAAAACCATGAATTACTAAAAGCTCGCAGGAAAAACCCGTGCCTCCGAAAATCCTGCAGTACTACATGTGCAACGAGACGAGCAACTTCAAGTACGACCGGCGATTCCACCAAGGAACGCGGCTCGTCAACAACGAACACGCGACGATGTGGATCGAGCGGCGAATTTACAGGACGGCGGGGCGGTTTCCCGGGATTCTCAGATGGTACGAAGTAGAAGACACAAACACTGAAACGCTCTCGGAACGGATACGCTTTTCTATTTATATTGAGATTGACCGAAATGAAGATTAGATAAGAATAGAGCTATCCCGATAAAAAGCCGCTTGAAAACGCGATCGCAATCGTCGACTCTCGAAACGCCGAGCTGACGGCGATGGTGAAGGAGTACAGCCAAGACGTGGAACAATTCCAGCAGCTGACCCAGACGCTAAAGGGCACGGTCGATCCGGCAGTATCGCGCGGCTTCTCCAACTACGAAGAGGCCTTCTTCTCGGCTGCGTTCGCGCAGAACGCCACAGCCGCCGAATACAAGCAAATCAACAGGTTGAAAGACTTGATGGCCGAGCAGATCCCCATTCTCGAGAAATTGATGGTGCTCCATGGCAACTTAGTGGACACTTACCAGCCGACGCTCGCCCCGCTTCACGACGACTTGACCAGCATTTTTCACAAGTTGAAGGCCGACGTCGAAGAGAAATATGGAAGGAACTGGATTTTAAGAAACAGAATAATGATTCGAATGGCGTTGTTTGGCACGAGCACAGCTCAGTTTTCAACGCTCAAATCTTTGAAAGGGGTCTTATTTTTGTTTCGCGATCGATCCACTCTAAAGGCGAACAATATCTTCCTCGCTGCAGCGTTTGCCAACTTCGATCAATCGCCGTGAGAGTCGTCTCCGTCGAAAGTCGACCGTCGATGCTTCCCGCGTTTCGGTGGAGGACAACTCGTCTGGTTCCGGCTCGCGTCCGGGCAGCGCCTATCAGGATATGCCCGAGATTCCGGTAAATCGACCCTTTACTTTGCTTTTTAGCTGATTCTTATTGTAGATGAAGACGCTGCCGAAGAAGAAAGTGGCCCGTTCGGATTCCAAAATCGCCTCTTTGAAGAAATCGAGGCGGCAGTCGAGGCCGACCGAGTGGCTGGTCGACAAAACCGACAACATCCGCGAAACGCTCAATAAAAGTACTCAACTTTCAACCTTTCTTAAGTCGAATTTTAAATCGTAGCGGCTCAAGAACTCCGCCGTCAAATCTCCTCCGACTCGTTCCGCTCAAAATCGCCAGAACGCATCATCAAGCCGACTTTCAACTTTAGCTCGACGGTAGAGCTGCGTGAGCATGTGAGTACTCTCTTTTGCGAAAAGCGAACTAACCAATAATCAAAAAGGCGACGCCAATGCGCCCAAGAAGACCCAAATCTCAGTCCAGATCCAGACCCGAATCATGGGCTGAATCTGAGAATAGCACGCTAAAGGTTCGTCGCAAACAACGTCTTAATTCATAATCAATTAATAAATTATTAATAAACTAATTAATACCGCGATTCTGTTTTCGTCCTGACTTCTTATCGCTGAAATTCCAACTGCCACCAAACAAAAATTCCTGCTAAAAATCGAGACAGCCCCATTTTCGCGGCTCCGAGCAAAAGAAGATAAAAAAAGCCGCGCTTTCTGCGGCTTTGGTTCTTTTTTGCTCGAATCCGCAAATAGCTTCTCGATTTTCAACAGTAATTTTAGTTTAGTTAAAGTCGGGAATCCAGCGAAAATTTGTCAAGAAGAAAACCGAATCGCGGTGCATTTAAGAATTTTTTGATTGAATTCATTTTAAACAAGCTTCAGATTTATTCCCCACCTCTCTCGCCCGACGAACCTAGGGTTCCGCACGATCGGAGGACCCAAATTTCAAAAACCAAAATTAACTATAAGAAATTTTGAAGTTTTAAGTGGGATTGAGGTTTTCGACTATGGCGAAGAAAATGACGATACTTTTATTCTGATAACTCTTAAAATTCGCCGATTTATCTCGGTTTTTCCGGTATATTTCTGTCGCACACGTTCAGCCGCCCTCCCATTAAAAAGAACACCAAAAAATAATAGTTTTCGTTTTTAAATGAAATTATAACTCAGCGAACTTTTTGTGTGCTGATCAATTAAAGTTTTCAAAACTATTATCATTTTTATTTCCCGTGCGCTGATTGGTCGAATTTCTGACTGTGTTGTTCAGATGGAAGAATCTTCAGTCTAGAAAAAGTCGCTTGCGCAGCTGACCAATCAGAGCGCATAAGCCTTTTAAACTTTATATTTTTAAATAGCTTTAAAATAACCAAAGAAATGGCATTGGGGGGAAACAAGGATCGGATATGGATTCAACTAGTCATTTTTAGTAGAATTTAAAAATTTTGGTAAATATAAAGTCTCTGTCCGAATCGTGCGGAACCCTAGACGAACCTCCTCCTCTGCCTCTGAAAAAAGCTCCCGAAAAGCCGCCCAAACCGCCAAAAATGATTTAAAAAGTCTATCTGTCTCAAAGTAAAAAAAACTAAAGAATCTTCAATCCGTGCAACTATCAAAGTAAAAAAGAAATTCGAAAAAAGTCTCATGAAAATCGTGAAAAAATCAAAATCTCAATTTCAATCAAAATCAGTTCATTCTTCTTCTGTCATGCATTCCATCCTTGATTTCAACTTTCTGTTTTTATGATTTTTATTCCAAAAATTCTGAACTACTGAATCTACTTCTGTCCTTTCGAAACTAACTGCTCTTTTTCAAAATCGCTCTTCCAAAAATTCAATTTTCCATTTCGAATTCGAACATTTCAGAAGTAGACTTTTGATTATCGGAACGCTCCTTTTTCTGAGCAGGGATGTCAAGGCATGAATCTGTTTCCTGCGATAATTGTCTTCAAAATAACTTTGAAGTGAGTATTTCACCGATTTCGTGTTAAAAAATTTGATGTTAGAAGGGGGTCCCTTCGAAACCCAGAGAAAGGGGGTATCGAACAACCCCCCCCCCCCTCTCCCTTCTAGAAGAAAATCTCGCTGAGTAGGTTTCTGGGGGCCCCCTAGAAGCAAATCGCCTACCATTGTCACCCCTAAACGATCAAATGATAAAATATAATTCAGGGTATCCGGTATAAATGTTTAATTTGCCACGACTATGACTTGTGCGAGCGTTGTTATTCCCGAAGCGCGTCGACAAGCAACCACCGGCCCGACCACCCCATGCAGGTAGAAATGAAACGCCAGCGCCCGTTTTTAAAACCGCCCATTGCAGAGTATACTGACGCACCACGACTCGAACTTGTACCACAGAGGGGATTCCGACCCCGATTGTTATACTTGTCCCTTTTGCGGCCATTTCGGCTTCAGGAGTTCTGACCTGGCTTCACACATTTCGTGAGTTCCCCGCTTCTTTGCCCCTTTTTTCTAGCTTCTTTCTTCAGAACAGTTCACCGTGGCGAAGTGAAAGACGTCCTTTGTCCAGTCTGCGCGGTTACTTCTTCAAGCGAACCAAATCACATGACCGACAATTTGTTAAATCACCTCGAAATCGACCATGTCCAGGAACAGGTTAAAAATTGAAGACATAGAGGAAAAATTCCAAAGTTTTGATTGGAGACTTTTTCTTAAGGAAATACCTATTCGTCTGAGCTCGGAAACCTGTGTAGGAAACCTGAGTCAGAATTCTGAATAATTTCATCAAATTCAGGGCCCTGAGTCAGGTTTTCTTTTTGCATAGGTTCTTATTTTTGATTATCTGATTATTCGCTTTTTTAAAAATGGAAAAAATAGTTCGATTTTTGAAAAAAAAACTGGTTCGGGCGGCGAAATTGGTTGTTTTTCGCGGCGCGCCACCCAGTTTTTTTTCATCCCACGCGGAGAGAGAGTCACAGTCGTCATCTGTTTAGAGCTTTTTTCGCGAAATTATGGAGAATTTAGAGCGAGCGCGCTTGAAAAGTTTGAGCAGAGAGTTTAAGCTTTGGCGAAAAGAAGGATCAAGGAGGGGCAACTTTTTTAACCTTGAAAAGCCGTTTCGATCTGCGAGAAACGTCAGGTCGATTATTCGATCGTCGCGAGGCGGAAGCAGGCCGAACAGGAATCTAAGGAGCAGTGCGATCCCCATCATGGACCTTGTCAGCAATCGCGAGATCATTGACCTCACAGGTAAGTCTTGACTGATTCGTAAAGAGACGAAAAAGACAGTTGAAGACCGATTGGATCGAACAAGCATTCGGCCTTTTTGAAATTTGTAAGATCATTTACAATTTAACTCGTCATTTATTACCAACTCTACTCATTTTATCTTTTCCACTTTCTAGATTCTTTCCTCTTCAAAAATAACAGAACAGGGGAGAATCAGTTATGTTCTGAGCGAGCTGCTAACAGCGCTTGTTTAGGACTGAATCCTATGATCGACGACCCGGCCATTCGCAACTTGATAATGGATATAACAAGGAGAAACACCAGCAACCGAACGGAACGAGCTGCGACGCCATCGAAGGCAAGCAACGCGCTCAACGCTCAAAATAATAAAGTTGTAAGTTGAAAAGAAGAAGCTTCGGTGCTCGTTTCCATTGATTTGATTCTCCCTCTCTCATGTGGGTTCAGAAACCTGCGTAGAAATCTGAGTCAGGGGCCTTGCTTTTCACAATAGCTCTTTCAGGTCCATGACTCAGGTTTCTGGGCCCATAGCGAGAAGGAGAATCAAATCAATGGAAAAGAGCACCTGTGTAAAATCCTGAGTCAGGGTCCTGAAAGAGCTATGATGAAAAGTCGCGTCGTTAGTCTGGGCCCTGACTCAGGTTTCGACACAGGTTGGGGAAGTCAGTTTCTCAATCAGTAGCTCAATCAAATAACCATCTTGTTTTAGCAAAGCCAGGCCGTCCCCACTTCACTCCTGCTGGACAATCTATCTGAAGAAGAAGACTCTTCGAACGACGAGTCGCACGAGAAAGGCGTCTTTTTCCAAGACCTGCTGCTTTCGACGCTGACTGATCGCAAACTCAACTTGGTCACATTCTCCCGTAAATCAATTTTTTACTATTCTAATTCTTCAAAGAATCGTATTTTTCTTGAAGGGTGACATTTCTTTTTTCGCGGGTCGTTACTTTTCAACCAGAAATGAAGCCAATAGTTAACGTTTGTTTCAGAAGCCGAAGAAGAGGAAGCAGAAGAGTCAGAAGCGTCGGAATGCGACTTTGGCTTGTGCGACACTGACCCGGAATCGGTGCTGAGTCGGAAGATGCGAAAAAGGCAAAAGGCGCCAATGTGCGAAAAAAGCGACAGCTGGCGAATCCCTTCCTCTTGAAAACAACAACAATCCAGACTCGGAGGCATGAAGAATAAAAAAAGAAAAAATTGATCCTGAAAAACGATCCTGAAAACAACGAAGAAAATAAAAATTTTCCACTTGTTCCATTTTGTAGAATTTGAAGATCGCATTTACATTACTGTACAATTGAATACTGTTGTTGTGTTGAGAAAAAATCTTACTGAAAAATTTTTATTCTTTTTTTTTCCAAAGAGCGACTTTTCTGATTTTACCATTTCAAAAATTTCATATTTCGATTTTTGCTTCAACAAAAATGCGGGCTTCACCAAAAAGTAATAATCACGGTCGGTTTATTTATTGTTCTCGTGCTCGACAGTGCTCAATAGAAAATAAATTCACTTATTTCATGAAAAAAGAAAAGTTTCTAGTTTCTCTTCTTTTTGTTGTTTGGACCGGGTTTTGGGTTGGGAGGAGAAAGATAAAGAAAGAATGAGCATTCCCTCGAAGTATTACAGTCTTGGAGTTACTGAAGTGCTTTCTGATGTGCAGATAGCGACTTGGGCTCGGCAACCTGTGTAGAAACCTGAGTCAGGGTTCTGAAAGAGCTTTAATGAATAGCCGCGGCTTCAAAGGAAACCTATGAGGTTGTCATTTTCGTGGCTATATATTTAAGCTCTTTCAGAACCCTGACTCAGGTTTTAACACAGGTTGCCGACCCGAGATAGCGCAGGAGTACTCAGACGATCCCAGTGTAGGGATCTCACTGGCTTCTGGTCAACCGGTTCAGGTATTTATTCAAATTTTTTTTTTTTGCCTGGTTTTCTGATTGAGTAGAAACAGAAGAAGGTTGAGACGAGTGGGGGAGGGATTTAGCCTTTGGAATGAGCTGAGCAGCGTTTTTTTTTTGTTGTACTCGGCCTGCCCCAGGGCTCCCGGCTGGCCTCTACAGATCGCTTCATTCTGTCTGGCAATAATCACTTTCATACTTTCTGATACTTGAATCCAAATTATATCTTTTGCTTTGGCACTTTTGCAATGCCGAAATCGCGAGATAGTCCAAAGTCTCGGCCCAGTCCGACGAGCCCGCGCGTTGAACGACTTGACGCCATGGGTCACGTCAACTTGCAGGTACCGAACAGCCTTTTCTTTTGAAATGATTCTGACTATTTTGATCAAGCTAAATTCACTCGCACAAAAAAAGAATGATTAACTACCAGTTGATTTTTTTAAATTGGAAAATTTGATTTATGAAACAATTATTTATTTTATAAAAAATTATTAATTGATCAACTACTAATTTGAGTCAATTTAATGAAACAATCATTAGATAAGATTCAAATTGATAATTAAAAAATCAATAATTTAAATTATTAAAATAATAATTTCAAAACTCGAAGAAAGCGAACTTAACTTTTGAAAATATTATTATTTTATACTTAAAATTATTGATTTATTAATGACCAATTTGAATCATATATAATGACTGTTTCATTGAATCGACTCAAATTGGTAGTTGATCAATTAATAATTTTTAATAAAAAAATAAAATTTCAAGACTCAAACTTTTCCGTTAAAAACAGCTTTTAATTAATCATCCCTTTGTGAGTGAGTTTAGCTTGATTACGATTGGCAATAGACGATAATGAGTGGGAGAATCATGCATTTTTATTGCTTCCTTCACCAGGAGCTTTTGAATTGCTTTTTTTTCGATTTTATTTTTAAAATTGAATTATGAGAGAGCTAGCTAGATGGCTCCCATTGCGGGTATTTTTGGTTGTTTGAGTTTGTTGTGAGAAAATTTTGTTGGATGAAGGGATGATCCGTTTTTTAAAGTGGAGAGTTGAGGGTAGATTTACTTTCTTTTTTGAAAATAGGCTGTGTGGGAAGCAAGTGATCCCCAGCTGCAGCCCCGGAGCAATCATCTTGTTTGACACCGCCGGTAGAGATAACTCATATATAATTATTGTTATGCTTCTCACCTTTTTAAGTTCTTTAACGAGCCAGCCAGGGAGAGAGAAAGTCATCTTTTGCCCTAAAGAGATCTTACTACTCTTCTTAAAAAAATACTACTACTTCTGAAATTGGTAAAATGAAAATATGGATAAAAGCCAAAACTGTCTTCGTTTGTTTTGCCGCAGGGTGGCTTCAGAGAGGGTAGCTTATGCTTTTTACGGATTTCGCGGCAGTTCGCGGCTGAGTAGTCCTTGATAAGCAAAGGCGCACTCGCGCACGCGCTAAACATTCCTTTTCAATCAGCGCGAATGAGCTCCTTTTTTCGGCTTGAGTGAAAAAGTGATTGTGTGCCCAAAACTACGCTGGCTTGACAGACTTGAGAGAAACGGGCATCAACGAAGAGAGTTCTTTTTTATTTTCAATAAGCAATTTCGCGCTTTTCAGATTTTGAGTTCCGGGATGGCAGACATTGACGTTGATCGCTACCAGGGGCCTCTGAGAGAGGCGACGCCAAATGGCCACGTCGGATTCGACTCCCTCCCCGACCAGGTCGTCAACAAAGCCACCAACAATGGATTCTGCTTCAATATTCTTTGCATCGGAGAGACAGGAATCGGTAAGATACAACTCCCTTCACCCACCCTACAGCGAGTTCTTTCGACAACGATGTCTTCCATCCAGCCCCATATTGGTTCAAATTGATTGACCAATCAAAAAGCTGATCGAAAATAACCCAATCGAAGGAAGGCTTTTAGATCTTTCTGGATGTCTAGAAATGTGACATTTCAAATGTCTACAAATGTCTAGAATTGTCTAGCGATGTCTAGAAACGTCTAGAAATATCTAAAGCAACAGAAAACTAATTTGAATCTAGGTAAATCGACGCTTATGAATACTTTGTTCAACACTTCCTTCGACGACGATCCACGACCACACGATCTTCCCGGCGTCCGACTGCGCGCCAACTCTTACGAGCTTCAGGAACGGTCTTCAACGCTTCTTTCTTTCTAAGAATAGAAAGAGTTTGTTCTAACGAGGCGAGTTGGGGGAGCTCCAATTAATTTGTGAAAGGGAGAGATCAAAGAGACCGAAAAAGGAAACAAACGTCCGTCTGAAGCTGACAATCGTTGACACTGTAGGTTTTGGCGATCAAGTGAACAAAGAGAACTCTTACAGGCCGATCGTTGATTACATCGACCAACAGTTCGAGGCCTACCTCCAGGAAGAGCTCAAGGTCAAGCGAAACCTCCACGACTACAATGACAGGTAGCTCCCATTTTCTTGGCTCTTCTTTTTCAACCCTTTTTTCCAAGTCGAATCCACGCCTGTCTCTACTTTATCGCTCCTACTGGTCACTCGCTCAAATCGCTCGATCTTGTCACAATGAAAGAACTCGTCGAAAAAGGTACTCCTAGCGCGAGTTAGTTTTGAATCACTTGATCGACTTTTCATTATTCCGTGTACCTAGATGTCTATTGAGGCTTACAAATGTTTACAGATGTCTTAAGATGTCTAGTAATGTGTCGAAATGTCACTTGATGTACCTGGATGTCTTATGACTTCTTAAAATGTTACAGATGTCTAAAGATAGCTCTAAATGTCCCTAGATGTATAAATTACTGTACATAAAAATAACCAACTGTATTTCAGTAAACATCATCCCCGTCATCGCCAAGTCGGACACCATCTCAAAAGAAGAGCTCCAACAATTCAAGTTCAAGATCATGTCTGAGTTGCTGAGCGCGGGAATCCAGACTTATCAGTTCCCCACAGGTATGCGACCATTTATGCCGCCAGACAGAAATTTACTTTATCAATTTTATTATTTTGATTAACTCAGCTCAGCGTCAGTTCGAAACGATTCAACGCTAGCTGGGTTTAAAAATTTCGATTAATTAAAAACTGGAAATTATTAATTTTTGAATTGCAGAAGAGCGTAATCCAGGGCACTGGATGTTTATTGGTATGTTCATTTACGGAATCTTTGAAATCAGTTATCTGCATGTCACCAGCAACTGTTGTACAGTAGTACTGTAACTGTAGTTTTCTACTGCCTGTTTCAGTGTCTTGTCGACCAGTTGCGCACCAGCACCCATTTATTATTATTACCACAGACTTTCCACAACACTGTCGACTATATTAGGTCATCTCCTTGGCCCTAAAACCTGTGTAGAAACCTGAGTCAGGATTATGAAAGATCTAACAGCTAAAAATCAGCTTCTTATTGAAGTTCTTTCAGGATCCTGACCTGTGTAGGAAACCTGAGTCAGGTTTCACCGATTCAATCTATTTTCATTATAGTTCTTTCGAGAACCTGACTCAGGTTTCCACACAGGTTCCTTCAGGCTCAAGCCCAGGTCATGTCTTGTTTTTCAGTCGTCAATCTTCTGGAAGGCCTGTAGCACAGAACTTGAGATTTTCTTGACTAACCAACTAGTAGAGGAGCCTGTCAACGACTCTTTGGCGAGTTTCCTTGACAAAATAACAGACGGCAAAGAATCACGCCGCAAAGCAAAAAGACACAGCGTAAAACTTGAATGTTTTCAGTGTTCGGGGCACAACTTTTAGTCGCAAAAGATTAAACGTTTGATGTTTTATTATTATCTTATTTATTCCTTTATCGTTGATTGTTGAGCGTTTTTATCTCTTCCTTGCTATCAAGCCGGGCTAAAATGAATTCTAGACGACCAGTCAGTTTCTGCGCTAAACGCGAAAATGAACAGTCTCTTGCCCTTCGCCGTGGTTGGATCTATGGACGAAATCAAAGTCGGAAACAGAATGGTCCGCGCAAGACAGTATCCTTGGGGCACAGTGCAGGTGAGTCCCTCTTTTCTGGGTCTTATTCCTTTCATCTTCGATTTTTAGGTTGAAAACGACGCCCACTGCGACTTCGTGCACCTCCGAGAAATGATCTTGAGAACGAACTTGGAAGATCTTCGCTCTACTACTCACACTAAGCACTACGAGGTAGCTAAAGAAAAACTTAGACCTCCGAAACCTTTTCCAAAAAGAGATCGCTATTGATCGCCCCGGGTTCTCGGGCGATGTCTCAATGGCAACTTAGATATCTACAGATGTCCACAGACTTCTATGAATGTTTAAACATCCTCAAAGATGTCTTTAGATAACTCTGGATGCCTATCCATGTCTATTGATGTCTATAGATGTTTACGGATGTTCCTAGAGTAGAGATCATGTCTATTGACGTCTATTGATGTCTAAAGATGTCTTAGGATGTCTCGAGATTCTTCTAGATGTCTGTGAATGTCGCCAGATGTCTTTAAATGTCCCTGAATGTCCTCTTGATCCTCTTACAGTCAGTAAATTGACATTTGTTTTTAGCTGCACAGACGCAACAAACTGCGAGAAATGGGCTTCAACGACGATGCTCAGTCGAACAATTTCAACCTCCAAGCAGGGCTGCCCAATCGGACAAGAAATCTTGGTCTCGGCGATCCGATTCCGATCCGATCCGAACCTCATCCGATCCGACCGATTTCCGATCCGATTACCGATTCCGATCGGATTTTCCAATTCCGATCGGAAAAACATGTCCGATCGGAAAATTTTCCGATCGGAAAAATCAAGGAAGATTTTCAATTTTCAAAAAGTGGCAATTTTTTCAATAGTGTTCATGGCGACAGTAGAAACAGGTTTTTATACTGCTGCAAAATGGTGGAGCACTTTTGACTACCTTAACGCTTGAACGCATATTGCGCAGATTTCTGCGCAGAGCCCCTTTAAAGCTCGATATCTCATATTTTACTTGACCAAAATTTTAAATGGACCCCCACTTTAGGAGCTCTTTTTCGATGAGGAATCCGAATCTGGCATCGAAAAAAAATTTTAACTTCAGGATAAAAATTTGGCTTCAGAACGAAAATTTCCGATATTCTCGAAAAATCTTTTGTTAGCATTTCAACAGTTCTGCACTAATTTATCCCTCGATAAAAATATTTTTAGACGTTTTATCGCATTTATGCATCGAATCAAACATAAACTTTATCAAGAATATCTATTTTGTACATTTGTATTTGAGATCAATGAAATAGAAAAAAAAATGCACAAAACTGGCTCATTTTCGGGGAACTCTAGAAATCACTATTTTTAGTGAGGTTCGGGTTAGGGTTAAGATTTTAAATTATTATGAGCTTGTTTGCAAGCGTCTGAGCTTTATTTTGATAACTTTGGTTTTCTCAAAACTCGACCACAATCGTCGCTAGAGCGCTCTAAAGGTGCTGCGCAGAAATCTGCGCAATATGCGTTCAGCAGGAAAAAATTTCGTGCGTTCATGCGTTAAATTCAAAAATTTTTAGTTCTCTCTTTTGTGTCATGTAGTGTTAAATAAGCTTTTGGTGCCTTCAACATCACTAGTGGTGGAGCAATGACGTCCTGAATCCGGAATTTCCGACTGGTCGTGGGGACATAATAAAATTGAAAAGTGCTTACAGCCTATAGATCTGCAATTTCATCACTAAGGGGTGTTCCTTACATCAATATCAAACATTCTTGACATGTTTGGCGCAAACACCAGTGTTGGTGGTGGATAAATGACGTCATCAAGATTTTTTCCTAAGATTTTAGTGTATTTTTGAGGAGCTGATTACTCCACCGCCAGTTATGGTGTTGACACCAAAAGCTTATTTAACACCCTACAGACCCTCCCCAACTTGGTGCAAAAGAGAGAATTGAAATATCTCGACTCACACCTCCACCAATTTGGAGCAGAATAAAGAAAAATAAGTCTACAAAAAGCCTATGTGAATAAAGTCCCTGGCCTATGTGAATTAAGTCCCTGGCCTATGTGAATTAAGTCCTTGGCCTATGTGAATTAAGTCCCTGGCCTATGTGAATTAAGTCCTTGGCCTATGTGAATTTAGTCCCTGGCGCCATTTTTGGTAGCTTTTTAGTGGTTCTATCCGACGGGGATCCGAATTTTCCGATCGGAAATTCCGATCCGATTTTACCGATCGGAACCGATTTTCCCGATCGGACATGACTAAAATCTCCTCATCCGATCCGACCGATTACCGATCCGATTCCGATCGGATCGGATTTCCGATCGGATTCCGATTCGATTGGGCAGCCCTGCTCCAAGAAGTCTACGAAAACAAGCGAGTCGAACACCAGCGCAACATGCAAGACAAAGAAGACGAAATGAGACAGGTAGATCTTCGAAACAAGTCCTTTTTTTAATTGTTGATTTTCACGAACAGACATTCGTGGCGCGAGTGAAAGAAAAGGAAAACGAGCTGAAGGAGGCGGAGCAGCAGCTGCACGAGAAGTTCGAGACTCTTCGAAAACGACACACGGACGACAAGCGGCGGCTGGAAGAGCGACGCCAGGCGCTGGAAGACGAAATGAGCGCCTTCATCCAGCGCAAAAACGCCGTCGAAATGCAGCAAAGCCAAAACAAGAACAAAGCGCTCAAGAAAGAGCGCAACTAGCTTCCCTCCTTTCACTGCCGCTCCGAACGAATCTCACCAAATCTCCAAAAACGAAAAAAAGAAAGAAACGAAAAAATATTCATTCTAATTCTACTTCCCTCTCAAGAAAGTGGCAAAAAATAAACTTTTCCATGATTTGTCTGTACACCGCCGATCTTCCTGATTTCGCTCTTTTTCCCACTTTTTCATTAAAAAATTGGACGAAAATCCAAACCGGCCAAAGTCCATTTTTTTCATTCGAAATTCGCTTTATTTGAAATTCAAGTTGAAATTTTGAATTTCTACTTTTAAAAAAATTCGCTTTAAAAACTGGAAGCCACATTTTTTATTAAAAACTATCGAGCCTTACTAACTCCTCACTATCAAGCAGCATCAATAATTTCTACGACCCACGAAAAATTCCGAAGAGCAGTTAAAAATTTAACTTTTGAAGTCTCAAGTTCAACGATTTTATTCCTCAATTACGATTTACGACTCTTGCTAGAAGTTTCCAGCTCTGTGCCTTAAAAAATCCGCTCCTTCCTTTTTCTGGAACGTTCTAGTTGGTTGGACCACCCGCTGGCGCTGCGCCCATTGAGTGATTGAGCGAACCATTGCGGCGGTTATCGAACAAAAAATTATTCCATTCCAAAAATTAAGAAAAAAATAGAGAAAAAACTACTCAGAAAAAACATGATAAGACTAAAATAAATGTTCACCATTTTAACGTGAAAATATTTCTGGAACGTCGCCATTTTAACGGAATCTATTCTATTCAAGTAGGTCCCCTATTTGACGGATTTTCTAGCCCCAGGCTAGTTATTTAGCAACATTTCAGAAAATCCGTTATGATCCCCTTATTAACGGATTTTCTGAAATGTTGTTACATAACAAGCCTGGGGCTAGAAAATCCAGTAAATAGGGGGCCCTCTTGGAGAATATAAATCCGTTAAAATGGACACCTCCCAGAAGTAGTTTCCCCGTTAACTTGTGGACCGTCTACCTTACTACAGCAACCACTAAACGGCAGTACCTATCTCAAAGAAAAAAAATAGTCCTCCTACTTAAAATTGCGCCCTGTTTGAATTCCAAGCCATTTTCTACTACTTACTCAGACTCTTTTATTATTGTCATTTTAGCATGCCTCAAAAATTATTGTTTCTCTTTTTTATTTTCTTGCTAACACGCGCAGGCTCCGGGGTTCCATATTGCAAAGGGCTGTAGCATGAACCCGCTTTTGATGATTTTTAAAACACTACTACTAATAATAACGAAACGAACAACAGCTATTTCCGATTTGCGATTGAACAATTTCTAACTTCAGAAAGTCGAAAATGGTGACAACGGGCCAAGTTCTACTCTATGTTCCGAACTTGATCGGTTACGCTCGGGTCGTTTTGCTCCTCGCATCGCTCTTCTTCATGCTCCACGATCCATGGACGACTGCTGGGCTCTACATGACTAGGTATTATTTTACATTACTTATTTTCGATTTTAAATAAAGATCCCAAAGAATCCCTAGAATTCTGATTCTTTCTAAACTAAAATTACTGCTGAAAATTGAAAAGCGGCGATATTTTTGCGGCTTCGAGTAAGAGAAAACTTAAGCCGCTAAAGAATCAGAATTCTAGGGATTCTAAGGGGAGAAAGTCTTTATTTACACTCGTGACGAATAGGCTTTTATGGCTCCATTTCATTTTTAGTATTTGCGTGACGCACTTTTGCCTGTTTGAATTTGAGTTTGGCTAATTCAAAGAAAGTCTAGTTGCGTCACAATTAGTCAGAAATTGAAGTGTTGCTTAAGGGACCTGGGCGAGCAGCGCTGAGCCAAACTTCACGCGCTCGCCGTTCTTGTTAGAAATAAGATTTTCTGAAGTTTCTTTTTGAAAATTATATCTCCCAATCTTCAGCTTTCTGTTCCGATTCTAAGTTTTCTCTATCATTCTTAGTTGATGAGCTAGCGAGAAAAGAGAAGGCCAACTTCAAAAGGCATCAAGTCTTGCAAACTTTATTTTTCTTCATGAAACTAGCACCATTGAAAAGCGCGTTAAATTCTGAACAGATCCCACCCAATCAGCTAAAGTAAATCGGTACTCATTGGCGTGTAAGGTCAGATAAACAAGATAACTTAGCGCCCGCCCAGCGGGAATCATGTCCAGGAAGCCCAAAATAGCTAAATCGGAGCGTCCAGCCGTGCCGCGACCAGCTGCGCGCGCTAAGTAGTTTTCTTTATCTGGCCTTACACGCCAATGAGTACCGATTTACTTAAGCTGATTGGGTGGGATCTGTTCAGAATTTAACGCGCTTTTCAATGGTGCTAGTTTCATGAAGAAAAATAAAGTTTGCAAGACTTGATGCCTTTTGAAGTTGGGCTTCTCTTTCTCGCTAGCTCATCAACCAAGAATGATAGAGAAAACTTAGAATCGGAACAGAAAGCTGAAGATTTGGACATATAATTTACAAAAAGAAATTTCAAAAATCTTATTTCTAACAGAAACGGCGAGCGGGTGAAGTTTCGCTCAGCGCTGCTCGCCCAGGTCCCTTAAAATTGTTAAGTGCGCTGCTGGACGCTTTCGATGGGCACGCAGCTCGGATTCTCAACCAGTGTTCGAAATTTGGCGCTATCCTGGACATGCTCACCGATCGGGTTGCCACTTCGATGCTCTTGATGGCCCTTTCCGTTCTTTACCCCAAGTACTGCATTCTGTAAGTACCCTCATTCCCCACCACCCTTTCAACCTTTGCGTTGCAGCTTTCAACTGTCGATGGGGCTGGATATTTGGGCGCACTGGCTGCACATGCACACTGTTCAAGAACTCGGCCGGGCGTCGCACAAGGCCTTTGGTCCCGATTCAAACCCGATTCTGCGAATTTACTACACCAACCGAATCGTTCTCTTTTTCATGTGCGCTGGAAACGAGCTTTTTTACAGGTGATTGCTCATGTTGATACATTAGAATTCGTTCACGAAAGAAATATCGGATACAGAAGAACAGTTTATTAATATTTTACGTACGCAATTTCGTACCACTACATCGAGACACAGCTTTTGCTTTCATTTCAGTTATAATCTGTATACAGAAGAACAGTTTATTTAGATTTGAAGTCGCGCGATATTCCTGGAAATTCTCGACTTTTGCGTTCATTTCAGTTATTTAATATTCATCGTTTTCATGTTTCAGCAATATGTTGACAACAAGGAGAAACTTCCCCATAAGCAACGAAAATTTGAACTTTTTTCTCTATTTTTGTTTTCATGAAGAGGGGGAAAGAAATCGACCTTTATAGAAAAAGTGGTCGTAAATGGAAAGATATCGCTGCAACGAGGCATCAATTTTAATTGCTCCAAAAAATCTTTCAGCTCCCTCTACTTCTGGGCCTTCACGGACTTCCACGGCCTTGTACCAATCCTGGTCTACGTCTCGCTCCCCATCGCCGTCGTCAAGAGCGGAATCGCAGCCGTCCAGCTGATCTACGCCGCGCGCAACTTGGCCGAGCTCGACGCCGTCCAAGCTTCCAAGCAAAAATGAAGCCATCCAACTCCCAATCGTCGATTATTTTATTATCCCTTTTTCGTCTCTTTTCTCGTTTCTCAAATCTCATCGTTGAAATTCCCAGCTCTGCAAAACACACATTTCAGCAGTTTAAGTTTAAACCGGATCTTCTTCAGCTGCGTCTTGAATTTCAAAAAAATGAATGTTCCATTTTTTGTTGCTCCATTTTTCGTCTCCGAGTTCTTCAATTTCTGCCAGCACCTCTCTTTCTTTATTTTATCGAAATTAAAGCGCTAATTTCAAATTGAAATTCCTCTTCCTTGATTTTTTCCTTCAGAAAATGGAACTTCCCCACTTGGGCACGCATTGCCACTTCGCCGAGTGCAACCGCCTCGATTTCCTGCCGATGAAGTGTCGCGGCTGCTCGGAGTCCTTTTGCTCGGAGCACTTCGGCCTCGACATCCACAACTGCTCCAAAGCCGGCATCGTGGACAGACAAGTGCCGACCTGCCCGCTCTGCAACAAACCCGTTCCGATTGGAACTCAAAACAAGCCGCTGGACCAACTCGTCAACGACCACATTGATCGGTAAGAAACTGTTCATTTTTTATAGATTGTTTGATTTTTTAGCAATTGCGACTCAGAAGCAGCGGCGAAAAAGAGAGCGAAGAAGAAAGAAGGTCGCTGCTGCGCGAAGAAATGCAAGACTAAGGAGCTCATTCCAGTATTTTGCGAACTCTGCAAGCGATCCGTCTGTCTCAAACATCGCTTTCCCAAAGACCACGACTGCCTCCACAACAAGAACAACGGCTTATCCGACCAAGAAGCGATGGAAAAGGCAATCAAGGTTCGATGATGTACTTATCATCCGTTTTTTTAATTTATTGTTCAGCTTTCGATGCAGGAGCAGCCAGGAAGCACGACAAAGCTAGAAGAAGCCCGGCGCGCTCAGCAAGAAGCGCTGGACAAGGCGATCGCGCAGCGCTTACAAGTACCGAAAAACTCGTCCCCGCCCAAACTCCTCCCGAAAGAAACCCACCAGTTCCTCCCAGACTAAGATCTCCCAGTTCTTCCGCACCACCAAGCCATCCTTTCAGAACCCATCCAAGCGTTAAAAAACTCTTCCTTTTCAGCGTTATGAAACTCAGAGACAAAGACGCAGCCAGCAGCAAGCCACTTCTTCGCGCAATGACTCTTCTTCTTCTTCCTCTCGAGACTGTTCTATTCAATAGCTACTTTTTCTTCTTTCCTTCGCGTTATTTTTTTACATGTCTTCTGTTTCCACGGGTAAAAGTTAAACTGAAACTATCAAATGAATAAATGGATATTAGATACTCAAAAAAAATTGCGAAAATGGCGGTTTTTTAAAACCCCTTTTTCATGGTCTTTTCTTTTCTTCATTCTGGCAGTGAAAAACGCGCAGGACCAAATTTTCCTCCTTGATTTCAGTAGTCGAAAGTCAGGTCGTTTCTAGAAGCGCTCCCATGCTCATCCTTTTGTTTACCTCGTGTTACAGTAGCTCGCACTTCGATTATCATCATGTTAGTAAAGTCACTTTCGCAGACGATTTCCGCAGTTTGGTTCTTCATCAAGAAGTTTTTCTTCGGAATTCCGCAGAGTCGCGAAATCGCTGCTTCAGAAGATGTTGAAGCTCAACTCAGCCTCGTCGAGACCGACCTCGGTAATTAGTCTTTCCATTTTTCAAGGCTTAGGGCTTCTTAGACGCTCCCGAAAGGCGTGGAAAGAAGCGAAAGCACGAGAACCACGATGGGCACTACTGCAAGATCTGTGGCCAAGAGTACGACACCGAGAAGCATCGACCAGCTTTCGTCGGCAAGTGCTACCACACATTCTGCATCAAATGCATCGACACTCTCCGATTCACCGAGTGCCTTCAGTTAACCGTTCAAATCTCTAGCTTATTTTTCAACTACTATTTCGGTTATTAACTGTTGAAAAGTGCGGCCTTCCCTTCACCGAAGAATCTATCCACCGCCTTCCCGCTCCGCTCTGGCTGGTCAACTACTGACTTGTGGGAAAACCAACCTTTTCTGCTTTTGCAAGTGACAAAATTGACTTCAATTCCAGAATAAAACTTATTTATTTGTTTCAAAATTTCAACATGTGTTTTTCTTTTGATTTATTCGAGTGCAACTGGGAAGGGATTGAGAAGTTTCTGGTGTTGGGACTTGGTGATTCTGATGTCGCGGAAGGGTCGGTTGTTTTTCGCGTCGGTCTCGGCCGCTTCTATTTGGTCCAGAACTTCGTGGCCTTTCACTAGTTTGCCGAAGACGACGTGTTTGCCGTCGAGGAACGGGGTGCCCTGAATTTTCCGCTCGAGAATCGCAGCTTTCCCGCTTTTTTACCGTGAAAGTGATGAAAAACTGGCTTCCATTAGTGTCCGGGCCCGCGTTCGCCATCGAGAGCATTCCCCGTGATTTGTGACTGAATTTCCGTCGCCTCTTTTTCGCTTTCAAAAGGAAGAAGAGGCGACGCTTTCCTGATCGTGAAGGGCTCGTCGTCGAACTGGGCACCGTAGATGCTGTGGCCGCCTCTGCCATTTCCAAGCGTAAAATCACCTCCTAAATCACCGCCCTTTTTTAATATCGAGAAGACAAGACTGTGATTTACCTTGAGCCATGAAACCGGCGATGACGCGGTGAAAGATCGAGTCGAGGTATCCTTCTCCAACTGGTCTCTTGGCCAGTTCGGCGAAGTTCTTGGCAGTTTTGGGCGCTACGAAGCCGAAGAGGCCGAGAGAGACGTCGCCCACAGCTTCGCCGCCGATCGAGATCTCGAAATTCACAAGGTCTGAAATTGAACGTGTCCATCTTGAAAACAGATTTGCAAACCTGTGACCATTGGCTTGTTGGGGTCGTTTTGAAGAGCTCCGTCGCCGAAGAAGAAATCGTGGTCCATGTCGCCCCCGCCAACTACTGTTTTTGCGTTTACAAATCACTGTCTTTTAATCAATACTGAAGGAAAAGGTGATTGAATAAGTGAGTTTCAACGCGGTCCTTTAGCTTCATCAGCGACGTAGTTCTGGTGGTAGTCGTAGTCCTCGCTTTCAAAAGACTTTTCCGGCTGCGCAGAAACTGGACTGTTCTGAACTTCTGCTTGATCAGCGGCCTCTTCAATAGCACCACGGTTGTTCCCGTCGGAAGTGCACGAAAAGCTGCCGATTCCGTTGTTTCGCTTGCTGGAAATTCATGAAGAAAAATCGCGAAAATTGAATTGAATTTTACCTGAATCCGTATCCTCCTTTTTTGAGGCACATGATTCCTTCCATTTTGGCCATTTTGGGGCTGAGTTTGCTTCCTTGCTGGACGAATTCGACGGTTCCCCGTTGACATTGAACAGTGCATTTGTCTGGACGCCCTTTGCGGTTAAGTCTGGCCCAGGGATTTTACCCTTTCAGGATATAATATAAACAGACTCGCGAAAATCGAATTCGATTAAAATCCCAAACTGCAGTCGACTTGAATCTGGCTGTCGGCGTTCGCGAGCGGGCCACACTTGTCGAACTGTTTCAACGGCTTCGAGCACGCCAGCGGTCTTCTCGGGCTGACTTTCACCTTCTTCTGGGTGCTACGCCAGCCTTTTTCCGGTGACAGATGAAGTTTGTGACCCCGTCGATGGCGCAGCTGACCGAGCATCCTTGCTCGCCGCAGTTGAACGGCTCCTTTGTTAGTTGGGAGAAAGCGACTCCTTTGCAGACTTGATCCGAGGACGTTTCTTTTTGGACAGTCGGTTTTGCCACGGGCTTCTACGATTTCAGCTGCTAAAGGAAGAGGAGCGCGTGACTTACCTTTGGTTTTTGAGTTGCGCGTCTGGCTCGCCTCCTTTCTCCTTTTCCAGCTGTCCGGGCCCGGCGAGATCGTTATAAACCTTCTTTCCGTCTTGGCACCACTTGTGCGCCTTGCAGTTGGCCAGCACTTCCTTCGCTTCCTCAATCCAGTCGATGTAGCCAGCGACTCGAGTGTACACTCCGTATTTGCCGGCGCGCGCGCAGCCTGATCCCCAACTTACCAAGCCGTGCAGAGTCGCTCCTTTTCCGGAATCCCTCGTGACCAGCGGTCCTCCAGAATCGCCCTGGCAAGCGTCTGAAAATGTGATTTGACATCTTCGTATCTCTCAAATTTAACCACCTTTTCCGCCAGCCTTGAATCCAGCGCAAACTTCAGTTTCCTCGTTGATTTTCCGCGTGTACGCTTCGTCGCACCATTCCTGCGGCACGATGGGCACCATTACCTCCCGCGCGAGATCCTGGGTCCAGAAGGCGTTCTCGTTCATGTATCCCCAGCCGGCGACGAAGGCCTCGGTGCCGGATGGAACGCGCTCGTCTCGTTCGGGCAAGCAGACGACGTTCGTGAAGTCGTCGAGCTTCACCGGCTTCTTGAGGCGGATCAGCGCGATGTCGTTGACCAGGGAGCCGCGGACGAAGTCGTAGTGCTCGTAAATCGCCTCTGCTTGCGCAGTCTTGCCGCCCTCGGAGTTGAAGTCCTTGGAGCCGTGGTGCAACTCCATGTGCAGCACTTTGTTCTTTTCCACTCCGGCAATTGGGCCTTTTTCAAGGTTTACAACTCTTTCTACGCTAAGAAGACAGCTAAAAATCGAGAAGCCGCTTGCGGCTTCGAGCAAAATGAGTAGCCGCGCAAAGCGCGGCTTTATTGATTGTATTTCGAAGCCGCAAGCAGCCTCTCTATTTTCAGCTAAATTTCAGTCAGAAATAACTTCATGAAGTTGCGTCATATTGACAAGAGAGTTGACCAAACTGATAAATCGACGCAGTGGGCGGCGGTCAAGACGTGTCTGTCGTCAATGAGGGAGCCTCCGCAGTTGCCGTCGATGGAGACGAGCCAGGGCCAGGCCTTCTCGTCGAAAATGCTCTGGCCGCCGACGATCTTTTCGCCAAGCATGCCCATCCATCTGTTCGAAGCAGCGGAAGGGGCACCGCAGTTCTGCTGCACATCGGACATGAAGCTGCCCAAATTGCGCTGCGAGTTGCGCAGCCAATTCCTTCTTCCCGCATCTTTCAACGAGCTTCTCAACCGTTCTCTTTGCCGTCTCTTTATTTCCTTTTTCTGAGAAGCTGGGCTCGACAACCTGTGAAGAATACCTGACTCAGGTTTTGAAAAAGCTTTATTTAAAAGCCGCGTTGCGGCTTTTTAGAAACAAATCCGCGAGGCGGCTTCGCCAGAAGCTAAGAATAGAGTCAAATGATCCTTAGGCTTTTTCAAAACCTGACTCAGGTTTTCTACACAGGCTCTTGCCGAGCTCAGCTGAAAAGCCCGTTCCTGAAAAGGCGAAAAGCGCAGGAAGCAGCCGCATTTTGTTTTCTCTGTTTTTCTCTGCGAGTCTGAGAGAGCTGCGCAAGAAGAAGGCAAAACCTATATTTACAAATTTGCAAACAATCGGATAATCGCTTCGTAAACAACGCCCGAATAGTCACTGGTTCAAATCTGACTACTAACAGAATATAGAACAACATTTCCATTTTATTTTGAGATAAAGAAGGTAGCAGAGTTAAATTTTTACTCAAATCTGAACGCGACGACCTGTGTAGAAAACCTGAGTCAGGGTCTGAAAGATCTTTTATGAAAAGCTTCGCCAGAATTTAAAAGTAGATAAGCTTTGCGGCTTCGGTTTTAGAAAAGCCGCACGCGGCTTTTCATTAAAGATTTTTCAGACCCTGACTCAGGCTTTCTACACAGGTTGCTGAGCTCCGACTGAACTTGTTTTGTTGAATTATTTTTTGACCAAAGTCAATTTTTAGCCATTTTCAAAATTTGAAATCATGGAAGAAGATCGTCGTCTTCCCAAAGCTCATTGCCTAAAAGACAATATTTTTGCCTCTTTGGTTGAAATAAAAGCTCACCTTTCTGCAAATAATTTCGGAATCCAGGCATGTCCAACACCACCGACGACCGACGGCGTCTTCCACCACGTCAGGTCTGTAGGTTCCAAAAGTTGGAGCCCTGCAACATGTAGACTACAGGCTGTAGTCATTGCTATATATGCATATCTACTAAAATCGGTTTACAAAAGAAGAAATGTTGACAAAGCATTATTTTTTCATGTTTAATGCCTCCCACGGTTCTTCCTGTTCCTTCTATTCGCAATTATTATAATTTCCCGGCAAAGGAGCTGCCAGTGGGACTCGAACTCGAGACCTCTCCGCCCCGTGACCGACACCTGCGCCACGTCCAGGTCGAGGGAGACGGCGAGTTAAAGCCTCATATTCAGTCCGAAATACGCGGGAAATCTTTGAACACACATGTATATCTAGTAAAATCGGTTTACAATCGCCTGCCGAAAATCAAGAATACAAAATGAGAGAGAGATGATCACGGCTGAAACCCGGCCTGAAATTCCGGCCATTCAAAGCCGTGAGCATCTTTTGTCGATAGAATTTACGGAAATTGATTTTATTCAGGTTACAGTTAAAGAGACAAGCCTTTACTAGGCAAGGTGGTCGTCTGCTTGGTTTTTAGCAGTCATGTTTTCATCCACGACCTTGTGGAATTCTTGCTTCGACAAACTCCGGTTTTGAAGCAGATTCTCGAGCAGATCTCACCAGGCTGATGGCCTGATGATCTGAGGCTTCTAAAAGTTTTATTTATTTAAGTGTTTATTATTAAAGTACATTACTTAATAATTAATTAATAAACTGATTTACCTGAAAGCTATGCGGCGCGGACTTTCCGACTTCGAAAAGTGAAGAAGTGAGCGTCAACTGAACAACAACCTGCTCCGCCGGGCCTGTTCTAGAGACATACTGACAGGCTATTTCTTGATACTCATTCAAAAACGCTACTCTATTGGAGGATGAGTAGCTCCTGACTAGCGCGATCTGGCGATACTTTAGTTGTCACTTGGCGTTAGATTTATGACCGGATGCTCTTTTCCTCGCTATTATTCAGCTTCTAGAGCTAAAAATATACGCTCGATAATTATCTCCTTATGAGTGGCAAGATTTGCCAAAGTACCCAACTCAATGCCTGGGCTCGGCAACCTGTGTGGAAAACCTGAGTCAGGGTCTGAAAAATCTTTAATGAAAAGCCGCGAAAGCTTCGCAGCTTCATTATTAAAAAGCCGCTACGCGGCTTTTCATTTCAGCTTTTCAGAACCCGACTCAGATTCTCAAGAATTTACGCAAATCCAAGATTGAAAGTTCCTTTAATATTTCACGTGATCGAAAATTCTCACGCGAAAATAATATGTTTTTTTTCTTGAGCAGTGTCTGATTCGTAAAAAGTGAATAGTTTCCATTTTTTCGAAATCCATATTTGCTCGAGTTAAATACAGCCACTCCATGATTTACGAAAAGCAAATAAATCGTCACGACCTGCGCGTTTTCCTTATTTATTCTTTGCAGCAGACATTGAAATAATCACTGTTTTTGAGACTCAGTCAGTCTGTTTGAATTGAGTTTCAAGAATTGAGGGTCAGTTCAGCTCAACTCACGCTATCTGGGCTCAGCAAGCTGTGAAGAAAACCTGAGCCAGGTGCTGAAGAGCCGAAATGAAAAGCCGCGTAGCAGCTATTTTTAATAATGAAGCCGCAAAGCGGCTTTGCTGGTTTAATAAATACATTGAGTTTGTTTCTTTGGCGAAGCCAAAATTCCTACCCTGAGTCAGGGTTTTTAGAGAGAGCTAAAATGAAAAGCCGCGTAGCGGTTTTTTTAAACGTAGCCGCAGAGCGGCTTCGCCTAAGTAAAAAGCTCGATGTATATATTTTACTAGAGAAGCCGCTTTGCGGCTTCATTATTAAAAAGCGGGGGTACTGAATTGTGCCGCCATGCGCCGCCTTGCGCCGCCCTGCGCCGCCCAGCGTCGCCCGGCCTGGAACCAATCGACTCTCATTCGACCAAACCATGACCTAGGAAAGAGTTCTGAACAAGAGCGAGAGTTGGGCCCCGCCAACCCAATGAGTTCTCTACCAGAAAATGCACGCGTAAGGGCCTTTGGCCCGTCGCGTGCTCAATATATTAGTGATTTTATGCAACATCTGAATTTGATTGAGAACTACGCTACTGGCACCCTAAATTATAGGTTTTACTTATTTTAACTGTTTGACAATATAAATAAGTGAGAATAACTAAGTTGACATAAAAAGCTTAAATTATGGCCTTTGAAAGACCAAATATCTTCAAACCCGGTGAGGCTGGGCGGCACAGGGCGGCGCAGGGCGGCACAATTCAGTGTCTCCCAAAAGCCGCTACGAGGCTTTTCATTCTAGCTCTCTAAAAACCCTGACTCAGCTTCATCAGTAATTGAAATTTTGTAAGCGAAAATAGTCACTCAGAAATGAGAAATTGCCTAGTCCAGTCTGGACACTTGTATCTGTGGTTATCGCTTTTTTATCACTTTTTTATTATCGCGTTTGAGAATCTGGCCGCTCAGCTAAAAAAGCGGGGCAACCGAACACCGGCTTGATTGACGGTAATTATCTATAATTGAGAGCCGTGCACCAGAAAGTAGCAAAAGTAGAACTTTTCACGGCAAAGGAAGTCCACTCAAGGGTCTCGTCATTTCTTTCTCAGCGATTAGAATAAAATGATAAAACTATCAAGTTGTTTTTCTCATAAAAAATTACTAAAATGGATTTATTACTTCTTTTGTCTAGAGCTGGGCTCGGCAACCTGGGTAGAAAACCTGAGTCAGGGTCTGAAAGATCTTTAATGATTTAAAAGGAAGCGGCTTTGCAGCTTTTCATTAATGATCTTTCAGACCCTGACTCAGGCTTTCTACACAGGTTGCCGAGCCCAGGTGTGGAAACCTGAGTCAGGGTCAAAATCGGGATCTTTTTATGAAAAATCTTCGATAAAAAGCCGCGTTTTTTGAAAAAAGCCGCAAAAATTTGAGATCTTTCAGAAAGAGCCGTTTCCCTGACTCAGGTTTCTACACAGATTATGAGCTTGTTGAAAATTTTTTCTTTTCATTTATTTTCTAAGATATCAATTTTTCTATCAAAAAAATGCTGATTAATTTGATTTTTCAAAAACAAAATTTGAGAAAATGGCTCAAATTCAAAAGAAGTGGTTACATAATTGGCGAGGGATGAAGCTTCAAGCTTGAGCCAAATTCGAAAATTGGCTAGATTCTCCTCCTCGTTTCTAGCGTGCCTCCGCAGCGCCCTGCAAGAGTAGCTCTTCAAAAGTTGCAAAATGTGAAGTCCGCGCTAGTGACGTTGTACATTCAGTGACGTCACGGATCACTCTTTTTCTGCCCCGCGCGGATCATCCGCGGCAAGGCTCAGCGATTGACACACGATGAGTCAGACGCTACTCATTCTACTTCTTGCCGCACGCGTTCTATTACACGCCGCGCTGGATTAATATTTGCGCTCTTGATCATTCTCTCGATCTCTTTATCTGTATTCATTCTGACGGATGTTGGCTCAGACGTCAATTTATTTGTTTATTTCTCCTCTGGGAATTATCTAGTCTCACTTCTAGCGACTCAGAATCACTAGAACCGTCTGGGAATGCGACGGTCAAAAGTTCAATGCTCAGCAACCTGTGTTGAAATCCTGAGTCAGGGTCCTGGAAGATGTCAAATGAAAAGCCGCGTAGCGGCTTTTGAAAACGAAGCCGCGTAGCGGCTTCGCCAAATTATCATTCCAGCCTCTTCATTAATTCTAGCCGCTTTGCGGCTTCGTTTTCTAAAAAGCCGCTACGCGGCTTTTCATTTGACATCTTCTAGGACCCTGGCTCAGAATTTCTGCACAGGCAGACCTGAGTCAGGGTGCTGAATAATTTTAAACGAAAAGCCGCGTAGCGGTTATTTTAAAAACGAAGCCGCGAAGCGGCTTCGCCAAAATTATCCTCGTAAAACTCAGAAAAAATAGCCGCTTCGCGGCTTTTTTTCGAAGCTCTTTAAGCAAGATAAAATCGTATTTCGTTAAAATTAGTCTACTAAACTTAGCAATAAATATATTTTATGAATGAAGAATAGCGCGATGAGTCGAGAAAGTGATAAAAAATGGCGATTTCGAATGTAAAAGTAAACTGCTAGAAAAAAAGGAGAATTTGGTTTTAACGAGGAGGCTCGGCGCGGGGCGGAAGAGCGCGGGATTGAGAATCTGGCCTGGCTGAAGCGCTATCGCCAAATATGGAAGTGGCGCTAGCGCGCGAGGCTATATAAAGCGAGGGCCCCCGTCGAGAACCAGAATCCGAATCATCAGACAAGGAAAAAGAAAAAAACACAGAAAAAACTTTCCCTTTTTTCAACCTTCCGAGAAATATCGAAAAAATGAGCGAACAACAGATCATCTACCAAATGGAGCCTGCCAGCCAAATCGTCGACTTTCCCATCAACGAGGACACCTTTTCCGTCTACTCGGACAACTCGAACCCCCGCTACTCCCCCTACCCCGAGAGCGCGCCTTCCAAGAGCGGTAGCTCCTCGAGAAGACGGCCCGGCCGGAACCCAGAAGTCCCCGACGAGGCGCTCGACCAAATCGCCCTGGAACGACGAAACCGACGGCGCGAGCGCAACCGACTCGCTGCTGCGCGCTGCCGCGACCGACGACTTCGAAAAGTCGAAGATCTCGAAGGCGAGCTGAGCCAGACCAAGAGCGAAATGGAAGCGCTCAAGCGAGAGAACCAGCAGCTCAAGGAGCAGTTGGAAAAGATCCGCTTCAACTTGGCGATGAATCACGGCGGCTCCAACCAGAGCCAACAGGCCCTCAAGAAGGAACAGGCCAATTCGCCTCTTCTTTCCAACACTCAAACCTCCAATAACACCGAGAGCGGCTACGCCTCGCCAGAAGAGTCCGTCGAGCTCGAAGAAGTCAAAGTGCCCACCACCACTTCCAGCAACGAAAAAGCGGCGATGCTCGCGCCCATCCAAATCGTCAAGCAAGAGCCAGCAGGGCACTACCACTCTGGCCCTCTTTCCGCGTTCTTGATGACTCCAAACGGCGGCTTGGCGCTGACCCCGCTCCTCCACGGCAGCTTCGCCTTTCCAGCTTCAGACGCGAACGCTTCCGAACTCTTCAACGCCGAGTTTTGTCAACTTTGAAGAAAAAAACCTAGAATTATCAACTATTTTTGACCCTGTCGACTGAAAATCCTCTCTTTCTTTTTAGACTTTTTAGCAAGTTTTCAACTGTTTTACTATTTAAATACTGATATCCTACTTTTTGAAAAATCTACTTCTGGCAAAGCCAAATTTTGTAAAACTCAAACACTGATAATGAAAATAAAAAAATATAAAATTAATTTTCTCGACTCTTAAATTTTTAAGATACAAAAATGCATCACTGAGCAACTTGCAGAATTTTGATGGAAGAGAGGTTTTTGAGTGAAGATAAAGCTGTTTAAAAGCCTGAGTCAGGGTCCTGAAATTGATTTTATGAATAGGTAGGGTCGACGACCTGTGTGGAAAACCGGAGTCAGGGTCCTGAAAGACCTCACGAAGCGGCTTTTTCGAATACAAAACCGCTCAGAAACCTGTGTTGAAGACCTGAGTCAGGTTCTAAAGAGCCTCGTAGCCACGATTTAACTCTTTAGAACCTGACTCAGGGTTCAACACAGGTTGCTGTGCGGCTTCGAGTTCCAATTAGCCGCTTCGTAATGTCTTTCAGGACCCTGACTCAGGTTTTCAAACAGGTTGCCGACCCAAGCTATTCATGAAATCATTTTCAGGAACCTGACTCAGGTTTCCAATTTCGAAAATCTTCTGATTACCATATTTCTTCTTTCAAAAAGAAAAACTGCTGAGACAATAAGAGTAATCGAGAATATCTCAACTCAGTCAAGCTCAACAAAAAATAAGAGAGAGAGCATCGTGAAACTGGTCTTTTGTCTTTCCCCAGCGAGTGAAACGAAATTGCCATCGATCAAAGGAAGCACCTTGAAGCTGCTTCTAAAGATTGATCTTTTATAGAGAGGCCTGTTCTTTTCATTAGACAGACATCAAATCAAGCTCTCTCTTTTCTTTTTCCTCGAGTGTCTACAAATTCAGCTGACGGAGCAGGCAGCGATTTTTGATAAATTAGCGTCTCGAATATTACTGACTACTCGGCAACCTGTTTAAAAACCTGAGTCAGGCTTAGGGTTAGAGGTTCACTGATAAGAAGTGAAGATGTTGGCGAAGCCGCGGAGCGGCTTCGTTCGTAAAAGCCGCTACGCGGCTGTTCATTTTGACGAAAAATGTTAAGGGTGTCAATATCTTATTTTTGAGAAAGAATTGAAAAAAGCCTAGCTTCTTAAAAGTAGAGTACTAGTCATGCGTTTTTTAAGCGGCGAGGAAGGGATGAAAACGAAGTAGTAAAACCGTAGTCATTTTTGGAGCCACCCGCGGGCAGAAAAAATCGAACTTTTGCGAATTTTAGACCTTGGCAGGTGGAGAATTAATGCTTTACGCGGTGGAAATAAATTAGAATGTAGAATAAACATGTGCCTGTGACAGTAAAGTGACCTCATCAAGGAGCCGCGCGTTCACGACCACTTGACCTTTTCGATTATTTGCCGATCTGCGAGAGCGAAAACGGAAATGTGATTTATGGGCATTTTTTCGTTTTTTCGCAGCTGGAAAGCTAGAAACTTGAAATCCTGGAAAAGCTGCCTAATCATCATCTTTTCGGCGACCTGTGTGGAAAACCTGAGTCAGGATTTGCAAATTGAAATTTGGAAAGGTAGTTTTCCAACAGATCTTTCAGACCCTGACTCAGGTTTTCAACACAGGCTGCCGAGCCCAGAGTATATTTGATTAAAGCTCGGCAACCTGTGTAAAGCCTGAGTCAGGGTTCTGAAAGAACATCGATAGAATGCCTCGAAGCTCTTTCAGAACCCTGACTCAGGTTTTCTACACAGGTTGCCGAGCCCAGTCAATTCAGAATTTAAAATTTCCAAGTCGCCAAATCACCGAGACTGACGTTTACTGCTCAAAAGTTCACGGCGTAAAAACGGTTAAACTTTTAATCCGAAAACTGAGAAGGCGGAAATGTCAGGAATCACGTGAATATCCCGAGTTTCTTGTACGTCAACAATAATCACAATAAGCGTTTTTCCCTCTTTGGAACGCGGAAGAGAATATTTCGCTTGTTTACCATTTATCATCTGCTCCGGTAGATGCACTTTTTGTTTGAATTCGATGATCTTAGACACTAGAATTGCTTCGAATTAGATAAAAACGCCAACTCTGACGTGTTTTTTTACGTAAAAAAGGCGCCTTCGCGGATAGCAGAAATTTGGAGCGCGTGTGACGTCAGCATAAACAGTGACGTTTAGAAAGAGTAGCTCCAAAATCGGCACCACCGCCGCCGCCAACAAGTGACGTCACAGCGTACATGCGACGTCAGAAGCCTCCTGACGTCACGCAACATTTCCAAGCGGCAATTTTACGCGTCTCGTGCAAAATTAACTTTATTTTTGGTAAAAAAGTTGTCGAATAAGGATTTATTTGGCGAAAAAGGGTCGGAAAAGGCGAATTTAGTAGGTATTCACAGAAATAATTAGATTTATCTTTGGAGCATAAATAGAGCAGCGAAGAAGTGGGGCAGCATTTGAAACGCAGAAGTTGTGTGGAATTGGATTGATGATTCACATATCTCGGAATTCGTCGGAAGTGTCAGGTACGAAAGTGTCTTCGGAATCCACATCCGAGTCCACTGTCTCTCGATTCGCTGAAATTTTGAAATTATAAATTGAAGGTTCTCTCTTCCATGATTTCAGAAATTGAAAAGCTTTCTGCCCTGATCTCGGCAGCCTGGATAGAAAATCCTGACTCAGGGACCCTGACTCAGGGTCTTGGATGATTTAAAATGAAAAGCCGCATAGCGGCTTTTAAGAAACGAAGCCGCATGACGGCTTCGCCAGTATGGAATAATAAGCTACGCGGCTTTTCTTTTAAAATAATCCGGGACCCAGAGTCAGGGTTCCTGGCTCAGGATTTCTACACAGGCTGCAAAGCGCAGTTCCTACCCTTGTCGAAAAGAACGGGGTGCCAGGGACAAGATGGTTTCTGCCAGGCCGCGACCAAGTTGTCTAGAACGAAATAAGAGAGAACGAAGAGACATGAAAAGCTACCGAGGATTTTGTAGATGACGCGGTTGCGGAACAGCACATCGGGAAAGAGGACGGCCATGCGCTGTCTGTACTTCCAGAGCTCCCACTTGACGATCGCGTAGGATCGTCGCCGCTCGATCATTCCCAACTCGCGAATGCTCCAATACACCCGGTCCGTCAGCTCCAGCCCGATCGGCGTGAACGTCTTCGTCAAATTCAAACGGCACGCTTTCCAGCCCAACGATTGGTGCTCTAACTACGCTTGAAAAAATTTGAAATTCAAAGCATCTTCTTTTGAAAATCAAAAATCATAATTTTGAAAATCGAAATCAATTTCAAGCGTTTCCTAATCTGTTGCGAATTCTGTCGACGACGACTTCGGTTTTGATCTCTTTGGAGTAGTACTGGCGCAGGTAGACGCGAATCTCTTTCGGGAACTTGGTCTTTGCTCTTCTCCCCGTCACAGGCCGGTTGTACAGTCGCCGGACCAGACTATAAATCTCTTTTACACAAGTACTCGTATTTTAAGGCCTGTGTGAAAACCTGAGTCAGGGTCTCAAAGAGCTTACTATTCAAATCTATCATTAAATATCCAGGCGAAGCCGCTTTGCGGCTTCGTTTTTGAAAAGCCGCTGCGCGGCTTTTCATTTAAGCTTTTTCAGACCCTGACTCAGGTTTTCTACACAGGTTGTGTTTTTCTTTGAATAAAAATGGAGACGACTGAGCTAAATACCGTATCTCGTCGTTGAGAACGCTGAGCATTTCGATCGTCTTCATCCAGAGCAGCTCGTAATCGCCAATTTCCAGTCGTCCGTTCTCTACAGGCATTTTCCCGTTTCTGAGCGCCGTATTTTTCTCTCTCGCCCCGATCTGCAAATCTGGCGGAATTAGCGGCGCTCACCCGTGACTGGAAAGCACCCGCCAAGAACCTCCCTGCTCGACAGATGGCACTGACCGACGCAGCAGGTCACTCGTCAGTTCCGCCCTACTGGACACGCGGCGCCGTATTTTCGCGGCTTTGTGTGTTCCCAAAATAGTAATTTTGGAAATTTTCAAACTAAAACTAGGTCGTTCGGACCGGTTTAGTTATTTTGCCTGTTTGCTTATTTGCTGGACTCAATTCGCCAATTTTGAATGCATTAAAAAACCTTTCCAAATTATCATATCTAGGATCTAGGCTTGACAGCATGTGTAGAAAGCCTGAGTCAGGTTTTGGAGAGATCAAAAATGAAAAGCCGCATAGCGGCTTTATTAAAAACGAAGCTGCAAAGCGGCTTCGCCAAAATTAACATAATCTATTTCTTATATTTCGCGGCTTTTCATTTTTGATCTTACAAGACCTGACTCAGGTTTTCTTCACAGGATGCCCAAATCCGGGATATCCTGCTTGTTGTTTTCGGTTAAAAACAATCGATTCACCAGAACGGTTTCTGGCCTTCCCAGACGACCGCTTGGTTCGATTTTTGACCCACGCAGAGATCCAAAATTCCCATTTTGGGAACCTCTTTTCCTTTTTGAAAAAGCGAGTCCCTTATTTTCCTATTTTGAAAGGAAGATAAGCGAAATTTGATGTTTTTACGTTAATTTGCAGTTTATTTTTTAAAGTGTGTTGTTGAGGTTTTGGTTTTCCTCCTTGATTTCACCTGTCTACAGGAAATGACAAATTCGCGAAAAAGGCGTCTCTCTAGAACGCGATATTTTGGGATGAAATTTATTAAAAAATTCTTTATTTGAAAAAGACGGAAAAATGAACAAAGAAGAAGAAGGCGAGCGCCGAGACATCGACGTCGAACATGCCAAGGCACATCAGTAAGCAATTTTTGAAAAAGCTATTTTGAAAGATAACTTATTTGGTGAAGATTTCCGCTGGTCTTGCCAGAATCGGACATGAATGAAGAAATGAGCACGGAAATTCAAGAACTCGTCGTCGGACTTTTGGAAAAGCACCCTTTCGGACTCGCCGCTAAAGGTAAAAAACTGTCGAAATTAGGAGAATAACCAATTTTTTCTGAAAAGAAACGTTTGAAGTGTTAAATAAGAAGTTCGGCGTTGGGTGGAATATTGTGATTGGAAAAGCATTCCACAGCGAGTTTCAAGCCGTCAAAGGAAAGAGTTCCAAAGAGTTCCAAAGCAGAAAAAATTTGATAGTAGTTCAGTAAATTGGAGCTCTCAAAAAAGGCACCGTTCTCATGATGTACTACCAGGGCGTGTACGGCATTCACATATGGAAATCGGAGAAGTAAGCTCCTTCGACTCTCTCTCAGCCCTCAACTCGTCAATTTTGCTTTTTGCCAATTCAACCCTATTTTTATAAATTCATCACTGAACCTGTATCACTTTGACTACCTGTATCAACTATTTTTGAAACTGAAACAAAACACTTTTAATAAAACTCGGGCTCCGCAATCTGTGTAGAAAACCTGAGTCAGGGTCCTGAAAAAGGTTGAATTTAAGAATTGAGCCGTCTTTCTGAACCCTGACTCAGGTTTCTGCACAAGTTGCCGAGCTTTGATCAAATATACTCTGGCCTCGGCAACCTGTGTAGAAAACCTGACTCAGGGTTAGAAAATTGATTGAAATAATAATTTTGCGAAGCCGTTTCTTTCGACCCTGACTCAGGTTTTCTACACAGGTTGCTGAGCTCATTTTGATTCACAGAAACAAACAAGAGTCGTTTTTTAATGATTTTATTATCAGATTCTATTTTTAAATTGCTGATTGTTGATCGCATCTTCTGTCCCATTGCTTCGTAAAATCTAAGAAAAGAAAATAAGCAGGAACAACAGTTGAGATTACTGTATCCAGGGTCATTTTCGAGTGGAAACGCGCTTGACGGAAGAGTGCGGCAGTAAAAGACTTCGTTGACGAACCAGATTCCGAGGGAAACGATGTAAATCATGTACAGAATCAGTAAAATTCTGAAAACTCGCGAAAGAGACCTCCGATTTATCTTTACCGGTCAACAATCATCGCCAGCAGCATCCAACGATCTTTCAGCGCCTTTTGTTGCTGCTTCTTTTCGAGAAACTTGTCGGTGGAGTAAATCTCCTCGGCGGCTTCTTGCATTGGAATCGTAACAGGGCTCGGCGACTTGTGTCGAAACCTGAGTCAGGGTCCTGAAAGAGCTTGAATCTCACCGCGATTCTTAGTTTCGACTGACTGTTTTTCGGTCTTATTTCAGTAAAACTACTGCTGAAAGAATTGCAATAGTTGCGGCTTCGAATAAATGGAAATTTAGCCGCGGGAAGAGCGGCTTTTTCGTCTTATTCTGCTTTTAGCCGCCAATTGCATCTCCCCTTTTGCTGAAGTATGACCGAAAAACTGGACTCTGCAACCTGAGTAGAAAACCTGAGTCAGGGTCATTTCAGTTCTTTCAGACCCTGACTCAGGTTTTCTTCTCAGGTTGCCGAGCCCAGCCGAAAAACATTCAGTCAGAAGCGAGAATCGCGGTATTCAAGCTCCTCAGAACCCTGACTCAGGTTTCTACACAGGTCGCCGAGCCCAAAATCGAGTTGAAAAATAAAAGCCCATGAAACCACTTTGGCCGAAGTCGTTTTCGCGAGTGCGTGTTTCTCCTTTCAAGATTCTTTGCGAGCAGTTTTTCTTCCTTTGCAAGGTCGAGAAGAGTTGTTCCTCGAGAGTTCTTAGAATGAGAATTAAAAAAGGCGCAGCAAGGATTTATCCTTTCCTCTCAATGGCGAACAATTTAGAAAATAAGAGCTTGGAGCAGGGCTGAAAGATGATGCGCCTGAGTGACTCGGGAACATCACAATTTCTATTCCCATTATACTATTTAAGTAAGTTTATCACAGTCCGAATTCTCACAGCGTGGAATTCAAAATTGAAATAAGTAATAAACAACGCTCGTGAATCCAAATCACCAGCACGGAAGCGAGAATCGAGAGAGAGACGCTCATCAGAGAAACCATCAAGAAGCGGGAAAGCAGGGGCAGCGAGTCCGTTTCAGGCGTGAGTCGAGCGAGCATCGACAGATACACTAGAATAGGGGTTAAAAATACTGATGGCCTGGGCTCAGCAACCTGTGTAGAAAACCTGAGTTAGGTTTTGAACAGCTTCGAAACATAACGAATTAAGGGTGTCCCCAACGTTAACTCAAAGTAAACAATGTTTTGGATAAATCGTTGGGGACACCCTTAATTGGTTATGTTTCAAAACTCTTCAAAAACTGACTCAGGTTTTCTACACAGTTGCTGAGCCCAGCTGATGGCCGGTGAGAAGCTAACCGGTGAGTCCCATAAAGACGCTTATCCTGGGCTTGACAACCTGTGCAGAAACCTGAGTCAGGGTCCTACACAGCTTTTTATCGAAGCTCTTTTGGGGCCCTGAGTCAGGTTTTGACACAGGTTGCCGAGCCCAAGGAGCTAATCGCCAAGTGGATTTTGATTCGAAGCTGGGGGAATTATAAAAGTTCCAACTGACAAAAGAGTAATCAAAATGCACGGGACGACGAAAGTGATGATCTGAAAACAAATTGTTCAGTCAGGTTTCTTCCTGACTTTTTACGTAAAATAGACTTTTTCGCCGGAAAATAAAGAAGAATGTGACTTCTTCCATTTGCTCGTCTGAAGTGCTTTTCGCGGGACTTTTTCCGGTTGACGATTTTTATGAGAAATTTTTCAAGAAACGCGACTTTTTCAACCAGAAATCAAAAGATGAGATCCCACTCTCCATTGCTCTGGTAGTAGAATTGATCGATTATCACTTTTTCTTGCTTTCAAAGCAATTTTCGAAAAGATTCAAGAAAAAGCATCCGTTTCTTGAGTGTCTCTTGCCGCGAGCTGGACCTCGTTTTTGTCGTAATTGTAAGTTCGAAATGCCATCGAGCAATTTTGCCAGTCAAAGGGGAAGAGAGACACGTCGATTTTGCACTAGAATTTTATTACTAGAATTTTTGAAAAGCTTTTTCCGAACTTTTGTGCGAAAGATTCCAGGCGGCATCCAGTGAACTCGGCCTGAGCTATTTTTTCTGTTCGCTTTGGAGCGAAATTACTGTTTTTCTTTCCTCTCGAACATTTTCCTTTTTACAGGGGCCATGACTGGGACAGTAGGGTCGTAAATGCCATCAGTATTGCTGTAGAGAATGATCGAGGGCTGCCAAATCTTCTCGACTGGCATGTTGATTGTGTGCTGCTCTGGGCTCGGCAACCTGTGTAGAAAACCTGAGTCAGGTTCTGAAAATCATTTTAGCTCTTTCAGAACCTGACTCAGGTTTTCGACACAGGTTGCCGAGCCCAGGTGCTGCTCGTTGAACTTTTCGGCTCCCACTTTAGCCGCTGATCCACCCAAGTGTACTGAAGCTCTTTTACCGGATTTTTACAGTACTGTTCTACCTCTGGGAAGGCGGAAATCGTTACTGTCTCGCGCTTCTCGTCCAAATTTATCATTTGCTGCATTGTCAGTGCAATTTCCACCTTTTTTCAACAAAAAAGTTCATCCCGAAATTCATCAAGAAACTACCTTTATGACTCCATCTCCATCGGTAGGTTGGGCTCGGCAACCTGTGTAGAAAGCCTGAGTCAGGGTCTGAAAAAACTAAAATGAAAAGCCGCGTAGCATTTCTCTCAGACCCTGACTCAGGTTTTCTGCACAGGTTGCCGAGTCCAGTCGGAAGGACGAACCTCTGGGTTGTAATTTTCAAAGACATGGTTGAAAATTTCGTATTCTTCGTTTTTTCCTTCAGCGAATTCCAAAAGGAAAAAGAAAAAGTAGAAAAGAAGCATTTTGAAAGAGGAATGAAGAAAATATTCAGTAGAAAGGCTACGACCTCTAAATAGACCAATCTCGTCAAAAAGGGGATCATCCTCGTTGATGCCAATTTTCTTCAAGGTCATCAGTTCAGTGTCATTCGCGGCGAAACGGACAGATTAGTAGATTGGGATTCTGAATTGGTTACCTTGCTTGTCAAATAAAGAAGCTACCGGGACGATGGTAGGAAAATTTGGACAGCCCAGATCCTTGTTTGCATGAAAATAGGTTATGAAAATATTTTGTGCTCCAGTTTTTAGCAAAAAATAGCGCCATCGCAAATTTTTCGAATTATAAAAAGCGTCAAAGTTTGAACTACCCATTTCAAATAACTTTTAAAATGCGACTTTTCTTACGTTTTCAGGAACTTTCAAAGTGCTTGGATGCGGAATATATTCGATTTTTATCTTTTATAAAAATAAAATGAAACTCTTTCTCCCCCTCCCTCTAGATTGATAGAAGCTTCTACTTACTTACATATATAATATATGATATATTAATAAATTACTCAATAAATAATATCCATTTGAAGAAATGTCTTTGTTTTAAATTCTCGTACATATTCGTCGATTGAAACTCTGGTGTTCGCTATTTTATCCTTCATCCCCAGAATTGTCCCCTTGCCTCAGAAGGACTTACAGTAAGACAATCTCTAAGGGATGAAGTCTTTGCGAACCCCTGAGTTAAGAAAACTCGGGTCGCCGTGAGCCGCCCCGCCTGGCACTAGAAATCGAGTGACTGCGGCTTGCGGAATAGGGCGTGGCTCACGACTTGGGACTCGGGAATCTCTCCTTCGCGCAAGTTTGAAAAGTTTTTGAACGCCCCGTGAAAGAGGCGCTCGAAACGAAGTATCGGTCAGTCGGAAAGATTCTATCCTCGTGCACATCGACAGCTCTAAAGGGTTTTTCTCGAAGTACCGCTACTGGAGTTTGAAACAGGCTGCGCGACCCTGCTTTGGATTTCAAACTGAAGCCAAGCCGCCCCGGCAGCGCGCTTTTATTGAGCCAGGCCTACTCACCGCCAGAATGACAAATACTGACAATGAGTTGCTAGGGCCAAAGTTTTCCGCTTGCCGATGAAGCCTGCTTACTCAAACAATGAGCATCGTCAGAATTGATGATGCTCAAATCAGCTTGAAAATGAGCTCGGCAACCTTTGTAGAAAACCTGAGTCAGGGTCTTGAAAAAGGCTGAATTTAAGAATTGAGCCGTCCTTCTGAACCCTGACTCAGGTTTCTGCACAGGTTGCCGAGCCTAGATCAAATATACTCTGGGCTCGGCAACCTGAAGGGCTACTGAAAGACCTTTCAGCCCCTGACTCAGGTTTTCTACACAGGTTGTCGAGAGTAGCACATTTTCTATTTCAAACTACTATTACAGTAGCATTCGTACTTTCCAAAATCTCCCTGGAAAAGCCGTAATTGCGGTTTCTGAAACCAATTCTAGAGGAGATTTTGGAACTTATGAATGCTACTGTAATTATGAAACAGTAATTTGAAAGAAAAATGCTCTACTGAAATATATATGAAATATAAATATTCATTAAAAATTCTAATTAGCAGCAATATCTTCTTACTGTACTTCGAGTCAAATTAGAATTAACTGTGATCAAGATGGATTTCCAAAAAGGAGAATCTTGATTGGCCGCGCGCCCTCGCCCCTGGGAATTCTCCTTTTCTTCTTTTCCTTTTTTCCTTCATTTCCTCAAGACGGAGAGAATAACCCAGAAGAATATAATATTCTCCTCATCTGCCAAAACCATCATCCCCTTTTTTAGAGAATGAATCGGATAAGTAAAAGCATCGTTCGTTTTTACAGTCATAAACCGGGCTACCAAGGCGCTGCCCAGCAGGAAAGGGTCTTTTTCTTGCTTTTCAGAGCCTGTGTAAAAACCTGTGTCAGGGTATATCTAGAGGTTTAAGGATATAGCCGTTCTCAAGGCACTTTCGTAACGCCAAAAGGGGACGATAAAATTTTTCATTTCAAAAGGAACCCTACCTAAAATTGCCTTATTTACCCGATTCTAGTGTTCTTTTTAATTTTTTAATGGAAAAATTTCTCTCTAGAGCAATTTTAAAGCTTACGATCACTTTTTCTCGAGAATTTTCCATTAAATCGGTCGAGTTTTTGATAAATTAAAAATTTGGACCTTTCTCTACATTCGTAGGGCCTAAATTTTAATAGATTCCAATTATTTATGATTCGAGAGCCATTTTTATGAGGCTTACTTGAGTAAGCCGAAGCGTCAGACAGCGCTCTGGTTTGCTGCGCTGGGCGCCCTCCTCCATCGCGCGGTGAGGCGCCCATGTGAAAGAGCGCTCTGATTGGTCGAGCGCCCTGAACGCAGCATTTATGAAAAAGAAAAGCCAAAAAGAAGAAGACGCTAGAATGAAAATTTTCTTGTATTTTGAAATTTTGAGGCCCTAGGAAGATAGATTAGCAGTTATTTATAATAATACACGGTTTAGTTTTAGCGATTTAATTGAAAAATTTCGAGAAAAAGTGATCGTAAGATTTCAAATCGCTCCAGAGAGAAGTTTTCTTTGAAAAAATTTTAAAAAACATCAGAATTGAATTCTACACATAATTTTAGGTAGGACCTGTCTTGAAATGAAAAAATTTTATCGCCCTATTTCGGCGCTACGAAAGTGCCTTGAGAACGGCTATATCCTTAAAGAGAGCTCTAGCGTAGCGGCTTTTAAAAAAGCCGCAAAGCGGCTTCGCTGAAATCTCCACCTAAATCTATTTTAGAAGTTGGCCAATCAGAAACCTTTATTCTATTTCTGAACCAATCAGATTGTAAAAAGTAGATTGAAAAGGTGGTTTTAGCGAAGCCGCTGCGCGGCTTCTTTTAGAAAAAGCCGCTACGCGGCTTTTATATATAAGCTTTCTCAGACCCTGACTCAGGTTTTCTGCTCAGGTTACCGAGCCAAGTTAGAAAGCCAAAGCCCCTAAGAGAATCAACCATGACGTCCAAGCCCGCCGAAGCCGTCCGCAAGGAAAGAACTCGAAGAAAAAGCGCGGAGCCGTGATCAAAGGAGCAATGTTTGAAAGCGCGCCGGAGAGAGTCGAAGGCAGTTCTTACTACTTGATGCAGCAGTCGCGCGATCCCTACGCCAAAATGGCCAAGATTCAGAATTACAGATGTCGATCGGCGTTTAAACTGGTCGAAATTCAAAACGAGTTTGGGATCATTTCGCCAGGAATCGATGTTCTTGATATTGGAGCCAGGAAAACAGTTACAAAACTCCCTAAATTTGATTAAGACCATGGAAAAGGTAGAAATACAGTAGCTCGGCTTGCCCACCTGTGTCCGAACCTGAGTCAGGGTCTTCGAAGCGGCTTCGCCAAAATTACCATATAACTCCCTGAAGAACCCTGAGTCAGGTTTTGTACACAGGTTGAAATGCAGTAAAGGGTCCAATCTGAAACTAGGAATATTTGCACAGCCCGGATTTTTGTTTGCATGAAAGTAGGTCGCTGTTAACTCGTTTTTTTTTGCCGAAAATAGGGCGCCTCCGACGATTTCGAAAGTTTAAAAAGGGGAAGCTTGATTCGATCATCACAAAAAATAAAATGAATTTTCTGAATATCGATGCTCAGCTAGAACGACCACTAAATTTGAAATAAAAAGAGCGAAAATCTTCAAGTTAAGATCTACAACAGGAATAAAATGAAAAACTACAATATTTGCCTCTAGAATAATATTTATATTGCCATTACTGAATTATTTTACTAAATAAATTATTGGCCAAAATAATGAGTACTTTCAATTTCGCAACTGTAAAAAAGCCCTGGCGGTTGGAGCCAAGTCATCGTTGAAGAATTAAAACTTGGTTCAAATTCTTTTGCTGATTCAGAAAACGAAACGCTTCAAAAGCAAAAAGTTTTGGAAAATGAAGAAAGTTTGCTGGACGAGATCTACTCGATGTCCTTTCTTAGTTCTTCGAAAGAAAAAGACGAAGAAAAGGATGTAAAACGCGCTGGCTCCTGTGTGAGCTGCGATTTGCGCCCGTTTCGCGAGATCAGCGGGGCGAAACAGATAATTGGCGACATTTTCGAAAAACGAACTCTCCAGCAAATCCAAAACGAACGAACTCACTTTCAACTCATTGTCTCCGGTAAAGAAAAATGAACTGTTTGCGCTTGAAAAAACATCTGATCGTTCTTTGAGAGGATGATCTCTTGAGACTCTCCTAATTTTCCGTGAGCCTGATCGTATCGAAAACTATTTATTCGAATACCTCGGCTTTCCAATCTTCATTCCAGTTTTGTCGAATTCAAGAGACTTCAAAATAACCAGAAAAAATAGTAATTTTTGCTACTTTTCAATTTTGTAAATTCGCCAATGATATTTTTATTTGGCTAGATCTCGGCTCAGTAATCTGTGTAGAAACCTGAGTCAAGATTAAGAAGAGATTTGAGGAAAAGCTCTCCCGAATCCTGATTCAGGTTTCTACACAAGTTGGCGAACCCATAAGCCTACATAGGAACTAGAATAAAGAGTTGTGCTTTCCTTTGGAGAAAGAAAATAAGGGTGTCACAGCACTAATTTTTGAGGAAAAGTTCGATGTCAAAAGCTTTAACTCGAGCTTTGACATCGAGCTTTTCATCTGAAGCTAGCGTTGTGACACCCTTATTTTCTTCCCCTAAAGGAAAGCTCAAACCTTTATCTTGTTTCTCAATTTTCGGGAAAGCTGATTAATGCATTCAATTTTGCATTTAGATGCGCATCCTGGAGCGAGTCAAGACCCGAAGCAGACGATTTATTCCTCCTCGCAACTTTCGCAGCGAATAATCGAAGACGTCCTGCCGCTGCTGCTTAGTCCGGGAGGCGCTTTTGTAACAAAAGCCCTTTCTCAAAAGCTAGTCTTGAAGATGAAGCAGCACTTCCAGCACGTCCACGAGAAAACGGATTTTCAAAGAACAAAAAAGAAAGAAAAATCAGTTTCTATTTTTAATTTTTATCAAAAATTTTTAATCAAATCCGCTATTAGTTCAAGCCGAAATCGTCGAGGACAGAATCAGAAGAGTTTTTCATCATTGGATTGAATTATTACAGAAATTGAGCTACAGAGAGCCATTTTCGTTACTGTATGGAAAGAAACGTCGGCGACGGAGCTACAGTAATCAGTTTCTACTGTCACGTGAATCTCGATTTCAAATATTTATTCGTCGATCTGAAAAACAGTCCGTTTTTGCCGTTTTTCTCCAATTTTAAACTGCCAAATTTCTTCAAAAATTTTTCAAAAAGAAACCTCATTCTTTTCAGAAAATCGAGAATGGACCGAATCGGCGACATTTTCGACGAAATGTCGGTCGCGGAGACGCAAACGGGCGTGACCGGCCAGACGACGGAAGAAGTGATTCCCAACTCGATGGATCCGACGGAACACCAAGTCGTCACGGCAGAAACGACGCCGCGAGAAAGTGTCATTTCCATGGCGCTGCGCATTTCGCCCGACGCGATGGTGCTCATGAACTATCCAAGAAGGGACGAGAAGTTTTACGAAAGACTCAATTCCTTCAGCAACGGCTTTCCTCAATCTTGTCCCAGTAAGTCGAAAGAGCTCCTGTATTCAGGTCACTTTTCAGTCACTTATTTTTGTTTAGTTTCACCCGATCAGCTCGCCCTGGCTGGTTTCCGCTTCTACTCGCCCGAAATCGCCAGCAACGACGAAGAAGTCTCCGACACAGTCCGCTGCGACTACTGCAAAGGCAGATTGCAGCGCTGGGAAGCGTCCGACATTCCCCTCGACGAGCATCACCGACACTACCCGCGCTGCCCCTTTCTCATTCCCTTGCTGCAGGAGTCGCATAATCCAGATTGGCACGCGTACGAAACCAGACTCGCAAGTTTTGAAGAAGCGAATTGGAATGAAACGCATTCGACGCCCACTGCCGAAGAGCTTGGTAAGTCTACTCGATCTATTCTTCCGTAAAACCCGAAAAGCCGCTGGCTTCGAGCTTATTAATAAAAAAGCCGCACAAGGCGCGGCTACAAAATTGAAGCCTTCAGCTCAAGCTGAGCAACCTGTGTAAACCCTGAGTCAGGGTGCTTAAAGAGCTTTAATTCGAGCCTTTACAGGACCCTGACTCAGGTTTCTGAACAGGTTGCTCAGCCCAGGCTTCGAGAAACTAGTATTATGGCCGCGCTTTGCGCGGCTATTTTTCTTCTGTTAGCTCGAAGCCGAAAGCAGCTTCTCGACTTTTCAGAATCCAGGAACTAGTTGAAAGTGAATAAATTTGACAAATCTTTAGCGAGCGCGGGGTTCCACTTTGTCGGCGGGCGAGAAATGCGAACCCATCAACTGCCAGGAGCGAATCAAGAAAATCCAGTTTACAGAAACGACGCGACAAAGTGTTTTCACTGCAGCACGACGCTACATTCCTGGGAAGCCGACGACGACGTCTGGATTGAACATGCCAAGTGGTCTAATAATTGCGGGTAAGTTTGAGTTAGATCAAATAAGATAAGATGAAAAGTAGGATAGGAGTATTGAGCAGGCCTACTTTACTGTTTGCTCGGAGCTAGGGTATCGTAAGATCTTCAGAAGTCATAAAAACGAGCGTTTTTTCATTTCCTACTGAGATTTGACCGCATTTTCAGCGAAAGGAGCGCCCTCGGTTGATATTTTTCGTATAAAAAGGGAGATTTGATTCAGTTATCATAAAAAGAATAAAATGAACCTTATTTTACCGTGGTTTGGAAATGTAAAGCAACGATGAATATTTAACCTATCAAGAAAAAAAAAGTTAGAAAATGAAAATCATTTGGATCGTTCATCGCTATAGAAATTTCAATGATTAAAAATTCGTATGCTGCTCAAAATCATAAAATGAAACTGAACCTAAAAATGTTATCATAATCATTAGAGTAGGCCACGGAGTCTAAATTTAAAACAAAAAATGTCGAGAAAAATAAAATGAAACTTTTACAGCAAACTTTAAATTCATATCTCCTTCTTTATCAGTTTTAATAAATCTTCCATCAAAATAACCCTTCAATGTCTCCTTTGATTTCAGGAAATAAGATTTTGGAAACTTTTTCAAAGTGAAAGACTCCCTTCCTAAACAACCGTTTCTAGCTTCCTGATCGCCTCAAAAGGCCTGGAATTCGTGCACTTGCACAACCCACCAGTCACGCGCCCAGCAACGGCTGACATCTGGCGCGAAGAGCAGTTCAGAACCGGGCGAGAAATGCGAATAAGTGATCAGTTTTTGCCCGTTCGGTACGTACCCTTTTTGGTGGTCTTTTCTTTCGTTTTTAGTCAGTTGCGACTTGCTCGATTGCTTGACTAAAAACATAGTGCCGTGAAAATGAATGATATGCATAATTCGATCTTGAATTCATGAATTTTAACAATTTTAACATTCCTTTTAACAGTAACCATTACAGTAACTCTTTCTTAACTTGGCGAATTTCATCTCTTTCTTATTCTCTTCATCGGTGAAAAAAGTAGCATCATTGGGCATCAAACTAACAAAAAGTGAAAGTGAAGGATATTGATCTTACTTACTGTAACTTTGCTCATCAACCTGTGACACAGGCCCTGTGTGAAAAACCTGAGTCAGGTGACCTATGCGGCTTTTCATCAAAACTCTTCACCCTGACTCAGTACCTAGGCTCGGCAGCCTGTGTAGAAAACCTGAGTCGGGGTTTAACAGACCCTGACTCAGGTATTCTTAGAATACTATTCTACACAGGTTGCAGGGCCAAGTACCGTAAGTTACAGTAAGAGATCAAATCCCTGTTCGAAGGGATTTTCCCGGGGGCGCTCGGTTAGAATACCAAAAATTTTTGGTATTTGAATACCAAAAATTGGTATTTGAATACCAATTTTTTCTAGCGGAAACAATTTTTTTCCCTGAAAAACATGTAAATCACCTCTAGAGCTTCCTAAAAAACAGGCGCGGAGCGCACACTCAAATTTTTTGGCGGGCGAAATTAGTATTCTTTGGCGAATTTGGTATTTGAATACCAAAATTGGTATTTGAATACCAAAATTGGTATTTGAATACCAAAAATTGGTATTTGAATACCAATTGGTATTCTAACCGAGCGTCTCCCGATTTTCCCTCTACTAGAAAACCTCCTTTTCGTCCATCCTTTTTTTTAATAATCGTGATCATGCGTGGGGTTATGTAACATTTCTCATCCTTCGAAGCAGATTACTGGATGATGATTCAAGATTCCACCAAATGGTGCCGTCTCCGCGCCAGTTTCGCCAGAGCGAAGAAACTATTCAAGCAGAAATCATCACCGCAAATTTGGAGCGGCCTTCGGATCCTCTTCCGCCCGCGACTCCGGCAAACTACACGACTGGATATCAACAGCTCCTGCAGATTCTCGAGTGCAAAGGACAGTTTTCAAGAATTGCCTGCGAATATTGTCGGGATAAAATGATAGATTCCAGGTCTCCAATTGATTAAAACCATTCAACAAGCTTTATAATTTATTCATTTATTCAACAGTAATAATACTTTAAAAATTTATGGCCAGTTTATGGATGATTTCACTTCAGTCTTCATTTAAAAAAGTTTTTTTTTCAATTTTATTTTCTATAAATTGTATGATTCATCAATTTCCTCTCCAAAAGACAACCTTATTGGCGTTTTGTGTTTTCCCTTGACAAAGTAAACACTAGAAAGCCCTAAGTGTAACCCCTCTCCTTGCTGATTTCAATCGCGAAAATTGTTGAAAATAAATCAAGTTTGCATGAACGCCCGTTCCTCCGTGATGTTCCTGCCTTGCCACCACATATCGGTAAGCCCTCTCTTCCCTTCCTCCCCTTAAGCCTTTTCTAGTGCTGTCCGGAGTGTGCTAAGAAGCTGCCCGAAGATAGATGCCCCGTTTGTCGAGCAGAAGTCAAGTATCGTCTCGACGCGTTCATCTCCTAAATCCGTGTTAAAAAATCTTCTTCAAGCTCCCTCTGATAAAAAAAATAAGGCCAAATGCTCAATCCGGTTTTTTTTTTAAATAACTTACTAATAAAAGAAAAAAAAAAGACTCACTCCGGTAAAAAAAGTAGCTGTTTTTTATTCTGAAAACAGAGATTTGGATTCTCGACAATCTGTGTAAAAAACCTGAGTCAGGGTCTAAAAAAGCCGCTGCATTTAGGCTTTTTCAGCTTAACCCTGACTCAGGTTTTTTACACAAGTTGCCGAGAGCTAATCAGACAATTTTGAATGAAAATTCCCAGAATTTATAAATTTGTAAATAAGAGTTCATTTTTCTAAAAGCCCGGAGAGCCCAAAACTCAAAATAAAAAATGAAAATAATGATATTCATGACATGATATTACAAAGACACAACACTTGTGTTGGCTGCGCCAACTTTTTTATTTTGCTCAAATTCACTCTTTTGACATTCTTCTTCTTTTCAACTTTTTGACCGCTGTAAATAAATTTATTCAAACACAGGAACTGAAATCAACAACGACTGGTTCTGACTCTTTTTGATGAGAGAAAAGACAGTCTTTTCTTTTTGTCTTTTATTGCAGGGAGTTAAGGGGGAGGTCGACGAGAATCGGGATTTCTGTAACCAAAAATCCGGAAAAACCTGCTTAGATAGGCGAATTCTGACTTTTCAGGTGGAAAGAAAAGTGTTTGAAAAATACAGTGGCGAAAACTAGAAAAAAAATTTTTTCGAAAAAATTTTCAAAAAATTGGGTCAAAGTGGGGGTTACTCGTAACCAAAAAATCTCGAAAACGGGATTTTTTTTTTCTTCGTCTAATTAAATAAATAGTAAGTTGAAACCCTCAAAAATACAGCGGCGACAATATAAAACGGGCTGCTTTTATATAAAAAAATTTTTCTGTTTACTAAAAATATGCGATTTTCCTAAAAATCGTCATTTTTGCTCATTTTTCACGGAGAATTTTACCAAAAGCGCCGAGACTCGAAATTTTTTACTGATAATGATAAGAAAACCATTCAAAAACAATATCTAGTGAATAAAAATCGGATTAAGATTGTTTTTGGGTGAAATAACCAACTTTAAAATTTTGTAAAATCTCGAATTTCAGACACAAAATCGAAGATTTTGTTAAAAAAAGTTAGTCAATGCCCAAAGAGCTAGAGAACAAAAATGTTCCTTTTTTATTAAGGAATCCAAAAATATAACCAAAATTTTGAAAAAGCGAAAAAAATTTTCTCGTCGACCCCCTCCTTAACTTTGGAGGATGCCGATACCTCTTCTTGCGATTCATTTTATTATTACAGTCAACAATCATTTGTGATAAAAATCATTCAGGAAAATCAGAGGCAAACCTTCATTCAATAGTCGTTTTCGGATTCCACTGACGAAGCCTATATATAAACTAATGTTTCATTTTCTCGATAATTCATTTTCCATTATTCATGTCACAAATTTTATAATAAAAATTAAACAAAAAATGAACGGGAGAGGAAATTGCTCTTACCAAAAAACAACAATTTTTAGTCAAAAATATCCTTTCATTTCTTGTCTAACAGCTAAACTCTAATCCTAATCACAGGCTCGGCAACCTGTGTAAAAAACCTGAGCGAGGTTCTGAAGAGCTAAAATAAATAGACGCAAAACAATCACTATTATCTATATAATTTAGAATGTAATATATTATATTATATTGATAATAATATAATATTCTATATAGATATATATCTATATTATAAGAGAATATAATATAGATAATAGTGATTGTGTTGCGAAGCGGACCCATCAACTGCCAGGAGCAAATCAAGAAAATCCAGTTTACAGAAACGACGCGACAAAGTGTTTTCACTGCAGCACGACGCTGCATTCTTGGGAAGCCGACGACGACGTCTGGATTGAACATGCCAAGTGGTCCAATAATTGCGGGTAAGTTTTGTAAGAGCAAATCTGATAAGAGTAAAAGTAGGATAGGAGTATTTAGCAGGCCTACTTCACTGTTTGCTCGGAGCTAGGGTATCATAAGATCTTCAGAAGTCATAAAAAAACGAGCGTTTTGCAAATATCCAACTGAGATTTCACCCCTTTTTCGCCGAAAAGAGCGCCCTCGGTTGATATTTTTCGTATAAAAAGGGGATAAGAATTGAGCTTTTGTAACCAAAATGACAAAGAAACATAAATTAGACTCCCTTCCTAAACAACTATCTTAGTCTAACTTAGTCTTAGTCTTAGTCTTCATAGTCTTAACTTATCTATAGTCTTTTCTTTTTGCGTTTTGCTGCAGCAAGTTAATTTTAACGAAGGACAGTATTTTGCCTGAAAGAGGCAGCCTCAACTGGATTTTCTGTAATCTAGGTAACCGTAGTTAACCGCAAATTACTTCTGGAGAACAACTCCTTTCCACTGAGAATCTGCTAAGAAATCAAAAGTCCAGTAAAATGCCTGAATGATCACAGATCAAAAAAGAACATCATCATGGGCTTCATGGTCGATTTAGATTGATCAGATTGCCAAATTTTATGAGGGAGTGTCGTAAACCCAGCATAAGTACGATTTTCTGTTCCGTTTTTTTATTTCAAATATTTGACAGGAAACATTGACCGTTCAATTTTGCAGCTGGAAACTTGCAGAATTTAAAGATGCTTGTTATCAGAGAATTCGAAAAGAAAGACCAGGAAAGCGCTTATAAAACATGGAAATATGGGATGGCAGTGGACTGGAGTCAGGGACTCGTAAGTTTCGGAATAAAATGGGGCCCTGGTTTAACCGGGGCTCGGCAACCTGTGAGGAAAACCTGAGTCAGGGTCTCAGAAATCTTTAATGAAAAGCCGCGGCTTTTTTTAAATCGAAGCCGCAAAGCCGCATCGCTAAATTAATTCTTCAGTCTATTTTTGTATTTTTGCGAAGCCGATTTTTCTGACCCTGACTCAGGTTGCCGAGCCCCCGTTAAATCAGGGCCCCATTTTCCTATTATAATCGGGACCCCATATAAAGAATATGACAGTAATTGACAATTACTAATTGTTCAGTTCGAATGGTCCGTCCGCTGCACAGAACTCATCATGTTTCCCTTCCTCCTCCAGCTGCTCTTATTCTTCCTCGGTTTCTTCAAAACTCCAGAAGAAGGCAATAATATCCTCATCTTCGTCTGTCTTTTCTGGTTCGCCTGTCTCAAGGGCTTCTCCAAATACGTCGGCCACAGCTACGTCAAATGGCGAGAAGACATGCTCGACATTGAGAAAATCACGGGAAGAGGTTTCTCGTCGCGACGACTGAAGAAGAACCGGATAATGTGATTGGGACGATTGTTTATGTCGAGTCCGAAAAGGAAGAAACCTTCAAGGTGAGGCTCTTTTTTATCAGGAAAAAGAGGTATTTTGAAGGGCGAAGTTTTGGGCGGAAAAACTTGGATTATGTTTTCGATGAGCGTGTGCCCAAATCACAGGAAGAAAGGTATCGCCAGAGCTCTTCTAGGTAAGCAAGGAAAGTGAGAAAACCTGAGTCAGGGTCTAGGAGACCTATGCGGCTTTTCTTCAGAGATCTTTCAGACCCTGACTCAAGTTTTGCCGAGCCGAGCATGAAAAAATAACCTGATTTCAGAGCACTTGGAAAAACTCGCGCGAAGGGAAAAAGTCTCCCACGTGATGTTCGACGCTTCCAGCCCCCAAACCGCAGCTCGTCAGTTCTACACAAAGGCCGGATACGAACATGAAATCCTCACTTTCCCGCTCCAAAGAATCGCTACTTTTTTCGACACTGCGCTTGAAAAATTTTTGGTGAAAAAGTATTTCCAAATCTGCAAAATCGAATCTTTTAATTTTCACAAAAAGATGAAAAAATAAAAATTCAAATTTTCAAAACAAGTCGTTGTTGTTGTCAATTTTGTTGGATAAAATTTTTGAATATTTATTTGAAATTTCGAATTTGAATTTGAATTTGAAAATGGCGAAAGCTTTCTTACAAAGAAATAGGGTAAACAGAATATCAAAAAGTCTAGTTGAGTTTTCGGCTGGTTTTTCGCAAAACTGGCATCGCAAAAGCAGGCGCACTAGAATTGCTCTCCGCGAATTTCTTTCAGTGGCTTTCTCACTACTCATCGTAAAAGTGATGTTTTAAGCCTCAAGACTCAAAAACCTGTGTAGAAATCCTGAGCCAGGGTCCGGAATCAATGAAAAGCCGCGTAGCGGCTTTTTTATCTAATTTGAGATTCTAGCAAAGCCGCTTTGCGGCTTCGTTATTAAAGAAGCCGCAGTGCGGCTTTTCATCTCCGCTCTTTCAGATCCTGACTCAGGATATCTACACAGGTTGCCGAGCCGAGAACAGCTTTGACTTGAAATCAAAAAGCCCGTTTCCTTTTTCAAATCGGGCGATCCAACTTTCTTGAGTCCATCCTTGGCCCTGCCCATTTCTTGCTCGACTTCGGCCGCCTTGTTTGGATTGAGGCTGTCAGCCAGTTCGGGGTTGAAGGTGCTCTTTCGCTTGGGCTTGTCGTAAGGGCCCGGCTCGTCCAATATCGCTGAATTTACATGATCAAAAGAAGGAGAGAGATTAGCAGCTACTTACAGAGGTCTATTTCTGGTAATTCTAGTGGCTCAACCAGGGATCAATCATTCAAGTCTCACTCGGCAACCTGTGTAGAAAACCTGAGTCAGGGTCTGAAAGGTCTCAAATGAAAAGCCGCATAGCGGCTTTTAAAATTCAAAGCCGCAAAGCGGCTTCGTTTGTGAAAAAGCCGCAGTGCGGCTTTTCATTTGAGACCTTTCAGACCCTGACTCAGGTTTTCTACACAGGTTGCCGAGCTCAGAAAATAAAGCGTTTCCAAGAATTGACTGATAGTTTGATCGCTTCCTTAATTCTGCAGGTATAATCGTAATCCTTCATCTCCTCCATATAAACGTCATCTTCGCGCTTGAGGTCGATTTCTAAAAATGATTGGCGCGTGAAAAAATTTTGATGGTTTTACCGGAAAATTCATCTTTCAGCCGATCCACTACTGCGCGCGAGCCAGCGAGTCTGGTAGACAGCTTCGACGAAATTGCAGCCAGCTGCGCCTGTGCGTCCGCCAGAAGAGATTCAGTGTTTGCAGTACTGTCTGAATTAATTTTAAAATATTCAGTAAGAAAATTATTTGAAATCATATTTGAAATATTTCTAAAAAATAAGTCATTTTTCTGCAATCCTTCGTGGGCGACCTGTGTAAAAACCTGAGTCAGGGTCCCGAGAGAGCTATAACCAAAAGCCGCGCAGCGGCTTACTTAAAAAAGAAGCCGCTGAATTTAAAAATACTTTGTGTTCGAGATTTAAGCTCTTCCAGGACTCAGGTTTTTACACAGGGCTCGACAACCTGAGTCAGGTTTAATATTCAACAATTTTCAAATACTAGCAAAGCCGCTGAGCGGCTATTCATTAAAGGTCTTTCAAAACCTGACTCAGGTTTTCCACACAGGCTTCCCACACAAGGCTTCCCACACAAATCTTCTATGTCTTCAATTTTTAAAAATTACCGGAATTATTGGAATTCGTATTCATCATAAATTCTCCTTCTTCTTTGTGCTTTCTTGAACTTCCTTATTTTGCTTTTAAATCAACTTCGTCTCTCTTTACGAAAAAGATAGTGCTGGTGAATCTGGAACCGTTGGCAGCGCAGGCGACTTTTCGCGACTTTTGTGGTTTCTCCAAAATCCAGCGTCACAAGAGTTGAGCCAGCGCATGTGCTCAGCACTCTGGATTAGCGCCTTCGCAATAATCGACCAATATATTTTCATTGTTCTGCTTTCCAGCCAGAATTTCACAATTAGACATTCATTTTGTTGCAAGAATAATTAAGGGAACCCCACGCCATAAATCTGACCTCGAGAGCCTGTGTAAAAACCTGAGTAAGGGTCTGGAAGATCTTAAATAAAAAGCCGCGTAGCGGCTTTTCATTAGGGATTTTCAGACCCTGATTCAGGTTTTCTGAGCTCGACAACCTGAGTAAAAATCCTGAGTCAGGGTCTAAATGATCTCAAATTGAATGATTTTAGATCTTCCAGACCCTAACTCAGGCTCCTACACAGGTTTCCCAACATAACCTGACCTGAGTCAGGGTGTTCTACGATCTGAAATGAAAATCCGCGGCTTTTTTTACACGAAGCCGCGAATTTTCAGTCAGGACCTGGCTCCGGTTTCCGAACAGGTTGCAGCGCCCTGTAAGAAGACTGAAGTGCAGACAAGTTAGTAAATAGGCTGACTTGAATGTAGTCCTCCCAGTGTGGGACTATTGAAATGGACGCCCCGTGAAGTCACGCTCCAATAATCGAAGACTGTAAATTGCCTTTTTTGGGAATTAGACGACCCACTTCCGGCGGTTTTACTCTCATTCAAGGCCTACTTTCAATCTACAGATTTTGGCTCTCTAGAATGCCAAATTGACGAATAAATAGCATAAAAATGAGCATAAAATGGCGTCAGTTGGGGGCTTGGCTCGGAAACCTGAGTCAGGGTTCTGAAAAAGCTTAAATGAAAAGCCGCGTAGCGGCTTTTAAGAGCGAAGCCGCAAAGACTCGCGGCTTCGCCAGAATTTATCAAATGGCTAATTTTCCTGATAAGCTCATTCAGACCCTGACTCAGGATTTCTACACAGGTTTGGGCAGAGATAAAGAAACATTACAGAGTCTGTTATCAAGACTGTAATTGACAGTTAAGTAAGAAAATGATGAAAAAGATAAAATCCAAATAAGGGCTGATTAAATTTCAAAATACAGTAATTCACTGCATTTTGAAATTTTAAAACCGCTGCTTTGAATTGAATCGCCAAAATAAAGCGTGAATTTAATGATTCGGGAAATTTAGAAATCAGCTTCTGAAAATCAGCGGCCGATAAAAATCAGATTCGAAGCTGGTTGGTCGCCATTTTTTCTAATTTTTCTCTTTTGGGTCGATTTGGAGCGCCATCGGGGATTGTCCTCGCCGCGCAACTTTTTTATTTTTCATCCCTTTTCAATTTCCATCCGTTTTTTATTCATTTTCGAGAAGATAAAGAAGATGGAAGCGCTCCAGAGACTCAAAGAGTTAAGCTTCGGACACAGAGAGAAAATCAGAAAAGTACAGTCGGAATCGCAAAACAGCAGCTCTGGCAGCTGGCTAAGAAGACTAAAGGAAACGATTAAAATGCTTATTTTTTCGTAAAAGAAAAAATTTTTGCGGGCATTTTGGACCAAAAATACTCAAAGGGTTAATTTTTATTATGAGAGATATTTTGACTCGGCTTGGCGAAAACCTGTGAAGGAACCTGAGTCAGGTTATGAAAAGTTTAAGGGTGTCCCCAACGATTTTAACAAAACATTCCAAAACGGCCTCGATCGTTGGGGACACCCTTAAGCTTTTCAGAAACTGACTCAGGTTCCTTCACAGGTTTTCGCCAAGCCGAGTCAAAAGTATCTCTCATAATAAAATTAACCGTTTGAGTATTTTCGGTCCAAAATGCTTAAATGAAAAGCAGCGTAGCGGCTTTTTTGAAAAACAAAGCCGCAAAGCGGCTTCGGCAGAATGCGAAAATAGATTAAAATGGTAATATTCGCGGCTTCTTTTATGGAAAAGCCGCCATGCGGCTTTTTATTTAAGGCTTTTTCAAAAAAATAATTTTGAAATGATTTCGCCTTGGCTGATTAACAATTTTTTCGAAGATTGATTTGAGTTTTGGGTTGGTTTGGAATTAATGGGCAATAAATCGCCGGGCGGGCGGGGCAGATGGTTTCTGAGAAATTTCGCCCCGGAAGCGGGAGTAAATTTGGCCGCGGGCCTAATCCGCGCCGTTTCGTTATTTTTTAATCGATCAATAAAGCTTGGCAAGTCGAAAGGGCGAAAGTCGCTGCCGCCACTCCAGTCATTTACAGGAACGGATCTCAGGCCTTCTAAGCCAGCTTTAGCCCCCTCGCTAACTTCTATTTCCTCTCCTTGATCCTATGTCTAAGAACACGAGCCGCAAAACAGCCCTACTTCCAGAAACGCATGGTTCAGATCAAGGCAAAGTTAGCTCCAATGAATTCAAAACTATCTTCTTTTATTTCGAAAAGAGGAATTGAAAAAGCCGCGAGCGGCTTTAAAATTATTCGTAAAAACTAATAGAGTGTCTCGAAGCTTCTTGTTTTTTATCGGAAAAAGCCGCAAGCGGCTTTTCCAATTTTTTAACGAATAAGATTTTTGACCTCCTTGCGCTAGAATGGTCAAGCTCAGTTGGGCAGCCTGTGCCATAACCCTGAGTCAGGGCCTGAAACATCTTAAATAAAAAGCCGCAAAGCGGCTTTTTGAAAACGAAGCCGCAAAGCGGATTCGCCAAATAACCTAAATAATTTACATGTTTTATTAAATTCTTGCGAAGCCGCAGCGCGGCTTTGTTTCTTAAAAGCCGCAGCTTTTTCAGAACCCTGACTCACGATTTGTGCACAGGTTGCTTAGCCCAAACCGCAAAAACGCACCTTTCAGGAGTCAAAATTCCAAAAACTAACTCAACGCAGCCAATCAACCACCTATCATCCGCAGTGGTCAGCCTCGACGCCGTCCAGAACGAGTCTCCCGCATCGAGGAGGAGGAGCAGCGCCTCCTCCTCCCCTTCATCATTCTTCCCAGTGGCCTTTGTCGGATAGTGTGACCGACGAAAATGTTGAAACTTGGGTAAACTCCTCGGTAAGAAGAAGACTCCTCGAAAATGCTCCTGAAAAAGCTCTTCGACGCGTGATTTTTCGCTAAAAGAGCAAAACGCCTCTTTTTCCTCTTTTTCATCCGTTTTTCAGCTGGTGCAGTGTCCTTCGTGTACTCAAAGCTCAATGAGAAGCTCGCTTTCGACCGACACGGTCGAAGACCGCCGCAACGAACTGATAAAAGGTGAGCTTGGAAGGCCTGAAAATTGAGAGAAGAAACGTTTCTAGTGCGAAACTCGAAATTGCTTTGCAAAGAAGAAGCTACTTTGACAGAAAATGAGAAAATTATCCGCCGCTCGCTCGAAAAAGTGAGTTCAAAAAAATAGGAAATCAAGGAAGAGTATTTATCTCAAAAGGGCTAAAACGAGGGAGGGTTCCTAGACGAGGGGGGGGGGGCTCCCACCGAATCACGGGCTAGCAAAACTCCCCCCTCCAGCTGGGGTCAGCACCCTGTGTAGAAAACCTGAGTCAGGGTCACAAGAGCTGAAATGAAAAGCCGCGAATATTAGCTCTGCGGCTTTTCATTTCAGCTCCTGTGACTCTGACTCAGGTTTTCTAAACAGGTTGCCGAGCCCAGCCCCTCAGGAACCCCCACAAACCATCCCAAAGACTCGGCAACCTGTGTGGAAAACCTGAGTCAGGGTCTGGAAAATCTCCAATGAAAAGCCGCGTAGCGGCTTTAATTATAACAAAGCCTAATAATTCTGTCAAAGACGCTTCGTTTACAGACCCTGACTCAGGTTTTCAACGCAGCTTCCTGGGCCCAGACCATCTCCGTTGTTCCTGACCCTCTTAGCATTATTTTGAATGATCTTTCAGGTGAATTCGTGGCTGAAAGAGTTGCCAAATACGTTCGACCCAGTGACAGTTCCAGAAAACGAAACCCAAAAAGCCGCGGCTCGAGGTTTGCACGGACACTACTTCAAGGACCACCGCGTTTGATAATAGCCGAAGAAAATGAGAAAAAGAGAGAAATCAACTGCCTTAAAACGATAATCAACTTTTATTTCAAACTCAGTAAAGCTTATTTTATTTCACAAAAAAACGCTATTTTACTTTTATTTTACGAAACAAGCAATAAAGTTTCTTCCTCGCAAAAAAAGAGTGTTTTCTTCCTTGATTTCAAGAAAAAAATCAAACAAGAAAAATAGCTATAATTCATGAAAAACATAAAAATAAAAACGGTTTCTAAAAATTAACAAGCTCGAAAACCTGTCTAGAAAACCTGAGTCAGGGTTATGAAACATCTTTAATAAAAGCCGCATAGCGGCTATTATAAAAACGGAGCCGCGAAGCCGCTTCGCCAAAATTACAATTTTAATCTATTTTTTAAATTCTTAATTTTATTAGTATTAGAATTAAAAAATAAATTGAAATTGGCGAAGCCAGCTGCGCGGCTTAGTTTTTATAAAAGCCGCTATGCGGCTTTTTAAAGATGTCTCATAACCCTGACTCAGGTTTTATAGACAGGTTTTGAGCTTGTTTATTTTTAGAAACCGTTTTTATTTTTAAGTTTTTAATGAATTATAGCAGCTATAAAAATTATTTTTAGCCTATTGTTGCAACTAAATCCGAGAAATTCTCAATTCAATGGAGAATTTCCAAAATTGAAACAATCAAGAATCTTGCTCCTATTTTTAGCCCGCTGAGAAAAAGCATCAACCATTAGGTTATTAAAAATTTTCGCTTGTTTTTGATATTTACGGAGCTTCAAGAAAGCTGGCGGCCTAAGCAAGTTCGCTAAAAATGTAAAAATATTTTCCAGCTCCATCAGACTCAGGTGACTTGGAGAGCAGCCACGCTTCTCTTGATTTCTTGGTCACGTGCTTTTCCTTTTTTAGATTGGGTGATTTTCAGAATGTTCAGAACAGAATTGAGACTATATAATTATTATTTAAGGGGGTAGAACTAGGTTTTTCGAAAATAGCCGATTCTAGACCGGCGCTCAAAGTCAGGAGAGCTTAGATTTTCAAATTCTCTCTTCGGCTGAAGATAGAACAAACCTAGATCTAACAACATTTTTCTTGAAATTTTTTCGTCAACACATTCTGGCGCTAGAGAGCGAAACGTCAACCCACCTCTTCGAAAATCGCAATTTTAGCGTATTCGCGTCCTCAAATTTCTCGAGTCACGTGACTAGCCAACTTTTTAAATCTCATTTTAAAATAGTTTTACCCCTTATCTAGCAACATTTTTGAGGAAAGTTCGTGATCATAAGTAAAAACAGGTTTTTCTTATTAAAAGTGCTTCTCAAAAATCACTACATTTCGCAAAACCTAGTTCTACCCCCTTAATAAAATATATATTTTTTAAATCATATATTGTTTATTTGTTAACTATTCGTTTAATTCTAAAATAAAAATTCGCATAATTTATTAATTGATAAATTATTATTATAGATTATTAAATTATATAATTAAATTAATTTAAACTATATTATAAATTATTATATTATTAAATTTAATTATTATTTACTATAAATTATTTAATAAATTTATTATTGAAATAAATAATATATTATATAATTTGTTAATTTTAAAAATAACGAGTTGAAAAAAGGCTACGTGACTTTCACGCTGGTACGTGACCCATTCCAGGAATCGTAGTAAGGAGTACGCGTAATAGCCCCGCTCATTGGCGGTCAAATCGCGCGGGCGGGGAGCAGCCAATCAGCGCTGAGCCAGCTCCATTGATCAGGAAATAGAGAGTGCGAAGAGCTGAGCCTGTCTTATGACGCACCAGCTGGCGGCGCTAGAGAGTGCCCAAAAGTGAGAAAACGCGAAAAAATAACAAAATTAACACTTTTTAATTTTGCCAATTTAACAAAAAAAGAGAAAGTATGAAATGGAGAATCTTTCTTTCGGGCGAATTTTGGAAGCGAATCACTCAAAAAAGCTAGAAATCGAAGAAAAACGAAGCGAATTCGCGAAATCGAAAAATCGCGAATTTTCATAAATTCGACTCAAAACACCGCTTTTTAAAAAGCGAAAATTAAAACAAAAAAACAAAAAGAGAATTTCCTGACAAAAAAAGGAGACATTTTGAAGAAAAAGAAAAACGAAAACCGTCAACACAGCCAAAACAGAAACCAGCAAAAATAAACAACAACAACAACAGAAAAAAGAACTCAACGCTTTCCTGACAGGTATACCCTTAATTTTCAATTTTCACTTTTCGAATTTTTGTTTTTATTTTAATTTAATAATTTTTAACGAAAAAACTTCAGAAAGAACTATTTTTTGAATAAGGGTGTCCCCCTCTTATTTTTTCTTTCTTCAAATTTGATGACCTGGGTTGACCTTGTTCGAGCTTGTACTACTGTAGGTGCCAAGGGTGTTCAATGCATATTTCGCTTTCTGTTTATCGACTGTTTTATTTCTCCAAATTTTCACTTTTCGCGGGTTTTTGGAATTTTCGCACTTTTAGCCGCAGAAATCCCTTAATTTTAGACTACATAACATATATTTTCTTCGTAAAATCCAGAAGCCGCCTACGGCTCTTTCGAGAAAGAAATATTTTAGCCGCGATTCGCGCGGCTTTTCTTTTAGTTCAAAGCCGCTAAATTTCAGACAGCACTGTATCCGATTTTAATACAGTGTTCTCTGAAACTTAGCGGCTTTTAGCTAGGAAAGAAAAAGCCGCGCGAATCGCGGTTAAAATATCTCTTTCTCGAAGCCGCAAGATTCAGCTTCTCAACTTTTTTAGACTGCTAAAAGGGCCCTTTTAAAGAATTCGATTCCGCGGAAGCTTGATAGCGAGGGGAAACGGTCTCACGGTGTCTCCGGATTCTCATGGCGCGAATTCGCAATTTCGCGAATTCTTCAATTATAGAATCGGCTTGGAACTGAAAGATGGGAAAGCAACATTTAATACCTGTCAGTGCTAAACTGGCTCATTTTTAATTATGATCGAGAGTTTGGTTGTAAAATGCCAAAATTAACAGAAAAGAAATTAACGCTCTCTTTTCTTACGGTCACTTGGAGTTATTCTGGGCTCGGCGACCTGTGTAGAAAACCTGAGTCAGGGTTTGAAAGATCTTAAATGAAAAGCCGCGCAGAACGAAGCCGCAAATTCCAATCTATTTGTAAATCCTGGCGGCTTTTCATTTAAGATTTTTCAGACCCTGACTCAGGTTTTCTAGTAGAAAATTTCTACACAGGTCGCCGAGCCCGTGGTGGCACTATGTAAAGTTGATGGAGATTTCTTTCGCCTTTTGGAAGATATTTTCTGTCTCAGGAATTTTCCCAAAAAAGAGACTCGAATCCGCGAGGGCGATTTATTTTCGCGAGTCATTGTCTTAGACTCTCGCTCTTTCTAGGATTCTCATGAGCAGCGGATTACAGTCTCGCTTATCGAAATAGAAAGACTGTAAATTAGATTTCGATGTTGTCTGCTCGGCAACCTGTGTAAGAAACCTGAGTCAGGATTTGTTAGAAAAATAGATGAAGATGGTATCTTGGCGAAGCCGCTCTGCGGCTTGCATTTTCTAAAAGCCGCTCTGCGGCTTTTGACATAATTTCTTTAAAATCTTAATTGAAATATGAAGTTAGTTGTGCTCAACGCGAGAGTGGGTTAAAAACTGATTTTTGATTCAAAAACTAAAAAATAAGATGAAGCTTGTTTTGGCGATAATAAGACGCTCGTCTAAGTGAAGAAAAGAAGAGAGAGAGTTACGTTTTTTCGATCCCGTCGAGCACTTATTATGGCTCCGGCTTTCTTTCATGTCTCCAACTCAGCAGCGGACTGGGCGACGTGAGACGGCCTGTATGTCTCGAGACAGGATATAAAACACCCAAAGCCTTTTCCTCCTTTTCTAGCTCTTTGCTAAAAGTATTCCAGCCGAGAGAAATAAAACAAAATGTCCGTAGTTTGGATTTCCCCAGCTAAAAGAATCTGAGAAGGCCAACTTCACTCTTCCTCCTTATCTTCATCTTACCGGTAATTTGTTCGTCTTTCTTGTCTACCAGACATACGCCCTACCAGCCTCTGGACTCGGTAACCTGAGTCAGGTTCTGAGGAGTTCAAATGTAAAGCCGCGGAGCGGCTTTTACGAAAATGAACCCGCAAATCATTCTTGATTGAAATGATTCAAACCCGTGCTCTAGTTCCTCTGGAATGTCAAAACTGACGATAGCAGGGTCCTGGTGTCTCAGAGACAGGTCAAAAGCCTAGGGATTGCATGAGAGCCCGACAGTATGAGAGCAAAACAACCTTCAATTTATTGCGTATTTGTTTTGACGAGAAAGCTTATCGAACTCGTCACGCTCTTTGACCTTCTTTTATGTCCGAATCTTTTAAGGAAGAATGCAATAATGCAAGCTTTTTCGATTTATTCTGGCGTTCTTGAGATTTCTGAAAAACCCCTATCTAAAAGACCGGGTCTTCCATTTTATCGGGCTTCTTCATTGGCAAAGCGCCTTCGCTAGAATTTTAAGATAGATTGAAATCGTAGCATTTGCTACAAGCTCTTTGAAACCATGACTCAGGTTTACACACAGGTCTCCGAGCCCAGACTCAAGTCATCCTTATTCGACTATCCATGAACTCTCCGATGTTCCGATGATTAGCGGGCACCAATGAATAAACCCTTACGCAATAACCCTAACCTAGTTCAAAGCAGTTTGATAAAGGCTGTAAATTGTGTGCCTGTAATCAATAAATTATTTGTTTTCGAGATGGCGCTGGGCTCGAGCAGGCTGAGACTGTGTTATCGTAACGACTCCCGGACACCGTATTTTTCTGGAGCTTTTCAGAAGCGACAGAGAGTCCTCTCTTCCCGAGAATGTGGGACGAGTTACGTACTTAAGCGCCAGGGGTTGGAGCATTCGCCCCAGATCAACACACGCTCGGCTGCGCTTCAGCTCTCTTTTTACCGTTTTTCGTGTTGTAATTCCGACTCTCTCTTGAGCTTTTTACTTTTCCACTTACAGGTACGGATTCTTCCAGAGATTGTAGATGTTCGGATAACATGATGATTGTACGCTAATTAGCTAATCAATGGGCTCGGATACCTGTGTAGAAAACCTGAGTCAGGGTCTGAAAGATCTTTTATGAAAAGCCGCGTAGTGGCTTTTTAAAACGAAGCCGCTTTGCGGCTATGTTCTTGAAAAGCCACTGCGCGGCTTTTCGTTGGAGATCCTTCAGACCCTGACTCAGGTTTTCTACACAGGTTGCCAGACCAAGTCCAGTTGGCCGATGGCTATTAGGATTGAGCTTGCGTTTCCTTTTCTATTTTTATGGTTTGTGTTTCTTGAGTGTGATCGCTCTTGTTGACTCGGTGTTTGATCCTCACTGGTTGAGCAAACGTTCTAGGCGCTTCACTTTTTAATAATGCCAAATTTACCGAAATGGACAGCTGAAAGCACAACGCGCGTTTCCGGCGATGTTAACCATCACCGTTTGCACCTTGGCGATAATGTGGCGAGTAAACTTCCATAATCTTTAAATTGGCTTTACGCTTTCTCCTCCTTGATTTCAACTTTCAACTTTCGAATTCACAAATTCATCAAAAACCAAAAACAAGAAACAAAATCGGCAAGAGAGTGTTTTTCGCCATAATAAGAGAGGTTCATAAACATTCTTGAATAATGACTAGGGAAAAATTCCTTTTGTTTAGATTTGGTAAAGCAGTTTATTTTCAATTGTGAATCACTTCAAAACTTAATTTTCAAAACATTTTTGATCCCAATTTTTTTCCTGGGTTTTTCAACTTTCCGGAATTTAGAAACTTAGAGGCTCCGGGCTCGGCAAGCTGTGTAGAAAACCTGAGTCAGGGTCTGAAAGATCTCTAACGAAAAGCCGCGCAGTGGCTCCTTAAAGAACATAGCCGCAAAGCGGCTTCGTTTTAAAAAGCCGCTACGCGGTTTTTCAATAGAGATCTTTGAGACCCTGACTCAGGTTTTCTACACAGGTTGCCGAGGTCAGCTTAAAGGTACGTTATGCTTCCTCTTTTTCTCGCAGTAGCACTTACTGTATCGCAATGACAGCTGATAATTGTGATTAGCATTACTGTACCTTTCTTTTTCTTTTTGTATTTAGAAAGTGAGTAAGCTGAAGAGTCAACAGTATTGAGTATTGTTGGCGCATTCCCTTCTAATGAGTTTCTGTGACTACTGGCTCTATCATACAGTTCGTGCAAATGACAACGCTTAATTTCAAAAGTTCGCGAGTAATGGTTACTAAAAATACTTTTTTCCAAAAATCTCTAAATTAAAATATCCGCTCTTCGAAAAAGTAATTTCAGAAAAGGAAACTTTTGCTAATCGACTTGTTCAGATTTCCCTGCTCTCCAGTCCTTGTGTCTCAGCTTCATCACTTCAATTCCGCCGCTTTCCGCGCTTTCCAAAAACAACTGACAAACAAAAATTTTAATTTCTGCTTCTTGCTCAAATTTTATGCGATTGCAATAATCGCATTTCCGATTGAATGAATGATGGAATGGAAGACAAAGTTGCCAGGTAAGACAAAAAATTACAAAAAGATTTTTTATTCACTTTTTCGAGTTTTTCCTGATTTATCTCGTTTTGGGCTCGGCAACCTGTCTTGAAAACCTGAGTCAGGGTCATTCTAATCTCAGGACTTCTGACTCATTGATTGGAAGGTAGTTTTGGCCGAGCCACATTGCGGCTTAATTTAAAAATAGCCGCTGCGCGGCTTTTATCAAAGCTCTTTCAGAACCCTGACTCAGGTTTTCAAAACAGGTTGTCGAGAGAGGCCCAGATCTCGCTTTCTGCTTGAATAGTTAGTAGTAAATAGCTCCAGTATTGAATAAGCACCGCGGATTATTCTAATTTTAGTTATTTTGAAAATTGCAGACAGACAAATTACAATATTTTCGAATTCAATTCTTCATGCCTCGTTGGAGAATTAAATTGAAAGTCCAAAAGACAAAATGAACGAACCCAGACGTTTTTGTCTTTTGGCTCATTTGACCGCATTTCTTTCTTCCTAATTTAAAATAATATAATAACTCGATCGAACGAAAAAGGGATGAACTTCGAAATTTTCGAATTTTGGGAATTGAGCTCTAGAATCATCCCGTTGTTTTTGTTAATTCCGGCTTTGACAAAATTATGGTTTTCATTATTGAAAATCGAGATATTCAAGCAATACACGATTTTCAATGTGCATGCTTTTTCGGTGTCAACCAAAGACTTGGGGAGGCCTAAGGTATGTTATCATTTAATTTTTTCAGTCAAATAAACAGGCGGCTTTGGAGTCCTGAGTCAGGGCCTGTCCTGTTAAGGACCCTTTTTTAACAGATCTACCCTGTGTAGAATTTAACCAATCGTTTTTTCTATAAATAGGATTACAGATATTTGATTTTGATTGCAGGACTATACCTGTTTACAGATACAGGCCTGTATAATATATGATAGCCTCGTATCTGTAAACAGGTATTCCTGTAAACCAAAACATATCCCTGTAATCCTGTAACAAAACTGTAAACAGGGAAACTAATTGATTAATTTCTATTCAGGATAGATGTATAAAAAGAGTCTTAAACAGGACAGGTCCTGACTCAGCATTCCCGAGCCCATACAGGTTAGGGTTAAATTTGAAACAGTATCTGCCCTGTATATTTTTCATGCAGGGTAGATACGGGCATAGAAAGGGAATCAATTTCAAACTAGAAAAAAGCGTTTCATTTCGCGTTGAAACGATTTTGAACTTTAAAAATGTTAAAATGGCGACCAATAAACACGCGGCCTTGTCCGTGGTAGTCATGGCCAGCATGCGCGAGCATGATCCTCATTGTTTATCCTGGGGCGATTCAAGTTGGCGCGTCTGGGAGACATCTACAGACTGTCCCGTATTTTGTCCAATAGCAACAATCACGTCTAAAAAGGGGGGCCCCGAAACATGCGATAGTCCACTTTTATGAAAACTTTCAGCGGAGAGCTTCCGAGCCAATCAAAACTCGCTCTAGAAGAACAGGCCGTTTTTAAACTTTCCCCTTCTCATTTTCAATTGTTCAGTCCTGATTCTGAAGACTGCCGCACTTCCATAAAAGAAGGCTTCTTCTACCACGAGAAAGGTAAACTATTATCAAAAAACTCTGGGCCGGGCAACCTGTGTAGATAGCCTGAGTCAGGTTCTGAAAGAGCTTAATTGAAAAGCCGCGTAGCGTATTGAATCTATCAATAGTTACGTGGCTTTTCATTTAAGCTCTTTCAGAACCTGACTCAGGTTTTCTACACAGGTAACCGTACCTATAAAAGAGCTATCATCGAGTGATCTAACTTTAATCTTCAGTTCCAAATGGCCGCTTCGACAAGCTCACGAGGACGTTTCTCAAGACAGAGGTGGAGCGATTGCTCGTGCTGCGAATGTCGGATGGACACGAGGTGGCCAACCGTTCTGAATCAGTCCCGATCCTGGAAATTTACGAGTACGGCTTTTGAATTTTGAATTTTTTCTTGATTTTGAAATTTTCAAAAGGAGCGACGCGCGCTGGCAAAACGAGCGCATCCGAGTGCAGCAAGCAAAGGGCCAGCCCTGGTGTAAAGATCGTTTTCTGATAGAGGACATCTACTACATCTACAAATACGACGTCGACAGACTCAACGAGCGCAAGTCCAACTCTCTCTACTTCCAGCTCATCATCTTCCTCAAAGGCGAAACCCTCAAAAGTAAGCCAGTCTGTTAAGATTAGGGTTTGAATTTTTCGTTTTCAGATAAAAGCGACAACCACACGGGCGTCCGGAAGATCGAGCTCTGGTTCAAGAACGACGACGCGGCGAAACGAGACGACTGGATCCACGAAATCTACAAAATCCGGACGCAGATTCAAGAAGACGCCAAAACCAAAGACATTCTCGACAACAATGTAAGCCTCCCCGCTTTCCCTTTCGTTTTCTAGCTTTTCTTTTCAGATCCCGACAACATTCTTCAACTTTTCGGATCCGTCAGACCCGCTCGCCGCCAAGAAGAAGACGGACTCGAGCCAGTTGTATCCAGAAGTGCAATATTCGTACTTGGAAGTGAACTTCGGCAACTTGCCGAAACTCAAAGAATCCACCATCCGGGACATGAAACGCGTCGCCGAAGCTCAAATGAAGAAAAATATTAAACTAATCGCCGGCGAACATTATCACCTCAAATACAAAGTTTCCACCGGAAAGCACGAAAAATTCTCAGGTAACTTCATTATGCATCTATCCTCATTTCGAGGGTGAAACCATAAATTAATCGAGAAGCCGCTTGCTGCTTCGAGCTACAAAAGTAAAAAAAAGCCGCGTGAAGAAGCGGCATCTCGATTGACAAATCTCTTGAACCCAGATTAAAATTGCGAATTAAGATCTGCGCGAAACGGCGACGAAATACTCGATCGAGTTCGTCAACCCGAAGGATTCTCAAATCATCTACGCAATTGGCAACAACGATTTGTCGAAAATCGGAAAGTTTCCTTGCAACCCCAAAGATCCAGAAAGCCGAGTCGTGGCGATCGAGGTCAGTTTTTTTTCGTTTTTCGATTTTCGGCATTTTTTGTTTAGATTCTGGCGAAGCCGACGAGCCAGATGGAAGCAAAACTCAAGAAGATTCCTGGCTACCTCACATACCTCAAGACTAATCCTCGATGCACTCACTTTACCTCGCAGATCATCTTGCGCTTCACCCGCGAAATCGACAAGAAAGGCTTCTTCGACAAGTATCTGTGAGTATTGAGCCCCCTTCTCCTATCGCCCTAACCCGTTTCCTTTTCTCAGCACCTTGAAGGACCAGAACACAAACGCTAGTCAAAACATGGTCAGAACAAGCCATCGCAGGTGGACAGGTCCGCCCAAGCCCAACAAAATCGCGCAAAAGGAATTGCTGGAAAAGGAAGACTCCGGCGGGTGAGTTTCTCCGGCTCTTTTTCGTTTTCTCATTTCATATTCTAGTGCTCGAAAACGTACAGAATCGGCAGGCCCCGAGAAAGTGCGTCCGGAAGGGAGTGAAATCGAATTGAATGACATTCCAGCACAGCGCTCTGATCCCTCTTCTCTTCCTAGTAAGTTAAACATCATCTTATAATCGAGAAGCCGCTTGCGGCTTCGAGCTAAGAAAGAAAAGAAGCCGCGCAGAGTGCGGCTAAGTTACTTTTTTCTTGAAGCCGCGAGCGACTTCTCGATTTTTAATAAGATTTTAATAAAAAAGTATTGATAATGACGTTTTCAGTTTCCGTCGACATTCACGGGCAGCCGAGCACTAGCTCGAACTACAGCAACATCCACCTGCAGCGTCAGGCTCAACTTGCTCAAGCAGAAGCCGACGAAAACGAGGAGGAGCGCCCGCTTGCTCTGATCGGCTCCCCTCTCGCTTTGCGCAACAAATCTTCCAAACACTCAAATAAGCAGCGCTCCGAAGAGCTCCTCCCGATGGAGACGACCACAACAGTCGAATACATCGCCGAAACGGCCTTCAACTCGTCCCCGATCGCGGAGCAAGCTGTGCGCCAATCCAAGGTCGCTCGAACAAGCTCATCCAGCGCCATTCCAATCCCCTTTTCTGGCTCCATCGTTCAAGGAAAGCAGCTCACATAAATTTGACCAAAAACTTGATTTCAAAAATTGATTCAAATTGTGAGCTTCATTCTAGGGACGGTTGAAACCGACTCGATTCGTAAAGACGTATCTGTGCCTAAAGTGGACTCTCAGGCTCGGTTAGTTCCCAGTTGCTTCCACGGCGAGTACTGTTGATTCTGATTTCAGACGCACTAGTTTTTGCTGGAATTCCGATAGTTATTAGAGCAAACTCACTGCTGAAAATCGAGAAGCCGTCATTTTTGCGGCTTCGAGTAAAAAGACGAAATGCCGCGCTATACCCGGCTCAAGTTTTCTTACTCGAAGCCGCGAAAATTGCGGCTTCTCGCTCTTCAGCAGTGAGTTTTCTCTAATAACTATCGGAATTCCAGCAAAACTAGTGCATCTGAAAGCAGAATCGCGGTAGCAATACAGTCGTAGCTGCTAGTAGAATTTCAGTTCCGGAATAACAGAAGTAACCGAGATGCAGGCTCCCTCCAGCTCTAGCTTTATTCGAAACGGCTAATTCGAACCCAACCAAACATTCGCTAACCCGAGCGTTCAAAACCCGTTCTGTTCTTCATGAAAATGGAAATGCTTCTTCTTTCCTGATTCTGTCCTCTCTCTCTCTCGGGTCTTAACATTACTTTTTCCTCAAACAAGAAAACAAATCAGGTGGTTATTCATTTCCCGCCTTATCATTCAAACAAAAAGACCTTAATTCACCTTCTTTGCTTTCTATTCCAAGGTCAAACCCGTTATATCATATTTATGCTATTCCAAAATTCAAAATTCAAAAAATCTCTAATGAAAAAACTTTTATCTACCTGATCCTCTCCCAATCCTCAACTAGACATCGTCAACAGGAAACTTCGAATGTCTTCGAATTCTCTTCCTTGATTGCGAAAATCAATCAATCTCAAAAAAGACAATCTTGAGTCGGACATTCGAAGTTTTATCCACAATCTTGCCAATGTCTAGTAGAAACTGGGCTTGAAACCTGTTTAGAAATCTGAGTCAGGGTCCTGAATGACCTTTAAAGCTCTTTCAGCACCCTGAGTCAGGTTTCTACTCAGGTTGCCAAGTCCAGAGTCGAGAAGATGTGGGAGAGGCTCAGGTACCAAATCCTCCAAAGAAAAAGCGCCAATGTCTGGCGCGTTTTCCAACAGCGAGATTTGGCCAGTGCAAATGTTGAGAATTTACAACTTATTATTACATTTCTTGTGGCTTTCTTTTGCTCGCGCCGCGGCTCATTATCGCATCCCAACCTCATTCATGTTTTCTCCTTCTTTTTTCCGGCTTTGTTGGGCGCCTTTTTTGGGAAGTAGTTTTGTCAATATCCATGCTAATAGTTTCCCTCTTCGAAAATCCTCAATTCCAGCCTCAGCTACTTCCCAAAAGGCTTTTCAGCCAAACCCTCTTTTTATTTTATCTCTTTGTAAATTGGTGCATTCCAGACAATCACCGTGCTTTCTTATTGGTGCAAAGTCTCTATACCGTTATATATTTTATTGCGATAAAGCTGCGGCGTGGTCAACTTTTCAAGCCTCAACTTTAACAAAAAAACGCCTCACCTCAAGAACATCAAATAGTAAAAACTGCTCGGTAACTTTCAACTAAAAGACTCCCTTTTTTAAATATCTAAATTCGCCAGGCCACTACAAATCTACAAATCGTACATCTGATGTCAAACCAAAAATACAAGTTCAAATCTGTTTCACTCTCCTCTTCTTCAAGCTCTTCATCCCCTAACCCAGCCCTTTTTGCGCCCCTGCTTCTTTTTCCTCCACCCAGTTTCAAAATGCAACCTTTCCCAGCCTAACTGCCCTCTAGCTCAATCTTATAACCACCATCGGCCTCTCTAGGGTCGTCAACTAGACATCGACATTCTCGGTCCAAGACTGCCGATGAAACTTTGAAAATTGAGCCCAAGATTGCGGATTTTGAATGCACATGTTTTAGACTCGACAGCCTGTGTATAAAACCTGAGTCAGGGTCTTGAAAGAGCTATGATAAAAAGCCGCGTAGCGGCTTTCTATAAAGCTTTTTGGGACCCAGACACAGGTTTTCTTGACAGGTTGTCGAGCCTAAAACATGTTCATTCAAAAATCAACAATCTTGGGCTCAATTTTCAAAGTTTCATCGACAATCTTGGCCCGAGAATGTCGATGTCTAGTTGACGATCTTAGAGAAGACTTGTGGTAATAAGATTAGACTAGAGAAGCCGTGGCCGGAAATAATTCCAAATTATACCCTCACCGTCAAAAAATGTAAACTCAATTCTATCCGAACACTTTGGCCCAACTCAAATTTGTGTGGTTCCGTTTTTTTTCTCATTGTCACTGTTCAATCGACCATTCACCTCAACAAACACTTTAAAAATAAACTGCAAATTAAAATAAAAAAATCAACAAATGTCGCTTATTTTCCTTTCAAAATAGGATAAATAAGGGACTCACTTTATTATTCAGGTTTTACTCAGCTTTATTGTTAGACAGTTAAAAAGCATTTCAAAAAGGGGGTATACGTGTTCCAGATAAAAAGGTTTCATTTTCTCGATAATTCATTATTCCATTTTCTTTAATGAAATGATAGAAATGAACCGGAGAGGAAGCTGTCCTCACCAAAAGATAACAACAGTTATGTGAAAAAATATCTAAAAGATGGCGCTTTAGGGCTAGGCTCGTCATCCTGTACTGAAAAAAATACTGTACAGTCTACTGTTTCCTGTTTTTTAACTACTGTACTGTATACTGTCTGAATTTTCGACGAAAAAATTCAAACTGTGTACAGTACTGTTTGCAGTAAACAGTTAACTGCGCGAATTTCAGAGAATTCGCACTGTAAACAGTAACAGTACTGTAAGAGAAAGCAGGTTTTTTCAAAAAATCCAGCTTTTTACTAAAAAAGTACTTCATTTCCTAGCATTTTGGGCCTTTATGGCGAAATTAGGAGATACTCACTTCGAAAATACTGTAAACAGTATACTGTTTACAGCTACTATTTACAGTATTTTCTTACTGTTTTACTGTTAAACAGTGACAGTACTGTTACTGTGAAAACAGTACTGTTACTGTATAGTACTGCCTGTACTGTTTACTGTTTGAAAATTGGCTCTTCTCCGAAAAACCTGTTACTGTTACTGTTACTGTATACAGGATGACGAGCCTAGCTTTAGGGCTTCTGCTAATATCATTTCTCGTATATTTTCTCAGAAACCTGTGTAGAAAACCTGACTCAGGGACCCTGATTCAGAGTCCGGAGAGAGCTTCGTGGCTTCGCCAGGCAGTTTTCATTTAAACTCTTTCAGATCCCTGACTCAGGTTTTCTGCACAGGTTTTCGAGCCCTGCCCAAACCCTTTCGACCCCCTTGTTCTGGCTTTGAAGCAGGGTGAAATTGTTCACTTTGAGAAAATAAGCTTCGAAGGCTTGTTTTTTGAAGTTGACCTCAGTTACAGTTGTACTAGGACTGATCCATTGTTTGGAAAAGGTTAAAAATTGAGGAAAGAGGGCATTTGAAATAAATATTTTAATTCCTTGCTCGAGACACTGTGCTGGCGCCGCTGGCCTCACTTTTCAATATGAGATGTCCTTTTTCGCCTATCAGAATTCTGTAAGGATCATCTTGTTCATTCTCTTTGGGTAAGAGAGAGCTCCAGAGAAGCGTAATTACAGAGAAATGCTTTCAGCTTTGGGATCGTGCTCGCAGTCACTGTCTGCTTACTCTCCGATCAGACTGGATTCGTCCGATTTTCAAACACGAATCCGTGCTTTCTCACTTGGCTTTTTCTGGTCTGGCTCACAAATATTTTTCGTTTTAGCAAAAATTGGAAGTAAGGGGTGATTTAGGAAAGAATGGTTAGGGTTAGAATCAAGCTAAATCGGTTTTTTCGAGGATTTTCGTTGAGACACCCTTATTTTTTCAGTTGAAATTCTGGATTAGCCGCTCTGCGGCTTCGTTTTGAAAAAGCCGCTTAGCGGCTAATCCAGAATTTTACAAAAGTTTACAAAGAGAATATTTGCGAAGCCGCTCTGCTGCTTCGTTCTTGAAAAAGCCGCTGCGCGGCTTTTCCGTTTGTGCTCTTTTAAAACCTGACTCAGGTTTTCTACACAAGTTTTCGTGGGTATGTCGGCACTTTTTCATTTCTCAAAAACAGACTTTATTTTAATTAAGGGTGTCAACAAAGAAAGACATGGTATTAAAAAATAGCAGTATTAAAAGACGAAAAATGCGCTAGAAAAAACGTGGCGCTGAGCGGTTCCATTTTCGTTCCACTTTTTGTTACCGCAAAGGTTTAAATATTGAATGGCGTTTTGTGAGTCTTCCTTGATTCCGCTTCCTTTTGGCTTGGCGCTGAATATGTTGTACGAGACATGTGTCGACTTCGCCGAACATTATGGAGATTTCAGCGAGTCCGGCAACGTCCTCGCCACTGCGACAGGTTTGCAGATGATCTGATGATTGAGAGAGGCGATAACCTTCTAAGACACGCATGGAATTGCAAATGAATATGTAATGCGGTTGGAAGACGCGCCGATTCTAACGCCGATGTCTACAAGGCGACCCTCCAATCTCACCACTATGTAAGTCCAAATGAACTTTTCCGCACTTGAGCTTGCTGTTTGATCAAGGCTTCCAATTTGGGCTGAGCGCTGAGCAAATTTGAGCGGAGCGATGGATAAAATTCGACTCGAATTTGGAGAAGTCGCTCGCAGCTTTGAGAAACTATTGATTTAGCCGCGCTTCGCGCGGCTTTTAATAGACTCGAAGCCGCAAGCGGCTTCTCGAAATCCGAGTCGAATTTTATCGATAGCTCCGCTCCCTCATCGCTCAAATACCGCTCAGCGCTCAGCTCAAACTCAACTTCTTTCGGTGTTTCTTCTGTAATTTTTCGCCTCAAAAATCTTTCTAGCGGGGAAACGATGAAACTGACGAAGCAGCAGCAGATCGAGTTCCGCAAGAATATGGCGAACAAGATGCGCAAGTTCACCGGCGTGACAGATAAATACGACCCTAACACGAACATGAAAAAATTCATGGGCCAGAAATCAAAGAGGAAGGAGAAAAACGAAGACGGCACGATTCCCGAGAAGCTGCAAATTTAGAATTCAAGACTCTTCTTTTCTTTTCCTTGTATATTTGAATAAACCACCAATAAAAAAGGATCAGAGTCCTGGCGACAGGGCTCTTTACAAACGATTAATGTTACATGTTTCGAGTTTTCTTGGCCACGAATCTCGGATAAAAGTCGAGCTTTGATTAATTCTAAGCCACTTTGTTTCTAGTGCTCCTTTCAGGTGGAAAAGATATTCAGGGTTTGAAAAAGATGGACGACCTCGGGGACGGATAGCGTATTGGTCGTGTGACGCTACTCCGGAGCGGAGGGCCGCGAGTTCGAAAGCTGACAGAATAAGATCTTTATCGAACTAAAAAAAAAGTCAGCGGCATCAGCAACTTGTGTAGAAAACCTGAGTCAAAAAAACTGAGACCAAAAAAACCGTAAATTGACGAAAGGCAGCACGAGCCCTGAGGTTTCTCTTGATCCCCAAAGACGGCCCCGTCTCTCAAGAGTTTTTGGTTCCTTTCGTTTTCTTTTATCTATTAAACTAAAAGCTTCAATAAGACCCTGACTCAGGATTTTTGCCCTGGTTGTCAAACCTTACTGTAAATTTCCCACAGTGTGAAAGGAAGAAGAAAAAAAAGGATGAGCCTAATGCGGGGCTCGAACCCGCGACCGTTGGATTAAGAGTCCAACGCTCTACCGACTGAGCTAACCAGGCCCGTTGGAGCGGCCTGATTTTTAATATGATAAAATGCACAAAAGCGAAGCGACATTTTTTTGTTATAAGAAATTCTGAATGAACTTTATTTTGAATATTCATAGTAAGATACTGTCCTGTAACTGTAACTGTCATTTGAAACTTGTGATTGTAACGTAGTTAAATATATTCCGTGCTCAGTAGAAAAGGTAACGAGAATTTATGGTTTCGGAAATTGAAAATTGAAGAAATCGCAATAGTAGATAAGAAATAATAAGATAGGCTAATGGCATTTCTCAGAAAATCAACAATCAACTGATTAATCAACTAATTGATTAGTCATCTTTCCAGACCCGTTTGTTCTGTTTAATACTCGTCTGGAAGGACTGGAACTCGATGTTCTCCTTGCACTCGTCGTACAGGTCGTAGTGCCAGAACTTCATCACCTAAAATTCGCCGGATGCAATTAAATCCTTCCCTTTTTCATTGAAGCACTCACGGATTTGTACGACTGGTGGAGGTTCTCCGCCCTCATCTCGCGGATCTTCCGGCAGAGCATGCAGTAGCCTAGTTCGTCGACTCCGAGGTTGAAAATTGAATGAACGTAGTTTTCGCCATCCGACTAGATAGAAAAAAATGGGTAAGGATAAGGCTTAGGAAGAGGAAAGCGGGGTTGCAAATTTGCTGAGCTGATTGAGCTGAGCTAGCTGAGTGAGCTGAGCAGTCGCTCAGCTCAGTGATTTTCGAAAATGATCTGATCTGCTCAGCTCAGCTCAGACAATTATCATTTAGCTCGGCTCAGCTCACTGATTCTAACAATATTTTACTACTAAAAACACAGTAAAAAACAGCTCAGCTCAGCTCAACCAGCTCGGCTCAGCTCTAATTCGGGTCCGCTCAGCTCAGCTCAACTACCTTAAAAAATAGGTCTGCTCAGCTCAGCTCAGAGAAATTTTTATTCAGCTCAGCTCAGCTCAGCAAAAATAAAGCAAAATTTGCAACTCTGGAGAAAAGAGTGGGGAAAAAACAGCTCATTCCATTTACCTCATCTTGAATCAGCGTTCTCCACTGATGAAAGTCCAAATAAGCTTCGTCGTTTTTATCCAGCCATTCCAAATAACTGACCAGTTGTTCAGGCGACTTGAACCACTCGACATGAATGTATCTAGGCACGAGAATGAAATGAAATCAACGAAGAGAAATTGCTGAAATTGAACTCACGAGTTGGGAGGCGCTACTTTCAAAACATCGTCTGGGTGGGGTCCAAAAACGACGGGAACGGTCTCCGAGTGGAATCCGTTTCGCCAGAACTTTTCGGAAATGTAGTCGTTGCAGTGGTAGGCGTTCTCGAAGGCGAGGTAGAACTTGACGCTTTCGAGGGAGAAGCCCTCTTCTTTCTTCTTCGAGAAGCTTCGTTCCGTCACCTGGGAATTAGGTCAGATAAATTGAAACAATCTGATAAGGTGGGTAAAAAAAGACATCCCGCTGAGAGAGGGGAGCAGCTACAGCGCCATCATTTGGATGACAAGGTGGATATAAGCGCGGTTATTTTGAAATCGACACTTCAAAAATTGAAAAAAATGAAATTTTTATAAAATGAAGCACGACTTCCTACCGAGTATCTACAATTCCTTCGACTGTTTGACAAGTTTGACATATAAAATGAAACATTATCTGCATTTTTTGTGATATCCTAATCTTCAGATGTAATACCTGTACTGTGTTTGTTACACAAAAAATAAAGATTATATTCTCATTATATCGTTCTTTTTTGTCCAATTTATAATTGATCATTTTACCTTTCCAAAGCACTGTCCTTCGCCATAAAGTCTGAGTCCCGCTTTGATCAAGGACTCCCCGTACTCCCATCGTTTCACAGCTCCTTCTGTATGATCACAGTTCGAGACAAACCAGGCGGCAATGTGTTTCTTCGACTTTTTCTTCATCAAGCGCTCAAAATACTCTTCGTCGGAAAACGGGATTTCCTTCCCATCAAATCTGCTAAACTAAAAAAAGCATTAGCGAAAGCCCTTTATTTCTGGGCTCGACGACCTGTGTAAAAAACCTGAGTCAGTGTTTGAAAGACTTTCAATGAAAAGCCGCAAAGTTATTTCAAAGTCAGTCGAAGCGGCTTCATATCTAAAAATAGCCGCTACGCGGCTTTTCATTTCAGATTTTTCAGACCCTGACTCAGGTTTTTTACACAGGTTGCCGGATAAAATCTCACCTGAATTGACTCCTCAATCATCCCAAAGCGCCTGATCGCATCCGAGTCCGTTCTGTACGAGCAAGTTAAATTGAACATTCCGTCGATTTCTTCCGTCATCAGGCTGCTGTGCTCGTGTCCTTTCGTTCCCGACTCGCGCTGGTAAAAGATGTAGAATTGATCGGGCTTACGTTTCTTTTGGCTTGGAAAGACTTCTGGCTCGCTTGCTTTTCCACGGCCGTATGCGCTTGCTGAAACTCGGATATTCTCGGCTCAGCCTCTCGGCGGCCTGTGTAGAAAACCTGAGTCAGGGTCAGAAAGATCCCTAATGAAAAGCCGCGTTTAAAAAACGAAGCCGCGAAGCTTTGCCGAAACTTTAAAATAGGCTTTTCATTAGAGATTTTTCAGACCCTGACTCAGGTTTTCTACACAGGCTGCCGAGCCCTGAGTATATTTGATCCAAGGTCGGAAACCTGTGCAGAAAGCTGAGTCAGGGTTCAGAAAGACAGTTCAATTCTTATATTCAACCTTTTTCTGGACCCTGACTCAGGTTTTTTTCTACACCGGTTGCCGAGATACTCAGGCTAAGAAAAAAGAAGAGCTCTATCCGTTTTCCTTTGAGATAAGTGAACATTTTGCCAGTGTTGAAGATGATGCCATCGGCCTTGTTCTCCAGCTCCCTGTCGACTGAAAGATGGCAGCCGCCGCAAAACGGGTCTTTTCCGGGAACGTCTCTTTCCTTCGTGTGGCGAATGGTGACGTCTGTGTTTTGCCGACGATCGCCTTCTTTTGCGTACCAAAAGAGGAGAGTAACGTCGTCTTCTTCTGCGTGAGAAGGGAGATCTTTTGACAACCAAATTTTGTCCAGCCATTCTTTTCTTTTCGATCATCTTCAAATTGAACCCCCCAAGAACTGAGCTCGGCAATCTGTGTCAGGTTCTGAAGCGTTAAAATGAAAAGCCGCATAGCGGCTTTTTTTTTTAAGAACGAAGCCATCTTTTCAGTTTCTTTTAAAATAAAGGCGAAGCCGCTTTGCGGCTTCGTTCATAAAAAAGCCGCTACGCGGCTTTTCATTTTAACTCTTCAGAATCTGATTCAGGTTTTCTAAGATAATTTCAAAGCTAAATTTGAAGACGCTTTCCTTTCTTCTTGCGAAAGTGGCTTCACAATCGTCTTGTGAAACTGGGCATGAAACTCATCCGTGAAATCGCTGTTCACATTGGCTTGATCATTGCGGTCAATCTCAGACGCTTCCGCGGTTTCGCTAATTTCGCTTCCCGTCATTTCTGATTCGCCGTTTTCTAAATTTTCTAAATTCTTTGTTGATTCTTTTGTTTTCGGATGGAAATTTTTGATTTCAGCTAAAGTTGATTTACTCTTTTTCTCGGCTCGGGAACCTGTGTTGAAAACCTGAGTCAGATTTCTTGAAGAGCTCGAATTAAAAGCCGCATTGCGGCTTTTTTAAGAAAGAAGCCGCAAAGCGGCTACGCTAGGATTTTCAATAGATTCAAATTGTTATATTTGCGGCTTCGTGAAAAAAAAGCCGCAACGCGGCTTCTCATTCAAGCTTTTTTAGAGCCTGACTCAGGTTTTCAATACATATTGGCAAGCCCAGTATTCAACTGTACTTCATAATCCGCTTAGTTTTAATCCGATCCTGTAGTTGCTTCAGAAGTCGTTGTAGTCTCTGATGACGTGGTCGTAGTTGTCGTCGTGGTAGTAGTAGTGGTAGTGGTAGTAGTCTCCTCCGGCTGGTCCTCTTCCGGCGGCGGCGTGGCAAGTTCCATCATTTTCTGCACCTTTTTGTCGTTAGAGCTTTGATTATCCAGTGGCACTTGCTTCGTCCGCTCGCTGCTGCTGATTACCTTCTCGACGTTAAGCTCAAAGAGAATCAAGCACAAGGCGGCGACGAAGAGCGCGATCAAGCACTGTTTCTCTCGCCCCAGTCTGGCAGACATTCTGGCTCACTCTTTCCCTCTTCACGACTGTTTCATAAAAATTGACCGACTTGGCTGGAATTTATAATTTACGAAAGGGTTGATTTTTTCTGAAAATCGCTGAAAATGCTAGTGCCGCGAAATATCCGCGGGCAATGCTATGACCCGAGATAGTGTACTGCCCTTTGCAGCATTCGCCCGCCGTGAAATCGCATTCTACATTTATTTTCACTCGAAAGTGGTCAAATTATCAACCCAGAGAGCAAGTTAAAATAGGCTATTTTAAGGGGGTAGATTATCTTTTTTTGCCTTGCTAAATATAGATAAAGAAGATCGTTTTCAAATATTTTATTAAAACTAGAGACTTTTACGACAGTGAAAATAGGAAAAAAAATAAGAGTTTATGGAAGGTGAGGAGTCCAAACTGGTACTGATTTGAAAATGAGATAACAGCTGTGACCTAGCGCGGCGGTTCTAAGCTTGAACTAACACGGGTTGGCATTGCCTAAGCCAAGTCCCGCCTTTTGAAGATGATAACGTTGACGGAGGGCTTCCATCGCCGCCTCCAATTCTTTCTCGCTCTTCAATAACGCTTCTTCCGCTTTCCTGATTTCTTCTTTCAACTCTTCAGCTTCAGCTTCGAGCTTTCGTGTTTCATCCTTCACCTCTCGTTTTAGGAGCATCTAAAATTAACGAATCAGGAGCTTATTTTTTCCATTTTAATTAACCTCAGCCTCAGCATCATTGACGTTTAGTCCAAGAGATCGCAAAATGGATCCAAGTTCCCTGTCGGTGACTATTATAAATAGTTACCTGAGTGAACATTTTTGATTGTTTTTTTCTAATTTGAAGTGTGTGGAATCGAACGATGAGACTCTCCGAGACTCCGAGGGTCTAAAAAATTTGGGTTGTTTTTTTGAAAAATTTCATTTTTTAACAAAAAAGTAGTCTTTGAGTAAAAATTTTTTCGCTTGGTAATAATTTGACCTCAGTTTTTCTCAAAGTTTCTAGCAGTTTTTCTCTTTAAAAAGCGGAAAAAATCTTCCTGGTTTTTTGTCATCGAGTGAACTGGCGCAATTTTCGAATTGAAAACTGTTTTTATCAGATTTGCGATCTTATATTTTTCAGCAAAAACATGATTTAGGCGGAAAAATGCGCGATCACAAACGATCCGACCCGAAAGGAACGAAAATCTCGAAACTCTGCCGTCGCCGATTGATGGAACTGGCATCAAGAAAGCAATACGAGCCAAAGTGGGTGGCAAAAGTCGACGCTCAGATTCCTTGGGTCGTCGAAACGCTCAAACGAGTTGGCGAAAACGGAACACATTTTCCTACACGATGCCAGCTGCCTTGACCGTCGTCCTTGATTTCGCACTCGGCATTGACTTGTCCAAGCACACAGATTACCGAGACAGAATCTGCTTGTACGCGAACAACGCCCTTGAAAGCGTTGTAAAGCTGGACAAGTACAAACTGTTCTTCATTCATCTTCCAAGCTGGCTTCGTGTTTGGATACCCTTGCGATTCTCGCCGGACTGGGTCGCTTACCAACAGGTTTGTTTAAGAATTGAAGGCGCCTGACAATTGAAAAATCGACTGAAAACTGGACTCTTGGCGACGAAACTGAAAGTCTCTTGGCGATCCTTCCCTCCACGATCTACGAGATCTACAGATACTGCCCGATGATCTACAGAAGTTTGCTGCACAGTATTACCGAGAAAACAGAAATCCTTGGTTAGACAATACGGTTATCTTCGGCGACTTTTTGTTTATTTTGTTCTTTTAGGGAGACTTTCGAAAAGGACGAATTTATTTGCTTCAGCATCGTATTTGGAATTTCAGGCATTTTGAATTCAAACTTCACCCTGACCATCCAATGCCCATCGTTGAGACCGAAAAAGGCTGGAACAGCTTCTGGACGCGACAACCTCACCACGCGCCGATGCACCACTTTTCTGGGAAGGTCTTCTTCTTCTTGAGATCTACCTCCTTAAAGCTATCGCTTCTTTTTAACTTGTTCATCAAAATTTTGATGAGCTTTGATTGATTGTATCAAAAATGGATTTATGCTTTCATATTTGTTCTGTTTCTATGTATATAGAGATATACCAGAGTATATATATGCATATGAATTACTTGTTGTAGTGGTTGTCGTTGTCGTCGTTGTGGTCGTCGTTGTGGTTGTGGTCGTGGTTGTGGTTGTAGTTTCTGGGAAATCAAAAGAAACTATTTGCTTGGAGCAAGCATTAAATTCACTGGCGAGTTTGACGATGATATGATCAATGATTATCGAACCCTCGAGGAGGTCGGGCACACTGATTTCGATCGAGCTATCAGAAGTTGTCAGAGCAACCCATTTCTTGACTTTGAACCACTCGTTGCTCGAGCTGACCGGCGAACTTATCACTTCTGTTTCTCCGTTTTTCTTCGCCAAAACGCTCAAGTTCTCCGTGCTCGAGTCTGTTAAAACCTTGACGTAAAATTGGACGACGTACTGGGCATCTTCGACGATTCTGTCTGTCAAATCAATCGTCACAACCGAGTTGCCAGGGAACTTGAATCCGCGTTGGACGTAGCCGTCCCAGTGGACAGCGCCAAATTGAGCAGAAACAGAGCTGCTTTCTCCACCATCAACGTCTAAGTCGCCTCCTTCGACGAGATTTCCGCTCTCGTAGTTGTTGCAAGGCGAGCTGATGATTTCCTCGCGCTCTTCAATGACATTCCCGTCCGCATCTTTCAAAACAAAGCGGTAAGTTCCAGGAGTCATGGATCGAACGTAAACATCTCCTTCGTTCGAGTAGCTAATGCTGCCCATGATTGGCTCTGTCCTCAGCTCTTCAAGGACGAAGTTGATGTAGGCCATTCCCGCGGCGTTCGGGTAGCTTGGATGGCCGAGGTGAGCAAATGGCTCTGAAAACTCGTTGAGTTCATTTTCCACGAAGGCTTTTTGCTCGCTATCTTGCATGGCGCCTTTCAAGAAAGCCCAGGCGACGAACGCTCCTACAGCCGGATCGCTGTAAACATATCTCATGAAATCGCCGACTTCCTCGCCCCGGGCCGTGACGTTGAAATTGGCGATGTCGAACTCGGTGATGTAGAGCGGGAGGCCGGTGGAAGAGAGCATGTCCATCCGGTACTTGATGTTGTCGAAGTTGAGGCCCGGATGCATGTGCGCCTGGACGCCGACGTAGTCGATCAGCTCAATTTGCTCCTTCGTCACGTCGATCATGCACTGAGTCCAATCCATGTTGACGATGTTGAAGTCGTTGACAATGATTTCCGCTTCGGGATCGTTCGCTTTGAAAGTGGCGAAGATGTCGTCCCAGATGTTCGCCAAGTTGTCGCGGTAAACAGAGCCGTGAGTCGGCTCGTTCATAATCTTGTAGATGACGTTTCTGAAGCCATGCTGCTTGGAGCCATTGTACTCTTGAAGAAGAGCCGCTTCCCAGTCGAGCATCAGCGCTCTGATTTCCTCCAAATCGCCACCCGTCGTCGCCAATTCGTTGAATCGCTCGCCAAACCAGGTTGGCGAAGCTTTTGGATGGTAGTTCCCTTCGTCTACTTCCCAGAAAATCGTGTTTCCGGAAACGGGAATGCTCTGATTCGCGAAAAACGCGTGCATCAAATTCGCTTCGCTGAAATCTCGAATTCCTTCTGTCGATTCAACAGCTTTCCATTTCAACGGATTGACCAAATGCGCGAAATTGAAGTAGTAGGAGAACGAGTTCAGTGCGTAATCGTTGAACTCGGAATCAGCTTCGAACCAGGAGGACTTGGCTGTCCCCGCCCAGTCGAACTCAGTCCTGACGAGCTGCGAAGTCATCCGGCTCCCTTCCGGCGCGTTGGTGAATTTAAACTCGACTTGGTTTTTCTGAACTCTTCGATTCGCAAATTCGCGCCAGCAACCCAATCGCTCTGCCGCTGCCAATTCCGCGCCGAGAAATTGTCGATGAAGACCTCCACACCGCCAGCCGGCATTTTTACGTTTGCCTCGACGCTGGTTACTTCCGCGATGTTCTCGGAAAGAAGATTTTCCAAGCTGCATCTGTTCCCGTATTTGTGCCACTTTCCGTCGGGAACGACGCAGCCGCTGTTGCACAAAATGTTCAAGTTCTCACTCGACCCATCTGTATTAACAACACGAGCAGTGAGAGACATGCTGATCTTCTGCCAATCATCGTCGTCTGGATTTGCCCGAGCGAGTCCGGAATCGACGAATTTCGCCCAGTAAGAAAACTCGACGATTCCCCCAAATCAAGAGAATCCAAGCACAGTTTTTGATACAACTTAAAGTTCTCCTGTCGATTGAACAATCTCAAATGCGCCAAGGCGTTTTGAGATTTGGACTCGGAAAGTGTGTTGTAGACGCTCTCGATTTCACCGTTGCTGACTTGCCAGCCGTTGATGTCGAAGAGAGTGTGCTCGGTGGCGACTTCGAAGTCGGCGTTGAAAATGAGCCCGTCTTTTTCGACTCCGCCGACGAGCGTTTCTGTGTCCACAGCGATGATGTTGTCGATGTGGTAAGAAATGTCAACGTCGTCGACGACAACGGTGAAGTAGCAGTTGTAATTCGCGATCAGTTCGTCTCCACTAATTCCCATCGCGGCCAAAAAGTCCAAATGATGCAGCGCGTGAATCTCTTGCCAGAGATTCTCTCCGTACTCATAAGGAACGTTTACAGTCGCTCTGGCAAACTTACTGGAGCCGCTTCCTTTCGGTTTCGCCTGGAAAGACGGTCGAACAGTAAATTCATCGTGGTCGCCGATAAACTTCATTTGCGCCTTGAAATAGACATCTTTTCCTTCCAACTCGACGAATTTGCTGCAAGGAATTTCTTGAATAACTCCCTTCCAGTTCGCGTCTCGCCCCTGGAATTTGAGCCCAGCCCCGTCATAAGATTCGATTGTGTTCGTTCCCGAGCCGCCTCGGCTTTCCCACGCGCCAGTGTTGATGTCTTGCTCACAGACTGAGTCTACGAAGATGTTGTTTGAGAGGAGATCACACGATTCAACATTGCACACGCGCATTTCTCCGTCAGAAGATGTCTGAGTTCCTACTGAGCCGCTACTAGTTGACACGCAGGGAAGGGAACATTTGCTCCAGGTTTTTAGTGCGATTGGTGTTGTTGTCGTCGTCGTAGTCGTTGTTGTTGTCGTCGTCGTTGTCGTCGTAGTCGTCGTAGTCGTAGTCGTAGTCGTAGTCGTAGTCGTCGTCGTCGTCGTCGTAGTTGTAGTCGTAGTCGTAGTCGTAGTCGTAGTCGTAGTTGTTGTTGTAGTGGTAGTAGTAGTTGGTTCAAGAGAAAGAGTTTGAGTACATTCTTTGTAAACCGAACCTTTCTGGACCAAAATATGATCAATAAATATCTCTCCAGTATATCCAGGCACAGACAATTCAAGTGCACCAACTGATGTAGACAAGGACTTCCACTTTTGGCTAAAATCCACTCGTTATTCGCCGAAACAGCAACTCGGAAAAGTTCAACCCCATCAGCGCTAACAACCGCATCGACTGGCTCCGTCCATTGAGTCAATTTGACGTAGAACTGGATTACATAACTCGACTGGACTGGAACTGTGACGTCAATGGTGATGATGTTCTCTCCGCTGTGGCCGCGGACGGCAAGCGCGTCAGTGACGTATCCATCCCAGTGGATTTTTCCGTTTCCGTTGACAGTAATTTGGGCATCGACGATGCCGGAATCGAACTCTCCATCGACAACTAGTTGTTCTTTGGAATAGGGATCGCAAACTGAAGTGACAGTTTCAACCACTTCGGAGAGCAATTCTCCGTCTGGGCCAGTGACAGTTACCAAGTAATCACCAGGAGTGAGTCTTCGTTGGACAGTTTCCCCGTCGTTAACAGTTTTGGTAAAGTTGCTCATGAATTCTCCCTTGACGAGCTCGATGTAGGCCACTCCGGCGGCATTCGGGTAGCCAGGGTAGCCCAGATCAACGAACGGCTCGGAGTGCTCGTTCAAAACGCCTTCGAGAAAGAGTCGATCGTAAAAGTTCTGTCCCGAAGTTCCGAAAATCACGGACCAAAGAGTGAAACCGACAATTTTCGGATTCGCGTACGCCAGTCGGATGTGGTCGGCGACGTCGAGTCCGCGATCGGTTCTGTTCCAGTTTTGAACGTCGAACTCGGTGACCCAGAGGGGAATGCCAGTTTCGGAGAGCAGGTCGTATCGCTCTTGAGTCACTTCCGCGTTGAAGAAGCCTTTCACGTGGGCTTGGACGCCGATGTAGTCGATGTCGGTGTAGCCGTCGACGAGGTCGTTGAAGCACTGCGAAGTGTCGCCGGAAATGAGCTGGTAGTCGTTGATGATTCGGTCTGCATCGGGATCGACCTCTTTCATCAAATCAAACATGTCCTGCCAGATGCCAGGCAAGTTCTTTCGGTACTGTTCGCCATGAACCGGCTCGTTGAAGACCTTGTAGCTCCTGTTCTTCCCCTTGTACCGCTCGAGCACTTCCCTCGCATGGGCCAGCATCATTTCTCGATAAGGTTCCAAATCGTCTCCGTTGGCGATCGCGGCGGCCCACTCTTCCTTGAACCAAGGAGGAGTCGCCTTCGGATCGTTCCCGCCAACAGTTTTTCGACTTCCCAAAAATCGTGTTGCCGGAAAGAGGAATGCTCCAGTTTTGGAATCGCTCGCTGATGAAATCGCCTTTTAAGGATGCTGCGGAAAAAGACCTTGAGAACTAATAGTATGAGCTACTGTCTACGCTGCGTGAGAGATACGGTTGTTTCCCAGGAGTTGGGCATTATATGAACAGGCTTTCGCGGAGAAATAATCACTCAAAAAGAGAAAAGAAAAAAGAAACAAAACTAGGGCAGTCTGAAATTATCACCAAAAATTATTGACTGCAAATTGACTGACCAGTTGCCTACGGTAGCACTAACTGTAAAAGCCCAATTTAGTGACAAAAATGCTGAGAGACGAGATGAAAGAAAGCCTCATTGCCCGTGAAAGTGTCTCTTCTAAAGAGTTCATTTTCAACGGCTTGAAACTGGCGTTTTTCTGCATTTTGACGGCGCTCTTCCTTGCCAACCTCTGTAAGTCTATACAGCTCAATTGAAAAGCTTCAATTTTCAATTTCTAGACGTGACGATGGACCTGTGCCGACTGCAAAATCAGCAACTGGAACTCAACAGAGTCTTTGCTGACTCCATTTTTGAGCTCACAGGAAATCAACAAGGTAGAGTTTCTTTTTTTTCAAAAATTGAGCAACCAGTTTTTGAATTTTGAATTTTTCAATTTTCAAATTTTCAATTTTCATTTTTCAATTTTTCAATTTTCGTCTAGATCAGTCCAAGATTCTCGCTAAATTGGAAGAAATCGTCGGCAATCCGGAAGTTAACGCTCTCGAAAGAAGATGAATCTCGCAGTTGAACTGCTTTTGCTCCCCTTTGCTGCTTTGAACCCTCAAATTAACGACCCTACCGATAGTACCGAGCTTGACAAAAAAGAAATAAAAACAAGAATTTCAAGAAAAAATCGCGCGTCCCTTCCTTTTGTGTAATCTCTTACTCCCTTGATCCTCTCGACCGCCTGCCACTTCATCTCGTTGGTGATGAATCCGTAGTTGAAGTACCAAGGGAAGTAGTTCTTGTAATCTGGCACGACTTCTTCGCACTCCCAGTTCCACTTCGATCCCCAGGGGTATTCGTAGCTCAGCTGCTCGAAGCTGATTCTGCTTCCATCCGGAAATCCGAGGACGTCAATGTCGACATTGTTTTTCCTGAACTCGTCGATTCTCAGATTCGCGCCGGCTTTCCACTCTTCTTTTCGAACATACGGGGCCGCGCGAATGTTGTCCAAGTCCATGATCGTTCCTGGCTCGGCGCCGTTGATTTTTACCTTGACTTCGGTGATCTGGTCGATCACGGTGGCGGGGGTGGAGATCAGCCACTCGTCCAAGCCGCAAATGCCGGCGTACTGGCGCCACTGATTGTCCGGAATGACGCAGCCGGAAGTGCAGAACATCGAGTAGGAATCGGCGACTCCGTCGGTGATGTAATCGACCACCAAGTTGAGCGAGAGCTTGTTCCATCCGTCGTCCTCCATGATCGCTCGCGCCTGGCTTTCTTCCGAAAACTTGCCCCAGAATCGGAACTCGACGGGGCGGCTCCGGTCGAACTCGTCCAAATCCAACAACTGGTAAATTCCAGAATCGGTGCTTTGACGATCTCTCGCGCGCAGATACGCTTTTCCGGAAGGAGCGTCGTTGTCGTAAACGGTCTCTAGGACTGCGTTGCTTTGCGACTGCCAGCCAGGGCCGATGGGGAAGAGGCCGTTGTCGGTTGCGATTTCGAAGTCGCCGTTGAAGAGCAGATCTTCTTTGGGCACCATCGAGGCCAAATTGCTTTCGGTGGTTAAATACGCCTGGTCGGCGAGATAGGTGATTGCCGGGTCTCGCACGACTGCGGCGAAGCGGCAAGTCATGAAACTCTCGTCCGCTGCCTGCTCGGCAGTGATCCCGTGATCGGAAGCGGCCGTCATCAACCTCGTCTGGGCGATCTCGAACCACTCGTTGTCGAGTCCATCTTCGGCGGAGACCGATTGCTCGCCAAAGTTGAGATAAATTTTCGACGCGCCGCTGGCGAATGTGACGACCACTTGGGGCATGACGCCAAAGACGCCGTGCTCGCCGACGAGTTTGATGAAAAACTTGGCGACAAAGAGTTCTTGGTCGTGATCGACGAGCGCTGACTGGGCTCGGCAATCTGTGTAGAAAACCTGAGTCAGGGTCTGAAAGATCTAAAATGAAAAGCCGCGTAGCGGCTTTTTTAAAACGAAGCCGCTTCGCTTCTTATCTTCCTATATATCTTCCTTGATTTTAGATCTATAGACCCTGACTCAGATTTTCTGCACAGGTTGCCGAGCCCGGAGCGCTGAGCAGGGGAAATTGGTGGTCATTCCTTTCCACTGCTGATCGCGGTTTTTCCATTTGAAACCGGTTCCGTCGTAGGCTTCGGTGACGGCGACGATGCTGCCCCCGGTGCTTCTCCAGGTCGAGGAAGACGTTGGAAGATCCATTTTCGGATCGGGCAGGAACTGGGCAGAACTCCCTTCATCGTAGATTGAGCAAGACTCGACGTTGCAAACTCGGTTGAAGCTTTCTCCGCCGACTTCCTAATAAAACAAATATCGAACCTGCAATTGTAATTTGAACACACTTACAGTCGTTTGAATTCCGATCCCGCAAGGAGCGGAGCACTTGGACCAACGCGCCGTCGACCAGTCCGGAGAGCTAGAAGCCAGCGCCGTCGCCGGAAAAAGCAAAGAAGAGCTTCGCATGAGAATTTTCGCTCTTTCTCTTTTTTCTCGCGTTTTGAACGACTCCCGTGACTTATATGCAAAACGCTAAATGCTAAAATTCCGCCCGGTCAGGCAATCAGAGCGTGATCCTATCTCTTATCCGACTCCCTATAAGTTCTGGCAGGGGTTGATAGAACAAGAGATAACAAAAGAAGAAACAAGGAGAATTGAATGTTAAAAGATAAAACAGCCAATTGAAGATCTGGGCTCGGCAAACTGCGAAGAAAACCTGAGTCAGGGTCTGGAAGAGCCAAAATGAAAAGCCGCAAAGCGGCTTTTAAAAACGAAGCCGCAAAGCGGCTTCGCGAACATAATCATTTCAATCGCTCATTCGAATTCTGGACCCTGACTCAGGTTTTCTACACAGGTTGCCGAGCCCAGAGTATTTTCGATCTTAACTCGGCAACCTGTGTAAAAACCTGTTTGTTGCGTCTCCCAGAGGAAGAACTTTTAATAGATGTCCTATCTTCATTTTTTGAGAACTCAGAATTCGCCGATTTTGCGCGTTCTACCACTTCCTCTTCAAATAGCAGTGACGCGCGGGCAGACAAGTTCAAATATTAACTGCAAACTCAGAAACGCAGAAAATTCCAAATCTCGCCCTCTTTACTCAAACAATCTTACTCTGAGAGAAAAAGGAGAGCTTCTGATTTTTTCATTTTTTGAAGATGGCGCGATCATTGTTAGAGTTTCAAAAACAGTTTTTATAAGATTTCATTTAATTTTGATTGGGATTTCTTTCAAAACTCTTTGAAAGAAAGACGGGCGATACTCTGGAATCCTTGAGTCGAAATTCGACGGCGGCCGAGGCGTCACAAGAGGAAGGGACAACCAGAGCGGCCAAATCGTCGCCTTGAAATGGATCAAAATGATCAGTTCGAGCCAGATCGAGGAAACTGAAGAAGAAGCGAGAAATCTGGAAATGCTGAGCGGCGGAAACCAGTTCATCGTCCAGTTCGTCGATTTCTTGCCGATGGAAAGACCGGACTGGTTCAAGCTCACTTCGATTTCGTTTCTGGTCATGGAGTTTTGCGAGCTTGGAAGCCTGAGCGACTGGATCGAACGAAGAAAACAGCAGGGGCGATGGACAAGCGCGGAAGAAGTGGCGTTGATCGGCGCTCAAATCATTTCCGCGCTGGCTTTTGCCACTCAAGGGACATCGCGCATCTGGATGTCAAGCCGCAAAATGTGTTCATAAAAGGCGATGGCATCACTGTAAGTACTTTTTGGAGTGAAATTCTCTGATTGAAAAAAAAAATAGATCCGGGTCGGCGATTTCGGAAGCGTCATGCAACTGAGGTCAATCGAGGCGACAATTCAAGGAACAAGCACTGAGGGAGTCAAGAATACGCTGATTTACACCCCTCCAGGAAGGAATTTGACTACTTCTGAATATTTAGGATGTGATACCGATAATGTCGAATTCGTAAAAAGAGTCGTTTACCGAAGCTCTTAGAAGATCAGCCCGCCTAGATGTTTGGGGATTCGGCCACATTATTCAAGAACTTTTGACTTTTGAGCACGCTTTTGCCGAGTTGATGGAAGACCAACTAAAATTCAACCCAAAATCGGTAAAATGAATCGATGGTTTTTAAAAGAAAACTTCTTCAGTTCAAAACATTTGCGAAAACAAACGAACAAAAATCGCCGAAATCCGCGGCGAAAACGAAGAAATGGTCGACTTCGAAATTCTTCTCCGAAAATGCCTGAATCCTCGAAAACTGCTTCGGCCCGAAAACGCGCTTCAACTGCGCGGCGAAGCGATCTTTTGCGAGTTTTGGAGCGAATCGAAAGCGGCGAAGCTCCAAATGAAATCATTGCTCCTCCGGAAGAAATCATCAGGAGACTGAGGGAAACCAATCAGCAGCAGGAGAGTTTGATTGAGGCGCAGAAGAGGAGGATAAGCGAGCTGGAAGCGAAACTTGAGAAAAATCAAAATAGAAAGAGGAAAATTCGGGAACTCAAGCAAATTTGTGAAGAACAACAAGAAAATGAACAGGTAACATTTTTAAAAATGGCAGTGGCTCATAATTTAATTTTAATCTTTTTAAAAATTATTTTTTATTTTAGAAATTCCTCGCCGAGATCGCAAATTTGAAGCAAAAAGGTGCAAAGCAAGAAGAAGACTTGAAAAACATTTTGGCTGAAAACGAGCGAAAAAATCAAATTGAAGAAAATTTGAAAATCGAAAATCGAAATATGAAGAAAGAAATTGATGATTTGAAGAGAGAACTCGATCAATTCAAAAATAGAAGACAAGCAGCTTCGAATGAAGGGCGACAACGAGGAGAATTTGATTCGAGAAGAGATGCGGCGCTAATTGTTCAGCCAGTTCAGGAAATCGAAAGAAGAGTTGATGAGGAGAGGAGAAATGAGTTGGAGAAATTGAGAAGAGAGTTGGGAGCGGTTGGCGGCGCGGGGCATTACTTTCAGGATGATAAAGGTCCTTTGGTTGGTGGAGTAAGAAATAAGATGCAAGAAAAAGAAGTGCGAAACATCCTGAAGCTGCTGTCTTTCGGCGAAACCAAAATCAACTTGAAGGAACGGGAGTTTTTAATATTTAAGCGAAAAGAGAATTTCGAAAATCTCTCCGCGAAGTTTTTGTATAGTCAGAAGTTGGAGGTCGCGGAGAATGGATGGAATCTCAAGTTCCAAGGTGGTCATATTTATAAAGGAGATGGTTGGCATCATCTCTGGATCGGAAGCAAAGGTAAGAAAGTGAAATTTCAATTTTAAAAATTTAATTTTAGACGGCGGAGTTCGATTCAAAGCCGTGGTGCAGGAGATTAATGTTGAAAATGGAGACGAGCTGAGCAGAGGAGAAGTCACAAGCGAGCCGGATGGACAGAAGCAGAAAATCAAATACAAGTACGGTCACTTGGCATATGTAAGATACAACATCACTTTGCTGTAAAATTCAAAATGTAAATAAATGATTATCAAACTCAATGAAATTCAATTTAAATAAGAAATCGCAAGAGTCCAGATTTGATAACGCTTTTTTTAGAAAATTGCATGTTTTTTTTACAATCATCGACCCTGATTCTGTTTTCAATTCGACATTTTTTCTTACTAACTATTTTTTTTTCTTTTGATCTATTCTTACAATTTCTTGCCAAAATAAGAAAAGAAAGAATAAAACTTTTTACTTTGTTTACATGTATTTCTCCGTTTGTTTTGTTTTGAGTAGCAGGCGTTATCATCTCAATAAAATAAGTTTACATTTAGAAGAATATTTTCTTGTTTACTCTTGTTTTTCCAGGTCATTCGCAGGCACAGCTCGTGGAAACGGCTAGAATTTCAATTAGCAAGGGATATATTTTTTGCAAGAAGAATTCTAACTAACGAATGCTGAATCGAGCCAAAATCGTCGGCTCAGCTCAACAGTCAAATATTTGCAGAAAGCGAATGCGATCGCACTTCTCAAACACTGCAAATTCTGCTGCAAGAGAAGCAATCTTTGAGCGAGAAACTACGCTAAAATGAGTGAGAGTCTGTTAAAGTTACGAAATAATAAGAATGAAAGTGATTTACAATTGATTTTGTAACTTTTTGAAAGAAAGATGGAAAGTACGCGAACATCGATGTTGGGCAATTTGAAACGAACCAGGGAGTGACGACCGCTTTGGATACCGCGACGGGAGAGACTGTCATCGTCAAGGCGATTTTGCTCCAAAACGCAAGCCACTGGAAAAGCACGCAGCATGAAGCAGCGACTCTTCGGGAGCTAGGTAAGCAAGTTGAATGATTGCAGATAATTTCGAGCAATTTCTTAGCAAAACCTCGAAATTATAATTTTCACGTTTTTCAAGCGACTATCAGAAGTAAAATATATAGATCACGCGAATGTGGTCCGCTTTGTCGACTTCCTCGATCGACAAACTCCGGACTGGGCCGAGTTCGGAGCGATGAGCTTCATCATCATGGAGTACTGCGCTGGCGGCAGTCTCGTCGACTGGATCGAGAAGATGAAACAAGCCGCGCGACGAACAACGCTGGACGAGGCGAGAATCATCGCAGCTCAAATGATCTCAGGGCTGAGCTACTGCCACGGAAGAAATAAGGTCCATCTCGACCTCAAACCCGCAAATATATTTGTGGCCCGAGACTATATCACGGTAACAAAACAATTCAAAACCTTGGCGTAAAACTAAACTTGTTCAGGTGAAAATCGGCGACTTCGGAAGCGCCCATTCAGTCCGGTCGGTGGAGGCTTCATTGACGACTTCAAGTGGCGATGGAATCAAATGCACGCCCTTGTATGCAGCTCCAGGTTAGCGATAGAGAAAACATAGAAACAAGTGTTTTTCCTAGAAATGCACAAGAAGGAAGAGGAGGCAAAAAAGTCCCCGCGTCTGGATGTTTGGGGTTTCGCCTTGATTTTACAGGTTGTTGAAAAATAGTTGTGAGAAATTAAAATGACGCATTTTTTCCAGGAAGTCCTCACTTTGGAACATCCTTTTGGCCGAGTCGATGGTCAACCAGCGCTCACTGGAGAAATAAGTAAAATTCTTGGTTTATTTTAAAGCCGTTTAATTTGCTTTTTCTAGTGGCGAACATTCAAACTGGAAAACGGACGTCGCTGTTTGAAATCTTCGGCGAAACGGACGAAGTTGAAGAGTTCGAAGTTCTTCTCGAAAAATGCACAAAAGTTGAAAGGACCGAGAGGCCGAGAAATACGATTGAGCTGCGAAATGAAGCTGTCTTCGTTGATTTCTTGGAAAGAATCGAAAGTGGAGAGCGAGCGAGCAGCATTGTTCCCTCTCCATTTCCAATTGAAAATGACGAAGTTGAAAGACTCAAGGAAGAGATGAGGCAAAAGACATGATAATTCAAGAATTGCAAAACCGACTCGCGAATTTTGATGAAATCAAGGAAGAAAGCGAAAGAAAAGCCGCGATCATTAATCAACTGCAAGATCGACTAAACGAAGAAAAGAAGCAAAATGAAAAAGCTCTTTCCTCTCAAAATCGAGTAAGTTTATCTAAACTTTAGATTCTAAAGCGACAATGATTTCCGATTTTAGTCGCGATTTCTTGTTTCAAAATATCGACCTCTTTTTAAGAATTTCACAGTTCAGTTATTTTTATCAAAAATAATCGCCATTTTTAGAAATTCCTCGCCGAAATCTCAAATTTGAAGCAAAAAGTGGCAAAGCAAGAAGAAGACATGAAAAACATTTTGGTTGAAAACGAGCGAAAAAATCAAATTGAAGAAAATTTGAGAATTGAAAATCGAAATCAGAAGAAACAAATTGCGGATTTGAAGAGAGAACTTGATCAGTTTAAATACAGAAGACAAGAAGCTTCAAATGAGAGACAACAACGAGGAGAATTTGATTTGAGAAGAGTTGCGGCGCCAATTGTTCAGCCAGTTCAAAGAGTGGAAAGAAGAGTCGATGAGAAGAGGAGAAATGAGCTGGAGAAATTGAGAAGAGAGTTGGGAGCGGTCGGCGGCGCGGGGCATTACTTTGAAGATGATAAAGGAAAAGGTTATGGTGGAGTAAGAAATGAGATGTTCAAAAAAGAAGTGCGAAACATCCTGAAGCTGCTGTCTTTCGGCGAAAACAAAATAAACTTGAAGGAACGGGAGTTTTTAATTTTTAAGCGAAAAGAGATTTTCGAAAAACTCTCCGCGAAGTTTGGGAGTGGTAACTGGTTGGAGGTGGCGGAGAATGGATGGAATCTCAAGTTCCAAGGTGGTTATAAAGGAGATGGTTGGCATCATCTCTGGATCGGAAGCAAAGGTAAGAAAGAAAATTTTCAATTTTAAAAATTTAATTTTAGACGGCGGAGTTCGATTCAAAGCCGTGGTGCAGGAGATTGTTCGTTACAATGGAAACGAGATGAGCAGAGGAGATGTTACAAGCGAGCCGGATGGACAGAAGCAGAAAATAAAATACAAGTATGGAGATTATGAGTACGGTTGTTATGTAAGATACAACATCACTTTACTGTAAAATTCAAAATGTAAATAAATGATTATCAAACTCAATGAAATTCTAAGAAATCGCAAGAGTCCAGATTTGATAACGGTTTTTTTTTAGAAAATTGCATGTTTTTTTTACGATCATCGACCCTGATTCTGTTTTTAATTCAATGCTTTTATTCTTAAACTATTTTTTTTCCTTTGATCTATTCTAACAATCTCTTCCCAAAGCAAGAAAAGAAAGAATAAAACTTTTTACTTTGAAGACCCTGACTCAGATTTTCTACACAGGTTGCCGAGCCAAATTGATGAAATTTTGTTTCTTTTTTTTCGTATTGAAATTAAAAAATGGCATTCAAAGTTCGTGCAGTTGATCATCATCATCATCATTATTCTCCGCCTCGTCATTTTGGAAGATCCGTTCTTGAGCTTGAGCTCCAAGAAAGACCTTTTGTTTGATGCCGGAAAAGGCGACAGCCATGAACTCAAGCGGAGAACTACCAATTCATCAACAATCTTGCGAGCTTCTTTTTTAACTTACACGTATTCGGAGTAGCTGGGTTCGTCGAAGTCTTCGTATCCAAGCAGAGCGCGGACGATGCTCACCATCAGCCAGGTGGAAACGACCATCAACAAGGAAATACAAATGCAAAAGACCAGCTTCAAACTCTGTTTTCAAATTCGCTTCTTTCAAAAAATTGAATTAAAAACTGAAGTGTTTTTGAAACATTTCCATAAAGAAAAACTGACCGCTTCTCAAAGAGTTGGCAATTTTGCAAAAATAAAACAGATTTTTTTTATTTTTTGAACAATTTTGACAACTCTAGTTTTAAGTTCCTCTTCGCAGTCGACTCGCTCGATCTTGTAAGCTGGGCTCGGCAACCTGAGTAGAAAACCTGAGTCAGGCTCTGGAAAAGCTAAATTGAAAAGCCGCGTAGCTAGGGCTGCCACATAAAAAATCGGCCATCATTAACCCTGAGAATGATCAACTCAGATCTCCCCGCCTTTGTCAAGCCCCTTAAATTTAGAAATTAAGGGATAGGGCTGAGACGGCCCGAAGGGCCGTCAAGCCCCTTAAATCCGACCATGGTTGATCATGGTCGGAGCTGCACTTACTGTGGATGAGTTTCGCCCTTATCTTTCAAAATCAGGAAAGAAAACCAAAAAATTCAAGGTCACGTGACTCCGCTGGTGATTTTTCTGATTTTTGGCTATTTTAGCTGTTTTCGAGACTTTTGATCTCAATTTTTTCAAAGAAACTCCCTTGATTCTAGTTTTATTTCTTATCTACGTGATTCTACTGATCACGTGCAACATTCTAGGGGGGGTTTTGGGGGGATTCTTCGGGGTCTTATTTTTATGTGGCCACCCTACGCGTAGCGGCTTCTTTTTAAACGCCAGGAGTTTTAATAAAATTTGCGGCTTCGTTTTTAAAAAGCCGCTGCGCGGCTTTTCGTTTTAGCTCTTCCAGAGCCTGACTCAGGTTTTCTACTCAGGTTGCCGAGCCCAGCTTGTAAGGTTGTGGGATGAGTCTGCTGATGTTTTGCCACATTTTAATTTGATTTCATGGACTCTCTTTTTTATTTCTGACAATGAAAAAGAACTCTGGGCGGCTTTTTTTGTCGCAGCTTATTAATTTTACATTCTCAATATTTCTTCATAATTGAGAAGAGCGAGAATCCTTTATTGTCACCTGTCAATAGAATGGGAATAAATGAGTCATTGAATTCAGATTTATTTTTCGAGAATTGTTTTTGCTTTTTTGATTTTTGATTTCAAAAAAAAAACTTGAGTCGCCCGTCTTCGTACTTTGGTCTGTGAGATATTTTGCTTAGAGAATGTTGTCTACTGAAAAAATGGTTATTTCAAACGGCCGGTCGTTTACTTGGACATCCCCTTTCGATGCAAGCCCCAAATCTATTAGAGAACGTGTGTTTAACGACAATGTGAAGAAGATGGAGGCAATTGTTACCAAAGAAGTCAAGAGGATCAGCAAAGGAAGATATTTAATCCAAGTACTGCCTGAAGATCTTCAGCCGTGGGGTCGCCCGAAATTGATCCACGACGTGAATATCAAAATGGTATCGTTGTTGCATGGAGATTGGACATTTCTCTCGCCCAACTCGTATGCAATTGAAATGATCCATAATCCGAAGATGCCTAAATCACGCAGTTACGGATTAATTGATTTAGCTAAAACGAAATTGGATGACATCGAAAATTTGCTGTCCGATAGATCATCTGGCGGAAAAGCGTATATTTGCGTGGGACCGTGCGTTGATAAAGCTAATTTAGTGGACGTTCATGATCGTATCTTGTTCTTTCCTATTTCTAGTGATGTTGGTAAGAATATTTATTTCTTTAGCTTGCTTATAAAAGCTCATTAAATTAAGAGCCTTCGATCGAATTCGAACCGTACGAGCCTTCACCCATATACCCAGATCTCATTCTTGCTTCATTTGTTTATGAAGTAAGCATCGTCGACAGAGAAGAATACCAGATTCCTGACTGGGTCGAAGAAGAAGATGAAAAATCAAAGGGGAAAAAAGACGCGGGAAAACAGAAGCCGAAGAAAGAGAAAAAGAAACAACCAGCAAAACAAATCAACAAGCAGAAGAATGACGATTCGAAGGAAGAAAATCTCAAGCCTCAAGAGGAGAAGCCTTCATCAGGAGAAAGACCTACTCCTCAGGTACTTTCGACTCTATGAATTATTTCTCAATAAAATACTCTTAGCTTGAACTCGATAATTTTGATGAAGCAGAATGGGTCACAGTTGGAAGCTCAAAGCCAAGAAAAAACGACTTGCAGAAGCTATTGAAGGAACCGACAGCCGTTGCCAAGAAAATCGTCAAACCAGAAAATCAAGTCTTGAAGGATGAAAATGCTGCGCTCAAGGAGAGACTAAGACGGCTCGAAACAGAAATGAAATGCTTGAAGAGTGAGAAAACAGCCTGGGATGCAGAAGTTGGGCACTTCTTCGCCGCTAATCGGCAAGAAACTGATAGCGACGACGAAACGGTAATCGATTTTTTAAACAACATGGACTACGAAAATTTAGATCGACTCTACAATGACGAAATGGGCTGAGTCTTCTTTGGCCATAAGTGAAAGCGTCAGGTACAAAAATTAATATCAAATCATTCATCTAAAAAATATTTCAGCAAAATCGGGCGGCGCAAGGTCATTCCGAAAGTCTACCCTTCTGAACCTCGTCACAAGCCGAAAGAATACTTGGAAGGAGGATCCGGCCGTTACAATCCGATAACTGGAAAAGTTGAATACCCAAAACCGCCAACTGCTCCACAACCAGAGTTCTAGACGAAATTTTCAACTGCCAGAAGAATATTACCAGATGATTGCATTAAACTGCCTAAAAGCCTGCAGTCTGGGCTCAGCAACCTGTGTAGAAAACCTGAGTCAGGTCCTAAAGAGCTAGAATTTTTGATAGATTGTAATGGTTATATTAGCGAAGCCGCTTCGCTGCTTCGTTCTTAAAAAAGCCGCTGCGCGGCTTTTCATTTTAGCTCTTTCAGAACCTGACTCATGGTTTTTACACAGGTTGCCGAGCCTAGTCTACAGTTATCTTTTATTGAAATAAACATTTTTGTCCTCAATTCAACTAGTATTTAGTAAAGCAAGTTTCCAAAAATTTCTCCAACTGAAAAAAAAGGAAGAAGAAAATTGAAGACAAGTAATAAGTGGTTATTTTTCACGCATGGTTTGTCTGACCTTTTCAAGTCGATTTCGAATTAACTATGAAAATGGGCGACAGGGTAATTGTCTGTTTATGGCGCAACTTTGGGCTTGGCAATGTTGACTGGGCGACTCGTAAAGCTACAGTGCTTCCGGAATTTAGAAAGAAATGTTTAGACCGGCATCAAAAAAAGACCGCGGCGACGATTCCAAACAGCTTGGATGATCGGAAATCGAGCGTGAAAATCGGATGCTCAAATCCACAATCGACAAATCCGAAAAATTCTGGATTGTTACTGGGGTCGGAAACCTGTGTAGACAACCTGAGTCAGGGGTCTTGAAGAATTCGAACAATGCTTGATAAATAATCTTGCGAAGATAAACCCTGACTCAGGTTTTCTACACAGATTGTTGAGCGCAAATTCGATTCGTTGAAAATCTGTTTCAATCTTTAAAAACCGCTTTTGAAAAATCGCTAGAAAGAAAAAAAAGAGAAGGGGATCGATCGCGTTCTTTAGTAGTTGGTACTGAGCCAATATGAAAAAGCGTCTTTTTTCGCGAAAATTGAGATTCAGTTTTTGCTCCGAAAATTTTAAATTTCAAGTTCATTTGGTCACGACCAATTCTTGTCGAAAATCTGCCTGGGAATGAGAAGACCTGCTGTGCTTTTCTTATCTACAGTATTTATCGTCAATTTTACTGGAAGTTGGAAAATGAAACTCTCGTGAAATCATGCTCGTTCCAGGCTAGATTTAAAAATTGCTGATTTTAGATGGTGAACTCTTTTCATGCGTAAAATCTGAGCTGCCCAGATTACTGATTTCCTGGATTTCAGATTGTCCCGATTGCTAATTTTTTTTTGCCCCTTGGTGGGAAAAAACGAAACAGAAATTCTCTTGCTCGAAATCTGGGCTGGAAAACCTGTGTTGAAAACCTGAGTCAGGGTCCAAAAGATCTTTAGTGAAAAGCCGCGTAGCGGCTTTTTTAAAAAACGAAGCCGCAAAGCGGCTTTGCCAGAATTTGGAAAGTTGATTAAGGGTGTCAACATCAATTTCGTCATTTTCATGGCAAATTAGCGAAGCCGCGAAGTTTTTTAAAAAAGCCGCTACGCGGCTTTTCACTGCGGATCTTTTGGACCCTGACTCAGGTTTTATAGAGGTTGTCCTGCCAAAGTTGAAAAAGTAGCAAAAAAAAAGGGTTCTTTCTATTTATTGAAAATTGAAGTCGTCAGGAACATAGTCTTAAAAGGGTCGACAGCTGTACAAATAATTATACAATCAATACTTCAGTTGATTCTACTTTCTGCTTCTTCCTGTTTCTTTGGATTATCCGAAGCCGCGGTAGAAGAACTCGTCGCAAGTCTCGTCCGCTTGTCCCGCTTGCAAGAAGACCACGTGATCGGAAATGCGATGTCGATTTTGGCTCGAGTCGGAAGATTCGTCTCTGCTCATTTGGAGAATTCGGTGCGTGGAGCAGGGCGGCACGTAGATCGGATTCCAGCCGACGAAGACGGTTGTCAAGTTGTCCGCGCGCGAGTTGCTTTCCTTGACGAATCGGCGGTACTCGTTTCGCTTCCACCAGAGTTTGTAGCTCATGATTCCGCAGAAAATGAAGAGCAAAAATGACACCGAAGCGGAGAGAATTCCAACCACCACCAGTGACGTCAGCTCGAGTTTCTCCTCCATGTCTTCAATTTTTCTTTTTTTTCGATTTTTTTCTTAAGGGTACTACCTTCGATTTCCCCAACTTCAGAAATTCTTCTTTTTTCTTTTGCTCTTTTTATTCTTCTCGTAAAACTCTCGGAAAATTCGATTTTTTATTTATTTTTCTTGTGAGAAAAAAAAAGACTGATCGCGTCCGAGATTTCACCGTCTCAACGGCTCCTCGCTCGGGGGCGCCCGATTTTTTCGATTCGCAGATGGGAACTGCTGCTTTTTGCCGCCTGCTCCTAATGGTCGCCAATTTGCCGCCAATGCAACTTATCAGATGGAAACAAGCCGCCACCTGCTATGCGAAGAATTTTATTAGTCTTCAACTTGACAATAGAATTGACGCCAAATTATGTTCTAGAAATCTCTAGAACAAGCTGAATTTTCGATTCAATTATAAAAGTACTTCTGCCTAGGTATTTATTAAAACAATTCAAAATCCAAGCTATTATTCGAATCAAAAAACGGCTTTGACTTCAATTTTTCGATTTGCTGTTGAAAATTTCTTATAGAAAAAATCACAATTCAAAAAGCAAAATTATAAAATTTTTTTCATAAAAAATTTCTAGAACAACGAAACCACTAAAACCGGGAATAGGGATTTTTTTCTATAAGAAATTTTCAGCAGGGAATCGAAAAATTGAAGTCAAAGCCATTTTATTTGCATCAAAAATCGGCTTTGACTTCATTTTTTCGATTCCCTGTTGAAAAATTCCTATAGAAAAAATCCTTATTCCCGGTTTTAGAATTTTAATTGTTCTAGAAAATTTTCATGAAAAAATATATTATCTTGCTTTTTAAATTGCGATTTTTTTCTACAAGAAATTTTCAACAGAAAATCGGAAAATTGAAGTCAAAACCGTTATTTGATCCAATTAATAGCTTGGATTTTGAATTGTTTCAATAAAAGCCTAGGCGGAAGTGGTTTTAAATCTGAAACCGGTTCTAGAGACTTTTCTCTAGAATCGAGAAAAATTGGCAAATTGCGCGGTGGATTTCAATTTTGCCCCATTTTTAGCCCTTGAATGGCGATTTTTGAAATGATAATCAAAAAATTAAACTCAAACCAACTTTTTCAGACAAATTCTAGTTTTTTTCAAAAAAAGGATTTTTTCCTATTTCGCTCTTTGAGTTGAATTTTTTATGAAATTTTCAGGTTGGTCAGGGATAATCTTTGCCTTCTAGAATTTGAAGAGATCAGTGCAATAATTTGTTAATTGCAGAGAGTAGGTCACAATTTCTTCGAGGCCAAAACCAGCTGAGAAAAAATCGGCGATAATGATCTGATGATGAAAATCGTTCATCTTGAAGTGTTCTAGTTTTAGCTACAGTCCCTAGGCTGTCAATCATAGAACCTATATTTAGCCTGATCAAAGCCCCTTTTGGCCCCTATTAGTTACTCCCCGCTGACTCTCACTCTTCTCGTCAGCTGTACACGATTGCTCCTCTCAGTTTTCTATTCTCAATAAACCAGTCTATATTTGCAAGAGCTAGCGGCTACATCTTGCCTGACTCAGCAGAAAGTTACCAGTGGATTATTACACTGGTGACTGAAAAGGATATTTTTTTTCGAACACGCAAACGAAGAGTTTCCAGTCAACCTAGAGATTTACAGAAGAAGACGTCACGATACGAATTCCGATTACGATCTTTGGACTCCAACTGCGAACTTCCAAACTTCACTTCAGCTCCAGAACCGGCCAGTGCTCTCCGCGGCGCCACCAACTGCAGCACCCACAACAACTCCATCAACCACGCCAACTTCTCCGACGACGCTGACTGCGCGCTACAACGGGCGAAAAGGTACGAGAGGTTTTTGAAAGGTCTTATTTTTTTGGGTGATATTTTTGAATATTAGAAATTTCAATTTTGGGAGAAACAGTCAAACTTTTTCCAAAGTAAAATTTCAAAAGTTATCACTCGGAAAAATTAATTTTTGGTCAAATTTTTTGAGGAAGGTCAAATTTTTGGCGGTTTTTTTTTCAATCAGATTTTAGAAAATTATAATTTTCTGAATTTTGAAAAATCGAAATCCAAAGTTTCATCGACGCCAAATTTCACGAATCGGCTAGTAAAGTAACGGGTAATTTTTTCTTCTTCATTATTTGAAAATGACTTTGAAGAAGCTTACCAACTTGAGCCGAAGCGAGATTCGCGCTGTTTTACGTAAGAAGGGACTTGACCCCGAGGGAACCGATGATGAAATTTTCCAACGGCTTCATGATTTTGCGCAAGAAAACGGTTGTCGTAGAACGGTAGACGACTCAACCTATCTTGTGAACATGCAAGGGGCGATCCCATCAGAAACAGGAGATCACGTTGAGGACCAGGATGACCGTGACGCTCTTTCCGACGAGTACATCGATGACGAATTAAAACAAAAAAAGTCTCGATTGTCACCGAACTCCTATCCTAGTGACCTTCCACAAGACCCAGCGCGGAAACTACCACGTAGCACTACCAGAGCCGACCTTAGAAGGGACTCTTTCAATAATTTTTCGCAAGCCGACCACGGAAAATCGCGAGTGAGCACACTTGCTAAAGAATCAAGAGACATTCGAGCAGTGACAAAGCGATCAGTCACTGAAGTCGAAACTCTGCTTGCGGAAATTGCGAAAGCAGCCGATGTTTATGGTTGGAGCTCCGCTGACAAATTATTTGTTCTGCGATTAAAACTCTCCGCTGAACTAGGCAAGCAGGCCGGTATCTCGAATCTTTGCTCATTTACTGATGCAGAGCGAAGTGTGCGAAAGCGTCTTGGGCTTAACCAGGATCGAGTGGCATCCCAGCTCGCAAATCTTGAGCGCGGGCCGAATGAATCTACTATGGCCGCCTTTTACAGACTTCAAGTGCTCCTTGAAAATCCACAGAGTGGCTTTACCTATCTGCCGCCTGAGTTCAAGCGAGCGACTTTGAAGAACAATCTGAAAAAGATCCTACCCAGACAAATGTACATGTCGTTTATAACAGCTTGGTCGTCTACGAACCAGACTTGTGACTTGTACGAGATCACTGACTTGCTTGAAACGCTCACAAGTGCTTTTGGGTCCCCGGGTGCAGCGGTCAACTCGATTGACGAAGTCGTTGACGACCTCGATGACTTCGAAGGTTATGATGTAAATGCTGCCGCTGCCAGGGGTCCCATTAAGTGCCACTTCTGTCGCCGGACTGGACACTATATGAGTGCGTGTCCAGCACTCGAACAGATGCGCGGCGGAAATGATCGATTTAGAGAGGCAGAGCTTAGAATGGACCGCCTTGAGAAAAAACTCGATAAAAGTAACGAGGAGAACGCGAGTGCTCTCACTGCTATTCTAGCGCAGCTAAAGGCTCTCAATACGAAATCGGTCAATGCAGCGGAATCGAGTGCACCACCCAGTGCTCGCTCTGATGATAAGCCCCAGAAGCCACGGGGTAGTCAGAAGCCACGATGCTACCACTGCCCACTTAACTCGGAGGGTTACCCTCCGAGACACTTCCCCGCTGCTTGTCCGTACTCGGCCAGAAATAACCATTGACTAGGCCCAGAAGTACCCGAGGTTCACACTGTCAGCTCCCCAACTTTTCTGCCCCATTTTCGCGTTTCCATCAATGGCCAAGAATTTTCTGCACTTGCCGATAGTGGCTGTAACTGTCAGTTAATTCATCCCCGAGTTGCAGATAAATTTACTTCAACTCATCCACCGGTCAAAACCAACGCTCAAATTCGGGTCGCAAATAGTTCCAAATGCCAAATCAAATCGCAAATAACGCTCCCAGTATCGATCGGAGGTCGAGTTAGGCAAATAACATTCTATATCTACCCCCAAATGTCGTATGACATGATCATCGGCTTATCCGATTATGACCGAGTCGTTATCGATAAGGCGAACAACCTGATCACCCTCGATCAAGACACCACCGAGTTGGTCCATTATGGCACAGATATACGTCTTAATTCGGTCAATAATATCACTATCGAGGCGTTCGGAATCACTCCCGTGCCCGTCGAGTGTCCAATCAGGGAGGAAGAGGGATGTGTTGTTGTCGGTCCTGATGATAAGGGATTCCTTTTTGAAAATAACCTGACAGTCGTCGAAGCTTCGTACAACCCAGATCCAACGCTCATGTTGCTAGTTCAGAACACCACTGGATCGAAAATCGAGATTCCCAAGGGCATTCCAATCGCCAGGGATTTCACATGGAGAAAGATCCAGGCGGAAACTTGCGCTGCAATGAGCTCATCCATTTGTACAGTAGTGACGACCAGGACTCGGAGTTTAAAGAGCACCTGCTTTCTCGGGAGCTCCGTTATACACCATCCAAGAGCGATGCGTATAAGAACGTCAAACTGGGCGAAAAACTAACGGCTGCTCAGAAATCACAAGTACTCGGAGTACTCAGTAAAGAGAGGACCGCTTTCAGTACTTGTCCCGACGACATAGGGCTTTTGCGTAACACGGCTTTTCGTATTCATTTGAAAGACGAAAATGCCGAGATCTACGAGAAGCCGCGAGCTCCGAGACAGGCGATCAGGGAAAAAGGAGACCAAGTTATCAAGAGATGGCTCGACAACAAGATCATTAAAGAATGCGCGAGCCGGTATAATTTACCGCTTTTTTTCATCGCAAAGCGTGATGGGTCTGCGCGTCCAATTTTGGATGCGAGGGCCCTTAACTTGGAGACTATCCCTGACCGCTGGCCCATTCCGTGCCTAAAATCGCTGATGACTCGAGTCTCAGAGACATTTGCGAAGGCAAAAGGAAATCTGTGGGTGTCCTCTTCAGATATTTGCTCAGCCTTTAACCAGATTAGGTTGTTTTCGGAGGACACTCACAAGTGCGCATTCAGCTACGGAGACAAGCAATACCAAGCACTGCGCATGCTATTTGGACTTAGGAACAGTCCAAGTTGCTTTGCCAGGGCTGTGTCCCGCATTTTTCAGGACGACCCGGAAGTCATGATCTTAATGGACGATTTGCTTATTCTCTCACAAT